GTTCAAGATCAAAGTTCCATTCGTAAATCTTGCCCCTGAAAGAAACGTTTAGAGCCACTGAACATCTAGGATGGCATATGGAGAGAGAAAATATATGTCCCAATGCTACTGTGCCCGGTCGTTTTGGTAATTTGGACTTGAGTACCAACACTGCCTGTGCTGTGTCTGCCTCGCGCGGTTTTCCCTACCTAGATTATCATGCAGTTGACAATGAGGATCGAGACGCCCAGCCTCAAGGCCTCCTTTTCCCTCGTCACAGTTCCTTGCCGAGACAAAAACTTGTCAAGATCATCCGGACACAGCTCAAGTTGAACAGCGTGCATTCGCTGAGTTATAGCAAAGCCAAAATTTTTGGTCTAACTGTCCAGCAAGCGCTGGAAGACTGCCAGAGTGAGTCAAGACGGCAAAGAGAATGGCGAGGCAATTTCTATGCAGAGAAACGCGCCACCACATGCGGCACTTCAAGAGACTCGTGTACGTGTACGTACGTAGGTCACAGTAGGCGAGTATGTGGAAAGAGATATCAAACTCGTGGGCCTTCTCACAACCGAGCACGAGTTTGCTGTCTGGTTTCCGAGACCAATTATTAAGGCAAAATTCACAATAAAGGCCGCAAAAAGAGATACGAGGTCAGCACACAGTTACGGCACACGTGTCCGTAGAGTCATATTCTCCAGCGCCCTGAGGGATTACAAAAAATTTCTCTGCCGAGCCTCGGATGTCGATCCTAGCTTCTCATTTCTTAAGAATCATTGCGACCCGTTGGCATAAGACCGGCCCTGAATCTCTTGGGCTGGCTTGGCTGGGTTGTGCGGCGTTTCCCCGTGATCGCTGTTGCTGATGATAATCTGCGCCACCATGTTCTTCTCGTTCGCACGACTGGAGCCAACTCCGAAAACCAGAGAAACGAGAGCCTTGGCCACCTCTTCTCCAGGTCCAGTAGAATCTGGTCAGCAGGAGCTCTTGAATCAACTAAATCTTGAATCAACTAATAAGGGAACTGAGGCTTGCGCATTGTGGCGGACTCTGGAGGCGAGCGGCTTGGGGAAACACTCGCCAAGGACACTGGTACGGGCGAGAAGGATAGTTGCTAGTAGTGGTGATTAGACGAAGCAGCAGTAGCGGCAAGCAGTGCATGCCGCTAGGGGTTGAATGATTAATAGCTACTTTGACGTTATCATGTAAACCGGCCCCTTCTATATTGGGAAGAATGAGCATATATAATCTGATCCTGGGAAGCCCTCCGCCGATACGCATTGAGAGATTAAATTGTACAGCTATTTATACGTCGCACCTGCTCACCTGCGTCCCCGGCCGAGGAGAAGGCTGGGAAGCGACAAAGGTAGCACCGCCCGAAAGCGTGGTAGTAATCGGTCCCAGTCTAGGCCTGGCGCGTTCAACATTTACGAAGCGGAAAGCCGCGCAGCAGAGACGTCAGCCTCCAGGAATTGTATATGACAAGTGAAGAGCAGCAGGCTGTAAAAACGGCAATTTGGACCAGATAATGAACCTGGATCTACTAGGTCAGTCGACGTCAATATATAAAAGAGAGTGCTCTCGGCGACGTAGCGGCTGACCATGGAGAAATGTGAGACGGCGCTGGCATTTACGAACCGCATCTCGCGCGCCGTCTTCTCCACGACTACGGACACTATACTAGCGTAATCCCGAAGGCTCTGCGGCCAAGAGAAAGCGTATTTATTGCCGATTGTGACAGGTTCGCCTTTTGTCGTCCGTCAGGCTCTTGGTGCTGCTACAACTTCTTCTAGATACTACTATTGCGACTGCCGCCGGATCTAAGACCGTCAGTAGAGCTGTTGTTACAACTCGTGTCGGCCTTGATGCGCCGGCCCCCGCATGTTAGAGGCTGGTTAGCGAGCTCTATCTCCACGGCATCATGAGCGAGGTCTAGAAGCGTGAATGAGAGCCGGGCGGTAGTTGAAAACAAACAAGACTCAGCCTCGCTCATGCAGCCACCAGGCAAGCAGACCTACTCACCTAACAAAATTTCCTAGAAAGGGGACCTGATGTCAACACAGCTCGGAGACAGATAGCCCCAAATGTGCCTCGTGAGTTTCACAGCTTCTGCCAGTCTGAGAGAGCGGTGCGCGGGCAGAAAGTAATGACAGCCTCGATACCGAACCCCAGGAGCAACGGAAATTGTATCGAATAATCCCGCGAAAGCGGTGTTCAAGCTTTTGATAAAGGGAAGCGTTAGTTGATACTTGAGCAAATACAACTCCAAGGCTATCTAGGTACGTAGCGCTATTTGACCACTCTTCTCCATAATATCTCTCGTCTCAAGGTAGAAGCCTAAGAGCATCATTGTGAGCTGGGTGTGGGCTTGAACGAAAATCGAACCATTAAATGCGAGAGGGTGTCAAAAATGTCGAAAGGGCAAGAGAAGGTCCTCAGAGAGGGAAGGGGGAACTTACCGGTATAGAATAAACTTGGACCTTTCATCAACCGGTATGGGATTTCAATGTATTCATGACGGGACCGGATCATACGATTTGCTCCCGTCAGTGAGGTGTCCTGGCACCTTAGCTCGCCTCGAATCACGGATGTTACCTGGCTATAGTGCGGGACCTCGGGCCTTATCTGCCTTAATCTAGGATATTTTATACTTGGTAACCGTATGTCCCTACCTCAGTAATCTGTGCCTAGGTAGTCTGTGACATGTCTGGAAATGGCTGGGGTGTCGGAATGAATGGCAAGAACGACTAGTCGTATTCCTCATCGGCCACAATGTTGAGTTCAAGCTACTAATATGTCATCCACAAGTGCAGCAGCACCTTCCCAAAAGTCTTCCAGTTTTGCAAGCTTCCACCCTGGGTTGCCTGAGATTGGAAGCGACCGCGGTGACCTCAACAGACTCCAACTTGAACTTGAAGTCTTAATTACCTTACCTATCTCGTTTACCGTTGCTTCCTTGGTCTCAAATTTAGAATGCAGCACCAGACGGAAGCAAGTCGGGCTTGGTCGTGATGCCAGCTGCCCGCATCTCCGTGCCACTGAGCAGGGACCAACAGCTTGCTGCTGGACTCGTCGAATCTCAACGGCAATCAGGGGGCACCATGCCAATCCAACAGCGCCACAAACCCCACCTTTGATGGATCACTAAGCTCCGCAGGGGCGCACACCCCGCCCTCCAAACGCCTCCATCCCACCTTCCCGGGCACTGGAGCCTAGCTTTTTAGCTGTTATGTCCTTGTCACCGATCTTGGGTTAGGTTGTCAATTCTGTCAATTCTGTCAATTCCACCATTGCCCACCATGTCGGAGATGCGGTTCGTCCTAAACCTAGTATGCTCTCGACCCATAACCGGCCGCCTTATTGAACGCAGCGATGCGACCTACGGGCCGAGTGCGGAGAAATATCCCTGCGAAATGCGGTCGAAAGGCCTCATCAGGAAGGCAGCGAGCGAGAGACGCTCGTATTTGAGCCGACCTTTGTTGGTAGGAACAGGACCCGACAACGGCGAGGCATCGGACAGGCAGTTGACCATTCTACAGCTCGAATCGATAACCTCTTCCTCTTTGTTGTATCATTTTGTTTCATCCCAAGACTCAGACGACCATGTCATCAGCGGCCATGCACGGTTCTGATTCGTGCCATATATTAATCGCAATTTACTCGACCAGGATCCCGCTCTACCACGATGGGACGGGAGGCTGCTGCAGCTTTGGTAAGCAGCTCCAAACTGGGCGAGGTTCCTTCCTGGGGGCACCTCCACTGCCCCAACTCCCACAACTCCCCTAAACTCGTCTTCTCCAGGCTTCCGGATAGCGCCCCCAAGGCTCAGCAATCGGCGTCCTCGCTCCGCACTAACATACCTAAGGTACCTAAGGAGGCCGAGCCATTGCAGCGCCCGAAGGATCGATCCAGCCAACACGCTCCATCAGAATGTTCACTGGTCGTCGGGTTGCGCAAAGCAGCAGCCCTCCAGTTGCCGTGCATTAATTGCTCGCTTTCCTAGCCGGGAAGGTGGCTCTGCCGCTTCACCCCGAAGGGCAGCGCAAAGAGCCAAGAAACAAGACGTGACGGCTTGGCGTCTTGCGCATGGCTCACTGTCTGCCAGTCTCGTCAGCACAGGCCAGTCACATGTTTTGATACCAGTGGAGGGCACCCACCCCCTTTCCTCCTGGATGGGTAGAAGAGGTGGTTCCTGCAGCTGAGCATGTCGTGCTTTGTTACCACTTTCTATTCCAGTCTGCGCATGGGCTTGAAGTGGCAACCCCCACGGGCGCGATGCCAGGATTCGTCCTCCAAGTGGACATGTCGCCAATGCCGCCTCCCAGATCCGCTGAGGTGCCCGGCAGCCGTGATGCGTCCGTGCAGTAACTCGATGGCGCCGTGCGGGGGGGGCGTTTCTCAGCCCCGGCCCTACCTATTATTATAACTTCGAAGGAGCATCAAGGTCACGGCCCGTGGGGTATTCAATGCGACCTTCCGCTCCCTATAGCCTTTTCCGAGCTTCGCGCCGACCCTTCCCTGCCCTGTCCTTCCGGCGTGCCTGTCCGGTGTTAGGCAGATCCTGAACCCGCTTGCAGGCGCGGTCTCGCACTCGGCGTACCAGAGCCCAACGTCACAAGTTGTTCGGATCACGCAAGTATCTTCTTCCCCAGGCCAAGCCCTGTTCGGTAGGTCATGGCTCTGATACTGCGGCTCTGTCTCCAACGCTCTGACCTGGACACATCCTTCCTATCCACGGCCACAGTGACCTTCCTGGTCCTGCCACTAGAAGGCACCGCACATGATGGACCACGTCAGATCCTTATGGGGAAGGTCAGCACAAGGCATGGCGCTCTGTTGCCCATTCCGATGCCATATAAAGGGTCGTGATGTCGTCGACAAGTGCTACTCGTTTTGGCAGATCTAGAAGCATCAGAGTCAGTCAAGCCATTCAAGCCATTCAAGCCAGCCAAGCCAGTCAAGCCAGCCAAGCCAGCCAAGCCAGTCAAACCAGCCAAGCCAGTCAAGCCAGTAAAGCCAGTCAAGCCAGCCAAGCCAGTCAAGCCAGTCAAGCCAGTCAAGCCAGCAAAGACAGCCACCCCGGATCTCACCGCCGAAGTCTTGTCACGTTCCGTCTTTGATCGTCATCATCCTTAACAACCGCCTTCAAGCCTAACATCGCCATGCATCTCCTCGCCTTGGCTACTCTGCTACCTCTGGCTCTCACAGCTCCAGTGCTCCAGCCTCGAGGTGTTCAGCTGATTCCGGACAGCTACATCGTCAAGTTCAAGGATGGCGCTACAGACAGCCGCGTCACCGACACCCTCAGTGGCCTCAAGTCATCGGTCGTCACCAAGCACATTTACCGCTCCAAGCTTTTCAAGGGCTTTGCGGCCAAGCTGAGCGCCAAGGACGTTGAGATTCTGAAGAAGTTACCTGAGGTACGTGATCCTTCTCAGAATTACGTTCATATCAGTCGCACCACGCCCAGCGGGTCAATGTGGGGGATCTGCTAAACAGATACCCTCCATATAGGTCGATTATATTGAGCAAGACGGCATCGTCAGGATCACCGAGTATGTCACGCAGAGCAATGTCCCCTGGGGCCTCGCCCGGATTTCTCACCGCGCTACGGGGGCAACGTCGTACGTCTATGACGCGAGCGCCGGCGCCGGCACTTGCTCCTATGTCATTGACACGGGCATATATGTCAACCACACCGTAAGTAGCGGATGCCCTACTTGGCCAACCAAGTCCCCAAATCACAGGCTCATGGGCTTACTCTTGAATCTAGCAATTCGCCGGGCGCGCTACTTGGCTCGCCAACTTTGCTGGAGATGGCAAAGACTCTGACGGCAACGGCCACGGCACCCACGTCGCCGGCACGATCGGCGGCACCGACTACGGTGTGGCCAAGAAGACCCTCCTGTACGCTGTCAAGGTTCTCGACTCGGGCGGTTCCGGGAGCATCTCGGGTGTCATTGCCGGCATCAACTACGTGACGACGGACTCGGCGACGCGTAACTGCCCCAATGGCACTGTTGCTAATATGTCGCTTGGTGGAGGCAAGTCGACGGCTATCAACAGCGCCGCCGCCGCTGCTATCAAAGCCGGTGTTTTCCTCGCCGTCGCTGCTGGTAATAGCGATGATGATGCCGCATTTTACTCGCCGGCCTCGGAGCCAACCGTGTGCACCATTGGCGCTACCGACAATACCGACACACGGGCCTACTTCTCCAACTACGGCACCCTCGTCGATATTTTTGCCCCTGGTGTTGATGTTCTGTCGTCCTGGATCGGAGGGACCAACGCAACGGTCAGTCCCTATCCATGTTCTAATACAAGCAACCCGTTCTCGGCTGACGCTCCGGCACCAACAGAATACCATCTCTGGTACATCCATGGCGACCCCACACATCACCGGTCTCGGTGCCTACCTCTTGGGGCTGCTGGGCAAGAAGGCTCCCCAGGCCCTGTGCCAGTACCTCAAAGACACGGCCACCGCCAACGTCATCACTGATGTGCCCACCGGAACTATCAACGCGCTGGCCTTCAACGGTGTCGAATAAGCGGTTGCGAATCTCTGTGCTTCTTCCAGCGGCTTCCCGTCATATGGTTACAATGATGGGAAGTGCGCTATTTACGACTTTCTCTTTGCACGAGTACCTAGTTTTCGTTGGCGATTTCTTTGCTTGCCGTTCCTATCACTTTCATCCGGGCATCTTTCCTTCTTGCATAGATTTCCTTCTCGCATTCTCGAGAAGCTGCCCTCGTCGATATTACCACATAGATTTGTTTAAATCCTATATAATTGCTCCTGTCTCTCTGTCTTCATGTCTCAAACTGAAACAGACCCAACCTTGCTATTCCGTGTCAAAATAGTCACCCTGATACCCGCCCATTTACCCAGACCCTGCTCAGACAAAAAAGCGTCCCAGTTCCGCTCATCGGTTATTTCTTGCAGGGAAAACCAGCGGGACCAGCAAGGGCCCGAAACAAGCTTCTCGACTACTTTTCTGGGGCCAACGCCCCGGTCGTCGCTGGCCTTGGCGTGCTCAAACGCCCTGTGAATAGCGTACGATGCCAGGGCTGGATAGTCTTCCAAGGTCTGCAATAGCACTGATCCTGGTATTTGAGAGGACCAGCTCGAGACGACCGACCTTGTCCTTGCGTAACTATCAGATTCATGGATAGAAATACCCTCATCTCGAGATTCCTCCAGGGTGGTATTAACATGTGCCGGGTGCTTTCCGATCGGGACTTCGGCCGGCGACTGAGGGTCATCCGTCTTGGGCACCAACTGAGAATTCTCGAATGGTGACTGGGCGGAGTCGGGAGCCAGGTCAGACCCTAGCCCCCCCCCCCCCCCTTCCCGGACATGGTATGGTCAGAATCCACCGAACTCTGCCCGTCTGGTTGCGCTTGGCCTTTGCCTTTGTCCAAAGAAACGCTGTGATGGCGGGCAGAGACAATTGAAGTAGCAGGTGTGGAGAGGGAGTCGGCTGGCGGTGGTTCCGAGACTGGATCGGATGGGCCATCAGGGACGGGCACTGGCTCAGGGGGGCCCTGCGACTCAGTGGGGCCCTTTAGCCTTGAATGCCATTCGTTATCTTCGTTACGAGGAAACCAGCCTATAGGAATCGATCCAGCCGGAAGGCTTCCCATGACGGTCGGCGAGCCAAAGCCGCGGCCTGTCGAGTGCGCCGAAGCCGAAGACATGAAGCTTATGGCGCTATGGCGGCTCCGGAGTTGCCTTTGTGGTGCTTGCATGCGTAGTTCACGCTCCCGCGCGGCCACGTAGCTGTCAAGTTCGTTGATGCACAGGTAATTTAGGCAACAACCCGCGATGAACAGGTGGCCTTTGCCGACAAAGTCGTACTTAGAAGAAAACCCAAACAGCTTATTAGCATGTCCATTGACGAAGAAGTCGATTACGCTTTCATGGATCGGTTGGACTACCCGGCTTTCCCCAGAAGTGCTGTCTAACGAGCCCGCGCCCGCGAGGATGGACCCGAAATCACCGCCTATATCAGGGACGTCAATGCCGCCTTTGACCTCGATCAGGCCCTGAGAGAGGCTCCGGATTTGCCGCTCAAGCTGGGCGTCGTTCTGCGTGTAGAATTCCGATGCCCGCCATTCGTTCAGAGATGCCGGCGGCGTGCCGTCGCGGATGAAGGTGAGAATGTGGTGCCACTCTCGGAGCCGAAGGCGGCCTCTTGCCAGAATGGGCACATGAAGAGATGCAGCGTCGTGCTGCGGTCCTCGGGATCCATCTCCTTGATGAGCGTGGTGAAGAGATTTTCGAGTGCTTTCGGGAGGGCCTTGATCCGCTTGAGGATGTGTTTGGCATTCTTTCCGTTCTCGACGTCCTTGAGCACCCCGTCGACGGCGAGCACAACCCAGAGGAATATGCCGTTCAACCGCTGCGCGATGCGTTCCCGCAAGATCCCCACGTCGTCGCTGTGGATGTTCACCGTGCTAAGCTTGTGCTCGATGTACTGCCGGATGTCCTGGGAGTTAAATCGCTTCATGGGGATGTGGAGGCAGTTCTTGAGCGTGATGGGGGGATATTCTCGCCTGGAGATGCAGACGCTGAGGTTTAACCCGGCCGCGTAGGCAGACCGGGTGATGTTTCCAAAGAAGTATCCCACGGCCGACGCCTCGACACTCGTCGAGAGCATCAATAAAAATGATTGTCCTCCGAGGCGCAAGCCTAATATTCAAGAAGATTTGTTCAAACACAGCCTCGAGCTTGTGGAGATAGGCGGCGGGGTTCACCGCTTCTAGCGTCTCCAAGTCGACCTTGGAATATGTCTTGAGCCAGTCCAGACAAGCTGGATGCGCGGTGCCTATTTGGTAGAGCAAGGCGCGGAAGAGGCCTACGGCAGTGCGCTCCAGCTCGATGCCCTTGCCGTTGAAGAAAAACCGGGCCACTACGCACTCGCCGGCGCTGTAGGTGCGATGTGAGAGGCCCAGGCTTTTAAACATCCTCTTCATCAGGGTCGACTTGCCGGTTCCTGGCTTCTCGGTGACCTGGAGTAGCCTAAAGTGCTTGTCGATATTGTTGCGCTCCGTCCATTCTCGGAAGGCGGTAGTGGTGGGCAGCCACTCGCAGGTATCTTGCGCAGGGGTGCTTATCATGTGGTGCCGAACCAGCATCTCTCGAAACTGGAAGTGTTCTAGTTTTTCTTTGGGTTGCGTGAAGTTAGCTCACAGTCACAGTCACTCGGCCGCGTTTAGAAACTGACCGCGATTCTCACGATCCCATACAGATTTGGTAAGCAGAGGGATATTCCTAGTTATGGGGGGAACATTCCTAGTTATAGGGGAACATTCCTAGTTATGGGAGGAACATTCCTAGTCATGGTGTTCTCGTCAGGAACATTCTCAGTTGTGGCCTTCTCATCGTCTCTGTCCAGAACCCTAGTATAAACGGCTTGCAGTTCAGCCGAAACCTTCCGGTAGTTTGCATCTAGCGCACTGCCGAAGCGGCACATGCACCTATGGTCGGCGTCGAGCGTTTCGGCCCGTTCTCGGGAATCACCCAGGCAAGAAGATATGTCTGGGATGACCTTGGTCATCTTGGACTGGCCAAGCCGAATCGGCAACTTCAGGGCCAGGCCCTCCTGAAAAGTCTTGACACTGAAACCGTGCTTGTGCCACAGCGAGGAAAACGTCTCCTGGCAGCGGTCGAGATCCGAGTTCTTCAAGGACAAGCTGTCAAGGATGAGGGGATTCGTGTCCATCAGGAGAAGACTGGTAGCTTTGCGCGCAATCTCGCCTATCCCGGCTGCTGAGCTTCCCCTGTGCGGCGTGCCCAAGAACACGACACCCACCGTGCTTTCCAGGATGTCCTGAAAGCCTGGGTCGTTGGAAGTCGAGCAAATGGCGAGCATCTCCTTCAACACGATGCCGCCAAGAGAGTGCGCAACGAAGAGGACCGGTCGCCGTCTCACCCCCGGGCGTGACCGAGACAGGTCGTTGACGATGTTCTTGCCGTGGGTGAAGACGCTGTTCTTGTTGGCGGGCTCGGCGAACTGGTGCTTGGCGACGGCGGTGTCATAGCCAAGCATCAGAACCCGCGCCTCGGGGCACTGCAGGGGAAGCAGGTCTCTGGGCCAGAAGACGTCGGGCTCCTTTTTCCTGCTGCTGGCTGTGTCTTTCCTAGCCCGGTTGAGAACACGCGTCACAAACCTGGATCTCGCTCTGGTGGTGGCGTTACCGCTGCCGGAGGCTATTGTGGACGTCTCTCCGTCGCCGCTCCTACCGGGAGGAGCTGTAGTGCCTCTGTGGATCTTCGGAGCCTCGGCCGCCCATGTTCTGAAAGGGTGGCCCTGGAGGCCATGGATGAAAGCGATGCTGGGACGGGTCAGTCTCGGATCTGGACATGCGGGCAGAGAGGGCGCTGGAGGAGACGTCCGACATACTCGAGGACGGGCTCGGGCTGGCTTGGCTGGTACACAACCGACGGCCCAAAGTCCACGGGGCGCGTGTTCAAGGACGGCCGCTCAATTGTCTCAACGTCCCCGTGAGATAATTAAACCCAATATTTTCGGCTTATACAGCTCTTTGCTGATGGTCTTTTCTGCGTATTTTTAATTACATCACAGCTTTCACAATCTACATCCAACTCCTCTCCCACGTTTTACACCTTTACTTTTCCAAGACCATTTTAATGAACGTCTCATCAAGTAAGGCGTGACCTCAGATTCACTTACTGGATCCAAGATGGACTGATCGCGAAGAAGAACACCATAAAAGCCTGCTCAAAGAGCGATTTGTCCGTGCTAATTACCACAACCAATTAGCCACATAGTTTTGGGCTGATTAGGCCCTCTTCGTCAATCAGGCTGCCTAATTTGCTGAGCAAGCTCTATTGCGGCCTCCGAGCAATTATGTGTGCCGCCCCCTACGGGCCTCCGATGCGTTGGTGCCTTACCAGGCAAATAGTCCTGTGTGAACCGCCAAGCTACACGCCCAGAGCCTTGCCACCCACGTTGACGGAGGACAAGACATCTGGCGAAAATAAAATGCTGAAAGGAAATATCTCTTTCTCGGCAGGAGATGGTCAATTGCTCCACAGGACGCGGCAATTCGCCTACCCATTCCAAACTCTCAAGTCGACCCTGTTCATCCACAGCGCTGATAGCCACCATCAATCCGACCAACGTGAGATCTGTCAGAAGCACTGCACACTGCACTGCACACTGGATTCGGTGGAAAAGATGGAGTTCAAAGTGATTTTTCCTTGAGACCTCTCCTCCTCCCGTGCTCTTTGGCTCAGTCAGAGAACCTCTATTATAGTTATGAATGGTGGCAAACAGTAGTCGTTGCTCGCTGAACTGACTATGTAAAGTTCAGCTTGCATGAGCTCTTTTTCAGCTCGCATAAGCACTTTTTCAGCTTGGTTGACCACACCACTTGGTGTTCTGGCACTGCGTGCCAGACCTGCCATGCGTGCCATGCGTGCTAGACCTGCCGGAACTACCGGATAACGAGTTTCGACCGGTATACGAACTCGATGGGATCCATTGTAGAGCCGAGCTTCCAGGATCCGTAGAGATCTACGGCCTATTGGCCGGTGTCGAGTATCTCAATATCATGACTGCTCGAGCAGACCAGTGTACCGAGCCGATGACCGCCACAACAGAAATAAGTGACGGCGGTGGCACTGCCACTCATAGGCTAAATCTACCCTCACTACCCCCGTTTGACTTTACGAATATCGATACTTTCAGATCGCTACGGCTATGGAACGAGAATGTTGGAGATATGTGTCCTAGTCCCATTGATTTGGACGACCGCGATTACGAATACAAGTGGCCTGTGAATCTAAGCGAGCTTTCTCAGGCGTCTGGCATGAAGCCTTCAATCACAAAATGGACACCATGGGAGACGCTTGATATGACCCCAGAAGAACCCAAAGGCGCCAGCGAAACCTCGGGACTGAACTCCACTGTACCCCCAGAAAAAGTTCGGCTTTCACGCTCGCCAAGGAATCAACGCCGCGAAAGACCAAAACTCGATGCATGTCCACCTTTGTGCTCCTACTCCGCTCCGGAACAATCATTAGAAGCTAGCCTATCTTTGCCAACTGAGGCACCTGAGGCACCTGATGACCCAGCTTCCGGGCTTGATGTCTCCTCCGGGTCTAAATTTTCGGATATATTTTTCTGTCAGCATTTCCCAGTCCCAGTGCCAGAGAGGGGGCGCGCCAGCACGGCACCCAGTCCGGATAACGCAGGCAACCCCCGGGGAAACAAACGCCGCACTCCCGAGACTGCGCAATGGATCACCCTTTGGAAATTGCGACATAATCTATGCCTGCTCTACAAGAAGTTCATCGATACTGCCCAGGCTTCCAGCTTCCCGAATTCTCGACGGCTGAAGAGATTATACAAGAACGCGGCACACATGCTCCAGGTTGGGCTGTCCACGTTTCATGGCATTCAGCAAGGTATTCTTCCAAGGACTCTTCCGAAAGTCCTCGCATTTGTGTGCGTCTCGGCTGTCGTTTGGAGCGCGACCAAGCAGAAAGACGGGGGACAGGCTTGGGAAACCCCTTCGACGGCCTTCCCATATGGCGCTCCGCAATTACCGACGAGCGAGACCGGGGGGTTCTCGACCACATTTCGCATGCCTTGTGGGATATTCCTATTCCTACCAACAGTCTACACAAAGACGTCAACTCGGGGCCGGCATCCACGGCAACTCGGGACGTCGCAGATGGGAACCTGCCAGCCTGTGACTTCACCGAATTCGATCCCCTTTTCATGCCTCAAGATTCAGACCTACGCAACAATGATAGACTTGGAGCTTCACTGTTCCGCAGCAACACTACAGCAACCAACACGAACAATCTCGATCCGCTCCCAGATCCACTTTTAGACAGCTTCCAGTTTCAAGTCGAACACCTGCTCTCCGAGGCCGCGTCCGATGACGAAATCAGATTTGCCGACTTCTTGAACATTCCGGGCCTTGAAGAAACACTCCCCTGGGGCGTGCCAAATGTGTCGGCACCGGGTCACCGAGCTCACGAAGGACAGCAAGATTTCAACCCTCCAGGATATGGGACAGCCTACAGGGGACAAGCGCAATCCGAAACGCACTCCGGGATGTCGACCTCGCCCAAGGGCAACAATGGGTCATATTGCTCAATTGATACGGGGTTACTGGGCGCTAAAAACTCACTCTCGATCCTCGGCGAACGCTTTGGCAAGCAGCTGGCTACAACCTGGTTCTAGCTCAGTGATTACACCCCAAAAGGCTCCTGATGATTGGGGATCCTCCATGCAACTCTTAGCCTGCCTCGTTAGCATTACCATATTCCAGACTGTGCTGGAGTTTTTATGCTGTGAGTTCTCTCCCTCTGCAGTCTGATGGCAGGGACTGATCAACCATACAGGCATGGCTGGAATTGGCACCGTCCTTCATATTCTGTCGGGATGTGGCACCCGGCAGCTTCAAGGAGAAGCATCTCCTGGTGACTCCTCCGGGCCTGCCGGAGAGTTTCTTTCCGACGTGACAAGAGGAGTTTTTGAGCCCCTCCGCCAGACACTTTCAGACCGAAGTTCAGAATTGCTCGGCATTCTCGGCATGACGGAAAGCATGGTCAAGAGCGGATGGATATGCACGCTTCGAGATGTTGAGTCCTACGTCATTCAAGTCGCCCGGGTAAGCTGCCATCAACACCGCATCGTCGATTTTGGTCGGGAACTGCCGACAAACTAACTGCGATTTTACATTAGCACCTGGCCAGTTCACGAGACTCTTTTGTCAGCCTCATTAGAGCAACGCTGTCTCAATGCTTGACGTGCTCGTCATCACTGACGTGGGATCAAACCTACGGAGACGGCGCCTCGGATGCAGAAGAGTCTCTACCCAGTACGTTGATGATCGTGAGAGTTGCGGGCAAGACTGGGCAAACGAAAAGTTTGCAAGCCGCTTGACGGTCTCTCTCTCGCCCGAGCCAACTGTGGAAGTCGCTGGGGAGACAGGGAGGTCGTCGTGTGGCGAGGTTCCGACGGCAGAGCCCCTAACCCCACCAGCCTCTCAAGACTTAGCTAGAATTAGAGAAAAGCAAGGCACTCTACGGGAGCCATCTACACCTGGCTCGCTGCCCCCCTCGCCGCCAGACCTGATGAAGTGCCCGCATGCCGGCTGTACCAAGTCGAAACGAGGCCAGGATCCACACATCAACATGCGGCGCCACGTCCGCTGCGTGCACGAGACCAAGGCGTGGAAGTGCCCGAGCTGCGAGCTGCGGACGGGCCGCCGCGATAACCTGAGGCAGCACTTTCGCAAGAAGCACTTTGGGCAGCGCATGCCCGAGTGGTTGGCCGACAAGAGGCGGAGTCGATTACTGATTAGACTGGATTTTAAATTCGGGACTGTAAATGAATAATTCTAGTAGGCTTCCTGATCAGACATGTATAGATTACTTAATGGTGATCAGAGGGGTGTGGTTTTCTTCGGATTGGTGGTTTACGACTGACATGACTTTGTGGTTTGCGTTATGGGAACGTTTAGGTATATTTGCTTTGCAATTCTGTATGATGTGTGTGACATGGGACGTGAATACTTCTGTTTCTCAAAGGACAATCGCGACTGGGAAACGATCTGTAGGACAGCTCATTTCAGCGCCTTTGCCTGTGCAGGGACAGCAATTAAAGGACAAAAGGACAAGAGGGGACCAGGGGACCAGGGGACCAGGGACCAGGGACCAGGAGACCAGGAGACCAGGAGAACAGGAGTAACAAAAAAGACAAGCAATAAGCTCGAAAAAAAGGACAATATAAGCCTTCCCTGCTTGAGAAAAGAAAGAACAAAAGGACAAGTCTCAGCTACCTAAAAGAGTAAAGGAGGGCCATTGAACTACAACAAACCACGAGAAAGTGCTTTGGGAAGGTTCTGTGAAATGATTACTGCACATAATTATGGAATCACGTCAACAAATTCAGTCTGTGTTTGCCTGCCAAACATCGATTCACGAATTGCGTATATATCCTCTCTCCCGGCCAGCTCCAACTCCTGTAGACAATCAACTATTACAGTCAGAGACCCAATAGCCATCACCGCCTCCAGACTCCACATCCGAATTCTTCTGTGATAAAAATACAAGCCCCGTTATTATTTATTAGTAATGAGTCACTCACACACTGCACCAATGGATCCAAAGTCCCCTATCGCCGCCCTCGTGGTCTCGCCAACTGACTCTCTGCAAGTCACGTTCTCTGCCGTGCAGCTTCAAGATAGAATCTGATGCCAGAGAAGAACTGAGCAACCGAAACTATCCGCCTCCCGCCTTCAGGGCTATCTCAACAGTCTGGTGGCCTCATCGACTGAAGAGAGATGCTGGACCGGAATGGCCAGGGTGGGGAGGGTAAAGCAGCCTCAAGCCCGGCAAATAGCCACATCGCGGGCTTCTTGGCCGATTGGCAGAGGAGGTGGGAGCAGGGTGGGACAGGAGGGAGGAAGTGATGATTTGGAGACATTCTGATGTGCCTGCGACTGCCAGTCTTGGCTAGTACCTGCCTTCTATGACAGATGCCTTCTATGACAGAAGACATAATGCTGGCGGTTCGGCGGGGGTCAAAGGGAATCGGCGGTTATACATGCACATGTACACGCTGCAGCACTTGCACTCCCTCTCAATGGAATTAAGTCAGGTACCGTGAAATGGGTCATCAAAAAGTGAAAGGGCGATAACACTTTTGGCCTCATGGTTGTTTTCAAACGCTGTGCATAAAAGTCGTGGGGTATCTTGTCAATAGCCAAAGGTCGCAGAATGGGTGCAACAAGCGAGCCAGTCTCAAGAGGTCCATTGCTTCCATTTCGGGAATATTGGCTGGCTGGCCTCTCTACCCCCTGTCGTTCAGCGAGCTCTCAGGCTGCCCTGGCTGGCGCCTGGCGCCTGGCTGGCTCTTGCCTTGAGCGCTGCGTGCGAACTCACAGCACCTGACCGATACGCACGCAGCGACGGACACGGAACTTCTCCTAGGCTCGGAAATCTAGAGCAATCTAAAAACTGAACTGGGACCATCAATTGTTGAAACCCAGAAAACCTGACCACTCCCTCTGGACTCGAGCAAACCCGCGTCACGACGCAAATCACGAAAACAATGAAGCCCCGCCAACGATCCGTTCTCCTGATTCCCCAAACTATTGGAGCTAGCCGACGTGCTAGCGCCTCCACTTAGCTGTAGCCCATGCACGCCCTAGCTCAGCTGCTAAGAAGCGCCACGAGGCTGCAATGGTCGCATGTGAATGGCCGGCTCGCCCCAAAAACCCCAGTTCCCTCCGGGGGCTATTGATCTGCATCGACGTTTCAGACAGGCTAAGCTTCACTAGACCAGCAACAATCATCCAAGGTCGTTCCCCGGCCTGACATTGAGTCCAGAACGCTGCTTTCGGCCACGGTACCGACAGGCCTGCATTTCAGCTCCCCACTCGCAACCGCTTTCGTCGCCCTCTTCCCGAAAACGGGGCGACATGTCCCCTCCTCTCGGCGTAAAGTGGCCGGCTGAACCCCTCGCTCATTCATACTTGGGGCTGCTCAAAGCGCCAAGTTGACGTGCTGGCCCATTCTGGGCTTAGCCCCGCCGCCCGGAGCCCGAAAGCGCGCCCAGCATGGCATCAGATTCGGGCTCACTGGAACAGTGAAAATCCTGGCCTTCGCCCTCCCCCTTCATTCGTCCCTCTCGTCCCAAGCCCATCGATCCTGGTGGTGCGGTCTTGCGAGAAATCGCCTCTGTGTCGCCCGTCATGACGCTCCTCGGGCGTTTCTGGTCTTCGCTCACCCAATTCCTCAGCATTGCGACCCTTTCCCCGTTCGGCGACTATGGCAACAATGGCAATCAGCAGGTTCCCATTCTCGATACAGAGATTCCCGTCGGGGAAAGTTTTCCTCTCGGACCGGGACCCGTCTTCACTCCCCCGGGCCACCGTACTAACAAGGGCTACGGATACGATTTCAAGTGCAACTACTCCAGCATGGTAGGGTGGGAGCCTTGCCACGAAACGAACAGCTCGTGCTGGCTGAGGAACACAAAGAATGGCGATGAGTTCAACATCGACACCAACTATGAGAACTTGGCTCCCCAGGGTGTTTTGCGCAAATATACCCTCGAGATCGTCAACGGCTCCGTCAATGCCGACGGAATGAATTTTGCAGAAGCCAAGCTATTCAAACTCCCCGAGAAGGAACCACAGTATCCCGGACCGTGGCTGCAAGCTTGTTGGGGGGACACAGTTCAGGTGACGGTGGTGAACAAGCTTCCCTATAACGGGACAAGCATCCACTGGGTTGGTCATCTCCTTCGTGCCCAAGAGCCCTCTCGCTGACGCCTCCAAGCATGGCATTCGACAAAATCAGACGATGCACATGGATGGTGTCAACGGGATCACACAGTGCCCGACTCGCCCCGGAGACTCGTTTGTTTACGAGTGGAAAGCGGTCCAGTACGGTTCGACCTGGTACCACTCGCATTACTCATTGCAATACGCCGATGGCCTGCTTGGCCCCATGGTGAGTCTGCTCCGTGTCCCGTTGCCTGGTTGGCAGCACTTACTGACAGTCTTGTCCAGACTCTTCACGGCCCAACCTCTGACCAGTTCACCGAGGCCGCCGATATCCCGCTCTTGATGACGGACTGGGGTAAGCTTGCGGCCCCGTTCCTCGTCCTTGACACAGGTTGCTAAAGCTGTCGTAGCCCATAACAGCGCTTTCGCGGCCATATATCCGGTTGGGGCACAAAACCAGACCATCCTGCTGAATGGCCGTGGCAACATCACCAAGCACTGGGGCACCCCTGCGCCTCTGGATGTTCCAGCGCCCTACACACTACATTTCGATGGAACAAGTGGCGCCAAGGGATACAAGAGATACCTCCTCCGGTTGATCAATACCTCTTGGGACACCACATTTGTCTTCTCCATTGACAACCACGAGCTCACGATTGTCGGGGCTGACTTCGTGCCTATCCACCCGTACAAGAACACGTCGGTTCTGATCGGCATCGGCCAGCGCTACAACGTCATTGTCGAGGCAAAGCCCATTACAGAAAAGGGCAACGTCATTCCAACCGACAAGAACTTTTGGATGAGGACGTATGTGGCACCGTGCTTTGGCGTTAACACTACTGTATACGCCAGGGGCTACGAGACGACCGGAATTTTGCGATACGATAGTACTAGCAAAGCACCCCCTACCTCCAAACCTTGGAGTCAGGTTTCTCTGAAGTGCTCCGACGAGACTTACAGCAGTCTAAAGCCCATTCTTCCCTGGACGATCGGGAACCCTTCCAACGCCGGGCAAGAGCACGATGTGATAGTCGATGGCACAGCGAACCGCACCGAGCTTGGTCCTTTTGGTATCTTTTCCATGGAACCGACCACGTTCAACTCAAAGTTCCTTCCCCTCCGCATTGACTTTGACAACCCGATTTTCCTCCACTTGAACGAGACCAAGAATTCCACGGATAAATGGCCGGAAAGGTGGATCGTGGTCCCGGAGAGCTACGGAGATGAGGACTGGGTAAGTGGTAAACAAACGGTGGTTCGCATGGGATGCTCACTGACCGTGGCGTGTATTCAGGTATACCTTGTCGTTGCCGGAAACCGGAAGAAGGATTATTCTGCGAGCGCCCACCCAGTAAGCTCCCTCTACCACGTCCGAGCTAAAATGGCCCCAACTAATATAAACCTGCAGATGCATCTCCACGGGCATGACTTTGCCATTCTCGAACAGGCCGAGAACAAGAGACTCGACTATGGAAATCTCGATCTAAAATTCGACAACCCACCGCGGCGCGATGTGGTACTGCTCCCGGTCAATGGCTACATTGTCATCGCATTCAAGACAGACAACCCGGGCGCGTGGCTCATGCATTGCCACATTGCGAAACATGCAGCCATGGGCCTAGCCTTGCAGATTCTCGAGCGCCAGAAGGCAGCTGACCGCCTCTGGAATACGACTTCACCCGCCTGGATCTCGGCCAACGATAATTGCAAGAGATGGAAAGAGTGGCAGTCTGACTGTGATAACTGGTGGCCTGGCGACAAGGGAGGCTGTGAGAGGAAGGAACATGAGGGGATCTACGCATTCCAAGATGATTCGGGGATTTGAAGTCTTCTGTTTGGGGCTGTGTAGTAGTATGTGTAAATGGTTTGGTAATTATTGGCAATTATTGGAACCCCCGGTTGGTGACTAGGGGCATTTGGTTCATGTGTTGTCCTTGTCACAGAGTTATCCAGTTTAAAACTACCTTTATACTGTACTGAGGAGCAAATCCTGAATCCCGAGGCATTCGGCTTACACTGAGTGTTTGCGTTGTCTCAGGTAGGCTTGTCTTCGATGACAATTTTAATGTGAATCGACGACGAAGCTGAGGCTCGCATCGTTCCTTCGACACTACCTACCTAACTGATCCAGGAGATTCGTGATCCACAGCCATCTTCCCTCACTTCGACAGTCAACATCCCGTCTTCGACCCCGCAACCTTGCCATCTCCCACAGTAACATACAATCCGGAACTCATCAGTCGATTCAGAGTCACGGTCAGGATTCCGGCCGAAATAGTGGCCCTTATCGCCTCGGAACTTGAACCACTGCTGGCACCCTTGCCACCGCTTGACGGCAATGGCAGTGGACAATCGAGACGCTGACCTTTGCATCTGTCGCGATAGGAAGCGATAAAGACTCGTGGCAAAGGTTTTAAGGGCACTTTTGCCTCGCCCGGCAAGAAACGCATCCGAGAACTCCAGCGCAAGCCGTGAGCTGCCATCAACAATCTCGTCTTCACACAGGCGGTAGTCACGCTGTTCCGATTTCTCAACTCCTGGAGCACTGGTGACGATGACGGCAACGACGACAGGCACGCCCGAGTTGCGCTCACGCTCACAGCCGCATCACCAATGGACAACTATTCCGAATCTAACACAACGTACCAGCACTGCGGCGAGCGCATCTGGACGATACACAACTCGTTCAAGCACCTCGGCTCCGACGCGCCAGCGCTGCAGGCCGCCGGCGGTCTGCCCGCGGCGCCCGTGGTCGGCGGGCTCACCTACGAGTGGCGCCGGATCCTGAACCCGGCCGCGCTCGCCGTGCCGTGCCGCGCCGTGCCGAACGCGCGCGACATGAACTGGCAGCTGGCGTCCCCGAGCTAGCAGCACATGAACTAGCGGCTGGCGATGCGCGCGTCCCTCGCCGCCGCCGCGTTCTCTGCCGCCGCCGCCGCGTTCTCTGCCGCCGCCAACCTCGCGCACCTGACGTCGCTAGACCTCTTCTGGGGCGACTCGGACGCGCTGGATGAGGAGTTCGCCCCGGGCAGCTTCGTCCTCTCCGCGGCACGGAAACAGCAACAAGACGACCTCGGCACCGCCCTACGCAGCCTCGCGCAGCTCCCGACACTGCGCCGCCTCGACCTTGGCGGGTGCCTTGTGCTCGGACCCGAGTTCTTCGAGGCCGATGCCAGCGACACGTCCATCTGGCCGGCCCTGACAAGCCTTTCGGTGGTCATGTCCGCGACGACGCCCGACGGGCGCTGGTACTTTACGGGCGACCCTGCCAACGCCGGCGAGACAGGCTCGGACCACGCTGAATCGCCTGCCGCGTTCGACTCGGCCGACCCGGACGCGTCCGACTACGCGCCCGAGTTCGCGTGGGACCGCGCCGTGGGCCGCGGCGCCGGCTTGGCGCGGCGCTCGACCCGGCCATGGCCGCGCTCCTCGAGTCGAGCGGAGAGGGGGGTGTCTGTATTTCGTGCGGGGGCCGCGGCCGCGGCTGGGCGCTTTGAGGGCTTAGAGCTAGACTGTGATGGACTGTGATGAATGAGCTGATCACCGCCCACGACGATATTATTCATGGAACCTAGCAAAAAGAGGAAAATAAAAAAGCTCGGCAATCTCTATTCGAAGTTGAAATGATAACCATGTTCCTACCATTTGATACAACCTTTTTTCCTCTAAAGTGAAACAGAAAACAAAGTCTAGGATAGTTGCTTTTCTCGTGTGGAACGGCTTTCCTATTTCTGTCAGCTTGTCAACGCCCTTGAAGTCTGAAGACGAAATCCTACGGTGCTATCCGCAGTTTGTCGTTATCCGCAGTTTGTCGTGATGATTATATTGAAACTCCAACATTACCACTCGTATGACAGCAAATGTTGCTTGGCAGAGGATCGGGTATCTGTGGGTGTGGTAATTATTTACAAACTACCAGTCTGGGTGTAATTTTGTAATTACGAGCCGAACATTTGGGAACGGTGACCTCGATGGTTTGATAGCTGGGAGCCTGTGGATGTTCGTGGTGCCTCCCTACCTTAGATGGTCGGTAGGTAATAACTGGGCGCCTCCTGTTGGATTGGCTATTGTCAGATGGACAAGGGTTGCATGTGGAATAGAGCTCATCCCAGCTGAGCTCTGGTGTGGTCATCCGAGGTGAAAAGAGGCTCAGGGGAGCTGAAATGAAGTGGCCAGTTCAGCTGGTGTGGCTACTTTTGCCACCACCATTGCCACCATTTACAACTATAATAGAGGCCCTCTGGCAGGACCAAAAAGAAGAAGGAGGAGAGATGAATGAAAAAAAGTTGAAGTGCTGAATCCAACAATTAACAGTCTGATCACGCAAAACGATATCAAGCCATTGCGATTAAGAAAATCGGGCGCAGCACTTCGCTACCTACCTTTTACAAAATCACCAATATCATTTCAAAAATCCCTGCCTTACAGATTACCTCTGATTATCATTTTCCTCATCTTCCTAAAACAAAAACCACCAAACGCAACGAAAATCATCACCACGACCATGACAGCACAGCCAGACTTCGAAAATGCCAAGTTCACCAAGCCCAGTGACTGGGATAGGTGGTCAGAGGCATATAAGAAGAAGGCAGAACATGCAGGAATATACGACTTCGTCAATCCGAATCATCGACTACGACAACCCTGGCCTACTGAACCAAAAGTACCTCAGTTCGACGGCTTCCAGAAGAAGAAGCAAGCCCAGCGTAGAGGCAACATAAACAACAATACCAACCGCGATGACCATAACGCACCGGTAATGAGCAGAGCTAGTGGATCTAACGCTCACTCAGTCAACCGCAGTGCAGCCCAGACGCGCGCTGCCTCTGCCGCTGCTGCCGCAGCCACTCGAAGATCACAGATTGAGGAGAGCAATCACAACCCAGACGACGGCGATCATAATGATGATGATTCTACATTAGAAGAAGAGGATGAAGAGGAGGAAGACAATATCCACAACAGGGCTACGCAGTTCTCTGACCTTTCAACTATGGGTCAAACAAATTGGAAGATTGCATTCGAGCTTTACAAGGCCAACCTCAGCGTATACAACGCAAAGACCGGCGCCAGATCAGCATTTTCGAATTGGGTTCTGAAGAGTATCGGCCCAAACTATCAACACATCACCAAGCGGCGCGATCTCCCAGAAATTTACCAGGCAATCAAAGACCAATGGCTACCCTTCAGAAAGAACATCACGAAAGGCATTAGAGACGACTATACCAAGCACCTCGCACAGGTCAAAGGCAAAGACCGAAAGCTTAGTGAGTGGATTACCAGATGGCAAAAGCTGGTAAACGATGGTGTTGAGCACGAAATTCTACAAATCGCAACACCAAGCTCGTGGTATGAAGACCTTGTGGAAGCATTGAAGAATATCCCGGACGGAAAGACATGGGCACTTGGAGAGCTTGCAACCTTAGAGGAGGATATCCTCGAAGGAATCTATTCTCACGACCAGCTAGCAGCTCGTATGCAGTCAGTCCTCGGTGGAGTAATCAACAATAAGCGAGTCCGATTCGACGCAGGATTTCCAACGCTCCACGGCAAGGATGCTGACGACAATAACACTGGGGATTCAGCAAAAGCCCAGAAGGGGAAAAGCCACCGTAGAAAGCGTGGAGAACGGCAAGATCAAGGGGGACGCCAGCAGAGCGATTCAGAAGATACCCCTCCAAAGCGACCATATAAAAAGGCTCGGTCGGATGGAAAACGCTGCGAAGTATGCCTTCAGTTTGGCCACGGCCTCGATCAGTGCTTTTACACCTACACTACTGATGAAGAAACCCCCGACTGGTTCGAAGACACCAAAAGTGAGGCATTGGAACAACGAATCGCGAAGGTTCTCGACTATGACAAACAACTTGCCGAGAAGGTCAAGAAGGCGAGGGAGAGGCGCAAGAAGTTGTGACTATTGGCAATATTCAGATCCGAAGCTGCCCTCTCAGCAGCACTCACCAAGCCAATCCGATATAAGCAATCAAGAAAGCGGTTCTTACTCGTAAAAGCCGCCTTGAGTGCAAGCACTTACCCTCTTCGAAATTGCGCAATCCTAGATTCGGGAACAACACTCCACATCTTCCACAATAGGAAACGATTCAGGAATTTCAGGACAGCGCCTTACGGAGACTTCGTCTACGCAGGTGACACAGAAGTTCCGATCCTTGGCTACGGAGAGGTGATGATCAAGCTCACCACCACTACCGGAACTCGCCGACTATTACTCAAAGATGTAGCATACTGCGAAGGCTTTGCCTGCAACTTGATCTCACTTCGACAACTTCACAAGAAAGGTTTCCATTGGGACAACGAGGCTCCGAATAACTGCCTTCGAAGGAAAGATAAATCAGTCATCTGCGAGATCTCCGACCAATACGGGCAGTATATAATCGAAGATAGGCCGCTGAACGCAGCACTCCACACTCAACGAAGCACCTCATGGACTGGCCGACCATTAAGTGAAGGCACAGGCAAGCTATGGCACGGCCGGCTTGGCCATCCAGGATCTGAAGCAATCGCACACCTTCAAGTCTCATCATTAGGCGGCAAGCTACGCGGACCAGCAAGCTACGAATGCCCAGCGTGTGGGATATCGAAAGCCAAGCGCAAGATTCGACGCGAGCCACGAGAAACGCCTCGGAATATTGGCGATCGCTTTGCTATCGATTTTCTGGACTTGGTCCCAAACCCCAAAGGCTTCAGCTCAGTAATGCTATTTACAGAGCGAAAAACAGGCTACGTATTTGATCTCTATCTCACTGAACGCAAGGCACCAATACTTATCACCGCTGTCAACATATTCTTAAGGATTATGGAACGACAGTATGGTCTTCGAGTTAAGGTGATCGAGTGTGACGATGAATTGATGAGATCTAAAGCTCTCAAGACCTTCTGGGAAAATAACGGAATCCGTATCGAACGTTGCGCACCACACTCGCAAGATCAGAATGGTGGCGCAGAACGCTCGGGGGGTGTGATCAAAATAAAGGCGAGAACAATGAGAGCAGCTGCCCGATTTCCACCAGAAATCTTATGGGTAGAAATCTACAAAGCAGCAGTCTACCTCTATAACAGAACGCCAAAGAAGCGTCAAAGTTGGCTATCACCATACGAAGTCTTTCACACCTTTCTAGCAAAAAGAGACAATATACCTCATCCAGAAAGAAAGCCTCAGCTAGCACACCTACGAAATTACGGCTGCCGCGCGTACGCAATGACGAACGATGCTCTCAAGAAAGAAAAACGCCTCCTCAAGCTAAACCCCAACGCGTGGATTGGATATCTCGTGGGCTACGAGTCAACGAATATTTACCGTATCTGGAACCCTAAGACAAATGAGGTCATCCGAGCACGTAACGTGGCTTTTAACGAGGATGATTTATTTTCCGGTGACCTTCAGCAGTTGAAGGATGACTTGCTGAGCATTACTAACGAGGAGATGGAGGTACTCCTTAAGAACTGCTCCCTTCCGCAACCCAGTGCCGATAGTCGCATGGCAAGCGATAACCTAACCACTTACGAAGAAGACGAAGAAATCCTTGACTATATCTTCGTAGGGGGTGAAGGAAACCAAGACTTTGAAGATTCAGAAGACGAAGTCTCTGAAAATTCAGAGCATCAAGGAAAAGACTCTGAAGATTCGGAGCACGAAGAATTGGGCGATGAGGACGAAGAGATGCAAGATGCCGATCCGGAACCACAAGAGTATGAGAAGGAGGCTGATCACCTCTATTCCACGATTCTTGATCCGCTTTTGACACCAGCAGCCTCTCCTCCACCGCCAACGGCGCTCCTTGCAGCTGCCTTCTCCTCACTTACTCTTGAAGAGCTCCAAGGTAGTGGGACGCCTCACAGCCCTAGGATGGGGCTTGCTGAGAAGAATCCTAACGCAGGATTTCCTCACAGCCTTAAGATGGGGCTTGCTGAGAAGAATCCTAACGCAGGATTTCCTCACAGCCTTAAGATGGGGCTTGCTGAGAAGAATCCTAACGCAGGATTTCCTCACAGCCTTAAGATGGGGCTTGCTGAGAAGAATCCTAACGCAGGATTTCCTCACAGCCTTAAGATGGGGCTTGCTGAGAAGAATCCTAACGCAGGATTTCCTCACAGCCTTAAGATGGGGCTTGCTGAGAAGAATCCTAACGCAGGATTTCCTCACAGCCTTAAGATGGGGCTTGCTGAGAAGAATCCTAACGCAGGATTTCCTCACAGCCTTAAGATGGGGCTTGCTGAGAAGAATCCTAACGCAGGATTTCCTCACAGCCTTAAGATGGGGCTTGCTGAGAAGAATCCTAACGCAGGATTTCCTCACAGCCTTAAGATGGGGCTTGTTGAGAAGAATCCTAAAGCAGGATTTGGCTGCCTTCCAGAGCCAATTAACAAACCCAGCAAAAATTATTGCACTAACGCGAAGAATATTGCGTGGCAAGCTGCCTTCAACTCTGGACGATACGCCGCAAACGTAGCGAGTCTCGACGGCAAGGCTGTGGATAAACACACCCTGCACAAGGAGCTTACCTACCATCGGCTGTCGCTAAGAAGACATCGTCAAATGGCCCGCAACAAGGCTGCAATGACTGCTACTCCAGCTGAGCAACAAACCTTTCCTATAATCGAACTATCCGCTAATGGTAGATACCATAGGAAAGATCTCCCTCTACCACCACGCAGTTACAAAGAGCTCAAGAAACACCTGCTGGATAAATGGTTTGTAGAAGCTATGGAAGTCCATATGCGAAGCCACCGCGAGATGAAATCCTTCGAAAAATGCCACCGAAGCGTCGCTAAGAAAGCCCATATCCTCGACTGTATGTGGGTATTCACATACAAATTCGACAAACACGGCTACCTTATCAAAGCAAAAGCAAGACTGGTAGTGAGAGGAGATCAACAAGCTAGGACGACGATTGAAAATACCTACGCTTCGACACTCGCCGGCAAATCTTTCCGCACGCTAATGGCAATCGCAGCTCGCTTCGACCTCGAGCTAATCCAGTGGGATGTTGTGAATGCCTTTGTACACGCCGACCTTCCATACGACGTATTCATGAAACTACCGCCTGGATACAGCGAGGAAAACACGATTCTGAAGCTTAAGAAGGCCTTATATGGCCTCAGAGAATCACCTTTGCTATGGCAGAGGAAATTCACGGCAACCCTGCGAGAACTAGGGCTTGTGCCGGTACCCCACGAACCATGCTGTTGGACTAAGGATGGCGTGATCATCTTCTTCTACGTTGACGATATTGTGGTGGCCTACAGGAAGGAAAACGAAGCTATCGCACAATCGGTAACAGCCGCCCTACGCGCACGATATTCCCTACAAGCAGGAGGTCCTTTGCAGTGGTTTCTGGGAGTATCAGTACTTCGTGATAGAGCCAGCCGGACGATATGGCTATCCCAAGCGGATTATATCGACAAGATGAGCCGTTTCGTTGGATCACAACGCCCACGCCGACCAAAAAGAACACCAATGGGCACTACCGAGTTACTACCATACAACGGAAAGGCACCATTCGCTCAGATCTCGGAATACCAACGCAAAACCGGAACAATTTTGTATGCCGCTGTGATCACAAGACCAGACGTTGCTTTTGCTATTTCCCGACTTGCAAGATTCAACCTGAACCCCAGTCCACAACACCAAGAAGCCGCGGATCGTGTGATCGAGTACCTCCTCAGCACAGCCAATTACGCTCTTAAGCTCGGGGGTGAGGATGAAATGGCTACCTGGAGCGATGCCTCTTTTGCCGACAATTCCATCGACCGACGGAGCTCCCAAGGATATGTCATGAAGCTATTCGGAGGAACGATCGGATGGCGCGCCAACAAGCAAGACACGGTAACAACGTCAACTACCGAGGCTGAACTATTAGCTCTCGCTCAGGCAACAAAAGAAGCTATGTTTGCAAATCGACTCGTGAAGGAAATTGGTATAACCCTCGACGATGACGCAATACAGCTCTGGTGCGATAATACCCAGACGATTGGGCTTGTTACGAAGGAAATCGCCACTCTACAAACCAAACTACGGCATGTGGACATTCACAACCATTGGCTTCGTGAAGCAGTCGAAACCGGGCAGATCCGCGTGAACTATACACCTACAAAGCAGATGGTAGCAGACGGACTCACCAAAGCTCTTCCGGAGGCGGATTTTCTACGATTTAGAAACCAGATTGGTGTGGTGGATGCGACTGAAGTGTTGATCACAAGAAGTAAAAGCCTGAGGATTTTGAAGGACGAAGATTTAGAGGCACTAGAAGATGAGTTTCAAGGAGGTGAGGTTGAGGTTGTCTGAATAACCTCTCGTTTGCCTGTTTAAGGAAGTCTTTTCAGCCAATCGCTAGCATGGCCATTGACTGAGGGGGTGTGTTGGATTGGCTATTGTCAGATGGACAAGGGTTGCATGTGGAATAGAGCTCATCCCAGCTGAGCTCTGGTGTGGTCATCCGAGGTGAAAAGAGGCTCAGGGGAGCTGAAATGAAGTGGCCAGTTCAGCTGGTGTGGCTACTTTTGCCACCACCATTGCCACCATTTACAACTATAATAGAGGCCCTCTGGCAGGACCAAAAAGAAGAAGGAGGAGAGATGAATGGAAGAAAGTTGAAGTGCTGAATCCAACACCTCCCTCCTTAGATAGGTCGGTAGGTAATAACTGGGCAGCTCCAAGCCTCTGTCCTGCCGTGACGCGTAAAGCCGTGGCGTGATTTGTGGTTCGTCTTCACTAGTTCGGTGGGGCTAACCGTCGCCCGATGCAGGTGCCAATGTGCGTTTCCGAGGCAGGTGCAACGGCCCCAATAGGCGGACGGTGACAGGGTAAATAATCCTAGCGCGGCCTGTACGCGCTCCCATATTTTCAACACGAACCGCGCCTCTTCCTTCTCCGAGTTTTTTTTTTCAAGCTGGCGAATTAATTAGATGTGGCAGCCAGCCTCCAGCCTCCAGCCTCCAGCCTTCAGCCCTACGACACTGCCTCACAGCTGCATTGCTCCGCATTGGGCGCTCTGATCTCCAGGGACGGCACTTCAAAGACGCGCACACCGCCTAACGCGACCCAATGGCAAACAACCTGCTTCTCGGCGGGGTGGCAGTACTCGCCGCTTTCGTCACCCTCGTCGCCTACGGCCTCCCACTGTTCTTCGCCGAGTACTTTCCCTGGCAGACCATCCGCAAGCAGCGCTATGGCCGGCCGACGCTGGTCACCAAGTCGTACAAGGGCCGGACCGCCCTGATCACGGGCGCCAATGGCGCCTTTGGCTCGCGCTCTGCCAAGATCTTTGCCCATAATGGCATCGACACGCTGGTCCTCGTCGATGTCATGGACTGCGCCGCCATCAAGGCCCAGATCGAGGCAGAGCTTAAGGAGCTGGGCAAACCCATCCCTACCATTCTGATGTGGCAAATCGATATGATGACTTTTGCTGGCTGCCAGGAAGTGGGTAAGAAGGCGCGCGAGTTTAAGAACCTCGACCACGTCTTGTTGACCGCCGGCATCCTCTCCTACAAGCGCCGCGAGTCCCCCGAGGGCTGGGAAACTTGTGAGTTGCTCCTTCTCTGTTTCCCACCGCTTGCTAACCCGTCAATAGCAATCCAAGTCAACTACCTCTCCACGGCGCTCGTGGCCATGCTTCTCCTCCCAGTGCTCAAGGCGTCGCCGGGCAATCCATCGCCGCCTGTGCTGACCTTTGTGACATCCTTCGGCATCTACCCGTCGTCTTACACCCTGTCCATGCCCAAGAAGGGCAACTACCTTAAACACCTGAGCAACAACAAGGACGGCATTCAGCAGGGACATCAGTACGGCCGCTCCAAGGCCCTCCTTCTCTACTTTGCGCGCGAGCTCGCCGCCCGTACCGCCATCGGTCATCTACCCCGCAAGGTCACAATCAACAGCGCCGACCCCGGTACCGCCTGGACCGGCCTGACCGGCCCCAATAACGAAAAGCTGATCCCGCGCCTCATCACAAACTTTGGCGCCAGAGACCCCCAGCTCTGCGCCACGGCCCTCGTCAATGGCGCCTCCGCGGGCGCCGAAAGTAACGGCAAGATTCTGCATGACTTTGACACTGCGCCGTGAGCCCCCCCCCCCTGGTTATAATTGTATTGGCTGGCCGAGCTTCTCGCTGACGATATTGACAGATATGCGCCATTCATGGAGCGAAAGAGCGGACTCTTGGCGCAGCTGCGTGTCTGGGAGGAGACGAGGAGCGAGTTTGAGACCAAAGTCCCAGAGACCAAGGCCGTCTTTGACTTGCTGGGTGCCGAATAGGCGTCGTACGTCAGGCTCTATTAGTTAAGAACCCATACTTGTGCCGTGACAATGTTTCGGGAGTGTAATCAGTAATTAGGCGATCGATTTGCTGTTAATGGAATCGGTCTAAGGTATATGTTGGAATGTGGGCCTCAAAGAAGCCAGGCAGAGGATTTGCAGCCTACTTCGCGGCCTACTTCGCCACCTATTTCGCCACCACAATAGCAGTATAAAAAGGGGGCTTTCTGGTACTGCCAGAAAGGGAGAGGAAGAATATATACAGAACAATCCATCACTTGAACCACCAGTTTTCGGCGTACCTGTTTCCAGTACCGGTACCCTGGTGAATCCAACAATATAATTAGCAAAGGTTCTTATTGCAAATCCAACCTAAGATTTCCGGCTTGTCTCTTTGTAGTGTTGTTTGTGATATTTTTGAACCAATTGGCTGTGCGGCATGCTAACACTGACTCGAATAAGAGCCTGCTGGCAACAAACTAAAACCGGGCAAGATATGTTACAGGTAAAAGCGCCAGGCCTTGCTGTCTTCTTAGTCATTCTATCTTATAACCCTCAGCTGTTGGGCTTCTTTCAGCCAAATCGCTCGATTGGAGGGCGACATGTGGCCGTGAATAACAAGACTGACAGCGTATCCCCTTTCTCTTTCGAGGGCCAACAATTAGCAAGACCAAAGCCACGCCAGCCGATGCCCTAGCAGCAACTCAGTAGCTGCTGCTGCCCCCGAAGGGCCAGCAACAGCACACCACAACGAGCCAACTACAGCCGCAGCAACAGCACCCAGCAGCAACAGCACCCAGCAGCAACAGCACCCAGCAGCAACAGCACCCAGCAGCAACAGCACCCAGCAGCAACAGCACCCAGCAGCAACAGCATCCAGCAGCAACAGCACCCAGCAGCAAGCCCGCAGCAACAGCAGCAAGTCGGCAGCAACTCGACACGCCAGTATCAGCCCAACCAACTCACTAGCAACCACTGCCCGAGCAATGGCTAGCAACAGGCAGGCAGCGGCAACGCAGGCAGCGGCAACGCAGGCAGCAGCAACGCAGGCAGCAGCAACGCAGGCAGCGGCAACCAGCAGCAACAGCAGCCAACAGCAACAGCCCAGCAACAACCCAGCAGCAGCATCCCAGCAAACCCCGGCAGCAGAACAGCAGCAGCAGCCCAGCAACAACCCCAGCAGCAGAACAGCAGCAGCCTAGCAACAATCCAGCAGCAATCCAAATCCCTCCTCATATCTCTCTCCGGCATGAACACCGGGTTGGCCGGGCTTCCCTTTAGAGCAGAAAGGCCGAGCCTCTTTTTGTTCTTACCGGTAAGCCGCCGTCCGACTCGGTTGACGAGAATCCTCTCGACGGCGTAGCACGGCAGTAAGTGCGTTGCTCAGGGCCACCGCGACGTTTAACGGCCTGAAAATCGGGGGATCAGAAGGTAAGGGTGTAGTGATAAAGGCCTCGATGGCGAGAGATTGCGTAACGGACGTCTCTAGATAGTGGGGGCTGATATGGCTCGAAAGTGCGAGATTCGTTGCTAATCTCACGCTGCTGGAACTTTATGTCGTAACGCTTCACTCCTAGCTGATCGTGAGTTTAGATTGTGACGGCCTGCTGTATGACTTAAAATTATAAATCTGTCTGCAGGCGACAGGGTTTTCGGGGAGAAATTATCTGCGGCAACTGATGCGAGCACCACGTTCCGCTCCATGGTCTCTCCATTACGGGCGTAAATTCTGAGAGGGATCGGGTCCTGGGTTCTTCGGCGGGTGGAATCACGTCGCCGACCGTCTTCCGTATGGGGGATCTCGCGGTAAGAAATCGCTGGAGTGTATCTTTTTGTTTGGAAAGGGCGGACGGCTGGAATGATGCTACTAGTTTTTGTATGTGTTCCAGGGTCGGTATTGTCCTCGTGTCGCGCGGCGAATGAAAGAAAGAAAGAAAGAAAGAAAGAAAGAAAGAAGAAAGAGGGAATTAGAGCAGCGTAATGAGATACGTTCTTATTAGATTTAGGTGTAGCTGAATTAATAACAATAGAAATAACAACAGCGACGGCAGCAGCAGCAACTACTACGGCTACTATCCTTAGTAACCAGGACTAGAACAGCTTCCAGAACAGTGTAACGGGACAGCGAAAGTGGACTAACTGTATATTCCCGTACGCGTTCTTCGCGGGCATGGTGAGGTTTCTTCGAGGGTCGCGAAGTCGGGACTTTATTCGCTGTCTGCTGCTTTATACTGGAGATCTGGCGGCGTTGTCTTGGGGTTCTAATTGGTAGGCAACGGTACTCATATTGGCTGTAGGCTGCGGTAGCTATAAGGTAGGCTCGTCCAGCACATGATATCATACCCAAGTTGCGTACCGACCTAATTAACCGACCTGGTGGTTTTTCATGCTGTTGATTGATTAGATACCAAGCTGTTTTATTAGTTTTATTACTCGGTAGGTATGTAATTGGCTGTAGTTTTACTCTTCTAGCAGTCCAGCCTCCGGCACTTTTAAACGCCACCCTCGCTGGGAGCTTGCATGAGCCGATTCAATACCACGCCTAATCCCTTCCAGCCAGTCTAGTTTCACACTCATTATATTAACCAGCCTTAAAAGCCTTCTTCGACGGGCTCGCCTCTTCACCATCGCCACTACCACCACCAGTAAAATTATTACCCCCAGATGCCTTCTCCTCCTTCTCCTCGCCCCTCCGCAGCGGGTAGCAGTCGGGGCAGCGGAAAACGCCCGTCTTGTATCTGCACTTGACGTACTCGCCTGGCTTTGTGATCTTGACCGTGCAGAAGCTCTTGTCTTGGGCTTTTGCCGTTTTGCACTTGGTGGTAGGGTCTTTCTCCTCTTGGTTGCCGCAGGCCCAGATTGTCGTTATTTTCTTGCACATTTTTGTGGGGTTGGGAGGTTGAGGATGGGGTGGTTATGAGCGAGATAGGGTTGTAATGGTTTGTCACGAGCTTTGGTGAAGGTGCTTTTGTGATGTTATTGACTTTTCGTCTGTCTGGGGTGGTGACTGGTGGTTGTTTAAATCGTATTTGATGTCAAGAAGATACGGGAAATTGTGCATTTATATCGCTTGAGTTTCCGAGCTCGCACGACTATCATCACATTGGTTGAGGGTTGAACATCTGCTGAGCTGTTGACGTGATTATCCCGAATAAATTCAGAGGTCTGAAAAGAACGGTATGGAATGGGTTGTCCTCTCTAAAACTACAGGCCGAAGGCCACCAGCTATGAAGCGCGATTCTAGGTGTGGGGTATACCCTGACCCTAAAGATAGTCCTGTAGTGGTGCTTTTAGGTCTGGAGACATACTTTGGTACTAGGTAGTTGAGCTGCATGTTTCGGGTGGCGCCCATTTGGCTGCAAACTGTATCTGTTGGAATGACGCGCTAGTCAGCCACTGAGGGTCATCCACGAAGGTGGCTGTGGTGGCGCAGGGCCACAGATTTTATATAAGTGGCCTACGGCCACTTCCACCCTCTGTCTTCTAGATACACACAGACATGAACAAATCCACCACTCGAACCATCAGTTTTCGGCGTGCAGTTACGTCCTGTTGCTTCCAGTACCGGTACCTGGTGATTCCAACAGTATCCAAAACACACGGGCAGAATATCGCTAGGGTGGTAGGGTTCTCTGAAGCTAAAACACCACACTTGAGCAACTTGAGCATTTCGAATCGTTGCACGAGCCTCGGCGTTTGTCCTCTTTTAGTCGGCAAAAGTCGTTTCCGGCCTTGAGTGCGTCGGCACATTGTGCGTCCTTCACGATTTTGACCTTGCAGCAGGGCCAGCTTATGATGGTCTTTGTACACATCACAAGATCTCAATGACTAGGTCTGTCGAAGGTGTTTTGTCTAATCAACCCGACCGAAAGATAGGCAGGTATGAAAATAGGAAAGAAAACTGCAATGTTGTTTTTGGCGTGTTTTTGTCGTCACTGGAGATAGTACAGCCCTCAAATACGATCCGAGCTATCTAATTATAACCTGAATGGCCAAAGGAGGGGAGCGGGATTTATAGAATAACGGGCCCTAGGGGCCTTCCGCTTTCATGATCGAAATCATGCCATTCTTGTGGCCACTGAAACTTATGAAGCGGGTGGAGTGCAATCGAACAATTCTGCAATCATATTCTTGAAACATTACCTGGCTGTGGCCTCCTTTGAGGTTGTGCGTCGATATGTAGGCTTTTGAGCTAGGAGTGGCAGCTTGCTACGTTACCCCTAATTTTTTGTAATCGTATCACCTTGGGACGAACCAGAAGAGCAGTCGCTACAAACATGGCACCAGCGCTAACACCCGGCTCTCTGTGTTTCCGTCACCCTCTTAGTCACGGTTTGGAATGACGTATAGTATCGTTTGGTGTGATGAACACATTACTAGAAATTGGTTCGTACGTTACCTGGGCTATCTAGAGGCCGTTTAACTTACACCTGTTTATCCTTTGAGCGGCATGCAAACTACATGACCATGGACCGGGTGCTGTCGCGCGCGCCTGTGTTAGTTACCTAAGCAAAGTACACGACGCCCCAGGAGGCGGTTTCCGTCTAGGAGCTGAGCGAGCCCGACTCGAAGTTGCCGTTCTTGATGATTGAGGCGGGGCAGGCCGGCGCCGTGGCGGCGGCTGTTATGGTCTTCGTATCGGTCTGAGTTTGCGTCTGGGTCTGTGTTTGTGTCTCCGTCTGCACCTGTGTCTGAGTCTGCGTCCCGATTTGAAGCTGAGTCTGAGTCTGAGTTTCGGTCTGAATCTTGGTCTGAATCAAGCCTACCTAATAGAGAACACGGCTGCGAGCCAAAGAACATCGGTTACGATCAATGACCACACTCAACCCTCGGCGACATACTCAGAATTCATTTAATGCATTAGTGGAGTGGAGATAGAAACGCGAAGGTAACCCAGCTCTAACGAACCCGGAGAAGCTATAGAGTACAACCAATTGGGTACTAAACATCGAGGAGAGGAGAGCGCATTCGTGGCCATGTCACCAACCGTATACCACTGGCACATAATCATTTCGAACAAAAGCGGCAGTGTCACCAAAAAAGCCCCAACTCAAGGCCGGATCCTGTTCCGATGCTGCCAGGCCAGCTACTTATAGTTCTTCGAGTTCATATCATACCCGCGGCTGTCGGTCAGGCGCACAAACACGTCCGGGAGGACCTCGAAGATCATGGGCCGGACCTCGAGGGTCTTGTGGACGAACTTCATGTCCATGAATCAGCTGTCCTAGCGGGCGGTGAACGGCTTCTGGGCGTGAATGACGACAGAGCTAGCCGCTTTTAGCGTGCCGACGCAGCCGGCGCACTTCTCGGCGAAGTAGTCCGGGTTACGCGCGTAGACGTGCACAGAACGGAGCAGCAGCGGGTACGGCGCGTAGTCGTCGTCGGGCATGACGCGATCTGGTATGTGCACCGTGTCGACGCCAAAGGCCTCCCACGTGTACCGTACGACCAGTCGTCCTCGGGGAGTGGCGCGCCAAAGGCCGCGAAGTAGTGGTACTCGTCCGACGCCAGCAGGGTCCGCGCCTCGCGGCAGGCGTGCAGCGCGCCGGGAATCGGCGTCGGGGATCGGCGTCGGCGAGTACAGGTACGGGTGCTCGGTGTATTCGTCGCGCCGATGGAGCACGACGTCGTGCGGATCCATGGCGCATTCCCTTGAAAGTTGAATTTAGCACGTTTATCGGAGCGCGAAATGTAAGTATGTGCTACACCTGAAAGACGCCTCTTTACTAGATGGCGTTGCGCAGCTCTGGCGGGAACGGGTAGAACGTTTTCGGTCTCACTGCTTCTTCTGGCGGCGGTGCCACCGTCCAGAATTTGATATAGACGTGGCGACCCAACAAGGAAATCGCCCCACAACGAAATCTCTGCCCCTGTCATCTAATTTCCCGGCCTTCAACTTCTACACAACACAACTTCATCAATTCTAGTCCGAATAGCTTCAAAATACAATATGTCAGACCGCTGAGAGCAGCTCATTCAAGCTGCAATACTTGCAGTTGAGCAGGGCGCCTCACAGAAAGACGCGGCCAAGTTATACGGCATCCCTGCTTCCACCCTCTGCAAACGCATCCACGGGGCGGAAAGTCGTGCCCAAAGTAAACAAACCGAAAGAAATCTCTCCAATGCACAGGAAAGCTTCCTAGCCGACTGGTGCCTCAATGAGGAAGCTGTAGGGCGCGCTCCTAGCCGTCGTCAAGTGCAGAGATTCGCTCAAGCTATACTGAATGAGGCCGGCACGACGAAGACCGTTGGGGAGCGGTATGTAGACCGCTTTCTACGCCGCAACCCGGCGGTAAAGATGAAGAATTCAACCTTGTTGGAATCCTCTCGCGTGCGCGGTTCAACTCGTGAAGCTTTCGAGGACTTCTTCAAGCGACTAGCCTTCCAAATCGAGGATAAAAAGGTTATCCCGGCCAACATAGCCAATATGGATGAACACGGTATGCAGGAGCTCGAGACCCGGGCCGGAAAGGTCATAGGAAGCTCCCTGACGAATCGAACTTACGTTCAAAGCTCTGATGTAACAACCTGGGTCTCAGTCATCGAATGCGGCACTACTGAGGGCATCCGTTTGAAGCCTGTGATCATATTTACCGGGGCCAGTCTTCAAGGACAACACTTTCCCGATAACCTCGAGCTGGAGGCTGAATTCCCGGAATGGAAGTACGATTACTCAATTACCGGTTAGAGCAACGCCCAGATCGCGATAAAATGGCTCAAAGAGGTCTACTTGATCCAAACCAGGCCCCAAAGGCTGGGGGATTGGCGTATATTGATCCTTGATGAGCATTCGAGCCATATGAACGAAGACTTCATGTTGTTGGCCTTCCAACATAAGGTCCAGCTTGTCTTTTTACCCTCACATACATCGCACAAGTCCCAGCCTCTCGACCGCTCGGTATTTTCACCCTTGAAGAACTACTTCAGGCAAAAAACCAAGGCCCTAGCCAGCTTTACATCGTCAGCTCCTATCAACAAGGTTCGGTTTCTTTTCTGCTATAGAGATGCCTCGGCACGGGGCATGAGCGCCCGTAACATCATCTCGGGCTTCCGGAAGACCGGAATTTGGCCTCTCAACCCGGCTTATTTACTTGATGACCCGGAGGCAGTCAAGGACAACGAGGCACTCCCGGCCCGGCCTACAACGCCGCCAACGACGGCCCCGAATGACGATAACAAGCTCTTCAAAACACCGCACGGCAGTCAGGACATCAAGAAGTACCAGAACGGTATTCGGAATGCCCTCAGTCCGGCCAGCCGGCGTGTGCGGGCTTTGTTTACTAAGGTCGGGAGGTCCCTGGATCTGAAGAATGCAGAGATCGCGTCTTTGAAGGCACAAATTACGCATCTCACGACCGAATTAGAGGCTTCAAAGCCTCGCACGCGTAAAAGGGTATATGAAGATGGAAATGAGCGATTTTCACGCATTGAGGACATCGCCAAGGCACAAAAAGCTAGTCAAATGCCCCCTAAGCGGAAAAGAGTGGCCTAGGCAGGAAGTCAGCCACATGCGGTCAAAGAAGCCCGGGAAATAATCGCCCGTGGGCTTAAGCAATATATACAGGCCGAAGAAGAGGATTGAGGACTTTTTTGCTAGTTATTTTGTATAGAAATGGATCATTTGCGCCTGTAATGTGGACGTGGGCATGGTGTGGGGCAACTGCCCTGGTTGGAGGCAGGGCGCAATGGGTGAGATGACAGAATGTCAGACATGAGTAAGAGTTTCAGTTTGTGGGCTCCCGCGTTTCCGAGAGCCGATTCTCCCGTAATTACCCCGTACCACTGTATCGGGACGGAACGTCTGACGCCCAGAAACGGCTAGCGCTTTGTCGTCCCGGCCATATTTCCGACACCGTCTCACGTGATGAACCAGAGGCAGAGACATGAAGGGATTCGCCAATTAAGACAAGCTGGAAAAGGGAAATTGAGGATCATATTCTGGCAATTATTGTTAGCTAGGCCCGTATTGGCGACTTCGAAGGGTTAAGATGGCAAGAACTCGGTCCACTGATATGATTTGACGAGTGCATGGGTTTTGTGTGGCAATGCCCGACACGAGTCAACCACGGGAACTTGGAGAGATGCTTGGATGTGGGCAAGGAAATAGGCTTAAGGTTGGAATTCAACCTGCACTCCATAAATCGACTCAAAAGGGCTAGTAATCTCCTTCGCTGAACAGTTCCTTTAAAATAGAAACTGTGCTCTCTTATTTAGACTGACAGGTCGTCCCATTTGGCTCAGCGTTGATGCCAAGACGCGATTGTGCCACCATAATTATTGGGGGTTTCCAGCGCCCCGCGCTCTGCCGTGTGCCAAGTTTTCAGCTGGCATCTGCAAGGTTCAACGCACAGGCTTCATTCTCCTGTAATTCGATCCTTTGCGTGTTGGACGCCAGGTAGCATCTGGGAAACGTGGCGGTGCAAGGGCAACCCGAGCCTGTGGATCAGCAAATTGCTGCAAGATTGTCGTCTGTAACATACTAGTTTAGTCGACGTCAAACCGTGAATACATACCCTAACTCAATGACAATGGGAAATTACCGCAACGCCCGGCCCGACCCACTCGGCCTCTCAAGCAAGCTGTGAAAGATCAGCGTGGAATTGGCTGCGTAATGTCAAGTGTGTAGCCTCGCGCCTTCTGTTATGGAAGGATGATGACGACGCACTGATGAACGACACCAACGGTGGCACGACTGCTGTCCAGTCCGTTTTGGGGCATCTCGGGGAAGGCACGGACTCCTTTAAGTTTGATCATGGCAATTTGGAGGAAGGAGCGAAATTCTAGTGGAGCTTCCAGGTCAGCCCTACGGAAGGAAGCACCTGCAGGCGGAGGGGAAGGAGCTTCCTGAAAATGGCATTTCAGCAGGGTTTAGGCTCATTATCGTCCATGGCCATTGGCCTGACACGACCTGCCGAGATCTTACAGGATTCGACCCGTGCATGACTGAGGCCATGGCACAGGCAACAGGGCAGATGTGATTCGCCAATGGCGAATCTTCCAATGTGTCGTCCGTCCGAAAATATCGCCGTTAATTATGAGGCCTAATGACATGGTGACATTCCCGGCACCGGACTCGGAGACACAAAGGCTACCGCTCTAGCCCACCTTATCTATCATGTCTTCCATTCCATCCCACCGGCCGAGATAACCGTTGCATGATTCACCACCCTCTACCGGCTGAAGACAACATGATCAGCAGCCACAGCCAGCAAAGGCTCCAACTCACCGTCACACGGAACCGCGAGCGGCGGTCGTGCTGCGAATGTCGGCGTCGGAAGCTGAAATGCGACCGCGGCTTGCCGTGCGGCAGCTGCGTTCGTAGATCAGATGCCGGATCCTGCACCTACCAGCAATTCGCCGCCGAACTCGATGACGGTAACCACGGGCGCCATGCACAGTCCGAAGCACGCCTGAAGCGTCTGGAGCAGCTCATTATGCGCCTCGCCGCCCAGGCTGGGGCACCCACTCCCCATTCGATCGAGCTATGCCCATCAGCACCTCTCCCGGGAGAACAGAGCACCGGCTCCGCCTCCAGCAGCCGCACGTCGAATCGCGAGCTGCCAACCGAGAGTGCACCTGAAAGAGCCGAAGACGAGCCTATCTACAGCGGCTCTACGCATTGGTCGGCCATGCTCGAAGACATACAGCAGCTCCGTTGCTCGACTGCACAGCTGAACCGTTCGCCGAGCCCGAACTACCCTACGGTAGAGCCGGGCGATAGAAATAGCAGCATCATCAGCATGCTCTTCCGCCCCTCGACCACAGCGTCTCTCGAGGGTGTCCTGACCTTTTACTTGCCCCCGCGCCAGGATGTCGACCGCCTCATCTCTGCGTATTTCCGGTCCAAAACCATTAGCGCACCCTTTATCCACGGGGGGCAGTTTCGGAGACAATACGAGGCCTTTTGGCAGAACCAGACCGCAACTCCACCCCTGTGGATTGCTATACTGTTCTCCATCTGCCATATCTCTGCCAATACGCTCGTCGTTGGCAAAGGGGCCCTGAACGGCGACAGCCGATTTGCCGTCGCTGCAGCCCACTGCCTGGTTCTTGGAGAATACTTCCGCCCGAAGCGTTTTGCTGTCGAGGGCCTCCTGATTTTTTGCCAAGCGCAATCCCTCACCAGCGTCTCGGCACCCCCTGACATTGGCGTCCTCGCGGGGCTTCTCATGCGCATCGCCACGAGCATGGGATACCACCGCGACCCGACCGCCCTGCCATTGTCGTTCTCGCCGTTCGAGACGGAACTGCGTCGCCGCACGTGGTCCATGTGCATGCAACTCGACCTGCTGATCGCGTTCCACCTCGGCGTGCCTAGCAGCCTCCAGTTCCCGACCTGGGACACGAAGGCGCCGAGCAACCTGATGGCGTCCGACTTTGACGAGAACATGGCCATCTGGCCCACGTCCCGGCCTGACTCGGAGGTCACCGAGGTCCTCTTTTACATTGCCAAGCACAAGATAATCGTCGTCTTCGAGAAGATCTTGCGACACACGCTCGATGCCCAGCTGGAAAACCCCGTAGCGCGCGAAAGAACCGTCAACGAGCTCGACGCCGAGCTGCGGGCTGTCTACGGCGCCATTCCCAACATCCTCATCCCGATCCCCATGACCAACTCGGTCGTGGACCCGTCGTCGCTCATCGCCACGCGCCTCTGCCTGTCCTTCATCTACCGGAAATGCCTCGCCGCTCTGCACCGTCCGTACGTGCTGCAGCGCCGGCCCGCGAGCATCCTCGCCTGCTACAATGCGTCGCTGGGCCTGGTCAGAGACTTTGCCGACGCGTGCGACGAATTCTTGTCGGGAGGGCAGGCCGAGGCGGAGCGCTGGTTCATCAGCAGCATCAACTGGCAAGACTACCTGTTTGGTGCGACGGCGCTGTGTCTCGTCCTCTGCGTCGCCGCCGAGAGCGGCGCCCAGTTTGGCGTCGATGTCGCGGCGTCTCTTGCCGCGCTCGGGAGGGCGCGGTATATCTGCAACGAACGGCCGCTGTTGAAGCAGGACAGCGCTACGAGGCGGGTGCTCGCGCTTGCCGATGCCACTGCTCGGCGGTTCGGACATGAAGGCCGCGCTGGGCTAGGTCAGCTGCCGAGTTCAGTATCGAGTGTGGGAGGTCTGGAAGGCGGAATGCCTCATAACAACTTCCAGTATGATGAGGCAAACGAGATGGCCTGGCATGAAGAGGGATCGTGCCGTAATGTTAGTTTGGATGCCTCGTCTTGGGCATATTTGGAACAGTTCTTGGATCTGTCTAATGTCGAGATGATGGACAGTATATTTTGATCTAGAGAACTCTGGTACGTACTCGCTTCAACTAGTCTAATACTTAATTTTGATTGCTCGTATTAAACACGCAGATTCTTGCGTAACCATCCATGAGTCATTTGATAAGCCTCAACTCAAGTGCTGATGGAGCCTCGTTCTCACACACTTCAATGCTCCTCGTCGATTATCAAATTCACTCTAATGAACGTCTACCGAGATCTCCGAGAACAGCCAGCGGCTGCGCGGCAGACTTACAGACAGCCATGTGCATGTGGCGTGTGCTGATTGGGGCCGCCAACGAAAGTCCGAGGCGACCAATGGGCTCTGCTTGCCAGGCACCCCCTGCTACGGCACTAAGTGGCATTGCGGCATTGACGGGACATGGTCCGTCCTGAAGGAAGCATGACCGAGACGTGGGCTACGGGCACGGAACTCCATCGGCCCCACTCCGAGCTGACGGACTTGTCGGCCGAGAGGTGCGAATGCGGAAAGCGCTGAGATACTTCTTTGGCGGTGACGTAACACTTCCGTGTGTCTAATATCCACAGCAACCGACAGCATGAGCAACGGCAACGTGGTTGTCATCACGGGCGCCAACGCCGGCCTCGGCTACCAGGTCGTTCGCGCCCTCTGCGCTGCCCACGAGCCGGGCGACATTATCCTGAGCGGCCAGTCGCTAGAGAGGGCACAGAGTGCCGCCGCCGACGTCCTCGCCGAGTTCTCTTCCACGCCTCAACGGGTCTGGCCGTTGCGTCTCGACATTACAGACGACGCCAGCATCGAGGCCGCCTTTGCCCAGGTGCAGTCCCAGTTCGGCCAACACTCAACCCAGGTACACACGCATTGGAAAGTTCCAGGATGTTTTGACGTCAGAACGAACACTCTTTGTCAATATTTGGAGGATTCCTGATTTACTACGGTCCAGATTCACTGCACAGCACCACCGCCGTGTGGTTGACATATTAGCCGTTTATTGCTCCGTCGCCACCCACACGTCATCTGCGGCCTCGCTGCACCTGCCCTCGCGTGCCTGGCAGACCGTCGCAGTGCCTGGCTAAATACAGCAACGTAATTAACACCTGCACCCTGCCGTGCGCCGTGCGCGGGGTCCATAGCCCTGTTTCCAGGTTCTGCACTCCAATAACTAACACGCGCTCCATGCGCGGCTCGGTGATCTTCAAGCCAGTCAATAGTTACATCAGTCCGGATTGTCATATCAGGGCTAAACCTTGGCCAGGGTCCACACCATACCAGCGGCCTGGTATACCTGATACGTCCCAAGAAGCGCGGTCGTTGCAGCGACTAGCTTAGTCCCATGTGGCATCGTGCAGCGTGCCTGCGGTGACGAAGGGCTCGGTCAGGGATCATCTCCGAGTATTGCCTCGCACCTAGGTTGACATCATGAACCGCCCGAGAATAGGTCGGACATTTTCGAGGCTGGAAACCTGGAAACCCCCTCTTCTGTTTAGAATTTGAACCCAGGTTCTGGCTGACGATGGTCAAATCCAGGCTCACCTCCCCGTCTATAAAAGGACCTCTGATGTCCAACTCTACCTGGCTTGACTTGACTCTACCATCACCAAGCCAGCCAGCGTCTAATCCCAACCCAATAACATCCAACACAAACCGACTACCTCTCGCTTTCCACCAAGCCCCAATATCTCTGTAATAAATAATCCCCATTTCAACTGCCACCATGAAGCTTCTCTTGACCAGCATCTTCCTCGTCGGCCTCGCCGCCGTGACCGTCTGCGCCATCCCCGTGGCAGTCGGCGTGCACTCCACGGCTTCTGCCGCGGCCATTGACGACGCCGCAGCCAAGCTCGACGCCCTGACGCAAAGGGTCGAGGGGCTGAGTGCTTCTATCAGTGCGTTGCCCGTCTATCTCTGCCCTTGGCCCTCTTCACCCTGAACCCAACCATCCCTCATCTCACCTCATCTCATAGGGGGCTAGCTAACCGCAACAGACCACACCGTCGCGTCCATGCCCGCCGCGACCGACACCGACAAGGACAAGGTCGCGCAGGCCGTGGCGCCGCAGCTGCAGCAGCTCGAGGCGGCGCTGAAGGAGACAACGGACCTGATCAAGAGCAACGGCAAGCGCCGCGATGTTGCCAATGTGCAAAGTGCTGCCTGCTCCGACTCGTGCCTGACGGGGAAGGCCAGCGGGCTCGTGACCATGATTACCGGCACCGTGTCCGGGCTGGTCGGGTGTCTTGGTGTTTGTACGTTCTTTCCTAATTAGTCACTGCTTGTATTGTTTACCATACCATGCACGGTGGTGGGATGGGACTTGAGTGCTGACTTTGATGTTGTGACAAAAGCCCGCGTCACGACGCTCATTGGCCCCGTGCTCGGCGCCCTCAACGGCCTGCTCACCTGCCTCGACGGCCTCGTTTCGGGGCTGCTGGCGACTGTTACCGGCCTCCTGTCGAATCTCCTCGGCGGCCTCGGGCTCGGTAGTCTGCTGAGTGGCCTGCTCGGTGGGTTGCTTGGTGGTCTGCTTGGTGGTGGTGGTGGGCTCGGCGGGCTTCTGGGCGGGCTGAGTGAGGGTCCTGCTCAGGCTTAGGTGGCTTTGGTTCGAGGTGTTGTTGCTTGATGTTTTATGATTGGTGGTTATGATTTATGTGGTTTTTGGAATGGCAGTAGTACGAGTAATCTTTAATCTGTAATTGATTGCATTATTGTAATTCCGTATCATCGCTGTGTGATGTCGTTTGTTGATTCGATTCATGTTGCAGTAAAGGCGTGTTAGAAAGCAACCTAAATGGCTACCCTTTTTGATTCTTTAGGGACCCCCAAGGAGAACCTTATAAGTCATTGGTAGAAGTACATAGGCACCCTACGATAGCGTAGAATGGCCGGAACCGTCACACTTAGAAAACGCGTCTTTAATACTGTTAAATATTTTAACTACTCTAACATTATTGACCCGGGCGACCGAGGTATAAGTAGTTCGCGATCTCATAGGACAAAATTAGGCTCCAAGTATCTCAATTTTTAGCAGGTGCTAAAGACCTAAATATAGGTGCGATGAAAAAGTAGGTAGGTGCGTGGATTAAAGCTCCTAATCAAGGTCACGATATCGGCGGCGCCTACTCTTTATGAATTCCATAGGTAATCTTACCAATCTATACGATTCTTTTTATAAGTTGTGATTATTATCTCTTCCTGAACCAAGCCGGGACTGATAATTTACGAGCAAACTCCTGTCTTGCTGAACCCCTCTTCTTTCACCTACGATAGCGAGTGTAATGACTGGCTCTCTTCATTGAACCGACTGATCGATTTAACCAGTTATCTTAAATCTATGTTTAACATACTTGGGTAACTAACCTCTATCTAGACTACCGAAATTTCTGCGGGATTAGGCCTACACAAGCGAAGCGCGATATCTACCTGACAAGATAGGAATAAAATAAAGGACGAAAATAAGACCCCATAATAGATGGCCCACGCCAACCAACACCGATATATCAAACCTATCATCCAAACCCTATTAATTCTCCATATCTGCACTCAATCATCCACCTCCATCATTCCGAGTTTGTCTCCTCGAGACAAGTCTCCTTGCGCGACGTGCCTCCACAAGCACGGAGCGTCACACTGCTGATCGCACCAACGCTCTGAAGATGCGAGAACTGGATCGGTAATCCTCAGACTCAGGCTCAGGCTGGATCGACAAGAGCCTGGGAAAGACGTCAAACTTGACCTAGGAGCCGCTGTCGCTGCTGACGGTGTACTTGATCGGCGGGATGTCGCGGTATATCGGGCGGAACGTCAGCTGCTGCGTCATAGACAACTTGTTTGACAACACTAAGGGAGAGGTGGCGCTCAATGTTGGTTTTTGCCCTTTGCTCGTACGAAGCTGGAATGCGAGTCTTGACAACAAAGCCGTATAGTCTCTCCTTGTAATCGGCCACGAACGGGTCGCTTAGTGTAGTGTCATTGGTCATCATGGCCATGAGATCTGGATAGTTGGCGTATTCGCTGGCCAGGGTTTTCAGGCAGCCCAGAATAAGGTTGTCCAAGACGCTCATGCTTTTTGCCAGGTCCGGTTCTGCCTCCAGGAGAGTGGCCTCTAGGAGCTCCCTCGCAGTCGCGCCGTCAGATCCAGGCCCGAGCCTAGCAACTTGATGTAAACCTGGACAGTTGACGACCAAGATACCTCGTGGCTGATGGAAACATAGTAAGGAAACTTCCGAGTTACAATGTGATGGTCGATGATTGACCTGACTTGGTGTTCGTGGCCCCCGTCAATGGAATTGCGGTCCACGAGGACGATGTCGTTGATGGGTCCGAACTTTGGTGTTTTTTGCCAGAACATTGCTACTCTTATCTCCAAGGATATGACGCACGACATGGGGCAAGCCGTCGGACCATGCAACGCAAGGCTTCCCATAGACGAGCTGCCGCCGAGCTGCTTCAAAGGCTGAACTGACGATTGAATCGGCGTCAGGGTGCCGATGGCCGATAACGTACACGGTGTCCGCGTCAGGACCGGGGGAAATGGCTGTAGAGATGTCTTCGATGTTGAGAATGCGAGCTCCACCCAAGTTTCCCTCGATCAGACGCCCTTTGCCGGCGAGGTCAACTAGCCGTTCCTTGTTCCTTTCGGAGATGAACCCGTCGAGATCGTGATGTGGCTGAGAAATGCTGTCAATGTCAAGGGACCGGAAGAAGCGCCCCACTTCTTGGTCGTTCCTTGAGAGCGTCGTCCGCTCGTGCTCTGATGAGAGGACCTTAGCATCCTCAAAGGGGATTTTGTTGATGAATCCTTGGTCGTCCCATGACAGGGTTATTTCAGCTCATTTTGCCGCCTTCTAGACCTTTGATGAAACCAGCAGAGGCTGACCATTGATGTACAGCTGAAACTGAGGGTCATGGAAAACCATTTTGGCTGCTTATAGGATGGCGATTCAGAGCAAGACAACAGAGCTCAACAAGATCGGGCTGCTATGTCGAGTGAGTGGCAAGAGATGATATCTCAACAGGAGAGGGTTGGCAAGGTGCTGTGCCGCTAGGAAGCTGATAACATGAAAACACAAGCGGACGGTGGACCGAGAGGAAATAACCCGAGACTGAGGGTAATCTGTCCACTTTATATACGTACCTACTCTAGGTCGAGTTAACTCCAGCCTCTTCTTAGGCAGCATGTTTTTCATGGAAATCTGTTGATCACGGTCCTGTACAGTAGTCAACGTCGGTGAATGTCAGTGGGAGAATGCCTACAAGAACGTCTTGGGTCTCTCATGTAGGCTTACCCGCATATGATGGCCTGAAAACGGGTTAGGTAGCCTTTACGGGGTGTTTTTCATTCGCCCTAAAACCTGTAAACGTGTGAAAATAGAGTCATGAGCCCTCAGCCATTCTTCACTTTGGCTGTGGAGTCAGCGAACCCCTTTGCAAGATAATTAACTAGGCGAATGCGTAATTGACCAGGACGTATTGCGGATCGTGCCAGTCTCTTCGGTCTGCACCCTAGACTGCGGAAAGACGAATTAGCCAGACATCTACTTCTGTGGACCGCTCTTATAAATTTGAAGAGCCTGCGTCTTTGTGCGTAATGACACTAACTAATTAAGGTGCTTTGGTTTGTTGGTGTGATATTGGTGGTCGGTTCGGTCCTATTAAAGGCCGGGGGTTGACAGCAAGAGTAAATCGACCCTAGTGGGCTTATGTGGATTAATCCGGGAACCGACAAAGTGGCAGTCTGTTCTGTTATCCCCGCCATCACACAGCCTAGCTCCTGCCCATTCCATGACATGGCCTGCTAGTGCAACCCCTCCAGGCGCTTGACCAAACTGTCGGGTCGCTAAATCCCCTTTAATAGGTCAGTATCGGCAACAGCCCCAGGCACAGGGCAACCCTGACCGCTTCGAATTAATCTAGCTTCGCCCAACGGAAATTGCGGTGCACGGCTCATCTGGAGGCAACCGACCTTTCACTAGGCTCGCTGCGCTGCGGTGCTAATGGGCTATTTGGCAACCTGACCGTCCGTTCTTGACATTTCTGGGCTTCCCTTTAGCATCACTAGCTGATTTTGGCCACGCGTTTGACGAGGTGCCGGGGCAATCATTTACTCGCCAATTCCATTTCATCAGTAAGTACGGAAGTCTAATAGGCACAACCCGATGCTTGTCCTTCTCAGGGATATTGGGCAGAGCCAGGTATATTTACCAAGTTCCCTAGGGCATCATGGCGGCGCCTTCCCAGGTCATCGGCCTCAAGCAGCCGCAGGTGAAATACGTTGACAGATTTGTGGTACGCGTTGTCGCGTTCAATTCCGCCGGCGAGGTGGCCATCATCCACGCGAAGAGAGACAACTACTACAAATTCCCGGGCGGCGGGATTGACCCTGACGAGGAGCACGAAACGGCTGTTCACCAGGAGATGAAGGAGGAGACGGGATGCTTGATCAAGCTGCGGCAAGGTGGATGCGTCACCATCACTGAGGAGTATCGCAGCGACCTCCACCAACTGTCGCACTGCTACAGCGCCGACCTCGTCGACGACTCGGGCGCCCCTGCACTGACCGAGGACGAGGTCTAGGACGGGCTGGCACATTCGTGGATGGCTGTGGACGAGGCTAAGCGGGCCATGGCGGCTACCGAGCCGACGACGGAGCTCAGCCGCTTTATCAAGGAGAGGGACATGTTTCTGCTCGACGTGTCTACGAAGGAGGCAGGGAAATAGTGATTAGGAGTTCACGGGCCAGAACAACAAGGGGTTTATTTACACCCTTACAGAATGACTTTTTCATTGTTCTTGGCCCGCCCTCCCTCTAATCAGAGGTCGGCATCGCTCTTTGCCTTCTTTTTTAATCATGAGGTATACCATAAAACTAAAATCCCTGGACTAGTGCACACATTCTCTACAAGGCCCGTCTGCGGCTTGCCCTGATTACTGTTGTCTTTATTTTCATTGCTTTGTGGAATCTTTTAACCGCTTCAATATTGGTGCGTGCAAGATTAGATATAATCTTTGGCCGCTTTGAAGTTGGAGCTAGAGACGCAGAGCGGTCGTCAAACAACTGATCTTATCGCGAAAACCGCCTGAGCTGGCTGTGAGCTTGTTGTGTATTGCTTTGCTGCATCGGAAGGATCGCCCGAATGCCGATTACAGACTTGGGTTAGATCTTGGGGGCTGCATGAAGTTGCCGCTCTTTCAGTGTATGTGAGGGAGGTGGGCATGGCAGACTAGGGGGGAGGGGGGGGGGGGGGGGGGGGGGGGGCGTTCGGAATTGGGTGGGTAGTGTCAACAGCTGGCACAGCCTCATTCAGTTTCGTTTTATTTTAATCATGGAATCGGGAACTTCTAGGCTTTCCATCGACATTCCCTTTCCATGGAAATTCCCCTTCCATCGACATTCCCTTTCCATCGACATTCCCCTTCCATCGACATTCGCCTTCCATCTTTTGTCCCATAGCTCATTTCAGCACCATGGCGGATCCGCTTAGCATCGCGGCGAGCATCGCCGGCGTTGCGGCAGCGGGCTTTGCCGCGGCCAAGGGTCTTTACGAGATTGCCGACGGCATCGGCTCGGCGGGGGTCGAGGTTCGAGTCTATGGCGACGAGGTCGCGTCCTTCTCCAAGTTCCTGTACCACGTCCGGTCCGAGCTCGTGCGGTCCGAGGGCGTGTCGTCCGAGGCGCAATCTCTTCTAGGTGACACGGTGCACCTCTACGACAGGATCCTCCATCCGTTCAAGGGCATGCTGGGCACCCTGCAGCCCCTCTTGGCTCGGTTTAGGGGCCGCGAGAGCAAGCTGCGTCAGTTTGGTCTCAGGCTCCAGTGGGTCTTTAGGACCAAGGACAAGCTGGTCTTCTATCGCAGCGCCCTGAATGCCCAGCACAGGCTGCTCCAGACCCTGCTCGATCTGATCATTCTCCAGGCGACGCGGGACAAGTCGGCCGAGAATATCCAGTTAGTCTTGAACACCAACGACATTCAGTTAAAGATGAGCCGCTAACAACATCAATATCGCTAGTATGCTCAACATCTCTTTGCAGCACTCTTTCGCTGCAACTACCAGGGGATTGAATGAGACCAACGCCCCTACCCCACAGGAAGCACTTACAGGGGATTCAAACCCCAAATCGGTATTTTCTGACACTGCTGAAGCGTTGAAGCTGCCGTCGGCCAACGCCGATTCCGCAGACACAGACATGGTTGTTCCAGGCCAAACTACCAGAAGCAAAACACGGGTATGGCGCCCCTTGCCAGTATTACGTCGCCGGTCGGAAGCAAGCAGCGAGCCAAACCAAAGCACAATAATGACCGACATACAGTCGCAAGGGGCTTCTACGGAATCCAGTAAGAGCCAGCAGACTACCAAAATGACCTTGTGTTTTTGTCTTCTTTTCTTCCTGCCAATACAGGTAAGAAGGCTCGGGGGGAAAAGGGCCACCCTCCACGGTGGCCAGGGGAGACAGATTAATATTGTCGTACTGCATGCCATTAATTACCTCTTTGTAACTCCGCATGGCAATTATTCTGCAGTGGCAGACGAGACTTATCGAAGGCAGTTAATACGACGAGGCGAGACAAAATCCCCCACATCCTCGCGAACCGAGTTTATCACGGAAACTTGAATGCCTAGTGGTTTGCCTTGGGCATTGTGCATGGCGCAGCCCTGGATATTAGAATCGGGCGAACGACGTGTTCAAAGCTGACGGGTTCGTTATTGGGGACACTATCCAGGTCCCAAGACTAGGTAACCTAACCTGATCATGCTGTGAAAATTGTTAAAGTCCCAAGTGCCTTTTAGCTGTGCTTTCCTAACAATGCGGAGTGTTGTTGGCTGCCTAGCCGCTGGCGTGTGATTTCCAACGTCGGCGGAGTGCGTGAGCTAAAAAGATAAAAAGAACACAGCTCGTCAAATATTCCCCATGGTGCATCAACATGGCTTAGCCCCGTTTTAGCAAACCGAAAGTCCTGGCTTCGTAAATTCTCTCGCTAACAAAAAAGAGGCAAAGGCCCATAAGAAAAAGCAGCAGCAGCAGCAGCAGCAGCAGTTGGTTCTGGAGCAGGTTCTGGAGCCACCAGCAGACCCACACAGAGATGTCCTGCGAGGCGGGCAAAACGGGGATTTCGCTGGGCTACTGGCTTGGCAGGGATTTCTATGACCTTTTTGTACACTGCGGTCCGAATGACGTTTTCTACGGTCCGAGCAGACTTTCCCTCGATAATTAGGACTGAAAGTCTGCGCCGCAGGGAGTGGCAAGCAATCCTTTTCTCTGTTGTTTTATGCCAAAGTTGCCCTCACCAACCCCCAGTCACCCACACCACCCTTACCGCCTCACTCAGGCGCTACTCAGGCGCTACTCACGACACGGTCAGGGAAGCCACCAAACTTGGTTAGACAAAGTGGGTAGTAGTCTGCGACTCGATGGATTTGCGAGAATTGAAATTCTCAACTTCTCGCGAGAGAATAGTTTTGAGCTGCCTGTGTGGCAGGACCTCAAGGCGGCGTATTTAGCGGAGGAGCCGACGCCTGAGCAGCGCGGCCGCCGCCAGTGGTTTGAGAAGCGCGCGTCCAACGCGGACCCGCGGGGCCTAGCCGCCAGGAACGTTAATGTATGGGACATGGAGGCCATCAATGCCGAGCTGCCGGGATATGTTTGACCGCTTCGAGCGCATGGGCCAGGAGAATGAGGCGCAGATGCGGAAGTGGAACGAAGGGTTGCACACGAAGACTACGAAGGGGTAAGGGGATAGGGCCTATGAAGGGACATTGACTCCCTGTTGCCTGTTTTTATTTTCTTTCTCCTTGGCGTCGGGGATTTGTAATTACTGCGTTTGCTTTGCTGGTTTGCTTTGCTGGTTTGGAGAGCGGTCCGATTTCCTTTGACTACCTTTTAATCATATTACATAGCACTTAAAGCCAGAGAGCGCGTAAGCTACTGTGTTGATGAAGCAAAGCATTGATTTGAGTGCTGTGTTAGTTTTTGGAGAAGAAACGACGACGAGAAGAAACGACGATAAATTAAATTGCGGCGAAGCTTGGGTACTTGCAGCAAAATTATTCTCTTCACCACCACGGAACCAGCCTCCGCAGAACAAATACCTCCGCAGAACAAATAACGAAGCACATTGATCCAGTGTTGGCACTGACGAAATCTAGGCGGTAATTTCTCGCCTAGACTTCCCCAAGCCCGATGCCAAGCTCGACGCCCTTTACCCGGATGTTATCCACCACGAAGAAAGACAATCTGAAGAAAGACAATCTGAAAACGTCCAGTCGGACGTTTTCAGCCTTTAGCCGCTGGTAGAATGGAAGAGCCGCTTAATATTTCGATTGCCGCCACCCCGCACTCTCCGGCCTGTCACGGGGCATGGGCGCACCCGAGCTGCGGAGAGCTGCATGCAAGCAAGCAAGCAAGCAGACTGCCCAGTTGCATGTCGGGAAAATGGAGGTCGTGGCGGTGGGCGTAGGAGAAGAGCTTTTAAATAGCATAGATGGCGCCAAGGAATGGCCATGTGGTTGACGCTCTTGACGCTACAGGGGTGGGCTGGACGACAGCCGCTCCAATAAAGCAGAACATCACGCTACGATAGGACGCAATTGCGGAAGCATGAAACTCGGGGAAATGTAGAATTGATGGCTACCTAATCTAATTTGATGGGGCCCAAGTGGGAACTACTCCTTGGCGCACTTTCCAGGTTGCGTACAGTGTCAAGGCGGCAAAAGGGGCAAAAAGATAAAAGACAAGCCGTCATGCCCTACTGTCCAGGTAGAGGAGGGGACGGCACGGTGTGTTGAAATTCGTCCGCCATTCTACTCACAGATTCACCTCGACCATGCTCAAGTCTCTCCTCATCGTCGCCGCGGCGGCCCTGGCTGCGGCCGTCCCGCTCGACGAGGAGCTGTTCGGACGGTCGGTGGACATGGGCAGCCAGCTCCACTCCGACGGCATCGAGGGCCGGTCGGCGGCGGCGGGCTCGCCCGAGGGCAACGGGTTCCACAGCGGCTACTTCTACTCGTTCTGGTCCGACGGGCAGGGCAGCGTGACGTACAACAACCTGGCCAACGGGTCGTACGATGCCAAGTGGAGCAACGTGGGCAACTGGGTGGGCGGGAAGGGCTGGAACCCCGGCGGAGCCAAGACGATCCAGTACAACGGCACGTGGAAGGCGGCCAACGTCAACTCGTACCTGGCCCTATACGGCTGGACCAAGAACCCGCTCATCGAGTACTACATTGTCGAGAGCTACGGGTCCTACAACCCCAGCAGCGGCGCGTCCAAGAAGGGCACCGTCACCAGCGACGGCGGCACCTACGACATCTACCAGACCCAGCGCGTCAACCAGCCCTCCATCGTCGGCCGCGCCACCTTTACGCAATTCTGGTCCGTCCGCACCAGCAAGCGCGTCGGCGGCCAGATCTCGACCGGCACCCACTTCGATGCCTGGACCAAGAGCGGCCTCAAGCTCGGCGCCCACGACTACATGATCCTAGCCACCGAGGGCTACCAGAGCAGCGGGTCGTCGGCCATTACTGTCAGCGAGGTCGGCGTCACTGGGGTGCCGTACCCCAACGAGCCCGACTCGAGGAAACCAAACAACTAGGCTCGGATATCAAGGGACGTGGGCGGCGAGGCACTGGACGGTGCGGGCATGTATGCTACGTTGGTAGTAGTCTTCATCACTGCCGAAGGTTCAGGGACTCGTGGGACGTAAGGATATGTAAATACAAAATTACCTCAATAGCAACCTATGACGAAAAAAATGATCATCTAGCCACACTTGTCAAGTCGTTTCTCTCCTCCTCTGTCTGTCAGTCAATCAGTTCCAAGCCAAGCAATGAAGCGAGTCCTTTAAGGATTTTATTGCACTGGCGTGTGTTGATTAATTGCCACAAAACGCCGCTCGAAGTGACCAAGTAATGACTGGCAAGAATGTTCCAGCGAGAATTGGAATTTGTTTCTGTTTCTCACGCCTTCACCTAAATCATGCTATCTCGAAACAGTAGCTGCGAGCAGTCTCTGAGAACTTGGGCAATTTACGTACGTAGGTATACAAGCACATTGTCTCGAAGCAGAATAAGAATCCTGCCAATGTGAGTGTGGTTAATAAGTTGCGTCGCCCGTATGTTGCCCGACGACTTGGAAAAATGGTGGAAATAGCGCCATGACATGATATGTTTTTTGTATTTTTTTGTATGTGGCGTGCAACCAGTCTATTCTAGATTATTTAGGATGTTGAAATGCTTCTGTGAGCGGAACGGGGTACCAGCTTCCTTGCTGCGAAAGCCTTCCATTTGTCACGTTAAGGAAACGTGCGATAAGCGCTAAGCCGGCCTAGGTAGCCAGGAGAGGGTTTCTTCTCCACTCCTTTTTGACCAAAAGGTTTCTCGCGCTCTCGGAGGGCCTGTCTGCTGACCCCTTCCTGACTGGTCAAGTAGCGTATTTTTTATTTAGCACGTACGAAGAATGACAGCAGCCCCAACCGAGAGGAAAGGAGCTGGCTATACCTTTCCCACAACCGGGCCTTGGAAGATTATTAGCTGAACTTCGCGCGAAGCTGCTGGCATTGACACTCTGAACCCTCTTTACAGTTCAATATCCATTGCACTCTGGCTCTCTACCACTTTGTGTTGTAGCATCCAGCTCCCTCACCCTTGTGCGGAAACTCTGCATTGAACCTTGTGTTGTTGAGATAAGGAGATAAGCACATGGCAGCTACCTTGGGTACTAATGGTGACCCTTTACATATCTAATCAATACTATAATTGCGGTACTTTTTTTTCGTTCTTTGATGTACTTCCTTGGCTAAATTGATTGGTTCCGAACCCTGTTGCCAAAACCTTGTTGCACACAGGTGCAGTACACAACCCAGCCACAGCTCGGGTAGGCATGGTTGCCTCCTTCCGTAGTTGACCTGCGGTTCGCTGGATGTCTGATGATTGGATGGTAACCGCCCAGGAAAGCCCTGCAATGCGAGGCAGACCGCTCTGCTGCCGATTGGGCACTAATTGTAAAATAGGGTTTGCCTCCTCCCAAACCCCAAACAGATCAGACCCAACCCTCCCATCGGGGCTCTTTCACCATTCTTCCTCGGAGGTGAACACCACCACCACCACCACCACCACATGATGGAGCCTCTGAGTGCTCTTGCCATCGCTACAGGAGTAGCCCAATTCGTCGACCTCGGATGCACGACCTCGGATGCAGTATCGCGACGGGCACTGTTGAGCGATACCAATCGTTGACCGGAACAACTACGGCGCACGATGAGCTCGAAGGTCTCGCGGAGCGACTTATTGGTCTCATCCAGACTCTCGGAGAGTCTTCTCAGTTTTGGGACAGCCTAAATGCGAGCAGGGACGACAGGGTATACATGAATGCGCTGCGGGATGTCCGCCCCGGGATGTCGTAGCGAAATGCCAAGCTGCCGCGTCGGAGCTTTTGGCGGTTCTCGCCGATGGCAAGGCTTCGGGTAGTCAGCCACAAACTCTCGAAGAGCTTCATGGCGGCCACCAGGTCCAAGGGCAAAGACAAGGCCATGAGGAAGCTCGAAAGCCAGTTTGTGGGACACAGCCCTGATCATCGCGGAGCACTTCTTTGGATCAGCCGGATTGGAGCTGCAGAGGTCTCTAGACGGCTTCTTAATGTCGTTGCTCGAGCAGGCCCTCGTTGAGGTGCCGAGACTAATCCCAGTGGTTTGTCGAACAACGTCTCGAGAGAGTCGGGATTAAAAGCCCCGGCTTGGTCGGTCAAGTCGTTTCAAGGGCCGATGGGGTCTTTCTTTGGGTTTTCTTAATATGCGACGAGCTCGCAAGAGGCATGCGGTACCAAGACTCGGCCGACATGCTTCAGCGGAAGCTCGACTCGCTACCAGCAACTCTGGAGGACTACTTTCTCAAGACGCTTCAACGCCCGGATCCCAGCTACCGACGTGAATGTGCACACATCCTACTTGCCATGCTGGCAGCAGGGCGGCCTCTGGATTTGCTAGGATTTCGGTTTCTAGAGGATGCAACGCGGACCCTGACGGAGGATCGTTTCGAAGCAGGCGCGGTGACAGCCCTCTGGCGGAGCTACGCAGCTACGCAGAGACGCCTAAGGCACTAGATCAGGTCCTATGCGAGAGACATGATCGACATTCTTCCCCTGGACAAGGGACAACCCGACAAGATCCATCTGGCTTTCAACACGGCACGGTCAAGAACTTCTTGGCCACCTCAAGGGCCCAAGAGATCTTGCGGCGAAATGCCGGAAGCTTCTTCAACACTCACAGATTCCTTTGCCGAATCCTCCTCTTACAGATGAACGAGTTCCACAATTGAACGAGTTACCACAATCGAATGATGCTGTCTACTCTGCATTCCTCCGCTGCTTGAGCTACCACCTGTGGGAACAAGACAAGTACCGGCTGGAGGAGTTGCGGCTTCTCTGGAAGATGCGCCTCACTCAGCGACGTCAACACTGCGATAATATTTTGGCCGGGGAGAGCGACACGATACGGGGCGCGTTGTTTTCTTTCCTAGGTGAAGTTGTGCGGGACCAGCTATCCCTATTTTAACTGACAATACCGCAGCTACAGTTCTCTTGTCAATTTTCATTGGTTTTTCGGGTTGGGTCGTTTGCGGGTGGCGCATTTTTTCGCCGAATTGTTAGCTCTCTCATGGCTGTATAAATGTTGGCAACTAAAGCAGCCGTTGATGTAACATCTTTGGAAGGAATAAAGTCTTGAAAGAAAGCTCCGGTAACCTTTTTACTTCTATATCGTGAGGATTTGAAGTATACCCGGTAACTGGATGGGTGATCCTTGAAAGACGACTTCATATAGTCAGAGTATCACTTCAATCGTTGTTCCTTGGTACTACTGCCCCTATTGGAGGGGGCTGTCCCTTGTTTGTGATAGGTAATTATACAATACAGGTACGTTGTCTTCGCCGCTGTTAGGTTTTATTGATAGAAAACTCCTCCATGGACCAGCGCGCATCCCAAAATGCCGTAAAACATTAGAGTATTGCCTTGTGGCTAGTTCAGGACATTCCCAACCTGACCCGAAAACAAATGCATTTTTGGGTAATTAATTATAATATCTAGAATAGAGATAAAGTGTGTGGTACGCAAGCTCGTTGAGGCATTAACCATTCACTGCATTTCCGACTCCTTTGTCCATTCTTCTTGTACAGCGACGGACAACGAGAATGTGGCAAGGCAGGCGGCTGTTTCCCAGCTTTTGGCAATTCAGGAGAAGCGTGTAGAGATAGAGAGCTAAATACCTAAACCCACATGCCTGGTGGATTCGAGCGCACGGGCGAACCAAGATCCAAGGCCCACTGAAGCAGATAGGGCAGTGTCATTAATGTGGGTCTTTGCCCCCTCCTGTGCCTTATCTTTCGCGTCGATCATCCATCAACCACACACCCAAACCTGGTATAATTCGCGACTTTAAGCCATGGCATCCAAAGACGGCTTGTCTAGGGATCTGGACGCAGCTAAAAATGTACAAAAAAATTATTGTTTACTGCCTGGGCCCTCTGAGCCTGGGCCCTCTGAGTCTGGGCCCCCCACTGGGGCATGACACGTGCGCGCCTGACTTTTCTCCATCGGTGACATCATGGCGAAAAGTGCGTCGCCACTTTTGTGCGCGCGGCACAAAGTTTCTCGCTCGGCCCCTGCAGCTCTAATTACCTTACCTTATTAGTCTGACGGCCGCACCAGACTCGATGATCGACGCTCCCTCGCATTCGTGACGACACCCAGTTGCCATGTCGGACGCAACGACATCGCCATCTCCGCTGCCGCAGGAGCGGCGCGAGCTGGAGGCGCAGGTCGTGTCGGAGCACCTGCCCTCGGGCTTCACTGCCGAATTCGACGGCACATTGCCCGCCGAAAGAACAAGCGCTGATGCCTCCTCGTCGACCACCCCCGCCGGCACGCCGTCGCCCGCCGCCGCGCCCGAGTCGTCCCTCAAGCTGCAGGGCGGCGACATGCACCGCGACCTCTTCAAGCTCGACGCCGCTGTCCGCGCCAAGATGCACCGCCGAGCCAACACCTTCCACACCCCGCGCGAGTTCCGCCAGGACGACGAGGGCGACGGCCCCCTGCTGGCCGTCGGCGACCAGCTCGCCCCCGGCGGCTTCCGCCGCGCCTTCCTCCACCAGCGACACGGCCACGACTTCATGGCCGCCCGCCTGCCCATCACGCGCAACTTTGTCGAGTTCCTCGACCTATACGGGAGCTTCGCCGGCGAGGACCTCGTCGACTCGGACGAGGAGGCCGTGACCGACGACGAAGACGCCGGCGTCGAGGCCGAGCAGCGCCCGCTCCTCGGCCGCCGCGTGAGCTCGCGCGCCGCCCGGTCGCGCGCCGCCCGGTCGCGCACCGCCACCGCCGGCACCGCCAAGACCTTCTTCACCCTCATCAAGGCCTTTGTTGGCACCGGCATCATGTTCCTGCCCAAGGCCTTCGAGAACGGCGGGCTGCTGTTCTCGTCGGTCGCCATGCTCGCCGTGTCCATCGTCACCATGCTCTCGTTCCACCTGCTGCTGCGGTGCAAGACGCAATACGGCGGCGGCTACGGCGAGCTGGGCCACGCCATCGCCGGCGACAAGATGCGCAGCCTCATCCTGGCCTCGGTCGCCCTGTCCCAGATCGGCTTCGTGTGCGCCGGCATCGTCTTTGTGGCGGAGAACCTGCTCACCTTTCTTGATGCCGTCACGCGCGGCCACAGCCCCCTGTCCACTTTTTGGATCATCGTCGTCCAGCTCGTCGTGCTCGCCCCGCTGTCGTGGATCCGCAACATCTCCAAGCTCGGCCCCACGGCCCTGCTCGCCGACGTGTGCATCCTCATCGGCGTCACGTACATCTACTCGTTCGACTTCGGCGCGCTCGCCGCCCAGGGCGTGCATGAGACGGTCGTGCTCTTCAACCCGGAGAAGTACACGCTGATGATCGGCGCGTCCATCTTCGCGTTCGAGGGCATTGGGCTGATCCTGCCCATCCAGTCGTCCATGGCCGAGCCCGAGCACTTTGAGTGGCTGCTGGGCCTGGTCATGCTGATCATCACCGTCATCTTCACGTCGGTCGGCGCGCTGTGCTACGCCACCTTTGGCACCTTTACGCAGATCGAGATCATCAACAACTTCCCGCACGACAGCGCACTGGTCAATGCCGTGCAGTTCCTCTACTCGGTCGCCGTGCTCGTCGGCACCCCTGTGCAGCTGTTCCCCGCCCTGCGCATCATGGAGGGCAACCTGTTCGGCCGCCGCTCCGGCAAGCGCAGCCTGCGCACAAAGTGGATCAAGAACGGCTTCCGCCTGGCCGTGCTGGTCGTCTGCGGCGCCCTCGCCGTCGTGGGCACGGGGCAGCTTGACAAGTTCGTGGCGCTGATTGGGTCCGTTGCCTGCGTCCCTCTCGTCTACATCTACCCGGCGTATCTGCACTATGTGGGCGTGGCCACGACGCCCCGCGCCAAGGCCGGCGACCTGGCCATGATTGTGCTGGGGATTGTCTGCATGATCTGGACGACGTCGGTGACCATTGTGTACAGTTTCATGTCATGATGCCGCGGCCTACCGGATTTGAATAAGTGTGCGTTTGTAATTGGCTGCCGATTAACTGCATGCGGCGTGGCGCAGAAAGCATGTAAATTTACATGGATGAGTGGATATGCATGAGCCTCTGGATAGAGCGCACTTTTATTTAGAAATAGAATAACTAGATTATCGGTGCGAAGCGTATTCTGGATGCACGCCCGCCTGCTTTGTCTCGTCTTTGGATTTGAACTAAGCCTTCGTCTTGAGGGTGTGTCAGGAGCATACACTACGGCAAAGTTGCCACCATACGCTACACTACAGCGAAGTTGCCACCATACGCAACACTAGAGCGAAGTTGCCACCATACGCAACACTTCTTCGGGCTGCGGTTGTGTTCTGGATAAATAGGTTTCCCATGCTTGCCAACCGATGCGTCTGTCTGGTCCTCGATATATTCCCGCTCTCCTCCTCTAATTTTGTAGTTGCGAGTCTTTTTAGGTAGGTTGAAAGATAAGCCATTCTCGAGTGCCTTTACCGAGGCTTTCTTCTACTCTGTATGCCGGATCGATAAGCTCGTTGATAGATTTTGGTAAAGCTGCGGCGTAAACGCCCAGTGGTTTGTCGCGGACTGGACGGGGCACGTCACCGTTCAAACCACCTAGATCGACAAATACCGAGTTTGAACAAGGCAAGGCCGAGCTGCTGAGACCCGAATGATCTCTTACAGTCGGTTGACAAAAGTCTGACCCATCCAATTTTGGCCCACCTTCCCACATTCTAAACGCCCCCCTTCAATGCAAGCCACCATTTTGAATACCAGCCGTCTGCAGCGATAACAGCTTCTAAGCGCCGTCGCATCGATAAAATCAATGTATCTAATAGTTCATCTTCAAATTCCTCCTAAACAGTGATCGCGGCTGTAATTAAGCCTTGCAAGGCCCTGGCATTCTTCGGCATTGAGGAAAGCTCAGGGAAACGCTCTATTATCGTTTCTTTGAGTCGTTTCTAAACATTTTCGATAGGGTTAAGAGTTGTTAAGTATGCCGGCCAGTTCAGAAGCTCAACCCCATTTTCCAAAGCCTACTTAGTAATCCGATCTTGGACTAATTTATACGCGTCTGTAGAAGTATTATCTCGAATGAATATAGATACCGGGGAGCATATGGTTGGGAGGCTCTCTTATAAGTAGGCGAGTATAACCTCCCGTTAATACCACTACGAGGGGATTTAGGGTCTCCAAGCATCGGTACGAGGGATGTGCGTATACTGAACGAAAAGGCGCCCCAGAACATCTACAAATGCCTCGTTGGTTTGGCCTTTGCTTCCACATTCTTAGGAAGTAATCGCTCGCCCTATCCGGTCAGCGGTCGTCTGATAAATGGGGGTCAAAAGTAGGGTACTTTTCGGTAGAAAACCTATTCCAATTCCCTAGCGTCGTGTTGTCCATAGGCCATACGAGCTAGAATTCCGAGGGCATGCCACCGACTTTTAGGCGCATGCCGTGCATAGCCGGTTCATTGCCGCGATGTTGTCCGCGTGAGCCTTGCGGTAAGCCGGGAGAAGAGAGTGAAGAAGAGGAACGAATGGAAAAATTCTACCTAGTCTATGAACTGCCTCTCCGTAGGGGGTGGTGGGGGTTGTCACGGGCCTTAGCGGACGAGGGCAATTCGCCTGGTCTGCTGTGAGCGACGACACACCATTTTGGGCGCCACAAGACCGACAGTAGGCCAGCGTGTCGCCCAAGAGCTAGCGGAGTCTTTGGCTAGGCCATCCAACAAGAATGACGACAGGCCCTCCGCCTCTGTACGGGTTTTTTGAGGACGAGCCCCCATGTTCACGATCGCGACACGCTGGTACGGTTCCTTAACGTCGAGGCCGTTTTGTAATGTGCCCGTCGCAGCTAACTACGGCAGTCAACATGACGCCACAGCCCTCTTCTAGAAGCCTCGTAAGCCGCCGCCTAGTTCTATAATATATCCTTTTAAAAAAAAAAAAACTTAGACACTGGATTGGATGGATCCTTTTGCTCCCATCCCCCGATCCCATCACCTTCCGCTCTTCGAATACCAAGTTCAGGCAGTTGGGCGTTTCTTTGTCTCTCTGGTCAAGCTCGGATAATGTCTGGTTTGACTCATGCAGTACCTGAAAGTAGGTTGTCAGAAGGTATCACGAAGTGAGATAGTTCTCAGACGACTTTCAGATTTCTAACCTCAGTCTGCTGTGTTATTCTCCACCTGGATACTCAGTTTTATTTAACGCTGACAGGAACAATCTGATGCGGCCGACTTTCGTCAAAGCCGGGAGAGTAACAAGTTCGAACAATAGGACCGAGTGGAGCCTAGTCACTGTCGACATGTTGCCATTCAGCGCGAGAATCCAAAAATTTGAGAACCGTAGCCAGCATAAATTAATCAATCGCTTCCCTCCAACCTTCACCTTTCTTCACAGTCTCGCGAGTTCTTTGCCCTTTCCAGAAAGGCCTTTTTTCTTTTCCATAAAGGACCTTCTGCTGTGCTTCGCAGATACTTTGTCGACATTCCGCACAAAGAAGAACGCAACAATCGCCCTTGTTACCACATTCTGGCCACAGATGAGCCAACCACAGTAAGCTGCCTCTGTCTCAAGATCCCTTCAGCCTATCCACCGAACTCCCATACAAAGCTTTTTTTTTCCAATACTTTTGATCATCCCGACGCGGCGCAACATCTTAACATAACATGTTCTCAAAGCACGGCGTGCCACGCCAGCCGTCTCCGCATATCGGGGAGTCGGCTGAAGATAACTTCGCGCGCCTGCCTCCAAGCACCAGTTTGAAGAATGAACTAGATGATTTGAAGACTGAAATACGCCGTTTGCAGGCTGAATCAGGAGAGCCTGAAAGCGAAACAGCGCCAACGCCCCAGACGACGTCACCCGCGCCGAGTGTAGACAAAACCGTTCAGCCAGAAGCCAAGATGGAGCCATACGAGGACTTCGCCGACGACATATCTGACAAGTCGGTCGACCCTGCGCCCCCGGGCTCTGAGCCTAAGTATCACGGTTACACGCTAGCCACGCTGGAAATGATGAAAGGGGGTGAAGAGGGCAAGAACAGCGCTGGTACAGCCCCAGAAGTAGAGGCGGCTAGCGCTGGCGCAGCCCCAGAAGCAGAGGCGGCCAGCGCCGAAGTCGAGATGACCGACTCTCCGCACAACTACACCTCCTCTGTCGGGCCCGCAGACCCACACGAGCGCGAGCCTTCTCAGCAGGAAACCCAGCCCCCACAGACGGAGCACCGGGCCAGGACCTCATACCGGTCTCCCTGGATCGAGGATGAGACCACTACGGCCGCCAGACCTTCTCCTCCTCCCCCTATACCCGGCACGACCAGCTCGGGCTTCTTGCGGTCGCCGCACGCACAAGAGCTGAGAGCGGCGACGACGAGCGGCCCGCGTAAGCAGTCGCCGCAAGCCCACGAGAACCAGCCTCCTGCGATGGAGCACAAGACACCCCGAGCCGCCACTCTTTCTCCTCCCCCAACGCGCGATACAAGGGGACCCGGTTTCCTGCAGTCACCACACGCACAGGATCTGAGAGCAGCGACGACGATCCGGTCAGACATTATCCCGCGGACAGCGTCGGCGCAGAAGCGTCAGACGAGTAGGTCAAACATGATCCCGCGGTCGGCGTGGGCGGTGGGGCGGAAGTCACGCGGCGGCGGTGGGGACGGCAGTTGCTCGCTGAAGCATGCGCGCGAGAAAAAGGCCGAGATGCGCACGAGACTAAAGGAAAAACAAGACAAGACGAAGGTGCGGTTTGTGCTGTCGGGCAAGGAATCTGCTTCGGGATCGGGGTCGGGGTCGGGGTTGGGGTCGGGATCGAGATCAGACAGGGCGGGTGAGGATGAAGGTGGTGCCGAGGAGAAGAAGGAGCACGTCGTGGACAAGGACAAGGCCGAGGCCACTGCAGCTGCTCCTGTTGCTGACGGCGGTGGCGTCGGCGATGAGGGCGAGGGCAAGGACAAGCCACCGCCGCCGCCGCCGCCATCATCACCGCCGCAGCAGCCATCACCGCCGCAGCCATCACCGCCACAGCCATCACCGCCGCAGCCATCACCGCCGCAGCCATCACCGCCGCAGCCATCACCGCCGCCGCCACCTTCAAGGCCGCTATTAGCAGCCGCGAAGCACTTCTTTCAGGGGTACGCGCGGCTAGTCCTCTCGTACTTCGACCACCAGTTCGGGCTGGAACCGTTCGCGGCGCGCGTGATCGCGCCGCCGAGTACAGTCAACGGGCGCGGCGGGCTGCCGTACGCGCACGCCGAGCACGCCGAGCACGCCACACGCCGCCGCATCATCGAGGGGCGGTTCCTGCTGGCGGTCGAGGACGGTAGCATCGGCGCCACGGTGCGGCCGCCGTTCTCGACGCGCGAGTTCGTGCGCCAGGTGCGCCACGGCGCCACGCCGGCGCCCGACTCGTACGACCCCGTGGCGCTCGTGCACGACCTGACGGCGAGCGAGTACGGCGACGCGCTGCTACGGCTGGTATTTGAGTGGTACGATCCGCTCGCGGGCCGGGATGTGGAGGCCGACGAGGAAGCGGCGGTGCGTATGGTAGGGGATTTGGAAGGGGGCACACCGCGGGGCGTGCGGGTCTATGAGCGGCACCGCGCGTATTTCCCGGGCGCCATCGCGAATTATGTTGCTGTGCTGTTTCCTGGTGAGGAGGAGAAGGGAGGGCAGAAGGGCCGGCTTGAACATCTGTCATCTTGATGAGCTCGTAAGCATCGAAGAGGGCAAGAGGCCCAGAATTAATCAAAGTCGCCGTCGTGGCTTTACTATGACGCATTCGTAAACTTGAACCGAGCTTCATGATACTGTGAGCAGGCGCCCAACGTAGGTCCAATTCTGTACGGTAGCCCCTGGCCACCTGAGCAGTGAGCTGATAATATTGCCATTCAGGCACGGCAGAGACTCTCTCTTGAAATCGAAATGGAAAGAAAACAGCAGACAGGCTCAACCAACACGCTTCGATGCACGCTTCAAAGAAACCCCCCAAACAGCCTATTGTGAGGCCTATCTACACAAGGGAACGCGCAACCTCCATCAGCTCGACATCTTCATCATCTTTAAGCTCGTCAGATAGTCTGACGTTCCGTTGTCGGGGTCCGCATCCTTTGCCTTGCACTTGCTGAACTGCTTGCCCATGCCGTGCGAGCCGTCTATGCGCATGAAGCTCTGGCCCTTGGCCTTCAACAGGTTCTGTTGCGCATCATCGAACCAACCGTTGACGAAATCACCGTGCAGGCAATAGCCGTCGCCAATCTGGTCCGTGTCAGTCCATCACCCAGCCAGCCGCTCTGGTCAAGAACGGGGTCTCAACAACGGGGTCTCACCTCGCCGCAGGCCAGCTTGAACGGCGGCACGCCCTTCCAGCCCTGGGGGATGGCGCGGCGCGTGTCGTAGCGCACCGAGAAGCGCAGCGACGGCATGCGCTTCATGCCGGCGGGGCAGCGGCCGCCGTGGGCCGCCGCGTACGTGTACGTGGCGATGCTGGCCGGGTCGACGCAGTCGGGGAACCGCAGGATGGCCTGCATGTGCGCGCTGCACGTCGACCGCGGGAACGCCGCCCGCGGCCGGCTGTTGCGGTCCTCGGGCCCGTTGCCGTCGCACCACCACGTGATGGCCGTCAGCTTCTCGTCGATGTCGGCCTGCGACTTGCCCGACGCGTTGCCCGCCACCATGTGGAAGTCTTTGGGGAACGGGATCTCGGCGTGGTCGATCTGCTCGTAGTATCTGCGGCGGGTCAGTGCTGATTTTGAGAGCTGGGAGGACAGTGCTTACGTCTTGAACGTGGCCGGCACGATTTCGGTGTAGTTGTCGCCGTTTACGTAGTAGAGCGTGGGTGCCCCTTTTTCACGAGGCTGGTCAGTCGGGAAAGCAGCTGAGAGAACGGGCTGACGTACAGTATATGGAGAGGTCGTTGGGGTTCTCGCCAGACGGGCAACCCTGTTGCAGCTGCGCGGTTGTGGGCAAATCCTTCGTCACAACATCGCTGCCATAGAACGAGTGCATGTGCGAGACGTATTTCCCCGGGAACACAATGGGATCTATGTTCTTCAGCATAAATCGTTTGTGCTCGATGTCCGTGAGGGCAGCAGCAGTCCCTGCGAGAACAAGCACGGCGGCGCGCATCGTAGATGAGGGTAGCAGAATCACGACCCGAGAGGTTGTGCTGGAGGGTTGAGAAGCCAAGAACAGGATTCACCGTCTGAGCCATGTATTAATATACCGAGACTCGCTGCTAGCGTGTGCCAAGTCGGCACTTGATGATAAGGCATGGAAGCAATAACATTGGTGTGCAAAGGGGGTGTAATATACGCTTAATACACACGGGGCCGTGATTGCACCAACCGGGACCCGGCTATTCTCTGCCCCACATATCCCGGAGAGTGACGGCCATCGCCAAACACGGTAGTTGCATATTTACACAGTCACCAGGGACGGAAGAAGAAGAATTGGCACGCGCCCCGGATTTTGGAGTGCCGATTGAGATAGAGATAGACCACCAATCCCACGGCGAGCCCTGGTGGTTGCAGCGCTAGTTTCGCCGTCGTCGGCTCCGGACGGACCGAGGATTCTAAATATTGTTATTTGATAGCCTGCTCAAACGACTGCCTGTCATGGCTTATTCTTTTGCACGACCTTGGAACGTCGAAGGGGGGAGGGGATGGTTCTCCAAGAGTCTACACTCCAATCCTGAATGTTTATTGGCGTGGTACTTATAAAGGAAAAGAGTATAACAATGAACCGGCCAGGAAGAGTCCTTAATAGGTATTTTAAGAGAAGAAATAGACCTCTAGGATTCCAAAACAGGAGTTCAAATAGCTATTACCTCCCTTACTAAAAAGCCTACAGAGCGAGTCGGAAGAAATCGAAGCCTTTCAAATCTTAGGAAGTCCCCGGCTAAGTCAGGTGGTCTGCTTATGGAACACCCCTGGATTTGGAACAAGGTTTGTCATCAAGGACTTGCCGCTCGCCACCCAACTCACCTATTTCAATCGCTTGCAACTCGACCAATTCTGCTTCAATACTTATCTTCTTTTCTCCATTCAATTGAGAAATGAAAGATGAAGCGATATACTCAGTTGGATTTGCAGAATGCGCTGGCAGAGTATGCAGAAACCGGCTTACCCCGTAGCTCTGCTGAAAATCACGGCATCCCCCCTACTACTCTCTTTCATCGGGTTCGTGGTTCCGAGCCAGCCTCCAAGGCCCAAATTCTTAATCAAAAGCTTTCTCCGGCTATGGAAGAACGCATAACCGAATGGATTCTATTCCAAGGGTCGCTCGGTCACCCTCCAACCCACGCCCAAATTCGGAAACTAGCTAGAAGAATGCTCGAAGATAACGAGACCCTCGGAAAACGCTGGACTAGCCGGTTTTTGGCTAGAAATCCATCTATTTCTACAATTAGGCCTCGGAGAATCCATGCAAACCGTGCTGATCGAGCCTGTGAGGCCGTTATCCGGCCTTGGTTTGACTATTTGAAGCCTCCAGGCGTGGAGGCTATTCCAGCCAAGCATAGGTATAATATGGATGAAACTGGCATTGCTTCTGGCATTGGAGATAACGGCCTGGTTGTTGGATCTAAGGAAAGAAAAAAATTCCAGAAAAAGAAGAAAGGAGACCGAATTTGGACCTCGATTATCGAATGTATTTCCGCTGACGGCCGGTATTTGAACCCAGTCGTCATTTTCAAAGGTGGAAGCCTTCAACAACAATGGTATCCACGCGATTTACAGCCATTTAAGGGCTGGAAGTGGAAACCCACTGAAAACGGCTGGTCTGACGATGATACTGCCGTCGCATGGCTCCGCAATATCTTTCTTCCAGAGACTCGGCCAGCTACCCCCTCGGAGAAGCGCCTCCTTATTTTAGATGGCCACGGTAGTCATACCACCGAAGAATTCATGTGGCTAGCCTTTTCTAATAACGTACAACTGTTATTTCTACCAGCCCACACCTCCCACGTTCTCCAGCCCCTGGATTTATCGGTTTTCGGCCCTCTAAAAGCCCGGTACAGAGCCAAGCATAACGAGGTTGTTTCCGGCTTCGACGAAGGCACTGTTGCTGAAAAGAGGGCCTTCCTAGATTGCTACCGGCAAGCCAGGGTCTATGGAATGACTGAATCTAATATCAAAGCCGGCTGGAAAGCTACAGGCCTCTGGCTGGTCAGCCTCAGGAAGCCCCTAAGCAACGGCCTTGTTATTAAGAATTCTAACGGCGACGTTGGTCAACTGACCTCTACGGTTTCTATAGACCTTCAAGAGGTCCATAACCCCATTCTAAATAAGAATTCGGAGGGCCGGCCTATATGGTTTACCCCTAAAAAGCCGAAGGATTTCCGTATTCAGGAGCAGGTTTTTCTAGCCGGCCAGAAACGGACTGCCAACGACCGACTTTTCATACGCAAGGCCGCAAAAGCCTTCGATTACGTGGTTTTCTAACTAGCCAATACGGCGCATCAATTGGAGGCTGCAGAAAAAATCCTAGAACGCACAAGAGGCCGAAAGAGAAGGAAGGTCCAAGTCGACCCTAATACGCAGTTCGCTGGAATTGAGGAGGTTCGTGCTTCACAGAGAGAGGCTGGCAGAGAGGACCTTAGTTATTCTGAAAGAGAAGAATCAGGAGAATCCGATACTGAAGACTTCATCATTGTAGCTAATTAATTGACAAAGTTGTTGGCAATTGAAGTTTGTGGTGTTGTGCGGGGTCCGATTCAGGGGCTGTTCCATAGGCAGGGGTGTTCCAAAAGTCCCCCACCTGACTTAATAAATATCCAGGGACTGGATTATACGTAGACGCCGTTCCACTCCTCGCCTCTACGTCCTATGGCGCCTCCAAGAATAAGTAAATAATCCTGTCACTTGCATTCTGGATAGGAAAAAGTTATTTATTTTTTTTGCATTACGGCAAATATTTCGGTGGTTTTTAGAGTAGATTGAGCCTAAAACCTCTTTTTGCAAATTTTAAAATGAACACACTTACAATGTAATCACAATTAAGATATCTTTCAAGTTCCGATGGATCCAGAAAAGGACTTCGTTTACACGTTCAACGTACGTCACCTGGTGCAAGACATTAGACTCTTTGAAGCAAGCAATTAAATTCTGTCAAAACAAATTACAGATGGAATCCGAAAATGCAGAGGTCAAACACAACGAAACAGCGGAGGATGACTGCAGAAATGACAATAAATGCACGCCCAGCACACGGTGCTCGCCATGGCTCATGTTGTCTGGCGTTGCAAATCCCCAAAGCTGGACCCAGCGGCTAGAAGTCTGCCCTCCTTCCTTCTCCACTCTCTCCATTTCCTTTTTCGCCATCTTCCTTTCCCATTTTTTCCTCTTCTCCTGTTTCTTTTCCCACTTGCTTTTGCGCACCTTGCCGTAAGCTCCCGCTCCACCGCCAGACAGAACAAACGACTATTTCTTGGAGATCTAAGCAATGGTAATCGTGTTTACTGTGGGTAGCCTGTTTTCCCACCAGCCTTGGCTTGGTGCCTCCGTTACCTCAGCATTCGCCACTTCCCCCTTTCTCATCCTCGCCATTTTTCTCTCCCACCTTTCCATCTTCGCTTGTTTCTTTCCCACTTATTCTTATACACCTTGTCGGGAGCTACCGCTGCACCAGGAGACAAAACAGAAGCCTGGTCTCTGGGAGCCTGGGTAGCAATATTTGTATTAGCTTTAGGTAGGCTATCAAGTATCCCAGCACACGCCTTTATTTCCCACCGACCCTCCCGACCGTCCCTAGCACACTCTCTCACCACTGGCCGCTCCAAGTAGCGACAGTAGTTCGCACATGCCGGATCATCGCGGGGACACGCCAGGCCGTCAAAGGCCGTCTTCTCGTACCCGGGGAGCACCGTTCCACGATACGAACCGGGATCGAGGGCCTCGTACCACGACTGTGTCACGCCGCGGCATACTTGGCCCGGGGCCGCCACGAGAATGGACCGTCGGACGGTGATTTTTAGACAACACTGGGATGGGCCCTGGGTTGGAATTGCGCAGGCGTCGATGTCAATGCGCGTCTCCAAGTCTCCGCCGAGGACGGTGCGTGCTGTGTGCGTTCCGGGTGCCATTGTGTCCAAATTGTCGTCGCGTGGAAAACGGCACGCTTGGTTCCATGCTCCGTCGTTGCTCTGTCGCCTTGCGAGCTGCCACTCTCCCGGCAGGTTCTCTTCTCCCGCGTAGTGCAGACACTGGCACCGGTTCGGGTCGAAGCACCTCATCTCGGGGAGGGTCGGGAGCTGACTGCGGGACTATGAACTCGGCTAGCGCGCCACGGCGAAAGTGTTGCAGCAGGTTGGTCATCTCTATGGGTGTGAGCTTTTTCTCCCCACTGATCGGGTTTAAGGGGGCAGACGACTGCTCCGGCAGCAACACGTGCCCTGTCCACTCCATACGGAGTCTCACTGCGGTGTTTTTGCTGCCCTTGAGGGTGATGGATGGATAGTAGCACGCCACCTCCTCGCCACCAGAAGCGTGTTGGCTGCTGGCGTGGTGTGTTGGGACATGACTCTTGTGTCGACACCTAACAGCGTCGCCCGTGCTGGTTCGGGTAGGTCAAACCTCGCCAGCAGCTTGCCGTACCTGACAACCGTGTCCCAGTTGACCACGCAGTCTCTGTGCGCGCAGAGCCGCACCTGGCCCAGGCGGCCAATGCACTGCCGGAGGCGTAAGAAGTGTGCTGGCGGGTGGTCCATGCCGCAGGGCTTGCAGTGTCTCCACGCGCTGTCACCGGTCCGCTTGATCTGTAGAGTGCGCTGCCACTCGTAGCGAGCTTCCCTGGTTCTCTGGCAGGCTGAACAGACGCTACTGGCAGTGTCCTTCTTGATGAGCTGATGGAGGGATGTCGCTCCTGGTGTCGGTCGATACGTGATCCCGTGAAGGCGGCGCGGTTTTGCCCATGGAAAGAAGATAGTCGGCCCCACAAGGTCCGTAGATTCACGACCGTTGTGGTCGTGGAATTTCTGAAACTGCTCGTCGCTGAAGCGGCAGAGAAACAAGCGGCTGGTTCTGCGCAGGCATTGGAGGCCTACAGGGTCCAGATGTTTCATGATGCGCAGGAGCACCTCGTCGGACAGCCAGCAGAGAGGGCTGTATATTGCATTGTACAGCGTGTCCGCGATCAAGGGATCCGTGTCGGGGCGAAGTCCTTCTTGCCTTGGCCGACCAGTCCATGCAGTATCGGGTTTGGAGACGACAAGGGTTGTGGCCATATTGACGTGTGCTGTATGGAAGAAGGGTATAAAGGCACATGGGCACGAAAGAAAAGAATCAAATCAGGACAAGAATCGGGAGTGCGAAAGCTTTCTGTTCCGCCAATAAATACCCCTTTTAGTTCCAAAAGGTCAATTGTGGTAAATCGAGGAAGTCTATTCAAATTGATGACTTTACCAGAAAAGGTTTAGGCAACAATGGCAAAGGCTTATTTGCTATCAACCTTCAGGTCTTCGAAGTAGGTATTTTACGTGGATTTGACGGCGGAATTACGTATTTCCTTCTATACTTTATTCTTGACATATACCAGGATTCTCCCTTGCGTCTCGGCCCAAATTTCACATGCATGATCAAAAAAGAATGAATATTTGGAGTGAGCAATACCACGTCTCCTCCGAGAGTCCAAACCCCTAATACCGAGCAGCTCCACGCCCCTTAAAGATTGTATCTCGCCCACTCCCCGAGCCACTCCTCAAACACGGTGGGCCGCTTGGGCTTGGGCTTGGGGTATCCCGCCCACTCCACGAGCCACGCCTTTGACACCATCGCCCACTCATCAAGTCTCCTTCCAGGCCCATACCTCCTGCAGCGCACTCCCCAAAACCCCCCTCGCCACCAGGGCACCAGGACCCGAACCCAAAAGCGCCGCCAAGCTACTCGTGCCCACAACTAGCTAGCCCAGACAACCAGCACGCCGGCCCAAAGCAAACGGCCAGGCCCAATGACTGCAGCGAGAGCCCCCAACCGAAACCATGATCTTCAACGAGGTAACCTCCTCAACCGAAGAGAATGTTCCCGCGATTTTCTTGGCAGCGGCACGGTACGCGGCGGTCAGGTTCCACAGCTTCGCACTGTTTACATCTTTGAGGGCCTTCGACCAATGGACCGAGGCAGCCTCCAATGCCGATGAGGCCTTCTTGAAGTCGCTGATATTGCCAATTGGTTAGACGTCAGCTCTTGGTCGTGAATCAAAGACAATGCTTACAAAGGCGACCCGGTAGCGGCACAGGTAGACCGGGGGCCCAGCGGATGCGCATAGACCGGCACCATGGGAATGGAATCGGCACCAGCGGCAAAGAGGGCGAGGAGGGCCGCGACAGCGGCGGCTGCCATAGCAGCGACAGATCTAATGGAAAGACGCATTGCGTCTTGTTTGTTCTTCGGATATAATGAGGAGAGACTATCGAGCGAGAGTTTGTGATGGCCCAGCAACTGAGCAAAAAATCCGGGATGATCGAGCCTTTGGTGCCAAGGAACAAAAATTTCAGCTTCGCCGCGGGCAATTTGCGGACCATGAGTTCTCCTCATTCTGCTACCTCGTACCTGCCTCGTTGAGTGCTTATAGGTATAAACCGGACTTGGGCAAGAGCAGGCCAAATGTTACGTGAGAACCCTGTGGGTTCCACGGAAGGTGCAAAGCGAAAGAAGACGGACACGTCTACTATTCTGAGCATCTGAGACCATCTAAGGTACCTGGTGCTGTTTTCACCTTTTAATCACGGAGTCGATGAGGCCATTTTCATGGATTCACTAGCCGTCCTACTTGGTCTAGACTAGATATAGTACTACTAAATATGCTCGGCATTGTCTCTCAACCTTGCCTTGCGGCCTCGCGTCTGTCGTGTACAGGTGTGCTAATGATATCCCCGCAGAATGAAAGAGAAAGATAGATAAGAAGGAAAGAAAAAAGACGATAGGAAAAGGAAAGCCAGAAACACCCGAAACCCCCGAAAATAACCCTTGCCATCCCACGTCCACTACACACAGCGAACACCCACCCCCACCTCCCAACTGGTGAGCCCCAGCGTCCCAACCATCCCCACTCCACTCCACGCCATGAATGATCAAACCGGCAGCGGCTTCCCATCAAACAACGCCTCGAGCACAGCCACCGTCTTGTCCGCCTCCTTAATCGCGCCATGCTTCCAGCCATTCCACGCCTCGAGCACCTGCGCGCCACGGATCCCGGCCGCCGCGCGCCGCGCCAGCTCCAGATCGACATACATGTCATCGGCATACGCAACAGCGCGCACGGTAACCCCACAGCGATTCGCCGCCAGCGCAGAACTATCATACAGCGCCGGCCAGTCAGCTTTCCGCGCGAGCGCGTTGGCCGTGCTGCGCAGCGGGGCCGGGACCATGGCCGGCAGGACCATCTCGCCGGAAAAGTACAGTTTGGCAGTGCCGTCGTTCATGACGGCCGCGGTGATGGCGGGGCTGGGTTTCGTGGCGCTGAAGGACGGGTCGGTCCAGACGAACTGCCCGGCGGGGAAGTGTGTCAGCAGGATGCGCTGCGCGGACCACGACGATGAATATCCCGGCCCGTCGCAGTAGATCGCCTCGTGCAGCACCCCGTACAGTGGCCGCTCATGCAGCCGGAAACCCCCCGCGAACAGCGCTGCCGCCAGCACCAGCGCGCCGTCGGACAGCACGTTGTAGTTGGCGATGTCGAAGCTCGCGCGCTCGACCAGCTGGTGCAGCGCGTCGTAGGCGTCTGGGGTCGTCTTGCTGGTGGGGGGTCCTGGGGCGATAACGGCCGACGCGGCGCCGAACGCGCGCCCGAGCGTCATGAACGCCTGCGCCGTCAGCCGCAGCCTGGCGTCGCCCGGCAGCTTGACGGCGTATCCGCCATTACTAGTGGTAGAAGAAGAAGAAGAAGCCGCGTCGAGGTGCGCGACGATTTGTTTCACGTGCCACACGTCGTCCGGGTACCGCGCGTAGTACGCCTCGTTGCGCTGGGCTATGCGCTGCGCCAGCGCCGCGTACACAAAGTCGGGCGCTCCGGCGCCTACCGGTGCAAGCCCCGCGCTAAGATACACGCCTGCGAGAGACTCGGGGAGGAAGGATAGGTAGGTTAGCGCGATCCAGCCGCCGAAGGACTGGCCTACGAGCGTCCACTTGACGGGCTGTGGGGGCGCTACTGGGGCGGCGGGGGCAGGGGCTGGTTGGGTGACGGGTTTCGAAGGTTTGGCCGTCTTGGATGCGTGCTTGGTCTTGCTGGATTTAGCAGCAAGGGCAGCCGTCTTGCTGCCGGACGCCGATGTCGACGGTGGCGGGGCAGCGACGCTGCTCTGGGCGATGATGTTCGTCAGACATAGGCGAATCGCCTCGAGGTCGCGCACGATGTTGTCCTGGCGGAACAGGGCCAGGTAGTTGGCCTTGCGCTGGGCTTCGGCGTCGGCGGCCGCTTTGTTTGGGTTATTTACAGCAATGTAACTGGGGCTGATTGGATAGCTGCGCCCAGTTCCGCGGTAGTCGACGTACAGCACCTGGTAGCCGCGGCGCAGGGCGAAGTGGTTCAGCAGCGGGATGCGCCGGTGGCTGTTGCCGTCGCCGGGCCCGCCGCACAGGAACAGCAGGAAGGGCTTCGCGCCGAGAATGCGCTTCCACTCGTGCTTAACGACTGGAGCTGCGCCTCTCTCGCTGCCCTTGCTGCCGTACACCAGCTCGGCATGCAGAACCAGAGTCTCGCCTTTGGCCGGGGCCTGGTGGTTGAGCGGGACTTCGAACTTGAGCGTCATGACGCTGAACTTGTCCGTGTCGCCATCCGTGTCGTTGTTGGGCACGGGCATTTTGTGCAGCACGGCAGGCTGGATGCCGGTCCAGGCCTGGTTGGGCGCGGGGGGCGGCGCGTAAGAGGGCGCCATGTTGGTGGGCGTTCCGGTTTGTGGCAGAGGCGCCATGTAAGTACCTGATGGAGGCGCCATGTAAATACCTGATGGCGGCGCCATGTTGGCTGGCGTTCCGGCCCGTGGTGGCTGCATGTTGTGTGACGGCGGCGCCTTGTTGACGGGCGTTCCTTTCCGTGAGGACGGAATGCTGTGCGGGTACAAGCTGCGCTGTCTTTGAATGTAGAGTACCGCAAAGCCCTTGCTGTGTCTCTCGTCGCCGAGACTTTTCGTGGTCTTGTCTCTTGTGAGTCGCAGTTGCTTGATCGACCTTGGCTTGTGTCCCTCGTTGCCATCCTCGACGCTCACTGAGGGCTCTATTGACGCTTTTATAGATCGAGACTTCCTGTTTCTGAACAGAGCCATCCGTAGACCTAAAACCAAGGCCAAGGCCCAGTGTCCAGCTCGCGTGAGGCAGTGGCTCAACAGCGCAGGAACAACTCTGTTTGTTTCGAACAAACCGCGGGACTTGCGATGGGAATGGTGCTAGAGATGAAGTTTACCTCGCTACCGTAGTCAGAGGGCCGCGTGGAGAAGCAAGCGATGCGCTTGTACATGGGATCGCCGTCTCAGAGCTGGTCACCGAGCAATGACTCAAGGAGGAGCGGCAGACACCACAAGATAAGACGGAAGTGGGAACCACACACCCCAAGCCCAGGCGTGATGCGCAGAATATAGCCTCCGGACCGCGGGTTGGCCTGTTGGGCCATGTTGGGTCGGGCGCTGGCCGAAAAGGCACACTCGAAGCACCCTGCACACCTGGGCGGAGGCGGAGCGCGGCCATTTCTGGCCAAAGAGCAGAAAAGAAGAAAGCGTCAGGCTTGACTTCGTGACACTCGGAGGCGGGTTCGGATTGTCGCTGTGTGCGTTTGTTGGCTGAGAGGAGGGGGGGCGGGAGGGACAGATGCTGATGGGGGCCGATGTCAGCCATCCCTGGCCGTGTGTGACGATCAGATCCGGCACGCGGTCCTCTCTGACCCTTGCTTTCTTCTTGACTGGTCGCACGGGCAGGCAGGCCGGTCACAGCAGGGCATGGGGCACACAGCGCCAAGACAACATGCCTTTTTTTCTTTTCTCCCCATCCCAGACAAGCTTGATTATTCAGTCGCCGGGCTTCATCGGTCGATGGAACTGCCGGCGTTTCCCTCGGCACTGTCAGCTGGTGGATCTGGACATGATCAACCGGTCTCAATCTTCCCGAACCAGTTTCAGGGATGGAGAGACACAGGCCACCGGGCGATGTTTCCGAGGCTGTGCACGGCCCTGGCGGCGGCGACCCGGGAGACTGGTAAGTGGCAGGCGTCTAGCATGCCTCATGTCTGTTGGTCGTCGACCCTTGGCCGGCTCTGGGGCAAAACTGAGCGTCAGAAGCCAACCACAAGACGCCCAGCAAGGATTCGAATACACCCTGGCTGGAGCACGGATTACGGGATATTTGATGCTACACCACAACAGCAAGCCACTGAATCCCGCGGAGACTTGGGCAGCCGACCGAATTGGTGAGCAAGCTCTCCCCCGGTTGAGGGCCCGTCATGTCACCTGGGCCCGTCAAATAACGCCGAGTTGCCCCTTGCGGCGTCACACACAGACACGCACCAGAGCACCAGACCGCTTTCGCCCAGAATCTCCTATTCGGGACGTGATTATGTCACTTCTTGTTTCTGCTAATTACACGAGAAGTGATGGCGTGCATGCCAAAGTGGTGCTTCAAAAACGTGGAACCCTGCGCACCAAGTCGGACGTGATGGCCCGTCTGGTTGGTCAACAGAAATGCTTGTGTAACTCTGCTATCTACCGGGCGCGCCCCAGCCCGACGAGCCAATCCCGGCCTACACAAATGCGTGCAGCCTGGCGGGTGGCGTGCCACGACCTCTGGGGTCTGGGGGCGTCGTGAACACCCTTGCCATGCAAGCCGAGTGTACCGGCGTGGCGCTCCAATCGGCCAGATCACAGACCTAGACCGCACCTGGACCGCGCCGACGGATATCGCACTCGCCAATAGCCAAACAGCTATCGCCCGGGTTCGGCAGACGTCTCATTGCTCGGGAGCGAAGGGGTGGCAGTAAATGTGGGGACAAGAGGTCAGGGGGTTCAGAAAAGAAAATACCGAGAGCTCGGTGAGCAGGGGGGAGGCGGCAACCGAGCTAGGCGGTCTCCTTGAGCTCGAGCAGGAGGCACTGGGGTCGTCAGCAAAGGCCCAGGTGTGGTCACACTAGGTGTAAAGCTCACCGTCCGACCCATGGCAGTCGTCTTCATCCTGTGACCGAGGTCGGCAGTAGTAGCGCCGCCCAGGAACATCTCCGACTGATAGACGTGCTTCCCCTCTTCGACGATAAAGTCTTTCATGTTGAGGCTTACCCCCGGGACCGGGTCTCCGGCAAGATCCACCGCCTTCAAAGCCTTGAACCTAAACACGGGCTTGGTTTGGGTGTAGGTCTTGACCGAGGCCTCGATCTTGATGAAGTTCAGCTGCAGCGTGTATTTGCCGTATCGCTTGACCGCCGCGTGCTGCAGCGCAACCGCCCTGGCGCGATCTTCGGGCGTTAGCTTTTGCAGCGAAATGTTCTTCACCTCTGAATAGTCGCTGTCCAGCACAAAGACCAGCGAGTGGTGGTCCGCGAGGCCGCCTCCCACCTCAGAGGCCCATTTCCCGATCTGAGTCCGCAGATTCTCGTCGCGTTTGTTGACAAAGCTGGTCAGCTTTTGGACGTAACTCTGCCGCCTCAGCTGGCCTGGCAGATGCAGCTCGTATGAGAGCCCCAGCCGGTACCCCTTGGTCACTGGCAAGATGTCGTAGTTAACGCCATAGTGACTAGATTCATGTCAGCCGGAGGTGTAACGGAGGATCTGGTTGCGACGTACGAAGCAATGAAGAAGTGGTTCTGCGATTCCGGCGCGTGATCGAAAAACAGATCTTTGTTTTCGTAGCCCACGGCAATGCCGCCTGCCTCGTAGTCGTTGTTCAACGTGACCAGCAGCGTTCCAACCCTGCTGGGATCCTCTCTACGGCTGCAACTAGTCAGATGGTGGAACAGCTTGATCCTTCAGCGTTGCTTACCTGTGATAGCAGCGCCAAATCGAGTTCTCCTCCCAGAGATACATGCCGTGCAAGATGGGAACGAGCGTGTTCGCCTTGAAGCCTAGAAACTTGCCGGATTTGTCGGCGATTTGGTTCACGTAGCAGTCCCAGGCCTTGTCGTCGATCGTCAGGTAGTTGCTCAAGAAGAGCCAGGTTGGCATGCGGGGAATTTCCATCCATTCCGAGCCCATGGCCTTGATGCGGAGCTCTTTGGCACGCTGTATGAGCCGATCCAAGTCGGCACTCCCCAGAGTCAGCGACGAAGGATCGAGCTCGCCGAACCCGTCGACCGTGATCTTGGGGATGGGGGCGTCTGGAATTGGGGCGCCGTAGGCTATCTCGCCCGGAGGAATGTCATTCAGGGTCTTGACAATGTCCCTCAGGACAGCTACAGTGTCTGGCGTGCCTTTTGAGGGACCTCTGGCAGTGCTTAGGCCTCGGATCGGCGTTTCCAGTTCGAACTCGGGCTGTGGAACGGAGACGGAAACTTCGGGCGCTTCCTGGTCTGCCTCTTGCTGTGGCTCTGACTGGGGAGTCTCGGGCTGAGCAGCTTCAGGTACACGAATCTCGGGTTGATGAGCGGGCCCTTCCTCGGGAGTCTGGACCGTAGCGACGGAACCATTCCATCTGGAGCCCCGTCTTAGACGTTTTGAGGGGGGGGCAGTTTCGTTGCCAAGCGCTTCAGGGTCCTCAGATCCACGCTTGCTCTTCCCAGACGATGGCGAGCGCAGTCTCTTGCCTGCCCTGGTAGAAGCCAGAGTAGTAGCAGGGCGACTCTCTTCGCCGTTGCAGGCCTGTCTCGTGTCAGTGATTCTGTCTTGCATCTCTGGATATTTTTGACTGGCTCGGTCGCCTGCGCCCTGGTCCGCTGCAGAACCTGTAGACTGCTGTCTGGATGGCTGGCGTGACGTCGGGGTGTTTGATGCCACCGACTGCGGCCGAGAGGGTGCTTTTTTCGAGTTTCTCCTTCTAGGACCCATTTTGCACGCAAGATCCTACGAGTGCTGCTGACTGACTTGATGATTTGGGTTCTGAAACGAAAAGGGTTGAAATTGGTTGTGTGGTGTGGTGCGTAAATGTGTAATTGAGGAAGCGAGTGAAGCGCCCGCAGTGCCAGTAGGTGACGATGGAGCCGTGAGCCTTGACGGTAGCGGACAGTAACTTCCAGGTTTGGTAGTGCAAGGGAGAGGCGAGAGGTGGGGGGCTTAGGCCCGTTCTGCTGCCTGCCAAAAAAATATTAAAGCCCGTCAGTTACAGGCTGGGAGTTTGGAGAGGCGAGCTGAATGCCGTTCGTCCCATTCCTGAAAGCACACCACACAATATCAGTCACCGGGGCCTCCCGGCTTTTGCCACTCTGACCAAGAATCCAATGGTGAGGCGGCCAGCCGCATGCAGTATTAAGTTAAGGCAGTTCAAAAGGCTGCCACGCTTTGTCACGCGGCGATAGCCCTTGTTGCAAACTGGACAGGGCAGCTACGATCCAAAGACGCGGGAGGCTGTCTGAGTTACCCGCAGGGCAAGAACTTAGACACGTATTGTGAGATAGGCGCTGAAATATTACATACCCTACGTAATTAGCACTGCACACAAGGCACCTGGATGACCTTTGTCTAGAGAGATCTCCATGCCTTCCCCGGTGAAAAGAAATACAAGAGCTCAGTCAATTCCCAGGAACCCCGAGGGAGTCTTCTACCGAGTACAAACAACCAAGCTTTAAGAATTACATAGTTACCAATACTTGGGTAGGCAGAATGTTTCAATCAGCATACGAATAGGTGTAACCAGGCTGCTGTCGAAGATTTTCAAAGCGGTGGCTCGTAAACATGTATTTACGAGAACAGCCCGCCCCTATGGCACCTGTGAAAGCTCTTTAATGCCGTGAGTCATAAGCACACTGAAGGATGTCCCGGTGTCAGATCGCCTCTGCTTGCTGTGGCTGGGTAGCAGTGTCGAGTGCGGTCTTTACGCGTGTACCCTACACCAGCCAAAACCACATGTATCGAGAATCTAGAACCTCCCAGGTGATAAAGATCCTCCCTCATGACAGCCTACAGTGCAACACCACGAGCTACAGTTCAAAAATCTGCCAAAGGTTGAAATCCAACGTAGGCCTTTGTGATTGCCGGCGGGGCCTTGGCAAGGCATAGCTTCCTTGTGTTTGATTTTCAGGCAAGTCACGCACAAGGAGCGAGACAGCACAAGGAGCGAGACAAGCAAGCAAACGGCGTGGTTCGGTTCTGCATACGATAGTGTCGACGGGAACAACCCCACTTATGCAGCCCTTGACTCCAGCCAGAACCATATGCAGGTCTAAGAAACCAACCTAAGGAACCTAAGTTCAGGTGTCTGCGCCTGTCAGGTGTCTGCGCCTGTCACATCACAGCATTCACCCAGAAAGACAGCGAGCGCGCGTCCAAAGGTGAAAACACACGCTTCTTTCTCTACTTGCACCCTTGCAGGATTGTGCGATGGACCCTGGTTACAGTACAGCACCTAAATGCTTGTCGACTTGGCGCCCCAGAAGAGTAAGGATCACGAGAAATAGTCCAGCCAAGCAAGGCCTTCTCAAAGGCAGGCAGCCTTGTCTAAGAGAAGGACAGGCCTCTTAGATTCTACCGAGGGCCCCAACAGCTGCCGTCTCCCTTTGAGAAACCTATATGACGCACCAGAAGACAACAAGCCTTTTCACATCTCAACGTGTCACCACTAGCAAACATTCGGCGATTAGACTATTGGAGCAAGGACGGGTGTCGTTGAAAAATGAAGGAGCGGAACAATGTGGCTTTTCCCGATGGAGCTTTCCCCGCAGTCAGGGTGGTTTTGTAACCCTGACGAGTATACAGGATTAGGGCTTCAATTCCCTTTCCCCCGTGTGAACCTCTTTAACGAATTAAATGTACACTCGACAGTCAGGGGAGCATCATTACCAAGTAGATGCTGACCGGTAGCTTCAGACATCCATCATCAGATTCAGATCATTTTGATCATCGTAAGAGAATGGCGTAGCACAGCCACACCTCTCAACTGTTGAGCTGGTCTAGGAAGGAAGGCGCAAAGGCCAACGCCCGTTTGCGGGCAGTGGAGACCTCGGGAACTGCCCACTGCCCACCCCACACGCTTCAGATATACTATGTACGCTCTGGCTGTTTGGCCTTTGGGTTCTCCTCCCCGAAGCAACATAGCGTGTTTATGGAAGCTCTGACACGAGTTTAACAGCCCACCACCTCCGTACCTAACTCAAAGCCAAATTTTTATCCATATCATTTCCTCGCACTGAAGTGGCCACATCACACACGGCGGAAACCTGAGGCGAACATCACATTGCATTCCGCACTGCACTGCACTTGATATGCTGAATTCGATGAAAATTCGTATCACACTATACGTACAAACAAGCAGGTGACTTTTGTTCCAGGAGGAACCGAAACCAGCAAGTCAAAACTGGTGTGTGGGAATTGTCAATCCAGAAACTCCATCCCATACGCCGTGGAAAGTGGCAAGCAATGACAATCTGATGCGAGATCCGAAGCCGAGCTAACACCCGCTGGCTTCTCTCGTCCCCTATGAAAGCACCCAAAATGAACCCGTCGAAACTAAAAGACTTTTGTCACGTACATCCCTAACAGCATAACTTCAACTTCACGCAGCCACGGCTTCGAAGCTAGCCTCAGTGCCCCCGAGGTTCGTTGTCTTTGCCTGGGGGTTTTTCTTGTAGTAGTTGTTGATGGCGGACTTGATGGCGTCTGCAGGGAGTCAGCAATGGTCACCCACGAGGAAGCACTGGCGCCTGAGCGCTCATGTGCATAGCAACGGGCTCGGAGGTCCGTCGAGAGGGCTTGAGGGCTCGTCGAGAGGGCTCCGCACTAATGATGAGGACATGGGGGTGGTTGCATACCTTCGGCAAGCATGCTGCAGTGCAGCTTAACGGGCGGCAAGCACTGTAAAATGGTTAGCAGCGCCCAAAGAGTCCATGGCAGTGTGGCATACCAGCTCCCTCGCAATCTCTGTATTCTGTACTTTCGACGCCTCGTCAAGAGTCATGCCTCGGACAAGCTCGGTCAGATAGCTCGATGACGCTCTGTGGCCGGGTTAGCAAGCGCACGGTAAAGAAGCCCAGAACCAAACAGGCGAGAGCAGCAGGGACAGGTCGATATCAGACAAGCTCTGGGCCGGCGCAGCGACAGAACCTGGCGACGGCTGATACATGAACACGGCCGCCGCATTGACTTCTTCACACCCATTTCGTCCCGTCCCGCAATCGTGCCTGTCGCTCCCAACCCAAAGCTCTGCTGGAGAACCGAAGAACAGTTGCTTACATTGCTGAACCGCATCCGAAGGTCTTGAACTTGACGTCGCTGATGATCTGGGTCTCGGGGTCGACCTTGATGTGGAGCCGCATAACGTCACCGCACTAGACACAAGCCAAACGTCAGCGGCGCCGAACAAAAATATTCCATATGACTGCATCGCGAAGGGAGACATACTGCTGGCGCGCCTACGAGGCCTTCTCCCACCGAGGAATCCGTCTTGTCGAGCGTCCCGACGTTGCGGGGGCGCGAGTAGTCTGCGGTGCGCTCGAGTTAGAATCCGTCTCCAGACACCAAAATGCGACGACGGCGGCAAAGCCCGCGGACAAGCAGAGCGGCGACTCACGGTCGAGAACCTTCTCATGGTAGAAGCGGCGGGTCGCGACAGGCGCTGCTGGCGCGAGCTGGCGGAAGGCGGGAACAGCGACGGGTCGCAGCGCCGAAGCCAGGATTCTTCCAGCCGAGACGGCCCGAACTGATCTCGAAAGCATGATGCTGTCTGTTGGCGATTGGGATTATCGAAGTCGGGTTGTAATCTTTCGTTGGGTCGAGTGGTTGTGTAGAGCGCAATCGATGGGGTGGTGCAGGTCGAATTAGATGTGGTCGTTTGAGGAATCGGGAAGAGGACGTTTGCCAAAAGTTCCTTGGACGCGGGACTTCCAACTCAGTGATGACCGAAGCGGCGAATTCTCACTCTGTGGTGGCCCAAGCTTCTCTTAACATGCTTTTGGCGGGAAAGCAGCGTATTCTGTTAGTGCGGCTTGGTGACGCGCCTATCGGAATCAGCCGTGGTCCTGCCGACGTCGGCTTCTGCGGAGCTCAAGGCTGGGCCCCACAAACCTGCGGAGATAAGATGATCTGATACGGAGACCGAGCGATCTGCATCCTTATCAGATTCTTGTGCCCAGAGCCAGGGAGTCACACAAAATCATTTCTCCTCATACATGGTAAATAGATTATTAGGTTCCTTGGGAAGACTCAACGCAAAAATTTGGATAACGGCAAATCGACTCTGGATGCAAATGACGTAGCAGCTGGCCAGAAAGTTGGACTTGCTCGGGTCCAGAATATATGCAATATGTACGTAATATGTATTCTCTAGAATGAGCAAATTACGGGCTGCAAATGATAGGAACTGCAGACGTTTACCTCGACCCGTTGCCTCATACACCGAGAAAGGCCAGTTGTTCAGCAGCTATGGCAATGTCTCTGCAACGCATGAGAATCCGGGGAAACGCAGGTGCTACGGATTCAGCTTTGCTTGACGCGTGCTGATTGAGGCGGAATTGTGGAACACCTGGGAGCTTGACCAGCTTGCACACGTACATGTATCGAACCCTATTATTTCCTGCAGCAGCATGCGCCAACAGGTGATAACGTCTGCTAGGGCTGTGGATTCGGGCCCCACAGCTTGAGCTGAGCCCCACCTCTCGCCTCCAGACATGGCGGGGTTGGCGTGTGTGCCCCTCGCTGCCTGGACCCATCCAAGCTTCCATCCAAAGCAACGCCAACAGCCTCGCGGAGCTTCGCCAACAACCGCCATTCGCAAAGCTTTGTGCTTACACTGAACGATATCGAGGCCCTTTTTGTTCATAACTATCAACACAGATCTCCTCTCCGAAACAAGACAAATCCCCCGCAAAAACACACCATGGCGTGCCCACACGTTGCCGCAGCCAGTGCGTTCCTGAGCAGCATCCCTGGACTGGACTGGGTTGCCAGCTGACCTCTCCAGACCTCTCCAAGCCGACGCCGACGGACTCGGTATACCGCGAGGACTGCACCCAGTGCTTCGACTCTATCGTAAGGCTGCTCTCGTCTGCCTTTTTGGCCCTCGCTCCTTCCATTCCGGGGAAACACTGCCTCTAACGCAACTTTTCTGCAAGGATGACCCCGCCGGTCTGGATGTCTGTCTGAAATGCTTCAACGGAGGCTGCGTCGGCGATCGAAACCACGCGAAGCTTCACAGCATCACCCGGAACCACCCCCTCGTCCTCAACATCCGCCGAACCCGCAAGGCCGTCGTTCGCGATGAGCCCCCGCCGAAGATGTCGAAGCTTGCCATTGCTGCCGAGACCGAGGCCGACCGCTACGACACGGCGCTAGCTGTCAAGTGCCTCGAGTGTGGGATCCAAGACCTAGACAAGTTGGGCCCCGCCCTCGCTCCGGTGGTTGAGGGGATCATGAGTGCGAACACGTTCTCCAAGAAAGAGGAGGTCAAGGCCTGGGAGCAGGAGATGACCAGCTGCGAGCACATTCTCCTCATGCAGCAGGGCCCGCCCCAGAAGATCGAGTCGCAGGACCTTGGCCACTGCTCCAAGTGTGATCTCAAAGAGAACTTGTGGCTGTGTCTAGAGTGCGGAAACCTGGGCTGCGGGCGGGCGCAGTTTGGGGGTGTCGGCGGCAATTCTCACGCGTTAGCCCACAAAAACGAGACGACACACGGCGTCGCCGTCAAGCTCGGGTCCATTACGCCAGAGGGCACGGCCGACGTGTACTGCTACAACTGCGACGAGGAGCGGGTCGACGAGAACCTCGGCGCGCACCTGGCCAACTGGGGAATCATCTTGTCTGAACGGCAGAAGACGGAGAAGAGCCTGACGGAGATGCAGATCGAGCAGAATCTGCGGTGGGAGTTCTCAATGACAACCGAGGACGGGAAGGAGCTGAATCCATTATACGGACCCGGCCTGACGGGCTTGAAAAACCTCGGAAATAGCTGCTATCTCGCCAGTATCCTGCAGTGCCTCTACGACCTGCCTTCGTTCCAGAAAAGATATTCCGGTGCTCTTGAATCGGCCCTAGATTTGTCGGATCCCGCGCAAGACTTGGAGACACAGCTCCAGAAGATTGGCGACGGACTCCTTTCGGGCAGATACTCGAAGCCAGACTCGGACGTGGTTGCCTCGGAACACTCGCCCGAGCTCCCGCACCAAAAAGGCCTTGCGCCGGCCATGCTAAAACATCTCGTCGGGCGCGGCCACGCCGAGTTTTCGACCATGCGCCAGCAGGACGCTTTTGAGCTTCTACAGCACCTCATCAAGCTGATCACGCGGTCCAAACACACGGCCGGGCGCGAGGACCCCACGCAATCCATGCGCTTCGTCATGGAGCAGCGTCTGCAGTGCCTGAACTGCAAGAAGGTCCGTTACAGCAACGACGAGCAGGACAGCATCTTCATCGACGTGCCGCTTGAGAAGTTGCCAGCCGAGGAAGGCGAGGAGCCCAAGTACAAGCCCGTCACTCTGAAGCAATGCATCGACAACCTGACCACCTCGGAGGTGGTTGAGCTGACGTGCCCATCGTGCGGGAGCAAGGACGGGTTCACGAAGCGCCAGCTCTTCAAGACCTTCCCCGAAGTTCTCGTTGTCAACGCGCGCAAAATGGCCATCATCAACTGGGTCCCCGTCAAAGTTGACGTACCCGTGATTGCGGGCGACGGGCCTTTTAGTCTGGACGACTACCTCTCGCCAGGCCTGCAGCCGGGCGAGGAAACGCTACCGGAGGATTCGGCAGCTGCGGGTGGCGCGCCAGCGTTTGTCCCACATGCCGAGTCGCTCACGATGCTCGAGGGCATGGGGTTCCCGAGGGTGCGCTGCGACAAGGCCCTGCACGCTACAGGCAACAGCGACGGTAATGCGGCGATGGAGTGGCTGTTTGCGCACATGGACGACCCTGATATCGACGTTCCCCTCGACCTTGGAGGTGCCGTCGGCAAGGGAGGCGCGGCGGCTGACCCCGAGAAGCTGGCGACACTCGAGTCGATGGGCTTTGTTGGCCCGCGCGCAGTAAAGGCCCTGGGTGAGACTGGTGGCGATGTCGAGAGGGCGATAGATTGGCTGTTCAGCCACCTTGATGACCAGGGAGATGCGTCAGAGGAGCCCAACGCGAGCGAGCCCGCGGCAAGTGGCACGTTGGCCGGCAGCAGCAGCCTCCCCGCCACGTTCCAGCTACAGTCGATTGTGTGCCACAAGGGAACAAGCATCCATGCGGGGTAAGCAAACACTTCCATCCCTTTCAGCACAAGCGCTAACAGTTCCAGACACTACGTGGCGTTCATCCGCAAGAAGCTCGGTGACGAGACTTCGTGGGTGCTCTTCAACGACGAGAAGGTGGTCAAGGTGGTGGACGTGGAGGAGATGAAGAAGTTTGCCTACATGTTCTTCTTTAAGCGCGTGTAAGGAAGCGGTTATAAATGTCAATGCGTGGCATGTCTGTATAATTAAAAGGAAAATAAATGTGGATAAACGGGCCTGATTCCAGACGGCCTACTCATTTGCGGAGGTGGTTGTTCACTAGTAGACGTTTGCTGCGGCCAGGTTTGGTGCCGTGTGCAGGGCAACACAGGCTCAGTCTTAGGGTCGCTATGCAGTGGAGACACAACAAACAGAATAAATATATAGTGAAAGAAAGCACCTCAATGCCGATCCCAGCAACGCCGCATAACTCCATTGGCCCCTTCCAGTTTAGTCGGTCCAGTCCACCCACCCCATCCCATTTACGCCACAGTACACGTACGCACACGCACGCACACACACACACACACACGACCCACTACCATCACCATGGTGCCTGTAAACTTCAGTCCTGCAGCCGGTAACTGACCAGCGTGTCGACGCGGTGGCTCGCCGTGCTGAACCCTCGCAGCTGCACCCGCTCTCCGTCCACAATCTCCTTGGCGTCGCTGTCCCCCCACTCCACCGGCACGTCGCTGTCCGCGTCCGCGTACACCAGCACGTTGAACGTGCAGTCGCCTGCCAGCTGCGGCAGGAACGTCACCGAGGCAGTGATTTGTCGGAAAATGGCGGCGATCTCGGCCTGGATCTCGGATTCCGTCTTCTCGGCGGGCGGGGATGTTGGTGTGGTTGGGCTTGGCTCGGCGTTTTCGCTGTCGGCTTGGGGGTTGGGGGAGGGTTTGGGTGTCGGTTGCTTGGAGCGGGACGATTTGGATGGCTTGGCGAAGATTTGGACCTATATTTACGTTCGCGTCGGTAAATCTGGCTGGGAGGGTGGGATGGAGATGGGAGGGAAAACGCACGTCAAACTGCCACCGCTCGACCGGCTCACCCGTGTCCTTGTTGGTGATGACAATCACCAGCTTGGAGATCTTGCCGCCCACCATCCACCGGTCCAGCTGCCCCATGATCTTCTTGATGTACGCCCGCACCTGGTCGTCTGACGACACCAGCATGTTGAGCCCGTACTTTTTAACCGCCGAGAAGTCCTCGGCCGGGTACACGCCGCGCTGGAAGCTGTGGGTGTCGGAGGTTAGTATGGGGAGTGTGTGTGAGTGTGTGTGTGTGTGGTGGGAGTAGGGGAGACGTACAGGATCGTGTGGATCGAGTATTGGAACTAGATGGTGGAAAGCGTGGTTAGCCGACTGTATGGTTGGAGTTTTTGGAGGCAGTGGTGCTCACAAACTCGGCGACAAGCTTGGCGCTGCCCTTGAGCGACAGCTTGTGCACTTTGGACTTGTCCTTGTCGGGCGGTGCGGACGCCATTGTGTCGGCCGCTGCGCTGAGTGCTCGGCTAAGAATTGAATGCGCTTTCTGAAGACGTCGGGGCGTACTTCGAGAACTGAATGTCGTTGCGCTGTTGTCGTTGCGCTGTGGTGAGATCTGCTCGTTTCTTCGTGGTCGGCGACAGCAAAACCGGCGATGATGCGGGCAATTTTTTGTTTACCTTGGAGTTGCGCCAATGCGCTGCAGCCGCGGGGCAGACTGAGGTGTCGCTCGGTTGTCAGGGGTTTCCAGCACTAATGGTTTGCCGACGTTTACCCGTCCACCCCAAAAAAGGGGCACAGAGGCTCCACAAAAGGGGATGCTGACACATGGCCGGCTCCCGTCTCATCGTCAGCCCAGCGCTTGTGGCACGGCGCAGCGCGCAACGGCTTCACACCGGCGCAGCCCAAGTGCCGTCAGACAGGGTAGCCAGCCATCCGAGTGTCGGAGCCACGGCATAGGGCTGCAGCGGTTGAGTGTGCCACCAAATCACCACAAAAACATCAAAAAACTCGGACCAGTGCAACTCTCAGGTCAAGACAGTCAATACACATATATACATACTATAGCCTGCTCATCTAATAGACAATAAATATTGGTTTCCGTGAGAAGGGGTTCTCCCCGTAAATAGGTCAGGTTGTCTGCGCCAACTAGCTCCCGACAGCAAGAATAAAGTGTAGTGTTCGTAGAGTTGTTGCGTGGGAAAGGCGTAAGATTACATCAATTCGTCGTGATTCCGCCCCACTGTCATCAACTATAGAGAGATAAAAGCAATGAGAGTGTGTGCGAATCGTAGCGTAGCGTGTGTTTGTTTTCCGTTGCGCGTAATGAGCTGTATTCGCGCGCTATGCATGCAAGTGCTGAAGCAATCAAGGAAGGAATAAGGAGGGCGAGAATAAGGCATCCTCTCCAAAAGAGCGGCGGTGAATCACCCCCACGCACCAGATCTCCGGGGATTGGGAATGCGCACCACCGTCTCGCTCGACTCGTGAAAGTCTATAAACGGCGGCGACGTGGACGCGGTACGGCTAACGGGAGACGATGTGACTGACGGCGGCATGGGGAACGCCGCGAGGCCACCGGGCGGGAATACAGTACCGCTAGAGCTGAGGCTGCCGAGACTGCCGAGACTGCCGCCGCTCGGGGGGCGGTTGAGACGGGCACCGCCCGGCGGGACCAGCGAGTCGGGACGCGACGAGTACGTCGCCCCGGCCGCCAAGAAGCCCGTCGACGATAGCGGAGATACGGGCCCCGGACTGGTCGGCGGGCTTGCCGGGGATGGCGACGATATGCGGTTCGTCTGGTCCGGCCGTGCCCCCGCTGCACCAGGCACAAGGAGTCCGGGGGCGGGGCCTGCCTCTCGCATGGGCGGCTGTGCGCGGGACCCTGCCGCAGCCACCGCCGCCGCCGCCGCCGCCGCAGCGGCGCCAGCTCCCGCCGCAGTTTCCGCGCCCAGCAAATTGTTGCCCATGCCGTCAGCTCCCGCGGATGAGTAAGGTGGAGGGGGGCCTCTGAACAGCCGGTGGACAAGGGCCGATCTTCGAAACAGAAATAATAGGGCTGCAAGGCTTATAAGCGCAAGGACGCCCACTACAGAACAGTTAGCTTGGTCCGGTAGAGATGCAAAAATACCAGAAAGACGCCTGTTTCGGCATACGTACCGACAATACCGGCGATGGCGCCCGGCGGTAGACCTGAGTTGGAAGATTCAGCAAGTGAAAACTGACGAGCGCCAGTGCCAGTGCTTGACCCCGTGCCTGTGCCTCCTGTTCCTGTGCCTGTGCCCGTACCTGTTCCCCTTCCGGCCCCGTTCGCGACTCCCGTCCCCACTCCCGTGTCTGTGTTGCCGCTCGTGGAGCTGGTGCTTGATCCGCCTGTTCCTCCAATCCCAGGCCCAGTCGAGGCCTGGGGGTTGTAACCCGACGAAGGGCCAGACTGGGCTGCGGCTGGCCCGGGTGGCGAGCCGGCAGACTGGCCTGTGCTGCCGTCATTAGTCTCGGCTGGTTTGGGCCCGCCCTCGGGGCTTGTCGATGGCGATGGCGAGGATCCGGCAACGCCATTCGAACCTGGGGTTTGGGCCTTGTTGGTACTCTCGGGAGCGTCCGCCTTCGGGCTATCAGGTCCCGGGCTGGCTCCGCTGGCTGGCGTCTCTGCAGCGTTGGGGTTGGGTTGATCTGGCTGCCCCTGTGGTGTGGACGCGCCAGGATCATTTGGCGACCCTCCCGTGGCTGGTGATGTTGCGGCTGGCGCCGGTACAGGATTTGGAGAGGCCGGGGCGGGAGCGGAGTCGGCTGTGTGCTCTGGCTGGACCGGTGTTGTTGGTTGAGCTGGAACGGGCTTCGTGGGCTCCAGAGTTGGCGTGGGCTTCTGTGACGTAGTTGTAAGAGTAGAGGAAGACGTTTTCTCCCATCCGCCGCCGCCGCCGAACGGGTTCTTAGGTTTGCTAGGGCAATAGGGATTTGGTATGTCACATGGATTAAATGATCCAGGCCACCCCCTCTCGACCAAAAGCCGACTTGGAAATCCTAGATGCATCTTGAGGATGTCAAGTTCCCTCTCTTGTTGTTTGAACAGGATCTACCATGACACCACCACTGCGCCGTGTCTGGGATCAACCCAGCGAAACCATATCTTCATACAAGTGAGGGAGGTAACCGTAGTCGTTGCTGAAATATGGAGGCCGTCGAAGAAAACAAAGCAAGAGACTCCACAACGAAGACACACAAACTAGAGCAAAACGATGGACAGCAGCACAAAACGAAGGTGAGGGTTTAGTAAAGGGGAAAAGAGCAAGAGAGTGCAAGTAAGTGCGAGGGCTGTGTAACTGGAGGTAGGCGGAGCAGGCAGAAAATATTGAAGGGAGATGCCACCAGACCAGGGTCTGGTGCTGCTGCTCTGTTTCCGAGCTCCTCCCCTCGCCTCAGGCCTCGCCCTCTTCCCTCTGCCATCTGGGGGCGGTAGGGTGTGATGACAGTGACCGCCCCAGGAGGGCCAAGCGCCAGGCACCTCGCAGGCTCGCAGGCTGCTCGTAGCATTTCCAGGGCGGGAAGCTCGAATGCACCACCATGACTAACCCCCGCCGTCTCGGCATGTAACCCCAGTGGTGGGCTGGGTAGGGCAGCCCACCCAGCTGCGCGTCGCACAGACCTGCACTTAAGATTAAACAGGCACACGCCTGCGAGGGCCAGGGCACGGGGGCTGCGTCTAAGCCCAGAACAGACACTCGGGGCCGACGAGATGAGAAGCCCAGCTGCAGGAACGAGGTGCGGAAGTGACGTTGGTGCACGGAATGTTTTGCACTCTGCGCGCTGGCCGGGGCCGTCAATGGGAAATGCCATCTCTGCGAGCTACTGTCAATATTTGGCATGGACTGCTGCAAATGGTTGCCTCTAGCGAGCTGGGCCAGATGGCAGCTGCAAGCCATGCAGGTTTGTGCTGATTTGTAGCCAACAGCTGGAGAGAGGAGGGTGGGAGAGGCCTGTTAGCTAGCTCCCCCAAAAACGTGGATGGGTAGGCATTCAGGCGATCGATCCATCCCAAAGTGTGCAGCTTCCTGGATTCCGGATTCATCGGAACATGGGGCTTGTGTCTGTTCCATGGAAAACTCGAAGCTGGGCGGAGCGTTGAACACAAAAAGGCTAATCCATCAGACGACGAAAACCGGGTGGGATGCTGCTGACTGGGAAGGGGGTTGTTTCCAGAAAACGAAAAGCACGGCCTGAAACAAGTGTGCTGCAGGTTGGTGGTGTGGTGGAATGGAATGGGATCCCCGTCGGACTTGTTAGCCTTAGCGTACCATTGCGCCGGTCAAAGCAATACGCGATACAGACGGGTACGCGGGTGGGTTGCCAGCTGTCAGGTGTTGAGTGTCAGCAGCCTGGAGAATACGATAAGTAATCGTGAAATGTAACCGCAAAGAGTGCTGACTGCGCCTCTGCATCAGTTGCCCGTAGATTTGCATTGCCGTCTGCATGGCAGCCAGGGACGCGATGCCGAGCAGTGGAATTGATTAGTCTCGATGCGTGGAATAAAATGACTTGTGGCAAGCGACGGGCAAGCGCATCTCGAGATTGATGGGGTGACAAGGTTTCAGGCCAGAGTTGGGGAGTCTTTTAGCATGCGGAACCCCGCCAAACCAGATGCGTGTGCCTGGGCCGGCCTGTGGGTCACGTCGGTTATCACTTCCATGTCAGCCCGACTCAGCCAGCCCCAGGTCGCTTCCCAGTTTCTGTATGCCTAGAAGAGCCAAGACGGGCTGTTTCTAACTAGACGTGGCTCCGTAAACAACCTGAACCACAAAGTGTGAGGAACGGGCGTCGACACGTTTTCTTGGCAAATCTGACATCAGAATTCTATATCAGAAACCTAGTTGCTATTACCTCACTCGGAGAAAACCATCAGGTGAGTCGCGAATCAACTGTTATAGCATTTCTCATTTTTTTAAATTACCCTGCTAATGAACTTCCAGGCACTCGATTACTATAAGGTCTGAAAATGCCGATAATACTTATCCTTCATTGTTCCAGTGAAACCCCTATAAATGGGGAATCATTTGCAGCCACGCTGGCGACCAGTAAACGCCAATGGGGACGCGCCGGAGGCTGAGGAAAGACTCGACGACGAGGAAGGCCCTGGCTACCAGGTACAGCACCATGGCTAGCAGCCCCCAAATGCGAGGGTGTAGTAGTTGAAGTTCCAGGCGAGCTTCTTTCTCTCGGCCGGGCTCAGACGCGTGAGCTTCAGCGCCGGGGCGGCAGCCATGGACATGAATACGGCCAGTAATGGCATGTACACGTCATCGAAGACTTTGGAGGGCCCCAGGGCCCCGGAGCCGGTCGACAGCCGCAGCGGCGTAAAGGGCCGCTTGCCCGCACTATCTGCGTTTTTGGACCCCAGCAAGCTCGCCACGTCCTTAGACGGCTCCTCGACCGGCTCGTGCATGCCTTCCAGCTCCTCGGCCACCCGCTCCCATCTCTCTTCTGCCAGCGCCGAGAAGCCGTAGTCTTAGCTCCTCCTCCTAGTCCTGCTCGGCTAGTTAGCAGCAGCTCAAAGCTCCACTTGAGCCCCGACTGCACCGCTGCACCGTTGGAATCCAGGCAAAACAACTTTAGCGCTATCCCAAGTGGCACGTACAGCCAATGAACCTCTAACTGCGACGACAGAGTCACTGAATCAGGTCAACCAAGGCTCTCCATACGCAGGCTCTGGTGTGCGTAGAACGACTTTTGCCCCATGACGGACAGCGTGTCGAGCTAGGACGCGTCGAAGACCAGTTCGGGGCTTCGTACGTCGAGCGGCTTCTACGCCCAAAAAACAAACATGATGGCCGCGCAGACAACGTGGGCCATGGTGTGCATCTCAAGCAGCCCCAGCGGCAATCGAAGCTAGTCACTTTACATGCTTTGTGCTTAGCTTTACTATGGGGAAGTACTACACATTTCTCAAGTAATTAGCAAGAATAGAGTGATCACAAAGCAGCCTCGACTGAGCAAGTCGAACGGGTTGTCTGAGACAGGCGAGAAGCAAGCAAAGAGCCAGCATCAAAGGTGGACTCTTTCGATTACGAGACTGTGATACCCCCAATCCGTGCATTCCGGAAGGATCTGTATAACATGTACGACCAACGGGCCGCAAATGCCCTCATGTTTCCGCCTTGACCGAATCCACTTTTCTGCCTGCTCTGACAGGCACTCACAAATACCCGAGGTCTTAAATTCAAGCGCATCTTACATGTCTAGGGAGGCCTTTGGACCTACATGAGTGATAAATTCTAATAAATAGAAGTGAAACAGGCAAACAATTTGGTTTCCTTAACTGTGACCATTGCGGCAAATAATTACGAATAGTTAATTAGTTGATTTCAGTTCTGAATCGGCGTACAGCCTGAAATATCTTCTTTAAATACTAGATTCGCCATACTCAGCTTCTTTGAGTTTGTATCCTGCAGCGAATTAGGTCTATTACCAACTTTTATGCGCGGTAGCAGCAGTGTACCGACATGATCTGTATACCCACAATTCTTTGCTCAACAACCAACCACGGCCACACCACCCAACCAGCAGCTCCCGTGCGAGCATCGTCCACCCCGAGTCCTCCCTCACACGGTATACCTAAACCAGGGCACACGGTCGGCGCGATCGCGCTCGAGCAGCTTCTGCTCGTCCGTCAGCCCCAGCGGGCCCGCAGCAAGCGCCGCGGCGCCGCCGAATCCAGGACTCGCGTCGCGGCGGGCGTTCTCGCGGCGGCACCAGGCGGTCATGGCGAGGGTCAGCACGAAGGCCATACTAACAAAGCCGATCAGGATGCTGTGGCCGCGGACGTAGCGCGGGCCGTCGCGCGATAGGTACACGTACGACGCCACGATGCCGCCGCAGTTGCCGCCCATGACCTGCATCGCGATGGCCGTCGCCCGCTTCAGCGAGCTGCCGCCCGTGTTGCCGCTGTTCCATGCCAGCCCTAGCGGGATCTGCGGGAAGATGCCTGCCCCCCGCCCCCCCCCCGGTCGCTGTCAGCAGGTTTCACGATAAATGGAAAAAAAATCAAAAAAATCAAAAAAAAAATCACATTGGTTGATTAGGTAGTGGAGGAAAAGGCTCTTACCAATCGCGGCCAGGACCGTCCCCGCATACTGCACCGACGCATCGCCCGTGGCAGCCAGCATGGCGAAGCCGGCGACGGCGACGAGCTGGAAGCCGAGCAGGAAGACGCCGCGCTGGCGGAGGCGGTCGGCGAACCAGCTGGCGGTGATCGTGAAGAAGCAGGCGCACACGTAGGGCGGCACGCTCATCAGCTGGGCGTTGTTGGCCGTGTAGCCCATGTTCTTGATGATGGTCGGCAGGAACAGCGAGAACGAGTAGATGGGGCAGAAGCCCGCCATGCAGATCAGCATGTGGATGTACACCTTCCAGTCGCCCAGCACCTGCCACACGTACTTCATGTTGAAGTCGTCCAGCAGGTGCCCGTGGTCCGCCCGCAGCCGCCGCTTCACCTCGGCGCGCTCGTCCTCGGTCAGGAACTTGGCGCTGTGGCACACAATTGTCAACACGGTGACTCTTAGTCTCTGATTTCCCCCTAACTAACTTACGTCGCAGGGTAGTCGTGGATGATCCAGTACGCGCTGAACGAGACGAGGATACTCAACAAGCCCTCGAGGATGAAGATCCAGGCCCAGGCGGGCAGGCCGCCGACGCCGGCCATCTCTGCGATGCCGCGAGCGAGAATACCGCCAAAGGCGCCGGCGAGGGTGGCGGCGGAGAAGAAGAGGGCCATGCGGAAGCCGCACTCGTGGCGGCAGTACCACTGGGTGATGTAGTAGTTGACGCCGGGGAACAGGCCGCCCTCGAAGGCGCCCAGCAGCACGCGCGTGGCCATGAGCCCGGCGTAGTTCTTGACGAAGCCCTGCCCGACCATGACGGCCGACCAGCACACCATGATGAAGGTCAGCCACACCGACGGCCGGAACCGCTTCATCATCATGTTGCTGGGGATCTCGGCCGCGATGTAGAAGGGGAACAGGATCGCCAGGCAGTCGTTGTACTGCAGCCCCCCCAGCCCCAGGTCCGCCTCGAGGTTGTCGAGCCGCGCGTTGCCAATGTTTGTGCGGTCGAGGAAGCAGAGTCTGCGCCTGTGTCAGGTCTAGGTCGAACGGCAGGCTGCGTTCACCTACAGGTAAATGATTGACATGATTGGTAAGATGTGCCAGTCGAGCTTCGCTAGTAGCCGTCTTGTCCCCAGCTCGTCCCATCCTTGGACCTCGGGATCGAGGGCATTGAGAGAAGCAGATGCCGACGTCTCCTCCCCCTTGGACGGCGGCACTGCCGTTTTCTCGTCCACGCCCATTACTACGGCCGAGTGCCGCGGCAGTGCCCGGTGAGGTTAATTATTGAATTGCAGAGCGATACTGAAAACAAGGTCAAGGAAATTGCAGAATGCAAAACAACCGAGATATACTTCTGCAGAAAAGATAGGACCGAGGGGGTGGCGTATGGAAGACGAAAGATGGAGAGAGACAGTGGGGGAGCCAAGAGCGCCCCTAATACGACCAACTACCGACAGCCCCAGAACTCCCGATCCGATGGCATCGGAGGAGCCAAGAGACGCACGCAGTGGCCATGCGAGGACAGAGGACGGACCGTGCAGCGTGCCCTTCCCAATCCGTAGGATACCCCGAAAGCCGTCCTATCATTCACTCGCAGGGGGCCAGGGTAGGTAGGCAAGTAAGACGTGCTGCAGTCAGATCCAGCATCTTGTGCTTTTGTGCTGTCTGCAGTAGATGCACTGTGCCTAGTAGTACGAGTGCCGTGTCACGAGCAGAGACAGATGTCCCCCCAAATCTGTGCGCATCAGCACCTAATGAAGCTTACCGAGCCAGAAATTACCGTAGTAGATGCACCACTGCACACTAGGTTATTTTTTGCCTCGGCTTGTGCTCTCTGCCCTAGGGCTGACGTTGACAGACTAACACGTCGGCAAGCAGCCCCTGGCGCGCTGTGTTCCCTCACCCACACTGACCGCCGGGTCCAGATTTGTCTCGTCTCCCGTTATTAACCAGCGAGTCCAGTCCGTCGTCAGGTAGCCACATGCCGAGATAAGAAAGTTTGGCTTGCTGCAAAGTAACACGAGCCGTTGCATGTATAAGAGGGACAACATGTAATACCTAAACTCCGGCAGTCTAAGAAGTAAGCCTGGCCGACTGAGCGGGTATGTATGAGCCGCCGCCAAGCAGCCAATGAGATGACGGGTAATGTTGCGTCAAAACACGATAACGCTCGCCGGAGAGGTAACATACAGAATGTGATCCCTCTGTCTGACTGGCTGGTTGGGGCCTTGTTTGTGACACCTTCCCGAACGGGCGCGAACATCTAAATAAAAAGTCCGGACCCCCAAAAAGCCTGTCTGTCACTTTGGCAGGTTTTTTTTTTTTTCTCGTTTTCGGGCCGCATTCTGTTCGAGCCGTCTGTTGTCTGTTGCTCTCATGCGGTGCAGCGCTGGAAATCCTTAGGTACCCCGTATTTTAACCAACCCAGGCGTGGTTCATTTGTTCTAGGCCCAAACCCCGGTCAGGTGGATAGGAAACGCACTGGCGAGACGTGAACTGCACTACCATACCAGCACTGCAGTTTTTCTTTTCGTCATTTTTCCTTTGTTTTATTTTTATTTTTCTTGTCCCCCCCTGTTGTAAACAATTCATCCCTGTCATTTATTCTGCGCGCAGCGGAGCTCAGCTCGGATTTCCAAGATTTGACATTTTGTAAGCTGCCACGTCGGAATTGTGTGTGAGGTCGCTAGCTGCCGTTAGAGGAGGGTGGATGGCGGCGGGCGGGGGGCGCACCGATCGGATCTCAACGGCGGTTGCGCAGTTTTTAGCTTTGCTACAGCCCATGTTTGCCAAGACCCTTGCCCGCGGGAGATCTTCCCCAGACGGGCCAAGGCTCCGAGACGGGACGGTCTGGGGTGCGATGCTGCACGAACAACACTGCAACAGGCGGGGCAATCACAGTGTGCGGGAAACCACGGCTCGCGGGCTGGTCGTACTGGTTATTGTATTCCCGATAGCGAGGGTAGGTATTCGTACTCGATAATCAATCACAAACTTCCATTCCAGGAAAAGAGAAAAGTGAAAGGAAAGGAGACGAAGAAAAATCGACTTATCACCGAACCATGTCACTGTCAGAGGCCAGGTGGAACTGGAAAAGCCCCCAAAAGGGAAGGACCTAAGACCGTCCTGTCTCGCAGCGAGCGGCCGTCGGGTGCAACACAACCCCACCCTGCGCCGAGTGGCATCTTGGGCCCCAGTCTCAATACCCAAACCCAAGGAACTGCAAAAAAACACAGGCCATCCAGGCGAGCAATGTCTCGGAGCTGTAATTACTACAGAAGTCTGTTCTTGTGTTGCATTTTTCAACGTGTTTGATATGACAGCTGTCTCAGGAGAGACGTCATCCGTGCGGGGAACACCGAGCGAGACACCAAGATCGAGGCGAGGGTCCAAGAAATTTTGACAAATAAACTAGACTACGCGGACCACATGAGTCCGCAGATGTGCGGCGAACAGATCTTCTTAGATCCATCTCGGATCAAGCGCAGAGAGACCTTGAGGAACCGTGGACATGTAAGTGAAGCGCAACCCTTGATGTCCTCAGAATTAATTCAGAGGCCGAATATTTGAATGATATCGACTGGATCAAACCAGTTGATTGTGCCTCAGCTTTACTTTGTCCCAAACCCCCTCCACCGCTCCGTCCGACCCAAGTCAATCACAAACGCGCGACACACTAACATTCGTCACGGATTCGAACATCCCAGGGATAGGTAGATATATCGAACTTGTATCTAGACATACACGGTTTCCCTGATCCAACGACCCCTTCTCAGCCACATTTGACAAGACATCAAAACCGAAGAGCCAGGAAAATGAGGAAACTAGTTATTCCACCATGGAAATCGAAACTCGTAGGCCTGCCCATCCACCCATCTGTGTACGTCCATAAAACCAAAACCCTGGCACCCTGGCACCATGCCAAATTGTAATTCGACTCGAAACGAAAATCCCGGGATGAGACCAATGATCAAATGCAGCAAGTTTTCTCCCTCCATAAACTCCATGGTACCCAAAAAGACAGTCATCTCGCCCCAAAAACCAGATTCAACTCGAAATGGAAATAATTAAAAAGGTTAAAATATATACGAAAGAAGATCATGCCCGGTGACGGACATGACATGAAAAAAGGGAGAAAAGAGAAAAGGAAAATTGGATCATGTGACAGCACATGTGACAACACATGTGACAAAGTGGGTTTCGCACTTTAATCGTAGCCCGCTCCTCTTTGCCAAGGACTGTCAAAAACCACCGTTAGCAAAATCCAACAAAACTTCGCATCACGCGGTCGTGACTTACGTCGCGCTCGTGTGATTAGCCCTCTGCGTCTGCGACTGGTGGCCGCCAGACGACGAAGACCCAGCAAAGGGGCTGGGCTCCCTGGACGAAGTGAAGGGGCTTGGCGCGCGGAACGTGCTGCTTGGGCGTGGGCGGACCGCGGCACCATGGGACTGGGGGCGGATTGCGTGGGCGTCCGAGTTGGAATACAACGAATTCCTGGCCGAGTTGGAGCCGGACGCGGGCAGGGGCATGTTGGCGGGGCCGGACATGCTGGAGCCGTCGTCGTCGAGGTCGAGAGCCGGCTTCTGCCACTTGCCCGAGGCGCGCGCCGTGGCGCCTAGCGCGTCGAGCTCCGGGTTGGTGTGGAAGTGGGTCTGCGACTTCATGAACGACGTGCGGTCATCGTTCATGAACTGGTAGCGCGTGTCCGGGTTGTTGTGGAACAGAACCAAGGTCGTCGTGACGATGAGCATGAGGAGCAGGATCAGCGAGAAAGCGGCGTTCGCGATCCACAGGACAACGCCAACCACGCCGATAACCAACGGCGGGAGGCCTAGGACATCGGTAAAGACGAACAGGAAGATGGCATTGACAAAGTTCATCGCGCAGATGGCGATATTGAACGAGTTCGTGCTCTTGTCCATCCACGGACGGAGAACGCTGGCCGCAATAAGCGCCGCGACCTCGATGATGATAAAGGCCACCGCCTGGACAGATCCGTGGGCCTGGGCCAGGGCGATGAACATGCCTTTGACGAGCGTATATCCAAGAATCGGTATGATGAAGTAATATGCCGAGGCGCGGAACTGCACGTACAAGAACCCCCACTTGTTGAGGGCTTGCGGGTCGGAGAAGAGGATGTAGCCAGGGTTCTGATGGAGAGCGACTGAACGGCGGGCCAGCCGCATGACCTTGAACGCGCTGAAGGCGAGGACACCCGTCATTCCAAAGAAGAAGAAGACGGCCAGGACGACTTCGGCGGGCGAATCTATCTGTGTGAACTCCCAGAGGCAGAGGATCACCATCTGCGGGTAGCCAATAAGCGTCACTCGGAAGAGGACCCCTGTACACTGTCAGCGCGAGCTAATCTCACTGGGTCCCTGTGAGGAAGCCTTACCCTTGAGCACAGTAAGCCAACCGTTTCGAAAGTCAGCAAAGGTGTCGCTCTTGATCCACCCAAGCTTTGCAGAAAGCTCGCAGAAGCCTTTGAAGAGGGAGACACAAAGGGCTGCCAGGACCACAAAGATGTAGAAGAAAGTCAGGCCCGTCATGAACAGGTTCGTAGACTCGATTGCAGCGCGGAAAGCGACTCTCTGGATCCCATAGACGATGTAGCTGCCAAAGAAGGTCTGCACGTTGGCACGCTTGGCGAGGGTAGTCACCTGCGTCACTATCGGGTTGGGCAACAGCGCCGCGGCACGGCGGAAGAGGCTGAGGCCGGGCTTGAGCATCGGCAAGGCGCGCTTCACCTTCTCGACCTGCACCGACACGTTTTGAATCGAGTCGAGGATCGTCGAGGGCGTGCCGCCGGTTGAGCGCTGATACCATGTCAAAATGTCCTGGATGAAGTCGACCTTGATGATTCCCATGCTCCACTGGAAGTCCTGAGTCCACGAGGCTACAACGGGTGGGAGAGGCACGCCACAGAGCCCGATCATGGCTTGGGCCTGGAAGTAGCCAAACAGGGACAGCGTGTTGGCCGCCACGTGGGAAGCCGCATTAGAGAAGCCCAGCCCCGACACCACGGCCGAGGCAATGAGGGCGAGGCCCGCTACTGCTGCAGCGGCCCATTTCACACCAATAAGGTCAACTAAAATAAGGTCAGCGGCGGGCCACGGCGAAATCAGGGGCTGGACATACCTGTCTTTCCGTTGGAAATATTTGCCTCGACGCAAGCGATGCTCTGCCCTGCCTGGTCGCCATCCGTCATGTTGACGAGGATTCTGACTGTGGCGTCCAGGTCGGGAAAGGAATAGGCGATGCCGGGGATCGAGTTGGCTGCCGACGGGGTGACGGGGAGGATGAAGGGGTTCGACATGTCGCCGGCCGTCATGGGACACAACCCAGGGAGGTTCGATTTGCAGGGATCCATTGTAGTGTGCATGAACTCGTAGCCGTAGGCAGAGATGCGGATGTCGAAGATGACGTGGCCCTCGATAGACGACGTCGCGATCATGTTGATGGCGACCGTGTTGTTGTTGGGCGTGAAGATGACATCGAACAGGCTGGCCGTGAAGCCGGAATTCGCCTGGCACGCCGCCAGGGAGCTCGACCGGAGCACATTTTCGGCGCTGGCAGGGAGTACGAGGGCGACGAGGGACGCGAAGGCGAGGAGCGGGCTCGGTGGAATACGCATTTTGGCGTGAGGGCTTTCGTCGGAAGCTCCTCGCAAGCTCTGTGATGTGGCGCCGGTGCGAGCTTGGAGACTGTGAATCGATCGTCTTCAATTGACGAGCTCCATTCGAGTTCGCTGAACCTGTTCTTGGGGTTGGTCGCTCGAAATGTCCTTCCGTCCCGTTGTAACCCAGGTGTTGTCGCGATTCGCTCGAGGATTCCTGCCCAACCTGACCGGGCGGGCGGCGACCGAGTCCGGGACCAAGCGAGCGAATTTCCAGCGACGATGGGGGCCAATTACAGCTTGTCGGTCCAAACTGCCCATGTGTCGTGGTGCTGGGCCGCCGTAAAACGATCGATGGCGGCGAAGGTGAGAAACGAGCGAAATCGATCGGTGATTGACGATGGATGGTGGTTGGGGAAGAACAGGGCGCCGCTCCACTGTTCAGCAGGGCAAACCAGGAGTGGAGGAATGATCGTGTTGTCAGGTTCAGGGCAGGAGGAAAATCCTGACCAGGGGGGTCGGGAAGAACGCGGGGTTAGTCGCCCGACAGGAACAGGCCAACACGAGGGTTTCCGATGGCTGTGCCAGGAAACAAGGGCGCGCGATTGGGCCAACGCTGCATTTTTCCACCTTGGCTGACGTTCTCTTGCCTTGTTTAGTCAAGACGCTAACAAGGAGAGTGCTTACCGGATTGGTTAAAATGAGACGGCCCGCCTTAGCGAGATATTTGGAGACTTCTATTGGCTGGGTGCACCAGCTGAGGGCGCAGTCAGCTGCTCTTTTCGGCTAAGACAGTCTTGAACAAAGATTAAAAGTCAATTCCTTGTGACACGACCTTCACAAAATCAGGCGGCGGTGCTGCACTCTGTTCTTCAATGCGGCTGCTCTGGCAAACTTCCGGTTGACGAGCGCCTTACGACGGCAATCAGTAAATCTCCATGCATCCATTCCAGGCCCGACGGGACTCCGTACAGCGTGCACAGTCGATCGATTCTGTCATATATCACCCGCACCTGCGCATCGGGCCCTCCCGGGCACATCCAACGTTACCTAACAAATCCCGGTCATTTTATCCGACAATCCTCTCACGGCGTTGATCCGCGTCCGAGAACCGAGGTTCCGATGGTCGTAATACCCCGCCAGAGATGGGTCGACGAGGGTTTTTATTGCACACATGCAACTAAAGGCGTAAGCTGACCGACAAAGCCTAAAAGAGAGCCCGCGACGTCTGATAACTCCGAGTCATCTTTAAGCTGGTTCGCTCTTCCTTAGCGATCAATCTATTCATGCCTGTAGGTTAACTGTTGGAATATTCACTGGTTTCTGCGTCCTAAGAAAAAGATCGCAGGGAGAGACAGCTCTGACAGGCGAGTGGGAAAAAGTCCCATATCCGATGGCAATTCTAGTTAGCACAACGAGTACTGTTGAATGCGAATCACCTGTTTCATGCTTTGAATGGGTATTAGGGAGACCAGTCACTTTGTGGACAGAAGAGGGTGCTGAAGGTAGCAGACAAGTTCCAGCGAAATATTCAGTATATATTCTCGACGGGTGGCTAAAAATGCGTACAACATGATAGAAAAGAGCCAGTTTGTTTTGATTATCTAAAGAATTTGTTAGGGAGCATAATTCAAGGTTCCACAACACCGTCAAATAATTCCCAAGCCTGCCTGAAACCCAATATGTAGTTCCAAACGAACATCACTACTTCCTTAGTTACAGGTCTGAATGACGGCACATTTGGTGTGACTCCCTCCTTACTTTCCTCGTCTCTCCAGCGGTGACTGGTCTTGAATGCTTCACCAAGGCCCGAACCAAACATCGTAAGTGCATGATCTCGTTCGGGTATAAAAACCCCGTCTTGGGAGTCCATCCCGAATGTTGAGCATTTCCTTAGATCCAGCGCCTCATAAAACCTAATCCTCATTTCCAGAGAGACGTCTCCAGGTAGATTGGGTACGTTAATATGCAAGGATGAAATCGATTGGGACCGCCAATGTTCGCTGGCCGCAATGGCACGACAGAGGCTCTCCCCAAGACATGGATCCTGAAGGATATTCGGCGAAGGGAGTAAACGACGCATAGAGGAAGCAACTGGCGTTGAGCCTTGAGAATCGTCTGATTCGCCGTCCTAAACCGCCCTGTACGGAGCGACTAATGTTTGATGAGGTCGGACGGACAAGTCGGAATCGTCTCCTTCTCGCAAGGTCCGCTTCCGTTTCTTAACCAGCGTCTCCCTAGCAGTCTCGTCGCAAGATTCGGGACGGGTTAAGTCTTAGTCAGCATTGCAAAAAAAAAAAGGATACTATGAAACTTTACCTTTATTGCTATTCTCCGCCGGAACATCGCTTTTCTCCACAGCACCAGGGCTGGCGAGATTGTCGCGCTTATACTTCTGTGGGAGAGCGCTGAGTCTCTGGTCGTTAGGCCAACTCGATTGTTTTGCTACCCGCGAGGCTCCGTCAGAAAGTGCCCAAGTAGTTTCGCCTCCGTGGTCGAGGATAGCTCGTCCCTGGAAGAGAACTGCAGAGACAGCGAGAGTTCGGGAGCTCAAAGTTCGAAAATGAGTCCGTTTCTCCAAGTATTTCTTCTTGTCGGCTTAATCTTCTTGCGAATTTCTGAAGATGCATTTAAGAAAGAGCTCAGCACTCTTGATGTGACTGTCGGTGAGAGGCTGACTAAATGTTATCAAGGGGAATTTCCTAGCCATAGCATGATGCCGAATTGTATCTAATAAGGTATATATTTGATGGTACTGTCTACTCTGGGCCGGGATGCGGTACGAAAGCGAATGATAGCTGAAGAAGGCGGGACTAAGAAAGCCGGTGCTGGAGCGCAGCGCAGCGCGGGATGAGTCGGCGACAGGAGGAGGACATTTGGGATTATTGCCCAACCAACTCGAGGTGTCCCGGGACTCGGACGAACAGAGGAGCACCATGGTAAAATTCTGATGGGGTTGTAGGCGACGGAAGGGCGCCATTGGCATAAGACCAAATTTTCCTTGCTGACTGGGGTGAGCTCCTGGATAGTGCAGAACTCGACCTGCGAGTTGCTTATGGTAATGCAGTGCCGGACGTCATCGAAATCGGTAAAATTGACCGACGCCACTGGACTGTTCTTGTTCTTCTTGTTGTAGGCCTGGAGTTTGTCGTTAATCTGACGGATCGTTTTCGTAAAGGGCCTTTCCTTCGTCGTACATGAAGCGCGTTACGTTTGTGACAAAGTCCTTTACGGAATACGCCTACGCCCAGGACTCCGTCTCGTTGTTGCTGGAGTTGCACCTATCTGAACACGCGGCCATTTGAACTGACACCTGAGACTGGCACCCACCCGCGCGACCAGAAACCATTCATTGGCAGGGAACTAGCTAAAGTTTAACCGCCTAGTTCAAATGTGGCACATACCTCGTGTTTTTCTAGGGGCTGTTTCTTTATAGCCCAGTTCCGTGTCTGGCACAAGAGTCGCCAATACACGAAAAGTTGCGATGGAGTCAGGGAGGGTCTGTACTACGTATCCACCTCAAGTACCGCTCCAGCAGTCATTCACGGTTTGACTGCATGCTTGCACTTTGAATCGTCGATCCGAAACCGTATCGTGAGAGGTGGCGGACGAGTGCAGGACTTGATATGGAGTAGATCGACAAACTTGACCATCTGGATGTGCGGAACCCTCGACTCTCGTCTTGCTCTCACTGGGTGCACGTTCAGAAGACACGGATCTGGCGTCCTGGACCAGTTACAAACTGGATCCACCATGGGCCTGGAACATGAGTCCGTGCACCCGCATCAACCTGGAATAGCCCTCTCAATCTTTTCTCCTTCCTCTTGCCATTAACCTAGACTCTTCAGTCCACGTGCCATGGTATTCTCGTATTCCCTCAGGGCGGAACAAGGTGGCAGCGAGGGATCTTATGGATTGGGATAAACTTGACGCATTGGTTATGGTGGCGTCTTAAAGTCAACTTGGCAGAGGCACAGTTAGCAGAGGCGCGGACAGTGACGCTTGGGCTCAGTCAAAATGGAATTATGACCAAAGGACGGAATGGCATCACTTCTGTGATTGTCTAGTACAATAAAAATGGCTTAGTAATTGCAGCACCACAGGAGCAGTCTAGTTAGAAATGTCGCTGCATTGCTTGTCAAAGGTGGAGGAATTGCAGACTGAGTCTTGAGTCTTGACGTGGAACTAACTCTCTTCAATGCGCAGGGATTGGCAACAGACCATCTGAAAGGACCTTGACGGCTGGGCGGGTCATCGAGACCAGGGTTAGGGTCCAGAACCACCTGCTTATCTTATCGCGAGGCTTGACGCGCAAACTGAAGAAGCTCGTTGATGACCCCCCCTTTCCCCCTCCCCTCCCTCCTGCACAGCTGCCCCAAAAGCGCCTCTCTCAATCCTCTGCGGTATATACGTCGTGCGCCAGCCGGGGACAGCATTTACGTTGAACGAGCAAACGAATCCGGAGCAGCGACCATAAAGGGAATAAAGCAGAGCGACGCGCCGTGGCCTTGGCACCTGTTTGACCAAAATGCGGATAGCCGTCTGACTACTACGACAGCCAGCCCGCCACCGTTTCTACCGCCTAGCCGACAAAGCCACCGCCTCCCCTAACCGTCGCATCTTCAACAAAGGCACCTTGCCATTTTCCCTGGGCCTGTTTTGTTCTCCCCACTGCGCCCGGCCTTTGCAAACCTTGCCGACTGTGTCCCTAATTCAGGAACAAGGCGGTTGGCCGTGTCTCGCGCCGCCCAAAGCCTCGTTCGGGGTCGTCTCCACCATGCCTACAAATAGCAGCGCATTTGGCTTCGCACCCTCGCCATCCGGGGCCAAGATGAGCCAATCTGCGTCCAAAAAGCGCAAGATGGATAGCGGAGAGACAAAGTACTACGCCGTGCGCGCCGGCCACAAGCCCGGCGTCTACACCACCTGGGCCATTTGCCAGCAGCAGATATCGGGGTTCAAAGGAGCCGTCTGTGAGTTACTCGTGCCCCGGCTGTCTGCTCTTCTGACATGTTGCAGTCAAGTCTTTCCTCTCGTACGAAGATGCATCGGCGTTCGTAGCAGGCCGGGACCCGCCGTCCATGGCCAACGACAAGCCCGACCGATTCTACGGCGTCGCCGTCGGCCGCAAGCCTGGCGTGTACACGGACTGGTCGAAGGCGCAGCAGGCTATCGTCGGCTGGAAGGGGCCCAAGTACAGAAAGTTTGACACGCACGCCGAGGCACTTGCGTTTGTGCGCGCATACAGAAATGTCGCCGCGGCGCCTCTCGTCGAGGTCGAGGGCTCAGAGGAGGAAGTGGAGGAGGAGGAGGAGGAGGAGGACGACGACGACGACGAAGAGGACGACGAGGTGGTCGAGGTCGAGGAGCCGCCAACTAAGAGGGCCAAAACCGCCGCGCGATCACAAGCTGCTATCCCGGTCGTATACACGGACGGGAGCAGTCTTGGCAACGGCCGGGCTGGCGCTGCTGCGGGCGTTGGGGTGTTTTTCGGAACGGGAGATCCACGGTGAGTGACGGCTGACTTGTTTCGGCCTGGACGAGGCTAACAGTGGTCAGGAACATCTCGGAGCGGCTCGTGGGCGACCCCCAGACGAACCAGCGCGCCGAGCTCACGGCGCTCCTGCGCACCCTCGAAGTCGTGCCCGAGAACCAGTCGATCGAGATCCGCACCGACAGCAAGTACTCGATCCAATGCGTGACGGAGTGGTACATCAACTGGCAGAAGAATGGCTGGCGGACCCAGGGCGGCCCCGTCAAGAACAAAGACCTAGTCGTGGCGATCCGGGCCAGGCTAGACGCGAGGCAGAAGAAGGGTGCCCAGACGCAGTTTACGTGGGTAAAGGGCCACGCCAGCGACCCGGGCAACATTGCTGCCGACTACCTGGCGGTCGAGGGGGCAAGGAAGCGGGCGTGATAGATACCCATCAACGGTTTGGCTTGTGTTTCCTCTTTAAGTGTACATGTCGTGTTATCTCGGTCGGGTTACTGGCAGGGGTTCCGGATTTGACTCTGCTTGGGACTGCTATCCTTTGGACGAGACCGGCTATTTGTAGTGGCTTGCACTCGATTGTGGGGCGGAATTCACAGCTGCATCATGTACCTGAGGTCTGTGGCGAAGCACTCGGGCGGTCCTTTTCGTATTCTGTCCGTATACCATCTGTATACCCGGTTATGCCCATTTCTCGCCGCGGCTGCCCTGCGAGCGCCGCCCATCGTCGCGATCGGCACGCACCATCTTTTGCTGTGAAGATGTGTTATCACGGTCATACGGTGTTTTCTGTCCACAATGCAATATGTGATGCCTTTCGCCTGGACAAGGACTCGCTGCTTTGACCTGCACCCTACCTCCCTAAGCGGCGAGTCTGGCGTTTGAACCAAGCCTTCTCCTGACCTGGGTCTCTCCCAGCTCTTGCAAGATCCACGGGGCTCATCTCCGGCCGGGGGCGACCCGTCTCGTCATCGTCAGCCACACGTCACCACCATGGGCTGTAGAGTGCGGGCCCGTTGGAAGGGACGGCGTATAATAGGACGAGCGGTCATCGTCCCACTGGAGCTGTTGTTTGATATCTTGCCGATCAATCCAAATCACCAAACAAGCAAATCTATCCAACAACTACCCTCAAACAACACAACAATGGTGGCCATTGCACGAGCCATTGCCCCGACTGGAGGAATCCTACGGGTCCTCCGTCCCGCTGCCGTGTGTGGCAGCGGCTTCCCTCGCCTCCTGTCCACGTCGCCCCGCCTGCGTCGCCCGCCCACCGTCATCGGCAAGCCCGTTGACGACATCGACGTCGCCTTTGACTATCCGTCCGAGGAACAGGGCAGCTACGCACACAAGGCCAAGCACACTCCCGGATCGCCCGCGCCGGCGGCCCGCGTCGACAAGGAGTCGAGCTGGCCGGACAACAGCATTCTGTACGAGATTTTGCCCCCTTTTTAGTTGGGTGTGTTGGGACCGAATATGCTGACAATCTGTGTCACTGCAGGTACACGGCCGTCGTGACCCTCGGCGCCGTGGGCCTGTACATGTCCATCCGCGACATGCGCGGCACGCCCGCCCACCTCGCCCACGCCGACCGCATCAGCGACCCTGGCACCGACGCCCGCCGCACCACCGGCCACGTCCACCATACTCATCCCGCCCACAAGCCCAACAATGATCCCAAGGAGAAGTGGATTGGCCGGGGCGGTTGAGCGGGCGGTCGGGCTGCTGCTGCTGAATTCCAAGAAGATATGTGACGAATTAAAAGTTTCTTTCGGGTTGATGTTGGCGTTGGGTTGGTGCCTGCTTACGCATTATGGGCAAAGAAATTGGATACCCACCTGTAGCTGACTTTGGAGTCATGGTTCATAGCTATCAATTGTAGTTTCATGCATGATACTCGTGTAAAAGCCTCGTACAGCTGAACGTCTACTTGAACCGTAGGATGTGACGCTGGACTTACTTCGTGCGTCAGTTGCTGTCCGTATTGCACGAAGCATAGCTGGATGCTTGTTTAGTCTAAACCTATGATCCGGACTTTCGATCTGCGCCGTGATGCAGCTATCCGCACAGCCATAGTTGCCCAGTGTATCAGGCACAGGTAGGCATCCGCCTCGTCTGCTGGCGCCGCGGCAGCCTCAGTCATGATATGCGAGCTTCCGAAGGGACATACATAGGTACTTCAAAGGCACAGCCGCCCTAACCACCATCCAACGCTTCGACCATGAGTCCTGACCATGGTAGTCACGTCTTGGACTGAAAGGCCCGCGGACGGCTAGACTGACAACGGGGTACGCCATGATGCGGTCGTGGAGGCCGTACCCAAGAATTATCTCTCTCAAATGGCCACGGGCGCGCAGGCCAGTCGACGACACGGCCGGCGTGGCCTAGACGTGGCGACCCAACAAAGAAATCGCCCCACAACGAAATCTCTGCCCCTGTCATCTAATTTCCCGCCCTCCAACTTCAAAACACCACAGCTTCATTAATTCAAGCCCGAATTGCTTCAAAATAAGCCATATCGAACCGCCGTGAGCAGCTCATTCAAGCTGCAATACTTGCTGTTGAGCAGGGTGCCTCGCAGAAAGACGCCGCTAAGTTGCATGGCATCCATGCCTCCACCCTCTGCAAACGCATCCATGGGGCAGAAAATCGTGCCAAAAGTAAACAAGCCGAAAGAAACCTCTCCGATGCGCAGGAAAGCTTCCTAGCCAACTGGTGCCTCAATGAGGAAGCTGCAGGGCGCGCTCCTAGCCGTCGTCAGGTGCAGAGATTCGCTCAAGCTATGCTCAATGAGGCCGGCACGAAAAAGACCGTTGGCGAGCGATATGTGGATCGCTTCCTACGCCGCAACCCTGCGGTAAAGATGAAGAATTCGGCCTTGTTGGAATCGTCTCGCGTTAATAAGGGCTCTACTCGTGAGACTTACGAAGATTTCTACAAGCGCCTGGCCTTCCAGATCAAGGATAAAAGGGCTATTGCTGCCAACATCGCCAACATGGATGAGCACGGCATGCAGGAGCTTGAGACCCAGGCCGGAGAGGTCATCGGAAGCTCCCTGACAAAGCGGACCTACGTAAAAAGCTCTGATGCAACTACCTGGGTCTCAATTATCGAATGCGGCACTGCAGAGGGCGTTCGTTTGAAGCCCGTGGTCATATTTACCGGGGCCAGTCTACAAGGACAACACTTTCCGGATAACTTCAAGCTAGAGGACAAATTCCCGGAATGGAAGTATGATTACTCAACTACAGGCTGGAGCAACGCCCAAATCGCCTCGCGGTGGCTCAGAGAGGTCTACCTGACCCAAACCGAGCCCAAAACACCGGGCGAATGGCGTATATTGATCCTTGACGAACATTCCAGCCACATGAACGAAGAATTCATGTTGACGGCATGGAAAAACAAGGTTCAGCTTGTCTTTTTACCCTCACATACATCGCACAAGACGCAGCCTCTCGATCGCTCTGTCTTTTCACCTTTGAAGAACTACTTCAGGCAAAACATCAAGGCTCTAGCGGGCTTCACATCGTCGGCACCTATCAACAAGCAACGGTTCCTTTTTTGCTGCAGAGATGCCTCGGCCCAGGGTATGAGTGCCCGCAATATACTCTCCGGCTTCCGGAATACGGGCATTTGGCCGTACACCCCGGCCCGCGTACTGGATGACCCGGAGGCAGTCATCCAGGAAGATGCCCTCCCTGCCCGGCCTTCCACACCACTATAGGAGGACCTGCATGACGAAGACAGGGCATTCAAAACACCAAAAGGAAGTCAGGATATTTGGAAATACCAGGACAGCATTCGGAATGCCCTCAGTCCGGCTCACAGGCGTGTGAGGGTATTGTTTACTAAGGTCGGGAGGTCCCTGGATCTGAAGAATACCGAGATCGCTTCTTTGAAGGCACAAATTACGCATCTAACGACCAAATTAGAGGCTTCAAAGCCTCGCACGCGTAAGAGGGTATACGAAGATGGAAATGACAAATTTGCACGCATTGAGGAAATTGACAAGGCCCAAAAAGCTAGTCAAATGCCCCACAAGCGAAGAAGAGCGGCCCGGGCACCAGCGCAGCCACATGCAGTCGAAGAGGCCCGGGAAATAATCGCCCGTGGCCTTGAGCAATATAGAGAGGCTGAAGAAGAGGATTGAGTATTTTTTTTTGCTAGTTATTTTGTGTAGAAATGGATAATTTGCGCCCGTAGGGTGGCTGTGGGCATGGTGTGGGTCAATTTCGTTGATGGGCGATTTCGTTGTTGGGTCGGCTTTTGTAGTCGCTGCCTAGCGTCGGCGCGGTGGCGGGCAAACTCGGCGCGCGTGGTGCCTGGCTCTTTCCCTTTCGGATTCATTGGCTCTTTCCTTCGCTACTGCATTTGCCTGGTCCCATGCTCTTACCTTACGGCTCAATAAGAACGGCAAGAGCGAGGCAACCATTTTAAGAGGAAGCCATTTTTGAAAGGAGGAAATAGAGAGGGCCGCAGGATTTGCACCTACGGTAGCAAGCAAACCGCACACCACGATCCTCTCATGATCCAAATTTAGAGCCACACCGCTTGGTGCGACTCGAAGCGGGCTCTGGAAGTGCTCGCCCCGATCGTGCAGAAGCATTTATGGTATAAAGAGGCCTAAAAAAGGAGGGCGACTACGCCGTTTGGCCCCGTATCGATCAAGTCAAAAGCAGTGTACATCATGTGCCAAGGCAAGCTGCGAGTTATCATACAACTGCATTCTGGTTGTCATTCCAATTGCGATTGTTCTCCTGGTCGTAGAATGCGTTACCGTCTTTGTCATTGCCCCCTGCTCCGCAGTTCGACTCGATCATCTTGCGCTAGACTGGTGATTTGTCATGTGGGAGTTCTTCGCGCAACGAGTCGTCACTTGATGAACAAAGTTGCCATAATTGGTTCAATTCTCTACCGATGGGCTGGTTCCGCTGTTGTCGCCAACTTCATCGCCATCGACCGTATACACTTCCTATTCTCCTGAGCTCTCATAGCTATCTACCAAAGTATAGCCCTGTGCCTGGAGCTGTGTTCCATTCGTCTCGACGTCGGGCCGAGTCTGGCTCGATTTACGTGCAAACTAACTGAAGTAAAACGAGTATAAATAAACAAGAATCTAAAGAGGCACGTTCCATAGGATCAAGCCGGGGAGTGGTGTCTCTAAAGAACTTCTAGAAACGTAACGAAACAAGTAACCGGAAAGCGTATAACATATGTCGATCCGAGTTGACAAATTAGATTCACGTAGTCAGGCCACGTCAATGGCATAATAATGGGGAAGGCGAGAGTTATTAATTAATAATAAAAAAAATTAAAAACTCGCTCCCAAAACCCTCTCTCCTCGTCCATCAGCTCCAAAAAAAAGAAGCCCCATTAATCTTCGCGTTTGCTATCGTGATTTGTTAGTATAACAGAACTTGAGTGAGAACGGACGAATAAACAAGCTAAGGGGGTAAGACTTATATGGTTGGGGAGCGGATGGGGGGTGGCGGCGAGGGGGCGGCGGGAGCACGGGCGATGGTGGGTTGTGGTTGTGGTTGTGGTGATGGTGGCGGGGGGGGGGGGGGGGGGGGGGACTGCTGCTATTGGTGCTACTGCTGCTATTGGTGCTGCCGCTGCTTCTGTTGTTGTTGCTGCTATTGGTGCTGCTGCCGCTTCTATTGTTGTTGCTACTATTGCTACTTCTATTGCTACTGCTGCTGCTGCTGCTGCGCTGCTGCTGCTGCTGTTGTTGTGGTTGCTGCTGCTGCTGCTGCTGTTGTGGTTGCTGCTGCTGCTGCTTGCTGGTTGAGGCTGCCTGGAGAAAGGAAAGGGAAGAGGAATTGAGAGGGGCGGGGAGGTTTATTTTGGATTTGGTAGGAAAACTTTTCTCTCCTTCGTTGGCTCCTTCCGCTGTATTTTTTTTCTTGAGCTCTTGCCAAACCATGACCAGATATCTAGAAACCGGCAAACATTGAACGTAGTAGGAGGAAGGTAACTAATTCTCCTATACCGTCACTCGTCTAATTATGACTATCTTTTGAACCAACTTACACGTACCTACAAGATGGACCAAATTTGTCTCAAAACGAAGACATCGATCGCACTTGCCTTACCTATTACCTAACAAATGACGTCATTAAACAGCAGAGTGGCAGGATGCGAGCAGGAGGTCCCGGAGCTGCCCGATCAAATCCAACGCGACTGTATGTTCAGCGTGCCCAAAGGCTTCCTTGCCTCGTCTGGGCGTATTGAGCAATAGTCCACCAAACATGTCCTTCTCCGCAGGCGTTTATTTGGCAGGCGAATTCTTGGACTTGGGTCGGGTAGGATGTCACTAGTCCCCTGAATCGTGGGAGCTAGTGGTGTCTTTTTTGTATTTTTTCTGTCGGTATTGTCATCACTATCTAAACTTCCTTTTGTTCGCTTCCCGACAAATCTATCAAAGCACCCTGCCTCCTATCGTTCAAAATCCATCGCATTAGGGGCTGGGTCCTCTGTTAGAGAGGGCTCCGCGCCGTCCGCATTGCCCCCTCCTCCAAGAACATGCCTAATCAAGAAGAAGACCGCGTCGTCCATACCGCTCGGCGCGTTGAACCAGTGCCCGCCGCCAGGGTACTCCTTCCACTCGACGCCCATGCCGAACCCGCGCAGCGTATCTCGCAGTAGCCGGCCGTTCTGGACCAGGACGAGCGGGTCGTCGACACAATGCTCCAGCAAGACGGGCGTGTTACGAATGGCATGATCCGGGGCAGGGGCAGCGCCGTCGCCCGCCAGGCCGAGGGCGCTCCGCATCCCTGCAAGGTCGCACCCGGCGAACGGGCAGCGAGAAGAGAAGCCCAGAAAAGCGGCAAGCCGCCTCTCACCCTGCACCACCACGCCTGGCGTTGCTAACACGTTGTCGAGATTGAAGAGGACGTGTGCGCCGGTCGCGCCGCCCATGCTGATGCCGGCCAGCACGATGCGGTCCCAGCGGCCGGCCAGCAGGGCGGCTTCGTCGGCGAGCAGGCGGTGGACGGCGGGGACGGCTTCGCGCAGCCCGACGGCCTGCAGGTCCTCGCGGTCGGTGAAATCCCGCACGTTCCAGACGTCGAACCACTGCGGCCAAGAGGTGCCGGGCGGCGCGTTGGCGAGCGTGCGGTCTGGCGCCTGCGGGAATACCCAGCGGAATGACGGGAGGGCGTCGGCGAGGGTGCGGCCCCGTGAGTCGCGCGACCCGGCCAGCGACGCGGCGAAGTGGCGCGCATTGTCGCCGCGGCCGTGCAGGAAGACCACAGTGTGAGTGTGCGGCTCTCTGGGGTCGACGATGATACAGGGCACGTTTAATACTGCTGCTGCCATGATAGAGGACCTGGGTGATGCAGAAAATTTTGCAGGGGAGGGCTGCACTTTGGGGGAGGGTTTTTATGTCGATTGTTCAAATTGGTAGCTCGAGGTAGGCGGTTACCTCTAGTCTACGTCAACTGTTACGGGCTCCGGGCGCGCAAAAAGAGAGCAATGAACGCCTCGGCGGCTAAGACTTAGCCGCCGCATCATTTCAGACGACGTCCCCTGACTCCCAGCTGCGCCTCTCAACTTCAAACTCACGAGAATAGTCGCCAAGACCCCAGAATACCGCGCGAATCAAATTGTTATACCGCCGTGGCCATCTGAATCCCTCAAACATGGCCTTTGTGTATTTCCAGTACTCGGGATAGTGCCCAGGGCTCTCCCAGTCCACAATGCCCGTCACGCTCCAGCCGGTGCTTCCGTCCGTCCGAGTAACCTGATCCACCAAGATGTTCCGCGGGTTAAGGTCTGCATGCGTGAAAAGAATTCGATGACCCTGGGGGGCAGGGTCATTGGAGAATCGGAGGACTTGATTGAACGACGACTCGTCAGGAAAAAGCCCGATAGGCCTCGCGCCACCGACCCGGGGCTCTCTGCATGCCTCGCCAAGCGTGTTGCTGATGGCGTTGCCTGGACTGGACGGAATGGGCATGTTTCTGAGTTGGGCCAGGTACTCTCGCAACTGAGCTGTTATCTGGTCGCAATCGTTGTCCGACAGCACATGCAGGCAACGAGACAGGGGTAATCCAGGGACTATTGTGCTCAGGAGATAAGCTGCAGAAGATGAACTGCCGCTTTGGTCTCTCGGCGCAACCGCCACATCTAATGCTGATGGAGTCGGGATCGAGGTGTGCTGGCGAACCGTTCGTAGCGCGTTGAATTCGTTGCGAAGTTCGTCAGACTCTGCACGGTACTTCAATTACAGCCCAAGCGGTAGCCTTTGGACGGCCGCTGCCAGCGGCTCCTGCCCGTAAAAATGTCTTCCGAGCCGTTTCAGCATGCCTTAGGCCGCAAACCGGACGCTGCTGGGGACAGCCCGCCAGCCCGCCAGAAGAACGCGGGAGAAGAGGCGGCAAAGAGCAGTGAACGGTTTCAGTAGTACGGTGCTCAGATGCTGCGTTCTAGTGGCAATCGGCGACATCGGTGCATGTGAAAGTGTTCTTGAAATATCGAGGAACTGGATGGCCCCGGACAATCTGGCATGGGAACCTATGAAGCGCGCATCAACTTTCTCGATACCTTGTCGGGAGTGATCGCCCAGTAGTGAGAACGAGCTATCAAGCTCGATCGGTGCCTCCGGTTTGATGAGAACATGTCTGATTTTGTACTAATTATTCCAAAGGTTGTCAGGTCAAAGGGGGGCAGGAAACGTGCGTGAAACCAGCTCAAGGATCGCGAATATCGACTCACCTCGACCATCGAATGTTGCAGTCGGTCTAATCTGACAAGGCCGTGTGCAAACGCCTGGGCGCAGATCTTCATACCAGCCAATGATTCTTGTGAGGCAGCATACGGTCGGGGTTTCTAACGTAGGACAAGCACCAATCCCGGTATGGCGGCCCGAAGAAGGCACCGAGCATGTCATTTATTCCGTCCTTTGACTGTCTGTGAGCTCTCTCTTCCCTGGAGGCGTTCTCGTTGAAGATGGCGACCATACCTTATCTGTAACCCAGCCAGACGGAACAGGGAGAATGGGAGCGACGACAAGAGGGTCACGAAAAGTGCCAGGCTTCCCCGTAATGCAGCACCTGTTCCCGTCTCGTCTGACGATGTCCTGCTGTGCAACGGCGTCTGGTGGTGGCGGGGCAGAACCATTTCAGGTGACTGGGCACGGTGGTCAGACGGAGGCAAACGGAGGTTGGAAGGTTGGAAATGGGGACGAAAATTAAATTTGCCTACTCGAATCAATGATATGGGACCAGTTAGACACCAGCGAGGAGCCCTCGCCATGCGCTAACTGGGCTGCGACGTAGCGGGCAGCTGCAGCAGGATTCTTAGCCTCAGTGACAAAAGAGGCGAGCAGCGGGCCGGATGGGTATGGTAAGCCCACGTCCTCGATGAGTGGCAATGCACTCTTCACCCCGTCAGCAGTGGCATCCATGCTACGATGCAGCGACAATGGTTGAGATGAAGCGATGGCGCTGCTGATACTTGGGATCCCGGGAAATTGTCGTTCGGGTAAGGTAAATATAACTTTGGCTGAACGCGTTGCGCGACTCGACGGGGCAACAAATTGAAGCGGCCCTGGAATGACTAATTACAAGCGTCAGGCACAATCCCCCCAATGGGGAGGCCTTCTTGTCCAGTGAAAAGTGGGGGTTGGTCAGCGTAGTGTCACAGGGCGAAAAAGCACAACGGGAGCCGTTGCCGCGCGTTTCTGTATCGCTCGTTTCAAAGTAAAAGTTTTACCAATCAAATTATTCCCACTGTGCTGCCTGCAAAGGGCAAATTCTAATGCATTTGGACATCGAGAAATGGGCCCCACCATGCCCGCACTCGCGGAAGCTCTCACCTATCATTGGATGGAATGCCGCCACCGTTGTCGAAAGCCACTGCCTGATACCTGGTAGTGGCGCCATGGATGGCTACTTAGACGCCAAATGCCGACCACCAGCCGCTAACCGCCAACAACGACCCGACATGCAACCTGGAAGATTGGAAGTGCAAGGTGTGCAAGCCCAGTCAACGGAAGATGGCAACCGCCGCGAGCCATGGAGAAATTTTGTCGATATAATTAAGTCCAAGCAATCCGTCTGTTGAGTCTAGTTACCATGCCTCTCACCTACCTTCCCATTGACCTTTCACATCTTTTATCATTTACATTTATTTTCCAAAGCCGGTCTTTGGCATCTTCTTTGTATTGCGTTGTATTATCAGTTTCCTTACGTTGCGTTTCGAAACGGCTTGTCTCGAATACTATCGTCCACCTCCATCAAAATGTCCATGATCCAGGATAACACCCTGTACGTTACCCTCCAGTATCTCTGCACCGTTGAAGGGCAGCACAAAGGTCTTCAACCATCTGGGCTGGTTGGAACCTCCAGGCTCCAGGAGGGATACATTAATGGAGTCTGATGCAATGGTGCTAAGCAGCCGCTCCTATTACGGACCGTCACCCATGGACGTTGACTCGTTTGGAGGATATTACAAGGGCTCTAAGCCCATGGTTATTGACTCCAGCGGCGGAAGCTATTGGGGCTAGTCCCGTTTAGAACGGCCATACTATACGTTTCAGGAAGCATAATTGGACAATGACTTGTTCTCATTGTCAATGACAGCGGCGGTCTCCGTGATGTCCCGCCATGCGTCTCCAGTGCCGTTCGCAAACTGGTGGATCCAGTGATGGTGACTGCCCGTCATACGTGCTGAGCCCTGAGGCAGATCACTATTAGTACGACGTCTGTTTGGGAAACACAGAGGCGTAAAAAAGTGCGAGGGAGAGTGGCGTACATTGGGCGTGTTGTTGTTGCCGCTGTTACGCTAAAACAGCGCCGAGTTGACAGTTATCGCTAGCGAGCTGGCCAACCGAAAAGAGGGTTTCGAGAGAGTCTGGACGACCTATGCGGGCCAGTGTTGTTTCGAACTGACTGTCAAAGTGCTGGAGAGTGTCAGCAAACGATTATGCGTTTGGGACGTGGTGTGCCTGCTTGAACCAATAAAGGTGACACCATCAGGCAGTGCTGTGCCGGGAAGGCGAGAAGACGGCGCGGCGGGTTGCGAGGAGCTCTCGCTGCGGCTCGTCCGATACCGATGATGTTTGGCCCTTCTGACCGTGATTGAACCTCTCCCCGTGGGCTGGGTTGCTGCTTGCCAGTTATAGGACCTTGGTTGATTGCAGGTGTCGCTGCCGGCTTTGGTTGCGCTGGGACCCGTGGCAACTGGTCGTGCGCAATTGACCGCTATGGGCGTGGAATGCGGGCAGCGGCTTGTTTCGTGTGACGCAATGGTCTGGGAGAATCGGTGATGGCACCGGTCAGACTATTGTGCGGCTTTTTGTGAGAGTGAGCTAGCTGAACCAGCTGCTAACGGGTGATGGTGACAGTATGGTTAGGCAGGCGATTGACCGTCTATTGAGTGAGTGATCATGGGCATGGGGTTGCAACGATTTATGCGTGATGGTGATGGCTCTGGTCACTGATGACGGCTGAGCCAACGGCGACTGACTCCTCATTCGCATGGTACTGGCGAACTGGGTCGATTGCGATTTGAGTTGGAGGGTTGCTTTAAGGGGACGGACGGCTAAAGGTGAGTTACTGATTGTCTACAATTGCCTGACTGGTTGTAACTATTGTTACGTGATGGCGATGGCGATGGCGCTGATAACGCTCATGGCGCTGATGTACGAGATGTTGAGATGGCTCTAATGGCAGCTCTGGTGAGTCTGATGGCTCTGAGGCCTCTGACGATCCTTAAGGTTCCGGTTGTCGACAATTACTGGAATGTTTGCAGAATTGTGCCAGATATTCATTGCTCTGATGATGGATCTGATGATGGCTCTGCATATGACTGTCACAATAACGGCTGATGCCCTGATGGTGGATCCGAATGCTATGATGGTTCTGATGATGCCTCTGATGAATGCGATAGCGATGACACTGATGGCTATGATGGCTGTGATGATGGTGATGATGGCAGTGGTGGAACTAATGGTTCCGACGGCTCTGACGGCGGCTCTGATGATGGCGCTGATAGCACTGACGACCCTGACGTCCGCGAAGAGCGGAAGAAACTGGAGTAGTATGCACTCCTGTTCTTCTGTCTCTTTAAATTCCCCTTGACGCTCTCGCCTGGCCGCTGGGAGTGGTACGCTTCCGCCACTGACTGGGTCTGACTCCCTCTACCCCCCGGGCCCCGGGATTGGTCTGCCGCCGCTGGCGATTGGGAGTGGCTGGCCGCCGCCCCATCTGTAGCCCTCCACCCTGCTGCTGAAGGTGAATATATATTGAAAATAATTGCCGAAAGTCACGGGCATAGAGGCGTATTATTGCGCTTCAGGAGGAGATAAACAAAGGGATATGTGGCATCTGCTCTCTTCTATAAGTTAGGTGGGGGGGTAAGCGAACACTACTGATTTAGAACATTCTGTATAAGCAGGAGTCCCAACTAACCCTCCAACAAAAGAAAGGGTGATCTTTTTATTTACAAAACTTCAATACAATCTTTGATATCCTCTGAATCATCCGCTTCTTCCGCATCTTCTAAAACCTCTGCTGCACGCCCTACAGCTCTCTGGGCCTCACGAATAGTCTGAATATTCGCAAAGGTGGTATTTGGATCTTCTTCAACCTTCTTCTTCTTTCTGGCTCTTATTGATTCGAGAGTGTGTTCTAGACCTTCAATCTTTCGCTTCCTAATAGCCAGTTCAAAGGCCTCTTCATCCAAAGCCTTACCAATCTTTCTGAGGAAGAGCTTATCCGCTGGCATTGCTTTGATGATGCGTGCGAACTTCTTTGCCTGCTCAACGTAATCACGTGCCTTTCTAGGAGTCCTCCACTGCACCCGATCGTCTCCATAATCCTCCAGGATTGGCATACGGAGTGTGCGAACCTCTGGGGTAACTATAGTAGTTCTTAAGGGGCGTGAAGTATTAGAATTCTTGAGGAGGAGTGGGCTTCTTAGCGGTTTGTTGACATTCAAGGGCCAAAGGCCTGATGCCTTCCATCCTGACTTAGCATTACTCTGAGTAATTGCCTCTGTGCGTGAAATCTGGTAGCATTCCAGAAACGCACGTTTTCCGGCTACAGAAGAGTCGTCAAAGGCGTTAGCAAGAAGGTCCTCAAGCCGTCTGCGATAAAGTCGTTTTAGGGGGCCAAATATGGCCAAATCTAGGGGTTGGAGGACATGGGAAGTATGGGGAGGCAGATAAATAATGTGAATATTGTTTGTGTATGCCTCCCACATATAATCGGCAGTTGTGTGGCTGCCATGGCCATCAATAATAAGGAGTCGTTTCTCAGAGGAGTTTGCTGGCTTGGTGAGAGGAATGAACACATTTTTTAACCATTTGAGGCTTGTCTCATCGGTAGTCCATCCTTTCTCAGTTGCTGTAAAGAACCAATCCTGAAATGGCTTCATATCCAAAGGAAACCATTGTTGTTGAACGCTTTTCCCCTTAAAAATGACCAAAGGAGGAAGGCAACGGCCAGCTGCTGAGATGCATTCGACAAAAGTGGTCCAAGTGCGGGTTCCAGGCTGTTTTTTTGAAGCGCCTTAAAGGCACGGCTTCCAATGACAAGGCCGTTGGTTTCTCTGCCTTCCATAATACCAGATTCGTCCTTGTTCCAGCGATTCTCTGGCTTAATCGCCTTGATAGCTGGTGTTTGGAAATGGTTGAACCAAGGTCGAATTGTTGACTCTGTAGCGCAGTTGACGCGGACCGAATCGACTCTCTTGGCCCTCTGAGTCTTCAAAATTCGATTGCGGTTAAGAAAGGCACGGCACCACCCCTTTCCAAGTGGTAAGGAGTCCCCCCTTTCAGCTAGAATACGGCGTGCAAGCTCCCTGATCTGTGCATGTGTAGGGGGCAATCCTAAATCTTGTTGAAGAAGAATCCATTCGACTAAACGATCCTCTTAGGTCTGTGTAAGCCTTTGCTCATCTTGATGAGCAACATTTCGAGGTAGGGAGCCATGTAGACGGCCATAAAGGGTGGAGGGTGGAACGTTCCATTTTCGCGCGACTTTGCGTAATCGATGTGTTCTGACGGCTTCCTCGCAAGCCTTGCGGAGGTCTTCTTCTGTATATGAAACCATTGTCAAGAGAAGAATAAAACGAATTGAAGATGAAGAGAATTGGAAAAGAATTGGTTGAGTTATGGGCTTTTTATATAAGAGGGTTGGTTGTGTTCCTCGCTTATCTAGAATGTTCTGGATCAGTGGCGTTCGCTTACTCCCCCACCTAACTTATACGAGTATCTCCCTTACGTCTGCATCTCAAGAATAATAACGCTCCCGTAAATAAGGTATTAAACCTGGCCACAATATCCTCACATGCTTTTTAGTCTCTAGGCTACATTCATTACGTCTTTAGATGCTATTATTCAGTACTTATAACTCCTTGGAATTTAAAGTCAATAAGAGTCAGTTGTCTCCGGCAATACGTAGAGGTTCATTGGCTGTGATTAAACCATAACTTTGCTACCTCACTCCTAGCAAAATGAGCATAGGGTAGGAGATCTTTTCACGGGCTTAGCAGTGAATTAGGTCGATTCTGGTCGTGGATCGCACCCACGCGCCTGGTAGGCGCACAGGGAGCATAGCGTAACAAAAGAATAGCCACGGTTTCGTCCCCTTACGGTTCGATCGTAACTAAGGTATTCACCAGCAGGAGGCAGGACGGTTCGAGATCGCATTAAATAAGAGACTGAGCAGTTAGCTCCTGTACGTGGCGGAAATAATTTATATTATGAAGATGGAGATGAAAATAAGTCTAATACCCCAGCACACTCCCTCTAAGAAAACCTAGCCCCATCCTTTCTCCACTAGAAAAAAAATAGCTTACTCTTCCGGTCTATATATAAGGTAATTATTAGCACAATTGAACAGGAAGGGAGCGGAAGATAAATTAGGGGTAGACTTACAGGACTGGCGGAGGAGGGGGCGGCGAGGCGGGGCTATCAAGGGGGCCGATAGCTGCTGCGATGCCGGTGGGGGCGGGGCAAGAGACCGAAGGGATAAAGGCCCAGCTATTGGCGGCGGCGGCGGCGGGGATCTAGACATAGCTATCGGCGGGGGTGCACTATTCCGCGAGGCTGGGGATGCTGAGCGGGCTAAAGGAAGGCGGGGGGGCCTAAACGGTAGCAGCAGCGGCAGTGGCGGTGGCGACGGCGGCGGCGATGGCCTCGCGCTCACGCTCGCGCGCCTGGGCGGCAGCCCTGCGATCGCTGTAAACCATGTGAGAAAAAACCCTCAAGAGATGACACACAAAGTTACGGCAGCCCTAGTAGTGTCAACCCTCAGCCTGTGCAATAAACACGGAAGCGTAGGAAGGTGTCGGGGAGGTGGAAAACTTACGCTGCTAGGCATGTTGCTACTGTTACTGTTGCTCTGTTGCAGCTCTGATGGTGGCGGTGGGGGTGGCGGGGCAGGACTACTTACTCCTACGGCGTTTTTGGCGCCGACGAGCTATACCTGGTAGCCTAGCCCAACAGTAGCGTAAGAAGGAGTAATATAGAAACCCAAAAGCATCATCTCTCTCTACCTTCCTAGGCATCAAGGTTTTTGTGCGAGGGCGTGATAATAACACGTTAAAGTCGAGTCGAGAGCTGCCGCGGTTACAGTTTTGAACCTTGTTCCGTAAAAAGATAAGGTAGTTGTTGGAATAGCGACATTAGTGACCGTGCTCTAGAAGGGAGGCGGCACGAGTCCCGTGCTAGCGCACGTGCCTATGGGCACGTGGACCTCACGAACCCTACGCACACCACAAAACCCGGCCCCCACTGTATATTTAGAGAATGAATCAAGACAACTCACAACCCCACCGGTAGTACTACCACACCTTAGACCTGCAGGCACCTCTGCGTGGTCAGAATACCACGAACACTGGTCAGTGAGTGGTAACACTCACAGATAAGCTACGTGAAGAGACGAGATCGTACTGTCGGCGCGACCGCACTAAACTTTCAGTGCGACTCGCGAGCGAGGACCTCTCGTGCTACTGCCTAGATAACTACTTTCTACAAACTTTCGAGGGAATAGAAGAGCAGGATCTAGAAGAATAAAGGAACCAAGCGCACTAAACGCGAAGGTTTACGGCCGCTGGAAATCGGGAAGGCGATCGAAGGCATCACGGCTTAGTGCAAGAGGGACCCGCATTGCACGCTATAGTGCATCAACCCCACCAAGCCCCACTAAACACCAAAACCCCGGTCGTACGCTAACGACCAATTATTGACATTCTCATTAACAATCACCGCCAACCCATTGGCGATGGCATCTAACTCTTCGAGCTCTGGCAAAGACCCAAAGAAGGATCCGCACGAAGAAGTTTGGGAGAATAGCGGTATCCCACCAACGGTCTGGAAGAAGAATATCGACTTCGACCTATGGGACGCCGAGTTACCGCCTGTTGGAATCACCAGGAACCGGTACTGGAAGCAACAGGGCGTAACTGTGCGCCGAAAAACTGGTGGTTCAAGTGATGGATTCATTGATGTCTGTTTATCTAGAAGACAGAGGGCGGAAGTGGCCTACGGCCACTTATATAGAATCTGTGGCCCTGTGCCACCATAGCTACCTTCGTAGATGACCCTCCGTGGCTGACTAGGGCGTCATTCTAACACCGCCCGACCTCGCTAACCTACTACGAGAGAAGGAAGCGACAACGTATTTCGCGCTGAGTATGATGGAAATTATTTGGTGCAAGACTAGCCTAGAAGGAATCCGCGCGGCTTTCCGCGAGGACTTTAAGGGCTAGACAACTGTATAATTTAACCAAGTGAATCGCACATTTAAGAAGCGAATGCTCACCATTCTCGATGAGAAGAACGTACTCAGTCCAGGTGCGACAGCCTTAGAGAGACTCAGCAGTCTAGTAGCGACCGTACAACAAGAAGGAAGGAATACCCCACAGCTAATACCACCACTCCCTACCTACGTTAAGACTACGACTCCTCCACTGTCGGCGACACTATCCCCCAGTCCGTACCAGAGCCTAAACCTATTATACGGAACCCCATACATCCAGTACCAGAATATCCTACTAATATCCTACTAACGCGGATCATATATAACGGACCAGTCTATAGCAGGAAGTGGCGACGTTCACGAAGTGATGGAAGACCGCACGCAACTACACAAGACGCCCGTACGATATCCTGTACGACAAGGTTAAGTACTTCGTTAGTGTTTGCCAGAGGCACGAGATTCCGGAAGATATGTACCACGCAGTCTTCCCGGAAATCTTGTCTGATTGTGCGCAGACGTATTATATGAACCACATCGGACCTGACGAGCGATGGGACGAGGTGTATAAGCTGCTGGATACGTACTTCAACACGACGGTGAACCATGCGGAATACTACTCGGATTGGACTACCCTTAGCTTCGCACGACTACGTATGGAGAACCCAGAGACGTCGACGAAAGAAGTGCTCGAAAAGATACTCGACAAACTTCAGCTCGTACAGCGCGCCTTGGGGGAGTGTTACGATCCTGGTCCAAGACTGCAGGAGGCGCTGGAAGCCAATTGCCAATTGGGCCGCACAAGTGGGCGGGGTCGGGCCCCGCAAGTGTTCGACACAGCCAATCAGGAGGCGCTCGGTGCGACTGGTCTGCCAAGACCAGGCGAGCGCACCAAGCAGGGCGCTCAGTAGTCTCTGAGACGCTCGGTGTACCAAGCGTTAGGAGGAGCACTGAGCACGCAAAGGAAAAGTCCTGATTGGTTACCTGAATTAGATATATACGATGACCGTAGCCACGGTCTTAGACAGTTCTTGCTTGAAGAATCAAGCAAGCAATACACATTCACTGCACTCATATACTTTGAGTGGCATTCCGATTTGGCTGTATTACCCGTGCGATAGGAGCTTGCCCTTTGTTCTATCTTCATAATTACCAACCCCAGCATTCTGTGGAGTCCGTGCTCCCTTACAGACAGACGACCCTAACAGTCGAGTGGTTTGTAATAGGGAGGGATACCAGGGCGAAATCGCACTTGTAGTCTTCAGCTGCCGGGCTTCTTGACTAGGGGGATATTGCCGAAGTCGGCAAGGAAAATGGCAAGAATTAAATTACCGAGGTAGTCAAGCAGGAATTGCCGCCGCCAACCCGCGAATAAAGGATTATCTAGACTATCAGAAGAGTAGAGGGCACTACAGACTCGAGATGTAGCATTCTATTACAAACCACTCGACTGTTAGGGTCGTCTGTCTGTAAGGGAGCACGGGCTCCACAGGATGCTGGGGTTGGTAATTATGAAGATAGAATAAAGGGCAAGCTCCTATCGCACGGGTAATACAGCCAAATTGGAATGCCACTCAAAGTATATGAGTGCAGTGAATGTGTATTGCTTGCTTGAAGAACCAAGCAAGAACTACCTAAGACCGTGGGTACGGTCATCGTATATATCTAACTGTGTAACCAATAACAATGGTCCCACTGGCCCGTGGTCCCGAGACTTGAGGTCTCGGGACGCCGGGCGCGCGGGACACTGTCCCGCGTCCCCGACCTTAAGTGGTCCCGTGTAAGGAAAGGACAACCCAAACACCAGCCGCGCGCACAGGGTGCGCGCTCACCACCTGTTACCAACTGGCCGGAACACTGCCAGTTGGCACAAGCCACTACGCCACGCCATGGCGCCCCGGGCCTGAGCCCCTGAGCACGTATATAAACAGTGGCCCTCGCCCACCTTCCTTTGCGAGGGCCAGGTTGAAGTCTCACACCAATACTACTCGTTGCTCGCCCACCTTCTTACCTGCATTGTGACCACCTTGATCCGGCGTACCTGCCTTCTCTTACATCCCGAACCTCGGGACCCAGGGACACTCCTAATTGGTTCTTTCCATGGGACGCTCCTGATTGGTCCACACCAAACTGAGCATGCCCCCACTGTCACGGCCGGCTTCGAATGAGGGCGGAACTCCTCTATTGGGCGCTATAGACGAAGATTCTAAACTAAAGGGAAAAGGGAAAAGAAGCTCAAAAGCCTCCCCTCGCGAGATTCTTCCAGGGCGTCTTAAGGTGGGGCTCTGGCTGAGCTTCCATTGGTTAGTCGGGTGGATCCCTCTGGCTGGTCGGGTGGATCCACCCGGCTGGCGTCTGATTAGTCAGAGCGTCTGGGAGGTCTGGAGGACCAGGCCCTCACAACAACCCCCGTCAATCAGCATTAGTCTCCATGTCCTGCAATGCGTCCCCGATGCCTTTCGTAAATTGGTGGATCGAGTGATGGTGAGTTTCCGCCGCATGTGCCGAGCCCTGGTAATCAGGGGCTCAGGGGCTAAGCAACAAGATGGTTATTGTGACGGCGCCAGCTCACAGCACCCACTACCACTGCGCTAGAAACCCCAAAAGGATGCCAGAATTGCAAGTCAACGACTTGCAACCTGTAGTGGGTTATAGTGTGCTACGGCCGTTGCGCGCCGTAACAGTTATTTACACTTATACCTAATATAATTTAGTGTAATATTTTCCTTTTTTCTTTGTTGTTTTGACTACCTGGCTATGGAATCCTGTACTTGTACTCTGTAAGTCTCGCCTGTGGCTAAACTTGGTATTGTTTTTGGGTTTGTTGTGTTGTGGTGCCATTTCACGGCTTCACTGCCACAGATCGTTATTGGTCTGAGGCCTGTCTAAGAAATATAAATGCATAGGAATGGTTCGAAGGGGAATAGGACATACATTGGGCGGAATGTTGGTGCCACTCTACGCTGTTGTAGTGTGTGCTGCTGCTGGTGCCGCCACCGTTGCTGCGGTGTGTGCTGCTGCTGGTGCCGCCACCGTTGCTGCGGTGTATGCTGTTGCAATGCTGGCATTTTGCTGCAATATCTGCTGTTGATATACTGTTGCTGGTTTTGTAGCTGCCGCTGCCGCTGTCGGACAACAGCGCTAAGTGACGGTTTTGACAGAGCCTGGAGAAAACCGGCCGATGTTGTTTCGAATTGACTGCTAGCTCTAATGCAGAATTTTAGTGATCAATCATGCCCCCGGGACGTTGTGTGCCTACCTGAACCAATATAGATGACACCATCAAGCGGTGCTGTGCCAGGAAGAGCGAGAAGACCGCGCGGCGAGTAACGAGGAGCTCTCGCCTCGACTCATCCGATGCCAATGATGTTTGGCCTTTTGACCGTAATCGAACCTCTCTTCGTAGACTGGGCTACTGCTTGCCAATTGTAGGACCTTGGTCGATTGCAGGTATTGCTACCAGGCATTTCTGGTTGCGCTGGGACCCTGTGGCAACTGCAAGTGTATAATTGACAGCTAATGCGTGTGGAACGCGGAGAGCGGCTCGTTTTATGAGACACAATTGGTCCGGGATAATTGGCGATGGCACCGGTCAGACTGTTGTGCGGCTTTTGTCACTTTGTGGGAGTGAGCTAGCTGAACCGGCTGTCAATCTTGAACCTGCGTGATAGTGACAACATGGCCAGGCTAGGCATTTAGCCACTAAATGTGAGAGACTGATTATTGTATGGGGCTGCAACGGTTGATGTGTGATGATGATTGCTCCAGCTGCGCTGATGACGGCTGGGCCAATGGCGACTAATTAACTGCCCTCATATGGTAATGGTACGATCTGCCAATCTGGGTCGGCCGCGATTTGAGTGCGAGTCTTGCTTATATGGCTCGGTATGGTAGTCGACGGTTACTGTGAGTAACTGACTGTGCGCAATGGCCGGAGTGGCTGTACGATTGTCATGATTGTCGGCAATTGCCAGACTAGTTGCAGCAATTATGCGAGATGTTGATACTCCAATAATGGATCTAATGACGGCTCTGAAAGCAACTGCCATAATAGCGACCGATGATTCGGATGATGACCCTGAAGACGATTGTCCCGAAAGCGAGTGGTGATTCTGGTGGCTCTGACTAGTCTGCTGATTGCACTGCTGGCTTTGATGACCGCTCTAATCTCGACTCTGGTGATGGCTCTGGTGGCTGTGATGGCACTGACGGCTTTAATGACGGTTCTGGTGGATTTGGTGGCGGCTTTGACCATGGCTCTAATAGCGAATCTGTTGGTGACTTTCATGGCTCTAGTGGCTCTGATAGTTCCAATGACGGTGAGGATTTTCATGACTTTGGCAGCCGTCTGAAGTTATACCGTGTCGTCGCGCCAGCAGACAAACAGGCGCCTGAAAGGCCCGCAACCCCCACAATAGAAATGCTGACCAGGGGCTGAGACAAATGGGTCGGGCCTGATGAATTGACTGAAGTGGGCAAGGCCGCCCGGCAAGTTGGGCAATTCGGAAGCCAGACCAATCGAAAGAAGGGCATGCCGAAGCCAAATTGAACGAGGTCGACAGAGCCGGATTCTGACGTGAACCTCAAGCCGAAGGAGGCAATATAGGGCTGCTCGAGGCGTGGTAGGCGGTGAAAGCGTGGCAGTTGGCGACTTTCCATCCGATGCTCCTTCCAAGGCTGCTTTCCCGGTGCCCTGAAGCCAATGAACACCCACCCCAAGACAACGACACAACAAACACCGGCCCGAGAGCAGTCCACAACAAAAACCAGCCCCAAGACGACACACATCGAGGACTCGCCAGAAGGCAATACACAAAAAAACACCCGCCCGAGGGTAAAAAAGTGGTGCTTCTCGTGAATGCTAGTCTGGCATGAATAAGTTCAAACTTTGGGACTTGACCTGCGTAATCGTGATCGTGGTTCCCGCCTAAGGAATACCTAGTCTATGTGACGGGCCCGTTTCCCTATGTAAGAGAGCATGCCGCTGGGAGTAGTTACGCCCTGGTATTCTCCCGTAACACGACTTGCCGTGCAAATCTTGTGCTTAGGGGAGCATGACTGCTACCTAGCGGCTAGGAATCCTCACCTTGTGCAAAGTTACTACTACGTTACTTGGCGCAGGGTAAAAGCGGCAACTTCCGGGACTGAGAAAAGCGGATTTCTAGGGCGAAAACTGGGCATTTGCATGGCAGGCTCAGCATTCTACTAAAAATTGACGCAGGCCACGGCAAACCTCGCCTGCGTGCCTGCGCAACTGTAAACCTCGCTTTCTCACGCCTGTATACTGCTTTGAAGTTATCCTCACGATGCCGAGCCTTTCCGACAGTCCTCCCGGCTCCCCGGCCTCCACGGCGTCGAACCGGGCCGCGAGCCCCCCTCCTTTCGACCTCGCCGCTTTCTTCGTCAGTCAGGCCACAGCGACCGTCGCGAGCCAGCTCGAAGCCCTCAAAGCCGTCGATTTGAATACCCTGTCTGCTGATATGGATACCTGGCCGCGCGTTCGTTTGAAGGGATCGCGGTACGTGTTGGAAAGCTGGATTTACAAGAAGGGGAAGAGAAGGTCGTGGGCTACCGCGCATGGCACGTTTTTGGTCGCTTTGAGCGCTTCCGGGGCCCGGCTCGAGGTTCCTTTTGGCTCTGCTCCTCGTTTGTGGAAGGAATCCTTTTCAATTCCATCGCAACGTCTTCGGCTTCAAGTTATCTCGGTATACACGGCGTATATGACGGCAAGAAGGACCCCCCGCCGTCAAATAAGAGGGCGAGGTTCGCGACGACGACGCGCTCTCGTCTCTTGTCGGCGGGGCCGTGATCAGCAGCGGCAACACGAAGAAGAAGAGCAGGAAGAGCAGCATAGAGAGATGGATGGTAGTGCGCCAGCGCCAGCGCCAGCAGCAGCTGCAGCACGGAGGAGGAGAAGAACAGGTAGACGAGGGAGAGGGATCACATTACGACAGCGCCAGCGAGAACGAGTGAAGCGAGCGTGGTAAGGAGGAGGGCAAGCGGGGCGAGGAGGCTTGGCTTACTGGCCGGCTCGGGCGCGGAGCTGTGCCTATACTGTACCTATACTATATACGAGCCCTGGAATAGCATCTGAGCCATGGGTTGGAAACGACGGGTCAGGGCCAGGGAAGTCTCGATACGAGAGTGAATGCATTGAGTTTCCATATCATGACTTCTGTAATTTCGCCTCCTCTTCTACATAGAACCTTGAGACAATGCATCGAGTTTCCATCTATAATACGTGTCCTGCTAATGTCGCCTCCTGAACAGAACAGTCATAACAACTACGGGTTAGGTTAGCGGGAAGCCCTCACCAAAATATATCTCCTTTGGCGGCTGGACTTCGCCAAATGCCTACTCGCTTTCGGGGTCTTTGTTCACTTTGTTGATGCCTCTGGAAAGCCCGTTAAAGCAAATATAAGTCAACTAGGCCAAAAGCAGAACAGCACGGTCCGCCATCTTGGATCGGAGGCTCTACGATTGGAGTAGAATTCTATGTGCATCCTGGCAAGAGGTGGTTTGGCGTTTAAATGAATTTAGCATGGACTGAGGTAGAAGGGGGTCAGTCTCCCGGGCGACCACTGCTGGTTCGATGTCAGCCGTAGAAAATAAGTACCACATAAACGAGTCCCAAGGCAGGGTCAGGGGTCAAGGAAGGTCACACATGCGGGACAACCTCAATGGGAGATATTCCCACCCTTGCTAGCGCTAACCGTTGGTGCTTGCTTCAGCACGCTGGTTCAGCGTGACGACGGATATAAGGATCCTCCGCGGGAGGATTGGGCCGAATGGTAAGGTGCCGAGCACGAGATGACGAATGTCACAGTTAAAGCGTTTGGGGGAGATAAGTTGTAGATCTTTACCGCCATTCGCAGAACAGCCAGTTCTTCACCTCAAGCCAACTTGACCTATACAAGCCAAATCCGAAAAGTATGGGCTCCCCAACACCAACACTGTCTCTGCCCGGCGGCACGATCGTGTCGGTGCAGGCGTATGCTATAAACCGGGACACGGCGTGCTTTTACCAACCAGACACGTTCCTGCCGGAGCGCTGGCTGCCCGACGCCGCCGCCAGCGCAGACTCGCCGTTCTTTGCTGACCGCCGGGACGCGCTGCAGCCGTTAAGCATCGGCCCGCGCGCGTGCTTGGGCCAGCACCTCGCCTAGGCGGAGATGCGGCTCGCGCTGGCGCGGCTAGTGTGCAGTCTTGACTTTGAGCCCGCGAGGGACCCTGCGAAGCGGCTGAGTTGGGAGGACCTGCGGACGTTCTTGCTCGTGGAGAAGCGGCCGGTTCTAGTGGGAGTGAAGGCTATCGACGGCGTTGCGTGAGGGACGGAGAATGCCACTGCGCTATTCATAACATAACTTCCTTGTATATCCAAAATCAGCCTGTGCGTGAGGTGCCACTGTAAAAACCAGGGAGCCTGTGTGTAAGGCTTGGGTAACCACTAACCAGTAGGATTACATTAAAGAAACGGCCTGCAGACGATCTCCCGTATGAGCACTGTCCGAGAAAGATCAGGCCAGGAGGCAGACTCCAGAGTTCCTCAAACTTTCCACCGAGATTCTGGGACAGCCTGTCAAAAGCCTGGCTCACTCCTCGCGCATTGGGAGAACTTAACCGGCGGACCAGTGCCCAGCCTGCCTTAGAACCCGCAGCACTTCCGTTATACCCAACACACCTTGTCCGGTTTGCGAGACCCAGTAGTCTAGGGCTTCGCCAACTTCAAGGGGTATGTCTACATCCAAGATGCGCGACCATCAACTAACTGGCTGGCCTTAGTGTCTTGGACCGAAACACGTTGGAGTCGAAATGGTTTCCAGCCGAGCCTCTGCATCCTCCAGCCGACGAACAAAGTCGACAAAGTCTACAGACCCAACAGATGCCTCTTTTAAATCCAGGCGATCGTCTGCCTACGACGAAAATTTCGAGCGGGAACTAATTGACTACAATGTGTACCCGGAAGGATACGAATATCCAGGCGATCGTCTGACCCCCAAACCCGAGAACATTGGCCAAGCGCGTGTGGAGTTCTTGGCGCCCAGAGCCTCTCTCTCGCCATCGCATTTTCCCCAGTCGGCGTTCCGAGACTTGAAGAGGAAGAATAATACCAAGTCGAAGGGCACCATCATGCGTAATGTGATTCCGATCATTACTGGCGACGTTGACGCCCCGAACGAGGGCAACCTCCCATTCACCAGCCTCGAATCACTAACAGAGGGTGTGACGTTTATGCCAGCACCAGGTTTCTTTGGCGGAGCCCGGCTAGGAGACCTCGACAAGGCGGCGAGAGAAGACCTGAGTCGGATGATTATACCCACGAAACACGCCGACGTGGCAGTAGCGCCCAATAAACCACTGGTTAACTAATGAAAATAAGCTTCAAATCCGTGCCCTGATGCTATAAACATTTTGGTGATTATTCAAGCGCTCATTGCTAACTTCCACACCGCGCAATCGCACCCATGTGAGGCTGCGGCGCATGGCCAGTGACACGTCTGCTCGGACGGCGAAAAATGACTAAAGCACTGGATAAGTAGTCCGAGATGCTTATACCAGGGCCGGTGCTTTGTATATCCCCTTTACAGTCTTTATTCTTCGTTTCTCTGCTTTGCAATTCTTGGACAGTATTAGCGATTCTCTCTGTTACTACCAATCGCCCGCCAAAATACGTAAAAGGTTCTTGGGCTACTTCCTTCAAAATTCAAAGAATTGAACGGCACCAGCAGAGTCATACCAGCCGCGAGTCGACTGTGCTGAGCTTTATAGCAATCTCGCCTGGAAGGTGTATCGCCGGCGTAATGAGAATTCAATGGCTATGACGAATCTGAATCTAACAGCCGCTAATAAAAACACTACAAAATAAAATACAATGTCGAACGATCTGGCCTTACTCTAAATAAATCTCTCGGATGCTGTCAGGTACCCAACCTCTTCAGATCAGGGGTCGGCCCCTGCTGATCGAGAACCCCCAGCCAGCCCCAACATCCCCATGCTTGGCTGGGCATCCCCATGCTTGGCTGGGAACAGCAGCTCAACGGCTATGAAGTCTCACCTCCGGCGCCGCCTCTTCCAGATCTTCCCGTCTATAGGTGCGAAGGCGGTGAAACCCTAGCTTAAAATAACAGCAGAGGGCGAGGTACTCGGGAAGTAGAGCCATGAGCGAGAAGGCGACGGCGGACCCAAACAGCGGGTTCCACTGCGATCTTAGGACTTGAGTGAAGTCGCCCTTCGGCTCGAACACGCCGAGGAGGCCGTAGACGATGCGCACGGCGAGGAAGACGGAAGCAATCAACATCCACTTGAGATACTGCGTTCAAGTCAGCATTTGCGGTCTGTTTGACTGACGAGTGGGGTAGGAACGCACAATCCTGTCACTGTCTTTGACTTTACTCTGCTTAAAGTACAGCACTGAGGTCATGCCAACGAGGGCGAGGAAGATTCCCGTGAATTCGATGTAAGCGACCTTGGCCACCCTAGACTGGGTGTTGGCGCGGTCCGGCTGGCCAGCGAGCGCTCCGCTAGTACTCAGAAGGGCGACGGCTCCTAGTATGAAGAGGTGAACGACGAATGAGAATCTTTTCGCCCCTTTGCTGTCCTTGAGGCTCGACCGAAACCTGAATTGGGTGTTAGTTGGAGGTCTTAGGGGAGCCGGGGAGACCGCCACTCACACCTGGCGGACAAAGCCAAGATAATTCAGGACCAGTGGAACCAGCCCGAGATTCAGCAGCACAAGCGTGGCAGCGATCAAGCTAGTGTTGGTTTGGTTCTGTTCCTCGACGATGACAAGAATAGCTCCGACGAGCCGAACTGCAGAGTCTCAGTCACAAGAGCCAACGAGTCCAGGTATCGAGTTTGCTCACTGTTGGTGAAGGGGACCGCAGGATAGCATGCCATCCGCGGTCCGCGCTTCCAGTTCCTGACGCACAAGTAAAATGCAACTGGGATTGCAGGGATATAGAAGACCAGCTGCGCGATGGCAGCCGCCGTGTGCGAGTCCATGAACCGTGGTCTGTTGGCTGTGGTGATGCGAGGCGGTGGTCGAGTTTTGCGCTCGGATGGGAAAGGGGGGAAAAAACAGACGGGGAGTTTCTGTTTCTCCGACAGCGTTTAAAATGCTCTTTTTTCTTTTTAGGAGAAGACATGGCCATATTATAAAGGGAAAGCGCTGTGCAACCTCAAGAGTTGAGCCTGCCTCGGAGATAAGCGAGCAGCATCTGAGGGTGGCCCGATTGCAGGCGGCCAATCAGGTCATTGCTGATCATCGTTCCTTCCGCGGAATCTGACCAGAAACGGCTAGTGCATGCGTGTGTACACATGAGCCGTACCGTGACAGAAGCCGCGCCACGGCCCTGGGCCTCTGACCGACGTTTGAAATTCTTCTTCGGTCTTGCCCCAACAGCTTCCACGTCCTCCACCGCCTCGCACACGCCCGCATCTTACGTACCCCCATCGCGACAAGTCCGCTAGGGTACCCGTCTCCCTCAGTGCCTAAAAGTCTGGGCGGCTGACTGCTGGACGCCCACTGCCAGTTCTCGCGGCGTCGCTTCGAACCCGAACCATCGCAGCACCCAACCGCATCCGCCGCCCTCGGCACCTGCCCCCCGAGTTTCGACATGGTCGGAGTACCGCGAGCGAATGCTTGTCATGACTGCAAGCGTAGAAAGATCAAGGTTCTCGCCGCCCCGCATTAGTCTCCGTCCTGCCACATTCCCATTTCCCGCAGTCGGTCTGAATGGCTAACCCTTGGGAAGTGTGATGGGGAAAACCCTTGTCAGAAGTGCACCAAGTCGGGGCGGGTTTGCACGGGATTCAAGCGCCCACATGCCTTTATCCTGTCCAAGGAGATGAAATTTGACGAATCTCCAACGCTCGATGACGGACTACAGACTGACGAATCCGGCTCGGGTGTTGTCCTGGTGTCGAGATGGAGACGCAAGCCATCAACCCCGCCACAAAAAGACAGGGCACCGTCCCCGCGGGAGACGGCCCTCGCCAAGCCGCTGGCCGCTGCAACCCTGCCCCAGCAAATCTGCAGCCGCAGCGCCTTCAGGGACAAGTTCTTCTCCATGTTTGCCGAGAGCCGCCTCCCGGCCAGCAACGCACTCGCCGACCGCAGCGATTGGGTCACTCAGGTCATCTCCCTCCCCGACCTCGCCCCGGCACTCGAAGACACCTTACTGGCCGTCTGCACAGCGCGGCTGGGACGACGTTCCCACCCCACGCTTATCCACGAGAGTCTGCGGCTTTACACAAAGGGCCTGTCGGGCATGCGGCGAGATCTGGCCCGCAACCGCTCGGCGGGCTGGTCCGAGCAAAGTCTAGCCACCTGCCTTGCGCTACTCATGTACGAGGCCATGTTTCATTTTGTCTTCTCGAAGAGCGACTTCCACAGTTACATCTATCACCGACGTGAAATTGCTTATAGTCTCATTGCTTACACCCATCATCGCCACACACACACACACTCACACACACGCACACACACACACTAACATGACAAAGGTACGAGGTAGTGGAGTGCCCAGGAGGCACACCGGATGGCTATTTGTCGCATTACAACGCCACGATGCACATTCTCCACACGCGAGGAGCCAGTGCTCACACTTCGGGCCTGGGGCACAGCGTCTTCCAGATTCTTCGGATACACATCGTAAGCCCTACTAGCGCTATCTTCTCAAATTACCCCCGTCCCGCCTGATCCTGACCATGGGCAGATGTTCCAGGGACTTGTCCAGTCCGAGAAGACCTTTCTGGCGCTGCCCGAGTGGCGAGACATCCCGTGGTCCGCGGCGCCGGGCAGCAAGGCCCCCTTCGACACCCTGCTCGACATACTACTCGACATCCCCGAACTGTCTGCCCAGCGCGAGGGCCTCCAGCACGTCAGAAACCCCCGCCTATTTCTGGCCACCGCCGTCGGCACCATACGCCAAGGCTACATGATCGAGGGCGCCCTGGACGAGTGGTTCATTCGATTCAAGGCCACTGTTCCTGGCGCGCTCTACCACCCTGAGCTCTCCAAGATTGACAGTCTGGTCGACAACCCAGACTCGGGTAAGCTGTTCCCCGTGGCATTCCGCTTTCCTGCCTTTGTCATCGGCCAGAACGTCCTATATTCTTGGGTGGCGAAGCTCACGCTTCACGCTCACCTTTGCTTCACGTACGCGATTCTCGAGCGATCGCTGGGTATCCTCGACGCCCTAGGCAGGAGCAACTTCTCATGCACCTGCGACGCCGGCGCGGAGCCCCTCTGTTTACGGCACTTTGCCATGGATCTGCTACCCCCGCTTGGCCGCAGGAGCCAGTGGCCCCGCGAAACGGCGTACAACATCTGCCAGTCGGTCGAGTACTTTATGGGGAACCCGGTGCGGGCGCTCAGCCCTGCGAGCGTGCTGCCTGCCCTCGCGGTGGTCAAAGGCTTCTGGAAGCATGCGCCCGGCGACTGGAGTCGCGAGATTTCGTGGATTGACTCCAGGTTGGAAATTATACGCGCAAGTGACACTGAGATCGCCGTCGCGTTTGGGTAACTCAGAAAGTTAAGAGGTAGCGCAGTCACACAATAGCAGTGCGGCTTTTCAATTCCATTCTAATTTGCGCTAATCCAAACTTGGATGCCAAGGTAAGGTTCAGCCGCAAGCCGTCCAACGGCTCGTCTTGGGCGAGGCTCTCGTGAGAGCACTGCGTATTCCTCGATCACCTATCATCTCACGACCCCAACATCGTGTCCCTATTTAGTTCAACCAATCAAATTTGTCACACGATCCCGAGCCATCTAAGATGAATGCCATGGCCTATGCCTCTAGGTATAAAACCAGTGTGCATCTCCAACAGGAACTTCTCGATTTCCAGAGCTGCTTGTACGCCGAGGAGCGATGCACATTTGTCGACCTCAGGAGGGAAGAGCTGCCTGACGTGACGGCCATCACGCGATTGACTGCCGAAATTGACTTCAGCACTGGGAAACAGCACAGGCACTGGCGATCCAAAGGCCAGCGCCTTGCGAATATTCTCGTCGCAGTCCAACGCCTGGCCCCCCGTCGGCGATGTGCTTATCGGAGGATCGCAGAATCTCGTCGCGAGTGGGGTCTGGGCCGCATTTCGTGTCTACGTCGAGGTGTATAGGGCACTGCGTCGCTCCATGTCCTTGCTGACATTCTCCAGGTGTCAACAGGCTTCATGAACATGCCTTAATTCCTACCGCCAGGTCACTTCAACTTCGCTCTCAGAGTCTACCATAATCGGTTACCGTTGAATAATCCGCCTAGAACATCAATCAAGCACCCAAAATACCAAGAATCCTGCCGCCAGCCACACATCCTAGCTTCAGAGCCCATCGTTATTACTCCTACTCGCTGAGGGGTTAGATTGACTAGGCTAAGAAAAACCCACCACCAGAGCCACCACGGCCCTATCAAAAGGGCCTACCGAATTACAGATCATACCGACCGAGCAACTATTTAGTCGCGCCGACCGACTGACGGCCCTGACCGAGGTACCTCTACGAGCCTCGCACCTACCCGCTGCAGGCACGCCAGGCTGCAGGCAGTCTCGATACGAGGTCTTCACGAGGGCAGGTTAGTAAGGACTGAGTGATATATAGGCTCTGGTGCTGAGGGGTACGACTGTCAGGACAGGGCCCTCAAGGCGTAGGAGTCAGAGACTGTGGACTACAGGATAGGGTTTTTATGAAGTTCGGAATGTAGAACCTCTCTCGCAGGGCAGACTGACTGCTGGGCTTGCGAGAGATGTGGTGTTTTCGACTGGCTGTATTCCAGTAGACAGAATGTGGCCTAGATGGCCTTAAATGGGGCCATTCATTCAGGGTGCTTCCAAAGGAGGCTATTTACGCTCGGCTGGCTGTGAAGCAGGGAGGTTAATGATTAGTCAACCGGAAGGACATTAACCTAGTATTACTTCAATACGAAGTCGCTATATTTTGGGCGCAGTTAGAGCTTATAAAGAATAAAAAGGAGAAGGCTATCACTATGGACCCGAATAAAAGTTTTATTAATATCACGAAGATCAGACAGGCGTAGATTAAGGCCGGGGCTACCCAGGAAGGCCTAGAAGAGAGCTCTGATGAAGGCCTAGAAGAGAGCTCTGATGAAGGCCTAGAAGAGAGCTCTGATGAAGGCCTAGAAGAGAGCTCTGATGAAGGCCATATCGACGAGACAAGGTCCTGTATTGTTTGCGAATAGCTTCATTGGACGGTAGTAATTTGAATGTTGACTGCCCCTGGCTTACACGGGCGAAAAAAGCGCCACCGGCATGTTCCGCTTCCAGGGTAGTAAAGGGAAACATAGTATAACTACCAGGCATTAATCTTGAAGCTGAATATCAACTAGAAAATCCCAAGCTCCAGAGCATGTTTGACATCTGTTCAATGAATAAAAAACAAGTCCCGTTAAGCTAACCCTTCTTGCCTATCATGTAGCTTATCTTACAAGAAGCCCGCTTCTCTCCCCAGCCCTGTGCTCTTCGGCAAACGCTTTGATAGCCGCCCAATCCCTGCACTGGTGAGTCGAGTTCGCTCCAGTGAATCCATACCTTGTCACCCGCCCGTCCGGTCCGAGTGTCTGGTCGTCGGCGTAGTCCAGAGTCGTGTCGCCGGCGCAAAGGATGGCCTGACGAATGTACTGTTTGTGGTCAAGTCAGCTGCTTGGCGTTTCGCCATACGCGGGACAAGAAAAGGGCCACCGAACGTCTAGACAGTGATATTCGTGTCCGTCACCTGCAAATCGAGACTTGTCGTGCTTTTCGTATTTGATGATGACGTCGCGCACAACAGCCTGAACGTGTTTTGGTTAGTCTATCCGTAAATAGGCTGCATGAGAGCGTGCATCATGTACCTACCAAGCAGTGAAGCTGGTGCGTGACAGACAGCGAATAGATCTCGCCCTGTTCAGGATCGTCGGGGATGGGTTCGCTTGCCGGCATGTTGAGCCACCGCGGGTGCGGGACGCGGATGAAGCCTGAACCGACTGTGATAAATGTCAGGGGGTGACCATAGCTTTGTTTGCATGCGTGAAAGGGTGACTCGCCTGGTGCAAGGTCGTTCCAAAGTTTGTCCCCTTTTACTCCAGAATCTTCATACTCGGTGGGGAATTTGAACATGACTGATTTGACAGGAACTGGATAGTGTTTGTTAGCTCGGTTTTTCATAGACTCGTCATGGCCGTACTATTAGGTATGAATGCCGGCCGAGAGAGAAGACCGTCTCCCACGGCAGGCTGTGTTTGTGATAGTACCGCGGGATTGTCCTGTCCTAAAGCAAACCCCAGCGCAAACGACGCCACCGAGACGACCGCAGCAAGCAACCCGGTAGATATGATGCTACATGGCAATATTCTCTTGGGATGGTATGCGGTCCTGTCGTTTTCGTCAAGCGGAATTGCTGTGTAAGCGTCCTCCATTTCTTGGGTGAGCAGTTATGGGCCACCTGAGGTTACTGGGTAAGAGACTTAAATTCATTCCAGCCTCAAGAAGAGGCCGGCAAAATTAGTCTCCGGCGCGCGTCGTGCCACACGTCCTAGCGAAATGAACCCCATTTACCCAACAGGCTAAAGTGCCTCGGTCTAGGAGCCTGGGGAGCACACGTGATGTTGGCACGGCAGAACCACAGAAACAAAATGGAGATTAGACAAGCCGCGAATAGACTCAAAATCGTGTAGGGCAAACAATTTTATCATTAAACGTTTGCTAGTGGACGACATTTCAAGATCTAAAAGGACCTTAGCGTTTATGACTCGCCATAAAGGATCTCCCCCGAGGTAGGCAGTAGCCACTTAAACTCGTATCTTGCACGCTTATTAACTAGGTGGAAAGTAGAACTTGAATCCGTTTAATGAAATACTTTAAACACCTACGTATAATGGGACTTTGTTATATTTCGATAGCTTATAATCTTTCTCACAGGTTGCCAATCGGCACCACCTCTATTCTGAAAAAGGTTTATAATTTCGAGTTAACTAGGTTCGAGTTAACTAGGTAACGAGCAACTAAGAAAACCCAGTAACTATCTTTCTTGTAATTGGATAAAGCTAAGTAGTAAGTCGCTTGAGGAAGCGCCTTAACCAAGAGAGCAACGTTATTTGCACTTAGCTACTAATGCTGTGAGCGTGTCAACACCCACCAAGACCCTGAACTCCTGGACCTGGGGTCACAATTTGCAGCCTAGTTACATGATTTCCAGGTAACAAAGCAACCTAACAAGAGACATCTAAAGCCGACCGTCCCCCACAGAGCCCTGAGCACGCGCCCGCCAACTGATCCGCAAGGACTTTAGCAGCCTACGGCTTGTGGAAAGCCCTACAAAGGCTGCAAATGGCACCCAAAATAGTGACGGGCGTGATGTTGCATCGCCTGCATCTGTGCTTTGTGGGCGTCGAAGACAGCCTGAGAGCAGACGACCCGGTAATGGGGCGGAGAGCGGGAATTGAAGCCGGTGTGTAGGTTGTGACCGATGTAGTGGGAGCAAGCAGCGAGGCGTAGTCAAAGCTGGGAAGAGCTAGAGCTATCGAAGCTGGGGTGTAGGCGGGTGGCCTCACGGCATCCCGCCTTCTTTGCATGTCTGCGGCCGTCCTGTGAGCGTGATATGCAGGCACTACGGTCTTACATACTGTCCGACCATATATGGTGCAATTTGTGCACATGGTGCCAGCGGGCAGAGAAGAAATGTTACAGTCCCAGAATTGACGGCTTCCACAGTAGCCGCAGCGTGGGAGGGCCTTCGTTGCATCATTGGTGATTAATTAGTACCGTGATGATATGAAGAGAGAGAGGCACGACTTACATCGCAATCCGTGCACAGAATCGCAACTCCTTTGATATTTTTTACCTCCGCGGCCCACTCGCCGCACATCTTGCAACGTTGTTCCATTGTGGTCTTTCTTGTTGTGCGGTAGTTTCGAAAAGATTTAGTTGTTGGTTCGTTGAGTATTGGAAACTAATCCCTGCAGAAATGATGATGGAGATACTGGAAGCGACTGGGGCTTATATAGCTGGAGCAGGGTGGTGCATTCTCATACAATTGCTAGTATCGTCATTGGTTTTAATCACGAGGTAAGTAGCTCCTAAGATGACTCGTCATTAGAAAGTCACCGTAGTCGAACCATTTCATCTTAAGCGATCTATATTAGTAGACCTGCAATGATGAACATCCCATTCACAGTCCTTGGCTTGAGGAAGGACTGTTCCTATGCCACGTAGTAGAATTCCCTCCTAAGCGCCGGTTCCGCAGACCGTAAAAGCTGCAATGAATGTCATCCTAAACCTTCCAATTGGTTTCGAAGACCCACTGACCAAGCTATATATTAACAGCCATTTCGCTTTTGTGATAAATCTAACTGTGGAGGTCCCTCCTAAAGGCAAGTCTTGTTGAAGCAGACGAAATGATACATGTCTTAACAATAATTACCCTACATTTATGCTAGCGTGACATCTCACCTGATCAGAAACTTAATTCAATTGTTGGAGTAAGGAACACGTGCTTTTTTAGCATAGGTATGTTGATATATACGGCCCTTTGCGGTCTAAATATTCAGATGTAGAGTAAAATGGCCGTTCAACTTTCTCTTGTTTAAGAAATTCGAAGACCTGAATCATGAACAAAGGAGCACGGTTTAGAGAATAAATTAAAGCTATGTAATGTGGTGAATCATTCTACAAAGCCAGCCGCTTCATGAGGCAGCAACCAAGAAAGGTAGACGATCGCGCTGGAGCACTGTAGGTGGCAAGTTGTGCAAATGAACCCTAATTGCTCTGGACCCCCGACTCCCGGGTCGCTGGCATGCCAAAGCCCACGTCGTTATTAAATAAAAAGAAAAACTACCACTGCGGGTTTGAACTAATCATTCCGGTGGCTGCGCACGCCCGACACGCGAGAGCGTCCCAAACTCACTACTTCTAGCCTACTTCTAGCTCCCGCTGACATAGGCCTTGATACAGGCTTCGCAAGTCTGTCCATCAGGCCACACCCGCGTTTTCTGGCAGATTACGCACAGGCTCGTCAGCGGGTCGGGGAGGAGGTTGGTGGCAAAGTCGGTGAAGCTCTTGCAGTCGGAGCACTTGGCGCCGGAGGTCCAGACGGGCGTGTATTTGCAAATCGAGCACATGTAGCTCGAGCTCAGGTCGGAAGTGGAAGTGGAGGCATCGGCCTTCGTAGTGGCTGCGGTGGAGTTCGATGGATCAGCAGCGGACGTGGTTAGCGGAGTGTACTTCGACGCTGAGGCGGGGGCGGCTGGGTAGGATCCTGGTGCAGCACGGTGTTTATTAACAGAGTAGTTAAGATCCGGATCAGAAACTCCAGAAGCAAGACCTCCAGGAGCAGGCGCTGCAGAGTATTTCCATTCAGGGGTAATCGGTGTGCAGTAGTTTGATGTCGAAGTCGGAATTTCAGCGTAATAGCTCGAAGGGCCGGCATATTTTTCCCATTCTGTATCTGTGCTGGCTAGGGACTGAGCGAAGGGCCCTTTGGTCAACGTGCTATCGCACTCTTTACACAGGAATGGCTCCCCTGTCGAAGTTTTTGTCGCCGCGGGAAATAAACCGCATCGTTTGCAGTAATCCGTAGACATGGCGCTGTGTTTGGTGCAATTCGATTTTGAGAGAATGCTTGTAATTGGTAATCATGTCCAGTATCGAGCACTGAAGTAAAATGGCGTGTCGATTGTAAAAGATCTCTCACCGTGCTAGCAGGTGTCGGGCTTTTATATCTATATCCAGAGGGTCTGTCATTTGCCACATGACCAATCAAGTGAGCAAACGGTGCAATGAGGTTGCTAACTCTCATCCAAGTCTACCTAGTCAAGCGCATCCGAACAGCGCTGACAGGCAAAATGTTTCGAGAGCTCGCAAACCGGCCCAGGCAGGCACCATGGGCCTACCGTTTCTCTTGTGTGAGGCACAGGCCAAGCCTGGCCTAGCTTGAACCACCTAGTGGTCCATGCACCACCAGCCTTTCCCCCACCAGCCTATTCCCGCACCAGACTTTTCGCCTGCGGGCACATAAGAGCATGATCGGCTCGCTACCGACACCGGCGGGCTACCGGCGAGGTCGTGACTTTTGGTGGCTTGATTAAGTGGGTTTGCCAAGATGTATCGCCTGCCCCCCTGTTTGGCGATGGAGTACGTACCGAAGCCCCTGTTTTCCCGCGTTTTCAGGGGCTCCACTAGCCACCCGTCGATTTTCGTGATGCCACCAATTTGCCGCCTTGTTGCCGCAAGATGTCCCTCCACGAAGTTGACGATACCATTGTTGCTGGGCTTGTTGCTCATGCGTTGGTTGAGCCTGCGTTCGACGACCTGGCTGTCGATATAGCCATTGACCTCACCCACGACGGCTGGCAAGATACCAACAACCCACCGCCCCTGACGGCTCCTCTGCCCCCGGTGACAGTCAACGACAAAGATATCGACGACCCGCCGCCCCAATTCCCTACACAACTATCCCAGCCGTCGTCTATCACCGTTAGTACCGACGATGCGTCCACCCGACCTTTGGGCGCGATATCGGGTCGCAAACGCGCCGCCCCCCCATCAATAATAGTCTAGCGAAGAAGAGAAGGGCACCCGCTACCAAGCAACTGAAGAAGGTCGTCTTCAGCGTTGAGATGACCGCGCAAGTGATGCTTTGGTTCAGAGACTGCAAGAACCAATGCTTCTTCAACGGTTCGAAGAAGCGGGACTACGGCCCTGCTTGGGATACTGTTTTGAGCCGTTGTCAGCAATTATGGCCGCAGTTCCCCTGGTCAAAAAACACTGTTTTGGGCAAATACGATACTGAGCGTCGTCGATATCAAGCATTCGAGATGTTGCTGGGGTATTCCGGGGTCTCATACAACTACGATACCCGGCTTCCAGAGACATCCGACACGACGTGGGAGTCCTTTTTTATGAGGAACAATACGAGGCATCGTGATCACGGGTGGCTGCGATATACCCCGCTTGGTGACCGCGATGTATATGAGGTCGTATTCTGGAGGGAGCAAGCAAGCGGGTTTGATATCGTCGAGGCGGCCGATTTGCAAGCGATATCCTTACTCCCTGTCGACTCTGGCGATGTCGACTCTGGCGAGGATTCCGGCCGTGATAACCCAGAACTGTTGGACGCAGATGACGTAGACGATATTCTGGCGCGTTCGAGTTCGTCGTCGCGGGCTGTATCGACACCTACTCAACGGTTAACTCCTGCTCAACGGCATCGCCTAGAGACTGACCCAGACCAGACCCCACCGCGCAATAGTACGCCTCCTATTTCGGTGCCGCCTACGGCGAGAGTGAGGAAGACCGCCCAGAGCGAGAGCGGGTTTCTAGGCGAGTCGTTCAGTCAGGCAGCTATAATACTGGCGGAGCCAAAGCTTGCTGGTGCTGGTGATATTGCGGCCGCGTGGCAGGCGGACAAACGCGTTATGGAGTGCTTGGAACATTGGTAAGAGCTGGGCCACGATATCGGATACAGTACTCTGGCTGATTTGGAACCGGTGGGCAGTATTCCTCTTACTCTCTGCGTGGGCAAATATCCAGAGGCTTACCATAACCTTTTGCTCAGGAAACTGGTACCGAGACCGCTGAAGACCAGCGTTATTTTGGAGCTAAGAGACCAACTGTTTGAAGGTCTGTTTATCCAGGCGGAAGAGGTCTTGGAACTGGGTATCCGAGCCATCGAGGATACTCCTAGCTAATTCGACGGCACCAACAGGTCCTTTCGGGTGGATAGTACTACGAGGTCTTCTTTGGCCAAGAATACAGCGAACTGCGCCAATTGCAGCCGCTGCGTACGCGGCCACGGCTCTGTCGGGTGGTAGGGTGGAAGCCATAGAAAAACAACAACTCGAACAACAATAAACCGAGACCCGGTGATATTGGCCGTCGTCAACAACGTTCGCCTCCTCTGCCGCAATCCAGGCTTCAAACCGACCACAGGCCGCTCTCCTACCACCGTACCAGCCATTTTTCGCTGGTAGAAAACTCGTCGGTAGCAGGGGTTTTTTACCGCTGAGAACTGGCGATCTTTGCCGTCTTGGGGAAAGCCCGGTGGCTGAGCTAGTCGGTACATCGAGAGCACGGGCATCACATGGGTTTCGCCGGTAAGAAACGCTCAATCCCCACCTGGCATACAAATTTGGTACTAAAAAGGGTCAAGCGCGTCTAAGAAATGTCTCTTGGCATGATTTGACCCCTGTTTCGCCGGTACCCCGCCGGTGCCGGTAGCGAGCCGATCAGGCTCCAAGTTTAGATTCCTCAAGCAATCAACAACGTTTTCCTAGTAACAGTGCACCTCGCATAGGTTATGAGCTCCTTTTGCTTCCACAACTGAAGCTGTTTGCATCATTTGTGCATCATATTGATCACCGTCAAACGCGCTTTGCAACGCACCTATTTTCATAAAAAAAAACAGTGTTGCGCGCAGGCCGCACCCCAAAGAAGGCAGCTTTGGCCATTCTGGCCCCGCCTGGAGCGCCCCGCCAAGTAACGGTATCTTACCACGGACGATTTTAGGATCTTCCTGTTGGAATAGCGATACTGGTGACCGCACACTAGCAGGGAGGAAGCAGAGATCGCGCGAGTACGTACGTGCAAGTAGGCACGTGCGGCGCGCGGACCTCTCACACACACACACACAAAAACCCCGGTCGCAAGCAGAACCTACCTTAGTTCCGGGGAGAGAATGAATCAGAACAACTTTACACCCCCCCCCCCCCCCCCCCCCCGGTAGTACTACCACTTTTTGACTCGTTGGAACACCTACGTGGTTGGAATACCACGAACACTTCCACTTCGTCAACGAACTTGCCCTCACTCAACTACACAACTATATACCTTTACGTATCGTCAACTTCGTCAATCAACAGCCTACCGCGTACCCGATTGACCCGACAACCCGTGAATCCGATCAACAGCCAAGCAGAGCAACTGATCAACCCGAAAACCCACAAGGATGTTAGCCAACGCGCGAGAGCTTGTCTCCCGCATTCCACAGCTGAAAGGCTCTGAAAACCTTACCTTATGACGTCAACAACTGCTTTTCGCCCTGAGAGAGAACTTGGCACTTCTTCCTTACCCTATCCAAGTAGACAGCTGGGAGAAACGGCGGAGTTTTATTTCGCTCTCGACAAGATATTTCAGTCTTCAGCCTCGAGATAAATACAGCATGCAACAGCCCCCAACAAAACACCATGCTTCAAAACAACACTCAAGGTAAGCGAAACGAAAAGCTTCTGCAGGCGCGCTCTCCTTCACAGCCCCCGCAGCAGGGCCCGACTAATGACTACCTCACAATGCAGGAAACGAAACGGGGGTGACTCGATGAGCGATATAGATAAGATAATTAGCACTTCTGCTCCCTTCTTCCGCACTACGTTGTAGCGCCGAGAAGGGAGGCAGCAGCTGCTCTACATACAAGACTATATCTATGGTAAGGCATGTTTACACGGTTGGTTGGATGGATGGGTGGGTGGGTTGATTGGTGACCTTTTACATGGGCATGTCGGTGCCGGGGAGCTTGGTGAGCCCTGTGTGACACGAGAGAGTCAGTAAAGCTCACAGCAGAACACGGACCAGGAACAAAACTCACAGCCATCGACGTTCTCGTGGACGAGGGGCTTGACGGAGCACTTTCGGGCAGCATCGATACTCTGCGTCTTGAGCGAGCCACACGTGGCGCCCATGCATCCGGCGGTGTCCATGGCCTTCTGCAAGGAGTCGGCCTTCCAGCCGAACACGTAGTCGGCGTGCTGGCCCAGGCCGGTCGGGTCGCCGGTGCTGAGCACGAACGGCTGCGAGCCGTCGGCGGGCCACTGCGACTTGTCGTTGAACTTGGTGGTGTCCCACACCACCTCGTACATCAGCTGCGGGATGCGTACCGGGTGCGACGCCGGGCAGTCGCCGCCCAGGCTGAGGAAGTTGGCCGGCCCCGTGACGGGGTACGCGACGTGGTCCTTGTGGTTCGGCGTGTCGAGGTTCTTGCCGTCCCAGCAGCTGTTGGAGGTTTAGCTTTTGCTTCATCTTGTAACCGCTAGAAGGCGCGGTAGACTTACGTCGGGAAGTGGATGTTGCTGCGGATGCCGCCGGCGCAGGCCTTCTTGGGGAGGGCCTCCGAGTCGACGCTGTAGTTCGGGTTAGTTGATACTCGTGAAATGGCAGACAGCTGGCACGTACTTGTTGTCCTGGCAAGGAGCGCCAGTGTCGCCGCCAAAGTTGGGCCCGGTGTAGCACCGGTAGCAGTTCTGCCTCTTGAGCGAGGTGTCGGGGCGCGAGCGCATGTTCGGGTCGCCGACCAGCATGCGGAAGCCCTACAGACACAAATCAGCGCGGCCCAGACAATTTGGCGAGGGAACATACCGGCTTGAAGGCGGTGATCTTGCCCGGGTTGGCCGAGACGTAGTAGATCAGGATGCCGCCGTTGATCTGGTTGCTGAACTTGTCGTTGAACTGCAGGGCGGCGCTGCCCTGGGTGACGCGCTTGTAGCTGCCGTTGCGGGCCTTGAAGTACAGGTTGGCGGTCCAGTAGTTGGAGAAGTCGTCCGAGAACTGGCACGTGGTGCAGCTGGCCTTGCCCGACACGTCGCCCGTCGTCATGGTGGCGTTGAAGGCGTTGCCGCCGACAATCTGGTGCACGTGCGGCGTGGGCATCTGGCCCGGGTTGACCAGGGGATCCAAACGGTCGATCACTACCTGCGGGCAGCCGAACCGCAGCATGGTGGTGCGGCCCTGGCGCGCCGTGATGGGCGGCGCCGCGTCGGCGAGTGCCGCGAAGGCGAGGATGGCGGTGCTCCAATGCATCGTGGCGGACAGACGGACAAGAACGGTCTCTCTCGGTCGTGGGCTGGCAGGGAGGAGGGAGTGACGGTTGCTGGGACTGGGTGCAGAGCAGAAAAGGGGGCAGCAGCCACGACGAGGGCAGCCAGACGCCGGTCTATATCGTTTTGGCCAGCCCCATTTTCCGCCAGGGCTGCCCTTGTTTTCCACGTTCGGCGTGGCCCAACTGCCGTCGTGTGACAGAGACACGAAATGCCGAGTCATGAGGCCAAATTTGGTATATTGTGTATATTGGTCAATATCGGCGCCGTGGCTCCTAGCCGCGCCCCCGCAACCTATCGGAGCGGGAGTATGGGGTAAACTTGATTGCGTTTTTGTGGGGTAAATAGGGATGATATGGTGGTCGCCGTCGACCACATTTGCCGGCAAAACTGCTTTTACCACGCCAGACCCCGGCTGCCCCCCCGTCCCCCCCCCCCCCCCCCAGGAACCGGTCCCCGTCGTGCGAAGGGGTTGCCAGATAAACTGGGTCGAGATGACGGCAAATTTCTGATTCGACGGCGCCCAACCTGTCATGACCGGGCAACGGGCGGCTCGCGTCGTGCATAGAATGGTTCCATTGCGAGCGTCGACGTCGCCACCCGACTCCTGCGTCTGAATTGAACCGTGGCCACGGATGGGAGATGGACGGCTGTTCATGTGACGCCCCTTTGTGGTGCGTCCTTTCCCGGGAAAGAGCTGGGGTTCGGTCGAAACAACCAAGACAGGATGGGTGACGGCAGCGCTGCAGCGAACGAGAAAGAATATTCTTCGCCTTTAGCCTATGTCACGTCGTGTTTCTGTACCGATCGCTCCCTCGATCGGCTCCCCCCGCGTGGAACATTCGGCCACACTTGGCCCGAGGCCTTCCTTCCCATTTCCAGGCTGTGATATGGGAGGCCAGGGCTGCTGGCCAGTCATGTTGGAGAACAACGCGTCGGCAGTGACAGTGCCGTGGGGTTCTGCTGAGCCGCTCGGCACCCTGTCTTGGAATGCGGGATGCACCACGTGTGCAGTTGCATCGAGGTGATGTAGGAGGTGTTTCTGATGAGGTGGCGGTGACGTGGTGGGGGTGGTTTTGAGGGCTGGCGACGTGATGGGTGGTTGTGGGGGCTGGCTGGTGGACCGGTGGTAGCCTTGAGAGGTGATGTATGTAAGCAGAGGAAGGAATATCCTTTACCACCCTTGACTTGAGTCCTGATCAGAATTTGGGCAACATCTAGCACCGAACATGAGAGTTCAGCATTCTCCTCAAAGGTGGTTATGGTTGCACAGACAAGCTAGGTCAACTCCCCCCTCGCAACTAGTGCGTGGATTCGTTGCCAGTAGGCGTACCAGCCGAGTAGAAGGTGAGGCCGTTCAGGGCCCCTTACTAGCGGTTTGTTTAGTTGAAGACGGAAGTAGCAAAGCCACCCGAGTGAGGAGTACTTTAGGAACGATAGCTTCAAGCGGGGTCTTTGGAATTCCTTTATTCCCAGTCAGTCAAAAGGCATCAACTTGGCTGTATTAACTGTTTCTTGCTAGTCCACCTGTCTCCTTCGTCGCTTCTCGACCACTCGTGCCAAAACACCCAGCATGGCGCCAGTTAAGAAGCCCACCGTCAGCAAAGCGCCCCTTAAAAAGCTCGCCGTCAGCAAAGCGCTCCTTAAAAAGCTCGCCGTCAGCAAAGCGCCCCTTAATAAGCTCGCCGTCAGCAAACTTGCCTTTGAAGTGTACAGCGAGGTGTCGACCGACCCTAAAATGTCGGAGCTAGTGACTAGCGACAAAATTCTCTTCTACTCTCGCGATGAGGACGACCGCCTGAAGCTCGGCGCCGCCAACTTCAAGGGCTTGCCCGACAAAGTTTTCCAAGGCGTGCTGCCCGGGCCCGAACGCACCTTCAAGCAGCTCAAGGGCGTCCTAAAGGCCGAGGACATCAAACGCCGTCTCCGCGATGTCCCCGACGCCCGTATATACCCGGAGCTGCCCTTCGCCTTCCCCGTGACGGTCGCCGGCGAGCCGCCCGGCTTCCCCTCGGACCAGGTCTACGTGAAATACGTCGCCACGCCGCTCGTCCTGGGCCACGACCCTGAGGACAAGTCCTTCCTGTCGGTGCCCTCGGCGCTGCGCAGCGAGATCGAAGCGCTGCGGCTCATCGCGCAGCACCGCCCGCCGCACCCCAACATCGTCGGCTACCTCGGCGCGCGCGAGCGGCGCGGCTTCGCGACGGCCGTCGTGCTGGACCACGGGCCCGGGGCCCTCGCTGCGGGACCACGTGTACCGGGACGGAAGGGCCCTGGCTGACAAGCGCGCGTTCATGGCCGCGCTGCGGTCCGCCGTCGCCAACCTGCACGGCGTCGTCGGCGTCGCCCACAACGACATCTGTCCGACCAGTGTCCTGCTGGGCGCCGACCAGAGGCCTCTGCTCGCTGATTTCGGCTCGTGCCGGCCGCTGGGCAAAAAGATAGGCCCCTCGACTGTCATGCCGGATTGGGAACGCAGCTGTGACGTGTCCAAAGGTGCGTTGCCCTGCATGGCTTTGTCTATTGTGCGCTGCATCGTGATTTGTTTGTTGACCCATTGTAGCCTCGCGCGATCTCTCCGCCCTCGACAGGTTGTCCACATGGTTGGATAACCCCGACGCGGACCTTTAGACGGCCAAGGAGTAGGGGTAATGGTTTGTCTAAAGGATGGGTAGATATATTTGTCTAATGGTGGGTAGATATATTTGTCTAAAAGATAGGTAGATATATCAAGACAATGTGGATAGTTAGCAAGAGAAAGCCAATGAGCTTGGAAGTGTGTCAAATAACCTTTTAAGTTAGCATCCAATTCTCCGCATTTTGGTATTGGGAGTTTCTGCAAGCAACCTTAATGCGCCAAGAAACACAGTCCTCGATACTGACTTAACTTAGGTACCAGTTAAGTTTTGCTAGGCAACTATGAAGTCACTGAACCGTGTTGATCAAGATTTATTCATTACGGCGCGTCCTACCCATTTTATCAATTTTATCCATTTTGTTACCTTGTATGAACCTCCTCTGAGACTCCAATACACCATTACACCATTACCCTTTAACCCCCCTCCCTCCCAAGATCCATGGACTCCCATAGCTAGCTATATGCCAGATGGCGAAAAACAATACACCGTCGAGATCTGCATAGTATCGCCGCCCAGTAACTGGGAGAGATTCTCACTAATGACACCACAAAACGCCCCTTAGTATATCATGCTCTCGTTCGACGTTATTAACGGGCCGGGATATATATAGAGGGGGTTATGGTGGACCGTACGAAATTTGGTCTATGAGCAATCTTCGTTCGAATATCGCCCCAAAGAAGGGTATTAACAGTTTACTCGGTCTTGGGGCATTCGCGAGTTTCCCAACAAGCCCGCTACAAAGTCCCGCTGGACTGGAACTATCGCCTTTCATACGCCTACGATCAAGAGCCCGTCCAGGTTTCGCCTGTAAACGTTGACGAGGCAGTATGTTTCCGCCGCCATGACTGAAAACCCTTCTGGCAAGATTGTTTAAATGTTCGATCGTGACCTTCCTGGATACTGCATTAACTGCATCTACGACGAACACCCAACGAACCCGTGGTGGATGTGGCCGATGGAATCTATGGTAGAAAATAGCTGGCGTCGTACGCTGATGGCGAAAACGGTTGGGGGGATACTTCGATGGCTTGTCGGCTTGGCCATTATCTTCGCCGTGTTCAACACTTATGTTTGCCCAGGTATTTGAGAGGGAGGGGGGGAGGGTAACATTCAGGAGTCGCTGATAAAGGAAGTTGTCTCTTAATCATCACTGAAATCCATTCATGATAAACGGATGCGAAAGGTGAGGCTTTGAGGAACCCGAAGTACCCTTGACTGGGCTCTTGACCTAATTATTCGTAAGTCCAAACCTTGGACCTACCCAGCATTACGCCACCACTGAGATGGACTCGACGGTGGGTGCTGGAGCGACGATCTAATGATTAGTTATCACACAGGATCGAGCAAAGGCTAGGATAAAGAAATTCGCTGTAATATTAAAAAATGAAGAAGAAAAAGAAAAGAAAAACGAAAGAAAAGAAAAAAGAAAAAGAAAAGAAAGAAAAAAAAAACAATAAAAGTATTACCTCCCCCCCGCTGTTCCATTACGGCCCGAAGGCCCGCCACCGAAAAGTTGACCCAACCCCTCCAGTGTTCCGTCCGACTTTCACACCTCGAACACTAACGCCGCGGCCACCGACACCACCGCTGCGCTCACCGCCCACGCAGCACCCGGACACTCCACGCCAGCAACCGAGCACTCCACGCCAGCACCCGAACACTCCACGCCAGCACCCGGACACTCCACGCCAGCACCCGGACACTCCCAGCGAACGACATGAACACGCCCCGCCCCCATCCGCTCCCACAACCATCGCACCCCTCCCTCTCGAGCCCTCCGGTCTTGACCGGACTTGGAGGCTTGGTGGCCACCTTGGCTTTGGCTTTGGGGCCCTGGGCTGTCCCGGACTTGGGCAGGTGTTGACGCTCCAGGTTCTTCGGGTCACTCTGCAGCACAGCGCATTAGTCCGGATTTCCAAGAACATAAAGTCCTGCAAGGGGTGATGAAGACGCGCGGGAGTGGGGGCGCTAAGAGAAAAGCAGCAAAGGTACAGAAGGTGGCTTACCTTGTCCCGTGGAAGAACCCCAGATAGCCGGCCAACCAAGATCTGTTGTTTGTCACCGATGGCGACTCGGAGGAGGAGGAAGGCGTGGTGCTGACTGGTCGTGGTTGCCGATGTGGCGGGGAAGACGTGTCGCCGCCGTTGTCTGGGGATGCCTGATAGTGCTGGGGGCATCCGGGCACAGCGGTGGATTTTGGTGGGGCGTTGGCTGCCCGGGGTGTGGAAGTGGGAGATGGGACGGGGAGTCGGGAGCGAAAATGCTGCATATTGATTTTTTTTTAAGATTTATTATTGTAAACCTGAAGAGAAAAGGAAGAAAAGTTCGAAGTTGGTCGAGTGCAGCAAGTATTTAAAATGAACACGGAACGCACATGAGTTCCTTCCTTGGGTTTGTATGCATTGAGGGCAACCACCTCTTGGGCCGTGTTTCCGGCATGTACGACTTGGAAAGAGCACTTTCCAGGCTGTCACTCTCGGGTTGGTGACGATGCTGTGCCGGGTATGGCGGTTGCGCCTGCTGTGGTAGGCAAGTTTTGGGCAATAGCAGTCACATGGCTGTAACTCCTGCCTCCCACCTTCACCTCGTTCCAAAACTGTACAATTCCTTCCTTGCGGTTATGCAGCTCCCCGATGTTAGCTTGGCATTGTGTGGATATGGTTACATTTAATGCTGAAATAGTCTGTGAATGGAACCCCGACTGGAGGAGAGGCGCGATTGCTATAATTGAGAGGACTGCCCAAGCGTATTGAGTATCTGACGTGTTACCAGCTTATTCGTAATGGGGTATCTGCCGAGATATAGCCACTGGGATTGGCAGGCAGCGCACAAGGAGGAGTCGCGACGGAACCAGGCTAGTAGTCTAGATGCGAGCGCAGTCTATCACGCGTTCTCTGCCGCCTAGGAGTCCTCTTCTTTTTCAGCGACTTCTTGACTGCCGCAGGACCCAGAGGAGGAAAATGGAAGTCCACCTTTTCTTCTGGGCCCCCATCGTTTCGTGAGGCGGGATCAAAATAATAACTATAGCACAATATGGACATTTGGTAAGCTTTCGTACCCTGAAAATTTTGATGCTAATTACATAGCGGCAGCAAGGATCGTGAGTTAGCCAGTGTAACTCTATTGGTGCCGTTCAATTACCTTACTCCCAGCCAGGGCCCCCAGGTCTCGAAGACCCGCTAAAACCGCACACACCGTTGGCCGGTAACCCTACTTGGGGCCTTTCACGAGCTATCTGAGAAGGGAATGTCTAGCCGGACCCCAGGCACATGGGCGCTTAGGCCGCACCTAGCAAAAATCCACCTTCTTCACCAAAATGTGCCAGCGCTGGCATCAATTCAATCAGGCCAAATATAAAGCCTTATTTGACTGTATTTGAGGCCCAAAATGGTGTATTTATCTGTTTGAGGGGCTCTCTCTGGTTGGGTAGGTTTTATTTGACCTCCAAAATGGCTTATTTGCCTGCAAATACGGGTTTCCTTATTTGATTCATTTGGCATTTATTTTGATTGGTGCCAGCGCTGAAATGTGCACTTATTGCAAAAACGAGGCTAATATACCAACTATATGATGGATTTGGTTGATCTGGTGGATTTTGGTGAGGACTAGAAGACGTGTGCAAGACCCTTTCGTCAATTGCAGCATTCTTGTTCTATTTGTACTCGTGCCGGTCGATTGAATTTGACACCACGGCACGGCGTGGGTCTTCTCGGTGTACGTATCATTGGCAAATCCATGGTTGCGCCGAACCTTGACGGCTCCGGGCCGTTCAAAGTTCGGGTGTGTGGAGCGGAGCGGCCGGCATGTAATGCGCAAGTTGTAGTCTGCCGGATCCGAGGACCTTTCGTGTTAGACTGGTGCTTCGTGCTTCCGCCGGTTATTGGATTTTTTTCGTGACCAACTTTAATCTATATGTCGCATACCTAACTACATATAGGGATAAAGTCTCCCTGGCGCCTGTCTTCGTTAACATAGAGAGAAAATAAGGTTAGGCATTAACGAAGGGACAGGTGGTCCAGATAGAAAATCAACTGCGTTTACACAAATAAAAGAGAGATAACTATAGCTTTATTTAATACGTAATTCTAGGGGATGGATAGTGTTGGAATAGCGATGTTGGTGACCGTACTCTGCGCTGGAAGGGAGGCGGTGCGATGCACGTGCTAGCGCACGTGCTTGCAAGCACGTGCGCCGCACGGCCCTCGCACGGCCACGTACAAAGCCAAGAACCCCCACCATAGATTTCTAGAACAGAACATGAATCAGAACAACTTTACACCCCCCCCCCCCCCCCGGTAGTACTACCACTTTTTGACCCGTTGGAACACCTACGTGGTTGGAATACCACGAACAGATAGGCTTCTAGGATTAATAAAAAGAACATCTAACTGCTATTGCATCCCTCGGCGAATAACCTCAAGAGTAGGCCGTGAGGTTTCGAAACCTCTTTAATATCTGAAAGCCCCCTCAAATGAACTTTCATAGGTTAGATTATATCGGGAATACAGATAGCATAGTAATAACAATTTGCCAAGGTTCGCGGAAAGAAAAGAGATACCTACGTGTCGGCATCTCAGGCTCTGAGGCTTGTGACAAAATAAATTCTGCAAACCTTTCCACACGTATGCCGTGGTATCTACTATCTAGGTCTAGGTTTAGCTTTACCCAGGTAAGCATGGGGTTTTAGAACCTTACTCATTGGGTATTTATGATCGGGCGCCGCCGCCTTCACTCTTCCCATGCTCGCATCTCCTGCAACACCTAAAATAACCCTGCCTTTCTCACGCACCCCCCCAAACCACAATGCCGAAGGAGAATATGCCGCCCCATGATGACATAGTCTATTATGTTGGGTTCATCATGGCTCCGCTCTGGAATAGCGACGGCTCATTACGAAAGCGATTACCCAAGGTCCCATCATGGGCTGTCGAGGCCGTGATCGAGTGTGTTGATCCTGCCGGGGCTTATGCAACGGGGTTTATGGTGGACGACACAGAAAATAGACGGACACTCCTGGTATAGGCGGCATCCCGAAGACAAAAACTGGAAATTCTCTAGGTCATGGAGTATTCGAGAGTTTCCAAACAAATCCGGCTGGATCGTAACCTTTACCGTTTACGCGAGTACAATAGAAGAACTGGCCGCCTTTCGCCTACACACCCTGGGGAACCATCACATTGGCGCTTCCAAGGCCGAAGTGTCTTCAGGCAAGTCGGTCCTCATGTTCAATCGCTTGGACCCTGGAATGGGTATCGGCTGCATCTTCGACGGCGATCCAAGTGATGTGTGGTAGCTCTGGCCGATGGATTCCATCCTCCCAGAGAGGTTGGGTTGTCGGCATACGAATTGCCGGCATATGAATTGCCGGCATATGAATTCGGGTCGCACACAGATGAAGGTAGCTGCCGGGGTGCTCCAGCTAATCCTGGGCCTTGTGATCTTGTACGCGCTGTCCAAAACATACATCTCTGCCTTATTTGGTGGATAAGAAAGGAGAGAGAGCAAAAGTGCTGGAAATTTCCAAAACAGAAGGCCGCATATAAACAAGATAAGTTAGGTGGGGGAGTAAGCGAACGCCACTGATCCAGAACATTCTAGATAAGCGAGGAACACAACCAACCCTCTTATATAAAAAGCCCATAACTCAACCAATTCTTTTCCAATTCTCTTCATCTTCAATTCGTTTTATTCTTCTCTTGACAATGGTTTCATATACAGAAGAAGACCTCCGCAAGGCTTGCGAGGAAGCCGTCAGAACACATCGATTACGCAAAGTCGCGCGAAAATGGAACGTTCCACCCTCCACCCTTTATGGCCGTCTACATGGCTCCCTACCTCGAAATGTTGCTCATCAAGATGAGCAAAGGCTTACACAGACCTAAGAGGATCGTTTAGTCGAATGGATTCTTCTTCAACAAGATTTAGGATTGCCCCCTACACATGCACAGATCAGGGAGCTTGCACGCCGTATTCTAGCTGAAAGGGGGGACTCCTTACCACTTGGAAAGGGGTGGTGCCGTGCCTTTCTTAACCGCAATCGAATTTTGAAGACTCAGAGGGCCAAGAGAGTCGATTCGGTCCGCGTCAACTGCGCTACAGAGTCAACAATTCGACCTTGGTTCAACCATTTCCAAACACCAGCTATCAAGGCGATTAAGCCAGAGAATCGCTGGAACAAGGACGAATCTGGTATTATGGAAGGCAGAGAAACCAACGGCCTTGTCATTGGAAGCCGTGCCTTTAAGGCGCTTCAAAAAAACAGCCTGGAACCCGCACTTGGACCACTTTTGTCGAATGCATCTCAGCAGCTGGCCGTTGCCTTCCTCCTTTGGTCATTTTTAAGGGGAAAAGCGTTCAACAACAATGGTTTCCTTTGGATATGAAGCCATTTCAGGATTGGTTCTTTACAGCAACTGAGAAAGGATGGACTACCGATGAGACAAGCCTCAAATGGTTAAAAAATGTGTTCATTCCTCTCACCAAGCCAGCAAACTCCTCTGAGAAACGACTCCTTATTATTGATGGCCATGGCAGCCACACAACTGCCGATTATATGTGGGAGGCATTCACAAACAATATTCACATTATTTATCTGCCTCCCCATACTTCCCATGTCCTCCAACCCCTAGATTTGGCCATATTTGGCCCCCTAAAACGACTTTATCGCAGACGGCTTGAGGACCTTCTTGCTAACGCCTTTGACGACTCTTCTGTAGCCGGAAAACGTGCGTTTCTGGAATGCTACCAGATTTCACGCACAGAGGCAATTACTAAGAGTAATGCTAAGTCAGGATGGAAGGCATCAGGCCTTTGGCCCTTGAATGTCAACAAACCGCTAAGAAGCCCACTCCTCCTCAAGAATTCTAATACTTCACGCCCCTTAAGAACTACTATAGTTACCCCAGAGGTTCGCACACTCCGTATGCCAATCCTGGAGGATTATGGAGACGATCGGGTGCAGTGGAGGACTCCTAGAAAGGCACGTGATTACGTTGAGCAGGCAAAGAAGTTCGCACGCATCATCAAAGCAATGCCAGCGGATAAGCTCTTCCTCAGAAAGATTGGTAAGGCTTTGGATAAACAGGCCTTTGAACTAGCTATTAGGAAGCGAAAGATTGAAGGTCTAGAACACACTCTCGAATCAATAAGAGCCAGAAAGAAGAAGAAGGTTGAAGAAGATCCAAATACCACCTTTGCGAATATTCAGACTATTCGTGAGGCCCAGAGAGCTGTAGGGCGTGCAGCAGAGGTTTTAGAAGATGCGGAAGAAGCGGATGATTCAGAGGATATCAAAGATTGTATTGAAGTTTTGTAAATAAAAAGATCACCCTTTCTTTTGTTGGAGGGTTAGTTGGGACTCCTGCTTATACAGAATGTTCTAAATCAGTAGTGTTCGCTTACCCCCCCACCTAACTTAATGATTAGGAGAGATGTAGTGAAAGTCCTATTACGGTGGTTTAGTTACGTGGGAATCTTCCCAAAGCATTGACAACAACCTACAACACTTGTTAGAAACACGTGCATTATTGGTTCATATCCCTACTTCGGGCCTTCCAAGACGTCTTTTGAGAAACGGAATGGTATTATTCAATGTAATATTGAGTCCACATTCCGTGAAGGGTGTTGCAGGATGTGAAAGGTCCTGCTTTCTCCCAGCCGTGCCATCAATACCCCCAAATGCTCCAAATTAATTCGGCCATCCCCTGCAAGCTCCCATCCCACCTCCACACCGAGACCACCAACGCCCAGGCCATCAGCACCGACAATACGCCCAACAGCACCGACAATATGCCCAACAGCACCGAAAATATGGCCACCAGCCCGACTACCAACCGGATTACAGCCAACAGCAATGCCACGGCCTGCCCACATCCGCTCTTGCAACAATGGCATCCCTCCCTCTTGAGCTCCTCGTTCTCGATACGGGCCGGCTGTTTGGTCGCCTCTCCCTTGCGTTGCGGGGATGCCCTGGCGTTGCGTCCCTGATCTTGCGTTCAGCTTGTCAGTCCAAATGTGCAAGAACGCAAAGACGATGTCAATCGCGATGTGGGAAGAGGGGGGTGAAGAGGAGTTCAAGTGAGAAATGAGTAACAAATAGGCTTACCTTATCATCCGGGGCACCTGGGGAGGAGGCGCGTAGGGGAAAGTGAGGCCCTTGAGTCATTGTTGGTACGTAATTTGGATTGTACCCACCTCGTCTCACACGTTCGATAATAACGTAGTTTGCAGGAATAGCAGTTGCGCTAGCCAGGGTGGTGAGGTTTTTAGCAGTGGAAGCGAAGTATGTAGTCGTGTGGAACGCTGAACAGTTGCCAACGGGAGTGGGGGATGGGCGGGTCTGCTGGGCTTTATGTGCCCTGAGCAAAAAGTTTAATGTTGGATGGCAGCAGTAAGGTTCGAGAGTTAGCCGGTATACCAAGTCTGTCGGCATCGTTAAGATATCTAAATTTTAGGGAGAGCATCTGAACTACGCCTACAATACTTGCTAAAAATGCTTGTATCATTAGCTTATATTATCTCTAATGGCCCTTTTTAAGGGCGTATCTGAGAAACCCTATTGTCTTTTTGACGTAAAATCCAGGCAAAAGGTTGTGTGGAAGACACAGCAAATAGTGTTTAACGTCGCGGAGAGACGATTAAACTTCTTTCTGTTCTTTCTCCAGAAGTGTCGTTGGCCACTCTATGCTATAAAATGAAACATATACCTGGGTCTAGCTTTGCGCATATCTCGTTAAACTAACGACTAAACTACGCGTCAGACTACTCCTTCATACTTTACCTAAAACCTGCACATAATTTTCCAGCTAACCCCTCAGCGCTTCACATTTCACATCCCAGTCCTGCACCACTTCCCACTCTAGTTCATCTTTTGACGACAGACGTGACGATGCCGAAGGCGCCACCGCCGCCACCGCACAGCGCAAAGAACAGGTCGCTGTTGATGTCTGGGCTGGCCGTGACGAACGATCCGTCGGCGGCCACGACGTTGAGCGGAGGGCCTGGTCTGACGCGAGGCCTAGGTGCGAGGCCATGGCATTTACAGATACGAACAAAAGAATACAAAGGAGACGAGAGTTACTTGACAACCAGCCGAAGATTCCTGTTCCGGGCAAAGTTGCCGGCAATCTAGATCTGCCTGACCGAGGTTGCGTTGACGACATGTCTGTTGGCGTACTGTAAGTCACACCTTTACACAACCGAAACAGGACCAACAGAACTAACAACCCGCTTCAAAAACAAGAGGTTATATACACGAATATTGCCAACAAAACTCTTGATAGGTTCCCTCGGGACACATCACGAGCGACTAGGGCCAACGCAAATTAATGTTCAGATTTCAGTAAGTCAAATGAGCCATGTTTGGGGCCAAATCCAGTCAAATTTGGCCCTCGGTTTGACTAGGCAATTTGAAGGTATTTCCCATTCACTAACGTTCATGATATGCGAGTTAGCCATGATAAGCGAGTTGGCCACCTTAACGAGATTTGGTGGGGCACAAGCAAAAAGATGTTAGTAAATTGTTAGTGATCTTATCAATTTCTTATCGCATTTGGCTGCGCACGCTACCCGGTCTCGTTAAGGTGGCCAACTTGCTTATCATGGCTAACTCGCTTATCAAATACGTTAGGATATTTTTGGGTATTTCTTTCTATGGTATCTTACGCCGGGAGACCCTGCCTGGGGCCATGCATTCCGGGTCAAGTACCCGGGATCCTGTTGGCTCCGGGGCCATTTTAGTCCTAGCCTCTTGGGGACTCACATACGTGGGCAGCCTAATACTGAAAGTATATTGGCTTGGTATTTAGGTAGAAAATATATTAAAGCCTAGAAAATACATTAGCCAGGAATGCCTTGGATATTTAGGTATTTCTAGTTGAGAGATGGACCTTTGCGATTCTAAATTGTTTTCTCCCTCGGCGCAAAACCTTTAGGGGTTCCAAATTTTAGAAAGTCCCCTGCTCATTAACAAACGTTCAAGGATTAGATTGTAACTTGGGCCTAGATTAATCTACAAAGAGTTCTGCGGGGTCACCATCCGTCTTTGCGGTCGCCAACAACAGAAAAAACGACGCCAAGGAGCTTACCCACCCAGCAGACTCCTTCCTCGTATAAAGCCCGCTCCAGATCTAACTACCAGCACCCTACTCGTCTCTCAAAGCTTCCTCCCCTAGGATCACCTTCTTCAGCTTCTCCTTTTCTCCGCTCTCTTCACACATACTCCTAAATATGCTGCCCTCCGTATCCCACAGTTCCTTCGGTGTCCCATACTGCATTACCTCTCCATCGCCGAGCACGAGAATACGGTCGAAATCGGCAATCGTGCTCAGCCGGTGGGCAATCACGATCAGTGTCGACCCTACAAACTCGTCGCGGATGGACCGCTGAATCAACGCGTCCGTGCCCATGTCCACGGCCGAGGTAGCTTCGTCGAGCACCATGATCTTGGGCCGCGACACGATTGCCCGGGCAAGGCAGAGAAGCTGGCGCTGGCCCTGAGACAGATTATGGCCTCCTTCAGAAATGGGCGAGCTGAGGTCACGGAAAATATTGATATTCCTTGGGCGTGTGACGGCGGTAGTGGCGGTGCCCTCCGCGTTTGTAGCTGTGTCATGCGACGAGGAAGACGGCGAAGGGTCCGACTCGGCCACTGTGGCACTGCTGCTCTCTGCACCCGACTCCGAGTCCGAAACCAAATGCACTCTCTGAAGAGAATCGTGGAGCTCTGCGTCGGAATGGTCATCGAAGGGGTCAAGATTTGACCGAATCGTCCCGGAGAAGAGGACGGGGTCCTGGCACATCATGGTTAGAGAATTCGAATCGAATTATTTGACAGCACATGTGAGAGGTGCTATTTACCTGTGGGATAATGGCGAGTCTCGAGCGAAGGTCAAGGAGGGAGACCTTGGCAACGTCGAGCCCATCCACGTAAATGCTCCCAGAACGCGGTTCTAAAAATCGGAAGAGCGCCAATGTCAACGACGACTTACCCGCGCCCGTGCGACCAACAACCCCAATCCTTTCGGCGGGGTCGACCTGGAACGTGATTCCCTTCAGGACGGGCGGCAGGTGTGGCGCGTAGCCCACGACGAGGTCGTTGACTTCGAGCCGGCCCTGCGTCGGCCAGGCAGCCGGAGCCTTCGCGCCGCCAAAGTCCTCCGTCTCGATCTCCGAGTACTCGACGACACGCTCCACGGCGTTCATCTCGAGTTCGACGGCCGCATAGGCCCGAACCACCATCAACACCGTGTCGGAGAACTGCATGGTGAAGCTAAGCACAAACCCGGCCAGGGCGGCGTCCACGCCAGCTTGGACCAGCACAAAGACGGTCACCACGACGGTAAACACGATGCCGGCGACGCTCATGTTCCAACCGACCCACCGGTTAAAGAGGTACAAGTTCATCGAGCACATGCTGTACTCCTCGATCTTGGCGTACATTGTTCGCGTGCAGGGCAACGCCCTATCGAATGCGCGGATGGTCGTCAGCCCCGTCAGGGACGAGCCGAAGAAGTCGAAGATGGGCGACTTTGCCGTGCTCTCGAGCCGCTTTGCCGGCCGTGCGGCGACGAGATACACCTTGCCGACCCAAGCGCAGTACCCCAGACAGAGTGCCGCAACGGGGGCCATGAGCGGCGAGACGAAGAGCGAGGCGACGCAAATGCCGACGGCATTGAGCAAGGTCACCATGAACCAGCCGCCCATGTGGGCGACATTGCCGTCGATGGCGTCGAAGTCGGCGGTGAAGCGGTTGAGGATCCGCCCGACCGGCACCGTGTCGGTCCACCGCAGCGGCGCGCGCAGCACGGCGAACAGGATCTTCTCGTACAGCGCTTTGCTCGCCCGGTAGGTTGCGAGGAAGAGAACGAGAAAGCGGATCAGGCCAAGGGCGACGCCGGCAAAGCACACGGCGGCGTAGATGGAAAGCCAAAACAGGGTTCCCCGTCCTCCTGCGTGCCCGCTGCTCAGCTCCGCCTCGAGTCGACCATGGTGTCCGTTCGGCACAAGGGTTTGCTGAATCGAATAAAAGGGGAGCCTAGGTCGCGCTTCGATGAATATGCTAGACGTCTCGAGTTCGCCCGTCCAAAGCCTTATGACCCATGGTTGTGCTGCCAGACGTTAGCAAGATGGTCACCAAACTGATGGGCTTGGAGAGGGGCGGGGGGGAGGGGCTGTATGACTTACCGATTGAGCATGCCTGAAATAGCAGGAACATGAGGAGTAGAGAACCCCAGTAGATCCAACCGCCGCTGTCCTTGATGTAAACGCCGTAAATCCGGGGTTTGACCGACCCTTTGGCATGAGCCTCGTCTTCGACGAATTTCTTGGCCACTTTTGAATTTTGCCTCTTCAATGGTGCATCGTCGGCGACGTCTGCGCTTTCTTCCGGCACTGGCTGCTGCTGCTCAATGCTTTTGATTCTCTCCAAGAATTTCCTGTCCTGGAGCTGTGCATTATCATCGCCCGAGTAATAGGTGGCACAGCCGTCCGCCAGCTCGATGATAAGCTTGGCATGCTTCTCCACCAAGGCGACGTGGTGCGTGACCAGGATCCGCGTCCTGCCCTTGCACAGGGGGCCGTCGATGCAGTGGTCGAGAATATGGCGGCTGACATGCGCATCGACGGCGCTGAAAATATCGTCCAGGACCAAGATGCCCGCGCGCGAGTACACGGCGCGGGCGACGGTGACGCGCCACTTCTGGCCGCCGCTCAGATTGACGCCGTTGACGCCGAGCTCGGTCCGGTCGCCGTCGGGCAGCGCCTCGAGGTCCTTGTTCAACGCGCAGGCCGCGAGCGTCTGCGCGTACCGGGCCTCGTCGAACGGCATGCCGAACAGCACGTTGTCGCGCAGCGTGCCGTTCTCGATCCACGGCACTTGGCCCACGTACGCGATGGCCGCGGGCAGGACCCAGTTGCCCGGGTGCGCCTTGTCGTCGTGCCGTTCGTCGAGCCCCGGCGGCGCCGGCACGTGGATGGAGCCGGAGAGGAGATCGGCCTCGCCGAGAACGGCCGCGAGCAGCAGGCTCTTCCCCGAGCCCGTCTTACCCGAGATGACGGACAGTTCGCCAGGCGGGAAGGTCAGGTTGACGTCTCGAAGGGTAAATCTGTCTTGTTGTTGTTGCTGCTGCTGTTGTTGTTTCTGTTGTTGCTGTTGTTGCTGTTGTTGCTGTTGTTGCTGTTGTTGCTGTTGTTGCTGTTGTTGCTGTTGTTGCTGTTGTTGCTGTTGTTGCTGTTGTTGCTGTTGTTGCTGTTGTTGCTGTTGTTGCTGTTGTTGCTGTTGTTGCTGTTGTTGCTGTTGTTGCTGTTGTTGCTGTTGTTGCTGTTGTTGCTGTTGTTGCTGTTGTTGCTGTTGTTGCTGTTGTTGCTGTTGTTGCTGTTGTTGTTGTTGTTGTTGTTGTTGTTGTTGTTGTTGTTGCTGTTGTTGTTGTTCGTCGTCCTTGTCCTCGTCGTCATCGTCGACTGGCCATGCCAAGCTGGCGTGTTCAAGGCATATATCTGGCCGATCGCTGTAGTTCCGGGTTGGTTTGAGCTCCGGGCCGTCCAGGTACGCTTCGATGCGCTTGACCGAGACCCAGCAGTCGATGCCGAAGCGGATCAGCTGAGGCATGGCCGAGATGGCAAAGTCCAGGGTGTTGAGGATGCCGATGCTGACGAAGGCGACCGACGCGGCAAGGTCGCCGTGGAGCCAGGCGTATGAACCCAGCGACGTCAAGGATAACACGATGGGAGCTGCGGTCCAACAGCCATTGAGGACGACGTTGGCCCTGAAGTATTCCCACAGGGTTGTCAGTTCCTTCTGTCGCAAGTCTAGGATGCGTTTTTCCCACTGCAGCTCGAGCGCCGAGAACTTGACTTGGCGGATGCCCTGCAGGGCTTCGTTCACGAGCGCGAGCTTGGCGTCCCGAAGCTTCATCAGCCTGTTGTCGGTGTTGAAGAGAACTTTGGAGAAGACGGTGTTGATTGGGATGGTCAGAACCACCGACAGGATCCCCAGGGCGATGGGGATCCAGCCCAGGAGGTAAACGAGAAACCACATGGAGATGACCAGCTGGAGGATGCTGGTGGGAAACATGTACTGGTAGAGGCTGAAGTTCGAGACCCGCTTGGCGTCGACGCCAACGAGGTTGATGACTGCCTGTCGGGACTTTTGTCCAGTCGTGTTGTCACTCTCATTGTCGTCGCCTTCCTTCGAGGTGTCGCCCCCTCCCTCTCCCTGGCTTGGTTGGCTGGGCTGCGCCGTGTCGTTTTGTTCCGCAGCATTTGTGTCACCTTTTTTTTCTTGGGATTTGCTAGTAGACTTGACATTCTTCCGCCGCATGGCCTTTTCAAAGATGACTGCAGCCAGCTGGCTCCGTATGGGCACGTACAAATCGCTGACCATGGTCCAAAAGAGCCAGGACTCGAGGAGCTGGGTTGCACGATGCCTGCGTCAGTTTTGACCGCACACGAAAAGCAAGACATGGAGAGTGGGCAGTGTCTTCTTACAGCCGAGGCCAACTTTGCCATGCCTAGCCAAACGAGCAAGAGCCACAGGCGCGGCCCGATCGGGTCCCCGGGCTTCCGGGCTTCAAGGCTTTCCAGTAACCTCAGCGTTATCCACCAGGGCAGGTAGGAGACTGCGGTATTAGCCATGGCAGTCGTCCACTGCTTGAAAATACGCCATGCATATATCTTGAGAAGTGACTTGATTACGCTAGTTTTAGCCTTGACAGCTTTCCATTGCGCAGATTGGTCGGTAGGACGCATCTGATGGTTCAGGCCCGGGAGATCGGTCAATTCCAGGTCGCCCTTTTCAGTCGCCACGGACATGAGGGCAGAGGCCCAGGCAAAGGTGAGGCGGCGGTAGGCGCTGACGGTGAGCATGCGGTCAACGAGACGGCTGTTGTAAAAGACATCTGGACGGCGCGGCAGCGAGAGACTAGCGACGACGAGACCGGCCGCTGCGATGGCCGATGCCGTGCAGAGCACCAGCGCGGGCTTTTCGGCAGCCGACCACCAGGCCGGAGCCACACCGTTGAGCTGGACGAGCAGGGCACCGCCCACTAGCAAACTTGACCCGGAAAGAGACATGCCCTGGTAGTAGACACGCACCGAATCGCGGTTGGCAGCGATAGCGATCGCCTGTACAAGCAGAAGACCCTAAGGTATCCACATAGTTTCCGTCGTTAGGCCAAGATCTCCGCGGGACTTTATCAAGTATAGTACATAATTACCCAGGAAGTCGTGGTCAGCCAGCTCTGCAGCAGAAGCCACCGGCTGTGGAGCGGCGATGCGTTGAGGACCAGCGAGAAGGCAGTTTGGCAGCCGAGGCCGACCCCCGCCCAGAGAAGAATAAGGGCTTTCTGCCACTTGTTTGAGAAGGCAGCGATTGACTGGGGCGTAGCTTCTCCATCTCGATCGCGGTATCCGTTCCCTTCACCTGCAGGTCTTGCGTTCTTCCGTATCCGGCGGGTGTGTGCGACGATGGCTGGGATGGTCGCGAGCGCGCTGACTGCCAGCGCAGCTGCCGCAGCGTAGAATGAAAGGTCTTGCTGCATTCTTTCAAACCTACGAGTTCAAGCGCCGTTGTAGAGAAATGAGGGGAACGAGGAGCTGGTGCGTGCGCCTTAAATTAGAGTTGGCCGTAGTTGCTGTACTAGCAACCAGCAGGCGCAGGGTGGGCAAGGACGAGGACAAGGGCCTGGGTTTGAAAGCCCTGCCGTTACACGCCCACCTATATGAAGGAGAGTGAAGGAGGAAGGAGAGCTGTGAGTGTTGGTTGCCGGGCAGAAAAGCTCAGCCGCGGCCCACGGGCAGGCATTCGGGTTTGAAGCCCCTGTCAATTACCGAGAGCTACGTAAGGTATCTGTTTGAAGTAGTGCTGCCTGGCGGTGTTGGTGCGGTTTTGGTACGGCGACCACAGAACTAGCCGGGCACCGAGTCTACGCACAGTCGCTTCGCTGCAACGTCGCTGCTTCACTGCAACGTCGCTGCATGAGGCCCTAGGTACCTAGTGCATTAGCATGGTACGCGGCAAAAAGCACGACTCTCCAGGCAGCCGCGGGGAAACGCACAGCAGCAACCTCCATCCCAGTTCCCGAGGCAGCCGCGACCGCGCACTAGCGGTGAGTGTGGTGTCTAGTGTGGTGACTCTAGCGGCTAAATTCCAGGCCAATGCCAACCCGCAGGGTCTAGAGTGTTTTCCGGCGTTACTGCGTATGGGTATAGATGGCGAGCCTCAGGGATTATCATCCTTCCAATGTCCAAGATTGACTAGGCTTCTTCGGATTATGCAGTGCCTGTGTAACTGCATCCTGTCTGCAGCCTCTACCAAGTACATACTGAGTAGTGCAGTGCCTTTATTGCATGGTCCAAAGACGGCAGACCCCCTGTCCATCACGCCTCTCGTGCATGCACTTCAGCATGCGCTGCAAGACATTCCGGTCGAGTCATCCAGCGGGGTTTCTGCGCTAAAAGCAGCTGGCATTTCGTAGTAATTAAGTACTGTTGAAGACCACTCAACATTAATTACCTAGAACCGATAACAGAACAACCGTATTCGTGATTACTGCTTGGTCGAACGGGAGGTGCCTAGCTCCTGGCTGGGTAATTAATTAGACTTGACCTGTTGGGGAGATAATGCGTGCATTGGCCAGCTAACTCGTGGAGGCGCAAAGCTCCCCCTACTAAATGTGTGGGTGAAGACCCGTGCGCGGGAACGTGGCCCATGCACTATTAATTGCTGGCTAGGGCCCCTTCGGCCACACTCGTATATGAGGCTATCCCGAGATATCTAGGTAAAGTAAACAATGGTAATCGTAGTGATTATTGGCGAAAAGAAGTGACTAAACTTGTGTCAATTCAATTGGCATTTCACCGAGCCAATTTGGCCTTCAATTTGATTTGTTTGAGTTGTTGCCAGTGCTCGCCGAGCAAGGAGCCGACCAGGCCGATCTGCTGCCAAGCTTTTCCGGCGGAGAACCCCCTCTTTCTGGATGGAATTGTTGGAGCGTGCGGCTGAAGCAGCGCTAGGAAATCGTCGACCAGAACCTCCTTCTTGACATTTAGCACCTAACCAACCCGGACAATGCCATCTCATCCGCGGGGATAAAGAAAGCCCAGCCAACCCTTCTTCATAATAAAAATAAGCTCAGTGAAGAAAATGTTGCGATAGACTCGCATTTTTTCTAACGACATGGTACACATGATGGAGCCAATACCCGAACAAATCGACTGCACGGTGTGCTCCGTCTGGATCCGAGAGTTTGAGGAATCCCCGGACGAGCTCATTGTCGAATCCAAGCTCTACCCACGCTCGATTCGCGACGCTGCCGCCGACTGCCCAATCTGCGCCGCCTTTGTCGACCTCTACAGCCCCATAAGAACGCACGAGAGGGGTGACCGCGTCACAGTCAGGCAGTATCGAGGAGAGGGCTCGCTGCGCAGGGACGCGTTTGCCCTTGACATGGACAGCGAAGTGCCCTTTCTGTCCACGTCCATCTTTTGCACTGCCGGCAAGTTGCCGTCTGTTCCGGGCAATAACTTTCTTGTCGTAAGCTAGACTAATATGGTCATTACAGATATCCGAGATCCCTGGGGCATCTTTCCGATTGAAAACGAGATCACCACGGGCGCCGGGCTCGCCGCTTGCCATCGCGTGGCCGCCAGGTGGGTCGGAGAATGCGTTACGGAACACGGCTGCGGCAGCACGGGCACGGACCAGCCCCTACCATCGCGGCTCATCAAGATAGACAAGCAAGCCAAGCGGCTCGAGCTCGTCGAGACGGCCGGGAAGACGGGCCGCTACCTTTGTCTCAGCCACTGCTGGGGCACTAAACACACGTTCGAGACAACCACGGCAACCCTGGCCCAGATGCTAAGAGGCTTCGCCGTCGACGAAATGCCCGCCATCTACCGCGAAGCAGTCGTGGTGGCCCACATGCTCGGCATCTCGTACCTGTGGATCGACTCGCTGTGCATCATCCAGGACGACCGGGACGACTGGCTGCGCGAAGCAGCCCAGATGGCCGACATCTACTCCAAGTGCTACCTGACCATTGCCGCCACACGCGCCGCGTCCAACACCGAGACGATGCACCACGATAGGAATGACTACGAGTCTCTCGGCATCACCAAGACTGGACGCCCCTACCGCCTGCTCTCGCACGGCAACACGTCCCACCCGGGAGTCGGCATGCTGTACGGCGAAGACAGGCGGTTCCCCCTGCTCACGCGAGGCTGGATATTCCAGGAGCGCCTTCTATCCCCTCGCCTATTGCACTTTGGGCCCGACGAGCTGATTTGGGAATGCCAAGAGACAATGCAGTGCGAGTGCCAGCACGCCCGCGGCCTAGGGCTCTCTAAGCCCGGCCACGCCAAGCTGCTGGCTAACGGGACAGCCGATGAGCTGGCCCTGTCGTGGCGACACCTCGTCGAGCAGTACTCCGTAATGCGGCTGACCCGAAACTCGGACAAGCTTCCAGCGTTCTCGGGCGTGGCCAAGCAGTTCAGCGAGCGGCGGCCCGGCGCGAAGTACCTCGCAGGGCTGTGGAGCGCGTCCCTGGTCGACGACATGCTGTGGTATTGCAACGAGTTCAACCAGAAAGACCTCAACACCAAGCCCAACGCCTGGCGCGCGCCAAGCTGGTCCTGGGCCGCGGTCGACCAGCGAGTGTACTATCCGTCGTCCGGGTATTTTGGCGACACTAAGCTCGAGGTCCACACGCGCTACCCCACCGTGTTCGAGGCCGCGTGTCTCCCTGCCGGCGCCGACGCTACGGCCGAGCCAACGGGCGGCCACATTACGCTGGCGGGCCCGGTGCTGCGCGGGCGCTACACGGCGCGCGAGCGGTACAGCGATATCGAGTACGACCTACAAATTGACACGCCCGTAGCAGCAGCAGGAGAACAAGGCGCCTCCCCCTCCACCACAAACACCACGCTGTTCAGCACCGAATCCCTGATCGAGACGGAATCAGACACCATCGGCCGCACGCGGCGCAACCGCATCTACTTTGACCACCGCGACCCGGACGCCGCCGCGGAGCTACGCCCCAACCGGTACCGCTGGCCCGCAACACAGGGACAGCAGCGAATGGGAGTCGACGTGCTCTGCGTGCGCATGGCGCGCATGCTGCGCCGCAACGCCTACAACCTCGCCGGCATCGAGCATATCCTGATGCTGAGGGAGAAGGCTTCCACTGCGACGACAGCAGCAGGAGAAGACGCCGCGGGCGGGGAGGCAGAGAAGAAATACGAGCGGGTAGGCATGGCTGTCATTGCCAAGGACTACTACCGCCGCTTCGCCGGGGGCGAGAGCCCCACGGGCGAGGACCGCTTCAAGCCCCTGGATTTTACGGCTGCCGAGGAGGCGGAGCTGTGGAGCGACTTTGTCAGTCCCTTTGATGCTGCTGTGGCGGAGAATGAGGTTGTCACTATTCTCTAGGCGGTGACTACTAGTATTAGGTTCGGGGAGCGTTGAATAGAGAGTAGAGCCTTCGAGCCATGGAATACGATGCACTTTTTTCCTAACACGCAGTGTGCGGAAGAAATCCAAACAATAAAGAGAGATATGGCAGAATACTTAATTATTAGCTACTTGTAAATTAGAGAACATTGCGGAATTCACCGCAAAATATAAAGAAGCCGCCCTTGGTGAATTCGTATATCCGAATCTCTGTGTGTTTATTAAGGTTTTTCGCCGAGGCAGTGAATCGCTTAATGAATCCATGTTTTGGAATCTAAAAGGTCTTTCTCTTTCGCAGAGATATACATTAAACTCTGTACGAGAAAACAAGCGAGACAGGCTAACCCAAAAAAAAAGGGGCGACGCCGTAGGCGAGACCAGCAGTACGAGATATGAGGCCGGACGAGAAGTACGAACACAGTAGTAAGTCGAGTAGAGTAAGTCGAGTAGAACCCGCCGCTGATCACGGCCGCCGACTCCTCACCTCAGTCCAAAGCTACGGAGTTGCTAGGCACAGCCCTAGCTTGGGCCACCATGTCCACCAGCCAATCCACTAAGTTTTCCCGCACATGTGATCCTCGCCTAGGTCATGGCCTTTCGTCGCCGACACAGTCATCAGATTACCCGACCTTCTTCCAACACCGGGAAGTGCAGACGACAGAAGCCCTCTGCAGGCCGTGGCCGAAGCCCTAGACATGTCTCAGGGATTCGGAAGCCAAATCCCTTCTTCAACATGCCTGTCTTCGACCCGTCACCGGATCTGATCCCGACAGATCTGATCCCAGACAGAGCGACAACCTTGGACCTGACATTCTGCGAAGATCACCCAAGTGACCTTCCAAAGCTCCAATATCGTTCCAGACTCGTGGAAGTACAGCGGCCTGTTGCTGTCGAGCCGCTCAAGATCGCACGTAATTAGCCTGCGTGATCAGAAACATGCCCTTGGCCGAACGTACGGTGACAAGCCAGCCTAACTCAAACCTTGTGCTTCCACCTTTCTCGCAGCGACACGATACCATATTGCAAGTTATGAGAGAGACGGAGATGGCACCTTAGCCCAAAAAATATTATTTTGCTTATCTCCGTCTAAAATTAAACCCCGCCCCCCCTCTTCCCCCCCGTCCCCCCCTAATTATACATCATCACGCACTGATTCGAGGCGCCATGCCTAAATGTCGACGAACGAGACGACCTGGTACTGGATGTACCAGTACCCCCGCAGGTCCTTGGCCAGCACCATCGTCTGGGCGTACTGCAGCAGTACTTCTGCTGCCTCGTTGCCGGCCTGATCGTACACGTGTAATTCGTTAGCTCGCTGTTCATGACTGCTAAGAGGTGTGGTGCCATCGTACCACGGACTACCCAAACACAGAGGCAACGACTCCGCCGTGCATGGTCTGCTGCATAGTGCAGCTAGTGGCCTCGTTGGCCAGGGCGTGGAAAGGCAGGTCCTGGAAACGGCACATGATTTATCAGTAAATAGCATAGGCCAGGGTGTGTACAACGGTGCCTGCTTACCACGAGCATCTGGGTGATGGCCGCCGTGCCAGCCCACAAGTTCCCCTCCCAGCTCATAGTCGAGTCATCCCGCTGTGAGAAGCATTTTTGTCAGCGCAGAACTTTGTTCCGTCCACCCTGAGACGACACAAGACGGGACGGGAATTGAGCCTTACGAAGAGGATGTCGAGCGCGTGGCGATCCGAATTGAACGCCTCGTAGTAGTATTTGACGAGTTCCACTGATCAGCAAAAGGCGTGCGTTAGTTGAGGGTGCCAGTGTAGGGATCCAGTAATTAGAAAAGGACCGGAATGAGCGCTCGACGGGAGATACTCACAAGCCTCTGGATCTGGAAATTCGAGATTTCATGTTAGCCTTTCCTGCATACCTATTCCGACGGGTTTCATTCTAGGTCCTAGGGTAAGCGAGCGACGAAGGTTTAGGGAGAAAACCAGTCGCTGGAGAAAAGGAACATGCTTTACCTACCTATTATGGTGATGACTGTGATGCGAGATATTTGTATGGTCGCGAGATATGTGAAGGCGAAGGAGACTGGTACTGAGATAAATGAGAATTTGAAGGCGAGGGAGACTGGTACCGAGATGAATGAGAATTTGATGCCTGCAAAATTTTAATTCCGTCTGTGGTCTGATTGCGTGAAGTACTATTTATTCAGGTAAAGGTCGGCCTCAGGCACAATTGCCACCTTTCTAGGGACACGACTAACATTTTTGGCATAGCTGGGTCAAGTTTGGATGGCAGATGCGAGACGCCATTGCTGGTACTGATGTGTGGTAATGGCTAGTTCGATACGGCCGATATTTACAGGCTGGACCTCCAGGAACTTGATCTTGAAATAGATACCCCATTTGGCTATTGCAGTACTACGAGGCGTGGTGACCTGCGAGCACCGGCCATATATTGTCTAGATTTCCACAGTTAGTTTGTAGTTCTCCAGAAGAGCACTACTGTAAATCACAAAGTCTTCCGAAAACAGGAAGGAAAAACACAAGACAGTGAAAATCCTGGCATAATTAGTGACCAATGAACTCGAGTCCAATATACGAACTCTCGAAGACAATAGCATATTGTTACGATCCTGGTTCAGGCTCGCAGGGGGCTGCACGGAGCCTCCCGTTATTGGCTGACGCCAGGAAGTGGGGTAGTTCCCCACTTCCCTCGAGTGCAGCCAATAACGAGGCGGTCAGTACGATCAGTATGGTCAGGGCGATCAGTGAGAGAACTGACCGCATATTACAAACCACTCGACTGTTAGGGTCGTCTGTCTGTAAGGGAGCACGGGCTCCACAGAATGCTGGGGTTGGTAATTATGAAGACAGAACAAAGGGCAAGCTCCTATCGCACTGGTAATACAGTCAAATTGGAATGCTACTTGTCACGGCCGGCTTGGAATGAGGGCGGAACTCCTCTATTGGGCGCTATAGACGAAGATTCTAAACTAAAGGGAAAAGGGAAAAGAAGCTCAAAAGCCTCCCCTCGCGAGATTCTTCCAGGGCGTCTCAAGGTGGGGCTCTGGCTGGTCGGGTGGATCCACCCAACTGGCGTCTGATTAGTCAGAGCGTCTGGGAGGCCTGGAGGACCAGGCCCTCACACTCTCGACAGCTTATTGTAAGGAAAGGACACCCCAAACACCAGCCGCGCGCACAGGGTGCGCGCTCACCACCTGTTACCAACTGGCCAGAACACTGCCAGTTGGCACAAGCCATTACGCCACGCCATGGCGCCCCGGGCCTGAGCCCCTGAGCATGTATATAAACGTGGCCCTCGCCCACCTTCCTTTGCGAGGGCTAGGTTGAAGTCTCACACCAATACTACTCGTCGCTCGCCCACCTTCTTACCTGCATTGTTGTCACGACCAGGGCAAGGCATTGAGGTGAACTCAGTCCATTGGGTGCTATCGACGAAGATTCTAAACTGAGGAGGGAAAGAAGGAAAAGTCCAACAACGCGTCGCGTGCTCGCGAATAAGTTTTCATCTATCAGTGGGGTAGGTGGGGCCTCGAGGCGGCTTCTGATAGGCCCGGGGTTCTGGGCGGCTCTGGCTGCTTGAGGGCCAGTTTGGTGGACGGGTCCTCACAATTGTGACCACCTTGATCCGGCGTACCTGCCTTCTCTTACATTATTACCCTCAAACCGATGGCCAGACAGAACGCATAAACCAGGTTATAGAAGCCTACCTAAGGGCCTTTATTAACCAGGCTCAGGTGTCACGAATCCCTATTCGTACTGGTTGTCACGACCAGGGCAAGGCATTGAGGTGAACTCAGTCCATTGGGTGCTATCGACGAAGATTCTAAACTGAGGAGGGAAAGAAGGAAAAGTCCGACAACGCGTCGCGTGCTCGCGAATAAGTTTTCATCTATCAGTGGGGTAGGTGGGGCCTCGAGGAGGCTTCTGATAGGCCCGGGGGTTCTGGGCGGCTCTGGCTGCTTGAGGGCCAGTTTAGTGGACGGGTCCTCACACTGGTTTGAAGGCGGGGCAGGGGCGGCGGGACCCGCCCCGGCCAATCCCGTCGATGAAGAGCAGATGGACCCACAGTTGCTCTGTCGTGTGGAGAACAGAGCAGGTGGACCCACAGTTGCCCTGTCGTGTGGAGAACAGAGCAGGTGGACCCACAGTTGCCCTGTCGTGTGGAGAACAGAGCGATGTGCTCTGTGTCCCCACAATGAGAGCAACAGAGCAACGTGTGACGAACCTGGTTCGTACTGGACCAGCTGCAGAAGGCAGGCGCCTCAGGCAAGACTGGGGGCCCCGCTTTTCGAGAGCCAATCAGACGGTGCCCGGTGTGGGGGCCTGGTCCTCCAGGCCTCCCAGACGCTCTGACTAATCAGACGCCAGTTGGGTGGATCCACCCGACCAGCCAGAGGGATCCACCCAACTTGTTACGATCCTGGTTCAAAGGTGCAAAGGGCGTTGCCCACCCGCTGCGGATTGGCTGGAACGGCACTTAGGGTGGGGCTCTCGCTAAGAGAAGGTGCATCCAATTAGGGAGTGCTCAGTGGGGCCATTGCCAAGGTGCACTGAGCATGGCTGAGCTCAGTAGGATCAGTGCCGAGACCCACTGAGCGCACTGAGCAGGGAGCTCAGTGGGGATTAGTGCGTCTAGGACTGAGCACGACTGAGCATGTAAGGCAGGAACTCTGATTGGTTGCTCATAGTTCTATATAGGAGCTGGCAGCACGCTCTCTCTGGAGAACGGTTCTGCAGCTATCAATGCATCTGGTTAAGCATACATTGGTTGTGTGTTGAAAGCCTGTCTTTCGCAATCTGTGCACGATACTCCTTGTCTCCTGTCATCTCCTACCTGCCGTCCAGACCCCCACAATCCTAGGCCGGGCCTAGCTCCGTGGACCTGTTGTCCAGATTGTGACACAACTGGCTAATGGAAGCTCGGCCAGAGCCCCACCTTGAGACGCCCTGGAAGAATCTCGCGAGGGGAGGCTTTTGAGCTTCTTTTCCTTTTTCTCTTTAGTTTAGAATCTTCGTCTATAGCGCCCAATAGAGGAGTTCCGCCCTCATTCCAAGCCGGCCGTGACACCCGGTGCCAAGAGGGCTCTTGGCACCAGGCAAATGGCCCGGCACGCTACCAGTGCCCGGCGCCAGGCAGCTCCTTCCTGTCGGGCAAGTAAGAGCGCAGCTCTTACTGGCCCGCCATAACTAAATAAATACGATGACCGTACCCACGGTCTTAGATAGTTCTTGCTTGGTTCTGCAAGCAAGCAATACACATTCACTGCACTCATAAACTTTGGTGGCATTCCAATTTGACTGTATTACCCGTGCGATAGGAGCTTGCCCTTTGTTCTATCTTCATAATTACCAACCCCAGCATTCTTTAGAGCCCGTGCTCCCTTCCAGACAGACGACCCTAACAGTCGAGTGGTTTGTAATAAACTTGTATTCGTTAGGGTACGAATGGCCGAGTACTATAATTGTCACTGCATAGCCCGTGAATGACGTGGCACGTGGCCCACAACCACCTATTTCCCCGCGTCCTGCGCGGTCTCTGCCATAGCTTCCTTCTTCATCTTTAGATTCTACGAATTCAGCAATGATTACTGCAGCCCTGTCTCCTTACGTTCACTGAGCCGTGATAGGAAGTTGTGGGCTGGTGTCCCAAAATTGGGATTAGTTTAGTCACGGCAAGTATAACCGAGACATCCCTAGAACTCAGCTTGGCTCAGGGCAATGCTCAGTGCGCCTCAGCTCCTGCTCAGCTTTCAAGCCTGATACGGATTTGGCCAAAAAGTGTTGTCGGGGGTGACTATTGAGGTATTTTACATTCCAATATAAGCAGCTCAGACCCAAATGCGGCATACATTCGAAAGAGCAGGTTAGCTAGAAGCTCGACCATTGAGTGTCTGGCAAGCCGTGGGAAGATTCCCAGTGACGGGGTGATAACTCGCGATGGACAACAACCCAAGAATCACTTGGACAAGCTCTTCTAAATTTCGGACCGTAGCGTCTCCTACACTACCTTACCTAAGTGAACGCCCTAGACGACGTACTCCGCTGCCTTCGCCGTCTAGTTATCATCTTACCCTTTGAGTAGGTAGCCGTGCCGAGAGATTACAAGCTACCTAGGTAGACCCGTAGCACGAGAAGCGCGACAACAAGCTCAGCGGCGTGTTCTGTTCGATAATAATAGAAGGTGCCCGGCTTGATCTACCCAGCGACGAAAGCAACTCGATCGCAGACGCCCATACGAACGCCCTGAGCCTCGGGATTGGCCCGCACGGTGGTGCTGGAAGCGCAATATCTACTCTAGGCGTGCCCAGTACTTGAGCCAGGGGTAGGATGCCGTCGCCACCACGCCCAGGAGGCAGGTATCATGGCCGCCTCTGACGTCTTGTACACAGAAATTCAGCATGCGGACGGTCGAGTCTCGCGACGCCTCGAGCCTGATCACCTCGCTCGCGGCTATCCGCCCGTGACCGTGGAGGGTTCCCAAGTGGTCCGGGACGTTGGGGATAAACCTGCCCGTGTCGTTACGGAAGCCGAGCTGGACGTCCTGAACCAAACCCTTGGTCGTCTTGATCCACCAGACCTAGTGGACGTATTCTCTCACGTGTCCGCGCTCCAGCCAGGGCCAGAGATCCGGCTCTGCCAACTCCCTGGCGACGTACCCAAACGGGCGCCAGGACAAAGGACGGGAGGACTCGTCCTGGAGGCGGAAATTGTGGCGATGTCGTAGTACGTTGGACCTTGAAATAGGCTCGTCCGAGCACATGTACGGACTCGACGACGAGTCGTCGAGGAACGACTGAGGGGACCCAGTCCAGGCGGCCACAGTAGTGTCGGGAAGGGACATATAGCCGAAATTCCAACGCTCGTCGAGCGTTTCTAAATAGCGGGCGATCCGTTGTAGAATAGTAAAATCACCCGGGAGAAAGACGCCCAGCCACCACGATGCTGTGCGAGGTCGGCGGCATGCAAAGACTTTGGCGAGCTGGCCCGGTTACGCGACTCTAGGACGGGCTTGAGGACGTGGGAGATGGAGGAGAGCCAGGGACTGACCAGGTTCGTTTCGATGTCGGGTTGCCAAAAGATGCTCCAGAGCGCGGGCTTCCATAGCCACGGAGACGAGATAAAGCTACGACTCGTCTATAGAGCCAGTGAATGTGTTAAGTGTAGCGAGGTTCTCGAGATTATCGATATCCTCGTCCATAAATAGCGGCTTGAAGTTCTAGAGATAGACGGCCATATAGGTGGCGACGGGCGGCACCTCGAGGTGTTGCGACACCTTTAGCAGGGGAACTGCTATGGAAGCCGGTAGGCGTTCGCTAGGACTATCACCGCCCTAGATATAGCCGTGGGCTATAAAGGACAGAAGCGAATATGCTCTACGCTATTCTGCCTCATGCTCCAGACCGATGGTAGAGAGAACGGGAAGGCGATCGATGACTCCTCGCAGGCGCTTGCTGAGAACGATACACTGGAGATTCGCTGCCACAGCCTCCCACTTGTTGTAGTACGGATCCGGGAGCCTCGTCAACGGTAGGACTTCAGGGAGGAAGCCATGTGTTGGAGAGATTCCATAGTCGGCCAAGCTTGGGATAGGCGGCAACATGCTGAGCTCGAGACGTCGGGAACAATGCGGTTCGACGCGATGGGAGATTGAGGTACTCCCGTCTGATCTGAACTAAACGATAGACACAGAGCCGCCCGAGCTTTTTGCTTTACAACTCCAAAGCAGTTGACTACGACAAAAAAAAACGTCTTTTTTTTATTGACCAGGGGGTCGGAGCGCAGGTGCCGCTGTTAAGGTTAAAGGGGAGTGAGGTAATTGGTGGGCCATGCGTTCAAGTCCTGACGCAAGGAGTAAACAGAAGTGAATCTGTAATACTCCTCAGCTGTGCGAATTCTCTACTGGATTACGAGCATAAGTAAATGCAAGGTATTGTGAGGTTAAAGAGGAAGAAAGCTTGGGCGATGGAAAGAGTGGCCGGGACACAACCCATTATGTGAGGATAGGTCGGAGCAATCTGGGTAGGAGGAGTGGGTGGGACTTGATGCTGGGAGGCGCAAAATCGTCTTAATAATAGGTCAGCATCTGGAACGGCATAGAGAGAGAAAAAAGTCGCCCCTCAGGTTCCATCTTGCCAAGCTTCAACCTTGGCCTTGACTGATCCAGCAGTGTCTAAAATATATTTGGCTTTGACCCTTTGCCTGTCGTGGTGGGGACGGGGGGAACCAAGGAACCCAGGCCATGAGTGGGAAAATATCGCAGTGACAAAGAGGTCGCCCTTGTCAATGGGCCCTAGGACCCTTCCCGAGCCACCTCCGACCTTGATGGCGATTGGCTTCAGCCTTTTGCCGGGCGTTGCGCATCGAACATGTCTGCGCCTCGACCATTTCGTAAAACAGAGTCGCTGAAACAATGGGCAGCAGGGCTGGACTGACAAGCGCCAAATTCCAAGCCCCGACATCGCTCACATCCAGAGTTTTTGCAGCATCTGACGGGATGCATCAGCAACGCTATTTTTTTACGGTGTGTGAGGGCTTAAACGATGATCCATTGCCGCACACGTGCTTCTTCAGTGGCCCTTTCGGGTGTTTGTGCACTACAACAATGGGTATTTCATCAGCCCATCTCAGGTTTTGCCTCGCGATTAACCGAGTAGGTGGGGCACAGCTCACCAGGCAGAGCAAGTGGGCAACGTCGGCCGCATCTCCCTAATTCGACAGCCAACCTGGAAGCCAGCCTCATCCTCGCCAAGCAATGAGCGACAGATGGAGGCTTGGCGAGCGTTTTGATGGAACCGTCGACGACGCTCCAATGCCCTCACAGCACCCGAACGATGCGGCAATAGCATCTAAGACGCCGCTACACCTCGTCAACATGGTTGTACAGCAGCACGTGTTGAACTGGCTCTACAGCGTCCTGACCAGCGTAAGTCTCGCAAATAGCAACCCCCAATATTGACATTGACTGACCTTTTCCTGCTGCCGGCCCCGCGCGCAGGAATATCACGATGTCAACCGGACGTACAACGACGTGGCCTAGGCATTATCGCAGTATCCTTCGCTCTCGTCCCGCACCGATGTCTATAGTACGCCTGCTGCCTTCCTCCTCCAGCCACAATCAGCGCTGCGCTGGCTCCTCCGACCCATGACTGACGAGAGTGGCAGCGTTTCCGACGGGCGCCTCTGCTTTGCTCTTGCATCTCTCGGGAACAATACCTGTCCTGTTCCGCGGTACGACGTACCGATTCCCCATATCGCTATGGGTGCCACATGCCTATCCCCGCGATGCCCCCCTGGTCTACGTGACCCCGACCGATAGCATGGTGGTGCGGCCCGGCCAGCACGTCGATCCCCAGGGTCAGGTCTATCATCCATATGTCGTCGGATGGTCTACATTCTGGGATGTATGTCTGGGCTTGTCTTGGTATCATGGCAGCGAAAGAGAAGCTTACAAAGGGTTGTAGAAGTCCACCATTCTGGATTTTCTAGCCATAGTACGCGACGTCTTCGCCAAGGAGCCGCCTGTTATCGCTCGACAGCAAGTCCGGCCACCCCCGTCTCAACAAGAAAACTCACGCCGCCACCTGTCCCTCCGCTCCCGCCCGATCTAACTTCTCGCCCAGTTTCCGAAACTCCGTTTCTCGCCCGCCAAGATGCCGCAAGGCCACCCCCGCCACCTCCGAAACCTGGCCAGCCTGTCGGTGTCCAACAACCGCATTCCTCGCCGCCATCGCAGTCAGCCGGCCCTCCAGTTCCTCCACTGCCACCGGGATATGGCCGGGCGCCCAATCAGTATAGGTCTGGAGGGTTGAGGCCTCCCCTGAACCACCTACAAGAATACCGACATCTCGTTACGACACAGCGCCACCATTGCCACCACATGAGCCTCAAGGGCAACCGCCTCCTCATCCGCCCATCTCTTCGCCGTCAGGACCCCCTCGCCCAGCTGAAGCCCCCTACTCTGGATCTCCGCCCGTGCCCAGCTGAAGCCCAGCAGGCCCCCAGCAGCAGCTCGCAATGAACGATGCACGACGCATGTCTGCCTTTACGGCCCCCCAACCCTACGGCACGCCGCTACCTAGCTGGCAACCTACCATGGTCCCAGCTCAGACCCTGCCTCCCCAGCCACAACCTCCTCCGCCTCCACCCCCTCCCGATCTTATAGACGACGACCTAACCCTCACAATACCCCCGACGTCGTCGGTCTCACCCCCGCCTATTCCCCCGAACCCCGAGAAGGATGCGCTCCTCCACCAGCTCGCCCGGACACTCTACGACATGCGGCAGAACGCGCGCGCCCAAAACGATGCCTCTCTCCTCGGTCTTCAAGCCCAACGAAACGCAATGATAGCAGCCGCCAACAACCTCCAGAGCGAGTCGGCCCAGCTCGGCCAGCTCTCCACCGTGCTCAGCGCAAACACGGCGATCTTGTAGGACAGTCTGCGCAAGGCCGACGCCATCATCGAGAGCTCGGCGCGCCACCCCGAGGCCAACATCGACGAGCTGCTCGTCCCCCCCACCGTCGTCGGTAACCAGCTCTACGAGGTCGTGGCTGAGGAGCGCTCCCCCGCTGACGCCATCTTTGTCCTTGGTCGCGCCGTCGAGCGCGGCCGTATCGCCCCGGCCACGTTTGCCAAGACGACGCGTAGCTTGGCGCGGGAATGGTATTTGAAGAAGGCGCTTGAGCGTAAGATTGGGCAGGGCATGGGGCTTGAGGCGGCGTGAGGGTCGCACGGTTTGGTTCTTGTGGGCTGGTAAAGGTTGTGGCTGGGGATTTATTGGTAGGCATCAATCATACCTTAGGTAGAATGGTAGTGCCTTGCGTATCTACCAAGATAGAAGATAAAGATGGATCGTCTTCACTAATGTGAGTAGAGAGTCTTGAACAGGCACCACACGATAGAACTTGAGTCTCTATTCGGGAGCGGTTCAAAATGATGTCCAATTGTCATGGGTAAGAAGTAGATTTATGACATTGGAAAGAGTCATCCGTGTTCTTTTGGGAGGCAGGCCATGACGTCCGATCGAGGTCAAACTCTAGCTGAGTTTTGTCTTGGTAAGGTATGCAGGTAGGTAGACAACAACAAAGCGTGTCTCCTCGAGAACAAACCTGAAAATGCCATCTAGAGTGCTATTGCTACGAGCTGTGACGGGGACACGAAATGGCAGCTCCAGTCTCCGAGAGGCAAGCTATTTTTTTGTTTTATCCTTCAATCTCATTTTTTCCAGATCTAAATCTTTCGTACCAACCATTGGTGCTTGGATGACGCAACCCTCGAAAGTAGCCTTGATGTTGTGACAATATTGACGCTGTCTGTTAGTCACGTAACACCTAGTTCTGTAGGCTGTATATGGATGTAGCGCCCCCCAAGTCAGCTCTGATCAATGAATAATACCATGACAGTTTATAACTCTGTACTGGACTAACATGACGCTGGCAACTAAAGTAGTAATAAATGCCCACACAAAGGCCAAAACATGGAGCGTGGCTCCCTTTCATTGACTCAACGACAACAAAATCCTTCCGATGAGTTCCTTGGGTGCTGTTAGTCGCGAGCGGGGGTTTGATCTAGCTTCCCACTGGCCCATCAACTAGTGAAAGAGGCCCTAACAGTTCATTTTACAGTCTGTACAAAATACCAATGGTTTAGGTCAAGTGGTGGACAAAACTCACAACTACAACGGCCAAGCCTTAGAGCTTAGCGTCTCAGCTTGTTCCCTCCGATCTTTCACCCTCAGTCATCTCAAATTTTGCCAAGTTGACCATCCGCGCGGGCCGCGGATGCTGCAGGCGACAGTGCGGTGTCGCCACCAGAATATCCTCTTCCTCGTGACTGTGCCTCGCCTCGCCTGGGCTGTTTTTGGTGACGCTGGTTCTTTCTCCTTGGGTGGCTGCGGCCACATCTGCCCTCTCGTTAGCATTGCATTAACTGCTACTTTCGCTAGTGGCAGTCGCGTTTATGGTCTCCCCTTCGTCTTCCAACAACTGTGTCGTTGCGCGACTTTCCCGGAGTCGGCATCTGAGTCTCTCGGCTGCTGCTGCTGCTGCTGCTGCCGCCGCGCGCTTTGTATTTGTGGTTTTGACGCCTTCACTCAAGGTACTGGATGCCTGAATCTCACTTGGTCTCTTGAAATGGCCCCACGTTTCTTTCCTTTGGCGACTACCGGGCTTGGTGGAGTTTTCCCAGGCGATACGGCAACAATACCACCATACGTATTTATATCTCGATGACAGTAAGCACTGGAACGGCCTTGAGATTTCATGAGCTTGGACGAGCTGGCGATGCGGTTGCGGCTGTGTATATCAACACCACGTTGGACGAAGTCATGGCTCTTGAACGTCGGCAGGATGTGTCCGGGCAGTACCAGACTGACGTAGCGTAACGAAGCCACGGCGGCCGTAGCGCTCCCAACATGCTCGCCCGACGATGAAGAAGTCGTTTTCGTGATGGGCGGGGTTGCAAGTGTCAACGATTGGCGAGGGTTGACCGTCTTGTTTGGTATCGTCCACATAGATCCCTTGAGGAGAAACGTGGATTCGCGCTTCCGCAAGAAGCATAAGCCGTCCAATCGCCTATTGTTTGAAGTGTCGCCCTTGTTGTCGTCAGGATCTGCTTTCGATGGGGGTGGCACTCCGCCTTCTTCTGGGCTAGTGTTCATCACCGGCTTGTTGTCCATCTTCTTCGCGGTTTGGCTCGGTGACCATCCCTCAGGCAGGCTGAGTTTACCTTTGACATGACGAATGGCGGAGATGCCTCTGCCTCGTACCCCTAGTCGGCGATCATTTGTGTCCAATTTGCTGTTGTACCACTCATCGCGGCTGCCTGTGGATGAGTTCAGGACACTTGTCGAGGATTGACTGGTATGTCTTTCAGCTCCGGGCCCGAGCGAGACAACATGGCTTTCGCACGGCCAAAATCAGCCGCGGACTCGCGATAGAACCTCCACCACCGCGTCCGCTGGACTGGAATCTGGATTGGGATGCACGAGCAAAGGATTGGCGAGGCGGGAAGCCGTCTATTCGGAATTTTCTCGACTTGCAGCGCGACGCCTTCCTGCCTAACCTCTAACAGACCGATGGTCGAGAGGAAGTAACGGCAGCCTTCGTACAAAAGGATTTCATGGAAGCCTTCTTCGGCCCGTGTTCGTACATGATAGACGGACCAGAAATGCCAAGCGATTTGCCTCCTTTCCCTGAGGAAAACACGGAGGTCGACGACAAGGACCCGCCCACACGAGGCGCACCTCCACCCGAGGAAGCGATGCAGGTCGACGAGACCCTGCCTCCTTTGCAGCCACAAAGCTAGTCCTCTCAACGAGAGCCCCCACCCAATCAAGGGCTAGGATCCCACCAAACACAGGGATCCCCGCAGGGGTGGTCACCAAGGCAAGCCCAAGGACCAGAGATTATCGATCAGATAAATCCACCTGAGCCCAGTAAAACGCAAGCGTCAGGACTTGATCCGACGCTGCACGTGGACATACGAGAGTCAGTGTTCGCCGACACGTTCAAGAACACAATTAGCAGGAGAGATCGCAGTCGTAACCGTTACAAGCCATCCAGACGGCGGGATAGCAAGCGACGCAGCAAATTCCCCTCCCGGAGTCCCATCTCCCATAATCGCCGGGAACGGCCCAAAGGAGGCCCGCCGCGGTCTCCAATCCGGCCCCCAATCCCTAGTCCCTCCGGAGCTATAGAAGAGTCGTCGAGACAATCCCCAATCCACCCTCCACAGAATTCCACACAAGCGCCTCAGCCCCCCGTGATACAGAATCCAGGCCTATTCGCATACGAGGTTCCGGTGCAAGAGACGGTACTCGATCAGATACAGGACACCACACGGCAGTCCCAGACGACAGAAAACATACCCCGAGATACCAACCGCAACATTATTCAAGGTACGAAGTCTTCCCGTTTTGATCCCTTGAAAAGGTCAGACCGGGCGAAAGCAGGACTATCGAAGCGATCTCCAACCCGGCCTCCTGGTCCTACAGCTCCAATCCCTAGCCCCCCAGGGCCGGACCAGCTGAAGGAGAGCCGTCGAGACGATCGCAAATATATCCGCCGAGCCAAGCGCCCCAGGCCCCCGAGATAGTGAACCCAAGCACGTTTACAGAGGAGCGTCCAGTCAATCAGACACAAGAGCTAGTACTCTATCAGACGGAGGACCCCACACGGCAGTCTCAGACGACAATACCCTAGGATGAGGATACCAATCGCCAACCGAAAGCAGGACCATCGAAGCGATCTCCAATCCGGCCTCCCGATCCTGCTGCTCCAGTCTCTAGCCCCCCAAGAACCGAAACAGCTGGGGAAGAGCTGTCGAGACGGCCACAAATATATCCGCCCAGCCAGGCACCAGCGGCCCAGCCCCTCGGAATACTAGCGGACCCAAGCAAGTATATAGGCGAACGTCCAGCCAGTCAGCTACAAGAGCTAGCTCCCGGCCAGACGGCGGATACGCATTAGGATGAGGAGCGCAACCGTAATAGCCGCCGCAAGCTACTTAGACAACGGAATAGTAGGTCACGCGGCAGGTCGCGTGGTAGGTCCCGCAGCAGATCACCTCCGCCTCGGAGCCCCAATTCCCGGAACCGCCGTGGACGGCCTACAGGGGGGCCGTCGCGCTCTCCGATCATTCCGCCAGGGCTTATTACTCGGTTTCCTAGTCCTCTAGGAGCCGGAACAGCTAAAAAGCCGAGGTCGTCTCAAATATACTCTCTAGAGACACCTCGGCGCAGCGAGAGGCTCAAGCGTCTTCTCAGGCAAGGGACTCCCAACAAGACACAGGAGCCGGTGCTTGGTCAGACCCCACAGGACCTCACACAAAAGCCTCTGCCATCTCTGACAACAGAGGATCTGCCTCAGAGTCGAGCAGTCAAAGTATCTCTGCCAAGCTTTCCCGATTAGGTACCCGTGCCCGTTCCGGCACACCGTATTCCGTACTACTGCTTCGAATTAAAGGCTGAGCCAAACTTGGACGAACCGTCAAGAAACCCAGGGCAAACCAGAAAGCAGAGAAACTGTCGCCTCATGCACCCCGAACACGGCTGCTAATGCTTATGCCAAATATCACATTCCGTCCCTAGAGCATGGATCCCAAAACCAACCCAACCTTGACTGGTCCAGGCACCTAATCATGTTATTTTTTCTTGCTTTCTTTTTTTCTTCGTCATGTTAAAAAGGCACCAACACCACGCTTCAGCGATGCAGACTTTCCACCTTGCACACGAAATTCCTCTCATAATCTCGCAATGGAGCCATCTCAGCGCAATGCAGATGGTGCCGTCCCGTCGCAGCTCGCAGTGCTCTGGCGAGTGGCGGTCGAAAAGCACGAGCTCGAAAAGCACGAGCAGCAAACTAACATCAATCTCACCAACACCACGACGCTCAAAATCGTCACCGGCTTCTTCTCGCACCAGCCGCCGGCCGCCACCGCCGCCGAGACCGCCGGCCTAAGCCCCCACGAACCCACCACCGCCGCCGACATGGCGGGCGCCGTGTTCGCCGCCATCGGCCGTCTGGAAGCTGCCACGCACATGCAGACGCTGGCGCTCGTCGTGCAGGTCGAGGCGGCCGTCGGCGGGCGGCGGCCATGGCGACCGACGTGCGCGACACGGTGCGCGGCGTGCACGCTGTTGGCCAAAGCTTGATGCGGTTGGCTGACGAGCAGCAGCGATGGGCAGGGGGGTGAGGACGAGTTACTATAGCAGTAGTAGCAGCAGCAGCCGCGCGCACACAGCCTGATCTGCATTGCCGGAGAGGCCGGCATGGACAAGACGACGCTGGCGAACCTACTGTACCAGCGGCTACTGTACCAGCGGCTGTGCCGGTTGACGCCGCGGCTCAAGGCGGATGTTGCAGACAAGATCACGAAGAAAGCCGACTGTAGGTCATCTTTTATCCGTGCAAGGTTGCCGGTGAGTGACTCTAATGAAAGTGCGGCTGACACTGGGAATCTAGGATTCGTGTACATTGACTACGTCGTCCGACGGCTCGACTCGATAGCCAGCTCTCGGCTCGTGGAGAAGTCGCTCGACAAGCTACCGGACACGACCACGGCCATCTACAACGAGCTGCTCGATGGCGGCGGGCGGCTGTATGACGAGAGCGAGAGGAGCAAGCTCGGCTATCTCTTTGCGTGGCTCGCCTACACCCAGGGCGAGACTAGTCTGTCGTCGGCTCGCGTGTTTCTCAGTGACATACTCGGCGCCAGCTTCAAGATCGAGGACGAGGCGGCCATCCGGCTGGCCAAGTGGGTACTCCTGGACGATACCTGGAAATATTGAAACTGATCAATTAACATGCAAAGGATCCTGACGTTCTCGGACCGCAAAGACGACCCCAACGAGGAGCCCGACTACTTCCCAGACGAAGACGGCCCCGACGCGGCAATCAGCCTCTCGTTCCAGGATCAGTACCTGCGCGAGCACTTCTGCGGCGGCGGCGAGGACACAAACTCGCTCAGGCTCAGCCTGCCCCTGCCCGGCTACGTGGCAACCTACGAGGTGATAAGGATGGCCACCGAGATCTTGGCAAAGTGGCCGCCGATCGACTCGGCTAGTGAGAAGGCCGAGAGCGACAAAGAGACAGAGAAGGAGGGGGATGGTGCGGATAAAGATGAAAGCGAAAGCGATGAAGACGAAGACGATGAAGATGGAGATGATGAAGATGAAGATGAAGATGAAGATGACGAAGGTGAAGATGACGACGGAGACGAGGACAGAGACGCCCACAGCGACAAGGAAGACGACGACAGCGTAAGCAAATACGACGAACAAGACGACCCCCGGCGACGAGCCCAAGACGACTTCGCCAAGCAGGCAGCGCAGTCGTGGTCCGAGCTGCTGGTCCAGCTCGAGCCCAGCAAGCTGTCAGGGGCACAGACGGCGACGCTGCTCAGCGCGCTGTTCGACCTCCTGCACAGCAACAAGAACCGCGCGCTGTGGCGGCTAGAGGAGGTTGTCGACACGTGGGACGAGCAGGCGCTATGCAGCATATTCGGCTCGACGCCCGACAAGGTCGATAGGGGTCTCGCCAACCTAGTAGCCCTGGCCGCGCACGCCGCCTCGCTCCAGCCCGACATAAACACTACACCCACTGTCAAAGACGAGTTTAAAGAGAAAGGGGAGTCCAGAGCTGCTGCGGTAGCAGACTGGGCCCGCACGACGCTGGCGACGCGCGACGCGCTGCTGTTGGCCGTCGCCAAGACACACATCGGCAACTGGGCGCAGGCCTCGCATCCGCATCAGGCCTACAGGCCGTTCCGCTTCGCCCACCACGCTCTATGCAGCATTCAGTACCCGGGCCTCGCCGTCGTCGAAATCTCAAAGGCAGTGCAAGATACCATCACCCAGCCCGGAGGCTACAACCCGGCGCAACTAAACGAGTACGGCATCCGCGACGCCGACTTCGCCGCGGTAGCCGACATATCCACATCCACGTCCACACTCAACGACAATAACACATGGCCAAGCGAAGCCCACAAACACACGTGCATCGCCATGGCGCTCTCCCACGCCTTCCGCAACGACGCCGCACTAACACAGTCGCTCCTCGGCGCCGCTGACCCTTCCCTCACCATCACCACCACTACCACTACCACCACCACTACCACCACCAGCCCTATCACCACCAGCCCTATCACCACCAGCCCTACCACCACCAGCTCTACCACCACCAGCCCTACCACCACCAGACCTACCACCCGGCGCGCGCGCTTCGAGGCCGCCTACCGCGTGGCCCGCTCGCGGCTGAACGTGCTCGAGACCTTTGACACCGGGCCCGTGTTCCTGTGTTATTACTGCACTGATGTGACTCTGTGCGGAGACTGCTACGCCATTCGGAAGAAGTTGAAAGAGCCAAAGGGGTTGGGATCGGTGATGGGACATCTGAGGCGGAGGCAGATGCCCGTGTAGGTAAAAATGAGAGGGCTAGCTACATTGACGTGTGCCCGTAGGGCCACGCTCACATCAAGGCGCCCGTCGACGGCTGGAAGGGCATCCGCCAGGGCCGGCTACTGTATGGCGACGTCGACGTTGCCTTTGACTCCTGGCTCGAGCAGCTCGAGCCAGAGTGGGCGGTTGCCTGGGAGCGGTACCGGAGGCGCGAGCCGGTGCTACCGGGACACGACCTTGATGCCCCTGCGCCTGATTCCGGGGCCTCGTCATGGCTCCTAGACTCTGAGCTCCTGGCAGGGCTTTGGGAGTGGTGAGCTGGGGTGGCTGTGATAAGATTTGCATCTTGTTAAAAAGCATGTTAATTAATTGCGTATGTTGGTTGATAACTAGATAGACTAGACGGAACTTTGGCCCAGGGTCTAGGCATTACACAAAACTAAAATATGTTTGGTGATCGGGGAAATCACAATTGTCAAAAAATCTAACAAGTGATAGGGCGTTCAGTAACAAGTAATGTCATGCAATACTGCACTGTTCGGGCCATGTATGGCTACCGCGGTTCACAGAAGCGGTTTAGCATGAATAGCTATCTTTGGTTCGGCCACCACATTCACCGTGGATCCAGAATTGCAACCAAGATCTTCCAAGATCTTCCAGGAAGCACTACGATTGCCGTATCGGAACACGTGGTTCACAAACAGAGGCATATCCTCTGCTTCTAGATCCCTCTTTCCTCGCACCGAACGCACACCGAACGCAGTCCCCAAACCCCCGTCGGTTGTAGATTCAGTGACAGCGCCCTAGTAGCTTTTACCCCCGACTTACTGACTTGGCCCAACTGTCGGCCAAACACTCCATGAGAGAGGGACAGGCACAGCATTTTCTTCTCCTCTCCGTACACCCTCCTTCATCACAATTATGCAGCCCACATGAACCAAACAAATGAAGACAAGCAACTAGTTGTTCTGTTCACCTGACCTATCACGCATTGAAAACGCCATGTATTACCCTCCACCACGATAAGGCAGAAAGTTGCAATCTCAGACAGACGCGAGAGGGTATAATTAAGGGAAAATAGTTCGTGAAGGTGTCAAAAAGCAACGCCAGACGTTCCCAGCCATGATAAACTCCCCAGATGATCCCCAAACTAAGGTAGGGGGACGAGTGTGTTGGTGGGTATATAACGCCGTACAACAGACAATCAAACAAACGCCGCATCACCGATATACAGCCCGCCGAGTCGGGCCGTCGGTAACTTCGTTTTCTCGTAGTCAACCTCTGCAGCTCCCCTGCCAGCTGCTGCGTGTTTTTTCCCGCATTGCCATACCGATTAATCAGCCCTGGTACTGGCACTGAAGCCTGATGATGGCACTGGAGCCCAACGCTGATCCCGACGCTGATCCCGACGCTGAGCCCGACGCTGAGCCCGACGCTGATCCCGAAGCTAAAGCTGAAGATGCACAGGCCGCGGACGCTCCGGCACCGCCATGGCGGCCTCCTGGAAATCGGCTGCGACAGCAACGGCAGGACGCGGCGCGCGGCGCGGCAGGACGATGCCGGGCGGCCACGACGCGATCTCGATGGGCTGCGGGTGCTGTGCGTCGTAGTAGTCGGCCGCCGCATGATTATCAGGTGTCGTCATGGCCGGCGCCACCTTGAGCATTCTGCAGAGATCTATTCTGCTGCAGATATTCCAGGAGTATTAGAGTCTTTTCTTTCTTCCACACCAGGCTGCATATCTTATCGGTGTCCGGGCTGATTAGGCTGGCTTACCAGATCGGACAGGTCGCGGCCTTGTTCAGCAGCCACGGGTCGATGCAGGCCTGGTGGAACGTGTGGCGACACGGCAGCACGCGCACGTCGTCGTCGGCGCCGAAGCCGTCGGTGCACACGGCGCAGCAGGCGCTCTCAAGGTCGAGGTCGAGGTCTTTGGCCTGGGATTTCGGTGGGGGTTCTGATTTCGCCGCCTTGCGGGATGCGGGATTCGTGCCGCCATTCTCGTCGTCGTCGTCGTCATCCTCTTCATCGTCGGAACGGTCCGCGTGCCACACGGCAAATTTGTCGAGCTGGGCTTGTCGGGCGCCGTATTTGATGACGGGGACTTCGTCCAGGGCAGATACGGGCAGGACGGGGTTTGTGGGGTGTGCGCGGCGCTCGCGGAGAGGCAGGACCACGACAGCGGCCTGGTCCGCGGGAGCGAGCACGTAGGGGGCTGCGTCGGGGCCCTCGTTGGCCGACCACTTGCGGCAGCGGAAGATGATGAAGCAGATAAGCACGAACAGCGTCAGGATGCACAGCGCGATGGAAATCGCCGGCAGCCCGTGCTCGTCGGTCTTCTCGCCCGTCACCCGCGACGCGATGACCGCCATGGTTGTGGGCAGTGAGGGTGTGACTTGCGAGTTGCGAATGGTGGTGCAAGGATGAGCGCGAGTGGTGGTGCAAGGATGAGTGCGAATTGTGGTGCAAGGATGAGCGGGGAGACGAAGGAGGGGAAGATGGCCACGGTCGGCGAAGGTGTGTGTGCACCGCTCACATGGAAACGGGTTGACGACGGGGAAAGCAGGAAAAAAAGAAAAAAAGAAAGCACGAGACTAATAGCCGATCACGTGGATCCAGCTAGTGCGAGGAGGCCGTTGTGGACAAACTGGGCTGTTTCACTTCATCTCAACAATGGCCGCTCACTTCATCTCATGTAGAAATCGGTGCAGAAGCCGCCAACGTCAGACCACAGACACTAGCAACGGCCGGTTGTGGGGCGTCGAGGTCGGCAGCAGTGGTAGGTGTGCGGAGAAGAGCCCAGCAAGCGACCGCTCTTGGCAAAAGCTTAAAGCCACGACGATTTAATACGCCAAGCTGGCGACGCTGGCCGAGTCTGCGGGGGGGCCACATGAAGAGTGGAGGGGGGTGTGGGCAGCTTGCCTGCAAGTGGTCGCTTCGGGGGCTCTAGCTGCTGCTGCGGATGGCCGAGTTGCCGTGCGGGCATGTCTCCAAAACAGGGCTACTGGGCCACCCACACCACCTTTTCGCTTCAGACACCGCAATCAGACGATGCGCGGGGCAGAATTCGATTTGCGAGGAGCGGGGACGTGTGCCAACCGTTACATGCAAGCCCAGAGTGGGGGGAATGGTTGGACAAGGGTGGTGCATGGAGTGGTCGAGGTTATCGTATGCACCGCACATACACAGTGATGCACCTCGGTGGAGGATAGCAGATCTCCCGTCCGTTCCGTTCCGCTTTATCCATGGACATGGGCCAGGATAGTAGCCAGGTAGCAGCGACTAATTAATTTGCTATAAGAATACTATAACCCCCTGTTTCCTTTTCCTAGGCGTTGAAGCAGCTCAAGTTCCAAGCAAGACAAGACGAACCGAACCAACAACGGCCAACGACCAACAACGGCCAACGACCAACGGACAACGGCCAACAACGGCCAACGGCCAACAACGGCCAACGGCCAACAACGAACAACAACTCATCAACAAGCGATTCAACACATAGAGAGACAGCCTCTCATCCACCAAGCAGTTAATGGACAGTAGCTCCCTGTTCTGTCATCAGTCGTCAAGAAGGAAACACAACACGCTGATCAACCCTCTGAAGGCGGCAGCAGGCGACACAACCTCCCTCAAGACACCTTCCTATCCGATACCCGAACTGGCGCGGGCAGCTAAATCTGCTTGACAAAGCCCACCTCGACGAGGCTGTCGGCGTCAATGTCGAGGTCAGCCAGCTTGGTACGCGAGTTCTCGCGGATCCACAGAAACAGCTCCAACACAACCCAGCGGAAGAAGCCCGGGACCGACTTCTTGCGGCCGACCTTCATGACCTCCTTGCCGATGATATAGACGGTCTGGTCCTCGTGGGCCTTGTTGAGCGCGTCAAGCTCGGCCTGGATCTCAGGGGTATGCTCGACGGACCTGGCGACACCGCCGCTGGCGTTGCTGCCCTTGTCGCTGCCGCGGTCGCGCGTAATGTACAAGACCAAATGCTCGACGAGCTGCCGACCTAAATCGGGCGTCAGCACGTCGTCCATGTAGCCGTGGCGCAACGTCACACGATAGCAGGCGGGCACGGCGGTGCGCGAGACGAGGTAGCGCTCGTCGTGGGGCACCGAGGGCCGCGACAACGGGCGCATGTGGAAGAAGATGGTGATGGCCGGGCGCGCCTTGAACTTGCGCACAAACTGGGTGAAGACGGTCGGAATGTTACCGTTGGTGCCGCCCGACTTGTCGAAGAAAATGCCCAGCCCCGACGCGCTCGACACGCGCTGTCCGCCAAACGCCTGCGTCAGCACCAGGTCGCCCGTCGAGTCGGTGCCGAACAGGTCGCGCGTGTGCACCTTGCCGCGCCCCTCGGCCGCCCACTGCTGCTCCTTGCCGAACCGCCAGAGCACGAAGATGCTCGACAGCAGCACCGCCAGCAGCAGCGTGAACCACGCTCCGTCGGGCACCTTGACCAGCGACGACGAGATGTAGACGCCGTCGAGCAGGCCAAAGACGAGGAAGAAGAAGACGACAATGTACGACGGGATGCGCCAGATGATGGCCGCCACGATAGACACCATGCAAGTCGTGATAAAGGTCACGATAATAACACACACGCCGTACGCGTTGCCTAGGCTGGTCGTCTACAGTTTGGTAAGAAATCATTGGTTAGCGCGAAACACTTCGCGTTCTGGCTAGCGGTTGACCGCACTCACATTGTTATACACGGCCGTCACGATGACGGTGCCAATCATGAGCAGCCAGTTGGCCAGCGGCATGTAGACCTGCTCGTGGAACTTGTTGCTAGTGTGCACCGTTTTAATGTGCGGGAAGTACGACAGGCGCATGACCTGCGTCAGCAACTGGAACGTGCTGGTAATCATGGCCTGCGAGGCGACGATGGCTGCCAGGATTGCAATCACCATGCTGAAGTAAAAGCTGCCGGGTGGGACCGTGTAGAAGAACGGGTTGGTGAAGGCGGTGCCGGTGGTGTCGAACGAGATGAACGCCGCCTGGCCCGCGTAGGCAATGAGCAGGCACGGGAACGCCAGGCCCAGCCACGAGATCTGGATCGCGCGCTTGCTGAAAGCCCCGAGATCGGCGAACAGCGCCTCAACGCCCGTGAACGCCAGAAGCAGCCCGCCCAGCGACCGCCACCCGCTGGTTCCGTTGCGCACGAGGTACGCGCCGGCAAAGTAGGGGCTGAAGGCCTTGAGCACCGTGTAGTCATACAGAACCAGGTTGTAAATGCCAGAGCACAGGTTGAAGAGCAGCCAGATAACGACGATGGGCGCGAACGCGGTGCCCAGCTTGGCCGTGCCCAGGGGCTGTATGGCAAATAGCGCGATCAGGATGGCGCACGAGATGCCGACGATTGCCGATCGCGTCAGGTCGGGGTTGACCACTGTAATTCCCTGGATGGCGCCCAGGACCGACTGAGCGGGCGTAAGCACGCCGTCGGCCATGACCATGGACACCCCGAGCACGCCGACAAGTTTGAGGGAAAATTTGGCTGAACCGGAGCCCTCGATAAACGAGCGAAACCGGCGGGTCACCGGGTCCATCTTGCCCGTGTCATGGCGCTCCAGCTGCGGCGTGGCAGCGGCAGAGGCGGCATTGGGGTCCTCGTTGGAGATGTTGGCAAAGCGGGCGAGCAGCGAGTAGAGCGCAAAGGTGCCGCCCTGGCCGTCGTCGTCGGCCAGCAGAACGATGAAGGTGTATTTGACCGTGACGATGAGGGTCAGCGACCAGATGATGATGGACAGCGCACCGACCAGGTCGTCCCAGCTGGGCTGGCTGGTGAAGGTCGACGAGTAGACGTAGAGGGGCGACGTGCCAATGTCGCCGTAGATGGTCCCGATGCTCTGGAAGCTGAGCCAGGCGAGCGTGAAGCCCGTGTAAGTCTGCCGACCAAGTCAGCCATCCGGTCGTTCGACTACTATTTGTTTCAATTGGTTTTCATGTCATCGACTCACCTGCTTCTTTTTGAGCGCAAAGTCATCGTGTGTGATTTTTCTGGCTCTCTCTTCTTGGTCGAGGTCATGGACGCTCAACTCTTTCTCGGAGAGAGCCAGCGGAGCAGCAACAGCCGGTTGTTTTCTCTTGACGGGCTGGATGTCATCCTCGAACCGGATATTGGGAGGGGGGGTGCCGGTCGCGTCGGCCATTTCGCTCCGCCTGTTCGGTTTGGGCACGTTGCGCTCGTCTCGCTGCGTACGCTGTGGTTATGGCTTTGGACGGCGACGAGCTGGTAGGAAACCTGTTCCGGGTGTGCACGAAACCCGATAAAGCAAAGGTGCAAGACGACGGAGGCCTCCCACAAGAATGGGGAAAATGGACGAGTTGTTGGGAGCCGTGGGAGCTTGGGGAACCTGGGAAGCTTGGGGGACCGGGGAGCTCTGGGAGCTTAGGGAACCGGGGAGCTCTGAGAGCTTTGGACTTGGGAGCAGGCCAGAGAGTTTTAGAGACTGTAGCTAGGAGCTCAGGAGCTCCAGCAGTGCAGCCGTGTCGGTGAGATTGTATTGCATTCTCAGACCAAATTAGAACCAGCTGCCTCGCTTTTTATTCCTGTCACCGAGCTGCATTCTTAGGCGGCCCTATCCTCTTTGTTCGGTCATGGCTGCAGGTCTGAGGTGGGTGCCCAACAAAGGGCGCATGTTTCCCCTCTTTTCCGTGTGGAAAAAGACGGGGCGTCGGGGGGGGGGTGATTTGTCGATTGCTGGCGCCGACCGGGATGGTGATATCGAGTCGTGGTGGTGAGGTGTAGCATCTGACGGCCAGACGCAAGGACGGTACTTGGGGCAATAAGCTGCACCAAGGGGGCTGTGCTGCAGTGCAACAGGGGAGCTTGCGGATAGTTATCCTCGAGCTCCCATTTGAGCTCCCAAAAATCACGCAACTTTGTGCTACCCCGCGGGCTCGGCCGACCCCAATGCGGAAACTCGTCGCTCCTCCAACTGCAAGCTGAGCAATTCGGGTTGCTAATTTCCATGTGGCGTCTCAATTTTCCCGATGTTTGGCGCCATGTTCGCTGTCGCATTCGTTATTACGACACCACGACTTTTTCCAAGTCATGGGCGCCAGCGTGGCATCAGGCATGGGGTGATGGCCGCGGCAAGAGGAAGGACCAGTCTGGTCTGGTTCGCGTCTGGAAACGGACAAGCCTGGATCACAAGCCTGGATCACAAGCCTGGATTAGGTACTCGTAGGAAGGAACGAACAGGGAAACCCATCATCGTGGTTGCAGGTCCCCAGTCCCCTAGTGTACACCGCCGGGGCGCTGGCCGGCTTGGCGCCTGGTCCGAGCTGAGAATCCGGGGTCGGCTAACCAGAACGCGCAGCAAAACGTAACAAATCTCTAGGGTCATGCCTGCCGCGGCTGCTGCTTGGAAGGAGAAGGGATAAAAATCAAGTAGAAGCAGGTTATTAGCAGCAAAGTCGAAAGACGAGAAGAAGAAAATAAATTGAATGAAGGAAAGAAGCCTACGGCCTCGCCAGTCGTCACCATGTGTGCTCCAAAAGCTGAAATAGGGTCGCCCCACCCATCCAGCATCCAACCAGCAATTTCCAGCAAGGCGCGACAGACTAAAAGTGTAATTATTGCAGCGCTGAACAGACCCAACAAAACAACAACAAAACAACCGTAAGACGAGCCGGAGGATACAGACACAGGCAATAATAGCCAGGTAGTCAGATACAGCAAAGAGCGAGTCACTGCTGCGTGCACTCGTGTGGTTATCTCAATTCTTGGTAAAAGAACGTGATTTCTGAAGAATGGCGAGAAAAGGAAGCAAAGAGCAATGCCGGCTCTCTGAATAGAAGGATGGGAGCGCAGGCTATGTAATCACCCGCAGCTAGACCCTTCTGAGGCGGGTCAGCCAAGAAAAAGAAAAAAAAAACGTACTAGATTACATTAGGTAAACGTGTAAACACCCCTTGTTGCCCTGGGCCCCTTTGCCCTGGGCCCCTTAATGTTGGAAGAAGCCGCGTCACGTAATCCGGCTGACCATTTCCGGCCACTCAACGAACAAAGACTTCTTTTTCCTTATATAGAGGCACCTGCCCTTTCTTCCTTCATTCACTTCTTCCGAATGCAAGCACTCTTTTGCCTTCAATCAATGCAGTGTTGTATGTGACACTTAACCCCTGATCGGTATTCCAAGGCGGCCTTACGGAGCACTTACAACAACTCACATGGACCCCTGCACCACCTCTGTCTTCAGCTTCTCGCGGAGTTCCTCGTTCCTAAACAGTTTCTGGAAGTAGGGCGGGGAAAAGCCGACATTGTCCCAGTCGACAATCTTGACATGTAAGGCGTCGGCGTGCACAAAAACACTACGGGCGTACAAGTTGCCGTTGCAGGAGATGTATTCCTGTGCGTCCCACTCGGTCCTCCCGGTTGGCTAGCTGGCATCGCGGTCCCACGCTATGATCCATAACGACGGTCATTCACCGTGACAATGCCGTCGCACAGCTTGGACGCCTATCTGCCGACGACGTGCCTCTTCCAGCTGGAGACCACCTAAAGGGGTCGTATGGCCTGGCAACTATGAAGTCTGAACGAGGCCCGCGCTGTGGGACCTATGTCCTAGCGCCATAGGCTACCGCTATACAAGCAGACAAACCAGAGACCTGTTGCTTGAATATCTTGGTAATGGGGTCGGCTACATAGGCTGCAAACTGGCAAAGGTGGTCGTAGGCAAATCAAAATCGGAGCTGGTGCTCTCCTGTTTCACAGTTCCCGGATGAGCACCTTGTCAGGCTTACACTCTCCGACCATAGAGGACGAACTACATGCAGACTTTGCCGTGGCGGGGAACGACCGTTGGCCCCTTCAACTTCATCACATTTGCTGCAATCTCCCGCCCAGCCACTGTCGTCCTTCCAATCGCATTGATATGGATTCTGCCTTGAGTATCGAGTAAGATTTTATTCTGCTGTGAGCCTAAGGCCCAGCCACTTTCTGTTCAGATCCGGGATCATGGTGACACTGGGTACACGGCGTTTGGCCACGGCTGTGCATCTCGCTGATCATAATCAAGGACTGCTCCAATCACTGGCTGGGAGGACAATGATGTGGTTTCCCACTCCGTTTCTACGTTTGGCACAACAGAAGCCAAGGCTATCGGCGCGTTAAAATTCTGTGTGTTTCCGTAGCCTTTCTCCCTTTCCGAGGTACACCGAGCATTACCGATAGATGAACACGTGTAATGAGTATTCAAGCGGTGAAACGAGATACTTGGTAACTAATGGTCAGTCGTGTATCACAGATAGGAAACACACATCTTCAAGTTCCACTGAGAAGGCGTAAGGCGGACGGCCTTTTATTTTTTATTTGTATGGTGGACCAGCCCCTTCTGGAAATTTCCAAGCTTCTCGCTCCCCATCTCAGGCAGCCTCTCGTCAGCCTAACGATTTATCGTTAGCATCTGTTGAGGTGGCCACCGTCTTGTTTTTCCTAGGCGCCGAAGGCCCTGCCGTGTATAAGTACCTAGGCTCATGTCCACCCTCTTGACTTCTGACAGCATTGAGATACACACATGCCTCGACCTCTCTTTCTCATAGCTCGAGTTGTATCTGGGCTCTTTTCCTTACATATTTCTCGCATCTCATAAGCCAGGGATTGCCCAGCTTTTCCTTCCACCGTTCTCCGATCCCGTTTATGCAAGACTGTTTACGGCTTCAGATTTCTTCCACCATTTTCAGTCATTCCGTAGCGTCATTCCCATTACAATTTACAACACAGGCCGCGGGCCCCAGCATCCCCTTGTCTGTTTCAATCCACAAATACCCTAGCACGAAATTGCGCCACATCAAAAATGGCATATCCAGACTCCGCAATACCCATGAGCATGCACAATCCGGTCGGGTTCAAGAGCGAACTGGGCGGCTACCTCGAATCACTACCACGGCCCGGACAACAAGAACCGACACGACAAGCCACCCTTGCTGTAGTGGTGAGGGTTGACTGTGACCCTGCCCCTTTTCAGGCAGCCTTGACGGTCGATAGTCTGCTGGAAGCTGCAGATTCCAACCACGAATCCAGACGCGCCGGGGGCGCAGAGCCATTGCCAGAGCAAGCATCGCAATGGCGCATTCTTCGAACGGTGCACCTAGTCCCCGCTGGAGAGGTGAATTATGACTGGGCGCTGGCTGAGAAAGATTGGGCGCTTGCTCAGCTCAAACCTCAAGGAAATTCCTCCCGTCTCACCAATACTATCACCATTCCCTATGCTCTAGTCAACGACTCCGAAAGGATTCAGATGGCGCATTCGATCCTCGCGCAGACTATAGCCCCGAGTACCCATTTCCAAGACGGCCGACGTGTTTACGTCATCTCTGGAGTTCAGGGCGTTTTGATCGGCCGACTCCACAACGCCAGACGGCAGAATGAAAGAGACATGCTCAGGTGGAAGGTCGTGCTGGAGGGCGGTAAGTATTAAAAACGGCACCCACACCAGGAGAGAGTCACCACCAGGAGAGAGTCACCACCAGGAGAGAGTCACGCAGCTAACGTAATATTCTTCTGCAGAATACGAGTTTCATAGCCTTGATCAGGGATCTGTCGTAGTAGACGGAGAGGCTTACCCAGACAAAGGCCCCATGACCCGCGATGTCTTCGGTCACATCATCAGGCCTGACTGCTCTATTGGCACAGTCTCCCCGATCAAGCAAGTTTTGAGGCAGATCCAGGACGCCTACAATGCTAGGAGTGTAAAGCTGGTAGCCTTTGAGCGGCCAGTTCCTGGGGGCTGGGACACGACCAGGAACCATCATCGATAGGAAGCCAAAACAAGCTGCCACCGAGACCGTCGTCGAGGAGGCGGGCAAGTGAAAGTGCTATGCAAGTTCGGGGAGGGAGGGCTTCCACAATTGTTGCATTTCCTATGGGATTATCAGGACAGAGACACGTGTTTCACGGATCAGACCACAGCCATTAAGATACCTTTGCAAACTTGCCAATTCCATTTCGTGCGGCTACTAGAATTCCACCAGTGATTCGCATACCTCACTCTTGAAAGTAGATGTTTCAGGTTACTGCACCTGACACCCGAAACTCAGAATCTCGTCTTCACGGTGTGCGGTTCCAGAACCCGATCTCCCGCTATGAAGCTAGAAGACAGCATGCTTATCATGTCACGGGACAGGTACGTATAGCAGGACACCGATATGAAAGGGCGATCGGGAGACTGTATGTTGGGCTGATACTCTCACGCACCCGCCGAAGTTACGCCTCTGCAAGTGGCCGAACTCTACGCGTAATTGATCAACACATTCCAATCATAACCTAGTAAACCCACCTCATCTACACCATGATAATTTCCAGCAAGACTAGACTAAAGTGTATTAAAACGGCGAGCAGGTACTATAATAAAACAATAACACAATGTCACCTGGATTTGAGCCACTCTGAGCCACATTTCAAGCCACAGTCGGCGAGCTCCGAAAGCCCTGTACGGCTGAAATTCAAAATAAACCCTGTATGGCTGAACTTCGAATAAAGCCCTGTATGGCTGAACCTCGAATACCCCCTGTACGGCTGAACGGTGTTTTCTTTCGTCCTTTTCTAGAAGTATAAGAAGGCCTTCATTCATGTATCCCTAGACCGGACTTAGGCAGACAATTCAATGCACTGTCAACTTCGATCGCGTGCAACACAAAACAACCCTGAGGTAGGCTGCAGTATACAAGTACAGGTTATAGTGGCCAGGTAGCTATACATAATAAAGAAAAGGGCACTACTATGTGTCCTGGTGCGGTTATCTCAATTGGTGAAAAAGAACGAAGTTTCTGAAGAACGGCGAACCACGAGAAAAGGAGGGAAAGAGCAATGCCGGTTCTCTGATCGGAAGGAGCACATGCTCTTAGGGTTGATTATGGGCCTGCCCCTTTTCAGGCGCTATTGACCGTCGATAATCCGATGGGAGCCGCGGAATCTATTTTCCAACCATTAATCCAGACCCGCCCCGTCAGAGTCTAGCACTTGCGGTCAACGGTTGTGTTATTTAGTTGTTGATTAGGGTGCGTTGTTCTGGTCAAAAGTTGTGCAGTGCCCTATTGCCAAGGCAGCTACTTCCGCATTTGGCCCCTACGCCTGCCCATTCGCACCTAACTACGAATACGAGTGGCCTCCGCTCGCTCCCCTTCAATCTTTCCCAAACTCAACGTCTGTTCACCGCTTCAACCGACGCGGCTCAACCCCTCAGCCGACGCGGCTCAACCCCTCAACCGGCCACCATGCGACTCCTCAACATGCAGTCTCGACAGCTTCACACCCGCTACGACGATGCCATCCCGCCCTACGCGATCCTCTCCCACACATGGGACCAGCAAGAAGCGGAGGTCTCGTTCGAGGACATGAAACGGCCGCATCACGTCCACATGCCGAGGTACGACAAGATCGAGAATACCTGCAGACTGGCAGAGATTGGGGGGCTGGAATGGTATGGATCGACACGTGTAGTATCGACAAGTCCAGTAGCGCCGAGCTGTCCGAGGCCATTAAAAAGTTTAGTAGTGCCGAGCTGTCCGAGGCCATCAACTCCATGTTCCGATGATACGAGAAGGCTGCCATCTGCTTTGCCCATCTTGCCGACGTGCAGCGCAGCGACCCCATTTCGGATCTGGACGTGGCTTTTGAACACTGCCGCTGGTTCACCCGAGGCTGGACCCTCCAGAAACTGCTTGCCCCTGGCCAGTTGGTCTTTTACGACCGCACCTGGGAAGCTGTCGGCGACAGAGCCTCACTAGCAGGGCAGATTCAACGCCGCACCGCCGCGCCGCCATCCCTGCCGAGTATCTGTCCAAGCACCGCGATGATTTCCGTGAGGCGCGAGTCGGCGAGAGAATGTCCTGGGCGTCAGATCGGAACACCACACGAAAGGAAGACCTCGCATACTGCCTTTTTGGAATCTTCGACGTCCATATGCCGCTTCTGTATGGAGAAGGCGACCATGCGTTCCGGCGGCTGCAGGAGGAGATTCTCAAGACCTGGGAGACGACTAGCCGCGGCCTTCGTATTGAGCTTCCAATCTGCCGAGGCGCCTCTAGCCCTGTGCCATTCATCTTGCTGAATGGCGTTCTTGGAGGCGACATTAAAAGCCAAACTCTCGCGTTCTCATTGCACTCATCCTCATCTTCCGAAGAGTACATACGAGGCAATCTCTGGATGGTGGATTGGAACTATCTTATGGGGGCACGCCGCGACACCATTTATATTCGCGGCTCGGGGGTCGGGAGAGGAAGGGATGATCTCAGCGCCCTGAACTGGCTCCAAGTCGGCTATTTGCACCTCAAGGTCGCCGCAGGACTTGGAGACCGCATAGTCGCGGCTTGCTCCGTGGGAACTGGACACCAATCCCTCACTTTGCCGCTTTCACGTCGAACTAGCAGCAACTGGTTTCGAATAGGCGTCCACATGAAGACGGAATCCACCGACTACCTCGTGATCGTGGAGAAGCGAATCTTGGATTTGGCCTTCTGGCTGTCCTAGGATTGGCTATGCAGACCAGTCACCCTTTACATGCTAGACTTTTCGCCCGAATTAACTCTGGAGGATATGCTACGGCTACCCAATTCGTCGCTTCAGAGCAAGGCGAAAGAGAGATCAGATATGAAGAGAGCTTTAGGGCAGAGAGATGTTTGCTTCACGGGCTCATACTCGCATGTCATTGAGATCGGCGATGCTCAGTCGGGCATGTACAATAATGAAGAATTCGATAGCATAGCGACGCTTCTATGGCAGGAACTGGCTCCTCGAGCTCTTTCGGGGTTCCGGGGTGGGTGTTGGTTGGTTGGTTTAGACGAAGCGTTATAGTTACCCAGGTATTGCCTGACATCTTGCTGTTGGTTGCGCTACGTCTTCTCGCCGGTGGCTGTCGTTCTCCTCGCGTTGTTGCGGTGGGCGAGGGCTGATTTCCAGTCTCAAGGCGCCGGCCCCCAACTGATGCGATACGACCCAACGCCACCATCTGCAGGTTTGGCCGCGTCACCCAATCACGACCGGTCATTCATGGTTGGTGGTCGAGCCGTCGAGCCGGGAGAAGCGCCCCCCTCAGTGTAGAAGGTTGTCCGCTAACCAACATTTAGGCATTGGAATGCATTTTAAAGAAAAGTAATAGGCCGTTAGGATTCCAAGATGGGGGCTCGAATAGTTACCCCCCCACCTCCTGTGCGTCTCGATTTACTTGTATCTATAAGCTCCAGCTGCTCCTTCATTTATACAGAAGACAACACTCTTCAACCTCTTCCACAACCACTAACGGCGCCTTATTTTCCTATGACTCAGTCTTCGCCGGCGCCCGCGGCCGCCCCAAAGACAGCCTCTCCACCTCCGACTGTGTGTCAACGAAGACGCAATACCTCAGCGAATCATCGGCCTTATCCTCCCAGAACACCGGCGGCTTCACGGCCCGGAACCACCACGGGTGGGCCTTTGACTCGGGCGCCAGCCGATAGAGGAGTGCCTCCATTCCTTTCGAAGTCCCAAGCCGTGCATAAGCTCCGTCTCAACCAACCGACGGCTGCGAAGTGAAACACTGTCCACACATCTCCCTTCCACCCACATCAACCATACAACTAAACACCAAGGTCAGCATATGCTGAGCTGGGAGCGGGGAGGTCACTTACACGCCGCCGTTAACCACGCTCATGGTCTCTTCCGCGTTCGGAGCCTCTATGTAAAGTAAGCAATATATAGTATGGGCTGAGCAGAAGCTGAACCTACCGGCATTCTCTAGGGCGGTCAAGTCGGTAACACGCTGCTTGTTGGCAATCTAGGCAGCAACGCCTACAAATAGTGTGAGCTGGGGTCGGCATATGCTGAGTCTAGCCGGGTGGCACTTACGAGGGTGAACCCAACCAGGGTTGGTGTTGGGGATGGGGCCTACAATGAAGTCACCTCAGCATAAGCCGAGGGGAGAGGGAAGCAAAACTTACCATGATGCCAACCGTACTCTGACGGGTTAGTGGCGGTGGCGACCGCATTATTGTCTAGAAAATGTCAGCCTATGCTGAGCCAATCGCGATAGGACGACCTACCGAAGTGAGCCGCGATGGCCAGAACGTTGGACATTTTTTATTCGCTTCTGCCAAAGTCAGCAAATTCTAGGCTACGCAGAGTCGCAAAACGGTAAAACGAGACGAGAAATAGGTAAATAGAGCAGCGCGAATTGATCGCGATCAAGATTGAGCGTATACTATATGCGCGCGGGTGTTAAGTGGTAGGGTGGTTACTTACGAGTGCAGATGGGAAATGTTGTTTGGGTGAAGAAAAAACAAATAATTGGCGATGGCAGCGCTTCAGCAGATGTTACTTAGCCATCAAAGTATGACTCAGTTTACACTCTATCTTGCTTTCTTTGACAGTTTTTAATTTATCGTACATCTTACTTCAATTGACCATTTATACTACTTTATTTGCCTTACACTGAGTTATATATTCTTTTTTATTGGGGCTGCTCAGCATATGCTATGTGCTGACCGAAAAGCTCACATGGGTCAAACTCTATGACCCATGTTGAGCCTTTTCAGGGTTAGGGTCTTTTGACCCATGTTGAGCTGTGACCTCCGTATTCCGCGGCCGGATTACGGGACACCCGTAATTGGCTATCACTAAACTCAGTTCCGCGTTCCGTGTTCGAGACACGGAACACTCCTGATTGGTTGCTACTAAACTCAGCAGGACCTACCGAGGTGCATCCCTTCAGGGATTCGTAACATATTTGTTATGGCGGCCGAACTAGGTCCGTGGTACCGCAACCATGCCTCTGCCTACAGCCCTACTCTTCTTAATCGGGACTAGCGTAGTTTCTCCCTGTAATAGAAGGCAGGTACGCCTGATCAAGGTGGTCACAATAGGAGCAACAAGCAGGGCGAGCAATGACTGGTATTGGCGTAAGACTTCAACCTGGCCTGAGCTAAAGAGGTGTGCGAAGGCCATGGTCTATATACACGTGAAAGGGGTTACGAGTCATCCTTGCGTGGCCAGGGTGGTAGTGGCGATAGTGCGTGGCCCTGTTAGCGGTGGCGATAGTGGCGATGGTGGCGAGGGTGGCCCTGGTGGCGGTGGCCATGGTGGTTACGAGGGTGGTTTCCTTACACTCCCTCCCACCACCACAAACCCATCGCCTACAAGACCCGCAGGCTTCTTCTTTTCCTTTTCCTTTCTTTAGCTTAGTTATCTACGAATACAGTCAATCCTTACTTGCAGCCTTGCCTCCTATAGTTGCCTACCTTCACACTAACGACCGAGCTTCAAACATAGTATTATCTCGGCTAGTGGGTCCCAGAGACCTAAGTCGTGGTTAAGGGGTGAGGGCATGGCGTCAAGGTATATATAGTGTCGCCCACTTTTGAGCCACATTGTCAAGCCACATACCTGCATATCCCTGCATAGCCCTTCATTCGTGACTTTCAACCCTGATCCCTTTTTCCGGGCTCCCGGACTTCCGAATGCCCTCTTTTTTCTCTCTTGCTACGGCTGAGTCCCTTACGTAGTACGACTGAACAGACTGTTGAACCAGGTTTCCTTTGTCCTTTTCTTGGAAGCATAAAAGGCCTTCTTTCCTGTATTATTAGATTGGATTAAGACAGACAATTCAAGACCCTTTAAGCCACTGTCAACTTTAATCACGGTGTTACGAATCCTTGTCGAAATGCGCAATAGTGGGGCACGCTCAGTTTGGTGTGGACCAATCAGGAGCGTCCCATGGAAGGAACCAATTAGGAGTGTCCCTGGGTCCCGAGGTTCGGGACCGCTTAAGGTCGGGGGCGCGGGACAGTGTCCCGCGCCCGGCGTCCCGAGACCGCAAGTCTCGGGACCACGGGCCAGTGGGACCATTGTTATTGGTTACACAGTTAGTGTTGGAATAGCGATACTGGTGACCGCACACTAGCAGGGAGGAAGCAGAGATCGCGCGAGTACGCACGTGCAAGTAGGCACGTGCGGCGCGCGGACCTCTCACACACACACACACAAAAACCCCGGTCGCACGCAGAACCTACCTTAGTTCCGGAGAGAGAGAGAGGGATGGAGGAGACACAAGATTACCCCCGGTAGATCTACCAACCTTTCGACCTGTAGGATCCCTACGTAGTTTGAGTACCACGAACAGTTAGATATATACGATGACCGTGCCCACGGTCTTAGATAGTTCTTGCTTGGTTCTTCAAGCAAGCAGTACACATTCACTGCACTCATATACTTTGAGTTGCATTCCGATTTGACTGTATTACCCGTGCGATAGGAGCTTGCCCTTTGTTCTATCTTCATAATTACCAACCCTAGCATCCTGTGGAGCCCGTGCTCCCTTACAGACAGACGACCCTAACAGTCGAGTGGTTTGTAATACACGGGCCAGAGTTACTGGCCAGATATAGAGTATGAAACCAATATAATTACTATAAGATAGCTTGCTTTAGTAAGGAGGATGCCGCATAACTGAGTCCACGCGTCCTCCCTAGCGACTCTAGTACAGCCCGGCATTGCTGCCTCAGGGAGGCACCTTGTGTCCCAATCATGATTGTAACATATTAACAATAAAAATGCTAGTGGGTGCAGGCATGGCAGGTTTTGAGCCAGGCTCGTGGCCTTCATCGTTGTAGTGTGAACCGCCAAAGGTTCGGCTTCCCGCCAACCGCTGAGGATTGGAGGTGGTGTGCAGCGCTTGTGTGTGTGTAGGGGTTTAATACTGTGCGGGTACTGAGAGGACATGTGCCTCGCCTGACATATACTTATTGAGGCGGCCTAGACTGCTGAAACTTGAGGCCACGCGCCCGCCAAAAACAGCAGTTAAGACCGCGGCACTGTGTGGAACAACCAAGTTTTCTCCGGGCAGTAGCGACACCACAGCCCGCCCCAACAGATGCAATCAAGGACCGTCTTTGCGCCTTCCAGACGCAAACTTACCCCCAATAAACTTTTGCGAAGGGGGGTTTTAACGCTCAGCTTCTCCGTGCTGCTGAAACCTTGAACCTCTTTCTTCCTTCGCAAAGAAGGCTCGTACATACTGACAAACTAACTTGCAGAACCACACACACACACACACACACGCACACGCCCCCGCCCCCGCCCCCGCCCGCCCGACCATGGCGGACTGTTGTTGCTGGCCCGACCTGGGCGCCGACGAGGAGCCGGCCGCAATGCGGTGCGTAGAGGAGCTGGCGCGTGGAGGAGCTGGCGTGGGCTGCAATGCGGCATGAGGACGAGTTGGCCGCAATGCGGCTCCGGCACGAGAAGGAGCTGGCGGCGTGGGATGAGGAGGCCGCTTTGCACCAGGAGATGGTCGCGGCGGTCGACAGGATCGTGGCCGCCAAGCGGGCCCTCGCCTGGGCGGAGGGCGCCGTCGCTCTTGCCGTGTTTGCTGTAAGGGTCACCCCGTGGGTGGCGCGCGGGGTGCGCTCCCTGCGGGCGCGCTGGGCGAGGAGAAGGGGGGAGAAGGGGGAGAAGGGGGAGTAGGGGGTGTGGTTACACGTTGCTTGTTCTGTCGATTGCCTCATCACGCACTTTGTAGCCGAGGTAAAATGCTTTTCAAACTTTCATCATGCCGCTTGGATGCTCCCGGGTATGTAAGGTGGGCAATGCTGTACTTATCAAATAGCCACACGGTGATCTTAAAGTTTATTAATGCCGAGATTTCAAGGTAAAAGAGTGATAAGGCCATCCTTTTATTTCTTCCGCTCTTTTGTTCTTGTCGACTTTATCGACCTTGTCTACCTCCCGAAGTAAAGCTCGCAGAACCGCGCGACGGAAGGGCTAACAATGATGGACATCATATCCTTGTTGAACCACAATGTCGACGTCGCAACGCGCGACGCCGCTCGGCCACCATTCCTCTCGTTTGCGCCCGAGATTCGCAACATGATCTACCGGTTTATCTTCTTCCAGGATTTTGCCATCATATGGGGTAGCCAGGTGCGGTTGCACACCCAGGTTCTGCGCACCTGCCGGCAGATCTACGACGAGGCGCTCCCCATCCTCTACAGCGAGAACACGTGGCGGATCGAGATGTGCAATGCGCCCGGGCCGCACTACGACAGTTTTCGGTACCCCGGAGCCCTGAAGTGTGACTTTTCTAAAGATGTTCCTGATTGGCGGCTCACGGTGAGCTGGCCCACGAAGACAATCAGTGCCTTGCCCCATCTGAGGCGGTTCAGTATCCTCGTCACGTATACCGACGGCCACAAGGTTGCCCCGATCCGGGAGGATACGCGCTGGCTTGCAGAGTGCCTGGCAAAGGTGTCGAGAATCGACTTTCTGCACCTGGAATGCAAGCTTGACTGGAGCACCTGTGGCGTCTATGACTGGCGGGACCCCGACGCCAATAACTTCCCGCTATGCGACGACGGGACGAGAGACGTCATAAGAGTGTTGCAGACGTGGCTGGGCCGGCTGCGCAACGTCGGCGAGGTAGTTGTCGAGGGCCTGCCCGAGGCGAACGCGAATACGATCGAGGAGAGGTGGAAGAGTTCGGAACCCCTCGAGAAGACGCCACTCACGAAGATGTACGAATGCCTTGAGCCGCATGTGCGGGACATCGGCTCTTGCAAGGCTCTACTCCACGGGGCCCTATTGGCCGTAGAGAAGGATGATATGGAGGATTTCAAGGGGTTGAGGACCGAATTAGTCGAGCATATGAAACAGCGCTTGGAGGCTATCGAAGGTGGGGTGATGCGCTATGATCCTAAGGAGGCCGAAGATGAGGAGATGGAGTAAGTAACCATGTCAAGGACTGTTGGAATGTTGGAATAACGCGCTAGTCAACCACACAGAGGTGGCGGTAGAGGCGCAGGGCCACGGATTCTATATAAGCGGCCTACGGCCACCTCTTTCTTCTAGATACAGACACACAACAATCATCACTTGAACCACCAGTTTTCGGCGTCCAGTTAATTATGCCCTGTTGCTTCCAGTACCGGTACCTGATGAATCTAACAAGAACCTTTCCAGACCACTCTCCAGGCATACGCATCCCGAATTTGAGGCAACGGTCAGATAGGGAGCCAGATCCACCATGAAATTTTGTCCGTTTCGTACCCCTGCACTTTAATCTTCCTTCAAACGACCTTTGTTGGTCGGTTTGCAAACTCAAGACGAAACGCTTGTCGCAGTAAATACACGCCTTGATATTTACACCTCGCCCGCGACCCCTCGACATATATAAAGAAGTAATAACTCCCATTAGTAATAAATCGACGACTCCTATCAATAGCAAGTACCTTAGTTCGTGAGTGACCTAACGGGATCCCCAATTTCCCAGTAAGCAGTATGTGCAACTTCTTGCCCTCCATGGCCGTACATGGAGACTCCGCGCCAAAAATTTGACTCTCATGAAGCGAGCGGGGCGACTCGACGAGTGAACGAGCCAGATGATTCGAAAATCCAAGATACAGCAGATTAACGCTCGGAGAAAAGCAAAGCTTACAGAAACGCAGGTATCAATCATGAGAGCTCATCAAAACAAATAAATAACAAAAAAGCAAGAAAAGAAAACATCTACCTATTCACATCCTCACCCCTACCAACCCCTACCCTAGCCAGCCAGCCAGCCAGCCAGCCAGCCATCACCACCCCATCACACGCGTCCGTCATCCCCGCCCGTAGAGATGTTATCCCTCTGCTCGATAGTAGCACCATTAGAGTTACCCTTGGCGGAGCCGTCCTTCTCGGCGACGGACTCGCGCTGGCGGAAGGTGGTGGTGGGGCGCCAGCCGCGGCTCTTGCGGGCGGCGTCGACCTCGCTGTACAGCTCGTCGACCTCCTCGAGCGACAGCCCTTTGGTCTCGTAGATGAAGAAGTACACGAAGGCGATGCACAGGAAGCAGCACGCGAACCAGATGAAGAAGATCTTGCTCTGCAGGTTCGCATAGCCCGCGCCGTAGTTGACCAGGTACGGCGTCGCGTACGCGATGGCCCAGTTGAGCAGCCACTGGCGTGTGTTAGCATTCTTAAGGGGTTTGGGAAGAGGGGGTTCGGGAAGGGGGGGGAACGCACATTGGTCGCCGTGGTGATCGACAGGCCCTGCGCGCGGTGCTTCAGCGGGAAGATTTCGCCCGTGACCACCCACGCCAGGGGGCCCCAGGTGGAGGCGAAGAAGAAGATGTAGATGCACACAAAAGCGATGCTAGCTTTTTGCGCGTCGACGTTGTACACGATGATAGTGCCGTCGCTGGTCTGGCCCGTCGTCAGGGTGCCGAGCATGGCCACGAGGAACTGGCTGACACACATGCCCACGGCTCCCCACAGCAGCATCGGCCGGCGGCCCCACTTGTCGATGAAGTAGAGGCCCGGGATGGTCGACACGACGTTGATGCTGGACGTGATCATGGAGATGACGAAGGGGTTCTGGATGCCCGAGTTGAGGAAGTACTGGGTGCCGTAGTAGAAGATGAAGTTGATGCCTGTTTTTTGTTTCAGAAACTAGCTCGAGAAGGGGCAAACAAGTCACTCACCAGTCAGTTGCTGAAGTCCCTGCAAGCCCATACCGGTGAGTTGCTTCTTCAACATATCGCCGCGGAAGCAGTCGAAATAGCTGGCCTTACCCAGCTGCATCTCGTAGTCGTGGTTGGCCTTGATCTCGGCGAGCTCTGCGAGAATGTCCGGGTGGTTCTCGGGCAGACGGCGCAGGCGGCCCAGCGAAACAGCCGCCTTGTCCATGCTGTTCTGCTTGATCAGATAGCGGGGCGTCTCGGGCAGGAGAAGCATGCCGACGATGAGGATGAGGGCCCAGGCGAACTGGACCGCGATTGGGATGCGGTACGAGCCCGTGTCTTGGCGCAAGTGGGTGGCGTTGTCTAAGATGGCGGCGAGCAGTAGTCCGATGGTGATTGCGCCCTGATAGGCTCCCACGATTGCTCCGCGGATCCACTTGGGCGCAGTCTCGGACTGGTATAGCGGAACTGCAAGGATTGTCAGAATCATGTCCTAGTTATATGTAGCTAGGGCCATCACCATGGCGGGGATCGGCCCGAAGACCATGGGGACACTCACTCAGCGCGGATATTAGGCCCACTCCGAACCCAGCGAAAAAGCGGCCAGCCAGGAAAAGCGGCAGAGCTGTAGCTGCGGTCTGCAAAACGACACCGACATTAAACACCCACGTCGAGATGATGAGGGCCCAGCGGCGGCCCAGATTGTCACCGAGGAACGGCGAAGACAGGGCACCGAAAAAGGTGCCAGCGGATAGTATTGACACAATGGCCGACGACTGAGAGGGCGACACATCGAGATGGCCGTGGGGGTCGCGGTATCCGGTCGAGAAGGTGTCCCTCCAGTAGTCCATGGCTAGGATGCCGCTGATAGTGCCCGTATCATAGCCAAACAGGACGCCTCCAAAGGCAACAAACGCGCCAATGGCGATGGCTGGCCATGACGAGCCGGCCTCCCGTGGGGGCTTAGCAAGCGGAATCTTCCTAGTCCCGAACATGTTGGCGGGAGAGCAGCAGGTCTGAGGGCGGGACGGTATGGCAGGGCACAGTAGCGAGAGAACTGAGGAAGTAAAGATACGGTTTTCCGGAAAGCGAAGAGGACGAGCTTTATAAAGAAGGTTTGCGGGGGGAGGGGAGAGAGTACGGGGAGGGGAGAAAGTACGGGGAGGGGAGAGAGTACGGGGACAGGCGGAGAGTGTGGGGTTCATGGGAAGCAGGAGTGAAGGCTCTAGCGAGGCCATGTCTGAGCTTGGTTAATCTACAACCAACAGCTCTAGTGGTGGCCGGAAAAGAAAGTCCGACGTCTTGTTGGTTGGTATTAGGGCCGAATGAAGGCGCGCCGCCGTGAATCAAGGGCCGTGCCATTTCGCCGTATCCGCTGCCGCAGACAACATCATGCTGGCTAGAAACCACAAAGGGAAATGGGGCGCCGATAAAGCAGCCGGCGACGAGAAATGCCCCACAATGTCTTGAATGACGCGCCGGGTGGCGGCGGGCATTCGTCATGCTGCCGACTCCGACGTTCCAAACGTAACATAATTGACTAATTTGATCTCATTTTGGACTGCATGTTGATGCAGTATTGTCCAACGCAAAATGCGCGGTTTTCCCATCACCTGGGTACACGCCTGTCTCAGGGATCTGAAGTGACAGGAAGCCCCTGCAAAGATGAGCAGCCCCCCGCTTCCCATAATTTCACCGCCGGCCAAATTATGGACACGACAAAGTCCGGGGGTGGGGAGACAATGGGTGGGGAAAGCAAAGCAAGCGGAGCAAAGGAGGTTGCCCACCACGGCGCCTTCCAGAGAAGTGTGGTAGTAGAGGCCCAGAGGGACACAAGCAAACAGGGACGACTGGTCAGACGGAAAGAGCGAACCCGAGTCTGGCAGCTTTCATGACGCAGCAAACTCTAAATGGCATTGTCATGAGATTAGTGGCGTTTATCGGCCGGTCTGGCGATTAGTAGCGCGCGAGATGCAGAACGCCAAGCGCATCGTTCCTTCCGGTTCTTTGACGGGAGCGATGAAGACAAACCGTGGCCAGAGAGGGACGAACCGTGGCCAGAGAGGGACGAGCCGAAAAGGCGGAGGCCAGCTTCTGGTGGGAAAACTTCCGCTTGCGGCCGCCCCGCAGTCACCCATTCGTTCGTTCAAAAGGGGCAGCACGGCAGGTCGCGTGCCCCGAGGATAAACATCCGTCAGGAATGAAGCGGGTCCACTTCGAGTTCGACTTTCCATTCGTGCAGCTCGTGCGTCGACCAGGGAGAACTTCCAGTTTGCACGAGTCAGGTTTTCTGTCCTCCGCGACCCACCTACCCGTTGCTGAGCTCCACGTTGTATGAACCCACCTGCAGTTTGATGTGTGGGTCTTTTCTCTTAAGAACCTCTGCAGAGGTGGAAATGGCTTCAAGACTGCGACATGTCGCGCAGTCTTCTAGTTCTACTAATAACTCTTGCTAGCAAGTCATATCAAAGGCGTCTAGAGAACGAAGAAGGCCCTTGACAATAATGCACCAAACCCTGCCCACCACAGCCATCCCACTGTTTTGATCAAAGAAAAAGACACCTTCTGGCGTGGCCTGAGCCATCATTTACCAGAAACAAGCTTGTGCATACTACCAGAGCAATAGTATTGCGCACTCAAACCCCGTCCACCAGAATTCCCAGCTGTCCCCATCCATTTCCAATTTTTGAACCCTTGCCCAGCAAGTTCTCGAAGCCCAAAGTTTTTCTCCCAGTTTGTCCTCCTGTTCATCTCTTCAAAGTAGAGCTGCTTTCCAGATTTCTGTTCCGAGGGTACTTCAATGATTAGCAAGCAAAACGTCAGCTTCATTTCCACGCCATCACTGATGCTGTTATTACATGGAATGGATGGGGCACATGGCTAACTAAGGAACCTACCCGAATTATCCGCCGGGTTCTGCTTCTGCACCAACCGCCTCCACCACGGCGGTTAATTTCTTGCGTGTAGTACCTCTTGGGTACCAGCTCAGGCGCGTGACGGAAGAGATAGGGGCTGAGGTTGCCGGCAAAGAAGCACATTGCGGGCTTTGAGACTGCGAGCGAGTTAGGTGTTAGCAAATGAAGTACGCTCGATTGGTGATTAAATCACCCCAGAACGGTTACGTCCCAGGACGGTTACGTGTGTTCAACATAACTACCTTGGAGGTGGCTTCTCCTCCCAGCGACTCGGGGCCGAAGGCAAACAGCCGCGGCTCGTCGGATCCCTCAGCGAAGAACTCGGTGTTCACAAGAAGCAGCCGCACGCCCGCCCACTCGCGGCCGAGCTTGTTGCTCGTCCACGTGCCAACGATGTATCCGTGGCATTTTACCGGAGAGCCGTCCTCGACGACGAGCAGCCGTATCACAGATGCTAGCACAGCGTGGACCGGAGACCGTCGCCAGTCGGTCCATGCGGACGACACCAGCCCGAGGCCGCTCTCGTAGATTTCTGCCAGGCATGCTGCGCCCACGACGGCCCCTCCGCTGGCACGTCGTGGAAGAAGCCGTCGGCATTGGTCGTCTGGTTCGCTGTCTGGAAGGCCAACAAGGTCATTAAAATGTTTCTGTTTGGGATAGGTACGGGTTTCGAACATTTAATTTCACATTTAATTTCACACTTACCACACTAAGGTCCCGTATCCTCCACCGCACAATATCTTCAGGCACAGGATCCGTCTGACCAAAAGCTGCAAGCCGCTGTTCCACCCGCTCAAGGAGCTTCTCGTTGTTGCTCACTGCACACGCCGTAGCGGCTGGGCTGAAGCGCTCGAAGCAGGCATTGGGCGGCTCGGCCGTCGTCGTCCAGACGCCGCCGCCGTGTTCTTTGCTGCTATTGGCATTACTGCTACTGAAGAGGAGGCACTCGTGCGCGTAGTCGCCCCGCTCGAGGCAGTCGGCCCCGGCCTTGTGCGTGCAGTAAGTCTTTATTAGCTCCTCGTCGGCGAACGCGCGTGACTCGGCGTGCTCCGCGCCCCCTCGGCCTCGCAGTCGTCGGTGCGGCCCAGCAGGGCTCTGAGGGTGGGATCTAGGCAGTCCAAGAACGTGTTGACGACCTCGAGGAGACACCGGCCGTGGTAGCGCAGGGACCTCTTCTCGCCACCGCTCAACGCCGGTCGCCTAGAGGTAGAAGTAGAACTAATAGGTTTACATGGAAGATACATCTTGCAGTCGACGACGACAGATGGATGGCCGCGTGTCAGACTTGGTCTAGTACAAGGGCAAATTTGAGAAACGTCGAAGCTGACAGGAACTGAGGGACTGGGTTTTCGGGACTGGTACCCTTTTATTTCATTACCAGGTGGCCGACCTAGTCCATGCCAAGCAGTGGCTCTGGCGGTCATGGAGGTAGACTGGCCAATCAACGATGCTCGCCAACGATAACGTTAGCTGCTTAAAATACTTGGTAATTAGCGTGCCTATCTGTAGGTAGTGATGACTTTTTGCTGACCCGCATAATTACAACGTCAAAAGCAGCGCAGGCCTTAGCAAGCCGGCTGATGGATGGTTGATGGCATGTAGTTGCCCAGATAGTTAGGCTAGTCGGGTGCGCCACCACATTTCATGGCAGAAAGGGAACACCCAAACAATTAGTTATCGGCTTTGTGGATTTGGAGGTAACTAATAATTAGATTTTCCAACCAATTGCTAACGTTAATTATCGCAAACAGGCGTTTGCAACACATGAACCAAGAGAAAAAAGCAGCACGAGACGGACTTTCCAAAATGCTTTGAATCTAAAACACGCCATAAATAAAACACGCGCACGAAAACACGCGCACGCTAGGAAGATGTTCACACATGCCTCCACGAAAAAGTTCACACATGCCTCCGGCGCGCCCACTCCGTCAAAAACTCCCTGCCCGCGAGCCTATACGTATCAGGCTCGACATACGAGCCGCCCTGCTGCTCAGTCTGCAGCACCAGGTTCGCACCCTCGGCGCCGCCGCTGGCATACGGCGGCCAGACGACCTCATCTCCCACACCTCCATCCCCCGCACCCGGGCCATTCGGGTCCCCGTCGTGAGCAAAATTGATCCACATGGCGCTGATGCGGTCGCTGAGGGCGCGGTACTGCGGCCAGGGGCCGAGCCAGGCGGGGTTGCGGAACACAAACGCCAGCTCGGTGGCGTGGGCGACGCCCTCGTGGGCGGGCGCGATGGCGCCGCACGCCTTGCCCATCCTGCGGCGCGTGTCGTTTTTGCCGTTGCCGTCGACAGCCTCACACGCGGGGTTCGCCTTGCCCGGGCCGAGCGCCGAGACCCAGGCGCGTGTGTTGAAGCGGTACACGAACGTGTCGGCGGGGCGGTGGGCGGCGTAGTGGCGGGCGTCGTCGAGGCGCGGGGCGTGGTAGAAGACGTCGCCGAGGATGGCCGCCGCGCGCTTGTACTGCCAGCCGCGGCGTGCGAAGCGCTCGCCGCCCGTGTCCAGCGGGATCCCCTGCGCCGGGTCGTCCAGGTACAGCTCCATGATGCGGCGGACCGCGGCGCGCGGGAAGCCGAAGCCGGACCGCGTGGCGAGGAACGCCTCGACGTCGCCGTCCGTGTCCAGCCCCGCCGGCGCGTTGTCCGTCCCCTCGTCCGAGTTGCTGCCGTACAGGTGCGGGATGTGCGCGAAGCGGCCCGCGCGGAGCAGCTCGGTTGGGAATTGGGGGAGGACGTCGCCGTCGACCGTCGGGTAGAAGCTCGGCTTGCTGCTGCTGCTGCTGCTGCTGCTGAGCAGCGGGTAGAGCGTGGCGTAGGGGACGGACCGCAGGCAGGCGAGGGTGTCGGGAGTGTCGGCACAGCCCGCGCGACGCACGAGGCTGTCGTAGATGGGCTGGTACCACTCGGTGCCGTTGTACCAGGCGGTGGCGGCGCTGCCGCTCTGCTGGATGGAGCGGTGGAACAGGCCGTCGGCGCGGCCGCCGTAGCTCATCAGCAGCTGGCCGACAGCGAACGACCCGGCGCTCTCGCCCCAGATGGTCACGCAGCCGGGGTCGCCGCCAAAGGCCGCGATGTTGTCCTGGACCCAGGCCAGCGCCAGGCGCATGTCGCGCAGCGCCAGGTTGGTGTTGCCGGACCCGTGCAGCTCGACGGAGCTCAGAAGTCCCCAGGCGCCCTTGCGGTAGTTGATGCTCGCGGCCAGCACGGGGCGGCCCATGTCGACGGACCGCTGCACGATCCAGCTGAGGTTGTAGCGGTCCAGGCCCGACGTGCCGACCTGGTAGCTGCCGCCGTGGATCCAGAACAGCACGGGCAGTTTGCTCTTAGGGGGCTCTCCGGCCGGGCGCACAATGTTGATGCTCAGGCAGTCCTCCGACATGCCCCACAGTGCGTCCTCCTCGGGCTCCATGTCGGGGCAGGCGTGGCCGTAGCGCGTGGCGGACCGCGTGCCGCCCCAGGCCTCGTCGACGTGCTGCGGCACACGGAAGCGGTTCGCGCCGGACGTGTCCTGGGCGTAGGGCATGCCGAGGAAGAAGTCCTGGTCGAAGGTGGGCGAGTAGACGCCCTCGTAGGTGCCATTTCGGAGTGTTGCCAGGGGCGGCCGTCTTTGTTCGGGTAATGACAGCGGTATTTGGTTTTGCGATGCTGATGCGAGAGCGAGAGCTGTGAATAATGGTATTAGGCTGAGCAGCAATATCGGCGCGATGCAACCGCCTCGTGTTGTTCGTCGCATGCTGGTGGGCGAGGTGGGGTTGGAAGCTGGTGGGCGAGGTGGAGTTGGAAGCTGAGGTGCAGCTGTCAAGTGTTGAGCGGGATAATTATCGGGGCGATGGACAAAGAAAAGTCACGGAAAACAGGGATGGGCCAGCAGAATCCACAACAAGGCCACTAGTTGGCGACATGGAGGTGCTACTAACGGCTAGATAAATCAGAATATTACGTGAGAAGACAAGAGAAGAAGTCCAAACCCCCAGCTCCAGCTTGACCCGCAAACCAAGCGCTATTTGCCTTGAGGCGGCACCGTCGTCATTTTTATTTCACCTGACACCCCCATGTGCCGAGTTACACCGCTTGCTGGCGTCGCTGCGTGGCCGCAGGTCACAGGAGGACCGGTTTCGGCTGCATGCATCTATCTGCATGGAGCCATGGCAGCTGGGAGCAATGTCCAACCAGGCACTGGCACCCGCCACGCCGCTAGGCCCCAGAGCGTTAGACACATGCACGTCCGCCTGGAAACCCGGTTGGATGCCCCCCAAAAATGTCTTCCCCGCACGTGGACAGCGAGCCAAGGGCCAGGCTGGGCCTGGGCCTGGGCCTGGAGAAGTAGGTTAGTCTTCGTCTCACTCTCGTCCAACCTGGATCTCAGGGTGAAGGGCACCACAAACCGACCCCTGAAATAACTAATCTACCGGGAGCGTAAAATGCGCGTGTAAGGACACGACCAGCCGGGAATGGCACAGAGGGGAGACTTTACCAGGGGCAAAGCGCGGCGAGCTGAGCTGCGAAAGTGGGCTCGGGACGACCAACCCTACGTCAGCACTAATTAACCCTACACAGACCTACCCCTTCACTGCTGTAACTGACGGGGCATGACCCCCACAGCCATGGCGCCACTTTCGGCTGCCCCGTCGCCGCGAACACCCCGACCCCGACCCCGATGACTCGGACTCGGAGAACGACACGCCCAAGCCGGGGAGGCTGGTCTGCTGGCAGCCATGGCCGAAGCCTGCGCCCGACCCGGTTGAGGATGAAAGCGGAGAGTTGCGCAGTTTCTCGCCAGTCCATCTTCAACTTCACCATCTCGCCGAGAAAGACAACCTCGACATTGCCCCCCATGCCTGCCACTACTGCGCCAAAGTCACGGTCGACCTGCGCAAACAAGTCGCCGACTCGATGCTCTTCCGCCCGGCCGGACGTTCGACCTGGCGAACCCACCGCGGCGTCGAGATTGGCCTCACTCTGGCCCAGGCAATAGCAGCCGCTGCCGACAACTGCACCTTCTTTGCCGACCTCGTCAAGTATCTGAACGTCGACAACCTCCCCGCCTCGGGCTTTTTTGGCTCTGCCGACGAGGCCATGATCAAGGTCGACTTCATCATGCAGCCCAGCGAGCCCATCGTGACCTTTACCGTCGACGACCACGTCAGCAGGTTGAATGGCTTTGCCGTGTACACACCTCCAGGTAGCTGAAAATCCCAGCAGCCCAGCTCGCTGTTGTAGAAGGAGACCACGGGCAGTTGTCCCAGGCTGACATCGCAACGCGGCAGGAAAGAAAGTCCTCCACGATTTCATCGGGCACGAGCTGCCGCCAAACCTCGCCCCTGATTCCCAGCTCAGCTTCGCGAGGATACGCGGCTGGCTCGAGGACTGCGACCGCAATCACGCCAACTGCCGCGCTGCTCGGCCCACGTTCATGCCGAAGCGCGTGATAGAAGTCTCGAGCAACGCCGACGCCGGCAGCGAGGCCAGCGCAGCACCAATCCGCGCCCGGCTGGTTCGCGACGCAAAAGTAGCCCCCTACATTGCCCTCAGCTACTGCTGGGGCGGCGACCAGCCGGCCAAAACGACCAGCGCGCTGCTCCCGGCCTACGAGCAGGACATCCCAGTCCACACGCTGCCGCAGACCATCCGCGATGCCCTCACCGTGACGCACGCCATCGGGTTCCGCTACCTGTGGGTCGACGCCATGGCCATCATCCAGGACGACGGCCCGGACAAGACTGACCAGATCGCGCAGATGCACAACATCTATCGCAGCGCGTCGCTGACCCTCGCCGCCGCCGCCGCCGCCACCAGCCGCGACGGCTTCCTGCGGCCGCGCACGCAGCACCGGCCGTCGCTGCTCGCCGCGCGCACCGACGACAGCACCTTTGGCCACGTCCTCGTCGCGCCCATGCCGCAGCACGCGCTGCCGCTTCCCCTATACACGCGCGCGTGGACGTTCCAGGAGAACCAGCTCGCGACGCGCACTCTCGCCTACGGCCCGCGCGAGCCCGTGTTCCGGTGCCTCGAGGCCGCGCACCGCGACGGCGGCAGCAGCGGCGTGCTCGCACAGGTCGACGCAGGCGGCACCAGTGAACACGATGCCGCCGTGCAGCTGCTGCGCCACCAAGACCCGGGCAGCCGCCGCTTGGGCGTGGATCCCGGTGCGGGAATCGAGCACCCCCGTGCCTGGGGACGTGTTGTCGCCGCATACACGCAACGTGCGCTGACTGTCGCGGCCGACAAGTTGCCTGCCGTCGCTGCCGTCGCCGAGGAGTACGCGCGCACCCGCCCCGTGTCCGATTACCTGGCCGGCCTGTGGCGCGAGGAGCTCCTGGTGCAGTGTCTGTGGGCTGTCGCCGTGCAGCCGCTGCCGAGCGAGGTCGTGCCGAATTCAAATCCCGGCAGCGGCGGGGCGGAAGCAGAGTACCGCGCGCCGTCGTGGTCCTGGGCAGCGCTGGACGCGCACGTGGTGCCGAGCGACGCCGATTCCAGAGTAGTGCTGACGGCGGCGCTGCTGCACGCCGAGACGACGCTGCACCGCGGCGAGGCCAGCCGCTTCGGCATGGTCGCCGCGGGCTACCTGCGGCTGCGCTGCCGCGTCGCGCGCGCCGTGTGGTCCAACACGGGGCTGCGCGGCGGCGGCGCGGGGCGTGCCGTCGCCGACTCCCCGGCCATGTGGCCCGACTCGTACGGCTTGGACGAGCGCCTGACTTTCAGTGTTGATGACCACGGCCTGTGGCCTGCGGGCGAGGAGGTCGCGTTCTGGTGCGCAGAGGTGTGCTCGTACCTCGACGGCAGGAAGACGAGCGGGGAGGGCTTGTTGCTAGTTGAGGTTACTGGGGAGGCACGGGAGCAGTTGCGGCGGTCTCTGCCGGGGGGCGAAGGAGCCGTGTTTCGCAGGACCGGCAAGGCGTATTTCAGGTCGGGCTATGACCGGCCGTACTGGTTCGACGACGAGACGTTGGGTGTCGATTGGCGCGAGCTTGCTGTCGTGTGAGGGTTGGTGAGACTGTAGCTGGCGGTAATGGCTTTCGTAACTGGGTTTATTTGCCTGGGGGTCAGTGAGGAGAGAAGGTGCACGTTGTGTCACGCCGAGTGTCGAGGAGAGCAGTTGCGCGTATCGGACCCAGGAAGTGACGTCTAGAGTCTCGCAGGAAGTGACGTCTAGAGTTTCGCAGGAAGTGACGTCTAGAGTTGCGCAGGAAGTGGGGATCCGGACTGCGCCAAAGTCCCGAAGCCACAAGACAGCGCCGAACGTGACAGCCTGTGCTGCAACGGGCCCAGCAGGATTTTTAGGGAGGAACGAAAATGAAATGTGGTAGGTAAAGGGGCGGGTAGGCCTGCTTTTGCCGTCTCCTTTCCTCGTCTTGGAAGCCACGTCTGAATGTCATGTGTCAGCTGTGTACCATCCACCGAGTTGCTTTCCAGCCTCTCGATCCCGCACTTGACCTAAAATCTGACGGAAATCCGGGAAAGCATAGCCGCCTGGCCGGTTGACTCACCTAGTTCTGAATTCGGCTGAATCTACTCGCTCGCGTGACAGGCCAGGCACCCGAAGGATTCCGATGACCAATCCATGATCATTCACACCTATATTCACAACTGTCCATCGCCTGCTCAACATCGCATTATTCACACCTATTTTCACAACTGTACATCGCCTGCTCAGCGTCACCTTAAGCCAACAGCCACCGGACAACCACCAGACAACACCCGCTAACCACAGCCCATCATGGCGTCGACCCTCACCCGCGCAATCGTGCACAACGAAGGCTGCGACTTGCACTGCTGGCACCAGGGCAACGGACCACTCATCACCTTCGTTCCTGGCGGCAACGGCCACGGGCTGCAATTTTTCCCGCTCATGGCCGCCCTATCTGACCGGTTCACGGTCGCGACGTTCGACCGCCGGCAGATGTCCGCCAGCCAGACGGCGGTCAACAAGCGGCTCAACCCGCCGCAGCAGGCGCGCGACATCCGCGCCGTCATCACGGCACTCAGCTTCAACAAGGCCATCGTCTTCGGCAGCAGCAGCGGCGGCATGTTCGCGCTGCAGTTCGCGCACGACTTCCCGGGCATGGTCGAGCACGTCATCGCGCACGAGGCGCCGACCATCACGCTGCTGCCCGACTCCTCCGAAATCTTGGAGTGGTTCCTCCATCTCATGCAAGTCTACGACGCGCGCGGGCTCGAACAGGCAGCGGCCGAGTTCCGCGAGAGACTCAACGGGTACGACGACGAGGGCGTGCCGGCCGTCGCGGCGCCGGACCCGCGCAACCGCGAGGTGTTCTGGGCGGACGAGTTCCCTGTGCTGCTCGGCTGGGTGCCGAACCTGTGGCGCTTGATCGAGAATAAGACGAGTGTGGGCGTCATGCGGGGTGCCAGGACGGGAGACGCGTTTTTTGCACGGACCGTGGACGAGCAGGCCAAGATTTTGGGGTGTCCGAAGATGCTTGTCCCGGGACACCACCAGGGGTTCGAGGTCGAGACGCACGCGTTCGTGCCGTATTTGCTGGACATGTTGGATCTCCTGGAGAAGAGGAGGGGTGCGGTGGAGGGGGAGGGGCGCGGTGGAGGGGTTGCCTAACTGATTGGGAGTTTTGTTGGGAATTGGGTGTCGTACTGAAAGAACGGTGAGAAATTACCAGGCGGTGGCGAGTTTAACCCAAACTTGGATAGAATGACAACACAGAAAGATCTGGTTCCGCGGCTGAACTTGTACTTCCAAGCGTCTGCAGCACAAGACTCTGTTTTCACCTCGCTCGTCCGCCAAAAGACGCTGCTGCTCTGCAGAAATGTATAATAAATACATGCGAATCGAGATTGTGTTCATTTTCGGGTGTGCGTAATGGGAATAGGCCATTTGACTTCGGTGATAGATCTAACTGTGGAAGTCGCTCATAGAGTGATTAGACGAGAGAAAATACGTGAATTACAGTTTCCATTCTTTGCGTAACTGACCATCAACTGCGCTTCAGCGTTAAAAATCAACCAACAGGCTGCATGGTAATTTCTCCCATGGAGCTGCACTAGCGAGTCCCCGTCGGGCAGTTGGTTGTAACAGGTTTGAAGAAGGAAGGAACAAGGCCGCCTTTCCTAGGTGTGGCACAACACATTGTCTGCCACAGCAGCCACAGCACCTCTTCCCACCTCCCATCACCTCCCGGCTGGCATTCGGCCCGTCACCAGCAGTCAGTCATACCTCAATATTCAACGACTCCACAGGAGACCCACCGCGAAATTTGCAGTCGTGCACGGACCAACCACAATCTTTATAAAAGGACCTCGCCCCTTCGCCTTTTTCACCTTTCCTTCCTTTTTTCCTCGCCCTCGGGCACACAAGGGCCTTCGGGCATCATACTAGTATAACCTCTGCACTAAGGGTGACAAATCTACACTGGGAAACTTTTTTTTTTCGCTTTGCTCATGGCCTATGTGTTGTGACATGGAGAAGAAATCTGAATAATTGTTTGCTTTTGGAGGTTTGCTGCTGCAGGCGGCTTCAAGTTCTCGTGTGGTGCGGTTATGTAGGGACTTGGCTGGCCTTGTTGTCGCGGAATCGATTCCGGTGTAGGAAATTCGAGGCTGTTCGACGGAAAAAGTAAATTGACGTGAGCAGCTGGTGGTGTTCAGTTCGACAGGGACAGTAACGCGATGGCTGCGCCTCGAGCCTTGCCGTATCCGGGCGCATGCAGCCGGCCGCAATGCAGCTGGCCGCAATGCAGCTGAGGCAGCCCGACACGAACACCAGACATTTCTCGATTGAATATTTCGACGAAGCTGCCCATTCATTCCAATTCCTCTAATCTAAATATCCCATTCACAATTTTACTGGCGAAACCAATCCTCACGAATTAGACTAATCAATCACCAAGACAAAATGCTTTCCCGTGAGGCCATCGTCACCCTCCGCGCGCCGCGTCACATTTCCCCGCCTCCACCCACCTTTTCTCCCTCAACCCTCGGGTTCCTCGCCGTGCAGTGGACCGTGTTGCAGTCGACCGGCCCTCTACAGCGCGTGACGACACGCGACGGCACCCCCCTAGCACCAGAGTCCGACGACGCTGCCGCAGCGAAGACCATGCTCAGCCTGTCGGCCTCAACCAATCTGTCCACCCCAGCCACGATGGCAGCACTCCAGCACTCGCCTTCGCCCTCAAACAGCACAGAAATCGAGATCCTCGCCTGGGGCAAAGAGGGCCAGCTCGCGGACTGGATGGTCGACGAGGGCGACGGCTGGATCGGCGACGGGTCGGGCGAGCGGCGGGCCGACTGGCGCGACAGCTACGTCGTCGCCTACGTCCACGGCAGCGGCAGCAGCAGTGCCGGCGGAGAAAAAAGCGAGAAGAATGAGGGACAAACCCCCGCCATCGAGATATGGAACAGGTTCGGGCCGGAGCGGCCGCTGCAGGACGCTACGCTGGCGCAGATCCGCGCTGCGCTAGACGCGGTGCCTGACGACGGGTTCCGCGCGCTCGCGGCGGCGTTGGTGAGACTGGATGAGGGAAGTGTTGGTGATGCTGGTGATTTGCGGGTTGAGGATGTTCATGGTCATAAGGGTGGGATTTGGGATCGGGTTACGAGACTGTTTCGCTAGATCTACACGGGAGGAGTGATGGTTTTAGGTGCTCTCTCTAGAGACGTGTTTGTGAGGTTCAAGCTAGACAGGTGATGGTCAGAGTCCAATCCCCGAGTGTTTGCCAGCGGGGACATCATGAGGTATGGAAGGCCTGGTTTGCGTTCGCCCTCAAAGCCTTTCTCGAAGAGAAATGGTAGCTTTTGGAGCTTTTCGTATACAACCCAAGTCGCTCTCTTTCTCCTAGAAATGTATTTCGAAGGATCTTCCTCGCGCCGATTTACTTGCTACCTCGTAATTATAATTATTCTCCTTCAGTATGGATACCACAGCAGCGAACATTCCAGGGTTGAGCTGTATTGTCCCGAGTGATGTCTAGGCTTGATTCCAATTTTGGCTCTTGGACGAGATGATACCTGTGGTCGTAATTTGCCGTTGGGTATTCACAAAACGTAACGTTGAGAAGCTTCATCCGAAACTAGGCGCGGGAATTGAGAACAGCGATGAAGGCCATGAAGCGGAGAGGAACCGACCGTTCTACATGACTAGCGGACCTAGACGGTAAGAGCAAAAAAGCAAGCACAGGCCGTCTGTATCTGCCTGTATTAGCCGCGTATGAACGTCCGAATCACGACCTAAATGCACCTTCCGCACCATTGCAGGCTCGCACGCATAATCCTCCGCCCAATCACCTGTCGACCCCTCAGTCCAGCAGACCCGTAAAGGGCCACAAACGAGTCCGGTGGGCAATTCCCGAGTGCTAGAATTTGATTCAACAGGAACATTATTTGTTTTTCTATTCGATTTAGTCGTCCTCCACACTGAAGTATTCGTTCATTTTTTCTCATATCCACTGACGGAGGAGGCTGGCGCTTCAACAAATCCAAGCTAACTAAATACAGCGAAATGTCGCTGTCGTAGAGTCGCGGCAAGTCTTCCTCAGGTCTAATTTGAGGAAGCGTTCCTGGAAACACCAGCTGCGATCGTCTAGCAGCGACTCGTTAGAACCCCAGTAAGTAAATGCATGCGAGACCTTGGGCAGAACAATCATCCTCGGGTCCGGTGGCACATCGAGATCTTTGGGTCCGGGGAACACGCAGCCCCTGAGAGTATTGTCGGCACCTTCCATTCCACGTGTCGCGTTAATAAGGGCGGTATATGCGATCTCGACTGATCTATCACCCGGGGTTTTAAACACCCTTCCCTCGCTTTTTTGGCCTCGTCGGCCGCCACGGTCAACACGGCGTTAGAATAGACGGCTGCCATCCGGGAAGACTCGATCTCCCAGTCGTGCGGGTCGTCCTGGACGATGCAGAGGCTGTCGATCCAGAGGGACGGGATACCGAGGAAGCGAGCTAGGACGACGGCGTCTCGGAATGTCTTCGGAAGGTCCTTGATTGGAATCCCGGCTAGTCTCGTTGCAAGAGAGGCTCTTTTTGTAGTTAGGGGATAGTGCTTCCCCCAAGCATAGCTTAGAGCTACGTACTCGCTACTCTCATCATCCTCAGTCACAGGTAGGCGTGGCTCGATGCCTTCTTTGTACCCAACGCTAATAACCTTGTCGGTAGCAGAGGCGCCAATGAACTGTCTTTGCGGCAACGCGGACGAGATCTCAGGCATTCTTGAAGCCACGAGCAGGCTCGGCCCATGCAAGCATCTGACGGCGAGTCGAATTCCACGGAGCTACACGTTCACGTGACGAGCGATCCCTTTATGAGCTGGTGGGTGACGCTTACACCCAGGGAAAGATGCACAGGAAGCCGCCTAGGGTTTGTTGGATGGTTCTTGTACTACCAACTCCAAGTTTGTTTTTTGCTAACGTTGATTTGTCAACAAAATGCATCTAAGCTCCCATAATGAACTCCGCTGTCCATTAATTAATTACTGCACGCCCAACAAACACTAGTTAAGCAGCTTGGTCATCTCCCCTCGGAGAGCGAGATTTACGTCGAGAACGCAGTGAAGGAAAGGGGAGCAAGTAAACTAGACTCAACAGCCAACCCGTGCCTGCCAGCCCCATGCCCACATACAATGCAGCCCGGTAGCCGGCCAACATGCTCTCCTTTGACGTGCCCCCGGGGTTCACCTGCACCTCGGCCGTGCTGGCAAAGCCGAGGGCTAGCGAGATACTGTAGTTGACGACGGTGTTGACTAGGCTCATAGCAACGCCCTGGTGCCTTTTCCTAACAGCGTTGCTCAAAATGACCGTCGCCGCAGGAAAGCTCATATCCATTCCCCAGGTAATCACCAAGACGCACACAAACGCCTGCGCCCAGTACGTTTGGTCGATGGGCATGGTGGCGATCAGCGTGATGCCGGTGAAGAAGGCGCTCATGGCCGCCACCATTGTCCACGCCGGTCCCATGCGGCTGAGCAGGAACCCCGTGGCGACGGCGGCCATGGCGCCCGACACGGCGACGGGACAGATCCACGCCGTGGCCAGCAGGGGCGAGGCGCCGCGCAGCTCGAGGTAGAACTGCCACAGGTAGTAGAACCAGACGCCAAAGCTGCCCCAACCGCAGGCTAGGCAGCCCAGCACGAAGCCGATGTCGGAGGACTCGAGCGCATCCAGCGGGAGCAGGGGAAACTTGGCCACTCGCAGCTCCACGTACAAGAATGCCGAGATGAGGAGCACGCCGATGATGAGTAAGATGTACACGTACGGCTCCTGCCAGCCGGCTACTGGCGCTTGGTTCTATGTCGATGAAAAAGGGTCAGAGGCAGTCAAAAGAAGAAAAAAGCGGGGAGAGGAGATAAGGACATACCCAAGCCACATTGATGAGGAGCAACGAAATGATACCAATCAAAGCACCAACAATATCAATGCGCTCCAGTGCGGACAAGATGCCACCCGCATCCCCCACATGCGACGGTCGACCCAAGGATGGCGAGGCCGTTGGGCAGCAGGATCGAGGGGCCGATGCCCTGCAGCGCTCCTGAATTCAGAAGAGCCGTCAGCAGAGCCGTCCAGTCAATCAACCACCCAACAAACCAAAAACAAAGGAATACGCACGGCAAATATCAAACATGACAACATCCGAATACACCGCCAGCCCCGTAACAATAGACCACACGCCGAACCACACATACCCCACAACGAGCATGCGCTTGTGGCCGTACAGATCCCCCAGGCGGCCCGAGACGAGGATGAAGGTGCCGACGGTCAGGCTGTAGGCGGCCAAAAACCACGCGAGGTCCTCGGGGCGCGCCACGCCGTAGCTCCGCCCAATAACGTGCGCGATGGACAGCGACTGGCCGAGGCCGGCCTGCGTGGTCAGCTGCGCACAGCACACGACGGCGACGAAGACGATCTCGCGCCCGAGCGGCAGTGAGGATGCCGTGTACGAGCTCGCGGTCGTGTGCGTGCGGTCGAGGCCGTCATTTTTAGGCTGGTGAGGTGAGGTGGCGTGGGTTAGCTGCCGGTGCACCGCGTCGCTGGTGCCGTGGGTGGCGTCCGAGGTGTCGCCGCTGCTGTGGCCCGGTGGTGTCGGGGTCGGGGCGTCTGCGAGCGACGCCGGCTTTTCTCCAAACTTGAGGTCCTTCATGGCTGACGCTGGCTTGTGAGCTGCGCTCAGCTCAGCGACCTGTCAAATTCAAAATCTAACAGCTTAAGTACAACGAAACCAGATGGAATGTTTCCAAGTGTTGATTAAATGGAATGCCGGGATTGGGCCACTCTTACAAGCAACTCGGCTTGCGCTCGTAACACCGAAAATGGTTGCAGAGGAAATTTCTTAGCTCCGTCGCAGGAGGGTCCACACGCGATGGGGTTTGTTGACGGTCCCCGCTCGTGCAAACTGGGCATTACTAACAAATTGGCCGACGCGGGCACGCAACCGATGCTCTGTCACAATGTTACCAAGGCTGACAAACAGCTGCAAGGGGCTGAGTCCTACATCCCTCCTAAGAACCCCGGGGTCAAGGTTTTTCCAGGGTAATGTCATCTACGAGAATGCCCAGTCTCTCTCTACAGTGCTAGAGTATCCATTATTATCCAGGGATTAGACTAGCTGCAGGCATTTGCGATTAGTATGGTGGCCCCCTTTCGTCCGCCCGGAGCCCGCACCAGTTGCCTTGGAGAGAAATGCCCGCGATACGGATTCGTTCGGCTGTCGTTAATCCCGACGAAATGCCTTCGTTAAGTTGACTCCAGGCTGCACAAACGAGAGGCTCAGCCTGGGGATGTAATATACGTTCCATAAAGGTGAAGATAAATGGAAACGCATGAATGATCTGGATAATACTTGCGGTCGGAGGCTTGTGTTCTTTGCTTCCGACTTAAGCTCGTTGTCGTTCGTAAGTTTGTTGTTGTTGAAAGACACCTGCCAAGACCTGAATGAACTGTCGGAGATCAGGACAATTCCTAATTGGCCAATGCGGACCGGCCCCTATAAGTGGGCCTTTGACCCTGGGGCTGCGCTAGCGTCCAACCGCACCAGCAGTAAAATTTCAAGCCCCTGCCCGCCCCACCCCCACACTTGCCTCGACAACGTCAACGACATTCAATCAACGCCATGGCCAAGTCAAAGTCCAAGAAAAGAAAGCAAAATACGGCAGCCGACGTCCCCAACAAGCACCTGAAGACGGTCAAGCTCATCACGCCGCCTCTCGAGAGCGACGTCGATGGCAATGGCGACGGCGACAATGCGTCGCTGGAGCCGACAAGCCTGCGCTCCCTCATTTCAGGCGAGGACCTCGACATCACCGTCGAAACCCTGGCCACGCTCGCCCAGTACCCCGGCTTGATCAAGTCCAAGGCCTGCAAAGATGTCCGAGTCGCCGTCTATGATTTCCGCCAGGCCTGCGCCACCGGCGTCAACACGGCCCCCGGCTCAAACCTGACGGGCCGTATTACCGGTGCGCTGACCGACGGAAAGTACACCGACGCCCGCATCCTGCTCGCCGAGATGAGAATCCGCGGCGAGGAGCCCAAGCTCGGGGCCCTGTGTCGCTGGGTACGAGATCTCGACGTCATCAGCGGCCTATCTACGCGGCTGGGCGATGCCGCCGTGGAACGCAGTGCAGAGGAGAAGGAGCTCATCACGGTTCTCGATGCTGTCCTCCGTGCCAGTGGGCCCGTCGATACGAATACCGCAGCCTCGTCGGGCCCCATCTCTCTTCAGGAAATATGGGACCTCCGGCCCTCGACACCGCCACAGCAAGTATATGCCTCCGTCCTTGACAAGACGATCTTTGCCGCGGCCCCTGACTCGCTTTCCGCCTCTCTGCGTGTCATTGAGACAACCCCGGGCCCTCTCAGGAAGCCACCAAATCACCACGCGGCGTTACTCTATACCTCGGCCCCAAACGCTGTGCCTCTCTCGTCCACCTGCCCCGAGATAACACACCGCCCGCACCCCATCGTTCCCGGTCTCAGCCTGGCCACGAACGTCCTCTCCCCCGACGAGTGCAAGGCCATCATCGCCACCGGCGAAAGCGTCAACTTCCTCCCCGATGCGCCCCTCCGCGAGGACGGCGACATCAGCGTGTTGGCGCACAACTTCTACTGGGTCGTCGACACGGCCTTTCACGACACGCTGTGGTCGCGCATCTCGCCGTTCGTGCCCGCCTCGGTCAACGGCCGGCTGGCCCGGGGCCTCAACCGGCGCTTCCGCGTGTATCGCTACGTGCCGGGCGCCGAGTACCGCTGCCACATCGACGGGGCCTGGCCGCCTTCGGGCGTCCTGCCGGACGACACGTACGTCTACGACGCCTCGCCCGCGTGCAGGAAGCAGAGCTCGCTGTTTACCTTTCTGATCTACCTCAACGACGAGTTCGAGGGCGGCGAGACCACCTTCTTTCTGCCGGCCCCGCGGGACGGCACGCTCAACGCCTATCCCGTCCGGCCCGTCATGGGCGGCATCGCCATCTTCCCGCACGGAGACACGAGAGGCGCGTTGCTGCACGAGGGTACGGGCGTTCGCAGGGGGGCCAAGTACGTCATCCGGACGGAGATTGAGTACGATGTTGACTCGACCGAAGCGTAACTAACCACCGGGTTGGCGTGGACACTGCATCGCGTTTGATGCCGAAAATGTAATCAAATCGGCGGTCTGGGAGTTATTAACGAACTGGATATACGAAATACCATGTGTGAGCTACCTTGCCTCCGATAGAGGAGAAATTCTAGTCGCTTTGCCTTTTACAATCTTTATTCATTACTCGGTCGGGATTTTATTGAAGAGCCGTTGAGCATAAGCCGTTGAGCATAATCCGTTGAGCATCTAGTACCTAGATGACCTGTTGAGTGAGAAACGCGATGCTGTTCAATCCTCAGCGGCACAGAATGAAATCAAAGGCACCGCAATTTTGCAGTACGTCCAGAATAGCCTCGCCCCCTCGGATAACCTCGGACTCGCTGACTTCGCTGCCAGGACGACGAGCCGCAAAGAATAACAGCCCCTGACCAGCGACGCAAACACGAAATGGTTGGCTCCGTGGATGCAGAATAATATCGAACTCGTTCAGCCATTCGCCCGCTCTCGCTATCTCTCGGCCCGCTTATCGCCTATTCTCGACTAATCCCTTCCCTGTTCCGCTCTGGGCCCTGCGGCTGGATTAGCCGGAGATGACGACGGGAACACCGCCGAGCCAGGCGTGCGGCCAACGGCTGCATGCAATATTTCACCCGGAATATATCACACCGCTCTACGGCCGCGGTACCTACGTGGGCAACGAACGTGCCGCGCAACCCATAGACAAAGACTAAAATTCGCGCGCTGGCCAGATTTTGGTCCCCTCTGATGAATGAATGCTGTGTGGGTAATCTATAGCAACAGAAAATCAACACAGACGTCCTCACTCGCTCACCCCACCCAGTTGCTCAATCGGCATCGCCAATTGCCCAGCCCAGACACCGCAATGGTGCACTTCACGACGTGCGTCCTCAGCGCGCTCCTCTACCTCCAAACCTTGGCCTCGCCCCTCTCCACCACAACACCGCAGCACACCCGCTCCACCTCGGCAGACAACCGCAACTGCACGGCATCAACCTTTGCCAACACAACGACCTTCACACTGATCGAATACCACGTCGAGGCCGTCACACAGGACCTGGCCGGCAACCTCGGCGGCGGCTCGACGCGGTACCGGGCGACGTTCTCTATCCAAAATACTGGGAACGGCGACACGTACCGCCTCGTGCGCATCCCTGTGACTGTCGGGGGCGGCACCTGGAGCGTGTGTCGCGCCGGCGACGGAGCGGGCGCTCTGCCGCTGCCGAAGCAGCTCGCGCGCTGCCAGTATCTGCTGGAGCACTGGCAGGGGGGTGAGATTGGGTTCCGGCTGGACTGGTATTGTGACGGTGGGGAGGGAGGGAAGCCGTGAGTTTTTGTTCTCTTTTTATCTTTTCTTTCTTATCTTTTCTTTTTTATCTTTTCTCCGAGGAGATATTCATTCTCCCCGGTGAAACCGTTTCGTAAATGTCGACGTGTTGTGGGGCTAACGACCCTTTGCTTGGCGAAGTAGGCTCCTCTTCGACGCCACCGTCATCGGCCAGCTGCCGGCCGAGACGTGTGTCGTTCTTAACGGAACCGACGGCGTCACGCAGTCGTGCACCCTCGCCGGTGGGGTCACACAGCTCCCGCTCGAGGTTGCGAATATTTCGTGGGAGACGGAGTCGGAGCCGGAGGCTACGGAATGAACGGGTCCGCGCGTGGATAAGGGTGGTATGTGGTTAAAGGGTAGACCGGCGGTCGGTTAGAACTGGTGGGAGCGGGACTGTGAGAGCTTCAATGGTTCACATGCCAGGCACATACCTCGATGGCGGGGGTTTCGTGCTCGACAGACTCGTGGGCAGTTTGCCTAGGCAATTGTGTTCGTTCCGTCTTAGAGTAGTGAAGTTCAAATGCCAACAAAAGGCGGATGGGATAGTGACGGCGGAAATTGGGGCCCACCTGCGGTCAAGTGAATTCCAACTAGCATTGGGTCGGGCAATGGACGAAGCCACCACCTTGCGCGTGCTCTTCCTCTTCTGGGTTGGAATCTCCGATCCTGCGGTCTCTGCGCCGCCGGCTACGTTCGGCTCAATTCCACATGGAGCCTCACGCAGCTGGATAAGACCCTCCGTAAAACGCCTCTCCGGCGTCCCTGATCGTCTGCAAGTTCCTAGCCAGAAAGTGTCAGGGTGCAAATGAGCCTGCCAACAGCCCAAAGAGCATCGATCCACCAGTGGGCCTGTTTCGGGCCTGCCTTGTTATATGTGCCTCTTCCCCCCCTCTTTCGCATTTGAATTTGAAACCGTCGCCGAGCATCCCAGCTTGTTGTGAGTTTGAACCATCAAATGCGATACACCCAACCCGCTGCCATGCCTTGCCGCCAACTGAACTCCCGGGTCACAAGGAAGTTGGAAGCGGAGCAGCCAAGACAGCATTGAAGCAGTCAAAACACGACTCCAAATCCTAGGAGACCTAAGGTATCTTGACCTAGACCAAGTTCTGACTGGGCCCTGCAATGCGTGCAATGGATTAGGTAGAGTCGATGCTGGGTAGTGCAATTTATGCCAAGGAAGGGGGACGAGGAACGGTATCATACCATGCCCAGACGCGAGCAATCTCTCAAAGTGTCCTTACCCCGAGTGCAGCCAAAAAGCAAACGTGAGAAACCATCCGCTGTGAATTGCCCAAAGAGATTGTCGACACCGTGCACGACTTGCAGCGGGACGGGCAGAACCACGGCGCACACCCGCCACTGATTGCCCAAGGTACCTTACCTAAGTACGTTGGCTAGGTTCGAGGAAATGCCTCTGGTGAATTTCAGTGGGCGTGTTGATTTTTACTGTACTATACAGGGAAGAGACGCAGCGCGCTGGCCGTGCTTACAGGGCGGAACAAAGGTCTGGGCATGCGGATCGTGCTTCGATCGGCGTAGACAAGTATTTAGTTCAGATTAGACAAGAGAATTAAGCTTGGGCATGCTGGTCATGTCCCTTCTGACTGGGTCAACCTTGGTTCCATTTTGCACACAACCCAGCTTACTGAGATGGTCACCGTTCCCGCTCGTGCCAGACGTTGAGTTTGTGACCGCAATTGTCTTCAAGGTCGTGAGTTTATGTGTTCGTGGTATTCCAACCACGTAGGTGTTCCAACGGGTCAAAAAGTGGTAGTACTACCGGGGGGGGGTGTAAAGTTGTTCTGATTCATCTTCTCTCTCTCTCTGGAACTAAGGTAGGTTCTGCTTGCGACCGGGGTTTTTGTGTGTGTGTGAGAGGTCCGCGCGCCGCACGTGCCTACTTGCACGTGCGTACTCGCGCGATCTCTGCTTCCTCCCTGCTAGTGTGCGGTCACCAGTATCGCTATTCCAACATTATGTGTTAATTACTTATTTCGCGTTGCTCTGAGGCATGTTATCGGCCCTCGCAAGGCGGTTAAGAGACAGAGACCTTCAACGTCGAGGCATCGAGCATTCCGAAACTCTTGCGTATTTGAAAGGGTGGCGGCGATTACCAAGGGGCGGCATTTCGTGCAGATCCGTTTTGTTAATAATGGTTGAAGTTAAAGGCCAACATGGCGCATCAGTGAACAAAATTTGTTACACCAATGGGATACGTCCGAAAAGGCATTTCTTGAATTGACGAGCCCCGTTACCTTGTCTAGGCCTCCGCATTTCGTAGGTTGTTGAAGGAATTGAGCTACGGATTATTGGTCGCCACACGATAGCGCGGAACAGTCCCGCTTGATGGCGCCATCCGGGATATGGCCCCACAAAAAGCGAGGGGAGAGGACCGCCTTATCGATAAGCGATGCGGTGCAGTGCATGCAAGAAAAAAACCCACCACTCAACCCGCCATTTTTTTCTCGGCAGCTGGGCAGCCGGGCAGCCTCTAACATCACCGAACAATTCCCTGCAGCAGCGCCGACCGTCTCTGCCACCCATCTCCGGCATGTCTTCAGGGAAAAAGCACTCCAGGGGCGAGGGCGACGAGCAAAATGCTCGCGCCTCTAAGAAAGCCAAGACCGATGCCCCTGTCAACGGAGACGTGAAGGTCAAGAAGGAGAAGAAGGAGACAAAGTACAAGAAGGCCAAGCTGGAGCGGGAGGAGAAGAGGGCTAAGAAGGAGAAGAAGGAAAAGGTGCGCAAGGGACAGTCCGAGGAGCAGACTGAGGAACAGCCCGAGGAGCAGACCGAGGAACAGCCCGAGGAACAGGCCGAGATACAGCCCGACGAACCTGAAGTCGAAGCGGACGCTCCTGCCCCCGACTCCGACACTGCCATCGCCCCCGCCGCTGCCGTCGCCGTCGAAGCCCCAGAGTCTGACGCCGAGGCTGAGGCCGAGCCCAAGCCTAGCAAGAAGGAAAAGAAAGACAAGAAGGATAAGAAGGATCAAAAGGAGAAAAAGGAGAAAAGGGAGAAAAAGGAGAAAAAGGAGAAAAAGGACAAGCCCAAAAAGTCAAAGTCTGCTAAGGACGCGATAACAAACATAGAAGTGCAGAGCGCAGAGTCCAATGGCAGCGCTGCGATCAAATCCGCACCGTCCCCCTCCCCCAGCGGGCCGGCGCAGAGAAACGGCGCTACCTATGTGTACAAGGAGTCGGCCGCTCTGTCGGCCGTGTCGGAAGCCGACGTCGAGGGCTTCCTGACCAAGCAGGAGATCAGCCTGTTCGACCCGCTCGGCGTCAAGCTGCGGCCGATCCTGCTGTTCGACCAGCTGCCGCACTCGGCGCTGCTGGCCAAGAAGCCGTTCGGCGCCTTTACGGCGCCGACGCCCATCCAGGCGGCGTCGTGGGCGTCGTCGCTGTCGGGCCGCGACGTCATCGGCATCGCCGAGACGGGCTCGGGAAAGACGCTGGCCTTCTCGCTGCCGTGCGTGGAGGCGCTCGCCTCCAAGCCCAAGCCCAAGCGCGAGCCCAAGGACAACGATCGCACCGCGCACGCCCGCGCCGTCATCGTGTCGCCGACGCGCGAGCTGGCCATGCAGACGCACGCCGCCATCGCCCCGCTGGCCGCCCTCGTCGGCCTTTCTGCCGTGTGCCTCTTTGGCGGCGCCAGCAAGGACGAGCAGCGTGCGCAGCTGCGCCGCAACACGGGCGCCGACATCGTGGTCGCCACGCCGGGCCGCCTCAAGGACTTCTTGAACGAGGGCTGCGTGTCGCTCGACGAGGCCATGTTCGCCGTGCTCGACGAGGCCGACCGCATGCTGGACAAGGGCTTCGAGGACGACATCCGCATGATCCTAGGCTGCTGCCCGGCGCGCGAGAAGCGCCAGACGCTCATGTTCACGGCGACGTGGCCCATTGACGTGCAGGGCCTGGCCGAGGGCTTCATGGTGGACCCGGTGCGCGTGACCATTGGCAACCGGCCGCGCGGCGGAGGCGACGAGGAGGGTGGCGGCGGCCGGCCGGGCAACGGCACCGTCGAGCTGCAGGCCAACAGCCGCATCGAGCAAAAGGTCGAGGTGGTCGACCCGCGCGGCAAGGAGCAGCGCCTGCTGGAGCTGCTGAAGGAGGCCACGAAGGGCAGCGCCAAGGACCACCGCGTCCTGGTGTTCTGCCTGTACAAGAAGGAGGCGATGCGCGTTGAGCAGTTCCTCGAGCGCAGGGGTATTCGTGTTGCCAGCATTCACGGCGACCTGCGGCAGGAGCAACGGACCCGCAGTCTTGAGGCGTTCAAGTCGGGCACGACTACCGTCTTGGTTGCGACGGACGTCGCGGCGCGCGGCCTGGATATCCCCGAGGTTAAGCTGGTCATCAACGTGACGGTAAGTCGCCTTCTGTGTCCTAGTCGTGGCTGTCGTATGTAGACTGACGCTCCACAGTTCCCCCTGACCATCGAAGACTACGTCCACCGCATCGGGCGAACGGGCCGGGCAGGAAAGACTGGCAAGGCCATCACGCTGTTCACGGAACACGACAAGGCTCACTCAGGATCGTAAGTTTTCCCTCTGCTGTCCCCCAATCCCCCAATCCCCAAATCCCCAAATCTCCCAATCTCCCAATCTCCCAATCCCCCAATCCCCCGATACCCCGATTTTAGGGAGTGAGGACATTACATCGGGACAAAGTGCTGACATGTGGCTTCGCCTTAGACTCGTCAACATTCTCCGCGCAGCCAAGCAAGAGGTCCCCGAGGAACTCCTCAAGTTTGGCGGCACGGTCAAGAAGAAGGGGCACGATGCCTACGGTGCGTTCTACAAGGACGTCGACTTGAGCAAGAAGGCTACCAAGATCACGTTTGACTAGGGTCGTGACTGGAACGGAGTTGTGTAATTACACGCGTGTGCGTGGCAAAAGTCTTGTTCTCTTTATTTTGGTAGGGGCTATAGCTGTCGTGTTTCATTAGTCCTATGAGGCCTTTTCCCGCCTCCCCCGCAGAGACCGGTAGCCGCTCAGCAGAAATTGCCGTTCGGACAGAAGGCTGCGTTGTCTTGTTAGCCTTGGCTCGGTAGCGCTAGATATGACAATAGACGTAGAAAAGAGACAGAAGAAACAAGTACTCACAGAACGGCCACAAAGGGCAATGCAACAAGTGCCACTCTCACCAGGTCCCCTATCGCCTGCCTGGCCCCGGGCAGCGGCGAGTCCGCACTCGACGTGATTACCCTCTTGACCAGCTGCGACGTGACGACGGCGGCGGCAACAGCTATAGGCTTGGGCATGACGCCGCCGAGCAGGTCCAGCGGGGCACCCGCGCGACGGAAGTAGCGCGAGATGAAGACGGCGCACCATGCGATGCGGCACAGCATGTTGATGGCGTTGGCGACGACCAGACCGACGGCGCCCATGTCCAGCACGCGCAGCAGCACGAAGCCGGCACCCGCGAATCCCAGCGAAAAGGCGCCCATCCACGCCGACTGGCGGTGCACCTCGGCCTCGCTGGCCACCGACGCCACGAACGCCTCGGCCACGCCGTTGGCCGCCAGCAGCGGAATGTACCACATGTACGCGGCCAGGCACGCGCCGGCCCCCGAGTCCGCCCACCGCGGCCCCGCCACCAGCGACAGCAGCAGCGGCGCCGCCGTCGGCCCCACCGTCGTCACCACCACCGACAACAGCGCGTACGCCTTGAGCAGCGCCTGCAGGTCCGTCGCCGCCGTCGCCGCCGCTTTGTTTCTGTCGACTCCCGCCGGGCTAGCCACAGACGCAGACGGCGCCGCGAGCAGCCGGCTGAAGTAGCTGCGGCTGCTCTCCTCGACGGGCTGGAACACGAGCCGCGCGGCCAGACCGCCGTAGTTGTTGGCCAGCGCGTAGACGCCCTGCGCCGTCGGCGTCGACAGCGCGCTGACCAGGAACGTGTCGCCCTGCGTCAGCAGGTGCTTGACCACGCTCTGCGCCATCATGCTCGACGCCAGCTGCAGCGTGGGCCGGTATAGGTACGCGCCCAGCGCGAAGTCGTCCCCCCCTTTACTTAAGATCCGCCGCGGCAGCAGCGAGAAGCCCTCGGCGCGCGCTAGCCCCGCCCCGCGCCACGCGTACACGCCCAGCAGCCCGACCCCGTAGCTCAGCTGGCCGAGCGCGAACGGCAGCACGCCGAGCTGCGGGCCCGCCGCGGCCGTCGCGCCCAGCGTCACCGCACACCGCAGAAACGTCGCCACCGCCTCCGCCGCCGCCCGCGTCCTGAACTGCAGCTGCGCCTGCATCACTACGAACGCCGGCTCTGACGCTAGCTCTACTACTGCCGCGCAAGCGTACACCCACAGCGCGAGCGCCAGGCGCGGCGTCGCCGCCTGCGTGCCGGCGCTGATCGAGTGCAGGTACAGCCACCCGAGCGCGCCCGCCAGCGGCACGCCCAGCGCCAGCGACACATACCCGAGGTTGACGGCGGCCTGGGCGCTCTTTCCGGTTCCCTTGCCGAGGGACGACGTGTCCTGCCGCTGGATCGCCACCCGCAGGCTCTCGCGCGCGAAGAAGAGCACGGATAGGTAGTACACCTCGAGCTGTGCCGACACGCCGAGCAGCTGCGCTGTGAGGAAGCGCAGGAGCGCTTGGTTGGCGATGAAGGTCACGGCGCGCGACGCTACTTGGAGAAGGATTAGGAGTGATGCGCCCCGCACTGCGCGCGTCGTGCTGCTGCTGCTGGTGGTTTTGGCGGCATCGTTGCTGGCAATTTGTGATGGTGCTGGGTGTGGTGTGTCTGGCGGTTTTGTCTGGCCTGCCATGGTGACGGATGGCTGCATGGATGGGCGGGATTGGATGGATGGGCGGGATTAGATGAATGTAGGTTGGACGTTGGACGTTGGAGGTTGGAGGTTGGAGGTTGGGGTAATTGAGTGAGTGCTGTAGGTTAAACCCTCGCTGCCTGCTGTAGCCTGTGCCAGGTTCAGGGCCAACCGCCACGTGGCAACCCCTGTCCCGTCAGCGGGGAACGGACTGGTTTCAGTGGTCTGGTTGAGGGGGCACAGTTGCAGCTCTAATTCAACCTCGACTCAACAATCACACGCACCCCGTCGCCGAGAAAGCGCACGGATGGACATTGTCTCGGCAGCTCCAGATCCAAAGTGCCTCAGCCCAGCCGCTAACATGGCTCTTGTCGTACGGAATGCACCTCATCACCTGCCACTATGACCTGACTGCCACTGCCACTGCCTCTGCCTCTGCCACTGCCACTACCACTGGCCGGGATGCTGACACTGAGGCTACGAATAGGCCGTGGGACAGCTGACGTCGACGGCGAGCATGGCACACAACCTGGCGCAGTGCCGCGTGCTTGTGCAGAAGGCCGTGCGCGCCGGCGCCAAGGCCCTGTTCCTGCCCGAGGCCAGCGACTACATTGCCGCGTCGGCCGACGAGACGGTGCGCCTGGTGCGCGGCGTGCATGACAGCGAGTTCGTGCTGGGCCTGCGTGACGAGGCCCGCCGCGCGCGTCTGCCCATCCACGTCGGCGTCCACGAGCCTGGGTGCCGCGACGATGGACTCCGTCGAGTCAGGAACACGGTCCTGTGGATTGATGATGGTGGTGATATTGCCCACCGATATCAGAAGATCCATCTCTTCGATGTCGATATCAAGGACGGGCCTGTTCTCAAGGAGAGCAAGTACGTGTAGGACCCAAAGATGAAAGCTAGGAACGCGTCGTTGACTGCCGCAGCTCGGTAGAGCCGGGCGCGGAGATCCTGCCGCCGTTCGACACGCCACTCGGCAAGGTGGCGTCGACCATCTGCTTCGATGTCAGTTGATCAGCCATCTCAAACCGGCCTGGTTGAGGCCCACGAGTCGCAATTTTTAACAAACCATACACGCAGCTGCGCTTCCCCGAAATCGCCATCGCGCTCCGCCGACAGGGCGCCGACATCATCACGTACCCGTCGGCGTTCACCGTGCCGACCGGCAAGGCGCACTGGGAAATCCTGCTGCGGGCGCGGGCCATCGAGACACAGTCGTACGTGATCGCGGCGGCGCAGGTCGGGCGCCACAACGAGAAGCGCGTCAGCTACGGCCACAGCATAATCGTCGACCCGTGGGGCGTCGTGCTGGCCGACCTTGGCGACAGCGGAGCCGCCGAGCCCGAGATCGCCACGGCCGAGATCGATCACGATCTGTTGCGGAAGGTGCGGACTGAGATGCCGCTGAACAGACGGACGTAAGTTATCTCCATTGTGCGAGTTGCTGGTGGCTGTCAAGGCCGTTTGATGTGTCCGCTGCTGATAACAGGTTGAGTAGAGACGTCTATCCGGAGGTGTGAGGCTTTGAGAGCCATCTGGCATTGAGAGCAGGCATGACCAGAGATGGACGGTGGTCTGCTGTTGTAGCGTTTTGCTGCCAACCAGTGCCCCGGGCTCCCTTGTCCTTCCTTGGTTGCTTCCAAGGTGACGTACTTCTGCATTGACTCCAGGCCACCAACGACTTACTCGACCCAATCATGTGTTAATTTCGTGTTCTGAAAGCTTCCAACTCGCACAGCCTGTTTTGACAAGTCAATTATTTAGCTGCTCGCAAGGGGCGTAATTAGATTGATGGAAGATTTTGAGTTAGTAGGTAAAATCAGTACCGAGGCAAAGCCTTTGGTATACTAGAGACACCCGGGAGCTGTCACCACCAGCCGGATCCTTACCCATGGAGCGAGGCTCTGAACATTGAATTAGAATGAAGGCGCGCATCGACAGTCTAGCCGAGGAGGTTTTCTGTCTCTTGCGCAACTCGTTGATTATCTCCGCCGATGAAGATCTTTCACCATCGCAGCCGAAGTTTAATGATTCCAGCCATGTTGTAATATACAACAAGCGGGCACTTCAACCCCTGCAGAGCTGAGGCTCTTATCAAGACGATTCCCTGCGGAGTGCGGACCAAACTGTCCGAAGCTGAGAGGGTAGCCACCAGCTCGGTGTGGAAACGAAACACCAGCGAACAGATGCGCCAAGCCGACATCTGCAAAAACAAACACCTGGTGTGGGTGCTCACACAGCAAAAGCCGGCGAGGCTCTGGGCCAAGCCGGTTGACAATGTTTTCGCGGTTGCGTAAGCGGGCAGACTTTTGTCCCGGGTCTTGGCCCTCATTCGCCGCAGGGCTGCGATGAAACGCGACGGCGCTGAGGCTGTGCGTGGCGTGGCACAGCAACACAGAACCCCGATTTGCTCGGCCAAAACTGCTACTTATTTCGTGTCGGTAACGATGTGCCGTGTAGCATTACCCCCGACTTTTGGCATTCAGGGGTAGTGGCAGGTTGGCTTGGAGTGCGCGATCTATTTGAACTTGGCCGCTCCTGTCGCCGTTTGTTCTCTCTTTTCCCAGTGTTCTAGTTCTTTTTGCTCGGGGCAAGAATCTCCCCTTTGCTAGCTTTTCTTTAATCCATTCGTTAGAAGACCCTCGTTTTGTTAACACGGCCAAAAACCAGCTGTGTCCTCCCTCTTTGACAACCCTTGTATCAAGACCACAATGGCCCACTTCCGGACTCTGTCTCTCTTCCCACTCAGCGTCATGTACGCCCTAGTCTCAGCCGACGGTATCGATTCCAACATCGGAAAACGTTCTCTCCTCCAGTCGCGCCAAAGCTGCGTAACCCCAGGCTGGATTCCTGTCTGCGGTGGTATGTCTCCCAACCTCCCCCCTCCACCTCTGCCATCCCCTCTAACCCCCTATCCACATCCGCAGGTGCACTACCCTGCATCCCGCCCGGTGCAATATGCTGCTCGCCCGGGGAGTACTTCGCCATACCACCCGAATCCTGTCCGTCCGGCACGCACCCCTACACGACCGCGCCGGGGGGTTCCGTCGTCGCCACCACCACAGCGCCCGCCCTGCCCGCCGTCACTGCAACCGTCGTCGACTACACGTGGTACACGTTTACCGTCACATGGTACTACTGGTACTACTTTTACACGTACACGGTCATCGACGCGGCTGCGACCACGGTGCTGGCGTCGACGCAGATTACGTCCGTTACCGCGGTGTCGGTCACGGCGAGCGACTCGGCCGCCGCCAACGCGTCCGTCGCCGCCTATACCGTGACCGCGGCGTTCCCGACGCCGACGCAGGCGGTCACGTCTGTTTCGGGGTCACTCGCGGCGACGCCGACGGGCGCGGCTAGTAATAGCACCATAGTCATCAGTCCCTGTTCAGTGGACACGGTGGGCGTAGGCAGCGCCCCGCTGTCGACTTTAGCGGTGTCGACGGCGGCGAGCACGATTGAGCAGCCGCTTAACAGTACTCTGACGGCCACGAGCGTGCCGGCGAGTGTGCCTACCCATGTGCCAACTTCGGTGGTAACGGCTGGGGCGGCCAAGATAGGGCAGCCATCGTTTGGAGGAGGGTGGGATATCCGCAGCCTTTTCTTGTTTGCCGCGGTGCTTCTCGGGGTAGCAGTGCTGGTTGAATGAGCACAATGCTTGTGGGTAAGGCCTGACACAATGCTTATGGGTAAGGCCTGAGAAAACGAGCTATTGGACGAGGCAGTGTAGCAGGTTAGGCGTGTTTATTCATAGGTATAATTACACGTCAAAAGTATTTATTTTCTCGGCCGCCATGCAATGAATTCCAATTAATATCAGGGCTGAGCAGGGCGGGAAAACTTCGTCTTCAACTAACCCATAGTTAAAAACCGGTGAATGAAGGACTCGTTGAATAATCATCACCGAATAACACCTCCCTGAAGTGCGAGCCAACTCATCCCTCCACTCATCCACATGGATAATGAAGGACTAGAAAGACTCCCCACCCATAGAAAACTCTCCCGTTTCTGCGACATAGTCCTTTCTGAGTTTTTTTTATTTCGAGCATATCTTCCTGCTCGCATGTTAGTAACCGCTATTTTGTGATACGAGAAATTGGGTCCATACAATTGTAAGTGGCTCGAACGTGTAAAATTTGAACTCGGATCCCATTTCAGTCGAAACGAGTTGTTCGTCGACATAGTGCCGAGGAAAGCGAGGCTCAAGCCAGTTGTGCAAGTCGTCCTTCTCAAGAAGAAAACTCGGGAATGTCTTCACATACATAATGGGATCAGTCGAGGACAGTTGGCTGGCAACAGTGTCTCTTCCCAGTTCCGATGCATCAACACGGCGACTTGTCTCTTCTTTTATCGGTCTGGGCTTGCTCTCCATTCTCGCTCTGTACTTCTTCACTCCCCATATCGCCCCAATTCGTTGCACGTACTGCCGCCTTCTAAAAGAAATAGAAACTTTATTAGCTGCCGCGATTTGGTGGGTGCAATACCACTTACGTTGCCACAAAACGGTGTTCTTCCTCCATGTATGTCACGACATCTTTAATCTTCATGCCGTTAATGTACTTGTCGAGAATTATGTCTTTGTGCGATTCCCAAGCCTCACTCGAGTTTCTCGGGATGTATTTGGAAAGTTGGGCACCGGGGCAAATTGTTCGCCATCCCCGGGGCCAATAGGCCCAACGCTGACCGAATCGGCCGAGAAGTCAGAAGAGGGGTATTGGAGGTCAATATCAGTAGAAGACAAATGCGATCTTGCTTCACCGTCATTTTCATCAGCTTGCTCTTTGTCATCTTCGTCCTCAATGAGTCTTGGTAGGCGAAGAGCGAGAGTTCCTCCATGTGTCGTGCTAGATGATTAAAAATGGCCTTCAAGTTTGACTTCATGGGACACAGAGGGCATTCTGCAGGATCCGCGCCATCCACTGCCATTTCGTATATCTCAAGATGGCTGGAAGATGATGTTGATGTTCGGCCCGGGTGACTGAGTTCGAGGTGGGCAGACATTTCGCCTGGAGATGCGAAGTCCAAGTGACAGTCTCGGCATACCCACTTGCGGCGGTGCAACTGAACTTCGTGGTAAATCTAGTCGTGTTTCGTAGGATACAGTTTGTCCGAGCTCGGGCAGGAGGGATGGGAGCAGGTGTATGGTCGAAGATCTCTGAAGACGTGTCGTCTAAGCTTGTCAGCTGAGGTTGGGATTCAAAAAGAATCGCGCCCTCGTCTTTGTCAAGTGGAAAACAGCGCTGGGAACTTCAAAGATTTGGGTCTCCCTTACTTCCATGTCATCCTGTCTTGCATGACCGCAGAGTTCAGCTCCAGACGGCAATAGGGACACTCGAATATTTCAGATTGCAGCGATGTTCCAGGCACGTCGGGAACCCTAGACGAATGTGATCCGCCGATAACCGTATCCGCGTAAATGGTGCGAGGCTAGTTCGCAACTGCGACCTAGGGGCCTTGTAATGAAGATGCGACTCCCAGAATATCAGATTTCGCTACGGTGTTCTTGGAGAAGAGAGAAACTGTGCCGGACTTGACAGATTCGCCATCAACGATGGGGCCCTGACTGGCAGGAAATGGTTGCGCTGGGGCTGTCGGTTCAGTAAAAATTACCTGGTCCGGATGGTCTCGCCAGTAAATTAGCTGCTCTCGTCGTAGCGCGTTCGCTAGAGAAAGCCTCTGCATGAGGCGGGCATCCGGCTCTTCGGAATCCAGGTCAGCTGCTCGCTCATTTCTGCGAATGATTTCCTCCCAAGAGGCTACTCTCTCTTCTTCTGGAGGAACCCCAATTCCAGACTGATCGCTACGCCAGCGCCGGATGCATTCCCTGACGTGCGATAGGTCCTCTGGCGAAGAGGGTGATGGGCCACCATGAAATGCCTGTTTTCCCGATTTGAGGTATCTCCGGCTCACCCCTGGACGGCGTAGGAGGATTCCGAGGGAATAGAGCGCTTGTATCTGTCCAAAGATATCGATAAGAGCCCTTGAGGTTTCGTTGCGGCTGGCTTTAGAGCTGCTAGTACTCGATTCATTGCTCCCCATACTGCAGTCGCTGTCATCGTCGCTGTCTTCAGCGCCGAGAATGCTGTCATCAACTCCTGAGATGCTGTCGCAGGCTGGTAAAGTCAGAGGCAAACAAACTTCTCGTAGCTTCAAACACGTACCGCGGGAAACCAGCTGGTTAATGAACTGAAACACATGCGCAACTTGGTCTCTCAGCTCGGGATTGAGGCGAAGTCTATCACCGAGAGACGACCGCGACCTATCAGGTATTTCGGCTCGGAAGTCATGGGCCCAAAGTCTGAGCCGTCCGGCTTCATCAAAGGCCCTCTCAATGATGTTTGTATCTACCGGGTTATAGGGAGCCTGAGGGCCTTGATTGTTATCGCTCCGGTATCTCTCGAGCAGAATAAGGAGGTTATTAAAATTGTTCATGCATTTGGTAAACAGAAGATGCAAATCCGGTGTGCCGTTGTGCGAGGGCGGCTCAAGTTCTCCCCAGAGGCCTTATCCAGATCCATCTGAACAATGTCCGGATGCATTAAATCAATATCCAGATCCATCGAAATAGTTAACCAAGCTTGTGAACAGTGGCCAATACGCCGATAGAATCTCAGAGGGGTACATAAATAAGAAGAATAGCCTGGCGGTGGAGAGAGAAACGGGCTGTCTGCCGACCGTGGCTGACGACCGTAGGCACGAGAATAAAACCCCTCAGCGGGAGGCGGTCGGGCAAGGAGGCAGGGCTATGATTGGTTGCCGTACGGAGTGCAGAAATTGAGGGGATAATCGGTGAGCATGCCCTCTTCCAGCTCCAGCAACTCCCAACTCCCAACTTCTAGGCTAGTTAGATAGCAAAGTCGGAAATAACAACGCTGCGCAGGGGCGAAATGGAGGTTGTCGGTGTCGTTCTCGGCGGAATACCGCTAGCCCTATACGCTCTCGACAGTTACAAGCGGTGCTTGAGAATGACGAAGGATGTGGTCAAATATGGAGCCACGCTAGAGACATTCAGCCTTCACATCTTCATCCAGAGAAAGCAACTAGAGCTGACGCTCCGGAATGTCGGCCTTCGCTTTGAGGAGGGCCAGCTGCCTACCCGTCGGGAACTGGACACTCACCTCGCGCGTCTCTATCCCAGTAGCCACGCCGAGTTCCTGAGCATCCTCTCGCAAATGGAAGGCATAATGGCGAAATTACTGGACAAGCTGGACGTTGACTCGCAGGGAAAGGTGAGCCAACCCCTGATCCTGAGTCTGTCTTTACGCTCAGCGCCAGCCTGGTCAGTACTAAACGGCGTATAGCCAAAATGGACAACGGACCCTCCCGAAAGAGCAGCCTGAAACTGGCGACGCGTCAAGAGGGGCCTCAGCGGGTCAGACCGAGACGAGCTAGTACAGAATTTGCATTACTGGAACACGGCCCTCAGCAAGGTTTTCGAGAAGGCCGAAATTCCCCAGGACGAGGATGGGCCTCTTGTACAGAGACTCCAGGCTCACTTCGATACCACCGCTTGTGATGCTATCAGGAGCAAGGCACGGTGCATCCACAATGCACTCGCCAAAACCTGGCAGTGCGAGTGCCCCGAACATCGTGCAAGTCTCGCGGCATCGTGGCACCTGGATGTTGAAAATGCACCTAGTCCGCTGGCTCTTAGCATCTAGACGCGCGACGGCACCTGGTTATCTCTGACGGTAGATTTTGAAGCCACTGAGGAGGATTTGGGAGTACCGAACACGACGCAGACGGCGACTCCAACGTCTTCCGCTCTATCGGATGCGTTTGGGACGCCTCCCCTTAAGGTTTCCTTTCGGGCATTTCGAAACGCCCTCAAGCCAGTAGTCAACAACGGTATGTCGGTCTTGGCACAACCAGAGACAATGAGGCTGACTGAGGAATTAGTTCCAGCCCAGACTAAACTGCTCCCACTACCACCCAGTCCCGCTATCGTCATTATAACAACAGATGAAGTACAATGCCTCTGCGAGTTCATAAGCACACAAGGCCGCGCCAGACCTTGTCTCGTTTTGTGTGCCGACCAAGATGACCCGCAGTCGATACGGCGCTTGATATTGCGTCACGCGCAAGCTGAACAGTAGCAGACATTTCTCGCCCTGAATGACATGTTGTCGTCGGCTCGTCAAATGCCTGTTCACTAGTCATAGTTTGCCAACCAGGCTCCGGCGAACCTGACCCTAGGTCTGTCAAGAAAGGAGCGGTTTGCAATTGCAGCTGCCGCCAGCTGGGCCGTGCTCTACTTGTGCGGTACGCCCTCGCTGCGGGAAGAAGACTGGTCGAGGTCGGGAGCAAGCGCGATTCAATTTGGCGTTGACAACCCACCCTCGATACGCCCTGCAGTCTCGTGCGACCTCAAAGCGGGGAAGGCCCCTGGGAAGCAGCCTGACACGAGCAGTTGGGCCGACGCTGATAGGCCCTCCAAGATCCGGAACAAAATTCTGTTTGCGCTCGGCGTGTTGCTGATGGAGCTGAGCCTGAAAAAGACAATTGACAGCATCCAGCAGGAAAGCGGTGCCGGCAGTGTGGCCGGCAAGAGCTCTAACCCGTGCAGTGTGACCAGCCCTGAAGCTTAACCAGGCCCGGACATTTACGAGCTCGCCGAGCGCCAGACAGACCGGGTGTACATTGACGCCGGCCACTCCTACGGCTATGCTGTCCAACGGTGCCTTCGGTGCGAATTCCCGGGCCGCGACTCGATGAAGAGCTTTGACTTTGCCCAGTTCCGACGCCAATTCTTCAACACCGTTGTCGCTCCGGTGCACGCTGCCTACATTGTGCAGCGGCTGTAAGGAACAATGGTGGCAGTAGGATGGGAGCGGCTGGGTCGACGCTTGGGGACAGTTGTGGTCGGAGCCGACGGCGGCAAGTTGGCGGCCGAATGGGAATGGATTTGATGGTATCTCGAGGTCGCAAATGCAACATCCACTGCAGTCTTGACCATCACCAGCAGAGGCGGCCTTGTTTGGACAAGAGCCAGTCAGTGCAGCACCAAAGGCAAAAAGTGTGTGTAGGCAGTCTGGCAGTTAGCGTTGGAGAATCGGGCTTTGTTCCCTTTCCTGTCAGCGAGAGGGGGCGGAATATGTGATGGAAACCGAAAAGGGTCTAGCTGCCCATCCCGCCGGGTCGAATCGACCTGAACCTGACCAAAACGGGGCCCGTCGGGCGTCTTGCTGCAACGCAGCGACCACTTAAAATCCAGGCGGCAGATGCAAGGAATCGATAGCAAGGAAGAACTCGTAAGCCACAAGCAGCGACGGCCAGTGAAATTTTTGCATGTGGGTGCCGGGCAATGTAAGAGCGATCCAGCCCGTTCTTTGTGAACTGCCCGCAGGCAGGTGGGTCTGGCTCTCTGCCTTAGCTCTGGCCGTGAAGTGCGCCTTCCAACTTTGCTCGATGCCTGCCCACCCACAATGTCCTGGGTGGCCGAATCAGATGTCGCCAACCCAGTCTTCTCGTCTCAGTCCTCCAGGTTTGTCCCATCCACATGCGGATTCTCTCCCACCTCCTCGACAGTGCCCAGTGTCGAGACACGGCTGTCTCTCGGCTCAATTGCCAGACTACAGTCTCAGGCGACGCAGTGCCACCTGGAAAGGGAGCGAAGTGCAGCAATTGAACCTTGGCGAATATAACCAAATTGTACTACTAGTACGGAGTAGCTGCGGTGGCACACCCAAGCAACCCCAAAGTAAGTGGCCCAGCGTCAGCGTGCAAATCCGGGTGGTTCCGGGAGTCGATCGCCTGCCATCTCGGGACATGTCAGCTCACCACAGACGACAGCAGCCAAGCCAGATCTCTCTCTCTTCCACCTATCAAAGGACGTCGGGTTCCTAGCAAAGCGCTGGAAACGAAAGCTCTCTGGCTGGTGGCGGGATCCAAGATGCACAGCGATCTTTTCGTGATTGCACGCAGCAGACTGCATGCCTTGGCTGTGACGTGATTGGCTGGGGCAGCTGCACGCTGCCCGCGACCGCCATTCGCATGCCTCGCTCACCGAGCAACAACGCAGCCTCTCGGGGGTTTGGACGAGTCGCAAGAAGCAAACATTTTTATGGCGGCTTTTCGGGCCTAGCTTGCTGCATGTTTCACTCTCCCGCACCTGATCGGCCCGCACCCTGTTCCCCTTTGGCTGCCCGGCCTGGGACACGGTGTCGAGCGAATTGTGCCGAAAAGCGAGGCGCCAAGGCTAACAGTACAAAGGCTTGGCAAGCAGCACTAGCGACTTAACCGTCTCTCGAGAGTCGGCACAGACAGAAAACTAACCACCTCACCCCCCATCAACCCTCATCCCATCCTCTGCTCCTCCGTTCGTAGTAGGGCCGTGCCACTGTTACTCAGCTTTGATACTTGGATGGTGCTGCGCTGTTATTAGACAGCCTCTGCACCAGGGTATCTGGCTTTGGCAGGAACGTTTGGTATTACGGATCCGTGGCAATGGACGCACACCACTACCACGATGGGGCCCGGCGGGACAGCGCGAGTAGCGCCTGTCACCATGTCACTACGGTGCGTGCCAACTGCCTCTAAACCTGCAACCTACACTTTAACACACCACCTCACGTTTCCCTACAAATTCTAATGGCCGTGGCTAATTTGTTTCTTGACTGATTTGTCCCCAGCCTGAAAACTTGGAGCAGCTGCAGCGCATGTGCACCGGGACCTCGAGCGTGAATTACCCCATCCTAGCCGACCCCAACTCGGCCCACGCCCGCGGCATTGACCAAACAGGGCGCTACGTGTACGGCGCTCCCCTTATCGCTACGTCATTGCCTCTGTTTTGCAGCGGCATTGCGGCCGAGGAGGCCTTTGGTCCCTTGTCGCCCATGGAATCCGACACTTTTGACACGGCGACTCTGTCCTACGTCGAGAGCCCAGCCGGCTTCGGGTACCACACCGTCGGCGGGGCTGGCCTTGCCCCTCTGGATGTATCCATGCAGGACGCACACGATGCACACAACGCACACATTGTCACGTGGGCGGGACCAGTCCCCTCCGTCTCCTCAGGGTCAGATAATACCGACAGCCGCCTTTGCCAACAGCTTCCGCCACGTGATGTTGCTACCCAATCATCTTGGCTGGCGTCTCCTCCGCTTAGCGAAGTCCATCTCCTGTCACCAACCTTCACCGTCTTCCATTCCTCCCCACCCCCGCTGCCTGAGCCAGAGCACATCCTGCCTGAACCAGAACATACCATGCCCAAGACCAAGACAGCTGCCCAGTCGCCCTCCGAGATCTACATCACTGTCGTTACTACCCAGCGCCGCGGCAACGAAGGAAGAGACAAGCCGTCGTCCCGAAAGCCCGGCTCTGAAGCGAAGCCGCCTAGGCGCGCCACCAAAGTTGCTGGTGTGAACAAGCGTGGCCAGAGCGACAAGAAGAAAACGAGCAAGGGCAAGCCTCGGGCGGCTATGAGCACCGCCCGTCCGGCAACCACAATGCACGACGAGATCGACGCCGTCCACAGCAACAGGCCTTCTCCTAGTCCGGGAGTCTACCAGACGCTTGGAGAATACGAGCATCGCGTTCGCGAATGGCACAACCAGATCGGCAAGAAGTACCGGAACAAGCTGAACGAGCAGTTCGACTGCCTGCAGGCCATCCTATGCATCAACGCGTCGGCCACCAGGTCTCAGCAGCAACAGGTGACTGATCCGCCCACACTCCCGGGCGACGGTGGACATGCTAACGCGACGGGACAGACTGCCCCGTGCGGAGAAAGCCCGGACGGCCACGTCAGGGTCGGCCGCCGTACCATCAACAAGGCCAAAGTGCTAGCCATGGCGCGCGAGCGGATCGAGGTTCTAACGGAGGAAAAGGCCGCCCTGGCGGCTCAGGTTGAGGAATTTAAGAGACAGCAGACCTAAAAGTTAGTGGATTGGTCAATTCCAGGCCGGGAGTGGATTTGTGGCTGTGGATTTGTGGTTGTGGATTTCCTTGGTGACAAAATTGGGTTCGTGTACCCGAGTGCGACAGCTGTGTAAGTGGCCGAGTGTGGTTCTCGGGCCATGGCCAAGTGCCAACCGAGTTAATTTTGGTGGGTTTCACCAATCGTTTTGCTTTTGGATAGAGCTGGCGGATAGTATGCAAGTTGTGTCAGCCATTTAATTAGTCGGGAACTTGAGTGGATTTATCTATCCCTCAACGTCGACGCCTTGGGCATCAAGGCTAGTTAATTATCTTAATACTTTAACACGTTACCACGATGAGTGAACCGGGGGCTTTGGCTTGTGCACTTTCTTTCTCTCCTTGTTCCAATTTGTATCTCCATCTTTCTTCGGGAAAAGCACGTCCATAGAAATAAGCAAAAGCCGCACCAAAAAAGTCACGTAAACAGCAGGAGTCGCGCACCCTAGGCAAGCCGCATCCGAAACGCAAGTAGTGCCGGCAGCTGCGTGTAGTTGGCGCTGGACTCGAGCCTGGCCTCGTGGTCGGCGGCCGTAAACGCCGGCTCTTCCAAGGCGTCCAGGACGAGCCCGGCGCGGAAAAACACGCCCAGCAGCTCGTGGATCGGGCGGTGGAAATACAGCTTCAGGCAACATGTCAGTAACCGGGGTGGTAATCCCTCGAGGGGGAAGATTCGGAAACGAAAGAGCTCTGACCTGTCGCTCCGGCTGGTCAACGAAGGCTACGCCCTTGGCCGGCGGGACGAACAGGTAGTCCCTGACCACCTTGGCGCGCACGACGCCGAGCTCGCCCGTCGCCGGGTCGAAGCGCAGGTCGATGTTGCGCGACGCGCCAGACGTGAAGAACACGGGGTGCAGCACCGTCGCGACGAAGCTGTTAGCAGATAGTCAGTAACGCCTCGGAAAATAACCCAAAAATCTCATGAACTCTGAATTCACCGTCGGAGAGTGAAAGGGGGGGGGAGGGGGGAGGGGGGGGAAGCTTGAAAGCCACTGCAACGAGTCAACTGGGTGCAACGAGTCAACGGGTGCAACGAGTCAACTGGGTGCAATGAGTCAACTGGGAAACGCACACGCCGTCCGGGCCCAGCAGCCGCGTCAGGGCCACGGCAAGCGGCTCCAGCGTCGCCACGTCCATGAGCGCCATATTCGCGAGCACGACATCGAACCGCTGGCTTCCCTCGTCGTCCACCAGCTTATCAAAATCCGCAGGCTCCGTAACATCCAGCCTGCGCAGGACAATCTTATCACCATCCACACCGAGACCACAGTCCTCAGCAACCCGCCGCGCCGCAAGCTTGAGCATCGCCCCGCTGCCGTCCGTCGCCACGACCGCCGCGGCGCCCCGCGCCGCCAGCCACCGCGCGCACAGCCCGTTGCCCGTCGCCAGGTCCAGCGCGCGGCATCCCGGGCGTGCGAGGTGCGTGCCTAGCAGGCGGGTGAGGCATGGTTCCTGCAGGCGCGTCCAGTACTTGTTGCCGCCCGCGCCGATGGTCGCGTCCCAGTAGGAGGCGATGGCGGTCCATGCTGCGAGGGCGGGTTGACGGAGGTCGGCTTCGTTGGAGCTGGGGATGGGATCGGGTGAGGGCATGTTTGCGGGCGTGGGTGTGCGTGTTGGAGAGTTCGGCTGTGTTTCTGTGGTCTGGTCTGGGCGCAAGCCGTTTTGCAGGCAGGGGGTGGTGTTGATGGGACTAGGGATTGCTAAATAGAGGTCATGATACGATCGTGAATGCAGCACGGCCGAATTGATTCCCGCTTCTGAAATGCTGACAGACTGGTGTACTTTTTTGTTAGTTGCCGGCGTGACTCAGATCGGCGATGCAGCTGCATGAAGCGTGCAGACAATGCAACGACGGCGAGAGAGCAGTGATTGCAATACAAGGACTCGGCGTGCAACGGGCCGAGCGTGCAGCCAAATTACGTACTGAACTCGGCCGTTCATTATCTAGTTTAAACTTTACATGCTTATCTGAATTGAGTAATTAACAAGTTTGCTCCCCTAATTAGCTTTGATGCAACGCAAAGAAACACGGCGCTCATGGTCGCGATTTCAGACAAAAAAAGAGCAGCTACGGATAATCATCACACCCAAACACTTGCCAGCCACAACAGTCTTCCCCTCGACTCCCTGCATCACTCAGGAGGGACATAGGTCAGGGTATACCACGCCTCGGCGCACGCCATGACCCGTCTAATCCAGTACCCAGCCTTCGGGGCACCCACCACACCCGGCACCGGCCGCCAGAACTGCACCCACCCGACACCGTCCTCCATTCTCTCCGCCTCGGCCAAGTCGCCCTCCAAAAACGCATCAAACACGTAGCTCTCCAGCACAAACACGCACTCGCGCAGCTGCCCCGCAAACGCCCTGACCAGCGCGTCCACCGGGCCCAGAAACGCCCTCGCCAGCTCGCCCTCGCCTGCCAGCTCAGCAAACTCGCCCTCCCCAGCCCGCCACGCGCGCGCCGTGCCCGGCGCGGCGAGCGCAAGAACCTGCAAGCTGCGCAGACCAGGGAACGCCTTCGGCACGGCGGCCAGCAGCGCGACAAACGCCGGGCGGCCGGGCGCCAGACCCAAATGCGCGGCGGCGAACTGCGCGACGCTCTCGTGGGTGAGGGCGAGGACGAGCCTCGCGAGCTGCGCGGCGCGTGGCGGCGCAAGCAGCGCGGGCGTGCGGAGCAGCAGCGCGCCGGACGACACGTGGAACGTGTTGGCGGGGCCGTACAGCACGGCAGCGGCCTCGCGGTACGTGGCGCGGCAGGCGAGCAGCAGGCCGAGCGTCTCGGGGCCGATGGCGCAGGGGGTGTGCGGGTGGGCCGCGCAGTTTGTGGGAGGCGGCCCGCCGGCGCCGCAGCGGTCGTGCGCGGCCTGCGCGGCGGGATCCCGGTGGCACGTGTGCGCGCGCCAGCGCCAGCGGCGGTGCGCGAAGAAGAAGGCGCCGGCGGTGGTGTGCGGGTGCCCCGGCGCCGTCGAGGCGGCTGTGTAGCGCATGTCGAGGTGGATGGTGCGGTGGCCCAGCACGAGCAGGTAGATCTCGTGGCGCAGCTCGTACGGCAGGGTGAAAAAGGGCGGGATGGGCTGCGGCGGGCGCCGTGTTGTGACGGGGTCGGGCGTCACGGGGCGGCGCGTGGCCGGTAGGGACGGGAGAATGTCGAGCGGGTGGGCGGCCGCGCTGGGTTCGGCGTCGTCGTCATCTTGCTTGGGCGGTGTGCGAGGCTTTTTCTTGACGATCCGGCGGAAGACTTCCATGGTGCTGTTGTTGTTGGGGATGTGTTGCGTGGGAATGCGATGAAGTCGAAAGAGGGGAAGTCGACGGGAAGATACCCCGCTCTCAAGCATCAACCGCGGCAACCAGTTAATGCTGTCGAGAGGCTCAGCTTGGCAAAGGGTACATGTTTGGGCATCACAATAAATGGGACAGTCCTCTCATATTATGTACACCAGGGTCACTATGTGGGAGAGCCGAGGCCGGTCCAAGTTAATTGATTGCCTCAGTCCAGGACCCCAACGCTCCTCTTGTTGTATTTGATAGTGGCAGCCTGATGGATAAATCTTGTCTCTGTGTATTGTCTCGTTCCAGCTTCTTGTTTGCCCGTCCATGTGGCCGGTTCATTGGATCTACTCGCACCCTAGACTTGCCCGAGACTTCAATTCGCTGTCAATACCAGGACTGAACGCGTGAAATGTACTCCACCTGCTTGTTTCAAACTTGACGAGTGTAAAGCTTGCCCGTAAAAAGTAATCAAATTATTTGTATAAGTAAATGATGTTTCTTGGTCGTGTATTCAACTCGAGAGCTAGGAAATACTGGAAGATACGAGACACAATGTCAACTCATATTCTGGTCCGAGCTGATGTCACCGCCCCGACCACGATCTCTGAAGCACTAAATGCGGGGAAACGGAATTGGCATTCGCTGGCGCCGTGCAACTAGTACCCTCAATTATGTCAATTATGTGAGTCACTCACCGGACAAGTCCTTGACATCAAAACCCTCAATCACCCCCACGCTTCACTCAGCAACAACACTTTCACTCAGCAACAACACTTTCACCCAGCAACAACGCTTGACAGGTCGATAGACGTCACTCACTCCCAACCCGTTCTCAATTCGACCCAGCAACACAATTACCGCGCATCCCGCACACTCTCCCCCACGATGGCCCCCGACAACATTGCCGAGATATCCTCCCTCCTAATCCAAGAACTGGCCCAAACCGAGTTCCAGTGCGACGAGCTGCACCCACGCAGCGGCGGGCACGCAAACTACGTCTTCCGCGGCCGGCTGACCACGCCCCTGGCAGACGGGACCAGCGAGGTGCTGATCAAGCACGGCGAGGGCTACCAATCGACGAACCGCGCCTTTGAATTGCCGACCTCGCGCTGCGTAACCCTCCCCTCATCCATCTCACCACTCACCACTCACCACTCACCACTCCTCACTCACCACTCACCACTCACCACTCCCCACTCCCCACTCACCACTCACCACTCCTCACTCACCACTCACCACTCACCACTCCCCACTCACCACTCACCACTCCTCACTCACCACTCACCACTCACCACTCCCCACTCACCACTCACCACTCCCCACTCCCCACTCACCACTCACCACTCCCCACTCCCCACTCACCACTCACCACTCACCACTCACCACTCACCACTCCCCACTCACCACTCACCACTCACCACTCCCCACTCCCCACTCCCTACTCATCACTCACCACTCACCACTCACCACTCACCACTCCCACTCCCCACTCACCACCCCCACTCACCACTCACCACACACCGAGACCCCCTGCTAACCCACGGGAAACAAACAAACAGACCATCGAGTCCGCCTGCCTCTCCGCCCTGCAGGACCTGCCCCCGGCGCAACCCAACCCCTGGTGCGTTCTGCGCACGCCGCGCGTGCACCACTTCAACGCGGCGACCAACACGCAGATCCAAGAGTACCTCCCACACGCAATCGACCTGAAGAACTACGCGCTCAAGCGCTACGGCGCGCCCACACCGGCCGCGCAGCGAGCACAATGCCTCGGCATCGGCTCGGGCCTCGGCCGCTGGCTGCGCGGCTTCCACGACTGGGCGGCGCGGGAGCAGGCGGCGGCGCTGCGCGAATCCGCCGCGCGGAACCGCGCCCTGCAGCGGCTGAAGCACTTCTCGTACTACGAGCACCTCGTCACGCGCCTCGTCGACGCGGTGCCCGACGTGCTCGGCGCGCACGGGGACGTGCTGCGCCAGATTGCGCGCATGGCCGAGCAGGAGCTGGAGGACGACGCGGCGCTGCAGGTTGTGCACGGTGATTTCTGGACCGGGAAGTAAGTCTCCGTCTCGGGTCTAGCCGGGTTTCTGGGGATTGCTCGAGCATTGCTGCTAACACGTGCGCCGCAGCGTGCTTCTGCCCGACGCCGAGATCGGCGAGCCGACGGCGATGACCATGTTCATCGTCGACTGGGAGGTGGTGTCGCTGGGCATCCGCGAGCGCGACATTGGCCAGATGCTGGCCGAGCTGTACCAGCTGAAGCTGTACGAGGGCATTGACGCCGGGCTGTGGCTGATGGAGGGCTTTTTGGGCGGCTACGGCAGCCTGAGCCGGGAGGCGGCGTTCCGGACGGCGATCCATGTCGGCTGCCACCTCGTCGTCATTGGCGGGTCCGTCTACGGCTGGGGATCCGCCGAGAACAACAAGCGTGTTGTTGCTTTTGGGAGGGACGTCATGCTCAGCGCTTGGAGGAAGGATGAGGCGTGGTTCGAAGGCCGCCCGCTGCATCAGTTGTTCCGGAGCTAGACAGAACAACGCTCTGGGACACTGTTATATCTCTAACTTGGCGCCTTGAGTGAGAGACCAAGATCACAGTACTAGGTGCTGTAAGTAGGCAACACGGCCCAATTGAGGACGTGGCTTGCCCTGGAGTTAAGAGAGTATCTTGGAGTTCTCCAAGGATTTGCCTCGCCATTTTGCTTCGTCATATTGTGTCGCCATATCTCTCTACATCAAGCCCCTTTGTCAGAAAACGGTTCAACAACGATGGAAAGAGGCATTGACTAGAACACCAGCAGAAATGAGAAACGAGCCGGGAAGGCACCCAAACCAGGAAACCGAGTGGGGACCACACGCGGCCAGACTTGGATCTAGAGGCTAGGCTTGAATGGCAGGTAACTGACAAAGCTGAGTGTAGTTAGAGGAGAGCCGTCGTCTGCGAAAGACACAAAAAGCTACACCATGTAGGTAGCTAATTATATCAGGTGCTGGCAGCCTCAGCGGCGCAGGCGTCGCGGCACGTAAGCCGTATCGTGTTTCGTATTAGGTTTAACAAATCACAGCCCGGCATGTTGGATTTAGGATGCCGCGCGCCGCAGGATATAGGGAGCCCGTATTTAGTTGTTTTTGGGGGCTCGTCGGACGTGCCGGGGACGTGCATGGTCCTGTGTCAGAATTGCTTGCCGGCCCCCGCCTCGTGCATATGGATGCGGTATTGACACGAACGTCCCAGCCTGCCCGACCCGGCAGGCTGGTTCGACCGTCGGTCAGACCGAACGGCGTCCGATATTAACGAAATCAATGGCACTGGACGGGCCGTTGACTGCCGTGTCGTGCAGAATTACACGCATATGCGGGCAGATGGAGTGGTAAAAAACACAGCGCTACCGAAACAGGGCCGAATGCGGAAATCACTGTTGGGGTTAGGGGCGTGGGACGCGATGCGGGTAGGGGCGGCGCAGAGAAGAGCGAGCCTGTGGCTTGTAATTCGGTACCGGCCGCGTCAGGGGCGGCCGCAAAACCGAAAACGTCCCTTGTGACGTGGTGAGGAGGAGTGGGCAGGACGAGGCGGAGGTCGGCTCACCCGGGTGCGGGGGCTATATCACGGAAATCCTGAGTGATATTGGATTGGTCAATGCCTGTGAAAACCGGGGTCTTGGAGGTCAAGTGCCGGTGGCAGGCAAGGGGAGAACTGGGAGAGAAGGGCAGTGATCTGCAAACGATAGGGAGCGGCTGCTTTTACGCGCCCAGACGTGTGCTGTGCCGTGCAGTGCAGTGCAGTGCAGTGCAGTGCAGTGCAGTGCTGTGCAGTGCAAGTGATGGCTGGTGTCAGTGCAAGTGATGGCTGGTGTGCAGTGCAAGTGATAGCTGGCGTGCAGTGCAAGTGATGGCTGGCGTGCAGTGCAAGTGATGGCTGGGTACAGTGCAAGTGATAGCTGGTGCGCAGTGCAAGTATGGCTGGTGTGCAGTGCACGCATTGTCGCAGTGGCATTGTGGCCTGCATCACATCACCATGACTGGCGACGGCCGGGCGTGGACCTGGATTTGGCCATCTAATCACTACTGCACGGCAGCTTCGGGGGCTGCTAGCTGTGCTCAGCACACGCTGACGGCCAGTCACCGACGGGGAGACGAGAGACGATGCAGCAATCACGTCCCGACTGCGGGGGGCCGCGCCATTGGCCAGCGCCGGCCCCCGGCCCCCTAGCGGCCTGCAAATCATTTCCCAGCGTTGGGCTCTGCCCCTGGCCCACGCTATCCGGGCCCGCTGCGGGTCTCATCTGAATGCGGGCGTCATCTCGGCCCCCTTTCTCGCTCGCAGCTGGTCTTCAATCCGACGTGCTTATTTGCTCGCCGCCGTGCCAGCTGACCATGATGGCAACCTACCTCGCATTGTTTGAGCGAGCGGGGAACTAGGGCCGCAGACAAACCGTTCGTTTGCCCTGGGATGGGTTCGTGTCTGCTCGTGGCCCGCTCGTTTGCCCTGGGATAGATTCGTGTCTACTCGTGGCCCACTCGTCTTGCTATAAGTCGGCCCTCCCCGGCCAGTCCGGTTCATGACACCTCGGACCCTCCATCCTCAGTCGCCTCAGATACCCAAGCCCAAGGCAATACCAGAGGCACATTGGACCACTGGCACACCACCAATAAGACGCAACCCATCACCACCAGCCACCGCCACGATGCACAACCCATCACTCCGCACCCTCCTCCAGCAGGCCGTCCTCGGCTATGCGACCCTGTCCCTCGCCCTAGCCGGCACGCCAGACACGGCCGCCTCCGCAGACGAGCTCGTGGCGCGGGAGCTCACGCTGGCTGACGGCACCACGGCAACCATCCTCGAGCACCCGAGCCTGCTCTACGCGCGCGACGTCCCAGCCCCCCCGAAACAGCAGCAGCGCAACCAGCTCGCCGCGCGGGCGACATACAGCCCGTGCGGGGGAGGCTTCTGGGACGACCTGTGCGGCGAGGGGCAGCCGCGCGAGAGCTTCGGCGCCGGCACGCCGGTGGCGGCCGACTGCCGGGCCATCGCGGACGCGTACCCCAGCTGCGGGTACTGGACGGTGAAATCGGCGGAACTGGTCGCCGCCGGCGCCACCCCGGGCACTAACGGCGCCACGGGCGCCGGCGGCTGGGTCACGCTCGCCCAACACGGCACCTGCCGCTTCCGCGTCCAGCTGCAGACGCGCCCGCTGCAGACGCTGTACTTTGGGACCAACGACTTGCGGTTCTACACGTACAGCTGGGTTGGCGACGAGCAGAACGGGCATATTCAGGCTGTTGGCGGTGTTATTTGTAATAACAACACCGCAGGCGCGTTTCTCGGCGTCGGGTGGGGGTTGTACCACACGTGAGCTGCGGTCGGCTGGAGCCTCTTTGTGGGGGGCTTTTGGTACTGACCATTCACGATGGAATCTCTTTTGTCTGGTGCTGGTTAATCTTCTTGGACCTGGAGAGCTGCACTTACCGCCGCCGGCTCGGCCCCACCGTTCCCATCCATTTCTCATGACCTTAGACGACTTATTACTATACCTTTTTCAATTTTGTTAATTTTTCGGAGAAGTGATTTAGCCGGGCATTTCCTCTTCATGGATTGTAACTGAGTCCAAAAACAAAAGCATGCAAGTTCCCGTGCCCTATGTGATTCGCTGTCTTGGATACTGTTTTGCACTCCGCTGTCTTAAATACTGTTCTGCACTCCACTATATACACGGTTGTTGGCGCCGTGGTTCGTTCAGGAAGGATACCGTTCCGTAAGGGCCTATTAGACGGAACACCGTACCATGATCACCCGAGCCGGGGATTCAACAATTACGTTCGAGACTAGAACAACACCCATACACCGTGAACGGTGGGCCAGGGGGTACGAGACCCGTCCGACGCCCCGGACGTCTTTCACGTTCATCGTGCCCTGGATGTAAGCGTCACCCACTGCTCATAATGTTCCTGCATATGATTTTCCTGCATAAGCAAAAAAATCCTTGGCGGACAGATGGGCGATTGATACAGTGTATTCGTAAAGTCTTAGGAAAGGGCTGCAAAGCCCTGTAATCTCTGCAAGAGCATCGTAATGGCCAGATAAGCCGTCGAGGGTATCGACGACGACTGCCAGCTCGTCCAAAGTAATCGGATTTTCCGCGACCGAGACAACAGCCAGTATCTTTCTGTAGAGCTTGTTATTGTTGGATTCGCGGAGCCGGTTCATCCCTGTTCTGTATAGTCCCATGATCGTATCGGGTAACCTCGCCAACTTCGTTTGAACCTCCGATCTCGGGGTATTCTCGAATTCCTGGAAGACTAAGGATATCCAGAGGAAGTTTCCATGTCCGTTTTCGGACAAGCAACGCTTGACGACGCCCCAAGTAGCATTATCGTCCTTGTCGCGCCACGCCAAGACCTCCACCTTGATATGGATGTATTCGGTGATAGCTTCCGAGACGGGCCACTCGGCTGATTCAAGGGACAGCCTAGCTTTCTGCTTCACGGCGTCCTAAATTTCTACGTCACGGCGTCGAGACGCTCCTTGATGCTCCACGTATTACGACTGGAAACGATCCATTTGACACTGGGGCAAGTCGATGACGTCTGGACAACAAGGTTGACGAGTAGGGTCAAATCCACACACTCGTCGAGAGCTTCGATGATTAGACACATGCGAGGTAGGCTCGGATCTGTCACAGTTGCCGCACGTGAACGATCAACGATGGCTATTGGTCCACAAGAAGGAAGATTAGGCCACGCATGACAGCCACGCGTGACAACCACGGCATTATTCAAGCGCTAGTCGGTGGCTTAGCAGAAGAAGAACGAGAGAAGGCCGAGGTCAGGAGTGGATTTGAGCTTGTTGATCATTTCGCATGAAAGCATGGTCTTTCCCATGCCGGGAGCACCATTGATCTAGAGCAGCGGGCTCCGTTCATCGCTGCACCAATGTCGGAAGTCTGGGTAGTCGAGGACCCAGTGACATGAGCCTACTAACAAGCCGCCACCGATGTGCTCGATACGCTCCTTCTCGTCCCTAGGATGATAGCCTCTAGCTGAGGCGGATTGTAGAGCGTTGCCGTATCTGCCGCCCTGCGAGTTGACGTCCGCGTCCTGAGTTAGGAGTAGCTTGACGATCTCTTGATGGCCTCCAGCTGAGACGGCTTATAGAGCGTTGCCGTAAAAGCCGCCCTGCGCGTTGAAGTCCGCCCCCTTTGCAATAAAATCTTGCGCCGCTGGAGCGAGCCCCGTTAGGCAGGCATAGTAGAGCTGAGACTTTCCTAGTGGGCCGGGGTCTTCCTGCTGTGCCTTTCTAGCTTGATATAACCGCCTCCATTGCTAGAAAGTTGTTTCGTCTTCTAAGAACCTAATTATTACTCGAGTTATCTCTTCCGAACCCTCAACCGAAGCTATATGGCTTGTCCATGCTTCTGCCGCAAACTGTGCCAAAGGGAAATCCCGTTTGATTCCCTCACAACTGCTCTTGATATCCGTTAGATATATTAAGCATATCCGTATAATGGAAATATTAGCGCTTATAATATTGAGTTGATCATTATTGAGCAGGTACTCTTTAACCGAAAAATGGGCAAGATGTAGTTCCTTATCGGTGGCCTGAACGACTACCACTAGGCCGGGACAGTAGTCCAAGACGTCAGTATCGCAGAACAGTCGACGCTTTTTATTAAACCCTCGCGACCCGTTTCTGATCTACGTTGGTATAACCTCGACAGCCTCGGCCAACTTGAGAGGTCGCTCGGAGTGCAGTAGAAATTGGAGGAGACGTATCGCATCGCCTTTGAGCTCCGGCGGTATACTTTTAATCATACGCCGGTATGTCTCATCAAGATTCACCGGTGAAGATGTGAGAGCCTTCTCCATATCTACCTCGTGACGACATCGACCCAGGCTCTCTAACTAACAGAAAGCCCACCTGAACCTAAATATAGTATTAGCAAACCATCAAAATATCAATCGAAAGCAGCAATAACTCACATCCCGTCGGCCCCCTGCCCAACCTTCTTCCGAATCTGCTCAAGGAGACCTTGGGATAATCTCTTATCCTGAAAATCACGTCGTTGAGACACAGGAGAAGTTCATCCCTCGTTATCGATTCGTCCAAGGCGTCTAGAACGACAGCCACCTGATTCTGGGCTGCAAGCATCTTATACACAACGTCCAAGAGTGCCTTTGTGGCAGGTTAGTCGCGGCCATCCTGGTATGCTTGGAATGTGGTATCAAGGACAGCAGAACCAGTCCTATACTGGTAGAGTTGGAAGGCAAGTGACCGCAGCATGCCATCTACGTTTTGCTTTTTCGTATCGCTAAAGTCAAAGAAGAAGCTGAGGATAAAACGGTCCTTTTCCTAGGCAAGATGGTCCAGCACGGTTGCGCTGAGAACCGTCTTGCCGCATCCCGCGAGTCCATACAGCCATATATATCGACGCGACCCCGAGTGCCATGACTGGAAGACCGGGTTTTCCAGGAGCATGCGCCTGTCCCCTCGTGGCGGAGCTTCCTCGCGTGATTGGCGTTTGTAGACGGATCCGGGGGACAAAGCCAGCGCTTGATCTTTTCTATCCGAAGGTAAGACCTGATGGAGTCAGTTGTCAGAAACGAAGTGCAACTCACATGAAGACGGATAGTCGGATACGATCATACGGTTGGTGCTGGGAACGGCGGTCGGCTTTGACTGCTCATGGTAATAGACGAAAGCAAGCGCCGTAGTTGAGGTTGGGATTAAACTAAATTTGTATCGAGGGTTGGGGGAGTCTTGGAAACTGTGAGCAGTGGAAGTGGGGGCGGTTGTGCCCCAATGGCGGCCGTGATACCGCGACGAGGGAATAGTAGCGACACATAGCCACGCCAGCTGCGTGTATTTGCAGAGTTGCTATTGGCTGAAGTACGGTCCGGAATTGGGACGGAGGAGAAGGAAGGAGGGAGGAGGAGGAGGAAGTTGAAAATAAGGAAACATGCGAGGATGCGGTGTATATCAGTAGTATATCCACGTGGGCCAGGTGGTGGGTGATTCAGCCGCTTAGCTGCATTTTAGCGCCAAAAAACGCCCGTGCGATCAGCACGTTAAAAGATCCTACCATATGCACTGTCGGCCCCGCCGAAGGAGGCCACGAAAAGAGTGCAAAAAGGGTCTTAAAAAAGGTCAAAAAATTCGAAGAAAAGGTTTAAAGGAGGGTTTTAATCGGGGCTCTAAAATGGCTCGAAAAGCAAGGTAAAAGGTGGTTTTATTTGCGAGTTATTTTGGCTTATGGCCCACAAGTCTTGCTTTGCGGCTGGCCCGTAGCTGCTTACAAAACTTGTCAATGGAGCAGCCAATTTGCTGCTGTTGAAGATGAACTATGCGGACGGCAGCTTCCTCGCTCGTACGCTGGGCTCGCACAATCCGCTGAACCTCCTTAACAACTTCGGACCGTAAAGAATACCACTGCAGTTCAGTCTGCCGGCCGGCCCGCCACCGGTTCCCCCATCTCCGATCAAGAGTAGCCACGGCCGGCCCGCCCTGGAGGCCAACAGTCCACTCACGCCAAAGGTCTGCCACCGTCCTGACTGCACGGCTCATACGGTACTGTGGCGGCTGTTCTTCTCCTCCTTCGACCGGTAGCCAGCTAATTGTGGGAGCCGGGCTGCAAAGGCGGCTAGTAGCAGAGCCATACTGGCTTTGTTCATCTGGGCCAGCTCCCGGCCTAGCCATAGGGCCAGCTCCCGGCCTAGCCATAGGGCCAGCTCCCGGCCCATTTATAGGGCCAGTTCGTTGGCCCGCTTCGGCTAGGACCGGCTGTGGAGCGGTTGCTTGTATATGGACTGTAAGACCAGCAGAAAGGATATTGTGGAGCTTAACTGTCTGCTGCGACTGGGCCTCGATAAGCCGCATCTCGGTGGCTTGGAGCTTTGCTGTGAGCTCTAGGACCCGGGCCTCATTACGAGCATCGATCGATTTTAAGTAGTCTGATAGGACTGGAAGCGCTTGGGTTAACACAGCCAGTTGGCTGGGCCGCTCTTCTTCCTGTACGAAAGCAGCCACCTGCTTGGCGAATGGCTTATATCCCGGGTGTTGGAATACTGGGTGGCTCCAAACTGGGCTGTTCGGGAACCTATCCATCAGGACAGCCGAGTCTTGTAGAACTACCCCACGGAGGTAAAAAAGGAGGTTAGTAAAGCCCATAGCAGCTAGATCGTTAATTTGGCCAGGCCCTGGGCCAAACCGGCCTTGCCACTGGTCCAACTGCGGCCAAATCATCGAAAGGAGGTCGGCTGGCGGCGCCACGCCGGCCCTCCGGACCTCAAAGCATCCCATCTGCGGAGGATGGCCGGCCATAGTACGCATAAACGTGCGGGGCAGGGAGTTGAGGTAACAGCCGATCATCTGCTCTTGGTTCCAACGGCCGGCCCAGCGGATTTGATCCTCGCTAACACCCTTCAATTCGGCCACCTTCGCTCCCGAGCTACGGCCGATGTGTGTCTTCTTTTGGGAGCTGATCCCGGCATACGAGAGGGCCCGGGCCGCCCACTCCCGTTGCGAGTTGTAGGAGAGACCTGCCGTCCGCCCCGTACTACTGCTCGTAATCAGGCGGATGTCGTACCACGCCGGCCGCTGGCTGAAGTCTGGGAACGGCTCTTCTGTAAGATCCCAGCGAAAAAGGAGGTAAAATGCGAGGCCGCTCAATGCACAAATCAGTGGCTTGCGGTTCCGTAGGGCCCCGGCTGTCTCGAGCCGGCCGTGCTGGTTGGTCTTCCCGGCCCGCGTCGTCATAATTAACGGCATACAAGGAGTAGGGCCTTCGTCCGGGAACTCAAAGGTAAATAGATCGGATAGCTCTAAAGCCCTCCGGTCGCCTCCACGTGTGAGCATATAGTGGCCAAGAAGCAGGTCGACAAGGGTCCGTAGGTGGCTCTCGGCTGGGCCGGTGGCTGTATGTACCCACAGCTCGTGGCATATCGTCTCGAACTCCAGCTCCGTATAGCCATCCAGCAGAGTATCAGAACCTTTATCCGCATAGCTGGTCTTGGCCTGCTCGGCATCGCGCCGCTGTAAGGACTTGAGATAGTCCCGGACATTGTCTTCGCGTGGAGATGGGTGGATGTTCATACCGCGTGCCTTTTGCGTGCGGTAGAGATCCGTAATTGCCGTGATATAGCTACGGACCGATCGCCAGGCTAGCCGTGTCTCTTCTTGTGGGGTATCTACGGCCGCCTTCCGGCTTTTGGCTCGTAACGGCCGGCTGGTGACGCTCTTGGTGAGGAAGTAAAGGAGCTTGTCTTCTGTAACGGTATCCCCATCGTAATACTGCTGTAGCCTACAGAAATTTTGGAATTCCCGCTGCTTTGGCTCGTACGTAGAGGTCGTATTCTTTGGCCGCATATTGTGGATTACCGAGAGGATGCTTTGCGCGTTGGCGCGTAGTTCTGCGTTGTTGTGTGCGTCGCGTTGCACGCGTCCCAAGCCTAGGACAGGGGGTAGGCCGCTAACCGTAATCACATCCCCACTCTGGCCGCCAGCCGGAGCCGTAGCCGGAGCCGGCTGCGCCGCCGGCGCCCTCTGTCGCTTGCGGGCCATAGTTAAAAAGAGGTCAATTGATCGATAAGATGCGCAGGAAGCTGGCTAGCTCTACGGCTAGCCGGCCAGACGTGGAGCGAGCGAGAGGCCTTATACGCATTCGAGCAGCCAACTCGCTGGCACGCCCCGCGGGCAGGCTGGTCAATAGGGGGCCACAGCGGCTCGATCAGCCAAGCTAGCCTAGTTACAGCGGCCTGTCTAACTGGGAAGCGCTGTAGCGCTAGCGTACTAGACCCAACTCAGCTGCGCAATCAGCTGAGTGGATGGAGAGACTGGGATCTAGGCTGCATTTGTGTGGTGGCCTGGTGTGGAGATCCCAAAATACGATAGGCCGGCGAGCGCAAGGTGGGGCACGGGCCATAGTCAGCCGGCTCAGCGAGAGCTCAGCGAGGGCTCGGATACCAAGACATGGTGACTTCAACAGTGAAGTGTCCTGTACCCAGGCTTGTTGGTCGAGGTACAAGATGGTGGTCCGAGCGCGGAATCTAATTGGCTAGCCACGGTGGATCCAGCAGGGGAACATTGAGCAATCAGAAAACGGCAGTCCCGACCACGGCACGTGCATTCCACGGTGCCAAACTTGGGCTCCCCAGTATCTCGTGTCTACAGTTGCGCCTTCCGCAAAGACATCTGGATATGGTAGCTGTTTCTACTTTCCCGCAGTAAAAATGGCTCATCGCGTGATCACTCTTTTCCAGACAGGGAAGGGATGGGAATATAGCTGCGCATTTTATCCCGTGACGATTGCAACTCCGGCCCTCCAGGTTCCTCCCAGTCTTTAGGGAAGAAATCTACAGGCTCCACGGCCAGCACGGCCAGCACGGCATTTTGAGTCTCCCACCACCGCCATAAAATTCCGAATTTGTATCTCTACGATTTGTCTTGTCTTTCTGTCGCCCACTTTTGAGCCACATTGTCAAGCCACATACCTGCATATCCCTCCAAACACTGCATATCCCTTCATTCGTGACTTTCAGCCCTGATCCCTTTTTCCGGGCTCCTGGACTTCCGAATGCTCTCTTTTTCTCCCTTGCTACGGCTGAGTCCCTTGCGTAGTACGACTAAATAGACTGTTGAACCAGGTTTCCTTTGTCCTTTTCTTGGAAGCATAAAAAACCTTCTTTCCTGTATTATGAGATTGGATTTAGACAAACAATTCAAGGCCCCCTCTCGATTTCTCTCTCTGCGGCCTCCAATACGGCTTCCAATCCAGCTAACACTTCTACAGCCTGTCGGCCTCTGTCCGCTCTTATTCTGCTCTGTGCAGAGAGACAGAAACCAGGCCAAATTGAACGAAAACCAAGCTTTGAAGCCTCTCGCTATGCTGGTCGTGTCTAGTCAGCCAATCTCTTAGGTATGTTCTTTTCGCTCCGTTTGACCGATTGGTGACTGATTAAGGGTTCTCTCAATATCCAGACTTGCATTTCGGTCGGCCTCTTGTCATCTAGACAGGGTGACCCACCTTTGCAATCGCCCCACTTTGCAATTTTTCCCCCACACCGCCAACTTCCTACTCTCTACCTTCCACCACCAACAACTTCCTCAATACTGGTCGGAATAGGCTCAAAATACGATGGTTCGACGCGTACGAGAGCGGCTAATAGCCGAGGCTATTGAGGCTATTGATCAGGGCGCTCAGCAGAAGGAAGTAGCGCGCCTATATAGGATCCCTGAATCCACCCTCAGCAGACGACGCCGTGGACAACAGGATCCACGACAAGCCCAAAAAAACACCCAGAAGTTAACTGACGGCCAGGAAGCCTTCGTCGCCGAGTGGGCTCTTGAGGAGGAAGCTGCAGGGCGTGCCCCAAGTCGTGCACAGCTAAGACGATTCGCACAAGCGATCCTGAACGAAGCCGGGCTCCCTGGGCGAGTTGGTGAGCGCTGGGTAGATCGGTTTTTTACCCGCAACCCCAGGGTAAAGGCCAAGTTAGGTACCTTATTAGAACGGTCTCGAGTCAAAGGATCTACCCGTGAGAGATTCCAGCATTTTTTTGATCGTTTGGAAGCTGTAATTAAGGACAAGAAGCTGTAATTAAGGACAAGAAGCTGGTACCTGCGAATATCGCCAATATGGACGAACATGGCATGCAAGAGACGGAAACTACGGTTGGGAAGGTGATTGGCGATGCCCTCACATCTCGGGCAGTCCTGACTGGCCCTGATCCAACGACCTGGGTCAGTATTATCGAGTGTGGTACCGCTGAGGGCAAGCGATTGACGCCCGTAGTGATCTTTACGGGTGAAAATCTACAAGGCCAACACTTCCCGGATAACTTCAAGGAACTACCAGTCCTCAAGACCTGGAAGTACGACTGTACGCCCACAGGCTGGAGCAATAGGAAAATAGCTCTTATGTGGCTCAAGGAAGTATATCTTCCTCAAACAAAGCCCCAAAGGAAGGACGATTGGCGCCTATTAATCCTCGACGAACACGCTACTCATATCGACGAAGACTTTATGCTTCTAGCTAAAAGAAACCGCGTACACCTACTATACTTGCCTTCACACACTTCTCACAAGACCCAGCCACTCGACCGGTCTGTCTTTTCGGCTTTGAAGTCCTATTTTCGCCAAAGAACCCTCGAATTGGCTTCCTTCACAGCCTCAGCACCTATCAACAAGCAACGCTTCCTTTTTTGCTACCGGGACGCCTCAGCGCAGGGTATGTCAGCCCGGAATATCATATCCGGCTTCCGGAAGACTGGAATCTGGCCTTTCCAACCCGCTCGTATACTTGACGACCCCGAGGCGGTCCGGGACGAAGCTGCAAAACCAGTCCCCCCATCCACACCACCCCGGAAGACCCGGGCAACCCGGAACGACCTCTTCAATACACCTCAAGGTAGTCACGACGTCCGCAGGCAACAGGGCTTAGCCAAGACGGCCACTAGTCCCCGAGATAGGGTCGTCAGGACTATGTTGACGAAGGTAGGGAGGGCACTTGATCAGAAGAATACGGAAATCGCTGCTTTGAAGGCAAAAAACGACTTCTTAGCCAACGAGTTGGAATCCAAAAAACCCTATTCACGTAAAAGGGTCAAAATAGACGCCAACGACAGATTTGCTACTATTGACGAAATTGACGAGGCTCAAAAAGCTAGTCAAAAGCCTCCCAAGAAGAGATCCAAGAAGACCAAGTCCAGGCCTGCACACTTGGTCCAGGAAGCTGAAGAAATTATCGCCCGTGGGCTTGAGCAATATAGGGCGATTGACGAGGACTAGAATGTACTTTTTTCTATAGAATTTGGCCTACAATTGAGTATTTTGACGATTCTTGTGGTGGGCGGTGATGGTGGTGGGCGATTGCAAAGGGGGGCGATTGCATAAGTGGGTCGCCCTGTCTAGAGTCGACGAAGGAGTTAAGTTCTACAGAGAAGCGACCTACATGTACCACGGCTCCTTTATTTTTTCTTTATATCCTAGGGGCGCACCACCCCCTGAATAGGATATTGGTTCAAGGGTGTTTTGAATGCGACGGTGGGAGCATGTAGCAACTTAATACTTCGGTATTTTAGAGAATAAATAGGCATCTAGGATTCTGAAATTGGCATTCTAAGGGCTTTTACCTCCCTTGGGGAAAAGCCTTCGGGTGAGCCGTAAGGTACCAAGGCCGTTCAAAATATTTGAAAGTCCCCTACTCAGAGATACCGAGGGATCGGATTATATTTCGATTCGGCTAATTAGAGACTAGAAATCCTGATATTTCTACCGCTATTATTGACAATCCCGTCACACTTTTCTGGGAGGGTTGTTCCCTGCGTTGCTTGCGCCGCATGCTAAACCCAATGTCACGACGGACTCCACCGACTGCGCCTCTCGATGGGTCTTTCTGTTCGTTTCACGCGCAACAAAGAGTGGATATTCGAGGCACAGCACTGCACGCAAAAAGTCTCCTCGAGTCAGGAAACGGGAGAGCAAAGAGGGCCAGGCTACTTAAAGCCAGGGTCTGACAAGACTTTCCATCCAACAAGGCGTTCCAAGTCTTACCATGACCCGCCACATCCGATATAGTGTAACGGTCAACATATCGCGTTTTCACCGCGAAGCTCGGGGTTCGATTCCCCGTATCGGAGAGTATTATCGTTTGTCCGCTTCTCTTTTTTTTTGCCGTCGTTGGCAGGCCGTGCGCGCGCCAGGTCTTGCGTAATTCTTTTTTTTTTATTTCGCTACAAAAATCGATGGTGCAAAGCGCGGCCGTCGTAAATGCATGCACGCAACACAACCCTAACCCTGCATCAATCGGTTCTCTTTCCTCTTCACTGGCGGCGGCGCAGCCAATACAAAAGCCCCAAAATGACCATCAAGACGGCGACTACGAGGCCCAGCGGCGAGACTTGTTCCACCAGATGCCGGTCTTTGAGGATAGCTAGTTCCACCCGATGCAGTCGGTCGTTGGCCGCCAGTTCCTCTTCATAGTGCTGTCTGGCGACAGCTAGGTTAGATGCAGCCTCTCGACAGCAGCTAGTTCATCTCTGTACTGCTTTTTGACGAGAGCCACTTTCACTTGAAAGTCTCGATGCTGGCGCTCGGAGTTGTCAGATTCACCGCAATTTTTTTATTTTTTATTTAGTATTTGAGGTCAATTAGTTCCAACCGATGCCGGCCGTCGTTGGCAGCTAGTTCGTCTTCATACTGCTGCCTGGCGAGAGTCAGTTTGTCTTGATGCTGCTGGTCGGCGGCAGCCAGGTTATCTCGATGCTGCCTCTTGACGAGAGCCAGTTTCTCTCGAAAGTCTCGATGCTGGCGCTCGATGGTATCGAATTCCTCTCGCCGCTTCTGTTTGGCAGCACTTTTCCGAAACTCGTCTATGTATCCTCCTTCGGCCGCATGACAATGTTGCCAACCTTTGCTTGCACCCATATGCTCCTCGCAGCAAGAGTGCTCGTGCTCGTGATGCATTTCTTTGTCATGTTGAGAGAATTCCCTCGCAGCAGCAAAGGTGTATCGGGGGTCCCCACCCACGTGGCCCTGGTGCCACGATTCGGTGAAAGGCATTTCCTCTGGAAGATATTTCTGCCGATTATCGTAAATCCTTTGCTCTCACTCACACCTGTCTAGAGCCGCCGCTTGCTGCACAGCTGCTAGTGCCTCTCGGTGTTCCTGTTCGACGGCAGCCATTTCCGCTCGGTGCAGCTTTGCGGCCGCAGCGCACCGGTCGTTCTCAAACTCGCGATCGTTGTCCTCCGCCGTCTCTGCGGGGCGGGCAGAGTCGGGATGAATTCTCAAGGCCATTTTCTGTAATTTTAGCGTGTTAGTGACTTCGAGTTTGGGGTTGCCAACGAGATAAAAATGGGAAGATATTGCGTACTACAACGACCTCTGGTGGCTTGTCATCGGTTTGGACGATGGCAATGTTCTGGCTCAGAATTTCGGCCCTGTGCTCCGTCGTTTGAGTTCCCCCTCCATGCTGCTCACGACCCCGACGATGCGCGCCTTGCCACCAACCCCGCAAGTACATTAAATAGTTGTCGTCGCCCATTTTTGCAGGTATGGCCGTATATGGAGTTTGTGTACGCATACGTCGTGGTTATCCGTCTGGCAAAGAGCGAAGTTCTGTACGGCCAGATATTTGGGCGCTTAAATGCCTGAGCAAAATTTTCACCTTACATGGCGGCGGCAAGGTTCGTAAGTTAGCCGGTGATACAACTCTATTGGCATAGAGGGTGTGGACGAGAAGAGACATGCGCATGTGAACCCGGACTTTTGAGTTCAAGCTGTCGCGATACACTCCCATCACTGTTTGTTAGCTGGGGACTTTCCACATTTGAAAGGTTTCTCAGTTAGTGTGTCAGCGTGTTCGAGCCTTGTTTGCCAAAGAACAGACAGAAATTTTCGAGAAGCATGGCGGAATCGTGCGTTAGAACCCCAAGCGAAATTCTCAAAACGGAAAAGAAAATAGCAGGCACGACGGTGCAATGCAGAGGTGTCCTATTAGAAGGTACGTTCTGCATTATTACTGCCTGGGGAAGGGCCGAGTTTGTCTATTAACGGGTGACTTTCTAAGACTTGACAGGCCTTAGTACCTGACGGATAGCCCTGAAGGATTTTCATCTAGGGAGGCAATGGCGATAAAAATCCCTGTTATAGAATCTTGGGGGCCTTTCTATCTCCTATAAACGCCTATCAAAGGCTTTCCTAGTCGGTATTTTTGCTGATTGGATTGTAATTAGACTGACTTTTGTTCTTGTATCACCATGAGCATATCTCTTAAAGCGTACGCAATGAAGCCTGGCCTCGGCCTCTTTCATTGCGGGTCTCACAAAAAAAAACCAGTTGTATTTACCTTGGTGTGTGTGTGTGTGTGAATAGACAATTCCTTCTGCTGGCGTCTCATCGCCGCCAGGCAAATATGTACTTTGAATCAACAAATTTCCCCTCTCTCTCAGACACTCTCCGCGGCACTAGCAGTCATTTCGCCGACCTGCAAAGCCATTTATTGTCTTGTGAAAACAACAACACCGCTTTCCACTTTAGGCGGTCTTGCCTAGAGACTGCCGCACGTAGTTGAGCAGCAGGGGCCCCACGCGCGACGCGATGATGCGGTCGCCGGCAATGTTGGGGTGGACGCCGTCGCGCAGGTCCGACGTCGGGAACCCCTGGCTGCAGTCGGCAATGACGATTGGCGAGTCGGTCGAGTTGAGGCCCTTGACCCACGCCGGAATGGCCGCGTTGAGGCTGGTGATGCCCGAGGTCGAGCCGGTGCCGAGGGGGATGACGAGGTCGACCTGCGAAGCTGTCAGTCTCGGGGATTCGGCTGCTGTCGTTGGGGGATTCAGCTCACGATGATCTTGGTCTTGGGGTTGGACGCGCGGATGATGTTGACCATCTTGGTGTAGGCGGCAATGATCTCGGTGGTGCTGTGGCCGCGGAAGACGTCGTTGGTGCCCAGCATGAACATGACAATGTCGGCCGGGGTCTTTTGCAACCAGCCCGTCAGGTAGCTGTTGGCAATGTCGATGGCGAGCCAGCCCGAGTGGCCCTCGTGGTGTTGGTCCCAGTTGGCCGTCGTGGGCTTGCAGTTCTGCGGGTTGCTGTTCTGCGACCCGACGTACTGCACCTGGTCGGCGAGCTTGGCGTCGGCCAGCTGGTCCCACACAAACGCGCGCCAGCACGTAATCTCAGTGATGCTGTCTCCAAGAGGCACTGCGACGGCGTTAGCCGGTCAAATCCAATGGGTACAATCAGATGGCATTTTGGGGTGAGACGGACTAATTTTAAGCTTGGCCGTCTGGCGCTCTGCGACCTGAACGGGCCCTGCGACAGCAAGGCCGGCCATGGCCATGGCCGAGAGGAGGACTGAAGTGTACATGGCGGCGCGATCTTGGCTGGCGCGAGGTCTGTTGGGATTGCGGGGGAAAAATGCTACGGGGAATGTCGACGCGATGGAGAAGCAAAAGTCTGGCTCAAGGATGCGCGCTGGGCTGCTTCTTATCGACGATCCGGGGTTTGCCCCGGACGAAGTAGACTTTGTCCACAATGAAAGTCCAAGTCTATATTGCGGGGGGAATACCGGGGAGATGCTTTAGATCGTGCACTTTAGTAGGCCGTGTTATTATCCAGCCGGTATCCGTAGCCGCATCGCTCCAATGACGCGGTCGGCGGTCGCTGGGGCCTCATCGGAGGCTGAATGTGCGGTGGGCCAATGTGGCCCAAATAAACCTTCATATACTCGAGTCCTGCCCGAGGGCCTTGTTTCGGATGGGGGGATCGGAGAATAAAGTGCTTGTGCGAGCCAGCTGCGTCTTGGGGGCGCTGCGTCGCCTTGTCTGGCCGTTCGACTTTTTACACTTCTTCGGTAGGCGAGTTGCGTCGTTGCCGATTAGGAAAGCGCCTGTATATCCGGCGAGGGGCTATATATCCAAGTCGGGATCCGAGAGCAACCCTAATGTGTGCTTAATTTACCCGGGGCGTCGGATCCGGACGCGCGGGCAATTAAGGCAGTCCCGTCCTTCCCAACCGAGGCCTGGGATGCGGGGATCCCAGCTTGAACAACCGCAAGAGTGTTGGAATAAAACCTTGGAAATTGGCAAGAATTGGTGTGAATCGACTCACTTCCAGAACGCGTGAACCTGTCAAGAGATGGCATCGACGCCGGCCGAACACCGTCAACAGCTGGCATTTCATGCATTTTATTGTCTAGGCCGGAAGATCTGGGTTTCCTGTGACATCTTACACTGTTGTGAAATTGAATGGTTTTGGGCCTCAGGAGAAGTCTTTGACTCTTTACCCCGGTATCTCATACAGTCCTTACAATAAGACATCTCACGAGAGACAAATTGGAGGTTGCGAGAGACGGAGAAGAAAGAGACAGGAGAAGAAAGAGACGGGAGAAGAAAGAGGCGTAGGCAGGTTCAGTTTGACAAATGTAATTAACTCTTTGGAAATTGTGTATTTCGATTCCTATTATATGGAACTTACACGGTGTCGGAATGTGACCATTTAACCTCCTTTATGGGAAATGCAAGCTAGTTTCTCCCTTGTTAAGAACCGGATATTTGGCCTAATTCGAGGCTTAGGTCTCAATTGGAGAACTTGGTTTGGTGCGAGTTGCTGCACCTTCTAGTTTCCAGGGAGTCGCAAAGTCTTTGTTTGCTCCTCTTTCGAAGTCTCAGCTGGCTTCGCGATTACTAACCAGTCCGACCAACTTGCGACAGTGCCTATTTCGAGGTTGTCCCCGTCGCGTTTGGTCTTAAACCTGGGTCATCCAACACAAAACAGTCAACTATTGTCTGATTGGTTGGAAGGGCCGGAGAGTTGTTTTGTTGGGTGCCGTGCCAAGTCTGGTGATTTCCAAAGCAACATCCGGTTCTCTTCCGAAAACTCCAGTTTCTCTGCATTTCGTGATACCAGTGTGACCATCGTGAGATCATTATGTTGACGGCCACAACTTTTCTTTTCGATTTTGACTGCAGAGCCTAGATCTAGACTGGAATCTTTGGGCGTTTGAGGACCGTGCACCAACGGCGGATTTAAGCTAGGAGGTAACGGCGAACGAGCGGGTTCCGAGGGCCCTAAGCGACCAACCAGCGAGGCAAAGGGCGAGTTGGAGGCGAAAGACGCGAGAGGAGGGGTGTTGAATCCGACATTGGATCCAACAGACATTGAATCCTTCAACTCCAGATATTTATACCACACTGCATTGGTCGCCACGATGTGCAATGAGCTTGATAATGACAAAGGCAAGACAAAGGCAACCACTTGATAGTCGGCATTCAACGAATTCCGCCATGACCAAGATCCTGCTTCGCGGAGCGACGCTGCTCATCCATGACGAGAGCTCCCATGTGCAGCCTCGCGTCAGCGACCTGCTCATCGACGGAAGCATCATCAGCCAGATGCGCGAGAACATCGAGCTCGGCGAGGACGAGTCCAAGACCACCCGGGTGATTGACTGCCGCGGCAAGATTGTGAGCCCCGGCTTCATCAGCACCCACCACCACCTCTACCAGACGCCCCTCAAAGGCCAGCATGGCAACGACACTTTGATTTCGTACCTGCCCGCCGGCAACTTTGTGGCGTGCGAATACACGGTCGAGGATATGTTCTGGGGTCAGCTCAGCGGAGCCATGGAGGCCATTGATGCCGGCACTACCACCGTGGTCGATCACTCGAGCCCAGCGCCGTCCCCTGATCATCGTATGTCGTCCTTGTCACATGCCGACTTGTCACATGCCGACCTGTCACATGCCGACCCCCTCCAAATGCGAACCATGACTCCAGACGGAATCTAAACATGCACCCAGACAAGAGCTGTATCGACGCGCTCATCACGTCGGGCATCCGCTCCGTGTACTGCTACCTGCCGCCGCGGACGGTGCACGGGTGGTCGTCGCTGAGCTTCTCACAGGACTACACGTCGGCGGCATCCATCGACGAGTTCGTCGCGCTGGCCGCACAGGCACCGTGGTCATCGGGGCGCATACAGCTGGGCTACGCCATCGACAGCTTCTACCACGCGCCCGACGCGCTGGCGAACCTGTTCGCGCGTGTGCGCGGGGCGGGCGCCAAGCTGATCACGACGCACCGCATCAACGGGCCCATGTACGGCAGCAGCGCGCCGTCGGCGCTCGAGCAGCTCGAGCACCACGGGCTCTTGGGCGCCGACATCCTCGTGTCGTACAACAACTTCCCGCGCCCCGCCGACGCCGCCCTGCTCGCCGCGTCGCGCGCCAGCATCTCCACCACCCCCGCTACAGAGATGCAGATGGGCCTGCCCCCGCTCGCCCTGCGCGACGGCTTCTGCGCCCACGCCAGCCTCGGCGTCGACTGCCACAGCTGGGGCACGGGGTTCCTGCCGGGCCAGATGCGGCTGGCGCTGCAGCACGCGCGGTGCGAGCGCGGCGCGGCGCTCGAGAATAACGGGGGGCGGTGGGCGCGCTCCGTCGGGCCGACGGTCGAGGACGCGTTCAACGTCGGCACGCTGGGCGGCGCGCGCGCGGCGGGCATGGCGGGCCAGCTCGGCCGCATCGCCGTCGGGTTCAAGGCGGACCTGGTCGTCTTCGCCACCGACAGCCCGTCTATGCTGGCCGCCGCCGACGAGGACCCCCTCGCGGCCGTCGTGCTGCACGCCAGCGAGCGCGATGTGGACATGGTTATTGTGGATGGTGTTGTGCGCAAGGAGGGCGGGGCGCTGCTCGATGTCGAGGCGCCGCAGGAGGCTGTTGTGCCGCCGGGCAAGGGCGGGGTTGTGGTTCCGGGCGCGCGCTGGCCGTGGAGGGACGTCGCTGCGCAGACGCTCAAGACGAGGGCGCTGCTCAAGGAGCGGGTCAAGGGGATTGACTTCAAAGCCGCCGAGGAGGTCATTATGGACGTCTTTCACCAGAACCGGAAGGACATGGTTGAGTGAGGCGTGTGTCGGTTGCGTTGCATCGGATCTGACGTTGCGGTTGCACGGATTCTGGTTCCGGTTCCTTGTCATGATATCGTGCTCGAGCGTCGGGAGCGCGGGCAAGATGCCGATCCGTCGCTCTTGGCTGAGGGTTTCGAGCGAGCGCAGGTGCGTTCGACCAGTTTAGAGGTGGTTGAGGAGTTTTTTGATTCTTTTCCAGCCAGAAATCTCACCATCGGTTTCCTGTTTCGGTCGTACGGTACAACCGCAGGTGGGTTCGACCAGTTTATTCAGCTGAACGGAGCCACCGTAGGCGAGCTTGCGAGCCGGAGGTGGCGTAGAGAGGCTGTATTCTATATTACCGTGAGGGTGCCGAAGTTTCTCGCATCGGGATTGGCCAGTTTACGTCCGTATCGAAATGGACAACGGGGACTGGTCGATCAGATAATCCTCGGACGTATTAAGCCGTTAAATACCGCCTTGCTATATCGTAAGGCCGTCGAAGGAAGGAACGCCTTAGGGGGGATTCCTAATTGGTATCTGGGAGTAGGACGGACGCTTTATAAGCCGCAGGCTCCAAGCGCCGCAGGCTAAGAGCGCAATTAGACCATGAACATCGAAATATAGAATTATCACGAGAATTTTAGAATTATCACGAGAATTTGTTTCGGTGGTAGGATAGCTATCAATCCGTTGTGGGTGGTCCGTGCGGTACCTTTAACTTTCTAGCCAGCTCCCCCGCCAAAATAAACCAGTCTCTTCGTAATATTGTCAGATGGAATGGCCTAGAAGGTGCTGGAATCTATGATGCGTAATCTTCGCCACTGGGTTTCGTCATGTAATTGCCACATAAGGAAGTATAAGAGAGAGAGTCTTTTGTGGAAAGACTGAAGGACGAGAAGAGAGCAATTCACTCTGATGCACGCAATCCTAAAAGTGCTGTTGCAGTCTGACAAATAAGTCAGGTGGTCTGCTTATGGAACACCCCTGGATTTGGAACAAGGTTTGTCATCAAGGACTTGCCGCTCGCCACCCAACTCACCTATTTCAATCGCTTGCAACTCGACCAATTCTGCTTCAATACTTATCTTCTTTTCTCCATTCAATTGAGAAATGAAAGATGAAGCGATATACTTAGTTGGATTTGCAGAATCCGCTGGCAGAGTATGCAGAAACCGGCTTACTCCGTAGCTCTGCTGAAAATCACGGCATCCCCCCTACTACTCTCTTTAATCGGGCTCGTGGTTCCGAGCCAGCCTCCAAGGCCCAAATTCTTAATCAAAAGCTTTCTCCGGCTATGGAAGAACGCTTAACCGAATGGATTCTATTCCAAGGGTCGCTCGGTCACCCTCCAACCCACGCCCAAATTCGGAAACTAGCTAGAAGAATGCTCGAAGATAACGAGACCCTCGGAAAACGCTGGACTAGCCGGTTTTTGGCTAGAAATCCATCTATTTCTACAATTAGGCCTCGGAGAATCCATGCAAACCGTGCTGATCGAGCCTGTGAGGCCGTTATCCGGCCTTGGTTTGACTATTTGAAGCCTCCAGGCGTGGAGGCTATTCCAGCCAAGCATAGGTATAATATGGATGAAACTGGCATTGCTTCTGGCATTGGAGATAACGGCCTGGTTGTTGGATCTAAGGAAAGAAAGAAATTCCAGAAAAAGAAGAAAGGAGACCGAATTTGGACCTCGATTATCGAATGTATTTCCGCTGACGGCCGGTATTTGAACCCAGTCGTCATTTTCAAAGGTGGAAGCCTTCAACAACAATGGTATCCACGCGATTTACAGCCATTTAAGGGCTGGAAGTGGAAACCCACTGAAAACGGCTGGTCTGACGATGATACTGCCGTCGCATGGCCCCGCAATATCTTTCTTCCAGATACTCGGCCAGCTACCCCCTCGGAGAAGCGCCTCCTTATTTTAGATGGCCACGGTAGTCATACCACCGAAGAATTCATGTGGCTAGCCTTTTCTAATAACGTACAATTGTTATTTCTACCAGCCCACACCTCCCACGTTCTCCAGCCCCTGGATTTATCGGTTTTCGGCCCTCTAAAAGCCCGGTACAGAGCCAAGCATAACGAGGTTGTTTCCGGCTTCGACGAAGGCACTGTTGCTGAAAAGAGGGTCTTCCTAGAATGCTACCGGCAAGCCAGGGTCTATGGAATGACTGAATCTAATATCAAAGCCGGCTGGAAAGCTACAGGCCTCTGGCCGGTCAGCCTCAGGAAGCCCCTAAGCAACGGCCTTGTTATTAAGAATTCTAACGGCGACGTTGGTCAACTGACCTCTACGGTTTCTATAGACCTTCAAGAGGTCCATAACCCCATTCTAAATAAGAACTCGGAGGGCCGGCCTATATGGTTTACCCCTAAAAAGCCGAAGGATTTCCGTATTCAGGGGCAGGTTTTTCTAGCCGGCCAGAAACGGACTGCCAACGACCGACTTTTCATACACAAGGCCGCAAAAGCCTTCGATTACGTGGTTTTCCAACTAGCCAATACGGCGCATCAATTGGAGGCTGCAGAAAAAAGCCTAGAACGCACAAGAGGCCGAAAGAGAAGGAAGGTCCAAGTCGACCCTAATACGCAGTTCGCTGGAATTGAGGAGGTTCGTGCCTCACAGAGAGAGGCTGGCAGAAAGGACCTTAGTTATTCTGAAAGAGAAGAATCAGGAGAATCCGATACTGAAGACTTCATCAGTTGTTGGCAATTGAAGTTTGTGGTGTTGTGCGGGGTCCGATTCAGGGGCTGTTCCATAGGCAGGGGTGTTCCAAAAGTCCCCCACCTGACTTAATTAAAATGGACTACTGATGCTGTGCAACATGGTTGCACACCGAACTACCCACACCTGATACCCATCTCTGCCCTGAAACTCACTAGCTATGGAATCACAATGACGGGACGCATCACAGAGGCGATCACGGTCGCAAATTCGGTATCGGCAACGGTCGTGTATTCGGTTGGGAAAGCTCTCGTCGCGGTGATTGTGCTGATTCACACAGCTGTCAGCGAAGATATCGAAATCTCGTCTGAGAACCCTGAAAAGTGAAGGTCTACTCACGCGGCGCCCAGGGTGATGGTGACGGCAAGATTCGAGGAACAGTCGGCTACTTCTTGGCTAAGCTGGGTAATGGCTAGCTGACTGTCGCCTTGTTGGAGACGCTTCCATAGGTATGGTACACGCAACAGGGAAATCCCACGGCTTGAACTTGCCTCTAACACAAACGTCAACGCGGCAACATGCGGCGGCGGCCTGATGAAGCCAGGCCAAGTCTGAGATTGCATGTGGCGTCCGCATTCCCGTTCTTTATTCGGCAGGGCGTCTGGGGAAAGTGTGGCAGCTGGCAGCGTGTTTTAACGAACAGAATACAAAATAGGTTACCTATCCCAGTCTCTACGAGCTATACCGCTATTATATATTCCCGTCTATGTGGGGATAGTTTGAATATGGTGCTCGATTTATGTTATCAAGGCTATTATTATCGAAACTTTTCTGTGTTCCAAACTGTATCTCTGCTGAACCTTCGTTCGTAAGCCGATTAACTCAAGTATTGTTGGATTCAGCACCTCAACTTTCTTCATTGATCTCCCTCCTTGTTCTTTTTGGTCCTGCCAGAGGGCCTCCATTATAGTTGTAAATGGTGGCAATGGTGGTGGCAAAAGTAGCCACACCAGCTGAACTGGCCACTTCATTTCAGCTCCCCTGAGCCTCTTTTCACCTCGGATGACCACACCAGAGCTCAGCTGGGATGAGCTCTATTCCACATGCAACCCTTGTCCATCTGACAATAGCCAATCCAACAAGTATTAGACTGTGGCTCGTTCTCAGCCATAAATATCATCAGCTGGTTTAGATACGCTGGTCCTTGTTCTTCGAAAGATGGAATAGGAATAGGGGTGTATAGGAGGCTCGTGTGACGGCCCGCCTTACGTAGTAGGGATGTCAATGGTTGAAGGCAGCAACGAATGTGGATTTAAAGCTAAGGAAGAGAAAGGAATCTATCGCCGGGTCCGCGTAGGGCGCGGAGAAATAGGTAGTGGTGCTCAGTGCGCACAGGCCACACCCTAAGCACAATGCAGCCAATAGAATCAATCCTGTCACATGAGCCCTGTGGCGACCGTGACAGCTCGGAGCGACTTCCTCACTGCTCGTGGCGCTGGTTTCCATTGGAACTGCTGGCCCAAGTCGCTGCTTCAGCCTTTCCGACCTTTCTACATTACGTCGTCTTCGCTGCTCCTCGCGAACGTGTCGGAAATCTATGACAAATTTAGTTCTAATATGAGTCTAGTTGGGTAAGGAGCCCTCACCTTTCGACTCTCGTCTCTTCCCATGCCCTTTCGCTTCTACGTGATGGTTCAGGTGGGTGAATGTACCGTATCGCTTGTCGCAGTCTTCCCATCCATAGATATACGGCCGCTCAAACTCCTCTGGGGCCCTTCTCTTCCGATAACTACTTCCTGGTTCCCTGTTGATGACTCCATCCTGGGAAGAATGCACGAAGAAGTGGGTCTTTCGGTAGGAGTTAGCTAACCGGCCAACGATTGATAATACTGGAATGGGAGGGAATGTACTCACCTGGGTCTGATCGACGAAGCACCCATCGGTCTCCCCCTTAGGTATGCTCTGAGTAGACCCATCGATAGGATAAGAATAGTCGTCAACGGTAAAGGTGCTAGTATCGTGCGGGCCCATCGCCAAGGGCGTCAAGGGCGGCATTCCTGAACCCGTATGCTCCATCAGAGAGTATTATATTGAGTGGGGCTATGATACGGGACGGTATGTATTAAGATGTTGTGTTGCGGTATGTGGCGATATGTTGTGCCGCGCCGCTTTGCGTTGTACAGATTTTCGTGGCAAAGATTGCCGCTCCTTTTATGCTCGACCATCTACGCGCCCTGGAACTTGAGATGGACAGAAGTGATAAAGGTGTGCGAGCTAATTCCATCGTACGATTGAATGGGGGCTATGGAGCGAACACGATGGTGGGATGGATGAGCGTACTCGTGATCGTCTGCGCATGTACGTACGCCGTGGTCGATGTCTGAAAGGGGAATAGGGCGTACCGACGGAATGGTAATAACTGTCATTGGGTAGTCTTATCGCTCCGCCGCTAACCATGACGCTAGCGCCCCGCGAAGGGTTCCGCTCGCGGTTCTCTAGCCCGATTTGACCTAAGATTTTTCACTAAAACCGAAAGCAGAATGGTTATATGTTGTTGGTTGGTATCACCTCCCTCGAGGTTGGCTGGGTCCCCGCTTGCTTCTCCAAGACGTTGAGCCTTGTCCAAGACGTTGAGCCTTCTCCAAGACGTAAAGCAACTAAGCCGTAAAGATTATCTTGGAAGTTTTGGTTTTGCTTGGAACTCCTTTATTAAGACAACTATCTTAAATACCATATTAATACACTAACGTTCATGATATGCGAGTTAGCCATGATAAGCGAGTTGGCCACCTTAACGAGATTTGGTGGGGCACAAGCAAAAAGATGTTAGTAAATTGTTAGTGATCTTATCAATTTCTTATCGCATTTGGCTGCGCACGCTACCCGGTCTCGTTAATAAGGTGGCTAACTTGCTTATCATGGCTAACTCGCTTATCAAATAGGTTATATGACTTAAAAGAGTTACTAAAATAAGTGCCACCGGCCCCCGTTTTCGTGGTGGTGTCCCGTCCATAACTCGTATCGGCGCTCCTTTCTTTAAATACCTGTACTTGTAGATCCAAATGGTGTGGGTGGGTTGGTTAATCCCTATATCCTGGCTGTCTCCTCCCAAGCCCTCTATACCGCATTCGAGACTGGTATAGTCGCACCAGTCATGCCCAAGAGCGAATTCCAGGTGTGTCACACGATAAAGCACCCGGGTCCGGAAAACCACGTACTTCACGGGTCAGTTAAGTATTACTCATATTGGACACGTTACAATACCGTATACAAGTCAATCTTTTCCCGTATATAAAACTTTCCCAAGCAATTATATATTGCTAGGAGCAAACGACATACACCTATCGATGTGCTCCCCAACCTTCACGGATGCCATACTCGTGCGATATATACACCGGACACGCTTACGGCAAATGCACTTACGTCGAACTCAACCGCATCTGGAAGAAGTCACTTCACGCATCTGCCTTAGCGATGGCCTCCCGCGCAGCCATTACAGCCGCCTGTGACGCGCCGCCGGTGTAAGAGCTCCTCCCTCCAGTTCTAATCTAGCCCCTGGCCTCGCGAGTCGATACGCTCTTAGTTGAACAACCAGTCATCAAGCTGATTCAATTGGCTACGATGTGTGGGGTCGAATCATCCTGTATACGGAGGAGCAGCTGCATGTCCGAGGGATCTTCGTCTAGTAGGGTGGGTATTCTTCGGCATTATTTACCAAATCTGGCGTTTGTGCCCCTTGGAAGCCCGCTCAGGTTTACCGCATTGGAGACTGGTGTTTTCGCACCAGTCTCCCTCCAAGCCCGCTATGCCGCATTGGAGACTAGTATTATCACACCAGACTCCCTCTAAGCCCGCTATACCGCATTCGAGTGTGGTGCGAACGAGTGCAATTGATACGCGCCTGTTTGTGTGAATTTCCCCACATGGCCACATCTTCAACTTCTAGACGTAACGCGATGGAAGACTCAGCTAGTTGCCATGATGGCAGCACGGCAATCTCATTCCTAAATCCAGACCAAGCAAAACGAGTCGATGAATTCTGTTAGATTTAGTCACTCGCACGGTTGGTAGGCTCAATTGGCTTGTATATTTTCGTGTGTTGCCCGTTTCTGGCTCTCTTGATTGCTCTGGAAATCTTTGCTTTTGAGGCGCGCCCACACCCCCTGGTGTGGAGCCGCGCCACAGTCAAGGTTACGCCTTGACGTGGCTAATCTGACAGGTGACGTTGCCGCTGTCGTTAGCGGCTCCATCGCTGGCTGGTCTGTCCTATACCGCGTCCTTCTGTAGCATAATATGTGGACGCTATAGGCCTGAAATAGGTATGATTGAATCTTTTGCTTTGCTTTAATCATAAGAAGAAGTCTGGGTTAAATATAGAAATGCGGAGCATTTCACGGCCGTGCATATGCACTTCTGCAAAGTGCTACCCTTTGATGCCTAAACTGGCGATTGAAATTACTGGCGCTGAATCGAGGTCAATGCAATCTCACCGTAAACGCTATATCCCTGCTAAACTTCCCTCGCGAAGTCGGCTGCACGGCGCCGATAAACCAAAATGAATGGAGCTTCGATCCGGTCACCCGACAGCGTTTTACGAATCCTCCTATCTCTCAGAAGCCAAGAGGTGTGCAGAGCAGTTAGATTGAGGGTATTCAGTGTGTGAATTGATTGATGTATGGAAGAAGAAAATGCACCTGCGCAGGCAGGTTCGGGGCCCTCAATTGACCCGTGAAAAAGCGGTCAAATTGCGTTGGTCTGTGCCGGCCCTGTTGCAGCCAGGCCTATTTTAGTGTAGCCTTTCTGACACTATCCCATGAAATAAGCGCCTCTCGTTAAGTAGGTGTCACATCATAGCTACTCCTCCAGACCCATCACCGCAATGTTCCCCGACTGCCAAACCGGCAAGATCTTCAGCCATCCCAATTTCCAATTCCCCTTATCCTTCACCACGGCCGCTTGCCACCGGTTACCCATCACGTAGAGGTTGCGCGGATTTTGCCTCGGGTCCTCGAGCTGTTTGTGGTGATGGGCTAAGACGTAGACAGTGAGGTTGGCACGGTTCAAGTCAAGAGGCTGGATACGAAAGTTGCCGAGATGATGCGACGTGGCCATGGTCAAGACGCCGAGAAGAGATGACGCAACGACGTCCTGACCTACGAGAGGCTCGGGCGCGCCGAGGCCAATGTCGGCGAAGAGGGTACCGTCAAAGATTATGCCTTGGGTGGTGACGGAGCGCATGAGGGACTCATTCTTGTCGTCAAGGGACTGCCCGAAGGCGAGGACGGTGTCGATGATGGCTTCTCGGTCCGTAAGGCCGGATGAGAGACGTGTTGCGCCGCTCGGGGTGCCCATGAGGAAGAGAGGGATGAGGGAGAGGATATGAGAAAGCTTCATTTTTGGGGGCGCACTCTGATTTGCTTTTGAGAGGTATTTGCTGAACCGGGAAACTGGATACTGGTGTAGAGGTGGAATATCTAGGCAATTTATCGTCAACATGAAGTCTAACTGGCAACCGATGCAATACTTCTGAGCTCCTGAAAATTAGATGGTGTTGATTGGTAATGCATTGCTCTTACTGCCCAGGGACCCTTTATTATGTTTAATCTTACCTTTGCCCATATGTGTCTGAATTTGTAAGCTTGAGTCCCCATTTCGACTCTGTCCACCCTGTAGTTGCGGTGGGGTTTTGGAAAGAAGTCTCCGAAAACCAGCAGATCAGCACTAGTGGACATGCACTGATTGGTAATACACATAATTTGACTTCTCCGTGAGCATAAGCCCCTTGCTGTTTAGGGGCATCTAATTTCGCTGTCGGATTCATCCCTCCGCCAGTCCGAGCCCTTAATAAGCTCCACAATATCCTTTCTGCTGGCCTTACAGTCCATATACAAGCAACCGCTCCACAGCCGGTCCTAGCCGAAGCGGGCCAACGAACTGGCCCTATAGATGGGCCGGGAGCTGGCCCTGTGGCTAGGCCGTGAGCTGGCCCAGATGAACAAAGCCAGTATGGCTCTGCTACTAGCCACCTTTGCAGCCCGGCTCCCACAATTAGCTGGCTACCGGTCGAAGGAGGGGAGGAACAGCCGCCGCAGTACCGTATGAGCCGTACAGTCAGGACGGTGGCAGACCTTTGGCGTGAGTGGACTGTTGGCCTCCAGGGCGGGCCGGCCGTGCTACTCTTGATCGGAGATGGGGGAACCGGTGGCGGGCCGGCCGGTAGACTGAACTGTAGTGGTATTCTTTACTGTCCGAAGTTATTAAGGAGGTTCAGCGGATTGTGCGAGCCCAGCGTACGAGCGAGGAAGCTGCCGTCCGCATAGTTCATCTTCAACAGCAGCAATTGGCTGCTCCATTGACAAGTTGTGTAAGCAGCTACGGGCCAGCCGCAAAGCAAGACTTGTGGGCCATAAGCCAAAATAACTCGCAAATAAAACCACCTTTTACCTTGCTTTTCGAGCCATTTTAGAGCCCCGATTAAAACCCTCCTTTAAACCTTTTCTTCGAATTTTTGACCTTTTTTAAGACCCTTTTTGGCACTCTTTTCATGGCCTCCTTCGGCGGGGCCGACAGTGCATATGGTAGGATCTTTTAACGTGCTGATCGCACGGGCGTTTTTTGGCGCTAAAATGCAGTTAAGCGGCTGAATCTGTCAGATGGAATGGCCTAGAAGGTGCTGGAACCTACGATGCGTAATCTTCGCCACTGGGATTCATCATGTAATTGCCACATAAAGAAGTATAAGAGAGAGTCTTTTGTGGAAAGACTGGAACAGAGGAATAGAAGCAATTTACTCTGGTGCACACAATCCTAAAAGTGCTGTTGCAGTCTGACAGAATCACCTACCACCTGGCACACGTGGATATACTACTGATCGTCCTTTTTGTCCCTTCCTCCGACGACGGCCGAAAATGCGGGGTAGCACAGCTGAGGAAATGCGAAAGTTCTTTGACAAGGCCCCCAGAAGCGGCGTAAGAAAATCGCTTAACTACAGGAAAACATAATATCGATGTAGCTTGGCTTGCTCTCTTTCCAACTCCGCCGTATCTAATAGAATAGCAAAGACTCTCTCCTTTTATTCTATTATAATGATAGACTCGTCTCGCCGGACAGGTATCTCCCGTAGAAACCTCTCTTCCGTTTTGCATTTATCGAGTGACTGCTTGGGAATAGTCAGCGAAAGTACCCCAATCCTCTCCCATATCTGCCATTTCCTCCCTGCTACTTCGTGCGCCTTGCGAAGAGTTATGAATTTTGCAGTCCCGTACCCACTGTTTGCCTCATAGGGATATCTTGATGCAAACATGAGCACGCTGATGATCTCTCCACTGGTGTGCTTCGCTTCCCAATCCTCCTCGGTCATCTGAACACTCATTCCAATATAACAAAGTCGACCAGCAATTCGGTGTCGCTTCTCATCCCACTCTGCGCCTTCGCCAATTCCGATCTTGGCTCTCCCTATTCTTCCCACTTGCCGCTGCCACATGAATGTTGACCCAGGACTCCTGTCGGTGTCGACTAAAACACGCCTGAAATACTTCAACACCTATGGATTCTGGAGCATAATGAGGTCTGGTTTCTCCGTCTCCAGTGTTATGCCACCTACGCAGTCTCTTAACCTAACCGTTTTGGCCGGAGGTCGATTATCTCTAAATTGTCCCTGGTTGAATAGATGCACATCTGCGGCCCATAGTGGCCACGCATCTTCGCGGCCGCACTTGATCAGATCTGCGGTCAAAGCAGCATGTTCAAACTGTGGAGGCGATCGCCAGGTTATCGCGCCCCTTTCGCCAGCGTCCCACCCGGCCCAGGACCATGAGGGAAAGTGAGTTCTCCGACGAGACGCCTCACAGGTGAATGTTCTCTGTATGCCACTCCCAAGATGATACCAGGCGCTGACGGTCAGACCAAACGTTATTTGTGCACCAGAGAACGAGCCGGCAACTTTCCCCATCCAAAGAGGAAGACCGTGCAGAAGATAAAAATCCGGAAGCCGCGTGTACGCATTGGTTATGCCAAGAAACGCGTTCAGTGAGTCGGTGCCGTGGGTTAGTCGACGCTTGGAATAGTCGCGGATATGCTCATCGATCCCGCGGAACTGAGAGCGGACGCCGATTTCCACGGGCTGCGCAAAGCCGTAACTCAATTGGTGAGGGTCATCGGACGGATTGATTGACTCGTGCTCGCCAAATGGACCACCGCTGAACAAATGGCCCTTGAAAATGCCTCCAATCATGAAATCTGCCATCGTCGTCGAATGATCTTCCTCACTTTCGTTCACCGATTGATGCCAGAGTATCGTCGCAAGACTCTCCTGAGTTGCCATGTGATTACACTCCCAGTACATTTGGTTGTCTGTAAAAACCAAGCGGCGATTGGAGAGAACTCCTTCCTGGTAAGTCCATCCTCGTGTCCAGTGAGCAGACTCCATGACATCTCTACGAGGGTCGCGTAAGATGGAAACCAGCGTGCTCCCAGAATCCAGCATGTATCGCGGCTGGGCATTGCGTGGGGTGGACCCAACACCCGGAAGGCCATAGCTGGCCCCGGAGCCGGCGGCCGCAAACAGAGTAATGTCCGCGCATTGGTATATGTCAGTCATTTTGTTGATGAGGTTCCGCTTCTCTTCGGGGTCACTTTGGTTGATGCAGAGTCTGTCGACCCAGAGGTATCTCATACCCAGCGCCTTCGTCACCAGCACGGCGTCGAGAACCGTTCGAGGCCAATCCAACATGTCCTCAGCAGTGGTTCCCCATACGTAGCTTAGCGCCGCGTATGGGGTCCCCCAAGGCTGAGACTCTACGGTGGTGGGCTCCGCCGTGCAGTCAATAAGCCTGAAGCCTTGATTGATGGGCTGATGTGATCCTGAGCTCTTGCATGCTTCACCATGGTGCTCCTTACAGGCTTGCAACCAGTCACGTGCGAGTGGCATGGATGCCTGGACTGCAAGTTCTCGCGGACGAACTAAGACATCCAGGGACGGCTCCCAGGTTTCATCGGCCTGGAGACGGTAGATAACGCCAATTGCTGGGATTTGTCTTTCCATCATGTCGCAGTCGTAAGCCTCTCCGGTAAGTCCTTGAATATCGGGAACGACCGCCATAAACACCGTATTGGTATATTCCATGTCAGCTAAGCCTCTGTCGAGGTCGTCCAGCTGAAACATCCAGCTCTCGCTGCTGGGCCAAGCCAGGAGCTTGTAGTTCTCATACTGGCCAGGCTGTACTCTCATGGCCCGGAAGAATGTGCAAAGAGGGCAAGCCGACTCCTGGGCCAGCCGATGCCCAAAACTGTGAATGTACAGGGCATCCTCGAAATGCCAAGTACTATTGGGTCCCTTATGCACAGGTGCGGCAGCCCTTAATCCATCCGGTCCCTTGATCAGGTTAGTTTTGACGAGCTGGAAGTGCTGAAAGGCGTCGTCGAGAGATTTGTCGAGGTCGAGCGGTTGACAAGCTCTACACAAGGGCGATACCGGATTGAATTTCTGGCGTTTGAAGCGACGCGACTGGCCATCGACGGTCGCCAAGACTGCATCACCGTCCGTATCGAGTTTGCGTATCCTGGAAGAGTTCATGTCGTCTGCTGCTGCTGATGTGGAAAGATTTAAGGAGTCGAAGAGATTCCCCGTGAGCCTGCGTCGATGATAGGGCGAGTGTGGAAACTACGGAGCCACCCAGGCACCAGGCATCGCTGCTGCCTAGTGCCATGGCAAATGCGGAGGGAGCCGGTGCAGGGAAGTGCGGGGAATATTGGCCCTGTGACCGCTCCATTGATGATTCATGAAAGGATGCATACCAGACCAAAATCCATCTGCTTGTCCTACTGTAACTTAGATCTTGGAATTCACTATCCGCGGAGTCTAGTGACCCCAAGGCTTCTTCGATTGTGGGAGCTATGTCGTGTTGCGGCGCACTGCGGCCCCTAAGGCGGCTTCTGGTTTCGCCCTTAGGTTGGGTATGCAAGGCGCTTACCTCGTGCATTACCCAACCCGAGAGTGCCATACACGAAATCCTGGGTAATACACAGCTTGGCGCTAGAGCCGATAATGCAAATAGCAGGGCGACTTACCCAACCAGCTTGGTTTGGCCTAGACAGACTATAAGGTTGGTTACGTAGGCAGATTGCGTGGGTACAGTGAGGGGTCAAAAGTCTGGGGCCACCCAGCCATTCCCCAACCTTCTACATTAAATACAACTACCTTTAACAGCCGATAACTCAACAACGGCACATTGCACGGCAAAACGGTTATAACTGCGTTAAAGCTCAGGTTCCCAAGATTAGTATTTTGTGTAACAGCCCCGAGCTTTTTTTACAGCGGCCAACCGCCGCGGCAGCGTAGTGATCAGTCTGTCAATCTGCCCCTGATCTATAGCCCACCACGCCGCACGCAGGCATTTGGTGAATTCTACGATATCGACCTGGTTCTTTTTGAGATTCCATAGATCAGGGAACAACCTTTTCAGGTTTTTTTTTAGGAGTGCCCAGACGTGTTCAATGGGGTTTAAATCGGGGCTATGTGCCGGCCACTCGATCCAAGAAATCGCCCGGGCATGGAGCCAACTTTCCGTAGATTCAGAAGTGTGAATCCTCGCGTTATCTTGCTGGAAATGCCGTGATTCATCGTAATAAGGAAGCAGGCCCTCTTCCAATGCTTTCTGATAGGATCTAGAGGTATATCCTTTACGTGGTGCCTCTAGATCCCGCTCTAAACGATGAGCTCGCTCCTACCCCCTACCCATACGCATCCCCAGACCATAATCGAGATATTCGCCTTTACATGGTTCTTCAAGTTGATGAACCTCTTATCCCACTTCTCGGAAGGGAAACGGAATACCCAGGCGGTCGGATTTGAGGTGTTGTTCTGGCAGGAACTCTCATCAGAGAACATGGTCTAGATTAGCCGTTAGGTATAAATTCATCATACAACTTTAGTACCACTTACTCGTAGGAATTCGTCGATATTCTCGAGCCAGTCATGGGCAAAGTTATATCTATCCATTGCTACTTCTTTTGACAGCGGAATCCTCTTCATCGCCTTCCATTTGCGGAGGTTATAGGCGCGGAGACAACGGCGTATAGTAGAGGGCGAGATTTTCTTCCCTATGGTGTTGACGAGAGCTTTTTTCGCCAAATCGCGGTTCTTTTTTACCAGCAAAATTATATAGCGCTTCTCAGCACGCGTGAGAGCCTCGGGACGACCTGAACGAGCTTTAGAATCAAAGGTTCGTTGAGTTTTCCAGAGCTCAATGGAGTTGGTGACGGCATGGCGAGACACGCCGAACAGGGTCGCGACAGAGCGCTCACTTTGGCCCGCAGCCACAAGCGTGCAAATGGCTGCACGCATACCTGGAGTTAACTCCTGGTTAGAGCTACGATTTGCGGCCAATTCGGCCGCGAATTCATTCAAATTGAGCTTCATTTGGGCGAGAAATGGTTCTTGGAAAGTTTAAGGGGGTCGCGAACGCGTTGCTCACGCGTTTAATTGATGGTGGGGTGGCCCCAGACTTTTGACCCCTGACTGTAATAACAACAAGGTCCTCGACCTCTGAGTCAGTCAGACTATTATCAGTATTATCATGGCACCCACATAACGCCGTAGTTGTTATACAGAATTACAGGAATACAACGCAGTTATTAGAATACAAATAGCTTCAAATTTGAGTCCAAGACCAATAATTATACTGGCTATATGCCGCGTAGACCTACTCAACGGACGCGTAACATAATCGTGCGGCCGGGTAACGGCCAAGAAGACCTCCGTTCAAAGTGTGGCATTTGATTAGCTATATATAGGACAAAATAGACTTTCCGTTATACAGATGACGGACAGTAACTAGCGCCTTGCTCTCGCCACCTTGCATATCGCCCACACAGACACGTTTAATGTAGTTGGGTTGGGTTCCATTTTTGGCCTTTCTTACCCTACTAATCGGTGCACCAAAAGGGGCCTAAGCCGGTCGTCGAACCGCTCCCAAAGAGTGTGGTCCTTATCTACCAAAACTACTGCACAACCGCCGTAATTACCGTCGACACAGCGAACGCAACTGTCAGAAGCATGGCAATGGCAACAGCAATAGCCACGACCGTGCACCCCCTGCCACGGGTCCTCAATGTCGTCCGATTTGTCACTCCGGAATCAGGAGGTAAGTCTCTCACCGCTCTCGGCGATTCTCATTGTCGCCGCCATATGGTTGTCAGTGTCATGGGTTGCTCATCCGCTATATCTGCTCGGTTGTGTCATCGTACTCTTTGTCGGAGATTATGGTCAGACATTGTGGTGGTAGGTTGGTTATGTAGGCAGCTGCTTGAAGGCTCTAAAGGCCCTACAAAACAGGGCTTTGCTAATCATGTTCAAGTCGCAAACATGTAGTAAGACTAAGCAGGAAGAGCTCGTCCTTTCCGTCTTCCATCAATTCGCGATCCTCCATCAAACCAGAAATCTCCCAGTGCTGGTGTCGCCCGGAGAAAGGACATGAACCTCCTGCTGTCGCCTCTGGTGTTACCGTGCCGTCCATTTTCAGCATCGAGAGCCTCGGGCTAGATTATCAAGACGGACTTGAAGGCGGCTGTTTCCATTCCCCAAAACGTAACGTCGCTAGGACCTTTCCCGTTTCGAAGCACGGTCCCACCATCCTTGTCAGCGCCTTTGCAGCCGCTTCCGAAGGCGAGCGGTGATCGGACAACAGCAAGATCAACTTCTACAACAACAGCAATACCAAGGCTTCAAGCCTCTGTCAAGTGTGCCTGGACTTGCGGGGCCCAGCATGACGGCGTTGCTCCTAACGGCACCACCCAAACCCCTCCCATATCGCTGGTTTCGCAGTCAGCGGAGCGATAGGACCCCAGTAGCACCATTTGAACTGATATACTACCGAACCAACTACCCCATCAAGAGGAACGCTGCGGAGATGCAACTAGCGGCATATTTCAGCAACTCCTCGACATAGGTCGGTGGTTTTGTTACGTTCGAGTCCCGAACAGCGACATTGGGTTTGACACTTCAGATCGGCGATCTTCATAGCGTTCTGACGGTTGGCCATCTCTTTCCACACGGTTTTGGAGTCTCTGAGAGTACAAAAACAGAAGAACTGGTCGACTTGGACGGCTTTAGCGATTCTACACTCAACAGTGACGACATAGAAGAGCTGGGAGATCTCTAGATTGATAGAGGAACCGAGTACTCGGATGACGGCGAAGAGGGCATTCCAAGTAAAGAGGAGAGAACGCCAGAAGATGACCAAGAACACATGCCCGACTCCAACCCAACTCCTGAGATCAGGGGTCCTCAGATCGTCAACACATCCGTTGTGGAGTAGGAGAGACTTTCGCCACCTCATTAGCCTCCACTCAGAGAGTCGTACATGGATTGGGCGCTAGCAGGGCCCAGAGATAATACTCTGGGTCCTCTAACAAACGCGTTCTTTCCTCATAGAGCCGATAAGCCACCTGTGTTTCTCGAAAAGGTCGCCAAGACGCCCAGATTCCACCGCGTCCCTGTTTTAGTCATGTCTATTATCCGAGGCATATTCTCAGGGACTCTCTTGGCATCCTCAGTGATGGGGTCAGGGCCGGAAGAGAGCCATATGAAACGTGGAAATTGATGGTGGGCGGTGCCAACGGTGAGAGATGCATTAAGCTCTAAGAAAATACCAAGACGTGTTGCTAACCCTCGTTTCCAGATATCGTCGATAGTGAGTCAGGGTCACTCGTCATTGACCAAGACACTGAGTAATACGGCCATATTATCAGCTCTGATCCTTTTGGGCACGGTTACATCGTTTCCATGGATCATATCATTGCCCAAATCAAGAGTTGTTTCGGCACAAACGACGTGCAGCCCTTCAACATATCACTCAGCAGTGCTGCTTCAGAAAGCCACAACCTTGAACTAATCTTGGGGAGGTACAAAGAAATAGGACTTTCCGGGCCGGGCTCTAATAGTAGGATCCAGGATTCCTACGTACACTTGCTGAGTGTGCGCGACGGCTCGCAGCTCGCAGACCACTCGTCCACCTGGAGCTTACAGGATGGATCGGTAATCCATGTACGAGGCCCAGAAAGCAATAATGGAGATACCAGCGCCAACTTTTCTTCTACATCGGACACTAGTTCTGCTCTCTCGGCTCAGAATATGCAAGATGCCCTATGGGACGCCATGGTCTACCCGGACGGCCTTGAGGGACAATTTCTCCCAGTATCGATGCGAAAACAGGCCAGGCACGAGCTTGAAATGGACTCGACAATGGACTCGACAATACCGCCACCTGTTTCTTCATTATCAATCTTTCTTCTTAGCCCCAGTATTTATGAAAGGGGACGAAACGGAGCCATATCTGCTAAATTAAACGTCTTTATTTCCAATTCCATACTATATCTTAGTGTATTATCGAAGATGGTGATATATACAGGGTAAACAACGGGAGTAGGAGTAGTTGCAGGAGGTGTAGGTGTGTAAGACTTGGCGTACAGAGGCTAACCTAAGTCTCCAGCAGTCTAGCAAACGAAAAAGTAAGGCGAAACTATCTATTTTCAAGAATAGGGACCTATTTTGGCCATCTTTATATATAAGACCAATTCTGGGCCACTTGGCTAGAGCCGAAGCAATTCAGCATGCTGTGGCGCAGCCTCCGAAAATGGTAATTAGGGTGAGCAAGCCTGAGCAAGTCCTGAGCAAATCCTGAGCCAATCTTGAGCCAATGCTGAACCGAGCCTGAGCCAGGGTAAGCAATGTCACGTGGGCGAAGCACGAAAACGGGAATTTCGTGATCCAAGATTCGTCTCACAAACCAAATAATCTGCAAAGAATGGCCTCCATCGTCTAAGTTAGGTGGGGGGGTAAGCGAACACTACTGATTTAGAACATTCTGTATAAGCAGGAGTCCCAACTAACCCTCCAACAAAAGAAAGGGTGATCTTTTTATTTACAAAACTTCAATACAATCTTTGATATCCTCTGAATCATCCGCTTCTTCCGCATCTTCTAAAACCTCTGCTGCACGCCCTACAGCTCTCTGGGCCTCACGAATAGTCTGAATATTCGCGAAGGTGGTATTTGGATCTTCTTCAACCTTCTTCTTCTTTCTGGCTCTTATTGATTCGAGAGTGTGTTCTAGACCTTCAATCTTTCGCTTCCTAATAGCCAGTTCAAAGGCCTGTTCATCCAAAGCCTTACCAATCTTTCTGAGGAAGAGCTTATCCGCTGGCATTGCTTTGATGATGCGTGCGAACTTCTTTGCCTGCTCAACGTAATCACGTGCCTTTCTAGGAGTCCTCCACTGCACCCGATCGTCTCCATAATCCTCCAGGATTGGCATACGGAGTGTGCGAACCTCTGGGGTAATTATAGTAGTTCTTAAGGGGCGTGAAGTATTAGAATTCTTGAGGAGGAGTGGGCTTCTTAGCGGTTTGTTGACATTCAAGGGCCAAAGGCCTGATGCCTTCCATCCTGACTTAGCATTACTCTTAGTAATTGCCTCTGTGCGTGAAATCTGGTAGCATTCCAGAAACGCACGTTTTCCGGCTACAGAAGAGTCGTCAAAGGCGTTAGCAAGAAGGTCCTCAAGCCGTCTGCGATAAAGTCGTTTTAGGGGGCCAAATATGGCCAAATCTAGGGGTTGGAGGACATGGGAAGTATGGGGAGGCAGATAAATAATGTGAATATTGTTTGTGTATGCCTCCCACATATAATCGGCAGTTGTGTGGCTGCCATGGCCATCAATAATAAGGAGTCGTTTCTCAGAGGAGTTTGCTGGCTTGGTGAGAGGAATGAACACATTTTTTAACCATTTGAGGCTTGTCTCATCGGTAGTCCATCCTTTCTCAGTTGCTGTAAAGAACCAATCCTGAAATGGCTTCATATCCAAAGGAAACCATTGTTGTTGAACGCTTTTCCCCTTAAAAATGACCAAAGGAGGAAGGCAACGGCCAGCTGCTGAGATGCATTCGACAAAAGTGGTCCAAGTGCGGGTTCCAGGCTGTTTTTTTGAAGCGCCTTAAAGGCACGGCTTCCAATGACAAGGCCGTTGGTTCCTCTGCCTTCCATAATACCAGATTCGTCCTTGTTCCAGCGATTCTCTGGCTTAATCGCCTTGATAGCTGGTGTTTGGAAATGGTTGAACCAAGGTCGAATTGTTGACTCTGTAGCGCAGTTGACGCGGACCGAATCGACTCTCTTGGCCCTCTGAGTCTTCAAAATTCGATTGCGGTTAAGAAAGGCACGGCACCACCCCTTTCCAAGTGGTAAGGAGTCCCCCCTTTCAGCTAGAATACGGCGTGCAAGCTCCCTGATCTGTGCATGTGTAGGGGGCAATCCTAAATCTTGTTGAAGAAGAATCCATTCGACTAAACGATCCTCTTAGGTCTGTGTAAGCCTTTGCTCATCTTGATGAGCAACATTTCGAGGTAGGGAGCCATGTAGACGGCCATAAAGGGTGGAGGGTGGAACGTTCCATTTTCGCGCGACTTTGCGTAATCGATGTGTTCTGACGGCTTCCTCGCAAGCCTTGCGGAGGTCTTCTTCTGTATATGAAACCATTGTCAAGAGAAGAATAAAACGAATTGAAGATGAAGAGAATTGGAAAAGAATTGGTTGAGTTATGGGCTTTTTATATAAGAGGGTTGGTTGTGTTCCTCGCTTATCTAGAATGTTCTGGATCAGTGGCGTTCGCTTACTCCCCCACCTAACTTACGACAAAGCCAAGCTTTTCATTTCTCACCCCCTCGGCTACTGCTGGAATATCGAGTATGCCTATATGCCCAAAACTCCGACGTAGAACGCTCTTCAGTCCCCTAAATCTCCTTATTTAAATGGGTAATCCATGTCGGCGCCTGTACGAGAGCATTCTTAGGCACGGTAGCCAGCCACGTCGCTGTATCGCCAACAACCTCGCACGTGACGTTGATAGATATATGCATCCTCAGCGTCTCGACGTATACGGACTGCAAAAGGGGTAGACTGAGCAGTTTCTGGATGTTGAGCACCCGTTCGCCTTTTGAATTCATTTTAAAGGCAGATTCGGCTTCGTCTTGGACTGCTTTCCAGAGAGGCGGGTCCTGGATTAGCTCAAAGAAAGCCCATATAGTAATGGGGATGCTGTTTGCGTTGAGTCTGGCGGTGTCAATGTCAGAGGCCCCTACTTTATATATCCCCATGATAAGACTGAGAACTTACCTAAGGAGAAACCCAATGAAGTACCCGGCCCTCGTCTCTACGCTCAACCCGATGTCCTTCCCCTATTTCAGATATTGTTCTATGAACCGTAAACCAAACACAGGATGCCAATCTTCGTCGTCATCCTCTCTTTCTCCTTCTCTCTCTCTCTCAAGCTCACGACAGGATCAAAGTCCGACCTCAACTACTTAACAGTCATTCGATGAAACCTCTCCAGGATCCTCCACGGCTCCAGATCTATCTACTTCGGCAGCGTATATAATAGCCGCTTCGTAATAGTATTATATTTCCAAAGCGTATCCAGTACGTTCGCCTCCCCTCCACCCCTAGCTAAGAACCGACTCCCCGCTAGTGCCTGGGTCGCTGCTCTCGCTATTTACGTCCGTAAGAAGTGCGATAGGCAAACTACCTTCTAATCCCCCACTACGGATAATACTTATCTACCTGTTCCCGGAAGAACTTGTAGAACCTAGCCGTTAACGCCGATGTGTTGCTCGCGAGTGACAAGTTCCGCGCGTTATTATGATGAAACTCGGCCCAGTACCTCCGTTCTTGATGCGAAGCTGCTGTGCCCTCTATCGGCTCGGGTAGACGGCCGGTCTTGTCGCTCGTAAATTTTGCGAGGTCCTCTGGGGTGAAGCACATCGTGCCCATGACTATAAGCAAGAACGTGTCGGAGCTGAAGGAAGCGGATTTACGGAACAGGGCTTGGACATTTTGCGCTCCGGTGGCGAGGTACACCGGGGTAGGGCCGAGGGACAATTTGACTATCTTTTCTCTTGTTCTTTGTATCGCGAGGCTAGGTGGTCTTGTCAGCCGTTTCATCCTTGTATTTTAAATAGGAGAGAGAAGAAGAAATAGAATGTAGATCCGACACACCTTGCCCGGGAAATAAACAATGCATTATCCATCATGTATTGTAGGGTATTCCCCAGCACTGTGATGCCCTTCCAGTTTGGCAATCTCCGTGGCTCCCTATCGCCGGTCTGTCGTCTACGGAAAATGATGAGTGCGAGCAGCACCGCAAGCAGGGAAGCAGCCAAAATACCAGTAGGCAGTCGAGGCGGGAGGGCCCGCTGCGCAGCCGCGATGGTGTTGTCGGCGGTGTCCATTGCACCAATCCTCTGAGAAAAGACTGGGCCGTAGTTGTTGGGCTGTGGACTCGCTCGGCCAAACCTGATATTATACGATCCTAAGCCCACAGTTGGGTTGGATGAGGGAAATATTATCAGACTAAACTGAACGAGTGAAGTGATCTTCAACATCTTAAAAACTTCGAACCCTTACCTCCGTGTCGACATGATTCTCTCGTCTGGACATGCTCTGACTAGAATACGTTCAAATGAACGTTACATCTTCAGCCGATAGTGAGCCTTCCTTGACCTGATCCATGACTTCGCCCTTCATAATCCCGTACACGTACGCGTCTCCGACGATCTCGAATTCCGAGCGGTTAAGCCTGATAAGCAGCGGCACCGGACATCCATACACGACGCACACCAAATCCCCCTTACGCGCCCCTCGCGGGCCGAGCCCCAAGTAGCCCTTCGCGGTAACAAGAAAGTTCCGGTCGGAACAGACACCCAGCATATCGCTACTGAATAAGATTCTGTGTCGACTGTCGGCAACTAGGCACGGGTAATGATCAAAGGGCCAGGCAAGCCGATTCGCCCTACCGGGCTTTCCCACCAGTTCATCCAGAACTCGGTTCTGCATCTCGTTGTCGCTATTATGCGACGAGTTGCGCAGCCAGTAGAGAATTTCAGGATCGAGCTGCTCCAGGTTGCGCAGCATGGACGCGTCGAGGAAAATCTCTGTATTGTTGGCAATGGCGTGGTACAGTGCATCGCCTGTCTGCTGCTTCTGCTCCGAGAGCACGCCGGCGGCTTGGTTCTATGCCATGAAGCTCATTTCGCAGCAGTAGCCGATCAGGCGCTCAAAGAACCCGTCGGCGAATGCAGCGTTGGGAAAGCTTGCTCGCCCGTATCCTTCGCTGTACGCCTCAGCCACAATGGTGCGGAAGACAGCCTGCCGCCATGGGATGCCCAGAGGGTGGAGATCGCAGTTTTGAGAGAGGGCCATTTTGTTCCACGTCCACAGCCAACCGAACGGCTCATCAATGTGCTGCTCGCTCTCCCACTGCGGGACCAAGTCGACGATCTTGTCCCAGATGACCCCCAAGCCGCGCAGTTCTGCTAAGAGATGGTACTTGGATATGGCACCTTTGTCAGCCGTGTATTCCAGTCGTGCTCGGCTAACGAAAGATGGGACCTCAGGGCGACGACTAAGGTCCAGCACCCAGCTTGGGAGCCCCGGTGTGGCAGAATCCGTAGATGCATAGACACCTAGCCCCGCGAGGGCAACAATATCTAACTTCTTTGCCGTCGTAAGATAGCTGACGGTAAAAGCAGTATACACCTCACCGGCCGACAGGCTATAGTCAGGCTGGAACGGAAAATCCTGATCGCCAAGGAGCCCCAAGACGCCGTAGATTCTATCTCGAGGGTCCGTCGCCTCTGTAGCTCTCCCTTTTTCCATAAGATCGAACAGGCTTGGGGCAAAGCGCTCCCCAGTAGCCTTGGCTTCCTTACGCTGTTCTCGGAGGAAGTTAATGGACAGGATGCCGACAATAGGCCGCTCGATGGAAGTAGCCCTCTTGATCATTTGGTGCCTGGCGGGGTCGACGACGTCTTCAATCGAAAACTGGCCGATGGCGCGCCAGATGATCAGATACATGCGCAGTTGGTCGTAGGGTACTTCTTGTGTCCCATCATGTGTCCCACATAGGACGCGAGGGTCCTGAGCCAGCGCCACTTCCTGCATGATCCAGACTCGGCTCTAGTATAGGCGAGCGAAGAACTTTCTTAAGCTAGAGAAATTAGCTGCATCGAAGGGGTTCGCAATGGCCGCAATGGCCGCCCTCATGGATCCGGGCGAGTGCTCGAGGCGGCCCATATCGTCGTGGTGGGCGAAGCGCTCGATGGCTTCCCCCCAGCGGCGCACGAGCTCGAAGGCGGCATCACTATCGTCAGCGGCCGGGCCGAGCCAGCTTAGGACTTGGGCTGCGCGCGAGTAGATGTTTCCCATGAGCGCTACCTGCGAGCTCTTTTCGTCGTTGGACGACTGGTCGATGCAGAGGGCGTCGATCCATACGTGGTCGACCATGGGGCGGCGGCGCAGGGCTATAAGTGTTAGGTGTAGGTTCGTCGCGACAGGGAACTTGTTGCCGTTCAGTACAATCTCGTGTGTCGTACTCGCGTCTCCCCACAGATACGAGAGCGCAAGGAAGCGAGGTGCTTGAGTAGACGCTACGCTCTCCATGGCGCATTCAATAGGGTTAGCCTCATCCCCGCTCGCCGCGATGGTTGGGAGTCGGATCTCTTGAACAGCCTTCCGGAGGGGCTGGTAAATGCCTAAGGTTGGAGCATTGCGCGAAGACATGCCGGGCGTTCCTGGAGTTGGTGTACCTTCCTCAGTCTCTGAGAGCTCAAACGGGTTGAGATTTAGTGAAGGGTTCGTCAAACCCCGCCGATGACAACCTTCATTGGTCAGCTCCAGGCCAGGCTACTAACGCCCAAACTTTACCATTTCTGCCCAGCCTGGTAGATAGGTATAAATAAAATCCCGGCATCAGATCTCAACCAACGTCAATGCCGGTCTAATGTTATATCCTTAGCATCTCTTGACGGTTTAGTGTACCATCCTTAGGTAAGGTACAGTACGTACCTGCCGGCCGGGTAGGCTTGCCCCTGAGAAGCCTTTGTTTGCTGGCTGCCCACCATATTGCTAAAGTCTTTGCGGGCCAAATGTCTTGCATCGCCTAAGGCATAGCTGCCTTCGTCCCGCCTTATGCACCTATGTAAACCTGCTAAGCTAACACAAGCTAACCACAGCGCCGCCCGCACTACCCGCACAGCACCAACAGCATCGCCACAGAGCCAATTATGCGCTGTCACACACCGCAAAGCCCGTCGTAATCCGCAACCCACAACCTAACCTCAAATCGGTAAGGGGATACCTTAAGCGGGGCGGGTATGGAGAACGGATAGTGTCGGCCATGGCCGACGGTGGAAGTTACTTGGAATATTGCAGAATCTAGGGTATCCCCGCAGAAAGTGCGTGCAGATACCCGCACTGGCGCTTGGGCCAACCCTTTTTCTCCCCTCTTGCCTGCTCTGCGCATCGCTAAAAATCGCGCGCCGCCTACCTAGTAGTTGGGTGGGTGACCTGACCACCAGCGAATCCCTGTGTTGTATGTTTTTTTGCTACATTTTTGCTGTGGGGCTTCCCATAACCTTTTTGTTCAGGGGTACTACAGCAGTTTCTTAGCCGAACATTAAGGTAATTAGCAGTACTTTAGTAACGTGTTTGATAAGCGAGTTGGCCATGATAAGCGAGTTGGCCACTTTCGGCCACGACGCGTCTCCCCTGCACAAAACACCAAATTTCTCCGCAACCAACCATGGCAACTCCTTCGTACGAAGCCAGGGTAAATTTGGCCCTTGGAGCGCGCCAAAAGAATCCAAATCTCAGTAATCGAGCTGCAGCAAAGATCTATGAGGTTAATAAGAATACTCTGGAGAACCGACGCGCTAGCAAACCTTCACGACACGATACTCGAGCCAATTCACGAAAACTTACGGATCTAGAGGAGCATACGATTGTTCAGTATATTACTGAGCTATGCACACGCGCATTTCCTCCTCGGCATCGTTTTGTGAAAGATATGGCCAACCGACTGCTACGCGAACGCGACGCGCCACCTGTCGGCAAACGTTGGACCTACAACTTCGTTAAACCCCAACCAGAACTTCGGGCGCGTTTTACGCGTAGATACGACTACCAAAGGGCTAAATGCGAAGATCCAAAGGTTATTCGTGAGTGGTTTGCACTTGTGTATAACACTAAGGCCAAGTACGGTATCCTTGACGACGATACGTACAATTTCGACGAGACTGGGTTTATGATGGGTATGATCACCACTGGGATGGTGTGACGAACCTGGTTCGTACTGGACCAGCTGCAGGAGGCGGGCGCCTCAGGCATGACTGGGGACCCCGCTTGTCGTTGAACCAATCAGACGGTGCCCGGTGCCAAGAGGGCTCTTGGCACCAGGCAAACAGAAGGACGGCCAATCAGAGGTGGCCCGGTGCCAAGAGGGGTCTTGGCACCAGGCAAATGGCCCGGCACGCTAGCAGTGCCCGGTGCCAGGCAGCTCCTTCCTGCCGGGCAAGTAAGAGCTGCGCTCTTACTGGCCCGCCATAATTAGATAAATACGATGACCGTGTCCTCGGTCTTAGATAGTTCTTGCTTGGTTCTTCAAGCAAGCAATACACATTCACTGCACTCATACACTTTGAGTGGCATTCCGATTTGACTGTATTACCCGTGCGATAGGAGCTTGCCCTTTGTTCTATCTTCATAATTACCAACCCCAGCATTCTGTGGAGCCCGTGCTCCCTTACAGACAGACGACCCTGACAGTCGAGTGGTTTGTAATAGATGGTTATTACTACCTGGTACATCGGTACAACCGATAACGGCTGGACTACCAATGAGAAAGGCCTAGATTGGATTCGGCATTTCGATCTTCACACAACATCTCGTACGAAAGGCAAATACCGGCTCCTAATCCTTGACGGCCATAAGAGCCACCACTCCGACCAATTCGAGGCCTACTGCCAGGAACACGACATCATTACGCTTTGTATGCCTCTACACTCCTCACACCTTGTCCAACCATTGGATGTTGGTTGTTTTGGACCATTGAAGAGGGCTTACGGCCATCAAATCGAGGAACTCATGCGTATGTATATCACACATCACCAAGTTGGAATTCCTTTGCGCGTTTAAAGAGGCATTTTCTACCTCCTTTACCGACAAGAATATCCAAAGCGCCTTTGCCGGAGCCGGCCTTGTGCCGTACGACCCAGAAAGAGTGATTTCCAAGATGGATATACGGCTCCGAACTCCAACTCCACCAGCCTCAAGCCCAGGAACGGCACTACCTTGGCTACCTCAGACGCCACAGAACCCCCGAGAGGCCACCTCACAGATAGACCTTATTAAAGGCCGGATATCTAACCATCAAGGCAGTTCTCCAACACCTATGCTGGCTGCTGTGGACCAATTGGCCAAAGGTACAATGGCCGTAATGTACGAGGTGGCTCTTCTGCGTACGGAGGTCTCTTTACTACGTAAGGCCAATGAGGGGCTTAGTAAGAGACGGAGGGCCAAAAAAACACGTGTTCGGCTTGGAGGGTCACTTACTGTACAAGAGGCACAGGATTTACTGGACCAGAAGGCTGTGGATGAGCAGTTAGTCCAGGAAACACGGCCAAATGGTCGTGGTGTAGGGGGGGCTCGTACGAAGATTCGGTGCTGTGGTCTGTGCGGCAAGACTGGCCATAATGTACGCACGTGTCAGGAGGCTGCAGAATCGTCTGATTCATCTATTTCTAGTTCAGTTATTGTTATTTCCTAATGTTGTGGTGGTGTAATTGTCGATAGTTGTGGTAGGGTGGTGGAAAGTGGCCAACTCGCTTATCATGGCCAACTCGCTTATCAAACACGTTATAACAATGAATATAGATAGGTCATCGGGTAGCAAATCCATGGTCGTGCCGAACCTTGACGCCTCCGGGCCGTTCAAAGTTCGGGTGTGTGGAGCGGAGCGGCCGGCATGTGATGCGCTAGTTGTAGTCGGCTGGATCTGAGAACCTTTCGTGTTGGACTTGTGCTTCGTGCTTCCGCCGGGTCTTGGCTTATTTTTTGTGGCCAACTTTAATCTATATATCGCGTACGTAGATAGGTAGAGGTATCGAAGGTTGAAAAAAAGAAGAAGTAATGGGCAAATATCCCTATTCTACTACTTTGGTTCGTCAAACATATTACAATTCTGAAATCCTGTCGCGCAAACACACACACAAGAGCCATGAAAGCTAGAAGTATAACGGGCTTACCGACCAAACTGTAGGTCTTGATGAACACACGCTCCACTTCAGCCACCGCTGCAGGGCACACAAACCAGCCGCGACCAAAGCTTCCAGGTTGTTAACAAGCCGGCAATATCCGAGTCAAATTATCTTTTTTTCGTCCCAAATTCTATCGAGGTATAATAACCTCTCTCTATTCCTCTATCATGGTCTTCATGGTATTGTCACACACCTGCTTCTATTCACCCAATATGCTGAACAAAAACAAGGGTTGGCTACCCGAAGACAAGCTGGACCCTACGTTTCCGCCTCTTCCTCCTTACGCGCTACAATCGGAGTCGGGCGACGTCTCTGAAAAGGAGAAACGTCCTTCCATATTTCACTCAGTCGAGCCTAACGACACAAGAGCCCAGCAGCAGGAAGAGGCTAGTAAGGGCAGCACCAAACTCTGGGGGCGGGCGCTACGCCGAATCTTTCCAAGGGTCTCACGACATCCCAAGAACAAGATATACACCGCATCTGCTACTACTGCTGCCACTGCTACTGCTGCTGCCACTGCTGCTGCTGCTGCCACTGCTGCTGCTGCTGCTGCCACTGCTGCTGCTGCTGCTGCCACTGCTGCTGCTGCTGCTGCCACTGCTGCTGCTGCTGCTGCTACTACTATCCAAAGGGGTGGACATCCCAACGTTAGCCAAGGTGTTCCGAAATGGTGTGGACATAACGGCATGACGTGCGGCTCTGGCACTATATCGACTAAGTTGGGGTTGCCCCTGGTGCCTCCCCCTCTCGCTAGTCGCTACTCGTTCGACGTTCTATTTTGCCCCCCACCATCGCCATTTACGTCCGAGGATACCCACTGGCAGGAGGCCCGGCTATGTTTCTCGTTCAACGACTTCTCGAGGGTCCGGGGATCGGTTCCGTGGCGGGCGAATATTAACGATTACGCCTGTTCCGACGCACTAAGCTTTTTGAACTATCCCTCCCCGCCCCATTCTTCTTGGATGAGCCCTGGGGAAAGATCAAGGCGTACAATTATACGCCTTATAATAGTACCTCGGTTGGTGGGCATACCTATGAGCGTAAAATCTCACTCATTCTAGAGCGCAACCTGAGCGACTGGTGCGAGCAGTGTGTGGAGCGGGCCAGTCAGTGATGCTTTCCTTTCCAAAGGCGCGATCCCTTCGGGACCGATCGGACAGAGTGTCGGGCGCCTTCCTGGCGAATCAGGTCAGGTACATTCAGGTAGGCTCGTCCTTTCGACGTGGCTTTTTTCGGCGAGCGCGTCAGTCAGCATGGCTCCGTAAATTTGATGGCACAGTTACTCCTATGAAGAGCTGTCATAGCAATGCTGAAGCCGTGAAAAAGCACCGCATCACAACTGTCACGGTCGCCACAGGGCTCATGTGACAGAATTGATTCTATTGGCTGCATTGTGCTTAGGGTGTGGCCTGTGCCACTGAGCACCACTACCTATTTCTCCGCGCCCTGCGCGGACCTGGCGATAGATTCCTTTCTCTTCTTTAGCTTTAAATCCACATTCGTTACTGCCTTCAACCATTGACATCCCTACTGCGTAAGGCGGGCCGTCACAACAACAAACACAAAAACAACACTAAGGCGAGCCGCAGTGAAGCTGTGACAAGGCACCCACACAAAAAAAAAAAGATCATGGCGAGCCGTAGGTTTGGAAAAAGGGTGTAAAGGTCGACGTTTTCTAGAAAAGAAAAGGGTGATCCGTTGGGGGGTGAAGCATGGTAGGTATTCTTTGGTGGCGCTGACACTCACACGATAGACTGCGCCCAACTACGGTGTAAGAGGAGGCAGGTACGCCTGATCAAGGTGGTCACAATGAAGGGAGCAAGAAGGGTGAGCAATAACTGGTATTGGTAAAAGACTTCAACCTGGCCCTCGCAAAGGAAGGTAGGCGAGGGCCACTATTATACACATGGTTGGTAGTTCAATCTGGCGGGTGCCTGGGCCAGTTGGTGGCGCCTGGGCCGGGCCGGGTGCCGGGGCCGGGTGCCTGGGGTGCTCTTTCCTTACATACAGTCCTCGGCGGCGGGTAGGGATTTCGATAGGCGTGAATAACCTGTAGAACACATGCAGATAGTAATCCCGATACCAAGCTAAAGTTTTGTCGAAGAATGCAATGGTCGAATCGTTAAACGAAGCGCGGGCTCTCCCATCACCTCCATGTCTATCAGATGAGCATCACGTATCAAGGCCGTTTGCTCTGCTCTATTCCACACACGACCATAGGCGCTGGAAAATTCGGGATCCCGTCCGCTCTCCCATAGACAAGCCAGCGACCGCCATCTTAGTTGTCGGATTGAGCGACTTTTTTCTTTACCGGAGTCGTAGACCTACTATTAATCGAATACACCCAATCAAGTCACTATTACCCATCCACAACAACCTACCTATCCCGACTCACAACTCACGTATATTAGGTAGGTAGTTAGATAAATGACTAACATCTCTCTCTATTTTGAAATATATATTGTCTACTCTAGATTTTGTAATTAAGTATGGAACAACCCTCGATAAGAGTTGACTGGGTGATCGCTGAGGGCCCGAAAATGGGCTCTAGAAGTGCACAGAATAAGAGTGTGGCGTCTCACGGCGCATCCGTTTCTGTCACAATATTGGGATTAGTGAGCAAGAAAGATCTAGAAGCTGCTATGTGATTCTTCGCCACCAGCTTTTGCCACTATTCATAACTATAAAAAAGAGACTTTTGGCCCTGCCAAAGAAAACAAGAGATTAGACCTTTTCAGACAATTCAAGCCTTACCTCCCTGCATCGAATGCTTCATTTCCGTTGCCCTATGAATGCGCGTGACAGTTTCATAACCTTCAAACCAACGACGACCGTTCACAAGACCAAACAAAAAAAGGAGCATGAAACGGACAAAAATCTCATATCATCCCTCCCCTTCTTCCCCCGTTTTGCTCTCAATCCCCCTCTTCGCTCGCTATGCCCTCAATTCCCTAAAACTTACCAACTTCGTCGCCATCCCTTAACTTGTATTATCGTCGCCCTAAATAAACCCATATTATCTCTATCTTCGCTGGGCCCCTGCGATGGCAAAAAAGCGAATCAGGCGTCCAGGTCAAAAGCCTACAGGCGGCCTACCAGCACAGCAAACCCGTCGTTTCGCGAATGACCTCAATTCGCAGAGACAGCGGGATAAAGAGAGCGAAGAGACAATCCGACAACAACCGCTAAGTGATAGAGTTATTATCTCCAACAAAACAGAACTAAGTCGGCATAGTTCTTGGATTGAATGGACCCAGTATGGGATGCTCGGATTTCTATTTTTTTTTAAAATTACTGATGAGAGCGCGTCGCTCGACTTGATCCGAATGAGGTCATTCTTGACCTTTGCAGAGACCCCGGTAGCCAAGCAAGAGGCGTACTTCAGTTCAATAAATTTCTCCAGCACTACATCGAGAAATCTGAAACAGAACGCCCCTCCCTTGGCCCGAGCGAGACGGAATTTGCTCTAACAGTCACACACTTTAAGACCGTGCTAGACAAGCTAAAGAGTATAACTGCGTACGTGGACCATCATAATTTGCAGGAGAAGAGGAAAAATGATCCTACCAATGCGGGTCAGTGGACCTTAGCCGCGCCCTACTTCAACTTCAAAAACCCGGCTGGGATGAGTGGCCCGATATCTAATATATACTTGGTATGTTCAACGATCTTGAGCCGAGTAGGATGCTAATGGGTACCGTGATAATCATAGTGGACGATGCAATACTTGGCACCCAAATTCAAGCTTTCCCGCGAACAACAATTCGACAAGCTCGAAGCAACTAGCGGTGATATACGACATATTCTGGCCATGGCCTGGACGAATGCCGTTCAAACTGACCACGATACTCGGCTCGACTTCTGCATGACTCTTATATTATGTGTGTCACGGTAAGCGCCAAGACATTCGGTTGAGCGGTCCCTGCAAGGAATCCCAATTGGGCTCCACTAGACTAACTTTACTTTCCCGAGCCCCGCACAGGACTTGGAATCTTCTTTCCCTTTTCCTTTCCTTAGGTTTAGATTCTACGAATACAGCGACCATAATGCAGCCTTGCCTCATCTAGTTGACTGTGCGGTGACAGCACTCGTATTAACTAGTATTTATCGACGAGTCTGGCTATAATAAACGGAGCGGGCATCGACGTAGGGCTGGGCGCTGAGCGGAGTAACGCCCGTGTAAGTTAACGAGTTCAACCACGAACAACGGTTTCAGATTCTTGCTGCGTATACACAGAGTGGCGTTAGACTAAGACTAGCACGTATCTACCCTAGATCCACTAGTGCCGTTATATTTGAAGATTTTATCGGACAGCTATTGCTCTGTTGTGGCAAATGGCCAGAGACAAGTTTAGTCCATGTTACGGATAATGCCTCTATCCAGCGCTTAGAGAGACTTAAGTAGATACGTATCGACGCTTGAGTAAGACTATTAAACTAGAGCCCCACTCGCCAGATATGAACCCGATCGAGGAGCTCTTTATAGAGATCAAGACATACATCAGATAGCAGCGGTATAACTACGCCGATTTCTTTGAGAAAGACCTCGAGACGTTCTTGAAAATGTGTGTTGATTTTGTGGGTTCTCGGGCGGCGAGTGCTGAAGGTCATTTTCGTCACTCTAGCATTTCCATTGAGTACTGTTGCACGCGATCGAAGTTGACAGCGCATTGAATTGTCTGCTCCCTCAGTCTAAAAGTACAGAAAAGAACGCTTCCTTATACTCGTGGAGAGAAGGCAAGGGAGGCGTTGTAATCAGCCCGAAAGAGGGCATTCCGAATGAAATGAGGACATTCCAAGTCAAGAATGAAGGAAATAACAAAGAATGAAGGAAGCTCAGAGGCATGTCAACCAGGGCCTGTCCAATTCCATGAAAAGTGGGTCAATTCCAGACGACAAGTACCCTCCCAAACTTTCCGAATAGTAGTATAGAATTATCACAGAAATAGGCTACCTATTACCGACTTAATACGCCTACGCCTTACCTAGCCAAGCCTTGATCTTGCTAATAAACTGGATGGCGATTCCTCACTTGACCCCCTTCTTAGAAAGTTACCTTGCTTCAAAATTCTGGGCGGAGTAGAGCCGCTCTGTAAGCTTCAACAGTCTTCCTTTCTTTAATAGCATTTTCCACTCAATGGAGTAGTGGATGCATGTGGGCGGGGATTCGTTAGATGGCAGGCTGGGGTTCCAGTTGACTAGTTGGAGCAGTGGCAGCCCCGGTCTGCTTCTCTGCGGCTGATCATGCGGGGCCGGACTCGCGCCGCGACTGCTATAGGTAGGTTCGGGAGTTCGGTAATCAAGATCATTCTCGTTATACCACTGGCTTGTATCGAAACTTGGGTTAGCCCTGGTGGCGACTCTCTACTGCAATCTGGTGCTGGTGATGACTCGAGACAACCCATGCGGCATGTCAGCACTCCAAAACATTAGCTTGACTGGCAAACTGGTTACCCATCGATTTTAGCCGAAGATCAGCCGCCCCGACCTGCCTTGCAACCATGCAGCCGCAAGAGTTGTGTTGGAAAAAAGCCTCTATTTTGATACAGCCAATTGCGCTCAGGCAGGCTTAGGTCAATGCAGGCTAACGGAATGGGCCTAGCCCAAGGCAACCCCTTTTTTTGGGGGTAAAATGGGGTCCCCTGCTGGCATGTCCCCAGGGCCTACCTTTTAGACACTACACACAATCAGTGCATTGCATCTGCCCAAAAACTTTGGTCCACTTTTGTGCCGTGTTTTCCAACAAGTTGGCGTATTCCTGCTTCGTCACCATCGAGAATCGACTCTTCAGCAATCGTCGTTATTATATATCAACTTTTCAGCAATCGTCGCCATCGAGAATCGACTCTTAAGCAACCGTCCAACGGCCATGATGCAATCCACGTCTTTCGGAGCCGGAAACCGGGGCCAGCAGGTGGGGCTGAACTACGGGACGGTCAACGCGGAGTTCCATCTCCCGCCAGGTAACGCTAGCGCCGTCCGTGCCTGCGCCCAGCCCACGCTGACGCTTCTATAGAACGAGCCGAAACTCCACCAGCCCCCTCCGCGACTATCCCCTTCTCCCGCGACCCCGATTTTGTCAACCGTGGAGATATTCTCGTCCAAATCGACCAGCGATGTTCTAAGCCCGCCGCTCGTATGGCCCTTGTGGGCCTGGGTGGCGTTGGCAAATCGCAGCTTGCCATCGAGTTCGCTCACCGAATCGCCACGGGGCAGCCCGACACATGGATATTCTGGGTCTACGCTAGCACGCAGGCGCGTATCGAGGAGGGGTTCAGGACGATTGCCGACGCCGTCAAGCTACCCGGCTGCAACCAAACCAAAGCCGACATCCCACAACTTGTGTACGGCTGGTTGTCTAACGAACGGAACGGCAAATGGATCATCATCCTTGATAGCGCCGACGACCGAGACGTGTTCTACGCGGCAAACGGCGGCCGCGAAGGAAAACCGTTAGCGAGCTACCTTCCACAGAGCCGGAACGGGTCTATCCTTATCACGACGCGTAGCAAAGACCTGGCATTTAGGCTTACCGGGAGCCACAAGAACATCGAGGTTGGGCCGATGGCGTTGGGTGATGCACTTCTTCTCCTAGAGAAAAAACTAGACCCGCTCTCAGATATGGACGCAGCCAAAGATCTAGTACAAGCGCTCGACCTTATTCCTCTTGCCATCAGCCAAGCGGCGGCATACATCCAGGCAAGGTTACCGATGAGCTCGGTCACCAAGTACCTGGCCGAGTTCCGCAAGTGCGAGCGCAAGCGGGCTCAGCTTCTCAAATACGACGCGGGTGATCTACGGCGGGATGGTGGGGCATCAAATGCTATCTCCACCACCTGGGAGATCTCCTTTAAATACATCCGCTCGCGGAGACCTTCTACAGCCGACCTTCTCTCGCTTATGAGCTTCTTCGATCGACAAGGCATCTCTCCGTCACTTCTTAGGCCTGTCGATGTCAAAACTATTCAGCAAGTAACGCACCTTGCCGCATCAGAGGATTCAGGGTCTGAGTCTGGTAGTGGTAGTAGTGGTGACGAAGGTGGGAGGTTTGAGGACGATGTGGCCATGCTAAGAGACTTCTGTCTTATAACCGTCGACGAGGACGGTAGTGCATTTGAGATACACGGGCTCGTACAGCTATCCACGCGGAGGTGGCTGGAGTCGGACGGGCTACAAGACAAGTTTAGGCAGCAATTTATTAAGCGGATAGCTACGGCGTTTCCTACGGGAGACTACGATAATTGGGCGACGTGCCGGCAGCTCTTCGCCCATGTTGAAGCGGCTATAGATCAGCGACCAGCCGAAGAGAGCATAGAGGAGTGGGCAAGTCTTATGTATAACGGAGGGTGGTATGCGTGGTCGCAAGGCAGGTATAAGGTGGCAGAACGGATGATAGGCAAGGCCCAAAGGAACCGTGAGAAGACATTAGGAAAAGACGATAAGAAGACTTTAGATAGTATGTTATTATTTGCAACGGTCCTGTTGGACCAAGGCCGGTGGGAGGAGGCCAAGAAGCTGTTTATGCAGGTGATGGAGACTCGCAAGACCAAGCTCGGGGCCGATCACCCAGATACGCTGACGAGCATGGCCAACCTAGCGTCGACATTTTGGAACCAGGGCCGGTGGGAGGAGGCCGAGAAGCTGTTTGTGCAGGTGATGGAGACGAGCAAGACCAAGCTCGGGGCCGATCACCCAGATACGCTGACGAGCATGGCCAACCTAGCGTCGACATTTTGGAACCAGGGCCGGTGGGAGGAGGCCGAGAAGCTAGAGGTGCAGGTGATGGAGACTCGCAAGACCAAGCTCGGGGCCGATCACCCTTCTACGCTGACGAGCATGGCCAACCTAGCGTCGACATTTTGGAACCAGGGCCGGTGGGAGGAGGCCGAGAAGCTAGAGGTGCAGGTGATGGAGACTCGCAAGACCAAGCTCGGGGCCGATCACCCAGATACGCTGACGAGCATGGCCAACCTAGCGTCGACATACAGGAACCAGGGCCGGTGGGAGGAGGCCGAGAAGCTGTTTGTGCAGGTGATGGAGACTCGCAAGACCAAGCTCGGGGCCGATCACCCAGATACGCTGACGAGCATGGCCAACCTAGCGTCGACATACAGGAACCAGGGCCGGTGGGAGGAAGCCGAGAAGCTAGACGTGCAGGTGATGGAGACGAGCAAGACCAAGCTCGGGGCCGATCACCCAGATACGCTGACGAGCATGGCCAACCTAGCGTCGACATACAGGAGCCAGGGCCGGTGGGAGGAGGCCGAGAAGCTAGACGTGCAGGTGATGGAGACGAGCAAGACCAAGCTCGGGGCCGATCACCCTTCTACGCTGACGAGCATGGCCAACCTAGCGTCGACATTTTGGAACCAGGGCCGGTGGGAGGAGGCCGAGAAGCTGTTTGTGCAGGTGATGGAGACGAGCAAGACCAAGCTCGGGGCCGATCACCCAGATACGCTGACGAGCATGGCCAACCTAGCGTCGACATTTTGGAACCAGGGCCGGTGGGAGGAAGCCGAGAAGCTAGACGTGCAGGTGATGGAGACTCGCAAGACCAAGCTCGGGGCCGATCACCCAGATACGCTGACGAGCATGGCCAACCTAGCGTCGACATTTTGGAACCAGGGCCGGTGGGAGGAGGCCGAGAAGCTAGAGGTGCAGGTGATGGAGACTCGCAAGACCAAGCTCGGGGCCGATCACCCAGATACGCTGACGAGCATGGCCAACCTAGCGTCGACATTTTGGAACCAGGGCCGGTGGGAGGAGGCCGAGAAGCTAGAGGTGCAGGTGATGGAGACTCGCAAGACCAAGCTCGGGGCCGATCACCCTTCTACGCTGACGAGCATGGCCAACCTAGCGTCGACATACAGGAGCCAGGGCCGGTGGGAGGAAGCCGAGAAGCTAGAGGTACAGGTGATGGAGACTCGCAAGACCAAGCTCGGGGCCGATCACCCAGATACGCTGACGAGCATGGCCAACCTAGCGTCGACATACAGGAACCAGGGCCGGTGGGAGGAAGCCGAGAAGCTAGAGGTGCAGGTGATGGAGACTCGCAAGACCAAGCTCGGGGCCGATCACCCAGATACGCTGACGAGCATGGCCAACCTAGCGTCGACATACAGGAACCAGGGCCGGTGGGAGGAAGCCGAGAAGCTAGACGTGCAGGTGATGGAGACGAGCAAGACCAAGCTCGGGGCTGATCACCCAGATACGCTGACGAGCATGGCCAACCTAGCGTCGACATACAGGAGCCAGGGCCGGTGGGAGGAAGCCGAGAAGCTAGACGTGCAGGTGATGGAGACGAGCAAGACCAAGCTCGGGGCCGATCACCCAGATACGCTGACGAGCATGGCCAACCTAGCATCGACATACAGGAACCAGGGCCGGTGGGAGGAGGCCGAGAAGCTGGACGTGCAGGTGATGGAGACTCGCAAGACCAAGCTCGGGGCCGATCACCCTTCTACGCTGACGAGCATGGCCAACCTAGCGTCGACATTTTGGAACCAGGGCCGGTGGGAGGAGGCCGAGAAGCTGTTTGTGCAGGTGATGGAGACTCGCAAGACCAAGCTCGGGGCCGATCACCCTTCTACGCTGTCGAGCATGGCCAACCTCGCTTTTACTTGGAAAAGTCAAGGTCGACACGCTAATGCTTTAGCTCTGATGGAGGATTGTACCCAGGCTCAGCGGCGGGTTCTTGGCCAAAAGCATCCCGAAACGCTATCGTCTTTAGCCACCGTTGCAAAGTGGAGTAGCTAGGGTGGGCTTTATTATATTCTTCTAACTTTTTCTTATGAGACGAGTGATAAGATAAGAGATAAGACGCCGCATTTTTATTCGGTGCACTTCTAGAGCCCCATTTTCGACTCCTGTATACCCTCATTTTCGGCCACTTTGAGTCTCAAGAGACAAGGCTTCCGACCGCTAGACTAGTAGTTGGGTGGGTAACCACCAGCGAATCCCTAGTCCTGTATGTTTTTGGCACTTCTTTTTTCACGGGCGCCCTTGCCAGTATTCTTTAGGCTTAATCGTGTCGTTGCGCCAGTGGCATTCCAGTGGTGGCCGTAGCGGCGGCATATCTTTTTCGTCGCTTGGCGTTATTGCTGCTGCAGCCGTCGCTGCGCCGCCGATGGCACCAAATAGGCTCACCCCCGTCGGGATCAGCGAACTCCTACTAGTCAACGTCATCATTACCGTTAGTCCTCTGAGAGACGATGAACCCTAGCTTGAATAAGATAGTAGCCCGATCTATTTCTTACCAAGTCCAAGTCGGCAGGCCCGCATTTGAAAAATAGTACTACCCAATATAATGGCGACTACCTTCCTCATTCTTTCAGATACGTACGACGATGCCTTCCCCGACCTAGCGTCGCTCCCCGGCAAGGTCGACGTCGTGCTCCACTACGGGGACCTCACCATAATCGGAGGCCTGAGCAACTATAAGAAATCCATCGCCAATAGCCGCCTAGATTTGGCGCCTAGATTTGGCGTATCGGGCGGTGGAGGCTGCGGTTAAGGGACCCCGACCGCAGCCATCGCGGCGCCTCGAAAAACACGCGTTCCGGGTGATATATTAGTAGAGATCAATAACGTGCGTGATAAGCGAGCGGTGAGGATAAGCGAGCGGTGACTTTTCTAGCGTGACGCGACCTTCCACCCTCTTTCACCAATTCTACCACCAATTCGCCATGGATTCGCTTCCGGCCGAATCTAGAAATATTCTAGCCCTCAAAGCTATCAAAGACAGCCCAAAGCTCAAACTTCAACGCGTAGCTAAAATCTACAACATACCACCAACAACCCTTACCGCCCGACGCGACGGCCGGCCTGCACGACGCGATATTCCAGCCAACTCACGCAAGCTTACGGATTTAGAAGAGAATACAATTATTCAGTACATTACTGAGCTATGTGCACGCGCATTCCACCCTCGGCTTTGTTACGTGGAAGATATGGCCAACCGACTGTTACGCGAACGTGACGCGTCCCCTGTCGGCAAACGCTGGGCTCACAACTTCGTCAAACGCCAGCCAGAGCCCCAGACGCGTTTTTCGCGTAAATACGACTACCAGAGGGCTAAATGCGAAGATCCAAAGATTATTCGCGAGTGCCCTTGTGTATAACACTAAGGCCAAGTACGGCATCCTTGACGAAGATACGTATAATTTCGATGAGACTGGCTTTATGATTGGCATTATCACCCCCACTATGGTAGTTACTACCTCAGATAGCCGTGGCAGGGCTAAACAGGCCCAGCCTGGCAATCGAGAGTGGGCTACAGTCATACAGGGGGTGAATTCTCTTGGCTGGGCCATCCCACCATTTATCATCTTGGCTGGGCAATATCACCTTGCCAACTGGTATCAAGAATGCAACCTTCCGGCCACCTGGCGTATTGCAACAACTGACAATGGCTGGACTACGAATGAGAAAGGCATGGATTGGATTCGGCATTTCGATCTGCACACAGCGTCTCGTACAAAGGGCAAATATCGGCTTCTAATCCTTGACGGCCACGATAGCCACCACTCCGAAGAATTCGAGGCTTACTGCCAGGAACACAACATTATTACGCTCTGTATGCCTCCACACTCTTCAAACCTACTTCAGCCATTAGATGTTGGCTGTTTTTCGCCATTAAAAAAGGCATATGGCCACCAGATCGAGCAGTTGATGCCGATGAGCATTACACACATCAGCAAGCTGGAATTTCTCTGTGCGTTTAGAGAAGCCTTGTTTACTTCGATTACAGAAAGAAACATCCAGGGGGGCTTTGCCGGAGCTGGCCTTGTGCCGTACGACCCAGAGAGGGTAATATCTAAGCTGGATATACGTATTCAGACCCCAACACCCCCACCAGCCCCAAGCCCAACCACACTACCTTGGGTCTCCCAAACGCCACATAACCCTCGAGAGGCCACCTCACAGTCAACACTTATTAAAACGCGAATTTCCAACCATCAGGGCAGCTCTCCAACCTCAATGCTTACTGCTGTGGATCGACTAGCCAAAGGTACAATGGCTGTGATGCACGAGGTGGCTCTTCTACGTACTGAGGTCTCGGCATTACGAAAGGCCAATGAGGGTCTCAGTAAGCGACGGAGGGCTAAAAAAACACGTGTACGGCTTGGAGGCTCACTTACTGTACAAAAGGCACAGGATCTACTAGATCAGAAGGCTGTGGGTGAGCAGGTGGCCCAGGAAATACGACAAAGTGGTGGTGGTACAGGGGGGTCTCGTACGAAGATTCGGTGTTGTGGTGTGTGTGGCAAGCCTGGCCATAATGCGCGCACTTGCAAGGAGGCTGCAGAATCGTCTGATTCATCTGTTTCTGATTCAGTTATTGTTATTTCCTAGTGTTGTGGTTGTGTAATTCAGGATTATTGTGGTTAGATAGTAGAAAAGTCACCGCTCGCTTATCCTCACCGCTCGCTTATCACGCACGTTAGGGTAATAATCGTAAAGTATTCGGCGTGCCTGTTCATAGCTGGAAAGCGATAAATCGGGCGTGCGATTGAAGTTATAAGTCAGGTGGGGGACTTTTGGAACACCCCTGCCTATGGAACAGCCCCTGAATCGGACCCCGCACAACACCACAAACTTCAATTGCCAACAACTTTGTCAATTAATTAGCTACAATGATGAAGTCTTCAGTATCGGATTTTCCTGATTCTTCTCTTTCAGAATAACTAAGGTCCTCTCTGCCAGCCTCTCTCTGTGAGGCACGAACCTCCTCAATTCCAGCGAACTGCGTATTAGGGTCGACTTGGACCTTCCTTCTCTTTCGGCCTCTTGTGCGTTCTAGGCTTTTTTCTGCAGCCTCCAATTGATGCGCCGTATTGGCTAGTTGGAAAACCACGTAATCGAAGGCTTTTGCGGCCTTGTGTATGAAAAGTCGGTCGTTGGCAGTCCGTTTCTGGCCGGCTAGAAAAACCTGCCCCTGAATACGGAAATCCTTCGGCTTTTTAGGGGTAAACCATATAGGCCGGCCCTCCGAATTCTTATTTAGAATGAGGTTATGGACCTCTTGAAGGTCTATAGAAACCGTAGAGGTCAGTTGACCAACGTCGCCGTTAGAATTCTTAATAACAAGGCCGTTGCTTAGGGGCTTCCTGAGGCTGACCGGCCAGAGGCCTGTAGCTTTCCAGCCGGCTTTGATATTAGATTCAGTCATTCCATAGACCCTGGCTTGCCGGTAGCATTCTAGGAAGGCCCTCTTTTCAGCAACAGTGCCTTCGTCGAAGCCGGAAACAACCTCGTTATGCTTGGCTCTGTACCGGGCTTTAAGAGGGCCGAAAACCGATAAATCCAGGGGCTGGAGAACGTGGGAGGTGTGGGCTGGTAGAAATAACAATTGTACGTTATTAGAAAAGGCTAGCCACATGAATTCTTCGGTGGTATGACTACCGTGGCCATCTAAAATAAGGAGGCGCTTCTCCGAGGGGGTAGCTGGCCGAGTATCTGGAAGAAAGATATTGCGGGGCCATGCGACGGCAGTATCATCGTCAGACCAGCCGTTTTCAGTGGGTTTCCACTTCCAGCCCTTAAATGGCTGTAAATCGCGTGGATACCATTGTTGTTGAAGGCTTCCACCTTTGAAAATGACGACTGGGTTCAAATACCGGCCGTCAGCGGAAATACATTCGATAATCGAGGTCCAAATTCGGTCTCCTTTCTTCTTTTTCTGGAATTTTTTTCTTTCCTTAGATCCAACAACCAGGCCGTTATCTCCAATGCCAGAAGCAATGCCAGTTTCATCCATATTATACCTATGCTTGGCTGGAATAGCCTCCACGCCTGGAGGCTTCAAATAGTCAAACCAAGGCCGGATAACGGCCTCACAGGCTCGATCAGCACGGTTTGCATGGCTTCTCCGAGGCCTAATTGTAGAAATAGATGGATTTCTAGCCAAAAACCGGCTAGTCCAGCGTTTTCCGAGGGTCTCGTTATCTTCGAGCATTCTTCTAGCTAGTTTCCGAATTTGGGCGTGGGTTGGAGGGTGACCGAGCGACCCTTGGAATAGAATCCATTCGGTTAAGCGTTCTTCCATAGCCGGAGAAAGCTTTTGATTAAGAATTTGGGCCTTGGAGGCTGGCTCGGAACCACGAGCCCGATTAAAGAGAGTAGTAGGGGGGATGCCGTGATTTTCAGCAGAGCTACAGAGTTAGCCGGTTTCTGCATACTCTGCCAGCGCATTCTGCAAATCCAACTGAGTATATCGCTTCATCTTTCATTTCTCAATTGAATGGAGAAAAGAAGATAAGTATTGAAGCAGAATTGGTCGAGTTGCAAGCGATTGAAATAGGTGAGTTGGGTGGCGAGCGGCAAGTCCTTGATGACAAACCTTGTTCCAAATCCAGGGGTGTTCCATAAGCAGACCACCTGACTTAATTAAACAAATATGGAACATGGGAGAGCTAAGCTCATTCCCCCATCCAAAGCACCGAACTATGCGGCTGCCGTAACCAAGACAGCCAAGAGAATTGCCAACCTTTCCAACAAAACAAAATCAAAACCAGGGTGTGTACAAAACAAATAAAGAAAAAGAGCCTGAAAGGCCAATGCGCTATTTCTCGCTAATAATGTTGGCTACCGGGAGCAGTAATCCACACCCTTCCAGCCCCTGAAATCAACAGTAGATGCTCGCTGATCAAGATGTGTCAGATTAGCCACATGCCAAGTTACGTAATTGACCCCGGTCGTGGCGCCGATCCACCGCAGGGGGTGGCTGGTGCGCCACAACAGAGACTTCTAGAAGAACGGGCGAGAGCCAGGAATTGAAGGAACAGACAAGAATACACACAATTGAACTTATCCAACCGTGCAACTGACCAAATCCAACAAGATGCATGTGCTGTACTTCAGCCCCCGACTAAGGTAGGTAGGGTGCCATGATTTTTGGATGAGGTACCCTCCACTAATCAAGCCTCCCGATAATACCCGTGCATGAGATAGTCCTTGTTCAGCGGACACTTGCCCCGGGTGCGACAGCAAAGCCAGTTGCTAATAGCCCTACGCAGCTTACAGGTCATGACCCACCACTCGATCGCACCCTCCGTGTCCTCCTCCTCGCTGCAACCGGTGAGTACAGAATCAGCGTCAACGATAGCCTTGGTCAAGTACAGCTTCTCCTGGACCGTCTCAAGCAGGCGCGGCCACGACGACAGCAGGTGCACACTGTCCATTCTCAGCTCGCGCAGCGTCTTCTTGTGCCCTAACAGCACCTTCACCAGCTCATCGCCATCGCACCACACGCTGTCCAGGTGCAGCACCCGCAGCCGCGGCCAGAAACACCGCGGCGAGATGACGTCTTTCAGATCAATGCCGCCGGGCCAGTTGTCCGCCAGCGTCACCAGGCTCTGGTCCGTCGACCCGGTCGCGCGCACGTCGAGCACCTCGAGCGCGTGCATGCGCCGGTCCGCGAGGAACTCGCCGACGGGCCGCAGCCGCGGCGCCGTCTCCGTGTCGTCGTCGTCGTCCTCGCCGTCGACGTACCACCACAGGTGCGGCCGGTAGTCGAATTCGAGCCGCAGGTGCTTGAGCCGCGGCAGTAGCCGCGGCGAGTCGCGGTCGCTGCCGAACTCGTTCATCGTGCACGCCCTCAAGAACGCGGCCCAGTCGAGCTCGCGCAGCTCGAGCCACGTCAGCGTGCAGTTGGCGCCCGAGGCCTCCAGCGCTCCCAGTACGTCGCGCACGCGCGCCGCCCCGGAGCTGACGCGGAGTCCCGAGGACGTGTCGGGGTCTACGGCCGGCAGCCCCGCGGGCTCGGGCTCGGGCCACGCGGCCGGCACCTCCTGGCCGCAGTGCAGGATGATGTGCCGCAGCCGGGCGAAGCCGGGTCTGCCCGCCGCCGCCGAAGGCTGCAGTGCCCTGCGGAGCGTGGCTTCGTACACCCTGCCGAGGTAGGCGTGGTCCAGGCGCTGGTAGTGCGCGACGCTCAGCTCCAGCGACAGCGGGCAGTAGCTGTCTATCCACGCCGCCGACAGCTCGAGCTTGCGCACGCCGGCGGCCAGCTGCGGGTGCTCTGCCGAGAGCTGTGTCAGTTGTGTCATGCTGTCCTGTGTGAACAGCGCCCGCGCGACGGGGAGGGCGAAGCGGCCTCCGATCGCCCAGTAGCGCCAGCCCGTCAGCCGGAGGTTGTGCAGTGCCTCCTTGTCGTCTTGCAGCGCCGCGCAGACCACCTCGATCAGCTCGGCTGGGAGCGAGCGCAGCTCGGTTGGGGGCTCTCGGGGCTCGTCCGTCTCGGCGGGGACGGCGGTGCGGATGACCATTGCTGTTGTTGATGATGTTGCTGTCATTGCTGTTGTTGATAATGTTGCTGTCATTGTTGTTGTTGCTTCCGTTGCCGTTGAAGCTGCTGTTGGTGCTGCTGTTGGTGCTGTTGTTGGTGCTGCTGTTAGTGTTGCTGTTGGTGCTGCTGTTGGTGCTGCTGTTGGTGCTGCTGTTGGTGCTGCTGTTGGTAGCGTTTCTGGTTTTGCTGCTTCTTCTAGTGCTGCAGATACCATTTTTACTGCTGTTGCTTTCCTGTTGTTATCGCCGTGAAATTGGGTGTTGGAGAGACAGAGCACTCGACGGAAAGATTTATAATTCACTTGTCTGGCGAGGATCGAAGGCGTCTTCGGACAAGGTGTGAGGCATCTATCTTTGAAGTATGTGTGCAATGGGGGAGGTAATGAGAAGTTTGTGTGCAATGGGGGAGGTAATGAGACAGACTGGTCCTATATGAACTCCCAAAAAGACGTGTCGGAGATAGGTCCAGGATGGAGCTGTTCACAAGGTTGCGGTCAATAATTTACTCTTTTTCTACCTAGTTTGCCATACAACGTATCTCCGTATGAGGAGCACGCCAGTGGATTTGACCAAGTTGGCTCGGGTAGATCTATGGAACTCAGTGTGAGTCCACCCTTCTAGCCACTTACTGTAAGATGCCAATAACACAGAGCGCGGAGATTAATTAACTGCCGATGCTCGCCGAGTCTACCTGGACTTTCTCTATGCACAAACCCAAAGACCCTGTTCAGTTATTTCCACCCTGTCTTTTGGACGTTATCATCATCAGGACGTGGTAGTTTCGTCTGGATAAGGGTCGTCTGGATAACGGTTCTTTCCCCGTACATCGCCAGTCAAGCTTTCCCGGCCCCAGGCTCTCTAAAGCTTTCCTTATTGATAGAAAACGTTATTAAACTATGTTCTGCTAACTTCAACCTTGATCCTATCAAACGACAGAACTGTTTAGTTATAGACTTTTACCCACCATGCTTGTTGCAATTTGACTTCCACAGCGGCACATTTCCGAAATCTAGATCGGTGCTGCGGGCAGTATATCGTTCAAAATGACGGTGGTGCACACCGGGGGAGCCTTCAGCTGGTCGCGCCCGAACACCGTGAACAGGCCAATCGGCGGCTTCCCGGGGCTCAACGAAGATCTGATCAGGCGTGTGAAGGGCATCTGGATCGTCAGGAGATGCGGGCGGGAGATGGACGCAAAGATGGTGGTCGAAGAAGCCGCCCAGAGATCTACCGTTAGCAGCCTTATAGGAGTAATTAGATAGCCATATTACATGCGTTTTTCATATATTTGTATCACAAGTGCGGATGGAAGTGATAAAGATTAAACTGGCCCGCTTCTTCATCGGATACTAACATAACTTGAAAGAATCTGATATCAGAGCATGCTGAAGTGGCGAAAGATTCCAGAACAAAACGAAAACAAAACAATCCTATGTATGGTTCGCCTACCGCTTGCCTTTCAAAGCGACAGGAGTCAAGCACAGCAATGGAAACGCTCTACCGCGTGCGTCGGCCCAGATATCTCGATTTCACGATAGATTGGGGCCTGGTCAATCAAGGTCCCACGCGTACGTGTGACAACAACCAGTCAAGTTAGCCCATCTACTCTAGCCTTTTTTTTTCTTCCCCGGAGAGGCAAGGTTCGTTGTTGTTTATCAGGTAGGTAGGACCCCTAGGGGTTAGTTTACCTCGCATGATCTATATCACCGTGCCGTAAGCAATGCTTTGCTACGCGGTGGCAGAGGCTGGCTGCCTTGTGGTGGTTGTAGATGGTAATTTTTCCTCCTTAGACAACAGCCGAGGTGCAAACCTAGTCCAGGCGGCGGCTGTGTGGAATATTTGGCAGGCGGTGGCTTTGCATTAGGATTTATCCGAATGTTGCAGCCGATTGAGTTTGACACCATGGCATCTTCTCGGTCCCGGGTTGGCTAAGCATAGAGACGATGGACTGCCGCCGCCTCCCAATAAGGGGTTACTAACTAGTCACGATATCCAAGACTAGAAAAATAATGTTAGCGAGGGAACCCCTGCTGAGGATATGGGCGGTGAGGGCCCCCATACTGAAGATATGGGCGGCGAGGGTCCCTAGATGGTATTAGCCATTAATCTCAAAAGCTCGGTAACCGAGACTCCGCGGCCTATGTCGCCGATCTTAATCAAGCCGAAGGGAGCCAGTACCTCAGCGACAGGATCGATTTCTCCCGCAAAGCCAGATATAACTATGAAGGAGAACCAGAGATAGTAAGGGGAGGTACTAAGTGTTGGTCAAGTACTAGTAGTAGTTTTGCTCATATAAGATGTGTCACGGCAGGGCCAAAACCCGCTAGTTGGGCGCATCGGTTTTAGGCTTTGTGGCTCGTGCACTCTTGCAGGAGCTCCACTCCCTAGCGCCCACAACTATTTCCCCACGGCCGCCCGGCCGCTCTCGATTCCTTCTTGTTTCTTTCCTTAGCTTTAGATTCTACGAATACAGCCCGGTAAATGCAGTCTTGTCTCATTCGATCGACTGTGCGGTGATAAGATGGCGGTTTTCGCCAAATTTGGACGTCTATAGATTTACTACTACGTCCAATCCAATTTCTTTTTAGTTAGTTTTGGGTGCCTCCCTTTTTATTGATAGGTAGCAGCGACCAGCGCCGTAGAGATACGTACACATTCTTCTTGGTTCGTCTAAGCATTTAGGGACTTCCAGCCCTCGATAATATACAATTAACACGTCTTCCCGGTCAAACTATGCTTCGGAGATAGCCTTTGATCTAGTGGATAGGAGGAACGTTATAGTAATTTACTACCAGACAGTTCAGCCAGCCTCCCCACCTCGAATACGATAATATCAAACTACCCAACTCGTTTAATGCCTAGAGCATTTAAGCAGTGGTAGGAATTAAGATATAGTTTATAGATAATATCACAGACTATCTATTGCTGGTCGACAGAGACACCGTCATTTATATTTTTCACCGCGCATCATTCTTAGAGTACTACCTATCCGAGACTAAAAAGGAGTCCCTGCTTATTTATCCAGCTACTCTAAAAGGAAATAAAATAAAATAGAATGAAAGAAAATGAAAGAAAAGGGAAGAAAAAAGGAAAAGAAATGAACATAGAAATAGGATATATCCATTAACTCAACAAACCTTCACAAGCTCTGTCTGATCCCTAAACCTCGTCTGAGAAACGCTATAAACGCTAGCCGTGCTATTTCCACAGGCAGACTACGCGATCCCTCGGAGGTCGAACAAGATCAAGCGGCAGTGGTTCGCCAAGCTATGCGCCAAATCAAAGAGGAAATACCAGCGGACCGTCGACGAGCGGCTGGCGCGCTGCGGAACCCCGACCGCCGACGCGCAAAAGCTGCAGAACTGCCGCATCTGGCGGGACAGGCTCATTACCCTCAAGGAGGCGTACGACCAGGAGACGCCAACCGACTTTCGCCAGTGGTGGCGTAATGCCTCCTAGATAACATATAACGCCTCAGTACGTCATTCTGCCTTCTACCGAAGTTAAAAAGCCTTACAACCCAGTAGTATATATCCTTCTTATTCCCCGTCGGGGAGCCTTGGTACCACTGATAAAGTTCTAGTTATCTCATACTTTCCCAAATTTCCCAGGTCCACCAAGCCGGCATCATAGAAATTATTATTAAACCATCAAATTCTATCGGGTGCCGCTTGAATGCTGAGGTGGATCATTTTTAATAAGCTAAGGTACCCGCCGCTGCACCAGCATACGTAAAAGACAGATATACGTAAAAGACAGATTGGCACCTGATATATGCCTCTCTGTGCAACCGTGCCCAGCTGTAGGCGAGGGTACGAGTACCCTTATTCCTAACTGCTTTGTGCGTTGTGCCTTGTTAAGCATCATCTCTTATCATCTCCTTCACAAGTGTCTTCTTGGCGTTTTTCACTCATCTGAGCCACTTTCCTCGTAGGGCCGGGGGTAGAGCGCTCTCTGTCAATTTTCAATCATAACTGTCCCTTCAACAACATTTTCAACCACCAGCTTATGTACAGCGATGGAACGTGACGTCCACCGCATTGGTCGTCGCCTCAACGGCGAAAGTGTCCGGCGCCTTCAGCTGCGCGTCGATTTACGGCAGCTTCTCGATATTGTACGGGACGATGGAGTTGCGCTTGAGATATCGGCCGAACTCGGTCGACGCGCTCACTAGCACCCGCTTCTCCTCCTCTCGCCGCTTGATATCTCTCTCGATCTGCGCTAGGGTGGCCGCCTGGATTTCAGCCGCAGAGGCGTTCTCTGCCAAGAGGCTTTCCACTTCGGGGTCGATACGCATGTCTTTCCTCACGCGACAATCGTTTCGGATGCGCAAATGCATGTTCTAGCTATGGCTGCACAGCTTGCACGTTCTTCGGAGTCCGTGGTCGAACGCGCGGCAGGCCCTGAGGGAAGGCTCATCGTGGCAGCTGGCGTTGTAGATGACACGAGTTTCGTCCTTCTCGCCGTCCTTCTCGCCGTCCTTCACGCTTGTGTGACAGTCGGCGTGGGAATAGACCATTCTTGGCTTGAGTAGGTCGACGTTATCAAAGCTGATGACCTGGACGCGGAGCTGGGACTCCAGCTCCCTCCGGGTCTTATTAGATTGTTTGAGGACGCGAGCGGTTTCCGTGTTTTGCCTAATCGTCTCTTCAATGGCCTCCGTGAGCTTGGCTAGTGGATCCGCGATTGCGATAATGTGGTCTCGCACCGTGTTGACGCTAAGCGTACTCTTGACTTTGTGGCCGTTGAGACTCGACCAGTGCTTTAACAGCCTCTAGGACTCCCGGGCGGATTGCATCCAGCTTTGTTTGTAGTCTTCCAAGCCGGGCATCTGATTCTTTTCCTGGGACAGGGCCACGAGGAATCGGAAACTCTCGGAGTCGAAGCAGTAAGTATTGTGTTCGAAGAGCGATATCTCACTATCTCTGTACGTGGCCAAGAGTGTTTTAAGCGGGTTGAAGGTATCGCCGGGCGAGTAGCCACTACCTCGCGTGTTGGTGAAGCCGAAGCAGATGTTGGTCAGCAGCCCCGTGATGCAAAATCAGAACATGACGTTCAAGCGAGAGTTAGTTAGCTTCAGCAGGATGAGAATCCCGTAGAGCTTGTTGATATGATGCAGCGTAGCCAAGATGTCCTCTTTGTTCAGGGCATCTTGCTCTATGCCACGTATATCACCGATCCCGGGTGTATCGACCAGGCGGAGTGTTATCTCGTCACCCAGCGGGATGAGGTAGACGATTGTCTTCTGGGTCGCCGACTGTCCGACAATGCTATATCCGCGTGTCAGCCAGCTACAGTATGGGAATTCAGCCCCCCCCCCCCCCGCGGACAGTGCAGTTCATCAGGTAATACAGCACTTACCCATTCTGTTCTTGGGGGCTAGAGCCACGCTGGATATCGTATGAGCGAAACCGGTCATTCTCATCCTTGAGCTGGTACGAAAAGGAATACGGGACGACATATTGCGGCTCGCCCGCTTCCATGGCCTCCTCGAGAGAATTGTAGGTGAGGTAGTTGACAAAGGCGTTTAGTTGACAAAGGCGTTGATCCACGTCGACTTTCCCACGCCCGCCTCGCCCAAGATAAGAACGTTGATCTCTTGAGTCTTCAGTGGTTGGAGATCTTGCAGCCACCCCAGCAGCCTCGATGGTTCGGGTTTTGTAGGTGCACCCTCGTCTCCGTGTTCTTTACAGCGAAAACGGCATGCATCGTAGGGGAACCTCCGCAGCTGCAATACAAGGTGTCGACGAACCCAAACTCAACCGACCATCTACACCGCTCGCAGATCCAAACGTGTTTTGCGGTTGAGCAACTGGTTCCAGGACAGCGAATTTTCAACTTCCTCCGCTGGACAGGGGGAACAACGTCGGAAGGGTCTAAAACCCCCGGCGAGAAGCGGATCACACAACGGTCTTCCAGGAACCGACGTGTTGTGACCAGATTCTTCACAACGAGCTTGCCGCCGCAGTACTGCTCTACAGAAAGCTCGCTAATCTTACGCGCCCCCAGATCGCAGTCGTAGACAATCACTTAGTCATGTTCGCCCTTAGATTCAAGCGACTCCATGAGTCTCCTAATCGCCTGCCAAGGCTCTGTCTACGACTGAACCTGTTCGTTGAAGTAGAGAACGTACCTGTCGCTTTTGCCGTTGCCCATGATAAGGGTGTCCAGTTCTGTCGCGTTGTGCCCGACGTAGTGAGCACCCTTGGAGACAATGGTGCTTGCAAATTTCATCCTCTCCCGATGCTGCCTGACCACCGACCCGATATATTCAAGCGAAGGCTCGTGGCTGCGTAAGTCGGCTAACAGAGACTAAAAGTCTTTAGCAACAGACAAGCCTCGCCTGATATCAGTCAAAACCCTCGCGTACTCTTTTCGGAGACTCGCTCCGCGGGCCTTGGCCTGGCAGAGGCGGCTGGAAACCTCGCTCAGATGGTCGGTTGGGAGGCAGTATTCGTAGGCCTTCGCAACGGCACGGTGATCCTCAAGCGCCTGACTTTGTCGTGGCAATCGACGAAGGCATGCTCTCGATGTATTGCTTTGCGCTCTCGAAATCCGTAGGTGCAGCCTCGTTGGTGATGAAATCCCCGCATACTTTGATGCCGAAGTTGGCTTGCGTTGACCTCTTCCGTCGTCTAGCTTGGAAATCGCCCTTTGCTGCGGCGCCGGCACCGACAATCTTGTTTAGCTCTTCAAGACCTGCGCCCAACTTGGCCTGCACTTCCTCGGCATCGCTCGCGTCTTCAATCTCACATCTGGCTATGACAGCGCTCGAGCCTCCCCACTCGATTTCGCAGACAACGTGCGTGCCGAGATTGCCGCGCAGAGCATCGGAGTTCAAGAGAGAGCGAAGCTCGGGGGTCAAGAAGGCACCCAAGTTGAGCTTCTCATGGACAGTGGTATTCTGTAGAGGCACGAGATCTGTCTCGTGAGGGTGCTCGACCGGGAGTTTATGAGGAAGCGCCAAGTACCGCCGACGGATATCAGACCCGAGAGGATACTAGCTCCAAGGTCGGCTTCCACCTTAAGCCCGCGGAACTTTTCTCCAAATGAGTTTTCCTTGAGGACTTCCGTCTCGGTGCCTGGATTATCGGTGCACCGCACCGTCGTAGGCGGAGGCGATCCCTTCAGGAGGGAAATGGAAGTAAAAGAGTCGGTGCAGGCGTCGTAAAAATCACCGAGGTCTGCAATCTGGCCTAGAGATGGGCGCTTGATTGATGCCATGGACATAGTTGGCGAGTCTATGTGAGCCACTGGCTGAGACTGTGTGAGCCACTGGCTGAGATTATTCGAGTGCGGAGCCGTGATATTGGACGTACACTCAGCAGTGCCCGATCAATTCCGAATCTCACCCAGATCACTACAGCGACAGGCGGCCTTGTAATCGCAATGGGCACCGACTTCTAGCGACAGGCGGCCTTGTAATCGTAATGGGCACCGACTTCTATCAACTGACGGTGGGCCATTTGCTTGAGTTGCCAGAAGATGGCGTGCAGAACGGCACCGGTGCATCGGACGCTCCATTCGAATGCAGCTGGGATGGGCAAGATGAGGAGCCTGAAGATGAAATGTCCAACTCGGAACTGACATGGCCGAGCTTACGGGGTGTCACGCGTCTGACATCCCCGGGCGGGTAGCAGCTTTGACGAAGAGCCTGCGAGCTTAGACCGGCCTCTTTCGCCGGCTGAAGCCACAAACGCCATCGAAACACCGCCAAAGGGCGTAGAACGGCCTAGTCAGGTCGTCAACGAGTTAGCCACCAACATTGGGGCAAACACAGTTCCCGACGGCGCTGTCGCCCTACCAATGGCGCATCACGTTTCCAATTCGAAGAATCTTGATTTCCTCTCCCGGCGAATCCGCCAGTCGTCAACAGTTCAGGAATATTCTTGACCACTATTACGCTCAACGACGAGGAAAAAGCGAGGAATCCGCGGCAAGCAGATCAGCCATCGGGCCTTTGATGTCCACACATCCTTCCGGCTCATATGCCGAGAGAATACACCAGAGCATGGATTCCCCAGGACAGTCGGTTCCTGGGCTGGAGGTGAATGGCCCTTTCGCAATCTTCGTCCTTGAGGTTCCCCTATGGCTAGGCAATATGGGGACTACGCAGTCTTCTTTTCTGGAGACCTTTGCTGAGGCGTCTAACTTCACGTCTCGGGATGAGATTGAGGGGCCGTCGAGCTGGTCAACATCGGGGAGTATCAATGGGCTAATTGAGAGGGCCATGAGAGTGAATGACGCAAGAATTGAAGCGGTAGAGGCGCAAAAAACGACAATAAAAGTGAATGACGCAAGAATTGAAGCGGTGGAGGCGCAAAAACGACAATGAATATGACGGAGTGAGTGTTAGCGGGGGTGAGAGGAAGGACAAAGTGTTATTAGTCATTATTAAAGTTGGTAAAGTCAACTGATTCACCTTATTCGGGGTTTGGGGAATTAATTAATTACGTTGAGCACCTACAGCGCGCAGTTCAAGCTAGAGAAGGTAGTAACACTAGATTGTTCGCGCTAAATGTCAATTACATAATTACTCTATAGTCTGATCAAAAGCTCAAAAGCTCAGGGGAAGCAACCTAGAAGTACGAAGTAAGATCGGGTCTTTCCTCGGGAGTCAGCGACGCAGCTGATCGCAGTCGATCCTGACGTGTATGCCCGCCCCATTGGCTGTGATGGACAGGGGTGCAGTCCACCATCGGACTTCTCGCGCTTGGGGCATTTTTGCCGAGTCGCCGCTTCCCTCGCAGGGCGCCAAGAATTATTTGGTCTGTGCTTTTCCATGCCCCAAAACCAACTGTCAACGTCACTGCCATCCTCAAGGAACTGAAACCATCATCGCTGCCATATCCGCGCACAGACAATCAATCGTCTTGTCCAATCCCGACCGCGCGCACGAGATTTTGACACCCCAGCAGCATCGTCGCCTCTTCGCGCTCACCTCGCCTCCGGCTGTTGCGGGCTCTCGGAGACTTGTCGTCGCCTGGCACGAGGACGGAGAAAAGCGCGAAAAGCACAGACCAAGTGGGTCAGCGCCCGTCTTTTGTCCCAAAAACCCACGTAACGGCTCTTGGGCGTTGAGCCCCGCCAGGCTCTGCCATGAGGTGGCGCCCCCTCAACGTCGCGAGCGTCGTGTCGCCACGGGCGGTGCTCACGCTAGCGGCGAGCGGCACGCTATGGCTGATGATCTTTGTCTACCACAACCACGCTCTCTGGCGTGACCCGCATGGTGCTTATTTCCACAGCGAAAATGCCTTTGACCTGGGCTATTCGCGCGTGCGTCAGGAAGAGGCTCGCGCCTTTCTCCACCAGTACTCGCGTGACCCGAGTTCAAGCCCAAACCCAAGCTCAAGCGCAAACCCAAGCTCAAACTCGTCGAGCACCGAAGGCCTAAACGCAGCCTCGGCGCCGCTGCACGCCGGCGACCACCCCGCGCTCTGCGCAGCCTTCATCACCATGCGCCGCACCCACCCCGACGCGGCACACTACTTCCCCGACTCCATCGGGTCGATGCTCGCGGGCCTGTCTCCGCGGGAGCGCGCGGCAGTCAACCTGACCATCGTGTTCGGCAACGTAGCCGGCGACGCGCAGCACGCCGACTTCGCAGCCGCGTACCCGTGGCTGCCGGCGCTGGTCGACCGCTACGGCGGGTACGAGGGCCTGTCGGACGGCGAGCTGGCCGAGCTGGCCCGCCTCGAGGAGGCGCGCGACTTCCAGCGTAAGGGCGTGCTCGACTACCTGTACGCCCTCGAGCGCTGCTACAACGACACGGCCGCGCCCTTCGTTGCCGTCTTCGAGGACGACATCGTCTTCGCCGCCGACTGGCTGGCCCGCACCCTGCTCGCCCTGCAGCGCCTGGCCACAGCCACAGCCCCCGCCGGCTCCGACCCCTGGCTGTACCTGCGCCTCTTCTACAGCGAGACGTACATGCTGTGGCTGTCGGGCGACGACTGGTGGTACGGCCACCTGTGGGTCACGCTGCCGCTGGTCAGCGCCGCGTCGGCCGCCGCGCTGCTGCTGGCCCGCCGCGTGCAGCGCCGCGTGCCGCTCGACGTGGCCACCGTGGTGGTGCTGTCGGTCGTCGTGGCGCCGGCGTTTACCGTGCTGGCCTTCATGGCCGGCAAGTACAACCTGCCCATGTATGCGCTGCGCGACGGCGGGCTGCTGAACCACAAGGCCATCCTGAACATGGTCGGGCGGGTGGACGACGCCGGGGTCGTGCCCATGGACGCCCAGGGCTGCTGCTCGCAGGCGCTGGTGTTTGACCGCCGCCGCGTGCCGGACCTGGTGCGCGTGCTGCGCGAGCGCGGCCGTGGCCAGACCGACCTGATGATCGAGGACTACTGCAACGACGCGCGCCACCCCATGCACCGGTTTGCGCTCGGCGAGCAGGCTGTGCAGCACGTCGGGTTCGTGAGCAGCCGCGGCGGCGGCGAGGCGGGGCCCAAGAGCGTGTGGGCGTTTTACTTTGAGGAGAGCACCGTCGAGGAGCTGGAGCGCAGCAGGGCGAGTGCGCTGGATCGGATAGACTGGGGGTTGTTTGACATGCTGCGGCGGGGGGGATGAGTATATAGAGCGTGCGGGTAAGTGGTGTAATATTTTGTATCATCGCTGCATTTTCGGGGCATCTGTGCATTGGGGGGGATATCAAGGTAATTAAACTTGCAAATTTTGCTGTCTTGTCATCTTTGATTCTTGTTCAGGCAGACGTGGAAGCGAAGCCCTCGCAAAAGCCCGTCGCTCGGACGACCAGGGGCCCCCTTGAAAGACAGGGGCTAAACAAAGACGCGAGACCCCTGACTTGGTCTCAGCAGAAAGGCGGCCACGAACCTCTTTGCCTAACATGGCCATGCCAAGCCAAGTTCGACCTGTCAGATTCACACCCCCCTCATTTAATCTCAGCCCGGACAGTTACCAGCGCGCCGAGCGCCGCAATAGTGGTCTCGCCCATAATCTCAAACACGGCCACGGCAGCAGCAAAGTCCGCACGCAGCCAGTTGCGCAGCTCGACAGCCATGAGCGAATCAAGTCCATATTCAGACAAGCGGCGCGCGAGGCGTCACGGCGCCGACGAGCAGCTGCGTCTCGCTTTTCCTCCTGCCACCACCAAACTCGTCGTCGGCTGGCGGCGCGCAGTGGTGCGCCAGCAGCGCCAGCAGCGCCAGCAGCGCCAGCAGGTCGTCGGGGCCGACGGGGTTCGTGTCGCGCGCGTTCTCGCAGTTGCGCCGGTAGTCGTCGCGCTCGGCGATGATGCCGATGGCGCACATCCAGCCGAGGTCGAGCAACACGGAGCGGCACGACGACGCCGACCTGCTGTGTGTCGCAGCCAGCGCGTCCTAGAACGTGCACCCTGCTGCGTAGTTCCCCTGTGCGATTAGCCCGTAGATCCCCGTGAGTGAGGATAGCAGGATGAAGAAGTTTATGGTGTCTGGGAGCGACGTGTGCAGGTTCCAGCTCGCGGACACTTTGGAGTCGATGGTCGCTGACCATCGCGTGTGTGTCATGTTGTCGAAGACGGAGTCCTGGTCGTGGTGCTAGTGCTGAAGCTGGAGAGGATGTGGCAATGGAAGGATTGGGGGTGGAGAAGAAGATAAGAGAAGCGGGACCTACATGCAAAGCCATGGCGCGTTGATGCAGCCTTTGACAGGCGGCATCCCGGCGGCGGCGCACTCGACCAGTAGCCGCGCGAGCTGGCCCGCGTCGGCGACGTCGCAGCGAGGCGAGGCGCCAGCACACGCACACCCCTGGCCTCGAGCGCGGCGAGCACCGCTGCCGCTACTACCCCGCTACCACCGGACCGCGACGGCACGATCAGGTGCCACGCGCTCTTGCCAGCCATCAGCGCTAGGATCGCCCGGCCGAGCCCGCCCAGCCCGCCTAGCCCGCCCGCCACGACTCACGACGCGCTGCTGTCAAACTGTCAGTCGCTGCGCCGGCGCACCGTGTGTTTCTGCCGTGCTCGCGAGGTTAGCGCCGCTCAGGGGTAAGTAAACAACAGGCCCTGCACAAGGAGGAAGACAACTCACAGGAACGACGTCGTCCCTGCCCAGCGTGACGATAATGCGCCCGTGTTCTTCCCGCTCTGCATGTAGCGGAAGGCCTTCTCAACATTCGAGACGGAGAACAGGTGCAGAGGCTTTGGGTTCACAAGTTCCCCCGAGGTCCAGCGTGCGGAACTCGGCCCGCTCGTCGGCATCGCCAAACTCGCCACGCGCCGCCTCGAAAAACCCCGCGGATATGTCGCTGTTGTCAGTGGCGGTCAGGTGCTTCAGCTCGGCCACGTAGCGGCGCAGATACGGTACGCCCGGCGCGGGGTCGGCGTGCGGCACCAGCGCGAGGGCCTTGCGCGCCGCCACGTGAAGCGCCCGCTCCAGCCGGCCGTAGAAGGCTTCGAACGCGGGCTCGTCGGTGGCGAGGGGACAGCCGGGCTAGCGCGCCGACAGCCTGCTCCAGCTAGGCGCGCGTGCGCAGCAGGCCCAGCCGCGGCTGCCAGGCGATGTTGTACAGCAGCGTGGCGTCGACGTCGGTATCTTGGGCGGCACTGCTCGGCCGCGACACCTCGGCCCCGACACCTCGGCCATGACCAGGCGCTCCAAATACACAGCAGCGACCCGTCGGCGGCCACGGCACATACACTGCCGTGCACGCCCGCAGCCAGGCTGGCGTCGGGACGCGCCGTCGCCGTCATGTGCACGTCGCCTATCCTGCTCCACGGCCGCCGCGCTGTCGCCCGCAAGCAGGTTGACGGCCATCATGGCGCCGAGAGCCGCCGTCGTAGTAGCGCGCAGCTTCCCTGCCAGCTGCCCGCGCCAGTAGGCGACCTTGCACGCGGACTCGTGCGACAGGGCGCCGATGGCGCATTCCGCGGCGATCTCGCCCGACGAGTGCCCGACCACGGCGGCCGGCGCCACGCCGAAGCTTGCCAGCAGCTCTACCAGTGCGATTTGTAGCACGGTGCACAGCGGCTGGCTGTACTCGGGGCTGTGGATGTGCTCGGCGCCGTTTAGTTCGTCTGCGCGCGTGAGTGACGATATGTTTACTTCAGGGGTTGGCTGCAGGGTGCATCAACGACAACATCAACTTACCAAACACGGACCACGCACACCCTAGACCCTTGAGGATACCATCCGACAGCTTCAAGCTGTACTCAAGCACAGGGTACCGCCGCAGCGGCAGCCCCATGCCGGCGTACTGCGCGCCCTACCCGGTGAATACGGACGCGACGCCGCCCTTCATGTCTGTCGCCACGCGCACCGGCGCCGGCGCCGCGAGCAGCGAGGGGCTTTTGTTTGTGTCTGTGTTTGTGTCTGTGTTTGCGTTGTCGGCCATGGCGTACGTGCGCCACGCCATGGCCGTGCGCCGCGCGGCGAGCGTGGGCGTTAGACCCGCCGAAGCCAAACGAGTTGACCGACACACGCCGCAGCCCGGCCGCCGGCCACGGCACGCTCCGAGTTGGCACCGCCACGTGGTAAAACTCGGCGTCGATGTCGGGGTTCATGGTCTCGAACAGTGCGTTGGGCGGGATCACGCCCTTCTCGAGCACTTGGATGGATTTCACTTTGCCGGCCAGCCCGCTTGCCGTCCCGTGGCCGATGTTCGCCTTTACGGAACCACTGGGGGGTGAGTGTGACTTGCACGTAGATCGTCGCGTCGGGCGAGCGGTGGTTTCTGAAGACGCGCCCGATGGCCGACATCTCGATTGGGTCGCTGGTTGGTATGCCCGTTCCTGTGGTTGGTGCCGTTGTCAGTGTCTGTGTCTATTTCCCTTTCCCTTTTCCTCTTCTCTTTCCTCTGCTCTCCTTTGTCTGTTTTCTTTTCTCTTCTCGCACCGGACTCACCGTGAGCCTCAAAGTACCTCGTCTCGGCAAACGACAGACCCGCCTTGGCGTAGACGTGCCGCATGAGCGCCCCCTGCGCGTCGGCGCTGGTCTGGGTCAGGCCCGGCGTGCGGTCGTCCTGGTTGGACGCCGTGGGGCGCAGCACGGCGCGGACGACGTCGCCGTGCCGCAGCACGTCGGCCAGCGGCTTGATCAGCAGCGCCACCACGCCCTCGCCGCGCGCGTTCCAGTTGGCGCGCATGTCGAAGCTGAAGCAGCGCCGCCGACGCGTCGCCGGCGCGCATCGAGTTGCAAGCCATGTCTAGCGCAACCAGCCCGCCCGAGCACGCCGTGTCGACGTGCACGCTCGGCCCCCGCAGGTTGAAGTACCAGCTGACCCGGTTGGCCAGGATCGGCGCCGTGCTGCCCGTCATGGCCATGCGCGGCGACGCGTCGGGGTCCTTGGCGAACACGCTCGACATGTCGTTGGACATGGACGCCGCGTACACGGCCGTGCGGCTGCCGCGGACGCTCTCGAGCGGGATGCCCGCTGTCTGGTCAGCAGGGGATCAAATCGGTGGCCGCTGGCTACTAACCGTTCTCAAAGGCGTGGTAGGCGGCTTCGAGTTCCCAGCGTTGCTGCGGGTCCATGGACGCCGCCTCTCTGGCCGTGAGGAAAAGAAAGGGGCGTCAAACACGCCCGGGTCCTCGCGCACAAAGTGGGCCCCGCGCCCGTGAAGCTAGCAGGTATGTCAGAGACTGTTGAGCCTGGTAGACAGACACGAGATGGAACGCACCGTGTTTGGTTTCTTGGATCCCCCGTCATGAAACTCGTGGACCGTTGCCCGGTCCGCGGGCCACTCGGTCATGACATTTTTCTTGCTCTGCAGCATGTCCCACGGGCTTGCCTCGTCGACAATGTCCTGGGGCACCTCGAAGGAGAAGCTGACGACGGCGAACGGCTCCATCGAGGGGGTGGAGTCCCCGGCGGCCATTGTGACGGTTGTAAGTATCGTCTTGGCACGAAACAGAGTTGGGATTGTCTAAAAAAGGCTGTATGTTGCGATTGAATGATATTCACCGAACCACGTCACAAACACGCCAGGTCACGTCCCGAATCTCTCAGCACGTGATGAGCGTGTAGAAGAGGTCATATATTTCCCCTTTTATAGTCGCGTAGCATCGGGCGGCCATCTTCAAATACATCATTCTCGTTCTACAACCCTGAAACGCACTCATAGTCCTCGGATCCGAGTCCGAATCTGAATTCTAAAGCACAAATCACGAACCAGGAGCCGCAGTCAATATCTCTCGGCAGAGCCACTCGATGGTCGTGTGCGGTACAGTGGTTGCCGGCATGGGAACGCAACCACCGTATCAGGTCGCCGTGCAACCATACCATGGATGTGTAACGAGATTGTCCTAGCCAGCATTGTTGCGTAGATATGCAAGCTACAGTTGTTACAAAGCTTCTGCACGATGGAGGCAAGCCGCTTGGAGGTGCGCAGCAGTCGCGCAATTCTACCTACCCTCTCGCATATTGCCGCATTGCTGTCTGTTTGCTGTTAAGTGCTAAACACGGCCTATGCTAAGTAGATAGTTGAGAGTGGAGTGGAAAACTGAGTCCAATGTCCGTGGGCTACCAACTTCCTCGATAATCCCAACTCGGTGTATCAGTCGCCCCAGCCGTGAACTTGAGGCTCAACTTCACCCAAGCTGAAAGTCGACCGGCTAGCTCAGCGTCTTATCAAGAGCAAGAAACACAGGCCCCCGCAACCGTGCTAGGAGATGCCGACGCAGACTCGACGGCCCATTTCCTCTTTGGGCGCTTCAGCTGCGAACTTGCTTGCCGCCAAGAGATCTAGAGCCCACCCCGGGCATGCTAGCGCAACTCCGATGGCGCTACGCAACGAAAGACGATAATTTCTTCCCGAAACGGCTCTAACCAGCGGTCTGGCCAGAACTCGTCCAGCACGCCGCACTAGTGGGCGAATAGATCCAGCAGCTAACTGTTGAGTGGGAATGGTCTAGGCCGCCGCAGCTGAGACATGGCTGGCCGTCGGGTCATCGTGTTAAAACGGCTGCTTGCTCGCTGATGGTTTTAGAACCGATGCTCTAACATCTTCTCTTTCACTCCGAATCATATTCTCGACTCCCTCACCACAACCGCCCAAAATGTCCTTCCAAACGCCAGGACTCACAAAATTCGCCGGCCTCGCATCATCACCCGCAGCCGTCTACTGGGGCGGCAGCCTGTGGGTGTTCTACACGACCACCGCCGACAGCACCAGCATCTGGTACGCCGAATCCACCGACGGCGGGAACAAGTGGAACGCCGCCGAGAAGGTACCCGCCTCAGGACTCAGCATCGCACCCAACACATCGCCGTGCCCGGTCGTTTTCGACGGCAAACTGTACCTGTTCTTCAACGGCTCCAGCAACAACGGCACGTTCGTGACCATCTTCTACGACCCCGAGTGGTCGCTCGTCAGCGCCGTCGCGACCCTGACCGGCGTGCCCATGGGCTTCCTGCCCGGCACGTCGCCCGCCGCTGCCGTCTACCGCGGCGAGGTGCACCTGTTCTGGAACGGCGCGGGCGACAACGGCGTTTTCTGTCTCACCACCAACGGAACTACCTGGGGCGCGCCGTTCAGCTGCACCGACTGCGTGCCTGGGTTGAGCATCGCGCCCGGCACCAGCCCGTGCGCTGTCAGTGCTGGCGACGCGCTGTATCTCTTCTGGAACGGCCGCGGCGGCACCGGCGCCTGGTACGCCACGCACACGTATGTCGCAGGGGACGGGCTGGTGCGGCTAAACGAGGCCTGGTCCGCCGCGGCGTCGGTCAAGGCCCAGGTCGCCGGCATGGACTTCTTCGCCGGCACCAGCCCGGCGGCGCAGCCGCTCGACGCCAAGGATGCAGCCACGCTACGGCTGTTCTGGGTCGGGCCGGGCGGGCCCGGCGAGGGCGTGTCGTACTCGGTGTTGGGCGCAGGCGGGACCTGGAGCGCGAAGAAGCTCGTCGCGGCCGAGGTTGGCGGCCAGGCGCTGGCGGCGGGGACTTCGCCGTGTGCGATCAATTTCACCGCCGGCTTGTTTCTGTTCTGGGCTGGTGCTGACCAGACCCTGCGGTTTGCTGAGCTGCCCAATGGGTCGTGGGCCGATACTATAAAGGCGTTTCCCAGGCGCAACTTTGTGCGCAAGCCGGCGGGTAGAGCGTGATGGGGCTGGGGGTATTGGCGCATGCAGCTCGGTGCTTGATTACGACGGGTATGAAAGATTGAATTGTTTCAGAATGCATGGCCTTCTTTGAGCATTTCGCTTGCAATTGTTGACTCCATCCGGCCTGTGGAGGAGAGTGCCCCTGAGAATTTCACACAAGACTGTTTTATGCTTGCACTCATCACAACTTAGAGAACACTCCATAGTAACACTAGCTTGTAGGTAAGCTACATTCGCCAGCACTCAATTATCCAAAAACTTCCAGCACCCCCAGCGTCTACGACGTGCCGGCGGGCAATTTGTAGCACTTGCTCTTCGGGATCGACTCGTTCTGGTCCCACTAGATGTTTCAGAGGTATTAGCACCGCGCCACCACCATTCAACCGTCCACGGATTCTTGGAATGCATTGTACGTACGTGCTCATGAACGCAACCGTCGACCCAGCGCCACCGGTCCGTGGTCGAGTACTGGGCGTACGACATGTTGGTGGCAGCATCGAAGCACCAGGCGGTGCCGGACTCGCTGCCGATCTTGCGGCCGTTGCAGAACAGCGACCAGATGGCGCCGGGGCCGTCGGCGTAGCCCGCGTGGTGTTGCTGCAGTGTAGCTCCTCGTCAGTGCTAGTCTCATTTGCAAGAGACACAGAGCGATGTTTCCCACCTTGTACGTCGAGTCTATCAGCGAAAACATGGTGCGCGGGTCGCCGTCGACGACAAACGCGCGGTAGAACTTGTACGCGCGCAGCGCCGTCTCGTCGACCGTCACCGACGAGTTCGGTTGGCACAGCGCCGGCGGCGCCTTGAGGCTGCACAGGTTCTCTCGCTTGTACAGCCAGCCGTCGCCGGTCGCGAGCGCCGAGCCCTGCGCGTCGCTGGCCGGCGCTGCCAGGCAGGCGAGGGGCGCCAGGACGGCGGCCGAGACGAGGGTTGAGAATCGCATCGTTGCGGTGGCGGGTCTACAGGTCCTAGGCGGTTGGACCCCCGTTTTCGAAATGTCGAAACGGCAAGCACGGTGGATATATAATTGGGAAGCTAGGCACCAAGCGTCTGTCTGCATGGGGTGACGTTGCCGACTGATATTATTCCGATGCGGGTAAATACCAGTACCAAGCGCCGTGGTGGCGTCTGTCTTAATTAGGCACCTTGTGTTAATTTGCCAGCAATCTACGAGCTCCAAAACCACACGGAGCTCGCAATATAGGCCAGGAGAGGGGTATCTTGGTTCCTTGGCACCTAACTATATCGAGTCTTTGACTCCGCGAGGCAACGAAACGCCAGAGATCTCAGTTTCTGTGAAGAGTGCCGCGGTCCATATTCACCTTGGAGAGCTGTTGAAGCTGCAGAGTGTATGAGATGGGTGTGCTTGGAAGTTTCCGGTAATGTTCTGGCGAGGTCACGGAGTGGTCTGACATTGCCCACCGCCATGCCATGCCCAGGAACGCAACAGTATGGGTAATCTCCCCGAGCCAAGTGTTTCGGGGTTGTTGGCCAGCCAAGTATCAGCTCAAATTAAATTTAGAGAGTGCCAATCGTCTTGTCTTGGTCTCCATACTGTTATCGGTGTCGAGATTCCGACCACGGTAGGTGCTGTGTCGGCAGCTTGTCTGTCACTGCCATGCCGATTGCGATGTGTTCCAACACCAGACGGGCAGTTTCTCATTGCCTTCATGTCCATCCTTCAACTCAGCGAGCCTAACTCAGCGAGCCAATGGGCAGCAGTGCTAATTTAGATGTGCGGAATCATCTGAAGCCAAGTTGGTATCCAATAAACACCAATTGGCTCGCTCCGCAAAGCAAGGAAAGACTCAAGGATGATGAAAGGTCGAGCTACAACGGCAGCAGCAATAAGGGCCCAGAAGATGATGCCACAGGTGTTTTGAAGCCACTTGATGCCCATGCCTACTACTTTGTCGCCTTGGTTGAAGGATTCGTCGAGCATTATAAACCCGCCCCACGCGACCGACCATGCAGAGACAGCGACGCAAGCCATCCTCCAAAGAAGCGCCTCAACCCTGGACGGAAACTCGTGGTCCCAGGCAATCGAGTGGAGGCCCGAATATAGCCCCTCGGCCAGCAGAACCAGTCCTATCTGGGCAAATCCGTAAACCGAGTCGTCTTCGTCCAAGGCGGCGAGATCGTTGTGGCTCAGCAGCTTTTTGGGCGTGTTCCTGATCTTAACTAGACCTAGGCAGCTTCCGAAGTCGCGGGCATCCACCACGCAATCTGCGCCGACATGCGAGCAGAGGGGCATCGGTCGTTCCAAGCCCGGTATCCCGTTCTCTCCCAGGATCCTCTCCCAGCGCAGCAGGTCTTGTTTCTCAAAGCGGACTAGATTGCCGTAGACCTCCCTAGGCCCGAGGCCGCACTTCAATGCTTGACGGGGAGGTACTTCGCCCAAGCTCTCTAGGTCCTGTAAACGCTGCACCTCCTTTGATGATTGGGGATAAACAACAGTCCCGTCCGATGCTGACTTGGTGAACTGGGCCTCGATCATTCGAGCCACGATACCATTGAGGGCGTGAGAAGAGTCGATAATTTCGGGCTGTCTCACGTCTTGAGGTTTCTTTCCTGAGAGTAAGCCTATGCAGCAAGCTCTGCCAATTCCGTTGCAACTTACCCGGAACCACACTGCATATATCAGCAGAGCGCAGAGCACGTGTACCATGGTATGGATCTCGAGCAGTGCGATAGGCAGCCCGTAGGCGGCGCGGGCGATGCACTGGGCGGCCATCCAGCAGACCTGGCCGACTACGAGAGCCTTTGCAATCGAGTCGGCCTTGCTCTTGTCGTCGATTCTTGTCCGTATGCGGTGAAACGAGTCCACCGAGAGGCATCCCGTCTGAAAGAGCTTTATCATGCCCTTACCAGTCACGGGTACCGTTTCCGGCGCTCCGCTGCCGACACGGGCCCGTTTCTGGTGGCTTGACGGAAATACGTCCCTGACGTGGACATGAATCGCGCCCATGTGGATGAAGAAGGCGTCCCGCATAGTGAACTGCGAACCAGTCGACAAGGGTCAAGTGTCACTACTTGCACAACCAGAGAGACGACACCGTGAAAGAGATAGGGATCGAGGTAAAAGTAACTAAATAATAACAGTCACAAAAAGAAAATGATTTCACTCGCACCTTTCCCTTAACCCCCGTCTGCCTCTCAATCTCGGTATTGAGCTGCAGCACAAGCGTCTTTGCGCGCCGGAACTGGCTAAGCGCCGTGTAGACGACCATTTCAGGGCAGACGACAGCCCACATGGCCCAGACAACCTTGTTCATGAGCTGCCTGCGCCTGCTCTCATCTGCCGACGGCACATTGAGATGGATAACCGTATAGACGCAGGCCGTAAGCGTAATTACGCAGCTCCAAAGGATATTCAGGGTGCCGCGGTAGGCGTAGCCTGGGACCCAGCCGGGCGCCTTGATGGTGCGCAAGGCTGTCGTGTCGTTGGCGTGGGCTTCGATCTGTGCGGGGACCGACATGGCGTCGCCGTCGGCGGCGGCACTGAGCTGCGCCATGGCCAGGGCCGCCGTGACGAGGACCGCAAACGCCATTTTGGCCCAGCTCCGGTGTTGTGGTGGCGAGCGATGATGAAGGTTGCTTTGAGACGTCGAGGAGATGGGCGGGTTCAAATGGGCGCCATCGTGTCCTGGTGCAGTCGTTGAGGCTGTGCAGTATCTGCCTGACCACTCACACATTGGCCTCGACTCTGGAACTCAGCCCCCGCCACATTCCGAATATTGCGCGAACACATTTTGAATCTTAAATCACCGGTACTAAGCCTGGGAGCGGGTCTTGCGGCCATCGAAAATATGGTCGAGAGCGGCTCGCTGTTGAGGACGCTGCTTGTTATGACGGAGGCTGTTGGCATTTCGTGGGATTCCGAGAAACTATTTAGGTTCGAAGGCTCAGGCAAAAAAGAAGGGGTCACCTGCCATCCCTAGTGCAAGGACCCGAACGCCACGTCCTAAAAGGGGGTTAGGTTAGAGTCAATAAGCCAATCTTCCATAGTGTAAGAAGATAGCTGCTTTAGGGCTTATAGGTGGTCTAACGAGCTTGAATGGATTAGTAGTGTAGGACGGCACCTAGCAAACGCGTTGGTGCCGTAAGACTTCGAATCCTAGCCACTGTGGGGGGCCGCCCTTTTCTTTTGCAGAGGCCAAAGACGCCCAGCACTGGGCATGACCAATCAAAGCCCGAGAAGCCCAAGAAGCCCGAGACAAGGATCACCACATCACCAACACGGCAGCAACACCGAAGCAAGCAAGTGGTCGCCGCTAACGATTAATTAGTGATACGCGGGGGACGGAAACCTTATTGGAAGATCTTAGGATGCACCACGTCAGCTTGACACCAACAATCCAGAGCATAAAGCAACGACGGCCCTTCGCAGCCCGGCCGCAGTCACAGTGGTGCCGAGCGCGACATGTTTTGGACATTGCACAGTCGTATTAATTGCTATGAAGAGACGACCCAGACGCCGCATCCGCTTCGCCATGCCGACTCCGTGGGGCTGGACGGAAAGAAGAAGCAGAGGAATAAAAGAATATCACCTCCCCGCCAGCGCCCAAGCCGAGATGGCGCGCGTCAGGCGGACGGCAGGCACGTCAACAACACGATGAAACAGGTCGCTGGCCCAGAAGAGGGCGAGCGTGTTGGCGGCGGCGGCGGCGGCCCAGCGCCAGGCGAACGCGGCGTGGGCGGCGGCGCGCACGGCGGCGGCGTCATCGACCAAACCCGCGGCAGCGAGTCCCGCGGCGCCCGCCTCGCCCGCCTGCAGCGCCGCCGCCGCCGGATGCAGGTGCCGCTGGCCGACGATGTGGTTGACGGCGCCGTGCCACAGGTACAGCGAGTACGAGATGCGGCCGAGGTACTGCGCGAAGGCGCTAGTGAAGAGGCGCTGCAGGAGCGGTTCGCTGTGGTGCTGTCCGCTGCTGCTGTTACCGACGGAACCGTCGCTGCACGCGGACTGGGCGAGCTCGATTTCTGACTGGGGTATTGCAGCCTCGTCTTCTCTAGCTGCGCTGCCACTGCCCAAAGGCCGCCGCACACCCCACCGGGGCCACCGCTGGAGAGGCGGCGAGTACATCAGGGCGAGGACGAAGGCGATGGACCCGGTTGAGATCCAAAACTGCTGGATGCGGTCTTCGTTGCCGCGGTAAAAGGACGGCACGAGAGTCGAGATGGTCCGGAAGCCCGGGGACGACGGCCCCCCGGCTTGCGGGTACGACATGAGGTGGACAGAGGCGGCGAAGAGCGCCAAGGTGCCGACATGCCACAGCGTTGTCGCGTTTGACAGGTACGCTCGAACCGTCTTTAACACTGTCGAGCTTGACGGCAATGACAAGGAGCTGTCAGAGAGCAGGGACGACGGCGGCAATACCAGCGACAGCTCGGCGAGGAGCAGGCCGACGCAGAAGAGTGTCTGGTCGTAGTCGCCCTTCACCAGCTGCCAGTAGCCGGCGATGGAGACGCCGAGCAGGTGAACCCAGCGCTTGGACCGTGAAAAGGCAAGCAGCAGGAGAAAGACTTGGAGCGACCCCTTGAACTCGGTGGGAATGGTCCAGAGGTGGCCGTTGTAGTCGTTCCCCCAGAGGCCCTCGCGTCCCGTGACGGGCCGAAAGGGGCTGACAGTCTTCTCGGTTGTCGCCAGCCAATGCCAAAACTGCTCGGTCCAAGTCGCGGCGCGCGGCGGTATGTCGCCGCCGCCAATGTTCGGGATGAAGATGTTGTCAAAGCGAATGAGCACGGCTGCGATGGCTGTTGAGGCGATGATCGGCAGATACAGGCGAAAGGGCCGGCGGAAGAGGGAGCCGGCAAGACTGCCGAGCACCCTGTCGCCTTGGCCCTTGTGGATGGCCGTCAGGGTCTTCAGGGTCAGCACGTAGCCCGAGATGATGAAGAAGATGGTGACGCTGGAGCGGCCCGAGTGCAGCACGCGAACGATTGGCAGCTGCCAGAAGAGAAAGTCATTCTGGCTGGAGCCGTAGGCGCGTCCCAAGTTAGGGAACCAAAGGTAATTGAAGTGGAAGATGTAGACGACCAGAGCCGCAACGCCTCGGAGACCGTCGAGATAGGCCGTGGAACCGAGTGGCCGGCTACGGACGGGGGTTGGCGGTGTCCTGCCTAGCAGGCGCCGATATAGCGAGAGGACGAAGGACGGCAGAAGTATTGACAGGTGCTTTGCAAACGATGACACAAAGGGAAGCGCAAAAGACAGCCTGGAGTGGGCAGCGCGGAAGATGGAGGATATCTTGTGCCAGCCAGTGGGATTCCAGACCCATCGGGCATACGTCTTCTCGTTCTCTACCTCGTCGCCTGAGTGCACATCGCCGTTATAAAGCTGGTCTGAAACCAGGGAGTAGTCTACGCTAAGGCGCGTGTCTCGGTGGGGAAAGAGCGGCATCGCCTAGAAAGGGGCGATTGTCAAGAGCCGACGAGTCGGCGTGTTGACGGTTTGGCATTCGCGAAAGAAGGGGAAGTAATCGAGAGAAGACGGCGGGGGCCAGCACGCACTTCTTCGAAGACCCTCAGCTTTCCATTGTCGGCGGGCTGCTTGGTGGCGTACTTATCGATGCAATAGTGGCACACCATGGGCGCATCTATTGGTGCAAGTAGCACCCATTGGCAATCGCGGGCGTCGTCTAGCCGGGGCCGAGGGTGATTCGTCAAAGCCAAGACAGATCTGCTGGCAATTGTAGCACCGGGTGCGGCTGAGACTCACTACGGGCACTGGAAATTGAATACGAGGTAATTGCCTCGGCACATGTTATAAGCCAAGGATCACCTCGCAAATTAATGGTCTTAGTTCAGACAGTTGTTAAGGCCCAGAAATACCAGTCTCATAATATCTCGAGTGTTCTAAAGTGAAGAAATAGCACAGCAGGTCAACGTCGTCTGCACCAAGGAAGACCCGGCTTTAAGGGGGGTTTGTCGAGTCCAAATCATGATCTGCGGGCATTGCTGGTCTGCACCAATTGCGTAGTGTCGAGTCTAAGACAGTCACAAACAGTTCCTAGCGGCTTAGTTGCAGAGAGTGAAGGCCTTTGTAATTTGTGCGACAGATCCGATAAAGGTTACTGCCAAGCCGTTTGCACACCCCCTATCGAAGCAAGTTTGGGGGTTCGAAGCTAGACCTCCAGGCGAGTTTGGTGGTCTAGAATGCGCCTAGCCCCTAAAATGCAGCGCTGTTAAATGAGAGGCGCCGATGCGCCATCGCCACGCATATCACTGCCGGCCGAATAGACTCGCTGCCCGTCGAATGTGGCGTCACGATGGACGCGGATAACCTGACCGCGCCCAAAAAGCGACCGGCTCGCCCCCACGAGAACCTTGACGTCGTGGCCCAATTGCGCCAAAGCCTGCACAACTTCGTCACTGATCCCTTCCTCCAGGTAAACCGTGCTGTCAACGTTCTTGCTCGGGTCTGTCGACTTCCCGGGAAGACTGACGCCAATGCACACGCGCGGGGCGTCGAGTGCAACCTGAGGGTTCATGCCAAAGACCGCCATGTTCAGCAACACCTGGACGTGACCCTGTGGCTGCATCGCGCCACCCATGACACCGAGCACAGTATGCAGGCTACCATCGCTGGCGTTGGTCACCAGCGCCGGTATGATGGTGTTATACGGTCTTTTGCCAGGCGCATATGCGTTCGGGTGCTCGTGATTGAGATGAAAGCCGGCTCCTCGGTTCTGCAGCACGAAACCTACGCCAGGAGGGATAATGCGACTGCCAAACGTGTCGGCCACGCTGTTCACGAACGAGCACGCATTTCCCTGCGGATCCGTGACGGCAAGATAAATCGTGTCGCTGGTCTTGTGCACGGGCGAGCCAGGACTCAGCACCACAGAAGCTCTGTCGGGTTGAAACAACGAGGCTCGTTCAGCGAGATACTCATCGGCGATCAACGACAGCGGGTCGATATCGGTTGCCTGGGGATCGGTAATGAACCAGGAGCCGTCCGCAAAGGCTATCTTTAAGGACTCGACAAGGGCGTGGAGATACCTAGTCTGAGTAAGAACGGGGCCGGAGCTATTGCTTCGAGTCTTCGTCGGGTCACTTACACAGCCGAGTTGTGATCTTGCTGGCCAAACTTTGGGATCTTGCCCCCCTTTTCCAACGCCTGCAGGATTCCAAGTGTGATCTGAGCAACAATGCCCTGCCCATTCGGCGCGTGCTCCCAGAGCTCGATTGCTTTGTCGTCCTGAGAGCCGTCCTTCCGAAATGCCTGCGGCTGGAGACGAAACGAGATGGGCTCGGTGATATCACTCCCGAGCCTTTCATGATCTTTGAGATCGTCCAGTGTCAAATATCCACCGATACTGCTGGTGGCCTGGACAATCGCTTCAGCGACAGGGCCTTCGTAGAAGCCCCCCTTTCCGTGCTCCGCAAGCCGTCGAAAGGTACCAGCCAGGAGCCCATTCTTGTAGAGCTCTCCAGGTCGAGGCGCTCTATGACCCAGTGGCGCTGCTGGGTCCTTCTTCAACAGATCTATCCCATTCGGTTTGCCCCGGAGTTCATCCTCTGTCGCTGCCCACTTGACACTACTAGTTAGCAGTGTATCCTCTCAGCGGAGCCACGCGGCAACTCACATGGTAGCTACTTATTTCACTGATGGGACAGCCGTTCTCGGCAAGATCAATGGCGGGAGCAAGCACTTGTTCCAACGACAAGACACCAGAGCCGAAACGGCTGACAATGTCAACCCATGCGGCAGCAGCGCCAGGAACCGTCACCGAGAGGGCTGAGGTCGGGGGGATGGTTCCGTAAATACGGTCAACGATGTTGAGATCGCGACAGATGTCATCAGGCTTCGCCTTTGCTGCTGAGCGTCCGGAACCGTTGAGAGCGTGCACCTTCTTGTTCTTGGCATCGTAGAACAGGGCAAAGGCATCTCCCCCTATCCCGGTCATGGCAGGATCGACAAGATTTAGAACAGCCGCGGCTGCAACAGCAGCATCCTAATGGGCGTTAGGACGGGTGCCCAGCGCCACATGCATGGGGAGACTTGCCGCCGCGTTGCCTCCATCGCGAAGGATCTTCAGAGCAGCCTCATTTGCCAAAGGCGAAATCGTGCTTATGATTCCCTTTGTACTGTGGACGACACTCCGTCTGCTCGGAAAGGCGCTAAAACTATCACCGCCATAAACGAAGGGCGCAGAGGCTGGTTCGGACATTTTCGGTTCAGATGAAACAAAGCCGGATTGAAGACGTAAGGAGCAACTCTGAAAAATACAACAAGGATAGCAAACAATGCATTTGGGTTATGGCCGTGAAAGGTGCCCGAGAAAGGTGCCCGATGACCGGGCGACGACCGGCTCCCGTGACTCAAGTGCGATGCCGTGATCTGAGGCTAATTGGTTCCACAGCCCGACCATCGGCTTGGGCACCAATCCGGCCCCCAGGGCCGCGACTGCATGTGCAAATGTCGATGTTAACGAACTGGAGATAAATAAATAGCATCGCGATATCCACACAAGTTTCTGTCGCTCGTCAATAATTATGGGCGAGGATGTACTGCGGCGACGAGACATGGAATTTCGTCAGCCAACAGTTTGGCGACGAGAGCCAGTCACCTCAGTCGGCGGATATTTGGATCTCCCCCACGCCGCCGCCCTCTCCAAGCGTCTCGCCGAGCTTGACAAGCGTCTTCTCGTAGACCCGCGCCACATCCATCTCAAGGCGCTCGACGTCGTCGTCGTCGTCGTCATTGTCGTCATTGTCGTCATTGTCCCAGGCATTGCTATCACTTGGCCAACCGGGTCGGTCCGGTCCACTGTCGGTCTCTTCAGCCCCAGGGCTATGGTCGGTCTCTCTTCCATCCTCAGCATCGTCCTCGTCCTCATCTCCAGGCCCCTGGCTCATGGCGTGCACCACCAAGACACGGGTCTGCTGAACTAAACTCCTGCAACGAACCATATCTGTCCGAGACATCCCAGCTCGAAGGCCATTCTCGAAGCCCGGAAGCGCTTCTTTAGTATCAAAATCCTCGCCGGAAAGCAGACTGGCAAAGCAGTGGTCAAGCTTGCGCAAGAGCGAAAAGGTGGCTTTCGGTGAAGCAGAGAAGGCCGCGACCCAGGTGTTGAACTCGCCCGCGACGTTTAGGAGGTAAGGAATCTGGAGGCTGGCTGGGCAGGAGTCAGCGAGCAGACGTTTAAGTTGGATCAGAAGCACTCACGGGTTCCCGACAGCCAAATCACGTTGACGAGGTCTTCGGCATCTTTGCACAGCTCGGCCATGGACTTGTAACCCTTGAACTCGTCGCTGCCCACTGCGACGACACCGGATTTCTTGGCGAATCGACGGCTAATGTGCATCATGCGATCCGTGACAAAATGGCGCACCATGTCTTCTTTCGCGGAACCGGGGCGGAGGGCGCGGCCGCGCGGATGCGGAAGGCCCGAGATGGACCTCGTCGATGCTGTACTGGGTGCTGGCGACGGCAGGGCGTCAATCACAAACCCTCCTGCGCCAGTCGCGGGGGTTCCAACTCGGTTAGCCATTTTCGGATTTTTGAATGTGGAAACTGTTCAATCGGTCATAGATACATTGCATGGTCAACCAGGTTGAGAAATGGTGGTCAATTGCGCCTGAGCGTGAGCGTAAGCCGAAGCGGAAAAGAGTCAATCGCCTGTCGCCTGAACTTTTAGACAGCAGCCATCTTCTTTCAACTCGGAGCTTGCTACCCCCCAGTACGTAAGGTAGCGTGCGGACAGGTGACCCGCTGGAAGCTGCATCAATGGCGGGGTGATGTCACGGGCTCTTCATGACGCTTCTAGCCGAAAGCGGAAACGGCCCCACTATTTATTTCGGCGAGATCCTCTCTTCAGCACCTGCAACCTACTGGGCTAGAATTTTCTAGTTCCCGTCACCCATAAACAGCTGTCCAAACCACCACCACAACTCAACAAACCAGAGCCGACCAGCACGCAACAATGCCTTCCACGCGCGTCGTTGTCGAGAGCCAGGGCGGAGCCCCGCGCCACAGAGCCTCAAACTCCAAGGGCTTCATTGCGTCGACCTACCAAACGTTCACGTCGGAAGAGAATGCCTCTGTTGTCCGGAGCGTCGCCTTCTTCGGGGTTAGTTGCGCCGACTACCATCTATTCGCCGTTTGCCGGGAACCCAATTCTCATATTAACGCCGCTCTTGCAGGTTGCTATCGCCTTCCTCGCGAGCTCGTGGTCCGAACTTCTTGTGTCAGTATCCCCTCTACTCGACTGCCAGCGCCAGCCGGGTCAGCGCGCTAATGGCCAGCAGACAATAAATGAGCAATCACCTTGACGTATCCGCGGCGCTTTCTTCGACATCTTGACGATGACTCCGAGTGGCCGCGGCCCGTGTATAACAACATCTGCACCTCGTGTATAATAGCGACTTGAGCAGTGGGGTGTTTAGGGCGATGGAATTCCTGGCTTCTACCGCAAAAGGCGTTCACGGTTGCCCACCTCAATTTAATAATTTCACAGCCATGGTTCCTGGGCTTATGCGATTGGAAGGTTTTGAACCGGATGCCACCGTGTTTGGCGATCTGGTGCTCTCCCCAGACATTCAGGGGCATCGGCTCTGCGATTGATACCCGATCACAACTCCTTTCCCCTTTCCCAACCACACCTGGCCGTTCACTCCGAGATTGACCTCTCTCACCCATGGTCTCTTTCATTTTAAGTGCCGAGGAAGATCAATTTGACGTCCCATTACTCACCACGGCTTTCGTTGGCAGTTGCTATGGAAGTCGAGGTCCATATTGAAGGTCGACATTATCCCCAACAAACTGTCAAGTTTGTGCCTCGTTAGCTATACAGCTAATGATACTGTCCACTTTGTATTTTTGTCTCGCCTTTCAGGGGCAAACTGCCCTCCCAGAGTGATCGTTTTTTTTGGTCATGTGAGAGTTTTTTTTTGGAAGGAAGTTGGCACATTCTGTTCCGTCATGGCATGGACAGTGCTCTATGACTCCTCCCGTCTCTCCTTCCAAGGGGTCAGGCTGACAGTCAGATCTCATAGCTGCCTCTCTTCTGGACGATAGACGGACGAGCTAACGGCAGACTAGCACACAATTACAACCGAATTTGATATGCCAGGACAGACCTTGTGTTGTCCGATGTTTGACCTCCTGCTGAAATGTTCCTGCCTCTCGCCTAGCGTCACGCGGCCGTTTGGACCTGCCTCGTCACCTCTACTCCCATCCTGACTGGGAAGGCTCGTTGCGTTAAGGCTGCTTGGGGCCACTGAGTGCACTCTAAGTCTCGACAGTTCTGTCCGAGGCATTCATTTCCAGCATCTCTTTTTGTGCCCTCTACGAAAATCCTCTTCCCAAGACACGTACATGATGTGGCTCCCAATCACAGCCCTTGGGGCCGTCGCCTGTGTCATACCTATTGTACATGGTGCCGTGCGGGACTGCGGGCAGCCGCCGTCGGGCTCGCAGGCCTTCTGGGTTCTTGGATGCGCGAAGCCGATTGTCGTTGAGCGTGCCGACCCCATCGTGAATCCCGGGAAGCCCTCCAACCACGTCCACACCATCATGGGTGGCGATGCCTTCGACTTGGAAATGGACTTCCAGAAGACGCAGACGTCGACTTGCACCACATGCGGCGTGACCAAGGACCTGTCGAACTACTGGGTTCCCACGGTGTACTTCCTCGCCAACAATGGGAGCTTTCTCGACGTGAAGCAGGTTGGGGGCATCAACATTTACTACCAGTCAGTCGTTCTTCTTGCAGTGCCTATGACGTGAATTGATCTCAGGCTTATTTTGTCGCCTCGTATGCACAGGGAGCGCATGGACTGGACAGACTACTGCGCGGGCAAGACACTGCAGCCCTTCCCCCCCGAGTTCCGCATGGTCGCCGGCGACATGACTCTCCGAAGCTACAACTACAGCTCGATGGAGCAACGGGCCATCGAGTTCATCTGCCTGCCCGCCAACGGAGAGGCCGGCCTGGATCCGTTTCCCGGCTTTCCCAACCGGACATGCAACGGCGGCCTGCAGCTCCGCGTCCGCTTCCCCTCGTGCTGGGACGGCAAGAACGCCGACTCAAAGGACCACCAGAGCCACATGGCATACCCGTCGGGACTTGATAACGGGTTCTGCCCCGACACCCACCCCGTCCGAGTCCCGTCGCTCTTGTACGAGAACACCTGGGACGTGGCCGCGTTCAACCACCTGCGGAAGCCGGGAGACCAGCCTTTTGTCTTGTCTCAGGGGTACGTGTCGATATGAACCTCTCTCTTGATCCGCACATGTGCCTCCTTTTGTGGCTGCTAGCTGACGGGTGTCAATGGTTTCTTCGTATAGCGATCCCACGGGGTACGGGTATCACGGCGATTTCTTGAACGGGTGGGACACTGAACTCTTGGAGAAGGCGATCCGCGACCCGTCGTGTGGAAACAGCAGCGGCGGACGCATCAACTTCTGCAAGACGTTCCAGCCCTTCTTCCAGAACAACACGCTGCAGAACTTGTGCCCATCCATTCCGTTGAGGGTGGAAGAGCCAGTCTTTGATGTCCTCCCGACCCTCCCCGGATGCAATCCGGTTCAGTACGGGCCTCAGAATGCCATCATCTATCCGTGCGACAACAACACCACCCCCCGGCCGACTTGATCCCTTCGTGTGCCAGGTCCCGGGAATCCTTTTACGGCTGAGATTTCTGAAAGGGCAGCGGAGTTCGGCCCCAATGGTGTGACTGGCTGCGACCGCGATCGCATTACCAAGCCGCCGGCAACAGACAATTAGATAGCAGCGGTAGAAAGTATGAGTTCCTCCCTTAGTGGTACCGTAATACAACTAAACACTATTCCTTGTCCCTTTGTCGCCATCCAGCAACAATGGCCTTTGTGTGACTTGTCGACGGCCAGTACGTATACTGAGACGGGAGCGACTACAACACAGAATGAACAATGAACAACAAGGAGTTGTCCGTTGTGTGTCTATAGCCTCCAACGCCTATTAGAGCAACACAGCTATACTCGTTTCCCAACAACAAACTCTCACGAACACAAACATAAGAAACAGGCAACCGTCACCAGATACCCCTATAAATCCCGGCAAGTACCTACTTATTTAAAAAAAAAAAAAAAAAAAAAAAAAAAAAAACTATTGATCATGCCTGCAGTCTCACTGTCATCTTCAGTCGATTCCTCATCGCTCTACTCCCCGCCCGCGAATTCATCCGTCTCCTCTCTATCACTAGACTCCGAGCTGGCGAACCCGAATGCCATGATCGTGGCCGGCAGCGCTGTGTCAACCACGACTGCCACGACCACTGCCCCGACCGTTTCGGCCGTCTCCGGCCCCACGACGGTCAAGACAGGCACCACCACCACTGCCGCCTCCACGAGCACCACTGCCGCCTCCACGAGCACCACCACCACCAAAGGTAAGTCCTCCAGACACAGCAATTCGTCGTCCCGCGCGAGCAACAACAGCAACAAGGAAATGCAGCTCGTGCGCGAGAAGCGCGGCACGGCGAGCGCGAACGGCTCGGCCAAGTCGGGGCGGAGCAAGAGCAGCAGCAGCAGCAGCGGCGGCGGCGGCGGCGGTGAGCGCCCGAACTCGCTGATGATGTGGCTCGCCGGCGCCCAGGGGGCCGGCAAGTACAGCCTCGAGCCGGTGCCGGAAAAGCGCAAGCATAGAAGCAAGAAGGATGCTTCGGTGGCAGAAAAGGCAGGTGGTTCCCCTGAGGAAAAGAAGAAGAAGGACGCCAAGCACGATCCCCGCAAGACTAACTAAGGCTTTTCATAATAGCTGCTCGGGCTGCTCTGCGGGCGGTGATCTTTCACCGCCGCCGCTGCGAAGTAGCAGAGAGGTCGCATTAGACGGTATCACCACGTTGGCACTGGCATGCAGCCAGACCACTCAAGGAAGAACATGTGGTGCAGGTGGTGCACACCTTGGAGGGTGCATGGTAGAGAATTAGAGTGCCTGTACAGCACATACATGCTGGTACAGCGCATACATACTGCAGGGTAGTTGTTTAATAGCAAAAGAATGGCAATATTGGAGTCTTTTTACGAATATAATGTAAATAAAATGTAGATTGTGAAGGTAAATGTGAAGGTGTACATGTAAGATTAGCTTGTGAAAGGACACAAAGAACACCCGTAGAATGTGACCTCGATATCCGAGATTATGAGTGACAAGGCCACACTCAAGATGAGTGACATGATCGCATCCATCACTTTATCGGTGGAGGTGTTTTATACGGTTTCACAGATATCGGTCCAACTCAGTTGTACTACTCAAGAACCCGCGTCACCCAAGCCGCGAGTTCTCGGACGCGGGAAAATGAACCGAGATTTAAGTTGCTGTCCCCTAATAGTGGGAGCTTTCGCCTGGATTGGACAGTGTATAACTAAGAGGGGCTTCCTTCCGTAGGCCAGTATGGACGAAACTGACACGAGCATTTGCACATTCAGCAGTCGAGATGCTCGAGATTTCTAGCCCAAAGGCGTTCGATTGAAGCCCATGAGCTAAATTGGCCGTTGCCAATGGCCAGGTGCCCGTGCTCGCGACGCCGAGTCTAATAGTTGCAGATTCCACCGACGTCATCATCGATGGTCCAGGTGCCAGCCAGGCCGGCGACACCAACTTCCTCGATCGGCAATCCAGCCCCCTCTTCGGACTTGCCGGCGAAGAAATCGCCTACGCCCTCGGTCTTTACCTGCCGGCTCATGAAACGCCGAGCCCACTCGTCTATCACGGGCTCGCCCGTCTCGTCGCGCGCCTGCTTCAGAAAGGAGATGAGCGCGGTGCCGCCGGTGCCCTTGAGACTGCTGCTCTTCTTCTCGTCCTGCGGCGTTGCGCCAGCATGGCTACGGGTGTCTAGCGCGATACCCTGTGGCTGGCGTGACACGGTGGAGAGGTCGATCTTGCGCCGCGTCGCCTCGGGGCTGCGGCTGCGACTGCGCGCGCGTACTTCGCGACTGGGTATCACAATGTACCGTGTCACGATGGCGATGTGCTTGTCGCGCAAGTTGCGCAGCATAGCAAGGCACGCATCGTAACCCAGGCATAGCGGTCGGTCCTGGCGGTTCTCCTCGACGAACTCGCGGATGTTTGCAACCGCTTGGACGTCACCGAGGAAGCGTGCGTGGGGTCCGGGCATGTACCGGCGCATCTCCGTAAGGAAATTGTGCTTGGGCGCCGGCGCACGACCTTCGCGCTGGTCGATCTGGTCTGCCCGCCCGCGCTTCTCGCCTGTGGGGCGATGCTCAATACCGAGCACCACATCAAAGAACTGTATCAAGCTGCTCTGGGCATTGCTGCCACCAGAGTACTGGCGGAACTTTTCTGTGCCTGACCCGTCTTCGTAAATGACTCCGTTCGGCAGCCCAGCCTCGGCCATGTTCTTACTGCCAGCCAGATAGGGGCGAATGCGATGATAGAAGATGATGGGGTCGCAACTCTCGTGCATTCGCTGCAGGAGTGTTGTAAGGTCATCAAGCCGCTCGGCAAAGGTGTGCAGGCAACGGGTGACAGTTGGCGCATCGTTATCGCGGGCTGCGGCGATGGCAGTCAGCATCAGGGGAATGATGGGCGCGCCGCGGGCTTCCATGGCGACAGAGACGAGGTAGAACCATGATTCGTCAGTGGAGCCCGTGAACGTGTTGAGAGTTGCGAGGTTCTCGAGGTTGTCAATGTCCTCGTCCATAAACAGGGGCTTGAAGTTCCAGAGGCAGAGGGAGGCATAGGTGGCGACGGGCGGCACCTCGAGACGTTGCGACACCTTCAGCAGCGGCACTGCAATAGATGGCGGCAGCCGGTCACTGGGACTATCACCACCCCAGATGTAGCCGTGAGCCATGAAGGACAACAGCGAGTAGGCCCTGCGCCATTCTGCGTCATGTTCCAGACCGATGGTGGAGAGCACGGGTAGACGATCGACAACCCCCCGTAGACGCTTGCTGAGAATGAGGCCCTGAAGGTTAGCCACAACAGCCTCCCATTTGTTGTAGTAAGGGTCCGGGAGTCTCGTCAATGGTAGGACCTGGGGGAGGAAGCCATGAGTTGGAGAGATTCCATAGTCGGCTAAGACCGGGATGGGCGGCAGCATGACTCTGAGCGACACGGACACGAAGGCCGGATTCCGGAGAGATACAGCGCTCCAGGCCAGAGAAAGCGATGAGGCTGTGCTTGTGGTTCAAGGGTCTTGCTGCTTGGGACTCCCCAAAGCAAGCACACTTCTATGGTGTTTGTGACAATTGACAAGGCAAGGCTGAGTCTCTTGTGTAATACGCAGAGCGCCAAATGGGGAAGTGGGTGAAGTAAGGTACAGAGTAATGGTGGGTGGGCCAAACAATTAAGTCCAGACGCAAGGAGTATACAGAATATAATCTGTAATACCCCTCAGCCGTTCAAAAACTCTGCTGGCTTGTGAGCATACGGCGAAGTTGAGAGAGAGAAAAGTCTAGGACAGGTAGGGGAAGTAGTGGCTGGGGACGACGCCATTATTAGGTATAATGGATGAGTCGGGGGGACCCGGCAAGAGCGGGACTTGACGCTGGCCCGCTCGTAGGCGTCTTAATAATTGCGGGCAGAACCTGGGACAAAAAGTCGCCCCTCAGATGGATTCCATACTGCCAAGCCTTGTGACTGGCGTGACTCTCAAGCGTCTAGAAATGTCTTTTTCGGCTTTGACTTTTGGCCGGTGGGGACCACACCTAGTTTGAGGGAAAATATCGCAACGAGGTTACAAAGAGTCGCCTGTTGGCCGTTGGCCTGATGGACCGCCTAAGAGGGCCGCCCTCCTGAGCTGACCAGTCTAGGCCCTTCCCGAGCCAGCTCCGACCACGGCGATTGGCTTGGATGTTTTGCCGGCGTTGCGCATCAGGGTCCTGGGTTTCTGCGCTTCGACAATTTCGTCGGCGTCGCTGAAACGGGGCACGGCAGGGAAGCCGAGGAAAGGGCCCTGGAGTTGTGCTCAACCCACGCAGCGTGGGTTGGGTCATGGGAAAGAGGTAGCACGCGATGCTCACAGGGCCCGATGCCCCCAGCTTTGACTTGCGCGCATTCTGGCTCACATTTTTACGTCCGATCGGAACAAATCAAGAGGTGGAATCTAATTTGTAAGGTGGTTCGGGTGGATTGTCAGCGTCTAGTGGCCTGCCATCGCGCATCAGAGCAAAGCAGATCGATTTTTGGCGCTCGTTTCCACTTTCCATCGGCCGTTCGAGAAAATTGAAATCTGATGGCTGAGTGGAGTAGCCGAGCACAGCATTCCATTGGATGTCCAGGCCCTTCTTTCAAGTTTCGAGCACTGCCGTGCACGTGCTACAACGGTCCTCTAGTGTTACGTACCCAAGCCCCGCGATTAGCCGACCCGACCACAGTGGAGCAGGTGGGCAGCTGCTGTTGAGCACTGACCAGTGATTGACGGATCTGCCAATCTGGACAGCCTCATCCTGCCGAGCCTGCCAAGGGTTGGGCGAGCAAGCTTGGCGCTCTCAAGGCGTGACGACGTTGCGGATACAGCATCCAACGACGCTCCATCCATGTCCCTAGACTCACAGCCAGTCAACCATGCGGCAAGAGCGGAGAGGGCGCCGCTGCACCTAGCGAACATGGTCGTCCAGCAACATGTGCTGAACTGGCTCTACAGCGTCCTGACCAGCGTACGTCTCCCTCGCCCGCTGCACCACCGATCGAGCGCCAATTGATCCAGTCCTCGTTGCCTGGCGAAGATGAATGCGCTAACCTGACCCCCTTACGATCCGCAGGAATATCACGACGTCACCCGAACCTACAACGACGTCGCCCAGGCACTGTCGCAGTATCCGTCGCTCTCTCCCCGCACCGATGTTCACAGTACGCGCTCGCTTGTTCCCTTCTGGTGCCGCGCCGGCTCTGCGACGCCGTGACTGACCAGAGTCGCAGCATTCCCCAACGGCGCATCCGCGCTGCTCCTCCATCTGTCGGGAACAATACCCGTCCTCTTCCGCGGCACGACATACCGCTTTCCCATTTCGCTATGGGTACCACACGCATATCCCCGCGAGGCGCCGCTGGTCTACGTGACCCCAACCGACAGCATGGTAGTACGGCCTGGCCAGCACGTCGATCCCCAAGGCCAGGTCTATCACCCATACCTGGTTGGGTGGTCTACATTTTGGGATGTGGGTGCAGGCTACGCCTGGAGAACACGTAGCAGCAGAAGCTTATTTGTACCGCAGAAATCTAGTATCATGGATTTCCTGGCTATTTTACGCGACATCTTTGCCAAGGAGCCGCCCGTCATCGCCCGCCAGCCTGGCCCCCCGCCTCCACCCCAACACCAAACATCCACGCCGCCCCCTGTCCCTCCGCTTCCGCCTGACCTGAATACGAGACCATCGAACGAGAGTCCCTTTCTTGCCCGCGAAGATGCCACGAGACCGCCCCCACCGCCTCCGAAACCCGGTCAGCGCGTCGAGGTCCAGCAGCCACACTCCCAGGCAGTCTCTCGATCCGACGGCCCTCCGCTTCCCCCCCTCCCGCCGAACACTAGAGGACAGCCGGCCCGGCATGGATCCGAAGGAGCAAGGGTGCCGCAAGAACAACGCACAGGGGCCGGGCCGTCCCGCTACGAGACCGCACCACCACTGCCACCGCAGGAGCTTCAACCACAGCCGCCCCCACGGCCGCCGTTTCCGCTGTCGGCGCAACATCCCAATGCATATCCCGGCCCTCCCCCGGCAGCCGGGTTTCCCCTGGCTGGGCCGCATCCCTCATTCGCACCCGACGAGGCGCGGCGGACGTCGTCTTTCTCTCCGCCCCAACAGTACGCCACACCACCGCAAAACTGGCAACAGCCGCCACCTCCAGCCCAGGCGCCGCCTCCCCAGCCGCGACCTCCCCCTCCGCCCGACCTCATGGACGAAGACCTGACGCTCACAATCCCCACACCCTCGTCTGCCCCGCCGCCGCCCATCCCGCCGAACCCCGAGAAGGACGCGCTGCTGCACCAGCTGGCGCAGACGCTCCACAACATGCGGCAGCGCTCGCGCGCGCAGAACGAAGCATCCCTCCTAGGCCTACAAGCGCAGCGCAGCGCAATGGCGGCGGCCGCCAACAGCCTGCAGAACGAGTCGGGGCAGCTGGGCCAGCTGTCGGCGCTGCTCGGGTCCAACACGGCGATCCTGCAGGACAGCCTGCGCAAGGCCGACGGCGTCATCGAGAGCTCGGACCGCCACCCCAAGCCCAACATCGACGAGCTGCTCGTCGCCCCCACCGTCGTCGGCAACCAGCTGTACGAGCTCGTCGCCGAGGAGCGCGCCCTCGCCGACGCCATCTTCGTCCTCGGCCGCGCCGTCGAGCGCGGCCGCATCGCCCCGGGCACTTTTGCCCGCACGACGCGCAACCTCGCCCGCGAGTGGTACCTCAAGAAGGCGCTGGTGCGCAAGATTGGACAGGGCATGGGCCTCGAGGCGTGAGGGCGCGATATGTGTATCGATCGAGAACTTTAGGTTACCTAGGTGCCTTGCACAAATAGGGCCTCTTTGAGATTTAATTACGGCGGTTAAGACAAAAACATGCATGGTAGAGTCTAGGTTCGTACACTCTGTAGATTCAGGTTCGTACACTCTGTAGATTTAGGGCCTATTGTGTCAGCCTTGATCCTTTTCCTCTTGCCGTGTTCTGCAACGACCTTGGATCCTGAGAGAGTGAATCGACCATCATTACACAACTTTTTGACTAGACGGTCTTGCCAAGGAGTAGATAAGGTTTCTAGACAAAGTATTGCGCAGCCGTCGCAGCCGTCGCAGCATGGGGATGCGCAAGATGGATATTTACAATGATATTGATGCGAATCAGCTCCCCCTCCAAAAGGAACGAGCATCAGTATTTTTAGCCCGTCTCAAAACAGCCAGCCCCTCCAGGCAACGAAAACATACCCTTCATTCCCAAGTGCGAAACATCCGCCCGCGCATTTGCTCGATGGCTAAGACGGTTACAGCTTTGCGCCTTGGGCGCCGCCGCCGCTTGACCTCTCCCTCCCGAATGTCTCAAACTTTGCCAGGTCCAGCACTCGTGCGGGCCGCGGATGCTGCAGCCGGCAGTTTGGCGTCGCCACCAGAACGTCCTACTCGTCACGGTTCGGAGCCGCCACACCTATGCTATCCTGTCCTGCCACACTCCCATTGCTGCTCTTGGTGCCATTCTTTGACCAGCTCGTGCGCCTCTCTTTCAGCCTTCGCCCGATCCCGTAGGCGGCAGCCGCCGCCCGCCGGCTCCAACTGAGGCTGGACTGTCTGCTCTTCACGGCATGCCCCTCGCCTGCCGTGACAACTAGGTTTGCGCCATCTGGCTTGGAAGCGTTGCCAGACTCTTTCCCAAAGGAGCTAGAGCGCCTCGATCTTCTTCTTCCCGCAAACTTTGGCGGAGGGCTGAATGCCGTCTCCTTGAGAGCGGCCGGAATACCACTTTTTGCAATGGCTTGCTCAAGGTCCGGATCGCCGGCAAATACCCTTGTCGCTCGCCCTCCAAAAAGACTCCCACGGCGGGTTTCCCAATTGGGCTTGATGTCAAGGACGCCGTAACTTTTGCGTTCGGGCAGAATGCGGCCGGACCTCGTCCTGCTCGAATGGAAGAGGGTCGGCCGTGTTCCTGTAGTCTTGTCAACGAGATCAGTTGACGATGTTGAGCTAGAAATCCGTATCGTTGTCGTTTCCGATGACATTGACTGCTCTGCGTTGGCCTTGTTGTTTGGAACTCTCCACATCGTGCCCTTGACAAGGAACGTAGATTCGCGCCTCGGAACAAGGGACAAACCGTCCGACCATGTTTTGCCCTGGCTGTCCCTCAGGCTGTGTCTCTTTATCGTTGCCTCGCTGGACTTGCCGCTGCTCTTCCCGCTGCTCTTCTCGCTCTTTGGTCTTGGTGCTCTGTCAATACCCTTGCTATTTCCGACATATTCCTCGGTTTCGCCGTTGAAAGACAGCGCCTTTAACAACCTCGAACTCCGTTTCACCTCTCGACCAGCGGTTCTCTTTCTGGTCTTTCCGTCAAGGGGGCTGCTTTTCGAGGCAGGCTGCACGTCGTACCATCTGGCTTTGCCTGCTATTGGCAAACTTACTACACTCGCGGAAGATTGGGTTATGTTCTCAAAAAGACTAATTTTGTCCTTGACTGGGGATTCTCGTCTCTTTTTGGTCAGCTTGTTTCGAGATGATCGCCAAGAACTCGCGGCAGGGCCACTCTGGGTGCCGTTCTGCGACCCAGTAAATGAAAGCGGTTCGGTATTGCGCGTAGAACTGCGCCCGCTGAAAGAGATAATGGCTGAACTACCTGACGAGGGACTGCTCAGGGATGCCCTGTGAGTTGTGACAGCAACAGTTGTAGACACCATGATCGGCAAGCTTGGCCCAGACTTTGTCGGCCCTACGCTCCCATGCTTGTCCAATGTTGGGATAAAAAGGCTTGAAGGCAGCCGACGTCCAGATCCTTTGCGTTGAGGGTTTGCACCAACATAGGCGTGACTCCCAGTTGGGCTTTTGATGCCGTCAGTCCGTTGCGGCAAGCTATCCCCCATGCTGCCAACACCACCATGGTCCGTCGATGGGGGCCCAACGGTGGATATTTTGACTGATAATGTTCGTGAAAGAAGCAGCGGATGAACGGGACTTGAGTGGAGAACTGATGTTTTCCTCGGCCTCTTGGAAGGCGTGTCGATATCACGGTTGCTTAGCCCTTCCCTGGTGTCTTGTGCATCTAGAGAGGATGTAAGTTTAGGGCTGTGATTGGTGCTCATCTGATCCAAAACTGAAGGGGCTTGTGGTGCCAAATTCCGACTGGCCGAGAGAGGTATGCGCCGCGGTGCGGGTTTCGCCGATGCCGAGGTGCCAAAGCTGTCGGTTTTGCTGATCACCCCTTTTCGAGGGGTGATCGGATCACCAGTTACAACAGATTCGTCTGTTCCAGAAGTCGATTTTGAGAGCACCGGACGTCCGCTTCCGACTTTGCCGCGCGAGCCAACTAGATTAGGTCGGGACGCCTGTTCGAAAGACATGCGCAGGTTTGCCACGCTGTTAGACTTCCGTTGGAATGATGCGACTTTCCCTGCCATCTCCGGGACGAAGAGAGAAATGGGACGTGTCTCAGACGGATGTGATTCACTTCGATCCCTCGGTGATTTTGGCGTCTTTTCCCCAACACGCAAATTCGCCATATTCTGGTCTTGGGAATCCTTCTCCATTTCCTTGAGCTTCCCCAAGTACGATATGGACTTATTTCCCGAGGCACTTGGCTTCGCCGAGGGGGCATTCATGTGGGTGACGACTGGCTCCATAAATGGGCGGTACACTATCTCTGTCAGAAAAATGACGCGCCCAAAGTGCCCAAATGATGTAGCCAAAGCCAAAATGCCGCTTTGGATGGAAAATGGTGCAACACTCACGGCCGGCTGGTTCAAATATTTTTCTCCTTTCTGCAACGATCTTGGGATCCCAACCCTTCCGGTCTTCTGGCTTTGGTGCACTTGGCCTTGGGGGCGGCCCCGAGGCGGACTTGTGCTGGTTTCTGTTTTCGCGGGCATCATCAGGATGTGGCTTCTGGGGGGACGCCAAGTCCATTGTATGCCATATTTTTTGATGACTGCCATTTTTCCCGTGCTTCTCTGTGTTCTTGTGTTTTGCATAGGGCGAGTCCGTCGCCCTATTTCCAGACTTGACGCGGGCGTTAAAGGTCGACGGAGAGCTCAGCGTCGTCGGGGAAACTTGACTCGACCAGCCAGTGTTGGGAATGACGCCCTCAGATTTCGGAGAAGCCGTCCGGGGAAGACCTCGAAACGGCGAGCCTTCAGTGAAATTAGGTTTTGTGTATGGCTTGGAATGTACACCCTGCTGCTTTACCGGTGTCGTTTTAGCTGTGGATGATATGCTAGACTGCCTTCGGAGAGATGATGACTGCCCAAAATCTCCAACGTCTGTATTTTTCATTGCGTCTAGACCTTCATACTTGGACACAAGACTGACCAAGCCCGGCGCAACGGGACGGGGAGGGGAAGCAAATTTTGTAGAAGGCGTGCCATGGACTCCTTGAAGTGTATCTTTTGGTCGAGGAAGTCGGGCTCGGGATGGGGGTGGTTTGTCAGCCACATATTCCGGAGCATCCTGGAATGGCTCTTCACGAGAGTCGTGGAAACTCTGGTCGGTGCTCGACTGACTTTTGCGGGCAAGTCTCAGAGGGGCGGGCTTTAACTTGGAATCTGAAAAGTCGCGGCCAGCGGTGGTGTTGAGCTGTCTTTTCTCGGTAGGCCTGGACATTGGCGTGGGCGTTGGAGAAGCCATATGATGAGTGGCAAGACGGTGGCAGTAATACAAAAGGAGAAAATATGGATCAAATTCGGCCAAGAATACCAAACAGCCGAGAGCAAAGGTTTTGGAGGCTTTGGGCAAAGAGTCGAAGAGAGTCGCGACACGAGAAGATCGCCATCGGCGAACCCACGAGACGCCAAGGGATGCGACTAGGCAACCGGGGCCATTCGACCTGCTCTCTGCTGGCTGCAAAGGAAGGAGCCGGTTAGCCAGTCGTCTCAATCCACTCTGAAAGTCTGAGTCGCGGACTAACCTGCAGTTGAGGCTCTCTCGAGGCAGGTGGGGAAGTCAACACTGATTACATCTACAAACGGAAAGCGCAATCGGGTATCAGACCAGGTCGGAGGCATTCTTCCCTGTGGTACCATTGTGGTAAATTACAGAATAGATTTGACAAAAGAAAAAACGCACCGTGTTTGTCGTCGGCGCCCGCCTGTTGCCAAAGGCCCGAAGATTGCGCGTGGGAAGAAGCTATATCAGAAGAAAAGAAGAAGAAAGTATCGGCGATTGCCAGACCAAAAAGAAACAAAATAATACAGCTCGGCTTTCCGCCGGATCTCATGGGCGATCAAAGTCCCCACCCCCACCCCCTCAGCGATCAACTATTCCAGACTCAGCAAGCCGATGCACGCATGCCTCGTGCAGCCATCGTGCCCCTCCCCGGCTCTCTTCCCACGACAACCATCTCCCACTAGTCGCGCCCCACGACAAACTCTCGAGTGGAGCGGACCAAAGCTCGGCTGCGGACCCCTACTACGAGTCTCGGTGGCTAGCTCCTCTAGCAGGCTCGGGAACGCGCTCCTCGGTGCGCTCAATGACACGCTCGACGCGAATGCCGCCTCTTTTCGCGCCGCCGCCAGCGATGCCCAGCTCCAGGTCCTCGTCGTCGATGCGCGACAGCTCCATCTCGGCGTGGTCGGCGTGGTGGGACTGCTTGGGGCTGAGGCTCGGCTTCTCGCTGGTGATGTGCGACGTCAAGCCGCCAGGCCCAGGCCCAGCCGCGGCGCCGACTCCGTTGTTGGCGTGGTTGTTGTAACTATAGCTTCTACTCGCGGCGGTGCTGGTGGCGGTTCGTCCGCTGTCGGTGGCGGCCAGCAGCTGTCGCTTGCTGCTCGCGCCCGTGCCCGTGTTGGAGGAGGCCGACGCGCTCTGGCCGGACCGCCCGCCGCTGCTGGCGCGGCCCGACCCGAACCACCCCGGGTTCGCTAGCCGCTGCGCCATCAGCGTGCCCAGCGGCAGCACCACGATGACGGACGTCTGCGTGAGCGAGGCCGATTCGAGGAAGTTGTTCCAGTCGTCGTACTCGAGAGCCGCGAACAAGACTGTTCAAGACAGGCATGTGTTAACAGGCAATATTCACGTGTTCCATGCGTCTCGAGGTCAAGGGAGATATTGTGAAAGGGGGGAAATGAAAGGGGACAAAGAACGTACCTGGCACCAGCATCAGAATGCCATTGGTGATGACAAGGACATCCATGGCGGTGAGGCCCTTGAGCGACGGAAGGAAGCTGCGGTTGGTCCACATGTGGATGACTAGGCGGATGTTGAAGAGGAAGCAGAACCAGCAGATGGACGCCGTGATGAGCCCGAGGTAGGTGCTGCGGATCCACCGCATGCTCGCGTCCTGGGTTTTGCCATAGAGGATGGCCTGTGCTTGGATGATGGTGATGGCAAAATTGAAGCCGATGGTGACGACAACGAGCACCACGGAGAGGGCTGTTGCCGTCCACTTCTGCAGCGAGGGCCACAGCTGGAGCATGGACCACGCCTGCACGATGAGTGCCAGCAGGATCAGGATGGTGATGGGGATGCTGAGGATGGTGGCCGCGACGCTGAGGTTGTAGTCGGTCTGAGAGACGAACTGCACGTCGCCCGACACTACGGTATAGAAGTGCAGCCAGGAAGACGAGTAGAACAGGGCCAGCAGGAGCATGCGGATCATGTTAGTTGTGAGCGCCAGGATGCTGACGATTACTGGCAGTCTCCGGAATCGGCTTCTGGGTGTCATGACAAGCACTACCGCCAGCATCACGAACGACGCCCCGACTTGGCTGCCGTAGTTGGCCGCCGAGGAGGTTGCCACTTGGTACACCATGTCGATGTCGGCGAGGGTGAAGTTGATGGGCGTCTGTCCATCTGAAGCGAGAATGAATGCGGGTTGGGTAAGGGGGTCAAAGCCACCCTCACTACCGCCGGGATTGCTGGACACCATGTCGAAAGATCGTACTAGGCGAGTGCCTCTGAATTACGAGGTTCTGAGTATCGCAATGCTCTAGTCTGAGAAAGAAATTGGAAGACCGGCTTCTTCAACAACGAGATGATGGCTGTGGCGAGCAATAGTGACGATGATGAAAAGAAATGAAGAGTCGGAAGAGTCTAGTGGCGAGTTCGTGGATATTAATACAGGAGATCAACGTCCTCGCACAGCGAAAAGACCTGGTCCATTTGGAAATAATGGCTTGAATGAGCAGAACTGGCAGGGGATTGTGGTCTGCAGGAGCATAATCAGAGTGGAAATCACCCTCTCCCCTCGCTCACATTCTCGACCCTCCTTGCTATCATTCTTCACGGGGTGCGCTCAAAGAAAATGCTCCCCGAAACAGATAATACCAGACAGAGGTGAGACAATGAAAGCGCTGGTGGTCTAGCCGGCAAAAGTGGAGATGGGCAGCTGCATGAGAAAATGCTTAGTATTGTTCTACCCCTGAACCCTTAGTATTGTTCTCGCCGCGGAGTGGGGCACCAACGCTTGAGGCTTGAGTCACGGAGGGCAGCCGCAGTGAAGCGACCAACAGAGCCAGCTGGGTAGAGTGACATGTCGCCGATATGCCGCTGGCAAAGCAATAGTGCGGTAGCTTGCCCCTTGCCCCTTGCCTTGGAGCTCGTAGAGTTACGAGTGCGACGAATTGGTGGACCAGCCTGTGGAAACCCAAGGGGTGAGAGGGGGCTGAGCGGGAAGTGAAAAGGAGCATCCACTCAGGCAGAATTGAATGATCAATGTGACCAGCTACCGTCAGCTTCCCCCCTGGCCGAGAGGCGTGGCTTGCCGATTGTGACCACTCTACTCACTGCGCGTTGAAGTCCAGAACTGATGAGAACCAGGGCTCAAGGTGTCAGTCGAAAGCTGGCAGACGCGCCAGACACACTCATATCCCCCATAGGCTAATCAAGCCCCAGCCTCGTCTCATTTTCATGCCAAATGGATTGCTCAGCTCCCAGCCGTGACCAGAGTGAACAAGGTCGGGGCTAGGGGCGCCGTCAGATCTGATACATTTGCTGCCTCTTCGACTTGGCAACGTAACAGGCAGAGACTACTTGAATTGTGCTGTGGTGGTTTTATGATCCTTGGCCCGGGCTGGCCATACCTCGACGAGCCAACGCGAGATGTTGCTAGGTAAGGAACTGGAATCTCGGACGTTGACCCCCGATGACCCCTCCGGTCCCTCACCACGAGACTGTTTGTTTATTGAGGGCAACCACCCCCCATATTGTAGCCCTCTGCTGTATTCCACCTTGCATGTAGATTGAAGGCTCATCCTTTGGTCTTGCCGTTGATATCTATATCATCTCACTAATACAAGCAAGAAACATCGACGCGTTTTCTTTGTGTCGCATACTGATTTCAACCCGATGCTGCTTCGGGAAACTGCAGCGTGCCACCTAACTGTAACTGGCTTCAACCAGCCCTGCTTTTCACTTGGCAGCTGAAATTCGAGTTTCGTGCCGGCTTTGGGCATTACTTTGTCGGCAGAATATATATACACCTTGGCGACGTTAGCGGGGGTAGATGAATGCCGTTCTTTACTTGGGGGCATGCGTAAGGTGCCTGTTTACCTTCCGACCTGAAGTTAATTATTGGTGGAATGTAGATGAAAGGCTGAACACCTTGGCCTCATCCATCCTGCAATATCTTGTCACTGGGGGCAAAGTATTCCGGTCATCATCGATCCATCTATCTAATTAGGGGATCTTCTAGGGGCAGTAGTGCACCGTATTGGCGGCAGGGCACGATGTTGCACGCAATCGAAGTTGACAGCGCATTGAATTGTCTGCTTAAATCCAATCTAGTAATACAGGAAAGAAAGCCTTTTATGCTTCGACCAAAAGACCGGGATTAGTCAACAATATAGGCATCAAGGCCTATATAGGGGCCGATCAGCGTTGGTGGCCTAGTTGATGACAAAGTTCGGTCAGGGGGGCATGATTACGTGAGTGACAACATGCAGTGTTTGGAGGGATATGCAGGCATGTGGCTCAAAAGTAGCCTACACACGAGTTATCAGATAGGTGTCCGAACATGTGCAATCGAATTTTACGCCACCCGGTCGGTAATCACGCCTGAAGGCAATTTCCTACACTCCGTTATTCGGGTAAATAAAATTTTATTTACTTCTTGTCGAACTACTCATCGGTCCTGCTGACGGCCGGCAGACTGCAGCTGACAGGTGTGAAGGCTTGATGGCAGTTGGGGGGGAAATCGTTCCCGTCCAGTGCACAACCAATAATGTAACAACCAGCAGGTCAGGTGACGATCGTGTCCCGTGACCTGAATGGTTCCCCCCCCCCCCCATCCTCCCAAAGCCCCGAAAGGCAACGAACCCCTCGCCCCAACAACCAGCTGGACATCAACCTTCCACTTCATTCGCTATCAATTCGTCTGCGGCCAGACCGCGCACTCAAACTCACAAGCTCACCGACAACTGCGCCTACATACCCCTAACGCCAGCCCGAGCTCGTCTTGAACCTGGCCGCCCTCAAACACACATGCCCTGTCTTCTCAGCCCTCCATAGGAGAGCTACGACGCTGACATGCTCCCTAGTATGTTCCGAATCGCGCGTTCTCAAACAGCAACCCCTCTGTCCAAGTTGTTGGTACGGCACATTCACCATGTGGACCACTACAAGATATTATTTACGGGTCGGATGTATAAAAATGAGGTCAATCGCCGTCCTCTAGATCCTATCACAAGAATGAAAATCGAAGAAATCCTCACAAGCAGCAGTTATGCCATTGGCAAGCTGAAACACGGCATTTCCGACTGGACAAGAGCAGATGTCTTCAACTTTGTCAGCTTGGCAAAAGCACGAAGATATCTCGACCAGGATTCTCTTAACAAACCAATCTCAGAATCTTATTTTCACTACGCCATTCTTGAAGCTGCCATTCGCCAAGACCACACCCTTCCCTACGACGATGCTCTTAGAAAGCTGGAGCCTTTGGCCCCCGAGAACCAGGACGCCATTGTTTGGGAACGCCTGCGCCGTGTGTACCGTTATCTCGTCTCTGAAGAGGCCAAGCCGCACCCGACCTGGAAGGAGGTCATCGCACAGCGCACCGAGAATGAGTGGCTCGAAGCCATTTTAAGCGCAATCCACCCTGACGCGAAGCCGGTCCTGAGCAGCGCACATCCTCCAACTATCGCCAACCTCAAGACCTTGCCCTTCACCAGGTGCAAACTGCGGGGAGTGTACGGGAAGATTAGGAGCCCGCTAAGGGAGAAATATTCGAGCTCAGAGTGCAATATCTACATTGGCTCAGCGACGGGGAAACACGGGCTTTATGCGCGGTTTAAATCGCATATTCGGAACGACTTCGACGCCAAAGCGATATTATGGGATCAGGTGGCAGAGCTTGAACAACCAAGTATCAGCCCATACTACTTCACCCTTCTGACCCTGCCAGAACACGTACCCGAGCTTGAACAACGATTGGTCTGCTTGATAGCAGAAGCTATCTTGATGGTTTATCTTGGGGCTCATTCTGGCTCGACCAGAACTGGCCATCCAATTTATCGTTACGCCGCATGGCCTGCGGGAGAACTTCCTTATACAGGGTCATCCGGGATGAACCCTCTATGGAATTCGTACAGCACGGTGGATTTGCATGAGGGAATAAAAGGGCGCGCCGCGAGAGGGTTGCGCATGGTCAGGAACTGGCCAGGAGGTCCTGATAATAAACACCTCGGTTGGACTTGGGACGGAGCCCAGTGGATTTGGCCAGTGGTCCATAATATTCCAGTGACATCAAACCCATTCGAGATGCCACTGAGTACCAGCGAAGATATGAGGGGTCATAATTCGAGGGCGCTTAGCAAACAAAAACGGAGGGATATGAGGCAAGAGTGGCTGGATGAAGCAGCGAATAAAAGGCTCCAGAGGCTCATTCTAGAAGAGGAGCCAGAAGACAGCTGAGTAATAGAAATTACTATCTAGTATTCGAACTATCCAGCAGGCTCTACTCTTGAAGAAAACCAAATCTAAGCCTGTCCTCCACAGAGGTATGTTAGTTTTCGTAATTTCCGTACCTAATATCATTTGTCTTCTTCCCGTATGTACCAAGGCGGACTAGTCTCCTGTGCTCTTCGCGCATAAATGATACTTCATAACCGGGTAACTGGGGGCAACTTTCATTTCCCCGCATTGACCTGCAAACCCCATAAAACCCCAAATTCCCTCGGGCAGGCTTCGTCGAATCTGGAAATGCGGAACACGGCTCCGAAGGACAGCACAGCGATTCTCTAAGATTGGGGGGGTACGAAGTAGTAGCCATGAAGAATAAATTTCTCTGCCCTGTGTTCCTATTTCATCCCCTCTCTCGTCTTAAATCCCTTGTTCTCTTCTTCTTTCTTTCTTCCTGACGAGGGATTTTCTCAAAGCAGCTCATCACTGCAGCAGCTATTGGGATCTTCCCGTCCCTTCGCTGCTATTAAACTTGTTGCGCAGTCGGCTTTACCGGCGACACCAGATCAACCGCCCACCCGGCTTCGTCATGAAGCTCGAAGCCTGGGTCGCCACGGCGTGCCTCGCCTCGGCCGCAGCAGCCATTGGGCCGTCCATCCCCTTGGGGGGGGTCCGCCGAAGCGGCCGGATGGCAAGCCGGCCAAGATGGAGAGCTGGAAATGGAGCGACCCGTTCTCGGCGAGCCGCATGCGCAAGCTGGACGCGGCCTGCGAGGCCGAGAAGACGTTTGAGGCCATCGAGTACCTGCTGGACGACCTGTCCGAGGCGCCGCCGCTGGGCCTGCTCCCGTTCCGCGACGCGCTCAAGAAGGTCTTCGCCGACCGCGAGTACCCCGGCAGCTGGGACGGCATCGACCCCCACGGCTACGACCGCAACCTGCTGATGATGGAGTACGCCGACGTGCCCGTCGCCGCGCGCGAGTGGATCGAGGACCAGGAGCGCACCGCCGGCCCGGGCAAGGGCCTCTTCGCCATATACGAGAAGCCCGCCGCCGCAGACGACGTCGTGCGCAACACCGTCCGCATCCCCCCCACCCCAGTCCTCCCGGGCCTCCGCCCGCTCGACAAGAAGAAGGTCATCATCTTTGCTCCCGGCGCCCTGTACGAGGCGCTGCCGCTGTGGGTTGCCGCGGGCAGTGACTGCGCTGGTAAGTCAGACATCCATGAGTAATTGATGCGGTGGAGAAGAAGTGGTTTTCGCTTCTCCTTTTTCTTTTTTGAGCTTTTTTGATCTTGTGCCTGACTGTGTGGCTTGGCGAACGATTTTAGAAACTCTCTTGGACATTTCCAAGTACAGCGCGAAGCCGGCCGACGGCAGTGTCGTCGCTTACCCGACGAGCAAGACCAAGGCGAAGAGGTCGGCCGACAAGAGGGAGATAAAGTTCACAATCAAGGCGCAGGCCTTGAAGGCAAAGGCCGATGAGGATGCGGGTGCGTCTGATGGCAAGAAAGATGAGCTTTGAGTAAGGCGCGCAATTGGTTTGCAGTCAGTCGATAGTGTGTGACCTGAACGAGCGGGGGTTTGCGGGGCGGGCGGCTGTGAGTGGGACAAAGGACGAAATGGAATGCCTAAACGATTGAAGCATCTTTGGACCTCAGTAGATAGACCAAAAACTGATAGACCTGTGCAGCATGTGTGTACTTTGCAATGCACGTTTTCCCAGCAGTCTGTCTTCTGTGGATGCGGAGGACCAGGTCACCTATCTCCAGCCAATGCGTTCTTCGGCCAACGCATTCGTCTCCGGTTACCGCGGGCTGGACTGGACAAACCTACCCCCACCTCACCTGGAAGAACCATCTAGCGGCCACCCGAAACCATCTTAATGCGGATAGTACCAAGAAAAAAGAAACGCCCCGCAAATGAACACCCGTCATCATCGAACGCAGTTCCATCTCAATGGGACTTGGAATTGGGGACACGTCTGTAACGTGGGGCAGCCGGGTGCGGGGTTACGAACCAGAACCAGACGCCCCGCTGTCACGATCAATCTGCCGTTAAGCGTGGCAACCACTTTGGAACCTCCCTGAACTGGGGTCCTGAGAGCGACCCACTTGTGCTCTGTTGCCCTGCACACAGAGCTACAGAGCAGACTCCTAATTGGCTCACATAAATATATACGATAACTGACGGATGCCTTTCAAAGTTCTGCGCAATGCCAAGCCAGCCACACCCCTTTAATTAGATACATCCTAACCCTCCTGGCCCCTCTTCTTCCGGCCTTCTTTGTACTATTCCCTCCTTCACACTTTATTACTTGCTATATGCTCGACTATCCTTTCAACCCAGGCTTGGATACGCTCTTGCGTAAGTGTTTTCTTCCAACACTCCCCCCACACTCGTATAGCCTCGGCCCTGCTCTCCGGAGCTCCCTTTTTAGTAGTTTCCCGCTTCATCCATGGCCAGCAAGGCTCAATCATATTGAGGTCGGGTGAATTACCTGGCCATAAAAGGCGAGAAACCTGGTGTATATCGTAGATACGTTGCTGAGCGTGATGAGCGTGGGGGGCGGCCTTATCTTCCTGGACAAGTGTATCCGGGCCACAGCTTTTGGCGAAATGGATAAGCTTTGGTAATATGATCTTCGTCTGGTACCGATACCAATCGATGCCTCCTTTGGATCCTCGCTCAAGTTTGCCGTTTTTTTATTCTATCGCCATTATGGTTTTCGTCCAGGCTTCGTGATCAATGAAAGTCTTCCCATCTTCGATTCAAGCTCCCAGGCTTCGCGCATAATCGGCTCGAGCTCTTGGTTCCATTCCTCAAGATCCTTAACAGCCTGCTGCTTTTCAGCTTTTGTTTCTGGAACCCAACAATGACAAGGCCCCGTGGCTGCTTGCCTGCCCTGAAAAGCCCCACTAAAGCACACTGGAGCGGGGAGCCGTCCGATGTTCCTAAAGGTCTCACACCTGGGTCTACCTTCTATCGGGACTGATGGAGTTGGATTGCTGTGAGCTTGGTTGTCAGGCTATTTCCCCGCTGGTCAAGTCTTTTTTGGCTTTCGTGTTATTCTCTTGCGTTTTGTTTGCTCAATTGGCATCATGTCGGTCGGGAAAAGATGAACAGAAAGAGCGACCTGTCAAAACGCAAGCGGCAGTTTTCTTCCGGCTCCCCGACTAAAGGCTGAGACCCCACTGTGAAGCTCCCAACGCTCCGGGGATTGGTTTAAAAAGTGGAGTTCAACCCAAATTGTGTCCGTGCTAACCAAGTCTGTATTGGTCTGTTTGCTATCCCAGCAGACACACGCTCACGAGCCGATGCACTGGCCACTCCGCTTGCAAGCCGGGTGGCAAGACGCGCCTGCTGGGCTGCTTCCGTTTGCGTTCTATGGACACCACCAAAAACTAGAAAGGAAAGCAGCACTGGCTCCCAACGGCTGCTTCCATTCTGCTCGCCACAGACAACGCTATCTTCGTCTTTCCTCAAAGTCTTCCACACGCCCCATCAATCGCGTCTTCTGAATTCAGTGATAGCCTTTAACGAGTCGGGATTATCGACCCGCGCTTCCCTTTGTTCTTCTCAACGAACCCCGCTCCCCTGCTCAACATGGCGAAACAAGGTATTGATCTCGACCAGGATCTCGCTGAAGTTATCAATGAACAGCGTCTTCGGCACTTGAGCATCTTGAGGGAAATGATGACGAACAAGTTGCAGCAAGAATGCGATGCCCACGAGAAAGAGCTGTCCAAGGCATGGGAAACCATCCAAAGCAGCTTGACCGTGTTCCAGAAGAAGAAGGACAACATGTTTGCCACACTTGCACAGTTTGAAGGCGAGGAGCGGGCTCGCGAGGTTTTCGGCGCTAGCCAGAAAGACGTCGTGCCGCCGACATTGAGAGCTATCCCCGCATATTTTACCTGCAAGCCCAACAATGTCTTGTTTTTGCCGACACCCACGTCGGCAACAGCCACGGAAAGCATGCACAAGTTCGAGACTCGTGAGAACATTACTGCGGTCGGTGCGCTCTCAAGAGAGAATGGCGTGGGACCCATAAGCCCAGGTGGAAACCAACCCGAGACTGACGTGCCGGCGAAATCTGGCAGCGTCAACGGAGTTCCATCAAAGTTCTATGTCAGTCTGCCCCCGCATTTTCTTGCGTCTATGACCTCATCCCTCTACAGTACGGTTTTGATCTAACCTTTTTGTCTCGCAGGCCAAACGAAGTCGTACACAGTTCGACTTTGGAGCATCGTCGAAAAACAAGAAGGCGAAAACAACAAACCCGGGCGATCGCGAGTTAACCCCAACCTCAACACTGACAAAAAAACCAGATATCGACAGCTGGGAGGTGGAAGGCTCTGAGTACATTTTCCAGTATCCTGCCTTCGGGGCTGGGTATTTTGTATTGCGATGTGGCCTCGGCAGTATTTCCGAGCCGCACACCTTCACCGCGCATCCATTCGAAAACGCTCTAGCAATGGAACATTTCAACGACTACAAGACGTGCAAGGGACATGATACAACTCGCCAGTACCAGCCAGACGACATCGTGTCTCTTCACGGCCACCGAGGTTCGTTCAATCTCTGCCCCACTTTGTTATTTTCCAGCAATCGCTGACATGGAAAAATAAACAGTTCGCGGGGAGAATGTCAAAGAGGAGTGGGTCATAGCCGCAAACATGCGGCTCAGCGCAGATAAAGCCAAGTCTACGACACCCAGACCCAAAACTCGCAAACCTCTCGAGATCGTGAGCCAGTTGGGCCCGCTTGACCTTCAGTACAGGGCGACCCCGCGAAGCACCCCCACTTAGGTGCTGAAATCTGTTCGTTGACAACCGGCCAGCGATACCTATCAATATCCTTTAAAAAATTATAATGGCAGGACCGCAGGGCGGCTCAACCAGTAAGCGGAATCGGTCTTCGCTCAAAGGCTGCAGATTTGTGGTTTTCCTACTTGATGGCAGCCGTTCAGGTGTTTATGGTGGGTTTGGGGGAGGAGGGGGCGGTAAGCTGCCAAGGTGTGGGTTGCGCGTCCAGGTGCATTACCAAATTTGTATCCTCTAGACTCCGAGCTGCGAAACATTCCCGAAGAAGGGATAAATGCACGACTTGCCCTTGTCAGTTCAAAACTTGACTTACTAAACCAACGCCTGTAAGGTAGGTACCGTCTTCCCATGGTCTGGCAGTTCGGTGTTCTTTGGGCCATCCCAGCAGCCCCATACCCCGCAAGACGTCCTGAACGCGGGGTAGGTCTGTCTCCATCAATTGCACCATGATGCGATAAGGTTAGGCATCCATTAGTGTTGCGGTGTCAAACACCAGAGCCTTGGGGTAGACCACAGCAAATTTGTCTCGAGACTGGCCATCAACGACTTTTTTTGCGCAAGTTCGCTAAGCGGAGTGTGCACACCTATTAGCTATGCGGCTTCTCAACACCCAGACGTTGAAGGTCGACCTGTTCATGGGACAAACTATCCCGGCATACGCCGCCCTGTCTCATACCTGGGGCGACGAGGAAGTCTCTCTCCAGGACATGCAGTCCACGCCGCCGCGGACTGCAGAAGGCTTCCGTAAGGTCGAGGAAGCATGCAGAGTAGCCCGCAGCGATGGCTATGACTACGTGTGGATCGACACATGCTGCATCGACAAGACCAGCAGTGCTGAGCTTTCCGAGGCCATCAACTCCATGTTCCGCTGGTACCAAGACGCCGACGTCTGCTACGCCTACCTGGTCGATCTTCCTCCCGAGACCGAGGCCGCGCTCGGGGACGCCCTGCCGACCTGCAAGTACTTTACGCGCGGATGGACCCTCCAGGAACTCATTGCTCCCCAAGACGTCCACTTCTACGATTCAACTTGGGCTTTGCGCGGCTCGCGCCGGGCGCTGGTCGACCTGATCAGCGAGATCACCAGCATCGAGATCGAGGTGCTGCTCGATGCAGACGAGCTGTATTGCGTCCCCGTCGCGACCAAGATGTCCTGGGCGTCGAAGCGGGTCACGACGCGTATCGAGGATATAGCGTACTGTCTGCTGGGCTTGTTCGACATCAACATGCCTCTCCTCTACGGCGAAGGCCGCAAGGCTTTCCGCCGCCTCCAGGAGGAGGTGATGAGGAAGACGAACGACCTGAGCCTGCTGGCCTGGGTGGGAGGCACCCCGGGCGAAGAGATCCGTGAGATCTGGGCTAGATCGCCTGCCGAGTTTTCCTGGCTCTTGCTGCAAAGGTCCTCGATGCGAGTTTACGGCCAGTTCAACGACGAACCCGAGATCACCAGCAAGGGTCTGCGCATCTCTACGCGGCTGCTGGAGGCGAAAGGCCCCGGTACGAACGGGGACAGACCTCCTTTTCATGAGCTTGTTCTGATCCTGCGGTGCAGGGTTTCGCCGCCACCGCCAGGGCTTGACGTGGACACGGGGTCGAGTAGCGTGGCTCTCGGAATCCGCCTCCGCATGTTTGGGCCCGCCCTGTTTGTTCGCGACGTGAGAGGGTCTGCTACGAAGCAGCTCGTCATTGTGAACCATGGTGTGTGGGTCGACAATAGGTACAAATACAGCCGACGGGACCAGGTCATCTGGCTGCAGTGTGAAGACAGCCACCTTCCATTTTGGATTTTGCAAGACAAGACCCAAACCCTTCCCCGGAGGAAGTTCTATCGCGAGTTTCGCAACTACGGGCTTCAGTCGTCCCTGAAACCCAACATTCACTTTCCAGCTGACGAGCGTTTCCAGACGGCGCCTTATCCCCTGTTTGGAGAGGTTTGGGACTCTTCAAATAGGACGCTGATCGTCGGCTGGATCACGGTGCGAGGTTGGGAAGCTATGATCGCCACTATCTCTCCCGTCTACGGCGGCCAGCGGGTGCTGGTGATTTTTCTCGAGTTGAGCCACCGGAGTAAAGTCTTCATTCTCGACGAGTCCGATCCGTTGGGGAAGAGAGTTCTCAATGCGCGCCACGCCGATGGCGACGATGAAGTTGGACTGTTTGAAGATCTGAGGAACAAGTTTGCAGCCCTCCTATTAGTCAAACCTGTTATAGAGGGTGACATGATAGGAAACCCACTCCGCCAGGTAAGAGGAGATATGATCACTTCAGACAAGAAGTGGCGCGTCGGTGCAGCTCGGAACGAAAGGGTTGTTCGTGGGATATCTCCAACGCAAGCAGTGTCATGTATTGATTTCGAAATCACCCCCGTTCTAGCCACAGGCGCCAGTTCCGTGCTCAGGCGAGCTTTTGACGCACTGAAATAAAAAGTGTAGCTTCCTCATTTGCTGTTCTTCAACAACAAGTCGCTCTGAACTAAAACCGTTTCTCCTGACTGGAAAATTTAACTTATTTGGTGCAGTGCCTTGAGAGATTCAAACCTTGTCTTTGCTATCAAAGCACAGCGGCTGCTGCTTAAGCCTGGAAGGGTGCTAGGCAAAACGAAAGCAAAGCTTCAAAAAACAGACTTCGAACGCCCATAGGCTGGCCCCTCTCCCGCCAGGAATTGAACCTGGGTCCCGAGCGGAATCAACTGATGACCATGAGAAGCTCATATACTGACCACGATACTATAAATTTTTTTTTGGTTTCTTTGCGTTGCAGGTGTGGGCACCTGCAATAGGCTTCTGGGATATTGACAATGGGTACAGGAGTGGGACCTATATAGCCCACTCCTCTCCTGCGCCGGGTTATCGACGGAGTGACTTTGTTTGGCTCCACAGCAAGAGGTTCGGAAAGAGGGTCTGAAGAGCTTCGTGTCCACACGCGATGATGCACTAATGCCCCAGGATTCTATGTAGCCATGTCCTTGTTTCCTGTGAGATCCACTCCAGGTATGGACACCTTACCCAGAGCACCACTTACACTAGGCGAGGGAGGTCTCTGGGTCTTTTGTTGCTTTGTAAGTGTAGTGGGAATCTGGCCACACGTCTTCGGCTGCATCAACAGATCGAAATAATTAGAACTACCTGCATATATGTGCGTTTGCACCTCACTGAGCGAGCAACGATACTACAGAGGCCGCTTCACGAAACCAATAATCGCTGGTCAGTAGTGTGCATATGTCTTCAACCACACTGGAAGACAGGATGAAGTCATGGAAGCGAGGGATGGGTTTGCACTCACAACACTGGTCTAAATACTTGCTAAAATATCCTAATTCGCAACAAAAACCACGGATCGTATTTTACGACGATGATATGTATTCAATACTCGCCCCATTGGTCTTTTACTGTTCAGGAGCAGTCAAATTCTCGTGGTTGACAATTTGGGGTGAACCCGGAATTACCTGGTAGTTTATCGGACATGTTGGATTCGCAAAGCGGAAGACAAATTAACATCAGGATCCCACACATCGTCGCCCGACAGAATGCAGACAATTTCCATATCAAAACGCATCAACTTTCGCGAATTATGTGGCTTTAGCCGCATCTATTTAAAGATTGGGGGTGTCTGAGCAACAGTTGTTGGTATGGTGGAAAAAGGGGGGCGGTCGTGTTGGCGGTGTGGACAGGCTCGCACGTCATTTTGGGGCCGCTGACGAGACTCCCGCAGTGACCACACGAGTCTCGACCAGCCCATCAACAACGATAACCTAGGATCGCACCTTCCCACGGCACGCTCCTCCCCCTTGAGCGTCGTCTTCCACTGCACGGCGCGGAAATTTGAGCTGTTTCTTGTTCAATCGACATCACCGCGCCTCGCACTACCCGTCGTCAACCAGGGTGTCCAAGCATCCTGTTATTTTGCACCTTATCGCCCATCCACCGACAAATCATCCCGTCGAGCCACACGTCGGATCCTTCAAGCGGCTGCTTCCGGGCTCTGTTACCACTGCTGCCGCTCCAGCACAAAGCGATAATCTCACGCTCTGCCGCACCTTCACGACTTCCTATGCAGCGCCCCCGTCCTTTGAGCCAGCGAAAAGACGAATGCCAGCAGCGCGAAGCCGCTCGATGCTACAAATGCTATCCTCAATGCATCGTCGTACAGCGCCCGGACTGCCAACTCGGTCTCAAGTGGAAGTTCCCGCAGCGCAAAGATGGATTTCCTCAGTTTCTCGACCAGCTACCGGTCGAGGTTTGCGTTAGCAGTGCCTCTCAGCCTCAGCACACATCATATATGGGGGGGACCTACCTCGTCAGTCGCCAAGTCTCCGAGAACCGCCGGCAACCTCGATAGTAGGACATTCTGGACAATCGAGGAGGTGACGGTGACACCATAGATTGTGCCCATGGAACGCAGCAGATATACCGTTGACGTGGCCACTGCCTGCTCTGCATCACGATACGTAAGTCTTGGCCTTGTCTCCAGGGGCGGCATCGCTCTTACCTCTGTGCTCGAAGAGCGAGATGAAGCTAAACAGAACGCTGGGGTTCGTTAGGCCAATACCGAGATTAGCCGGTACCATGTACACAAACTCCTTCCATCGAGCGCCTGACGTCCCCATTGTGCACGCAAGCACGTTTCCAAGGAGCATCAAGGCCGTGCCGATGCGGACATTATGACACAAGCGATAACCGCGATGCATCAGGGACCCTGCGATAACACTACCTACAGGTGTTGCTAGTGACGGAACAATAAGCCGCAGGCCAGCTGCCGTCGGGGAATCACCGCGCACGGCCTGGAGATACAGTGGGATCATGAACATGTACTGCGCAGCAGTCAGTGGTCGTTTCTCTGCCAAGGGGGAATGTATGGCTTACAGCATATGACGACATGCCGGCGAAAATGTTGGTCAGCTGGATTGCGATAGGCTGCCACCCTTTCAGCATCCTCAGCGGGATCATGGGTATCGCCTTAGTTTCGGCCTCGATCACCACAAATACGGCCAGCAGCACAGTACTTCCAACCAGCGTGGAGACTACAACCGGGCTAGCCCAGGGATACTCATTTCCGCCAAAGCTCAGGCCCGCAAGCTGGGCGACCAGTCCGACAACGAGGAAAGAAGCTCCTGATACGTCCAGATGTTGGAGTGCCGACCTGAAGCTGCGGTTGCGCGTCAACTCCAAGACGGTAAATTCCGGGTTCTCCAACACGCGGTAGCCGACAACGAGCGCCAGCAAGGACACGGGAACTTGCAGAAGAAAGCACCATCTCCACCCGATGCTCTCGGCGATCACGCCTCCGAGCGACGCACCCAAGACGGCGCCGAAGCCGACCAGGATGTTCTGCATGGCTTGGTACATACCTCTCTGTTTGAAGGGGATCATGTCAGAGTTGATAACGGTTGCTACGCGTTGATCAGCAAGTGCTGCCCGAGAGTCAGAGTCGGTAGTGTGCAAGCAATCTCACCCATGGTGATCAGACCTCCCCCTCCAAACCCCGTCAGGGCCCTCATCAGGTTGAGAGTCAAGATGTCTGGAGCAGTAGCGCAGCCCAAGCAGCCCAGCATGAAGGTCACCGTGGAGACGAAGAAGCATATGCGTCTCCCAAACATGTCTGACAAGCGGCCATACAGTGGCTGGAAGGCGGTGCTTGTGATGAGGTACGAGGTCGTCAGCCAAGCGGCATTATTGGCGGCATTGAAGTCCGAGCTGATGGCGGCATAGGTGGACGCCGTGACTGTGCCATCGAACCCAGCCAGGAATACATTGGCCCAGAGACCTAGTGGTGTCGCGACATTTGTTAGCAAGTGTTACTCCCTCCAGCATCAATGCACAACATACAGGTCTCGATCCACCACAACCCAGGTGAGGGCTTCCACAGTTCTTCGTGGGACTCGGGGAATGTTGCATATCCGGGCTTGGATGTTTTGCACCGTAGCAGACGAGCCGATTCCACCTCCGGTGGGGATGAGGGCACGTTATCACCATCCTTTGGTGTGTTGTTGTTATTCATGATCCCTTGTTGCTGAGGCGCGAGGAAGCAAAGCCAATGATTCAACTCTTCTTAGTTACTTCTTTTCCAGATCAAATGCGGTCTTGTCAGAGCCTTATGGACCTTGTGTCTCGTTCTTTGCCGAGTGGCAAATGCTCAGAGAGGACCGAATGGTCAGGCAAGCAGTTACGATTTTCAGCCAAGCTTCTGTTGTGTGGGCTACAGCGTCGTGCCCAAAGTGGCAAGCCGCTGCAACCCCACTTTGTTTCTTCTTGCGGCGGATATGAAGCATATTTCTGAGCCGATACCGGTTTCCAGCCGACATTGTAGACCTAGATTGCTGATCCCGGCTTCAATTGAGATGGCCTGGCCTAGCTGCGGTGCTGTGCCGTTGGATAACAATGCGCCATCGCGGTGGAACGAACGATTGACGGACCTCCTCGCAGAGCATTCCATCCGATGCGGGAAGAGCACCTTGGCCCTGAGCCTCGATTGGAGGGGGATATGAACCTCCCCACCTCGACGCTCTTATCACACAGCGAGCACGCAGCGTGCAGCTGCAGCAGTGCAGTGCAGTGTGGGGCGGGGGCATGAAGCAAGTACCTATCTAAGCTAGTTAAACCGCACAATCTATGATGCTGTCTAGGAGTTCTGGGCGGATTCGTCAGCGGGAGATAGCAAGAAGATCATCGTTGTCTCGATCAGCCAATCTCAAAGTTGCTTGCTGCCATTGATCTTGCTGCATTGCCCGTCACTCACTTGTTGAACTTGTCTGGGCTTGATCAGATCCATTCGCATTTGGTTGGACCCCTAGTTTTGAGCGCTTGCCTCGCTTATATGCAAGCAATTTACCCGTGATCCACGGCGATCCACTAGCCGCTTGGTTCGGGTCGCCGCCGGTCGACGGCCAAGAGAGATCCCACTTGATAAGATATGACATCTGTCTCCTCCTCCGTACTCCAAGCATTGGTCCGTTGGCACCGTTCTTGATATTGGAGCGGGGCGTGCCGGATAGGGAGGGTATATTTTCGGTTCGTCCAGAAAAACGAGCGGCCAATGTTCTGTCCTCCGGCGGCCCTCTGCATCTGCCTCTGCATCTGCACTCTGCACCTGCTGGCCTCCCCGCTCCTAGCAGCATATTTACTGTTGGGCCAGAAACCAATCATGGGGAACACCGTTACATAACAACCCAAGAAGGTGAAAGGCCCCGACCGGGATATTCACTGCAGAGGCTCACGTGTGCCCCGTTTCGCAGCTCGCGCTGTGATTCTACTGGCTAATGGCAAATCCTTGAGTGACATCAAGCGGCAGGTGGTTCCATGCAGAGCAGTCGTGCGTTTATTTTCTTCCAGGTAGGAAACCCGCGGCAGAAGACCAAGTTCTAGACTCTGGTCCCGACAATTCCGCGTCCCCAGCAGAGAGAGATTCTCGGAGACTTTGCTCATCCCCCAACCCGCTGCATCTTTCTCGCCCCAAGTCAGATCTCTCACTCGTGTGTCGGGCCCGTCACTGCTTCTCGGCATCAACTGTCGGCACGGCCGGCCCCTCCCTGGTCACTTCGGCGGAGCCGTCCTCCTTCAAGTCATCTCCGGCTCCCGCATCGGACCCCGACTCGGCAAGCGGCCGCCCCACGGCGTCGTGGGTTGCATCAAAGTGCGCTAGCTCGTCCACCGGGACCTTGATCAGCCGGTGGCTCTGCGCACCGTGGTCGAACACGACCACCTCCTGGCGGATCCGGTATCCGCGCAGCCGGGGAATCGCCGAAATCCAGAGGTAATAGTACACGCCGCATCCGACGAGACTGGTTGGTGGCTTTTGTTAGCATTGAATGATACGAATTTCATGTCATCCCGGTTTGCGGAGCAACTTACATGGCGATTCCCGTCACGACATATGTGGCATACCAGAAGCTGACGTCGCCAGCATATATGCCCCCGGCCGGCGGGTACCAGGGCATGATGAGGAGGTACAGGTTGACGAGGATGTTGAAGACGATGATGGGGTCCCAGGCGCGGAACTCGGCCCGCGGCAGCCCCAGGTGCTTGCGCCGGATCCGCACCAGGTAGATCCCCACGGCCATCACTACGTTGAAGAAGGCCGACGGGTACACCTGCAAATCCGTCACGAAGTTGAAGGCGTCGCCGGCCGGCGGCGCGATGATCATGATTATCGTCAGAGCCCATTTCAGCGCGTACGGGCCGAGCGGCGTGCCGAAGGGCCGCGTCGATGCCCAGAATCGCGGGAAGGGAAGCACGCCCTGTCTGTTGGATGGTCAGTGCCATTGGCTCGCAGATTTTTCTTTTCTCTTTCTCTTTCCTGTTGTTCTTCCATCCAATCTCGTGGGATGTGCGCCAAAAAAAAAAAAAAAGACTCACCGTCCACACTCGCGAATCAAACGCGAAGACCCCAGCAGCACGGCGACTAGGTTGCCGAACGAGCTTAGCGCGATTAGAATGTTGAGGCCCTTGACGGCATTGCCGGGCCCGAACACGTTGCTGAAAAATAGGCTGGCGGCGATCTGCTTGGCCGCCTTGAGGTCCGCCTTGGGCACCGCGGAGAAGTAGGCAATGTTGGCCAGGATGTACAGAATCGCCACGACCGTCAGCGAGATGAAGCCGTTGCGCTTGAGCTGTTTGACGGGGTTCTAGATGGGGCGGTGCTTTGTCAGCTCATGTCCGCGATTCTCTCACTTTTGTCCGGTAGGCTCTCGTTTATGATCTCTCTTTCATCACCATTCCTCCCTCTTGCCTCTTGCCTCATCACGTCCCCACTTCAATCACACGGCAATAGAGATGAAACACACTTTGATCTCGTTGACAACGTTGAAGGCATTCTCAAAGCCCGCATACGAGAACACAATCTTGTAAAGCGCGTTGGTGGCGCCGTACGGCGTGGCCGCGCCCTCAAAGGGGTTGACAAAGTTGGCGTGCGGGTTCGGCACGCGCGAGACGTTGCCGCCCAGCACGATCAGGCCCGTCAGGGCGATGAAGACGAGCGTTAGTACCTTGACGATGCCGATTGCGTTCGAAATTCCGTACGAGACGCGCGTGTTGAAGGCGACGACTTTTGAAAAGCGGGGGCGAGTTAGTCAACTGCAAATACACGAGTAACTCTTTTCCGGGCTTCACTCACCGAGCACAGCAACCGTGTATCCCGCGACAGCTACCCCCTTGAGCTCCCAGGCGGTGGGCGTGTACCCGTTCGTGCGGAACAGGTACTGGGCGAGCACTGACACCAGCAAGTCAGTCAGCGGTTGTCCATCCCAGCCTGCTAGCTGGCGACGGGGAAGAACTCTGCTCACCAATGGCGTTGCCGCTGCTAAACGACAGCGCGACCGACAGAAAGGCAAACGACGTGGGAAACAGCCAGCGCGGGCGCGGGTAGGCCTGCTCGAGGTAGACCACCTCGGACCCGGACCGGTTGGGGAAGTAGGCGGCGAACTCGAGGTAGACGGATAAGCTCGCAATCGAGGTCAGGAAGCCCAGCGCCCAGTAAATCATGGAGAGGCCGACGGAGCCGGTGCCGCTGAGGATACCCGCAGCTGTATCGTCGCAATGTCCCTTGGTCAACACCAGCCGGCCATGGCAAAGGGGAGGAGCAGCTGGTTGGGTGTCATGGCAGGAGGAGGAGGCTGGGCAAGATGCTCACGGGTGGAGTAGACGCCGGTGCCGATCATCTTGCTGATGTTCAGGAAGACGATGGTGATGGCGCCGACGGAGTAGCCCAGCGGCGAGCTCGTCTCGACGGGCGCGCCCGTGGCCTCTTGGTACGACGGCAGCGAGTCGTTGCCGCCCTTCTCGGCCACGTACACGAGGCTCCCGTCGGTCAGCTCGGCGGCGTCATATGCCGACGCGTTGGTGCCGGCGGCCGCGTCGCGGCCGTCGTCCGCCTCCCGGCTGCGGAATGGCCGCCGCCAGTTGAACGACGACATGGCTGGGATTTGTTGCGGTGTTTATTATTATCACTTCTTGGCGGTTCCGCGGATGAGAGGATATCGTGCTTCCGTCTCTCTCTGATCACCCGAGAATGGGGGTGGAATCAACAAAACAGGTGCGGGGAGCGCGGGAAGAAGCAAGCAAGCAAGCGATCGGCGGCAGAATGGATCAGGGTGGGACGGTGCGTGCTGCAGATTATTTATCTGTGACAACAGCAAGGGATGGCATGGCATGGCCAGCAGCTGCCGTGATACATTGGACCGCCTCTCTCTGAGCTCGCCGTGCGTGCATCCGTCCCAGACTGTCTGCAGCGATAAAGAGGTTACTCGACCATCCCGCGCATGCGTGCCCATGCTCGGAACTGCGCACGTTCTCGCCACTCTCCGGTCTGATCCATCGTCTTCTCTCCCCCACGCTCCCCCCTTCGCAGTAATGCAATTGTCGGCGGTACAGGCTCAGAAGCTGTTGTCAGCGCTGCGCGGTGCTGTTGTTGGTCCCCTTTCTGGCAGCGAACCCGGATCTAAAGCGAGCCAAGACATCACGTCGATGATTGCTGTCTTGTCCCAGCGCAAGCGGCAGACTGCGAGGCGGCTGGGCCAATAGCGGCTAATCCATTTCGTCGTCTCTTTATCGTCGACATCCATGCCCAACCCCGGATTCTGCCACCCGCCTGCCGGTTTGGGCAGATTGCGAGGTGCAGTGGTTGGCTCGGCTGGTTGCTCATCGCCGGCACTCATAACGCCATCGACAGGGGGGATCGGACAATAAACACTCCCACACACACACACACACACACACACACACACACACACACACACACACACACACATACACACGTCCGCACCCACACTCGCACACTGGTGGGCGAAACGGGCTTGCCCTCCCGCCCGCAGACGCGCGCCGTGCTGCACATGTTATGAGGCCAGAATGGTGCGAATGTGCCCATGTGTGAGCTGCTTTTCGCCCAGCTAGCTCGCGCGTGTGTCTGCCCGCGACGGACCCCCATTTTCCCAATTTGTCGACCACGATTCGTTCAATCATCCATTCACTTTCCCCTGCCTGTTCTTCTTCCTACAGTAGTGTGTTGCACGGTTGGACAAGGCCGGGCAGGCACAAGCCCGACTGACGCCTCATCGCCAATATATGCCGTGCGCGCCTCGCCGGGCCGCTAACGCCATTGGAGAGAATGCTCGATACCTGTAAAGTAACCGATAGCCTCACGTTTGGAGCCAAGCCTGCCGACCCCGTGGGGTATCCACCGTCCCGGCCCAAATCTGTCCGCCCCGGCGGGCTTTGGTCAGCCCGTCCCGAGCGGGCTCCGAGCAGCTGCAGTGTCCGACGTCTGGGTTAGCTTGGTTCGACTAACTGGAGATGCGATGTGCTGTTAGAGACGGGACCAGCCGCCGTTGGCCCGTAGATGATGATGGCGCACGAGCTTGGAGGACGGTGGCCCATTTTCCCTGCAGACGACAGGCCGCCCTAGCCGGGTTTGGCATGGGATGCTGCACTCCTCCCTTGGCGGCGGCCTATCACACCTTGGCCGCTGACCGTGGTGCAACGTCTGCGGCATGCCTCGACATGGGTGCTGGCTGCTTCACCATATTGCTTCAGTAAGATGTCATGCGTGGCGTTCCCACTTGCTTCCCATGGCAGCAGCTGCTGGCCTGTGATTGCTGGCTCTCCGTTCTTTTGAAACCCTACCCACCCAATGATTAGTACGCATTGTCGGCCGCCCCGAGCCTGCCTACTTGCAGCCGGCTGTGGCTGGCTGGCTGGCGGCCAGGACACGGCCCATGTCGTGTTGTATAAACGTTCGAAACTGGAAGTGTGAAAATGTGAAGCAATGTATTGGACCCAGCACGTCATCGACATAAGCTTTGACAAGGGAACGGGGTGGGGGTACGCCGTCTTGACAGGTCCGCAAGCCTCCGGATCTGCATGGTAGTAATGTTGTTGCATAATAAGTTGTTGAAGCCTGGGTTGGTAATTGCCTGGGTTGGTAATTACCTGCGTAGTTCTAAACGCCGAACGACTATTGCGCCAGAGGCTATTTATCGCCGACAGACGCTATTGCTGTCACGCTCTGCGGCTCCAGCTCCTTTCTTGTAGCCGATGACATGGAATCAGCAGGCCGATGCTCAAAGGGGCAGGGGCAGGGACAGGGACAATCTATGACGCGATTTGAGGCGGGGTGGAAGAACTAGATGATATTGCCTTCATCTCTGGTGTTTTCTGTCATGGGCTACCGCTCCCCCAGCAGACAAAACAGATGCCTATTGCCTGGATACCTGGGAACTGCGCTACATGGGAAATAAACTGTACTGCACGGCTATCCCTAGCATATTTTGCAAATCTGAACGCGTTATTCGGGGGCCCCTATTGTTCTCGGAAGAAATTTCAAATTTGCATTTCAATAGCATTTTCAAGCCGAATACGTGGCGAACTGCTTTGAGAATTTGTAATAAACAAACTGAAAGTCAGAGACTAAGCACATCCCATTGCCAAACAGTAATTACGGTCTACAGGAAACCTCACAACTACCACACAGACCGTGCGTGCCACCCCATCCGGGCCTCGACTGTTAATCATTGCCGCACATAGTCGTCACCCTACTCTTTTCAGCCGCGTCCAGCTCACTTCCTCGCATTCTTCCCCGCCGACGTCCTGATGCGTGGCTCGAGAGGAAACACGGACTTGTCCGGGCTGACGTCCTTGAACAGGCGGTCCCAGCGGTCCCGCAGCGCCGCCGGCGTCTCCCACGCGTACTCGGGGTCGCGCAGCCAGAGCCGGATTAGGTGGCGTCTGCGCGCAGCGTGTCAGCGTCAAATCATCAAGCGTTACCAGGAGAGAGACAGACTCTATCAGCATGGAAGGAAAGGAAGGAAAGGAAGGAAAGACGGGAAAAACTGACTGCTTCTCCGCGGAATCCGTAAACGCGGCGCGCGCATGGAAGATGCTTAAGTTATTCGCGTACTGGATATCGCCCTGGTGGAAGTCGAGCGACGCTGCGACCCTCTCGGCCGCGAAGTGCAGCGCGTCGAGTGCCTCAGCCTGCGCTTCCGTGATTGGCGGGATGTCGGCCGACCGCGGCAAGCCCCTGATACATTAGAGACGTATCCGTTTGTATATATTTCATTAGTCAAGAATAAACCTACCAGTAGCCCGTGAAGCTGCGGCGCGCGTACTGGATGATCAGCCGCTCGGGGGCCGTGGGTGTTGCGGGTTGGTGGTGTAGCAGGGGGGTGAGTGTGTAGGGCGTGGTTGCTGTTCCGAATCTGTTTCCGTGTCAGCCGTGATTATATAGAACCACGCTGTGAGATGGCAATCTCACGTGTCAAAAGCCCACGGCTCAGCGAGCGTGCGGATGAGGTCCGGCCGGGTGGCTGCGAGCTCGTTGTAAACGCGCCAGCTGCTCGACAGGTAGCTCTGGCCGCCGTCGGCGGCCTCGCTGAGCGCAAACAGGGCGACGACGTCGCCCGTGTCGGTGTGGAAGACCTGCTTCTCGGTCGTGTAGGCCGGCGCGCCGATGTTGCTGGTGTCGACGTTGGCCGTCAGGTCCTTGATGTGCGCGAGCACCACGTCGGCTGGGGCGCCCTGGAATGTGCTGTCTTGCCGCGCGCGCACCGGCGCGATGTGCGCCGAGATGCCCGCGTAGATGATCACGTTGTCCTCGCGTGTGTGCTTGGTCACCGGCACGCCGCGTACCACCTTGAAGCCGTGCCCGAGGTGCAGCTCCTTGGAGATTTCCCGCAGCGTGCTGTGCAGCTTGGGCAGGGGGAAAGTCTCCTGGCTGATGTACCCCAGGGGTTTTTGCAGTTCTGCCAGGGAGTTAGCATTGGGAGTTCTGGAATGGATAATTCATGTTCTTGTATCGGAGACGGGTTGTCTCGGAGACGGGGAACAGTTGTAAGCAACAACACGACCTTTGAAGTGCTTCAGAGCAGCCTCGATCTCCTCCACGTCTTCCTCGGAGAGCCTGTAGTTCCAGTCGTAGGTCTTGGCAAGCTCGTTGCCGTCCCAGACCAGGTCCGACTTCAGTTCCTGGGGGAATCCGGGCGGAAGGGTCTTGGCGAGATTCTCAGTCTTGTGGCGGCGCTCGCCCCGGGCCAGGAACTTGCCGTAGTTCGGGGCATAGCCGATATCGGGCTGGCCTGGTGGTCCGGAAGGCACCTGGGGAGCTTGGACTGCCGCTGATGCCATGTTGGACGACTGTGTGATGATCTGTTTTGCGATGTCACAATCGAATGTTCGGTGTTTAGTCTAGTTGACTCAGGGGCGGTACTTATAGTCCAAGTTCCCAGGCTGGTAAGAACTAGTGAGTCTGCCGAGATGTCTGGATATTGATCCATGTACGTAATTAAAGACGCTGCCGGAGAACCGGAGTCTGAGTCGGGTGTGCGTTTCGACATCCGAGCACACCACGACCCGTCGCCGACGCCAACGCCATCGTTTACACTCGGCAATAGCTGCATGGCGGGGAACTGCATTGTGGGGGACGCCCGCACACTGCCTACCCGAGATGGTCATTCGACCACAACCCAATGTCGCCATCGCACGCCATCAAGTCTGGTTACATGGGCAAGTTGTTAACTCCGATCACCAAATTGGACAACTTCATTACAGCGCTGGCAACATCTCAAACAGCTCAAACACGAGGCTATATTTGTTTGCATTTGACCTCAAAAACCGGATATTTGACTGGCTTCAAGCTCGATTTGATTGAGTGGGTCTTATTCGGTGATGTTTAACGGCATCTTTTGCTCCGCCAAAAATAGGTAAAAAGTCCTCAAAATGGTCCCCTGAGATGGGGGAAAAAAAACCCTGAAGCCCGGGAAAGCTCATTTTCGTACCTAATTCTTCAAACACATGATATTGTTAAAGATATCGTCAACTATACTATGTCTCTGTATACCAATAATGAGTTTTCCTTCGCTAAATGCCTTCTCCGGGTCAATTAATATCGACGGAATCGTCATTAATTCCAAAGCCATCTTGGACAACCGGGGCCAACGATCCAGACGACTAAACCACCAAGATCGTATATCACTTACCGGCCTGACACCGTCTGCAGGTATTCAGCCAGTGCATCCTTATTATTAGGGTCTTCAGGCGCGTCGTAGTAGTCGTAAGCCATAAGAAGAGTCCCCGGGCCTTTAAGGGGTGCCTCTTCCGGTTATGCCGGCGCTAAGATAACGACCGGGGTATACACACCCTGGTATAGATTACGGCATACCCTATATACCTTCCTGGCCTGGCCCTCAGTAAGCGCCAAGGTAAGTCGATAATCGAGCCGGCGAACTAGGCAGGTATTCGCCGGGTACGCTGCCGCCGTTGTAAGGTATGGTTGGAAAATGGCATATCGCCGTTATCGTCGTTATTGTCGTTATCGTCGTTATCGTCGCTATTGTCGTTATCGTCGTTATCGTCGTTATCGTCGTCGGCCGGGGCGATTTATTCAGGTTATTAGCTTGTTACTGTGATCTCTGGCTAGGTATGGACAGGTCCGCGGATAAAATCGGTCGCCGCTTCAGGGTTCGGGTGCAAGGTAATAAGGCGATCCTCGAGTAGATCAATCAGTTATTCATACGTAGCGAGGACTTCAGGGAAAGTAACTGCCTGGCCCTCGAACCATTTAGTAATCTTTTTGAACGATTCAAAAATCGCTAAAACAATAGAAAGTAGGTGCTAGTCGCTTGTTAAAGCAGGTCGGCGGCGGGCACACGCCTATCAGGTTTATCACCCTGATTTTGGTAGCACCAAAAATCCACCTGGGCCCGTAACCGAATCGCCCGCTCGATCATTACGACGACCGAATTCCACCTCGTAGAATTATCGCCACAAAGGTATAAACCTTCAAGGCTTCTATCAAAGACGAGGGCGCCGAATTAGTAAGCCTCTTCTTCGCTCAGCTAGCCACGCGCGATACGAAGGAAGGAATCCCGGCGCCTGGTTAATGGGAAATATTTGACCACTGCCTAAACATTCTTGGATCTATATTTGGTTGAATTCGACCTCAAACTCCGAATATTTGATTGAAAATAGGGCTATATTTGATCGTTTATATTTTTTTTGACGATATTTGATTTGGTGCCAGCGCTGCGTCATTGCACTCGGGCTTCCTTACAAAGCAGGACAGGATCGTAAACAAAGCGCACATAGGCTTGATCCAAGCTCCTGTTGATGCCAGGTGCACGGGTGAAGTAACAACAATTCCATGGGTATGTGCATTAGTATGATACGATCTCTGTGAAAAGCGGTCCTCCTGCGATACAAAACAACATCAAAATAATTGACACACAAAACAATTTGCCAACTCCTTTTACTCCGTCGATAACTTTGTTGCGGCCGATCGCTGATCGTACAGTTACATTTTCGTTTTCTCCGAGGCCTGGCCCGTGGCACCGTCTGGCTGCTCGGCTAAGCCTTGGGACGAGCAGTCGCAGGGCGAGCAGTCGCAGAACGAGCCGGCTTGACGATCTCGGAGTACCGCGGGGGGCCCGCATTGTCAACGTGCGTCACCTCAACCTGGGCCTCCTGCTTCTCGTCTGGGTATTCTGTGCGGAGCTGGGCCTCGAGGTCCTTTATCCTGGCCTCGAGCATCGTCACGTCCTGTCTGCTTCCGGTGGCGGGCGAGGGGCTCCGCGGGATGAGCTCGGGGATGTAGAGGAGAGCGAGAGCCAAGTGGGGAACACTGGAAGACGTCAGCACTGGCCACTACCGAGACACACCAAGAAAGGGGAGCACGAACGCGAGAAGAGCCAAGAACACCACAAAGGCAATGCCTTCGGAGGCTTCCAGCTTCAGCGACTGAGGGCTGGAGGGGAAAACCGTGCGCGACGCGGCATTCCGCGCCAGCAGCCCCATGCCGACAGCGCTGAGGGCGCCGGAGAACAGGTCGAAGAAGAGGCACTTTTCCGGCTGGATGAGGAGCTCCGGGCGGACGTACGCAACGCGAAGCTCAATCGTGTTCCAGATCAGAGCCGCGAATGCCTGGCATAGTCATGTAAGTCAGCCGACGAACCACGACCGAGGTTTAGGAGGGCGTCGGAGCAGACATACCATGGACAAGGCGATGACCCAGTCATTGGTGCGCGCCGTGACCTGTTTGTTGGACGCTTGGGCGATTGAGGTGGCCAGCAGGCCGACACACGCGAGAATCGACACGAACCGGAGGGACAGCTTGACGAGACGCCACGGCCGGTGCTGCGGCTCCACAGCGGCGGTGGGCGTGGCGGTGGTAGTTCTGGCAGGCATGGTCGAGGAGTTGATTGTTGACGTCACGGTTGATCCAGCGCCCCGAGAGGAAGAAGAATTATGTGACGGCGATTGAAGGAATGGAAGGAAGAAAGAGTTAAAATTCTCAGGTCGGTTTGCCGGGGACAGGGAGGGCGGCGGCATGTATTTGAGGAGGGAGTCAGACTTGACACTCGATCGGCGTGCTCGACCTCGACCTCGCCTCCACTCGCCTCCCCGGTCGTCCACTCCACGCCCCGAACACACATCTGACCCCGACCGGGTGCGGCAACCTCTTGCAGCTCAGCAGGGTCCCTATCACAGAACCACACGTCGTTTCCTGCGGCGCTATAATCCAACGCGGCGGGCAGTTGGTGGCAGTGAAATCCCACGGATGGTGCTCGATACCTAACTCGGCGTAGTGCCGCGGCAGCCGAGCTAAATCGGGGGCCGATGCGAGCTCGGGCTGCTCTCCGGAGTGCAGGCGTAGGGTAGGGCTGGGCAGCAAAAAACAGCCACGAGAGCCGCTTCAATACACGTATAAGTTGCCAGCAAAAGACCGTCAGACCGTCAGACGAGGGCGCACAATCGCGACCGGTCCAACCACGGGTGCTGTGCCATTGCGAGCCGACGCTAAGAGTCTTGGACGCGACAATCGGACGAATGGCGACGAGGCTCGAAAGCGGGTGCGCGGCAGACTGACAGTGCAGAGTCGTAGCGCAGAGCCTGCAGGCATTGGCTGAAACCGACGCTGGGCGGCGCTAATTGCTCTGATAGGGCCTGGAATTAGAAGGGACTGCTGGGCCCTGGTTCTGCGTGCGGCGCGGCACCGCCGTTGGGGGCATTTGCAGCGAGTCGAGTCCGGCGTTGGCGTGGAATTCCGCCGATGATCGACCTGGACCACTTGGGCTGGCAGCCTGTGGCTGGCAGGTTGGGGTCCCAATTGCCAACTTGTCAGCTGTTACCAAGTTTCGGCTGCCAAAACCGTCCGTGGCTGCCAAAACCGTCCGAGGCGGCAGGGGTGCAAATGGAAAGGTCGGACAGTGCTCCGTTAAACCCGCACACTGACAAAAAACGAATCCCGCGGCCCCAAAAAGATGAAAGTCTCTCCTCGACCGGAATCGAGCCGGTGACCTTTCGGTAAACAAACTAGACATTTACAGCCGAACGTGATATCCAACTACACCACAAGGAGTTGCTCGTTTGGTGCAGGGCTTGACACATACTTTGCCTTTTCAGTGGAGAGGAGAGGGAGCGGTGGAGAGACGCCTCCGCCTTTGCCGAGGAATCGAGCCACTTTATTCGGTCACGTGATTTAAGCAGTGTAAAGGGGTTAGGGTTATGAGTTCGCAACACATGGCGCTGACAGCTGACAGACAAGCCGAAATAGAATACCAAGGACATTGGACAGGATGTTCCACGTGATTCCGAGGCCGGTGCATGTCCAGAGAGCCAAGACAGAAGAAGAGAAGAGCTGAAGAGCGAAAGGATCGAGATTTAAGTCTACTTAAGGTAAGGCAGCTTCTCTTGGGGGGCAGCGCCGAAGACCGGTTGACAAGCCACAATCAGGGGAGGGGCACAGACGAGTTGGAGACGAGTTGGAGACGAGTTGAGCTTCGATTTGGTGGCGGTGCTCTCCAGTTGTGTCTATTTCAAGCGAACCCAACGACATTCAGATGCGCGATCCCGCGAACAACCCCACGCGGTCGTACTTGTACTGCACGACTGCAAATGCACCGCACGACTGCAAATGTACTGCACGACTGCAAACCAACAGCTTCATGCCCAGCCAACATTCGTCGAACCCGTTTCATGTTTTGAAGCTTTGCTGCTGCTTCCAATATCTCTTCGCAACCTTCCCAACCGAGAAATAAACACGACAAAAAAAAGGACCACCCATTCCACACTTAATGTGCTCTGCTTTCCCATCAGACTCCAGAGTCCCATGATGAACTAATGATGGGGTGTGAAAGGACTCAAATGCGCTCAACTGCATCACGTCGACCAACCAAGCACACCACTTGGCTCTTGGCACTTGGCACTTCCGACCATCTGATTAGACCCCTGCACTCACTTCACTTCGACTTTTCTGAAGAAGTATGCAAGAAACAGAACTAAAAACAACCCACCTGTTATTTCCTTGGATATTTAACGACTCGGCTCCCCCCGGCGTTTCCATCCGATCTCGTCTGCATTTTCCGACTCTTGCTCTCCTGGCCCTCAGCTGCTGTCTATTCTTGATCCATTACAGCTTGCAGCCTCTGTCGAGTCTCAGTGCCAACGCCAGCGACGAACTCACCGCCGAGGGCTATCATCACAACCAGCCACTTCGGCTCGATACACACGTCACCCCTACCAAGATGGATATGGGCGACATGACCATGCCGGCCGGCACCGCAACATCGGCAGTCTCGGCGGCTACCGCCACCGCGACCATGAGCATGGACGACATGTCCATGGGCGGCGGCTCGTGCAAGATCTCTGTTCGTGACAGCACCGGCCACCGATTTCACCAGTATTTCTTGAAAGGAGGCTAACAGAACGTCTTTGAGTAACTAGATGCTCTGGAACTGGTACACGGTCGACTCGTGCTTCATCTCGTCGACGTGGCGCGTGACGTCGCGCGGCGCCTTCGCCGGGTCCTGCATCGGCGTCATCTTGCTCGTCGTGCTGCTTGAGTCGCTGCGCCGCGCCGTTAAGGAGTACGACCGCTACCTGCTCCGCCAGCACGCCGCTTCCCGACAACAGCATGAGACTCTATCGACGGGAAGAAGCAGCAGCGCCCACGGCTCCGACAAGGGCGGCCGCGCAGACACGCTGTATGCCGCCGACGCCCCGGCGGTGACTACTACCGCGGGCTTCCGCCCTAGCGTGCTCCAGCAGGCTGTTCGTGCGTTTTTGCACATGGCTCAGTTTGCAGTTGCCTACTTTATCATGCTGTACGTGGTTTTCCGTCGGTCACCGAGGGCCATTGTTAATTGGGTTGTTTGGAAAGCAGCTGCTACTTTACTGGTTCGCTGGTTGACTGACTGTGGCCCAGGCTCGCCATGTACTATAACGGCTACATCATCATCTGCATCTTCATCGGCGCATACATTGGCAGCTTCATCTTCCACTGGGAGACCCTCGGCGGGTGAGTGTTTCTGCTTGTTCTAAGACTGTGGATGCCCAGTGACTGACGCTGCTCGCAGGAACCTGCAAACGAGTGCCGCGCAGGAGGCCACAGTCTGCTGCGGCTAGGTTTGGTTGGTGGTGTCTGTTTGGTGGGAATGGGGGGCAAGTGGCAGGGGTCCTCTTGCAGCACGCCACGGACCACGCAGATGATTTGTCTGGGTCTAGGTCTAGGGCATTGGTTGACGGTAATCACGGGGGGTTGGTTGAGGCGGATAGCATGTCACGAAGGACAATGCGGCAAGCGTACAAATCTCCCATTAACATCAATCTAATACTAAGCTGCGTGCCGAATGTGTCTTTGTGCATCATTTTTCCCAGAACCCGACGTCGGACAATCTGAGCCACTTTTACTTGGGAAGTTGGGATGCACTAAAAACTTGCGCAAAGTGACGCATACCCTCTCGTTCTTTTGGGACGAGTGGTGCGTCGCGCGCATATATCGCGCCACACATTCTTGGCATATTAGATATGATACGAGCACAAGAAATGGGCAGGACACGAGTGAGCTGTCAGGGTAGACTCAAGGAAGGTCTGTCTGGATTTTGACAACCGCAGCTGGAAACTGAGACGAAGGCTTGCACAACTTAAAACAAGCCAAAATAAAGGAGAGACAACGAACGATAAGCGCAATCGAGCATAATAAAACTTGACCTAATTAACCAATCACCCATCATTAACTAACCCAAGCAGGACGGTAGCAGACAGTAGACAGCAGACAAGAACGCCAAGCCGCATCACTTGTCCGCCCCCCATCCTATCCCATCCCATCCCATCCCATCACAGCACAGCACAGCACAGCACATCACTCAGCCTGGATCAAGCAGCGGTGGCCGGACGGCAACGAGAGGAAATACATCAGCGGCTCCATTTCCTCGTCCGTCATGCCCATGCTGCGCGCGACCTTGGCGTTGGGGAAGGCGAGGAAGAAGCGCGCCGTGGCGAGGCGCAGCTCGATGCGCGCCAGGTGCAGGCCGATGCAGACTATACTCACATTAATCAGCCACTTAGGTTCTTGCACTGCCGGAGGAAAAAGGGATGCGTGTCACTTACTGCGCGACCCGCCGCCCCACGCCATGAGCGAGTCCTTCATGGCCCTGGTCGGCGCGGCCCAGCGCGCGGGGTCGAAGCGCTCCGGGTCGGGGAACACGTCGGGGTCGCGGTGCAGCGTGTAGGCCTGGGCGGCCACGGTCGTGCCGGCATCGAGCCAGTAGCCGCCGAGGTAGGCGCCGCCGGGGGGCACGGCGCGCGGCAGGCCCGAGGGCACAGCCGTGTACAGGCGGAGGGTCTCCTCGATGACCTGGGCGAGGTACGGCAGGGGCCGCAGCTCGGCGTCGCCGAAGCCGTCGGGCAGCGTGCGCAGCTCGGCCAGCAGCGCGGCCTTGACCTCGGGGTGGCGGCACACGGCCCACACGAGGTAGGTGAGCGTGTTGGAGGTGGTGTCGCTGCCGGCCACGATGTAGGTGTGGGCGTTGCGCAGAATCTCTTCGAATTCCATATTGTCGTCCTGGGCCGCGCGGAACACGTTGGTGAAGAGCGTCTGCTTGACGCTCGTCGGGTCCGTGGCGACCAGGTTCTCGTAGCGCCGCAGCGACTCCCGTGCGTAACCCTCCATTCTGCGGATGGCCTCTTCCGCCCGCTTGAATAGCGGCACGGGGACGATGGTCAGCCGCGCGAGAGACGGGGCCACGGAGCGGAGGGCACTGAGGGGCGCGATCTCCTCGAGGCTTCTGGTGTATTCGTTTTTCTGGGTACGTACGTGTCAGTGCCTCGATGGACCGAGCCAAAATGCAAACCCAACAAGACAAGAGAGACCAAAAACCGACCTTGCCTTGCTCCAGGGTCTGAAACGAGCTGCCAAAGGCTAGCTCGCCAATGATGTCGGTCGCCATAAATAGCCACCACTTAAAGACGTCTGCGGCGCCCGTCTTCTGCATCTCTTCTCCCATGCGTTGGATAGTCAGGCTGACGCGGCTTTCGACGAGAGGCAGCACGGCTTTGAGCGACGTCTCGGACATGGGCCCGGAGAGGAGCCGGCGGTACTTGCGGTGCAGCTCGATGTTGTTGGTGTTGAACAGGTTGTGGCTCTCGTTTGTCGTCAGGTCCGTGTACCATTTCGTCTTGCGGAACACTTCCTTGACACTGTAGATTTCCTTCACTGCCGCTAGGTCTGTGACGTAGACCTCGTCTGGCGCAACGCGGACCGTGTCGCCTTTGGCAGCCGAAATGTCAGCCGGGAGCTGCTCTTGGAGTAAGGGAAACATACCGTATTTGTTGTGCAGGCGGTGGACGTATTTCGGCTGATCGCCGCTCAGCAAGTGGTACTTGAGAACCAGGCTCGTGTATTTCGTGTACCACGGCCCGGGCACCTGGGACGTCGGCTTCTGGCCGATTTGGTACAGCGCCTGGATGGGACAGTCAACAAACTGAATCGACTTGCGAGGTAGATAACGGGCGAACTTACATATCCAAATGAGAGCAGCAGCAAGCCTGCGCCAGCAAGCCAGATGCGGCTGTCCACGCTGCTAAAGTGGACCATGTTTTGGACCTCGAGACAGTCAAAAGCTGCAAAGTGCCCAATGCCTAGTTGTCTCGTGCTCTGTTAAAGAAAGAGGCACTTATATGCAAATAGAGCCAGTGCCTCTCGGCTAGGTATTCAGCCAACAGTAAGCTCCAGCAAATCAGCAATTGGTGACGTGATGCAGCTTATTGTTTACTTCTTGTGCAAATCAAGCGGGAGAACAGTAGAACAACGATCTGGCGATGCCGCAACTCGCACTATCTATACTGGGCGATAGCCAGCATTTCGGAAGACGAACCTCGCGGTAATGTCGGGTACCACCTTCGATCTGGCAACGATACTGATAGCGCCGAGCGGGCGGCGGACGGACTCTGCGGAGTCTCGCTTGATCGCGAGCACAGTGTAGCGCTGCGAGACAACATGGCAGCAGCAGCAGCAGTAGCACCAATCCCGCTCTCGCGTTTCTAATCGCCGATTAGTGAAATACCACCAAACCCACCAAGTTACCACACCCTCGCTGGTTATCTGCCGCCCGTCTCCTGCCACACGATGCGCCTAGACCGGTTAGATCCGACTAGATCCGACATGCGTGGGGATCACCCGCGATTAATCCGGGGGTAAAATGGAGCGCAAAATGCCGTCGGTCGAACTAAGTGCCGCGGGGGAGCGAGCATTACGAAGCAAGTCACAAGTGCGACCCGTGTGTGCGTATCATCGCGTATTTTATGCGGGACGGACCTTGAACGAGCGGGGATCGTTGCGTGCCGATCTGCAACCTATAGGTGCGGGCCCGTTTGTTGCCCCATCTCGAAGGGTAGGGTATCGATAAGGGTAATTGGCGAACTTCGACGTCACGGAAACGTCTCTGCTTCTTCAACAAAGCGTCTGGTTAGACTCCCAGTGCTACAATCTTGAAATATTTCCCTGCGTGTTTCGAGGCCGAATAGCAACGGTGCAGCCGTTGAGGTAATTCCTATTTGACTGCTGCTCTTCCAGCACCTTTTCCGGAGCGCAGGTCGGCGGCCAGGGTGATGGAGGTTGCATTGCAAGAGTTGACTGCAATAGGGTTGAACAGAATAGGGTCACGTAAGTAATTACTCAAGAAGTGACGTGGCTTGGCAACCCACTTATCGACTTCCCGAATTATTCATCATCGGAGCATCTCCATCCCCGTGGTGGCATGTCTTGACCATTTCTCAGAACCTGCGGCTGCTGTAAATGATCTGCCATGTAACCCCTCTCCCCCTCCATTTTTCTCGAAGAACCACCGCATTTCCGCCGCCTCTCGGACTTTGACTCGATGGAGATCATGGGCCAAGCCTCAATTGCTCATGTGTAACATATCTTGTCACGTGGAGTGGGCTAGGGTAAGAGGGTTTACACAAGCCTTCAAAAGGTCAGTGCAGGCTGCAGCCTGCAATCCTTCCGAATTGCCGACTGGGGCTAGAACCTAACTGAGCCTTCTCGCTGACATAAGTGTGCGTTTCATCAATCGGCACGCCCGTAAAAGGCCGCCACAATACGACCTTGGCGTCCCGGGGGCTGGGTTCACCGACCAAGTCTAGAGCTGAAAGCCATGGTGCGTGTGGACTGTGGACAAAAGGTTGCCAAGGCGTCGTTGTTATCTGTCGCAAAACCGACTTGTTTCCACAGCATGGAATGTTAGGATTTGCGCGCTCTCTCTTGTTTCCATGGCACACTGGCCCAGAAGCACCACGGATTTTGGAAAGATCCGCGTATGCCACAGCCACGAGGCAACCTCCAACTGCACTGCTGGCCGGAATCTCACATGCATGTTCAAGATTGGCCCCCTCCCTTCCCTCCCCACCCGGCGAGAATGGGTGGGTGCCAAGCGTAGGCAGACCCTGAATTCCCTTCAACGTATGGCTAAGCGCTGCCGGTTGCTCCTCATGATGCACCCGGTGGTGGTGATGCGGGCCAATAGGGCAACGCGCTTGTTTGGTGGCGGTGGCACAGCTCAGCCCTATCTGCACTAGCAGCTGCTGACACCCCTTGGCGGCCTTGGTATGAGGAGGTCATATTTAAGTTTGGTTGGCGAGAGAGCCCGTCGTTATCGTCCAGGCAAGGCTTGGCTAATAATTTGGGCGCAATAGGCCATTTTCCGAGACTGAGCCAGCCACCCATCCCACTGGGCTTGCGAAGGCTAAGCTGTGTCGACCACAGCCCTCCCCTTCGACTCTGGCCAGAGATGTGGATTTAAAAGGGCCTCCCCTCCCAGTCGTAACCGAGATGTGACAACTCCAGAGCAACGGAACCCACGCTTCTCTAGCCAGCCCGGTTTCCAGCCAGTCCAGCATCAACCCGCTACCCACACGGCAACAGACAGGCGACACAAACAAGATGGGCGACTACCATGGCGAACACCCGGACTCGTCAACTTGTTGGGACCACACAGTCGATCAGCGAATCGGCTTGATTGCCGATGGACTCAGCAGCAATGACGACATCCGCAAGAAGCTCCCCGGGCTGCGGACTCTGCTGAACCAGTACCTCAGCCCCGAGGTGACGGTCGAGGCCCCAGACTTTCAAAAGCGCCTGCTCCGCGTCTTTCGCGACTCTGAATATGACTTTGCGTACCAGGAGTGCCTCGAGAAGCTGACCGAAGACGAGAAGGAGCGCGTCGAGAAGTTTGTCGGCGACGACAAGCCCTTGAAAGAAGTGTCTCACGACTTTGACATGTGCCTCAGCATCGGCGTCCGCGAGCACCTGCAGCACCTCGTCGGCACCGACTGCGTGCAAGTCTCGTCGGCCGGCGTAAAGGTCCAAACCCTGGGTGCATCGTCGACGGCCGCGAATGGCGCTGCGCCGGCCGAGGTTGATGTCAAGGGCCTGAGCGGCCGAGGCGCCCTCGATTGGCTCAAGGACAAGGACGGCATATTCCACGCCTTCCTCCACAAGCTGAAAGACCTCTTCACCGGCCATCACGAAGACCACAGAGTTGTTGTAAGTTCTGGGCCCAGATTCAGCTGTGACAAACCGGCGACAGGACGCTGATACATTCAGGTCTACAAAGACGCCGTGTTCGAGAACTGGGGCAAGGTGGTCGAGTATGTGCCCCAGTACACGTGCATCCCCAGCTCGGTTGCTGGAGTGCAGCGGATCGTCAAGTACGCAAAGGACCACGACATGGGTGTCCGGTGCGCAGGGTTCCGGCACTCATGGGCGCCCATCTTTGGCCGCAGCGGCCAGATCACCATCTCACTGCTCAGCCTGGCCGAAGCCACCAAGATCCCCAACTTCACCGCCCTCTCCAAAGCTCTCCCCGAGTGGCTGCTCCACAAGACGGAGCTGCAGACCATCGAGGTGCTGTCGGGCACTCCACGGGTCAAGGGAAACACGCTGGTGCGCGTGGGCGTGAGCACGACCAACGAGCAGCTGCGCCGGTGGTGCGTCAGCAATAACAAGTACACGTACCCGCTCAACGTGATCATGGTCGAGATGACGGTCGGCGGCACCAACGGGCCCATCTGCCACGGCGCGGGGCGGCGCAATAAGACGCTGAGCGACCTGGTGCGCAAGGTCGAGTACGTTGACTGCCACGGCAAGCTGCAGACGGTCGACGACGCGAGGCTGCTGCAGGCAGCGGCGGGCAGCTTTGGACTGATGGGCGTCATCACGCACCTGACGCTCGAGTTCGAGCCCATGACGTACGCGCTGATGAAGCCCGAGAAGATCCCCGTGGTGCGGGCCATCCCGCCACCGGCCGACCTGCGCGACGACGACATTCCGCCGGCGCTGCGCGTCGCGGGGCTGACGGCGGCGGACAGGGCGGCGGACCTCGCACGTTTCGAGAGGCTGGCGACCGACTCGTATTATTCCGAGTGGTTCTGGTTCCCGTACTCGGATAAGTGCTGGGTCAACTGCTGGGACACGACTACGGACGGGACAGGCGCCGTCGACTACCCCAGCGACACGCAGACGTTCCTCATGTTCCTGTCGCAGTTCGCCATGAACGTGCTGCAGAACGCGGCCATCCTCGACGAGCTCATCGCCTCGCTGCAGCTGACCGAGGCCGCCGTGACGCTCATCTCCAAGGCCGCCATGCTGGTGCTGCCGGCGTGGGACCAGCCAGTCAAGACGTACCTGCCCGACGCTTTGCACTTTCAGCGGGGGATCCAGAACGTGCGCGTGCTCGACGTCGAGGTCGAGATTCCGCTGCAGCCTGCGGCACCCGCAGTTGAGGAGGGGGGCAAGCTGACGGCGGCGATCGACTACAAGGTGGTGCAGCGAGCGTGGTGGGACGCCATCCTGGCGTGCTACCGGCACAGCGACACGTGCCCGCAGCGGATGCCGCTCGAGATGCGCGTCATGGGCGGCAGCGACATGATCATGGCGCCGCAGCGCGGCAACGAGCTGGGGACGTGCGCCATCGAGGTACTGACGCTCGAGGCGGCGCGCGACCTGTGGGTGCCGTACGCCGAGGAGATACTGGCGTCGTGGCTGTCGTATACCGATACCGCTGGCCAGAGCCTCCGCACGCGCCCGCACTGGGCCAAGCAGTGGGACGGCATCACCGTCGATGGCAAGCCGTGGGCTAACAGGATGAAGAATGTCGACTACAAGGACGCGCGCGTCGAGTTCAAGGCGCTGCTGGCCGAGATTGGGAAGAAGCACGGCTGGACGCTGGCTGATTTGAAGAAGCGCTTCTCCAACGACTTCTTCGACGACTTTTACTTTGACGACATTTGAGGTGACAGCAGGTCTTTGCCCGGGTGCGATTTGCTTTTTGTGCAGACGGCGAAGTGGGAAACGCAGCGCAAGGCTTTGAGACGAAAGGGAGGGAGGGAGGGGGAGTGGGGGTTGATAAGTTTCAAGCAAAGATGATAGGTTTCAAGCAAAAATGCCAACGTCACGGCCAGCAGAGTGGCTTTCGAGTCTGTCAAGTTTCACCTCGTTTTTGTTTGACTGAGGAAACCGCGAGGCACATCGCGCGAGATTCTATTTATGCTTGCTACCATTAGTGCCTGCCACATTGCGTGTTGTTAATGCCTACCACATTGCGTGACACTTGTGAGAAGCGAACTTGAGAGGGAAAGAGCATGTTGACTGCCGTCTTTGATGTCACGCAAAGAAGGTACAAAGCTTAATTGCTGCCTAGTTCAATTTGTCGCGCAACTTCAAGTTGACTCACGTAATTTGATCCGTGTCGAGAAGCGCGACTGCCGTTTCACGCTGGTGTGCCCTCCCACTTCCACTTCGCAAAGCTGTGCCGGCAGAGTACAACAATCTCGAATCCGATCCCGAACATGAAGTTTCACAACGGCCATCATAAACTCTGATCGGCGGCGAGCTTTGCAGAACATTGACCTAGGTTTTTTCAATGCATTTAAGACTGCACCAACAATATAGAGACCCATAAGCTTTGCCAGCAGCCAAATCGGGCACTGCACTGCTGAATCACCTTTTCGCAAACAATGGCGCAAGCGCACTCCCCTCAAAGAACGCCCTATCCCTCTCCCACCCCTTGACGACAAAATCCCTCCCAATCGCTAGGCCCGCCGCAATCACGTCCGGGGCGACGACCCTGGGCCCCTTCAGCTGACGTCTGGGGTACCAGCTGACGAGATGCACGCCGACGTAGACGGCCGTCCGGAACGCCATGTCATCGCTAACATCACCGTAGCCCTCGATGACGCTCTGCATGGCGGCTACGCCCGTGCCGCGACTGTTGTATACGCTGCGCTCCAACAGGTCGCCGACGAGCTGGCCGAGATCGCACGACCGGTGCCCGAATTGCGCAAACTCCCAGTCGATGACGAAAACCCTGTTCGGAGGCGCGTCGGGGCGCGGCGCCTCGCGCCACCCCGATTTGGGGAGCAGGATGTTGCCGGACCACAGGTCGCCGTGCACGAGGCCCCACCCGTCATCGCCGTCGCCGTCGCCGTCCCCGGTAGACGGCTTTTCGAGCGCCTTCGCCGCGCTGTCCTGGACTGCCGCGATGGTGCTCTCGTGGCCGCGCAGCAGGTGCGGGAAGTCCCGCAGCACCGCGAGCAGGGTGCCGAACGTGAAGTCGTGCTTCGCTTTGCGCGCCGGGTGGTGCTGCCACATGTGCGCCCGGAGCGCGGCCTGCGCGGGCGCCGCGCTCCAGGCGTGGAAGGACCGCAGCCAAGCGCCGAGGGCGCGGCCGATGGCGGCGTGGCTGGCCTGGGGGAGTAGATTCTCGGCCGTGGGCGAGAACAGGGCGGCGCGGAGCCAAGCTGTGTCGGTGAGGTCTTCCAGAACCTGGATGTTGGCCAAGCGGCTGAACAGGTAGAGGCGCGGTACGTCGACTACGGCGGTTCCGGTGGTGGAGGGCGAGAAAGCGGCGAGTGATTGGAGGAGCGATTCTTCGAAGGGCTGGTATGGCGTGGCAGTGTTGGTGCAGTGCTTGATTATCACGCTACCGGCGGGTGCATTGCTGCCAGGGCGGTGGACGGGTTGGATCAGCACGCCGCGATAGACATAGTTCCCCTGTTTGGTGGCCAGGGGCTCTGAGAGCGACGAGCATGCATAGGGGGTTTTAGACAGCTCTTCGAGGAGCTGCTTGGTGATTACGTCTTGAGCTGGCTCCGAAGGCGGCATCGTGTTGATGGTTGACTTAATGTGGTGAGGTGAGGGGATAAATTGTGTGGCATCCCTTTTTACAGTCGCACTTTTGAGCTTCCTCTTTTAGCTTCTTGGCCGCACTATTGTGGATCGGAGTGGCTGTGTTGCAACTCCCAGGGGCTACTTGGGTCTATTGTTATCGTTTCTGTCCACAAGTGGCGCAGCACTACAGCACGCAATTTTATCAGGATTACTATTGATGTCTTCAACAGCGTCTAGCCTGACGGAGCCCCCTTATCCTGCTGGGCGTTGGGCCCCCTGTAACCTGGTCCTTACCCTTTTCATCACAACATCACAACATCACATATCTCAGCAGCGCGGTGGAATCCGGCCTGTGGCAGTTCCCTGTCTTGCCGTGGGTTCTCTAACCTATATAATTATCATTATGCTCTCTATCGGGTAAGTCTGGGAATATAGGTATAAGCTGAGACAGGATGGAGTTCGGCACGAGCCGTACAAATAGATGACAACCACCGACTCCTGCCAGCCTCACCTGCAGACGTTGTCCGGATGATTGAATGGCATGCCGTAGAGCACCGGTGGCCGCGACGGCGATGTCGGTGGCACTTCAAGATGGTACCCTGTCATGTGATGAGCCGACCCGTCGGCCGGCGCATGTCCGTGGAGATTAGAGGTGTAGTGGCTGTTATCGGACTGAACAAAGGGATCATCGTGGCGGGGGTGGCCATAGGTAGATAGTAACCAGGTGTTGTTGTCGAACGTGAAGCCGGCGCCGCCGACGCTCGGTCCAGCCTCTTGTCCAGGGCTGTATGGTGGCAACCCTACTGGGCCGTGTTGGTAGGGCAGGCCTGACGGATCGCATTCGTAGGGCGTACCGGAGGGCACCAGCTCCTGGTTTTCCGGGGTGGGAGCATTGACGGAGATGTTGCTGCCGTTGTTGTCCGTGCAAGGACCGGCGCCCGACCTGTACAGGCTGAATACTTCGCGCTGCGCCTGGCGCACAATTTTTTCGAATCTGGCCCTGAGCTGGCTCTCGAAGGGCCCCTCCAGGTCAAACACGTTCTCCTGCTGCAGCAGCCGCCGCACGATGCGGAGCAGCTCCCGTCGCTGGAACCGCTCGTACTGCCGCAGCTCGTCTATGCGCTCCCCGTCGCGGCCCGAGCCGCAGTCGTCGTAGTCTGGCAACACAGTGTGTCAGTTCAACCAGAGCTCATTTGAAGTGACATGTATGGAGGAGGAACTGACAAGGCGAAGGAACAAGATCGCCGTCTTCGTCTGGGAAGAGAATGCGGTACATCTCTAGCCACCGGTCTTCCTCGGTCTCTCTCTGCTTCTTCTTCCGCAGCTGTTTCTCTTGTTCGGTGTTTATGCCCTCTGGAAGGTCCACGAGACGGACTTGGCAGCCTTCAGCCTGTCTCTGGTGCTCCCATAGCTGCGAGTCGGATTTCATGATCATCCCGCAGCGGCTGCAGTGGATGGGCAAGGTATGGGTCCGGTAGATGTGCTCTCTGGACGGTCATGTGTTAGTGGTTGAGACTACCATCAAGATGAGAGGCCGACACGGTCGTATAGTTTTACTCACTTGATGCGATACACGTTGGCCCACCCTGGCCCTCGGCACGACCTATGATTGGTGTGCCTCCTGGGGTTGCGCTGATAGAATGGACACGCAAATCTCCGCTGTTCCTCTTCTAAGCTGGCCTGTGGGAGAGCACGGGATCGTCTCTGGCCATCTGTCGTCTGGGTGCCTGCTCCGATGTACGATTGGCCTCGAGGGATTCCGTCTGGCCATTCCACCGTGTCGCCTGGAGAAGACGATGATGGCGACAGGCCAAACTTGGCAACGCGGCGGGGGCTGACCGAGACGCCACGCCCGCCTGCGCGGATACTTAGCCCGACATACAGGCCGTGGCTCAGAAGCGCCTTGAACTCGGTCATTAGATTGTCGACTGCTTGTTGCTTGCATGTTTCGAGCTCCTCCGTTACCATGGTGCGATTGACGTTGCTGGTTGAACGAGATGAGACGGAAGACGCTTTGGACCATGTAGTCTCCTTCGAGTCCCAATCTGTGCCGCTCCCCGAGGAGCTGGCGAAGTCATGGTTGTCGTCTCCGATTTCCGTATCGTTCACAGCGCTGGGCACTGCTATTTCATTGATGGCTCGGGGTGTTGATGCCTTGGGTCGTGCGAGGTCGTCTGGCCCTTTCTTGGACGACGTTGGAGCGGAGGAAGACGAGCGGTTACCAAGGCGAGTGTCAGCAGCCGCGGCGGTGCCAGCCTCTGCGTCCCCCGATTGTTTCCGCTCACGGTTTCGTCTCCCAAGCACCAGGATGTAGGCAATGACTGAAGCTGTGCTAAAGACCATAAACATCAGTACACATGCTGCTACTAGCCCCGGCACCGTTGAGGACAAGTCAGAGTGGTTAGGGTGAGAAGTCTGGGTGCTGTTCGTTCCAGAGGTCGTGTTAGTTGCTCCTGAATTCGGGTGCGTGTCTACTCGCGAAGCCTGGTCTGAGCTAACTGCAGGTGGAGCCATGGGACGATGGGCCAGGGCCGGGGCCGGGGCTAGGCTAACAACAGGATGGTAGGTGTAGGTGTAGAATGGCTAGTGGAGGATCGAATACGAGCGTGTCGCACACCTGTGACGAGTTTCTTGTGTTTGGGTTATTCTTTTCTCGAGCCAACAAAGCAAGCATGATACACAAGTCTGATATAGAAGGCATGAGACCGGTCTTCTAGGGCCAGGAGCGTGGCTGCCTACAGCAATCAATTACCGGGGCGGAGAAAGGAGACAATTTGCGGGCGCATGTAAGTAAGCGTCCTGTCCCGGCACAGTCAGCCAGCCCTACAGAGCAATTAGGCGATATCGCCATACATAGCCCCCGACGCATCAGTTGCCCAAACGGCTCCCTAGTTGGCTCGAGACAGGAAGGCGGCTATGTGAGGGGGGCGGAGAGGGAGGGGTCGGTTCCAGAGTCTCGGTACAGCGACGGTCTTCTCGTACTTATATTGCGTCCTCGCGGCCCTGCCTGGCAAGGAAGGTGCTTTCACAGCGAAGGTGGCATTGCTGCCAGCGAGAGACCGAGGGAAGCAAAGCTCAGTGGTGATTGAGGACGACGGTGTGTATATACTCGAAACCTTTTGCAGATTAAAATAGACGGTGGCGATATTGCTTGTCGGATGACGCCTGGCCCGACGAGGACTTGAGGGCACGGTCTGCCTAACCAAGTGGTACAACCGTCCAGGTATATGAAGACCATCTCGCAAACTCGAATTCCGCGCGTGGCCATGTATTCAGGCTATGCCCGGGGGCTTTGGCCTGTACCGTCCTGTCTCCCGTACGCTGCTGATGGGGGCTGGCGGCCCGTTGCCGTAGCCGAGTCGTGCACGGCAGTTGTCAATCCACGCGGTCCTAGCGAGGTACGTCCCTAGCAGCTGCACATCGGCCAACAGTTCGTGATCGATGTTGTGAAACGGCAATATGGTTTTAGATCCGGGGTAATATTATGAGTGCCAAATTCCAAATAAGAGTGCCTCGGACATCCCGCACTGCCTTGACCGGGCTAATTACCTAGACAAAAGGACCGAACCAATCGCCTAGATGAAGTTCCAGTCCACGCGGTGCAACAAATGGTCACCGAAGGTCAGACGGAGCCCGAACCCACGTACCGCATCCCTGAAAGGAAGGACCATGTCCTGGTTCCTACGTCAAGCCTCGAGCGCCGACCCAAGGGCCTTGACTATAAAGGATTCTGTCCGCAAACCTAAGGTAGGCAGGTCAGCAAGAGCCCTTCCGGGTGCCCGGAATCGATTCTGTGATTCTCTGGTTTGTTAAAGCCCGAGTGTAACCTTCAGGAGGTTCCCGTCGGGACCGTACTGTAGCCCCCACGCCGTTCTGCTATTGCATGTGCCCAATTGCAGGGGTGGTCATTATTGCGGGAGCACCCTCAAACCTCTCAACCGCCCGCCCCTATAATTAGGGCTGGCTCGCATCGCAGTCCTTGGCGGCTGACACATGATGTGCCGCCGCTGCATAAGCATACTACATGAAGAATGGCATGGCCGGATAGGTAACCGACCTAAATTACGTCGTAGGGGCTTATCGAGTTGCAGCTCCCTCTGCACTGATGGGACTCCATCGTGGGGTTCCATGATGGGGTTCCATCGCAGTGCCAGTCAGGTCAAAGCAAAAGATATCGAGTTAGTTTAAGTGACTTTATTGAGATATGAGCACTAATGATCATACCGAGACCTCCGAGTATCTCGCTTCTTGCTTTCCCGTACTATATCGCGACAGGCACAGATGTCCCCTTTTCAGGGGCTATCAGCCCGCAAAAGCCAAATTCTAAACGGAACGACGCTAGAATATGCAGCCTCATGTGGCGGGCGATATTGTCGCGCCGGCCCTCCTTGCCACACTCGGGACACCTCGCGTGCTCTGGTGGGCCTGCGTGCTCTGGTGAGCCTGCGCCGCGCTCGATGGCTACGTTTCGGTGTCTGGTCCAGATGTGGCGAGCCAGGCCGCGCTTGTCGAGGTGGCCCTTGTCGCAAATATCGCAGCGGAACGGACGGCGGTGGCTCCGCTCGTGCTTCCTGCGTAATCGGCGCGTGTTAAAATCACCACCAAAGATGTCGGCCGGGGGCAAGGGGGAGCGGGAGAGGTACCTAAGGTCGGCGGCTTTGTCGAACTTCCGGGCGCACGACGGATCGGAGCATGACAAGGCAGGGTTGACGTTTGTGTATTGTGAGTGAGTAAAGGATGGAGGGGTGAGGGGGGTAGTAGGCGAGGAACCGATTGGCGTTGAGGACGGAGGCGGAGACCACGACAGGCCTGGTGTAGGGGTGAGAGGAGATTCCCGGGAACTTTCAGGACTGATGCAACCAGTCGCTGGAGCTGTGGTGAGCAAGTTAAACGACCTCGTGAGTGTCTTGCAGCCACAGCCCCTGGTCAATACCTAATTCGGGGATCGTATGGTCATTCACCTTTGATACAAATCAGGGGATGGACGACATAGCCGGTGGTTGAGTGGGGGCCTGTGCAGGAATCATTGTCGGTGTTGTTGGACATCCTTGTGTCGATGTACTGGGGAATGCGGCAGTAGCTTGTGATTTGTCAAGCAAACATGATTCGAACCAGTCTCGAAACCTTGGAGAAGGTCCGGGAAGTTGTCACGCTGGTTGAAACGCAGCGGGAGTTCGTAATCATGATCGACAAGCGCAAGGTTCTGCGGTGCCTGGTTCAAGATGTCCGACATGGGCTGGTTCGAGGTGCATGGTTGGTCTGTATGATCAATCTTGTGAACGAGATCTAGGAAGGCGTTGCGTCCAAGACCATAATACGGTACTCTCTGGGAGTAGTTGTCTCCCAATCCTCAAGGGCCTGGTACCGTTCGTCTTTGTCCTCCCACGGAGCCGCGGAATCCTTTGGGTCTAAGTGGGTATCAGGGACGATGGCCAAGAAGCCCCTATCAAAGCCTTTTATATAGCTGGATGGAGAAAGATGCCGTTAACGGCCGAGAAGAGTTCTTCACGGGCGCCAATCCCGAAGATGGGGTCCATAAGGTCCGCTGAGCGCCAAGGGAAGAGATGTGCGGCGATGGCGAGGCTATTATCGACCCAAGTCCCAAGCACTGGCTCCCAAATGTCAATGGAGCCAGGGCAATAGGCCTGCCTCATCAAGTCTCTCATTATTGACTGATCCTTTGTTTCGCGCCGGCCCTCGGATGCAGAATTCGGGAGGTCGAACCCTAGCTTCGAAGAGTTAAAGAGCTTGAGGAACCCGTTGCAGTGATCTGAAAAGGAGTCTTCAGCTTTTTGGACTGTTTCCTCGCAATCGATGCTTGTCGTGCGAGTGCAATAGACTCCATCAGGCACTCTCTTCCTTCCTGGTCCGCGTCTTCCTAGCGCTCTCTCGACAAGGTTCCGCCGTCTTCCTGATATTTATGGAACTAGAGTGTGCTGTAAGGAAAAGGACACCCCAAACACCAACTGCGCGCACAGGGTGCGCGCCCACCACTTGTCACCAACTGGCTAGAACACTGCCAGCTGGCATACGCTACGCCGTGGCGCCACGACCGCAGACTGATGCCCGGGCCGAACCCCTGAGCAGGTATATAAACAATGGCCCTCGCCCATCTTCCTTTGCGAGGGCCAGGTTGAAGTCTTACACCAATACAAGTCATTGCTCCCCTACCTTCTTGCCTGCATTGTGACCACCTTGATCAGGCGTACCTACCTTCTCTTACACCCCTTCCCGATCAAGCTTCTTTTGGACTCGTTACCTAACCCTGAAGACATCTTGACGGACCCTGTGACGGCGGTCAACAGCATCTAGGAAGAAGAGTCGCTAGTATGGCTATACCATTGTCTTAGGATTCTAAAAGTAAAGAAAGAAAGAAAGAAAGTCTACAAAGGTACGATCGAGGGTGCGGGGGTATAGTGGGGTGCCGAGAGCGCACGGGCCATTATGGTTTGCCCTGCCAAGGCTCGTGACAGACCCCATACCTACCCTAGCTAAGTCGGCAAAAAACTTTATGCGAAGATTAGGAAACCTTCAGAAAGTAGGTAATCCACAGACGCAGCCAGCGACTCGGCCATCCTCACTATTAGATCGACCCTCTTCTCCATTTGATAGATCATCAATCGTGCTATTATATTCACCAATTCGGAGATGGGCAGTCATCTCAACAACGCAGCCAGTAATACCTCAGATCCACCAATTACCAGCTATAACTCCAAACAAACTACCGCACGACCTCTTTGGGCACGCTTACAAATACCGCCAAAATAGTATCCCAAACCATCATAACTATCGTAGAGTCCATTAAGTCCGTCCTAGACATTTAACCAATACTGGAGCCGGGTGGGGTTTCGGATTTTTCACAATGGTTACTACACAATGCATTAATTATGCGTTACGTTGCCAAAAGCCACAAAGATTCTATTCTATCTGAATCTTGACCTGAAATGCGGAGTACTGAACCAAGCTACTCCAGAACATCAGCGGTCGCCCCGTCTGTGAAATATTTTGACTTTTACGGGACTCCTGTCTCGCAACTCAAACCATATTGTGAAGCCATAGGTAGGTGGGCACCTGTGCGCGCAAAACTAGTCTTAGAGTAACAATGCCCGATGCTGCCGCTAATGATCATCTCTCGACTCAATACGCAAAATATTAGCATTCCGGCGGCAGCACAATGATATCCACCTCATCCAATTCTTCCTCGTCCATTCCTTCCTCTTCCATTCCTTCCTCTTCCATTCCTTCCGCCTTTTCGACGCAGACGCAGAGCAACATCGACCGTTTCAGAACAGTTTTGCCATTGGCGTCGCGGGGATAGACTTCCTCGAGTCGCTGCATATATCGCTGCAATTATGCCTCGCGGTGGTCGGGGTCCGTGACGGTCTTGAGCATGAACCGCAACTCGGCGCCTTTCATCCACTCAACCAGCTCTCGGTGGTTGTTTAAAATTACTTGGACAAATGACCGCGACGTCCAAACAGTGCTGCAGGGTCTCTATTTGGGCGTCGGGATGCAGATACTGCAGCGCTTCGGTGCTGAAAATCAAGTCAGTCCCATCCTCGGGAACGTACGTCTCAATATTGCCGTGCACGTACGTGGCCGTGGGCACTTCCTTGGCTCTCTCCATTGTCTTTGCCGCCTCGATCATGCTGGGAGATGAGTCGATGCCGAATATCCGGGCGTCCGGGAACTCTGACCCCAGAACCTTGGTACTAGTGCCGGGGCCGCAGCCCGAGTAGATGACGCACTCAGGTTTCCATCTGGCTGCAACTAGCCCCTTGACCTCCTTGACGAGTTTGATGGCATCTACTTGCGGTGAATCTCGAATTGCAGGTATTTTTCCGGATCCCAGTCTCGGTAATTGTCAGCGATTTTGATTGAATCTTGACTGCTCAACCCGGCTGTGTGGAAGGTGAAAGGCCGGCTCGGGTTTGGGAAGAAGGCTGAAGAGAGAGAATTCTGGCGTGTAGAACACGGAATCTGGATGAGGGATAAAAGTGCAAGGACGGAAACGCACCGACAGAGCATTGGTTTTATGCTCAAGTGAACATTAGCAGGAAACTGGAAGTTTCCGCAAGCGAAGCTGCCTAGCAGGTGAGCAAACGCGCAACAAGTGTGCTAATATTGAAGAGGCCAAAATACAATAGGGCCAAACACTGTCAAACCTTCAGACTCTGACAGACTCTGACTCAGGAAGATTCAGAACAATGCAACTATTTTTATTGTTTGGTATGTTATACTGTGACTATTTGACGGCTGATGCTTGAAGGAAACCGCCTGTTGATCCCATCGTATCCTATAGTCTTCTATCAAATACCTTCTAGCGGCACACAGACCACAACATGTTTTCCGCAAAAGTGATTGGGTATGAGAAACTCCATATGCATTGTCGGAAACGTCCCATCAAAAGGCAGGCAGCCCGTACAAAAAGCGGTTTATTAATTAATATTACCCAGACTATAGGTACCTATATACGTGCAAGGCTACTCAAATCTCTAATAATTTCTTTGAACGGCCTTAACAAATTATCGTCGTCGTGAAATGGTGCGTGGAAGGACTAATAGAAGGACTAATAGAGTGACCAACTGAGAGCCCTTCGTTGACCAACCACAACTCGTTTCAATATAGGGAATTTTTGAGCGAACATCATCTACGTCATCCTGTCCATTGTAGATACGGCGTTTATTAACACATTCTGCTAATTATTTGGGTACTTGGGTGCCTGGGTACCTTGGATCTTTATCAAGCCTAGGCCGAGGGCCGGGCCACTCCATCGCGTGATTACCTCGCGCAAAGCGCAGCGGCTCAAGAGGAGTACATAGACCCAGATGCATGAACATCGCGCCTCGTCACGCGAGAGGTTGCACAACACAACAAGAAACCCCAACATCGGCTTCGCCCTTACGTCGGCGACGCGCGCGCGCGCCGACTCTCCGGCAGTACCTGGATACAGATCATGCTTTCGTCGGCCATAGGGGTCAGTAAGTTGTCGCCTGGCCAGCATCGTGTCCTGGTTTTATGCAAGCCGACGGGGTTGGGGTTACAGCCATGCAACCGCAGTTGTAGTGGAGGCCTTCTTCCCGCCGTGTCTTCTTGCGCTGATGATTAAGCCGGCTCCAGGGAAGCATTCGCCTCGGAACTTGCAAGTAATCATGCTTGGTTGTCGGACTCTATGCCTTGTGCCGAGCGCCGGCGCTGTGCCGCGGCGGGGGTGTGCTGTTTCTGTTTTCCAGTTCTCGATCGGCAAATGGTATTGCGGCTTAGCGGTGTCCTCAAGAAGCGGCCAGTGATCTGTGGACAGCCCCAAGGGACGACAGAAGCCAAGCTGTGCAGCCCAGTGTGGATTTGTTCCGGATAAATGTCGATTACTTTTTTGTCGAGTTTCTCCGGTTCGATGCTTCCGACGCCTCCGCGTGAATGTTTAGAACAGGTTAAGCTCTTTATGACTAGCCTTCATTTCTTGCCCATTTTGATGTGAGATAAGTAAGGCACGCCCCTACCTGGTCGCCAATAATATGTACCACAGATGCCCCGCTTACTCAAAGCAGTAAACAATCGTGCTTCGAGCGACCTTATTGGTAACGTAGCGATGCATGTGCGGGGTCCATGCATGCATGAGCAGAGCGTGAATGGACAGTACGGAAACGCGAGCAAAGTCAATCAACAATCAAAGAGCTTCTTTCACCAAAAACCCGGCACTGTACGTATGCGCTGTACGAGTACATACACTATCGCCACCCTGCCGTTGAATGCTGCAGCGGGCTGCGCTGGATTCGCAGGTGCTGCTACAGTGAGTGGCAGTGAGTGGCAGTAAACCCGACAATCGCCAGACTCTCGGCCGGGATTGAAAAACAGGATGAAAGGCTGATAGAAAGCATACCTTAATTAGCATGTCATGCCATGCATGGCACGTTGACAAGTACGTATTCACACCACCAGGATCACTAATACACGCACATAATCGATAAAGTGCCTCAGTGTTATCAACATGGAATATTGTTACACAGCTAAGCCATCAGTGATGGCACCTTCCTGGAATTTTACTGGCTCTGGCCCCTCCGGCACAGGTGGCGGCACAGGTGGCCGGGGAGGGTTGTCCGGTGAAGGGGGTGTCCTGATCTGGCTGGCGATTAGTGGTCCGCATCCCAGACCTTCACGGGTATCCTGTTTTGGAAAATGACCGTTGAATTTCGCGCATTCGCGCCTATCGAGTCGCCGGCTTTCCGTTCGTTCCAATGCTGGCAGACGCAGTAGTCCAAACAAGCGGGGCGTCTGCGGCTGCAGAACGAGCCTAGGTAGATTGAAGATTCCTTGTTCCCAGTGCCCGGCACCTTGCCACCCATATACAGCTGTAGCTACGGATTTGCGGAATTCCGGGCATTCAAAAAGACGTCAATGGCCGCCTCCCCCTCTCCTCATGCTTCTTTGAGAGAGGCAAGACCAGCTTCTGGGCATCACCCCGCGCGTCCTCGCGGGTCCTTTTCAACAACCAAGCCACCGGCACCGCTGACAATTTCCGTAATGATCGTTTTCTTTGTCCAGGTACGCATAGTTGTTCTACAGTTCTAGGCCCTACCTATTCAACTGCTGTTGCTAATTATTGCAGCTATTATTTTCAACGACTGCAGCTTCCAACGATAGCTAATCAACACAACTTCAGCTCCAAATTGCTGGTCAAAATACCGACCCGGCCACTAACTAAATCAGTCAAACCGAGGTCGCAGTCAGTTCCGCACCACCCCAATCCCGGCCAGCAAACAAACAAGCAAACAGGAAATGAACCCAACCGCTAACTAGCAAACAATGCACCAGAAAATGAGCTCCACCAATCCCGGCATCTTTCCTGATACCATGTCTGACGACGCGCTAGCCGATCTTAGGGAGACGGCGGGCAGTTTGATGTCTTCAGTCATCGACTTCGTCGCCGCCGAATCCAACGGCAACACGGACCCGGCTCTCGATCTCATGCGCCGTGCTAAAATTCTCGAGGCGACCCGCCGCATCCAGCTCCTCACCAAGGACCCCGGCGACGAGTGGACCGAGATGGTTTACGCGTCGACCCTCATGACGGCCAAGCGCCTGTTCTGCGACTGGGGCGTCTTCGATGCCATCCCCACCGAGGGGGCCATATCCTTTGCCGAGCTGGCCGCCAAGGTCGACGCCGAGGAGATGCTGTTAGGTCCGTATTTATGTCCAGGCCACACGTCAGATTCTAAATAGGCTCGAGGCCACACGTCAGATTCTAAATAGACTCGAGGCTGACGTTGCATTGCTTGGTTCCACCGGCGACAGTTCGCATCGCCGGCATACTCATTTCCACGGGCTACCTCAAGCAGATCGGCACCAACCAGGTTGCTCATACCCGTTATTCTCTCGTGTTTGCGAACAATGACCGCAGAGGCCTGCTTTTCAATACCGGGTATGTGACAGTGACCAGCCAGACTGGCTGAACCTATCTACTTAGGTACCCGGCAACGACATGCCCTGTGAACTAACAGCCGCCCCAATGCAGATGGGACAACTGCGTGGTCCCCTATGCAACAATGCCAAAGTACTTTGAGCTGTACGGCCGCAAGGAGCCGCGCACCGTGACGCACACGCCCAACGGGTTCGCGCACGGCAAGCCCGACCTGGCTATCTACGACCTCATGCAAAGCGACCCCGTCCGGCTGGCGCGCTGGATCCCCGCCATGGCGGCCGTCGAGGAGCACATGCCCATCGCCGGCATCTACGACTTCTCGTGGCTCGTGTCGTGGGCGCAGGCCGAGGCGGCGCGGCACAAGCAGCACGGCGCCGGCACCCTCGCGCCCGACCGCCCCCTGCTCGTCGACGTCGGCGGCGGCAGGGGCCAGGCCATCAAGGCCATCACCAAGGAGTTCCCCGGCATCCCCGTGCACCGCTGCGTCTTGCAGGAGCGCCCCGAGGTCATCGACGCGGTCCTGGCGGCGGACGAGCCCGAGCTGGGGCTTGTTACCAAGATGCCCATCAACTTCCACGAGGGGCAGCCACTGAAGGGTGAGTTTCGCGGCCCAGCAGACGGCCTAATTAATCAGCACAGCCCTACTGACACCACCATGTGCTAGGCGCGCTGGTGTACTGGATCCGGCGCTGCCTGCACAACTACCCCGACGACACGGCGATCAACGTGCTGCGGCACATCGCCGACGCGGCGGCGCCCGACAGCCGGGTCCTCATCTTCGAGGACGTGCTCGACAGCCCGCCGCACTATATGGCGGCCATCATGGACTTTATGATGATGGGCATGGGCGGCAAGCAGCGCACGCGCGCGCGCTGGGACGAGATGCTCGCCGAGGTCGGCCTCAAGATCACGGATGTCCAGCGCGGCAACGGGCCCTGGAAGACGCAGTGCGTTATGGATTGCGTCAAGGTCTAGGTTCGGGATAGGCGTGTTATGCTTCTGCTAATCACAGCGCGGCGGTTGGAAGTCGAGCTTTGCGTGTCGGAGAGGGGCATTTGGATACGATTGCTGTCTTGGAAGCTGCGTGGCTGGCTTTATCTCGCGAGCTAGAATTACTTCAACATGAACTTGGCTGTGCGGAATCTGGCATGTCGAATGTTCGATACATCATGCTGTGCACTTGCATACGGTGATGCTTCAAAGCTCGGGGATGCTCCGATTGTGGTGCTTAGCCGTGTGGACTCGTAAAGTGGAAATATGATGCTGACTCCAGCCTGCCTACGAACCGACCTACGAACCGACCTACGAACCGAACCGAAAAGAATATCAGATGTCATGATTCATGCGAAGAGAAAAAAAAAGAAAAGAAAAGAACACCCCGAACGCCCCCCGCCCAGCCCAACCCCTTAAATCCACGTCCACACAACTGCCGCCTCAGCTGCTCGCAATCCTCGCAATCAAGAACTTGGGCGCCTCGTCCTTGGCCTCGTCGGCGTACATAAGATGCTGCGGGGTGACGAGCAGCGTGCCCTTGCAGACGAGGTCGCCGGCGTCGCAGTACACAGCGAGGCGGCTCGCGGGGTAGTTGGGGATCTTGCCGCCGTTCTGCTGGTTCTTGGTGTAGCCGAAGAGCACGACGCCCTTGACCTGCTCGCGGATGGCGGCGCTGCTGCCGCCGATGGCCGCGGCGGCGAGGGCGGCACCCTGGCTGGAGGAGGGCAATGGGCTGTCAATCTTTACTTCATGGGATTTTCTGGGAAGCTTGCGCTGCGACGGACGTACCTGTAGCCGCCGGACACGATCTTGGCCTCGGGGCACTTAGTGTTGGCGAGGGTCAAGAGGTTCTTCATCTCCGTGATGGCCGCCTTGGTAGTGCCGTCTGGGAGGAGGTTGTCAAGGAGGCCGGCTGTGTATGCGCCGCCGACGCCCTGGACCCAGACATTGCTGGCGCCGTAGGCCGACTCCAGCGCGTCCGCGAGAGATGGACCCAGTGATCCCTAGCAGACCGTGCCATCAGCTGCGCGGCCTTGGCTGTTGTTGCCAGTGGGACTGCGGGTAGACTTACTAGGTTCCCGCCCTCGGTCGATCCACGAGCGTAGATGAAGATTATTGGCGGGCAGGTGCCGCCGGCTTGAAGCTCGTTTCTCGTCTCGCTGCTCGCCCGAGACTCGAGAGACTGCGTGTGCTCCTCGACAAGCTGCCATGATCTGATCTCCTCGATGCGGCTGGGCAATGCAGCGGCGAGTCCAACAACTAAATGCAGGGCAGTGAACAGCTTCATGTCGACAGTGAGGCGGCAGACGGGGGGCTGGGGTTGGTCTAAGTGGGAGGGGATAATATGTCTTTCTACTCAACACTGACTTGTTACTGAAAAGAAGTCACGGAGGCCATCCTTGGTCTTTATGCCTCACTGGCATCCCTATTCTTCACCCTTTCCGGTTCTGCCAGCTAACTCTATTCCCCTCTTTCCGCTTCACAGGTTCACAGTAGCATCACAGTCCCAGCATGTCAAGATCATCTGACAAGCAAAATATCGCCAAGTTTCATCGTCCATTGTGCTCAACGGGCACGTTGGCGTCCCCCGCATTGGCACGGTGATCTGTCCTGGAAGCGAGGCATGGCGGTTACCCGGCGTGCAGTCTCCGGGACGGCTCTCCGTTCCCCTCAGTCCCTAAAACAGCAGCAGGTCGTTTTTGGATCACGCGGGCGCGGACATGAACCCCAAACCGTGCCGGCGCTTCGAGAACTGCAACCCCAACGAGCGCACAAAGCACCTGAGAGTGCGGGGATGTTGGCTGGGCTCGGGGGTTTTAAGGCCATGTAATCCCGATAGTCCTGCCAGATGCAACGCTAAATTCCGATGAGCATGCAGATTGCACGCTCGCCTCGGTGATGCATGAAGACACTCGCTTCTCACTCGCGTTTTCGAGAAGTTGCTGTTGACTTTTTTGCATGTGAACAGACTGAGATAGATGACAAGGCCAGCTTTGCCAGGGCAATCTGCATTCATGCTACCGTAAGTCTTTGAACTGTCGCGTGCGTCCACAAAGGAAATGCAGAGGGCTCAACCGAAACGTGAGAACAACCCAATTGTGAATCTGAGCAAAAGGCACTTTACAAAAGAATCGACATCTACAATGCCCTGCACTTGATTTAAAGCACATGATCCCGTACCTCTCCTCGGTTTCGTCACGGTGACTACTATTTCTACTAGGCTAGGCAGTTGGAAGTCGAATCGGAGGCATCCGTCAAATAGCCCCAATGGCTGAGACAGAAGCCCACATGTTCCCAATGGTAAGGTGTGTCCTTGACACGGTCATCTGGGCCATAAGCCTTGGCCGCTTTCAGCCAATGTCAGATGAAGACCAACCAAGACTTGATGCGCTGAAACTGGCCGAGAAAGGGGAGTTGGGGTCAGCCCAGCCACAGTCGCCCAGCGGGGCCGCAGTCCCAGACAAATCTAGCCTTGGCAAGGACATCGACCGGGATAGCACCCTGGGCCAGATGAGGCTGTCGACAGTCTTTGGCAGGGAGAAGATCACAGAGGCCCTTGACCTCGCCAAGGACGCCATGTGGCACGAGCTCACGGAAAACAAAGCCTGGGACCAGATCTACCGCGCGAACATTCTCGAGTTCAACGAGGGACCGAGCAACATCCGCCTGGGGTACATGGAGCTCAACAGCTTGCTCGGAGAGGATGGCAAATACCTCGACCTCCGGTTGGCCGGGTTCAGGCGGCGCATCGTCCACGACGCTCTACAAGGCCTGGTCGTCGTCCGCAACGTCCTGTGCCACCCGCAAGCAGACAGACTGTCCTCCCCGAGCGTAATCGACGACTGTCTAGCCAGATGCCAGTGGGCGACTCACGTGCTGGGCCACCCAACTCTGGAATCCAGGATCCGCGAACTCAGAGATGAGGTCAGGGGCGCAGCTAAACGGGCCCTTCATGAGATCACGATTTTCAGTGCGTTTCTGAGACTCGACCCCGACTTAGGGTCGCTCACAGAGCTGAAGCCGCAGACCGAAGACTCGGACGAGTCATCGCCGACCGGGCCGTGGATTCGTCTGCCAGAGGAGCCAAGCTGGGGCATAAACCACAAGGTTCTCTTCGCGAATGTCATAGCAGAGGACGTGTACGGAGACGGCCAAAAACATCCCAGCAGGCCTGAAGCGGTCACCCGCGTTGCTGTCTTCTACCTCAACGCCTATCACCGAGGGGTCGCCCACGAGTTTCTCAACGAGGTTTTGGGAACAAAACTTGACTGGGAGGCTCGGGAGAAGGGGCTGAACGGCGGCCCGTGGAGCTGGGTAAAGAAGGCGATGGGTGCTATTTGACCATGACCATGACCCACCTGGGCAAGTTTAGACTTGAATTTTACAGGCTGCGATATCTTCGTAACGATATTTTGCTTCATTTATTTTGCATTGTTCTCTCGCCGTGCTATGCTACGTCTATATCTCGTCCCATATACCCACCTGCTCGCCACCACACCCATGCTTTGGAGAATTGGAGAAAAGCATCCAGAAGAACCCACCCGTCTAACCCAAACACGTAGGTACCGGCGCGAGCAATAAAGCCAAGCCATGCTAACCCGCACGAAACCCGCCAGAATGGACCCCTTGTGCCCCTGCGGCATAAGATCGCGCCGGACTCGACACCTCGATCCGTCCGGCGCACCGGTCTGGGCTCAGCCTAATCATCGCCTAGCTCAGACAACAGTACTCAGTACTAGTACTCCCCACTGCGACCTTCCTCAAATAACAGTGGCGCCGCCGTTGGCACTGACGGTGCTGCCCGTGACCCAGCGGGCGCCCTCGCTGGTGAGGAACGCCACGACCTGCGCCACGTCGTCGGGCGTGCCGGCGCGCGCGTCGGCGGCTACCCGCCGATGTTACCGGCCTTGATCTGCTCCTTCTGCTCGGCCGGCATGGCCGCGATGAGGTCCGCCTCGACGAAGCCGACCGAGACGGCTGTTGGCAGGGTGTTGGTTGATTGTGTTTTGTCTCGCGAGTTGGAAGACTGGGTGCGTGCTTACCATTGGACGTGATGCCGCGCGACTGGCCGAACTAGAGAGTGCATGTCAGTCTCTAGCCCCACACCGGGTCCGGGTCACAACAACACGTACCTCGACAGCCCAGTTCTGCGTCAGGCCCTCGACGGCGAGCTTGCTGGCGACGTACAGCGGCATGGGCGGGATGCCGGGGCCGATGTTGACGGTGCGCGTGGCCAAGCTGCTAATATTGATAATGCGGCCGCCGCGCGGGATGTGCGGCAGCACCGCCTGCACCAGCATGAGCGGCGCGCGCACGTTAGCGGCTAGTCCAACCCATTACCTGCAATCACGGCGCCAGGATGGAGAAATTATGGCGCCCGCACATACGGTCGCCCGACGACAGCTGGGCTGGCGTCACCGATTCGAACATGCGAAAGCTGCTCCAGAATCGCTTGGCCTCAAGACGCTACCGTAGGCTCTCACCCCACCCATGTTCTTCTTCCCTTCAACTTCTCGCCCTTGCTGACGGAGCAATGGGTCTGCCAGGTGCGAAGATAACCCTAACCCTTGTATCAGAGAGGGCAGGTACGCCTGATCAAGGTGGTCACAATGAAGACAACAGAAGGTGAGCAGAGACTGGTATTGGCGTAAGACTTCAACCTGGCCCTCGCAAAGGAGAGGTCGAGAGCCATTGTTTATATACATGCTGTTTATATACATGCTCAGAAGCTCAGTCCCGAATGTGCATGTGACACAAGGCGCCCAAAATGGGCTTAGTGGCTCATGCCAGCTGGCAGTGATCTAGCCCGTCGGTGCCAGACGTCAACGCGTGTAACGGAGCGCGCGTTGACAGGTGGTTGGCGAGGTGAGTGCCCTTTTCCTTACACCTTCCACATAAAAATCGTCGCCCCGATGATCAGTGGTTGGTCACCTAACTCGATCTCGCTCACTTGACTCCAATTCCATTACTGCCTTTTTGGCCGCCTTCGTGAATACCCACTCCCCGTCCTTGTGCTCAAGGCCTATTTTGGCCGTTTCCTCACTAGTCAATCCGTTCATACCATCCACCCATCCCCCCCACCCGATCACCCAGGCTAGGCGATCACTTTCTACACCAAAATGCTGAAACTTTGAACAACCGTAGCATAGTCAATTGTGAAGCTATTTACGAATAAAACATGGCAAAATGTAGCTAATTAATCGCTAATCCATATATTGTACCGGCACCCTGGTTGCACGCCCTAATCTGGTCATTCTTGCAGGTTGAATGTTGCCATCTGCAGCGTCATCCTCATCGTCTTCTTCATCCACCTCTTCTTCTTGCGGCTCTGCTTAAGCGGCATTTTGAGCCTCAACTTGATGCTCTGCGGGAGCCTCGCCACCAAGTAGTATAGTAGCCAAAGTCATGAACAGTTTATTCGGGTTTGGAATTTTCCTCCTTTTCTTTGGCTTCAAGCGTTCCAATTCGGCCTCTAGGGCTTCGATTCGTGCCTGCTTCAAAACTAACTCAGCTTGAAGCTCGCTAACTGCTCGGGCGGCCTTTATGAACTTCATTCTTGTGCCTAGACTAGCCCCCTTGCTCATATCCATTATCTGGCGGGCTGACACGGGGGTATTAGGGACTTCAGGGAGTGTTACGATCCCGGTTCAAAGGCGCAGAGGGCGTTGTCCCGCCCGCTGCAGGTTGGCTGGAGCGGCATTCAGGGCAGGGCTCTCGGCAGGAAGGATGCGGCCAATCAGGTAGTGCTCTGTGCAGTTAGTTGCCAAGACCTGGGAGAGCGCACGGAGCAGGGCGATTAGTGGGGCCCATGGCGATCTGTTGGCGATCGCCCCGGGGCCCACAGAGCGTAAAGAAGGGACTTTGATTGGTTACTCATAGTTCTATAGGAGCTGGCAGCACGCTCTCTGGGAGAACGGTTCTGCAGCTATCAATGCATCTGGTTAAGCATACATTTGTTGTGTGCTGAAAGCCTGTCTTTCGCAATCTGTGCACGATACTCCTTGTCTCCTGTCATCTCCTACCTGCCGTCCAGACCCCCACAATCCTAGGCCGGGCCTAGCTCCGTGGACCTGTTGTCCAGATTGTAACACTTCATCTCCCCTATATACCCCCTTTTTCTTAACCCCCGCCGGCATCCTCGCCTTACTCGCCTCGAAGACTCTAGCTAGGCAGTTACGCGGCGTAGTTAAGGACCTACTCTTTTCTTCTATAGATACTTTAACCCTAACCCTATCCAGGTGGTGTCATAGTAGAGGTTGAGGCGGCTGGCGTCGCCGCAGAGGTCAAGCGGGTTGCTGCTGCAAGACGTGCTGCACTGCGAGGCGGGGGCGGGGGCGGACGAAGGAGACATTGCGTTGCCCCAGAAACATTAGCCGGAAGAGGCTAATCAGTATCGTGATACCTAGGTAGGACGTTACCTAATAGGGGGCAGGCTTACACCCCGAACTCGACGCCGGCGTACCGAAAGCCTTGGAAAGCACGTCTCGGTGGTTGTATTGCTCGACATGAGCACACCAAAACCACATTTGCTGTTGTCAGGGAGAGACACGCCGCCGCAGCGTTTGGGGCAGTTGAGAATCTTGTTCAGGACGGTCTGGGCCGTGGCGCCGCTGAGACGCGGCGGTACAGACCCATCCGAACAAGCGTAGGCGATGGAGGCGAGTGTTCTGTGGTGTCAATGACTGAGCTAAGAGTGTCCTGGTCGGAGCGGTAGCAAGGAGAGAGAGAGCAAGGACGGTTAATGTGAAGCGATGCATTATGGCAGATAACTCGCTATCGAACCCGTCCAAGTGGACGAACGTGAGGCAGGATACCGAATGGACGGGCTCAAGAATCTATCCCTATATAGTTCTACTTCTAGGAATAATTACCGGGGTACCGACGAATCGGTGACGCCGAAAAGACAAGCGATTTAAACTATTCCAGCCACCGTTCCGACCACCGATACTTTGACAATGGGTATACGAATGCGACGGTATCCATGGGCATGAAGGTTCTCTCGGGTTAAAACCAACCATTTGTGTTAATTACAATCTCAACCGGTGAGTGATCACCGCAGCACCATCACGTCGAGATTTCTCAGTGCTGAGGAATTGCGTGATACGGCATACTATTAATTAATCTTAGCCGTTAATCATTCATAGAACCGGTAAGCTAGCGCCTCCTTGCGTGCAACCCGGGAAGAAAAGGAATGTAAAGATAAGGACACTCCGGTCATACACCTCCTCCCGTGTGATCGTACGAAGGCCTAGACTCGTCGGATATAATTACCATGATAGACCACGGGGTACGGAAACTCGACGAGCGGTGTCTTACTTGATTAAATCAGGTCCAAATGCTACCTTGAAGGAAGCGCGATGAAAAGAGCACAGATAGCAAACTGCACCACCAAGACGTTCTCCGGGCACCCAATCTTAATCTTGAACATCTTGAACTCCGACTGAAGCGGTGGGAGCTTCGCCTTCCACGAGAAAACGAGAAAACGAGAAAACAAGAAAACAAGAAAACAAGAAAACAAGAAAACAAGAAAACAAGAAAACAAGAAAACAAGAAAACAAGAAAACAAGAAAACAAGAAAACAAGAAAACAAGAAAACAAGAAAACAAGAAAACAAGAAAACAAGAAAACAACGAAACAAACACAAGACGAGCCGCAGGCGAGCCTCAAAGGTCGACAAAGGCCATATCGGGCAGTCAAATATATCGAAGGAAGGCACAGGCTCGAACGTGGGCCCGGGAGGCCTAGGTCATAGCAAAGATGGGTGGATTTCTTCCAAAAAGCTAGGTAGGAAAACGCGAAAAAGGACCCGCCTCCGTTAGATTATAGAGGGCAAGCCGGCCACCTTATATAAGGTGGTCGGCAGTTAGAGGATGAAAGAAAAAGGACACTAGATTACAATAGGTTTATGGGCATAACGACCCCCTTTTTCCTGGGCCACTTATCCCCGCGTCACCACCTCTTTCACCGCTTCTTGACATCCATGTTGTCTCACCTCTTCACTGTCTCCGCGCTCAACCATTGTTGTCTCGTCATATAAAGATCAAGATCCCTCAGTCCCAGGACCGCCACTTAGGTAATTATTTGTTTTGGACATCAGCCATTGCTTCCATGGCAGTGAAACTCAATCACGGCCGACCAACTGTGGCTGTCTGGTTTCTGTCTGGGACATGGTCGGCAGGCTTTAAAATGAAATGTGTCGAGACTTTGTATTCGCGACTACAGCAGATGCGGAGCCTCTTTGGGGCGGAGGATGTGTGTGCGGTTAGGCGGTGGTGGCGGTGCGCATGTCCCAGACCAGAACTGGGTTCAGGAACTCATCCTTGCAAATTCACCTCCATTTAACACCATCACTCAGGCTAGCTCAATCTAGCTCAGGCCAAGGCAGCAACTGCTCAGTTCCGAAGAAGAAAAGGGAAATTCGTGGTGTCAATTTTGTGGTGTACTTGCTGTTCCATTGTTGTTGGGAAAGTTCATTTGTCTTCTGCCGTCTCTCCGACAGAATCAAGACAAGGAAGTTTCATCAAGTTATTATTCAGGCAGGGGTGGAGCATTGCAACGGGAGGATTCACTGGAATCTCATTCACCTAACTGAGAAACCGGAGGTCCGCGACAGCCATTGGTTACCCGCTGATTCCAAATCCCAAACTAGACGCATTGCGAATAATGCCTTATCCCAGCATGGGTATATTGTCGAGGCTCAACCAAGCGGCCTGTGGGACATCACGGCCGGTAACAAATCATTCTGGGCGAATACGGCAGGTCGGTCAGCTCCGATTCACCTAAAGGCTGGTGGTAAGCATTGCGCCGCGTCTGTGACTCGGCAGGTCCGACCGTGGGGGCGCCGGTTCTATAGACTCGACCTCGTCGGATCCACGACCTTGACCTCGCCGGTGGAGGTCGGCCAATGATGGGGTCGTTTTGGGGCTCCGGGAGGGGGGGGGATTGGGAAACAGCGGGCCTGGTTGGTTTGTGCGTATTGCGCCGTGTATGAGGATACGAGTACGAGGGGAACCCCTGGTTCCATTTAGGTTGGTCTCAAACCGAATTACGGTGCTGTGCCGTCCGGGTGGCTGCGGCGTCGTGAGCGGGTGGGCCAAGGCGGGCGTTGACAGTGCTGACGGGCTGAGGTGGTTTTACTCCCCACTCCGTCGTGCTCCGGGCCCAGTGTCAGCGTCCCGTGGTAACGGACTCGGCTCCTGTAAGCTGGCCATCAAACAACTTCTCAACACAAAGAGACCGTGGCCCGAAAAGAGAAGGTAAGAAACTCACGACAGGAGTGGAAAATGTGAGAAAGCTATGGCAGGAAATTGTGTATATAAAGGACCATCTCACCGACGATCTTGGCCACCAGATCAACACCAAATCATCATCAGATCTCCACACCACTCCACCAGAGCTTCACCAGCAGCCTTACTCTATCAATCGTATCCTCTCAGCTTCAGTCTTGGAACTAGCTCTCCCACATAAATATTCCCCGTTGATAACCAACCATCACAATCACAATGGTCCGCTTCGCTATCACTCAGGTTGGTCTCTGGGCCACAATCTTTGGCGTCTTCGGCGGAGCCAATGCCCTGGGAATCAACTGCAGGGGTAACAGCCAGTGCAAAGGAAGCGCCCGCGAGCTCGTCGGTGTCATCAACACCATCGGCAGCGGATCGTTCAACAACGGCCAGCAGATTGCCTGTGTCGACGGGTCGCTGTGCGCTTTCTTCCAGGGCGTGCCCGGCGGCTCGGTCGACGCTGCCACGACCAAGAACCTCGCCCAAAAGATCATCGACCACGGCTGCAACAGCTGTGGCAGCGTGCCGCTCTCTGACAACAACCCTGCTACTGGCATTCTCACCTTCAACTTCGTCGGCAGCGTGTGCGCAAATGGCAACGTCGTTTGCCCCGATACTGCCAACCCTCCGCCCGCGGCTACTGCCAACGTTGGCAAGTGAGGTGGCCACTGTCAGGCAGGCAAGTTAGCCCGTGTCGGGTGTGAAGAAGAGATGGCGGACAAACACAGGGGGGGAGGGGGGGAGGGTGCTCAAACGACTTGGGACGTGACGGAAAGTCATTCGCTTTATAGCCGCCGTCGCTCGTTAATTACCTACACGATCTCTACATTTGGCTTGATTAGGGTCAGTTGTGGATTAATTTCGCTCTTTTCATTTCTATTACTTTATACAGCTTCATTGCGCCAGTTGATGTTCACCACTCTTTGACTGCCCGTTACTTGCTCATGTGACCATGTCGTGCCCCCAGAAGTGCTTCTTCCGCTGTTCCTTCAAGTCGTTGAAAACGAAACAAGTCCAGACTATCCGTACGTGCTGCAATTCTTCGTCTGGCGGCTTGGCAAGAAACACGGAGTATCGTATTCTCTCGAGTGTCGGAAATATGGGAGGGGACCAGAATTGGAGAGACCTGCACATGCTCCGAATAACAAGCCTGGAATACAGGACAGCCTGGGGCCATCCGGTAGAATTTGCCTCCCAAGTTGTAGCCCCTCAAAGAATGGCTTAAAGTCTAAGCTGAGCTTTGCTTCTTTCGTCTACCTGGTACTCAAGGAACGACTTCCACAGCTAGATCCATCACCAAAGGAAAATGGGTCATGTTTGTTCCAAAGAAAAGGTATAAGACGTTTGCACGAGCAGTTTGGAGTGGCAATTAATAACGAAAATGTGTACTGTGGCTCCTGGGAGAAACGAGGTCAAGACTCTTCCGAGCGTTCAGGTTAAGATCATTTCCAGCCACTACAAGTCATTGAGGGGCTTGATTTCCAAGATATCCCGGGTGCTACTGAACTAGGACTTGTGTCAATTGGTTAGGTCGCATTTTGTTTCAACAGACCAATGCGCGCCCTTATTGCAACGCCAACCCGGCGGGGACGGGATTGCATTATGCCAGTTGTATACACTGGATGAGTCTATCAAGTAATTTCCGTAGGATAACTCGACCTCATCAGCTGTCCACTGGGTTACAGCGAGTCAAGTTCGAAAGCATGGAAAAACTTGGCACAAGACCGGGAACTCCATCGAGTCCATCACAAGCTCTTGGATGAGTTGTTGGAACGCGGGACTTATCAGTCGTCTGCCTTGCCTTGCGGTAATTATATATTAGCATTCTTTCAGTATACCTTCGAGGAACGCACATCTCGCGTCTCATTTGCTACGCAAGTGAATATAGTCGCTCTTATGGAATTTCGCCATTCAGCTATGTGGGTACCAGTACAGCGTGCGGTTGGGGGGGGGGGGGGGGGGTAGCAAGCACCGAGGAAATTTTAGCCCAATACGTCTTAGCTGCGAGGTTATCGAAGCCAAGACAAGAGGGAAGACGGTTCTGGCCTGGCTTCCCCGTAGCGTGCCACGACCTTGTCATTCGAGGCTAAGGCGACAATGCAAACGTCTGTCCTTGAGCGTTCGAGCCGGGGATGGACTCGTTCTCTCTGCGCGACTTTCTGCCACAAGAACTCAAATAATTAATATTTGCAGAAATTTAGCTTAATAGACTGCAAGTCCTTTTTATTTGAGCTTTTTGTTCTCTTCCATTCGCCACAGCTACACCGTGGGGGACGCATCACGGTCAGTCTTGGCAGTTGTTTCTTGTTTCGATAGCGGCTCTAGCTCAGGGGTTCCATGCTCACTGACTTCCCCGCGTCCCGGCCCTGCCAAATTCCAGGTCGACGTAGTAGTCTCGTCTGCCAGCACTTCGCCTCCGCAGGACACGATGGGGGGTGGAAGAGACCACTCCTGTCGCATTGCATATCACGAGTTTCCTGCTCCGAACGGCGCAGGCAGGTACGCAGGGGGATGAGTGAGCCTGTGTCCGGCTCATCGGGAGGGGCAAAATCGCTTCGTGTTGGCGTCGATTGAGAACCGCATTTGAATGCCCGGGCTTGCGCGAGAAGTGCTGATTGGGCCTGGCCTGTGTTGGGGGCCCCACCTTAGCGCAACAATTGGAGCGTCCCTTCCCTGCGCGCCCCAGACTCTAGCCCTGAATGCAGTTGCCATGCTCCAGTCCAGCCAACAAGATCACTGTACTGTCCCTGTCCACTGTCCGTGCTAGCTCTCTCGGCTCTGTGTTGGAAGTTTGAGGGCCCGAGTGTTCAATGAAACAGGCATTGTGCAGAACATCCCGGCACTTCCAACCTTCCCTTCTTTTCCATTTTCTCCCAATGTTCAAAGCATCCCACCCCGCACTCAAGGGCGACGTCGCTTTCTGTCGGGATTTTTTGAGCTGCGCTGATGCAAGCCACACTTGTCTGGTACATTATCTGAATTGGTGCCGGTGTATGCTACAGGGAGTACGGATACAGTTTGGACCCACTTGTCAATCCCAAGCCGATCCAACTTTCTGTGCGAATACTTCAACTCGTCGCTCCCCGCTCGCCGCTCGCGGCCCCATTCCTGATCCCGCTCTCCACTTCCCGCTTTCGAGCTCGCGGTTTCGTTCACAAACGTCAAGCTCCATTCAGTTCGGTCCCTTCTCCCAGCACGCGAATGCCACCGCGACCCTACTCTCCCTGACGGCACGGCTGTGGGCGCCCTCTCTTCTGGTCGACCGTCAAGATGAGTGGACAGACGCTGATCAGCCTCGTCGGCTCGTACGACAACCTCCACGAGCTGACGCCGAGCTGGAACCAGAAAGTTACCATCCTGTCAGTTGTCATCGCCTTCATGGCACTGTCGTGGCTCTGCGCCCTCCCTAGACTCTACGTGCGTCTCTTCGTGACACATTCCCCTGGGTGGGATGACCTGTTCTTGACGCTGTACTTGGTGAGTTGGGCTTGAGATCCATCAGACGACGGCCGTGGGTTGCTCACCTCTTTTCCGCAGCTATCAACAACACTCGGGTCCATCTTGCTATGTCTTTGTACGTTCATGTCAATTGCGTCCATCTGGCCCTCCACTTCCCATGCAAGGTGAAGCTATTAACACCCGTCTGCCTGAACAGTAACCGACTGGGGCCTGGGAAAGCACTGGCTCACTCTTTCCATCCCGACAATGAAAGGATATCTTCTCAGGTTCTGGATCGCCAACGCCTCGTATTGCATGTCGACGACCTTGATCAAAATCTCACTGCTGTTCCAATATCTCCGAGTCTTTGACAAGGGGCTGCTGCGCAATGTTTGCATCAGCAGTATCGTGCTGGTATCGCTCTGGGGGGCGGCATATTCTGTCATGGCCTGGACTCCATGCATTCCCATTCACGGTTTCTGGGACTTTTTTGATGCCGATGTCACCTGCTACGGCTACGGCGCCCGGACGGCGGACCAATTCACGGCAACTTACGAAAGCCACACTGCTTTCAACATGGTCTTCGACGCCCTCGTGTTCTGCATCCCCGTGCCACTATATTTCCAGGCAAATGCGTCATCCAGAACGAAGAAGGGTCTTTTGGTTGTGTTCGCTATGGGTTTATTGTAAGTTCCCCCGGAGGATTGCTCGGTGCCTCGGCCCCTAGACCGGAAGACGCCAGAGAGCAACTAACGTCACGCGAAACAGGGTCATATCTATTTCGGCGGTGCGCCTCAAAACCATCATTGACCACCGCTCTACGACGTACCCGACATTCGACCCCTCGTGGTACTCACCTATCAGCATGGTTTTGGCTGCCATGGAGGTTGACATCGCGAGCATATGTGCCTCTGTGCCCGTCTTTTGGCCGCTGCTACGCCTCTACTCTGCTAATATCTTTGTTACCGAGGAGGTTGAGATCAGGCACGAGACCAGGCCCGGCTACTCTGTCGAACTGGACTGCCGCGCCAAGGCGGCCAGCACGACGAGCAAGCCGAGTCTTGTGGAGGAAGAAGACAGCGGGCAACAGCGCCAACGCAGCCCACAGGGCAGTGAAATCTTCTTCTTTGAGGGGTCCAAGACTGCAGATGTCGAGCCGAAGACTAGCAACACTACAAAGCACTACGAGGACGAATACGTGAAAAAGCAGGTCAACCCCTTCATAACGAAAAAGGGGTCCGTTGACAGCTGGTCCATTGTCGAAGCGCAGGCGAGCAGCACTACCACTTCCAAAAAGAAGGGTCTGCAGACATTTTTCTTACCATAACCACCTTCCAGCAACTTTCATTAACATGATACCCCCTTGCTATTCATAAATCTCAATATTTTGGCGTGTGCAATATCAGTGTAAATTCGCCACTGTATAATTCTGCTCATCCAGGCATATCTATGCACTGTCAATCATTGCCCTTTTTGAGAACATGTTTCCAAGGGAGAGACAGAATCGTGACCAAGAAAGCCCCCAACACACCCCTAGATCTGGTTTGGCGCAGCGCTGATCGCTGTTCACATCCTGACCCTGGCTCGCCTGGGACAAGAACCCGGAAAGGATAACAGCGGGAGAGTGGGCGGGAGGTCGGCGATCGGCGATCCGTTGGTTGCACTGGAGCCGCCCGCTTCCCTGGTTCGCAGATCTCCCCATGTTTGGCCGACGCCCAGACCTCCCCCCTTGCTCCCGGGCCTTCGAGAATCCACCCAGTTCCCCCACATTCCGTGATGAAACCTCGAACGACCACCCACACCGGCGCACCTGTGACATGATTCCGACCTGTGATAGTGGGCCCTGTCGTTGGGCTACTTGGCGGTAATGACATTCAGCCCGCGCATCAACCTCTGGCCTTGGTTGCCATGTTGTGGGGGTTCGTTCTTCGGTGTCCAACTGAGAAGCTAGTTAGAGCCTAACAACCCCTCGAGTAAATCTAGGACCAATTGATGACCTTTGTCAACTCTTTCCCCCTTCCGTTCTGGCCTTGCTCATGGATGAGATAATTGACATGCGTAACTAATGTACCTAGTTAAGGTGCCCAACTGCGCCTCTGAGACGGTACCTTGGTTCGTTTCACCTCAACGTCGGGTCTGCACGCACGGCATAGCCCGCTTGAACTGGTTTCTGCAGGCTGAACCAGCGTTGAAGCCTGCATCTCAGAGACCAACCCCGGGATAGTTGTGTCCAGTACTAATTTGCCCATGGTGCTGTCCACGCTATGGTTTCCGGCTAAAGGTGCAGCACATAAAAAAATATTATCTTAATCTCATTCCGCTTATACATCCGTTTCGTGGAACTACAGGTGACTTTACCCGCCATTTAGATTCTGCCGACATCCACTGTTCTACAGATGTAGAAGAACTCACCGACCGAGTTGTCAGAACCCGACAGAGTAAAGCAATGTGTGCACAAACATGGACGACATACTTGGTTTCAAAACTGGCGGTCTCCAGGGAATAAACACTGAGAAGATGTCGGTGGTCTTGAACCACGGTACCGCATTTCTCACTCAAAGTGGATCAATCAACGGATGCAAGCTCCGAAGCAATCAATCTGTCCACGGAAGACGGGTCTAAATTAGGTCCCCGCACATCTCCAACGGCCATGGTCGTATTCCCGCTTATAAAGGCGTGGGCACACCGGCTGTGCCTGGGCCGAGTCTATAGGATGGGCTCGTAACTCAGCACATCTCTCACACAAGATGCGGCTCCCTTCACTTGCGCTCGCGGCGACGCTGTCACGCGTCGCCAGCGCGTCCTTGCAGGTCGTGCCAGGAGGGACATGGACCGCGGTACGTTAGAAACCACACATTTTTCCAGGTGGCCAACACTGTCTGACCGAGTCGCTCTCCAGTCCAACGGCGAAGCCCTGCAGGCGCACGGCGCGGGCCTGATACAGGTGAACGGCACCTACTACATGGTTGGCGAGGACAAGAGCGGTGGGAGCTCGTTCCAGAACGTCAACTGTTATTCTTCCACGGATCTTGTGCAGTGGACGCTCGTCGGGGCCGTCCTGTCGCGCACCGCCTCGGGCGACCTCGGGCCCAACCGCGTCGTCGAGAGGCCCAAGGTGATCTACAACGACAAGACGCAAAAGTATGTGCTCTGGATGCACATGGACAGCGGCAGCTACGGCGAGGCGCGCGTGGCCGTCGCGACGGGAGATTCCGTCTGCGGCAAGTATCAGTACATTCGAAGCTTCCAGCCGTAAGTGCACGGCTTCTCTGGTCCCATGTGCTTAAAGTCACGGTAAGAGGTTACCAAGATCTGACTCTGGCAAACACAGGCTAGGGAGGGAGAGTCGCGATATGGGCCTGTTCAAAGACGACGACGGCAAGGGCTACCTCCTGACTGAAGATGTTTGTACTACGCTGTTTTAATGCAGAAGCTGGACGGGTGCTGACTCTAGCAGCGAAAATACGGCCTCCGCATTGTTGCTCTCTCAGACGACTATCTCAGTCCCACCACGGACGTCTTCTCGTGGAAATTAGACGGAGGATCGAGAGTCGAGGCGCCGGCCATGCTCAAGTTGGGCAAGACGTACTACATGTTCGCCTCGATGATGACGGGCTGGGATGCAAACGAAAACCAGTACACGACGTCAACCTCGCTCACCTCGGGCTGGTCGGCGTGGAAGAAGTTTGCAGACAGCGGGTCAAAGGTCAGCTGCTCCTGCTCTTCGTCAACATGAAGCCAAAAAGAAAAACGCTTCGATGTCCGAAAGTCAAAAGCCTCGGAAACTGACACCCAAACGCAGACTTACAACTCGCAGACGACGTACATCCTCAAGACGAGCGAAAGCAGCGCCATCTACATGGGCGATAGGTGGCTCAAGGACAACCTGATGGCGAGTTCGTACGTGTGGCTGCCGCTCAGCATCAGCGGGACCAGCGTGAGCATGAAGAACTACGTGAGCTGGGTGCCGACAAGCAGCTTCGCGGCGTGGCAGGCGCCGCCGGCCGAGAACAGCTACGAGGCCGAGAAGGCCGTGTACGGCGGCAAGGCGCGCAACGTCAACTGCTCGGCGTGTTCCAACAAGCTCGCCGCCGGCTACATTGGCGGCCCGGACAAGGGCAGCGTCACTTTCAGCGACATCAAGAGCGATATTGATGGCATGACGACGATCCGCATCAAGTATCTCAACTCCGACAGCGGCTCGAGGTATGCGAATGCGCGCGTCAACGGCGATGCCGGGCGCAAACTGGCCTTCTTGCCAGCCAAGGGCGATCCGGCGAGCAGCACGCTCAATGTGAACCTGAAGAAGGGCGCGGACAATACTATTGTTATCGAGGGGGTTGGCACCTCTTGGGGGCCCGACGTGGACCGCCTGATGGTTCCGGTTCAGTGATTCATAGTCGTATTCGACTGGAAATCAATATAAGCACATTTGCACCCTTCATCGAGGCGTCAGGCGTTGTGGGTCTCGTTCAATGTGGAATTCGATATTGTCCCAAGGAAAACCGTTACCTTGTCAATAGGCATTACCACTGATCATCGCCATTGCAAATCACATGTGCCTGCAGCGAGGGCGGCCTTCGGCTGACCTCAAATGGGAAAATTCCAGAAGCCCATTTGCATTACCAACTGTCCTACCGCGCGGGTGGATCTCGAAAACTCGACCTGCGCCGTCTGAATGCTACCCTTCGGCTGGACGAGCCGTATCATCTCGAGTGAGATTTTAGCGTGAATCCACCTTTCTCTGCCGTTTGCCCCGAGACGATCCACTGCAATCTTCCTCAAACAAAGTCGCGAAATTGTCTGTTTGAATAGGTAGCTGCTCGGCTCGCCAACCGACGCTTGCTCTCAGCTATTGCTAAAGAATATGGCTATCATTAGTATTGGCTTCGAAAGATTGACAAAGACAAAATACCCGTTTACCAAGTAGTATACGGACACTCGAAGCAACGAACAGCTCAGGTTTGCCTACATACTTGTTAGGGGGTTGAAATTGACATATCTTCCGAGCAGTGTTGGATGTTAGCCGCCTTAGCCCGTCTTTGGGACGCATGCGATAGGGCCGCGCAATCACCTGTGTCACTCGCAAGCCGCGATTAAGTGCGAGCGGCTTCGAACACGGGGTGAACTCGCCAGGTTGTCTCGGTTTTCACCCAGTCAGATAAAATGTAAATCGAGTGACCCAGAGACAACTGCGACACTGATTAGCGACCAAGTGCATCCCTTTCACCATTCCCCTCTCACCGCAAGCGTTCGAATTATCCCTAGAAAATATAGATATACTCGACGGCATCAAATCCTCACCAGTAGACGTCCTGATCGCATTTCCGTCACCATGATCGTCCAAGAATAGCAAGGCCTCTGGGCTGGTCTTAATACCCATTTGCGTTTCTTTTAACGGTGTAGATTAGAATAAAAAACGCGCCCCATGTTCTCCACCACACCTACATTGCCTTGCCCCGTACCTGGATTGCGGCCTGTTCACCACCTTCGCCGGTAATGTCCTAGGCGGCGGCGGGTAGAGATTCTGCCCATTTGCCCTCCGGGGAGTGGTTCTGATACCACTCCCACTTTCCGCGAATGATATTGTGAAGGGGAAACAATGCCCAGTCGCAAAGAGGACAAATCGTTACATACGCGACGAGCCGAAGAATTTTAAGGGAGATTCCCCTTCTAGAATCTATAAGAAGTGCCATAATGGTAATTACGAGGCCATAGTATACGTACCACTTGGTGTAGCTACTATTCGCGATAATATTGACGTCGTCTACGATGGTATCAAAGATATCGCGGCACGGGCACCATTGTTGGGACCCGTATACGAAGGTGGTGAAAGCGATGTATTGTGCCAACTCCCTGTGTAAGCGATCGAATGAACTAAGGATACGCGAGCAGATTACGTGATCTACTGATTAGTGATTACGTGGTAGTTAAATGACTACTTACATGTTACATGCTAATGATTAGTGTTCCAATAATGCCTCCACAGCAAGAGGTCGTAGAATTGCTATCCCACCAAAGGAAAGCCGTGTCAGCAAAGGAAGCCCTGTCAGCCACGGGCCAGAGGAAAGTATCACAAGTCAAAACGGGTTATAAGAAAAGGTAGAAGAGATGGCCGCATCTCACCCCCGGCTAAAGAACACAGTCCTAATCACCACACGAGATAGAGCGAATGAGGTATACGCAAAAATACCAGCAACGACAAGAGACAGTTTCCATCGTCTAGCAACCTTCCCAACGAGGGAAGTAGCTCGAGCATGGCCAACTTCTTCTCTAGCATTCGAATTCTCAGCTTCTTCGTCTTCATTGTGAGCCTGAGAACCCAGGGTCATGTCGTAGTTGCCCTCAGAAACTCTGTTTGGTCGTCAGTAAATATAATCTTGCTAATGTAATTAGGTGAGCCGCGTTGGTTTTGAATGGTCAACTTACTCGGCGACGAACGACCGAATAGGTTCGAATCTGAGATTGTCCCTACGGGAAAGCTCGGATACAAATTGAACCATGGAAAGGAAGCTCGGCGTTCTAACGTTCTTGTCGATATATCCTTCTAGGTTAGATCTCCAGATTCGGGAAAAAATGTACATAGGCGAAGTTTTCGCTGCAAGGGTTGCCCCAATGAGGAGCTTATGACCTCGGGCACAGTCAAACAAAGTGCGTGCCAGCGGCCCAAACAAGGCATCAGCTTCTCCCTTGGCGGAGAAAAGCGTCTCCATGGAAAATCCCGCGGCGGCGAGAAACCTGGCGATGTGCAGCAGGCATTGGGTGCTGTGATGATAAATAGCGACATCAATTGCAGTAAGTCTCGAGAACCTAGTCCGTTTCTGCAGGCACTCCAACGACCGACTTGGGCCAAGGTGATTCAAAAGGCCCTCAAGAACCAGCCTGTGCTTGTCGTTTACACAAAGGAGGAAGAATACGCCAGGGTCAACGAGTCCAGGGTAGAGGCGCGACGGATCTTGGTCGACGAGAAGAAGGACAAGTGCCAAGTTGTCGTATTTGACCGCATCCCACAATACGCGGCCCGTCTCGGAATACTCCTGTTCCAATGAGCTAGTGATAAGCCAACTGGGAGAAACACGCCAGGACCAATGGAGGGACGATGGGGGAATATTCATAGCGAATAGCATGTCGAAGTATTGGCCAGCATCTTTTGGTTGGTTTTTGGCAAACCGGGCACCAAGAAAATGGAACGCCCCCTCGTCCACCAAGTTTATCCCGTACTGTGTCGACTTTTGTACGACCCTCCGGAAGGCAGGAGTGTCATTGCCCGCGGCCGCTGCCGCCAAGGCATCGAAAATTATTGTCCATGGTTGGGTCTTGGACATGACAAACCCCAGCGAATGGCCGACGCTGAGATTTTGCGCTGCGGCTTTGGAGTTGAAAGTAAACATGATGGCCTTGAGGGTCTCAGTGTCATATGGTGCCGCTTCCGCCGAGGTTGCCAAATCCTTGCAGGCCTCGATGACGGCCACCTGCAAATGAGGTTCGGGAATGGAAAACATTGGGGTGAGTAAGTGCGCGATGAAGTTGGGGTCATCGACGTCTATGAAGAATTCCATCCCTTGGCGCAACTGCCAGATGAGACGTTCGGTATATTTTGGTCCGTGAAGGACCATGTGCACGGTTTGGAAGAGCGAGAAGAATACTGTCCCAGTACTAAAGTAAAAACATCCACGGTCAGGATAATTACCACTGGTAATAGACTCCCTAAAAGCGACTCCCATTTTGGTCCTTATTTCTGGATCTTCGTCCACGATGGAAAGGAAGAACTCCCAGATAGAAGGCTGCATGCTGCCCCAGCATCTGATAGCAAAGGCTTCTAGTGGCGGTATGTCGACTGTTTGAGGGATATGCGAGACTTCACTCAAACTCACGCCGGGATAGATAGTTATGGTTGCAAGAAAGCTATCTTGCCCGTGGTAGAGTTGTTTCCAGAGCGATCTGGTGGCAGCTACGCTGCCGACTTTAAGGGAGAAGTCGAGCGGTGAACCAAAAAAGTTGCAAAGATACCCAGCTGTTTGGTATGTTTCACAACGCATGTCCTCTGGGGTAACACCGTCTGCCAGAATAGAGCAAATCTCGTCGACATCATTGTCTGGAAACGCGAATAAGTAGTGAAGGGGGATTTGCCCGCTACCGGACTTGAATCGGCTCATGCAAGAACGTTCTCTGTGGGCGCCGGTTAGAATGCGAACGGCGTCGGTATTCCCAAAGTATGAGGCCAACATCAGTGGTGAGACGAGGTTCTCCTCCCCGAGAGATTCGATATGGAAGTTGAGCGAGACGCCGAACTCGTCGAGGAGTTCGCAAATAAGTTCTAGGTGGTCGGTAGATTGCTCCTTGCCGAATATGATGGCAGCCGAGATGAGCAGATCGTAGTCAGTAACCGCTCTAGGGGGGCTGTACAGATTTTTGAGGGACTCGATCATTGCTCCTAGAACCTTTTCTATTCGCTCGTCGTAGATTGCACCATAGCCAAGAATATCCCACGATACATCATCAGAACGTTCGAGTTCAGTTGTTTCGCATAATCGATCATAGACCAGTGTCGCCCAGTAGAGACGTACACAAAAACAAACCTGGTGAGCCAGATAATTATCTGGATATTGTTTGTCCAGTGTTTCCAGAGCGCCGAAAAGCTCTGGGTTGATGTCCGCGATTGCCGTAGGTGATACGCGGGGATCTCGACGCGAGCTCGCTTGGTCTTCCTCAAGAGATATTGAATACAGTGCTTCGTGGAATCGTCGATATATAGTCTGAGCAGGGGTGCTGTCTCTACGCGCCGCTTCCAAGAGATCCTCGCAGCATTGGTCAAAGTCGATCACGCCACACCCAAAAACATGGGATAGCGCAGAGACAAGATAGTACTCGCTCGTGTCCTGGGACATGTCCTCGGTCCACAAACGCAATATGTCTTGAACCGGTTTTAGATCGTTGCGTCCAAGTCGAAAGCATCTCAAGACCCCGAGAAGATCGAAAGCTACGAGAGGATGCGTCTGCAGGTGGGTCAGCATTTGGTTGCCTGGTGTAACTATTGGAGGGGCGACAAATAATTAGCACCTACCTTGAAAAGCGAGGGCATGTCGATATTTCCTCCGCTGTTGATCATCATCTTACTGCCCTGGTCTAGGAATGCTAACGTCTTTGATGTAAATACTCCTTCCAATGAAGGAGCCGTGGTGAAACTTTCCTGGCTATCCTGGCCGAGAAGCGCAAGAATGTCGGGAAGATTGTCGCATCTTGACGAGGAATCAGACAAGCACGCTTCAAGTGCCCTCAAAACTGTCTCGTTCCACTCTTCTTCACCAATGTAGCCGCGGAGAAAAGACAGCGATGCTACTGAGTCGGCTGTGACCTTTCTCTCACCGAATGGAAGACCGGTGATACGGCACGAAGAAATAGTCTCAATCAGAACCACCCCAAAAGAGAAAATATCAAGCTTTCTCAGCTCCGGGTCGCGTAGGTTTAGTAGGTCGGAGGAGGACATGGCGTAAAGCTCTGGTGCCTTATATCCATCCGTCTCCCCAGAGTCTCGGCCGAAGAGGATGCGGTTGTCTGGGGTAGACGCGTTTCTGATAATTGACGAACCGAAATCGGATATCTTGGCATGGTAGCTCTCGTTATGGTTGCCGGTGCTGAACACAAGAATATTGTCTGGCTTCAAATCGGTGTGAAAAATTGCATTCTGGTGAAGTACGTGTAGACCGCTGGCAACATCAATGAGAAGCGATTTCCTCAGCGCATAACCATGATCATGGTACCCAGAAGCGGCATGAGCTGGGAGATCATCAGTTGCATTGGCCTTGCTAATGCCGAGAAACTTTGTGAGAGTTCCGCCCGTGGCAAGTTCGACGACCAGAAACGGCGTTGAGTGGAAGGCAGAATCTGGCCAAGATCCAACGTCAAGTAGCTCCAAGATGAAGGGGGAATCCTTCATCGTCTCCATGACCTGAATCTCGCGCAGCATTGTCCGCAAAGCCCTCGGGTCGGCCGCATAGCCAGCTACTGGGTTGGCTGGAGAGAAAGTTGGCTTCAGACGCTTTATGGCGACGACGCGCGGTTTGTCGTCATGCTTGATCGTTTTCTTTTGCACATCAAAGAAGCCACCGACGCCAAGCTCACCCTCAAAAGCCTGATCCATGAAGTAAGGATGTAGATTGCCAAGTACCGGGATGGACTCTAGATGTGAGACCAATAGTGGAACATAGTCGGAATTGGAACGATCCGATTTCGCTGGCTCGACGGCTGGGCCATCACGAAACCACGCTTGTTCTGGGCCGCCGACTGGGGTTGCCTGGAAATTATCAATTAGGCTCGTTGTTCTTTCCGTTGGTTAGGTGAATTATTTAACCAGCACCTGGTAAATAACTTGCTGGGCACTTACACTGCTCGAGTCCATGTTCAGAACCAACCAAGTAGACCTAGATTTGGGGCTAGCTAGTCTGATGCGGGCGGGCTGTTTGATGAGAATCTCAAAATATTATAGGCGTGCGTGGGCTGAAAATAAGGTCCACGACTCCGCAGTTTTATCGTCCCGTCTTATACTCGCACAAAAAACGCCTCAATTTTGGGATGGTCCAATCAATAGCGGAAAGAACCACCCCCAACACACCCCCACCCACCTACCTTCCATTTTACCTCCCTCTCCCCTGGGTCCTTCCCCTCCATCCATCTCTTCTGGGTCCTTCCCCTCCCTCCCTCTCCTTTTTCCTCTGGAGGCCTAACACAGGCAATACATCCACGTACCTACAAGCGCCACGTACCATCAAATTCGAGCGAAGGAGAATGAGAAAGACACATTTGATGACATCCCCCGGTTTGCTGTGATCAGATCTGATAAATAAAGGCTGAGAATCCCCCTTTGATACCCGCCGTCTAAGTAATTACCTCTTGGATTCCTCAGGTCATTCCGGCTGGCATGGGCGTTGCTTCCCTGCGTCAGGAAGGAGGGTGGGCGCGAACCAAGGCACTCGGAAAATGACCAATGGCCTTGGGTAGAACTACAGAAGGCTGCCTGCGCCCACTTCGCCCTGCTTCGGCGTGCCTCCTCTCGCCCCGTAAAGCCCAATAATTCTACACAGCCACCAACAGGTGCAACCCGAAGGTGCCATGCGATAAGGCTCCAAAGAGTACCTGCCATAATTGCCGTATAGATTACCTAGACTATATGAAGTCTCTAATTCAGGGAACACACTAGGTAATTTAGTGAAGTCCGTCCCTAAGCTCACGCCCGCAAAATCTCTCACCATCTGCCGTCACTGCAATCTCCAAAACATGGTCTCTCCACTGTCGTTGACCGTTGATTTGAACGAGATTGTCAAAAAGGTGCTCGACAAAGTCAAAGATGCGCGGGATTTTGAACGAGACAGCTCCAATGTTGCAACCGATTTCCTTCGCGAACTGTCTCGCACCGACAGCTACGATAAACTCATCAAGCACCAATCTTTCATCGATGCAGCCAGCGACCTGCAGCGGGCGATCCTGGCGGATGCTGTCCAGGACGTCTACTGCGGCTGGCACGAGCTGTACACCTTCATTGACCAGCCGCACAGTCTGGCCTCGGCAGCGACGTGGACCGTCACTCTTGGGAATGGCGAGCCCAAGGGAGTCGGTTCTGCTCCGAGGCGTGAGGGGTCGTTTCGCGGCATATACTGGGCCTGGAAGGGCAAGTCCAGGACGAAGGGGCTCTTGGATCGTGTCCGTCTATCCAACGAGTACCTCCGGGTATCCGTCAATGAGGTGCTTCGGTACCGCGAGCTACTTGACCCCCAGTCAACAGCCTCCAACCTCGCAGCCATTTCCAACACCATCGGTAACACAGGGGCAGGTATGGCAGCTCACATCAACCGTCTCGCCATCCAGCACGGCACGACATCTTCCAACATGAACATCCTGCGAGACTCGGCCTTTGTAGAAACGCAGCAAGATGCCATATTCGGGCCAGCATCGAGTCTTCGTCGGGCCCTTGCTTCAGGGAGCACGCCGGTGCTGGTCGAATACCTCCCATCCGAGGATTTCTTTCCGCAGTCAGTTGACCGCGCTGTCCGGCTGGCAATGCTGCTAAACCAACCCCCGGCCGAGGGTTTCGGTGTCTTGCCCTGCATCGGTCTCTGCCAGAACAAGGATGCGCGGCGGTTCGAGTTCATGTTTGATCTGGCAAGCCCGCTGGCGGATATGCAGCAACACGCCGTCACTGGAACTAAAGCCCTGGTCGACGCCTTTCTCGGCGGATTCCACTCTCTGCGCTCGCAGCTGTCCAGGCTGGACAGAAACGCACAGCCAGGGATCCTGAGGCACTACAAATCCCACGAAGCGCGCTTCCACAAGCCCGTGTCCGTCGGCCAGCGTCTCGCACTGGCTGCAGGCCTCGCCAAGACCGTCCAGCACCTGCACCAGGCCGACTGGGTGCACGGGAACATCAACAGCAGCAACATCTACTTCTTCCACTCACTCCAGGAAAGCCAGCCAGGCAGCAGCAGCAGAGGGCTGCCGACAGTGCGGCCCAAAACCCCGTATCTGTTCGGCTTCCAGTTCACCCGTCTGACGGACGAGTATTCGGACCAATGGATGTGGATGCAGCTCCCGTCCATAGACAACTTGCACCGGCACCCCGACCGACAGATTCTGCAAAACAACAACGGCAACAACAGCAGCAACGACAGAAACAGAAACAGCCACCCAAAGAAACCCCACGCTCCGCACCACGACATCTACTCCCTCGGCGTCGTGCTGCTCGAGATCGGGCTCGGCCGGCCCGCCGACGAGCTAGTCAAGCTCGCGCCGCACATGGCCGGCGACGATATCCAGCGCGTGGCGAGCCAGATGACGGACGAGCTGAGCGCGACCAAGATGGCCAAACACGTGTTTACCGCACTGGCCGAGACCGCCCTTCCCGGCACCATGGGCGACGCGTACGCCAATATCGCGCGCATCTGTCTCGGCGGAGACGTCCAGAACCTCGATACTGGTAGCAGCGGCGATGGCGATGCTGCTGCTGGACAGGAAGATGTCAGCTTGGCGAACGCGTTCCGGTTGCGCGTCGTCGAGCCGCTGGATAGGATGCTCAGTGTATTGAGTTGAACCACGTTTGGAAACCCGTGGCGGGCCCCTGAGTAAAACAATAACTTCCAGCATAGGAGAGCCATACGTGCGTGCAATTCTAGATCCGATGTAGTCGCATGTATTCAAGGATCTATCGCCGTCGGTGACCGATATTATCTTGTTTTGACGGGAAACTGCGGCCCTGCACGTGTAGTTCCCTTTTTTTTTCTTTTCTTTTTTCTTTTTTTCTCCATTTTTTTTTGGGGGGGGGGGGGGTTACTTGGGCTTATGTTCCGAAGCACGCCGGATGTTAGCCCCCTTAGCCTGGCCTCGGGCCCTCCCCACGCTAGGGCCGCGCAATCGCCTCGGCTAGTTCCGAGCCGCATTCCAGTGCGAGCGGCTGCCAGCAGAGCGCCGTGGCGCCGAACGGTCTCGGCCCCAGCCAACGGCCAACAGATAAATGGACTGCGCGGAACACAACTGCGGCAGCCTGAAAAGCGAATTCACATAACACTCTCAGTCAAGTACCTTCTCTCGCTTCCTTCCCCTTTATAGCAATCATTCAAATTATCCGTCTCTCACCACACCCACCACACCACCAAACCAACGTAATGTCGTCATTCCTCGACAGCTTGTTCACCGCCGCCACAGCCGCCGTGGCAAACCTCGCACCATACCACCTGCTCTTCTTCTCGACACTGCTCGGCACCGAGCTGTACCAGAGCTTCGTCATGACCAAAGTGTGCTTCCAGGCGCTGCCGCGGTCGGCCTTCACGACGCTGCAGAAGCGCGTGTTTCCACTCTATTTCAGGGGTCAGTCGCTGCTGCTCGTCCTGGCGGCCGCCACAGTGCCGCCGCTTGGCCCGCTCTCGCTGGTGCAGCGCAAGGCCGACTGGATCCCCTTCGCCGTGGCCGGCGCGACCGCCGCCCTAAATCTCGTGCGCTACGGCCCCAGGGCCCGCCAGGCCATGATTGAGCGCGTGCACCATGGTTTGTTGATCTTATTCCACTTATAGCGCTGTGAAAGAGTGTGCGGCGTTGGTGTGCTGACAGCGAACTGTGCGGCGGTGGTATAGAGACACGCGACGGTAGCCGGCGCTCAGAGGGCGACACGGAGGTCAGGCTGGAGATGCAGAAGCTGAACAGGACGTTTTCAAAGAATCACGCAATGAGCATCCATCTCAACTTAATCTCGATTGGGGCCATGCTGTTCTACGGCGTGCGGCTGGCGTCTCGTCTAGATGTGGCCTCTAATGGCCCCTGATGGCCCACGGTAGCGGGCACGGGGTTGTTGTGGCATCTCGATGGCAGGTTATCTCATGTAAAACTATGGCCACGTAATTCACTCCTTTTCCCCTCTATTACGAACGGCTTCAAGTGCATCTCGTCCAGTGTCTGGCCCATTCGCCTGCTTGAATACAGGTCAGAGCGCAGGCTGGCACAACTTGGCGACCTCGATGCCCTCGGCAAAAATGCCAACCTTGCTGTCAATGGCAAAGCCCTCATCGTGTAACCTCCTGCACTCGGCATGCAGGCTCTTGACCGGCACCCAGAACGGTACGATGAACTCGTCGGCCTCAAGCTGTGGGGTAGGGTTCCGGTTTTCGGCCCTTCCGAGATCTACCCTGACGTTGATCACGACGGTGCGGGAGCTGGTTCACGGTTAGCCTAGACTAGAGCAAATGAGGCCTTTATTGGGAGATGTTCACACATACGACGAGGATGCAGGCGCTGTGACATTTGGGCATTTGTTAGCAGTTAGTCGAGACAATGAATGCAACGGGTTTGCCACTCACAGCCAAAGAAGACGGGCCTCGCGCCCGCCACATCAGGCACAATTTCGCCGACATAGCCCGTCTCCTCGCGGAGCTCGCGCGCGGCGCACTCGTCGGTGGTCTCGCCGGCGTCCATCAGGCCGGCGGGGAACTCGACCACGACGGCGCCAGCGGGCGGGCGGAACTGCTTCTCCAGCAGGACCTCAGGGCCGACGGCGGCGGACTCGATCCGGATCGCCACGATGGTCACGGCGTCGACGGGGCTGTCCTTGGGCCGTGTCGTGCGCTGCATCGCCTCCCACGTGCGCAGCTTGCCGTCGGGGCCTTCGTATTCGATCCTGCGGGTGTCGGTGGTTAAGATACAGGTCTTCGACAGGCGGGGAGGCTGCCGTGGACGCACTGGACGAGGTTTATCCACCGCGCATCTTTGTTTTCCTGTGCACATCCCGGTTAGGTTATGATCTGTTATTGTTGTTGAGCGGTGAAGATGACCGAGGTGAATGCATGAGCGCGATTTATTGAAGAATTCCGGCCTTGTTCAACAGATGCTTACAAGCGGTTTGACCGAGATCACTTTGGACCCCGTGGCCGAAGACATGACTGGGGGTTGAAGAGGAGGGATGGTTGTCCAATCAATGCGGTCAGGTCTTTGGAGCTGAAGCGGAAAGAGGAGGTAGGGAGTTGTTTCACCGCCAGCTGGGCCTTGGCAGTGAGGAGCCTGTTGGAGCTCTCGTCACGTGAAGTTGCACTATGCGGACCCAATAAGGATTATTTTGACATTGAACTAGAACCGGGTGGTCCTTCAGCTTTATTCCTCGGCCGTATGACAGCTGTCGGACTTTCACCCGAGGGGGATTAGATGGCATTGACGAGTTACATAATCCCATGATCAATATCAAACCCGCTGCAACAGCTCGGCCTGAGACTCCGAAAACATTACCGAAGCTGAAAGGAGACGATGATTTCTATTCATCCACCTTTGCGTTCCCATCATGCTCTGTCCCTTCGTCGTCGGGCAAACCGTCACCCAACGGAACCATGTGCTCCCACGACAGTCCCATCCCGCCAGCAGCAGTCAAGTTCCACCGCCGTAGTCGGTACGGCGAAGACGCGTCCTCCCTCTCCTCAAAGTCAAAAACGCGATAGTCGGCGTTGAAGAACCAGCAGCCAGTGACGCCCACTCGGAGAAACCCCGAGTGCGAGACGACAACAATAACCTTCTCTGGTCGGCTGTACAGGTCGCGCAGCGCAGCCTGGCCCCGCGCCACAATCCCCTGCCGAGTGTGCCTGTACGTTGCGCCCGCTGGGGATGTCTTGTCGGGAAACACCGGGTCGACATGCGAGAAGTCGACGAGCGGGAGCTCGGCAACGAGTTGCGGGATGGGCGATCCTGTATCGCACGGTTGCGCCGAGTTCTCTGAAGCAGACATGCGCTGTCAGCAACTCCCCCTGTGAGGTGGGAAGAGGACATGACATGGACCTCCGCTCAAGGGAGAACACTAACCTTGCCAGCTAGCATGCGCCTGTATCGGCATACCCTTCTCAATGAGGTCGTGAAACACCAGCATGGCCGTTTCAATGGTCCTCCTCATGGGGCTCACAACGATGAGGCCGACGTCGAGCTCGTTGGGGATCCTGGCCATGATGTTCTCCCTAAGATCCCCGCATTGCCGCCGCCCAAGCTCAGAAAGTTCAGGGTCTGGGATGCTGTAGTCTTGTGCTGCTGGTTAGTGTTAGGTTGGGCTGAAAGGGAAGGTGCAACTTATTGTCAACATTGTGAAGGGCTTCCGCGTGGCGGATGAGTACGAGAGTTGGCGGCATTGCAGAGGATTCCTGAGCAGTTGCCAAAATTCAAAATTGAAGCAGTAGAAATCAATGTGCCAAAAGAAGGGAATGTTTTGTCGACCAGAAAGATGAGTCACGGTCCTGATTTCGTCCTGATTTCAATTTCCCTTTGCCCTCCCTAGATGGAGCCGTCTGCCGATGATGACCCCGGGAGAAGCCCCACACCGTGCTGCTCGGACTCAGCACTGTGCAATCACAGTGTATACACGCCTAACGTCAGTATTTACTGTGTACGGGGCACAGTACGACGCTAGTGTGAGAGCTTGCAGGTGCGCCAAGCATCACTGGCACAGGCCCGGCCCTCCAAACATCTTCATCTTCAGGCGGCGAGCTTGACCGCGGTGACGCCGCAGAAAGAACAACCTTTGCGAACCTCGGAAAAAAGCCACAGTCGGCACCCACACACCCCAAACCGGCGCCATGTCCGGCATTGACGAGATATTCAAGGTACGCTGCCCTCTCTCCAAGCATTAGCGACACCTCCCCGCCAATTGCCCGGCGCAGCTCAGGTCAGTGACACTGACTACGGCACATGCCGCACCAATCTATAGCAATCCGGGCTCCCCAGCAAGCGGAAACTCGAGCGCGCCAGCGACCCCAGTAAGTTCCGGTTCCGCATCTACGAGAACAGCACAGCCACCAGCCCGCGGCCCCTGACTGACAGTGTTTTTGCGACCGGTCTAGCACAAGTCTTCAAGTCGGTGAAGCGATCCGCAAACGGCCACAGCCGGCACGCGCGCGTCGAGGAGGAACCACAACAAGACAGCGACGACGTCGAAGCCGGGCCAGCACCTCCCCCGCCTGACGATGGCGGCGAGGACGACGATGGCGGCGACTACGGCCCTGCAGCGCCGCCAGGCGACGAAGAAGAGAACGGCGACGACGACGAAGGGCGGTTCTTCGGCGGCGGCATCACGGCACAAGAGAGGGAAGTGCTCGACTACATAGACGACGCGGACAGCAAGCTGCCCTCCGCGCCCGAGAAGATGGACGCGGCGTGGCTCAGGAAGACAGCACTCGCGTTCGAAAAACGCATCTTGCGCAACGCGGAGCTGCGGGCGCGGCACGAGGATGAGCCGGTGCGGTTCATGGAGTCGGAGGCGGACCTGGACGGCGCGGTGCGCGCGCTGTCGATCCTCGGCGAGCACCCGGAGCTGTACCCCGAGTTCGCGCGGCTGGGCAGCGCCGCGAGCCTGGTCGGCCTGCTGGCGCACGACAACACGGACGTGGCCATCACCGTGGCCGAGATCGTCAGCGAGCTGACGGGCGACGACGTGGCGGCCGCCGAGGCGCAGTGGGACGCGCTGGTCGACGCGCTGCTGGAGGCGGATCTGCTAGGCCTGCTAGTCAGCAACTTTGCGCGGCTCAACGAGTCGCAGGACGCCGACCGCGAGGGCGTCTACCACGCGCTGGGGGTGCTGGAGAACCTGTGCTCGCGGCCCGACACGGCCGATAAGATCGGGCGCGACGAGGCGCTGCTGCGGTGGCTGCTGGGGCGCGCGCAAAAGGCCGAGCGGCCCGTGACGCAGAACAAGCAGTACGCGGCCGAGATCCTGGCCATCATGGTGCAGTCGTCAGCAACAAACCGGCAGCGGCTAGTGGACCTCGACGCCGTCGACGCGCTGCTGCAGCTGGTGGCGGCGTACCGCAAGCGCGACCCCGAGAAGGGCGGCGACGAGGAGGAGTACATGGAGAACCTGTTCGGGGCGCTGACGTGCCTTGCGGACGAGCCGGTGGGCAAGGAGAAGCTGGTCGACGCCGAGGGCGTAGAGCTCTGCCTGATCATGCTCAAGGAGGGTAAGAAGAGCAAGCCGGCGGCGCTGCGCCTGCTGGACCACGCGGCGATGGGGCTCAGCGGCACGGGGGTCTGCGTCAAGATTGTCGAGGCCGGCGGGCTCAAGCCGACGTTTACGCTGTTCATGAAGACCAAGGACGGCAAGACGACGGAGCACCTGCTGGGCATCTTTGCGTCGATGCTGCGGCTGCTGCCCGTGGACTCGGCCGAGCGCATCCGCCTGCTGGCCAAGTTCGTCGAGAAGGACTACGAAAAGATAGACAAGCTGCTCAAGCTGCGAAGGGGCTACGGGGGTCGCGTGGCTGCCGTGGACGCGCAGATCAAAGTGGACCAGCAAAGCATGGGCAGCGAGGAGAAGGCGGTGATGGAAGACGAGTGGTTCTCGCACCGGCTGGACGCGGGGCTCTTCTGTCTCCAGACTATCGACGTGATTCTTGCCTGGCTCATCGCTGAGGACTCGGGCGCCAGGAAGAAAATCGAAGCTCTGCTTGCCGACCGCGATGAGTCGGTGGCGGTCATCAGGACGACCATTCAAGAGCAGATCGACGGTATGGACGTTGATTCTGATGAAAGTTCGGACCTGCGCGAGATGTTGAGAACACTGGCCCAGTTCTTGCAGTAGTGCGTCTGTACAACTGGGGTGGATTCTAGGCCTGCGAGCCCATGCATGTAGGAATGTGTACAGTTTATAGTGTCAGACTAAAGATACCACCGAGCATTGACTAGGCTCGCTCCCACGACTATAGTCAATACAGGTCCAGCCCCAGTTCTCCCGGTTCCACAGCGCCGCGCGAAACTACCCTCCCCAGGTCACTGGCGCTTGATCTGCCTGCCATTGTCGTGATGGACGGCAGAACAAGCCACATTTCCATCGAAATTGCCAGCCAATACGCGCTCAGTTCAAGCGAAGCAATGCCCGCTAACGGTCAACGAAGCGATCATTCCCCCAAATTCTCCCTACTTGTCGCCACCCTTGCGTCTGAGATAGTCGTGCCGTTCTTATGCTAGGCCAGCTTAGACCCCGAGCACGCCACGAAGCAGGTCCTCAACAATCTTATCCCGGCTCTTCTGGCCAGCCTCTCTGATCTTGGCGATCTGGGCCTCGGCGTCGCGGCCGGCTTCCTCCTCCGCCTCTTTGTTGCCCTGTGTGTGCTATTACAGCCGACAAACCCCCTGAATTAGCCGTGCTCCAATTTCCCGTGTCGCTTTTGCTACAATAGGACACACGAGAATAGTGCTGAGAAGGGACCCGACGTGGGACGGAGGAATATAGGGGGTAAACACACCTGGGCCTCAAACGCCTTGAATTCGGCCTCCTTGTTCTTGCGGTACTCGTCGATTTCCTCCTTTGCCTCGTCGCGGGATTCCTTCACCCTCTTTGTGCGGTCTGTGTTCCGTCTCGCTCGTTAGCTACCGGTTCAAGCAATCCCATTACCATGGAAATTTTTAGCGGGTATAGGGTGTGAGGTCGGTTACATTCTCGAGCTGTTTATTGCGCACACAAGATTAGCAAACGTGTCCGCTTTGGTGTAGGTCTCTCCCTCTTGCCCGAGGGCGGATGGGCCACGGCAATACGCACCCTTTTGGACAATTTTGGACGCCTCCCTCTCGGCCTAGACTCCCCAATACGCGGGGCCGCTGTTAGCCAACACGACCTTCTTCAACAAAGCGTACAGAACCTGGTGTTATCTGAAGACGCATGTATATCGCCCATCGATGTCACCGATGTCGGGGGAAGGGGGGCGGGGAGCTTCGCACATCGAGCAGGGTCTGGATTCCCGCGGAGTTCTGCGCCGACTGCAATTCATCACAAGTGTCAGCTGTTGTCTCCTTCAAAGTTCCACGCCAAAGCTTGGGCGATCGGCGGTCTCCCTGGAAGTGGTGAGAAGGCTGATGCGTGCATACCATCTTGGTGGGAGCTAGCAGCGAGCAGTGTGTATGCGCCCTTTGCCGTTGGTTGGTTGCAATGCGAGACAGGGATCCGGGGTACGGGCGACGGGAGCGCTGCAACCAAGCAAAAGACGAGAGAAGACCCGAAGTCAATCACGGTTTAGTAGCGGACAGCGACTACGAGCGTGGTAAGATGTGAGCTGCCTGTCGTCGTCGGATTGATGGACGGATGGATAGGTTGATGCTCGAGGGCGAAGAAGGCGGATCCAGCCGACGTCGAAAGCAAGCAAGCTGCTGCAGGGCCAATTGTGGTGGAGTGGGGGCCATCGCATTTGCCTGCCGCGGCGGGCGTGTTAGGAGGATCCCTGACCGGGGAAGCTACTGCTGGGCGGTTGGCGGTAATTCGCGGCAGAACACGCTACAGCTCCCGGCACGCCGAGCCGACGAGAGAATCTAGCGACGACGAGTTGCGAATGCGATCTTGCCTCTAATCGAACAATTCGCCCTTCCACCTGCACCATGTCTCGCGCCTCCAAACTCACCCTGTTGGGGACGTCGGCCTTTGCCGTGCTGACGGTCTTGTTTGTGCACCACCAGCAGAGCTCTGAGAAGACGGTAGGCAATGCGCGGCATCCCCCATTCCACTTCAATGCTGACGGTGTCCGTCCAGGCGATGCACCAGGGCGTGGTCCGCGACATGGAGCAGCAGCGGATCAAGCGGGAACGACAGCTCGACTTTGACATGCAGCGCGAGCTCGAAGCCGAGTACAAGAAGATCCAGACAGTGCACGAGACAGTGGCCGACGCCGCCGACGCGGAGAGCAGAACAGGAAGAGTTGTACCACCGTCAGCGCCGGTGGTGGCAGCTCCCGAGCCTTCTTCGGGGGCAAGGTAGCATCGTGTCTAGCCCTTAAGTTGCGCTGGGAAGCTTGGTGGAAAGGTTCACCATCTTCCAAACAAGACTTGAGGGCAATTGCCGCGCGTTTCCGCAACGCAAAACACCACAGCACCACGCACGAACTCACACACCACGAACTCACCACGAATTCACAACACTCAGAAATGGCGTTAGAGATTGGTTTCCAGGCAATCTTGAAAGGCATGCATACGGCCTGTTGGTGGTACAATTGGCCTGTGGAAACTGGCTCCAGTCCCGTTCCGGAGACGAATAGATAGGCAAAGACGCCAGGCCGCTCTTGTGGCCAGCCTAAATAGTTACTCAACTGTAATAACATCTGTAAAAAGAGCAGCAATAACGGCGTGTTTGTAGATAGCCTTTGACGCTTTCTTGTGGGATTATCCGTATAAACACTACTGTACAGCAGCCTCGCAACAGCCTCCTCTAGCACGTCCCCAAGGGGCATATAAATCGAAAGTGCAACTGCCTTAAACAATGGCTTCCCCCGCCGGGTAACACAAACTCCGTAACGACCAAATATGCAATTTTCCGCTTTTAGCGACCACCAGGTCGCTCTGTCCCATCTGCAAGACCAGCCACATATGCGTGCTAGCGAATCGAGATGCCGGACCGGCTCGTAAACATTCTAGTCGCAATGTTCATCGACATGAGCTCCTGGAAGAGCAGTTTAGCGGCATACGGCATGTGCACCTGCGCAATCTTGGTCTTGTTCTTGCACGGCCGACACTCGAACGTCTGCTTGGTCAGGTTCCTGCAAAGATGTTAGCAAACCAGTCAGGGAAAGATTAGATAGGGTGGGGGGATGACATACGCAATAGGCGTCATGAGCCCACAGATTTCGCAAACGTGGACTCGGAAGGCATCCGACACCTCAAAGAGACGCTCCTTCAGGAAAGATGCAGCGCCGTGGGCAATCATACAGTCACGTTCCATTTCTCCGAAACGAAGACCGCCGTCTCTTGCACGACCCTCCACCGGCTGCCGGGTCATGATTTGTACGGGACCGCGCGCTCGAGCGTGGATCTTGTCGTCAACCATGTGGCGCAACCGTTGGTAATAGGTAGGCCCAAAGAACACCTGGGCCCGGAGCTTCTTGCCAGTATGACCATGATACATGATCTCGAAGCCTCGTGACTGGTATCCCTGTTCTCGTAGCAGCTCAGATACCGAGTCGACTGTGACATCTGTGAATGGCGTCGCGTCACCCTCCAAGCCCTTGAGCGTAGCGACCTTGGACAGCAAGCACTCGATCAAATGGGCGATGGTCATACGCGACGGGATGGCGTGGGGGTTGATGATAATGTCCGGAGTGATACCCTCGGCAGTGAATGGCATGTCTTCCTGTCGGTATGTGACACCTATAGTACCCTTCTGACCGTGACGGGACGCGAACTTATCTCCGATCTGCGGAATCTTGGTAGTCCGAACCCTAACCTTCACATAGCGGAGGCCATCCTGGTTGGTCGTCAGGATAACTTGATCGATAATCCCGCTTTCCGTACTCCGTAGAGGCGTAGACGCATCGCGCTTGACATGCTGTGCTTGTCTCTGGCCCAGCTCAGCATTGTCGGCGCTGATCGGCGACGTCTTGCCAATGATGATGTCTTCGCCCGAGACACGAATACCAGGCGCGGTAATTCCATCCGCATCAAGCTTATCATAGGTACCATGCTTGAGCCGCAGAGTATCGCTCCTGTTAGGCTTCTCGAATTGCTCGACAATGTTGATTCCCACGCGCTTTTCACAATCCGTGTAGGAGCGGAAGAAGAGGCTCCTGAAAATACCACGGTCGATGCTGCTTTGGTTCATAATAACCGAATCTTCTTGGTTGTAGCCAGAGTAGCAAGCAATGGCGACAATGGCGTTCTGGCCAGCTGGAAGCTCTCGGAACTTGAGGAATTCCATAGACCGTGTTGTGGCCAGAGGTTTCTGCGGGTAGTAGAGAATGTTTGCCATCGTGTCCATGCGCCGGGAGTAGTTTGTAAGGAAGAAGCCCATGGCTTGCTTTCCCATGGCGGATTGGTATGTGTTTCTGGGAGATTGGTTGTGGTCGGGGAAGGGGATGATGCTTGCACAGATGCCGAGAAGCATGCTAGGGTGAATCTCGCAATGCGTGTACATGTGAGTTGTCGGATTGTACTGCGTCCTGATGCGCGCATTGCCGAGATGGTGCTGCTCCTTCGTCTTGGGCTTCCCCTTTATCTTGGTCCGGCGGAAGTATTCGAGATCTTCGGGTGTCATGCAGATCATGGCCGATTCTTCCTCTTCAGCATCGAGATACTCGATAGCACCTGACGCCCGAAGACCATTCCAGCCCCAATAGTCAGGGTGATACTTGCCCAGCTCCTTGTCTGCCTCAAGCTTCCCAATGTGTGCTTTGCTCAAGATGAGTTGGCCCTTTTCAACTCCAGTCTCCCCAACATCTTCCGTCTCCACAACAAAGAGCGGCCTCATGACGCGACCAGCGTCGGAAAAGATTTTGAACTCCCGGTCACGGATGTCACGGACGAGCGATACCTCATAGGAAATCACGTTCTTTCTCCGTAAACTCTGCACCATGTTCACCAAGTGCTTTGGGTCTTGATGAACACCGACCCAGGAGCCGTTGACGAACACTTTGGTGGCGTTCGGGTAGCGCAGAGGTTCGTACTCTTCCAGGATCTCCATGTTACGAGAGGTCATGAACTCGATGATCGGATCTGCAGCCGAGCCCACGCTGACATAACACATCAATGACAGATTCTTGACAAGCCCGCAAGCCTGTCCTTCTGGTGTCTCTGCCGGACAGACTAAGCCCCAATGTGTGTTGTGCAGCTGCCGTGGCTTGGCGAGTTTGCCGTCACGGCCGATAGGCGTATTGGTGCGCCTCAAATGTGACAAGGTCGAAGCAAAAGTGTATCTGTTCAAAACCTGCGAGACGCCGGCTGTGGAGCTCATGGCCTTCTTCTGATCGCCCCAATTTCCAGTCGCAAGAGAGTACTTCAGGGCGTTGGTGAGACTGGAAGACTTGATGCCCAAAGCGAGAGAGAAGTGCTTGTTCGTGTCGATGCAGCGCTTCATGTACCCCATCAGGTCCTGCGTCATGCGCCGGACCACGCCGCGGAAGAGCTTGGCAAGCAGCGGACCGGCCAAGTCCAGTCTCTTCTTGCCAAAATGATCTCGGTCGTCCGTATCACGTCGGCCCAGCACGCATTGGAGAAGCTTGTGCACCATGTAGCCGAGGAAGAACGCCTTTCTCGTCTCGCAACCCTCAGTCTGCGAGATGTGCGGTAGCATCTCTTTCTGGAGCAAGTCCTTGGCAGCCCTGATGCGGTTGTTGCGGTTCTGGCCAGTGTTTCCATTGCCACGCTTGCCAATATAATCCAGGGCAACCTCGCGATCCTGGATGCAAAACGCCTCCTCGATGCAAGGTCGCAACGCCTCCAGCATCTGGGTGTCCTTGCGGTCATAGCATATATGATTCAATATGTCCTCGTCCGAGACAACACCAAGCGCTCGGAAAACAATGGCGAGCGAAACCTCTTCCTTGACATAGGGCAGCGTCACACTGACTGTGCCAGCAATTCGGCCCTTCGAAGGCTCGCCCTTGGTGTGCATCTTCATCTGCAGGGACGAGATGAGTCGAGATCCCTTTTCAAGCGCACTGCGAATCTCTGCCTGGTAGGATACACTGCTTCCAGCAGGCTTCTTGAAGACCTGAACGATATTGGCTGCCGACCGCTCCTGAGCAATGAGCACCTTCTCGCTGCCGTTAATGATGAAATACCCGCCTTGGTCGTATGGGCACTCGTTGAGAACGAACAGCGATTCATCGTCCTCGTCAGCCAAATGACATACTTGGGAACGAACCATGATAGGAAGTTTCCCAAGGAATATGTGGCTGACGCTTCCAGGCTGCGAGTCATCGGGGTTCTTGACCGCCTCGTCATGGGGTCCGCTGTCTTCCTCCTCCCACCGAATCGTAGTCGGGTGTTCACCAGTCCGGGCCATGTACTCTTGTTGCTGGTCGTCGAGTTCGTTCAAAGGGACCGGCTCGTTGACTGCTACCCGGACACGCTTCCTTACTTGGACATACATAGGGGCCGAGTAGGTCAGGTTGCGGTCGCGGCATTCGTACGGCAGAAGACTGATGGTCTCGCCGGTCGCTTCTGTCAGTGTGGGTCTCGAGAGTGTGACGGCTTCGAACTTGATGTCGTATCTGCGCAAGGCAATGTCTCGGCCCTCGTCATCGCCAGGATTTGGATGGTCCAAGGTCAGATCCGCATACTCGTCGACGAGGGATTGCACCGTGGTCTCTGTGAACTCGTTGAACGAGTCGATCTGCTGGGAAACCAGTCCCTTGGCCTCGAAATATGAAGAGATGACCTCCCAACAGTCCTCGGGTGTGATGGCGGTCTCATCGAGGGCATCCGAGTCGTACTCTTCATCGTCCAGGCCAGCACCATCGTTCTCGTAATTCTCCGCGTTATCGTAAATGCTGCCGTAGGCGTTGTAGCCTTGGCCGGCGTCGTTTGGGTTGAAAGACATTGTGGTAGAGAAAGTGGGAGGTCAAAGGCCGATCGGAAGGATCGGGTGCGAGATCGGCAGGTCTCGGGCGGCAGGTGGGTTTGCGAGCTCCGTTGGGGGGCGCGACAATCAGAACACGGTAGTGGCTTGCGTATAAAAGAGAAGACGCAACGCCAGGAATGAGACGTTGGACAGGCGAGGGAAAGGAGGGCAAATCGAGAAGTGATCCGCGTAGGTTTTGGCGTCGTGCTTAGAAATCGCCACAAAAAGTGAGCGCGCGCATCGACTCGCCAGGCGCGGCGTCCTCAGCGCATCAAGAAACCGGATACGCAGTCTGATGCAGAAGCCAATATGATTCGATAGAGCAGCAAGGATCAAAATGGAACGGCGACGACTGCGTCTCGCGATAGAGCGCGTCGAAGGTCGAAGAAGGGGTGTGGTGCTATGTTGAGAAAGGTCTAGGGTAGTTTCCAGGCGCGGTAGCTTTCAATTCCGACAGTTCTTTTCTCGCCGCCCCCAAATCCCCAGGAGGCTGAAAGGCGTCTCCAAAAATCCCACCAGTCCGGAAAGGGCTTAGCCTCAGCACGGAAAAGGCGTCTCTGCCGCCCCACACCGCCCCCGACTGTGCTTCTTTGTTAGTTGGCCCGTGCCCCTTGCACTTGAAAGCCACAGCTTTTGGAAGTCGCAAGCAACTTTAGGAATGCACAGTCCATTTTGCTCCAAAGAGAGAACCCCACCACCACTATGGTCGTCAATAACCTACCTGCCTGTACCTAACGATTGACAGACACCTGGGTTCTCGACCTGATGATTATGTGCCGTCTGGCTGCGCACCTGAGCTGTAACCTGAAATCTTAATCGAGCTTTGGATGCCATCGTGATTCATCCGCCAAGGTTATGTGGCGCAAAGTATGATGTTTAATTTTTCACAGTTATATTTTTTCACAGTTATATTTTACCGTGTGTCGCGTTTTCGTAAGCAAAGTTTGCCATTTTTGTTAGATTACTTATATGTGCGAACGAGATTGTTAGAGTCTCCTTTCTCATTTGTTTGTCTTTACTCGTTTGTTACGCATTTGCCTTACTTTTAATTACCCGGCTATTCTTAGTTTTCGAAATGGTTCAATCCCTACGACATTCCCGCTCTCAGGGCCTTCCTTTACCGAGACATGTTATGGGTGGCTATCTCGCGTGTCCTCGTGACTCGAAAAGCGAAGACCAGTTCGCTACGATAATACAGTGCACTAGTCGAGGAAATCGCCCCGGCATTCCGAAGACATGGAACGTCAGAATGGAGACACCCACGTCGCCGCCCTCACTAGTCCTAATCTAGCGTCGATTGCGGCCCAGGTTCCGGGGAAGTGGACCACGCCCTTCCAACGGGCAGGCATGAGAACCTGGTCTCTCAACCGCGTCCCCCCTTTTCGCGGGATGCGACTCTTGTCACCTCCGCTGCCGTTTTAGGCCACGCAACCCGGTCTACTTCGTTTGTCGTCAGCGGGCAGTCGGCTTCATGTCCCCAGTCGGCCCTGTAGACGGCCCTGAACCGTTCTTTGCTAGATAATACGACCGCGGACAGGCCGCCAGGGCTATAAAAGGCTGCTCAGTCTGCTGCTGCTCAAATCTAGAATGATATGCATTCCTTCGACAGAGCATTGTCCCCATTTCTTAGTCGACAAGATACTTTGACTGCAGTCGAACAAACGCAAACATGCGTTTTGCTTCCCGCCTCCCTGCCGCCGCCCTGGCGGTGTCGCTCCCTCTTTACGTTTATGCAGCTTCGGGGTCTGGTCAGTCAACCAGGTATTGGGACTGCTGCAAGCCGTCCTGCTCGTGGCCAGGGAAGGCCTCAGTCAACCAGCCCGTCTTCGCCTGCGACGCGAACAACAACCACCTCTCCAGCTTTGACACGCCCTCTGGATGTGTCGGGGGATCTGCATTTACATGTGCAAACCAGTCGCCATGGGCGGTGAATGACAATCTGGCCTACGGCTTTGCTGCAACGGCACTCGGCGGAGGGTCAGAGGCATCTTGGTGCTGTGGCTGCTACGCGTAAGTTTTAGAGGCGCTGCGGAGTCGGCGGAAGAATCCCTCTCTGCTGTTCCGGTAGCTAACCTCTGAGCAAGTCTTACCTTTACCTCAGGTCCGGTCGCCGGCAAGACAATGGTCGTGCAGTCCACCAGCACTGGTGGAGATCTAGGGAACAATCACTTCGACATCGCCATGCCCGGCGGCGGTGTTGGGCTGTTCGACGGCTGCTCGCGACAGTTTGGCGGCCTCCCTGGAGCCCAGTACGGAGGCATTAGCTCGCAGAGCCAGTGTTCTTCCTTCCCGTCGGCTCTCCAGCCTGGGTGCAATTGGCGGTTCGACTGGTTCAAGAACAGCGATAATCCGAGCCTCACGTTCACCCAGGTTCAATGTCCCTCTGAGCTGGTCGCCAGGACTGGTTGTCGGCGATCCGACGACGGAAACTTTCCCGTCTTTTCGGCTCCCCCGGCATCTGGAAGCACCACATCTTCCGTCAAACCGGCCACATCGTCGGTCAAATCCACATCCACGACCAGCAAGGCACCCTCGGCCACTGGGTGCTCAGTAGCTCAGTGGGCGCAGTGCGGTGGTGTTGGATGGGCTGGATGCCCTTGCGTGCCTGGGACCACCTGCAAATTCATCAATGATTACTATTCGCAGTGCATTTAGGTATCGCAGGGGCTTGTCAAACACTGCCTTAGTTATGGTTCTTGTACATAGTTCGTTATTCAGTAGGTATATATAAGAGTAGGCTCTTCTAAGCGCTTTGCGCTCAATGTTCAGGAGTCGTTTCCTCTGTCAAGTCTAAACTCAAGCATGTTTGGCCATGCGCAGGTGATCTGCGTCGGAAGAATAATTGTTCCTTACAGCCCTTAATTCCCCTTCGTTAGAAACTTGTTAAGCTGGAAGTGAGATAAGCGGGGATGGAAAATAGATCGTTGTTACTGGGTACTATTTTCCTTTCTTTGTTCCAATTCTCTCCCTAACAGTAACCACTCTTAACCGAAATGCCACCTGTACTAGTCAGCTTGGTTGAGGGTTTTGGAACAGATAGAATATTCTCAGAATAGCTAAAACCAAACAATCGACAACAGCCACCTTGCTAATGACGGTACGTATACAAGCCCGCATAATAAAGGCATCGACTGCCGTGGCCTAATCTCTTTATGGTATAACTCTTTTGGCCTCTTAAAGTGTTATTATCCCAACGCAAAGGTTTCTCAAGGGACTATGCAGCAATCCTGAATCTGTACCTAGCATCCTTAACTGCTACCGACGTGCATTTCTCTCTTCCGCTACCTATTCTTTTCATTCAAGATGGTTTTTTACGTTGATCTTGATTATTACAACCTGAATGAATGTATCAAGAGCGGTTCATTTCTCGACCAATCGCGGCTCCCGTCCGTTGTTTAGTTCGTGAAGCTCGAAAAGGCACTAAAAATTGCCCAGTGTGCCTTCTACAGCGAGTTAAGGGACAACCCTCACCCAGCGTGGAAGGAGGCTTGGGTTGTGAGTGCTCTTTCACTTGGCGAAGGGCCCCATTGCATAAAGTTCGGTCTCAAGGACATGGACGGACATTATCTTGGAGGCCATAATAGGCATGCGGCTGCTCTCGGCCACTGCAAAGTAGATTTCGATAAGATCGCTACTTACGTAGTAGGCCTGAGGAATGCACTGGCACACCCTAGTGAGAATAATCTGACCTCCGTCCATGAACTCGACGGTGGTCTTCAACGCTGCCAGGCGCTCTGTCAAACACTAGGTAGGCAATATAAAGAAGCGGCGATCATGATACGAAAAATCCGGGATGAGGTGAGAGATGCGGCACAGGAGGCTCTTGATAACATTGCCTGGGCTGATGAAACAATCGCCAAAAACGATGTTCTAAGCGCATTGCGGTATCCAAGCCCGCCAGCCTCGGATCGCTCGTCTGAGCTAGAAAAGTCCCCAGAGGAAATATGGGGAAGAAATGACAAGGTTCTCTTTGCCAAAGTTCTGGCACAGGACATTTGTGAGGCCGGAACCAAACATCCCTATCGCCCCGACTCACTCACCCGCATGGCCAGGTTTTACATAAACGCGTACCATGGCGGAGTCGCTCATAGGTTTTTGACAGAAATTCTGGGTACGAAGATAGGCAATAATATATACGACTGGAGGTTAGGGAAACTAAGGGCACTGTTATTAGTCCGCTCAACTGGTCAACAAAACAGTTGGACACCCCCGATGTCAAAGCTGCTTGGTAAGGTGGTTGAAACCCCTTGGTATGCAGAAACTGAAGAGAGCGTCGACACAGGTAGCGTGCAATCCGATGTGAACCATGACAACATTCTCTGGGGCGGCGATACAGACAGTGATCTGTCTGATACTGACCCCGACGCCGCCTCGACGGAGGGTAGAAACACTTGTCGGGGTAAAACCACCAAAGAAACCAAACGACTGCTAGCAAGTCTGTGGCTGCTGCTTCGAGTTATGGGTTGAGCCGGTGAGAGTCTAGGGTACGAGTGCCGTTGAGACGAGCCAAATTGTCCTTACATAGACTGGTCGAGGTACCTTTATTCTGCACCATACCCCTTTGAAATGTAGTTAACTCACATATTCTTTCCTTCTTCATATGAACAGATGCACAGCTCAGCTATCACCTTATCTGCCAAAGCTGTACCTGCATGTACCTACCTAAGTTGGTATGTAAATAGGCGAAGCTATGGTCATCTAGTAGTTGTGGCAGGTAATCATCAAATGGCCGCCAATTTGGTCGGCGTCATTTCATTATTCTTCTTAATCCCATATATTATTAATCCAGCAGTTCATTGTCTCGATCCTCATGAATAAGCGCACCAGAGCAACCCGGGATTAATTGGTCCCCGTAATTAGGTACACGTCGATATTGCCACGACAGTTGTCGTGGTCGAATTCATGGAATATGTACAGACCACGAAACCTAAAAATTCACCACACGTGATAATGAATATCTTATTTCCATATAATTACTTACACTGTAAAATGTGAAGAAACGCTGCTCGTGAATGCCCGCTTGTTCAAAACATGACTGTCGTATTTTCATCATGAAACGTCCTCGTCTGTGAATTCTTCCCTCTCCTCCCATGGCACTGGTCTCAGATGCCTCCATACCTTCAAAATTATATTAATTATTCAGCAAATATTTCCCCGTCAGTACCGACTCCGACTCCGACTCCTCCGCTCTCTCCTCCGATCATCGCGATACACGGCGACGGGCTGGACCTCGCGGACCTCGCGGACCTCGCGGACCTCTCGCAGGTCCGAGGAGCGGCGCGGGCGCGAGTGCGAGTGTGAGTGCGAGTGCGAGTGGTGGTGCTGGTGCGAGTGGCGCGAGCGCGAGCGGTGGCGCGGCGACGGCGGCGGCATGGGTTGGTGCTCGCTCCGCACGCCATCGTACCAGGCGGCGCCGCGTGCCGGCGGGTCGGCGGGCGGCGCGCCCAGGTTGGTGCAGCTGCGGATGATCCAGATCAGCAGCAGCAGGCCGGCGACGGACCCGACGACGATGCCGGCGATGGCGCCGCCGCTGAGCGTCTGCGCCGACGTCGCGTTGGTGTTCGTGTTGCTCGACGTCGACGTCCCATCGCCTGGGCTGGCTACGATTGTTACCGTCGTGCCCGTCACTGTCGTCCCTGTCGCCGACTGCCGCCGGAACACGCCCTGCCTTGTGGTCTTGGTGGGTTCGAGGATGGCGGCGGCCGCGCGGGCCACAGCGTGCTCGACTTGTGATAGAGTGGGGACGTGGATCTCCCGTGGGAGGCGGAGAGTGGGAGCCATGATATGGCGGGATGCGTAGTGCGCTGTGGACTTTTGTTGTTTTATTTTAACGTCGGCGTTTTGGAACGATGGCGTCGGCGTCGGCGTCGGCGTCGGGCTGAGGTTGGTTGGCGCACATAGTTGCGTCAAAACTTTCGTGGTGTGGCTCGTGTTTTATTCGTCTCAGCCATTTGGGCCGTCAGTTACGGTGGTGACGTCGTTATACATGGTGGTGGGTAGGTCGTATAAACTCGGGACAGCTCCCCTCGTCAAGGTCCTCGAGATTCGAGGCCAGGATAGGTTGAACGGTTGGTGGAGTGGGGCGGGAAGCAACTTTTGAATAGACGCTAGCGTGAAGATCGCGTGCGAATCTGAATTTCAAGACATTCTCCTGCCTTCCTCCGTGGCCTTTTCGCTCCAGCCACACGAGCCAAGACATTGTCGCATCCAAGTTTTTGGCACCTCTAAAGCCTGGTTCTCTTCAAATTCCAACATTCGTGAGATTATAGTGCTGTGCGCGGCAAGACCTCGTTGCCGACAGATGACAGGGCCCTCAATGGGGCTAGAGCTCCGAACAGAAGTTTCGACGCACAATGATGTCATCGACCCCATCGCCCAATCACCCAAAGTCTTGAAATAGTTGGCGATGAAAGGCAATGGCTGGAATACTGGTCGGATTTTGACTATTGCTCGTCTGAATTTATTTGTCTATGTCGTCTGGAACCGGCCACCGGGCGCAGAAACGGCTTGAGGCTTGAAATCAAGCTCACATTTATACGTGTAAACCATGCTTATCTGCACAAAGGGCAATAACCCGCGGGTTATTGCAGCGATCGCCTGGATATTCGACTAATGATCGGGCTATTATACCACGGCACGGGCCGTTACCACTGAAATGCAAACAATATGCAGGAAACCAGGAAACCAGGAAACCAGGAAACCAGGAAACCAGGAAACCAGGAAACCAGGAAACCAGGAAACCAGGAAACCAGGAAACCAGGAAACCAGGAAACCAGGAAACCAGGAGACTAGGAAGCCAGGGGAATGATCTCACAAAGGACGGGACATCAGGGATGGGTGCCCAGCTGGCGGGTATTGAAAGGCTAAGGAGGAAACGAAAAACAAAAAACAAAAAAGAAAAACCAGAAAAATTACAAGAACATGCCCCCCATCTTCCACCCCCCTCCAATCTCTTTCCGTGAATGCAACATCCAGGTTCGGATGAGGCTCCCGTCTTCTGAAGAGTTTTCTACCCGGCGTGCGCCCCAAAGTCTCAGCTGCTACGGCACAAATTATCACCAGCCACTCTTACACCGGATTACGGGAACTCCGTTTCCGACCTTGGTGCAGTCCGAGGGGCAATCTTGGACAAATCTCACGATGCCATCAGGGTCGGTCTCGTAGATCGCGTCCACAAATTGGTTCTCGGGTCAAGGTTCAGAGTGGTCTGGTATTTCACAGTAATACCTATGAATCGAGTGTTCAAGTTAGACCCATACTACACCACAGCTGGGGAATGGGTAATTAGCATACAGGAGCTAGTCTCGGGGTTCAAAAGGAACCAGCCGCAGGCCCGGACAACGCCGACCGGGCAGTGGCCATTTTTGCGAGCCTCGAGGCCGGCATCCACGGCCCCACCGTTGGCGCCAGCAAAGAGAGCTGCAGCGGCAAAGGTGATTGCGGTGATTTGAACCATGTTGGGCGAGTTGGGCGTGTGAGATCTTGTGTTGCTTAGAGATTTAAATCTCGGGTAGGGTAAATGAGGCAAAAGTGAGCTGATATTGGTAGTGATGGTGGTAGTGACTTAGACGATATAGAAAACCGTTGAAAAGGGAGGCCGAGGGCCTTGTTGGGGGACCTAGGGTTTAGCTGTACTGCGCTATCCGTATACCTAATCTCTTGAATAACGGAGATTGATGTGGATTACATGCGTGGCTAAAACCTCAAACACAGCCAATGACACATGTCACTAGGAACTTTACCCTGTGGCTGCCTCATATTACTGGCCTGGCCCGCAGAGTCTTGGTAACGAGCCACAGTTCATTGCTGCAAGAGCCTCAGCGACTACAACGACCATCTCGTCACCCTGGCCTACTAAGCCTGCTGGAATAAACAATGATGCCGAGAATATGAGCAGCACTATAATGGGATGCTTCGCCGATTGTGGGTGGCCGGTAGGGTCAGCCGGGTCAGCAGGATCAGAGAACGACCACTCATGATCAATGCCGAGAGCTCAGCCATAGCTTACCTTCTAGAATCGATCTGTGGAGCAGGCCATCTTCCTTCCTCATGCATGCTGCTGAGTGACCTGGAAATATTTGTGGCCTTGTGTAGATTGTAGAGCTAAAGCGACTGTTTCCTGGGCGAGGCTGCTTACTTCACGTGTGGTTCCGCCGCGGAAAGACTTACGACGACAAAGAAGTTCAAAGCTTACAGGAATCACGTCGAAGTCATTTTGCGGGTGCCCAGGTTATCCAAGAGGGGGTAGAAAGTGGCTGGATTTTGAAGATCTCATTCCTAGATCCCACCTCTGCTGCCTGTCGAGATACGCACAACTAACCGACGTGGAAGATCGGTCCGTGATCCCTTCGCATCCCCGACGGTCCGTGCTAGAACTAAAGCTAACAGGAGTTATGCTCAGCCGTGGTAAGTAGCGTTGCTGACTAGATAATGCGAGCCCTATGACATCTTGTCATTCCTTTTTGTGGGGCACCTACCAGTGAAATCCATGGCGACTAGCTTTATCTTCCAAACTCACCCTCTCTAGTTCACTGTGAAAATTCTCCGTATTGATAATCAAGAAGTTCATGGCCAGAATTGTGTAACAATTGCGAATACAGCCACCGTCCGAGCCAGTGGTAAAAACCACTGATCGCCCAATCCTACCCACATTCTGGCAACTCAGGCAGGCTATCTCAATCACCTAGGACTAGCTGTTGGATTTTGACAACACAGATGTCAAGGTGGGTGGTTCAAAGAAGCCCAGTGCCTTCGTTACGGGGTCGGGGATGTCGACCTCGACGTCGATTTGGTAACGTGTATCGACTCGTGCGTTAGTGTTCGACTTCATGGCCGTGGCAGGATAAACGCTAAAATACATGGGTATGAGCATTTAGCATCACTTTGCTACTGAAAGAGTTGAGATAATTTATTTTATGGCAGACTAGATTGAGATGCTTGTTAAATAGGCGATTTGGGAGCTTGCGAATGGTGATTGCTTGCGCGAGGGACGTTCCTTCCTAGCACGTTGACAAAAGGTCTGCTTACCAAAGGGTCGGCCCCACTAGCGCCCCGCCCGCCTGAGTCACGGAAGCGGTGAAAACTCGTTCCTGCCACCTACGGCGGACGACTTGACATGGAAAGCTCCCAGTCCAGGCCTCTGCCGCTAGGAGTTAATTCACCCCCTTGCTTGAATCTCAGTTGTGCCGGGTGCCCCTCGTCCGACCTCTCACGTGTCCGATGGATTCCTCGCCCAAACTCGATATCCGGCCGTCGGTCAGCGACGCGCGCAGGCTCTTTGAGCAGACCAGCCAAGCCGCACTGCGCCCAACGCTCCTGCCCGTCTGCACGTCGCTCCCCTCGGACTTGCTAACCCCATCGGCCATCTACCTGAAGCTGTCTGCAGGGTATGTTACCCTACCCTGCGGACTCCGCAGTCTTGTCTTGGGCGATTGGCGATTGGCGATTGGATTGAAATAGAGGATGACCTAATTGCATCGATTGACTGCTTGACTGACAACGCTCTGCAGCGCCACCGCTGAATATTCATTCCTCCTCGAGAGTGCAACGGGAAGCACCGAGACGGTAGGGCGGTATAGCTTCATTGGAGCCAGTACGCCCAACCCGCTTCCGCGTTGTGACGGCGCCGTCGTTTCCAATACTGACCAACCATAGACCCGAGGAAGGTGCTGCAAACCGGGCCTGGATATGGCCATGTCGGCGACCCCCTTCAGGCCTTGCAAGCTGAGCTTGCCCAAGACCGGACTCTTAGCATCCCGTCCCTCAAGCTCCCCACACTAACTGGAGGTGCTGTCGGCTATGTCTCGTACGACTGCGTCAAGTACTTTGAGCCAAAAACAGCCAGGCCGCTCAAAGACAACTTGCATATCCCAGAGGCGCTTTTCATGTTATTCGACACTGTTGTGGCATATGACCACTTCTTCTTGACCCTCACTGTGGTTACGCACATGCGGCTTCCTAATGGCTCAACGGACGATTTTCAAGCACGGTACGATGAGGCGTGCGCGACAATCAGGTCGACTATCGATCTCATCCAACATCCGGACACGCCCCTACCCCCAACGAACCCCAGCATCCCAGTGTCCGAACAGCAATACTCATCCAATGTTGGCCGGCACGGCTACGAGTCCTTCGTGACCAACCTGAAGGAACACATCGTCAAGGGAGACATCATCCAAGCCGTGCCGTCCCAGCGCTTCTCTCGCAGCACGAGCCTCCACCCGTTCAATATCTACCGGACCCTGCGGACGCTGAACCCCTCGCCATATCTTTTCTTCCTCTCCTGCTCCGACTTCCACATCGTCGGCGCCTCGCCCGAATGCCTCATGAAGACAGACGGGTACGCGTCGCTGCCGATCGACTCGAGGTTCGGCTACAGCGAGGCCGAAGCCCGCTCGCGGCCGCGGATCGTGAACCACGCAATTGCAGGCACCATCCGCCGGGGTGCCAACCCGGCCGAGGACGACGTGCTCGCCGCCGAGCTGCAGAACTCGGCTAAAGACCGCGCCGAGCACGTCATGCTCGTGGACTTGGCGCGAAACGACGTCAACCGCGTCTGCCACCCGTCCACCGTCACCGTCGACCGGCTCATGCGCATTGACCGGTTCTCGCACGTGCAGCACTTGACCTCGGAGGTGTCTGGGCTCCTGCGGCCCGAGTGCACCCGCTGGGACGCCATGCGGTCCATCTTCCCGGCTGGCACTGTGTCGGGGGCGCCCAAGATCCGCGCCATGGAGCTGATCTATGACCTCGAGCAGGAGAAGCGCGGCATCTACGCGGGCGCGGCTGGCTGGTTTGCGTACGATGTTGTCCGGGTCGAGGCGCCGTCGGCAGACGGCGCGGTAGAGGTTGTCGTGGATGAAGGCCAGATGGACACGTGCATTGCAATCCGCACCATGCTGGTGAAGGAGGGCGTGGCGTATCTGCAGGCCGGCGGCGGCATTGTCTTTGACAGCGAGAAGACGGAGGAGTGGATGGAGACGATGAACAAGCTGGCGGCCAACCTGCGGTGCATCGAGCTGGCGGAGAAGTATCACGGAGACGGCCTAGGGTCGAAGTCGGTGCAGGACATTATTGAAGATGAGCGGAGGAAGGGCGATGAGCATTATCGTCTGCAAACCAACCCCGGGGCTTGAACGTGCGGCTCGAACCGTATGCACATCTTAGAACTGTGCGTATTTTGGGACCTTTGGGATACTACTTGTAAGACGCAATCAGTTCTTGGCTCTGGGTGACCTGACCCCTGACGTCGCTCATCAAATTTTGAAGTGTTATTTGAGTAGTAGGCAGTTCCGGCTTGTATCGAGACCGTACATTGACTTTGAGCAACCCATAATTATCACTGTCTCAGTCATCTGCCCCTGGACACCGACACTTTTCACTCTGCACAAACAATCTTGCGAGGCAGGTGAATATGCATGATGTACATTATTATTTATTTGCATCATTATTACTTAATTAACTACCTCAACTCGGGTATACCTCATGCCCCTACACGTAAATGCAGCGGAACGGCGCGCTAACCGTGGACAGGACGTCTCCGAGCTTCATGTCGGCGCCGAGCACGCCCAGCTCGATGGGAGTCTGCATCGTCACGTTGGCCGGAGGGGGGTCTGGTCAGGCATGTTAGCAGCCCGCATCTCAACAGAATCTCGAGGGAAATGGGGGCAATTATCACATACCATTGCCCGCTGTCTCGGTGCTCTATAGCTGCGAGGTCTGCCTGCTCGGGTCCTGGCCCTGCCAGATAGCCCAGACGCGGTCGATCTGGGCGTTATGCGCGCGCAGTTGGGCACATACGCGCCTTTGCTGCCGAGCGAGTACCCGGATCCGTCGAAGATGCTCGCCGTGTTAGGGTCCTTGTAGGACAGCGTCTAGTCCTAGTACGGCTGCCCGCCGGCGTACCCGCACTCGCCGCGCAGCGCCTGCTCGTTCATGTACACGTACGCCCGGTGGAAGCCCAGGAAGCGGCCTTTGCCGTGCACGAAGGGTGCGAAGGGTGTTTTTAGCAGGTGCAGCGCCACGAAGTCGTCGTACCGGCCGCGCGCGCCGGGCACCACAGAGACGTCGCTCTGCGCTGGCTTATTCGCGGGGCACGTCACGGCGTTGACGTAACTGGGGCGCTCTTTCTTGGGCATGGCGCCCCTGAGATGGGATTAGTGATGGCGTTTTGGGGAACGGGAAAGGGGATGCATGTGTACCATTCCTTGCGGCCATTCCTTGCGGCGGATCAGCTTCTCAGGCGTGCATTTCGACCTGGGGTTGTTCTTGATGGAGTTGAGGATGTTGGTCTAGTACTGCGCCTGCAGCTCGATGATGCGCCGAGCGGCAACAGCCTGAGGGTCTTGGGCTGGAGAGGCGCTGACTAGCGTAGCAAGTGGTAGAGTGCCGGCGAGAATGGCGTTGAACTTCAATTCGAAGGAGGGACAGAGTTGGATGCTGGAGTTGTGGAGCTGTCGATCTGGTACAGCTGATCGCCGCTTTATAGATTCAGTCCCGCCATGTAAATGTTCGACCCCTGGCGGCTGGCAATCTTGGGCCCGGGGGCCGCTCTAGAACTAGTCCAAGCGTCTTCCCGTCATCGTCAGCGAGGCGGTTCGCCTTGACGAGAAGCCTAGAAAATGTTCGGCTGGGTGTAGCGCAATAGTAGTCTGCGGTAGGTGTAGGGTCTCCGCGAGCCCCATAGGAGAGTGAAATTCGGGAGAGTGCTCGGGAACTGGGGGACTTAAGAACTCTGGGGATCCAAAGCAGCTTGCAGAGGGACGGTCCGCAACTGCAGTGCATCGTGAGGCGGGCAGTCCAAACAAACGGCAGCAGAGACTGGTGGATGACAGGGCAGAAAATAAAAACCAAGTCCTTAACCTCGGGCTCGGATAACCCGAGCTAGCATTAAGTGTGTAATCAGGGATACGGACGGGCAGGGATTGTAACTGCGGGACCTCGGTTGTTCTTTCGCCAGAAATTAGTAAAACGAACAATGTGCCCCAATTACATGCGCCCTAAAGGGCTCATTACTAGGTAGGTATGTCAAATATTCAGCCGCTGACGATGGTCCTTTTCGGGTCCTTGATATGGCAGTGCATGGAAGAGATAAACTGTTTGGCAGTCAATGAAAACAGGAATCGCGACCAGAACGTTGTTAACGGTGGGTCATAATTTCCTGGCTACATTTGGTCCAACAAAGTGTCGGCGACTGACCTGACATTGACCGACAATGGTATTATCATTTCCGAGTAGTGTGAGAATCACCCAGGCTAGGATCATCATTTTCACTACCGGTAGTAGACTGCACGTAGTATTCGCTGTACTGGTCCTCTACAATGTATGTAAACCGAGTTCTTGGTCAGCGCAATAGGCCCTAGCTTTGCAATATCTAGCGCCAGGCCTGGCGGGTGTCGAGTGAAGAAGGTGGCACAGCACCTCAAACAGAAACAATCAAGGAGAGCGTAGACAAACTAAACACTTGCAAATTCTTACGAAAGTGCGAATCCATTCTGAGGACAAAAATGTTCATGGCAATGGGAAATTCCGTTCATGGCCTTGCTCAAATCTTACAATAGCACTCACGCTACGACTTGCCAAGTGAGGATTAAAACCCGTCCATTCAATCCGATCTCGCTCGGCCGCCAGTCCTTTAACAATGGAGAAAGAAAAATAGCACGCACACATATTTTCAGCAGCTGAACAAACATCCCGCGCCTACCCTCTCGTGTTTCTATAGACGGATTCTGAGCACAAGTAATCCTTCTTCACCTTACACCCGAAACCGTTTTCTACCCCCGACTCCCGTCCTTTGCACTTGATCTCCACCATCTCCAAAATCAAGAAACGGAAGAGGCCTCAGAAAGTCGCCATTATGGCGACCAGAGAAAACTCGTCAGAAGCAGGGGAGGGAAATCCCCGGATCACTCCACCTTCCAGTCGTCGCCAATCCCGCATTGATCGGGGCAGAGTTATTAGATCCGTCGATAAGTTGACCACCGACTTGGTCATCCAGTGTGCCGACGTGTGGGCTGCCCTCGTTGCTTGCGACCTAAAGGGTCAATTGCAAAATGGAAATCCCTCGAGCCTGTGGGCACTCGTTTTCAAGGATGGGTGGAAGTCCGACGACGACCAAGTGGCCCGCGAGCGTCCTCCGAATATCGCAAATCGCACTTCTGGCGCCTCAATGACCCAGTGCGGCATCTTCGGCCAGGATCTCCCCGTGCCAGTAAGTGCTCCCTTTTCCACCTGCTACTTATATCGCACCTATTGTGAATGTTATTGCTGATACGCCACTAACCACTTCTAGCCCAAGGGGAAGGTTCCTCACAATCGTCTTAAAGGAGACCCGGCTTTTGTCAAGGTACATGGCGGAGGCTTGGCGGGGAAATTTAATTTCTTCATCTGCGACTCTCGGGGACGACTGGCCAACGAGGCCTTCGTCGAGTTTTTTGACGGCGAGAAATTGAGCATTTTGTCAGCATGGGGATCACGCGGTACGACCGCAAAGAAATCGCGCATGTAAAGCCATACAACACTGAGCTTGCGGTGTATATTGTTCGCCGCCGCCTGAATCATTGGACTCGGAATGGGTTTCCGTCAATTGTGCTTGGTGAGGATATCCTCATAGGGAAGTTTGTGCCCCTCGCTTTGACAAGAGGTGGCTTGGCTGTCTTCCGCCGCATTGCCGACAACCTCGACATGAAGATTGCGGAACAACGCATCGAGGCCGAGGAGCACATGTATGGTTAGGAAGACCCAACGGTATCATTATAAGATAATGAGCGGAAATGGGACAAGACACGAATGTTTCCAGAGCCAAGCTAGTAGCATCCATACCAATGTAAATGCGGATTTTGGCGCCAAGAACTGAACACCCACAACCCACGGCGAGATTTGAAGAGGTTCCAAGGAGTTTCTTAGGGGCTCCTAGGAAACTCGTCACGACGCCTGTGACACTCCAATCCTACTCCTCCAATCCCTTTCGCTGATCTCCAATCCCTTTCGCTGATCTCCAATGCTCTCCGGAGAGTGGTTCCGATACCACTCCTAGTTTCGGCGAACGATATTGTGAAGGGGAAACAAGGCCCAGTCGCAAAGAGGAAAATCATTACACACGCGACGAGCCGAAGAATTTTAAGGGAGATTTCCCTTCCGGAATCTGTGAGAAGTGCCACAATGGCAATTGCGAGGCCACAGTGTGCGTGGCACTCAGTGTGGCTATTGTTCGCAACAATCTTGACGTCGCTGCACGGGCATTCTTGGGCGACCATGGTGACGAAATGGGATCAGGACGTCTGCTGGTGAGCATTTAGTGCAGCTGTGAGTATCTGTGTGTTTTCTAGGGATGCTATAACTGTCGATTGTGCCTCCCAAAGAAGTGTACAAAAGAAAGGTCAAGGAGATGGAAAGGTCAAGGAGATGGGTGCACCTTCCCATCGTACAACCCCGGCCCTCTGTCCAAAGCCCCCGGCGTGGGTTTGGAAGGCACAATTAAGCTGCATCAAACACAAGGCAGGCGAAATGGTCGTCGCAGCTTCCAATCGGCCTCCGGGACAAAGCCGAGGTGTGGTTCGCCTGCGAGCAGGTAGCTCTTGCAGCCGTAGTCATTGCACCACTTCCTCTTCCGTCGCGCTCGTTCTACGAGTCGGGGTAAATAATGGAGAACCATCCCTTCCCGGAATTAATTCTATCTCTATTTCCCCACCGAATTCCGTCCTCGGTGTCGATGCTTGCAGTTCCAACAACCGCTGCAAATTCCTCTCCTCAACTGTCCATTTTCCATAGAAATTCGCCCAAGTCAAGGCAGCCCTCAGAGGATTTGGACTCCTGGGGCAGCGTCGCCTCCGTGGCGACGAATCACGGCCGCTCGCACTCTTTCGTTTTCTGACCCGTGCTCGCGCTGCAGCTCGGCGGCTGAGTAGTGGGGGCACCACCAGGCTTTGACAGGAGAACCTTGTTCGTGGCGAAACGATATTTTCGACATTGTGAAGTGTAATACGCGATATTCTTCTAGCTTCGTCGAGAAGTACCCTGCTGCATGGTCCTCGCCGCAGCCGCCGCAGTGCAGGTACGCGCCAGGGTCTCCAAGCTCGGTGAACCTTGGTGCGCAATATTCGCGAATGCGGTCTGTCTACAAAGTGTCGCGGCCAATGCCATCGCTGGACTCGGCGGGGGCATTGGCTGTGCCGGCACCGTTCTCGTCGGAGATGGGGTTTGGCTCTCGGTAGGGCTTGTCAGCGGCGCTTGTTATTTCCTCGTCGGAGATGGGGTTTGGCTGTTGGAAGGGCTTGTTAGCAGCGCCTGTTATTTCCTCGTCGTCCGAGCGACCCTGCGCGTGGGTTTCCTCGCTGTTGTCGGAATTGCTGGAATCGTCTGGCATAATCTGCATTGCAAACCATCGATGGAATCGGGTTGTTAGTCTTCTTAGATTTGCCATGCTGTGGTTGCTGGTGCCTCAGTCAAGCGGGTTTATGTGGATGATATTAGTTGCGATCGGATAGGTGTAGACCCCGATGGACGTGGATTCGAAAGACCTGGGTGGTGGGTTCGGATTGCTCGAGCGCGTCGTGTCGCAGTACCCGATGCTGACTACGTTGGCTTCCTACGTCTCTATCGACCTCTTCTACCTAGCCCTGACATGCCGCGCCAACCACGCCTCGATTCTAGGATCGCCTACCGTCTTCGAATCAATCAGGCGGCGATGCCTCTGCGACGGCCGCGGCCTCCAATAGCGCGAGACGTTCACCCCCGAGGAGCTCAGAGACGGCGTTTGGCGAAGCCTTGAAAATGTGCACGACGCTATTCCAGAAGTGCGCCTCTTCAACATCACACGTGACGAGGCTGGCGGACTTGTCGCAGGTGTGACATCAACGTATGTGTGGCATCACGTCTGTGAAGAGTGCCGGGACTACGATCGTGCGTGGTAGACGCACCATATCCGCTGCCTCCGGCCGCATATTCTGCACAAAGAGCATGTCTGGAATGTCATGGCACTCTGCGAGACATGCGACGATAAAAAGGAGAAAGAGCTCAAGGGCAAATTCTTGAACGAGCGATGCAACTGCGACGCCATCCGGTGGTGGGTGTGCACTTCGTGTGCCGAACGGCAGGAGGACGAGGTATACGAGTATGATAACTGTGTTGAGAGAACCAGGGAACCTAGTGAACGAGACACTATTGAGGTTACGAGTCGTTTCCGTTTGGACTTTACCTACGTAAGCTTGTGTTGGGACGTACCTCGGGCACCGCCGGCACCAACTAAAGTCTTTCCCATCTAGCTTTCCTGCCCCTGTGGTGCCGAGGTGGCCCTAGAAACCTGCTTGCGATGCATCTGGTGTAAGCGCCGTCACCTGCACCATGACGAGTGGGACGAGGAAGAAGACGAATATATAACCGCCAGCGAGAATATGCCGTGGCTCCGAGAGGTAATTCATGCCAATCCCAGTCAACCGCATCAACCGCATCAACCGCATCAACCTGATATTCACTAACCGCCCGAAGGACCCAACCTACCGTTACTGGATAGGAGAGTTTGGCGCTGCATACCCAACACCGTATCCGCCACTGCCATACCCCGAGCTCGTTCGCCAGCAGGAGTCGGCCGTCACGGAGCCGGACGCCGCGGAGCCGGACGTCGCGTCCCCTTGAGCCGGGCGGTTAGTGGTCTAGAAGCTGATTAGCCGGACGCCGCGGGGCCGGATGTCGCGTCCCCTTGAGCCTGGCGGTTAGTGGTCTAGAAGCTGATTAAAGCCGGCACGTATAGAATGGCCATTGCAGAGACCGGCAAAAGAACACGAGACGAAGTAAGGAGAGGTACATGTATCGACGACGGGATAGGTGGCCGGCTTTGTTGACACAACGAAAAGGGGCATATATTCCCAATCTAATGAAATCTAGTGATCTGTCTTAGCCAACCGCCTTGTGTATAACGTTAAGTGCTTGGTCCACCCTCTTTGGTCCAACAGGGTGTATGCACTCAACAACAATAAACACCATGCATAACTCTCAACTCACTCCAGCACCTCCTCCACCTTAACCCCCGGCTCCCCCCCATCCCCTTCGTCACCTCCCGCAGGGAACGCCCTCCGCAACGGACACGCGCCCGCCGCCTTCCCGCCGGCCCGGCACTCACCACACCGCTTGCCGTGCGTAACCAACAGCACATGCAGTGCATACTTGGACTCATCCGGCACGGCCGCATCGAGATGTAGGTGCGTAGAATCGCGCGACGCCGACGGCGGCCGCCACCCCAAAAGCCCCGCGAGCCGCCACACGTGCGTGTCGACGGCGAAGCTGGCGTGCCCCAGGCTGAACAGAGCCACGCAGCTCGCCGTCTTGGGGCCCACGCCGCGGAAGGCGAGGAGGGACCGCATCGCGGCGTCGGCTGGCATGGTCCGCAGGTGCTCGAGCGAGTACCTCCCGCCGGTGTGGGCGTGGATTTGGTCGAGGACGGACAGAATGGTGCGCGATTTGACCGCGCTCAGCCCGCCGCAGCGGATCGCGCGCTCGAGCTTCGCCGGCCCGCCCGCCGCGACGGCGGCCCATCTGCCATGGTCGCCGTCGGTCCCGTACACGCGGCTCAGGCTGCGGTACGCGCGCGACGAGTTGGTGTCGGTCGTGTTCTGCGAGAGGATGGTCCGCACGAGTGCGTCGAGCACGCAGGGTGCGTCGCCGCACCCGGCGCGTGTCGCCGACGCTTCGAGTTGCGCCGGCCGCGCGCGCGCTCCGTGCAGGGATGTCAGAATGGCGAGGGCTCGCTGGCAGTCGCTGGGTGTTGGGTGAGGGAAGTCGGGGAAGGGCGACGTGTGGCTGCCGTGCTGTGTGTATGCCTTGAGTTTCCGCGCTTGCAGGTCCAGGGGCGGTTTCTTTGTGGGTGTTGTGGGGCTCGGCTTGGTGGGCGAGGGCAAGGAGGTGGTGGGCGAGGGCGAGGAGGTGTTGGGCGAGGGCAAGGAGGTGTTGGGTGATGAGAGAGGCGAGGACGGGGTGGCGTCGTCTTCTTTCTTGATTGCTTTGGTTTTCGTAGGCGTCGAGGGGTTTGGCTTGAGGTCTGGCAAACACTCTTTGTTTACGTTTGCCCTTGCTGGGGGCGTGCCGGGTAGGTCTGGCGCGGGTTTGACTTTGGCTGCAGGCTCAGCCTTTGGTGTTGACTTTGTCGTGTGTCTCGCAGCTCTTGCTGGCTGGGTTCTCTGCGCGACGGCCGCTGTCATAGCTATTCTTCTCGCCATTGTATGTCTGCGCATTGGTGGTCAAAGAGAAGTGTTGTTCAGGTCGGGGCTGGGAATGGCGGGATGCAAGAGCAGTGTAGAAAGGGGACGTGAGGGAGATGATGATGTCACGCTTTGGCGCGATCTCGGCGGCGATCCGCGACACGGCAAATCGGGCTAAGAGACAAGTTCAACGCCGCGCAACAAAATAATAAACAGCGCACGTCAGCAGTCGGACAAACTTTTCAAGCTGTAGCCAGCTACCACACTTTTCAAGCTGTAGCTAGCTACCACACTTTTCAAGCTGTAGCTAGCTACCACACTTTTCAAGCTGTAGCTAGCTACCACACTTTTCAAGCTGTAGCTAGCTACCAAACTTTTCAAGCTGCAGCTAGCTACCTGGTCTGCAGCCGTGCACACCCACCCATATACCGAATCAATACAAGTCCATTAGATCGCCTTTATCTGCCACCCACCCCTCCCCCGACTTCCCTCCACCCCGTCCCGGCACCAACCCCCGCCCTCAGGGAGCCCCAGCCTCCGCCAGGCCTTCTCAAACGACTCGGCGGTGCCCCCGTGCCACCCGACGAGCCCGACCCGCAGCACTTCAGCGCAGGCGACACGCTCGAGGTAGAATCTCGCCAGCTGGCCGAGCTCGCCCAGCACCACCGCGGGCCGGTAATCCACACCATCCTCGTCGAGGGCCTCGCGGATGGCGGGCCACGGCGGCGGCCACAGCAGCAGGCGCAGCTCGCGCAGGTTGGCCAGTAGCGTGGCCCAGGCGGCGGGGTCGGGGGCGCGGGCGACTGTCAGCACCTCCTGGCCGGGCGGGAAGTCGAGGTGGTGGCTGACCATGACGCGGCGGAAGCGCGCGCGGTTGCGCTCGGGGATCCGCGCCGCCACGTCCGGGAACGCCGCCGACTGGTGCGCCCAGAACACGTTCTCCCCATACAGCACGTCCAGCGCCTCGTCGCTGACCTGCCGGCACAGCAGCAGCACGTTGGTCGCGTGGCTCTTAGCCGGGCCCTGCACGATCAGGTCCGGGTTCTGGTGCAGCACCACGCGCTCGGGCTTGACGAGGAGGAAGCGGTAGACGATGAGCCGGATCTCGAGCGGCGTGTCGAGGAAGCCCGCGGCGGTGCGCTCTGCTGGGAGCGGTGAGATGCTCGCCATCATTGTTTTGCTGCAGTGACTCGGTCGGACGAGCTGCTTGTCCGATAACCAGGAGAGACCGGGTATAAGAGGAAAGTTTTGGCATTGGCCATGGTCGCTCGTTTTTACGGCCTGTTTGAGAAGAACGGATTTGAGGCGTTCTTGAGGGAGGAAACATGACGTGAGAGAGTGATTACTGGCCCCCCCCCCCCCTCCCCCCCGCGGCCCACCACTGAGACCCTTGGACGTCCAATCTTGTCAGCGTCATTTGGCAAGTCAGCTTGATTGGGCCAGGTTCGGAAGTCATCCTCGGATCTGAGTCTGCTACCTGAGACGTAACATCAGCTGGGCTCGGTTGAGAAATCCTCCCGATCTGACTCAGACTCTCCGACGCTCGGCCCTCAGAGGGATGGAAAATGCGACGTCCGGGACTGAGGCCGGCCTTGTTATTTTCGTTCATCAATGCTTCACTTCTTCAATGCTTCACTTCTTCAATGCTTCACTTCTTCAATGCTTCACTTCTTCAATGCTTCACTTCTTCAATGCTCCACTTCTTCAATGCTTCACTTCAATGCTTCACTTCTCTCATGATTAAAAGTTTAAAAATCTGGGCGAAATCGTGTATTGCTTTATTTCTGCTATTCGCTTGCCAAATGGCCGCTAGTGGCGCATATCACCTGGCTCGTCGAGGATGATTAATCTGAAGAGAATCTAACGAGGCTGCATCTGCAGGACAGCAACGTAGAGCTGATTGAAAAGTACAACATGGCCTGACCTGACATGACATGACATGAAAGCCCCTGATTGAGCGTTCTGGATCGGGGGTGATCGTGTTGCAACATCCTCTCTCGAACAACATGGAGGAGAGAAAGGCCAACAGTCTAGAGAGGTATTTTTGCAGACCAAGGAAGGTGTGGGTATCGAAAAGACGTGAGTGAAAAGTGTGTGTGGGTATGGTGTGTAGCCAAGGACGGGTATCGCACAAGGAACGACACGAGCTAAAGAAAATAAAGAGGCACGGCCGCGGCGCCGCCATAGCCTACCTCTCAGGTAGCGCCGCAGTTGAGCGAGCCCTTCTGGCCGGAAAAAAACTCGCCCCACGTCAGGAGACAGCCGAGGCTGGCCTGGGCGCAGACGGCCGAGGCGCAGTTCTGCTCGCAGCACGTCTCGGCCTGGCGGTACGATTTCGCGGCGTGCTCGAAGATGTAGTCCATGTAGAAGTCGAGGCCGGCAGCGACCCAGCCGACGCTGTTGACCCAGGGCGGCGGCGCCGTGACATAAGGCACAACGTTCTGGAATCCTTGCAGCGTCGGGTTCGCGTAAAAGGCCTTGCTGGCGTCCAGGAGGAACGGAGGAATCCCGCTGCAGGTGTTGTAGAGCTTGCACGTCGCCATCATGGACACGACGGCCATGCCCACCATGCCGAAAACCAGGCCCCCGACGGGAATCGCTGCCGACGACGACGCCGCTAGCGCTAGCGGCGTCACGATGGCCACGAACCCCGTCAGCTGGTCCGCCCAGAACTCGGCCGCCTTGAAGTCGGTCACCTTGTTGTGGATCGAGCGTATCGCCGACTCGCATCCTGTGTCACGGCTGGCGAGGGCGGCCAAGACTTCCACTGTGGTGGTTGTTGGTTAGTATGTTTGCGGGTTTGCAGGAGAGAGGATGGGAAGGGGGGTGGGAAAAGAAGGGGAGAGGATGGGAAGGGGGGTGGGAAAAGAGGGGGAGAGGATGGGAAGGGGGGGTGGGAAAAGAGGGGGAGAGGATGGGAAGGAGGGGTGGGAAAAGAGGGGGAGAGGATGGGAAGGAGGGGTGGGAAAAGAGGGGGAGAGGATGGGAAGGAGGGGTGGGAAAAGAGGGGGAGAGGATGGGAAGGGGGGGGGGGTGGGAAAGGGGGGATGGGGCGCCTCACTCTTGTCTCGGTCCTTCATGCTAAGCACAGTGCCGGCCATGTCGAACTCGCGGGGCGGGATGACGCCGGGGCACTCACCGTGGATGACCCACGTGCGCCGGGGGCATCCGGGGTAGACGTCGCCGTCCTCCTCGACGGACCGCTTCAGCTTGGGGTCGATCTTATAGTTGAAGAAGACGATATTGAGAAACACGCCCTCCATCTTCCGGGCGTTCTTGTTCAAGATCAGCCCGAGCTCCTTCCGCGCCTCCTGGACCGTGGCGTTGAGGGACCGCGCCACGCCCGGGATCAGCGTCACGTCGTGCACGCCCAGGTACTCCCTGCTGGGATCAAAGTGCTGCGTCGCGAAGCTGAGCACCGACGCGTAGCTCCCCAGGCTGTTGGGGCAGAAGGACTTGGAGCCGTTGGTCGGTAGTAGGCTGGTGAGGTGCGAGACGAAGGTCGCGTTGACCCAGCCGGCGTAGTCGACGTACATCTGCGTCGTATCATTACCATAAGCCTTGGCGCACGTCGCGTTGTACCGGCAGGCGTTGGTGGCGTAGACGGCGGCGAAGTTGCCGGCGCCCTCGAACGTGTCCGAGACGTTGGCGGCGCTGAAGCCGTAGAAGACGCGCCGGTACTTCTCGCTCTGCAGGTAGGCCGAGTCGTACGAGCACTCGTAGCTGGGGCGCACGACCGTGTTGTCCGCGATGTAGCGTGTGAGAGAGTCGCGGTTCCAGTCCTGGCCGTATAGCCACGTGCCGTTGCAGTTGAGCGTGCTGCCGCCGATGAAGCACGCCAGCCCGGCCTGCAGCTCGTATTCCTTGGCCGCCTGGTCCTGCACCGTGCGCACAAGGAGACTTACAGTCGCATCTGTCGGCGCGCGGGGCTTGACGCGAGGTCCGTGGGTGGTGGTGTTGTGTGACAGCGTGCCGTTGCCAAAGGACGACCAGTCGGGCCCGGTCCAGGCATCGGACGTGTCTAGGTCGGCGCACGTGGGAGACTGAGGGCCACGGGTTGCGCACGGGCAGAGGGACGCTGTCTTGTTGCCATACGAGATGGTCTTGGTGTTGATTGTGGTGTTGGCCGGCCGGTGGTAAGTGGTTGTCTTCACAGTTGTTGTCCTGATAGTGGTTTTGGGAGGCAATGCCGTAGTAGGGAGCGAAGCCGTTTCAGTTGGATCCGAGTCCGAGTCGCAGGTCCGGGGAGACACGGATGCCGACGGCAGAGCAATACTGGCCCACGGCAGCAGGCCAAGAGCCGAGACTAGCTGGAGAAGAGGACGCATCTCGCCGACTCTGGAGCTAGTTGTTGGCGTTGACCGTGCAGTCGATGGAGAGCCAAGATAATAATCACGGCCGGCGAATATATAGACAAATCATCATGGAAATGCCAAGACTTGATTCTCGTATTGTTGCCGCCGTTAACTGCCTTAGCTAGGTGACTGCGCCTAGCAGTCCTGCTTGTTGTTTCTTTCCACCACGACTGACCTTCTGGCCGTGGATACCTAATCCAACAGCGGGATACCTAATCCAACAGCTGAATACCTAATCCAACAGCTTTGAGAACGTGCCAAGACTCTGTTTCTAGGCTTCGCCGGGACGACTGGGTGCCAACACGTCAGTGGTGTGGACTTTGGCTGCGAACCTCCGATGCCGTGAGTCGAGTCCTGTCTTGGCAAAGCGCACAAAAGAGGACAGCCACCACCGAGCAGCCGGAGCTAAGTCGTGTCGCAGGTTAAAAAAAGACTGGCCTGCAACGAGGCTTGAGGCTGACAGGCGCAGCAAGGCTCTAACTTGGCGCTAGCAACCACCCGCTGGCCGCCATCCAGTGACGGCTCTGGCTTTCCTTCAGCCCTCGCCCCGCGCCGACATGCAGCATAAAGCTTAGGCAGACTTGGCCTTCGCAAAACCTGCGTTGCCGGGTTTTTAGGCTTGCTTTGCAGCCATCATTCAGCTTGGGTTCGTCAATACCAACCTACCTAACATCACTTTGGCTTGTTGCCGCTATTCAAGCATGGATTGGGCGCAGGAACCTTTCGCCACCAACGCCGTTTTTGCTGTTCGGCCCCGATACAATCGCTGCCGGCTGATAGAAACATGTTGCACGCGATCGAAGTTGACAGCGCATTGAATTGTCTGCTTGAATCCAATCTAGTAATACAGTACAGGAAAGAAGGCCTTTTATGTTTCGACCAAAAGACCGGGATTAGTCAACAATATAGGCATCAAGGCCTATAGAGGGGCCGATCAGCGTTGGCGGCCTCGTTGGTGGCAAAGTTCGGTCAGGGGGGCATGATTACGTGACAATATGCAGTGTTTGGAGGGATATGCAGGCATGTAGCTTGACAATGTGGCTCAAAAGTGGCCGACAAAACACGTTCGTTTGATGGAAACTTGATGGAAACTTGATGGAAATGCTTTAAACAACGAACAAGAGACGAACAGAGGCTGCTGGTTGCTGGTAGGCTGAGGTGTAGGGCTGCCTTGTGGGCTGGCCACGTGAGTCCCCCACATGGCTTGAACCTAATACCGTGTCAATGTGCGTCCGAAGGTGGCCGGCCTTCCATATGCATTATGACATTTGCTCGCACAAGAAATTTACGCTGAAATACGTGACAACAAGCCCGCTAATCCCCAACCAAAGCAGACCAAACCCTGCACTCATGCAGCAAACCCTGCACTCATGCAACAAAGGGAACAGGCACGCCACGGCGGCGCTTGAAGCCTGTGCAGACCTGGATGACAGCCTCGAGGTCGACAAACTCGACGCCCTTAAACTTGGACTCTTGGATGGCCGCGACTTTGAACTGGGACTCGGAGCACAGCCCAGCCGCCCTCGCTTCGTCGCTCACGCAGAGCACGCGCCTGTGGTCCCATGTCAGTCTTGTTCGTCTCTTCTTCTCGAAACTCCGTTGCCGGGAGAGGGGGTTAACACACCCTTGCTTGACCGACTGCGTGCACCGGCCCTGGTCGGGACTGTACGCGCCCAGGAGCACCTCTCTGGCCTTGCTGATCTGGTTGCTCATGCACGACACGGGGTAGTCTGTGATTGGGGCGACGTTGAGATCGTAAGCGATCATGACGCCCGTCTGGGCAAAGTTCTGGGCAGTGCTTTGTCAGTCGGCCGTTACCTGCACCGTTACCTGCACCAACATCTCAGTTGACGGTTGACGTTATATACTTACATCCGCCCAGCCTGTTGAATTGTGTCCAGTTAGTTTCCCGAGAAAATTTGAATCAGGTCACAAGGAGCAAGTGCATCGAAACGTACCATTCTTTGCGTAGTTATCCGAGACGCACGTGTCGGACGTCTGGGTCACGACATTCTTCCACTCTTGCATCTCTACATGGTCTCACTGTCAGCCGCTGATAACACCTGCATCCAGATTTGTTAAGAAGCACAACCTACCCGACCAAAACCCCCTGCCGCCCCCGCGCTGGCAGTCCAGCATGTGCCCGACCTCGTGGAAGTAGACGGACGGCGAGCCTCTGCATGCGCCCACGAGCCAGATGTCGGCGCCGTTGGAGAAGCCGCCGCAGCCGCCGGTCTGCACCGACGAGAAGGTCCTTACCATCTGCCGGGCCGCCATCGGGATGCGTCTGCCATTTTCTTTTAGTTTTGACGTCCTCTTCGAGGTGCTATGAAGTCTTGGGAAGGGAATACGCACCCGAACTCCTCGGCGATTTCGTCGAATGGGATGAGCGAGTTGCTGCACCTGCAGATTGTCTTTGGGACCGGGCACTAAAATACAAATACGGAAGAATCAGCTGCTGCTCGCATCTATGGGCCAGCACACGACACAGGCCAGGGAATCGGTGCTCACATCCGAGTATGTGACGTTGTAGACCTCAAAGTCCGTCCGGGGGCAGCCGTACGCGTCGCCGATGCTGGCGCACGGTTCGGGCAGCAGGCCGCCCGGCCACCGCTGGCTGGTGTATGATGGGGTCGGCATGCTCTTCAGCCCCCGGCCGTTCTGGCCGTCGTTGAGGACCGCGAGCCCGGATGGAAACGCTTCACCAAAGTCCTGAGGCGGGCCATCTTGCGCAGCAACGCTGCGGATCAGAGCCCCGAGGATGGCGACGATGATGGGTTGCATTTCGTTCAGACCTGTGTTCTCGCTGGCTGGGATATTTTAGGGGCACTGCCGCTTCGACATGTCCAAAGAGAAATCCTCACTGTCGATGTCGCCCGTCTTTATATCGCATTCGTCCTGCCTTCGACCACCATCAATAGGAACTTTGCATTTGGCTTGGCGGCTATACGCTTAACGCTGTGAGCACCAGGCCACCCATGCAAAGGAATCTGAGTTGTCTGCCATGACGGTGCTGCGCCGCTGGGGCTTTGGAGGAGCGCCCACGGCGCACTCGGTCTCTGCGGCCGCTCCTTGTCGCGCCAGTACCCTCGCTAAACACGGGGAAAATATGACAGGTCATTAACTTTAAACTCTGATCCCGGTACTCGGTAGTAGGCAGCTATTGTCCCAGGTAAAAATGTCTTGCAAGTGGCATTTCAAGGCTGATGAGGGAGGGCGTCAGGATCCGTCTGATGTCGGCATTGAAGCCGAGAATCTTGGCGTTTTGAGTCTCAGGTCGCAACCAAGGGAACAGGGTTGGCCACCTGCCTTTTGTTCTGGTTTAGAAGTAGAATGTGTCCTAGGTATCTCACACTTGACCAAACAGATGTCCATGACGATTCTCGCCCTGCCGGATGTGCCTTCATCCAAATGAACGCTTGCGGTCGAACCCGGCTGTGCATCATCATGCATTCCTGCCAGGTAATCCAGAGCCAAAAATGCCGATTCCGTGGTCAGCTCTTCAATGGGAAGAGCAACGCCATTGAAGAGCAACGTGCAGCGACTTGATTGGCCCGTCACGTCCACAATGCTCCCAGGACCCCGATCCTCGTTCCCAGGAACCTGGGTCTGGTTGCTAACCATAGTCCGCAGCCCTGAACAACACGATCGGTGGGGTTTATCGCCTGGTCCAGGATCCGCGAGTCCGCTCGCGCGCCAGCCCTGCATGCAAGTGCGGACCGAAATGCAGGCTCCGGCACCCTGGTTCAAGACGGGGGCTCTTGATCTCGAATCGCGTCGGAATAAATGTGGAAGCCTAGTTCTAGAACACGGGTCTTGTCAAACGGTGGATTGGGGCGCGGACGGGGCTTGATTATGGGCAACTGAGGAAGGCGGAAGCGGCCGTCTTGGGGGTGGCAGTGCCAATGCGCTTATGGGCTGGCCATAGATGAACCAATAACAGGTGCTTGATGGGCTGTGCGAAAATGGACGACGTAACAGGGTTTTGGTCTTGGAATAACACATTGTTGTCAAGCCCTTCAGCATTGGTCTCCCATTTCTCACACCTTTGCCATGGCCTTCTTGACAACACCCGCAACTTCCTCGTCACCCATGATTGGAATCCCCATCATCTCATTATCCACCCTGTCAGTCATATCAGGGTCATGGTCCGCCCTGTCAGTCATATCAGGGTCATGGTCCGCCCTGTCAGCCATATCAGGGTCATGGTCCGCGCCATACACAGCAACAGCAGTGAAGCTGGGGTGCTCGGCTGCCTTCTTCGCCAGCTAGTCCACGATGCGGCGCTTGGCGACGTACAGCGGGAAGTCTTTTTGTCGTGGGTGCTCGGCATCGGCCCCGAACTCGCTCGGGAGCAACCGCTTGACACCGGCGGCGACGGCGGCGTCGATGAGCCGGATCTGTGCGTCCAGGCCGGGGTTGCCAACTGCGCTGATGAAGACATCGACCCCGTGCAGGGCTTTTGTCACCTCGGCAATATTCTCGTAGTCGACCTCTGTGATGTTCAGGAGTTGTGATGTCCCGGAGTTGTGATGTCCAGGAGTTGTGACGTCGTAGACCCCTTTGCTCCACTGCCACCCTTGCGCGTGAGGAGCGTGACATGCAAGCCGTTAGCAACGAACTCTGCCACGGCTGTATGACCCAGCCCACCTGTTGCACCAGCGAGAGCTATCCTTGGACCGGGGGCTATTGCGAAGGCAACAAAGCGCACAACCAAATTCCAGGAATCTGTCCGAGTAAAACCGGGTTAGCTCCCTGTTTCCACAGCCTCCAACGAAGCGATCGTCCCCGAGGTCTCACTTTCTTAAATAATTCCACTTCACCACCCACAGTCTGCCCACCTCTATCGCTACAGGCCTCAAACTGCAAAAACTTCTCAACTTGGTAATCGAGTGCGGAGAAGAGCGTAATATTCTGCTTGGAAATCAGGGCTGAGTGAGCACTTGCTTCGAAATCAACAAATGGGCCACAGCCAATCGGATATTTACATCACCTCCTGCTCGCGACTTCGACGGAGCTGTCCCGTCCCGGAAGTTGCCTTTGCCACTGATCCAGCCTACTCGATATAGCGGCATAATTCCTTCACAATTTTAATCGTCCGATGCTTGCTAACAGGGTTTGGTCATTTCTTCGAGTTTTGGCCTTTCTTCCCAGGCGAGTAAGTTTTCGATCTGTGACACCTGCTGTGCCGGCGCCGGTCTTAAAGGGTGTGTCCTGTGCTGGCTTGTGGCCTGGCTTGTGGCTTGGCTTGTGGTCTGGCTTGTGGTCTGGCGGTCATCACTTCTCCTTCTTGACCACTTTGTCGTCCTGAATGGGCCTAGCTTGAGTTCTTAGTTCTTAGATACTGGTATTGCCAACATGCAAACCAAAGCCGGCTCTTGCTCGCAACAATGACCCCCTGCGTCGACACTGTCATTGCGTTTGCAACAGGTGCGGCTGCCGAAGCAAAAGCCTGTCTGGCGTTGCGATCCTGATCCGATACTCCCCAGGTATGCCGTCGGGCTGCATGGCCTGCGGCGGAGACATTTCGCCTCCCGGATTCCCACGGGCCATGGGTCGCGGCGACCGCTGCAGCTCGATTTCACTGCCCTCGGGGCTGTCGTAGAAGCGCGTGAAGAGGCCGCCCAGGTGCTGGGACGGGGGCCTGTCGAGCTGGTCGGCTGCGACGCCCGGCGGGGCCGGGGGTGATGGGAGTGGTTTCTGCTGGAGGTCGATGGGGGATAAGCTGACTTTGGACGGCGGTTTCTGGCTCTGCAGTTGTTGCAATGAAAGCGATCGTGTTTGGTCTCGATTCGGTTGTTGATATGGAGTTGTGCGGCTGTTGCTGGTCAAGTACCCGGTCCTTCTCCTCCGGCGCGGGCCTGTGCAGCCCATAAGGGGTGCCAGAAATGGCAGGTTACCGCAGGTGATGCCGATGGACATCTCGAAGTAGGTCCACACGGCAATCTGTACCGAGCCGGCTGTTGCAAATGGTGCACATTGGTGAGTGAGAGGTCAGTTTGTTCAGGGGCAAACGCCTTGGCACATAATTGTGGGAAGGGAAGGGGAAAGAGAGGAAGCCAAAGCTCATGGACGTACAAGTATATCCGTCCTCGGGCACCCCAACCAAGGTGATCCACCGAACGAAACTCGTCAGGACTACACTGTTTGGCGGGAATGTCAGATCACATGGCGTGCCTGATGATAGCAGCCAGATAATGCTCACAAAAAGCCAAGCGCGAACAAGCAGATCAGGCCAGCCCGGGTTCGCCTGTCGATCTTAAGTCTGGCCAGGATCGGGATCGGCATAACGAAGATGGCAATATCGCCGACGCAAGACACGACGGCACTTGTCAAGCCAATGGTGACAACCGTGTGTTTAGCGCACGATCCAGCCTGACGCTTATCCCAGAAGAACGAGGGCGGGCTGCACTGCAGCGTCGTCCCGACTACCGTGCCAATCATCCATAGGAGCGTCGTTGTCCAGACCACCCACGACACGATGCGGAACTTGCGCGTCACGAAAATGCGTGCGTTGAACAAGATGATGGACGTCTTGATGAGGAACATGGTCGGTGGTTGGATTTTCTATCAACCCGCCCTGTCTGTTAGAGGAGGAGATGGCCAGCGAGGTGCGGCAGTGCTTGCCTGCTGGATCCATATGCCCTGTCCTCGGAATGATCAGTGCTGTTTTCTCTCAAGGGGTGTTTGGTCCGGACAATCGAGGGCGCACCAGAAGAAATGTCCGCTGTTTGTCATTGGAAAGTGACGTAAACACCTCGCCGAGGCCCGTCGTCAGTCCTGCAGCCCGAGTCAGTTACCTGGCCGTGATCTCGTCTGACCCCGGTGATGCGAATTCAATCGCAGGAAAGGCTGCGTACCCCAGAACATGAGCCCGACAGTGGCGTAGCTGAGAAGCAGCCCCGCCATCATGAACCAATCTTCGAGCCGGAGTTTCTTGACGATGAGATAGCGGGCCCAGAGTCTGGCGACGAGGGAAACGCTCGACAAGACCAGACCAATAATGGCGGCGGACACGACGTACTGTCTCCTCTGTTCCGGGGTGAAGTTATTATCAAGCTGCACCATGGCGACCTGGCGACGGACTGGGAGCAGCTTTGGCGCCGAGTCGTGGCCGATGGCGGGAACTAGTCGTCGCCCGTTGCCAGAACAGACGGTCGGCCTGAGGGAATCCACGCGATAATATCGAGGCGGGAAGCCTCTGGAGAGACGCGACAATTTGAGATAGGCAGCCACATTTCCTGCTCGGAAAGGGCGCTTGAGCGGCCAAGCATAGTGTGCCACACATTTCTCTCCGTCTCAGCGGCAGCTCAGCGGCACGCTGTATCACGCGACGCGTGTCATGCTGGGCAGCGAAACCGGCCTGGTAAAACGCAATCGCGGTCAAGGCATTGAGGGTGCTGCACCGGTGTGGCGACCGAAAGACACAACTGGAACAGCTCGGTACTTTTTTCTCGGGGGCGGGCTGGAGGAGGATGGGCGAAGGAGCGATCGACGGCGGTGACGACACGCCAACCTGAGGCGGAATCAGACGCCAACGAAAGGCGCGCCGAGTTTTCAGTGGCGGTTAGGGCTGCTCCGAGTATAGGGGGTAGGACAGGAACATGTCTGTGTGCGGCTAGACCCTTGGCGCTGTCGAGCATGTGCGGCATCCGCAACACAGATGCAGGCAGGCAAGGCAATGGGGGCGGGAAGGATCAAAGGGCCCTTGCGTCAGCCGTCAGTGGGGGTTTGCCGCGGACTCGTGGCAAGGCAGATGCACGACACGGAGGTTACAGAGTCCCACCACACCATACACACATATCGATGGGGCAGGATGAAGTGAGAGCAAGACATAGGTAGGTATATCTAGTCTTGCTTCTGAAGGATAAGAAGAGGGGTAAATGGCCCGAAATAAATTTGCAACGTCTTTAAAGCAAACGAGGCATAGTGTAAAACAAACATTGCGTCCTCGCCGAGGCAAGCCGAGTGCGTCACCATTCCGCCAAACGCGAGCATGAAACACTGAGACGTCTGGCAACGTGGAGAGTTGACGTGCAATGTTTTGGCTGTGCAATTTCGGCCCTTCGGTCTGTTGCGTAGGCAGGTAATGGAGCTTTGATAGCTAAAAATAGGCACGCAGGAATAATGACAAATCGGTTGAAAGAGCCTACACATCGCCCTCAAAGGATCGAGCGCAATCACTACGCTGCAAGGTTCAAAACCATGCCGCCCGACATTATATCCGCCAAGCAAACCGTGTCCGATGCCGGGAGAGGCCCTGAAGTTGATTTGATGCTGGGGATAAACGTCAAAGTCCCTTCCAGGCCAAGGGGCCTGTTCATCACCTTGATTGCAGGATGACCTCGTTCTCAACGAGCCCTAGAGTTACGGACGGGTATTGATCAGGAGAAAAATCGACGCCTGTCAATCATGATCATAGGTGTTAAAAGAGGTGACGAGAGACTGGGGCGTCGCACTTGCGCCGAAAGATGCTGAACCCGTAACAGTACGATCCGTGGTCCGCTGCGATTTGACTCGGAAACCCCCGAATGACGACCGGAGGCCATGATGGCGAGCTGGACGGGTCGCTCTCACAGAGAGAGTGTTTGGCCTGGCTGCGGAGAGAGTTGAAACAAAATGGCATCAAATTGAAATACCATGCGTAAAGGCCGAAGACTGTCGACGCCGACTTGTCGGCTCCAAGTTGCCCGTGTTAGTGTGTTCCTAGCGCGGACAAGGTCGATCCCTCGATGGGAATGGCGGCCTTTTAATGGTCGCTCAGAGCAAGATGACAATGGAAGACTCTCGTTAGGTTAATATGTAGGCCATGGTGGCCAGCCGACCAGCCGACCGTTGAAACAGGAGGCAGGCTGTGCGTGCGGACGTTGGATGATTCTACGCGCACCCCGTCCAGCGTGCGCCCATCCATGTAATTTGGAGTTGCAGCCCGTGTAAGGCCCGCCGTGCGGTCCGCATAAGGCCGGCAGCTCCGCGTATGGCAGGCAGCTCCGCGTAATGCCGGCGGACGCGAAGGTAGCGCGTTTCACCCCCCGTGGCCCAGCGAACCTGCCGCCGAGGCTGAAAGGGCTGAAATACCGACCGAGACTGAAGGACTGACAGACGCCTGTGATGTCAGATCCCCAGACTGGTTCATTAGTAAGTAATAGGCTGGGTTACAGGATACCTTGCCTAGGTTAGCAGCGGTTGTTCTCTGCAAGTGTTTTCTCGTAGATTGTGGGGCTTCCGAGCCAGCCCAGTCCCGGAGGAGCCTGGCAGCGCCTGGACGGCCTGCCCTGGGACGGGGCCCTTGTAAGAGGGGCTCTTCGGGGCTTCAACCCCACATCCACCCGGGCTGCATCCATCCCGTCCATCTGACAGATCTGCCCAGCTGAGGAGCAACAGGCCCCACCAGTCAGAAGTCAAATCGCGCGCAAAGCAGTTAATAATGAGCATTCAGAGTTGATGCTAGATATATACATTGGTTCACGCAATCAAGGTCGTAGAAAGGCCCCGAATTTGAATGCGACTTAGTTATCCGTAGTTTGGGGACCACTATTGGCCCTGTTGAGAAGGTGCTGGCCATGGAAATTGCCAACGGCCCCCAACGCTGGTCCGTGCCAGCCCTGTCCTGACCTGAACAATGTCAGATTCCGAGATTGGTACGGTAATTGACCCGCCATGGAAGGCAGGCCTGCCGCAGGGCTTCGGACACCTGCCAACTGGAGCGAACAGGCCAACTGGACCACTCAACGATGCCGCGCCGTACTATACCATCTCACAGTATCATCCCATGTCTGTGCCTGGATTTGACCTATCCATGGAATTCTGATTAGCCCCAGAGGCAGGGGATTCTCTCCAAGCCCGGGGGTCAATTGATTGTCGCACACCCTCCAAGATTTGAGCTAGACCTGTTCCCGTGTCGTCGGAGTCCCAACTCTCAAATCGCCAGGCCGAGACAAATACGAGCGGGTGTGAAACCAACAGGCAACCGACAACAAGAATAATAATTAACCCATAATCGAGGACACCAATACTAGAGATTAAATACGAAGCGTGAGCCAGACTCAATTGGATTATTCTGATGTCGCTCGTCTCGCTTTTCCCATCCCCCTTTCTTATCCTTCCAGACTGGCTAGTCTTTGGATTTCCTTTAACTACCTCCACCCCCCTTTTTCCAGCGGTCTATCTTACAAACCATGCCCCAATAACTGCCTTCGAAGTTGGAGTGATAAACCATCTTTAGTACCAAGCCGCCAACATTTTAGCCAGGCTCGGCGAATACCTCGAGGGCATTTTCAAGCGAACTATCAGTTTGAGACCCGATTAATATCGATTTGTAAATTACGCAATATACACCCACGATGGCTGAAATAAGTGCCAAAGCATACCCAAACCGTTGTGTTTGATCTTGAGTGAGTCGACTATTGATCTCAAGAGCCCATGTTTATTTCCCTTGCTCTCGAAAGGCTTGCTGACTCGCTCTCACCAGCGGCGTCGTATGGGGGGGCCAGCTGAGCGAAAACTGGCACGAGCTAGGCTATATGCAGACACCATGGGACAATGAATATCAATCACTCGAATGCGGCCAGCTAATCTACAACCGATCTACTCAATCTCAACCCAGCCCGCTGCTTATCCGATCATCTCCACATATCCGATTATCTCCACATATAGGTGAAATCTTCGATGAATTGACGAGGAACAAAGTGAAGATCGCAGTCGTCCAGCGGCATAAGAACAAAACTGTGTATGTATCCGGAAGCTTGCTTACCTTGCCTTCTTCTGTTCGCTGTACGCTAATCAAAACTGGCCAAACAATTGCTTACCTAGCTGCGAGGCCGCACTGAAGGCGTTTAGAAAAAGCACTTTTGCGGCTTACGAGCTGAAAAGCTACATACAAATTGAAGAAATAGACGATGGTATATGCTGTGTTTCCCTCCCCCCCTATCCGTGCCCCGTTGCGTTATCCAGCAGCTGACGCGCTGTCTTCCTAAAGTGGACAAATACGGCCTCATCGAGAGAGTGTATAAAAACTAATAACCAATACAAGCTTGAGCACCCATACAACGAACCTCTACTACGATATGGTACCACTAACCTAGGGTCAAAGGCGAAGTTGAGATCATAGGAATGGTTTTGCTGACAGAACTTGTAACAAATTAGCTCTACATTAGCTACTCAGCAGGAAACATAGAAACCGAGCACTGGCTAGGTAAGTGCTCAGCGACATTCCAGCGGCCACGACATGAGCGCGGCCGTAATCCAATAACTGATTAATCCCGAGAGCTTAGGTCTTTCGTTCCAGTATTCGAGGGGAACCGTTGGCGGACCCGTCAGGTACGACTTTGGCCTGCATCGCGATGCGTTCCAGTGTGGCTTGGATTACTGGCGGAGATGCCATGCGTTTCGATTCCAGCGCGTTCCCAAGCCCCTTGCACTCGTAGAACCAATGATAATAGGCTACGTGGGCACCACCAAGGAAGCTGCCTCGCGCATGCAAAACAGCGCTTCACTCAGATCAGATATATCTGACAGATCGATCAAACAGATCAAACAGATCGGGCCCGTTGAGGGATCAAACAAATCAGATATTAGGGCCCGATCTGTTTGACTATCTGACAGATAAATGAGGGTATTTAGAGCCCGGATTTACTAATTATTCCGTTCCGAGTAGTGCTTTCGACCCCGTTTTGTACCGGCACTAAGGTTAATCCGGTCCCGGCAGGGTTCGAATCCGACCGCGGCCTGCTTTTTTCCCAAAACAACCCTCTTGACCGCGCCTTGCCCTCAACCGCGCCCTCAAACGCGCCCTCAAACGCGTCCTCAAACGCGTCCTCAAACGCGTTCTCAACCGCGCCCTCAACCGTGCCCTCGCGGCTGAAGCTATTCACAATGCATCGATCTCGGTCTCGAAGCCCTACAACAAGCGTTGCTGCTACTACTCGGTCTCGATCGCCCGGCTCGAGCCGTCAACCGTCGATCTTCGCCCAGCTTCGGTCACGGCCTACATCCATCGCAGATCAGGTTACTGCCGCCCTCGACGCGGCTCCCGTTATCAAGGGCTCCATCCAAGACCTCCCTCGCATCGTCTGGGCCAACAAGCGTTACATACTGGACTCTCAGGTCCATAAGAAGAGCTCCCGCGGCCGTACAAGCTGGGTCAAGGATCACGGATGGTTTCTAGCCGGCATCACGGCGAACGGCGCCTTGCTACCTGGTGGGGAGGTCTGGTGCTGCAAGTATTGTGATGGCCGGAGCAAACACTCTATATACGATGCTTCCTCTATATCGTCGGCCTCAACCCATCTAGCTAAGGAGCATTCTATCTACAAGTAGCAGGGAGATCAAACTGACAACTCTGATATGCTCGCGATGCATCTAGCAACATCGTCACAAATCCCTCAGGCCAAGGACGTAGCCTTGAAACAACTCGCCGTTGCTTTCCTTGTCAACTCCGACAATCCTTCATGTCACGCGCACTCACAGGGCAACGGAAATGAAGCATTTGATGCAGGGAGGTAAGGCTTGAATTGTCTGAAAAGGTCTAATCTCTTGTTTCCTTTGGCAGGGCCAAAAGTCTCTTGTTTATAGTTATGAATAGTGGCAAAAGCTGGTGGCGAAGAATCACATAGCAGCTTCTAGATCTTTCTTGCTCACTAATCCCAATATTGTGACACTTTACTAACTTCGAAGACCCCTATCTCAAGAGCTTCCTGAAGCTGTTCGGCCGAAATCTTGCCACTACCGTTGCCTTGGGGAGGAATACACTCACATTGACGATACTGAAGATCTTCGAGGAACAAAAGGTTATTATTCTACAAGAACTTCACAGATCCCTGACCTCGATCCATATTAGTTTTGACCTTTGGGCTTCTCCAAACTGCCTAGCCTTTATTACGGTATTCGCCCATTTCCTCGATAGCAAGTAATAGTATATAAGCCGCCTCATCGCGTTCCGACGGCATCCCGGGATACATAGTGGTGAAGGTATCGCTAATACTCTTCAAGATATCCTCGAAGCTTAGGATATCCCGTCAAGGCTTGGAGTAATGTTCTGTAATAACGCTTCGAATAACGATATATGCCTCAAGGCTCTATACCCTCGGCTCATCCCTGGGATGACCGGGAAGGATATTCTATATCGCCGAATGCGGTGCTTCGGTCACGTCTTGAACCTGGTAGCGAAGGCTTTTCTATTTGGCGATAACGCCAATACCTTTGAGCTTGAGTCTGATTCCTTGGAGGTCTTGGAACAACATGACGATGCCCTCATCTGTTACGATCCTGGTTCAAAGGTGCAGAGGGCGTTGCCCGCCCGCTGCGGATTGGCTGGAACGGGACTTAGGGTGGGGCTCTCGCTAAGAGAAGGTGCATCCAATTAGGGAGTGCTCAGTGGGGCCATTGCCAAGGTGCACTGAGCATGGCTGAGCTCAGTAGGATCAGTGCCGAGACCCACTGAGCGCACTGAGCAGGGAGCTCAGTGGGGATCAGTGCGTCTAGGACTGAGCACGACTGAGCATGTAAGGCAGGAACTCTGATTGGTTGCTCATAGTTCTATATAGGAGCTGGCAGCACGCTCTCTCTGGAGAACGGTTCTGCAGCTATCAATGCATCTGGTTAAGCATACATTGGTTGTGTGTTGAAAGCCTGTCTTTCGCAATCTGTGCACGATACTCCTTGTCTCCTGTCATCTCCTACCTGCCGTCCAGACCCCCACAATCCTAGGCCGGGCCTAGCTCCGTGGACCTGTTGTCCAGATTGTAACAGGGGGGGCGGGCTACCCACCTTATACGAGGTGGTAGGCCAAGAAAAAAAGAAAAAGTACGCTAGATTATTTTAGGCAAGGGTGTAAACAACCCCCTTGTTGCCTAGCCCCCTGAACCCCTGATCAGTACTAGACAGTAGAGCTGGAGATACAACGTTGATTGACCGTCCAGGCTACGTCTGAGCTTGCGCCTCATTTCACCCAGAGCCCCTTGATTTCTGACTTGGGCGCAGCCCTCCAGCCCCGGCTAGCGGATTGCGCGGCATTTAAAGATGGATGTGTCCAGCCTACCGCAATATATATATATATTATTCCGTCTACTTCTCCAAGACTTGCCATCTTGAGGGACTTCCACAGCTAGATTTATTACAAAGTGAAATAGCTCGTACCCATTACCACGTACACTTTAGAGATTAATAGAGACATTTAACGCGGCATGGCGAAAAGTCAAAATAATTAAACGGCACTACTCCAATAGAGTCACACTGGCCGGCTCACGAACCTTGCCACCGCTTTGCAAGATCAAAGTTTTCGCTCAGCGCACATAAAGCGCACCAAATGTCTGGCTGCACAGGGTCGCTCTTTCGCGCGCAATATGTTCATGTTCTCGCGAAGGCTGATTAGGTGGCCGAAGCAACGAGTAGTCGAGTAAGCAAGGTCATTTTGGGCTGGCGCCCTGACGCGCCGACAACGGCTTAGGTGGTCTCACATGCAGAAAGCAGGGCCCTCCGCACTTCTTTCTTCCTTCAATGCATCGCTTTTATCACCATTTTCTAGCTAGTGCGCTAGATCATTAACAATGAGAGCCGAGGACGCAGAATCCTGGAATCCGGGATGGCGTCTTGAACGGGCCGCACAAATCGTCGGCTGCCTAGTGCGGTACCCGAAGTGTTTCGGAACTTTTAATCGGTTAGTTGCACTTCGATTTGGTCCCGGCTTTGGGCCGCGCTCCGAAACTACGGATCCGCGTATTCATTCCGCACTCCGAAACCGAGAGTCCGCGTATTCCTTCCGCGCTCCGAAACCAAGGATTCGCGTATTCCTTCCACGCGAGCTTGACTGCCCAAAGCTCAAACACAGGGGATGTCAAAAGTGGGTGCTGTCACGGCAAGTGCAGACAACTGGCTGGATTGGTGGGTTCCGCCCTGGCCCCACCTGGCTACACTGGATTTAAGCGGTGGTCTGTGCACACTACAACTACGCGACCTACAATACAACCTACTTCCCCCACGCCCTGCCCGAGCCTTGGAAGCTTCTTTCCTTTTTTCCTTCTTTAGCTTTAGATTCTACGAATACAGCGACTACATTGCAGCCTTGCCTCATAACAGTTGACTGTGCGGTGACAGGTGCCAATATTTCGGAGAAACTATTGCACTGGAGGCGCCTGTTACTTACGAGCATATAAATAGTTCACGGCATCGGCTACTTAGAGACCAAGATCCCAGCAATGTTCTCTAAGATCTCAGCAATGCCTGACGAGATATTGATTAGAAATAGATGCTAAGAGCGAAGCGCTCCCGCGACGGCACAGTCAGGCAGCGCTAACTAGCCAAAAGTTGGCAGCACCAACGACCGCCCTGCGCCGCTGCGGGTTCAGCGACCAGCTGCCTCGGTAGCGCACGGTGACTTGCACGGGCCGTGCCTGACTGCTGCCAGCCTCAACCAACATCCGAAACCAGTAGCCGGGCATGACAATGCCACGCCTGCCAGGGCCGTAACGGTGCCATCAGTCCGTGCCGCTCTGTTGGGTCTCATACCCAGACCCTGGGTTCACATTTTCAACGTCGGCGAATATTATTATTTTCCCAGCGCGGAAATCCGTCCAATACCGGTCAACTTTCCGACTTTTTCAAGTCCGGCCGGATTCCTTTCCGATTCAACAATTTGGAACCAGAAAGCTACCGTGGATTTCCTCGTGCCACCCCTGTCCGGAACGAAAGGCCGCAAGAAAGAAAGCAGATGGCCTTGGCCGACGACCAGGCCACGCCTATGGTCAAGGACATGAAAATTGGTGCCCAAAGACCCCAAGCGAGACGGGCAAATCTTAGGCCAATACGTAACCACACTTTTCACCCGTGCTAGCCGATGTAGAAGTGCCCCGGACCCCCCCGGCCACCAAGCCCCACCCCCACGCAGGCGGCCGAATCTGCCTCCGCCCACCGTGTCGACCATGTCTGCCCGGTATACGACCAGCCCAGAGAGGCACAAAATGGCTGCCAAGCATGAATGTCTCATGTTTGTAAACGGCCAACCGAGGTTCCCCTCCAGATCCTTTGGGCCTCGCACCCCGTGCAGGTTTCACTCATACGACAAGCTAGAGGATTGACTGACCCTCATCCAACGTTACGCGAAGAGAAAACGAACCGTTGCGGCTGTGCACGTATAAAATGACTGCTGCACCCATCTGCCAGTCACTCATCTCGGGAAACAATAATATTTAATCACTAGAGATTCACTGCTGTTTCTGTTCCAAGCCGTGCTTCCTGTTTCGGGACTCCGCCGGTGATTAGTTCTAGAACCTTGGGTACCTCCATTACGCCCTCTTGTCCTCGGGCCACAAATTATTTTTGTTTACTTCTCCCCGGCGCCGCACGCAGGCTTCTGCGCACACACGCTGCAGTAAAACTCGATCAACCGTTGTGCACCAATATTTCGCCCCGCTACAAGCCCCCAATGGCGACATTTCCATCATCTTCGGCTGCTAAGCTATCAGCGGTCCAGTCACAGGTACCTGCTGCTTCTAAGAAGTCGCTCAAAGACGTGTATCCGAAAATAATTGCCTTCGAACTCGAGTAAGCTGACTAGCCCAAGCTGCGACCTTTTCTGCACACTTTCTCCCTCGCCGTGCCTCCCATCGCTAACTACTAGTTCTGCAGCAATGTGCTATGGCCAGGCAACTTAGACCAGGGGAGCGCAACGAAAACCCCTCAGGAGAAGCAGCCGTCCGGTTATCTCCTGGAAACGGTGCGCATCCTGATAGACGTAGTAGATGCCCAATCAAAGGTTATCATTATTTCCAGGGGCAGTTACGACGCTAAGTATGTGCACTGTCTTGAAACATCATAACACGAGATAATCACTAATGGAGATCAGATTGACGGCGCAGCTACAGGACTTAAAGTACGGCTTCGAGAGATTTGCACGCCGCCGTGCCATCATTCCCGACTTCCCTATCCTAGACGGAATGATATTTCTAGAGGGTGAGTAACGCATACGGTTACCGACCCGTGGTACCTGATCTAACTTACGGTAAAAAAGATAAAATATCGATGGCAAAATCTATCGATACTGTGTTGGCGGCACTAGATAAGGCGGATGAGCCAGTTCATGTAACGGATATAGTACGTGTGGATTTCCTCAACGTCCCAAAACCCCTTCGGGGCCACGTTAACATTGCTAACCTTGGTTAACGGCAACTAGCTCATGTTCGGCAATTCACCTTCGAACATTGAAGTTGAGGTTGAGAGAGGTACGCACATGGATGTGGTAAACGAGGGATCCAGTTCGAACTAAGTCGTGTGTTCTAATCAACCATACAATTAACAGATATCGCGTTCCAACTCTCGGACCACGAGATTATGAATGACAAGGACGTGAGGATGCTTGGGGGGCTGTCGATGAACAGATATAACCATGGGCTAGAATACTGGCGTAGGATGCGCCTGTTCCATCAGAGGGTCGGGCCGATACCGAAAGAGCCTATCCCCCAAGCAAGGTTTTATGTCATCGGCTACGCTGCCATGACGAACCCCGTAGTGGAGTATGGAAATGCCCGAGGTATACAGAGGCCGCACAATGAATTGACAGTTTCGGATACTGTCCCTGGGTAAGTTTCCATCTTTCCTCAGCATCAAACGTTTCTCGCGGATGGTTAACTCCCTTGTACTGTAGAGCCTTTCGTTATATATTGCATGGTCACAACGCCAGAATCGTCGAGATCGGCATTCGTACCGACCAGATCGATCTTTGGATTGAAGAAGTGCAAAAGGTATTCTCACATCTTCCTTGTCACCCATGGTTGCTTTTTTTGTTTCTTTGCTAAACTTGGTTGCGTTTGTGTTTGAATTAGCTGTGGATTCATGAAATCCCCGTGCCAAACTCAGCTACAGCTTCCAGTCATATCTCGAGTAGACTGTTTCAGGATCTTGGCCTAGGAGGGCATTATGTTCCAGAATTCGGAGTACCGGCACCTCTCGGGCCGGATGGGATACCCAGGAAAGCATCTGTCAGACCGGCTGACCAACTCAAGGCACTCCGCGATGCACGGGTCAACTACGATTTTAAAGTCCAGCGCGCGCAGAAAGGGGCAATATCCTCTCCTCATGTCACATTCAACAGCTTATCCACAGAGAGCCACACAATCTTTGCGAAGACTCAGCAGACAAGCCAGATGATCATCCCCCATCATCTACATCGAATGCTTTTCGCCGGCAAGCAAGTGTGCAACGGGAACTTCAACGTACCGCAGGCCGGTGTAAATCCCAGCAACGTGACCCCATATCACGAGCTCAAAATAAAGTGGCACATTAAACAGGTTTCAGGCTCAGGACAGGACTAATGCCCTTCCCGAGGAAGAGTACCGGGAATAAACCACTAGCTCACCTAGATAAACCGATTATATTGGATTGGGGGAATGGGGGAATGGGGGAATGTGGAATGGGAGTCATCATTACGTTTTGTTTTCTTTTCTTATATTAAACAAAAGCAGCGGGGGGAGACTGGCTGGTCCAGCTTTGCGCGTAACTAATACGTTAGAGCTTGGAAAGTGGATGCCATCAGGAATGGCCAATCCGCTCTAATTATTACCCACCTATTTAATGCTGCCGTGCTATGGCGTCAAAAACGGGCTGCACAAAGTGACAAGCCGTTCCGGCTGCCTCGTGCGCGCCCCACCCTGAGCGGTGCGTGCCCTGAGGCACGTTGTTTCAAAGCTTTCCGTCGGTATAATTAATTGCGCGCAATTCTAGTGGTGCCAGCTTTAAGCCGCGCCTCTGCCCTGACCTGAGCCCACGGTGTGTCTCAATTGCGAAACGAAGGATTCGCGTGTTCTTGCGTGGTTGCGTTAAAGACCAGCATCGCACGGGCACCAACAACAAAAAGGTTCGATCCCTTGGGCTGCGTGGCGGGGTTCAAATGCGCTGTCAGGTTTTCCAGGGATCTCCACCCAAAGTACCGACCACGGCCGGCAACCAGGGGACGTCAAAAATAGGTGCACAGGGTTCGCAGAAATTATTAGAGGCGGCCATTGTATTGGCTAGGGGCGGGCGAGTTCAAGCCAGCCCATCTCGTCGGCGGGAACAACACGCGACATCAGATGGCTGGAGCGAAGCAGCCTCGCGACGGGCAAGTCCGGCAGCAGTTGCCGCTTGACAGGGCAAATTAACAGCACCAACGACCGCTCTGCGCCGCTACAAAACCGGCCCGGTCTCTCCAACGGTTCAGGCCCCCTTCCCTGTAGCCCGCACGGGCCGCCCCTTAGAACGTGCTGCCCGCGTGGTGGCCGGGTTAAGGTCCATTCCTCAAGTTTTCAACCAACCCCTCTGGTCACGACGAGGTCACGCCTGCCCGTGCCGCTCTCGCTCTGTTGGGTCACCGTATCGGGACTCAGGGTTCATTCGCCCTTGCCACGTCGGAAAAGACAGCTTCCCAATCACGTGAATCTTTTATGCAAATTTCCAAGCCTTTTCGAGGTCCGGCTAGATCTCAGCGATAATTATCCTCGACCACCAGGCCGCCGTGGGTTTGTGCTTCTCAAAAGTGAACCCCGAAACGCGAGGACCCATGAAACAAACTAGGTAGGTCGACATGGCCGACAACCAGGCCAGGCCCATGGTGAGGGAGATGGCACACATTTACCCAACGACCGAAGCAAGACGGGAATTTAAATCTTTGGACCACTTCAGCATTTCCTTGGCCGAATGGCAACGCCGTTAAGGGCGAGTGGTCAACTGGAGAATTACCTCCTCGGCGACATGAACGAGGTAGATAGAGGGCATGCAAGAACTTGCGGCAACGTCGCCAAGAAATGGAAGCCAGCAGAAGCCTAAATTGATGCTGCAGCAGTGCATATTTATGACGAGTCTGAGGACCTGGCGAAGTAGAGGGGCGTACAGCACAAAAAGATTGCCGAGATATGGCGCCCTTTCACGCCCGAGCAGATCCGTGCTCGCCGACGGGGTCGCGCCGGCCGCGCCGTCTTCCAAGGCCCGAGACTCGTCTCAAGTTTCCTAGCGGCTTGCTTCCGCGGTTTCCACCCAGATCCTTTGAGACACACGACTCGTGCATATTAATTTCACGCCTAATGCAAGCTGGAGGATTGCATACATCCAATGTGCGCGGAGAGGGAATGAATCTCTGAAGCTCGGCAATGCCAATGGGTATATATAAAACAAGGGAGAGGCACACACTGCCAGTCGCCAGTCATCTCAGAAAATAACAGCCGTCGCCCGCTAGAGATTGATCCACCGCTTTTTCCGCCCTGAAATACATTTTTTTCCTGTTTCGAGAGCCCGCCAACGAATAGTGGATTGATTGGGCGCCTCCGTTTCACCCTCTTGCCCTCGAACCGGAACTCGTTTCTGCTCGTTTACCCAGTCGCCGTGAGCAGACTTTTACACACACCACGGCACAAACTCAAGCAAACTTTGTACACCAATCCTTCGCCACGCGACAGCCCACAATGTCAAGCCACGGTGTCTTCGGCTCCCAGACAAGCAGGGACCTCGTTAGTGGCGCCGGCTTCGTTCAAAAAGAGAATAAGACATGACGAGCCAGGAATATATGCTCTTGGACTCGTGTAAGTTGATAGGTCCCGCCTGTGGCCCTCTTTGTATATTTTTCCATTCGCAGGGCAACTGTTTCTTAAACCATCCTCTAGCGGCGTGATAGGTCCGGACACTCTACACTACAGCCGGTACAAAATAGATGAATGGCACGACAAGAACGGCGTCATATGGAAATCAGCTCAGAACAATGCCATATCGTGGCTTGATGCCCTTACGTCAATAATTGAGATAAAGACCATGCTACGCAGTGGGTCACTAGTTATAATTATCTCGACAACAAAGGACAAGGACCTGTACGTGCCTCTCTTCATTGGCCATTACTTGAACTATCGAAAACCAATAAGGGAATCGATGGATCTGGTATTTGGAAGCCATTGGTTGCATCGAAAGCCTTAGCAACCCCAATGGGATAAAACAGTCTCACATATTCATATCGGATAGTTAGTGATACCTGGACAAACCAAGGTTATTGGACCACGGCACCTGTTAGATTCACTAGGGTACCGGTACTGGAATCAACAGGGCGTAACTGTACGCCGAAAGCTGGTGGTTCAAGTGATGGATTCTAGCTGTGTGTTCTTCTCTCTAGCTTTCTGGCAGTGCCAGAAAGCCCCTTCTTATACTACTATTGTGGTGGCGAAGTGGGTGGCGAAGTCTCTATCTAGAACCTTCGAGGCCCTTCTGCTTGACAAATTCCAACAGCACCCTTTCTAACATGACGTGAAAAGAAGATTCAGTAACGAACCTTATCGACAGGGCCCTAAAGGTAATGGATATAGATTATGCTGAGGAAGATAGGCTTCTTCCAGCGGATATAGTACGTGCTTTTCTCCTAATATCCAAACCCCCCCCACCTCCCCCCCCCCTTTTGGGTATAACCCTGCCGACCTAGCTAACGATATCTAGCTCTTCTTCGGCAATTCACTTTCGAATATTGAAGTTGAGCACAATAGAGGTACGCACGTACGCGCAGTTGATGAGGCAAAAGGTTATAAGTTAATATCTTAATTAATTGCGCTGTTAATAGGTGTTAGGTTCCACCTTTCCGATTCCAAAATTGGCCGTAATGGGGAATTAGAGACACAAGCGTTCTTATCTGAGGAATATACCCGGCCTTAATCACTGGCGCAAAATGCGCGATATCGACGACCTTGCCAAAACAATGAAAGGGCCTGGGGACAAATATGAGGGCCAAGTACTCGGATACGCTGCCATAACCAACGACTCTTTCCAGCAGGACGCTAATGAAGGTCCCAAACCAAAGATACAACGATACGACGATATGGTTCTTTCGGATAGGATATCGGGGTGAGTTTGGATCGTTTTTTTAATCCCATCCATTTCTAACGTCCTGGTACTAAATCTCATAATCTAGGGCCTTCCATTATCTAAAACCTGGTTCCCAGGCCAAAGTTATTGAAGTTCGCATTATTAGTCCCGAAGCCGAAAAGCTGTGAAAAGATCGTATTAGCAAGGTGCGTAGTTATATATCTTCTTCATTCTCTATTTTTGTTTCTCTCATTAAGCTAAACTACTCGTGTTTGCATTTGCATTAGATTTGGATCCATGAATTGTCCCGAGCCAAGCCCATTCAAAGCAATGAGTTATGTCTCGAGTAGGCTTTTTCAAGACCTTGGCCCAGGAGGGAAAATAGTTCGAAATAGAGGAGAAGCTCCACCCGTCAATGATAGTGCCAGGCTCTAGGCGCTTCGCGATGCAAGGGTCAAATTCAATGGTAAAATGCGGGAGCTAGCTAACACCAGCGACGGTTTGTATGTTATATTCAACAAACTGACCGAACTGAGTCACGACCTCTATGATGGGAACGAGGCTGGGGGATACGACGCCCCGAGAAGCCAGATGATTGTCCCCCGTCAACTCCATGGATTACTTACTACCGGTGAGATAGTGTATAAAGGAGATATCAAGAGGCTATCGTCGGATCGAGACGACGAGAGTAGAGTGTTCCCGTATCATTACCGCATATTTGCTACTAGGCTGTGGAATATTCGAGCGCCTTACATCCGCGGCTCCTCCACAGCTGCAATTTCCAAGGAAGAGTACTTTGGATGAATTGACGGCTCGCGGATGCGAACCAAACGCGTCAGTATGGCGCAATGGAACCCGTGGTTATCTTTTGAGGGCCTGGCTTCTTTCCCCTATTTACTATCTTATTTTCAATAGACGTCGAAGACAGAGTTTGGCTGGTCCAACCTTGTCTGAACCGAAGAACTTGGAAAGGGGATTCCATTAGAATCACACCCCTATTGTTTTCCGCTCGAACTGTAGCCTCGCGATTCATCTTGGTGAAATAAAACACCCTTGCTTTTTTCAGCGAAATCGTAAGTTCAAGTAACACAGGTGGAACTGTGGCTCAACCTGGTAACCTCACCCCACCTTCCCCCCCTGTTGGTGCGCAATGCGCAAAGAAATTCGGCTGACATCATGCCTTAGATAACGAATTACGAATTACGCACCACACAGCGATTAGTAAGCGGCGGAACCGAGTCGCATTGTCCACTAATCAGTAACTAAGAGAGGCAGTATTTAATTACTATACGTATCGCACTTTGTCCAAGAACCCGAGGCAAACGTTGGCCCGATGGCGTGCAACGGGCCCAGTGCGGCAGCTGGAAGCCTGGCTTTTCCGCAAGGGGAAGGTGGCTGGAGAGCTAAGCAGGATTGCGGAGGTGCCACCAACCGAGGCATGGGCCTTGGCGATCGCTGGATGCAACTGTGGGGTCCAAGTCGGAGCCCATCCTCCCGTCCGCTCGCTCCTCATTTCATCCTCTCTCGTCCGCTTTTCGTCCCGGCGTTTAGAGTTCTTACTTGGCATCTCGTCCGAACGCCATCCCTGCATCCCGCGCCAATTAGTGCACGCCCCAGGGTCGGCACTGCAGACTTCCCAATCCTGCCTTGTTGCCTGGCCGGGAAGGCAGGATAAGGAAGCGAGTTGTTGGACATGATATGATTGATATCGGGGTGGCTGTCGGGAAGTGGAAGGCGGCCCAAGCCCCACTGGCCGAGGCCGACCAGGCGCCCAATGGCGTGCCGCGCATACTCGGGACTGGTAGCGACGGCCATGGCGACCTGCAGACGCGAGTTGCATCGAGGCCTGGGGTGGCGTTTGGGAGCTTCCCATTCAGAAGCTCCGGCCCATCCAAGGCACGCCAACGATCCCACCTACCTAGCCACGGCATGAGCTAGGAGGCATGAGCTAGGAAGCCCGGACGGGAGCGCCCTGACTGGCGGTGGACCGTTAGGCACTGGGAGGGTGGTGCGTCACGGCGCGAGATAAATACTGCAGCGCCATGATGTGCAGCTCACCGCGTTCCCGGGAGGTCTTGGCCTGCCGCTGCTGTTTCTCTCGCGCGCGCGCCTCGTTTAGTCCCGTCTCAGCCCTCACACTCCCACCATGAAGTCGTTCGTGAGCGCCGCTCTCGCGGCCGCGCAGCTGCTGCTTGCTGGCCCCGTGTCGGCCGGCGCCCTCAACCGCGGCCATGGCATGATGGAGATCGGGCCCATCGACACGGTCGTCGAGACGCACAGCAAGCGCGCCGAGCAGGCAGGGCTCAACGGCTGGGGCACCTTTGACCAGCTGATCGACCACGCGAACCCGAAGCTGGGCACCTTCAAGCAGCGGTACTGGTACGGCGCCCAGTACTGGAAGGGTCCCGGATCGCCCATCATCCTCGTCAACCCGGGCGAGCAGGCCGCCGACGGCTTCAACCGCACATACACCACGGCCGCTCGGCTGCCCGGCCTCTTCGCGCAGGAGACGGGCGGCGCGGTGGTCGTCATGGAGCACCGCTACTGGGGCGAGTCGTCTCCGTACCCCGAGTTGACGATCCAAAACCTCAAGTACCTCACGCTGTGGAACTCGCTCAAGGATATCTCGTACTTCGCCAACAACTTCGTGCCCCCCTTCGACCCGAGCGGCGGCAGCTCGCCCAAGAACGCCCCGTGGGTCTTCTCTGGCGGCTCGTACTCGGGCGCGCTGGCCGGGTGGTCTGCGGCGCTCGACCCGGGCACCATCTGGGCCTACCACGGCACCAGCGGCGTCGTCGAAGCGATCGGAGACTTTTGGCAGTACTTTGTGCCCGTGCAGGAGGCGACGCCCCAGAACTGCAGCCGCGATCTCTCGGCCACCATCGACAGCATTGACCTCGTGCTGAAGCTCGGCACTCCCAAGCAGAAGCACGACCTCAAGCAGAAGTTCCTGTTGACCGATCTGACCGATGCCGACTTTGCTTCGTGAGTTTACTGTTTTGGTCTGGAAATCCGTCGTTGAGAGGGAAACACTGACACTGGCATGCATCAACAGCGCGCTAGAGTACGGCCCCTGGTCGTGGCAGTCGTCGCAATTCTACTCGACCACCACGCAGGGCTTCAACCCCTACTACCAGTTCTGCGACTACATCGAGAACGTGTGGCCCAACTCGACGAACCCCGTTCCCGGCGCCAAGGGCGTTGGCGTCGCGAAGGCGCTCGAGGGATACGCCAAGTGGTTCAAGGAGGTCGAGCTGCCCGGAAGTAGGTCGTCCCTCCGACGCGCACTCTCTGAACTGCGAAATGCTGACGCGACTGTTTTTGCTCTGTACAGCTTGCGAGGCTGGCGGGTATGCCGAGTGGCAGGGCACTTACAACACGGGCTGCTATCAGAACCAGAACGCGTCCAACCCCGCCTACCACGACTTGACTGTCGGCAACTATTTCAACCGCCAGTGGAACTGGCTGCTTTGCAACGAGCCGTACGTGCTTCACAAATTCGCCCCCTAGACTCGGAGGCTAACCACTCTCTCCGCAGCTTTGAGTACTGGCAAGACGGAGCGCCGGTAGGGCGGCCGACGATTGTGTCGAGGCTCGTGACAGCCGACTACTGGCGGCAGCAATGCAACCTATGGTTCCCACGCAGCCAGGGCGGCGGGGGCGTGGGTATCGCGCAGGGCAAGCGGGCCAACGACGTGAACAGGTGGACGGGCGGGTGGTCGGCGACCAAGACGAAGCGGCTGATGTACGCCAACGGCGGGCTCGACCCGTGGCGCGACTCGACCGTGTCGAGCATCTTCCGCCCCGGCGGCCCGCTCAAGAGCACCGAGCAGCTGCCCGTGCGCGTCATCGCCGGCGGCATGCACTGCTCTGATTTGTACGGGCCCAACTGGGGCGTCAACCCCGGCGTCCAGCAGATCGTCAACGACGAGGTTGCTAATATCAAGACGTGGATTGCTGAGTTTTATGAGCTGAATAATAAGTCGGAGAGGAGCGAGCCGCGACCGAGACTTTAGGCAGGGGTGTAAGTAGACAGTAGAGTAATGCCATCCATTGGGGGGGGGGGGGGGGGGAGGGCAAGGAAACAAAATAAGCAAGCATAATTCGGTCAACTTTTGGAAATAGTCATATATTCAGAAATGTAATTACTTGAATCACAGATTGAGAGCTGCGGATGGTGAATGATTAGCCACGAATCTTGGAATGGTTGGCCCTTGTATTTATACAATGAATTACAACACACTGCATATTTGCGAGAAAGGGGTTGAAGTTTGGTCCAAAACTCAAGGCGATAATTGGAACAAGGCTCCCACCACGTACGTGCACAGTTTCAAAACTCGAACATGGAATAAAAAGGAAGTTGGTAGGGTTTGGACCACAAGGGTCAAGTTTACTACTGGGAAGAAAAAAAGGAAAAGCAAAAATAATGTTTCTCCTCGACCGGAATCGAGCCGGTGACCTTTCGGTATACAAATTGTCATTTACAGCCGAACGTGATAGCCAACTACACCACAAGGAGGAGTTTTGATTGGTGAATGGTGCGACAAGTAAAGTGACCTATGATAGCTAGCTGAGCGGGGTAGCTCGGGTATGCAGTTCAAAAACGAGACCAGCACAACTTCTAGCTTCACTGGCATGTGTTCAATGTTCCAAAAGCGAGAGCACAATAATTCATTATTTGGAATTTTCCGTATTTCTAATTTATTCAGATGAGGCGGTTATGGTAACCCGACGTGCAGCAAGTTGAGTTTCCCAGGCGGGGCGGGCAGCACAGGGGCACCTTCAAGTCAATGAACAACCCTAACCCTCAAAGTGCTTCGCTTCAAAGCCCCACTTTGGCATTCCACTCTGTGGTAATTGAATCCCGTCTGGGTCTTGAACTCTCCAGCATGTCTGTCATGGTCTTGCTCGAGAGGTCTGGAAACACAAGACATATCAATATTGCCACAATGTCGGGCGAAAGGGACCACGACTTAACAGTTATTCCCCACCCCGCGATTCCCCCCCCGCGATTCCCCCCCGCGATTCCCCCCCCGCGATGTATGTCCCCAAGACGTCGACCTCGCCTTTGTCGTTAATGATACGAAATTTATTCAGAATCTCCTTGCAGCTACTTACAGCTACTTACAACTAATTCATTATTTAACCACCCATTGGGTTAGTATGAGGACCTCATGCGGAATGGTACCTTGGAACGTTGACTTACTAGGCAGTCCCCTTACGTGCTGATAGAATAAAAATCCGCGAGTTGGCTCTGTGCAGCCTGGAGGATGGAGAAGGGCGTGGCGGCGCGTGCGGGCGGCGACTTGTGTCGTGATTCTATTTTTGGGATCCAAGCTCAGCCGCGGTTCATAGAGACCAGCTTGAATAAAAGACGTGGCCAATTCATAAATTCAATTCGGAACCGGGGAGGTCTTGAGGTGCTGTCAAGAGTCGATGGCGTGGGTTTGGGGATGGATGTTGTTGTCGGGTTCCACGCCTTTGGCTCGCATTAGGTACGACGGCAGTACTGGAATTACCCACCCAAAGGCGAGCATTTCGCACTGTACATTAAGTACCTTGGGGCGGCTGGGTTATGTACAGTATATACGTAGGGTTGGTACGGAGTATAGATACAGAGGCGTGCTTTCTTTTTCGACAGCGACAGAGGTGGGGCTAGATTCTTAGCGTGACAAAGAATTGGCAAGAGGGCAGTCGCCGCTTCACCGCATTTTCGACATGCTCTTGTTGGATCCAACAACGCTAGCGAGCAGACGTCAACGATCGCAAAGATGGAAAAGCATTTCACCCACATGATCCCCAAGCAGTGCGAGATCTGCGAGGCTAAAGAAGGGCTCCTCCGCTGCGCGGGCTGCAGCACGTATTATTTCTGCGGTCGAGCACACCAGCGCGAGTACTGGCCGACGCACAAGTCGACATGCAACACGATCAAAAACGCCAAACAGGTTGCCGACGACATGGAGGCCAAGATCCGTGCCGATGGTTATTACGACCACGTTCCGACCGCTGCCTTTTCCGACGATCCCAGACGCCGCATGTACATCCGTGCCCGCCTGACCCACGCCGAGATGCTGATCCGCTCATGGCGACACCAGGGCATTGAGGACGCCCTTACCATCTGCCAGGCCCTGGTGCGCCTTGACAGAGTGGACCGCGAGAGCTGCCGGGATTTGGTGCCCGCCCTGCTCCTGCGGCTCGGCCGTGATCAGGAGTGCTACGACTTTTGCAAGTGGTGGCAGGCCGTCGCCTGTGACGACTCCGACTACAACCCCAGAGATGCCACCCTCCCATTCCTCGACATCAAGGACGCCGACGCCACTGAGCCCGCCGATTTGTGGAAGGGAGAGCGGTTTCTCCGCGTAACCCACCTCGGCACGCTGCAGCTCCTCAAGATGCGCCTGTTCCGCGGCCTTCAGCTGGCCCAGCGGTGCCGCGCCACCACCCCGGGCCTGTCGGCGGCCGAGATACTCACCCGCATCCGCAGCGAGTACCGCGGCGACATCCTCGAGCGACGGCCCGAGCTCGTGGCTGACGACGCCACGCTCAACGAGTGCGCCACCCGCGTCAACGAGTCGCTGGCCGACCTGCTCCACTCTATCACCGCCACCAACAAAAACTACCTCATCATGCTCGTCAGTCCCACCCAAGAAGACTTCCAGGCAAACACGCACAAGTACGTGCCCGGGTCCGAGGAGGAGGCCCGGCTGGCATTCAGCAACACGTACAATGCCTGGGTCGAGTCCCCCGGCGCCATCGAGCAGCTGCGCAAGGTCCTGGACGTCATCGTCAAGGCAGGCACGGAGTAGTCGCTGAGCTTACATAGGATCATAACCATTGCTTCCTGTAGCGCGTGCTGCAATTAGTTTGAACTCGTCAGGTAGTTCAATGGCAGTTAGACCGTGCAATAATTGCTCTCATGCTTGTCGTAAGAAACATTAAGTAGTGAAGATGGGGCAATCAACAGGAAGCTTAAGAATGTATAGCTAGAATCCACTTTTCCATGTATTGTGACTGTTTCGCTACACGACCGGGTGCTTTTCTCTTGGGCTGCAAGCTGTTATACCAATTGAAACCAGGGATATTTCGGACTGAATTCCCCATTCCATTGGTACGTTTCTTTGTGTGTTATGTTCTGTTTTCTTTCATCTCCTCCAACAATTTCAGGAACGCCTTCTCTGATTCGTCTGTATCTGCTGTGTTGTGGATGGACAGACAGGAAAATAACAATGAAGTTGTTACCCAAGTGCCATGTTGTTCAGCAATCAACGAGGCTGAACCTTACATCCCCCTACATTTCTCTTCTCTAAACAACTCTGGTAGACATTGAATTCGCTGTAATCTACCATGTCGACTGTTCGTGGTTTAGATCAATCTCTGAGACTTCGTATAAATACGCCTTCTTCCTCTTTCGACTCTCGGATGTCCCGGTAACGAGCGTTTTCCGGCCCAGCGAACTGAACCTGCGCCCATTAATCTACCACCATCTCTGTTATTAAAGCCAATATATCACACAATGGCAGACACATTTGACACAACGAGCCAAGAGATCGCGGCGAGTCGAGAGAACGCTGCGACCCAAGAGAACGCTGCGACCCAAGAGAACGCTGCGACCCAAGAGAACGCTGCGACCCAAGAGAACACAACAAGCCAAGAGAACGCAACAAGCCAAGAGAGCGCAACAAAGCAAGCAGACGCCACTAACCGAGCAGACCCAAACCAGGACAACATACTTGTTACCCTGGCAGACGAGCTTAAGCTCCGCATCCTATACCGCCTATCGACGCGCGATGCCTTGAGGCTTTGCAATACATGCAATAGCATGTTAAACCTTGCTCAGGAGGTTGCGATCAGGGACCTGCGATCCGGCGACTACGAGTCCTTCTACTTCGCATTGAAATCCGGCTGTCTCGAGATGGCAAAGTTCTGTCTTGAGCACGGGGCGTCAGTCAGCGCCTTCTTCGCTTTGGATTAGAACTGGACGCCCCTGGGACAGGCAGTCAGGGGTCGCCTGTCGTTTCCCATCGTCAAACTCCTCGTCGAGGCAGGGGGCCAGTACAATTCTGACACCCTGGCCAGCGTCCTCCACTACGGCTGGAACCACGGGGTGCCGACCTTCTTCGACGTCCCCATCATCGCTCTCGGCCCCATACCCGAAGGCCACGTCTTGGAGAGCATCAAGATCGCCAAATACCTCATCGAGATGGATGTCACCCTCGAGGTCATGATCCCGGACATGCAAATCCAGGCCGCCAACCCCTTGCTCGCGAGCTTGGTGGCAAATATGAATCTTGGAGGCAACTGGTTCTCAATCCACTCCTTGCAACAGTTTCCGGGACTGACCCAGGCGATGCACAATCACCCGTTTGTGCACGCCCTTATACTGCACGACCTCAACCTAGCGGACGAAGCCATCCGGAAGTAGGCCTTTGACTTGATCAAGCTGATGCTCGAGGGGGAAAAAGGCTACGTGCTGAACTGGAGCATTGCACCTCTCGTCACGGAGAGCACGCTGCCGCACAGCAGCCAGGGGCTCGTGGACCTGCTCCTCAACAGCATCCAAGAGTGCGACCGCAACCAGTGGCTGTTCGAGATCATCAAGGCCTGCGCGGCGCACGGCATCAGCGACGTCGTCTTCGAGCGCTATTACAGCTGCACGGAGCGCATGCTTGCCCTCGGCGCAGACCCCATCTACACGGGCCCCATTGGCTGGCCCAGCCTGAGCACCTACGAAAGGATGGTGGCGACGGTGTTCAGGGGCGGCCTCTTCAAGAAGACCAGGATGCTCTCCCTGCTGGCCAACGCCTGGGATTCCGATGGCTCGCCCTCGGCTTCGTCAATGACTGAGTCTAGGGCAAACGAGGCTGTACCTAAGTTAGATCTTGGGGAGTCTGTCTCGCCCTCGCAAGAGGGGTAGTGAGAGGATCTTTGGACACTTGGGTACCTAATCGTGGATGAACATGTAAATGAGAAGGTATTCTTGGTCTGAATCGTAATTACTTGCATTAGAAACTGTGAATTTAACTTGCCTTTCGTACTCGCCATGACTGCCAATATGAATGACGAAGGTGTTTGTGTTTCTTTGTTGTTGACATAGGCAATTCACATTCACTTGCCAAAGAGCCTAACAATGCCATTATTCAGCCCGATATTAATATATCTTTTGAATTTGCATCTTCTTTATATTCGCATTTTCTTTATGTCCACAAGAACAGCGAATGCATGCAAAAGTGCTGACCAATACGGCCCCGCTGTACTGATTCTGTCCATTTGCTTGTGTCTAGGGGAGAGGTCAATATGTATTGAAATTGACGCGGTTTTGGGTAGCCCGGTCCAGTATGGCGCAAGAACTCTCTAATAAATGCGTGGCCAAGCAACTTTGGAGTTCCGATAATTATTTTACTCTGTATGTCCCCATGATAAGCCATGTACCGAGTACTAATACTGACCCTTCCCGAAGTCTTGTCCAAATGCCCAACCTCCACCATCGTGTCAAGACGCTATATGGTCAGTTCGGTGGCAGCTAAATGCTAGTTAAGAGTCTCAATTATCTCGATTTGACGTCTCTGCTTAGCCGAAATGGCAGGGTTACGTGAGAAAACCGACTTGCCTGCAGACTCGAGAGTAGACTAGTAGGATATGGCAGTGTAAATCATGGAGGAAGCGATACCGGTATTGTTTACCTTCTATGACAGAAGGTCGCCAGTCTAGTTGTTCGGTTAATTGACTATTAAGTAGCTATCACATCAGGATCAGTGGTGATCGGCATTATGAAAGAAAATCTCGTATTTCAGTATGTAGCAGATACGGATGAGCTAGCCAAAAATATCGGAGGCGTGCGTGTCAGGGGTTCATGCTGACGTGCTCTCCATCAGGCGCCACAGGATTCAACTCCGTCCAAGTATTCAGCCTTCCCCAAGAAAATCACACTCCCGGCCATTTCCGTTAAACAATGGCAATGTTTCGTGGTGTACCGTTGGATTCTAAGAGGTAGAGAATATTAGCTTCCAAGGAGCTGGCAGCCACGCAGCTGAGGCAAGGTCTTAATTACTGATGATTCCGCCTTCTATAATGGCCGCTACTCATGAACCCTCGCACCGCATCGCCGTCATAGGGTACGGTGCCCTTGCTCGACTCGCCCTTGTCACCTTGTTTCCCCTTGTTGGTGTTCCTTACGCTCTCGTTTGCCGGTGGGTTGTTGTGCGTGTCTTGTAGAGTATCGATGGTGACGTTGATGGCTAGAAGATAATAGATAATTCTAGAAGGGAGATGTCCAGCCGCTTATAGAAGTCGAAAGCAGAGCCATCTCCTAACGACATATCGATCTACGGGTGCATCACATCAAAAATGCCGTACATTATCATGCTCGTATCATAAATCTTACTGCTCATGGGTCGGGCGGTGGAGCGGCCTCGCGGGCGGCCGACTTGTGTCAAAACAAATAAAGCCATAGATATAGGACCAACCCATAAAAATGTTTTACCGATGAAATGGACAATAGCAGTAGGGGGCGAGGAGTATTTTCCATATAGGATAAGATACTGACTTGTTTGCCATTATGCGAAATGATTGGCCAATAATTATCAATCTGTGGTGGCGTGAGGAAAAGCGCCGTGTAACTAGGTCCCTAATCACTCTTTTGGCTTGCGCCTACCCACCATAGCTCGGCTGCTAATTTCACGTCGTGGCTGCTAATTTCACGTCGTGTTTACTATGTGATTTCTCCTACCATGTGTGGCTGGGATCGCAGGGTTCAGGCCGGAACCCGGCCTGGTGCGCCAGCCCAGGCATAGGTGGATCCTAGATCCACCAGTCCAGGCCATCACTTCCACATATATATTCCGTCATGGCCCAGATAGCTAGACTTTCTGCAAGCAATCCAGTCATTCCCGTCCTGCCCATAGCATGTCATTTAATTCATTACATTTTGGACAGAGCAAGCACGAGGATATTGTTAGCCATGACACTACCTATTAAGGTCGCGCCATATCTCGGGCTTGCCGCGGCCAGGGCACACAAACTTTGCGTTATAACAAAATTCGACTCAGTTTGTTTCCCTTGACCCAAGGCTTACCGCGTATAAGGCCAGGGACAGCATCATTTTCCAACACCCGATTGTCGAAGGTCGAATGTCAATCAAAACCATGACCGACGCTGTCAGGCTTCCGTTGGCCGTGGGCCATCGTAAAATTTGGGAGCTGCTAATTAGGAAGGTAGGCGGCTTGTGTAAGACACCTTCCCCAAGGCTTGAAATCGAACGAAGCCAAGTGTTGTATGGCACCGCCTTCCTCCAAGTTCTCCACTTGCAAGCTGCGGGACCTGGCAAACACGGCCGCGTTGAGCTAGTGCGATTGCCTGATTGGTGGAACGTGCAGACACGCGTATCTGCACCTCGCCAGCCAATCGCAACCCGGTCATGCTCTGGAATCGGCCGGCTTTCCACGCCTCGACGGAGCTGCTGTGCTGATCCTTGGAAAAATCCGGGATTTAGGAGAAAATGCACCATCCTGCCCCGCAATGCCTACCTTGACACCGTCAACGGCCGTCAGCCCTAGCCCCCTGCGCGCGGATACGAGTATTCGGTGCTACAACCCTTGCCCGGGTTTATGGAACGGATTACGTCGTTGACGATATTAATCACTCTCCAACTGCACAGCCGCGAATAACCCATGTCCATCCTCGACGCTACCGTCACCGAGAATCGACGGAACCGTCACCGAGAATCAACAGAACCGACACCGACGGCACCTGGCTCACGGCTATAAAATGACCACCCTCGCCAACTTGATTCACGGCGGTCGTTGTCCTGCGCACCATGTCCCTGTCCACCAGCCAGCGAAGACATTTCGCCATGTTTTTCCATCGCGCACTCGCCTGCCTTGCCGTCGCTGACCTTGCCCAGGCGGCTGGCTCCAAGATACACTGGGGCCCTTGCGATCCCGGCGAGTTCAACACGACCTTGTCTCTACAGTGCGGCACTCTCCGAGTGCCTCTCGACTATTCTCATCCCGATTCTAGCAGCAAGATCGGCCTCAAGGTCGTCAAAATTCCCGCCGCCGTTCAGCCGTCGAGGGGAGGCATCCAGCTCAACTTTGGAGGCCCTGGCTTTCCCTCGCGGCAGACGGCCGTCAGCTTTGGCCCCTTGCTGCAGAAGTAAGTCGGCCGTTCCATCTTGCCCTCCTTACGACGAGCTTTAGTTCTAGCGGTAATTAATTGTTACTGACGAGCGTTCTCCGCACTCTTAGGCTCAGCGGCGATGTCTATGATCTCCTCGCCTTTGACCCTCGGTAAGCACCAGCTGCAGGCCCATGTCCCTTTGAGTCGCCGCGGAACCTGACCACGTCAACCCATCTAGCGGGACCGGCACCACCATTCCGTTCATCTGCACCGATGACCCGTTCACCATTGGACAGATGCTCGACGAGATGGGGTCCGGGAACGCCTCGGACACGGCAATCGGGCGGCTATGGGCGCGTGGCGAGGTCGATGCAAACATCTGCAAACTGCACGGAAATGGCAACGACACGGGCGAGTTCATCGGCACTGCTTCCGTTGCCAGGGACATCATCAGCCTTGCCGACGCCCTCGGCGAGGACGGAATGCTGCGGTATTGGGGTAAGCAGGGAGCTCTGATGCGAAGCCTGGAGACTGGCACACTGACCTTTTTACTACCAGGCTTTTCTTACGGAACGACATTGGGCGCAACCGTCGCAGCCATGTTTCCGGAAAGAGTCGACAAGCTGGTCATCGACGGCGTTCAGAACCCCCACGACTATTACCACGCCGACGCGTAAGTGCCTTTCCTTGAATCTCCAGTAAAAGTCCGCGCCCAGAAACCAACCACTGATGTCCTACAGCGATTTCGAGGAATGGACCGACTCGGACAAGGTTTTTAGCTACTTCTTCACAAGCTGCATCGAAGCTGGCCCTGGAAAGTGCGCTATAGCCGCGCAAAACAAGACGGCGGCGGAGTTGGAGCAAGACGCGTGGGGTTTCATAGACGCGGTCCGTGCAGCTCCCATTCCGGCGGGGAATTATCTAGCCGACGAGAACGGGATCAAGAGCTTCATTCTCCAGGAGCTCAAGGACACGCACGGATGGTCAACCCTGTCCCAGATCCTGGCCGTCTTGGTGTACGGATCCGACGCGAGAAGGCGCCAGCTGCTCGAGGCTGTGTATGCTGCCGAGGAGGCGGCGAACGCCCTGGGTGTTCACAGTATTGATTCTGCGCAAAGACTGTGGGGCATCCACTGCAGCGACCGAGTCCCGCGCATCGACTCGTTCGACGAGGCTGCGGCCGTTTTCGCCAAGCTCAACAACATCAGCAGGCTCGTGGGCGGTTTGGTAGCGTACATCACGGCGCACTGCGCGCAGTGGCCGTGGCACGCTAGTAACCCGTATACGGGCGACTTCCGCGTCAAGACGAAGAACCCGATCCTGGTTGCCAGCAACAGCCGCGACGCACACACGCCGCTCAGATCGGCCCTCAACGTCAGCGCGGGATTCGAGGGAAGCGGATTTCTGCAGGTGAATGGCACTGGTGTAGGTCCTTCTCTGCCCTCTTTCTGCACCGTCCGCGACTGACATATTGATGCTGCAGCACGCTACCATCAGCGCGCCCTCCGTGTGCGGCTTCAGGGCGCTCGTGACCTACTGGATTAACGGCACCCTTCCCTCGCCCGGTTTGGTTTGCGAGACGGCCCAGCCTTTCGACGACAACGAGTGGGCCGACGTCATTGCGGAGGCTACTGGCTCTAGGAACACGACGTCGTTAAAGGAGAGGGTGGTATATCCCCGGCGGCTGCTTTGATTGGGGGCGTAAAGAAAGCTTGGGCTTCTTTCTGTCGTGTCCTCTTGTTGGCACATCTCATAAATATAGAAGATTTCTACTCGCAGGTCTACCGGTTGCCTAGCGACATGTTTTGTCTTTGCTCTATATTAAATAGACAATAGAGACTCATCGTCCCAATCCCAACCACCGCACTCAGTCCTCCCCCAGCACGAACCCGGCCATCATCTCCGGGGCCATCTCGCAGCCGAGCAACGGCGGCAGCGCGACGCGGTGGCGCGTCCACGCAATACCCTGCCGCACCTCGGCAATGTGCCCAATACCACTCCCCTCGACCAGCAGCGCCTCCGACACAGCGGCCACGAGCTCGCACCCCGAGTCGGCTACGACCCACATGCGCGGGTCCCGTGCCGCCGTGTCGAGCAGCACGCCCCAGTACAGCAGCACGAACAGCGCCATGGGCTCGCGCACGCGGATCGCCGCCGCGAACTCGGGCCCCGCCACCCCGAACAGCGACACAAAATACCCCTGCACGCGCCCCAGCCGCTCCTCGGCGAAGCAGTACGTGGTCTGCCCGATGGCGAGCTGGTAAGCCATGACCTCGCAGGCGAGCGGCGGCAGCGTCACCACCGCTAGCGCGTCGCTGTCGTCGCTCTCTCCGCTGGAAGTGGGAGTAGACGATGTAGGGTTGGCGGTGGCCGCAGGTGCGACGCGCACCTGCCGGCTGACGGCCGACAGCAGGTTGACAGCTGCCTGCGTGGCGGTGCCGTCCAGCACGCGTATCAGGCCGACGTCGACGGCGTATTCGCTGACGAGGGTGGCGACGGGGCTCGGCGTCGCCAGCAGCCACGCCATGTTGGCATACGCAATGTGCGCCGACGCCAGCAGCATGTCGCACAGCATGCTGACGCGGCCGATGATGTCCGTGTCTGCGTCCGTGTTCGTGTCTGTGTCTGTGTCTGTGGCGGGCGTGGCAAAGTGCACCACGGCGGCGACGGACGAGAAGTAGAACAGCAGGTCGACGTTGTCAGGGCTGACGGCGGCGACCTGCGTGCGGAACTCGGCGCTGGCGCGCGTGCTGTATTCGAGCGCCCAGCGCAGGTAGTACCCGTGGGTGTGCAGGCTGTCGGTGGAAGTCGCCCCCCGGGTCGCCAGCGCCAGGTCCATGGCGGCGGCGGACAGGATAGCGTTCATGAGGTAGCTGTGGCGCAGCGCGCAGCGCGGCAGCCGCTGCACCAGGTACGCCTCGCACTGCGGGATGCAGCTGAAGCTGGCCCACGACCGCGTCGCCCACCGGTGCATCAGCTCCAGCTCGAGCAGACGGTCGGACGGGGCCGTTGACGAGAACGAGCACGGCGACGGCACGCTCGGCGCCGGTGTTATCGTTGCCGGGGCGAGCAGCCTACCCCTACTGCGTACGTGAGACGGCAGGGCTGACGCGGGTCTGGGTGTTGGCAAGGCGGGCTTGTTTGGCTTTGCTGGGCCAGCAAGCAATATGCACGTGCTGGCTTCGTTGCGGAGCACGCAGCCTGCACATGGCGGTCCTTGCTCGTCACACTGGCAAGTCGAGAGTCAGTCAGTCAGTCATGCTCGAAGATGCAAGTTGTTGTTCAGACATCGAGCCCCTTACTTTTGTGTGGCGTCGCTTGCAGTTCCGACACCCTCGCCGCGATTTCGTGTGAGATTTTCTCTGCTGCATTGTTCTCGCTGTCTCCAATAGCCACCAAGCTGGCACAAGCACCTCAGCTGACGGCGAAGAGGGCAAGTTTCCGGCGATGTGTTTGGAAAGAGAGGTTAAACAGAGGTGCAGTGAGGGGGCGTCGAAAGGATTTGGCGATCGCCGGGCGGTGCTCCCGAAATGTAACAGTACCTAGCTACCTTACCTTGGCGTGGCAAGGCCGATTGGCTGAATAGGGGCTAGGCAGAATTACAAGACTAACTACCTCCCTAGTGGTACCTAGGTACATACGTCATGCGGTTATTCCAGACCCGCTCGCTTTGCTGATCGCCGTCAATTATTGAGCAGCACCAATAGGCAAAAAATCACTAAAAGGAAGGATCAGAGAAAGTTTCTTGCCCCTTTCTTTCTTTGATATTCCCACCACCGCTGCAGCAGCCATTCAATAGGCGCGATTTTTACATCCATCTTCATCAATTGCCATGGCAACGCCTCCTCATGCCGCACGAGGAAAGTGAGCAACCAAACAAAGAACATTAAAAAGAGGCGCGTGGCAACCTCATAAACAAAGGTAAAATAATGGCGCTGGCATAGAACCCAATAATGTGCCATTATCCAGCGATCTTGCTCTCGAAATAGCTGGGTAGGTATATATCCAAGATAGCCAACTCACGTGGCTCGACTCTTTAGATCGCTATAATGTCCCCTCGCTGCACCTGCACAACTACTCCCAATTCATTCTATTCCTTCCTTGGCTTTCCGCTCCTCGTTTCCATCACTCTCATCCGCCTCGTCTCCTTCCTCGTCATCACCCCCGTTATCATCGCCATCATCTTGCTCCCCATCCCCCTCCTCGCCCCTCCACAAGAACGGCCTCGGAAGGCGGCGCGGTGGATGGCAGCCATGCCCTTTTTGGAGTCGCGAAGATTGATTGCCAGCCCGGCAGGATCATTCTGCTCGGCGGCTATCCAGACGAGCCGAGAAACAATGTTGTCGAAGCCGCGGGCTGCAGCCATGCGCAAGGGAGTCCGGCCCGTGCGCGAGCGCTTGTTGATTTCAGCCAGTGGCATCTTGCGCCTAACAAGCGTTTCGAGTATTGCTGTAGCGATTGCTGTGGAAGTCTCGTCTCCAGCAAGACAGGTAAAGAAGAACGAGAAGAACGGAGTGCGATCGAAATTGTCCGCCAAGTTTATGTCAATATTCACTCCATTTAGGATGCTCTTCGAGCTCGATAAGAGCTTCGACGCAGTCTCTGTAACATTGCCACGCCGCGATGTAAAGTGCTGTCCGGCGAAATCTGTTGGTGTGATTGGGATTGGCTCCAGACTCGAGAAGCAGGCACAGGCAGTCGGCATGTCCGCTGTGTGCTGCTTGAAAGACGGCTGTGTCACCCATGGAATCGGGATCGCCGATTTCCGAGACACCAGACTCTGGGTCGATTGATGACGAGTTGACCTCAGAGTTGCCATGTCTGCAGCGTGCGCACAGAGTAACCTTCGGCGTGTTCTTCGTTATCGTGCACCTCCTTTGCTGAATGAAAACAAAGTTCTTCAACCTCTACCACATTAGGAATGAAAACCAGCTGCTCCCCAGCGATTTCGTCTTCGTATACGCTCAGGAAGGGACCGCTTGTCTTCCGGAGCTGTTCCATGGCAAGCGGAGACGCCTTCGGGAATCCGCTCTCTTCCTCCCCTATGTCAACCTCACTTCTATCAATGTTAAAGAGCTCATCATAGACCCCCTGAAAGGCGTCCATAATCTCGTTCGCATGGGGATAGCTCGGGTAATACGGAGCGAGGATGGCCCAGGTGACGGCAGTGCGCAAGAGGTCGACGTAGTCTGGGCTCATCTGACGAAGCGCTTCTCTTTAGAGGTCACTCATGCCTCCGGGTAGAGCCTTGAGACGCTTCAAGAGTGAACCCTGAAACGCCGCTCGAACGAACGGGATAACAACACTCGAGATGTAGTTGAATCGGAAGCCGGCTTTGGTGGCTATTGTAGCTGTTGCATCCTCCCGCTCGGCCGCTGATAGGCCTGGCAAATCCTCGAGCGCCGCACCAACTACGGTGGCAATGTCGTTGCTGTTCTCGAGGCCCACGTCAACCAAAATGGTGGGAGGCGCCCTCTCAGACAATCTTGTGGATAAACCGTAGGCCACTAGGATCTTGACCTGAATCCCAACGCCCTCTATAAGGGACCCTGTCTCACTCAGGTCCTGCAGCCTTTATTATAGGTCATCCTGTTGCTTGTCTGGGAGGGTCTTGTCAATGCCATCCAAAACGAAGATGGGACTTTGCGCGAGGATGGGACTTTGCCCGAGGATGGTGGCGATGCGAGAAAAGGCATATGGAAGGTCCAAAACGTCATCTTCCCTGTTGGTATTGAACCTGGCCGTGACCTTGTTCTTCTTGGCCACTGGATGTGCAAACACGTTGCACGCCTCCAGAAGTGCTAGATTCTCCGGGCCTTGAGCAGCATACTTGTAGAGCTTATACAAGAACGTATTGCAGATTCTATCAGCCGTCAGGATCTGAGACGCCTGGGCCATTAACATCCTTTTTTTTGTTAGCAGCGTGCCTGCGCAAAAAGACCCCAATGTAGGGTTCAAAGTCGTAGTGAATATTCGGGAAGAAAGTCATGTTTTCCACTTCAACGGTAGAAGTCGGGAAGTAAAATGGTAAGAGTTAAACTACCGAGGTAGTCAAGCAGGAGCTTTTTCTTCAGTCGAGCAGGAGCCGGCAGAGACACAAGTCCACCTACCGACCAGTCACCCATCAATCTCCAGTTGCCGTCTCTCTTCAATCTTGGTTGCCGTAGGTCAATCTCCATTCGTCCCCCCTGGGACTATCGCCCCCCCAGGACTAAGAACCCCAGGACTAAGAACCCCAGGACCAAGAACCCCAGGACAAAGAACCCCAGGACAAAGAACCCCAGGACCAAGAGCCCCAGGACCAAAAACCCCAGGACCAAGAATCCCATCACCCCCGGTAACGTCCCCATTGATACCCCCGAGACCGCCGGTCTCTGTCGACGACCGAAATGTCCACTAGAAGTTCTCAGTCTCAGCCAGAGCAAGAGCAAAAGAAAGTGCAAGAGCAAGCGCTCGTCAGGGGCATCTGCGCCTTCGAGACCAACACTCTGTGACGGCGAGCAGCTAGTCCGGCAGGATATAAGCGTGTCCTCTTCGTCGTATAGCTTATCGTGGCCTAGCTCGTGACGGCGAGCAGCTAGTCCGGTAGGATACGGGCGTGTCCTCCGCGCCGTATAGCTTGTCGCGGCCTGGCTCGTGACGGCGAGCATCGGTAGAGCTGCACGAGATGTAAAACAGTGGTTTGCTGGTTTCGTCGGTGCTCTCGAGGTAATCCACAATAGACGCCAGGACGGTAGACTTGCCAGTGCCTGGAGACGATAAAGTCAGTCAGCACGCCATGCGTTACTTAGTCCCGAAGATTATGCTAGTCATCCTACCTTCGCGGCCGCCTACACAGAACATGACGTTCTTCTTGGAATTCTCCCAACTTCGGTAATAGCCGTGCTCGAATGCCCACTCGCATGTTCCGGGATGCCGCGCATCGATGGCCCGGCTCAAGGTCTCGGTCGACGCTTTCAGAGGGTTGAGATCCTCTCGGTGCTTCTGAAACTCCTGTAGCGCAAGATCCCACGGTGTCTTGGGGTTTGGTCGAGGCTTTGAAATCCTCGAATCCTTTGAGAATGTCGTTAAGCCTCCGCAAAGAGTCGGTATGGAATCTCTCCTGTGTTTCCTGGAAGGAACTGATGCTTTTAACGGCACCCGGCACCCTTAATGTTGGACAGAACAGTCGAGACACCCTCGAGATGGGATAGCGACCTGTCCTGAAAAGCGCCTTGGCTCTCCTCGACGGCCTTCTTTTTGAGCGCGGCGATGGCCTCGAGCCTGCCCGCGAACTTGCTAGGTGCCTTTAATCAGCACCAGACCTGGTCAGGTTAGTGGAGCTCCCGGTGCCAGTGGACGCCAAGGCGACCGCACTTGCCTCGGCGCTCGAGGTCCAGTCTTGTCTCTCACAAGTTCGGTATTTGCCAGACCAATCAAAGGAACTCGGAAGTAATCCCGACTTCTTGGCTCAACGATGTGGCCATGGCCAAGACGAGTGGATCCAAGTTGCCATCTACACCCCAACACCCCAGACCTACCAGCAAGCAGGCAATGAAGTCTTCAAACCTTGTTACCTCTTCGCAACATGATGAATTCCTGACAAGCGACTCTGACCGGGAGTGACGATCAAATATCCGTCCTGTAAACCTCTACGGTCAAGGCGAGAAATGGAGCATCCATTCATCTGACGTACGTATGTATGTGTATATATATAAATATATAAATATGTATAACGTAATTGCATAGCGAGCGCGCATATATAGCGAGCGCGCACTTTTCCCACCCCAATTGAACTATCGCAAAACATCGTAAATTTCTCCACGATAAAACATGCCCGCCGTACGAAATGAAGCACAAATACAGCTTGCCCTTCAAGCTATGCAACGCGACAAGAATCTTCGCCTTGCAACTGCTGCAGCCCGATATTCCGTACCCCGAAGAACACTTGAGCGGCGTTCGAACGGAATCCTCCCTCGAGCAGAAATTATTGCCAATTCGCGGAATCTTGACCCCCTTGAAGAGCAGGTTATCATACGAAGGGCTCTCGACCTATACGAGCAAGGATTTTTGCCAGGATACGGTATAATAGAAGATATGGCCAATTTGCTACGCGCGACGCGTAACGCGTCACGCGTCGGACCACGCTGGGCTGCAAACTTCGTACGACGACAACCAGAGCTCAAGATGCGTTGGACGCGTCCGTACGACTACCAAAGAGCTAAATGCGAAGATCCAAAGATAATTGGCGCGTGGTTTGACCGTGTTCGTAATGCAATTGCGAAATATGGGATTCTCGAGTCGGATATCTGGAACTTTGACGAGACTGGGTTTACGATGGGCCAGATCTCGTCAACACTTGTTGTTACCTCGTCCGACGGCCGTGCGAAGGTGAAGAAGATCCAGCCTGGTAATCGGGAATGGGCTACCGTGATTCAGGCCGTACGGTCGGGTGGTGATACTATCCCTCCGTATATAGTGGTTGCGGGCAAAGTCCACCTCGAGAGTTGGTATCGCGATAGCCCTTTCCCATCCGACTGGGTAGTGCATCTCTCAGAAACTGGTTGGACGAATAACCGGGTTGGTCTTGATTGGATTAAACACTTTGACCAACACTCTTGCCGCCGTACGATAGGTGGAAAGCGACTCCTAATCCTTGACGGGCATGAGAGCCACCATTCGGCCGAATTTGAGGACTATTGCAAAGAAAATAACATCATTACGCTTTGTGTGCCTCCGCACTCATCACATCTACTTCAGCCTCTTGATATCGGGTGTTTTAGTGTATTGAAGCGGTCGTACGGCAAGGAAATTGAGAAGTTGATGCGCAACCATATTCACCACATCACTAAGCCCGACTTCTTTCTCGCCTTCTTCAGCGCATTCCACGCGACATTTGAACCCGAAAACGTACAAGGAGGTTTTCGAGGGGCAGGCCTTATTCCATTCGACCCAGAGAAGGTCATTTCCGGGTTAGATATCAAGCTTCATACGCCAATACCTACTGGGCCCCCCGAGGCCTCGTACGATAGTTGGGTCTCTCAAACGCCACAAAATGCTACCGAAGCCTCTCTACAGTCAATACACATCAAGGATCGTATTGCTAGACATCAAGGCAGTTCACCCACCCCGATTATTGAGGCCCTTGATCAGATTGTAAAGGGTACGACGAAGGTTATGCACGAGATAGTGTTGATGAAGGCGCGCGTGCGAGAGCTTGAGGAAGCAAATGCAGCATTGAGCAAACGCCGGAGAGCTAAAAAAAAGTCGTATCCGGGCAGGAGGACCATTAACTATGGAAGAAGCGAGTGATATTTTGGCCCAAAGGGATGCGCATGCATTGGTAGAGAAGGAAAAGCGATCGAGGGGTGGTCGTACGAGGAGCAACGCAACAGGTTTACGACACTGTAGTAATTGCGGCAAAATAGGACACAACTCTCGTACATGCAAGGAGGACGCGAAAATGGATGAGTAATTAGATTCTGAGTAGTTTCTATTAATTTTTTTCCTTTGTGGTGTTGGTATTTCGTATAATAGTTCAATTGGGGTAGGAAAAGTGCGCGCTCGCTATACATGCGCGCTCGCTATACAATCACGTTATATAACTAACTATATATATATGTATGTATATATATATACAGGTGCTATTTGCGTTGTGCCGAAGAAACAATCTTTCCAGTCTCGGCCCTGGGCTGATATAGTGTGACACGTCACGGTAGGAAATGGCCATTTGCTGAATATTATATATAAAAGGTTTGGCTAGATTTTGACATTCTCTTCTCCCTGTCCGGGCTGCTCACACAAACATTGATCAAGGCTAACCCTCTACTGCAGAGCGTTCACAATGGACGTGTAGGCAGCCTTAGGCGCGTAGCTGCTGTCGAACAGCAGGGGGTTGCCCGAGGGTCTCCAAGAGTCCTGTGTTTTCACGCCAGTCAGTCACGGTCACCAGTTCACTCTCGCAGGCCGTGTTTTCAAGTCGAAACTCACATTATCGCGGACGCCCCAGACGGTAATACCGACGCACTTGGGCTCGGACAGGCAGCCTTTCGTGATGGTGGCGTAGTCGCCGGCATTGTTGCCCTGGATGTCGAGCTCGGTCACGGCGACCTCCTTGACGCCGGCGCCGGCGAGGGCCGAGATGGCCTTGGCCAGGTTGGCGCCGCCGCCCGACGTGATGTGGCCCTGGGTACCGATGCCGTCGATGGGCGTGCCGGCGGCGATCCACTTCTTGACGTGGTCGACCATGCCCTTGGTCAGTTTTGTCGCTGTCGGGCTGTCGAGGTTGTAGTCGTTGATGTAGAGCACTGCGTCCGGGTCCGCCGCGCGCGCCGCCTTGAACCCGATGCTCACAAAGTCCTCGCCCAGCACGTTGGAGAAGACGCTGTTGCGGAGCGAGCCGTCCTCGTTGAACATCTCGTTGACGATGTCCTGCCGACACGCACCTTGGTCAGCTTTGAGAATTTCAGGAACAGATCAAGGTGTGGCACGTACGTAGCCTCTGATCTTGCCCTTGTACCGCGTCATGACGGTCGTGATGTGGCTCTGGATCGTGCTCGTCAGGACCGCCTTGTCGCGGATGTTGCTGACCCACCCGGCCAGCTGCGAGTGCCAGATGAAGGTGTGGCCCCTGATGGTCTTGTTGTGCGTGGTGGCCCAGTTGACGAGGAAGTCTGCCTGGCTCCACGTGTAGGTGCCCTTCTGGTTCTGCAGACTCTCCCACTTCATGCTGTTCTCGGGCGTCACCTGGCCGAAGTTGGCGTCGATGATGGCCGCGTTCTTGCCGGCGTTGAGCCGGCCCTGGTCAGTGCAGGTGCCAAAGTAGAGCTTGCCCTTGGCCTTCATCAGCGTGTCGATGCTCGTGGCCGCCTGCCGGGGCTCGTTGCCGGCGGGGGCTGCCGAGACCGCCAGCGGCGCCAGCAGGAGCATAAGATTGGCCCTCATGATGGCAAGGCGTGTGTGTTGATGCTGAACGAGATCCTGACTCCAACTTGGTGAGGTTGGGCGATCAACACTGGCTGTCCGTCTCCTCGTGCACGACCGAGATCCCGGGAGGGAGAGAGAGAGAGAGAGGCGAGCGGCTCCGTATAAATACCGATACCCGGCTATGAGAAAGGGATTCGGAAGACTAACAGCCCCCAATTTTCTCTTTTCCATCTTCAAGCGAGCCTATGGGAATGAAGCTAGGGTCGAGCTCCCATTGTCTTTGGGCCGCGCTGCCTCTTCCGTCTATCCCGCAGCCAAAGCTCCCATATGGTGGCCAACCCTGTCGTTGACGTACCGCCAGGGGGATTTCCCCCTGGCGCGAAAAGCTCCGCGCCGCCCACATGCGGGGCCCCGCAACGCCTCTCGACGCCAAGGGCTCGTGTGGTGGTGCGGCGGGTGGGCGTAGGGCGAGCTTTCTCCAAATTCTGCCATTAGCCGCGCGCTGCCAACGGTTCGGATAAAGCCCTGCTCTGCTCCTTTCCATTTTTGCCGTAGAGCGGACAATATGGGACTCTGCCGGCCCTCGCTGGGCCAGCCTCTCCCCGTTAGAAAATATCGGGGCGAATGAGAGCCCCCCAAGACCCCTGGCCGAGGGCTGCTATTGGCGGCATATTCATAGTGCGGCGCCAGCCCACGGCGCCCATCTGCCGCAAAGGGGCTTGGCGCCATCGGGATCGTGGAGAAGCAATAAGAGACGTCGGTTTCCCTACTCCGTCTCCCAAACAGCATTACGTCTTTTCCCGTCTTGTCCTTGTCTAGCTTCATTTGTGCGGGGGTCTCTGTCAGGGGCGCAGTCTGCCGGCTGACTGGAACCTGGGAATCATGGCCCGGAACCCATGATATCTTTGCTCCTTCGCGTTGAAAGCCGTCTGCAGTAGCCGTGTCTTTCTTCGCGTTGGCCGAAGTAGAATGTGACACAGCCCCCCTTTCTCCTACCGCGTAGCCGCTTCGAGCCCATGACGTTCACTCCGGAAATAGAGAGGTAAACAAATTAGAGCAGGCCCAAGCTTTACATGAGCTTGGATTACAAACATCTCTGTTGGTTGTCAGATCGCTGGATCAGCAAAGAAATAGAGAATAGAGCGATCCCACAACAGTAGCATGTAACATGGTTGCCCGTCTTGGTCTTGGGAACAACGGAAAGTCGGCACAAAGATATAATTACTCGTTTGCCCGCACTCGAGCTCGTTTAACCTCCTAGATTAAATGCCAACAGTAGGTGGTGAAGGGCAAGATAGTAGCTCGTCTTGGCTTTACAACCGAGGTTGGGAACTCGAGCGACATGCTAGGGCATCGATTAGGGTTGACAAGATTTAATACAAGTGAGCCTGGTCACCTGCGTAAATGTTTGTACGGGCTTTGAACGAATGAGCTGCAATGTCGTTGTTTACAAAATATCCAACCATATAGGTAATGACAATTCGAAACAAGTCGCCACCGACTCCAATCACCGTAAAACGCCCAAGCAATCCCAACCATGGTATTTATCTCACATGCAAAAACCTATCAAGCACTTATGATACATGTTCCCAAATATCTACACAGCCTATCTAGTAGCTACAGAGACGTGACCTTAGGATTTGGTCAGAAACTTCTGGAACGATTCCTGGTCGATGACCACGTTCCCGACAGCCCGCAGGCGCTTGCGGCCCGCCTTTTGCTTGTCGAGCAGCTTCCTGCGGCGGCCAATGTCGCTGGCATGCAGCTTGGCGAGCACGTCCTTGCGGAAGGGCTTGATGGTCTCGCGGGCGACGATGCGGCGGCCGGCAGTGGCTTGGATGATGACCTCTGCGGAAGCAGTGAGTATCTTGGCGCACGAGATGGAGGAACACATCGTGTTCAGGGGGAAAGAATGAGGAAAGAAAAGAAACGTACCAAACATTTGCCGATCGACATGCTCCTTGAACTTCTCGACCCACTGTCTACCGAGGCGGTCAACCACGCTGTTGTGCACCACGCGGGCAACGGCATCGACAGGGGCCTTGTTGACGAGCAGGTTCATCTTGACGAGATGGCTCTGGCGCCAGCCGGCATCCTCGTAATCGAGCGTGGCGTAGCCTTTGGTGGCGCCCTTGAGCTTGCCAAACAAGTCGTCAACGAGACTGGCTGTGGGCAATTCGTAGATGAGAATGACCTGGGTTGCGTGGAAGAACTCAATGCTCTTCTGGAGGCCGCGGGCCGCCTCGCAGATCTCGATGACGCGCCCCAGGTACTCGCCGGGCAAAGTCATGGTGGCGCTCACAAATGGCTCGTAGAGCGTGGCACGCTGTAGGCGGTGGTCGTCCGTCTCGGGGAACTCGGCGGGGTTGGTGACGATAGACTCCTTGCCGTTGCCCCACACGATCTTGGTCGGGACGGAAGGCTCTGTAATGATGACGTCGGCACCGTGCTCCTGGCGCAGCCGGTCCTGGAACACGGAGCAATGCAGGCTGCCGAGGAAGCCAAGGCGCCACCCCGCGCCGAGGGCCTCGGAGTGGTCCTTTTGCAGCGTGACACTGCGGTCATTGAGCACGAGCTGCCCAATGCTGTCCGCGAGCTTACTGTAATCCGCCTGGTCTGTCGGGAACGCCGCCACGAACACCATGGGCTTGGTCTCCTCAAATCCGGGGTACGGTTCGACGACACCCAAAGCTCCGACCTTTGTGAACGTGTCACCCATCTTGGCGTCCTGAATCCGCTTCATGCCCGGGGAGAAGAAAACATAGCCGACCTGGCCCGCCCGCAGCGCTGTCTGGGCCACCTGACCAGGGTGCTGGATGCCCACTTCGCCCACCGTGTACTCCTGCCCCGTAGCAAAGCTGACAAGCTTGTCGCCAGCCCGCACCTGCCCGTCGAAAACACGCACGAGCAGAACCACGCCGCGGAACGTGTCGTACCACGAATCCACTAGCAACATCCGCAAGGCTTTCTCGGCATTTCCAGTGGGGTGGGGAATGAGCTCAACCACGGCGGGAAGAACCTTGTCGATGCCCTGGCCCGTCTTCGCACTGACCCGGACAGCTTTGGAGGTGTCCATGTCGAAGACGGACTCGAGCTGCCCCAGGGCACGCTCGACATCGGCCGTCGGGAGGTCGACCTTGTTGACGACGGGGACCAGCGTAAGACCCTGGGCGAAAGCGAGATAGAAGTTGGCCACAGTCTGCGCCTGCACGCCCTGGGAGGCGTCGACGAGGAGCAGGGCACCGCCGCAGGACGCGTACGAGCGCGTGACCTCGGCGCGGAAGTCTACGTGGCCGGGGGTGTCGACGAGGTGGAGCAGGTAGTCGAGCCCGTCTTTGGGGTAGCGGTAGAGCATGGTGCAGGTCTGGGCCTTGACCGTGATTCCACGCTCGCGCTCGACGTCGAGCTTGTCCAGGACCTGCTTGTTCCCATCGCCGGCACTGATCGTACCCGTGTATTCCAGCAGCCTGTCGCTCAGGGTGCTCTTGCCGTGGTCGATGTGCGCCACGATGCAAAAGTTGCGATAGCGCTCGATGGGGATGGCGGCGATGCGTTGCTCGAGGTCGCTGGCATTTTTATTGCGGATGCCGCCGCTGGCAGTGGTTGAGGCGTGACATCTCTGGCCTCGGTAGAGGACCTGGGGGTGAAAGACGGTCGGGTCCGTCGAGGACGGGGATGAGGAAGAGGGTGGCGGTGGAGGGAGTTGTCGTGCAGGCGGCTGGCTGTGCGAGATGGGCCGCGAGGATCGGGAGGTGGCGCGCTTGCTGCTGCTGGTGCTGCTGCTGCTGCTAACTGTGAATGCCGCTCGGTTCAGCAGCAGCGGCAAGGCTCGAGGCGGCAGCCGCAGACATGGTCGCATGAGCCCTTGGAGACCCGGTGCGCCACGCATCCGATTGGCGCTTCAGGGTCATGGAGTTGCGAGGAGAGGGTCGGGTCGACGTCCGTGTTCTAACTTCTACCGGACCATGCTGTCCGCGTCAAAACGGCGTGCCAAAATTTTGGCCAGAAAGCTGGAGTCGCAGCTCGGTCCCGCGGTCCCCACCCAAAATTTCCCCAACTCCCATTGCCTAACAGGCCGCTTATCTTATCAGGACCTGCGCCAGCAACTCGTATCAACCTCGGGCAAGAATGTTCAGGGGACAGATGCAGCTGACCTTGAGGATCCGAGGCAGCTTCCTCCCTCTTTGGCACATATATATATCTCTTCATTCCGCTGCTATAAACAAAATCGTCCTACGTGACCTCCGTCCCGTCATCGTCTGCCATTCCTCCTGGCCAGACACATTCCGCCCCCCCCCTGCTGACATATGCAATTATATACCGAGGCAGCCGTGTTAGCCAAATCGTAGGGCTTCCTCTTGCGCCGACCGAGGGGTAAACCAAAGACGTCAAATCTTTTCAAGGATCTTCTTTCCCCTCTCCTCTTATCCCTTTTGCACACTCATTGCTCTTTCCTGCAGACCAGACTTGCTTTACTTGTCTAGTAGTAATCCTGCATCGTTGGAGTCGGTCCTTGGACGTAATCAATTATATATGCATCGAATCGAAACAAATCCTTCCATCCTCCCCCTTCACATAATTCTTACTCATCCGAGGGGCGTTTGGTCAAACAAGCACCCACTCGGTACCGCGCTTCACGAACTTGTCCAGCATCATGGTCAAGTCGGAGAGCACGAAGCGGCAAATGTAGAAGCCAAAAAACTCGGCGGCGTGCCGAGTGCACAACTCGAGCCCGACTTGCGTCTTGTCGGCGTGGCGCAGACCGGGGTCGTCAACCTGGCGAGCGATTTGGTCTAGGAAGCTTGATCAGTACTGATTGCCCTCGGCTCGCTGCTGTCTTTCACGGGTACTCACCGATTGTCTGAGCTGCGTCGAACAGTCTCGCCAACGCGCTCATGTAGTTCGCGTTCGGACCCGCGAACAACACGCTCCCAACATTTCGCTTCGTCGGTCGACTTGTGGGGTGGTTGGTCATGGGCAAACTCGACAGAAGCGCGTCTTTGCCACCAGACCCGTCGGTGGGTGTTGCCGACGAGCTGGTGCCGCCGCTCCCGCCCTTGCCGTTATATGCCGCCAGGGCTGGCAAATTGGCAGAGCTGTTCTTGCTCCGAAGTCTTCGCCACGAGAAACCGCTGCCCTTGGCCATGACAGAAGCAGACCTCGGCACTGATGATGCCTCGCTTTCGACAGCATTCGCGTCCTTGAACATGGTACTCGTACCTTGGACGCCTACCTCGCTGCCCAGCTTACGGGATAGGGTCGCTTGGACCTGCTCGAGCACGCCCTCAAGTGACTGCATCTCTTCCAGCACTGCATCGGCGTCAATCGTGTCTACCCTGGCCAGCTTCTGCAGAGCGGCTGTTAGGTAATCGCAGTTCGAGATCTTGTCTTCCAGGTACTTGAGCTTCACGCCCTTGACTCGCCACACGTCTCTCGGCACAAACAGCTTGTTGCTCAAATACCCCCCGCGCGGGTGGCACATGGTCTGGTAGAGGCAGCGCATCAGCCAGAATGGCCTGAGCATGACGTCGTTAGGACAAGGCTCGAGCAGTGCGGGCGCTTCAGCAGCCAACGTGTTGGGCGACCCCGGGCTGTTCGGTAGGTGAAAATGGCTGTCGAACAGGTGCAAGCCGCCGGCCACGGGGCCGTTTACCCGGTCCTTGAAACTCCCCACGAGCGGAGTGGGGAGCGACGGAAGGGCGGGCAGTCGAGAGGAAGATCCGCCAACTCCGAACTGGTTACTTAGCGGCGTCCCTGGTGACATGTCTGACGCGTCATCCATGTTTGAGACTGAGAGGTTTCGTGACTTCAAACTCTTCAGACTCGAGGAAGAGAAATTTTTCCGCAGCACTGGTCTTGACACGGACGGTGAGCCGGAGCGAGGCTGGTCATCCTGCACAAAACCTGTGGGAAGTGGCGGTGTTCCCGTTCCTTCTGCCAACGAGCCTGGAACCGGGGATGGAGTAGGTCTTCCCAGCGGTGGGCCATTCGTCCTGCTGGGACCGGCCGATAGAGCCTGGCGTTGTTGGACGATGTAGCTGCTCGTTTTTGGCTGAGAGGGGAACGATGGCCCCGCCGTGGCCGGTGGCGCTGCTTGGGTCAGCTTTGTCGTCTCAATCTTCAGTTGCTTTGGGTTTTGACCCGAGAGGCGACGGTTTCGCACGCTTTGGTTAGAGCCCTGGGAACCTGCAGAGGACGGCTGAGGCGGTAACTGGGGTATTTGAGGCAACGCCTGTTTGGGCGGCGAATGGAGCGGGGCGGCAATCTGAGAGAGGACCGTATTCTCGCTCACAGTTGTGAGTATAGTGGTGGCCGTCGGTGGGTTGGAACCCATCGAACTGTGCCAAGTTCGACTGGTTACCCCGCTGGAGTCCGATTCTCGCGGCACCGAAGACCGCACTTGACGGCCAAATGCAAAGTCTTCAATCACGTAGCCCCTAGTCATCTCTTCCAGCACCCGCTCCTCTTCATCCGTGTTGTGGCCGTCCCAGAAGTCATCGACAAACGCCTCCTTCCTCGAGTACTCCTCATCCTCTAGTTGTTGCTGCAACCGTAGCCTCTTTTCTCTTTCATTTGCCAGCTCCAGAGTCTCTCTCTCGGATTCCCGAACCCGCTCCCTCGCCAGCTCTACCCTCCGCAGTGTCTTGGCCATCACATCCTCAGAGTCTTCACGGTAAAGCTCACCTTCGTATGGGGTTTCGGGTTCGTACCCTTCGTCATAAGCAGCCTCGATTGCATCGTCCAGGGCGGCGTCAAACTCGGCCTCCGTGTCCCCACTTGCGGCCCTAATATGTTTTCTTCTTATACCCAGCGATGATGAGCGCGAGTGGACAGACGAAGCTGCCGACCCACCAGACTCGTCAATCGGGTCGAGCCACGATACTGACTCGTGGCTGTTCGCCCGCTGGTGTCCTCTCATCGAAACAGCCGGAGCTAGTCGAGCTCCAGCTCCAGAGTATTCAGGTCGAGTGAACCTATCCGGGCTTTCCTGTCCGGGTGGCGGTGGGGGTGGCTTAGCTGGAGACAGCGGTCGCCGAGGGGATAGTGGCGGCGGCAGGTAATCGTTGTCGACATGGGGTTGAAGGGTCGCGCCATTGTCGAATCGTGTTCGTGAGAAGGCTGATTGGAGGGAATACTGCTCCGTTAAGATCGCCCGGGGAACCTCCTTCGGAAATCTAGAACCGTCCCTCGGTACATCTATCGAGAGATTTGGGGGTGATTTTGAAGAGAACGAGAGCCTTGAAGCAGTTTTTGGCATGGAATAACTAGGCACCACGAAGTCTCTGTCGTGATCTTGCTCTCTTCCAACCACCGCCGGTTTCACATTTTCACGGGAACTTTCTTCTTCGTTAATGAAAGGCGAGCTCATAAACACGTCAATGTCATCTTGGAGTTCATTACTCTCGGGTCGCTGTGGGAGTTCTTTTTCGGCCAGCTCAAGCCCGGCAAGGAGCTCGTCAAGCTCATCGATTCGGCTCGTGTAGGTCTTGTGCTATAATTTGGGTCGAGTGTGTCAGGACTGAGTACTGCCGGGAAAGCCACGACAGGTACGGCCACAGTGAAAAGGGAGAAAGTAGGATGGAAGTTTGAACGTACAATGGCCTCTAACTTATTTCGGTCTTCATCTCCCGATGTGCGCTGGAGCACTTGTTGTAGCAAAGTGCAAGCCTCTGAATATGCTCTCCGTGCGCCTTCAGTATTCTGCGCATTGTCGAGCTGAACGGCCGTGTTTGCTTTTTGGAGGGCCTTTGACAACATAGCCCTCTGGGATGGCGGCTTGCCTGCGCGATCGCGCTCCCGATCGCGACCTTTCGATCCAGTCGAGTCAGCGCTGCCCTTGGCACCCGTTGACCTACTCCGCGAGTGCCCTCTCGGCTCGCCAATCTGTGCGGTATATAGCATCGTCGGAGGTAGCTCAATTACTGCGAGCGGGCCCAACGACTCCGCAGACTTCCGCTTCTGCTGCTTCTGCTTCTGCTGCGTCGACGACAGTCCCGGCTTTTCTTCTGAAATCTGTGGTATACCATCCCAGTAGAGTCCTAGATCGTCGCTCAGCCGGCGAATGTAGCGTAGTCGCTGTGGTTCTGTAACCTCCCCTAGTACATTAGACTGGCGAAATTCGTCCTCCAGCGACGGCCCGGTCGTTATCTGAGGCAAGCTCAGCAGCGGCGGAATCGGGGCTGGCAGAGGCGAATCGCTGCGGGCTTGAGACGAGGCAGCTCCCTGAGGCGAACCGCTGACTGTCGATGACCGGCTTTTGCGTAGCTTCTTGCTCGGCGAGGAAAAGGCGCCCCCGAGTACCTCGGAACTCACGCGACGAGTAAAGTTGGTGAGGTTGGAGGCGCGACTCGACGTCGTCGAAGCAGACCAGCGATTGAGGTTTCGAAAGCTGTCGCTGAGGCCGCTGGTGCTTCTCGACCGCGAGTGACCACTCGTGCGCGGAGGCTCGAGTTCTTTGGCCGGGTCTAGCGAGGCGGACGGAAGTGCCGGGTCATGGAAAAGATCTGCGCGGTTGGACGGCGCGTCGACTGCGGCGAGATCGAAAGTAATTCGTGCCGGAGGAAAGAGGGTCGGCGTCTGTGGGAGGGAGTGGGGAGGGAAAGCGGTGTACGATGTGCGGTGGGTTGTCGCCGAGGAGGCTTTTTTGTGTCGGCTTGGTACCGCTGGCCGGGGTTCGGCTGCAGGGGAGTCGACGAGGTCGGGGGGGTCGGGGGGGTAGCGGTTGGATTTGGCCACCAGATTGGCAGAGTCGCGACTGGGCCGCCGTGTTCTCGACGACGAGGGCGATTGCGATCCGGCGGGCTTGGAACCGCGGAAACTCGAGGATCGCGGGGGTAGCGACGTCGTCGACAAATAATCGGCGACACGTACCGGATACAAAGTTGGGAGTGTCGCGGCGGGATGGTACGAGGGCATCGCTGGGCGTCGAAAGGCGGACCTAGTATTTCTGGCTCTAATATTCCCCCCCCCCCAGCGCCTAGGGTAGCCGACCGAATTGAGACAGGCGGGACGCTTGACGGCACTCCAGGGGAAGCCGAGACAGAAGCGGGATGGGGTGGCTTCCAGCCAGCCTGGGCAGGGGGAGACGCGCCTGCAATCAGCCGGGGGTGGTGGGAACGATTTGATCCACGGGCTGCCGTTGGTCGCCTGCTGGGATATTTCGCTGCAGTTAACTGGTGGCTGCTCAATCTGTCGTCCAAAATCTTCTCCACCGCCAATACAATAGCTTCTGCCGTGATGCAGAAACAGTGGCTGCACGCTGGCGATTGGGGGGAAGCGGACCCGCCGACCTGATGCTGTGCGCAGGTCTCTGAGCACTGCTGCAATAGCAATGCACGGGCTGTCGTAGGTAATGAGCGGTCACCACAGCGGCGGGTTCTAGCGAGCGGCAGGTAACAGGTGTGAGTCGGGAAGTCAGTCGCGGAGGTCGTCGAACTGCGGTTGCGCGACACATATAACGTTCGTTGAGGGGCGCGCGTTGCCTTGGAGTGGTCGGTCGGCCAAAATTCAAGAAACCATGGGCTCGGAGGGAGATGCGGGCTTCTGGGCGACGGTTCCTCTTTGTGTTTTTTTTCCTGCTTCCCGCCGGTCCTTCGCTCCTGACTCAGTCCGCCGTCAAGTTCATCGCCGCCGCATTCCGTGCCTTTCTGGGGCGTCTTTCTGCGCCTGTGCCATGGATGCTGTCATCGTAATCAAGGCATCGCTCAGCCTTTCTTGAGGTCCACGGCTGTCTGCCCTGGGCCCGTCCGTTTCCAACACGCCGAGTGGCCAGACCACAGTGCATCCCTGGACCACTGACAGCCAGCGCGCACACAGCGTCTCCTGTCAGCTGCTTTCCCAAACCTGGCTGCACGAAACGCCCCTTCCCCTGTCTCTGCGCCGCCAAAAGTCTACAGGGGTGTTCGCTGGAAGAGCGGGGCATGTGCGCAACACGCCGCTACTGCGTGCTGGGCGGGCGAGATTACTATTGGACGGCTCCACGCCCCTCATGTTGCCTCCATGGGCTGGAGCTGGGGAACCTGCGTACTAAGAATCTAGTGCTAACATACTCCCGGTAAATAATATCGGCACTTCGTTAGCCACGAGTAGAGGGTACACGCATTGCCCGCCGCCAAACAGCGGCGTCGTCTTGTCGAAAAAGGGGTTGTGGTGGCAGCCACCGACCAACCCGGATCCGCACGGCGCTTTTTGATTGAATGTGCCTCGACTCCGTCTTTTTAAGCTTCAAGCTCCCCTCACTAAGCTCCCACCCGTCCTGCAGTCGCGAGATCGGCGGAGCTCGGTTTTTCGATTGAAATGACATTTGTACCGCGTGATTGACACGGCTCGAGGTGTAGGCGACTCCTTCCCTCAGATCTGTCAAGAAATCGCGAGTGTAACAACAGCCTCGTCGGGCTGCACGCGCATCACAACGTGGCCTCGAAAGAGAGCTTGGGATACACTCTCCGCCCCCAGCCCAGCCGCTTTTGCGGCGCGACGCGATGTATTTCACAAACCGCACCTTATCGTTTACCCACTTGCGACAAACACACCAGCCGCGTAATGCTGGCATTGTTGTTTGCGATTCTGCGAGTCGGCACTCGGTGTCCATTCGTCTTGGTTTCCTTTGCCCCCGCTCTGCATGCAGCCAGTGAGGCAGAGGTCACTTCTGCTCTCAGTCGAGCCCGACTAACAGCCCAGCGGGAACGAAGACGGTTTGTATTTTCCACGGGCAATCGCCACTGTTGGGTAGGCAACTGCCCGAACAGTGAACAACTCGAACCGAGCTCGCATTGTGTTCCTGCACCCAACTGAAAATGGTCCGTCGTGTTTCTGCGGGTCCTCCTGGAAAGGCTTGGATGGGGGTGCACAGCATCAGGCGCCGCGCTGGCATCAACGCCCAAAAATGGTGACAACTGTGTCCCAGTTGGGCAACTGGCAGCCTGCCTTCAAACGCACGCCGTTTCACGCCCACTTTCGAGGACGCCAGGCAGTCAGCAAATACGTGCACCTGTTTGCCGGCGCAGAACAAGAGAATGTTCAACTTCGAAAACGGAATGGGCAAAACAGCGAGCCAATGGAGCCTCAAGCGCGAATCGAATCTCTTGATGCACTCGGAGTCGGCGCCACCGGCGCAGTGGCGTCATTTGGCCGATCGTCAGCAGAGCCGCTGTCATTACCCACCCGAGCCATCCAGCAATCCCCCTTCACACGCCGGCGGCACCTCAGATTGCGGCAACCCGCAGTTTGGCCCTGTTTGGTCGTTGCCACATCGCCAAGACACCATTTCCCGAGCCTCAAGTGGCTATCGCTCGTCGTTTGTGACGTCCGCCCATGCCGTGCAGGCGTCGGATAGACCCACCTTGGGTACTTGAGCCCCATTCCCGCTCTGGCGCAGATGGCGCTGGAAGTCCGGCGACTGACTTGTCATCCATTGCAACGTGTTTTCTCCCTCTCTTCGTCTTTGCTCTCTTCGCGCGCTGTGATTTCACGGTTCGACCATTTCAGGGGAAGCGCCCAATATCCCGCCAGCCCATGTCGATAGCATGGCGCGCCGTTTTCTCCCTTCGTCATGTTTCCCATTTTCTCTCCCCCCCCACTGCGCTACCCAGCTCTGATCCGTGAAGGACTTGGACAATGCAACCCTCGAATGCAACTCGGAGTTCTGGGAAACATCGTCGCTAGGATGTTTGCTCTTTACTCCGACTCTTGTTTGTTTCATTTACGCCCCAGGTGGCCGTCCCGGCCCCTTTTTCGCGAGGCCATTGCGCAGATGATCCGGGCCTTGGCGCCGGGAACTCTGACGCCTCACTCGCTTTTTTTTTTGCTCCGCCGAACCAACACCTTGCTTCCGACGCACTGTCCTGCCTCTATGCACTTCGCAGTGCCTCGCTCGTGCATCCCGCCGCGGGATACTCCGTACTCAGCACCACCTTCGGGAATGAAATTGGGGCAAACAACTTTTTGTTCGCGAGCCTGGGAGCTTACGAATTTTTTTCCTTTTGTGGCTAACCTATTGAAGAATCATGGAAACAGGTAAAGTTTTTTATTCGGTAAGGATGGCGACCTCCAAGCAGCCCATCCATCAATGCTCTGCGTCATCGCATGGACGTTTGTCGCAACGCCGCCCTACGGGCGCCGCACGAGCCTCGTTTGCATTGGCCAAGCACACACACGGGCAATCGTCCTCGAATCCCCGTCCCCATTGATAGGGCCTCTGACGATGCAGGTGACCTACCGTGGTCTGCTAGCACTGGGTTCGAGCGCCTTTTGGTCGTTGGTGGCGTGTGATTCGGGCTGCCTCTCCTGATGATATATGTTTGGGTGATGCGCCGCCTCTGCCGTTCCGCCAACCGAGAGCCCCTGGTTCTGGCAAGGCCACGGGAATGGAGGCATCAACGATCGCGTCACTTTTGACGATCCTGCTCTGACATGATAGCACGTACCTCTGTCGATCTATCATTACCTAGTGCCAACATGAGTCCTCGTGCCCGTGTGTTCTCCACGAAGCATGTTTTGCCCTGTCTTCGGCATTGCTCTAGTACTTATTTCGTTCTAGTCGCACGTCATCCGTCACCTTTCTCATCCCATTTGCAACGCTCATGACCAGCTCTGGTGCGATGAGTCGTACGGTCAAGTGATTGCGCCTCGGCTGATGCAATATGGCCGAAAGCGAGCTTGTCTTGTTGTTTTTGCTTATCGGATAGTGTCCCGGCAGCGTGGGTTTTCGCGGTCGTTTGGTCCGCTCTTGATAGCCGAAAGGGGTGTTGGGTCTTTAACCTCTGTGAACCTTCACCGGGCAGCGGCAGATGCGTTATTATTCGTTCATTGAGACCCATGAATGAGTTAGTATTGTCGGCAAGCGCCCTTGTTTTGCTTTCAAGCAGTCCTATACAGTTGATAGGTGACTATGGCCGGCTAGGTACATTATCTCTTGTCTCTGCGCTTTTGCTTCACGTAAACTTTCCGAGCAAAGAATCACAAAACTCGCTTTAACATGTGGTTATCTGCCACATCTCGTGTGAATCGTCACACAAACAGCTAACTAAAATAGATATAAATACCGTAGATCGCACCGCTCCTAAAGGAATTTAAATGAACACTTGGCATGGTAAAACGAGAGGCGCTCGCAAAAGAGACGAGAATAGGCGAGCGATACCCAAAAGAAATTCAGGTGCGCAGGGGAATAACATGACGGCTCCTGTCAACCACCGTCTCCATCCTCCTTGCCAAAGGTCCAAAGGTCGTCGATACGGGGGTATTCGACATCCAGCTGGACCTGATAATGTCGGCGACCCATCCCAAGAGCGGGTCCGTGCTCAAACGGCCCTCCACTGGCGAAATTGTCGACTAGGCGAACTGAGACCCACAACGGGCTCCCGTCCACGATGATCTCAATCTTTTCCGACAGTGTCGGTCTGTCCTTCCCCAGCTGGAAGGTGAGTTCGCTCAACGAGTGGGGCTCCCTCGCGGCTTTGTCGCAGTTGAACCACTCCATCAACCCCGGGTGCTTTGGGGGGGAAAAGAGGTAGGCCTTTGGCGCCTCTAGCCCCTGGTCGATGAGGACGAGGAGTTGTAGGTCTGAGCCCTCGACCGTTTTGGTCACCAGGGCGGAGAATGCCAGGGACTCCTGAGGAGATCGATAGAAGATACGGCTGGACTCGTCCCAGTAGCTCTCCGGGATGGCCTTTTCGACGGGGCAGGGAAACGTAAAGATCTCGTGGAGCTCAAACTCCTCGATGTTTTCCCAGTCATGGGCGTCTCTTGCGATGAAGAAATTCTGGCGGCAGGTGAGGAGAGGCGGGTTTGCGATTGCGTACAGCGTGGGGAGGACGATGGTGAGGCTTCGTTGCTGCCGAGTGAACAGGTGGGGCCCGACCTTCTCCAAGGTTATTCCCACCGTTGTCTCCCCAACGCCTTGGACCCAGACAACGCCCAGCTTGAGAAGATAGACCAAGTTTCCACTGCTCTTGTCTGATAGCTTCAGCAGGCGGGTCTCAATCCGCCACCCCCTGTTGGTCATGCTGGACTCCTGAGCGGTGTTGTGGGCGTCGCTGTACAAGGAACTCGTTAATCTGCCGCCCAAAACTCCGGCCATGTGAACAGCGAAGCCGGCTGGCGAGGGCGCGAACAGGGTGTTTTCCCATGTGGAATCCGTGCCGTCTTCCCAGGCGAGGATGGTGACGTCGCTGCTCTTGCGCATGATTTCCTCTTGGAGGCGTCGGAAAGCGTTTATGCCTTCGCCGTATATGAGAGGCATGTTGACTTCAAATATGCCCAGCAGAGAATAGGCTGTGTCCTCGGCCCGCGTCGTGGTACGGCGGGCTGCCCACGACATTCTCTTGGCGACGGAGAAGCGGCTGAGGCGGGATTCAGACTTCAGGGCTGGTATCGAGATGCCAGTGATGGTGTTGATGATGTTGACCAAGGAGATTTTGGTGCCCCGGGGCTGCCACTTTTTATCGTAGAAGGACACATCCTTGGGGGCGATGAGTTCCTGCAACGTCCAGCCTCTTGTAAACCAGCGGCAGGCGGTGAGCCTGACTTCGAGATTGTCGCGGGTGGAGAGGTCGGAAAGATAGACGAAGCAGATGGCAGCCTGTTGGTACCAGCTGAACATGGAGTTGATGCTCTCCGTCAGCTCGGCGCTGCTCGTCTTGTCGATGCAGCAGGTGTCGACCCAGACCCAGTCCAAGCCGTGCTCGAGGGCCAGGCGACACGTCTCTGTGACCTTGCGGTAGCCCTTCTTGGCTGTCACGGAAGGCGGGCTTTTTCTCATATCCCGCAGCGTCACCTCCTCTTTCTCCCACGTGTGTGACAAAATGCCATAGCGAGGTACCTGGGAATCGAAAAACTCGTCGAACTCGAGAGTTTTTGCGTTGATCAGTCTCATTCTTCGGAATCGGGGCAACGGAAAGAGCAATCGTGGTATCAGTGGGTCTTTGCTGGCCGAGTCAACCGCGATTGCTGATAAATGAGGGGTGTGCCCAGTGAGAAGCCGGCATCATTGGAGTGTTGAGGGCACCAAGTGCAGGTGCGGCTGCATCAAACTAGGCAGGAGCGGTCACGTGGTTTCTTGGCTCGGAGATTTTGGCTGACTCGGAGATTGGGGTTCAGAGCCGTTGGTGCCTTCCTCTTCGTGGTCCAGCCACACAAGACGACGTAATTATGGCCGAAGCTAGGGTGCGGCGTGCCTGCCCAAACCCCGGATCTTCACCAGGGGACCCCGTCTTCATATGTACCGTCTCCATATGTACCTTGGGTAACCCCGACTACACGCCAAGCTTCTTCGTTGCTCCCCAATGAATTAAGGTGCGCAGACAAGCATTTTCTTTCATTTCTTATTGCTTGTTTGAAGGTTGACTGGGCACGGTCCCTACTTTTCACCCATTCTTACCTCAGGCAACCTTAGCTGCAATCTATTGAGTATTGTGTCCTGTGCCGAATCCCTTGATTAGGTATCTAGGTTATATAAATATTTTGCTCACTCGTGCTATGGGGGTTTGTGTCTCTGGAACATACTCCTCTCCCGGGAATCCGGATGTCCTCTATTTCCGGATAAGGCGGGATTTCTTCGACGTCTTTTGTTTCGAATAATAATTTGGGACTTCAGATCCGGACAGTACTGCGCACATTCACCAACTTACCTGTTGCACACCACTGGGTCTGGGGTTGTATCTTTCCCTGCTCGGGGCTTCTCTGTCGCAGCAGAGGGCACACGCATGTTCTCGCCGGAAGGCAGTCGGTCGAAACGGTATCCATTCTGTAACATGTGCCCCCTTCAAGACCAGGCGGTCTTGGTGCATGTGCTACAGGGGCTTTCAGTTCGTTACGTCCTCTGCCTAGGACTCAAGGCGCTCTGCCTAGGACTCAAGGCACCCTGGACATGGCCCTAGCAGACACCCCGGTCCCTCCAATATGTGACCCCAAAGTGAGGAGCCAACATCAAAGGTGTCGTGAAGTAATATCCTGCTCGTAGGTCAGGAGGGGATCGGCCTTGCCCAGCAATCCCGATTGGCTGCATTTCCCCAAGCTTGTCGAACCCGTGTTGAAGAATGGCAGCCACTCTTACCAAGAAAAGAAGAGTTATACTTGTATAGTTGGTAATACGGGCAGGATACATATTTATCTTGCAGCTCGGTCAGAAGTCCGGCTTTCCAGCTTTCCATCCACGGCCAGCAGCGCTGAGGCTCTTAGATTAAAGGTACCGAGTTTAAAGACCTAGAATCTCGACACAACACATAAGGGGGCCTTGCCCGTAAACTCCTTGGGCTTAGCTGTCCAAAAATAAACCCGTGAAATGGGGGTGGATGGTCGTGAACTTGTCTCTGAGGGTCTGTTTTCTGTGGTTGGTGGCTAAGATTGCTTGCCGGAGATGACGTGATAATTAATTAGCTAATGGCCACAACCCAATGCTCGAAGAATGCAAAGGAATGCGGCAATACGAAAACCTGCTGCCCGAAAACCTGCTGCCCGAAAACCTGCTGCCATCCAAAACTTTCTTCCTCACGGCACGGCCGTGTCTGTTCTGTCAGATCGGCGAAAATCTCGGTTGGGCACGAATATTACAGTTTGAACCACCTGAATATTAGTCTTGCTCGCAGCTCGACACGTTCGGTGTTAGTTATCCCAGATTTCCGAAGGAGCCTCGGGCCTAATCGCCCGTCGGCCTAACACCAACTGCGTTAACGATTTCAAGATTTTGAGTTAATTATTAATCCGCAGAGGGTGGGTCACGCCATCTCGTCGCCGTCTCCGCGAGAGCTTCGGAATAAGTCACCCGTCGGCCGAATAGTCTTCCCTTGCAGTGGTTTTCAAGTTTGAAGCCGAAAAAGCTGCAGGGGTCACGCAAATTCCCTCCAGTGCCTCTTTGGCTAGTTTTGAATATAGAATGTCCCAACTGTCTGAGACAGAACGAAACCGAACGTAAAGCCGTCGTGTATGCCCCCAGAAGGCGCGGTATCTGCTTGGCCACACCTTCTCTCGACGGTGGCTAATTGCAGGGCATGCCGCGAAGGCTAGGATAGGAGCAATCATGCAATCCCAGACTAAGACAGCGGTTTGGGCACAACGGGGGTAGTGTTTTTGACTATAGCAGTGTCCGTGAAAACACCACCCTTGTTAACGAAGATTGGCGTGTTCTGGTGTGGTGTCGACGAAGTTGACCGCATAGCGGCACAGATTTTCCGCCCTCCAACGGCCTCGCAACCCTTTTAGAACTAACACCAACTTGAAATTTGCTAGATGCCGCCGTCATCGAAATCGTGTTGCCTGATAATGCTCGCAGGGAAAGCGGCGCCAAGGCGGCCGCTCTGCCCGTTGGGGGAACGGGTTGTATTTGACAGACAAGCCGGAGCGGTAAGTGTAATTCTTATTGAGCTCACCACGATTCCAAACCGCACGGCGACTTTACTGACCCGCGGACTAAAAAACCAGTGCCCTTGTTTTTGCCAAATCCGGGCGGGAGGACCGCCCAAACGGCCAGTATTTCTGCCCGATCTTTGTCCGAGATGTCAATGGGATGGTCATACCCCCGTAGCTTCAGAGTTTCCTGTTCTACGGCGTGCCTTACAGGTACAAGGAAGCAAAGCTCCTCGTTGAAAATGGGTTGTTTCCAGCTCTGGATCGGTTGATGATGATATCAGCCTGGGGGATTGAGCTACACAGTCTAGCGACTGCCGAGTTTTTGAAGCACAAGGAAGAGTGGGCATAATGGCCACTTTAATCCAGGATTTGGCGCTGGTGAATTTTTGCCGTGGAAGGCCAATTGCATTGGTGAACTAACGATGTGCTGAACGGGCTGGCCTAGTGATACATGGGACCAAGGAACACTAAGCTACATGAACTCACGAAGCGAGACGGATAAACAGTTGGCTGGCCCAACGACATGCCGAGCTGGTGGTTTGAGCACTCCAGCGCTTGGCTGGCACAATGGTGCGCTGATTTGTTAGATGGCTGGGCTATCATGAACACACGAGCAGGGTCGATTCACCAAACACTGACAAGACTGCTGGAAGCCAAACTTGGGCACGCAAAGCATGTAAGTTGTCCGCCCTCTGCAAGTACCTAGTCACGCAATTCGCGTCGCGGCCAGAAATCGTATTTGTGGCCATCACCATGGCATTTCCTTAGAGTAAAAAGAAGGTTGAGCCAGCCAACCCCTGGCGCTCGGAAATCGGAAAGAAACAGCATCACCATGACCGGATTAGGCGTGATTAATGTGACCCAAGGTTGCTAAATAACCACCGCAGTGATACCACCCTTCAGCGGCCATATCGTTGACCAGTGCAGCAAACATGCTCAAGGAGGCTTAGCACTTCCTAGACTTGGTTCGCCAGCTCTTCATATAATCTCCTATGCACATGTGGAGAGACCTATTTTTGAAGGATCATTGGGAGTTTACACGGCGTCCCCAGACAAAACGATTTCGACCTTGGAGCTCGCCTGCGGAGTACGTTGCTCATAACAAGCTCGTTTGTTTTCCATGGGTATGCTGTAGAAAACTTTGGTTGGCGGGACAACCACCTTCATTATTTACTCCAGCCGTCAACTACGTAGTGCTGGACAATGAGTGCCATAATTTTGAACAGAGGCAAGATGACACCTCGTTGATAAGGTGACGGCCAACACTCTTAACTCAAAGGCTGATACGCTTGTCTTTTCACGGCTGCGATGCCCTTTGGCTCCTAATCAAGTGGGGTAGCAAGGTCGACGAGGAGAGACACGCAGCAGTTGGTGACAAAGCAAGCTTTGCTTATCAAGAACCGAAGAGTAGATGTCGTGATCGGGAACATTGTTATCCCAAATGCCAAGATATATAACTAGCCATTGACGCCCGGCTAAACATCTGCAGGTCAGCAAGAACCACGCACACCAGCCTTGGGCTGGACTGCAATTACCAGACTTGCGTTATTTCTGCCCAGTTGTTTTTACCACGGATATCCGAGAATGCTGGGGGTGGATGAGGGAAGCGGGTTTTGATTGGCTACAGCGTCGAGTGTATGGCTGCCGCAGCGCTGCCTTTGTCGTATCGGTAGGCTTGAGGCTGGAACAATCCCAGGCTGGTCGGCTAGACCTGATCAGTAATCCGGTATTCCAATGATTACTCAACAGCCTTGGTACCCGCAGCCGCACTCACCGAATCCCACCGAGCTGCTACCGGTGAGAGCCACTTACAAATGCGAACTTACTAATTGCCTAGCATCAATGATGTGAAGAAAGCGGTGATAGCAGGCTTAGATACGATGGAGTGGTCAGCACTTTCGCGTGTCGGGAGCTTATATCAGGAGCGAGTCCTCCACATTTGAGGTGGAGGTATCATCATTGCTAGTGGCTGATACTTCGCCCAATAGAGCAACGACTTCACTTAGAACGACTACTCCAACGCTTGATCGAGACGCTGCCTACCAATCAAGTCAAACGAAACCAGCTCATCCCAAACCCAGATATCCCACGTCCCCACGTAACGCAATGGCACAGCGCTTTCCCAACGTTGCCCTCCTCGGGGTATGTCTTCGGCCACTGTTCCCAAGCCCGCAGCCAACTACTGATAACTGACGCCGTCTCCTTGACACCTACAGGCAACAGGCAACCTCGGCCCGGCAATCCTCGACGCCCTTCGCTTCGCCCAGCCCCCCTTCGCCTCCATCACAGTATTGACGCGGACTGGTGGCGCAAACTACCCGCCCGACGTGCAAGTCAAAGTCGTCGACTACAGCTCTCAGGACTCTCTCGTACCGGCCCTGGCCGGCGTCGACGCCGTCGTGTCGTCGCTTACACCACGCGGCGGCGACGCGCAGGCCAACACGCTCGCGGCGGCGGTCACGGCGGGCGTGCGCTTCTTCCTGCCGTCCGAGTTTGGGCTCGCGAGCAGTAACGCGGCGCTTAACCGCGACTTCCCTAACTGGGCGGCTAAGGTGGCCGTACAGCAGCAGCTGGCGGCGCTGCGGGCGGCGGGCACCATCGACTACGCGCTGCTTTACGTGGGGCTGTTCCTCCACTGGGGCATGCAGGGCATGCTGGTGGACCTGGCGGGGCGGCGGGCTGAGCTGTGGGACGGCGGCGACACGCCCATTAGCTTCACGACCGTGGCGAGCATTGCTGCGGCTGTCGTGGCTGTGCTTGAGGGCAAGGCCGGCGACAAGGTCGAGCTCAGGGTCAAGGACATCACCCTCACCCAGCGCCGCCTGCTGGAGCTGTCTGTCCAGGCCGTTGGGCTTGAAGGGTGGGTAGTTACTACGTACGATACCGTGCAGGCGCATGCCAAGGCCAAGGAGAATGCCAAGGTGGGCATTCCGGATGTCGGGTATGCGTTCTTGAAGAGGGCTTTCGCAGACGGCGCATACGGGACGAGGTGGACCGCCGACGAGGATGATAGCGCGGCCCTAGGGCTCAAGGAGTGGACCGAAGACGACGTCGTGGCGCTCCTTCAACGTCTGGCGGCGGGTGCGGATAACTGAAGAGGCTTAAAATATTCAATTTGGCAATGTTGAAGAATGTTTAGGACCAAGGCTAGTGCTAAGATTCCGCCTAGTTTTAAAAGCTGACTGATGAACTGGCGGGCTGAGCTCCCCCCTCCTTCCAGAGGACACAGACAAGGCCCCAAACAGCTTGAAAGCCCATTTCACTGCTCCTTTGTGAAACATTTCATTCTTCATTCCTTCTTAAGTACTTCGTCTTTCTTAAATACTACGTCAAATTGCTCGTCAGGGCTAAAAAAACTCCCTGGCCAAGAGCAAGCCCCTTGGCGCACATTTCGAGCCAGGAATTTACTCGCGACCTAGTCAAAGTGTGTTTTTGTATTCCTGATGAGCAACCCAAAGGAGTTTTGCGTTACACATTCAAACGCTTGGGCTTTTCCTCTGTGATTGTTTGTGAAAGATTTATCCACATCTCGATCAGTCTACTGATACCTGAAGGCCTTTGCCGTTAAATTCGAGGCCTCCAGATTTGTGATAAGGCCTACAAAATTGTTCTAGAGGCCTTCAAGTTTCTTCAGATGGCATATATGACCGTGCTAGATTCATGTCCCTACTTGATTATGCTGCATGAATGCTTGTCGGCCAATCTCAAGGCGTTCGCCAACTGGGGCATATACAATTACAATTATACAAACAGGGCACATCCAAGTCTAAAGGATGTGAATAAACTCCTCTCCGCCCTCTTCGTTGTCCGACACATCGCCGTCGGCGCTTTCTTCGTCGGCTTCGTAGCTCGATAGACCACCCTCGTTCGACAGATGCGTGCGCTCGGGGCCGTCGGAGTCGTGGCTTCCCTGGTCGTCAGGCAAGGTATTATCGTGGAACGTGTTCTCAGAACTAACAAGGAAGTCATTCTACGACCTCTTTTTGGACTTTGAGCTAGTCTTTAGCGCCTTCTCCGTCTCCTGGAGAGCCCGGAACGCCTGTGCGCACTGCTTGACGCTGGAAACAAGTAGAACTGCGCTTGGTCAGTCATCGTTCAGGGCGGAGAGAGAGGAAACCTAGGGAGGGGCACAAACCGATCGGGATAACAATCCAGAAGGCATTCATGAGGAAATAATAGCCCCAGAAGTAGTAGCCCTCAGGACGGCAGTACGAGATGCCGAACATGTAGTGATCGAACATGCTGGTGGCGTAGTAGAGTACGTCACCGTAGAGCTGGCCGAGCGAGACGATGATCTGGAAGGCATGGCGAAGAGGGTGCTCGGTTGCAATCATGTACGCCACAACAAAGGACAGCGGTCCCCAGAAAACCTGCGGCGACGGAGTCAGCCAGTGTTCTCAAGCGGAGTGGTTATCTAATGAGGATGGGACCTCGTCTTACCGCGGTGATTGTCTCCATGCAGAGGACAAAGGGGTCTTTGGTGAGATATCGCGAGTCCGACAGCGAGTACTCCTTCCAGAGCTGGCCAAACAGGGTCTGCAATCCACCCATGGCCCGGAAGTTGTAGACATAGTAACCTTCGAAGAAGGCGTGGATGCAGCCCGAGAGGACGAACCAAAGGAGGGTGAAGAGCTCGGGGGTGGGCAGGCTCGGGCTGACTTTGATGACGACAAGGTAGGCTAGCGAGAAGACGCCGGCACAGCAAGCAGCGAACAGCGAGATCAGGGTGAGCACGCCCCGCTCATTGGCAAGATAGCCCGCAACCTCGACGCCGACAGGGTAGTAGGGGTGTGGGATCGAGACGGTGTCGCTGAGGGTCGAGGCGACATCGGGACCCGCCGAACCGAAAACGAGGGACGAATTGAAGGGCCACATTGTGACGGAAGACCAGATTGACTTAGCAGTGCGTGGATGAAGGAGGTGGTGCGCTTGCGAGGAAGGCGCGGCTTTAAGGTTGCTGTCGACGCGGTTGCGAGTACGGAAGAAAACTCGAAAGCTGTGGCGGTGCTGGAAATTAGATGTGCTCAAACTGGTGAATCGCCCAGCCCAAGAGGTTTAGCGCCCGCTGGGAAGTTTTGGTGGGGCCTACCGTATGTGGGGCGGCGGGCTCCGCGGACCGCGGCTGGAGGCAGCCGAGATGTTCAGGAGACGTGGATTATTTTTTCAAACCAGAACCAGTACAGTGCAAAGGTTGCAAATGGGCGCAGCTAAGATAACAATAATCAAAGCAAGGTTCATGCCCGGGCGAGGATAACGATTGGGTTATGGGAGAAAGCATTATCTGAAATTCCGATTGCGAGCAATAGGGATCGTAAGCATCAAACTGGCCTGACTTTATGGATTCCCGCGTCTTTGTACGATGCAGCTAGACCGGAACTCGGGAAGGCGACCGCTGCTAATGCCAGTTGGCTGGCGTACGGGTGGTTGACTCCTTCCCCCATCCGCTAGTCCAGCGTTCTGCGGAGGAAGCCGCGATGAGCCCTGCGCCAAGCGCCGTCACCGCTCGGACTGGCAAGTAGACCAAGATCTCAACCAGCAGGTACGCTACGGTACTGCCCTTGAAAGTGATACAAATTTCTGGAGGAGCTGTCAAACTGCAGGATCCCGGGACCGGACCCCTGTACTGCTCTAAGCTGCCTCTCGCCTAAACTGCAGTGGCCCTGGGAAAGCAGTGCACTGCAATTGCACATGGAAGTTGCCGTGTTGAGCCCCTTCTCCTTTATCCGCATTTATCCACATGAAAGTGTCCACGTCAACGGGTCCTGCCGCGTTTGTATGCCAGAGGGCAAGGGCTGCCGTCAACGTCATGGCTCCTTCTCAACGCGAACACATTGACAAACCCTGCCTACAAACTGCAAGGCGAGCCTTGCCGCGACGAGATTGCACGACGTCCAAAATCGAAATCCATCGACGAACTTTGCAAGCGGATTACTCACGAGCCCAGCATGCTACACGGCCATCGTACCGTGGCCGCCGTCCTCGCCGTCCTCGTTACGATCTTTATCTTGTTCAGACCGCCGCGACTAAATGATCTGCCGCCGCTGCCCTACCTCAAGGTGTCGGCCAAGGCGTCCCCCGACATTCTAAATGGCACGATCGGGGTGAGGCTGCTCCCGACCCAGGGCCCAAGTCGCGACCTGACGAGCTGACGTGCCTCCAGTTTCAGCAGGTTTTCGTCATCAACCTCCCCTCGCGAACCGACCGGCGCGACGCAATGACGCTAGCAGCAGCGCTCAGCAAGATCGACGTGACATGGGCCGACGGGGTCACAGGAGAGGCTGTGGTCGATAAAGCCATGCCCGGAGACAGCTGGGACAAATCAATTTCAAAGGGGAACAGGGGATCGTGGCGGGGGCACATGAATGTCCTTCAGAGGTACGAGGAGCTGCAGACTCGGCGATCTGCTACAGGAGCATCACCACTTACACGGCCACAGGGTGGTCCAGGAGAACATGACCAGCGCCCTCATTCTCGAAGACGACGCCGACTGGGATGTCCGGCTGAAGATGCAGATGCAGGTGTTCGCACAGGGTGCGCGGGCATTCACACAGCCCGTGACAGGCAAGCCGAGAATAACCGTCGCCGATTCCTACCTTGACGACGACAAGCTTCCCTTGGACCTGCCAGTGGACACCCTGCCGTCGAATCTCCGACCGGCTCTCACACCCTACGGCGACAGTTGGGACGTTCTCTGGCTGGGCCACTGCGGCACAGAGTTCCCGACGAGGCCCTCTACAGCAGCAGAGGATCCCACCTCTGCAGACACCAGCACCAAAGCCGAATCACCATCTCACAGGCCGCCGCTCCTGCGAGTAGTGATTCCGAACGATGGCACCGTACCTGCCCCAGAGCACTTGAAAGCCCACCCGTTTGCCCTCCAGGACCCCCTGGCCGAGCTGTACCCGCCGTACACGAGGATTGTGCACGCGTCGAGCGCCACAACATGCACCCAGGCGTACGCGGTCAGCCAGCAAGGGGCAAGGAAGCTGCTCTGGCAGTTTGGGCTGCAGTCGCTGACGACGGGATGGGATCTGATGCTGCGCGACTGGTGCGATGGGCTGTATCACTCTGCAGAGGTTCAGGGCGATGGCTCGACTCCACCAGTCTGCGTGACCATTCAGCCGCCGCTGTTCAGCCACCACTTCGGCAAGGGTGCCGCTTCGGATATCACGGCACCTGGTGGGGGATTTGTCAACAAGGACAAGGAGATGACGCCGTACGTGAGGCTCAGCGTGAGGTTAAATATGGGAAGGCTTGTCGGCGGGGCTAGGGATGACGGCTTGGTGGATCAGTGGCCTGACGAGAAGCGGGAGGCCTGAGAAGGTGGGGGGCATGTTTGTTTGAGTCTTATATCTTGTGGTTTGCTTGATGTTGGTATCTTGACGACATGGCTGATTGTCTATGGCAGCTATCGGGTAGTTACTGTTGGAATTTGTCAAGCAGAAGGGCCTCGAAGGTTCTAGATAGAGACTTCGCCACCCACTTCGCCACCACAATAGTAGTATAAGAACGGGCTTTCTGGCACTGCCAGAAAGCTAGAGAGAAGAACAGACATCTACAATCCATCACTTGAACCACCAGTTTTCGGCGTGCAGCCACGCCCTGTTGAGTCCAGTACCGGTACCCTGGTGAATCCAACAGTTACCTCAAAGTAGACGAGGCTATATGATGGCCTGGAGCTGTGCTTGACCTCATTTTTACCATGGTTTATCGTATTTGATTTCATATGCACTTATCTGAGCCGCTGGAAGCGGGCTTGCCTGTTGTTATGCTTGTTCCGACGTTGCCATTTCCGTAGGCGTGGTGTATACCTAGTTTCATGAGGGCTGCGAGAGTGGATTTCTTATAGATAGGCTGTCGTACGTAACGATAAAGTGGGTGTTCCGGTGGATTCTCTAAATTAAGTGGAGCTCGTTATGATATTAAAAACAGGTCTCCTGTCTTATATAACGTTGCTTAATCGGAAGGTAGGAAAAAGAGAGGACGATCTAGTCTGTTTACAAAGACCGGGGTCCTGGTCAGGCCTTCGGTCACCTCTGCGTAGTGTAAAACCCCTTCCCTCCCCTGCGCCTACTCATCTCATCATTATGCCTACTGAACATGCCTCCACGTCCTACTTGCACGTCTTTGCTCTACATTTAGCCAAGGGGATGAAACAAAAGGAAAAATGGACTTTAGTGGGCGAGGGCTATATCCCCCTTTAAGACAACCCTTTTTTCCCCCTGGCCACCTACCCCGTACTTAGTGGCCCGATTCGTTTGCAGCGAGGCGTCGCAGCAGGTCGACGAGGATCCGCCCCTCATACTCGTGGGCGGGCTGCTCCCGCGTGAGACGAAGTGCCACCTGCATGGGCTACTCGCCGGGCGCGTCTGGTCGGTCGAACATGGCGCCGCTGCGTGTCAACCGGTCTACGACACGTGCGGCATTATCTTGGATTCTGGCTCTGGCGGCTTCAACGCTGTCCGGGTTTCCGAATGCCGCTGGGTGCATGGCGATAGCGCTGTAGTGGAACATGTCCTCGGCACAGTGCAAGGCTGTCAGACGGTATGGTCCAGCCGCGGCGCTCACGTCCGCTTCCTAGTCTGGTTCTAGCAGCTGCTCGATGATCTGCAACGGCGCCTAGGTCATCACGGCCAGGACCAGCTAGCGGGCGTCTGCCGTTGACGTCGGCTCCATACGCCAGCATCGTGGCAATGAGGTCGCCCACCTGGTCAACCCTCACCCCTCACCTCTCTTTCGTCTTCACGCAGAGCGGCTAGTCCGTGTAGACAGGCCGTGGCAATGTATCCGAGCGTGCCGATGCTGTAAGGGTCGATTGTGGAACGGGCGAATGAGACCTCACTTGTTGCTGTGTTGAGGAAAAGCGTCTGGCGAGATAGGATAGCGGCGGCGCCGGCACCGTTGCCGCTGTGAAGAAGAGCAATCACCTTTCCTCCCATACGCCGACTTATCCTATAATCAGGCCTACGGATTCACGCCATATTCACACGTTCTCGCTCCATTATTATCCGTCCTCCCTCTCTCCCTGTCTTGTCCACTTCCGGTGCCGCATCCAATCTCCAGCAGAGCCTTGGCGATCTCATGATGGCCGATGTAAGTGGCGAGGTGCAGCGGCGTGCAGACGCTTCGGTTCTCGTGCGCCTCGGTACTCGTGCGCCTCGGTACTCGTGCGCCTCGATATTCGTGCGCCTCGTTGCCTTCCGGAAGTCATACCAGAGGTAGGAGGTGGTGGTGTCGACGTTAGGCAGATGGTGCGGGGTTAGGATCGGATCTCCTTAGCAGGCAGAGACAAGCGTTCGGACGGTTCCTGGGCGGTCGCCGAGCGCCGCGGCCCACAGCGACGCGCTGGCGCGCTGGTGGGCCACGTTGAGCTTGTACAGCTCGGGGTTGAGGAGGTGGTGGAATCGCTTGGAAACCTGTGCTAGGTGGTCCTTGTCGCCGGCCTCGGGCAAATGGCCGTTGATCTGGAGGAGAATCTCGGCGGGGAATGAGGCAAATTGGGCCGTATCGAGAAGAGGTAGCGAGTGGAGACGGGAGGATCCAAGGTTATATCTTGCTTGAGGTCGGAAGAAGGGAAGGGCGAGGAGAGGAGGATCCAAGCTTACTGCGTGAGGTCAGAGGAGGTAAATGGAGAGCAAGTCGGTATCTAGTCTGGAGCTAGGAGCTGTTTATGGCGAGGAGAGCAGGATTTCAGTTTTGTGAGCTCGGGAGAAAGAGGAAGTGGTACCCAAGTTGGTATCGTGTATGAATTTGGAAGCGGGGAACGCCAATGAGCCCCGTGTGAGGTTGGAGGAGGGAGAGAGAGAACACCCAAGTTTGATATTTTCAATTTTGTGCGAATTTTGTTTTCCCTATTGTGCGGGCGTTCCACGATCATCCGCTGTTCTTGGCTGCCTCTCCACCAACGATTGCGACCATTCGACGGTATCACCTGGTGGCTGCCCTTAGCACTGGTGTCCAGCTTCTGTTTTGTCTGATTTGCACCGAAACTCGTCGGGCGGCGTGCTTGGGCGTCACTATTTGGGCGAAATGCAGTACGTGATTGTCGTGGCTCTCTCTTGGAAGCTCGAGTGCAATGGAAACGGCAGGCGGAGGCTGAGGTGGGCGCATTTACGGCAAATAACCTATCACCACCGACACGTTGGCTAGGGACCACGATCAGAGCAAACGAGGTGACGCAAATCACACACGTAGACGTTCAAGAGCATTAGCTACAAGGTCACATGTAGTGCCGACCAAAGATTCACGACGAGACGCGACGCGTTGAGACAACCAGATAGGCAAGCATTGCAAGCATTACAGAGCTTCATGAAACAAAGCAGGCAGAGAAAAGGCAGATTCTTCTCCATGGCACCACTAAAGCGATGCTCACAGTGAAAAAAAACTTGGGTTAGACAGAGTCTAAGTAAGATGTTTGGGAACAAAAAATTATGCTGGTCTGCCCTCCGAAATGGGAAGAATGCCTTCACTACCCGCAGAGTGCAATGCAGGGCGAAGACACTAGGCCAAGGAAATCTTGAGCTCCTTGGCCCCCGACTGGGGATTCAGCCCGCCGATCCCTAAGGAAGGGCAGCTTCCTCCCCTCTGGATACCTGGGCCAGAAGATAGGGGAAAAAGAAGAAAGGAAGAGGAAGTTCGGGGAGGGAAGGGCTCTTTAAATAAGGAACCAAGTTGATCCGTGCACGACTGCAAAAAAGGTACCCCCAAGAGGTACCTACCCGAGACCCACCCACCTACCTTCCTGGGGGCTGCTCGAGGGCTCCTGGTCTTGCCCCGGCCAATGGGAGGCCGTGGACGACGGTCGAAGACCCGCCCGCCCTGGGCCAGGCGTCACGGGACCTCCCCTAGGGGTGCTGGCCGCTTATTATTAGGGAGAGCATTGGCCCTCCTCTACCGAAGGCAGCTCATTACTGCCCATTACTGCCCTGCCCGTTTGTGAGTCTGATTCCATCTTTCGCGCCCGTCTTGAGCCAAGATTGTGCGAGCATTCTGGCCTCTCGCCTCCAGCCCCTCCCTCCAGCCCCTCTATCCAGCCCTCCCTCCAGCCCTCCCTCCAGCCCTCCCTCCAGTCCCTCCCTCGGCACGGCCCAACACTCTCTGCTCCCGATCTGGTCTAGTATCCAGTCCTTTCTCGTCTCTAATTCGCTCACTTGAGAACGCCGTCTCCGATCATCGCTAGCACGGCGAGATATTTTGTCCATTCCATAATAATCGGGCCTGGAGCTACGAAATCTCAAACTTGGGCCGTTGTGAGGGCGAGAACCGCATCGCCGGCATATCTACCTCCAGAAAAATGATACTTCTTCCTGGCAGCAAGGTTTCTGAGCTCACCGTTATTCAATCCAAGAGCTCCCGCCGCCTTTCTCCTCTCGTCCTACTGCCTACATGGAGGTCCCGCTAATCATGGCCATAGCTATCAACATTCCCTCTCTGGAAGCGGCCAGTGCCAGACTTAACTGCGTGGTCGAGAAGGCCCTATGTAAAAGCTGAGAACTAAGACGAGCTGTCTGCGCGCGGTAATAGACTTACGGAAAATCAGTCCTACAGGGCAAACAAGGGAGAAGATATCGGAGAGCGAGTTATTCAAGGCCACGGTATCTGGTGTAATTTTGACTACCTAAACTGCCGGATGGGCAATTCCACGGCCTCACATGGGGATGTGACTTCACCTCCAGCCTCTTGTATGTTCCCCATCTTCCACCGTATCCCTACTGCCTCCAGTCATGTCAATAGAGAACAATTACTGACTAGCATTCGTAGCATTCGTAGCATTCCTATAACCGCACAGCAAATTCCTTCCAAGCGGACGACGACACACGGAGCTCGATGACGACCACATATCCCCGGTCAACAGCAGCCGCCCTGGTAACGAGGGAAGGGAGAGAGATAGCTCTGTGGGCAATACGGACAAGACACCAGAAGGCTATCGACGATGCTGTTCCTCAGAAACCCTAGATATCGCCAATGGACCCAGCGTCTGCGGAATTATTGGGCGACGCCGCATAACCGATCGAACTTCGAATACAAACCCCGCCGGTACATTCTGACGTCTTTTGTGGAGGCCTGGGTGGAGGTATACGTGGCGTACCCGTCGTCGGTCGAAACACGACACAAGCCGTTGAATAAATCCGACGTTGAGGCTGTGAGGGCGGGGGCGGGGACGATCTCATTGTAGAGCTCTAGTCATTTTCGCATGTGTTCTGTAAAAGGCAGGTTCCCTTGCGCTGACACTGGTCCCACTACAGGTTTGCTTTGTCCTTGACAACCATTCTCTTGCGGAAATTGTCAGAGTAATGAGGCAGAAAATGAATCATTACACTGAGTAAGGTGGTTTCTGAATATAAGGTGTACCGACAGAGGGGGACAGAAAATGGGACGCGCAGCTATGAGTTACGTCGATGGTACTTCAGGGTTAGGACATTTGGATATGAAAGCTTTGTCATGCTTGAAACTTCCGCTTGCTCGTGATTCGTCTTCAAAAACATGGGACCTTTCTAAGCAAGTCTAGAGCCGAATCGGGGACATTCTGAATATGCTTTCAGCCAGCCGCCAGTGTTCATGGGGCCAGTCACACCACGAAAGAACCAGCCGGCGGAATAACTCTGGAGACCACCAAGGACACTTTCGACAGAAATGCCTTGGTGCGGTCCGTTCTCCGAACCCTCGTCCTCGCGGTGGGGTTAGAGGCCCTGTCCGAGAGGTAGACATTGAAGAGCTCGCTCTACGCGTGACGAAACTAGAGAAGGCCAACCAAATGATCACCCGACAAGTCAGCACCAACACCAGAGACTAGTTCTCGCGCGTTGGCAGATATCTTGATTATCGGTTTGACGGGTTCTGGGGTTGATGAGTGTATGTATCGATTGAACCATGGAGTTGATGACTTGACGTATCGATCGAACTATGGGGTTGATGAGTTGACGTATCGATCGAACCATGTAGTGCCCTGGCTAGGGCTATATCTAGCACAGTAATTACCCCCATGCTCTCAAGACGGTTATAGTGCTTCCGAATGTTGTTGATTTTAACTGTGTGCGTGTGAAGAATTTGACCAATGTTCTCCAAGGTTGGCGGAATGGTATTCACTGGCGCATCCACCCTGCTGTGTCTGTTGCCTAGCTACGAGAGTACCCCGAGGAAGAGGATCCTGTCAAGTGAATACCAAAATCGACACTAGCCGTGGTATAGTGGTTAAGAAGCCTGTCGAGGACCTTGAGCTCACATCGACAACTGCCCTGCTTGTTCAGTTGGGACATCGGGTGTTGATACCCAAAAGATATCTGAACACTAAAATAAAATTTAGGTAACGAAGGGGCACAAGCTCATTCTTCCATTCACTAGCACAAATGAAGGAAAGAAACCCCTCCAAAGGCGCACATATAGTGAGTAACAAAGTCGAGAGTGGGAGAGAACATGCACGTGATATACACTGTGCTTAGAATCGTCGAGTCGTGGTAGAAAGCGACGATTGTCTTTTGGGGGGGAAAAAAACGGCAACGAAACCATACCTCAACTAACTCAAAGAAGCAGGCCACCTTGCTTTATAAAAGGGTGGTCGGTATGAAGAGAAAGCTAGTTTACAACAGGTGAGCTTGGTTCTTTGCGAGGCGTAAAGAATACATCTTTCCCCCTTTCTGCGATACCCCCTACCACTCGCGCGGACTATCCAACGCACAAAAGAAACCCGACAGCACCTCAATGTTTCCACGCCCCAGAACAGTGGTATGGAACCCCGTCGTCGCAGCGAAGATCTCAACCGTCGGACCCAGCTCCCTTCCTACGGCCCAGTCGATGACCCTACCACTCCAGTCCGTCGTGCGGCCGCCAATCTCAGACAGCAGGAGCATGCCACCGGCGTGGCACCAGACAAAGCGATCGCAGTTGCTCTCGAGGGCGTCGGAGAAGAACTCGCACCAGCCCAGCGCGCACATGACGTAGCGCAGCTGCATGCTGTTGGCCGGCAGCGGCCCGGCGAGGCGGCGGCTGGCGGAGATGAGGTGATGAGGCCCGGCGCGGGGGGCGAAGGTGACTCTGACGCGGTCCCGCAGAGCCGAAATGCCCCGAAAGGCACGCAGCGGCGTGCTCGAATACGCGGGATACGAGCGGAGCGCGCGCGCCCGCACGCCCTGGCTGCGCGGCGCCGAGAGCAGACAGCCGCGCTCGCTCAGGCGGAACCGGTCGTTGTCCCAGTTGCGGGCGCGGGTGAGGTCGTTGAAGAGGTAGTACGGGGGGTCGAGGCGCGGGCAGACCACCACGGCGAGCTCCTCGAAGCCGTCGACCAGCAGCGCGGCGACTCCCGTGTACTGGTATCCGGCGGCGTACGAACGGCTCTCCGCGATGGCGTCGACAGCCCAGACGTGGCCATAGACGGTCTCGGAGCCGTCACCCATGACGAGAAGGTCGACGATGTGCTCCGGAGACTCGGGCCAGGCCGGCGCGTCGATGCTGTTGAGGCCCGCCTGCTGCTCCTCCAGGGCCTTGATGGTGGACACGAGGTCCCAGACCTGCTCTTGCACGGCCGAGCTCACGCCGCGGTACTGCTCGGCCAGCTCCTTGCCAACGAAGCGGTCGCGGGCAAAGGCGTCGTGGATGCCGGCGACGAGGATGGCCTGGCTGGCGTAGACGGCGACGGGGACGGGGACGGGACGGCGGTCGGCATCCTCGGGGTCGAAGGCGAGGTGGCGGGCTCGGAAATGCTCCGTGGCCCAGGCGACGCGCTGCATCACGCGCTCGGCGGCGATGCGCTCGTGCGGGTATCCGTATGAGTTCATGCTTGGGAGGATTTGTGTCGTGTACTGCACATACAATAGGAGCTGCCGTTGAGTACTCTTGCGTACTCTCGGAAGACTTACTGGTGGAGCAATTCCTTTTTGCAACTTCACGTACAATAGGGAAATATTCACGTTAGGCCGCCATCCCAGCATGGAAGCCCAAGATCAAGCAAAGCCCCTGAATCCCCGTCTCTATCGTACTCTCAAGCCTCTGGCGTACCGATTCTCGGACCCGAGTCGCCCAATAGGGAAATGGCGTCATAAATGTGAAGGCATCGAGGGCAGTTGCAAAAGCGCTTAGGGTAGCTGTTATTGGCTGGTTTGATAGAGGGGGCTCCACCTCCCTCCCCGACTTCCAACCGTTTTTCGGTAGAACGTTAGGGGGACTACGCGAGGGGGTGGGTCTAGAAATCCTGGTTCAACGTCCGGAAACAAAATTTTAGAAAGATATCTCACATAATACTATGGAGAGTTCGGGCAGCGTTCAAAATACTCCACATAACATTACTTACTTTGTGATAATTGCAGTCAGGTCCAGTAGATTATTACAACGGAAGTAAACGGCGTTGGTGCAGCTGCAGAATGTAGTGTATATGGGCCACGACGGCTGCGGACTTCTCACATGCGATTTGACATATCGTTTACAAGCCCGGGGAAAAGAAAGAAAAAAGGGGAGGAGGGACGTGTACGTAATTAGCGATCGAGTGGCCCGGTAGCGAATGTGCCGTAACTATCTGATATCTTCAGAATTCGTGAAGTGGATGGATAGCGAAGGAGGGCTGAGAAATATCTGGTACAGGAACTCTGAAAAATTCAAGGGAAAGGAAAGTGACCCCTCGTCTTTCAGTATATGGCACTACAAGTTTCCCGAATTCTAGGCTAGAAGGTTACGTCAAATTACACCCCGCATATTTGATGATAACGGAACACGGTGCCCCGCTTATCGGCAAGGATTTGATAGATCTCAGTACGGTAAATTACGAGGAGATATATGCCAAGGACAAGGTGTGGAGGATGCGTGAGGAATCTCAGGAATTCGCCCGCAGGCAGAAAACCAGAAATGTAGGGTAGGCGGATAGGTAGGCCGGACGGGTAAGGACCATCTGATGGCCTCCCTACAACCTATCGGGTTAACCGGACGTTAGAATCCTTCTCCGAAGCTCCTTGGCCCAGAACACACGGACCACACCGCCTAACTTGCGCGCTACCCCTAGCCTGCCACCGACTAACATGTAATCGAGACATAAATTCTACACTTGTCCTCCACCTCTGGATGCGCTGTTCATTGTCGAGTTCCCTATGAATCACCGGATCGTTGTAGCACCGAATCTGGCGACAATATGGTGGAGAACTCGGACGTTCAAGGGGGCGAGGCTGATAGGGCGAGGCTGATGGGGCGAGGCTGGCATTTCCAGTACTTCTGGTAGGCTTGCCGAGGATGATGTATTAAGTCTAAGACATCTTCGTAGAATGCGAATTATCTAAATACTGAGCCCATGTCGGCCGTTCTTCGATGGGCTCCAAGTGTAGCCTTCATTTCCAGGAACCAAAGCTGCGTTGGTGAATATGCTGACTGCTATCTCTTGCACGGCTATCCTTAGAATTTTCCCCTTCTGTGGGGACTTTCGCCAGCCATTATTTGTACTTTTGAGACTCGGGCTCTTATCTCCCTTGACCCTTTTGAACTCGCGAGGCCTATCCTCTCCAGTTGCCCCTCTCCTTAACCTCGATGCAGCTGGGAAAGTTGCCATGAAAAAGGTTCCGTCTTCCACGGAGCAACATTAATGGATATGTGCTGGCGAGCCTGAGGCATGGAAAGAAGAGGCGGAGAGATCATCGATGATTCCTCGTCGGGAAGAGGGCCCTGGAGCTGGATCAAGGTGTCGTTATCGAGCTTTGCGGTTTATGCGGTGACTGGAGTGGCGACGAGCGTATTCGTAGGCACTGTCAAGATGTCCCAAGAGATCGGTGAGCTCAGGACTTTCCGGAACGAAGCAAGAGAAGGATAGGGTGTTGTAGATGATTGGTAGAAGAAACTCCGCTACGAGTAGGTGTGCGCTGGATCCGTGGATGCCACCTGGGCCGTGTGAGTCCGCTTATCTGGATAATGATCTCGACGCCAAGGCAAATATTCATGCTCGACTGCTCTACAGTACCTAGGAGTGAAGTTATATCATGTGAGAGACTGGCGCCATGGTTAGAAATATCCTTTCCCTAATAGAGTGTGCATGGCAGAGAAGAGAGATTTGAGATGAGCGAAGAGGATCAAGGAGAGTGATAGTGACAGTGTCCGACTTATCTGGAGTGCTGGCCGTTTTTGCCGAAAGAGGGGCCAAATAAACGGGTCGGAAAAAAGAAATGGCGTCGGAGTCTCTCGTGTGTCGATCTGTGATCAAAGGTCTCCTGCATTCCGTAGTTCAATAAGAGGAAATGGTGTAGCAAAAGAAGGTGCAAAGGGAACGGGGGGAAGAGGTGCTGTGGGGTTTGCGCCCAGATAGCTGCTGTTGCCCAGAGTGTCACGCAACAGGCGTCTGCTTTGCCTGCTAGTGTAGTGGGCGGGGCAGCGAACACCGTAATCTCCAGCCAAGTAGCTTAGTTGAGTCTTTAGCCGAGCGGCACCGCCTGTATTCGGTAATTACGTCTTCCCCCCCGCCTTCGCTTTTGTAAGTCACGTCCCGAGTTTAAGCCGTGACTGTGGGAATCTTCTTTTTCGTTTTTCCATTTTGTTTCTTTTTTCCATCTTGTTCTTTTTTTTTTTTTGCACTTAGGCGCCTGACCATTGTTCTATCTAGTACACCAAAGCTATCTTACTCCCGTGTAAGCATGATTCTAACTAGCTATTGCAAAACTTTGTTCTTGTCAAGCAGATGGCGTTTTTCAGCACCGGTTCTCTACACACCAACGGCTAAGCAGCGTGCAATACTATCCCATATTACTAACGGTGTCTGCATTTCCCTCATCGGCAACAAAATGAAACCACTACCACGGTAGTCTCCGTTGCTTCTCTTTGTCGTGTTAAGTGGCATGCTGCCAATCAATGCATGCCTATGTGCTGGTTTTCCTATCCTGTTGTTTTACCCCAACGTTGCCCTCGCCAACACCCAGCCACCCACAACACCCCTTGCCACCTTGCTCAGGCGCTACTCGGGCGCTCCTCAGGACATAATCAATTAGGGAAACATTTAATTAGGGAAACCAATAAATATGGCCAAGGCGAGTAGACAGCGTCCCCTAGCTCAGCGGAGTTCCAGGAAATGAAATAGCAACTTTTCACGAGGGAACAGTTGCAGGCCACCTGGGCGATATCCCAAACTGCGGCCACTGTCACCGCACAGTCAACTATAAAGAGGAAGGGCTGCAATGTGGTTGCTGTATTCGTAGAATCTAAAGCTAAAGAAGGAAAAAGGAAAGGAAGCTTCCAAGGCCCGGGCAGGGCGCGGGGGAAGTAGGCTGTGGTGTGGGTCACGTGGTTGTGAGGTGCACAGACCACCGCTTAAATCCGGTGTGACCATGACGGAGCCCACTAATCTGGTCAGCTGTCTGCACCTGCCGTGACAATAAGTAATAGATAATATAACTAGGCATTATTTGCTTATCAAAGCCCGCCATAATGCCGGCCTTATCGACGTTGAAGGTAAGCTCAGGCCGAATCTAGTCGTATTCTTTCTCCTCTATATTGAAGCACCGGTTAACGGCTTTGGAAGTAAACCCGTTAAACGAGCGGCTTCCATTCTCTTGCCTACTTTGGCTCGAATGTTGGGGCTTCTAGCTTTGAAGCTAGAAATCCAGTTATTCCCTACAGTTTCTTTCTGCCCCGCTTCTTTACAGAGTCTTGAAGCAATGCTGGATACTGTTGAGTAAGTCGGAGCAAAGCCGAGTGTTTCCTGCTTGACGATCCACTAAATGAGCCGCTTTTCTTGAGGCTCTGTGAGCCTGCGTTGTGTTTGGAGGACCTCTTCTTTGGGGTGGACTCCGTTGAGTCGTCGATTCAACGTTGTATAAGAAACTACATACTTTTGAGCCGATTGACGAATAGAAAGCTTATTGTCTGTGACGTCTAGGTACGCATTGACCATATTATCGTCACTTTGTTCAGACATTGTGGTAGTACAAGACGCAATTCACACTCAAAGGTAGGGGGAGAACAATATCAGGAAGCTAATTTGGAGTCAATTTGGAGTTGCTTTGCGATAATGCAGCGAAAAAAGTAGGGCTTCTGGGCTAACAAATCTATACTAAGATTAATGTTGGAACGGCGGCATTCATGACCGTACTTTTGGTGCAGCAGGGAGGTAGCGCCAGGCACGGCTGGCTCACGTGGTACGGGAGCGCACGGGAGCCTGCGTGCTGATCCGCTAAAACCAAGCCCACCCAGAAACCTTAGTTACTTCTGTAGACAATCAATGAACAACCATTACCCCCCCCACAGTAGTAGTACTGCGAACCATTCCGGAATACCACGAAAAATTAAACTATATGCAAGTACATAACTAGCTAAATTGCCTACTTGCGAATAGCTTCACAATTGACTACATTATTGTTGTTCAAAAAGGGAATGTTTTGGTGTAAAAGGGTGATCCACTGCTAGGGTGATCCGATGGGCAGTGGGTTGGGTATGGTAGACATCCGATCCCGAGTCGACCGATTTCAAAGTCCCGAGATTCCTCCAACAGATTATCCCCGTCTTCGCCGACACGGCGCCATCCATAGGAGCGGAAGGACTTTTGCAGATTCTTCAAGCATTGAGCCAGCCTGGAAATTAGTCTCGTGTTTTTAAATCACATCCCTAACCCAACTGGTGGCCCCTCTTGTGCTGTGGCCTTGGCAATGTGTTCCCGGGACAGAACAAAGGGGCTGCTGGGAGGGGGTGGAGGTGACTGTGAAAGAACGTCTCTTGTCTAGCTACATGAAAAAAGGAGCATTGAAACCCATTCAGGAGCAGACGAAGTGAATAACGTAGAGCAAACACGGAGGGAGAGATTCTGTCATAACCCCAACAGCCTCATTTTGACTAGGAGCATAGATCCAGACACAATCTCACATATGCTTGTCCCAATTTTAGTACCAGAGTTGAGTGAATCAGGCTGGAGTCCTCGACTGCAGCCGTCTACACGGTCTTGTTGCCCAAGAATGCCAAGGGTGCCAGATGACGTGCATTCTGTGGCGGGGTTGCCTTACACATGCCTTAGTCATGTAAGCCCTAGCCCCGCCGAGGAGTTCTCGCCCACACGTTTTGTCGGGAGATTTCCTCCTAGAGTTAGTTCCCCAATGCACACATTGTCCGCCTGCACAGGTTATGAAGCCCTCTCTTTCTGCTTTTGAAGAGGCCATTCGCAGCTCGCTTTCTTGTGCATTCGAGAGCGCCTAGAAGGTTTATTCAATTTCGGCGACCTGATCTAATTTTCCGCAATTCGCGCGCGCAAGGCGCAGTTGCCCTGCACCGCATTTCGAGGCCGTATTTGCCCTGCACCGCATTTTCGAGGCCGTAGTTGAGCAACTGCGAGCCATTTTGACGCATTTCCGATCATCTTTCTTTCTACCCTGACGGTATTTCCGATCGCCAGGTTCATCTACCCTGACGGCATTTCCGATCGCTAGGTTCATCAATTGACGGCATTCCGATCGTCAATTCGACTTCTGACGGCATTTTCCGATCGTTAGAATCAGGACTTCAGCGAGTGTTGAAGTCCATCGACAACGCGAAGTCTTTCTTTCTCTCTATAACTAGTCAATCCAGTCAATCTGTTTAACTACAATAAAGTCTTCCGACGTACGCGGTAGTCTCAGAATTGAGGCTGTCGTCCTTCAAGGCGAGAAGAACCTCTCTCAATGGAACAACTCCCTCCTTAGTGTTCTTGAAGTGCAAGGGCTCGAGCACTACATTGAGGAAGAGGTCAAGGAACCAGTTGCCCCCGAGGGAGCTAACCAAACGGCTCTCGATGCTTATGAAGAAAAGATCGACCAGTGGCGCACCGAGCGAGCTTTCGTCAAGGCAGTTATTCTTCAGACCCTCACGGCGGCAGTTCAAGAGAAGCTCGAGGCACAGAACTGGAACCCTAGAGAGAAGAACCCGAAGGTCCTGTATGACCTGATTCGCCGTGTCATACCCCGACTTACCCAGGAAGCGACAACCGACTTCGTGATGGAATATATGAAGATCGATCGGGCGTCGTTTACTTCTATGCAGGCCTTCCTGACTAGACTTCGATTTATCTACAAGAAGCTCGCTGAGCTCAATGCCCCTATTAACGACAACTTCCACGTCAACGCCGTTATTGGAAAGCTCAAGAAGACTTACCCCAAGCGATACGTGTTTTGGCTCGCCGGCTTGAAGTTAGGAAGCATGACTTGGACCAGCCTGAACTCAGAGCTGGAAGAGATCTCCGCTAACGAGGAAGCTACTACAAATTTCACCAAGCTTGCACTCTCCAGCAACAACAACGATGACAACAAGAAAGGTGGAACCCAAAAGAGGATTATATGCCCGAAGGAAGGTTGTACGTTCAAGATGCTTAGCACCCACCACCATAGACCCTGCGGGCATCACGGCCCGAAGACTGCCGAGCACTGTTGGCACTGCGAACTTGAGAGAGCTCCAGAGAGGTAACCAAACAAGAAGAGACTCATTGAAGAGAAGAAGAAGAAGAATAAGGGTTCAGGCACATCGACTATTATAGTAGCCCTACATAACAACGGAGGACTTGCAAATCCCTCAACTTCCTCGGACTCGCATTTACTACTCTCCGGCAATTTCTTCGCGCCTCAGATCGACCTACCAAGCGAGGACCTGCTGGCTAGCCGCGCCCCCACGCAGACTTTCTACATTCCGGAATCCCCTCATACCGGCATGCCTATGCCCGAGCCACGAGCGAACCCTGAGAGGGAGCGCGGTGGTCTGGAGCAAGTCTCGAACCCGGCTGACAACCCGGATTTTCGCATCAGCCCCCGGTACTGAACGCGTTATTCACAAGTGCCGAAGCCCAATAGGCTATTAAGGCAAATGGGGTCACGAGGAACTCTGTTGTGTTTGACACAGGAGTCTCGAATTCCAGCTTCAACCACTTGAAGTGGTTTACAGAGCTGCATCCTCTCCCTGACCCTCTACACTATGTGTGTGCGTCCGGATCGATCAGTTCCTCCTACTACATGGGCACTATAGAGCTTAACACAGTGACAACAAAAGGAGAGAAATGGCGTATGAGAATCCCTCACGTATACTACTGCCTCGAGACCCTGGCAAATCTAGTCGGAATACACTCCCTGAAGCTCAACAACTATGTCTGGCGAATGGAAGAGAATGACATAATCCACAAGCCAATAAAGAAGCTGATACGGGAATGGCCTCAATTGCGCGTCAATTGTTGACACGGCCCCGCACGTGCATTTGGCACGAGCACCACTGTATAATTACATAATCAGCACCATAGACTAGCAAAAGGCGGGCAAGGAAGCGGTGTGTAAAGGCAGTACTATTCTGCCGCCTACGTGGGGCATATCCCCGCGGCAGGGCACACAAGCTCCCTTTTCCACCTTCCAACCTTCTACACACATACAAATTATACCATCTTTGGTCACCACTGCAGCTTTCCCTATCAGAAGCATATTCAGTGCCAATACCTGAGGAATATTCCCGTTATTCCATAACAACCACCCGAAGACTTCGATCAATCAGTAATTACTCTAACGTATGTAGTACTCTCTTCAATCAACTACCCAACGATGCACAAGCGGCTAATGTATTCGTCGAGGGACATTGTGCTGATGGCATGCAAGGAGGCAGGAATCAAGCTGAGAGTTCAACAAGAGAATTACTTCTGTGATGCATGTACGAGAGCAAAGAAGACTGATGAGATTGGAAAGAAGGCACCGCCTGAAGGATGCGGCCCGCTTGATATAATTAGAGTTGACGTTATGTTATACGTTAACCGAGGCCACCTATGCTATTAGTATATTGTTCTGTTTGTTGATGTTTACTCAGGCTTTCTTTGGTTTTGCTTACTAAAGAAAAACACGATGCATATGAGCAGGTCAAGGAGTTCGTCACATTCGTGGAGCGTCAGACAGGAAGGAAAGCCAAGATCATAGGTCTTGACGGCGGCCCGGAATTCGGCTTCAACACGAAGGCATTCCAATTTTCCAAGCTGAAAACCTGGACCAAGGAGAAAGGAATCGCTGTCAACCAAACAACAACACAATCGCCCTTCCAGAATGGAAAGATCGAGCGAATGAACCGTGTTGTTGCTGAGCGGTCGAGAACATTGATGATCGAACTCGGCATACCTGAATTCCTTTGGCCTTTTGTGGTGGGGAGCGTGGTAAAAGTAACCAACCTTTTACCCTCCTCTGCAAATGAGAAAGATCTTAGCCCGCATGAGGTCTTTGTAACGGCTGTTGGCCTTCCCAAAGAGGCTAGGAAGCCGTACATTCGTCATCTTCATAGCTACTACTGCAACGCCTACTGCTATATGAAGCCGAAGTGGCGCACCCAGGGCGACAAATTCGAACCCCGCGCGAGAGTTGGAAAGCTCGTAGGCTATGATGACATGCACGGCCGCATATACTGGATCTATGATCAAGAAAAGCAGCAGGTTGTGCGCGTCAGCGCAGTCAAATTCAGAGAGCAAGACGACCCGGAACCTTCGGCACGAGAGGCGGAAATTGAATATGAAGCTGTCTTTGAAGATACCACAGTTGACGAAGTTGAAGGCACGATTACGGCCAAAACTGTGCGATTTGATATACCGATCGGCGGAACCCTCGGACCTACTTCGACCGCTTCCACAACGCCGGCACCTAAGCAACCCGCACATCGTCAAGCTAACAAGTCGCCAAGCGCGATGAAGCCCTCAAAAAGTCATCCCCGTCAGGAAATGACGCCTGAGAAGACCCCAGACCCTGAGAATGAAGCTCCCGACAGGCACGCCCGAGTTACCGATGTTTCCGATGACTCGGCAGATGCACACATTGTCCACCCACACACATTCCGAGTGATCTTGAACATTCTCTTGTGGAAGGAAACTTGAAGACAAGGAACTGAACCGAGCAACGCAGATATAAGAATCTAATATTACAGAAGGGAATCTAGCCATTTATGCAAAGGAGAAAGCGCCGGGGGCCTGTTTCTCGGGAAATGTCTTACAGACTACCGCATCATCCCACAGCACTGGGCCGATGCCGCTGGGAATGGCTTCGTGTTTTTAAGCTCTTCAGCGGCAGGCGCAGCACCGTCTATGGCATCCGTGGCCACATCCCATCTCTTCCTCCGCTTGCGACCTGCCACTGCTGCATCGGTAGACCCGGAGTCTTCGTTCTCTTTATCGGCAGTGTCCTTGAGTAGACGCACTTGGTCATCGATTGTCGCATTCTCCCCAGAATCACCGGAAGCCGAAGCTTCGACTAGACGCCAGACGCTTAGGTAAATGTAGGCAAGGTCCAGGCCATGAAATGGAATTGAATTTGGGTGGTTGTTGGTGGTAGGAGAGCAGATTCGGGGATCGAAAGATCATGCTCTCGGTCAGCTTCGCCTTTGTCTTCGACTATTCACCCCTACTACGACATATTCGCGGTTAGAAATGCGGACATGGCGCGTATGTTGTCGGAGGACATGATGAGATGTGACAATCCCGAAGAGACGTGCCTTGAACATGGCTGCTGGCAAGGTTTGTCGTCTAGATCATAGTCTGGCTAGCAGCATTCTAGGAATACAGGCTCCGTCCAGCCGAAAAGAGATGCCATGGGCACAAGCCCCTCGTATACATCACATCCGGCTGTCTGGCTCGGCGGCCAACTTGCTTTGCGTACACCCAGCCACACAGGCACTGCTTTTTCCTTCTCCTGCTCAGAACGATTGTCACGGAGGGTCTATTGGCGGATCCGGGCTTCGCTTGTAGGATCTTGGCCGGGAGTTACCGGGTGATGGCAAAATGCTCAAGTAGACAGACTACTGCGGAGAAGATATGTTAGTAGATGCCCACTATTAGAACATATCAACAGTTGAAAGAGCGAGTGGTTGGTAAGGAGGGCTCGAGAGTCGCTTCGGCCCATATTCCACACAAAGACTTTGCATGCGGCAAGTGATGGGTGGCGGAGAGATGGAGGATAGTAGACAAAAGTGAATTCAAGACGTTTGATGGCCGAGAGGTGGAAATTGAGGAGGGGTTCGGAAATACAAGGCGATGCTGGTTAATGCTGGACGAATCGTTTTTTCTGAGAGAGGGGGACTGGCACGGAATAAGCGAACATACCTGTACTGGGGAGCTTCGTTGCAAAAACGGTGGTTTTGGAGAGGATTGGCCAAGATCTACGTGGAAGACTTGGACAGGGAAAGGAATTTCGAGCCAATGTTAGATGGGGCGGGATGGAAAGAGACAAAAATGGAAGGAGCAGCAACTTGGGTGGCACACAAGGCACCTTGAACCAGGGGCCTCCAGATCCCAACCCGGGCAGTACCCAGGGAGCTTTGGAAACCATAACGGAGATACCACCGTATCTGATGTTACCACCGTATCTGATGTTACCACCGTATCTGATGTTCTCGCTGGCTAAACTCCCACACCGTCTTTATACTTGCCTTAAAAATGGCCTGGGTCCGCTTCAGTTCTACCACACCTCCATTCCAATGCAGGGACAACGAGGAATCACAGGGAATACTGATCTCTGACCTTTCCTACGATTGTGCTGTTTAAGTTCTGGGACGTTTACGCCCCTGGGCCTTAATTACTCCCGGATCATACGAACAGCTGCGCATCCGAAGCAAACGTCAAATTTCTCCCATGCACTCCAAGGAGATAGCCTCGACCTTCTGTGTCACGACAATAGGGATTAAGTTAGGTGGGGGAGTAAGCGAACGCCACTGATCCAGAACATTCTAGATAAGCGAGGAACACAACCAACCCTCTTATATAAAAAGCCCATAACTCAACCAATTCTTTTCCAATTCTCTTCATCTTCAATTCGTTTTATTCTTCTCTTGACAATGGTTTCATATACAGAAGAAAACCTCCGCCAGGCTTGCGAGGAAGCCGTCAGAACACATCGATTACGCAAAGTCGCGCGAAAATGGAACGTTCCACCCTCCACCCTTTATGGCCGTCTACATGGCTCCCTACCTCGAAATGTTGCTCATCAAGATGAGCAAAGGCTTACACAGACCCAAGAGGATCGTTTAGTCGAATGGATTCTTCTTCAACAAGATTTAGGATTGCCCCCTACACATGCACAGATCAGGGAGCTTGCACGCCGTATTCTAGCTGAAAGGGGGGACTCCTTACCACTTGGAAAGGGGTGGTGCCGTGCCTTTCTTAACCGCAATCGAATTTCGAAGACTCAGAGGGCCAAGAGAGTCGATTCGGTCCGCGTCAACTGCGCTACAGAGTCAACAATTCGACCTTGGTTCAACCATTTCCAAACACCAGCTATCAAGGCGATTAAGCCAGAGAATCGCTGGAACAAGGACGAATCTGGTATTATGGAAGGCAGAGGAACCAACGGCCTTGTCATTGGAAGCCGTGCCTTTAAGGCGCTTCAAAAAAAAACAGCCTGGAACCCGCACTTGGACCACTTTTGTCGAATGCATCTCAGCAGCTGGCCGTTGCCTTCCTCCTTTGGTCATTTTTAAGGGGAAAAGCGTTCAACAACAATGGTTTCCTTTGGATATGAAGCCATTTCAGGATTGGTTCTTTACAGCAACTGAGAAAGGATGGACTACCGATGAGACAAGCCTCAAATGGTTAAAAAATGTGTTCATTCCTCTCACCAAGCCAGCAAACTCCTCTGAGAAACGACTCCTTATTATTGATGGCCATGGCAGCCACACAACTGCCGATTATATGTGGGAGGCATTCACAAACAATATTCACATTATTTATCTGCCTCCCCATACTTCCCATGTCCTCCAACCCCTAGATTTGGCCATATTTGGCCCCCTAAAACGACTTTATCGCAGACGGCTTGAGGACCTTCTTGCTAACGCCTTTGACGACTCTTCTGTAGCCGGAAAACGTGCGTTTCTGGAATGCTACCAGATTTCACGCACAGAGGCAATTACTAGGAGTAATGCTAAGTCAGGATGGAAGGCATCAGGCCTTTGGCCCTTGAATGTCAACAAACCGCTAAGAAGCCCACTCCTCCTCAAGAATTCTAATACTTCACGCCCCTTAAGAACTACTATAGTTACCCCAGAGGTTCGCACACTCCGTATGCCAATCCTGGAGGATTATGGAGACGATCGGGTGCAGTGGAGGACTCCTAGAAAGGCACGTGATTACGTTGAGCAGGCAAAGAAGTTCGCACGCATCATCAAAGCAATGCCAGCGGATAAGCTCTTCCTCAGAAAGATTGGTAAGGCTTTGGATGAACAGGCCTTTGAACTAGCTATTAGGAAGCGAAAGATTGAAGGTCTAGAACACACTCTCGAATCAATAAGAGCCAGAAAGAAGAAGAAGGTCGAAGAAGATCCAAATACCACCTTTGCGAATATTCAGACTATTCGTGAGGCCCAGAGAGCTGTAGGGCGTGCAGCAGAGGTTTTAGAAGATGCGGAAGATGCGGATGATTCAGAGGATATCAAAGATTGTATTGAAGTTTTGTAAATAAAAAGATCACCCTTTCTTTTGTTGGAGGGTTAGTTGGGACTCCTGCTTATACAGAATGTTCTAAATCAGTAGTGTTCGCTTACCCCCCCACCTAACTTAGTGGGCAAAAGGACCTAGAAGCTGTCACTTGATTCTTCGCCACTAGATTCTGCCACTATTCATGACTATAAAAGAGAGACTTGGCCCTCCAAAGGAAATAAAAAGACAGACCTTTTTAGACAATTCCAGCTTTACCTCCCTGCATCAAATGCTCTATTTCCGTTACCCTGTGAATGCGCGTGATGCTCTGCCATCGTTCCAGCCGTACCACCAGCAAAAGCAGCGCAAGGATCAGATACAGCAGCGGTACAGACTAGGCCACGTCTTGTGGCGAGAGAACCAGCACCACGGACCCGAACACATTTTCAACATCCTCGGGAGCAAGAGACGATCACCATTTCTCAACTGTACTCCAAAAAAGTTTTTTTTGTCTCTGTGCACGGCTCGCTAGACTCCTCGCTAGACTCCTGGCTTTCTAGTGACCGCCTGGCCAACCTCGGCCTCGGCATCCGAAGTCTCGCTAGCTGCCACTGGGAACACCACTCCGAGCGGGTGGGATGATGGCAAGAGCGTGGCGGTCAATATTTTGTATAACCTGCAACGGTGTGCCGTTACGCCAGCAGACAAACCAGCAAACACAAACACAACAGATACCGGTTGTTGTTGCCTAGCACTCTACTGATGGTAGCTATATGGCCGCAACCGCCACAACACTTTTGTCTATCAGATACTCGACTCCCGTTTTCCCATTCCAAGTGCGTTGACAACCGGTATTGGAAATCAGGTCCTTTTATCTACCCTAACCTTGCTCGCTCCAAGACCCTGCCATTGTAAAAAACTAACCGGAATTAAACAAGGCTCCCGACTGCTCCGCACTCTCCTCCCGCCCTCTCCTCCCGCCCCCTCGTCACCTTCCTCAACCTCCTCCTCGGCTGCCGTCCCCGCTCCTCCCCCTGAAACGCCCGCCAGCCCAAGCCGTCACCGATCCCCCTACCCTTTCCCCCGTTGACCTCGTCCATCCCCAAGTCCCGCCAACAAACCCCATCACTCCGCCCCGCGCCATCGCCGAGCCCGTGCACACCCCTCATCCTCGCGAGGTGCCACTGGACCCAGTACATCTGCTCGTGCTCGCGGAGGTACCGCTTTCCGTGAAACCCACGGAGCACGACCTCGCGGCCGCGGAGTCCCAGGCGCCTGCGGGCGGGCGCCGCATCGCGCACGCGCGCCTGCAGCCAAGTGGCGTCGTGCGCAGTCAGCACGTCGGGCAGGTGGACCTCTGAGTCAGCGAAGCGCGCCCAGCGCGGCCCGGCCATGGCGAGCAGGGCGAGCTGCGCGCGCGCGAGCGCCGCCGCGTCGTTGGGCGGCACGATGTCACCGTAGCGCGTAGCGCCGTCGTCCGGGTCCGTCAGCACCAGCGCCGTGGCGCCGACGGCCGTGGCGACGATCGGGACGCCCGCGAGCGCGGCTTCGGCGATAGCGAGCGGCAGGCCTTCGGAGAGAGACGAGTTGACGAAGAGCGACGCGCCGCGCAGCGCGACCCGCGCGTCGCCGTAGCCGGCCAGCTCGACGTTCTGTGTGAGGTTGCAGGACGAGATCAGGCGGGCCATGGCGGCGTCGTAGGCGGGCTCGCGGTCGCGCGCGCCGTAGATGAGGAGCCGGTAGGTGGTGAGCTGGAGCGTGTTGACGATGATGTCGGCGGCGAGGATGGCCGTGCGGATGTCCTTGATGAACTGCACGTTGGACAGCATGACCACGGTGGGCCTTGTTTCGGTCAGGGCGTCGGCGTCGGTGTCGGTGGCCGGCTGGAACGCGTCCATGTTGCTGACGCCGTTGACGATGGCGTCGATCTTGCGGCCGAAGGCCTTGCGGTGCGCGAGCCGGCCGCTGTCGGTGCCGAGCTCGGCTTCCCAGATCCTGTGGCCGCCGGTAAGTCAGCGTGTCCCTGTAAGAGAAAAAAGGGGGGGACACGCACGGGTTGAAGACGGGCGTGCACGGCAGCACCACGTCGGCGTGGAAGTAGGCGAGGCGCATGGCCAGGCCGATGCCGGCGAGCAGCATGGACTGCACGGGCAGCGGGAGGGCGGACTGGGCGGGGCTGATGTTGAGGCAGCACTCGCGCCACAGGATGGCGTGGTCCCAGATGCCGAACGAGGCGCCGCGGCGGTACTTGAGCAGCATGCCGAACAGGCTGCTGATGCCGTGGTGCGTGCTCTGGAACACGCGCGGGCAGGCGGCCGGCGTCTGCACCGAGAAGATGAAGAAGTACGACGAGTAGATGGCCAGCGTGCTGCGCAAGTCCGCCGTCGACGGCCGCTCCAGCTCGAGGTACCCGGCCGGGTTGCGCATGTCCGACTCGGCATCGTCGTGCTCGGTCAGCCACGCCCCAGCCCACGCCGCCGCGACCTCGCGCGAGTTCCACGTCGCGTTGTAGTCCTTGTGCTCGAAATACGCAAACATGGCGAGCAGCGCGTTGCTGCATCCCACCATGCCCTCGCGCGACATGTGCCGCGACCGGGCGCCCTTGACAAACTGCCGGAGCAGCGGCACAAAGGTGCCGACGATGTCGCGGCGGGCGTGAGTGCTGGCGATTCTGGCGTCAACCTCGCTCTCGACGAGGTTGTCGATGACGCCGTGGCTGGGCGTGCGGCCGTCGAGCCCCCACAGCGGCAGCAGCTTGAGCGACTGCACGTTCTTCTCGACCTGGAAGCGCGGGATGCCGTGCTCGTTGGCCGACTCGGCCAGCACGTGGTTCCGGATGGTGCTGTGGCCGTTGACCAGGTCGCGCCGGCAGTTGGACACGCCGCCCGGAGTGTCGGGCCAGCAGCCAATGTCGTTGAAGATGACCGAGATGCGGTCGCCCGTGTCGCCGAAGCAGTCGCCGGGCCGCGTCGTCAGCTGGTTCGCGTCCCTCCCCAGGCCCATCGTGTAGAGGTCCGAGCACTTGACCGGCAGCAGGCACACCTCGGACACGTCTGTCTCGATCTCGATGGCTGCCACCATCTGCTCCGCTTGCATGTCGAGTGCTGCTTTGGCTGCGGACAGCTGCCCGAGCCCCCGGGCCGCCCAGTACCTGCGGAGGAGTGGCTCCTGGCGCAGGATCAGCTCGTCCATCCAGCACGCCGCCACGGCGTCGAGGCTGCCGCTCTTGCGCCAGTGGTTCCAGAGCTCGGTTCTCAGCCACCACGTCGGCACGCGGCGGTAGACGACCTTTCTGCGCCAATGCTGCCACGATGCGGGGTTTAAGCAAAAGGCCCATGTCTGCTTCTGCGTCGACGGCGTCGCCATCCGCTTCACGTGGCTCAGGCTGTGATAGATGAGAAGGTCGTCGTTCTCAAAGGACACATCCGTCGGCCGCTGCTGTAGCAGCGTCTCGTGCCCAAATAGACACGGTGGTTCTGGCATGGCGGTAGCTATCTCTCCCTCGTGCAATACTGTCGCCATCACTGGGTCTCGCCGGTGCTGGTAGCTGCTGGTCGTCGTGTACGTCTTCTCCCCAACTTCTCTCACCACTCGGCACACGCGGTCGGAAGGGACCCAGTTGCACTCGTCCGCCACGTCTTCGCGTAGCGGCGTGCCCCAGCAGACGACTAGACTACCGGATGCCGGGGATTGCGCGAGGCTGAACTGGGCCTTGAGGACTTCGTGACTGCCTTTGGGTGTGGATTTGTAAAAGTAGCGGAACGAATACTCCGTCCCTTCCACTGCCAACGTCCCGTGCGAGACGCGGCCTCTCTTATCGTAATGGCAATGCTTGGTGACATTACCGTCCGCGATATGCTTCGTGATGGGAAGCCTCGACTTGGAGTTGTTGGCATACATGTAAGTCGCGACAGACCTGCTCTTTTTCCCCTCGTCGGTGCGCTGGACAAGACGAAACTGGCCATCGTAGACGGCTGTGGCGAGCGGAGCTTGGTCCGCAGCTGGGCGTGCAAGACGGCCTTCGAATATGTCCAGCATCAACGTGTTCTGGTCGTTCCGAGAGGCAAACCCGGTAAGCGTCTTGCGGCGCATCTCGGCGGCGATGCTATCTTTGTAGAGCGTTCGCGAGGTGCCTCTCGTGGCGAGCCGAGAGATGTGAACCAGTGCTTTGTGGTGGTATATCAGCATGACGTAAATCCACGCGTTCTTTACTCGCCAGCACGCCTTCCACGCGAGCATCAGCAGGCACATGGCGGCGCCTCGCATGTTGGGGTAGTCGCTGAGCAGGTACCACAGCTCCCGCTCGATGTTTGAGCCGGCCCCAGAGATGATTCCGACCCACTTTGCGAAGTTGACGGGGAAGCGGAGTAGCAGGCCCCCGAACCGCCGGAATGCTTTCGTGCGTTTTGTGGATGGTCCTGCAAGACCGTGATGTGATTCTTCGGGCATTCTAACCTGTTGTGAAACACCTAGTGTGTCTGCATTCGAAAGTTTCAGCCTCTCTCCGGCCTCTGCGTGAATTCTTCGACGCAGATGAATATTGAAGTCGCTAGCTTGGACATCGACCTTTGTAGATTTTGCCCAGCCAAGCATCTGTGTTGCTGCCGCGACCGGCGCATCCAAGACACGCCCGAGGATGACCTCCCGGGTGGCGGACGACAAGTGATCCCACTCCAGGTCAACGTTGATCCCGAAGCAGAGATGTTGCAAGATACTGTCATTTGTATGTTTCTGTACTGTTGTCAGGCCGGACATGTCTGCCGTGGCAATCTCGAGTTGAACGCTTCTAGGAAGAAAATCTCCCGCATACGGGAAGGACATGGCTTGCGTTGCCTGTGCCTCGCTCAAGCCGAGCACTGCCCGCGAAGTATGAAACAAGATGATCTCAGTAACCCTGAGAAGCAAATCCTGGAATTAGCGCATGTCTGGGGCGTTGGAAGCAGGGTTTCAACTCACATCTCGGCACCTGTCGTATGCCATGAGGCTGCGGCTAATTCGTCCTCCCCAAAAAGGCCGAAGTTGATGTGTAAAGTGCCGCCGTCATATTTGCTGAAGGAGACAAAACCCTCCAAGTCCGCGTCGGAGAACGATGAGGCGGAGCAAACCGTGGCCCGGATTCTGCCCTCCGTCCACAGCTCCACGGCGCTTTTCAGGACGTCATCAGCCCACCGAACACATCCCGCGTGGTTTGCGGATCGATCTTTAGCCGATTCAAGAAGCTCTGTGGTTTTGCTCGCGACAGGACTGGAGTCTTGAAACGAGACCAACACGCCCGGAATCGCCTGCCACTCAGCTTTGCTGGAAGCCGCCGTGTAGCCCCTGCTGGAAGCCACCGTGCAGCCCCTGGACTCTGTCAAGCGGCGCTGCACCCAGAATTTTGTCTTGTCCGAGGTGGGATCAGAGTCGCTTGAGCTGATCGACTCTGGCTTTCGCAAAACCCAAACACAGGTCAACAGCGCCGCCAATATCGCGGCGATGTTCAGCGCTATGACGTCGGCGAAGAAGAGCAGGCTGCCGTCCAATAGTCGGTGTAGAACACAGCCCGTGGTAAAGCCTATTGCGGCGGAGACCAAGATGGACGTGACATGGCGTCTGACGTTCAATGTGAAGCAGCGATTGAACTGTTGCGCGTGGTTTAGCAACTTGCGTGACACGTTTATCTTAGTTAAAGCGCTCACCTGGAAGAAAAGCACCGCCGAGTACCCTACGATATACGCGTAGTACAGCTGTACCATGCGAGGGTCGTCGACCAGCAGCCAGACAACTAGCGTGCAGCACCCTCCGACGAATATAAGTCGCTGGCCGAGCTGGAGAAATGCCGTGACACATTTGCGCCAGCGTGACCTAAATAGCAAATCAATAATGACCGTCATAAGTCCCTGGGGGGTATACCTGGGGGGCATATCCATACCTCTCCCACTTCCGCGCCACAGCGTCAGCGTCCTCGCAGCTCGCGAGCTTCTCATCCGAGAGCGCGTAGCTGGCGGGCCAGTACGTCTGCAGGACGGCGTCGAGGGCCATAGCCCCTGCGCAGAAATACAGGATGGCCAAACAGACGGCGTAGCGCGACGTGAAGTGGCCGAACACAGAGGGCGACGGCGCGCTGCTGGCCGCCATGGCCATGCTGACCCAGCGGTCCACGAGGCAAACGAGGAACAGGGCGACGTTCTGGCCGATCTATCTAGGGAGGTGGCGTCAGAAGACTACCTGTGGTACGGTGAGAAATCTAGTCGGTACTTGCATCGAACCGCCCGTAGCGGAACAGCATGAAGACGCTGTGCTCCTTCAGCCCCTGCGTCATCTGCTGCTGCTTCTTGAGGGCCTGGCTGACTTGCGCGAACCACGGCACCGAGAACGGCGCGCTCACGTTCTCTTCTTTTCCATGCGCCTCTTTGAGAAGCAGCCAGTGGACGTACGGGAGCCCCTTTTCTACGCGCCGGACCAGTGGGTCCGGCGCGAGAATCCCGCCGCCGAGCCGGCTACGGAGGCTGTGGCGGTACGACTCGACACTGTCGCGAAACGCGTCGACTGCCAGCTTCTTGACCACGGCCGGAGACTCTTTGGAGGCGGTAGGAAGCGTCTCTGCGCTGCTGCTGTCGCTCAGGCGCCGCTGCGTCCGCTGCGTCCGCTCGAGCCGCTCGAGCCGCTCGAGCCGCGCCGAGTACCACGTCACTAGGTCGTCCGCGGTGAAGACGGGGATGTTGTCCGTCCAGTTGATCCACTCGTGGCACAGGCTGCGGTACTGCACGATGAGTAGTACGAGGAACCCGTATCCCACTGACAGGTAGATGGCCAGATCGTGCCCGTTGATGCACGCCGAGACGGCCGGGGAGAGACACAAAACCGGTATTGTCCGCCAGAGGACGGTCCGTCCAGAGGTCAAGGGACTGGCCCGCTGGTGCATCGTCGCCATGATTCCTGCAGCGGCCGTAAGCAAGGTTGCATTCACTCAGTGGTGCTTCATGACTCGCCTAAGAGATAAAGATAGGTCGAGATGAGAACAAGGTAGGCGAAGAAGGTGAACGCCGGGCCTACAGACACCTTCGCCCCGACCACAACGGCGCCCACGGCAGCCACCAGCAGGCTCAGGACGAAGCCGCCCGAAAGCCGCTGGACGTGGAAGTACACCATGCTGTTATACGCGTACTAGGACCGGTCAGCCAAATTGTTTCTCCCCGAGAAAACTCGAGCAGGCCCATACGTTGCAGAGGTAGTAATTCCCGACGCTGCCGACCCACCCGGCCACGCCCGCCGAGAGCAGCAGCGCGACCAACAGCGCCTGGCACGCCGCAGCGAGGTGCTCGCCGCCCATGAACGCCGTCATGAACAGGCCGCGGCCGAGGAACGTCAGCAGCACGACGTCAATGGCGGCCGGGACGCAGAAGATTGAGAAGGCGCCCAGTTCCTGTGCAATTTTCCAGAGCCGCTGTAGTGTCGTGGGCTTGCGCTGTAGTGTCGTGGGCTTGCGCTGTAGTGTCGTGGGCTTGCGCTGTAGCGTCGTAGACTTGCGCTGTAGTGTCGTGGGCTTGCGCTGTAGCGTCGTGGACTTGCCTATTTTCCCACCAGTCTCATCCCCATCCCCTGCCCCCGCCATTGCATTACCCTGTGGCTCAGACTTGGAATACATGCCCATTAGCTGCCCGCCGCCGCCGCTTCCCTCTCGCTCCGCGGCCCGAGGCGGATTCTCCGTCAGAAAAGTGCGGTGCCGGTCGTAGAGGATCTGGCCCAGGGCGCGCGGCGACATGCCAAAGAACAGCTCGCACTGCGAGCCGAGGACCCACAGCTCGGCAAACACGGCTGCCTGGTCCGGCTGCGCGAACATGGGGCAGTGGTCCGTAGCCTCGCAGTAGACGTCCTCGAGGGCGGCGCGGCGCAGCGCGCTGAAGAAGAGCAGCGCGAGCAGGTCCGCGCTGGCGTCGGCGGACGGGTGTCTGTGGTGGCTTGATGGGTCGTAGGCTTGGAGGAGTGCGTTGGCAATGATGTTGAGCGTGCCGCTGTCGCCGGAGAACAGAGAGCTGTCGACGAGCCGCTCCATGGTCCTATTTAGGAGCACGAGGTTGTCCACAGAGGGGAGCTGCTGACATCCTATATGTGCCAGCTCTGATAGACGCCGCTGCAGGAGATCACACATGCTGACGGTGCCGGCGGGGAACTGGCGGCAGTGTGCGTCGTTCCACTGTGCCGCGGATGTGTCGTCGATCAGAACGCCTCGGCAGTGTGCCTCGATAGCATTCTTGAATGAGTGTTCTGGCCGTGCCAGCTGCAGCTGCTGCAGCATGCGCAGAACCTCGCTTGGGGTGGCCCGGTCAATGGCGGCTCTCATGCTCCGAGGGAGCGACACATGTGCGGTGTCCGTTGATGTCTGCTCGAGCCGCGCCTCCTCCTCATACCGTTGCACGCGCGAAACGCCGTGGTGCGCCAGCCACGTGTGCAGCACGGTGCCAATGTCGGTTGGACATCGCCGCGAGATCAAGAGGTCGGCCACTGCGCCTTTCTCGCTAGACGAGACACTCGACACGCCCCAGATCTCTGTCCTGTTGTCTGGCAAGGTGAAGCCAGTCCCCAGGCCCTTGAAGACGACAACCCTCTGCTGCACAAGACCGTCGACGAGGCTGCTGACGAGATGCGAAAACTCGGATCTCTCGTGGAACGCCTTCAGCTGCTCAACTAGCCTGCCGACTTCGGCGTCGTCGAATCGCTGGAGCATGTTCAAGTCGCGGAGACGGGTTTGTGTGGCTGTGATGGCTTCATATTGCGCTTTGGTTGTGCCGTTCAGCAACGGAACGCACCCCACTGGTGAGATCAGCTCGCCGTCGGCATTGAACTGCCAGAAGTTGCCACGAGAAGGAGCAGAGGCCGCGTAACCCGTCCAAGGTCGCATCGAGTGCGATTCAGGTCCCGGCAACTCCGATTTCTCCGGGTGCGGGACGGGTTTCAAGAGAAAGCCAACGTCGGGAACAACTTTGGCCAACGCCTCAAAATCGAGACATGATACTTGCCCTTCCCCGTCGGTGATGCCAAAGTCCCGGACCTTGCCGTTCTGTTCCAGCCAAGTCTTTTGCAACTAGAAAGCATGTTAGTGCCCCTATCTCTCTTTCCCAGCATCAGGCAAGATTCAACCTACCTCTGAGATCTCCGGCTTCCTTAGAAACTCAAATCCGCTCAAAGACCGAGGCAACCTATCCGCGTACCACGTCTCCACGCTCGAGTCCGGACCATGCTCAAACACGGCGTCAAAGTGCCGCGCGAGCTTCTCGGCTCTGCACGCCGCTGCCGCAGACGGCTGACTGCTCCAGACATCGTGGAAGCCCACGAAGAAAGCTGGGCGGTGCGCGCGCTCCTCAGCGGCCCTCGCCATGATGTCGCGCAGCCCCTGGGCGCGGAAATAGTCACGCCTCTCGCCGGTGCGCAGAATGCACGCATTCTCGACGATGACGCCGGCGACGAGCCCAAAGTCGATGTCCCTGGTCAGGGCGCTGTCGTCGTGTGGGAACTTGAGGAGCACCGGGACTTCAGACCGGCAAAACTCGCAGAGGAGGGATGCAATGAGTGATGCTGATTCATCGCTGCCGTTGGTTTCCGAGACCTGTAAGACGATGGTGGTGAGAACTTTGTCCTTGCGGACCAGGTTAGAGACAAAGTTCGCCCACACGGGCAGTGAAGTCTGCGAAACCTGGCCGGCATCGAGTAGTCCAGCAAGTTGTTGATGCGTGGTGCCGGACGCGGTGAGAATGGGAGGATACTGGGTCGGGTCGTCCGCAAAAGATGGAAGCGGGAAGATATAAAGAGTCTTGTCAGGAGCGGCATCCTCCTTGACGTTTTGTGGTACGGATTTTCCGTCTGTCAAGTGAAACGACTGAGCGGCTATCGTGGGCCCGTTTTCCCTGGCCGAAGGTGGTGATTGTAAATCATCCGTTCTTAGAGACCGAAACCGTTTTCTTGTCCTTTTTGTTTACTGTCAGTAAAATACAGACATACCAATCTCGGCTGTCATGAAATCTCTTACCCTTTCGCCTTTGACTTCCGCTTCTTTTCCGACATATAATATGCCCTCGAGGTGAGTGAAATAACGAGTGGCAGGGAGATGCACGTGACCGCTAATATCAGCGTAAAGGACTGCAGCGGCGTGTTGAGCCTTTGGTCAGGTGATATCGCCCTGTTGCAGTAGACCTGGCGCCAGGATGCAGTCGTATTTGCCCCCCCACATGCAGCGATCACGGGATCGCCCGATGTTGGTGGCTGAAAGAACGAAGCCATGGTCGGACAGTGATTGCCTGAAGTTTGACGGTGTAGGATGGTGGTGACTCCGGATCCCGATGGCGGATGTGATTCGCTGGGTGTAAAGCAAGGGCAACAGCCGAACAGGAGATAAAAATTAAGAAGATTAGGAATTATGTATTAGACTGCCGCAGATGAAGAATTGGTAAAGATAGGGAACCTAACTGATATTGCAAGAAATGGCCAGATCAAGTGGCTGGGTCCATAGTGAACAAAAGTCTCTCATGGCAGTCCCAAAACGATCGGCGCAAGAGCTTTTGCTGGGCCGCAGATGCAATAACGAGAAGACAAGTCGAGCAGACACCAGCAAGCCCAGCAAATACAAGGGCAAATAACCGGCATTGAGCCAGGTACGGTGCCTTACAGGCCTCACATGATACGAACCGCGGTGTTCTGGGAAGGTCTCAAAGTTACGAGATGCGCAATGCCACAGGGGAGGAGAAAACACATGGTAACGCGTGCGAGGCCTGAGTGCGTGCGCGTGTGGGAGGTGCGGAGAGCACATGACGGAGAGTGGCAAGCGCCACTCCCCAAGGAGCACGCAAGGAACGGCAGAGGGGGCCTCGTCTTCTGGTCAAGATGGGCACACAGCCTATCTGCTCTGCATCTGTCGATACGAAAGGCGCAGGAGACCAGGGGCCGTCGGTCGGTCTTTTCGCCATTTTATTAACCCAGGACTTGGGGAAAAAGCAGTGTCGCCGGACTGGCGAACGGAGACTCCCGTGTAACGGCGTGGCGCAGGTCAAGCGGCACAGGCCGCTCTATAAACAGGGTATCTGGTCAGCAGGTACTCGGTGGGTGAGGGTTGGTTGGCGCTGTGTGGTCGGCAGCGCGTGTCTCGGTACTACAGGATTTAATACGGGTCCCGTTCGGCATCTGGTCTTCTGTCGCACGACAGCCGACAGGGGTGGCGGAGGTAAACAACGGTGTAGAAGACGAGAAACCAATCGAGCCGAACCGCTGAGTGATGTTGCAGACCACGCAGAATGAGGCGCGCTAACTTTGCCTTCGATGTAAAGTCCGAAGCCTGGTCGCAAACAGGATATTGCTTGCATTGTAAGACACTACCCCTTTCAGTCGCCGTTCCACTGCAGAACTTTCCGACCGGCAACTTGGCAATCTCTCTAGATGCCGGTCTTTCGCCCTCTAGACTATTATTCGTGTCCCTCGGCCATAATTGCGTGACTATCACTGGATCTGCTGCACCTGTCGAAGACCATTCAAGATCTGGTTTTCGGTAACCACGCATTGCACGGCGGAGGAATAGAGAGGGGAACCGCCGCTCGTGTTGAATCTCGTCGGCGGACACCACATATCTAAACACGGGTCAGCGGGCTGGACTTGATATTTGTGCACATCCGAACCATGTCTCGCTTTTCGTTTCCCTGCATCCCGTCTTGGCCCCGTGGAAACCCCGTTCGGACCAGCCTTCTGGATAGCTGCCAAGCTACGGCCTGTTCCTGGACTAGGACTATCCAGGTAATGGTGTTATAAACACGCCATTTGAGCTGGGTAGGATTCTTTAGTTGACGTGGCGGCATGATCTATAGCCTGCATGCACGCCATCCCGGACATGCAACACGAGGCATCTCCAGAAAGTACTGGCTTTTGTGCTGGCTTTTGTGCTGGCTTTTGTTGGACAATAAGCGCAAATCAATCCCTTGCCGCGAGGTGCGAGAAGCCACCCCGTTTCGCTTTACGCCCGATGCCAGTGCCAAATGCCAACAATGCCGCACCAACGGCCAGTTCAAAGGTTCCGTGCTCATGTGCGTTGATGGAAGCGCGGTCGGCCCTGGCACGACATTCGGAGAGTAAATAGAGCACTCGAGCCCCATCGCGCCTAGTGGCACCGCCTACCAGCTCACACAAGACTCAAGGTGCGGGAGGTGTGGCTGGTTCTCGTTGAAGCCCGGGGTAATTAGAATAGATCGCCCGCCTGAGATGTCTAGTGTTTTCTGGAGAAAGCCCAGAATGATGTCAAAGAGCTGATACAAGGAAAGGCGAGCCATTGTTCGGATCCAGGCAGGCCGCTGGCTAAAATTGGTGATGGAGCTGTTCCCATGGAGGCAGAGCCATGCTGACCCACGTTCCCCAACTTCCAGACCGCCGGTATCGAGCAGGTCCGATTAGAAAGCTGTGATGCGGCGCAATAGTGGCTCAAGATAGATTTGTCGCTGGTTGACGTGATGGGGGAACGACGTGTGCGGCTCACTCCCCTGCCTCTGATACGTAGGCCGCGAATTTGAATAAGTGCAGGAGATGGTCCCCTCCGACCAGCGTGCAATCGCCAGATGTACCAACCAAGGACCAGCCTCCAGACATCTTAGCAACACTTGAAGTCGAAAACCTGACAATGGACAACTACGATGATTCTTTGCCGTCCTCGTCTCCCGCTTCTTGGTCTCCGTCTTCTCCGCCGACCACGCCCGAGATATCAGACGACGGGTTCGACATCGAGAGGCTGCCATCACTGTTCGAGTCCCGGGCTGGAAATGCTGAAACTGCCGGGAGCAATGGGCGAGAGCTGTTGTCCCCACAACACGTGTCGAACGGTTCTCCAACTTTCGTGCTGGTGATTGGCGGACTTGGATATATCGGATCTCATACAGTCCTCGAGCTGCTAAGGGCTAGTCAAAATGGTAGGTTGAGCGCTCAAGTATCGGGTCCAGGGAGGGCATTCATTGTTGCTGACTGGTTGCAGTGATAATCGTCGACAACCTGAGCAACAGCTACGAGAGCGTTCTGGACAGCATCAAGCTCCTCACAGCAAACCACTGCAAGGTGGAAGGGATCCCAGTCCCTTTGATCCACTTCCACCGCCTCGACTACCGCAGCCGGTCGATGCGCTTCCTGCTCGAGAGCTACACGGACCTCGTCATGACGATCGACGCGGGTGGCCAGCAGAACATGACGTACCGATCGCGCATCGAGAGCGTGATCCACTTTGCCGCATACAAGTCGGTCGTCGATTCCCTCAAGCACCCGCTCCGGTACTACCAAAACAACGTGTGCGGGCTCGTGTCGCTGCTGCAGCAGCTCGACAAGTATGGCATCCACAACTTCATCTTCAGCAGCTCGGCAACGGTATACGGCACCAAGTCCAACTCTGGCCGGCCGCTGCAGGAGGAAGACGTGGTGCACCACGCGGAGGAGCACGTCGACTTGGCCGGGACTTCGAGCGTGCTGCAGCCGTCCGCGGTGGGGTTGTCGTGCCCGTACGCGCGGACCAAGTACTTTTCCGAGGCCATCCTTGCAGACGTGGCCGCGACCAACGCGGCCTGGCGCATCGTGGCGCTACGCTACTTCAACCCGGTCGGGTGCGACCCGTCGGGCCTGCTGGGCGAGAACCCGCGCGGCGAGGCGACCAACCTGTACCCGGTGCTGACGCAAGTGCTCGCGGGCGTGCGCAAAAGCCTCGACGTGTTCGGCACCGACTGGGCGACGCCCGACGGCACCGCCATCCGCGACTTCATCCACGTGCTCGACGTCGCGCGCGGGCACATGGCCGCCATGGCGTGGAACGCGGCCCGCGGCGACGGCTTCCGCGCCTTCAACCTCGGCAGCGGCAGCGGCACGAGCGTGCTGGAGGCGGTCCGGAGCCTCGAGGCCGCCGCGGGCCGCAGCATCCCGCTGACATGGAGCGGACGACGGCCGGGCGACGTCGGCGTCTGCGTGGCGTCGACCGAGCGCGCGCAGAACGAGCTGGGATGGTCGCCGCACGAGTCTGTGGCACAGTGCGCTGCAGATCTGTGGAATTTTGTGAAAAGAAGGATGGCGCGAGATGGAACGTCGGGATCCGCGCTGCAGGTTAGCAGGGAAGCGACACAGCACTAGCTTGCCCGGGTGATAGGCTGATTTTTCCACGAGTAAGTGGATCCGACCAGACTGCAGCGTTTTCTCGGGTGCGGAGAGGAGGAAGGTGGGAGCTGGGTAGTTGAGCTTGTAAGTGGGCTGCGTGACTGCCATAATCGCCGGAACCGTCAAAATTCACGTCAAGGCCTAGCACATTCGGCAGAACCGCTAGTCCCGCAACAAGCCAAGGCAATTATTTGACATTCGCTTTGGAAAAGCTCCTTGTAATATTTCCTCATAGATTATGTCGGTATGCTGGTAATGGTAATAGGTAATTGTTGAAAGATTATTTGCTATTGACAACAACAGCCTGGTTGTCTGCGACGAATCTGGGCACATGAAATTTCCTTTTTCCTTCGTAGTCCTGAGCTGGGGTGAGCTGGGGTGAGCTGTGGCTGATTTGTCCTAAACTTTCCCTGATTCTTCCCTAAGCTAGCCCAAATGCTGGCAAGCTGGAGAGTATGGCCCAGATTCAGCACCGTTTGGCATATACTAATAATACATGGTGTGGGATGGTACATGATATCCTAGTTTAATTTATAACATAGTATAGAGCATCCTGGTTCCAACACTGGGACAGTCCTTGGTATACCAGTACATGAAGATCAGCACAAAGTATACTAGCATATAATATACCGGTTTAAAATCTTGCTGCACCATGCAAATTTCTGTTCTATGGGAGCAATTTGGGCCGACACAATTTCCGTTTTCGTACCTCGCGTACGTGACGCTGCTCACACCGGCTCAGGCTCGGCTTATTCCATACTTGGGATTTGCTCAGGCTAACCTGTGGTCGCCCTAATTGCTATTTTTTGGCAGCTTGCGGCGCAGCATGCTGAATTACTTCAACTCTAGCCGAACGAGGCCAGAATTAGTCCAATATATAAAAATGGCCAGGCGGGTCAGCCTATTGCCAAGATGGTGGGTTTTCCTGATGTTATTGCATTATACCATGTCTCCCACATCTAGTTGGTCCAAGTGGCTTCTTCTATCTATCTATTCATGGTCTTCAGTCCTGTACTCGATTTTTTCGAGTGGTTCTCCCCTCTTCCAGGCATGGTAAACACGGCCAAAGTGCATCGTGTCTCAAACAGCGACCAAGGTTTGCTGTGGAGCGCGAGTGGATGGCAGGCTGCCGGAAGCAATAAACTCATTTGTCGAAAATAATAAGCTCAAAAGAAGAAGCCTTCTGCGGAGCGCTGGAGCTAAAGCTATCTAATCTATCACCGGTCCGAGGTCACAATATGCACGTGACCGCCACCGATGACATGCCAATGCCGCCACACTGACAAGTTTAGCGGGGTTAGTGACCAGGCCCTGCACAAAACCCGAATTAGGCCTAAAAGGTCATCAATCTGCATAACCGTAGCGGGAGACGACAACCACACACCGCAACCACACACCACAAGCAACAACACCATGGATTGGGTCGATCCCCTGCGCCATCTGGCGCCGATTTCCAAACACCCAGCTCAGGAGTCTACAGCGCTGTCCTCAGGGCTGTCCACCATCTCGGACTAGGAGCTTGCCAGTCTTAGGGTGAACGTCAAGCTCGATCGGTTCGGCCTCGCCAGCGCCAGACACAACCGCGCTGCGTGCATCCTCGGACCCTTCTTCCAGTTTTTAGAGGACGAAGGGCGCAAGGTCCTCGCAGCAGAGATTCTGGCCTGGATTGATCGTTATCATTCTAGCTAAGGCATCTGGTGGTAAGGCGCCGCCACCTATCAGTCGCCCATCCATCTTCGCCGATGAAGATAACGAGATTGAACAAACTGTGGCGTTTATCGAACCCTCCCAACTGGACCAGACAAAGCTGAAGCGACAGTGTCTACGTAGAGAGGGATACCGGTGTATCTACACAGGTTGTTTCGACTATCACTCTGTGAAGGACAAGGAGGTCATCTTGCCTCAAAAGGCCAAGTGTGGTGGCACAGAATGTGCCCTCATTATTCCATTTGCCCTTGGGAATTTCAACGAAAAAGATTTCCTGGAGACCGAAAATAAGGCTCTCATCTAGTGGACACTTTATCGATACTTCCCAGCTCTACGAGGCAAAATCGACACCGCTAGCATTAACCAGCTTGGAAATGTTATTACCATGTTTAGCGGAGTCCATAGTATATTCGGGGATTTCCAGCTTTCATTCTGGCCTCAAGAGAATGTCCCGGTAAGCTCATGATATTTCTTTTAATTCATTGTTCATATTTGTAATTTACTGACCCTATATTTTAGCACTCGTATGAGGTAACTTTAATGGTACCGCAATTCTGTATCGAGTCGAAATCGGGCTCTTCTATTATCTGCCTAGAACAGCACGATACCGACATTCCGATGCCAGACCCCGAGTGCGTCAAAGTTCATATCATATCCTAGATCCTCAAAGTAAGCGGACTAGGACGTGAGATAGATAAGCTTCTAGAGGCTGCAGATACCTTGGATCCAAATGGATCAAGCGATCTTGGTCTTCTGTTGTCCCAAAGATGCTGATACATACGTGGGTGTAGACTCTTCGTGGAAGGAAGCGAAGTCTCGAACCCTTGCTGTAAGTAGATGGTAGAGGGAACGGAAAATTATCAAGCTCTGTCGCATGGGAAAGGGAAGGCCAAATCGCCGGGAAAAGACGATGGAGGAGGTGGTCATAGATAGCAAGCAGTTGCCCCAAGTCCAGCCGACATGGCGGAAGAATTATCATTGCGATGCTTTATTTTAGGGCACGTTATTTTTGCACCGTAATCCCACTCTGTCGTGCAGAACCTGGCCAAAGTAAAGGTGAGCCAGCCTGAGCAAATCCTGAGCAGGGACTGAGCCGAGCCTAAGCGAGGGTGAGCAACGTCACGTGCGCGAGGTACGAAAAAGGAAATTTCGTGTGCCTAGATTCGTCGCACACAGCAGACTTCCACATAATTTTTGCTTTTGGGCTACCGATGCAACTACAGGACCACACAAGTGTAGAAGTGGCCCGGACCCGAAAACCGCCCCATCACCATCAACATATCTACACAAGTCATCAATCTTCGCATAGGTGATAGTTACGACTAGTCTAATGGATGGCAGCTCACCTTGGCAGATGGCACAGGACAGCCACGCTGCGACAGCAGGAAGCCGGCTTGGAGCGCGGCGCCTCTGCACTCGCACAGCTAAGGATGTTAATGGTCTTAGACACGGGACATGACAGTCACGTGGTGGTCGCCCGTGAGGAAACTTGCAGCCTTCTTGTTGAGAAACGTCGGGCAGTTATCCGAGGGCGGAGACATTGTCGGCGGAAGTCGGGTCGGGTGCCGTGGGAATGGTGGTGTTTGTGTCGCGTGCCGCGAGGCTCCAGGGTGACGGAAGCGAGGACGTCGACGGCTGGGAGCGTGGGGGCCACGGAGAGGGTGCAAAATAGAAGAATCGGTAGCTTCATCTTGATCAAGGCTCGCAACAATGCAAATCAAACAATGCATATCGAACAATGCAAATCAATCAAATGCAAATATAAACAAATCAAATAGGCCAAAATATGAAATAAACAAGTGAAATAACGTAAGCTTCATATTTTATTTCCATACACTTTTATTTGGCTAATGTGGGGCCTATTTACAGAGGGCATTTTCCCTGGAATTTGGTCCTACCGAAGGTTCCGCTCCCAGGAAAAAGTGGATTTTACCAGCAAAAAGTCTGCTCTGTATGGCAGGCCTAAAAAATACAGCAACCCGGAGTCGAGAAAGTCAACCAGAGAAAAGCCCTCTGCAAGAAAGCCATTTTCTCGGTCAACTTCGAAGATCACGACCTACTAGCACGATGTCTAGCCTCCCTGACAGTCCCTCGCCTTCAACAGGCACGAATTCGATCCTCGTTAACGACTTTCCCGTCCCCGTTGTAGCCTTTCCGGGCGCTGAGGCTGTACCGGCGCTCCTGAGCCAGCTCACCGCAACGAAGGCGTACGACCGTGACGAGCTCACCGGCGACATGAACACCTGGCCGCACGTAACTATTCGGGGCACGCGATACATGCTGGAGGAGTGGCTATACAAGAAAAGGAAGAGGTCATCGTGGATCGCTGAATACGGTACCTTTGTTGTTGCGTTGAGCAGGACTGGGCAACAGACCGAGGGCTTTTTCTGCATGTGCTCCCTTTGTCCTAACGGTGCCCTATACAATTCAGCAGCTACATCGTCGCCTTCCTCGCATCTCGAGCTTCATAACAAACCGAACCCGAAGGAAGCTGATCTGCCTGTATACAAGAAGGGCAGGCACAAGAAGGGCAGGCATTCGAATGTGCTCGAAATCCTCCGCACGGCTGCTTCCACCCGGTCACAAAGCGTTGTCCCTATTTCGAGGCCGTTGGCCGAGGCCGTTGGCCGAAGCATTCAAGGAAGCCGTCACCAACTGGATCATTCAAGACAGCATTCCTTTCCGAAAGATCGAAGGCACGGCTTTCCGCAACATGATGAGCTTGGTTTCGTCGGGAATTACAGAATGTCTGTTGCCTTCGCCAGCCAATACGATCAAGACCTGGATTCTTGAGCGGTATGCCAGTCAGGTTGTTATTCTACGCGAAAAACTTAGGTTAAGTAGCCACCAAAAACACCTCTCCTCTGACGGCTGGACTTCGCCAAATGCCTGTTCTCTTTTTGGCATCTTCGTGCATTTTATTGATGCCTCTGGGAAGCTCATAACGGCTACTCTAGGTGTGCGGCGCATCTGGGGATCGCACGACGGCGATAACCTCGGGCATGCCATCTTGAACGTGCTCACCGAGTTCGGTCTACGCGATGCCGTTGGCTACTTTCAAGCCGACAACGCCAGGATTCCTTCCTTCGTATTGCCCGGAGTAGGCTCAACGGCGAAGACCTTAACAGACTTGGCGATGCTTCATTTTTCAGCGAGGATTTAACTGGTTCAACTAGTAGCTGACAATTCCCCCGTTGCAACTCTGTTTACTACATGATCGAAAGGGCACAACGGCTTAGGGATGTTTTCGATTACTGGTGTTTCCAGTCATCGCATGAAGCGGACCCTGCGAAGGTGGTGCCTGCCGACGATGTATTGACTCCCGAGGACTGGCCTGTTTTGAAAGAAATCACAACACAATTGGAACCCCTCAAAGTCGTTACTAATAGGTTCGAAGCCCAGGGACCACTCATTTGTGAGGTTATTCCTACAATGTACCACCTAGTTGATGAGTTTTCCAACCGCAGGCGTACCTTTGCACCTGCCCAGGCGTACCTTTGCACCTGCCCGCCCCGAAGCCGCTGGCAGTCCCGCCCGAGCCGATCCAGGACGAAATTGTCGTTACGGTGCCCTCAACACCAAGGCGAATACAAAGGCAGGTCAGAATGCCCTCATACCTTCAAGATTACGAAGTTGCTTCCCCTCGCCGTTCCCGCCGAGCAACCAGCAGCCGGGAATCTCGACCGGGCAAATGACTACCTTACAGGTCACGACTACTACGACCCCCCGGGCGCCACACAATGGACCCGAGCTTCAGGAATACCTTCAGGAACCTGTCAAGCCTGTTGATGACATTCTAGCTTGGTGGATTGATAATAAAGACCGCTTTCCGAGGTTGTCGCGAATGGCCTTCGACCTTCTCGCGATCCTGGCCATGTCAGCGGGCTGCGAGAGGCTATTCAGTGTGGCTAAATTGATCATTGGCCTGCAGAGCACGGCCTAGATAGTGATAGCATTAATAAGCTGCTTTGCCTGTTGAATTGGCAGCGAAATGGCATCATTTAGAGCCTGGTATTGGGATCTGTTGGCTTCTAGCGTCCACCGCCGCAGATTTCCTCGGCCGAAGTGTACCCGGGCCGGATTAATATTTTCCAGCTCCGAGCCAAGTCAAGTCAAATAAACAAGCCAAGCCAAACAGTCCTTTTTTCTACTCAAATATGCCTTGCTCTGAGTTTGATTATTTTTGGATACACTTGGTGACTTCCTACTCCCGTGATTCCCAGGGGCTGTCCAGTATGGCACAATGACGGCTAAGGTTGATTCTCCCTGTGTAAGCAGAAGAAGAGACAAGCTCATATTCCCTCCGAGGGACTCACGTGCCTCTCCGCCGTGTACCAGGGGACGGAATGAAACTAGAAGCCGACAGTATACAAGGCGTACTTCACTTTGAATACGAACGGCCGCGTCAGCAGGTATGGCCCAACCTCGCGAGTTATTGCCAGTCCTTCGGCGTCCGCCAGGTATTTCCCCCAGGTCAAACAGCAGTGGCGATGCCCGAGAAGTGCAACAAACTGCATAGAAAGCTCAACGAAATGGCCACTGGTCTTCCGGTAGGAATGTGCTTTTCTGTGAAATCCGCGATGCAGTGCTCCTGTCCCATGAGACACGACAGTTTTCAGGGGTAGATGACGGGCCGAAGAACGAGGTGGCATGCCAATACGAAATGCACCTACGTCCCCGCACGCTTTCATAGTCCACGCCCGAGATTGCACGACAGTATGCAGCCAGTAATGCAGCCGTAATGCAGCCGAACACGATTTTTTCTTTCTAGTTTTTTCCGTAGCATTTTAGACCCCTCGTGTCATTCTAGATCCCATCCTATCAGTCCTCGGCCTCAGCCCAGCAACCCGCCCTGCGCACATATGCCGCCCAGTTCGGGCACCACTGCGTATACCCGCCAACAGTAGTGGCGAAATGGCCCGCAAATCCGGCCTCGCAAGCCACCTGCTCAGCAAAATGCATCTGCATGCTCGTGTCCCCCGCGCTGTGACCGATCGCAATCGACCGGGCGCGAAGATCGTCCGGAAGACCGTCCAAGTTGCTGTACACATAGGCCGAGTCCCACGCGGCCACCCTGTTCTCGAAAACGGCAATGTAATCGGCAGAGCAGTAGTACGCCTGGTCAACAAACACTCCCGGGTTGTAGATGACTGTTGTTGCGCCTCCTCTCGCCACATCCCCGAGTGTCTCCCGTGCGTTCTCCGCTACCTCTGCCATGTACTCCACCAGCTCCGCACCCGATGGTGCCTCGTCGAAGAAGATCCCGTCTACCTGTATGCTTTGCTCGCCGCACCATCCGCGGTACGTCTTGATGTCGAGCTTCAACGCCTCCAAGGGGCGCTCCCCGTAGCTGCAGTAGACATATCCGAGAATTGTGACGTTTGCCAGGGAGGAGAGCCGGAGCAGGGAAGCGGTGTAATTGGCGTCCGTTGCATGGCGGTTCCCTGGACCATTTGCTGGATTCACGACCACGGTGAACTGAAGGTTTGGATGTCTCAGGACAGCGGAAAAGAGAGGTTCCCAGGCGGCTGTGTCAGGATAGATGTAGAGCGGCAGCAAGATGAAGCGCTGACTTTCCACCGCGGAAACTGAAGAAGACTCCATGTTGAGGAAAAGATGCGGACTGTCCTGGCTGTGTGTCGTGGCCACGACCCGAAGTTCTGAGCGATGTGTGGTTGCGCTTCAGAAAATATTTGGTAGAATAGGATGGTCACACCGCTGTTGTGATGATCACTGAAGTGTTTGCTGTCTGGCCACTACAGTACTCGACCCAGCTTGTGAGCTCGAGTGTTTTCAAGACCGTGCTGAAGCCAGTCGCCCCAGATGCTTCGCATGAGTCCTGCTGTTCCTTTGCAGATATTGCTCCCGGGGCTCCGGCAGGATACTCGACGTGGAAGACGGGCTTGTTGTCCTGGATGAAGGCCGAGAAAGCGGAACATTCGTGGTAGTTCGCGCACTCTTCGTTGACCGAGAACTGAACGAGGTGCAGCACGTCCTTGATGATGTCCAGGGAGTTCTTGAGCCCGATTGCGAGATTGTGTTCGCGGGCCAGACCGGCGAGGAAGTTGAGGAACTGGATAGAGCTCGCAGCTGTCAGATCCAGACCGCTGTCATTCTGGTAGCCGTCCACGTTGTCCGGGTCGATGGCATCGCAGCCAACCTTGCTGGCCGTTTCGATCCTCGAGGCCATGATAGCCCGGACCGACGGGCTGCTGATGTTCAGCCACCGCTCATTCGCCCAGCCAGCTAATGTGTTTCCGAGGTCCGAGTCTAGAAACTTGTGTGCATCGGGTCGCCACGGTTCGTATGAGCCAGCGCTGAAGTAGCATATGACCTTTTTGCCGAGCTTGTGAAGGTTGGCTATGACGGTGTTGTTCTGGCTAAGAAACATGTCGATGTCGTAGACGTCGACGTCGGGCTCGACTGTGGGATTCTCGTCGTCAATGCGGAGCGGGTAGTCGAGGATGATCTGCCAGGACATGTTGACTTTGGGTTGCCATATTGGGCCCGGTTCTGGAGAAGGTGTGCTAGACGGGGCCGGCGTCCCTCCGTGGTGTCTGAGACCGAGACCCAAGCCAAGGCCAAGTGCCAGCCCCAGTATCACCAAAGCCAGCAGCAGGGTGGAGAACACAAGCCGAGAGCGCCGGGACAGCCATGCTGACCTTGTTTCCTTCTGGGTCAGTGGCTCTGGGTCTTCGTTATCGCCGACCGCGTGCGGCGTGACCTCATTCTTGCCATAAAATTTGCCGTCCATGACCACAACAAGACAAGGACGCGCAAGCAGGCGCAGGGCAAGGGAAGAGGCAGCACAGGGCAAGGGAAGAGGCAGCACAGCAAGGGAAGAGACAAGTGGGTGGAAACTAAAGTAGAGATCTTCGCGGGGAAGGTCCAAGAATCGAATCTGTGGTGCGATCGAGGGCTGTTGGCACGCGAAGCGAAAACGGGGAGGTTGGTGTAGTCGGGTTGGTGGATGTGACCAGGGGCGGAAGTTGCTCCAAGCGCGGTCGAAAAGGTGATGGCCTAGTGCGTATTGCGTCTTCCGGGTCAATCGGAGGGATGCAGCCTGACTATGATCCGAAGAGTAATGAGAGCGACTCGGGAGGTTATGCTTGTGTTCCGTGGCTGGATTATTGGAGGCCGCCTCTGTGGTCCCACGTCGGTTGCTTTTTTTTTTCTGTCCTTTTTTCGCGACTTCGGCTGTGCAACGAATCCTGCGGGCTCGACTAGCGCTAAAAGTTTGGCAATTAATTGCAGTGCTGCTCAGTAGGCAATTTTATCTGATTATCGGGGGCTATTGGTGGCACAGTCATAAGCAATTAAGCAGGCGTGACCACGTTTCTTGGTTCCTCCGTCCTTCCCTTTCTGGAATAGAGAGACGCAGCACTCCACTCCTTTCAGCAACATCCTACGCCCAGCCGTAGGAATGGACGAAATTCGGAAACGTTCCCCACAAATTCCATCGGGCTCGCATGTCGCCCGTATTCCAAGTTGCGATATTCCAAGTTGCGATATTCCAAGTTGCGATATTCCAAGTTGCGATATTGGACAGCAGCCTTAGGTAGCTGCATCAAGGGGGTGCCGTGCTAGTCGCGACGCCGTGCTAGTCGCGACGCAGGCCAATGCACGCACCCGCAGCGATCAATAGCTGATTCGCGTCTCATCGGTCCTCGCCTCGAATGGTCGCGGACTAAATCTATGATTTTCACGCAGCCGTACGTTTTACAGAATCACGTCTATTAACTGACCAGGAATTGCGGCCCTCCAACTCGTCCAACAAACGCGCCAGGTCTGAAATCTGGGCCTTTGCCCGTAACTCAACTCATGATTGTCATGCCATTCTGTTTTCTTTGTCGGACACCTGGCAGTGTTCGCCCATCTTCCGACAATATGTCTCGCTTTCTCGCTTTTCGTTTCGACCCGGCGGGTGTGATCAAGATCTGCAACCGCCAGAGGTCGTCGTTGGGTATCAGCTATCCCAGGCTCGCTTGGATTCCTGTGGTTCCGCGTCTAATTAGGGCCTTTGCGGACACAAGCAGCATCTTGCGCGGCCTTGCTGTTATACCTCCCGTCGCCTGCAGTGGCACATGAAGGGCTAACTAATCTGCTCTCGTATGTTTTCTACAGCTAGTCCCCGGACAAGACAAGTGCTGCCGTCTGGTCATGCACTGGTGAAAGGCATGGCCTTCCCCATTACCTCACTGCTTCTGTTCTGTTCCTACATCCTCCCGAACAGGATCTGGCGCAATGTTCTGTCTCGGCATTGCGGTTGCCGTCTCGTTGACGCTGCTCGCACGTCTTACACATGCTGCCACTTCTGTGACAAGCACCATCCTCATCTTCGCCCGCGATGCCTCGTCTGCAAGCTCCGCCACTTCTGGTCTGGACGGCTACGGGATTCCCTTCCAGGTCGTCCTCGTGCCACAGTCCGGCATGACCCTCCCCGTGTTGAGTTCCTCAGCCACGCAAGGAAACTACGGTGGCATCATTGTTTTGAGCGAGGTTGCCTACTCGTACGCGACTGGTTGGGCTAGCGCCATCACCGCAGCTCAATGGGAGGATCTCTATACCTACCAGACCAGCTTCAGCATACGCATGGTTCGATTGGACTCGTTTCCGGCCACTGATCTTGGTAATACTTCCACACGACATCCGATCTTTGTCAGCGATTGGCCTCGGTGCTGACCTCGGCACAGGTGTCACTACCGCGGTTGGGAGCGATGGCTGTTGCAATACAGGGGCAGAGCAGCTTATCAGCATCACGGATGCCTCGGCCTTCCCCACAGCCAATATCAAGACGTATGACTATCCCGCCCACTCATAATACATTGGTTGGGGCTAAAAGTCATCCATCCCTAGCGGCGCAGGCGTGAGCACACAAGGGATCTGGCATTACCCAGCCGCCATCACAAACGACACCGTGGCTCAAGCGTTTGCCGAGTTCGCACCTGACTCTTCGGGGGCGGTCACGGCCACGACAACGGCGGCCATCATCAACAACTTCCAGGGTCGGCAGCAAATGGTGTGGTTTTTAGGGTGGTCTACAGACTGGTCCCAGACGAGCAACTTCCTGCAGCACGCCTACATCCACTGGATAACCAGGGGCCTCTGTAAGTGCCCTATCCCCTCGTGATGACACGTCTAATTCAGGGGTCTCCAGTCGCGGGAAAACGCAAAGCCTACCTAAATACTCAGGTCGACGACATGCACCTGGACACGGAAATCTATTCGCCACCAAACACTACTTTCCGCATCAGGACCAGCGATTTAGACATACACCAAGCTTGGCAAGCTGATATCAATTCACGGCTGCCGTCTGGGTCCAACTACATCATCGAGATAGGTCACAACGGCAACGGTGCAATTGAAGCCGCCACCAATCTCGACTCCAGCGTGGGCGTGTGCACCCCGGACTACGCCGTCGAGTACAATTACCCGCCTGACACGCCTTTGGAATTCCAGAAACCAATCGGCACTGGGACAGATCTGTGGCCAGCTGAATTTACCGAGTCGGGATTCTCCTGGTCGCTAGCATGCTCAAAGCTCGATGATATTGCTACTTGGTTCAACAATAACCTCGACGTTTTCTCAGCCGTCTCTCACACGTTCACCCACGAGGAGCTTAACAACGCGACGTACCGTGACGCAAATCTCGAGGCCTCATACAACATCCAGTGGCTTAAACAGATCGGCCTGTGGACCAGTGCCCGGTTTTCCCCAACTGGGCTGATCCCACCATCCATCACCGGGCTGCACAACGGCGACGCCATCAGAGCATGGCTCGACAACGGGATCGTGAATGCCATCGGCGACAACACAAGACCCGTACTGAGGAATCCGGCAAGTTCCATTCCGAGGCTACATGGCCTTATCATCTGTATTGAGCTGACATGTCGCATTGCAGTCGAGCCCCTTTTGGCCACTTCCCACCACCGTCGAGGCAAATGGTGGTGTCGGGATCAATATAATTCCGCGCTGGGGTATGCTTTCCGTCTGCTCATCCCGCTTCTACGTCCACTGACAACCCCCAGCGACTACAATCTACTACAACTGTTACTCCCAAAGCTGCACGCTGCAGGAGTGGATCAACACGTCTGGCGGCAGCGGCACCTTCACGACGCTGCTCGACGATGCACGCGCGGTGAACACGCGGTACCTGCTGGGGCTGCACCCGGACCCGCACGTTATCATCCTTGTCTCCAGTGTCAAAAGTCGGTGTGCTGACCTAGGCAAGCAGGTTCATGTTCCACCAAGCCAATTTGCGCTCCGGCGACGTGGATGACTTTACCGTGGGCTCCCAGTCCGGGAGCCTCTCCCTGCTCCAAATCTGGGTGGAGACCATTACCCAGGAGATGGTCAGGCTGTATGTAACAGTTGCTCTCCAAGACCTAACGTGTGCGGATTTTACTGACGTTTCGTGTGTCGAAAAGAACCGACTGGCCGATTACCTCCCTGAAGCTCGACGACATTGCCGAGCTGTTTTTGAACCGCATGACTCTCGAGTAAGTTTCGTGTTTCACTGACCGTCCCTCAACCTTTTCCCTGGTGCGAGGCTGACTTTTTTGCAGTGCGTGCGCTCCTAACCTCACTTACAACTACTCGGATGACGGCACCGCGATTGTCAGCGTCACAGTCACAGCGACAGGGAACTCATGTGATACCCTCGTGCCGGTCACTGTTCCCGGCACCGCTACTTCGTCGGGCCTAAGTACGGAGGATATCGTTGGCTCGGAGCCAGCTATTTATTGGGTCACACTCTCTGGGTCCCCGGTGACACTGAGTCTGTCTGCTGCGGTGCCTGTGTGAAATTGGATTGCAAGGAACAAATTTCAGGGTAAAAGGTGTTAGTCCTGCGGTTTGATGTCTCTTACATTTCGGGGTTGCTCAAGGAATTTCAATATTTAATAGTACGAGAATCTGGATATTAATTAAGGGTCCGGACTCGGTTTCCTCTCAACATCAAACATACATCAGTTCATTTTCCTGTCCAGACTGTCTGTCAGAGATTAACGTGAAACCAATTATTTTCGACTTCTCAGCAAGCAGCTCAACGAACAACAACTCAACGAACAGCTCAACGAACAGCTCAACGAACAGCTCAACGAACAACAGCTCAATGAGTAACTGTAAGCAACGGTTGATGCACTACTATTGATCGAGCCGGCGAAGTCTATGAACATATAGCCCGACGCAACACAAACCAAAGTAAAACCTGGTATACCCGAAAGCAAACCCAATTCAAAAAAAAACAAAAACAAAGCAATGCATCCACTCCCCCTAATTACCCAAGGACATTACCCAAGGACCAAGAGAACAACACCCACTGCAAGGAAACCATCACCGCCCCGTCCCGACGCTCTCTCAGTACTAGTAGTACTGCAAGAACAGCCCCCTCGCCTTGGCCGTCGTCGCATCCCACTCCACACCGTCCTCATCGCCGACCGGCGCGAGCTCGTACCCCAGCACGCTCCCCGCGGGCGGGCACGGCGCGGCGCTCCCGCCCTCGTTCGAAATCCACCTTGTCAGCATCCCCGGCGACACAGCCAGGCGGCCGAGGTGCGCGCCGCGCTGGTTGCTGACCATGTCTTTCTCGCTACCGCTGGTGCAGTCCGCCGGCGCCAGCGACGAGAACAGGTCGACCTGCGCCGTGCCGGCTACGCTGTCCTCGGGCCAGAGGGAGAACTGCAGCTGGCACGTCTTGCTGGTGAAGTCGATGTCGGAGGGGAATGTGAAGGTCACGAGGGTGGAAATGTCGTTGCCCCCCCATGGCGCGTAGCGCGAAATAAAGCCTATAGTTGCGTCGCAGCCGATCTCGCCCGTGCCGATGTCGAAGTTGGCGATGGATGACGGGAGCAGGGTTTTTACTGGGGCGGTGTCGCGCGGTCGGTTGGCGTGCGTGTTGGCGTAGGTGTTGGTAGGGAGGGCGGTGGTCAGGCCGAAGAAGGTGGTGAGGATGGAGAGGGCGGTGGCGGTGAGTTGCATTCTGCCGGTGGTGGTTGTGGCGGCTGGATCAGACGGAGATGGAATTGGGATGTGGGTTGAGGTGGCCAGATGAGACGGAGATGGAATTGGGATGCAGGTTGAGGGGGCGTTCTGGGTTGTGGATGATGTTGTGATGATAATGAGGATGATGATGATATTTCCGGTCAAAAACACTAGATTTCTTCCAGCTTATAACCGTCGAGGCCATCATGAAAAGACCCATCTTTTGATCGCATTTGTTTACCCATGATGGCTGTTGCTATGTTTGCTTTAGCTGCGGAGGCGAGCAGCGCCACGGTACAGCCAGACGGGTAGGATGGGGTTCTCATCCTCTGGGCATTTTGCAGGGGAATTATTGCTGACTTGGCCCGCCGTCTCCCACTGTGGCTCACAATCTCACGCTGCGCATGGCGCTAAGAGCTTCTCCGGATTCAATGCTGCGACAAATCGGCAGCGACCCACCTCGCACCCCCAAATATTGGAGCTGCCTGCCAGAGTGCGAGCCTGAAAGCTAGCGCCCAGTCGCTGGTAGGGCTGAGTCTGGGCATCCTTGGGGCTTGTGGAGGCGAAGCTGTCAGCTTGCTTTCAGGTCGCCTTGAAACCATAATGGAATGGAATATGCGGGGACGCAGGGGTCCGGGCCCACAATTCCGTTGATATTTTCTCATCTATTGGTCCACCTGTTGTAATCTTATCACCAGGAGCATTCCGTATCCCAATCGGGAAGGAAATACCAGTTTGAAGAGACTGAGAATCGCCACGCCAGAAATCATCTGAACTGAAGCCCAGATACTTCATGGCTGCCGAAGGTGTTTTTAGTTACTGGGAGTAAACTCGGAAAAGGTTACCTTAGCTTTAGGTGGTCTTCTTGTTTTCTAATTACCATCAATTTCGGCGTTCATTATAAGCACTCGTCATTTTTTCGTTCATTCGTCGGTGGTCACTACCTACCCTGTTGGCCTAATACCATTTCATTACACGTAACCCCCGAGTTCGAGGTCCTGCCCTTTGCGTCCATGGCTAAAGGTCAACCTAGTTTAAACATGAAAAGTGTTTTTCCCAAACTTCGTCACCCACCCCCTCGTAGTCGGTAGCATCTTCACCGTCCCAGCGTGACTTTCTTGCCCAAGGCGGCGAGTTCATCTCATCGCGGCAGACCTCGATATTTTCCTCAGCCGACTCCGCTGCAGCTTCCCACATAGCCCGCTTGATCTGCAGCCGTACGGTTCTGAACGTCTTTACCTCCTGATTCCCATTTCACGATTCTTTCAGCTGAATCAGCGGAGCAAGATGTTTCAAAGCCACTCCTCCCTCCTTCAGCCGCAGCGATTCCAGGACGGTCGCGAGGATGTCAAAGTCGTGCTGAAGGTTTTGATCTCTCACCTTCCGGAACAAGGCGGTAAACCGACGCGCAACCTCCTTCGTCGGCCGGTTGAGGATCTCGAGCCCGAGCTCGAGCTCGCTGCGCGTCATGACAAACCTCAGCACGCCCCACGGCGTACCGCGTTTCTCAGTGGCGTGTTCTACATCGGTCATGCTCAGGTCGATGCTGTCCAAGAACTCGAGCAATGCAACGTCGGTGAACGCCGCCGCGATGTGCAAGACGTTGCCATACACAGACGACACGGCGTCAATCTGCGCTCCAGCAGCCATCAGGAACCGCATTTTCTCCGGCTGTCTGTTCTTGGCTGCTTGCAGAAGGACTGTCAGCCCATCAAAATCCTGCGCCTCGAGATCCGCGCCGGCATCGATAAGAACGGCGAACGCTGCCGCAAAGCGCGCCATGTCATCTTGTCTCCTCGCCAGCGTCATCAGCGGCGTCTTGCCCACCACCAGCTTGTAGTGGACCCTGGACGGCTTGCAGAACAGCAGCATGCGCAGCACGTCGGCCTGGCCGGGCGAGTCGGTGCCAACGGCGCTCTGCACGGCGTCAAAGCTGGCACTGTCAACGGCGTCGATGGCGCACCCGGCGTCGACTAGCAGCCGCGTGCAGCCGACGTGTCCATTGCGCGGCAAAATGCAGAGCCGTCTCCATCTCCTCCAGGCATTCGTGTGCGCCAGCAAGTGAGTCCGTGTAGTCGGTATCTAGGTAAGTGACCATCAGTCATGAGACGAGGAGTGACCATCATTTATGGGACGGGGGTAGATTAGACTTGTTGACCTTGCGGCACCGTGCTGTCTCAGCAGCGGCGCCCACATGTCGGTCAGAAAGCGGACCATCTTGAAGCACCTAGCATTGAGCGCTTGCTTGTTTGCAGAGTCTTGTTAGCTCCTGCTTCTACTACAAGAAACACAGCCACAAATCCCTGGACAGAAGAGCTCACCGTCATCAATGACGTGCCCGTGTCGAGGTGGTCCGTCGGGAGAAACACCCTGCCAGCCTCCAGGACATTCCGAAACCCCGGCACATCTCCCGTCATGATGAGCGGCCACACGGGGTCGGTGAAGGCGAGCACGCGTGGCAGCGCCACATGCAGCGACGCGCCGAGGCCCGCCATGCTACGCAACGACGCGCGGAACTCGACGTACCGCGGCCACAGCCACGCCGGAAAATAATACCGGAAGCTGAGCGCCGACGACCCCTTGCGCTGCCGCCGGCACCCGGCCCCGCTGCGCCCCGAGTCGCACACCACTGGCCGCAGAACGGGGAGGCTGTTGTAGTTGACGAACAGCGAGCCCAGGAATGGCGCCAGCCAGGGAGACGTGCGTGTGGACTTCTCGGTCCGGTGGCACTGGCATCTGCAGCCACGTGCACAGTGGCCTTGCAGGGCGGTCTCGACGTAGAACATGTCAGTTTCTGTGGTTTGCTTTGTGTGACGGGGTTCGGGGTGCGTGTGACGGGAGATTTGCAGACAGACTCTCCTCGTTGATGAGTGAGATGACTTCGCCCCTTGCCATAGGCAGCGCTCCCAAAGTCACCACCATGCTGTGCACGCCGGCAATGGCCTGGCCAATGGCGATGAAGCCCGCAATTGCCCCGACGGCCTCCATCGTATTTGTGCAGGCAACGTAAACAAAGAGTGGATAGCGCAAACTCCACAACCAGTGCCAGGGCAGGGGCAAGTGTTGCGATGTGAGCCTCAAGAACAGATGACAAGGAAGACAGGCGTCGGCAGAGATCAGACAGCTTCTCCCCGCTTCTCGGCAAGGGCGTCTCGGGCAGCAATATTGAGAGACTGTTTTACGTCGTACGAACGCAAAGGTCGTTCTCGGCTAAAGTCAACATCTCTAAAGGCGGCCAGCTAGCTGCTCATCTCAGGAATCAGCAGCGCCAAGGTAGCGGGGGCGAAAACAGTCCACCGTAACCTTTACTAGCACATCTGTGTCTTGACTAGGTCATCTTACGATGGGGGAGCCAAGAGACGGGAATAATATTCCTGCCCCTCTGAAAGAGTCTGACCTGTTTAGCATAGATTATGTCCGAATGCCTGGTCCGTTGGCCGCGTCTCAGAGCCTCCCATCAACAAATGTAGGCATGCAGGTCCCTCGATAGGTCCTAGCGACGCACCACGCCCAGACTCCCAGGGGTAGAACTTTAGAAAGCCCACAGTTCTTTCAGTTATACTTCCATGAACAATATCGTGCCCAAAACGTACTTGGCCGACAGAGACAGGCGCCTGCCATCTCCAGTCTCTAAGATGCCGGAAACAGCCCACTTCACTGCAGGAAACGACGTATATGCCTTGGCCATCTGCATATACGAGTTTCTCGACGGGAAGGAGCTCAACGGCATCTCCGACGAGGGCTACACTACCGCCGTTCGGCCGTGTCAATTTCCTCTGGGGCAGGCCGTACAGAGCTTGATAATTTGGCAGGCACAGGGCGGGGTGGGGCCGGATGCAGAAGTTAGAAGGCAGTTGGAAGTTAGAGGGCGGTTGGCCAGTTTGTTGCTAGATAGATGTCTTTAAGGCTTCCGGAGAGATGAAGGCTGAACAGCTAGAAACCAAGAGGCCAGAAATTAGGGAGCTCAGGTGTGCTCCGAGGACACTGGAGCCGGTTAACATTCCCCACCATGGCCCGCATGGTGTGAGATCAAGAGCTGGTCAGACAAGCAGAAGGCTATGCGAGCTGGGCTTGGAAATATAGTTGGGGGGATGAGGGAAATGCATCTTTCCTGGAGCATGAGAATACTTGAACGCTGCCCAAGTCTACATTCGAGACTCCTAGACACAATACTAACCACCCGAATGCTCTTTCAAAGGCCGGGAATCCTCTCCCGTTTGAGGGCCAAGGCCCCCTTTGTCTCCATGCACCCCCCGACCCATGGTTATCCACCTCCACCCATCCCATCCACCCACCGCCTACCTCAAATCCACCCTCGCATCAAAACACACCAACGCACGCGTACGAGTTGGCCCACAGACTCGCACAATCGGCGCGCGCCCCGGGGTTCCACGCAATAAACTGTCCCACTAGAATGGAATAGCGCGCGGCGATGGCCGCGCACGTGTCGCCCGGCCGCACGTAGTAGAACGCCTGGCAGCGTGAAGTCATTCCCGGCTGGATCGGTGACGGGGTGGCGATGCCGGTCACCGGTGTGTTTGGTGCCGGTGGAGGAATGAGGGTGAGTGTGCTTGTTAGGGTCAGTGTGAGTGTGTTGGTCAGTGTGAGTGTGTTGGTCAGCGTGAGTGTGTTGGTCAGTGTCAGCGTGCTAGTGCTGGTGCTCATAAAAGTTGTTGTGGTTGGTGGGGGTGCCGGCGGGATGAGTGTGGTGGTGCTGATGTGCGCGGTTGTGAGTGTTGTTGTTGAGACGAGTGTCGTGGTTGAGATCAGCGTAGCTGTTGCTGTGAGTGTGGATGTGGATATTGATGTAGATGTGGATATTGATGTAGATGTGGATATTGATGTAGATGTGGATATTGATGTAGATGTGGATATTGATGTAGATGTGGATGTGGCACTGTAGGTGGACACGATGACGGACGTGACGGTCGAGGTTGCTGTTGTTGCCACTGTCACGGTGGTTCTCCGTATGGCAGGCAACGGAGTCGGAACCGGCAGGGTCTTGGTGGAAACTGCGGTGACCCTGACTGTCACGGGCTCCGGTGTCTCTGTGAAGAGGGCTGTGATAGTTACAGCCGATAGTGTCGTCCGTGTCGAAACTGTCGTAACGGTCGTGGTGACTGCTGCCGGGACGGTGACGGTTGCTGGTGCGAGAGTCACGGTTGATGGCACTCTGCTTGACGAATTCGAGTGCGTCTTGTCGATCGCTGCCACGCAGAACGACTTATTCGCTGGGAGCAAGCCACACGCGGTGGAATTCAGAGACGGATTCTGGCCGACCACTAGTTAGCTAATGCCGGGCTTCAAAGCTGTGATCGACTTCCTGCCTCGGCATACCCAGATCAAAAGGTCCTGGACAGAGACTCCCAGATTTGCTTCGATATCGCGGCACGTCCAGGTCCCGTTGCTGTCAAACCACCAGACGCAGTACCGGGATGCGTCAGGGTCGAAGGGGAACTGGGGAATCGAGTTTGCCACATTCCTAGGCTTGAACTGCTTTGGTCTTGGGGAGGGACTTGTACTGGTTACGGCGCCAATGAGGAACGCGGCTAGCAGGCAAAGAAAATTGAGAGGTGCCATCTTGGTCATATTCAACAGCCCACCAGACCTTCGAGTCCTGCCTGGAATCTCGCCCAACCCCGAGCATCACCGCCAATATATATATATACCCCAGCCTCCCAGGTTCACCGCTGCGAGCACCGGGTTTGCGTGCTTGCGTCCTCCCTGGTTGCGTGTTCTTCCCCACATTGGCGTGCATCCGGGGTCTTTGACGTCGGCCTGCTGACTGGCGCCGAGCCCGGGTTAAATGTAGGGCTGCATGCCAGGAGGCCCAACGTGGCTGAACGAGCGGGGCTATAGGCGGGAGGAGTCGAGCTGCATGCATGCTGCCCCTCACGTGAGAGTTCTAGATTATTGCTCTCAGCAAGAGAGGGGTGGTGCGCGGAGTTGAGATCTGCCGTGATAGGCTAGTCAGATTGGGTAATATCGAGACGCCGGGACGAGCTGTTGACAAGGAGCTGCTTCCCAATTCTTTGACTCGTGCATCGTGTTCATTTGTTTTGGGTTGTACAACTCGATGTGTGTGCATTTCGAGGCCAGTGATTTCGGCGTTTTCTTCATCGGGGCTGCTAAAGCCGTTGAAGTCGCCCATTCTTGGAAACGGCTGAGTGGCGAAGCGCCAGAAACCGCGTAGAGATAGTCCATCTGGTCATCCTCCCCCACCAGGCTCGCCATTTGCGTCGACTAGGCACCTCCTATCGCTCTTCGTACTCTAGATACTTGTCCCAAAATGGATGGGTCAGAAAGTCCATGCCGACGAGCATCGGCGACGACCAGCCCCGGGTGCGGTTGGGTGAGACCGGTCGGAGCCGCCGAAACCGTTGAAGTCGCTCATGTTGGGAAGCAGCTAATAACGATTCAAGAACCCCGTCGCGATGCCATCAATGCTCTGGCCCATGTTGGGCGGGGTCAACTCCCTCGTCGCCGATGAGGTAATGAAAGATGTTAGTGTCGGGTGTGTAGCGTACCCGAACATTGAGATAGGTGGCGCGAGAAAATCCGAGATGTCGAAAGCCAAACAGCCTGTTCAAGAGGGATAATTGGGCGAAGAATTTTCGATTGAATGTGGAAGAAAATGGAGAGAGAGGCTCCACAACAGGCCCCTAAGCGCTGTTCCTTCTCATTGGCCACTACACAATACCGTAGCTGAAATACGCGTAATATCTTTCTGTCAGTTTCTAGCAGACTGCCAGCTGCCAGCTGCCAGCCTTTTCAAGTCCAAAAAAATACCAAAGGTACTTTATCTACCAAATTACATTATCCCAGCTCCTTCCTGGTATTCCAAAACTCTCACAAGTAGAACTCCTACCGATCCAGCCACCACACGAGCACCTCCTCTCCACATCTCAATAGTAAGCCATGAAACAATTCCTGTCTGTACCCCTGCTAACCGCGAATTGCTCGCCCACAGTCGATTTGGCCGTGGCCTTGATCAATTACGCGATCAAGATAGCCGCCTATCTCATACTCATAATCAATGCCATAACCATAATCAACGTCGTAACCATAATCAACGTCGTAACCATCCGCTTCCCCTCTCGCCGGCGCAACCACGGGCCCGGCCCGTCATCCAAGGGCTCGGGGCTCGGGGCTCTGATCAGGTATGATAGATCTGTTTCACCTGGCCTACATGACTGGTTTCTAGCCACGATCCAGCACACGCTCTAGACATCTGGCCGGTTGGTGCGCGCCTCCTCCGCATCGGCCTGTGTGCTCCGTTCGTCACGGGTGATCATTATATTGACCGGTGCTATGGGCGTGTGAGCTACACGGACGGAAAAGAGCCACTGCACCACCTAGAGGCGATGCTAGAGCTACCGTTTCCGCCTCGCCACACCGCAGTGTGGAGTAAATATTGTATAACTAAATAGTTGAGAAAATGAGGGTGGAACTAGGCTGCTGATATCAAACATAATCGTGTAAGGCATAATAGACCTAGGAACAGGATGGACATATGATACATCTTGCCTTTTGGTGATAGCACCGATGATGGCGGTGATAACACGACGTAGACAAATGAGTTTGCACTTAATTACCTTATTCACGTACATTTGACGTTGTGGTTTTTTGACGTTGTGGATAACATGATGCCTTTCGTTTCCTCCTTTGCTAGTCTCACAATCATATATTTGTATTTCATTTCCGAAGACATCTGATGAATAGTGCAAGGAAAAGTGCTTCTTACCGTCCGGCGCATCCAACCCAAAGGGCAGAGAAATCTTTCGCGCACCGGGCAAAAAAAGCGATAGGGTTCCCCTGTTACAACGGCGGGGTCTGCGTGTATTACTGGCGCCTTCTTGGTGACAGAAACTTCAAGACAGAAAACGACTGGAGTTTCCCTCCACTATTCAAAACGAAGCCGGTGTTGTGATTTTCTAAAATCCTGGGAGCAAGCGCATTGGGTTCACTTCCCAGGTATGTCAGCCATGTCTTCGCCGTTGGTCTATGAATGCCCGATGGATAAGCCCCTGGCCCAGAGGGGATAGACATCACAAACTGCCAACGCGATTTCTGTGACTGATCTTGATGATGCTTCTGATGCAGTCGTTATGGAGAGTCACGGCTCCACGGCCTCCAGTCAAAGAATACAGAGGCTTCCAAGAGGACTCACCTGGGCAGACAAACGCCATTTGCCAAGCAAATTCGTTCAACTAACAGAGTAAGAAGGCAAGTAGAATAATTAATGCTTGCTGTCACTAACGCCCGTCCAAGCAAAAAGCAAGGACCTAAAATCCCACCAGATCCACAACTAGATGAATGGCCCCGTAGGTTGAGTTCTCCAAGTACCCAGCCGGTCGATTCCCAATACCAGAGCTTAGTGGGCACCTCCCTAGCCTACTAGGCACCCCCCTAGCCTAGCCGCAAGAAAGGGAGAACGCCTTTCCAAGCGCATCCCCTGTCATGCCAGGCCTGGAAGAGAATTGGGCCAGATACATCCCAGACTGTCAAGGCGACGAAAGGCATCTGCTGGATCTCGTAGCTCGCCAAGCAGCGGCTGTGGCCCAGCTTAGATGCAGCAGATGTCGCAATCGCAAGGAATGGGGATGCAGAAGCAGAAGGTGCCACCGCCGCGAAGCCCGACGCTGGTGTCTTCGTGCCCAGCAGCGGGATGGGAAGGCGTCTGGACCTGGGCGTCTGTTCACCAGTTAGCAAGCGTAGTTCTTCCCAATTGGTATAGTGGTCTTCCGTGAAGGCCGCCTGGAAGGAGACAGACTCATAGGCTGGGCGGCCTCGGGCTGTGCGGCGCGCATGTCGCGCATGGCCACGGACTCGGGCTCCTGGAGGCTGACGTTGCTCATGCTGCTGTTGTTGCTGTAGACAGCGGCGCCTTGCTGGGCTGATGGTGACATGCTGCGTGTGTCGCGAGGGAGAACGATTGTATAGGGTTGAGTAGCTGAGCGATGAGGTTTGAGGTTTGGTAGCGGTGGCGTGAGACTTGTTCCTGATTGAAGATGAGAGCTGTCGTCGACACAGAGGCAGTGACGGAGGCCTCGGGCCAGCTTCGGGTGACTTGGCCCTGCATATGCATTACGTCACTCGGCCAAAACCTGCCGCTTGCCTTGGCGTCGCGCTTGGCTACGCCGCTAGCCCTAACCCTGATTCTGGTTCTAGCCTGTGTCTCCCAGCACACGAAGATGACCACAGACAGTCGAATCCCAGCTCCTGGCAGTATTTTGCGACGGATCGACCACAACCGGTTACCAACGATGCCAAAAATACGGGGGATATCTGCGTCGTGTTTCGGCGCTTTTCACCTTTCGGCGAAGAGAATGGGGGCATCATTAGTCGACCTCTTCAACTTCGAGGCTCGACTTCGAGGCTCAGCTTCTACGGGCCCCGTTAGACTACCCATTACCACGCACACACTAAAACGGACACCATGTAAAATAAATATTGATGGTCGCGCCGCCCAGAAACGTAGTCGTGGCGCTCACGAGCTGTAGATTTCTGGCGGGGCTCTTGGGCCCTTGGGGTCTTGGGCTCTCGGGCTCTTGGGCTCTTGTACTTAATAGTGGCAGAAGGTGTGGTGAATGAGGCGCAAGTTAGAAGCGACGGTCAAACCCTGAACAAGCTCCTAGGTAGAGCCACAGCAAGTCAGGTGAAGCTGTCTCAGCGGCCTAGCATACTAGTGGCATCCTGCCAGGCGTGGAGCACGCTCTTAGGGCGACGATGGAGGCATCAGGCGGAACTAGCCGACAAGTTTCTCTCATGCTCTATGGTATGCCGTGCATGCAACTAGCGGGATATCGGTGGACGCAGTAGATCAACACAGGTTTTTCATTTGTCTGCTCTGGGAGCGAAAGCCGCAGTCAAACATATCACCAACGTGAAATGACGTATGCCGATCACCATCCACGCACTAAAATAAGCAATACATCAATGCAATCAAAAGGCAGAGGCAGGACAGGCACATGTTAAACTCTTCTCCAAGCCACAGCGAAACGCGGCGATCCCAGTGAAAAGAAAGAAGAAGATGGCTGATGTCAGGGTGGTTTCCAAAAATTTGGCACCATACTCATACAAGTTTGAACATGGGAGTAAAAGAAAGAGGAAGGGAAGAAGAGGGAGCTCGAGGTTTGTTTTATAGAAAGAACGGCTGATCCGTGCACGGCTGCAGATTTTGGAGTGGGTCTCCGTGGAGACAGGAGGCAAGGGAAATCGAGGGAAGTGATGACCGGGTGCAAGGTCCCCGAGGCCGGAGACGAGGGAGGGCGAGAGCGCAAGCGAGCTGGGACTCGAAGCAGCGGCTTCTGAACCCGGAGGAAGGAGGCGAGCTACACGCACGCAGTTGCGATACACACTCACACACGAGCCGCCCCGCAGAGAGAGCCAACTCGACTCCAAGTTTCCGCACCCCCTGGAACTATGCAGCCCATTCAGTGAACGAGCTGCCATGCCGCGTAGTTCCTTCGCCACATCTTAAACACAAACAGGAAGCATGTCAAGCTCTGTTTGTCGCTTGGCGTTCAATACAATAAGAAAATACTTTATTATAACTCCAACGATTTAGAAAACCTCGAGACTAAAGAAGCTAGCCAGTATCGACGCTATTTGGCCCAGCGACTTCCAACAGAAAACAAGGATACTTGAAAAAAAAAAAAAAGCCTCGCTTTACATCATTTCCCTAAGACAGTCTAGACATGGCGACCAAATAAGGAAATCGCCCCACAACGAAATCTCTGCCCCTGTCATCTAATTTCCCGCCCTACAACTTCAAAACACCCAACTTCAAATCAAGCCCAAATTGCTTCAAAATAGGCCATGTCGGACCGTCGCGAGCAGTTCATTGAAGCTGCAATATTTGCTATTCAGCAGGGCGCTTCGCAGAAGGATGCCGCCAAGTTGCATGGCATCCCTGCCTCCACCCTCTGCAAACGCATCCATGGCGCAGAAAATCGAGCAAAAAGTACACAGACGGGAAGAGTAAACAGACGGAAAGAAATGTCTCCGATGCGCAGGAGAGCTTCCTAGCCGACTGGTGACTCAATGAGGAAGCTGCAGGGCGTGAGCCTAGCCGTCGTCAGGTCCAGAGATTCGCTCAAGCTATGCTCAATATACTCAAGATGTCTGACAGGCTGCAACCAGGGGGGTGTGGGGGGCTATTGGCTCGTGGACTACTCACGAAAACGGCAAATGGAGCGATTGGTGATTTAGTTGAGAGGTGACGGCTCAAATGTCCGTTTAACTCCTTTGGGAATGGGACTGAGGCTCCTCCAACATTGGTCTGCTTTGAGCGAAGGCCTGGGGAGTGGGTGACCCTTTATTCTTCTTTTAAACTTGAGACTGTTTTGCAGCTTGGCTCCCCTTAAGGGCTTAGGAGGAGCAAGGACGTGCCGCACAGAGACGATCGCCCATCGTCAGCATGCATCCTTTGACGGTGGGCCCGGGTGCGCTTGGCAGGCGCAGCAATGGCACTTGGCTGCTCCATGCTCGCGGTAGGGCTGACAGCCGTTGAAATGCCGTAGGCACTCACAGAACGCGTAACCCACTAACAGAAAATCTCCACAAGTTTCTTCCTTATTAGGCGCTGTACACCTAAGGAAGCGATCCATGTCCTTATCGGACCTCGGACTCTGCCCACTATCGAGATCTCGGGTCAAGGCCCGTTCAGGCAGTTGTTCTAGGAGACGCCATGCTTCGCTTCTTACATGAGACTCCTTCGCCGTGAAGTGGATCTGAGGAAATGCAACGTCTTGACCGCTACTAGTAGGTAGTCATCGGGTCGATCCATCGTCCGGCGGCATCTTACCAATCTCTGCTGTTTATTTTTGAGGCGCCTGTTGGATACGTTTATCACCTACCTTGCAGCCCAATCCACCGGCGCGGGCTGTCTGTCTGTTCTCTCAACCATTCCAACTCCTTGTCACTGACTTGCAGCGACGCGTCTCCATTAGACATCGTCTGTCTCAACGCTACTGTCTCAACGCTACTGTTCCACTCTCGTCTCAGAATTTTCACCGTCTCCGACATGGGCTGGAACTCTGCACGCCTGCAGCGCTTGCGTAGACCAACCGACTTATCGAACACGAAAACCGAACGACCCAACAATGACCCAAGAATCACGGCGACGGGCGACGCCAACAAGCCGCCCATCCAGCTCTCGGACGACTCAGCTCTATCCGATGCGTGCACCAACACCCCTTTGGCCGGGCCGTCAGACGAGCCCGAGTACGTCACAGGGGCAAAGCTGTACATAATCGTCACGGCACTCACGGTGCACGTTTCTCTTCCTTCTGGACATGTCCATCATCGCCACCGTAAGCATGTCCCTGGTTCGCGGAAAAGACCGACATAGCTAACAGACAACTGCTGCGTTGACAGGCCATCCCGCAAAATCACGACCGACTTCAAGTCCTCGAGGACATTGGCTGGTACGGGTGGGCATACAACTTTAGCAGGTGAGCGCCCTCGACAGCACCTGACCGCCTACCGGGCAATGACCGCGGGGAAATGAGCTCACATTCACATTTTCAACAGTGCCGCTGCATAGGCGCGCTTGTGGGGGTTCCTCTTCTGATTGTTGTGGTCGTTTGACATGCTTTGCTAACGGGTTCTTGTTGCGCGATCTAGTTCTCTACGGGATCGCTATGGGCTGCAAGTTGCCTTTCCTATCGCCTTGACAACAATACGCGTCCTATTCTCTACAGCATATTGACCATTTGACCTGGTCTAACGTAATCGTTTGATAGCCAGCCAATTCGGCACCCTCTGCAGTCCATCGCTGGGAGGTGCCATCACGCAGTACTCGACCTGGAGATGGTGTGCGTTGAAACTCCCCGATTCCAAACCAACCAGCGGGAACAACAACCCACGTTAACAATGCCACCCCCTCTACTCAAACAGGCTTCTACATCAACCTCCTCGCCCTGGCCGTCTGCGCCGCGCTACTTCTCCTAATCCGGATCCCCGAGCGAACCACCAAACTCCCCGAGGGGAACTGTTCATGCGCACGGTGCTGATGCGGCTCGACCTGCCGATTTACTTCCAGGCTGTCAAGGGCGTGTCGCCGTTCGCCAGCGGCATATATGTCCTGCCGAATATCATATCGTCGACGATCTGCGCGATTGCTAGCGGTGTTCTTGGTGTGTCTCTCCGCCACGCCGCAATATCTGCAATCCTCTTTCTCTGTTGCGTATTCACTCGCAGTTATTACTTACGGTCTAACACCCCGAGCCTGTAGCTTCCGAGCTCGGCTACTACGGGACATGGGTCGTGAGAAGCGGTGCGCTCTGCGCCATAGCCAGCGGGCTACTAAGTATCCGCATTCTCCTAGTCCACGCCAACAGCGCAGTGGATCGGGTACCAGATTCTCCTCGGAGCACGAGGCGCGGCATCCCAAACAGCGTTAGCAATAGCTCAAACAACCCAATCTTGAGGCTATATTTGGTTGAATTGAGCCGCCAACATGGATATTTGACTGGGTCGAGGTTAGAATTGTTTGACATGGCAATAATTGATGATATTTGACGGCATCTTCCGCTTCACCAAAAAGACGTAAAAAGTCGAAGAGGTCCAAAATAGTAGAAAGAAATGCCGTGAAGAAGCCCGGAAAAGCTCGTCAACGTACCCAATCCTTTAAAACACATGATGTCGTAGAAGCTATCGTCGCCCATTCCGTGTCTCTGTGTGCCGAAGACCAGCTTACCGTTACTGAATGCCCTCTCCGGGTCCGCTGACATGGACGGAATAGACATCAAATCCAGGGCCATTTCTGACAGCCGGGGCCAACGTTCCTGACGACTAAACCACCAAGATTTCATATCATCTACCGGCCCGACTCCCTCTACAAGGTATTCAGCGAGCTCATCCTTCTGGCTAGGGTGTCTTCAGGCAGGTCATGGTAGTCATGACCAACAAGAACAGTCCCTAGACCTATAGACGGCGCCTGAGCCGGTTATGCCGGCGCCGGGACAGCGAGGCCGGAATACTCTGGGCTTGGTAAAGATGGCGGCCTGCCCTGTATGCCTGCCTTCCTGGCCCGCTCCTCTCCCAGGAACTTATCAACCCACTTCCTCTTATGCCCAGGGTGAAGTACCATGGCTGCCCAGTAAGCTGGGCTCTCCTCCATTAATGTAGCGTATTTTCTTAGCTTCTGAATGGCCAGGCCAATGCTTGTTCGAAGGAAGGATACATGATCTTGCTTTGGATCAGTATTCGAGGGCAGACAGTTATCGGGTAAGTCAGCGTAAGTCGGCGGCGAGGTCTAGAGAAGGGGTTCTAATCTACTCGGTCGGGAGGCGCCGTGGGAGGTCGATTACTGAGTCGGGTAGGCAGGTAAACGCATTACGTCGTGGCCGTTGCGAAGGGACTTGACTCGGTAAGGAAGACTCAACGTTTTTAATATCGTCATCGTCATCTTCAATTTGTTTAGCTGCCGAGATCACTGGATGGGTGTGTACCGGGTCACCATGTGCCCAGTAGGGACCGTAACACCCAGCTTGTGTTCACGGCCTTGAAGACCTTGTCGCAATAGTGGCACGCCCAGAAGTATGCTCCCTCTTTTATGACGTTGTTGACGACCTGGGCAAGCCAGCAGCCGTGCGAAGTAATCTACTATGAGCTCGTATTCTTCTTGCCTGCCTAGTATTCTGCTATATATAGCTCTCGTATTGTTGTTATTTTGAGCCAGTCCTTCACCTCCACATTCCCAAGCTCTTTAATGTCAAATTTGACCAACTCTTCGTATTGTGTAGAGATTCGCGATGGCTTCCTCAGGGCATCAAATGCTCGCTTTTGGCCTGTGGAGCGGGTCGCGGATTAACGGGTCGAGGTAGGCATATTGTCGGTAGTTCGGGCGTAAGGAATCGCTGTAGGAATAAAAGGATTCAGTGGAATGGAAGGATCTGGTGGAATGGAAGGATTCGGCTGTTTATTTACGTCGTGATGGCTGCATTGTGTCGGAAGGAGCCGCATCTAAGCCACATATGGGCGTAGGTGGCGCACATGCTAGACCGTTTACAGCCTAGACTGTGTTAGGCGAATGCCGTATAACTATGGTATTTAGGTTATGTCCACCTTTCTGAACCTTCCGAATACAAGCACTTTTTGGCCCTCAATTGATGCAGCGTTGTATGTGACACATTACGGCTTCGACGGTGCATTGCAGCGACCTGCGGCCTACCTGGCAGACAGAGATTTTCCCGGGCCCAGGAAAATACAGGTTGGCCTTGGTCAGGGAGCGCGCTGGACCCAGGAAAATCCGAAAAATCCGCCCTAAAAATGGCCTGGCCAATGGGAAATAATTGACAATCCGCCAATTATTTTGGCCCTACGATTTGGTTGAATTTGACCTCAAAATCGTATAATTGATTGCGCTAAATGGCTATATTTGATCGATGGAATTGGATAAAATTGAGTTAGTGCCAACCCTGGGGTGGTGGTGGTGAGCGGAGGGCCGGTGCAGGGGCCGTGGGAGGTGACATCAGTGTGAGGCTCAACAGGAGGCGTGGTGGCGGTGGGAGGCACAAGCGTGGTGGTGGGCTGCGAGATGACGGGCACGGCAAGGCCCGGGACAGTGCAGCACAGCAGGGCTGCGGCTGCCGAAAACTTGAGGCACGCCATTCAGCAGTTGGCTCTGCGGGCTGAGCAGTTGGCTCTGCGGGCTGTCGAGAACAACCTAGGTTCGAGAAAGCTGCAGGCGGCAACGGATGGTAAGCCTCGGATGGTAAACCGTCGCGTGGTGACGAGGGTGGCTGAACTTATAATCAACGCTGCCGTCTTGCACGGAGAAGAAGGGCCGGTCGCGTTAGGAGTGAAGTGCTATCTCAAGCGAGAGAGGTCCATCCTTCCATCATCGATTCTGCACAGACGACGTCAGAAAAGACGGCTTGGAGTTGAGTTCTGAGGGCCTGTAGGGCAATGAGATGCAGGGGTGCCCGGGGGGGGTGCGGGGGGTCGAGTTTAGCTGGGAACCAAGCAAACATTTCGATTTGCAGCGGGAATTCACCAGCGCGACCTGCAAGACGACCAGAAATGGCCAGTACTCTTTCTTTGATTTCTGCATTCCTGGGGGTACTTTATGGGCTCTGTGGATACCGACTGTGGGACCGGCCCAAGTGGTGACAACACGATCTCTCAAGGGCGGTATGTCTCACTACTACTCGGTACCGTCGCGCGGTAGCATTGCACCACCGCGCCCGTCACTTCGCTCGGGATCGAACTTGCGGCTCAATCTGGAACTCCTGCCTATCTACCGATCCGTAACCCGCCTTGTTCCCGTCACTGACTTGGTGTTGACGCCACTCACCGCGCCTCTTTTGTTGTTCTCAGTTCGCCTCCGGCAATCGATTCAACATCCTCGGTCAATGCCGTGGTCGGCCAATGCCGTGGTCGGCCAATGCCATAGCCTCGTGTAAGTATTGGCAGTTCACAGGCTTGCGGCCAAATGCTAAGGGACGCAACGATATGGTGGATTTTGCCAGCATTTCCGGCAGCGATGAACAAATAATTGGACGACACGTTAATGTCGGATTCTTTGTTAATAACTCTGCTCAAGCAGCAAGCTAATTATGTAAATATTGCAGACCTCACATCAGAACGGTCACACCAGAACGGCCGAATCCGAACGAACATCCAAACACCCTCTTGTTCCGCATCATGCCCTGACTCAGACCGTCAGTACTTTGGGCGCCGCCCCTCGTGCCACGGCTTGAAGTAGACGGGCTCGTTGGGGTCCCCGAGCTCGGGCAGGGCCTGGGTGTGCTGGGCAGTGAAGTTTGGGTACGTGTCGCCGACAAAGTCGAAGACCCAGTCGTGGTGGGCCTTGGGAGCGTGCATGTTGGTGCACTGCTCGCCCTCGGAGCCCTCGGCCCAGCCGTTGTCGCACTCGTTGGCGCGGCAGCTGCGGTCGAAGCCGTACGTGCGCCGCCCGCGCGGGTCGTGCCACCACCCCGTCGCCGACGCCTTGGCGATGCGGATCTGCCGCCACGCCTCGTACATGTCCTCGACCCCGCACGCCAGCTCGCCGCCCGTCCACACTTCGGCGCCGTCCTCGAGCACCTCCTTGCTCTTCTTGGTTTGGTAGTTGCACAGGTATGCCACCGCGCCGCCGATGGTGCACCGGATCTTGCCGAACCGCGGCACCCGCCGCCGCGCGCAGATCTGCTCGTGCAGGCACTCGATGGCTTGGTGCATCTGGCACTCGTCGATGTCGTTGTGCGACCCCCAGATCTCGGGGCCCCCGTACCACGGGCTTTGGTTGCCAGGGGCCGATGAGTAAACTGACACACCCAGCCCGTCCCCCGATCCCAGGTTTGGCTCCAGATTCGAGGCCGGGCTGATGACGCCCGCGGCCGCTGCCGAGGCGAGCGCGACGAGTGACCAGCGCATCTTGATGAGGACGCTGGCCTGTTGTGGGATGAGAGATGGTGTGAAGGTGGTGTGGGACGAGAGATAGTATAAAGGTAGTGTAGGACGAGAGATGGTATGAAGGTGGTGAAAGAAAGTCGCGTGGCCGGGTAGCCGTTGGGAGAAAGCTGGCGGGAGAGATATCCTCGGTGTGGGCTTTCGTGCCTCCGGAAGAAGACGCCCTTATATGGGGCCTTTCACGTGTCCCTTTCACAGGCACAGGCAATACTATCTGGCCTTGATCTGGTGATCGCTCGGAGACAAAGCCCCGGCAGGGTTTTCTCAAACGTCCGCTAGTCTAGCCACATTGAACTCTGGCTAGTTCAACGACCGCCATCCGACGTGCCCGACACTTGTTAACCGCGGCGATGTGCCTGACACTTGTTAGCCGCGGCGCTAGTAACCGGCCGTGTCAATAATTTTCAGACTTGCCGGATAGCCAAGCTGAATCCATGACGACTTTGACCTACCGGTGGCCGCATTTCCTTTTCTTGGATGAACCCCTTTTACTACCCTTTGTGTCGGCTTTGTGCGGGGCGCAACGGAAGACGATCAGTGTGGCATCAATGTGGTGATGCAGGCCTAGACATCTTCCAACCACTTCATTTCCCTGCATCAAGTCCCGTGGATTTTAGTCTACCCCTTCCTGGGACATGTACGCAATGGATGTGTGTACGCAATGGATGTGTGTACACAATGGATGTGTGTACGCCATGGATGTGGCAAGAGACTCCGTTCATTGTATTATCTAATTCGCCTCCTGTCTTGCGTGTCATTAAATGTTTAACCGGCGAAACCCCAATCTTCTCAACGTTCTTCGATATGGAATAGTATCATCGTTCGCTTTGATTCTCTCCGTTCGCTGATATTCCGACATGGTATCACCTCTCCTCCAATCCAGCAACTGCCCGACCCGTGTATCCTCCGTGTACACCCTCAGGGAAACCCCTGCGGCCAATCCGTGGCAACGGTGGCATTGACAAACGCGGGCTCTCCGTCGCCGGCGCACGTCATGCCCTGCTCGAGGGTCTCGCCCTGGCACACGAGCATCAGCTCGGCCTTGCCGTACACCTCGGCCTTGGTGCCGCCAGCGCAGGCCTGGGCCAGCGAGAAGGTGAAGTAGGCGGCCAGGTTGAGCTGCATCCAGATGCTGAGGTTCTTGTTGCCGGGCGTGCCGTCGACCTGGCACTGGTAGTTGAGCCGCAGCGCGCACCACACCGCCTCGGTCGTGTTGGTCCGCGTGTCCGTCACCGCGAACGACGCGTTGCCCCCCGCCGACAGCCCCTCGTGCGAGTACGCGATGTGCAGGTCGTGCACCGACCACAGGTTCGGGATCGTCGCCCCGTCTGTGCAGACCGCCGTCGACGCCGACGGGGTTGGCGACTGCCGGGGTGATGGCGCCGCGGGCTGGTGGTGGTGGGGGAGCGCGGTTGCTGGGAGGAGGGCGGCGAGAAGGAGCGCCGCGAGGGCGGTTGAAAACGGCGCCATTTTCAGTGAATATTGACTTTGGTGAATATTGACCTTGGTTGTGTTCTCGACCGTCAGTGAGGGACGTGTGTGCGGTGCGTCCCGCTCAAGTCAAAAACTGTCGAGACAGAATTCACCGCTGGACCCATCGGCAGGCCGAGCAGGCGTTGCTCGTGCCGCAGACTTGGCTATTAAACTCTTCATTGCCCTGTCCCCTCCATCCCATCTACCCCAAGTACCGGCGTCGTATGGCAATTTCGCCGTTAGCTCAGAGATAAGCTACCCCGCAGGGCCGCGTAAAGACAGAAGTATTCCAGAAGACCAGGCCCCGTCTGCCATATCAGGGAGATGCGCCGGGTAAACGCACTTTTGAGCCGCCACTCCCCGGCTAGACTGCCGGTCGCCTCATGTGCCGTTCCGTAAGCAACCCATCCTATCCTGGGTTGTCTTATCGAGGCACTAATTAGAGCATTTGTCGAGCTTTCCGGCAGCATTTTATACATTTAAATGTCCGCAGCTCCCGTCGACCTGTTTCTTGGCGATGCTATGACTGTCGAGCGAATAAGCTGGTGTCGAGCAAACCTGGCAGGGGGCCAGCTACCGCTCCTATTGCTGCTCGTCAGAACATTTAGCCAGCCCTGAATTCTCTCGTCTCGGGGTACCGTTAAAGGACAGATACCAGATTGCGTAGGAATTTATTCAGTACGGGTTGTTACTATATGTGAAATAACTTTGCGTCTGATTGGACGCACTTGGCTCCCCTCTACCGCTTGATCATGTTCATGTTCCACAATAACTACTAGGAGTCTCTATACGAGTGCACCGTCCGCGGCCAGGAAGTTGTTTTGATTGCCATCCCCGGGTTCGACGACGGCGACTTGTCCGACCTTGAAATCCTCGACCGCGTTGCCAACTTTCTTCGGGTACAGATGGAGAATGGCACCAAGCTCACGGGTCTCGTGTACATCCAAATCATGACTGCGAATCGATTCAGGGGTAGCAACAGGCAGAATGTCGCCTGGATCTGAGCCACTCTGAGCCACATTTCAAGCCACAGCCAGCTAAGCTTCAAAATAAACCCTGTATGGCTGAACTTCGAATGCACCCTGTACGGCTGAACGGTGTTTTCTTTCATCCTTTTCTTGAAGTATAAGAAGGCCTTCATTCATGTATCCCTAGACCGGATTTAGGCAGACAATTCAATGCGCTGTCAACTTCCATCGCGGGCAACACAGAACTTGAAAATATTCCGCGAGCTTACCAGCGACAACAATATGGACAATGCCGTCGTCCTGACGACCTTCTAGGACAGCCCTGGCGACATGCAGCAACGAGAACGCTAGGAGGCGGAAAATCGCACCAACTCATCAGAACTCGGAGTCTTGGAAAAGTACGGCGCATCGTACATGAGACACGACAATCGCAAGTCGCGACCTGGTAAGCTTCTTCTAGCTGTCGTTATCTGCACATTCCGTGTGGTTTTCTCCCTAAATTAGGCCTGCCTAGACTAAAACCGTCCGCGTGCTATACTTGTGAGAATCACGGAAAGCATTTACGTTTCTGTTATGAGGGAAGGAAAGGTGATATTAATATTAATACAATAATAAAACAAAGAAGACAGCCACCGTCTCCCCACCCTCCTCCCATCTCTACCCTGTACGCCCAGCCCCCCCCCCCCCCCCCCCCCCACAAAAAAAAACGCCCCTCCAAACCCACGCATGTGCATACGGTGACGGCAAGGGAAAGGACGCGGTGGAGAGGATAGTGGATAACAGAAAAGAGGCACACATACTGTTGCTGTTGCTGTTGCTGTTGCTGATGCCGTTGCTGTTGATGCTGCTGCTGCTGCTGTTGATTTTCCTGCTACTGCTGCTGGTTCTGCTCCGTGGAGCGAGTCTTGGTTTTTTTTTGAGTGTCAGGAAAGAAGAAAGGAAACCCCGGGTCCTCGGTCTGCCGTGGGTTTATTCGCCTACGAAAGCCAACGGCCTCCTAAAAACCTTCTCCCTCACGATACTTTCACTCCAGTTATTGACGTTGCCTATTGTTCTCCGTCATCCAATGCCGGGCTAGCGGGGCCCACCGCGGCGCCTAGAGAGGGTATCCAACTCTTAGATTTATTCTCATGCCCCTACGGCGCCCTTCCTCTCTCAAATCCGGCATTCCCTTTCCTACCCTATCCCCGCCAGGAGGCACATATTTGAGAAGAGCTTGCCCTGGCATTCGTCACTCGAGCGCTCGCTTCGGGCAGATCGCCGGACGCTCCATTTTATTTTCCATGTCTAGAATAAATACAGCACTGCGGCCCCAGGCTCCTAGGCGATTACTCTATGTCTTCTCTAGATAACGTAGACCATGGCAGTGCTGTACATTGTGTGCAGGTGTTATGTCTTTGGTGCGCGTAAGCCGTCGGGCATTTTTTTAATCGACCTTCAAGTTCTTCTCGATTGTACTCGAAGTGCTTCACATTTGACTCCTTCCCTTTTGAAAATGACAATGCGGTGCCGCTAAGCCACGGCAATGAGGTTAGTACTTGTACTGGGACACGAAAACTCATTGTCGTATCGATGTTTTTGCACACGGTTCGGTCTGTACGCCTTAACGACGAAGCTTGAAGATGCCGCAGCTGACAGCCACAACGCAGATAGATTGTACGGATGGTAGATGGCTGGACAGGCTCTTCTTGCACCAGAGCAGCCTCTTAGGATAATAGCATACCTCTCAGTCCGTAAATTAAAAGCACAATGTTCTCGTATACCTTTATGCCAAGTATCCATTGCTGGAACGCCGTCCGGTGCCTGTCCGTCACATCTGGCCAGGTCATTAATAGCTAGTCTGGCCACGTCATTGATAGCTAGTCTGCCTTTGAAATGTGTAATATGCCTGTAAATCAGACCGTTTCTTGTGCGGTGGCCAGTCTGAAGTCAAGGTGAGGCAGGCTACCCGCCGCGAAGGGCCCGCGTACCTGCCTGTTTTGCCTGCCTTTCGACGCAGCGTTTTCGTCCGAACATGCCCTCCTCGCGATGCTCCCCGCCGAAGCCTGCTGCTTATCTGCCAATTTCTGCTTTCTTGTGTTTCGTGAACCTCTTTTTTCGAATTAACGAAAACAGCTTCGGATTAATGTAAGTACTCGTCCAACGCCGCGAATGGTCCAGAAATTGTGCTAACATCTCGAGCGCATTAGTCAGAAACAACTTCGAATCCAAGTAAGTATTCCTTTTGTCCGATTCCGCAAAAAGAGGGCTCGGCCAATTTGCTAACATGTACGTTCGCAGCAGTCACGATGCAAGAGAGCGAGAGAGAGACCGGGCGAGCCGGGTCTTCGGACCCGTCAGCAAATCATTGTAATCGGCGCGATTTCCGGGGGACGATACTCCCGATTCCCCGCGCCCCTCTACGCCGGTCTGGGACGGACCCCGGCCGACGAGTATTCGGGACTACCTGACGACGACGAGGGACTGGACGACGACGGCGAGCCGATTCTCCCCGTGACACTGGCACTGAGTTCTTGCATACCGCCCTCGTTTTCAAGAACATACCCTTCCACCACAAATCGCCAGCCGCCGACGCCGTCCCGCCTCGATTTACCAGGTCTCGTTGCAAGCACGCCCGCCGTTTCGATTTACCAGGTCTTGTCGGAAGGGTTCAGCTATTACGCTATTCCAGGTTGTCGATGCATGGATCCCGCTGTTCGGTTTATTAGGTCTCGCCGCCGGAAGCTAGCTGTTACGACAGGCTCTCGTTTCGAGCAGTTTGCGGTTTCTTTCTACAAGGCTTTCGTCGCAAGGGGGTTCGGCGGCATCACTAGTATCAGGACTCGCCGCAGGAAGGTTGCTTTACGAAGGGTCTCGTTTCAAGCGCCTGCCTATTCTGGAGCCTTCACCCCGGAGCGCATACCCCTTGGCCTCTTTACATGAGCCGACCTCGCCACAGAAAGCTAGCTGTTACGAGTACTAGGCTCTCGTTTTAAGCAGCTCACCGCTCTTCATTCGCAGGTTTTGTCGCGAGTTCGTCATCTCCAGTACTAAGACTCGCCGCAGGAAGGTTGTTCCAGCAAGTCGGACGACTAGACGAATCAGTTTCTTCGGAAACAGATCGCGTATCGGTTTTCAAGGCCCCGAAGCAGGGAGATAGCCATGGTAATATTTCCTCTCTCATGGCAAGCACCTTGTCGCCCTGTTTTACCAGATATCGCTGCCGACATCTCGCCCAATCCCCGTTAAAGGCAGCGGCGTTACACGAGTCACCAGCACTAAGAAGCTGCAGCTCCTTGTCCAGTTCGGCTTGCGACTTCATTTTCAGCGGAAGGGGTTCTTTGATATTGCTTGGCTAGGGGTCTTTCTACATGTGGGCGTTAGTATAACGCTACTCGTGTTCGACGGGGCTGGGTTTCCGGAAATTACCCAGTTGTCACCGCACAGTCAACTAAATGAGGCAAGGCTGCACTAATGTCGCTGTATTCGTAAAATTTAAAGCTAAAGAAAGAAAAAGGAAAGAAGATTCCAAATCCTGTGCGGGGCTCGGGGAAGTAGGGTTGGTCCTCGAGTCACGTGGGGGGTTGCGGCACGGGCCACTCAGACCCCACCTTTGGTGCAGCCCAGCTGGGGTTCCTTGCACGTGCCCCTCAACCGGTTGTCTTGGCGCTTGCCGTGACACCAGTCTAGAATAACACGCACCTTTGTATCTTCGCCCTTTGAGGGCGGAGTTTGCAGGCTTCGGCTTGAAGAAGTTGAGAGATGTCTTGTCGAAGCGGGTAATATCCGCCTCCGCTCAACCGCACAATCTTGTCGTAAGCCATGGAGGAGGCATCTCGCCAATGGAGCCGTAAGGGATCTCGACCAGGGCATCGTTATCATTGGTAGCTTGTGCTGGGATACGTCCTTTTGAAACCTCCAACAAGAATCATTTTTTGGGGAAGACGGCGGAATCACGAAACCTAGTGCAAGTGTGCATGGTGGTAGAGTTGGGGTATAGTGATCTCATTCCAGTTTAGGGTAAATGATCGTCTAGCCAAGCCCCTATTATTCCCTTCAATGTCCTCCCCCTCCCCTCCCCCCCTCCCCCCCTCCTCCTGTTGGATTGGCTACATCGTACCAGCTGAATGGAGCCTAAAAGGATGTGTAGGCATCAAGGCCTACATACGGGCCTATCATCATTGGTGGCCTAATGAGTGGCAAGTTTGATCGAAAGGGCATTATTATTTGCCATCTACTTCGCCACTATGTCCATCTATAATAATGGCTCTCTGGCGAAGCCAGAGAGCGGGGGGGGGACAATCAATTCTGAAGATAATCCATCTGTGTGTCGAAGCCAACACCTCCCCTCCTCCCCTCCTCCCCTTGTCCTTGTTCTCATTATTTCCTCCTTCCATCCTTCTTTGAGATTCCTTTCCTTTTCTCCACATCCTCTTGTGAAAAGAAAACCCTACATTTCTCAACCAAGACAATCGATCCGTAGATAAAAAAGCCGCAACCATTACCCTAGCTTCCCACCAATTATCCATCTTCAACCTCCTCATCATGATTTCCCCACCTCTTCGGCCAGTGCCTAAGGTCACTGCAGCTAAGGGACGGAGCTAGCCACAACGCCGTACACGGCCTTGGGGCGAACGACAGTCCGCCTCCGTACTCGCCACCACGAGTTTCTGCAAGGAAATCTCTTCTCAGCCGCATGTTCTTGCGGTCTCGGAAGCGAAAGCCGCTGCCACGCAAAAACATGCTCAAAGCAACAACGCCACAAGTCGCCTTCCTTCCCGCAGCTTATTAGCGCGCGAGAAGACCGGGAGGAGTCCACCGCCAGCCACGGAGAAACGGAGTGTGCGGATCTGCAAGCGCGGCGACGTCCCGTTCTACTTTCCGATCAACTCTTCCGACAAGGGGAAGATAATCATGTGCAGATATCATCCAGGTAACTCTTCCGATAAGGGGAAGATACTCATGTGCAGATATCATCCAGGTAAGTCGGCATTTTATCATAGCTATTAGCTATCTAAGTAGTCTGCTACGAAAAAAAAAGGTGGGCCTCCTCTAAGACAGGTCAGTCTAAAATCAGGCTCGCTTCCCTCGACTCAGCTTCGGCTCAGCTTCAGCTCACCATTGCTTACCCTTCACTCACACAAGCACAAAATTGTCAACTTTACCCGACTCCATAGAAACCTTTTTTGGGCCCCCTCAGGGAGGGTCTCATTTCTGAGAAAAACCTCCCTTTCTAAAATACCAATACAGGGACTAAGAATTAGGCTCCATAGCTAGCGTATTTGTTTACCGTTTTGGGATTCCGTTTCATAGTTGCTACATCTTATGCCCATTCCCACGTGGATCTGTCCTGCTGCCTACCGTGCGACATTCTGCTCCCAGCTCGGCCAGATAAATAGTTCAATTCGCCGCAACCAACTACCGAATTGTTTTCCTCCCTCGTGCCTCTTATCCATACTTCTCATGCCAAACTCCCCGTTCTTTATTACTGACCACGTCCCTCTTCAATACTTTTCCACACCTCACCACTGTTTCCCACGCCACTCTCAACCATTATCAGCCCTGTACCGTACAGTACCTAATAGTCTACAATGCCTGGAAAGAAGAGCGTTGAGGAGTTCTTTCGTCGGGGAAAACAGAAGGGCTCGGAAAATTGCGTAGATAGGATAGACGACTCAACAGTCCACAAAAAGCCAACAGACAAGGTACTAAGAGATACCGCCGCATGATTGAGCTGTGGAACGAGTAAGTCCCCCAAAGTCTTTAATGTATTCCCCTAACCTTATATCTCTCTAGCCACTGTATAAACTACCCCGATACCAACGCTTGTGACCTCAAATCTTTGGAGGACTTTATGAAAGATATTACATTTAGCATCGACAGCGTAGAAGACGACCCAGATCTAGCGGAAGGGACTATCATAGTTTATTAGGAGCAGTTTATAGCTGGCTGGTGTCGTAAGCATGATTACACTCTCAGTCACAAACGTATCACGCCCCTCTCTTAATCAGCTATACCAAGCTAACTGAATTTGCAGTAGTTTATTAAATATAAACTACGCCGCAACGCATGGCTCAAATCTAATTACATAATCTGACCATAGTTTAGGCTCTGCTGTGCCGTTCTATTCATTCCGTGGATGGCATCCCCAGCCAAGCAAAGGAGTTAGGATCAGAATTTATGGGGACCGAGGTGACTAGTGGTTGTCCAAGAAATGGTCAAAGTGGTCCTGAAAATTGACGAAGGTTGACTAGAATCAACTCAAATCGTCCCTCAGATTTGGTGGATTTTTTTCACGGTCTAATTGAGTTAAGTGTGTGGCTGATTTACTTACATTACGTTACGATTATTATTTAAGTTATGCGGAACGCTGGTCTAGTTGTCACGTAGTCAAGGCAAGCAGTTACAAGTACTGAAATAGACTAGATTGATCTACCTGAGGAAGAGAGAGGGTAAGCCGGCTGAAGGCTGGAGAGACCCCTTTTCATGGTCCTAAGCTCAGACCCCTTATCCAGGGAGCTTACGTAGCAGGGGAGCCTTGTCCATGTTCCCAATGAACTACCATTGCCGCAGTCAGAGCCACTCGCGCAACACTAGTCTACAGATTCTTTAGGCCCAGCCTGTAACAAGGAGATGGTCCGGAGTGTATCAGGATGCTGTATACCTAGAACTTCTTTCTGTAGTCCAAGCGTCTGTCGGTACAACTGCTCGGCCTCCCTGTAGTTGCCCTGATTCCGTACCGCGTTTGCGACCCCTTGCATACTCCGGAGTGTGTCGGGATGCCGTGTGCCCAGTACTTCTGCTTGTAATGCGAGTGTTTGCCGGTATAGCTTCTCAGCCTCCTTGTATTTGCCCTGATCACACACCGCGTTCGCAAGTCCATGTATACTTAGGAGCGTGTCAGGGTGCTTAGTACCTAGCACTTTTGTACGTAGCGCGAGCGTCTGTCGGTATAACTGCTCGGCCTCCCTGTAGTTGCCCTGACTCCGTACCGCGTTTGCGACCCCTTGCATACTCCGGAGTGTGTCGAGATGCTGCAGGCCTAGTACTTCTCTCCGCAGCGCGAGCGTCTGCTGGTACAGCTGCCCAGCCTCATGGTAGTTACCCTGATCCCACACCGCGTTCGCGAGTCCATGCACACTCCGGAGCGTGTCGGGATGCTGCAGGCCCAGCACTTCTCTCCGCAGCGCGAGCGTCTGCCGGTGCAGCTGCTCGGCTTCCTTATAGTTGCCTTCATCCCGCACCGCGTTCGCGAGTCCATGCATGCTCCGGAGTGTGATCGGATGCTGCTCGCCCAGTATTATTGTCCGTAGTGTAAGTGTTTGCCGGTACAGCCGCGCAGCCTCCTTGTAGTTGCCCTGATCCCGCACCGCGTTCGCGAGGTTATTCATGGTCAGAAGCGTGTCGCAATGCCGCGCGCCCAGCACTTCTGTCCACTGCGCGAGCGTCTGCCGGTACAGCTGCTCGGCTTCCTTGTGCTTGCCCTGACTCCACGCCGCGTTCGCGAGTCCATGCATACTCCGGAGCGTGTCGGGATGCTGCGCACCAGCCACCTTTGTGCGTAGTGCAAGCGTCCGCCGGTACAGCTGCTCGGCTTGCTTGTAGTTGCCCAGACTCCACACCGCAGTCGCGAGGTTATAAAGAAGGTTTGACTTGGTAGCGTCATCTGTCGAATCACCTTCAAGCTCTAATACTGTGAAGGTATGCGGAAGATATCTCATCCATACACCTCTGTTCCTATATCTGGGATACGGAAAAATATCTGCAAGCCGTTGAATCACCGTGGTAACACATGTCTTCAACTTTGCTTCGTTGGCTAGCCAGTTGCGCATCGCCAGTCGCACAAGTCTATGTATATCGTACGAACTTTGGCCCGCTCGTTCGCTGATAAAAGCATACGCTTTCAATAGACCAATCGCTTCGTCCATCTCCAATTCGCCGTCACCTGGAGGCAATAGATCTCTCGGGATATCTTTCTCAGAGAGAAATGACATGAACTTCATGTATTGGGCGGAGAGGTGGTTGTCCCGGGATATATGGTGGAATGAAACCAGCCATGTCGTTGCAACTGGATTTTGGGTGCTCTTGTACCGGCCTTTATCTTCAAAATCCTTTCCCAGGAGCTTGGTTAGATCGGCATCGCTCGACCGACAGTGTTCTAGATACCGCATTGTCGTTATCCCTGTCTGATCCATATAGGCGGATGCCTGCTTGATAGCAAGCGGGAGATCGGCCAAAAAGTCGAGCAAATCTGTGGCGCTTTTATTGTCACTCATTTGCTCCGGTCTTAGATGTTTTTTCAGGAGATCAAAGGCTTCGTCTCTGCTCATTGTGGTCACGCAGATGCGATTCGCTTGCCGGATACTGAGCCTTCGGACAACTTCGTGATTTCGTGTTGTGAATAGGATGGAACCTTTATGGCTGGATGGGAGATGGTCAGCAAGAGACGTGTCGCCGAAGAGCAGGTCGGTGTCGTCCGCGTTATCGACAACTAAAAGCCAGCTGCCGGAATCTTCGCTGTTCAGTGCAGCCTTGACGAGGGTCTTGACGTCGGCCTTATCTTCGCCGATCCCCGCAACCTTGAGCTCTTGGCCGATCTTACGGTATGCATTCTCAAAAGTGGTGCTATCGATGGCTGGGACCCAAAAGATGCTGCATCCTGGATGTGCATCGCGGACCCGAAAGATCGCCTCGAGAGCAATCTGAGTTTTTCCGATGCCCCCGAGACCCTCGAGGGCGACTAATTGGCACTTGTCTTTATGAGACTCCGGTGGGATCGTCGCCAGGAGCTGTTCTAATTCCTCACCACGCCCGACAAAGTCATCGTTGCGGTCAAAAGGGACGATCCAGTGGCGCTGTGAGAGAAATCCGACGACTATTAGGAATTAGTTTCAGGGTGAGGCTCGAGCTGGATTAATTCAGAGCCACATACCATGAGATGCCAGTTGCTCAGTAACGTAGTGAAAGTCAGGGATAGAACCTTCCTTCGGTCGCCAATCTAGTGTCCGAGGTAGACCCTGCGGCGCCCCCGGCTCGTCTGAGCCGACGGCCGAAAGCCGAATTAATCTGTTCGAGCCTTCTTGGCCGACAATCTTGGATGCAAGCAATGCCCTAACAACTTTATTGACCTGTTCGGATATTATGTGTTGATTAAGATATTCAGTGGTGACGGTCCGCACATGGGATAGTTCTTTCCACTCTTCCAGCCCGATACCTGGGAGGCCACGATCGACGGTGAAGCGGAAACACGTATCCTGAACGTATTGAAAGCGCCGATGTGTCTTCTCCGCTGTCGTGTCTGACTCGGTTGTCATTTTCTTGAGCGCATTGATTAGCTTGACCGGGCTCGTCTTTGGCGAGTCTGAAAGGTTGATGACGGTAGCGACGCCGGTTCCAATGCTGACGGTACAGGCAACCTTCCGGCCTGGGAAGATGCACCTGGCCTCCTCCAACACTAGTTCGATGGGGTTGTTGTAGCCGAGTGCGCCATCCACGAACGTCTCCTGCTCGCCGTCGTCGCCTATTTTGATGGGTTCGAAGTACGAAGGTGCCGCCGAAGTTGCGCGGCATGCCTCCCAGATCGTGCAGTTGAACGAAGCGTTCTCGCGCACCTTATACGTCCTGAACAGCCGGGGCCCGGCTCGAGCCTTGACGTCTTGCTGCGGCACGGCGCAGACAAACCTTGGGACAGACGGATCAGCTGGTCGCTCAGGCAAGAGGCTCCAAATACATACACTTTGCAGCTGCCACCTCTCTCCAACATTTTTTCTCCACTGCGATCTTTCCCCAGGAGCCGCTTTACAGCCTCTTCTAGCTTCCGGCCGTCAAACGTGTTTTTTTTGAGGTACCTTGGAAGGGAGAAGACTTCCTCCGCAATGCGGACGTATTCCTTCCTGGCCTGCGGTACCGATCGGCGCAAACGTCCCAGTAACAGCGCAATCAGGCTGTGACAAGACCGGGATTAGCTGTGACCCAGACAAGCACTCGTGACCTTACCCTCCTGTAGATGTACCGCCGATAAGGTCAAAGAAATCTGCCGGGAGAAGATCTTCGTCTACATCAAGGTCGTATTTGATCCAATTCATAATCTCGTCGAGGATCACGAGCTGCGAGAGCCCGCGGATGCCCCCGCCGTCTGCGGCTGTCAATGATTGAGCAACGACGGCAAATTCGGTACATGGGCTTACCTAATGCTAGCAGGCACAATGGTTTGTCGTCCATTTCTCCAGATCTCTCGAGTAAGCAATAAAGGAGAGGATCTTCTGAACCTAGACTCTCGCCGTGTGTACAGAAGACGGTGAAAGTGAGCCGAAATGCCTCGTGTTGAGATGCACGGCGGTTCAGATGATATGCCAGGCTCGGAATCGCTGGGTTATCTGCATAGCCAAACGACATGTCTTGACCGCGGACAGGCAGCCTCTGATAGCGGCCTCTTCCAGGTACATCTCGCGCGCGCTTATTATCGCCTGTCATGAACCAATTGTTTCAATACCCTCGCATCGTGTCTCCTTTTTATTGGCGGTAAAATTGTTTACGTTCTGAATAACTGAGCGCTAAATATAAATTTCCGAGCGCCTAGCAGGCGCTCAATCCTATGTACTTGATAAGCTGACCTTATCGTCAGATCGGTCTTGGCCCTGTGCCAATAAGCCACATGTATTCCGTACGCGGTCCGGTTCAGTCATCAGTCAGGTGTGACGGCCCCTCAGGTCGTCACTTGGGCCGGTGCGGCCCGACAAATCCCCCGCAGGAAGGACGGTGCGGAATGCCGTGCGAATGCCCATATGCACTGTCATTCCTGGCCAATAAGAAATTGCTCAGTGGACCCGAACAATCAGTCACTGGGCAGGAGACTACCACTGAGCAGGAGACCACCACTGAGCAGGAGATTACTACTGAGCAAGGGAATGATCAGTTGGGATTGATCGGTCGCCCACTGATTAAATGCCACTACCAAGGGTACGAGTTACCTCCGGCTAGCCTAATATAGATACCATCATCCTAGCCGCGATGGCGCGAGGAATCTTAGTTCCTCACGCAAGCAATATCATTGTTCTTGTGTCCTACTGTACGAAACCTAGTCGTGCACTGTAGTGACTACGGCCTACAGTGACAGTGCTACTCTTCTGTCTGCGAGTGCTTGCTTCGGCCCTCAGCTATCTGATATCCTACTTCTCGGTGTCGCCTTGCACGGTTGCTGCGACGCACACCGGCGACCTGTCTTAGCCCCCTGGGTGCAGGCCGTAACACCAGCAGTGGTAGATAATGGTATAGCTATAGCTCTCTGGCCGAGCCAGAGAGCGGAAGGCAGGCTTCAGTTGAACAACTTACCAACCCTAACCCCTCATCTTGCTGTGACCCAACGACCCCTCTCCCCGCACAACTGGCAGATTCAACCCTACGGCTAACCTACGCTACATAGTATGGCAAGAACTACTGCCTAGGATATAGAGGGTTGGTATGCTGTAGGTCTATGTAAGACGGTCCACGGTAGACCAAGGACGATGCAATCACTGTACTGATGGCGAGAGAATTGTGAGTTGGGGGCGGCTCGTCAGTGCGACTGCCAGACTGCATTGGCTTGTGCCAGACTGCATTGGCTTGTGCTTGCAGCATGAAGGGTTCACTGATGAGCATCCCAATAATGGGGTGGTAAGGTTGTTGATTCCAAAAAGGGCGGCTGGGCTCCATAACCAGACTAGATAGGTAAGCGATAAGGTTTGCAGATGACGGTGCTGCCGAGCACAGGCCCAACAAGCAGCAGAGTCCTGCTTGCTACAGTGGGCTGCGCCCTGTTTTAGGGCGCCGGCGGGGCGCTGTTTTACCGTCCCCTTATCTGGAGGATTGCGTCAAATGTCAAAGTCTACAGTCATGGAGCTCAAATCCATCAGCTTTAGTCGATCGGACAGTTAATATACCGCGCTGTTTCTCCGGCTCTCTTCTTTGTTGGTTTACAATACTACAGCTACTTGATATGTCTCTTCTCACTCCATTCCTCAATTGACCCATAACAGTGATTTTTCGGATAGAAAAGAGAAACGGCAGTTGCGTGGCGAAGCAACGCGACCGTTACGGTCAGGGGGCAGGTGTCCCAAAACTGGGGCCAGGATTGTCCTTGCAAGCACACCGGCCCATTTATGGTCACGGAAAGCATAGCCGGGGCAAATTCCTTGGGCTCACCTCGGCTCAGGCGGCCCTCAGTGCGGCTCACCACTTGCTCAGGATCTGCGACTAATACGGACTCGGACAGAAAAAGTTGTCGGGCGAGACTATAGAGGTAATTCCATGGGTATACAGCGGAGTTGTTGTACCACCCGCAGGTACAAGTACAACTTCAGTTCATGACTACTACAAGACTAATCCACTGTTACACAGGAAAGTTAGAGCCGCTCGCGGCCATGATGGCCAGGAACGGGGAGGACATCAGCAAGGAAGAGGCGATGTGGAGCATATTGGAGCTCTGGTGGACGTGCTGTTTGCAACGAGAACACGATGGGGGCTGCGCATATCTAGGCCGTTGCCATGAACCCGAGACGGTCCGCAAAATATGAATATCTAAAGGAAGCATGTCTAGCTCTTACAGGCAGCCACGTGAGATTTATAAACCCAGCATTGAAAAGGCAAGGCAAAAACAGGCCATGTCAATATTCATTTCGAAACGATCACGGTTTATCACGTGGCACACATTTTTGGCACAAGAAAGTCAAAGACCAAGGGAATTGTAGAGAGCCCTATTGGCTCTCCACGCAACCAACGAGCTTCATATATACAATGGCTCTCTTCGACCAACGCGTGTAATCGAGTAGGCTGCATCTGGCCAATTTACCCTGATCTCCTCGACAAGTTCTCACTGTGCCTTTGCGCTGCAGTCGTGGGCGCGAAGGTTACAGGCCATGCTCGGGGTTTACACATGGCGGAATGTTTACCTCATTCCTTCTCGTCGAGGCAGGGAGGGGGGCAACCGATGCAAACCTACTAGTAAATACGTTTACACGTATTCGTGGTCGGAGAGCCCAGTGAAGCCCGTGGTTGCCCCCACCTGCACAATGCCTGCCAGGACTACTTAGCCCTAACAAGCTCTAATTTGGAACGGCATTTCTTCACATGCCGCCCCAGGTTGTCCTTCCTCCCGCCGAAATATTTTCCGCAAATGTCACACTGGAGCTTCTTTCCTCGGTGTATCAGTGTCTCCAAATGACGGTTCCGGTCCTGGAGAGTACCAAACAGCTTTTCCGTGCATGTCTCGTGCGGACAGGGAAATCGCTTGTTGTGGTACCGATTCTTGTGGCGGCTGCATGTAGCGTTAGTAAGGTTCACATGCTGGCAAGTAAGGTTTGTCAAAGGCTGGGTGAGGATCAAGATTCATGGGTGGGGGCCAGATGTATAGACAATGGAAACGTAGGGTAAATAACTAACCTGAGTCCGGCTTTGTTCTTGAAAGAGCCGCCACAACACCTAAACTTGCTCTCTCGGCCTGGCCTTGGTGAGAGGATAGCAGACTCATCATGACTGGGCGACGCCGTTGAACCTGACGAGCTGCTTGGCACAAGGTCGACTTTTGGTGATATCATTTGCGTGCTGAATCCCATTGTCTCGAGTCCCACACTCCCAAAACCAGCGTGCAGTTGCTGTCCAGCGGGGTCTTCCGGCAAAAAGTCGAAGACGCTAACCTCTCCTAGGCTCAACCCGAGTAGGATAGTGAAGTCAGCGTTGCCGTTAGGTAGACCGAGTTGTGGATAAGACTCCTCGATGCTGAGTCCGAGTGTCGAAGTATATGAGCCTGCACCCATGAACGAAGTCGTATCCGGGACAGGCGGAAAAGGCCAGCGGCCAAGTAGGTCGTTGGCTGGGGCCTGTTGTGGTAGTGTAAGTGCGCTCGGGTTGTCGACTGGTGGCTGAGCATGGCCACCACAATGCCAACACGTGTGAGAGCGTTGGGCGCACTGGGAGTGAAAGTGTTGAAAATTATTGAGTTGAAAGTGTTCATCCGCCGATGTGAGGGAGGGGCCGAGTAGAAGTCCCAGTGCCTTCGATTGATCCCTCGGGCTTGAATCGAAATGGTTGTCGTGCGTCTCAAGTCCTTGGAACTCCCCGCCCACTCCTTCACATCCAAAGTGGTCGAAACTGGAAAAGACTCCATCGCTGCCAACCCAGGGAACACCCGACACGGGATCACAGAACCCCGAAAACTGAGATACTGTGCCGAGGGTTGCCCCTATTGGCAGCAATGGAAGCTCTACCGCTTGATCACTGGGCCATTGATTCGAAATGGGGTGACTGGCGAGGACACCGCGTGCCCCCGCCGGCACACCTCGAGATGGATGGAAGCTGCAATTGGGGAATCAGCACCTGGTCAAGGCCCACAGCTTTGCTTGGGCAAAAGAAGGGGAGCAAACGTACAGAGCCTGAAGTTACCGTCCCCAGACCCCGCAGAGCCTGGGATCCAGACGTGGATATGGTGTGTGGTGGTGATCGAGTTCTGCTCGACAATGCTTCCAGCGTGTGGAATTGGCGAGACCTAAATAATGTCATGCCCGCTGCCGAAGCGGCACGTCAGGCATCCTTCTCGCCCCTCTTTCGAGTTGGAGGGTATCGGCATGCAGCCATGCAGCCATGCAGCCACATGCAAGACTGCCTCAGCGCTTCAGACGTCGATTGGGCGACGGACATGCAGGTCTCCTGCCTCAACTTTGGCAAAGCCAATCACCATTGGGACTGGGCTCCGAGCTTATCGGCACTGCCCAATTGCGCGTTCAACGCCCAGCTCCATTGCCCAATGAAGGCTCCCATCCGGAGACAGAGCTGCGGCAGCACTGCGGTGTCAAAGCGTGATTGAAGGATGCTCGCAGGGCGGTCGAAGGCAGACACTCATTGCGAGGGATTTGTTGAAAAGTGAGGCGACCTGAGGCAGGAACGTGTGGAGCTGGAGGCAGGAACGAGCTGGAGGCAGGAACGTGTGAAGCTAGAGGCATGAATGTGTGAAGCTAGAGGCATGAACGTGTGAAGTTAGAGGCAGGAACGTGTGAAGCTAGAGGCAGGAGAGGCAGAATTAGTTCCTGCCTCAATTTTCGCAGCGCTTACACTTGCCGTTAATGACAGCTCGCCCCACATCCCTACCCGCTCCAAGGCTTGATTGCCAAACTAAGAAACTGCCAGCTCGACAGACCGTGAGACAAGATTCTCACTCCTCTAGCCATAGATCCGGGAAATTTCGAATTTGTTACTCTAAGCGTAGGTCTGTCTTATTTCGACCGGCCTCCAGTTTCAATCACCGCCTGCAGTCGTGCACAAGTTCGTTCGCAGGTTAAAGTCCACAGTGCGGTTCCTAGCTGCACGGTGGAGTCGGGCTCGGTCTCCTGCGTCATCATGCGTCATCCCGTATTTGATCCAGGCCAGTGAATAACAACCAGGACACCCCTACATTTCAACACTGTGCCCCAGCTTTCCAGGCAACATTGGATTTGCTTTACCCCTGAATCCGCAAAAGTGCACTCCGCATCAAACATCATGTTGCACTCCGCATCAAACATCATGTCTGCAGTCAGAACCGTCACGGCCCTCCGGGCCACAAGAACCGCCCTGGCACCCGCAAGAATCGCCCTGCTGCCCCTGACGAGAAGCGTGACCTACGACAAAGGAAATGCGCCCGACCTCGCCACCAAGAACGACAGCTTAGGCGGCCCAAATGGCTCAGAGCCCCCGGGACCCCAGAAGAACCCTTACAACTGGTATGCCATCCTTCCGAAAGCCGGCTCGGGGTTGAATCCACTCGGATCAGCGCTGACATGGGTCTTACAGGTGGGCGGGCGGAGCAGCAATCGGAGCCGTGGGCATCATGGGGATGTGGATAGTGACCAAGAAGGAGCCTAAACGATCAGTCCGCTAGTCTTCGATGGCTAGGAGGCGGCGACGAATTCACGATAAGCCTTCACAAGATCCGTGAAACAGGACAGCGGACGGGTAGTAGTTGAAGCTTTTCGTAGCAGCCAGTTTTCAAAGCTCTCGGTCCAAACTTGTATTTGACTACTAAATCTTTATTTCAATGTCTCCAAAACTGCTCAGGAAGTTGTACGTGGCGGACTCAAAGCCTGCCTGCTTCGCACCCGTGACACCACCTGGGAGCATCGTGAACTCGTGCTAGACGGGAAAGGGGAGAGTTAGTCAAATCGTGGAGTATGAGAGAGAAAGCCACAAAGACACTTACAACCGCCACGTATCCGGCAAGCTTCTCCGCCGAGCCTTCCTTGGCTCCCGGCGCGAATTCGAACTTGAACAGCGTCGACCGGTCCGGCTCGCCGACCGGAAGCGAGGCGTGCAGCAGCGACTCCGGCTCCTGCTGCCCCGCAGCCTCCAAGCTAATCAACACTATGATCAGATGCTTCGCCGGGCCTGGTTAAGATTCCGCGCATCGCGTGTCAGCTAGTTGCCGCCTTGATTACCACACAAACAGGTTTGCTCATGTAAGACGTACCTCTCACGACCCTGCTCTCGACGCCAACAACACGCTCAAAGAAGCGCGCGTCGAAGGCGGCCACGTCGTAGACGAACTTGCTCGCATTCGGCAGCAGTTCGTCGTGCAGCGGGATCTTGAAGAAGGAACAGTCAGGGGTCTTGAGCCAGTCAAGGTCGGTGACCGGGTAGACGGCGAGGTACGGGCGCGTCGGCTCCTGTCCGTCCTCTGGCGGCGGCGACGAAGAGGAGAGCGTGTAGCGGGCGCTCGCGGGGATCTTGCCCGTACCCAGCAGGTGCGGGATGTGCACCTGCTCGTACCACTGCCGGAACACCACAGGCGTGAGCGCCGCGTCCGTGATCTTGGACCGCACGAGGAGCAGCCCGCATCGGAGAGTCATGCTTGCGTTCGGTGTTGGAAGAAATGAGTAATGACTTTTCAGCAAATTTGAGCAGTGGCCGGATGTCGGATGTCACGCAAAGTGGTGGGAAAGAAGAAGAAACGGCAGAATGTCCTGCTTTATTGCAGGTAAGTAAAGCAATGCTTTCTCGCATGTAAGCCCTAGGCCGTTGTCGGTGTAATTAATTAGGTCGGCGCTTGACAACACGCCAGTGCAAAGTGGTCTGGCCAATTTGGCATGGGGTGGTGCTGGTGAATATGTAATACGGAAGAATCTGGCGGGTTTCCCCAATGTCGGGATTATGAATGCCACGCCCAGTGGCCGTCGGAATAAAGCCTCGGATTTATCCACTTGTGTGACGTCCAAGACTCCGGGCCGTTTGGAGCCGGCCATGTAAGGAGTTAACCGCTCGTTGATTGGCCCGTTGTGCTGAGCTGTCGTTGGACGTCCCGAGGCTGTGGCGCATCCTTCTGCAGCGCGATATCGTATTTCGCCTTATCTGCGTCGAAGCTCCTAGCCTCGATCTGGGTCTGAGTCACAATGAAAGGCTGCATGCGTTCTGGAGCTTTCCCCGACTGAAATTCCCGTCCTTCCCGAATTTCGTTGGAGTCCCGATATTCGTTGGAGTCCCGATATTCGTTGGAGTTAATCTCAAACTAGCCGCTGCGCTCGGCAAGACCCGCAACTTGGTAGGGTACCAGCATCTACACAATCGCATATACGAGTCCCTGTTCCGGTTAGCGCCCCCGCCATGAGTCTCGGCTTCCCTGTCGGCGATGTCGTCGCCATTCTCAGCCTCTTGGAGAGGATAATCGCCGAGATCCGAAGCTACCACGGCGCCCCCCGGCATTTCCAGCAACTGCTCGCCGAGCTGGAGATGCACAGCCGCACCATCCAGACGCTCCTCTCCATCGAACCTACACACGCAGCCGATCACGAAATCGTCGACCGACTCCGCGCCATATCCCTGCACTGCAGCCAGTCACTCCAAAACTTCCTCGCCAAAATGCACGGCCTCGAGAAGGATCTAGGCCCATTCCGCGTAACGACGCCGACTCTCCAGTCCATCGGCGCCCGCTTGAACTGGTCCATGGTTGGGAAAAAGGACGTCGACGAGCTCCGCAAGATCCTGCAGTCAAAGATGCTGGCCATTAACATCCTCCAGGGCACACTGCAGCTGTAGGCAGTGGACCACTGAACGCCAACGTGCGCCTTATAAGAAGCTAGCTCACACACTACAATTCAGGAACCAGATCCAACGCATGGCGCCCGAGCTCAGAAACGCGTCCGAAAGCCACTCCAACAGCTTATCCTCGGTCGCTCGACAGGTCGACCTGCTCCGCGACGTTACCACTCACGCCGCCACCGTTGCCCCTAGCGCCGTGGCCGACCTGAAGCGCTTCGTCGTCGAGACCAGCGCGGCGACGGCGGAGCAGTTCACCAGGATGGAGGACAACTTCAGTGGCGTTCAAGCAAATCTACAGTCGGTGACCAGCTCGCTAGACCAAGTGATAGCGCTGAGCAGGGGACTGACGACCGGGCTGCGCGCTGGGCTCACTCGGCTGTTCTCGCTCGTGCTGGTGTAAGTGCCGAGCAAGAGATTCTGGCTGAGGTATGCATTTTTCACGAGTTTGCTAATATTTGCTAGCCTGGTCGATTCGTCGGCAAATGTCTTGCGGGTGGTTACTCAGAATACGTATGCTGGTCTACCTCATACTCCAGCCATCAATTAGCTGACGATGTTCAATGCGCAGGTCAACGTTGCTCGACATTCAGAACAACATTCAACGTCTCACTCAGGCGGTGAATCGTGTCCCCCTCCAGCTGAGCATTCAGTTTATAAGATTTGACGACGCGCTCGGCGAAAGCTGGGCGCTGCCATTCCAGCTCTGTGAACAGTGGGAGGTGAGTTCAAGTTCTTCTGGACCTCGGTTTACAAGCACCCCGGCTAACTAACCGTTTTCCAGACCTTCAAAGAGATGCTCCGAGTTATTGTCTTCAGGAACGACCGCCCGGGGTTTCAGGGAGTCCTGGCCAACCGCTTCACCCTCCGAGTCGCGGGCTCGCACTCGAACATCTTTCGCCATCGCTGGGAGAGAGTCATCAAGCCCGGCCTGCACATTGAGCAGACAACGCTGGTTCCCGAGCTGTCGACGCAAATGGCTCCCGACTTGTGCTCGTTCTCGCGCTGCTCGGGCTCGCCGCAGCGGGAGTCTGACAAGAGTAACGACGATAACTGGCAAGTCAAGTCATTGATATCGCGTCTTTTCTTTTCATTTATTATCTCTGCTAATGTCGGACGCGCCACACTTCGGTGCTATAGCACTGACTGCGGAAGGCTGAAGGTCACGGAGCAAGGGCACGAAAACCTTGTCACTCTCCTAGAAAAAGTAGGCATGAACCTCGCGCCCGACTCACCGCCCGTTACCACGGGGACTATGAACCGTTCCCTCTCAGAGCTTGCTGTCAAGGCCCCGTATGAAACACCGACATCCCCCCGCCGAGTCGAAACCTTCACGCCCAAAGAGCCGCTCAAAAACATGAAACAGCCCTGGGCGCTGTACTCGCAGGACAGGGCCGACCCGAGCACCAGGAGGTTTGCCGGGTGGTGGGTCATTGTCCGGCAGTCAGAGACGCTGCGTGCTCTGCCATTTTCCGTCAGGGCTTCTGAGTTCCACGGTGGGTAATATCACCGACAACATATCTCTCTTGGCAAGATGCTGATAGCAAACAGACCTGCACTGGACGGTGGGGTCCCAGTCTGACTACTTTCTCAGCTGTCACTGCTGCGATGTGGGATATTACAGCGACGACGGCTCAGGCTCGGGCTCGGGCCCCGGCTCGTCTGCCGAGCCATATGTCGAGTGCGTGGTCGGGTCCCCCTCGCCCGACTACTTCAACTCGATCGCGCTGCTCTACTACGACGCCCACGACTGGAAAGACTGCCTATACCTGCTCGCCAACGCGCTCCGCGCCGACCCGCTGCGCTGGGAGTTCTGGTTCAATCTCGGCGTGTTGGTGCGTTTCGTCACCTCTCACACACATAATTATTTCAAATGCTGACTGAAGAATAATGTGCTGCTAGTACGACACTGCGCATCAACTAGATGACTCGCTAGATTCGTTCAAGAGGTGCTTGCAACTGAACCCTACCGTTAATTACGCCAGGCAGAGGCTCGATGGGCAACGCCCGCTGCCGGTGAGATTCTCGACGGACGTGCGGATGATCGAGACCGCGGTCTCACAGGTCTCTGACAAGCCAGTCAAAAACCGCGACGGCGGTCGCCATAATCCCGTCCCTGTCCCTAGCGGCAGGAAACCGGGTTAGGGGGAAGGAAGTTGCCGATGTCGCTGAGCTAGTAGTTGACCACCTGAACAAGGCAATCTACTCACAGTGGTATAATTACAATCACTGAAGACCGGAATAAGGGCAAGAAGTAATGTATCATTCTATTGCTTCTAATCGTCGTCTTGGCTCTAGGACTATCTAAACTGCCCGAAGGCGTGTCGTCGGCGTCTCTGACGGCTAGAATGTCTGGCGAAGAGCGAGGGTTCTTTGACGGACAGCGAGCGGCGGTCGTCTGCCGGTGGGAGAGAATCCCTGCCCTGCTTTACAAAAATTGCTGGGTCATCGTTAGTGACACGAAGGATGGCTCTAGACTTGCTAACATCTCAAGGGTACACCGAGGTCAACGCCCGGTGCCCCTCGTTTTAGTCTTTCGTCCTAGAGAGATGATCTTGCCGGCTAGTTTTTCAATCTATGCCTTCAAAGAGGCTAGAACCAGAATTCAAGCGCCACAAACAATTAGGGAGTGTAACTTGCCATTTAGAGAAAACATCGTCAAAAAGATTAGCCCGATGACACGTTTAAATAAAAAAAAGTTGCTAGTAGACTGTAGCCAACATGAGATTGAATAACAGAAGAGCGGTATAGATACTTTTTAATGCCCCGGTTAAAGTATATCGACGTTGGCGATGTTGACGTAGTTACCAGAGTATTAGAGCAGTGTAGCCAGATGAGGAAGCAACTTTGGCTGTAAGGGTGGTAATTTTATCGGCGCTGAGCTCTAATAGCAGAGCCGATATTTCAAAGCCAGAGCAGATTTCTTAGCAAAATACAGGGGAAGAGTTTATGACAGAGTGACCTGACCGGCCTTTTCTATCGACCCACCACATCTGGCAAATTCGTGCTCGCCGTTTTCATCGTAAAACAACCGTATCTTGCCTTGGCGTAACTGACGGCATCCTTCGCATCACCGATAGCATCTGTCGCATCACCGATAGCATCTTTTAGATCACCGATAGCATCTTTTAGATCACGAACAGCACCATGTCGTCAGAGGACAATGGTTGTTTAATAATCGACGACTGGCCAATGATGCTTGATGGGTCTGATTACGATAGGAAGCAGCTCCTATCTCTTGTTCGCGACAACCACAGCCCGTTTCGAGACGCATGGAATGTGAAATCTCTCATCCGAGAGGTGGAAGCTGCCGTCGACGATGAAGTTGTAGACATCCCAATAGTCACAAGGGGGTCCAGCAACCTGGTACGTTGCTCGTTACGACTTAATCACGGCTTGCGGCGCGAGTTAACATTGACATTAACCAGGGCCTTCACTGCCGATTATCCAACAAACAAGACATCGTGGTCCGCCTTGGGCGCAGCGATGTCAACGAGCCCGACTATGACGGCCCCAGCATGGAACTCATCCTCAGCGGCATCGAGCTCCAGGTTGCCGTGAACGGCCTCTTGGAACGAATCCCGGATATCCCCAACTCACGACCCGTCCATTTTCGTGCCCCTGCGAGGTGAGCTGGCGGCGGGGGCGCCCACCCCCCAGCCGATAGTATCAGCGGCAGACCTTTAATGGTCTTTGAGAAGAAGGATGGTCGGGCCAATGTCTGGGAGGAATCGAGTCCAGTCGGCAAGGTAAGCACATGGCAAAATCATGACTACTACCCAGTTTGGCCCACGTCGTACGATACATTGCATCTCGACTTTCTCGAGACAACACTTTCTAACCGCAGAAATGCATAATCCGAGCTAGGGAAGCCTTCTCGCCCAGGCGGCGTGCATCCGCGCGTCCCTGTTCAACTTCATGGTCCCCCGGGATTTCATTACCAAATGGCTCCTTCTCCGGACCTTCAATTTCATACCCGAGGAACTTCCCATCCCAATCACATTCACTCGAGCTTTTTGGACCGCCGTGTTGGCGGCCATGGTCGAGGTAACGATTGGATCCGAGCGCGACATGATAGGATGGGAATCCGACAACGACACAGTAGGCCCTAAATTAATAAAGGCCAAGCAGGCTGTCCTCAGCCTTATCCCGCACATACTGCCCGACTGCCCAGACAAGGAACGGCTGTGCTACAGGCCCGTTCTAGAGCACGGCGACTTTGGGATCTACAACATGTGCGTCGCGGTAGACGAGCCCGGCGGCGAAGCCCGCATTACGTCGCTCTTCGACTGGGAGACGGGCTGTACTGTCCCCGCACACCTCGCCGACCCCGAGATGACGGTCCTGGTCGACCTCACGGCCGACGAGAAAGGGCACCCTACGATCACCCGGGTCGAAGACGATGCTACGCAAGAATACCCTCACGAGTACATGGGCCATGCGCGCCAGTATCTCAGGGTATCTATTACACTAGACTAAGCGTTTGAGCAATCCAATGTCCGACGAATACATTAGCTGACAAATGTCCAATCACAGGTTCTTTACGCACACGCGCCAGAATTCGAGAGCGCCATCGCCGCGGGAAGGGACGCTCGGCACCTTTAGTTTTCGCTAAAGAAGTGGCCAGGAGATGACCCGGAAGGCTATTTTGGCCAGCTAGGCGCCTGGGCACTGTCGAGAACGGCTGAGATCGAGGGGGCGAGTGGCCCATAAGCGCCGTTAGATCCTAATTTCCCAGGCCGAAGTCCCTTTGAAGGCCGTCTCGACAATGATGTTACGATTAGTGACCGGAGAATTTGCGGAAGCGAAATGTGGCAGTGGAACCTAATGCTAGTTGTCAGGACTGCTAACCATAGTGAGTAGTATTAACATCCCGCCCGTCGACGGCTATACAATCAAAGCGTAGAGTCATAGGGGCCGGTCGCTTTTTGAACGACACTGTAGCCACAAGATCCTCTGTTGTCTAGAAACACGACAGGTAAACCCCACGGCCTACATAGATCGTAATAATCAGGTAATCCCTACCAAGTTTGGGATAGTTCTAGCTAGTAATTTAGGATTCCTAGAATATTCAGAGCACGGCTTCACACTTTGACATTATCGTGATGGTGCAAGTATTCCGCTTTCCCTCTTCATAGTGGTGATGTGCTCATCCCGACATGCTGTAGCGGGGTTGCGACCATATAGCTGCTGCTGCCTAGAGTGCCAGGCAACAGGTATCTGTTTTGTGTCTGCTGGCGTAACGGCACCACGTTATAGGTTACGAGCTCCTGTCGTTTCCAGGCGACCGTACCACCCAAAAACCACCCAATTCAATTCCAAACCAAACCCCAACAGTATCAATCTGCCCCAACAGTATCAATCTGCCCCAACAGTATCAATCTTTATATAATGCAGAGGGCAAGTAAGGAAATACCTAGTACTACGTCAAAGTATTAGATACTACGATTTACGTAGCGGCTTCTACTCTTGAGGACATATTACGCCTAGGGTTTTTCTATATCTATATTTACCGTAGAGATACTCTCCCGCCTGGGTTTCCCAGCTTTATTACGTTGGAACCTCTGTTAACCCTAGGGGTAAGTTGTTGTTAATGATGCCTAGAGTGCTAGGCAATAGCATTCGTTTTGTGTCTGCTAGCGCAACGGCACCCCGTTACACGTGCAAGCCCCTCCCCGAACTTCTCTCGAATTTTTGCATTCAGTTGCGCTGCTATCTTGGTTTGGTTCTAACATCAAGTAAGACGCGTGTGCGAAGGCGGTGCCACGGTGCCACGGTGCCACGGCAAAGACAAGTTCACTCCTGCCCACTTTACCTTCAAGGAGAAGGGTCCGGTTTCGGTGTTGTTAGAAAGTGTAAGGCTAGCACACACACAGCGGGAAGTCCAAATGAAGGCGAGCATGTAGCGAGTAACAACAAAATTTAATTAATGTCTCTCCAGTCTTCATCATCAAAGTGAACGGCGAACTCCTTGCCAAGTGAGGTAGGTAAGAAAGTATCTTAGAAATTGCTCAACCCCCCACTTTCAAGGCCGTTTCTCAGCCCATCTCATAGGGTGCAAATGCTGTATGTAAAGAGAGAGGATAAATGAGTTACTTGGTTGGAAAACGGTAGATGCTGTGCAGTTTGATGCACGACAGTGGATCCGAAATAGGAAACCGACTCCTTCCGCTTGCGATGATCTCATGACGCATTGGGGTGGCCTGTCAGGTTTAAAGCGCGGGGGCCCGGGGGGGAGGGGTATGACGGTGGCGAACCCTGTGGTAAATCGATCGGTTGACGTCGGGGTCCGGTGATCGGCGCATGCGCTGGCCGAGGAGCACGCTCTGGCCGAGGAGCACGCTGAAAATGGGCGGGGCTGACCCCATCTCGGACGCTGAAAGAGGGGGCCGGAAAGTTCTTGAAAAAAATGGGGGAACTATCACAGCGTCAGGCCACCTTTAGCCCTCAGGCGATGTGCATGAATTCCCCAACCGCAGCATTGTAGCCAACTAGCTTAATAGCCGCAAAGGGATCGTTGGAAAACTTTTTGCCCACTAAATACCAGTCCGCTCAATTGCAACGTCGGCCGACCATCCAACCCGCAGCACCAGCGCTCTGAGGGCGAGTCTAGGCGGGCCCTAAGCATGCAGCAGTGACACGGGTGTCGTAATCGCGCAGAATGGTGCGAGGCGCCCGCCGCACAAAACGCGGCGGGCCGCGGGCACGTTTGGGGCGACAGGGCAGCTGCCCACAGGGGCGAGCCAGTAAAAGCCGCCAAGAAGTCAGCGGGCGTCGAGGTTTTAAAGAGTTTGCACCCGTGATGTCTGTGATTCGGCGGCCTCAAAGATCGCGCAAGATGGAACGTCGTCGATTGCCGGCGCAGTTGCAGTTGGGCCTCAACTGGCCATAGCAGAGCCCACAGCAGCTTTCCATCTGCTTGCTTGCTCGCTCTTCCTTAGCCAACTAACGTCAGCTGTGCTTATGGGAACATGCAGCTCACTAACTCGGCCCTTTGACGTAACTGTGCGTCCAGAATCCCCATCGGCTGCAATATTGGCAGTTGGCTATTAATTCTGCTGTGTCTGCCGCACTTTTGGCGAGCACACCATTCTCAGTGAGCGTCAAAACACACCACACCACACCACACCACACTACACAGACACACGCATACACACACACACACACACACACACACACACACACACACACACACACACACATACACACCACACTCAACACAAAATACACAAGACAGCCACAACTTAAAGCCAACTCTGACCACAACCCAACAACATGCCCAGCAAACTGCCACGGAGACAAGAACACCCCATGAAGCGCGTCGACGCTTGGGACGACGGATCCGAATACCTACCCGGCGACAAGATGCCTCCCCCGCTTGGCGGAGACAAAGCCCCTTTCTACTCACCTCCGGTCCCTGAGGCGGCACCGAAGACGTCGGCATACGTGCCAGGCTACGCGAGGAAGCCGCCAGGGAGAGACGACGACACCCGCCCCAGACACCGCCACGCCTCTCCATCCTCCGGGTCCGACGGCCGAGCCCGCGAGAGGAGGCACCACCGCGAGAACAGTCCGCCGCAACACCGCCGGACGCGGTCACCCTCGCCTCCTCGCAGGCGAGAGTCCCAAAGGCTGGCAGCCCGAGACGGCCGCCCCAACACCCTAGAGTCCCGCGCGACTGCCCCCCCGCCCGTAAGGGACGACCCGCCCTCAAGATACGCCGCAAGGTCTCCCTCACCACGCCGCCACCGAGACCGCGACCCGCCGCTCCGGCGATCCGACCGGCACCGCAGCCCGCCTCCCGCACGCCGTCGTGACCGCGAGCGCGACCGCGCATCAGACGGCCACCGGGAGCGCTCGCCGCGGTCGGACGGGCACAAGCGCACGCGGCAGCGCTCGCCGTCGCTGGCACGCAAGGCGGCCCCGCCACCATCAGCAGGCAAGAACTCGTCAACAGCCACGCACCGGCCGACCATGGCGCGGTCCAAGACCACATCAGCCAAGGAGCGGTTCGCGGCGCTCAGCCCGCGGTGGCAGCAGGCGGCCGCAGCAGCCTTCCAGGCCGGGTCGGCGACCGCCATGAACCTGCGGTCGCAGCCGGGCGCGTGGAACGGCGAGAAGGGCGCGCGCATCGCGACTGCCGCGCTCGGCGCCGCTGCGATCGATGCGTTTGTGCACGGCGACAAGGACCGCGATGTGGCCAAGTCCAGCAAGCCCAAGGAGAGCAAGATGAGCAGTGGCGACGGTGGCAAGGCTAAGGATAAGGGACCTGATGTCCAGGCGCTGAGTGGCGTGCTCGGCGGGCTGATTGTTGATCAGATTGCGAAGAGGAACGCGGCGAGGCATAGCAAGGGGAAGCGTTAGGAGTATGGGCGGAGGCTATGCGGAGGGGGTTATGACTCATAACTTGGACTTTAGCTCGCTTGTTTCAGATTGTTTTCTGGGTGTTGCCTTCCTCGGTTTTCTTTTTTCTGTTTTTCTTTTTTCTGTTTTTCGTTTTTTCTTCTTTCGGGTTTCTTTTCCCCGAGGTTGTTACCGGGCATGCGATTTGTTTACTTTGTACTTTATTTACTTTGTACTTTACTCCTGGGTCTTGTCTTTATTATTGCGTTGAGGATGGGGCACGAAAAGAGGATTCGGGTAGTCAATATGATTTAATATCGCATAGTTATTATCTATCAGCTATCTGGGAAAAAGGCTCAACTTTGGTGTCTTCCAAGATTTTGCCATTTGACTTGGGTTGTTTTGCGATTAGATGGCGATTTGAGGCTCTGGCAGATAAGAGCAAGAATACGGGCCGCCAGGCTGCCTTTAGGATCCTCCTTATGCTCATATGGTTGGGGGAGGAGGGTTAGGGTTATGAACCAAAACTAATCCTGAAGCGGCCAAAGTCCCACATCCTCACCAATCTACCCAATTAAGACGATGCAATGCCCCAACCCCCCGCCGTCTTGCGCACTCGCAAACCTCTCCCCGACTCTCTGATTACCGCCGCCTTCAATTGCGTCTCGTTTTATCGAACTCCTGAACCGAATGGTCACCCGCAATGGCCGCGCCACCCCGCGAAATGATGCCCAACCCTTCCTACGCCGGGCTCGAAGGGCAGCAGCAGCTGTTCCCGCCGCCGTTGCACGGGCTGCAGGCAGCGACGCAATTTGTGAGTTGCAGCCTGTCCTTCCTCCATCGCAAGGCCGCCGCCATGGTCGGAATTGATGGCGTTCGGTGCATCCATCACCCAAACCCTGCTCGGCCTTGGCTAACTTGACTCGGACACAGGAACGAGCGCGCCAGCAGAGTAGGACCCCGTTGCGGTCTCGCGTCGAAACGCCTATCCATCCACCCCAGATCCCCACTACTCCCAACCTCGCGCCGAAGCCACCTGGCTACCAGAACCCGCACCAAAAACAACCACCACCACAACACACGCCACCTCTGCCGGCCCGGAAAGGACTGCAGCCGCAAATCACGGGCCCCGTGTTCCACCGCCTCGACCCAAACAACCAATACCCGCAACCCCAACCCTTTCAGTCTTTCCAACACCCGGCCCAACAGGCCCATAACCTTCAGCAAGCCAACCAGGCTCAGCAGGCCCAGCAGGCCCAGCAGGCGCTCCAGGTCCAGCACCAGCAGGCCCAGACTCAACAAATCCTGCTAGCCCAGCAGCAGCAGCAGCAGCAGCAGCAGCAGCAGCAGGCCCAGCAGCATCGCCAACAACATGCCCACCAACAATTCCACCTCCAACAGCCGCTGCCCCAGACTCCACAGCAGTCGCAAGCCCAACGTCCCCAGGACCAACAGTCAAATCAGGACCAAGATGAGTCGATGCTAGATGGAGACGGCCAGGACGACGAGAGCGACGGCGACGGCAACGACGGAGGCGATAGCGGTGAGGCCAACGTGGGCGAGGACGGCCAGCCTCTGTCGCCATCCGACCCCAAGTTCGTCGCACCCCTCGCCCAGCCCGTCACGCCGCTGCAGCTGCCCAAGGTGCGGCCGACGCTCATGATCGGGCCCTACGAGCAACGCCAAGACGCCTTCAACGCCGTCCAGGAGTACGCCATCAGCCAGGGCTACATGCTGGTGCAGTCGGGCTGCGCCAAGGCCAAGACGCCCAGCGGCAAGTACGAGTCGGACGCTGCCGTGGTGCGCGTCGACTTGATGTGCGACCGCGGCGGCTCCTGCAAGAACCAGGGCACGGGCGTGCGCAAGCGGCCCACGCACCGCATCGGCTGCCCGGCGCGCATGAAGCTCGTCTGCCGCAAGCGCCAGGCCTCCAAGTGGTTCATTGACGTGCGCTGCGAGGAGCACAACCACGACCTCGACCCCAAGAACATCACCTCCATCGCGAGCTACCGGCGGTGGCGCCGCATCCAGAACGGCGGCGCCTCCATGGAGACGCACTCGGAACGCTACAAGCGCGTCAGGAAGCCCAAGGTCATCCCGCCCGTGCCTCCGCCGCAGTTCCATCAGACGGGCCCGCAGCCTCCGCCGCCGCCCACGAGCCCGCTCCACATGGCCGCGCTGCGGGGGCAGGTCAAGATCCTCGAGATCCTGCTCAACAAGGGCGCCGACATCGACGCCCTCGACGCCACGGGCCGCACGCCGCTGCACTGCGCTGCCGAGGGCGAGCGCATGGACGCCGTCAAGCTCCTAGTCGAACGCGGGGCCGACGTGACCCGGCTCGACTCGAAGGGTCTCAGCGCCCTCCATGTCGCCGTGGAAAGGGGCATGGAGGATGCCGTCGTCTTGCTGATCGAGCATGGCGCAGACCCCAACCAGTGATCGGCTCAAGGCGTTGTCTGACTAGGGGGGAGAAGTCTGGTCGCCACAGGCACGTACCGGAACTAATATATCACTCTCCGCTCTCGTCCTAGGACACGGCGAGGGATCCGAGTCCGGTTTCTGAGCACTATTTATACGCGTGATATCGTTCCCACCGTGCGAGGCCAGGTCGGGAACAAAGATGTTCGAGTACAGTTGCATTGCACGGCGTCGGCAGTATGCAACGCACGCACGATCTTGGTTGGCTGACTTTTCTTGGAGCACCAAGCGTGCTGCTGCTGCTGGAGGTGGTAATACCGATAGATAAGAGGCAGCGAGATGGACAGATCCGACCAAGGTGGAGAGATAGATGATCACATTGGAGAACAAGATGTTGCTTGGGCCAGGTTTCGTATGCCGGTTTAAATAGCATGCGCAAAAGAAGGGGTGACAAAACGGAAAGATGAGGATGGCTCCACTGAGAGGACGGTACTTTCCCTGACACACCTCACCCAAGCGCGCTGGGTCATTGTTGAGCGTAACGCCAAACTGCGAGCATACGATGGCCGTTCGTTCGTTCGTTCGTTGTCGAACAGGCTCTTGGGAGGCGCCGAGTCGGCCGAGACGGCCGAGACGGCCGAGTGACGAAGGCGGATCCGTCCAGTCCGAAACGCTCTCTTAATCAATAGCAAGCGAGCCTAACGGCACCATGATTCCGTACGGGCGAGGGTCGTAGGATGATGGAAGTACCAGAGGTCTAGCCATCTTGGTGAGCAGGGCCAGCACGTAAAGACGAGAGGCTATTGTGTCTACCAATATCACCAGAACGTTATTTAGAGCCCCTGCCACGGCGCATGCGTGTTGTGTACCTACCTACCTCACCCAGCTTTCCGTTCGGAGCTGGGCGTAGGGTGAAACCAGTTCCACGTCCTGCAACACACGTTCTCTGGTACCGATTTACCTTTGGGAGGGCCCTCTCCCGGTTTGTTTGAGACAGCCAGTGTGTAGGGTGAGTAGAGATGGAATAGCTCGCCCGCCCAGCACGACACAGGTACCCGACCCAACCCGGCAGATGGACCCTGGCCCTGTGCAACGGGGGACAGAGACAGAAAAGCCCCGAGCGAGGTCGCACAGAGGCGCCATCGTCCCGTCTCTAGGGCGTCTCGGGATAGGATAGGCGGCTTGTGCTACGCTCGGCCATGGGCTTGTCTCGGCTGGACATGGCAGAGACAGGCCCTCACTTTCTCTGGTGCCACCCTGTCTTTTACATGCCCGTTCCCAGTTGCCGGGTCGGCACTGGCAAAGGGTTGTTTGGGATTCCACCACACTACGGCCACGGGAGACAGCCGTTCACTGGACGGTGAAGAGACAGGTGGCACGAGGCCTGTATTTTCATCCGCAAGGTAGGTAGGCAAACAAGCAGACGGGCCACGACAGCGGGGATTTTGTCCAGGCTGCCTCCCCCCCCGTCTTCGGCTGCTCCCAAACAACGGAGGCTCGGACTAGCTCATTTCGCTTGTTTCGTACTTAATAATCCCGACACGGCCATCAATAACAACAGCCCCCTCCAACCCGTACATAACCACCGCCAGCCATCACGGACTAGAATTGTACTTTGTCCCGAGCACACACGCGTCGTCAACCTGAGCCGCACTGACATTCTGCGCCACGATGCCCCCGGCCGCGAAGCGCATCAAGTTGCGTCCACCGACGGCGCTGCCGGCGAGCTGGTCGTGGGGCAGCCAGCCGCGGGCGCGCAGGCCGTTCTCAGCGTCATACATGAAAGCAATCAGCGAGTCCTGCATGGCATCCGCCACGAGGCGCTGGAACGGCTCGACGCCCGTGCGGCCGCCGTACGTGCCGAACAGCATGGGCACGTCGCTTGCGTGGTAGGCGCCCATCCACGGCAGCGGCGTTAGGCTGCTGAAATTGCCCGCGTACTCGTACCGGTACGTCGTCAGGCCCTGCCGCGCGCGCGCTGCCGTCGTGTTGCTGGCCAGGCACACGAACACGCCGACGGTGGCCGCGTCGACCCCCGCCTGCCACGGCCCCGCGGTGACGTTGGTTGTTGGGTACCGGTAGAGGGTGGATTGCTCGTTGGACGTCGTGCTGACCAGGGCCGGCACCCGCGCGATGCGCCCCGCCGCGGTCCGCGCCGTGTAGTTGAAGAAGACGCGCTCGCCATCCGGGACGGGCTTGAAGGTTAGGGATGGGCGTGTGCCGTTGTCCTTGTACTGCCCAACGAAGTTCTGCAGCAGCGACATGGGCACCTGGCGCATGCACGCCAGTTCCGCGGCCGGGTCCGACGGGAAGTCGCTGGCTGTGTTAGCTATTTCTGCCGTGCTTGTTACGGAACGGGCTGTGGTACCGCCCTTGTGACAAAAAAAGCCAACCAAAAAGGGGCTGTGTTTTGCCCCCCCCCCCCCCCCCCCCGTTTGGTTGACCCAGAAACGCACAAAGAACTTGCCCGACAAAGAGAACCAAAGAAAAAAAAAAGGGGGGGGTAACCTACCACCCAACATTCCGCGCCACGAACGTGAAATTCGTATGCCCCGCGTCGGGATACGAGATATTCACCATCGCGGTACCCGACTGCAGGAACAGGCCGGCCACCAGCGGATCATCCGGGTAGGCGTACGCGAGCAAATCCGCCGCGACACCCCCGGCGCTCTGGCCCCACAGCGTGATGCGGGCAGGGTCGCCGCCGAACGCGGCGATGTTGGCGTACACCCACTCGAGGGCGGCGCGCATGTCGAGCACGCCGACGTTCTGCGCCGCCAAGCCCGCCGCCCACGGGAACCCTGCGATGTTGACGCGGTAGTTGGCCGTCACGGCGATGACGGGCTGTCCGGCGGCTGCGGCGTGTGCTACGAGCCCTGCGGGCCTCTGGTAAGGTACGTCGACGCCGCCGCCGACAAAGTCGCCACCTGGTAGGAATAGGGCGACGGGGAGCAGTGGCTGCTGCGTCGTGTTTGCCGCTGCCGTGGTGGGGGTCGTGACAGAGGACGACGAGTTGAGCAGCGGCGCCCACACGGCCAGGTACAGGCAGTCCTCGGAGGACGCCTGGGCCATGGCACCGGCGGTGAAGCTCTGGCCGTACAGGCGCACGGCGAAGTCGGTGATGTTGGTGGTCCAGGCCGTCAGGTTGCGCGACTGGTACTGCGGGCACGACGGCGGGAAGCGGCGCGCGAAGAACTGCCGCCGCGACGCTGGCGCTGCTACGGGTGCCAGCCACCGCCGCGCCCCGATCGGCGGCTCCGCGTACGCGATGCTGCGGAACTGCCGCACCCCCGGGAACGCATCGGTGTCTATGAGCCCCGTGTACGTGCCCGTGGCTGTCTGTACTGTTAGCTGCTGCTCCTGTCCTGTCGCTCCTGCTGCGAGGGAGGTAAGAAACAGCAACTGCAGCAGCGGCAGAGCAAGGGCCGACATGGGAGGTGGGAACTTCATGTTGAGTGAGCTGTTGATCGTGGTTATTTGCTCTGTTCGAGGTCAAGAACTGCAGACCGAGGCCGGTCTTTATTACTGCATAACATGTTACGCAGGCAAGGTGTACATCTGCACCTGAATAGAGTGATCCGTGGCACCGGCACCCTGTGGTTTCCTGGGTAGAGCACCTACCGACGTCCATACCGACGACAGAACAACGCAGCATTATTTGCTGCTATTCCGCGTGTAACGTGTGCAAGACCTGGTCGCTCAACCTATTTGTGGTGCAATTACTAGCATGGCTGTCAACAATACCGGGCGGGCAGTCTTGCTATTGGATGCGGCTGGTCTACTATTCGGCCACATCTATATTATGGTACCAGGTACTGTACAGATGACCATATTTAGGTTACGGTTGAGGAGCATCGACTATCCCTCCGGCTAAAGCCTGCGGCCTGCCAATGATAAATCTGCCGATATTATATGCAGCTCCAGCCAGACCTTACCTAGTGCGCGTTCGCTTCGGGGCAGGCGATAACTATCTTTCCTACAGTCAGGTGTGCTTTGATGTTTATTCCGGTGAGCTCCTATCCAAGATCCACACCAGCCTCAAAGGTCTAATTATTGAAATAGACTACCTATCTTCCTCTGACGTCCCTCGCACGACCTCCATCTCAACAGTACCATGTCTAGCACTAACTGTCTATAGGGATAATAAAACACCATCCAGCAACGGATGTTCCGGCTGCTGCGTCCGGAATTGGCAAGGCGAGCGAGTCACATGTCGTCCGTTCGGGTCCGTTGGTTCTGGACTCACCAAGACCAAAAGACATTTCTGGCAGCAGCAGAAAGGCATCCAGTGCTTGCTTGATCATGTCGGCAAGTTTCGAGTCCAAACCCGACGTTGAGGCATTGCAAGGGCTGCTGGCTGGCCTCCAAATGCGTTCCATACGCGGAACCAAGTGTCGAGGGGGGCGCCGACAATGGTATAAGACTCGCGCCAAGGAAACACATTTCCCACGTCCATAGGATATCTTCCTATGCTGTTTCAATCAAAGCAGCGCCCCAACGCGACGGGCTGAGCTCGGTCTCCGTATCCACTTGACGTGGAGGGCAATGCGAACCACCCGCCGCTCGCAGAGTCCGAGATCGCATTCTTCGTCCACACTTAGCCTCACTCGAGCTAGCGCTTATTATAACACCCCGTTGGAAGAACCAGAAACTTCACGTCATTTCTTTCTCTCTTTGACTTTACCAAGCATCACCACAAACCCAAGCAACGCGCAAGATTGCCTTTCACAACAGCCTCAACCCCCCCGTCACCAACACAGTGGCCCCAGCCACGATGCGAGCCTGGCGGTACGCAGACGGTACTACAGCCAAGACGCTCGCCGGCAAGCTGCTTGAGGACTCAATCGTGCTGGACACCGCCGCACCAGCACCCGACAGGCAATCCCTCGCAAAAGACCAGTTCCTCGTCCAGGTGATCTCGGCGGCGCTCAACCCGGCCGACTACAAGCTGCCCGAGTCGGACTGGTTCGGGCGCATGTTCGGGCTCGGCAAGGACTCGCAGCCGGGCATGGACTTCAGCGGCCGCGTCGTCGCCCGGCACCCGTCGCTGTCGCCCTCTGCATCACCGTTCGAGGAGGGCCAGCTCGTGTTCGGCTCGCTGGCCAAGGCGTCGCGTTACGGCGCGCTGGGCGAGTTCGTCGTCGCGTCCACGGCCGAGCTCGCCGCCCTGCCAGCTACCGGGATTACCCTCGACCAGGCCGCCGCGCTCGGCACCAGCGCGGGCACCGCGTGGACGGCCGTCGCGTCTCTCGGCGCGGCTGCCAAGCCGGACACGCACGTCTTCGTCCACGGCGGCAGCGGCGGCGTCGGCAGCTACGCGGTGCAGTTCGCCAAGCTGCTCGGCGCAGCCTCCGTAACAGCCAGCGCGTCGACCGCGAACACGGCCGCCGTGCGCGCGCTCGGCGCCGACCACGTCGTCGACTACAAGACGACGCCGGATGTGGCCGGCGAGCTGGCGCTGCAGAAACGCACCTTCGATCTCGCCGTCGACTGCGCCGGCGCCCCGGCCGACTTCTACGAGCGCTCCGCCAGCCTGCTCAGGCCGGACGGCACGTACGTGCAGGTCGCTGCGGCGCCGACCGCTGGCGGCATCGGCAGGGTCGTCGCCAACATGGTCAAGGCGGCGATTGCCCGCCGCCGGTTTGGGTTTGCCGCGGACAAGGGCAACGCCGAGGTGTATGCGCGCTTTGCTGGCTGGGTCGCCGAGGGAAAGCTCGCGCCTGTTATTGGCCACACGGTCGCCTTCGAGGACGTGCCGGCTGCGTATAAGACGCTGCGCGAGGGGAGGGCGAGGGGCAAGATTGTCGTGCGGGTTTCGGAGCCGCCGGCGGGCAGGTCGTAGGTTCTGTGGAATATATTTAGTAGTTTTGCGTTTGGAAACATCGCTCTTCCCTGTTTAGGTTTTGAGGATTTTGAGGCGCCTCATTCTTTGACTCCGGTGGGGTGGCAAGGTTCCGGAAAACTATGAGCGAAGAGCCAACCACTAATCAACCTCAAAAGAGGCTAGCCGAAGGATACCGCCCCTGGATCTTTTACTACGCACGCCTCCCTCAGTGAACTAGAGAGCGACACCCCTCGAACCTTTTGTTGTAGCTCTTGATGAGACGTCGATATGAGCACGCGAAGCTTATTATATGGTAGGATCGTTCGATCCTGCTAGGTTATCTTGTCACACGTCCTGCACCACGTCTTGAAAGATAACAAGAGAAACACACAAGTGGTAACGTGGGTCCCACGCCGATTCTATAACTTGTAATCACATGTACATATAATGAAAAATACAACTAGCCTTATATATACGCAGTTGCCGAAGAAACACACAAGGAAAGTCGAAGGGGCGGAAATACATGTGCCGTCCTCCCGACGTGCTCCTTGCCAGAGTAGGTGTCCAAGCCGGCAAGGGAGGAGTATTGCTACTTAAGTGGTTACACACAAGTGACCCTCTTGTCAAAGGGAAAGAAATAAAACAAGGCGGGTTTTGACTAGCAAGTACCTACCGTAGCCAGCCAGCACAACGCCAGCTTCGTAGTGGGTTTGAATAGGACGACATGGTAGTGAAGAAGGAGCGGCCAGGTGAAAGCCCAATCTCCCGCAGTAACAATCCAAGGGCGAAAGTCGAGCCTTCGGGCGAGCGAGCCATGACAGACAAGGAAGAGGGACCTGACCAAGAGTTTGGTGGCCCTGGGCATGGGCAGTAATGCGGCCGGCTCGTAATCCTACATCCCTGACTATTCGTATCGTGGCGACTCTCCGCAGTTCACTAATGGCCGAGTCCTTTGCGACTTGAATATTTCCCATGCCGTACTAAAGATATGCCGCACCAAAGGTAATAAGAGCCTGTCTCTCCGACCGAGGCGCTGCTTGCAATCCCCCTGCCGTCGCCGCCGCGGCTACTGCCTGGTTTGCTGTTGGGGGTGGGGATGAAACCAGAACTGGTTGTGATGGCGGCGCAGTTCATCTTAGCTTTCCTCTTGCCAGTGGTGATGATTGCTGAGAGAGCGGCCCGACAACCGGAGTACCCAAAGGGCGCACGGGTGGCCTCTGGGCTGCGGGTTTACGGGGCACTGTCGAGGTTGCGGCAGCGAAGACATCCGCGGGGACCGGGGTGGTGATGGACGCCGAGGTGGAGACGGAGTCTATTCGTGGTTGCTGTGACATCTCCGAGCCGTGAACCCCGGAATGATGGCTAGCTAGAATCCTTGGCATGCGCCTTCTAAGTTCAGTTATGGGCTGGGTATTAACGGTCCGCAACCGGCTTGATCTGTTGGCCGGGGTGCTGTTCGCAGTCGTCGAAGGTTGCTGGCGCAGAAGCTCGCCAGATAGCGAGCTATCGCTTCTATCAAGAGTCTCGTCTTCGAGGTCCGTGAGACGCGATTTGCCGGTGCCAGACCGGCTAGTCCTTTCGTCCGACCTCGATTCACTTGATTCGGCACGTACTATAATTTCCATGGCAACGTCGTCACTGAGACTGTGCACGGACTCTTGGTCCTGATGGGTTGGCGGAATCTGGGGGCCTGTCGACGGGACTGTCCTACTCAACTTTTTCCTGTCCGACAACTTTGATGCGGAAACAGGGACAAACCTCGCAGCAGACATGGCTGGTCCCCCAGAGGCCGGAGAGGAATATTGACTATGCCGATTATTGTTGGGAACAGCGGCCGGCGAGGCGGGAGAAGGCGGTTTCGGAAGAACTGCAGTCACGTCCTGCTCTTTTTCTGCGGGTTGAGGGTCATTGGAAGTAGCCCTGCCAGAATAATGCTCGTCACTCTGGTTGCCTGGCCGTTGCTTCATCATTAGCATCCCAGTCGTGGGTGACAGACGTGGCAGCGTTACGACAATGAGAGCATGGCCACTAACTATCATGGCCTGGGCTCTCCGCTGGCGCTCGAGAGCCAGCCAGACCCATTCTCTTACAGAACTTTCGGGCGCCTTCGTACCCTTTGGCCTTTCTGCATTCGGGGTCATCCAGGTCGAACGAGCTCAGCTTCGAGGCCAGCACCCATATGAGAGCCTTTCTATCGTCGGAGATCTTGACGTGGCCCTCGTCTGGCACCTCCACGTGGTCGAAGAATAGAGTGGGGAACCTGCGGCCACGCGCTGACCTGCGTCGGTCTTGGTATTCTGCAGCCCATCCAATAATAGCCCCGCCGGACTTGCCAGTCGTGTCGTAACAGACGGGGATCTCGTGGGCCAGATAGGAGTCGTAGAAGTCGCCCTCGACGCCGGTTGACTGGAAGCTGCCTAGGGGCAGTATAAGGCATGTATAGACCTTTCCCTTATGATGTGCGCGGTAAACCTTCCCGACGTCAGGGTTAAGGATGCCTGAGTAGTCTCTCGACTTCTTCGCCTTTGGATTCTCATGCTTCCCCTTTGGCTCCTCGTGTCTATCCTGATGCGCCGCCTGCGCCGCCGAAGTGGAGCTTTGGCAATTAGTATCGTCCTGAAGGTGGGCCGATCCGGCATGGGACTCGCGGGCGTTCTCGCCTTGGGTGACCTGATGGGAATCATCCTGATACTGATGAGTAAGCAAGAAATCGCGGAGCACTTGGTTATTGAGTTTGGCCTTTTCCTCAGTGCAGTTTTGTACAAGGATGCCGAGCTTCTTGACGGCATTACTATAATCTTTATTCAGGTTGCCATGTTGCCTCCCGTTGAGGTGCTTGGCCGCCCCCAGCAGCGGATGCCTGTGGAAATGCTTGTGATGCTCTTCGCACAGAAGAATGTACCACTTGCCCGTCTCCTTTGGCCACTCGACAATGAAATGCTTTTCTTCTGCGTTCCCGTTCTGGTAGACTTCTTCAAAGTCTATCGTCCTTTGTTGGCTTCCTCGTCTTTGCCTCTTTTGTGTGACCGAGTCTCCAGTGGGCCCGCTATTGTTCGTTTCAGCGGCCCCTCGCTTGCGACGCTGGTTAGAGGCTGCCCGGTCCGACTCGTTCGCGGGTCGGGAAGTTTTGGTGGTCCGGTCCGATCGCCGTGGCTGTGGGTCATCGTTGTAATCCAAGAAATCTGAATGGCCCAAGTATATAGTCTCGTCGCCGTCGTCCTGTGCAGCAGGTGGCATGTGCGGGTGGTTGGCAGCTTGGTTTGGGTTATGGGGTTCTGGAGCTGGGGTCGCTTCGGGCAGGGTCGAGGCCTGTAGCACAAGAGCAGTTAGACACAAAATACAGGGCACGGACCTCGCAACACCAAAACCGGGCGGTGAGGGCTGACGAACCAAGGGCCCAAACGCCGATTGCCATGGCGCTGTCCACTGGTCGAATGAGCGTCTCAACTCGTTCTCTCGGGTGTTGTATTCTCGATACAGCTGCTCTTCTCTTGCCCGATACCTCTCAATACTGGGCTCCAATTGCCTGCACTCCTGCTTGAGGTCCTCGTTCGATTGTACAATATTTTTGAGCGAGTCTTTGAGCTCCTGCATCGACTCTTCGAGATGCTGTATCTCCACCTGCAAGTCTTTTGCCTTGCATTCTCCGTCCTGCAGCTTTCGTTCGATGGCCTGGCGTTGCTCGAGTTCCGTCTTGCTTTCAGTTTGCAGGGCAGTCAATTCTGCTTCGAGGTTGGAACGAAGCTCGCGAAGCTCTTCCTCTAGGTGGGTTCGCCGCTTGGCCAACTCGCGGGCCGACCGAAGCAAAAGTTCGTGGAGTTCGGCCATCCTGCCGGTGCGGCGCGGCGAGGAATAGGTGCGGGGCACGCCTTTCCAGAAAGCGCCTTGGGAGCTCAACGTAGGTGTTGTGCTGGCGAGAAAGATTTTCCTGCGACAAGATTGCCGGAGGAAGAAGGGGGGGGTTGGGCCATGCCACGATGGGCAAGGAAGCTCGGCTCGCAGACCGCCTTGTTACACGGTTGCGCTGACTACCTAAACGAACCTGGTCGTGGCGCACATCTCACAGTGTCGACAAGGCCTCTCACAGTGTCGATAAGGCCTCTCACAGTGTCGACAAGGCCTCTCACAGTGTCGACAAGGCCTCTCGACCCCCTCACGAGTGAGGGCGATCACTAGCCGCGCACTGTACCAACCGCTATCCGCACCCTGGGCTCTGCTTAGGCTCTAGCTATCTTCCCGCCAATCTGTGACTGTTGGATTCGCCAGGTACCAGTACTGGAAGCAACAGGGCGTAACTGCACGCCGAAAACTGGTGGTTCAGGGATGATTGTTGATGTGTCTATGTATCTAGAAGAGACAGGTGGCCGTAGGCCACTCAATAGAATCCGTCCCTGCGCCTCCGCCGCCACCTCTGCGGCTGATGTATGCGCCTCCACCGCCACCTCTGTGTGGCTGACTAGCGCGTTATTCCGACATTCCAACAGCGACCGTGCGTCTGCCAACAAAGAAATCCTTGAGCCAGCTAAAAGTTTCAGGAAATGGTCAGTACTGGTGATGTCTGGTGCACGCGCGCCGCAGAAGAAGAGGCGATCGTCCGTTGTGATTGCTCTGCTGTGGCACACCGTTCAGGCTCCATGGAGCTGGCAGCAGGCATCTCTAGTGGGGGCGGGGTACTGATCGGGGTATCTATGTAGGTTAGCCCGGATGTTGGGCTCTGAACTAGCAGGGGATATCTCGTTGCTCATTTGCTTTTTCCAATACTTCTCTACTTCAATTTCTCTCCACTCAATTTTGATCACAGATCTAAGTAAGTAGGGTTTTGATCCCTGAGCCGCCTGCTAGTTGAGAACTCGAGCGAACGAGCATGTGCAGTACTGCTCGCCAAACTACAAAAACTAGGACGAGTTGGGATTAGGGTTTACCCCGAACTTAGCAAAGACTTTGGAGATTCCTAAGCATTCGACTTCGTCTGGCCTGGAATACCTTATGGAGTACCAAACCGGCTAGCCGGCCTTCGTGCCTCTTGGTGCAGACTAATTCGCTCTCATCTTCGGCCACTATTAGCATATATGGCGATCTTGCTCTTCCTCACTAGTGTACAGGACTTATGATTGGTGAAGATTCGTAGACTATCTATCCCCAATATTTAAGCCACTTTAAGCCACATCCGAGCCACAACCAAGTTGAACTCTTAAAAGACCCTCTATGACGCTCACTTCCTAGTTGTGACGGTGGTCAATAGCAACTAGGAAAAGGATCGCTAATATAGCTATACCATTGTCTAAAGATTCTAAGGTGAAGAAGAAAGAGAGGAAATCTACAAAGGAGCTGTTCAGTGTGCAGGTCTTAAGCGGGAGCGGGTTTGCGCACGGGCCAACATCGCTGTTGTGAGTGCCAAGCCCTGCATCCAAATTGGGACTAGTGCGGGGTCGGCTGCACAGAGGGGTCAACAGTGCTGGCCGTGACACTAGTACTACTAGATTTCTTTTGTGTACTTTTTGGGTACAAATAGGGCCTTCTTTTCCTGTATCTCTAGACTCAACTACGATCACGTCCAACACTATCGTAGGGCTTCGTAGTAGTAGGCAAGTACGGCAATTAATCGGGCTTCGAGGACGAAGCATAATGGGTCTCTACCGTTATTTCCCGATGTTGAGTGAAATTCAAAACGCCCGACTCTTAATATTATCAACCACGAGGGAGTTGATCTAGTTGTTCATGATGAGGAGAATTAGGGAGTAAACGGCTCACATGCTCAAAGGGAGAAGCCAGAGGATTCCAACCGAGATGGACGGACATAATCAATTAACATTATCGTCTAACTACTAATTACCTAGGTACTCAATGAAACCCCAAGACAAGGTAGAGAGCCATTCTCGTCGCTCGAGGGTCTCTCTGGTGCGGTAAGTACATTCTCAAATTCTCGCCACGATAAAGAGACAAGAGAATATCATCCAGGTAGAGGCCGAGCACCCAAGGAACGGACCAACCCAATTTGACCGTACCTATTGTGGCCACGCCTACTTTTGGCCAGTGCTGCGCCGCCCACTTATACGAATGACACCGTACATTGAAGCACGTAAAATATCACCAAATCAACTAATAAACATGCAACTTTCGACTTCCTCGACTTCTTCCTCGCCTTCTGATTCGTCAGAACTATCAACATCACGCCCTACTGCCCTCTGCGCGCGCCGAATCTGTTTTATCGTGTCAAACTTAGAATGTGAGCTCAATTCGGCCTTCTTCTTTTGGCTCCCTTTTTATGCTCAATCTCGGCCTTTCTTGTTTGTTCAAGCACAGCCAGTTTTGCTTCGAACTTGATGCGGCTCTCGCGAGCTTGGTCGGCAAACTGGGAGATCTGCATCTGCGTTTCCTGTCGTTCCCTTTCTTGCAATATGCCGTTTAGGTTGAGGAAACCTTTCACACTAGGCTGTCGTTGCAGCAGGAGACGAGTACAACAAGGGTGAAGATGGTCGAAAGGGCAAAACAGAGATTGATTAGATGGGGATGGGAGGGCGAGGAGAATGACCAGAAATGCTTTGCCGGGAAGATTTGGGGAGGTAGGGTGACTGCAGGCATCGGTCCGGCTCGCCTCGCTCAACCTGCCATGCACTTCACAGTTAATCTGCAGCGTTTGCCGGGTTGGTGTTCGCAGAGACCTTCCCGGGGCGCCGGGCTCCCCCACGTCCGGCTCAAGAGCGTGATGACCCTGGCGCCATCTCAACACAAACACAAGGGAATATCACTAAATGTCACGGCGCGCAACGGCCGTAGCACACTATAACCCACTACAGGTTGCAAGTCGTCGACTTGCAATTCTGGCATCCTTTTGGGGGTTCTAGCGCAGTGGTAGTGGGTGCTGTGAGCTGGCGCCGTCACACTAAACGCCCTATAATTGTATAGTTCAAACTTTCGATCCCCCTATGTGACGAAATCGTTATGAGGCCATAAGTGGCTTTTCACGAGCCCATCATGACCACTACAAGGGATCCGTCTGACTTATACCCTGTCAGTGCCTCGTCTAACCCTCTCCAAATGTTGAACTTCAATGCCCGCCATCTCTGGCGGGCTTTTTAGGCCCTTCGTTGGAATTCTGTAAATGGCCTGGCTCAGGGCTTCACAGAACAGCGTGATGGCTCTAGCACCATCTTCTAGCACGGCATCCATTGCGATGAAGGGGTGCGGCTGGCCGCGCATGACAGTGACATCAGCATCCACCCCAGCGTCGCGCAGCCGGCAGGCAAACGCCTCGCCCTCAGACCGCAGGACATCCAGCTCGCCGACGACCATGCACGCCCTCGGCAGCGCCGACCAGTTCCCCTCCCACAGCAGCGGGCTGGCCTCGGGATGCGCCCACTCTTGCGGGCCGTTGGGCAGGTAGTGGCGCCGGTACCAGAGCATCTTTGCCGCGGGGAGAGCCGGCGAGTACTGGTTGTCGGTCCACGACGCGTGGCCGTGGTTGCTGTCTTCACCGGCGTCGGGCCGGTTGTCCATGACAGGGACCGACAGCAGCTGCAGCGAGAACCACTGTCTCCCGCGGGCCGCCGATCGCTGGCACATAATAGCCGCCAGGTTGGCACCAGCCGACGAGCCTCCAGTTGCCATCTCGTTCGTGTCGAGGCCGAGGATTTGCTGCCCCTGGCCTCGCACCCATAGTACCGCCTCCCACGCATCCTCCACGGCAGCGGGGAACGGGTCCTCGGGGGCCAGTCTATTTCTATCAGCATGCGCATAGTAAACCACTGGTGATGAACCGTCGGACCGATGAGCTGAATAGGTACCTGTAGTCTACCGCGACCACCACAGAGCGGCCCCGGGCGCACAGGTGAGACGCTATGACATTCTCCGTGTCGATGGTGCCAAGAACCCAGCCTCCGCCGTGAAAGTAGACGCAGGCGGGCCAGCCGGCATCGGGTTTGGGACCCTCAGGGGTGAAACAGCGGACCTTGACGTCGGGGCCTTGGCTCTCGGCCCGGCGGACTGAGTAGTCAGCAGTGGTGGCGACCGGGTGCAAGGGGCCGGCGCCGGGAATCAGAATGCCGCTGCTCCTCGATGCCTCGATGGGCTGCAAGTGCACCTGCTGCTTGTCAAATATGTGCTGGTTGTAGAAAGCGGCGTACTCGGGGCTGATGCGGCCGACGACGGTCTCGTGGAGGGGATAAGGAGGTTGCGCCATGATTGTGATATCTCTGCCGGACGTGGGAAAGCACCCAATTATGAAGCTGCGACAGTATCACTATCTGGCAGGAGCGGGAGTAATACGAGGTTGCACCGATGGGCTGACCGAAACCACAAAAGAACGGATCCGGCGACCGCGACAAGTGGCAGAAAGTCCGAACGGGAGCTATCAGCCGGAAGCCAGGGAATGGGGGGCGTCACATCAAGATACCCCTCTCTCCTCCCCATGTCCGTATCGCATCCCTCGCGCCCAACCGAGCCCAATGATAGGCGGCTGGCACGGGTTCGCGATCGGCGGGGTCCACTGCCGTCCCGCCGGCCTCCGGCTGTAACGTGATACGAAGAACCGCTTAAGCAGAACCAAGCAGGTTATCACCAAGATAGGCAGGTGCACGCAGCATAACCGGTATCCAAGACATGGCTCTGGCAGCACTTAATACCATTTGTTTGGCAAAAAAAGATGGTGGTTCAAGTCGGTCATCATTTATCTTTCAATTACCACGGGCCGGGGAAAATTGAGTTATGCACCTCGCGGCTCCCAGCCAACCCCTTTGTCGCTCAAGTCATCCGGTAAAACTTTCGGACAGAACATCGTCGCCAAGCACAATGCAGACCAACAAAGCCCGTGAAAAAGAGGAGAGCGCCATCAGCGACGCGGAACGAGACACCGATGCCGGCGGCCAGGCAATCCACGACGAAGAGACGGCCGAGTCAGCCGAGACGGCCCGGGTCGTCGACCGCATCGCCGAGAGGCAGCTGTGCCGCAGGTTTGACATCCGCATCCTGCCGGTGCTGGCTGTCATGTGTCAGTTCGGCCCCGGAGAGCGGTGCATGGCGCGGGGCCACCTCGTACCGGCAAAGCTAACGACGATCAAATAGATCTTTTCAATGCCATCGACAAAGGCAACCTGGGCAACGCCGAAACCGCCGGCCTCAGTCACGGCAAGTGTTGAAGCGCTCCCCGCTAAGAGGGAATACCCCCTGACGCTGCCGTCTACCTAGACCTCGGGTTCCAGCCCGGCCAGTACAATCTCGTCATCTCCATCTTCTTTGTGCCCTACGTGGTGTTCGCTCCGCCCGTCGCCATGATCGGGAAGCGTTTTGGTCCCGCCATTGTCCTACCCATTCTCATGTTCGCCTTTGGCTCCATGACGCTGTTGTCCGCGGCAACCACCAACTTTGGGGGCTTGTTCACGGTACGATTCCTCCTGGGCATGGCCGAAGCCGGCTTCTTTCCGCTCGTCATCTTCTATCTCACCACTTTCTACCGGCGCGGAGAGCTGGCGCGGCGACTGGCCATCTTCTACGCCGCGTCAAACATCGCCAACGCCTTCAGCGGCCTGCTCGCGTTCGCCGTCTTCCACATCCAGTCGTCGCTGCTCAAGTGGCGGTACCTGTTCCTCATCGAGGGCGCCGCGTCTGTCCTTTTCTCCATGTTCGCGCTGTAGTACCTGCCGCGGAGCGCTGCCGAGGCCAAGTTCCTAGGGGAGGGGGAGAGGTCGCTCGCCTTCTACCGCATCCAGATGGACTCGTCGTCGGTCGTGGGCGAGAAGCTCGACATTCGCGACGCGCTCCAGATCTTCCGCCACCCGGCCACGTACTGCTTCATCCTGATTGAGATCTGCCTCGGCGTTCCGATCCAATCCGTCGGGCTCTTCATGCCGCAGATCATCGCGAGGCTCGGCTACGACACGCTCAAGACGAACTTGTACACAGTTGCGCCCAACGTCGGCGGCGCCGCGGTCCTGCTGATCCTCGCCTTCAGCTCCGACCTACTGCGCATCCGCTTCCCGTTCATCATGCTCGGCTTCTTGCTGACCTTTATCGGGTTCATCATCTACGCGGCGATCGACGACGTGCAGGCGCACTTGCAGCTGGCCTACTTTGCGACCTTCATGATGGTTTGGGGCACGTCGGCGCCGTCGGTGCTCCTGTCGACGTGGTACAACAATAACATAGCACACGAAGGCCGTCGTCTCGTGCTGACGGCCGTCGGCGTACCCTGCGCCAACGTCATGGGGCTCGTTTCCAGCAACATCTTCCGCGACGCAGAGAAGCCAAAGTACGAGACGGCCCTCGTCACCACGGCCGTGTTTGGCGCCACTGGAGCCCTCATTGCCGGCGCCCTCGGCTCCTACATGGCCTTTGACAACCACAGACGCAACCGAAAGGCCGGCGTCAAGACCACGGCCCGCCATGTGCCGACCAAGCGCCTGCGTGACGGGCCTGGTGTGCCCGAGTTTCGGTGGCTTCTGTGAGGGTGATTACTGGATGGGCCGGTGGTAAAGCGTCATGAGACAGTGAGACTTCTCTTCCTTATTACGCCACTTCTCCCTGCGTTACGACAATACCAATGAGAGAAAACAAGCTGTACGTAAAGCAATACACCAGAGAATGTAATGCTGAGTTGATAAATTACATAAATTGAATGGCCAAGTCAAGCACGGCACACGGTCAAGCACGGCACGCCAGAAAATCTTTCAGGCCGGGGCTGACTTGGCTGAGACAAAAGAAAAGGGGGGGTGGGAAAGGGGCGGTCTGGGAATCTTTACGCCTCGCGTCACCTCTAGCGCGCTTATGGCTGGGAGGGTTGGTTCTCGTATCAACGCGCTCGGTTTTTTTGTGATTATGACTAGGCCTGAGAGGGTAAGGATTCCATGCACTGTGCTCGCCTGGTATGACTCGGACAGTGTGCAGCGACAAGATCCGCACCAGGTGGAGCTAGTTGGTTCCATACCCTGGCCCACTCACACTAGGATCCCCGTCAAGCAAGCAACCCTAGACCGCTGGGCATGCTGCTGTAGTGGGAATTAATTAATCAGGACGCTAATTACAAAACCAGCGTTGCTAGACAGGCCACAGCAGGTCTGGCAGACCGCGTGCTGACTGGGTACCTACCTGCCCACGCTGCTGGATCTTGCAGTTAACGTTGATATGCACGTAGATCCGTTGCAAATCGGTAGTTTAGTTGTTAAGAGCTTGATGGGCGTGCGAGTTTACCAGGTGCAAGAGGTGTCAGTAATGCTGGTGATCCGTGGTGAAGAAGGGTGATCCATGGTAAAGAAGGGTGATCCGTGGTAAAGAAGGGTGATTCGTGGTAAAGAAGAATGATTTGAGCGCAAGGTTACCTGGGTGAATCACGGCACCCTTTCTAGTTAGAGACCTCCTATCTAGTGCTGTGTATTATTTACCAGTCTTAACCCAAATAGTCCCTATTGTTCCGATTCTGAACATTGGCCCTCTCCATTTTTCCTTGTTTCATTGTTCTTTTTGTCTCTGGAGCACAATTCTCTGCCCACCATCAATGTCTCCCAGTTCTCTCCCTTTCTTTACCGCCGTCTGTGCCACGCCTCTTCATCCACGCGGGCAGTACACCGTCATCCTGTTGTTGACCTTCTCGTTTTCCCGTTCCCTGCACTGCTCTCTCTCAACAAGACGATACGATGGAAGTGCAACCTTCTAACGAGGTTGAAGCTCAAGCACAATCGCTGAGGCAAACAATCGAAAGGCAACTCAGCCGGCTGGCCGCCGACAAACGCACAGAGATATCTGCCTTTCAGGGACTGACGAAGTCGAAATAGCAGGAGATTGGCTCTGCCAGAGACAAGTCTCTCGAGGCTAGACTAAATCTTGTTAAGCTTGCCGAGGCTCAGAAAGATCTCGACGCCCAGACGCGGCAAGCCCAGAGGGAGAAGGAGAAGTGGAAGAGAGAGGAAGAGAAGGGTGCTGTCAAATTGAAGCAAGCCAACGATGAACATGCTATGAAGCTGGCTGAGTTCAAGCGGAAGAAGGCGGAGTTGCTTGCACTCTGGCCGGGCAGTTCCGTTAGTTTCTCCTTTCGTAATTGCAAGTCTTGGCCCACGTCTCTTTTACTACACACGACTTACATGTCAACCCAACCCCATCTAGAAGCATCTCGAGTCCACCCCGAGCCCCAAACAGATCGTTGACCCCTTACAGGATGAAGCTGGCTTCTGCAGCAACCATGCTAGAATGCAGGATCCCCGTAGACGCTTAGCATCGCTTGGTGATAAAGTCAAGGAGATTGGGGCTTTGGTGTCCGACTGCACTTTGTCAAAGGCTGAGATGAATAACCGGTTGTGCAAGTGTCCCGCTCGCAGACAAAGCTCATCGTCAGATTACGAAACTGAATATGAGTTTTTAACAGAAGATAAGCGCCCCAGTTCCGCATTGAAGACCACAAAATTGGTCACAGACACCCAGGCTGTGGGAGAGAAGACACATGAGACCGGTTTGTTACTGTCATATTAAAACAACAGCCGGCTTCAACCTCCACAACCAGTACAATCCAAAAGGTGCGCCCAGATATATCCCGTGAGGCCCTGAATAAGACTGGATATTTAGCTTACCATGGCATTATCTTGCCAAGCAGATCTGCTCCCCCCCAGCGCCCTTTATTTCCAATACCAGCCCCTGTGGCAGCTCAAAGCGACCTGCGGCAGCACGGCGTCGGCAGCTCGCGCCGCCGCAGCTCTGACAAATCTTGGGAGGAGACTAGCGTGCACTTAGCACTCCAGATTATGAGAGAAAAGGTCAAGAAGCATGAGAAGGGAACCAAAGCCAACCCCCAGCAGCGTCGGTAAACACCTAAAAAGCACTTCTAGAAACTCTTCCAACACCAGAAGAAGCAGCAGCCGTCCCAGCAGCCATCCAGACAGCAACCAACCTCCGACCATCCCCCCCATCCTCGGAGAAAATATTGTCCACACACTCCGCTGGTGTCTAGACGCCGTTGGTAGATCAACATCATGCAGCAATCGTTGAGCGGCCACGACAGAATTGATCCACCGTGACGTCGAGGGTGCAACTATTGGCCTTGGCGTGCACAGTTATCCAATGCGCCTTCCCGTACTTGCTTTGGCCGCTATTGCCTCCATTACGCTTCTAAACTATGCTCTCGTCTTCGTTCTCTGGCAAGCGGTGTGGGCTATCTACCATCTTGCGAAATTTCCACCGTCTCGCCCTGCGATCACAAGGATCAGTAATGACTGCACGCTCTCTCATTCATCTACACCTCTACCCCCTATCGTCGCTTTCTTCTACACAGACATATGTCTTCTTATTTCATTAACATACGCTCATTTAAGAGATACAATTATTCTTTTCCTTTTTTCCTTAATCCAGGATGAAAATAATTTTGGAGCAGCCTTAAATAAAGGGGCCGTCTACTCGGGCTGTAGGAATTGTCTTCTAGACTGTAGGCACACCAAAAAGGTACAATTGGCCATCGCACCAAGCCACTAGCCCAGCCAAAATCGGATTTTTCACCTTAAAAAGCCTAGTTACCTTAACCAACTTTGACAACGCGATGAAGAATGCAGTGGCGCGTGTTTACCCTGATGCAGACCCTCAAATCTGTATTTTCCACATCAACAGTATCATACTCGGAGCCGTGCCAACGTGGGAAAAGCAGTCCCCGGCCCCCCTGCAGCCCTCCACCGGCCAGTTCAGTATGCAGTACGGCGTGCCGTGCAGTCATGACCTTGTTGAACGATATATGCATGGCCGGCCCCGCATTGAACAGGGCATGGAAGGTAAATTGGTCCTCAAAAAGTTGCATTTTCACCCATACTAGTGGTTGGAGAGATCCATACGTGACGGAGACCAGTATATGAGCTTCTACGAATTCGACCGTGTTACTCGCCTACGGGGCAGGCCGCGAGGCTCGACCGCATTCGCCCCGGACCCCCGAGCTCCCCGGTCTACGGCTCCGTTGTCCACAGAGCCGTCGACAACGGCACCGACACAGACCCCGACAGCCACATCGACTGGCCGGGCAAGCGGCTTGAATCCTTCCATTCGCCAGCAGCCCTCAGTATAGGAGGGTGTCAGCCTACAACAGGAAGACAACAAGGACAACAAGGACCAAGAAAACACCATGGAAATCCTCCTGCGCAGGCACAACGAACTGTGAATGGGCTCACAGTACCGCCTGCTCGCGGCGGCCGCGGCGGTAAGGCACAGGGAACCCGGGCAACAAAGGGAGGTCCTGGCAGCCGGGGCGGCCGTGATGCCTCGGCATCGCGGGCATCTACCTCACGGGCTTCATCTGGGACGCCTGCCTCAACGCCCACGGCGCGTATGAGGGGAGGGGGCATTACAAAGGCTTCTACACGCGATGCAACGGCCCGTCGTACTACTAGGGCTTTGGCTGCAGCGTTTGACGCCCAACAAAGCAGTGATCTTGACGATGCGTAGGTAAGGCAGGTTTTTATTGAATTTTTAGGCATGTTATGTAAGCAATAATACACGTTGAGCCGCCGGCTTTTAATGCAGAAGTGAACGATTTGAGCGAGTTCTACGGCCCTGAAAGAGAATTACTGCATTTGGAAGCATGTTGACGTTGGCGACGGCGGCGAGGTGTAATTGCGGTGCGAGGATGTATGTGCGATTGCTCTGAACTTGGGTGCGCTAGCTTCATCCCAGGACTTAGCCTCTTTTTTGGTGCGAAAAGTGGGGTTTTAATGGCTTGGCGCCAGGGCGCCATGTACCTACAGTCTAGAAGACGTTGCCTACAGTCCGAGTAGACGGTCCCTAAATAAAATAGAGACCCATTTACACATCTTTCGTAGAGCAATCATGCCGTCGTATATAGCTAGCGGTGCCAAAATGGAATTGAAATTGAAGCGCTACTAACACACTGAGCTCAACGGCGTGCATACCGTAGCACTTGACATAACGGCAGTGCGCGTTATATCTCGTGCAGCGTGTACAGCGTCTCTAGCGGACATTGATCTAGATCCTACACCTCTAACCCTGAGATTAACCCTAACCCTACGGGCTAGCCTAAACCTAAACCTGACCCCTAAGCCCAAGCCCAAGTCTAAACCTAAACCTAAACCTAAGCCTAAACCTAAACCTGCGCACTGTGTCGCATTGCGGCGACGACATGTGCTTTAAACCAGAAACGGCAAATAAGGAATGCCCACATTTTCGAGATGCCCACATTTTTTTCGAGTGAGCATTTTGTGAGGGCCTCTGGTCCTCCAGGCCTCCCAGACGCTCTGACTAATCAGACGCCAGTTGGGTGGATCCACCCGACCAGCCAGAGCCCCACCTTGAGACGCCCTGGAAGAATCTCGCGAGGGGAGGCTTTTGAGCTTCTTTTCCCTTTTCCCTCTTTAGTTTAGAATCTTCGTCTATAGCGCCCAATAGAGGAGTTCCGCCCTCATTTTTCCAAGCCGGCCGTGACAGAGCGAGGGTATCTGCCGGGAACCGAGAACCGGAGATTTTCGATATCTTGATCTATCACGATGATATCAAGATATATCCAGAAAAAGAAGGATTTTCCATATCCCAAATATCACCATATTTTGATGATCAAGATCAGAAAACACGGAATCTTTATGCGCGACCCGTTTCTGGGCGCTGTCGCAAACATTTTTTGTTTCAATAATATTCGTTTTCCGTTTCCGATATAGATGAAAAGGTTATAGAGACAAACGTTGATGTTGTCGCGAAGCTGCAGCCGTCCAGACCGCGGTTGCGATGGAGCGCGACGAGTTAGGCAAACGGATGTGCATCGTAGCGGCCCGAGGCCTTAGGTGTTGTCAAAAATGGGGCGGCCAGGTCTTAGTCACTGCGCTAAAAAGCTCAGTTCGCAGTGCGCTAAAACCTTAGTTCGCGTTGGGGTTTTCTGGGGTTCGTACTGGGGTCGTCACTGGGGTCGTCACTGGGCAACTTTTGGGGGTGGGCCGGGCAGGTGTGCCAAAAAGCTGCGCGGATGCAAGCTATTTGAGGTACGGGTTATTACGTTTAGGGGTTTCAACTGGATGCCCTGGATCAAATTATCAGCTGTATAAAGCTTACAACATAATAGCCCCAAGGACCTACCGACCAGGACTTAAACCAGCGAGGAAGGGAAGGTTCTGGATTACGTCAATCAAGGCCGCAGGGAAGCGAAGCGAGGCATTGCATCCCCGTGCCGCCGGTTGGCTGCGGTCCGCGGACTCCAAGTCGCAACGGTCTGCAGTTCGGAAAATTAACCCGACAACCTTTTCGCCGTGGCAATTTGTCACGACACAAACAGACCAAGACAGGACAAAAATTTCCCCTTTTTCCCGCTCTGATATCGCCTCATCCCGTCCCCAAAAAAACCAAAAACCAAAAACCAAAACCAGCCACCCTCACCCGCACCATGACGCCGCCCTACGCCCCCCGCGTCGGCGACAGCATCACGACGCTCGACACGCCGTCCATGATCGTCGACCTCGACATCATGGAGCGCAACATCGCCCGGCTAATGGGCCGCCTGCTGCCGACGGGCGTGCGCGTGCGCCCGCACCTGAAGACGACCAAGAGCACCGCGCTGGCCAAGCGCATGGTGTCGGCCGGCGCCACAGGCGGCTGCGTGGCCAAACTGAGCGAGGCCGAGGCCATGGCAGCCGCGGGCTTCGATGACTTGCTGATCACCTGCGAGATCATCGGTCCAGCTAAAGTGCGTCGCCTCGTCGCGCTGCACGCCGCACACCCGGGGCGCATCATGATTGTCGTCGACAGCGCCGCCGGCGCCGACGCCATCGACGCCGCGCTGGCAGCTGCAGACCCGCCCCTGCCGCCAATCCCCGTGCTGATCGACGTTGACGTCGGACTGCACCGCACGGGCGTGCCGCCGGGCAAGCCGGCGCTGGCGCTTGCACGGCACGTCGCTGACACACTCCCGCGCCTGCACATGGTCGGCTTGCAGGGCTACGAGGGCCACCTGCAGCACGTGCACAGCCGGGCGGAGCGCGAGGCGGCGTGCCGCGCGGCGATGGCAGACCTGGTCGCGACGGCGGCGCTGCTGCGCGGGGCCGGGCTGGACATGGGCGTGGTGACGACGGGCGGCACCGGCACGGCCGAGTTCTGCGCGTCCGTGCCGGGCGTCACCGAGGTGCAGCCGGGCTCGTTCATCTTCATGGACACGGACTACCGCGCGGCCGTCGGCGGGGATGTGTTCGCGTACAGCCTGACGATCCTGGCCACGGTGCTGAGCCTGCAGGGGACGAACTCGGCGACCATCGACACGGGGCTCAAGTCGCTGACCACGGACAGCGGGCTGGCCCAGTGCAAGGACCCGCGGTATACGTATGCGTGCATGGGCGATGAGCATGGCGCGCTGAGCTGGGATGACTCTGAAGGCACGCCGCCGCTCAACATCGGCGACCGCGTCGAGATGGTGCCTAGCCACATTGACCCGACTGTGAATCTGCACGACGTCTACTATGCCCACCGCGATGGCGTCATTGAGGAGATCTGGCCCGTCGATACTAGGGGGAAGGTGCAGTAGAATGTGCCCAAGGTCCTGCCACGCGTGGTGAGAGGGTGGTCTGCTCGACCGTCTGTCGTATCGTCTGACGTCATGGCATGGTCTGTGTAAATGGATTGCTCTGGCGAAACTCAAATACATCATGGACATCGCGTGCAGACTTCCGTTATACAAGGTTGATCGTGCTACAAGTGCGTCGCTGCCGTGACATGCCGGTCGGTCGGCTGCTCAGTGGAAAGCTAGATGGCGATCTGGGTTAGATGGAGAATCTAATCAGGCTCCCGCCTCTATTCGGAAACGTGAAATCTTTGGGGGATTGAGAGCTGAACTAGGGCGGTATGGCGCACATAGGCATCTTTTATTGGTTCATTCAATCGTATGGAAAGACACTTCCGGCCTTAAGCAAGAGATTTATACTTGCAAGGCGCTCGCAAAGATCGTATAGCTATGGGGGTGATATAGCTAGAACGGTTGCATAGATCTTATACCGCCGGATATATGATAGAAACCGCTACTATTGGAGTTGAGAGATCCCATTATCTAAGCTAGTGTTAGAAGGATGGCCGAAGGTAAGAAGGAACCGTAGACGCCGCCATAGGGAGACAGGTTGCAGGCTACTCGGTGTTGGTATAGTAGATGACAATATGAACGTTTGAGATTAGAAATGATTGGATTCTGCCACCCTAACAGATCTTCTATGCACCCTTAAATCGATTCCAGCATCTACTAAGAGCCATCATTCTATCACTAACTCATCAAACTCAACGAAGGCCTCAGACAAGTTAGGTGAAGCTCTGAATATAATAAGAAGGAGTGTAGAAATCTTGATTAGAAACGTGTATATAGAAGGTCGGTCGACAATATATAAGGAAGGGGGAAGGGAGAAAGAAGCACGGTGCTGGAAAGAAAGATTGAAGCTAATTAATGAGCAATTAGATCTTACGACGGTTCTCCTTACTTAAGCGGCTGCGATCGATAATAGGCTTGCTGAGACAAAAATGATAGAAGCACGGGTCAATATCGAGCTAGGTACCTACTATTCCCATTATAGCGAAGTACACTCCGGCTAGCTACCATTGATCTTACGCCGGTCCGCTTTGGTAGCTAGATACTGTTGCTTGACCGAACTCGCCGCCGCCGTCAAGTCCTATGACTTTTATCTTTCTTCCTGTCTGTAGCTGAACCCACTCAACCCACTGCTTCAACTGTGTGAAGGCTTGGTCTTTATCCTGAAGGAATCTGACCCAGTGGTAGCCAGAGAAGATATCAACTATATGTAGTGTGTATTTCTGGCCCAAATGCCCCGGATCTTTGTGAGTTATCAGGTCGAGTCTCACATAGTCAAGTGGGGCTTGGCACACAACCGGTGAGACCTTGGAAATCGTATCTGTTGCTTTCCGGAGTATGCAGGGTTCGCAGAAGTGATATTTCCTTGGTCCTTTTAGCTGGATTTCTGCTTGGTGACAGGTGGGGCAACAACTTCGTGGTGTGCATGTAGGAGTCGGCGATGCATTGTGGAATAGTTGATAGAGGCGAGGATGGCATGAACCAGTGACTATTGAGGGTAGGTCTAGCATGACTCTGCAAGGAATAATGGGAATAGAACCACCTCCATTGCCGAGTTTTGCCAGTAATTTCCTGTTCTTGTTGTTCACGAATTCATTCTGATCCATAATCAAAGTAATGCCGGCTTCCCTCATAGAGCTGATGTTGACCAGGTTGCAGGGTATATCGGGCGTGTAGTATGCTTGGCCGAAATGAAGGTTCTTTAGTGTGCCGTCGGGTTGTATCACGGTGATCTAAACAATTCCACTATAGTATGACGATTTGCACTCGCCAGTCACACCACTGTAGTGCCACGGTCTCACTAGAGGATGAAGCTCTGAGAGTCATTTGATATTGTTGAAGGAGGTGCGCGAAGCTGCTGTATCGAAGAGGACTGAATCCTTTGTTATTCTTCCTACCTTGAGAGCCTGTTGGACTTCGTCGCTGAACATCAGTAGCGACGGGGGCTCCAGGAAAAATCCTCTTCAATATGATCTGCGTTACCGACGTAATTCAGGCCGTTATAGACAAACAGTAGACTCGACGGCTCTGTATCTGCAGGAGGCTGTGTCAAGTTGTTTCCTCCCTGTCGAAAGGTAGCCGCAGTAGTAGTTTTCTTCTTGAGGGCTTCTTCTCTTCTCCTCCAGCTGGTTGGGGCCGATTCTGGATTACACCAGAAGCAGGTTATTCCATTCAGAGGGATGTGGTTACCGCATTCGTGGTGTTTGTAGCCTTTTCCGATCTCCTTGTTGCAGGTTGAGCAGGTCTCTTTCTCTCCGGGCTTGTTGCTCTTTCCTTTCTTGTTAGAGATCTTATCATCATTAGGCTTCTTCGGGACATACGCCAGGTTGAGATGCTTCTCAATCTGGGCTTTTACAAAGAGGATTTGCATGAAGTCTCCCCATTTGAGCTCTCCCTTGTCGATTCGGTATTCCCAAAGTTGTATGTTGTCGCTGTATGCCTCACGAAGTCCGTTGAGAAGGTAGTACAGTGCCTGCGTGTCGTCTATGGTGATGCATCCCTTCTCGATCTCTTCACGAAGGTAGTTGGCTCGGTTGATGAAGTCTGCGAGGGATGCAAAGGAAGATCGCTTGAGGGTAGAGGATTCGCTAAGCATCGAGCGGCAGGACTCTTTGCCTAGACCCTCGATGTGCTCGAATAAGAGGTGTAAGTTCCGTCTTCTACCAGACTCTCCAAAAGAAGACAAACGCGAACCGCAGGATGAAAGATCGTCAGTAGGGCATATAATCTAGGTAGAGCTTACCTGCGGTAACCTGCTTCAAGGTAGGTAACAAGAAATAGTTGAAAATCACGAAAGGAAGAAGCCCACCCTCCTTAGTCGTCGATTCTAACTCTATGGACGAACAAGACAACGAGTACGACACCTATAATACCAGCTCTACAAGTTGCGAGAGTGGAGAGGAGGATAGTTTGGACAACGGCGGCACCATGGTTATAACGCCGCGTGGTTCCGTTCTTACCGGCGTGGCTATTACGTCCGCCATTGATGAGGCCGATTGTATCTGCCTGCGACGCTTTGAAAGACATTACCGAGCGTGCTTATAAGATATTGGTCGGGTGTAGGTCGGGTGTATGTCGGGTGTATAATTGGCATGGTGGAAAGAAACCAGCGCCGGTCGGCTCTACCGGATCCCGCTGGTGAATCAACACCCCTTTCCCCCCAGAGGAATCCGTATCCTCTCCTAAACATGCTACGTGGCGTGTAGTAAGACTCAAGTCCACCACGTGGATGAACACTCGTCATGAGGTCTACGACAGGCTAGAGAAAGGTTACCGAGGACATTTATACCAACGGGATGCCATCGGCGTCCTCTTCGCTGGTTGGCCTAGGCGGCCGGATAGCTCTGAGTACCTGGGTATACAAGCGGCCGCCACCATACTACCGTGTGAAAGAGGGCGTAAGGTAGGATCCTGAACATCCTCAGGCACAACCCGGAAGGCAAAATCCCAAGACGTCCCGGAAAGAGTCGCCCGCAGGCATTGGCAGGGCTCGAGTCGGGTGCTCGAACTAGTAGAGACAGCGTCGTATCCATTACCGCGGTCTGGGGCTGTGTGATGGAATGTCGTATTGCTTATTACCCCTCATCCCAGACAACGAAATGACCAGGAGAATAATTAATTGTTGACGCCACAACTCGGATAAGCCTTTTGCTCCGGGTCCCGCGCTGGTTATTAATTTGTACACTGTCCCTGGTTCTAGATGTAAGACGCTGGATGTCGCGGTGCCGTATTGGACCGATTTCCAAGCCTACAAAAGGTGCGTTGCGTCTACCATCTCCATGGCAATTATAATACCAAAAGCCAAGCCTATCTCATTACCTCTCGACACCATCACCGAGAGCAAGCAGAAAAGAACGCAACAATGAAGCCTTCCTTCTTTTTCGTCTCGCTCCTGGCAACATCAGCCCTCGCCGCCCCGGCACCCAGCCCCGACCCTGGCCCTGCTCTGGAGGCGAGGTCGTACAGCTGCAACCCGCTTCACGGCAACCCTTGTCCTGCAGCTTGCGCAGCGGGATCGCAGTCGATCAACTGCAGTGCTTCTTGGGTATTTCTGACTCACGTTCCTCCACTCCTTTTCTGTACTCCTCGATATCCTGTCCAGTGAAGCTAATCAATATCAAAAACAAGTGCGAGGAAACCAGCGCTCCCAACAAAGGGGTGTGCGTGTGCAGCTGTCACTACTAGGGTGTGTTGTATGCGACTATCGCGGGGGACGTGGGTGCCTAGACTAGATGCCCTAGACTGTACGGAATCCGCACAGCAGCAGTATAGTAACAAGTATCAATGAAACCGCCTTGCTGCGGTCAGTTTTGAAAGGCGGTATATTTGCTCATTGAGCTCAGCTGCATGAACTCTCTACGTGCGGCACAGAGGCTTTGTGGGATCATCGACCCAGCCGCAGTAAGAGATCCAAACCTGGATGGCACCCAATGCCGTCGCAGCCATTCCAAAGGCGATGGCAATGCTGACCGAGACAACGGTGCACCAGTAGGTAAAGCGGGGGTTTCTTCTCGCCTCGGACCAGCGCTCGACTGCCGTCACGGGCGTCGGGTCGTCAGCTTCCTTCCAGAGATCGTATAGGCGGTCGCCCCAGTAGGGGTACTTTTCATACAGGCTCCTCACATCAGCTGAGTCCAAGGCGTCTCGGTAGTTGTTGTGGTGCTCCGCTTGGAGGCGTGATGGCTCAAGGAAGGAGGGGTCTAGTTGGTGGCGCGCAACTTCCCGTTCGAGGATGGACCGTGACTGGCTGTCTCCCGCTCTAGGAAAGAGCAGGTCGTACGTCATGAGGGTTTCTCGGAGCAGTCCCGGGGGAAGGCAGCCGCTGTTTCATTACGTCAATTGTCAATTGTTGGCTGCTCTGGTGTGCGAGAGATCAGTACCTACAGTGAGAGTGCCTCGGCCGTAGATTGCTCTAGATCGGGGTTGTTGTTGCCAAGAGTCTGGAGCGAGTGTCGAAGAAAAGCGGGATGGCGGAAGAGGTAGAGCGACTTCCAGCCGTCGCCCTTAAGCAAGATAAGGTGATCGGTAAGCTGGTTCGTCCACCTTAAATCGACAGTGGCGAACGACGCCAGATAGCTCATCGACAGCTTATGCACTCGGACGCTTCTGGAGTCCAGGACAGCATCTGTCGAGCGCGGGTAGACGCGTTCTATGTATTTCGCCAGCGTCTTCGACTCCTTCCAGATCGGGCGAAAGATGTCGCCCCCCACGGTGCCAAGCGACAGGCAGGCCGTCCCATACATCAACCGGACCGCTAGAGGAAGTGGAAGCGGCTCGCTCCTGCCCTCTTTGAGATTGGCTCTGGCCTCGCTGGGGCGTGATTTCAGGCACTCGATTGCCTCCATCAGATCTTCGCGTGCCGTGAGTGTGCCCCTGCGTGCAAATTCCACCTCTCTTTCGCAATAGCTCAAGTATCCCTCCAGGCTTTCGTCTCGCTTCCTTTTCCCTTCCGCGTCGCCTAGCCTGCCCCATATCGTGTCGGCGATGCCTGTCATCTTCTCGCGCTCATTTTTCTGCCATGCAGAGTCGTTTATTTTGCGAATGCCGTCGATAACGTTAGACGTTCTCGACAATTCTCCCGATGCCATTGCTATCTTCCAGCCGCTCAGGTTATCTCCTCCGGCCCCCAATTCCATGGACTTCGTCATGTGACTTGCGCGACTGAGTTGGATTTTCTCGCGCAAGGCTCGAATCGGGGAAGCGCGGGGGTTACCGCGTCTTCGACACCCTTCCCACAACCTCCGAAACTCGATTTGCCTGAGGGTAATGGATCAGGCGATTGCAAACTCGTGATCGCAATGGCGGAAACGTCCACATTAACCATCACCAGGCCCCCTCCAAGCATTATCAAGGTCGGTTTTCATCTTCTTTCGCTCTCGGCACCGCTGCATGAAAACTCGGCTAACCTAGTCTTGTTGCATCCTCTATCCAGCAAGCCCCAGCCCTCCGTGCAAGAGATCAAGCCATTCTCGATGGCGTGCCAAAAACGAAAGAGCTGAGAGACTGGATTTTGAAGTTCCGCGCCCTCAAAACGCCCACATCTCTATCCTCCCGACGCACTGCCCCTTCGATAAGACCGAGACTCGAAGAGGCCAAAAATGACAGCGGGCAATTATCCGAACCAAACAAGCCCAATCCACCAACGGTCTCCTCAACATCGACACTAAACGACACGGCAGTCAAGAATGGGATAGACTTATCGAAGGCCCACAATAGTCAAGATTCGGGGGTCTACGTCAATGACGACACGAGAGCGTCCAGCAACAGTACAGGGACGACGAGGGCCTCAACACGCGCGTCGTCCAGCAGTGTTGTGAACAGTCCGTACCAGAGACTGCTCGTGCACTGGACCATTTGCTCGAGGTTGCCGAAGCTCAGCCACCCCCAAACTCGAGTAAGGCCAAGGGCAAGGAAGTTGACCGCGGGATACGATCCGCTAGAGATGTGGACAGCAAAATTCCCGTTTCGGTTCCGATGACCAGGCTACAGAAGCTTGCAACACTGAACTTTGTGAGCCAGAAAGAGCTAGCAGCACGGCCTATTCCCGTGGGCAACGCCGAGATTAGCAAGTTACGTGCCTTATCGGCATTTCTGAGCCCCATCAAAGACCAAATCACTCTATTAGGCAAGGAGCTTCCTAGATGCAGACACCACTTGGTAGAACTTGGACCACAGCACGAATCCTCAGGACCTTCCAAAGTCTACATCTGCATCGAGGGCCTGACCAACCCAGCCGACATTAAATTATTCCATAAGGTGATGTCCCAGACGCGTTACAGATATCTCTACGAACCATGGGGGCTCTGTTATGAGGCCCTGAAGATTTCTCGCCGAGCCGCTGATCACCATGTCCTCCAACTCCAAGGGAACGGGGACACGTACTGCGGAGCAGTTCTTGAAACCTCCACAGGTTCTGGGATATTTTCAACAATTGGGGGGCTCATTGAAGTCGACGGTAATATATACGCCATGACGACATCTCATCATCCTGACAAATATGAGCCAACGATAGAGGAAAATTTAAAGAGCCTTTTGGAAAGCCAAGCAGATACTCTTGCGGAGTCTGACTTTCCGGACGATTTGGAACCTGCGTTTGTGTTGACTTTTGATCAAGAGGATTACTCGGCTTTGTCAGAAACCTCAACTGGAACAAGGAAAGATTACTTCTAGACCGACGCCTGGAAGAGATTGTCGCGTACAGGGAACGGAGCTTCCCGGGCCACCGATATTTGACGATTATTGAAGGGGACGACTGGAAGTTGATACCCATGGACCACCGCCGACAATTGCCGAACATATTCCTTCCCTACCCCGGGGGAAAAAGGTATATAATCAATGTGTGTGAGTCGCCGTCCGGATGCACTGTTGCCGTCGTTTCCGGAGTCACGGGTCCACAGTTCGGGACCATGTCCTTGGGTCCATCGTTCCTCGTTGGAGATGGCCTCGTGCAAGAGATCTGGACTACGTACATGAGCAACAGCAGCCCTGGTAATTTCTGCCCTCCTTTGGTACCTAGTGCTGTTGCGCAACTCAGCTAACGGCCATCCATCTCACAGGTCTCCGTTCAGGCGATTCAGGATCCTGGGTTCTGGACCTGGAGGACCCGAATGACCCAAAAGTTGTTGGCCAAGTTATAGCTTGCTCTCAAGGGAGGGCACACGTCAGCTTGCTGACTAGAGACTTCGCAAATATCAGTGCAGCTCTTCCGAAGCCTGGTCGAGTCGGGCTGCCTTCTCCACTGGTGGCTCTTCTCGCCCATTCAAATTATCTCAAACGCTCGAACTTCTCGAGGGAGCAGTATCCCATCGCAGAGGCCCTGTCGGTCGACTTTCTATCAAGATTTCCTAGCGATCCCTTTGCTACAGCTCTGAGCGACATTGTGAAGGAATTTTCCGGTGCTACAAGAGTTCAAGACCTCCGTTCATTTTCGGAGCTTCTGTCGGAATGCGGGAGGTCAATTTTTGACGACCCCAGTCCACCCCTGCTCGAGTTGTCCAGCCAGTTTATACGTCTCCGGGACCTCTACCGTCGCTATAAAAACAGCCCGGCATTTAGCCACAGCAAGTCAGGTCCTTCGAACCCGGAAGATGGTACCAAAAGGGATCCGAACGATCCTAGCTCTGCCGGCATGGGCAACCCCTCGTCAAACAGCGCAATAATTCACATGCCACATATGCCTGAGACAATGGAGGCGACACAAGGTATAACCCATTACTTACATCGTAGTGTAAGTCCTTTGCTGTATCTGGTCGCGCTGATGATCGTTTTCCTTTGCCGAGTTAGGCCGAAACCACAATTCGATCTTGAAGAAATTACCCTTCAAGGTGGATCGAAGGCCCAACGGGAAACCGTTCTGGCACCATGTTGTACTTGCGGTGTACATCATCATCTCCACCGTTCTTGGCGGTGTTCTTGCTGTGTATGCGTGGGCGTCCATCTATGCTGACCCCGGTGGACCAATTACCATCTCCACTGGCGCGGTTGCAGGCGCCATCTCCGGTGCACCTATGTCGCTCGAGGTCTTATTTAACTACGTCTTCTGCCAATACAAGTTTGTATTGCAAGACCCACAACGGTTGTTAGGCCGTCTTACCAGGACTCTGCTCTACATAGCCGTTGGAATACCGCTGTTTGTTCTGGTTGTCTTCGGACGACCAATACTTTTTGCTCACTATCTCGAAGGCCAGGCAGACATTAGCAGTAAGCACAAGCAAACCACGAGCTGCTTGTCATCTTGAAGCTGACGTTTCTTCCACATTTTTAGATACAAAGCCATCCGCAGCATCCTCTGTGGCCGCTGTCCCGCTCTTTGTCTCTTCATATTGTATAATATCCATCCGGGGTCGGGGGCGATGGCCGCGATGGATATTCCCCGTAGGAGCTAGTGAATTTTCCATCGTGTTGCTTTTCTTCCTACTAATCATTAGATTTGACCTTGTTGCAGCGGTGACGTATGTCGCTATATGTCACAGATTCGGTATGTCTTTTCTCAATCGTCGCTTCAACATAGCCAACTTCAGTGCGTAACCTTCACTAATCTTTGCGAAGATCAAGATGTGCTTGGATACGTCCCAGCAGTTGTGACGACCATCATCTACGACTCTGTTGCCGTCTTCTGGCCAATTTCTGTGCTTTTCTTTACAAGCCCGATGATCACTCTCCTACTTCTCAGACCTTTGAATATGGTCCGCTCCGGACCATCGAACCCCCAGCTTTCTGCTGATGACACGAATGAGGTACGAATTTTATCTTGGATGCGCGGCCCATTGGAAAAGGAAAAAACCCAGGGCCAAGCCACGCCCTCCATTCAGGGAGCTCCATTACTTCGGCCTCTGTCGCTGGGGCCTTCATCTTTTGGAAGTTCATCAATCGGCCCTCCCACCAGTCAGACGCCATCAATGTGGAGTCGAGGCAGTTATGCTTATTCACTATCACCGATCAGCATGCCGTCGACGGGGAGCAGTTCCGGCTATCACTATAGAGGCACTCCCGAGGCACACGATGTGCATTTCGAGACAATGCATTTTTTACCAGGTTCAACATACCAGTAACCCTTCTTCTTAGGGCATTATCTTCCGTATTCTCGGGAACAACTGATACCGGAATTAAACGTTCAAGAGTTGCCAGTATCCCATCCCACGAGAATGGCACCAGTCGTAGAGCTAGACGAGAGCGGCGCTATAGTCGCATAGGACAGCAGGCTGCCAGTTGAGTCGTCTTTCAAACGATTGTGACGCTCAGATGGCTGTTATTCACCGTATAATAGGTTTGACAATGGCTTCAATAGAGATCTCGGGGGAAAGAAATATAATGATTCGTCATAATTAAACGTACGAATCTGGTGATCAGAGAGTTAATTGGCCTCGCTTCAGTCGTCTTCTAATTGCGCGGCCCTTGGCAAGCTCTACTCTCCCGCCGGGTTTTGAGATGTTAGTGGGTGACTTCTGCAGGGATATAAGCCAGAAATATGGGGCGTTGGAAGTCGCTTTTCCTGTAGGTTCTCACCAGAAAGTAACATGATGGCTTAATTCTATCGTATTAGGTCTCAAACCCCGGCGGAAGTGCAAGGCTGCCTTTCCCTCTCCCTCCTGGTTCGTGGCTTTCTTGCACTAATGTTCTTACACGGCCTAAGAATTTGAGAATGGATTCGATAATGGAGACAGCCAACGGCAGTTAGGCCGTCTCGTGTTCTAGTTCCACGCTACCTGCGCAAGTCTAACTCTAGCATTTAGTTTCACATCTTAGAGCCGCCCACCAGCTGCCAAAGTCAGTAGTCAACCCCGGGCCGCCAGCCGGTAGCTCTATGCTAGAGGTATGGTGACGGAGGATCGCCATCGTAGCTGTGGAATTCTTTAACGGCCTAATCCAAACTCACAAAAGTCGCAGGCTGGGAGTTGCCAAGGTGCTATTTTCGAGATGGAGCGAGCTGGCGAGTCCACGGGCAAAAACGTTGGTAAGGATTAAATACTTAGCATGATTCAAAGCTAATCATGCAAAGCACTGCAGACGATAACTACGGATCTTTTCTACGCACCGACGTGGCCTCCGCAGGCCCCGAATTGTGCTGAGCCCCGTCGTGGCCCTTCCCGTTAAACATTGCTATCCTGTTGTGGACTGCCAAGCCGAATTTGAATCCAACCGGAGTCTAACAACTGTCCGCTGCTGCGAGACAGGGGTTAGTCGACAGTCCGGCCGGCAACCAGCCCACCACAACTAGTGCTAGCAAAATGAACTGTTGGAACTCCCCCTCTGGGAACTGTTGGAACAACCCCTCTGGGGAATGAGGGTGCCAATCGGCTGCTTTTGTCAACGAAGCCCCGCTAATTAAGATGCATATCGCTTCCTGCTGCCTGTGGCATGACATGAAATAATTTCTCCGTCTCCCACTATTGTCTGGAAAAGGGGGGCCTACTTTGATAAAGCACTGACCTCCCGTCGAACTCCGAATCCCGCGATATTATCTCACCCGAGCCTTCAATTCCGTGCCTCCAATCCGTGCACATATTCAATGACTTCGCTCGCTCCTCTCTTCTCAGTGCCTCTCCTCTCAGTGCCTCTCCTCTCAGTGTTTGTGAGTTTTGCTCTCTTGAACATTTCCAGCCCCGAAACGCTTCTGACACCAGACACCTCAGCACGCAAAGCGTCTCACACCACACGCAGCATAACCCAGCTCCCCTCGCCAACATGGACCTTTTCTTCGGCCGCGGTATCAAGTTCACTCCGTCAAAGGACGTGCCCTCCCTCGCGGGCAAGGTCATTCTGGTGACGGGCGCCAACAACGGCCTCGGCAAGCAGTCGGTGCTAGACCTAGCACGGTACGGCAAGCCGGCCTTCATCTGGCTGGCCGCGCGCAGCCCCGAGCGCGCCGCCCAGGCCCTAGCCGACATCAACGCGCAGCTCGACCTCGAGCCCAACGCCGAGGACAGCGACCGGACCGTCATCAAGACGGTCGAGCTAGACCTTGCGCTACTCGCCTCCGTCCGGGCCGCCGCTCAGCGCGTCACCGCCGAGACCCCCGGGCCGCGCCTCGACATTCTCATGCTCAACGCAGGCATCATGTCCACGCCGCCCGGCCTCACCGCCGACGGCTACGAGATCCAGTTCGGCACCAACCACCTCGGCCACGCGCTGCTGGCCAAGCTCCTCCTCCCGATGCTCCTCCAAACCGCGGCCGCGCACCCCGACGTGCGCGTCGTCGTGCTCTCCTCGGTCGGCCACACGCAGGCGCCCAAGGCCGGCGGCGCGCCCGGCGAGGCCGGCATCATGTTCAGCGGGCTCAAGACGGAGCAGGCAGCGCTCGGCGCGCTGCCGCGCTACGGCCAGAGCAAGCTGGCCAACCTGCTGTTTGCGCGCGAGCTGGCGCGCCGCTACCCGGCGCAGCTGCGCGTCGCCGCCGTCGACCCCGGGCTCGCGAGCACCGGCCTCGCCAACAACCTCGAGTCGCGCGCGCTGCGCACCGTCGTCAACTCCCTGCGCTTCCTCTACCCGTCCCCCGCCGACGCCGTGCGCGGGCCCCTGTGGGCGGCGACCGCGCAGCCGCCGGATTTTATTGAGAGCGGTGCGTACTACAAGCCCCTCGGTCGGAGAGGGTCGGACTCGCCGTATGCGAACGACGAGCTCGCTGCGAAGCTGTGGGAGTGGACCGAAAACGAGCTGCAGGCGTATACCCTCTGATATGTGTTTTGTGTTTTGTGTCTTCTGACATCGGAGTTTTTGGAGTGGCGTGCGGCCTCGTCGCCACTCGACTTAGAGCTAGCACGCATGGGATGTTACGACACGACATGGCGCTGGCGTGTAAGGCGTGGCGGGTGCCGACAATGGGATCCACCGCACAGTATAGATTGAATTGGTCTTTTATCCTTGATAATTACTGCTAAAACCTTGAAGAACGTGCTCCGTCCCGAGTGCGTCTGCTTCGTCTCTTCCTTCTTTTGTTTAATAATAGTGGAATTACCAGCACAGCAGAGACCTTGCCACCGTGCGCGGCCTGCTAGCCGGAGGATACTTCTCCTGTTTCTTTGCGAATTTGTCCTTCAGTTCGGTTTGACACGCACAATCTGGATGCTCAATCGTCAGAGAAAGGCGACACCGCCACAAGAACTGGTTCCCACACCAACATACCCATTCCGCCACTCAGTCAACTACCTGCAGGGGCCAATGGCGTGCAGCGGGCAGTCGGACGAGTGCAGCGGCACGCCGGGCAAGCTCCACGCCGGACCGAACGCCGTGCCCACCGTGCAGTAGTAGTTGCCGACGGTGCACGTGCCGTCGCCTTCGTTCTGCCGCGGAGCAAGCGGCGCGCCGAGGGCACTGGCGGCGAGAGTCAGGAGGGCGGCGGCGAATCCGAGCTTCATGGTGCCGGCCAGTGGACGGGATTGAAAGAGAGACGGTATTGGCTTTGAGAACGAGTTGGGCGACGAGAAAGACGGGATTGATATGAGAGGCGTGGTTAGAATCGGGCCTGGGGAGGGCAGACGTCAGATTCAAATACACCTCACCCAGCGACCAACAACCAGAACCCAACGTCACTCTCTGCAAGGGGCAGCTTCGTCGACCGGGAATTGAATCCTTTAGACCAAACGGCCCGCAGATCGCTTCTCAAAATTGATCAGGCAGACACGAGGCTAAGGTAGCCCTGATCAGCATAAATCCGCCCGGGGTCGTTTATCCGGCCTGCCCGGTTGCGACATGCGCCGCCCGATTCTATCGGAGCAGTACTGCGCCTCACGTATTGCGGCACCCAAAATATTAATTGTTATGCGTGACGCGACGGAGGCTGGCCAAAGCTCGTATTTGCAGGCTGTTGGTTAGCTTCGACTCAGAGGAACACGTGTGGGGCTCGGATGGACGACCAAAACTGGGAAGAGGATGAAGCCAAGGAGGAGCGTGGCATTGTTGCCGGAGTCCGCTACCAAGAAAATGATCCATGGGTGTTGAATACCACTTTCCGGGTGCGGCACGACTTTCTGTGGGCAGGAAGGAAATGACTCGATTGCTTGCAAGTCTAGCTATCTGGGCCACGGCGGAATATACATGTGGAAATGATGGCCTGGACTGGTGGATCCCAGATCCACTTATGCCTGGGCTCGGGCGCATCAGGCCGGAACCCGGCCTGACCCCTCGATCCCAGCCACACTTTCTGCCTCTCCACTGCTGAGGGACATGTTCAAACACAATTTTGGATGACGAGTTGGGGGCAGGATTGGTGAAGGGACGGGGCGCAGTAAAGCTTGCCTTCAAATTGCCTCGTGTAATTCATAGTACGAGTCAATGCATCGCGGCAACGCTGGCGGCTTCGGTTACATTTCCTCATTCTCATGTTGACTTTGGGGGACCGGAAAGGATTGGAAAGCCACCTGGCTCTTCTCCCTTTCTGTGGGTGTAATGGACAGCTTGGAAGAAGTATTAGCAAGTTGTCATTCTGAGTCTTGAAACTCTCAAAAACAACCCTTATTACCACATGAATGGTATAGAACTTATTCGGAACAGAAATATTCCTGTAGCTGGGAAGGGGCCCTCGCCACCGCCAACTCCTCTTCATACCCCATCCCCAGGTACAACGTCTTTGCGCAACCCCCAAACACAAGTTCGAGGGCGGACGAGCGACGAGGATGGGGAAGAGACGAGTCTCACGGAACCAGTTCTCCCGTCTGGGAATGAGGTTCAGCGTCCAGTGTCTGGCTTGGCTCGACCAGAGGCGTTTCTGAAAAGCCAGAACTTGTCATGCATGTTTGAAGAAGCATTTCCAGTATGTGAGACGAGAATGCCACGTCACACTTTGCACATATGGCCTTTAAATTGAAAACCTCAAGCAGTCGGGTGTCTACTGTCTACCCACGGCATGGCTCGTAGCGACAACAGGCTCCAACCCTTCCCCAAGTTAATTAACTTGCCTCCGCCAAAGTCATACCCAAGCTGTTGGTATGAGTTGCTTGAACCAACCAATCGGCCGTGATATCACACTTGATAGATAATCCACTTGCAAGACTGGCCGCGTAGTCTCTAGCCATTTGCAGTGTCTAATTAGCTTCTTGAGGGCTCATCTCTCAGCTGACCGGAGCTCCCGCGCAGACTAAGCTGTATGTGACCGTTGACGCATAGCTTGTACTTCCCTGCATTATCTAGCGCTGTTTATCGGGAAAATTAACCCCGCGTTTCTGTCGAACGACTGAAAGTTCCGACGTGACACCTTGCAGGGATTCCGGAGTGCTAGCCACGCTATCGCACCACGCCGAGTCGAATGCCACCTTGCAATGAGTTTCTAGTTGAAAGGCGGCGTCCATGGAGTTATCCCCGTGTCACCAGAGGCAGATACTTCATGCCGAGACCGGTGTTTGAAGCCTGAGCTTGCATGCGACGGGCTGGCTGAGGGCCTCTGAATGTGAGAGAGGACAGAATGGGTTGGTGGGCGGCAAGTTCGGAGGGTAGTTATTACGCACAACAGAGATCTTTAAATACAACGGCGAGGAGAAGCGTGCTTGATAGTACGTAGACAGAGGCGGGGAATGGGGGAGGGTCGGGACGGGAGAGGTCGGACGGGAAGGGGGGTCGGAAGGGAAGGGGATCGGAACCCGAAGCTATCATTGTTATAGGACGACCGTGCTCTTGCAGCCCGCAGGGTCTAGAGTCTAGGCCGAGGTTGGAATGGATCTGCCACTCCCCGTACACCATCGGAGCCCGGCACGACGTCACACAGCGCATCGTTGATCGCGGATCCGTCGCCGGCCAAAGTGCGAGTTTACGTCGCATCCAGCCAGTTGCGCTCACCTCCGGACTCGTCGACTCGCTCGTTGCGGCTGGGTTTCAGGACCATGGCCTACGGGTATAAAGAGTTGAAGTCGGCGGCAGTTTCGAGAATTGAAGCCAAACTGCTAATCACGAGCTTTTGTCAGTCAAAACCACTCGGACCTTGTTCATATTACCCAGCACACCGCCAGTTCATCTCAGTGTCCCCAACCCAGCTTCGACAAGATGTCGACTCCCCAGGTCGTCCAAGACTTTGTTGATAACATCCTCCCCCAAATCGGAGGCAAGCCGGCGCTTGAAGAAGCCGTCAGGTCGGCCAACGAGCACGCCCGTGGGGTCATGATTGTCGAAACGCCTCCAATCGTCGATGCCGATAGCTACGTCAAGTACATGACAGGCTTTCTCCATTGGGTGCCATGGGAGAATTCCAAGTCGACTGAGGTCTTGAAGAAGCTCTCCGTCTTCTACTATGTGTTAGACCAGCCAGCCCTGGCGCCGTACCAGAACGCCATCTCCCCCGACTCGGAATACAAACCGCTGACCCCGTTGTCGGCGTGGATCGTCGAGTATGCCAAGGCTGTAGGAGCCTTCATGGCCACCCCGGAATCACTGACACCGCAAAAGTTTGACACGTTCAAACGGGCCCGGCTCTTTCGGGTCTGGGAGTGCGTGAGTCCGGATGGCTCCGCGTTCCATTGCTTCAATGACTTCTTCTCGCGCAAGCTCGCCAAGCCCCGCATCGTCGCCGGCCCCGGCGACAACCATACGCCTGTGTACCCGGCAGACTCGCTGTGGGCCGACAGCTTCGACGTCGACGACGACTCCAACACGTGGGTCCCCGCCGACACGCTGGCCAATCACGACCCCGGCAAGATCACGGCCAAGGGGTGGACGTGGAGCATCCAGGCGCTGCTGCAGGACAGCCCGTACGCGACGGCGTTCGGCGGCGGCGTCTGGCTGCACTCGTTCCTCAGCACGTTCAACTACCACCGCTTCCACGCGCCCGTCTCGGGCACTGTGGTCGACAGCCGCGTCATCCAGAACGCCGCCTACCTCGACGTCATCGCCACGGGCAACACGCTCGTCCCGCGCCGCAGGATCCACAAGGACGTCGGAGGCGCTGCACGTGCACCATACAGCCTTCCGGACGTGGGCGCCGAGATTGACGCCGAGGACCAGTCGGGCTACCAGTTCCTGCAGACGCGCGGCTGTGTTGTCATCGACACGACCGGCAGCCCCGACGGCGACATTGGTCTCGTCGCCGGTACGTACATGTCACCGCGATCCGCGGAATGCTGCTAACCCTTTCAACCCGGATGATTAGTGCTCCCCATCGGCATGGCCCAGGTGTCGTCGGTCAACCTGACGGTCAAGCCGGGCGACAGCATCAAGAAAGGCGACGAATTCGGCTTCTTCCTGTTTGGCGGCTCCGACATCGTGACCGTCTTCCAGGCAAAGGCCGGCTTCTCGGCGGCGGACCCCAATACCTTCAACAAGGAGACTTCGGTCGACGAGGAGGGGAATGAATTGCCGTACACCTTCTACGGCACTTCGTTTGTCAATAAGGCCTAATCTCCAAATTAGACTCTTAAGGTTTGGATTTTGTTGAGATGATTGATGATTTTCATTGCCGAGGAGGCGAGTTCTGTTGAGCAGAGGTTGAGTAAGCGATCAAAGTCGGTCAACAAGTTGGAAAACAACACCCGAAAGAGAAAAAAACACGTCTTTTAGTGGTAGTCCAAACATGCCTGTATTTGTTCATCTCAACTTACCGTGCATCTCCCACATTTGCCTCTGATCACGTAACTCAACCAGGAAGGAGCTCCGAAGTGCAGGCAGACTGTTTTAGATCGAGGAGTGATTCCCCGCTCCTCGAACCTCGACACTTCTCCATCTGCACACCTAACCCTGCCGCGTACCTTCCACATGTAATTACGCAGTCCAAAAGAAGTGTGGAGCAGGCTCACCCCAACTTCCCGGCAAGCCCGCAGCCAAACCCACATAAAGTCTCGAGCAATCTAGCTGCTTCCCATCAACAGCTCAGACCAACGGGAATCTCGATCCAGCGTCAGTGGTTTAGTGGTAAAATCCATCGTTGCCATTCCTTCCGAGCAGTGAAGTCGATGGGCCCCGCGTTCGATTCGCGGCTGACGCATTCCTTTTTGGCCGCCCATCTTCTCTCTCTCGGTTGTTTTTCTTTTCTTGCGAGTTGTTTACAACAATAATAGGTATCCCATTGAGGACTAGAAGAAATACTTAACAAACGGCGACTCCGTGTCTCCGCGCGCGAGGGCCGCCGCGCGCTGCTGCATCCACTCGAGCCGGTTGTCCTTGACGACGAGCTCCTTCTTCCTGCGCTCCAGCTCCGCCCGAAGGCCCGTCACCTCGTCGACCAGCCGCGCGAGCGTCTTCGCGTCCGGCTGTCCCTTTTCCGGCTGTCCCTGTCCCGGTTTCTCCTTCTCCAGCAACGTTTGCAGCTGCTCGGGCAGCGGGTCCCCGGTGCTGCCGGCCGAGGCCCGCGGCGTGTCGTTTGCAGACGAGTCGCTCTCACTATCTCCGCGGCTCGCAGTCCGCGCCAGCGCCAGGCCCAGCTGCCGGCGGGCCTCGTCGAGGTCGTGCTGCATCTGCGAGATGCGCAGCGTGTGCTGGTACTCGAGCCCCTGCAGCTGCTCCTCGAGCGCGCGCGCGCGCGCAATCTGCGTCTCGAGCGTCGCCTCCTGGATGCGGATCGTGTCTTGCTGCGTCTGGATCGTGTTGCCCTGCGACCGGATCGTGTCTTGCTGCGTGCGCTCCGTCGCCAGCTGCACCGCCCGCTGCGCCGCCTGGGACGCCCGTTGCGTCTGCATCGTTGCTTGGAGTGCCGTCCGCTGCTGGTGCAGCGACTGCGCCGACGCCCGGAGCTCGGCCGCGTGCGCCTTTTTCAGGTCTTGCAGCTCGGCCTCGAGCGCCTTCTCCTTTTTCGTCGGCCCGCCGAAAAGCGGCAGCGAGAGCAGGCTCGGCCCGCCACCCAGCTTGTTGTTGGCGTTTGGGCTCATTGTGTGCTGTGTCGTGTTCTGGAGCTCGGATGTGTTCTGGAGCTCGGATGTGTTCTGGAGCTCGGACGTGTTGATGATCAATCTCTGGGCTGCTGCTTTTCATGACACTTCTCGCTGAACGATCGACAGAGGTGGTGAGGTCTCGGTCTGTCCAACAGCGCGCGTGCACGTGGCTGTCCATACACACCCCCAAGGCGTTCATGTAGGTCCCGCCACACGCTTGCCTATTGGGGTGAATGGAATTTCGGGCTTCCTCGGCGAGACGACTCAGAGCCTTACGGGCATTTTTTGGTGTCCCCCACCCTTTTAGCACCCCAAGTGAACGAAAACAAGGCGGCTTCGTCCAGCAAGATAAAAACGCCAAGCCCTCCGCCCTGCCTGGATTTGGTTCCAGTCACGTCGGCGAATCGCCACGTTCGTGCTAAATGTGGCGGGGAAGCTTGGCCCCTACCGGACACCCACAGGGTTGATTTGCCTCAGCCCTGGCAAGCTTTGGCAGTGTCGTCCCTCGCTGCACCAGCAGTGCACACCGTGCGCGTCTCATCGGGGATCGATGCCGAGGCGGTAGTCGGTACAAGCTCAGGCGTTTTGTTGATGCCTTACCGACGTCGAGACCCAGGCATCTACGGCGGGCAGCAATGCCGGAGCTAAGACTGTCCAAGTATCGCTTCACACCGTCACCGGTGATGGCATCAAGCTAGGGTTTCCGGCCGAGACCTAATTAATCGGTTCGCATCGGTCCATGTGTCTTGTTTCCCGGCGGTAACATTCTAGATAGCAATTGCCAGACAGATTGCTACAGACTTGAATGGGAGTTTCTTTCTTCGCTGTTGTCTTCTCGACCTTCGTTTTTGTCTTCTCGAAATTGGCGACGAGGCCCGATCGTAGGACGCGGTCCAGACTCGGGTCGATTGTATGAAGGGCGGCAAGGATTGCCCGAGGAAAGCAAGGTCAATAAGAGTCGACGGCCCATTGTCCTCCCCTATTTGCTAAATTTCGGACAAGAGACTTCTTCCCAGCGTACAACTCATGCACATAATACGCGGCAGCATGACAGTGATCTCAAGACACGGCTCGCGCAGGTGGATATGTGCGTCGAGTATGGCTGTTCGTGCTGTGACTTTGATCGTGCTATGGAAATGAGCTGTTCTCGCGCCGCTGCACGTGCGGCCACCGCTGGCGCCAGCACCAGGTTACCGGCGAGCGGCGCTGGGTGGTGGAACTGTTGGTTGCCAAGGCGGCTGAGGAGCTTGTTGGTGAGGGTGTTGGCTCGAGTAGTAGTAATGAGGGTGAGGATGAGGATGAGGACGGTGGTGACGACGACGACGACGACAGCGACGACGACGATGACGACGACGACGATAAGTACTACACGCGGTGCGACGTGACGCCGTCCTCGGTGCGGGTGGACTCAGACTGGGGCGATCTCGACGACGCATGAGTTGGGTGACGGGTTAGAGCAATTGACGGACTGGTTTACCTACCTTTGCGGCAACATACTGATGGTTCTGACGAAAGTCTTCGCATATGAATGAGAGGGGCTCTCTTTTGCAAATTAGTTTGTAACCAACACAAGATAAAGTCTTAAGCGCAGTCAGGATCACAATGGCATACCACACGACTGAACAGGTCGAAAGAATCCACCATTTTCCTAACGACAAGGGCGCTACTGTCTCATGAATGAATTAAGGGATGGTTTAGGCGGTGTCTTGCTTGTTCTTTACAGACTTGGTCATTATGGCATCGTCATTGAACTCAAAGTTAAAGTCTTGTGATTTGGAAACAGCCTCCCCTTGACTGACAACAGCGTCATCAAGTCAACTAGCCCAACAGAGGAATACCTAGGGTGAAACACAAAGCTGCCTTGGCTGGGGGGCCTTGCGCTATAGTTCCCCTGTGGAGCTGGCCACTGCAGATCTGGGAGCCTTAAGCTATTTAATGCTGAGAATCGCACACTCACTAGGGACGACTCACCCTCGACGAGGCTCTGGCCAAGAAGCTCCCAAACGCGCGAAAACACACCGCGCATAAGATGGCAGGCCCATGCAGATGGAATTTGGCCTTGGCGCAGGATCATTGGCTCAAAACATTTGTCCGGACGACCTTGTGCCCCGCGTTTGTTCATACAGACTCGACCCGCAGACAGCCAGAAGAGAGAAAAGGAAAGGAAACTCGGCACCCGGCAAGCTGGCCCTTCCGATGCAACACGAGCCTGCACCCCGTATTATCCCCGTCGCTCCGCCCCGCCGTGCAACCGCCACACAATCTCGATGGTGCTATTCTAACATCCGGGGACGTAGGTTAGCGATCTGTGCGTCACTTGTGGAGAATAAGGGGAAGCTCACATTGCCGATATTGTAGTCCATTAGCGTCCGGTCTGCAACAGGGTACGACAACGTCAGCACCAAGCCAGTCTATTGCTCAGAGAAAAAACTCACGGTTCTCCAGCGTCTTGCCGCCCCAGATGAAGCGGATCGTGTCGTTATTCTCCGTGTCTTTCTCGGCCGCCAGCTTCGCCTTGACGGCGGCAATGGTCATGGTGATGGGCAGGTCCTCGAGCGTCATGGAGCGGCCCTCGATGTTACGGAAGAAGACCGTCTTGAGCACGATCCCCGATGCGCCGGCCGCCGCCGCCGGGGTTGGCCGAGCGGGCTGTTGCGGCTGCTGCAGCGGTGGCTTCTCGGCGAGAGGGCCCTTGACGTCCCGGGACGGATCGTAGGGCGGCGGCGGCTCGACGCTGCGCACGAAGAAGATGGTGTCGCCCTACGGTGCGGTAATAAATCAAGGTCAGAATGAAAGAGCTATCAGGACTGTCGATAGGCGGGGGGATTTGATGTCTTTCTCGTTACATTTTGGACCTTGTGAAACGAGAGCTGCTTGCTGTCTTTTTCCGGTTAGCGATGGTCGGAGGTTGGCAGCGCAAGGCTCCGTGATCTGCAGCACTCACTGTCCTCGAGCACCTCGCCCACAAACACCACCATGACCGAGTCCCACTCGGTCGCTTCGCCCATCATCCTCGCGATGGCCATCTTGAGGTCCTTGACCGTGTTTGTGACGGGGAAGTGGCTGAGCAGCTGGGGCTCGCTCGAGTCCGAGTTAATCTCCTCGATCATGAGGTACGTCTTCTCTGCCGAAGCCGAAGACATGTCGGAGGCGGCCATGATGATAGCCAGTGAGTAAATCGGATGAGATGCGACAAACAATATGGACGCAAGATTGAGAAAACAGCAAAAACGCAAGAAAGTGAGAAGGAGAACGAAAAGGACATCGAGCTCACCATTTAGTAGGACGATATGTAATTATGTATTTCTGAGCAATTTCCATCCAGAGTCAGTCGCGCGCCCCCCACGTCGGACGGGGTGCCTGAATACGCCTCGACGAGGCTCGCAAAAGCGACAACTCAATTCCCCTAGGTATCAAGTTGCCACGCTTAGCGCCAAAAACGTGGCAGTCGTTAGCAGGTTTGCCAGGCGCCTTTCAGCGGCGCTGCCCGGGCGGGCTCCCGACTGGCGTGCACTGCCCCTTTCTAGGTTCCTCCCCGTCACTCAATCAATCCACGCCACTCGTAGCGGCCTGGCCGAGTTTCAGTCCCACTGAACGACAAATTGGCTTTTTTCATGGCAGTCTCGATTCCCCAAATCTCATAACCGTTTCTTCCACATGCACCGAGCCAATTAACATGGGCCAAAAGATGTCGGCGGCCGACCGAGCAAGCGGCTCCCCGTCGTCCTCCGGGACCGACTCCGCCGAGCAAGACGACTTCGAGCCGTGGAAGATCTGCTGGGAGGTCAACTTGGCCTTCTACGAGGTGGCCAGCGGGCCGCAGACGTGCCTCGTATGCTGGAAGACCAACGACTACGGCGGCGGCGTGTACCGGTCGACGCTGTGGATGTCGGTGCGGTGCTGGAGCGGCCACGGCCAGGGCAACTTTGACGCCTGCGAGCCCGGCGCCGCCCCCGGCATCTGCGCCCGCTGCGACCAAGACTACCTGCTCGACGTGCTCAAGGGCAAGCACGCCTGCCGCCGGAAGGGCTGTCGCCGCCTGGTGCGCGTCAACGAGGGCATGGTCCGGAAGAGGCTCGCCAGCGCGCCGGCAGAGACGCTAAAGTGAGCGAGGTACCGCTGCAGGTTTCGAGATATAGACTGACACTGGCCGCAGCAGCTTCTCGGCACTGGTAGAACGGAGCAAGGTGTTCGAGTGCATGGTGCACTGCGACGAGGTAGCGTGCAGCGACGACGGGCCGCCGGCGCCGACGTGCGCCCACGACCAGAACGTGTGCGACGACTGCGTCCGGACCGAGTTCGAGGGCAAGATCCGGGCCAACCGCCTCAAGGACCTCAAGTGCCTCGACCCGGACTGCCGGAAGGAGGTGCCCAGCAAGCGGGTCCGCGAGCTGGTCGGGCCCGAGGCGCGCAAGATGTGAGTACTGTCCCAGTCCGAGAATCGCCTCAGATGTCCGCGGTCTGCATGCTGACTACACCTCACAGCTACGACAAGAAACTCGCCCTGACTTCCATCTCCAAGAACCCCAAGTTCCGCTGGTGCAAGTGCGGCAGCGGGCAGATCCACGCCCCTGGCGAAACATCCCCAGAATGGAAGTGCCTCAACTGCCCGCGGCAGAACTGCTACGTGTGCAACGACATCGACATCACGACATGCGCGCACCTGCGAGCGGTCAACGCGGCGCGCAAGCACCAGCAAGAACAGCAGCGGCGGGCGGCGCGGGCGGCACTCGAGAAGAAGCAGGCCGAGGAGCGCGAGAACACGGCGGCGACGCGCGAGCACCTGGCGCGCACGTCCAAGCTGTGTCCCAAGAAGGACTGCGGGCTGCGTATCGCGCGCGCCGCCGGCTGCGGCCACATGACGTGCCGCGGCTGCAGCACCGAGTTCTGCTGGGTGTGCAAGGTGATTTGGAAGAACCGGGTCCCGCTGCACCTCGACACGTGCTCGCTGGCCGCGACCAAGAAGACGACGCTGGCGGCGCTCGACAAGTCCGACTATGCCAAGGGCTGGCAGGACGACAGCCGGTACGATGATTCGGCGGACGAGGGGATATGGCTGTTGGACGGGCATCGGTAGGTAGCGTAGGTAGGTCGATGACAGAAATATAATGCAAGCCAAAGAGTTACAAACCTTTCACACACTTCCAGCCGCCAATACCAAGTTACTATCCGGGGTATGCTGTTGTCCAGAGCATCCGCATTAGCGTACACGATCTGGGAAGAGGGCATAGACGTGGAGTGACAATTTCGGTCCACGTTTAGTTGACATTCTTCATTTTCAGAGCTTCCAGGGGCCACAGAGCACCGCCAACTTGTCTAGACCAGTTTTAGTGGTCACGACCTGAGTAGCGCCTGAATAAAGCGGCGAGGGGTGGTGTGGTCGACTAGGGGCTGGTGAGAACAATCGATGCGAAAAGCAACAAAAATTACGCGAGGAAGAACTTGGCGCGGTTTTTAATGAAGGGTGTAGGCCGCTGCCCACTGTAATAAAATTGCAACGAGGAAGGGTGCGCGGTTTTCGACGAGCAGTGGGCAGCGAGCGGCTCACATAATGCACACCGCGCACTCTTTGCTGAATGAAAACGTCTTCTTCTAGCATCCCGGCCAGACAGAGTCAGCGCTTTCGAGGCTCTCCTCACCAAGGGTGTTGACAGGAGTCCAAAAATAAGAATAACTGGACGCCACTGACATGTGCCGCCGAGAACGGGCACAGCTTCAATTGACTCTGCTGAGGTAACGGGGTGTTCCGCTAGACACTGAGGTGGGCCTCGGTGTCCACTTCAGCTTCTCCGCACGAACCAATGATATACACCATCCCCACCACCACGCCAATAGCACAAAATCCAACACCGACTGAGCTTCCTTTCAGCACACATTTCTAGACCGGAGCGCGCGGCTAGAAAATTCGCACATAGCCGCAAGCCTTGAGGAATCTAACCGAGCTGTCATTGGTCAGATCGGTCGAAAATCTCCGGTAACGCGGCTATGGTTGTAGACCGTGCGACCCCATCAAAACGCAAAACAGTGGGGAATTGGTCAGCACCTAGGCCACCGTACGGCACGTACATGATGCGCGTGCGCATCTTTCACGTGGCCCCGCGAGCCCCGGACACCCGCAAAACCACCCACTTCCTGTCCGGTAATTCGTGATCCTTTTACATAGTCAACATAGAACATAGAAGAATACAACCACCAACCCCCCTCCGCCTTTCTCAACAGCTACTATATAGTAACTAGTGCGAATGACCTCGTCATTCTAACAATCTGAGCTTGGCGGGCAATTGTTGATTCGTGTCGCACGGACCTGGCCTTCATGCCTGCATTACGCGCCATTGAAGCCATTCCTGGCCAAGAATTCCACCTCCCTCTTTCTATCCCTAGATTCGGACCTCCGGATCAGGCTACCTGGAGACCGGGAGCGGGCGATGACATGACCTAAGCTGTCTCCAAGATAGCGTAGCTCCTACTCGTTTTTAAGTAGGCTAAGCCATATTTACCTAGCGCATCACAGGCGCGATCCGAAACCAACAACCCCCAGGGGTTGCTGAATACGCCACTAAGAATGACGAACTGGGTACCCCAACAACCCCAATCTGCGACACTCACGCCCCGGCGGCACATCAGCCCTGCGCCTCCCCAATTTTTTGTTAGACCTTAATCCCATCTAGGCATTAATTTTCAGAGTCTCCACAAAGCCCACCGGGAAGCGCAACAAATCGCCTTATGCAGATCTTCTTACCTGTCCTTCGGGAGCTTGAGCTAATCGGGGCCTGTAGCGAGCGTCTTGGTAAGAATTAACTACCCACTGACGTGAGTCACATTGTCAATGGGGATTGTCGCACATCATAACGACTCAGCTTAATCTAGAACACTATGTTGACTTAGCAACTCTTGCTAACATGAGCAGAGGTTATCTTGGAACTGGGACTCGCGGGAACACTAAATTTAGACGGGGGCACATTCTGCGGCACCGGCTCTAGGGCCGGCGGAATGGCCAATATGAGGCGCGACTGCGCCGGCTTCTAGAGGCACTGGATGCAAATGGCACGCAAGCCTGTTTATTCTACCGGGCGTCGTTACGGCACGCATGTGTAGGATTCGTCACACCATTGAAAGCCGTCCGGACGGTAATGACTCGGTGCTTGGCCGCTAGGCTCAATATCCACACAATGTTTCAGTTCAAAACACTTCTCTACCTCAGGTCTCCACTTTCGATAGAGTCGGAAGACAAATATAGAAGCAGACAACGTAAGGCCTTTCAAGCCGACCTCGTGGGAAAGACACATGAAACAGGCACAGGGCTGCATCCCGAAACCCAGCGCCGTGTGGGTTGGGAACCGAGGAAGGCGAGAGTCTAACTGGCCGTGAAACCGCCTGCATTGTTGGCTCACAAGATGCTCACCGCCGCCCTTGCCCGAGTGTTGGCTGAAGCTCGCCACCAACCGAAACAGCCTTAGCATGTGGATTGCAGTTGAGTGGACTTATGCGGTAGAAGGATAGCTTTATGTAATCAAGTTAGTATATTAAGTACTAGATGACACCCACCCAACCTCACCAGCCATCTCACCAGCCTTGCTTCATCTTGAATAGCGCAATCCCATCTATCTGTCAGTCTGAGCATTCACCACAGTCCACTGCCACGAACACACTTTCGTCAACGCCGATACCAGCACCAAACCCGTCAATATGGCTAGCCCAGGGCTCTCGCAGGAAGATAAGGACTTCCGTGACGCTTTCAACAAGATCTACGACCATGCGAAAAGTCAAATGGACAAATATGCCCTTCCTAACGAAGTCCAGCGCAAAACGAAAGAGCTCCTGCAAGCTAGGTTCCAAGATGAAGCCGTCATCAAGGCCCAGACTCCACTTATAGTCAAGGGTTACGTCGCTTCAGGTGACTACAAGGCCGCGACGGCCAAGCTGATGAAGCTATATGTCTCGCCACCTACTAGCGAATCCGGCGGGTCGAGCAGCGGCCTGTCCGACACAAGCGCAACGGCCGAATTCACGTTCAAGTACCGCGACCTGCCCGAGTTTCAAGGCAATGCGGCCGTCGCGGCCTATATTCTCCAGAAAGAACTGAACATTCTCGGATCCAGCTACGGTAACGACCTCGTCAAGGAAACCGTAAGGATTATGAAGCACGACGCCAAGCCCAAGTCCCCGCCCTCCACCGTTGCCAAGGGCGAAGCCGCCGCCGAATGGGTACACAAGAACGATACAGAGTACAAGGCCCACGTCGAGAACTCCTATAAACAGGCGGTGGTCAACCTCAAGAACCAAGGGACCCAAATCGGCGAAAGGCATCTAGCTGCCTTTGGCGGCCTGGGAGACTTGGGGACCCTGAAGAAGTAAGCTGTAATGGGGGCGAAGCGAGCCGGCGCTGGCCTGCTGCGCTCGTGAAGCGAACCACGGGGGAATATCTGATAAATTAGTTCCTAGATAAAAGAGCCGAGGCAGGACCTTCTCCTCTCGGGCACTGGCTGCCAAGAATATAATTTTCAGTTTCGCTTGCCATGAAGCTATTGGTACCGTGGATCCAAGACATGGTTCACCGGACATGCGCCGCCTCTTGTTTGCAACCAAGTTCTTTGCCAAGAGCTTGGTCTGTTTGTGACGTTCCTGTTGACTCATCCACCTTGTTCCGCTGTTATGCCCCAGTAGATTTCTGTTACGCTCAAAGCAGTCAAGAGAAGTGGTCAAAAGCGTTTCATGGAAGAAAGAAGTGCGGGAAGCCCTTCTTCATATAGGAGTACTTCACCTCCAAGCGCTACTACGACTCGGGCGAGATCCCGGGTCGGCGAGATCTACCACCCCTGGAGCAGCTGGAAGATTGCTGCCTCGACCAATCTCATTGACAGCACCAGCAAGGGTCTAGGCCAGCGCGTCGAGGAGCTGCTCGAAAAGCTCAACCTAGGAATCAAATCCTTTTGCGCGGCACTCCTCCACGTATCCGATCTCAGTATTGGCGACGACAGTGAGAAGGTCGAACACTATGTTCGTATCACGCTATCGGCCACCTTCTCAGGTTTTCACTTGATCTTTTCCATCCTTTTTGGGACGCGCGATGGAGAGATGGGACTGGGATATTCCAGGCCGCTGCTACAACGCTTATCTCATCCCCCAGGGCACCGCTTCCCACCCCTACGTCGACAAGATTTACCGTGGCCTCACCTGTTTTTACCTGCAATTCATTCTTTTCGTCTGCCTCCTCAGTGTAGCTATTAGTACCAGAGCCAAAGACACGAGGCACGATCCGACAACTCTTCCGAAATTCACCCGGGGCACGGCGGCCTCGGCCCTAGGATGATCATAGTAGCGGCACTGTACCAGTATCCACTCCACCTGTACTCGTTCGTGGCGCTGCGGATTTCCAACTAAGATATTTTGGAGGGAGAATCGGAGAACAACTGGGGCTTTGGGCAGGTCATGGCTCTGGGGCTTGCCGTTAATACTTTCATTAAGGGGCGGGACTGCAACACATGAAGATATCCCAATGTCGTTCCCGCCGCTAACTACGATGGTCAATAGAGGTTGCCGAGGCTTTTAGGTGCTGTAACGAGTTATTGGGTTCAAACCCGGCACCACTATCGAGGTCCCGACTCCAGATCGGGACTCTCGGGTGACCCCATTTCACCCTTATACTAGCAAAGCCGTCTCCGAGGAAGATAGTGCCATTCATCAATGGCGGCGACTCAATTTCCCTGCACGACTATTGAGGTATTCTTTCCTCACGGAGCTGATCAGCCCACCACATCCCAATACATGCGTTGGCTTCCACATTTCTCTTGCTGAAACCTCGAGAATTGTGACTGCCGACTCGGATTAACTTGGGTGGCAGGACACTCATGGTAACGAATACGAGGTTTAGCAGGACGAATACGGGGTTTAGCAGGACGAATACGAGATTTAGCAGGACATGCAGTCATTATCCACGTCTCTCAACGGCCATTTCCACTTCTCTACTGCTGGCTAATTAGTTGATGGCTCCCCTGCGAAAGAATGAGAGCCGTTGAGTTATGTTAACATTAATGAGAGGACAGAGTAACTGCATCTAAAGATTATAAGCTGGCAAGAGTATTATTTCCAGCTCATGTTCCCATAAGTAACTGTCGTCGTGCGTGAAGTCGTCGCCCCCAGGCAATAATATGCATCCGTACGCCAAACCAGAACGAACAATATCCCATTCCCGCGAGAAACATTAAATCCGTCTACGATGCGTCATTCTCAAGCACAAGTAGTCGGCGACCCCCCTGCAGGTGGGTACTGGGGCAATCCCGTGGCGCAGGCGCAGTACGGTCTGCTGAGGGCCGTCTCCGTGCTGCAGTAGCTGGGCGTGGTGACGGTCATGCAGTACTCGTTGGTGCTCCAGCTGGTGGTCATGCCGGGCGCGCAGTCGGTGGAGGGCATGCACCAGGGGCCGCCCGTGTAGGGCGGGGTCTGGGGCCAGCTATACCACAAGTCGTCTGCGCACTTGCAGTTGACCATGGAGATGACGGTGTTGACGCCACCGGCCAGCGTGCCCGAGAAGAGCGTCGTGGTCAGGTAAGGGGTCTGGCCGCCGCCCGGCGCGCACGTCGTGGTGATCCAGTCCGCGTCGACCGGGAAGCACGTCTGCCCCACCTCGCAGTGCCCATACTGAATACTGCTCGGGAAGTAGCCCGTCTGGCACGTAAGTGGCGGCGGGTCGCTGTGGCAGTACGAGATGGGGAATCCGTAGGTGCATTCTCTGGTGTAGAGGACGGTCGAGCCATCTGTGCATGTGAGCCCGGGAGCGGTCGTAATGGCACTCGGCGGAGGCGTGACTGATGTGATGGAGGTGATGGTCGAGGACGCCGGCACCGTATTTTGCGGATAGGCCGCAGCCACGCCTAAGAGGGCGGCGGCGAGCAAGATTCTGGAGAGCATGATGGTGGTGGCGGTGATGGTAGTGGTGGTAGTAGTGGCGGTGGTGGTGGTGGTGGCGATGGTGTATTTAGGGGTGAAAAGGTGTCGTGTGTGCCAATGGGACGAAATCGCGTCGAAGAAGGGAGGGTGCTTACACAGTAACTTATAAAACAAACTGCTGAATAAGTGACGTCATTCTACAGGGTCGCATTAGATCGAGTTGTATCCCTGCCTGTCGGTCCACCTTGGATAGTTGTGCGCTGATACGAGGCATGATGGATGGAAAGTCGCTCGCTGACGAGAGCCCGGATCCTTCTGCCTGGGCTGCGCCCCGTTCTAGCGGGGAATACGAAGGGCAGGTCCGCAAATGTAATTCGAACCCCAAAAATGGCTACTGTGTATGTGGAGAACCGGGCCACTTTTTCAACTCGTTTCTAACATGATCGGCTGCGGTTACTCGGCAAAATGCTGCTTACCCAACCTCGGTTTGCAACGTTGCGCATGGCGGAGCAGAGGGCTATTTACGAATTATTGTTGTGTAATAACTGCATTAGGGCTTTTCGTTCCTCACATCAGTATCTGAGATACCTTACCCTCTCTGTCGTGCCCTCCTGGCGCGATCGAGCTCCCCACCAACTCTGCCAATGCGACTTCTAGGGGCTTTACCGAGCATTGCTTATAGGGCGCGCTTGGTGTGTTGCTACGTATCAGAGAAGGAATAGATTATAGAACTAGTTTCTAATGAAAGTACAAACAGACTGCTAGATGCTCTGGGTCCCGCCCTGATTGGCATCTATATTCCTCAAACTTGCCGTCGCCTCATCCAAATCTAACCACTCTCCATGTTGTCAAACCAGACTCCCACCCCTAGGTAATTATCCTGAGCATCCCAATCCCCTACACAGCTAGGGTGTTGATATTCTTGTGTGCATGAGACAAATTCTGCCCCGGGTTCGGCCGTGCCCCTGGTCTTCTGGCCGTCGCCCGGAATTTCGACATCCAAGCTCTGTTGCACCCCCATCGCCACGCCGCGACTTTCTGTCTGCGAATCAAGCCTTTCCGGACGTGACGAGGGAGGATCTTCAGCCGTCAACCTAGTCTTGCTTGCGTCCGGGTTCGAGGCCCAGATATACCCTGAACGATACCGGAGAGAGGCCTTGAGTTCATCATCAGACTCGGTCCAACCGCCATGCGACTTGAGGAACCCGGCCGTCGCCCTTCGGCCCCTCTGCTCCGCCAGGAAGACAGCCTCAACAAACCGGGTTCTATCGGAGCCATGAACATTTGCCCCTCTGTCAAGTAATAGGTGCAACATGTCAATACGGCCGTGCTCGGCTGCACCCATGAGAGCGGTTCTTCCCCCCCGTTCTGCCTTTGGCGCATTGACGTCGGCCCCGGCGTCAAGTAACCGAGTGGCAATGCTTAGATAGCCTCGGGTTGCGGCAAACTGCAGCGCTGTTGCTCCTCGACTGGGGGCTGGCGGGCCGTTGACGTCGGCGCCCCTTTTCAGGAGCAAGTCAACCAGTTCCAAGTGGCCGACATCTGCGGCGGCTTGCAAAGCCGTTTTCCCAGCGGCAATTGCGCTCTTGTTAACATCGGCTCCGGAGCTAAGCAAAGTGTTGACCAAGGGGACCTCCTTCACGGCCACAGCTGCAGCCAAAGCCGAAATATGTCCCCCAAAGGGCTCATCGAACGATGCTCCGGCGTCTAACAGATGCTGGACGAGATAAAGTTCGCCGTTACGCATTCGAGCAATTGCGACGGTCAGAGCAAGACCAGCTGATCTGGGCTCCCAATTCAATTCCACAAGCAGATTGTTCAATGGGCGGATCTTTGCGTGTTCTGCGGCAAGGATAGCTGCTTCCTTTATTTTCAAACGCCACTCACGGCCGTCCTTGGAGGCAATTGACGGCCCCGCAACCACGGGCGTATGTCCCACTCGCCCTTCAATCGCCGAGGAGGCTCGAAACAGGGCCTTGCGAATATCTTGAGACCCTTCAAGAGTGGCTGTCAAGAATACTTCCTTGGTCAGAGGAGCTCCGTGCTCGATCAGAGTTTCGACTAATTCAAGGTCTGCTCCTTTTCGTATGGCCGTGTCCAAGTATGAGTGTCCAATCCAGTTGGTCGGGTCTTCTGATAAGTCGACATCCCGGCTCAGAATGTTTTTGACGAGCTTCTGGTCTCCGTGTTCAATCGCGTGGTCCAAAACCGAGGGTAGACGCTTGCTGATAACTTCAGACATCATGCCAGTCCCCTCCAAGAACGTGGCCATCTCGTCACCGGGAATTCGCTCCAGGTCGCCAAGCTCTCTAGCTCCAGCATCGTAAAGCATCCGCACTATTTCCACAGATCCAAGTTCGATGGCAGCTCCCAAGGCAGTCGTCCTCATTTTGGTACAGCGCACCCGGTACATACCATCTCTTTTCTTCCTGGTCACAAAACAGTTGACTGGTGCTCCACGATGAAGTAGAAGCGAGATGAGGCCAGAATTGCCTGTCATGGTAGCCCCGAGTAACGCATGATCGAGACGAGCACCCTTGTCTATGAGCTTTTTGTACACATTGACTGTGCTCTCGTCATGGTCGCAGTGACTCTGAAGCCGGTTCAGGGTCAATCTCCCAAGCAGTGTTGCTGGCGCACATGGCAATGCAAGGCTATTGGCTTCCGCGCTAGCCAAATCCGCGTCGGCATCCAGAAGCATTATGATCGATTCGCTTTTGCCTGCATGGCATGCAATCGCCAATGGACATATATCAATCTCCAGTTCCCGAGAACGTGTTTCCCTGGCAGCTGGTATCGGGCTGTTGATAGCTGCACCAGCTTCGTGTGTGAGAAACTGGGCCACCTCGAATTTGCCATGTCCAATGGCCAGACCAAGAGCTGTTGTGTTCAGGGTGTGGCGCTGATGGCGGCAAATCCGATTAGTGCCTGAGAAGAACATGGCACAGTCCAAAGACTGTTTGGCATTCACCTCGGCCCCCCTTTCCATCAGGAGCCGTGCTATTCTCACGTTTCCCATTTTGGCCGCCACCCCAATCGGCGTTGCATTGTAAACGGCGGTCCCGTAGTCCAGTTGGGTCTCGCCGAGGAGCCGGAAGTTGACATCTGCACCGGCGTCCAGCAGCTGCTGGAGGAGCGCATCAAAGCCATTTTCGATAGCGGAGATGGTGGCATGTTGGCAGGGGTAGGCTCCAGCGTTCACGAGCACGCCGACAACTTCGAGGTGACCTTTCTGGGTTGCCATGCTCAAGAGGCATTGCTCTCCCGGACAGGGTTGGGCTCGAAGAGGCTTCGCCCCGTATTCAAGAAGCAACCGAGTCGTCCCTAGAGACTTTCGCCGGTCAGTAATGCCTACGGCAAATTGAAGCGGTGTCAATAGGGTGTCGTCATTTCCCGAGTGGATAACCATGTCGAGATCAACGCCAGTCTCCAGAATGATTCGCAAAAGGTCCAGGCGCCCAGACCTGAGGATGCTGGCAAAACAATGCTCTTTGATTGCCTCGGTGGTGTGGCTCTCGGTCGACAATAGACTGTTGATCTGCTCAAACCCCGCCGATCTCAGTCGCTCTATCATGCCGACCACATGTGCGTCATGTAGACGAACGTCCCTTGCTGACACGCCATCACGTTCCATAACGGTGAAGTTGTTTGACAGAAGGAAGAACTGAGTCAGAAAGGTCCTGGGGACCTCGGGCAGAGGCCGTAGTTGAATCGCGTCGGGCATTATCTGCTGGGGAGTCGGGAAGGTCATGGGATACGAGGGGACCTGAATCATGGTCGAGGATCTCATGAGCGAATGCATAGAAGACCCGGACAGTTGTTGGCTGAGTGGTGCAAGATCGGAGGCTTGGGGTGGTTTGGCTTCCAAAGACAATCCTGTAAACCCGCATTTTAGTGATTCCAAGATCTGAGGTTACCAAAAGAATGCAGATGAGGTCGATAGGTACCTTGAAATCCGGAAGACCACATAAGCCCGATAAACCGCGACCAGGGGCTTTCATTATTCCACGACAGATGCTGCTGTAGAGGACTGGGGCTGCATACGACAATCCCTTCGGGCGTCTTGGGGGAGGGCAAGTCTGTGGTGGATTATAGTCAGCACATGTAAATGGGCCCTAGTTGGGACAGAAATCAGGGACTAGTCACCTGTGTCGATGGTAAACTTTTTACCAAGCGTGAGGGCCGTATGTCGGGGGATTTCTCTTTGTAATTTCTCCGCAGCGAGTCGGACGCCCTTTTCGTAGACACTGCTTTCCTTCCCCAGTTTCTTTCTCTTTTCGACCTTGTAAGCCACAACATCCCAAGTCTGCTTGCCCATGGTGTTCTTCTGCAGACCCCATGCTCTCATTTTCCGTTCGTACGAGGGCTTGCTGCACGAGTTGCTTGTGTTAAGAGACGTCGACATGAGAGCTATTGGACAGGGCTGACCTTGCAAGGAATTCCCGGTCCCTCTTCATAATGTCCATTACCTCGGTGAGGCATTTTCCTTCGGCAATATAAAGCCGCTCAATGTCGGCGCGGTGGGCATCCCAGTCGAGCTTCGGCATGGCTGCAACCACTCTTCCAGATTTGGCTCTGTGGGTTTCCGGGCTCGTGGAATGGACGACAGGTGGAGTGCAGGAGCCGACGAGAGCTGCATGGAGGGCGCAAGACTGGAGGGGGCAAGGAGCGTGGAAGCCAGAAAACTGATAAATCTGAAGGTGAAGGTTTTAAAGAAGGAAAGGACCGTCGAGGCTGCCGAAGCGAAGGGATCGAAGCGAGAGAGTGTCCGATCCGGGACTGGGAAGGAAGGCCCGGAGAGTGGGAACTAGAGCGGGACGAGCCTGGCGCAGGTAACCGGGAAGCTCTTGATTGGCCCGCTGCAAATCCATCAACCTGAATGACGGAGCTGACGCGACCAGACCGGGCAGGTTTTGATTGGAGGATAGCAGAACCATCAAGCCCGGTGAACTGCCGTGTCATTGGCTCTCGTCAAACCCATCAACCACCTACGTGGCTTATCAAACCCCCCATTTTCAGTTCCGTCAAAAAAAATCCGAGACTGAAACGAGCCTGAGGTTGCGAGTCTGGACTGCACTTGCTGTTGGCTGCTCCCAACCCCATCAATTCCGGTCATTCGCCAGTCTCAATCCCATCATCATGCATACCGGTACCTCGGTAATTATCAGCCAGTTTCAAAGCCTTGCTGACATCTACCGCTCTCAAAACCATCCTCCAACTTTTACAACGGACAATGCACCGAGAATGTTCGCAGTGTTCTGAATAGCAGTGTTATGAATAGCAGTGTTATGAATATATAGATAAATAAATAAATAATTCCCACCCTCGCCAATGATCATTTTTCGAGCAACTGTGTTTGTTGACTGTGAGCATTGTTGTCCTACTTCGTCAGCACCCAGTCGAATGCTCGCATCACCCGCATCGCCATCTCCTCTTCCAAAATGGACGAAATAAGTTCCGACACCGTCGTCGAGCTCATGGCCCTTCTCCTCGCACTGCCGTCCACAGCACTCATCCTGGCGAGATGCTACCGCCGCTGGCGACAAAGGCCCTCCAGATCCCCGCATGACGGTCAGTTCTTAATGTGTGCAACAATCCCACTATTATGTTGCGACTCGCTCTCTGACTTTCCGAGTGCACTGCAGAAGAAGAGGCCCTCTCTCTCAATCCCAGCCGCGCTCTTCGCTCTCCGTATCACTCTCCCTATTCCTCGCAACCTCGAACACTGAGCTTCGGCCGCGTCGTGATGGTGATGGATCTTTGGCTGGAGTCCCTCTGACGCAGTAGCCCGATTGTAAGATAGCGGTGGGGGTAACGGATGACTGGTGCTGGCACTGGATCCTAGGTCTCGAGAGATATTCTGTAAAATAATACCACGCAACTCAACAATCCCAAGAGTTTCCCCGGTGAAGATGTAGCTCCCACCCCCAAAGCCCGTCACAAAATTTCCCAACCACGTCTCGCCCTCTGCACATCCGTCGCCTGCTAAATAATTAAACACCTACCCCTGCATCTCAATCACGACCGTCTTCGCCGCCTCCTCCGCCTCCTCCGCCTCCTCCGCCTCCTCCGCCTCCTCCGCCTCCTCCGCCTCCTCCGCCTCCTCCGCCTCCCCCGCCTCCTCCAGCTCCGTGACACGGCGGTCATCACCACCCACCCCCACGCCAGCACCCAACGTAGCCAGCACCTCCTGCGTGCGCCTAGCATGCAAGTCATTCCCGTAGTCGAGCACAAAATCGACGGCGTCACGATAGTCCTGCAGCGCGCAGTCGCGGTACGCGCCGGGGTCGACCATGAACCCCGTCGGCCGTGTCATGGCTAGTACCAGCACGGGGCCGCGCCACTCGAAGAAGGGCCCGGGTTGCTGCTGCTGTGCCCCGTTGCTTTCGGCCATCCCTGCCGCGTCGCCTGTACCAGCTGAGCCGAGAGACGGGATGCACGCGTTCTTGGTCAGCGAGAGGCGGCTGCTGCTGCCGGATGCCGCCGGGACGTGCCACACCTCCAGCATGCTCCGCGTGTCGCGGTTGCGCACGCGGTTGCGCTCTGTGTGCAGCGGTTCCGGGACTGCGGCGGCGGCGGCCGTGTCATCCGGGCCGCTGGCAGCGGCAAAGAAGGGCGCGACATCGGCTTCCTGGAACGAGATGCCCGAGTCTGGGTCCGTGAACCCGCCGATGTGGACGCGGACGAGCGCTGGCGGGGGCGGTGGTGGCGGGGTCGGGGCGCTGCTGCTGGAGGTGGTGGCGGCGGTGGCGGTGTTGGCGCCCACAGGAAAGAGCACGCCCAGGACGTGGTTCTGTTCCCCATTATCGCCGTCGCCGTCATCGCCGTCGTCTGCTATCGCGGACTGTTTCTTCAGAGACAGCGCCGAGAACTCGGCGCACACGAGCCTGTGCACCAGCGCATCGTCGGCCTGGCAGGCGGCAGAGCAGTAGAGCAGCTCCTGGCAGTCGGGGCATGGCGACGTCGGCGGGTTGTTGCAGAGCGCGCAGACGACAATCTCTGCGGTCGCCATGATTGAGATCCCGGGGTTCTGGTGGCGGCGATGTTGGGGAGAAAGTCAGGGTCCGCCTTGTGTGATGGCAATTCTTGACGGAGGACAGACAAATGGGGCTGCCCAAGGCTGACTGCGTTAGGCACCACTTGGTTGCCTAGTTCGGGCTCTGCGTGCCAATAGCACGCTAGCGCTGTATTTTGCACATTTAGACTGGGGAGATCATTATTCCGCCGCCTGCGTCTTCCTTCCACCAAAACAGGCGTGGTACTTGTACCCCCAAGGCATTTTGTTCAAAACACTGCCTAATTACATCAGACAAGCCACATTTCTCCTCCATTTAGACACCATCCTTCAAAGATGTTTTTTTACAAGATGGCGTAAAACCAGGTGCGAAAAGCTTGGAGGAGCGCTTAAAGGGCATGCGGTCAGTTCAGGGACTGGCAATTATAGATCAGATCCGATCAAAGAGAGTTGGATGTGAGAAGGGTTCTTACTTTCTTGCCTAGACGGGTAGTGGCCAAGGAGTGTCAAAAAAAAACGTTTCTTACAACGGGCTCAACGTGCAAAGAGAAATAAGCAAGCAACTACCTTAGTCATTATCGTGCCAGAGATAAGACACAGTGGACCACATAAACATTCCGTAGAGTGGAGAGCATTCAGCCATAGTATCGACGATGTGGAGTTGCTGGCGGAGTCTCGAACAGTTTGTATGGTTAGGGGCGGAGCAAAGCTGCATCAACATTCACACAAAGCCGAAACTATCTTGCACATAGTTCAACAATCAAGCAAGCAACTCCCTGCGGTGTAGTTGAATATCACGTTCGGCTGTAAATGTTAGTTTGTATGCCGAAAGGTCGCCGGCTCGATTCCGGTCGGGGAGATTCTTATTTTTATCGGTGCCCCTCGTGTCTATGCACGTTTGTTTTGCCTTGGATCATCTCAGCATTTGCAATTTTCTTTATTCTAAGGTGCCTCTGACTTCCCTGCCAAAAACGCAAGCCTCTGTCCGTACGCATAAGCGGATTGTGTTGTGGAAAGAAGCCAAGATTAATTAATCTTTCCAAGGACTCCATTATGACGGAGATGATGGTTAGAATGGTGCCGACTTCTTGGGCCTGAACTATTGAGTTTGCTCGTACGTTCTTTTTCTAAGCTGAAAGACGATTTGTTAAGATATAAGTGCAAAGAGCGCGGCCATTCACTGTGGTCGAGGAATTAACTATAACTAGTTCGTGTCCAAATGCGCATTCCACACGTTTAGCTTAACTTCTCAGCTAACATTTCATACGCTTTAAGTATTATTCCCTGCGACTCTTTGTCATTATCGCTGTATTAGCTAACAAATATGGGTTTATTTCTCATCTTTCTCCTGTCTTACTCTCTTAGTCCTGTCTTGCCCTCTTAGTCCTGTCTTACTCTCTTAGTCCTGTCTTACTCTCTTAGTCTTGTCTTACTCTCTTAGCTTATCCTCTTTGTAGAACCTCTTTTCGGGCCTTCTATAGATTCTCCCCACGAACAGCTGAAATTCATACCAATACCTCCTACCGACAATCCTATCGCTCGACGTGGTAAACTCGAGGAGATTGGATAAATTGCCACAGAAACTCGTTTTCGGGACTTTTCTCAGCTTGACGGCTATTAGATCGACGGTTTCTACGGCTTGAACAGACGTTTTTAACGGTTCGAAATCCCCAAGGCAAATATCGTACTTATGCAACATGAATCTGACAACCCTCTGTTCTTTGCCCTCAGCCGAAGAAAGGCGCAGAACGTCGACTGTTGGAAAGTTAGAATAACGCGCTAGTCAGCCACACAGAGGTGGCAGGGCCACGGATTCTATACAAGTGGTGTTGGATTCAGCACCTCAACTTTCTTCATTGATCTCCCTCCTTGTTCTTTTTGGTCCTGCCAGAGGGCCTCTATTATAGTTGTAAATGGTGGCAATGGTGGTGGCAAAAGTAGCCACACCAGCTGAACTGGCCACTTCATTTCAGCTCCCCTGAGCCTCTTTTCACCTCGGATGACCACACCAGAGCTCAGCTGGGATGAGCTCTATTCCACATGCAACCCTTGTCCATCTGACAATAGCCAATCCAACAAGTGGCCTACGGCCACCTCTTTCTTCTAGATAGACAGACACATCAACAATCATCACTTGAACCACCAGTTTTCGGCGTGCAGTTACGCCCTGTCGCTTCCAGTACCGGTACCTGGCGAATCCAAAATCGACATCAGAGTTCCCGATCGTGTTTCAATTAGTTGTAGCGAGACGTAATTTGCGTCGACCGACAGGCGTCGATCATTTCGAAATCAGACCCTGAGGGTGTGCTGCACGCAGCTTCTACGAACCTATTGGCTCTAGATTACCTCGCTGTTTCAGTGCGCCACGACAGCCACGTATACTGCAGGTCGTGCAGGAGAATGCTCAGCTCGTTCTATTCCAATCCACGCCTGCACACAGCCCCCGCCCCCTTTTGACATTTTACTGGACATTTTACTGGTGTCGGTGCAAACGCCACACCTTGACACGGGGACAGGGCTGCAGGCAGCAGTGAATTTCTGGTTCTATATTAGGCAATGGGTTAAGTCAGGTGACCAGCTTTTAGACCACAAGGTTCTAGAAGGATGACTAACCCTTGCCACCCAACTCTTCTATTTCAATCGCCCACAACTTCACGAATTTGATTCCAATCCGTTTCCTTTTTTTTTCAATAGCTTGAGAATTTTCAAATAAAGCCATATACGAAGTTCGATTTGCAGAACGCCCTTGCGGAGTATGCTAAAACTGGCAAACTCCACGATGCGGCCAAAAATCACAGCATCCCCCACAACACTTTATATTATCGATCCAAAAGCAACAATCCAGCCACCTACTCCCAAATAATCAATCAGAAGCTTTCTCCGGCACTGGAAGAACGTCTCGCAGAATGGGTTCTCTTCCAGGGGGTCATTGGCAACCCCCCAACCCACCTGGGAAAGTACTGGTGCCGCCGCTTTTTGAAACGAAATCCTTCCATTTCTACCAAGAGACCACGGAGAATCCACGCAAACCGTGCTGACCGAGCCTGCGAGGCCATTATTCGGCCCTGGTTTGACTCCCTGGAGTTTCTAGGGGTTAAGGCCATTCTGCCGGAGAACGGGTACAATATGGACGTGTCACGGCACGGCGGTAGGCGCTGAAGCCCTACGGGTGCGTGACCATACTATAACCCACTGTAGAATTGCAGCCTGACGGCTTGTAATTCTGGCATCCTTTTGGAAGGTGTGGTGCAGCGGTAGTGGGTATTGCTAAACGCCGTCACAGGACGAAACTGGCATAGCTAATGGGATTGGAGATACCGGTCTGGTTGTAGGCTCCAAGTCTAGAAAGCTTTTACAAAAGAGGAAGTCTGGAGACCGAATTTGGACGACCATTCTAGAGTGTGTTTCGGCCGACGGCCGGTTTTTGAACCCACTGGTTATTTTCAAGGGTGTGAGCCTCCAGCAACAGTGGTACCCACGCGATTTGACCCCATTCGAAGGTTGGGCCTTCAAACCAACCAAAAACGGGTGGACTAACGATGACACTGCCGTCGAATGGCTCGACAAAGTTTTTCTTCCGGCCACTCGGCCGGCCAACCCTAAGGAGAAACTATTACAAACCACTCGACTGTTAGGGTCGTCTGTCTGTAAGGGAGCACGGGCTCCACAGAATGCTGGGGTTGGTAATTATGAAGATAGAACAAAGGGCAAGCTCCTATCGCACGGGTAATATAGTCAAATTGGAATGCCACTCAAAGTGTATGAGTGCAGTGAATGTGTATTGCTTGCTTGAAGAACCAAGCAAGAACTATCTAAGACCGTGGTCACGGTCGTCGTATATATCTATCTACGTAACCAATAACAGTGGTTCCGTTGTCCCGTGGTCCCGCGTCCGGGTCACCGCCCGACCGGAACTGTCCCGCGTCCCCGAGCTCCAGAGCTCGGAACCCTGGAACGCTCCTGATTGGCCCGCGCCAAAAAGAGCATGCCCCACCTTTGTGCATATCCACAGGGAATCCATAGGGATTCGTGACAGAAACGCCTCCTTATTTTGGATGGCCACGGCAGTCATACCACTGAGGAATTTATGTGGCTGGCTTTTACCAACAACGTACAGTTATTATTTCTGCCAGCCCACACCTCTCACGTTCTCCAGCCCGTAGATGTAGCCGTTTTCGGCCCGCTGAATGCTAAGTACAGGGCACCGCTGAATGACTTGCTTTCTGGCCTAACCAGCGACTCTGTAGCTGCAAAACGAGCCTTTTTAGAATGCTATAGGCGCGCCAGAATCTACGGAATGACCGAGTCAAATATCAAGGCTGGTTGGAAGGCCTCAGGGTTGTGGCCAGTCTTCCTAAGGAAGCCCCTAAGCAACAGCCTCGTTATTAAGAATTCCAATGGCTGCATTAGTACGGTAGCCCCCACACCTTCTGCAGGCCTTGAGTCGTTCAATAACCCCATTCTGGGCAAGAATTCGGAGGGCCGGCCTTTGTGGTTTACCCCTAAAAAGGCCAAGGATTTCTCGGCTCAGGGGGAGCGTTTTCTACGTGGTACTAAACGTACTGCCAGCGAACGGCTTTTTATGCGGAAAGCCTACAAAGAATTCGATAACATGGCCTTCCAATTGGCTACCATTCAACAACAATTGCAAGCGGCCCAGGAAGACCTCGAACGTGCGAGAGGCCGGAAGAGAAGGAGGGTGGAAATCAACCCCAATAAGGCCTTTGCTGGTATTGAGGAGATCCGCCGCGCACAAAGATTAGCTACTGGGGAAAATGTTATAGATTCTGAAATTTCAGAAAAAGAGGAATCTGACACTGCAAGCTGTATTAACGTAGCTATCTAATTGACGAAGCTGCGAGCAATTGAATTTTATGATGTGGTGGGGTGGCGATTTTAGTGCGTGGTCTAAAAGGGGGTTGGTCTAAAAGCTGGTCACCTGACTTACCAACTCATGTTTCGTAATATGCAGGCTACGCGGGGAGGGCGCGCAGTGCGTGCCATGGGGGGAGGGGGGAGGTGGGGAAGCAACTCGGTGTTTTCCGGATATTAAAAAGACGCGAGGATTCTCGAAATCCACTACGAGGTCCATAGTCGACCCTCCCAGTTATCAGTGCAGCCCGGTGCTCCCAGCCTGGCACAGACCCTGACATATTCTCACCCATTTCGGCCCACTAGCCGCCCGGAACCATGTCGAATTTCGCCCCCGCCGCCCTGGGCGGGCCCCTAGGAGACGATCTCGAAGTGGCCAGCAAGTCCCCTTCGATCGGCAAACGGGTCGTCTTTCAAGTCATCGACGCCCACTTCGACGGCAGCACAACGCCACAGGTGCTCAAAACGTTCCTGCGGGCGACGGCATCGCCAAGGGCATGGAAACGCTTCCGCCGCAGACGGACGGGACGGCGCGGATTCTGGACATGATCATCCATTCCAACTTCGTCATCACGGACCTCCGCGACACGGAGGGCCCCGAGACAACCCGGCCGGCTCCAAACTTTTTGATCGGTTTTCTGAGGCAGCGGCATACGCGGCCGTTTGAGGAGCGGCGCATCTTTAGGTGGCTCAACGATCCGCTGCTCGTGAACGACATCGGGAGCATCTCCCAGTGGTCGCAGAGCCTGGGCGGCGACAGTGTGAATTTCTATCGCCTGGTCAACCGCACGAGCCTGCCGCAGAATCCGCTGGACCATGATCTCCATCCGAGAGACTCGTACTTGACTTGTGTGCAGGATGCAGATGACCGGTTGATATGTGGGTCTTGTTTGACTACCCAGTACATGTTGCTGTGCCTATTGCTCACAACCCGCTAGTTATTATCGTGAACAATGTTTGGTCCGAGCAAAGATTCAGCGTCAACAAATCCAGCGACGACGACATCATCTTCCAGAATCCCCGGGGCATTCCGGCCATGCTAGCCGGGAAGCCCTCAAGTTCCCACTCGCCAAAAACCCCCATCTTCAAGTCCCGCTGGGCCTCTTCGAGCCTCGGCTCTCTGCCAAGAGCAGCGACGCGATCAAGGAAATCGAGGACGCCGAGGGCATCCTCCGGAGCGTCAAAAACCTGGTGGACTCGATTGAGTTCGTGGTCGAGGCTCTCAAGGCCAAAAACGCCGCCGCCACAGACAGACTACCTGACCAAGAAACACGCCATCCGCGAAGCCAAGGCGATCAAGATCCTCACCATCTTAGCCTCGTTGTACCTGCCGCTATCTCTCTCCGCCACGCTGCTGGGCATGCAAACACCGTTCCGCATGGTGGCCCACACCATCGTCCCGAGCGACCAGGCCAGCAACCTCTTGCTAATTCTCGACACCAACCTGCTGTTCGACTTCTTGGGCGTGTTCATCTGGCTCGCCACATCCACCATCTGCATCCTGTACGCGATCCAGCTGGGGCTGTGGCTCAAGTCCAACGGGCTGGGCAAGCTGTCGCGCGTGTTCAGCGGGCCGTTCTCCATCTTCTCGTACGGCAAGCGCTGGCGCTTCGGCGGGCGGGGCGGCCGGGTCTTCGAGCTTGTAAGCGGCGTGACCGCGTGGTGGGTCGGCCTCGGCTTCTGCTTCACGCTGCTGGTCATCTTCTTCGTCGGCATGCTGCGTACGGCGCAGGACGCCTGGGACACGGCGTGGAGTATCTTTACCGTCTATTTCGCCGTGAGCGGGGCGCTGTTTACGTCGTGTTTCGGGATTTACATATACTTGCACCACCGGAAGGTGAGGGGGCGACGAGGGTCTGTAGCCTTCCCCGTCTTCCTACATCGTAGCGCTTTCTGTTTGGCCTGAGCCAATTCAACTTTGAAGTCAATGAATTATATTAAGTTGAATTAGGCGGAAGTGTAAAGAGCGTGTACGACGGGTCTATTCCACCTCTAGGTTAAGACATTCTAGCCATTGTGACTGTGCCCTCACTGGTAGTTGTACTCTACTCAATTGAGATTTGGTTGGCCTCTACACGGATGAACAAGTAAGCAAATCGGGGAAAGGTTGATGACGGGCCACGAGAAGCAGAAATCCGGAGAGAAAGGTACTGAGCTCATAGAGTCCGGAGACTCCCTGGTCAACACGAGAATTCCAGGATGTTTTTTCAGACGAATACTCTGTCCAGTTGGTCATAAACTCCTGGAAACTGGTCTTTCGATACGGCTACAGGAAGTTCCGGCACGACTTTGTGAACTTAACTATTGAAGGTAGCGGCATCAAGCTTATGATTCAAGCCGCGATCACCTTTGACCCCCGATCACCCCTGGTTTTCATGGAGGTTATTGTGAGGCGTGGGTGTACCGGAGGCGCAGCGCCGCCGGCCAATCCCCATCAACTGGCGCAAACATGGATGCATAGAATGAGCCAACCCCGCTCCGCTCTAGATGTCCGTGACGACCTCAGACCTTCTCAGGTTCCTCGGCGCCCCCCGGTTATCACGGACAAACATGGTGCAAAGAAATACCCTTACAGCCGACCAACCCGGTCTCTATACATGACAGTAGCCATTCTCTGGATTTTCACCGCGAGAAGCACCCCGATCGGCCAGCACCATGACTTCCACGCAGCCAAGTGCTCTACTTTCTGTTCACACCCCTCTCGACTGCCATTTTCCTAATTTTTTTCACTAAGCCGCCTCGGCCGCCGCCTCAACCGCATAATACCTCAAACTTCTCTTTGCTAGCCTCAACAATCCAGGACGACGACCCCTTTCAGATCAGGCTCGCGACTCAACGGTTGAACGAGTGTAGCATCTCGCACGATCTCGCACGACAACTGTAGGACAGTCTATCAGCTTGGTCCTGGACCTGATGATAATGGCTACCTGCCCACGAGACTCATTGACGTGGGCAGCGCCGACGGCGAGTGCGGTTACCGCTGCGACCGGCTCCCGTCGCTGTCCCGGGTCCATCATGCCAGACCCAGGTTCGAAACCTGGTCTAAACGCCTCGAGAGCCCTCTCGCGACCCGCGGTTGGGCCTTCCAAGAGACGCAGCTCTCTCCCAGGTCATCCACTACCGCAGGGACGGTATATCCTGGGAGTGCCGAAAGCGTATCGCCGAGTGAGAAGCCCAGGCCATGGCACCGATCTGACTCCTCCTTGGGCCGTCAATTAGGCGCTTTCCGGGTCCTGGATGGCTACCCGTGGCCCTCAGGGGCAGGGACATTGACGGGGCGGCCACACGCCGATTTCGGAAACGGCGAAACTTGTATATCCGGCACGATTTTCGACCGGTGGCTCAAGATTTTGGAGACCTACTCGGGGCGAAAACTGTCGTTCCAAGAGGACAAACTGTCGTTCCAAGAGGACAAACTATCGTTCCAAGAGGACAAACTGCTCGCCTTGTCGGGCCTGGCTGCGGTCATTGCAACTCTCTCTCCGGCTGCCCGTTATCACGCCGGCCTTTGGACTGCAGACCTGGCTCACGGAATGTGCTGGAAATCTGCCGAGAAAGGCGGTGCTGCCCGGCCTCTCCGGCGACAAGGCATGCCATCTTGGTCATAGGCGAGCGTAGCGAGGCCGATCACGTATCCCTGGACGCATGACCGCGATTCGTAGAGCGGATATGGATATGAAACCCACTAGTGCTTCTCCGTCAATCTTGAAGAGACCGGCACCTTCCCAGTGAGGCTTGATCCATTTGGCAACGTCCGGGGAGGCCGCATCACAATAGCACGCGGACTGGTGCGCAGCATCGACTTTCCCAAGAGCTGTGACGATGTTGAACTCGAACTCTACTACATGTTGAACTCGAACTCTACTACATGTTGAACTCGAACTCTACTGCAATGTTGCAACCCAACCATCTAGCTCACAGGGAAGTATTTGTCTTTCTCTCTTGACATTCATGCCTGGCGGAGAGACAGAAGACGAGGTCGGCATTATACTAGCTTATAAAAGCGATCGAGATAAACTGGTCTACTAGAGAGCGGGATATTATTGTCTCCCACTGCCCAGACCGTGGTATAAAGATCTTGTCCACCATTATATTGCAGATAGAATCACAATAGTTCGACTCGGTAGTCAGGGGTTCAGGGGCCGGGCAACGCGAGGTTAATTCATGCCCTTACCTAATATAATCTAGTGTACCTTCTCCTTTTTCTTGGCCTACCGGCCTCAGTATATAAGGTAGGCAGCCCGCTCTCCCTTTTATTAGAGGAAGGCATCGCTCCTTACTGTCACGGCGCGCAATGGCCGTAGCAGTACTATGTAGCTTACTACAGGTTGCAAGTTGTCAACTTGCAATTCTGGCATCCTTTTGGGGGTTCTAGCGCAGTGGTAGTGAGTGCTGCAGGCTGGCGCCGTCACAATTGCAAGTTAAACGGCTGTGGGTTCGAGCCCTACAGTTGCAAAAATGAGTCCCACCTCTTTAAATGCTCGGCACGACCGATCCTTGAAAGGAATATCGGGAAAACAGTGGGGGTTTAAATGTGGGTAGTTTTGGGGATCCCTATAGTACGATTGAACCCGGATCTAGAGCTCGCGAGTATGCTCGCTCAACCTCCCGAGAGCGGGGCGAAAGGTTGAGGCTCGGGACGAACCTCTAGCGAACCCGGGGGATGTCACGGCGCGCAATGGCCGTAGCAGTACTATATAGCTTACTACAGGTTGCAAGTTGTCAACTTGCAATTCTGGCATCCTTTTGGGGGTTCTAGCGCAGTGGTAGTGAGTGCTGCAGGCTGGCGCCGTCACACTTACCTTCTTTCTCCAGCCTTTCTTAAGAAACTACATCCTTTTACCATGACTTGAGATCCCCCGACTAGTGCACGCAGTAGTGCCTCTTTATCGTATTTAACTACCCTGCTATGGATTCTTGTACCTGTACCCCGTACGGCTCGCCCGCTTTAGTGTCGTATTGGGGTGCCTTTTCACCACTTCAGCTGTGTGAACCCAGGGGCTCGTGCGGCCGGAGGCGCTTCTACAATCCCACGCGATATGCGTTTGGCAGGTGTGAGAGTTGTATAGGTACGTCGAGAGCCGTACCAGACAGTCGGGCCACCGACACCAATAACCTGCCAACGCAGATTTAGCCACCCCTAATGGTGGTTCCGCACCGTAGTGGAAGATTTAGGCTAGTCTCGGCTGCACTCCCGTACAACTCTATCATCCCCATTCCTCAGTGCTTCATATCACGATCTGGAATTGCCAGTGACTTGGTTTCGGCAGGGGCGAGGTCATAGACATGGGCTTGCCTCGGGGCTGGCACATCACGGTGTCGACAATGCAGCACAGTCCACTAGGCGCCGGCTATAACTTTTGACTAAATCCTGGATTCATACGTTAAATAGTCAAAGACTTTGCCCTGAGACCAACTGAGAAGCACGTTGCGTGGATTTTCGTAACTTGACGGCTAGGTCGACGGTTTCTACGTCGTTGCCCGGGCAACTAGGCTGGCGTGGAGTAAGCGCATCCCGGTGAGCTTGTAACGCGGGGTTTTACCGGTCTGAACCACGGCCCCGGTACAGGGTTTGAAAGGTTATACTAGTGCACCCGATAACTCTCAAACCACCAAGTGACGTTTTAGTGAGAACCTACTAGAAAGGCGACTCCAAGCCCCCTATATGTTTGGGTTATATCTCCTGTTAAAACCCCCTGCCAAATCACCGCACTAAGCTTTCAAATCCTTGTGGAGGTGTATTTTAGGCTTATATCCCTCGCTAAAACCCCTTGCAAAATCCATCGTACTAACCTTTCAAACCCCGGGGCGGTGTACCATCGCAGCTGCTACCAGCTGCCTTGGGCCCGCGGGAGGGTATGACGTAGGTACGGAGGTACGGAAAAAAGAAAAGATTGCTCTCCCCGGTGCACCCCCACCCCCACCCCCACCTCCAGGACAAGGCTCAGCTGGCTGTGTTTTGCACTCGGTGAAGCGTTATACGCCAGCGCGGTGAAGAAGCCAAACTTCTGCGGTGTAAGAAATGGAAAGGAAAAGGGCTTTGACGTTTAGCTTTTCTATAGGCTTACGCGAATATTGAGTCAGCCAAATCCGACCCTGATGCTGCTGGATACCGTACCGTAGAAGCTTTGGCAGGTAGAGATTCTCACAGGGCGACTCTTTGTGCCCTCACCTCCATCGTGGAGAAGGGCTCATTCTAACCATGCTACATACCTAACAACATGGTTCCAGAGTCTCCTTTCACGGATGACTCTAGTGAAGTTTGTTTGTTGTATTCGCCCTCATCGATGGGCAGCGGACGTAAGCTGCCTCAGCAACGAAAGTCCCTACCTGGGGACTTCCGGCCGAAGCGGCCAGGATAAGGATTCGCCACTGCCATTGTGCTGTTCTCAAAAGGAGTGGCACGTGCCGTTAAGAAAGGATGTTGGGATGAAGAAGAGGGAGGAAGATTTGTAGCTCTAGCTAGGATGGCACTGAAATTCCAACCTGCACACTGCCGCACCAAATTTTATCGCAGGTACCTTACCTTACTCAAATTCCATCGCGGGCACTTCACCTTTCTCATTCTAGTCAACCATTCTATCAACCATTCTAGTCAAGCATTCTAGTCAACCACGTCACTATCAAGTACATCACTATCAAGCACATCACAACCGCAAAGATGGAGAACGTCAACCAGACTACCATAAGCAATGGCACGCTTCCGAAGCCCGTTTTCCACTTCACCGTCTTTGAGGACTTCTTTCACCATATACCCTCGATCGAGAAGCAAAATAAACCCCGTCACAATGTCGCAGTAGATGTCTTGGCTAGCGGCCGCAAGTGGCTGATCCAGTCTCGCGATGCCGCCGCCGACTTGGGCCCCTCGGATGACCTAGACGAAGCATTCCTGGTCGGGATCCTGGAGAAGGCGGTCGAGAAGCGTAGCGGGGTATACCTTCTCGGCGACCTTGCCCTCCTCGCCCTCAAGGGCCCGGTTCCCAAAGACGTCACCGACACCGAGGCGAAGCATCTCCGCTACTACAAGTGGGTGGCGGAGGGCCGCAAGGACGAGGACTCCCCCTTCGCATCGTCAGCCTCCTCCTCCTCCTCCTCCTTTGCAAAATCGGCCCCGACCTCGCACGATGTGCTCCCGGAAGACCCCAAGGCCTCGACCTGTGGAAACTGCGGCACCAGCGGCGCGACCCAAAACTGCGCCGGATGTTACGATGTCTTCGGCGCCGGCAATATCTCAGCCGGCCAGGCTTACTGCAACCAGGAGTGCCAGAAGGCGCACTGGGACCAGCACAAGTCCGAGTGCCGGGAATTGAAGCGCCTCCAAATCTCCATGGCACAATTCCAGGAAATCTTCGAGCACCTCGTCGCATCGGCATATCGCGTCGCGCTGGCCGAGATATCCGAAGAGAACGGCCTCATCCGTGCCAAGGGTCGACGAGGCGCAGATGAGCGTGCTGCATACCTAGGAAAGCACATCGCCAAGAAGTTTCGATATAACTTAGCTCCTTCTCGGGATGCTGGTAAAGCCGTCCTCATGCATGGCCGCGGCGCCGAGTTTGTGGACCAGTGCAAACCGCTAGTCGACTTCTTTCTGAAAGGTAATTCTATAACTTCACACATATGCCCTCAGTGGACAACAGCTAGATCGCTATACTGACCTTTGGCGCTCCACATCTAGACTTGCCGCACAAGTCGGTCGAGCAGGTTACGTTCTACGTGAAGAACTGCCACCGCTCGGTGTGGCTGGAGGACGACGGCTCCCACACCTTCTCGCCGTTCACGCCCCACCAAGTCCTCCGCATCACGCTAGCGTGCGGCCGCGCGGTGGTCGTGGATGCGTCGGGCGCGCAGTTCGGGTGGCGCGAGGTGCTGAGCCCGTGGGAAACATACAAACGGCACCGCGTCCACGCCGTTATCGGCGAGGCGTCCCACCAAGTCGCGGCGGCCATGACGGCGAGTCGGGGCAACCCAACGGGCGACTTCGCCCACGATGCGAGCGCCATCAAGGCGCTAATGGCCGAGAAGCTGGCGGCGTACCTGCTGCCCATGGTCGCGGGGGCCGACACGTTCGACCTCCAGGATTTGAGTCCCAAGGGTCGGGCGGCGCGGTTTGAGCTCGTCACCAGCGCCAAGGCCTTCATCGACAAGCTGGCGCGCGTGCTGGAGAAGTCGCAGGCGTTCAAGCTGTACTTCGCGCACGACTTCCGCATCCAGGCCACGTCGGGCAACCCGTTCGAGTACGACGGGCTGAAGGATACCTGGTTCACCCCCGCCGAGTACAGCAAGTACAAGCGCAGGCCCAAGAAGATGAAGGCCGAGTGGGTGGTGCGGCTAGAGATTATGGAGGAGAGCCTGGCCAGGTGGGCTGGGCGGGGGAGGGACCTGAACCGTCTCCCAGAGTGGCAGAAGTACCTGCACCTATTGAGGACTCGGCTCCTCGCCTAGTTTTCATGCAGGACTAGAATAGCGTGGAGCTGTAATCAGTGAGTAGATAGGGCATAGGCAGAACCAGGTATACCGGTAGGCTGTCTCCGGCTGGTCGCTGGGCCTTGGGGCCGGATATAGGAGCTTGTTCTCAAATCTATCCTTAGGTTAAGCCCATTACTCATTACTCTACGCGCTACGAATATAGGCCTTTAAACCATTGTAGTGGTCAGCGTCAAGTGGTGTGACTCCGCATCATGCACTCTCAGAAGAACTACGGAAATCGTGGTATTATCTTTGCAGCTAAAATTGCCGTGTATATTATTCATTCGACAGCTTACACGCCTTGTATTTTTCATGAGCGAGTCTCCTCCGACTGTTAAAGCGTCGTCAGCTACCGTACGTACAATACGTACGTTACAGCCCACCGCGTGGTAAAATGCCACATTTAAGAAGTTGTCAACTGCTCTATCAGCCCCCCTTCCTACCTGCCGCATCAACCGCCCAGTCAACGGCGCTGACGATGTTTTTAGTAGTTGTAGAAGGCCAGTTATAGTGGAAGGATTATGGTAAAAAGCGGTAAATACTATACGTGGCAGAATCTTAGATGTACATGGGGACGTTTTAACGGTCGTAGGAGACTCGATCTTTTTCATTCATCTCTACTCTCGACTCTAGCTGCAGAGACTCGGGTTTTAAAAAAAGGGGCTACCCCTCACAATAACCAAGATCCAAACTCTGAGAGTGCTAGTACGTTTGTCAGGTGCTATCCCACCCCTACAGATCCCGTCAAGCCTTCGCCAGTTCCTTATAATAGGCCTACAGATTTTGCAGCTGTGGATCATCGTCGCAGCAAGTCCCTAGTCACCTAATATTCGTAAGGTACCTCGTTTACTTGAGCTAGGTAGGTGCCTCTAAGCACCAAGCTACTTAGGTTAGCATTTACCCGCCTGGATCTTATCTCTGCTTCGCTCCTTCCCTTTCCAAAGATTCTAGTAACCACTGACACCGACCCACATTAAAATTTCTCCGTCGCCTTCCTTCTGCCCCGCTGCATCCTCTCTGCCTCTCTCTTCCATCTTTCAAAACTTCCCTACTACTTCATAATTTTGAGAAAGATACACGGCACGAAATCCTAGTGGGTATCGGCAATCCTAATGGTATCGGCAGCCATAGAGAACATCTTCGTCGCCCACGGGGATACTGCCACCTCCATTTCCGCCCCTCCTTCGACCGAAGACTTCGTGGAGGACTTCTTTCAGCATCTTCCATCCGTTTCAGACCAGCACCAGTTCCCGCACCAGATCCCGCTTCTCATGGCTCGCGCCTATCCTGGGATGGCCAAATTTCTGCTAGATGCGAAATGGAAGCAGTCAAATGATCCGGACAAAGAATTCCTGGTCAGGATTGTTAAGGAGGGATTGCAGAATGCCAATTCACAATACATTCTCCAGAACCTTGCAGCTCTCGGCCTCAACAGCTCGGTAGCTGCGGACGACAAAAGCATCAAGGCCAGCCACCTTCGATACTACAAATGGGTGGCCCAGGGCCGCAGGGATGAGGACTCGCCGTTTGAACAATCTATCTCGATTCCTCACGATACCCTCCCGAACGACCCCAATGATTCAATCTGCGGGAATTGCGGCGATAGCGGCGCAGCCAAGAAGTGCTTGGGATGTTTTATCACCTTCGGCAACCACATTTCATTCGGCACAGTTTACTGCAACCAGTGGTGCCAAAAGGCCCACTGGAAGCAGCACAGGTCCGATTGTCGAGCGCTGAAGCACCTTCACACCTCGATGTCTATTTCCAGCCCATTTTCGAGCATTATCTTGGGTCAACATACGACACCACAATTGAGAAAATATCAGAAGACAACGGCGTAATTCATGCAAAGGCTCAGGATGGCTGGGACAAGAGAGCCGCTTACCAAGGGAAGCACATTGTCACCAAGTTCCGACACGACTTGGCTCCTTCCAAGGATGCTGGCACAGCCGTCCTCATGAATGGAAACTGTTGCCAGTTTGTGGACTTTGGCAAATCTTTAACCGGCTTCTTTCTCAAACGTAAGTCTCCCTATTGACTTGATGGATATCTCCAATCCATCTTCCTGGCTTATTATACTGACTTAGCCGTGCTTCGTATTCAGGATTTCCTTACAAGTCTATCGAGAAAATCTCGTTCTTTGTGAAAAACTGCCACCGCTCGGTATTGCTAGAAGCCGACGGTTCCTCAAGCTTTTCAACCTTTCCAGCTCACCAAGTGTTGCGAGTTACTTTGGCTAGCGGTCGCAAGGTTGTTTTGGATCCCTCGGGAGCTCAGTTCGGATGGCGGGAGTTCATGGCTCCCTGGGAAACATACAACCAACATCGCGTCTACGCCATGTTCAGCGAATCTCCCCACTTAATCGAAACTCCCCCGAGCACGATGTTGGACTATGGATTGCCAGCTAACGCCTACGGCAACGATACTCTTGCATTTATGACCTAACTAGCGGAGAAGGTGGTGGCACACCTGCACATCATCGCCGAGGCCAGCCTCCTAGATCCCAAGAGTACAGGCCCAGCGGCTGAAGCGTTGCGAACCAGCTTTGTCTTCTAGGCTAAGGCTTTCATCGACCGCCTTGCAAAACAACTTGAAGACTCGCCTGCGTTCAAGCTCTACTTTACCCCCAGTTTCGACATTCAAACCACTACAGGCCACCCGGGCGAGTACGCTACGTTCAAGAAGGTTTGGTTCACTGCACGCGAGTACAACAAGTACAAAAACCGCCCGCAGTTGCTGAAGGCCATGTGGAAGGCGCGATTAAAGGCAGTCGGAGGCATGGGCAAAGCCAATTAAGATACCTAGGGTTCTCAAGGATACTTAGGGTTCTCAAGGATATCTAGGGCTCTAGTAAATGTACGGAGTACCTCGGTCGTAGGCATTTCTCCAACATCACCTCCGTAGTCAGGATGGATAGGTCCTTAGGGTGGAGGAGACGGTTAACTGGTCTCTCGGACTCGAGGGCATAAATGAGATTTCTCTCTGAAAACCATGCGTTGCACCAACTGGTGATTTTGAACCCCATACGGATCGTTGTAGGCCATTGTAATGGTCAGCGTCAAGTGGTATGACGTCTCAGACCACTTCCCATCCTATTCACGTGACCTATTATGCAGGTCAGGCGCTAGCAAAGCCGGGCTGCGAAAGGCTGAGCACCGCTTGCACTAATGGATTACAGGGGTGATTCAGGATGATTCATAGTGAGTTGGGGCTGCCTTCCCTTTTCAGCGAGCCCGCACCACAGAGTTAGGGTTATTGTCGGGCTTTTTAAAGCAATCAATAGCCTCTCCAAAAGAACGGGCTAAAACATCAACCGCCTTCACGCCTTTACCGCAAGCGGAGAGAGCCGCTTCACAGACGACACTTGCGACCCTTCTAATTCGAATACCAAACAACACAGAAGTCGTCAATCCTCACACTAGTCATCATGGACGCTGCGTCTCCCTTCAAGCTGTCGTCGAAGCAGTGCAGTGCTTGCAATGTAACCTTTGAAAGCGACGATGTCCGACGGGCTCACTCCAAGACCCAGTGGCAGTGAGTTACCTGGCGCAAAAGCGGTGCAAGTCGTGAATCTCACCGCTGACATGTGAGCAGCGTCGAGAACCTGCGGCGCCGCGTTACCGGCTTCCCGCCCCTCGAAGCATCAGCCTTCAGCGCCCCCACCGCAGCGGGGTCGCAGACCGGCGCCCCTGATTCCAAACAAGACGTCTCGTCGGACGAGTCCGACGATGCGCCTACACAAGAAGAAGCGCCCAGCTTCGTGGCAGAGAACTGCCTTTTCTGCAACCGCGCCTCGGACTCGTTCGACGACAGCATCCTCCACATGCAAAAGTCGCACGGCCTCTTCATCAACGACCTCGACCACCTCGTCGTCGATCCGGAGACACTCTTCTGCTATCTCCACCAGGTCGTCTTCGATTACCACGAGTGCCTCTACTGCCACTCGCAGCGGAGGACCGCTGAAGCCGCCCAGCAGCACATGGTCGGAAAGGGCCACTGCAAGATCGACATACAGCACCCAGACTCGGAATACCGCGATTTCTTCGACTTCGACACGGGGAACAGCAGCGACGAAGGAACGAGCGCCGAGCCGGGGTCTTCTTCTACCGCAAAAGTCATCTCCCCAATCCCCAGCCGCGACTCTGTACGGCTCCCCTCTGGGAAAACCGTCACCAGCCGCACAGCAGCACAAGCCTCTCAAGAGAGCCACGCGCGCCACTTCCCACGCAGTCCTGTTCCGTCCTCCGCAAATCCCCTCCCCGTACCATCCCCGGAAACCGCAGACCCCACACCCCTAGACGCACCGTCGTCATCGTCTTCAGCACAGATCATGCTGCGCAGCGAGAAGCGCGAGGCGGCGCTGAGCGACCAGCTCGCGCACCTCAGCGTCGGCGACCGGCAGAGCCTGGCGCACCTCGCACCGTCAGAGCAGCGCGCACTGCTCGCCGCCCAGAAGAAGCAGGTCGACAAGGCGCAGCGCGCCGAGCTGCGCCGCCGCAGCCGCGTCGAGCTGCTCGGCAACAGGACGCTGATGGAGCATTTCATTAGTGAGACGCCCGCGCGCAGGCTCAAGTATAGTTGGTGCTGAGCTTTTGAGAGGCAGGGGCTGGTTGGCTGGGTTGGTTGGTTGGTTGGTTTAGATGGCAACTGCTCCGGTTTGAGAGACATGTTCCGAATATTTTGGAAGGTAGAGAATGCAACTTCTCCTGAACACTAGTGATTCAGGGAATCATTTCCCAAGAAATACCCCATACTTACGCCTAGCCAATAATTAGCCAGCCAGCCAGCCTTTTTTCCTCACCACCAGAGGCGGTGTTATCATGCCTAGAACCAGTGATCATATTTCCGAGTCTCCTTCTGCTCCTCTAAAACACACCACCTGACTAGTCAGGAAGGGGTAGCTAAACGACCTCTTCTTTCTTGCCCCCAGCGGCCCTCCGGGGGCGCCCCCGGAGGGCCGCCGGAGGCAAACGGAAGAGGGACGAAGGGCCGTTCAGTTCCCTTCCAGACTTGCCAGGTAACGGATTTTCAAAATTGCCCGTTCAGCATCCCAAAGTTTCAACTATATGTAAACATCCCGGGGGGTGACATGATCTGAACTACAGCCATGAAAAGAGACTGCCTATATTTCCCTGTCGTCGAAAGTCCTCCAAACCTGACCAACCATGTTCCCGTGCACTCACTGAGTCCCCCTTGCCCAAGCAGTGCCATTGATTCTGCCTCTGTTAGAAGAGCGGCAGGGGTGAAACTGATCCGGTATCGGTTTACGAGGCGGACGAAAAGGCCCGAAACGTATGGACCTAAACAGAGGCGAGCTGGTTGCCTCAACCCGTCCCCACTTTCCATTCTAACCAGACCGCGTCACTACATATCTCTACCACCACCACCATCACCATCACCACCATCACCACCATCACCACCATCACCACCACCACCATCTTCACGGCATACAGAAGGAATCACCGCCAACTCGGAACGACAGCACTTGCGAATACCATACCAGTACCCCATACCAGTACCGGCATCCAACCCGACAATGGCAACCTCCACCGCACCACCAACACCACCAACAGACCTCCCAACCACCATCCCCCCAACCACAACCCACACGCACACGGTGATCTTCTTCCACGGCCGCGGCGGCACAGCATCCAGTCTCGCATCCCAACTGCACCACTAGCTCTCCTCGGAAGGCCACTCCCCGTTCACCGCGTTCCCCTCCTTCCGCTGGGTCTTCTCACAGGCCCCCACCCAGCGCTGCAGCAGTCTCCCCGCGACTTGGCCGCAGTGCTTCAACGTGCACGACACCTCCGACTCGGGCGCGCGCGAAGTTACGGTATTAAATGGGAGATGGGGCCGCGTGCTGCTGGCGGGGATTAGCATAGGCGCCGCGACGAGCGTGCACGCCGTGCTCAACCTGCCAGACATCCCATCCCAAGCCGGGGGGAGACTGGACGCCCTGCTGTTGTTCTGCGGGCGGTGTCCGTTTGACGGGCGGCCGCTGGGCGAGATGCGCGCCGTGCTCGGACTTGAAACAACAGGATGGGGAGATCTGTCGGCAGTGCTAAATGGTACGCCGGTGCTGCTCGAGCACTGCGCCGACGACCGAACCGTGCCCGTGGCCAACGGGCGGTGCATGCGCGACACGCTTCGTGCGTTTGGTGGGAAGGTCGAGCGGTGCGAGTATCCCGAGGGCGGGCACTGGTTCTGTTCGCCGCAGGGCATGGACGATTTCGTCGCGTTCGTCTGCGGGAATGTGCTTGGTGTGGACCTGCCAGAGGTCGCGGTTGACGCTGACGCCATGGATATGTCATGACGGTGTGGGTGTGGGTGGTTGTGATCGAGTGGTTTAGATGTGGGAAAGCAGTGTCATGCTCTCGAGGGATAGTTATGGTAACCGGAGGGTTAAACGGTAGAGCAAGTGGTTTATCAAACGGCGAGGTAGCAATAGACATCGTACGCTATAAATCACCAAAGAGACAAGATGGCAAGACGCGCTTAGTTAGTAGTATTATATACAGTATATTTGTAGAATTCAAACAAGAGGTTTTTCAGGTTTTACAGGTTCTACGTCTACCACCGGCAGCTCCACATCCGTCACCGGCAGATCCGGATTCAGCACCTTCACCACAAGGTCGCCGCCCCAAGGCGCCAACATCTTCTGGTACGTGAAGGTAGTGTCATAATCAACCGCCTGGACCTCCTCGATGCGGCGGGCGCTCTCGTCGACGACCTTGGCGAGCCACTCGGCGTCCACACGCCCACCATACAGCTCGTGCAGGGCGGGCAGAAGCGCAACATCACCGAGGCAGTACTCGACGACATCGGGGGCGATGGGGCGCACATCAAACCGGTTCTCGTCCATGAGGCGCTTGCCCTCCGTCTTTGTGCGGTGCCAGCGGTCGAGGTCGGCCGGCGTGAGCGCGAGGTCGCGCTTGATGCTCTTGCTAAGGCCGCGGATGAGCTTCCTGTTGCCGGCGCGCCCGGCGTTCTCGAGCAGCTGCAGGTCGGTGATGCCGCGCAGGCCGACGCCGTAGAGGGCCCACAGCGCGTCGGCGTCGCTGCGCACGTCCCACAGGTACTTTGAGATGGCGGGGTCCTCGAGGATGGACTTGAGGGTGGTGCGGCCGTCGCGCGCCGGCGTGGTGAAGGCGGCCTTGCCGAGCGTGAGCACGTCGATGAGCCGCGTGGTGCGCTGCGGGTACACGAGGCTTGTGATGAGCGAGACGGTGCCGTTGCGGGAGAGCGCGGTGCCTTCGAGGTCGAGGTAGAGTATGGACGAGGGCGCGATTGACGAGAGAAAGGAGCCGAGTGCCTCTTCGGAAGCGATGACGGTCTCGGAGGCGGCAGATACTGCTGCTAATGATGCTGCTAATGATTCTGATGCTGATGGCAATGGCGATAGTGCTGATGGCGATGGCGATGCTGCTGATGGCGATGGCGATGGCGATGGCGATGGCGATGACGATGCTGCCGATGAGGTGGCAATATTCCGCGGCTGCAACGTCGGTAGAGCGATTTGTTTCCTAAAGAGTCGTAATATAGATAGGCATGACGACTGAAAGGTCTGTGGGCGTAACATTGCGGATCCGGACGTCGCTACCAACGATAGCTTTGAATTGGAAACGGTGAGGCTGCAATGTGCACGCAACGTGAATCCAAGTGGGGGCGGAGCGACGTCGTGCCGCAAACTCTTTCCGAGATCTAAAACAAGACTTGCTGCCTCAGGCATGAGGATTAATTACTCATCACACCAGCCTCTAAGAGTTCCACTGTTAAATACAGTGTACGTACATCCCCTGACAACACATACCTAGCAATTCACTCGCAGCAAAAGATAACGTAAACTTCACATTTACAAGCAAGCGAATAACGCTATCGTTGTTGGTGCTATCAACACTACGTCAACTAGGCCAAAAGCGGAACACCCTAGAAGCGGAACATGTGTTGGATTCAGCACTTCAACTTTTTTTTCATTGATCTCCCTCCTTCTTCTTTTTGGTCCTGCCAGAGGGCCTCTATTATAGTTGTAAATGGTGGCAATGGTGGTGGCAAAAGTAGCCACACCAGCTGAACTGGCCACTTCATTTCAGCTCCCCTGAGCCTCTTTTCACCTCGGATGACCACACCAGAGCTCAGCTGGGATGAGCTCTATTCCACATGCAACCCTTGTCCATCTGACAATAGCCAATCCAACAACATGCCGGTGGCGTTTTTTTCGCCCGTATAAGCCAGGGACAGTCAACATTCGAATTACTACCGTTCAATGAAGCTATTCGCAAACAATACAGGACTGCGTCTCGTCGACAGGGCCTTCATCAGAGCTCTCTTCAAGGCCTTCCTGAGTAGCCCCGGCCTCAATCTGCGCCTGCCTGATCTTCGTGATGTCAACAAAGCGTTTATTCGGGTCCGTAGTGATAGCCTTCTTCTTTTTATTCTTTGCAAGCTCCAACTGCGCCCGCAATATAGCGACTTCGTGTTAAAGTAATGCCAGGTCGATGTCCTTCCGGCTGAAGCCTTTTGCGACCTTCTTGAACGGCTCCCGTCGTGCCCTGTCAGCCTTCTTCTCCATGTTGGATTTGGCTAGCTGAATCGTTAGGTCCGCTACCTTGTAGGGAGTCTTCCACATGCCCGGGTCCTCTATTGTTTTGGGGGGCTGCGGAGTAGTGGCGAACAGTTGGTCCGCTGCCGCAGTTGTGGCCTTCTTGACTCCATTCGCGTTTTCCAACAACAAAGGACTGCGTAGGGCCTTCTGCTTGTTCAGGGGCCACGACCCGGCGGCATGCCGCCTGACTTGCAGTTTTCCTGCCTCAAAGCAATCTCCCGAGCCTTGTAATAACACACAAGCATCGTCCTTTTGCCCACGAGCGTAGCCTCTGACTGTACGGTCGTTAAAGTCAGGAACTTTCTGTACAGTTGCTTCAGGGACGAGAAGACGCCCAAATCGAGAGGCTATACAACGTGCGATGCGTGTGGGGGCAGGTAAACAAGGTAGATGTTATTCAGGAAGTATAGCCACATGTAGTCGAAGGCTATGTGATTGTAGTGACCGTCAAGGACCAGTAAGCGGGCCTCTCTAGGGTTCTCCGGAGCCGCGCCCGGAATGAAGACATCGCGAAGCCATTCCAGGGCGATTTCGTCGTCGGTCCAGCCCTTTTTTGGGCGGCGAACTTCCATTCATTTCTTGAATGGCTTCAGCTCCAAAGGAAACCACTGTTGCTGAACCTTCTTCCCCTTGAAAATAACGCATGGTCGAAATGCCTGCCCGGCGGCCGAGATGCATTCGATGAAGGAGGTCCAGGTGCGGGCCCCGGGGCGATCTCTTGATCAAAATTTTATATTCCTTGGATCCTAGGACCATGCCGTTGCTACCCTGGCCTTCCTGCAGGCCTGTCTTGTCTTTATTCCAACGGTTCTCGGGCTTGATGTCCCTGACGGCAGGAAGGCCAAATGCTTGAACTAAACCTCCATTATTTCCTTCGTGGTACCGTTGAGCCTCACGGAGTCAACACGCTTCGCTCTTTGGGTAGCGATTTGAGGGTTTCTAGGCCGCTCGGCGCAAAGAGACGCCATTTTCGACCATTTCGAGCGCGTTCGACACGCACTCTTCGTCGTAGTCGCACATGATGATAATGGCCAGTCAATTCTGCGTCGAATGCAGTAGAAAAGAAGGAATTTGGAAAAGAGTTGAACACGTTGTGCGTGTTGAAGCCGTATGCGCGCGCGAAGGAAGTGGTGGCGTTGGTGGCTAACACGGCATGTTCTGCTTCCAGGGTGTTCTGCTTCCAGGGTGTTCTGCTTCCAGGGTGTTCTGCTTCCAGGGTGTTCTGCTTCTAGGGTGTTCTGCTTCTAGGTTCTAGGGTGTTCTGCTTCTAGGGTGTTCTGCTTCTAGGGTGTTCTGCTTCTAGGGTGTTCTGCTTCTAGGGTGTTCTGCTTCTAGGTTCTAGGGTGTTCTGCTTTTGGCATAGTTGACTTATCCCTTAGCATAATGTCAGTGCCAGCCACAGCCCATTCATTCACAAGCAAAGCAAGTAAACAACCCAGCATTGCTCGAGTACAGCACACTCGAGCCAGTCCCAGCCTAGGCGCTTTCAAAGTTCCACAGAAACTCGCGGCGCCTTGCAAGCTTGTCCCGTCCGTGCTTCTCCATCACCCTCGCAATCTCCCTCTCTCGAATCTGCTCCCACCGGCGTTCCACCCGCTCGGTGGCCGGGTCAATGGATATGAAGACGTCGTCGTCTCTCGGCGTCCAGACACCCTGCATGTTCCCGGGGAGCTGGCCGTCTTTTTTGATGAGTTCCAACGCCCGCCCCGCGAGGCCAAAATCAAACGGGTCCGGATCCAGTTTGATGGCTTTCACCACCGTCACCACATGGCTCTGCTTGTAGCCAAGTGAAATAAAATGGTTGATGGTTTCCATAAGGTCGAAATTCGCGCCGTAACCCTCGTCGTACCCGCTGGTATTGCCGGCGGCTGCACGGTGACGATTGCTGCCCCTGCTCGAGACACTCGTGACGGGGCTGGGCTGTGCAGCCTGGGCAGCCGGCCGTCGAGCTACCAGCCGACTCGAGACCACCCTGGGTGCGCTTTTCCCGAGCCCCAAAGGAGCTGATGCCTCACGGGCAGTCAAATGTCCGCTAGCGACTCGGCCTGCAGGGGTATCTGGCGTGTTTTTGGTCCAGGCGGTCGGCAGTTCCCGTCGCGTTGCCCCGGTTGTAGTGCTCGAGGAAACAGCTGCTGGGCGAGGAGCAACTGAGCGAGAAGCAGCCGGCCGAGCAGCTACCATTCTTTCAGGAGAAGTAAACCCAGAACTCGATGAAGTCTCGGAAGATACCGAGACTGCCCGCCGTGGTCGGGCCTTCTCGCTCATCCGCTTTTTCAAAGGAAGAGCCTGCGGCAGCGATGGCAATGCCTGGGCATTGGTTTCTGATCTGAGTTGCTGTGACAGGGAAGTGGAATCTTCTTCATCTAGGAAATGGTAGTCCTCCTGCCCCCCAAAGCTGAAGTCTTGCGTTTCTGGCTCGACCCTCGACGGCTGCAGGGCTGGCCGGTGCTCAGCAAAGTTGAAGTCCTGCGTTTGTGGTTCAATGCTCTTTGGGTGTGGGGTTCGCCGATAGCCGATAGCTTTCTGTGCCGTTGTCGGCGTGTCGGCAAATTTCACAGTTCGTTTGTTCGCCGAAACCGGGGTGCAAGGAATTTCCTCGTCCAAGCCGTACCGGCGTCGCTTTTCGTATCTCGGCAGAGCCGCGCTGCCCTCAGACTTTCTCTTCAAAACCCCCAGGAGCGGGACTATGGGTGGCGAAGATGCGAATCCAACCGACTCTGGACGGAGGCCGAGTTTTTCGGGGCCAATGTTGGCCAGGTTTTGAGGAACCTCGTCATCGCCGGCCCCTTCATCTTCGTCAGCCGTCTCATTGCCAGATGCATCATCGCCAGTTGCACCATCACCGGATGCTTCGTCATCGCCGGATGCCCCGCCATCCCCAGACTCCGCGTCACCAAACTCGTCATCGTCGGGCATGTTATCCATGGTTTCCTTCATCTCATCCCAGCATTCTTCAAGCGGCCCCAGATGCTCGTCGAAGGCGCCTTTCAACTGGTATGTCACGTCCGGGCTCTCGATCCAGTCAAGACCCAGGTTTTCGGCAACGTTTTCCCAGTCTCGAACCGCTGTAGACCCCTGACTCCTTACGGTTTGCCATAGGTCCCAAATATTCACAGACTTGCCCCCGATCCAAACATCTGGAACTGGGGTGGTACCGAGCAGCCTCTGCATTTCAACGAAAAGTATTGAGAATTGCTTCTTTTCGGTCAGTGGAGATGATGGCTGAGATTGAGTCTCGTGTGCGTGGCTGTCCATTATCGAGCGCTGGGGAGTTTCTGGGCCGTCAGACTCGTTTCCGGCCTCAAACTCGCCCATGTCGGGTTCCCCCTCGGGTACAGAAACGCCAGGATCCTCCATATCTGGCTCGACCTTTACGGAAGCTTCTTCGTCAATCTTTTCGGTGCCAGACTCGTCACCGCTGGGGTTTCTGCTGTCGCCTTCTTTGACCTCAGGTTCGGTGACCTCAGGTTCGGTGACCCCAGGTTCGGCGACCTCAGGACTAGGAGAATCACGTCCGCTGACATCATGAACATTCATACTGGGCCCGTTGGTTTCGCGCTCGACGGTTTCGCGGTTCTCGTCATCGCCGTCGGGCTCCTCGCTGCCGCTGTCAGAGTCTTCCTCGTCACTGCTGTACAAAAAGCGACGCGTCAAATAGCCTCTGGCCCTGGCCTGAAATAGGATCGTGGCTTGAATTTCGGGCTGGCTCTTGACAGCTTCCTGCATCTCTGCCTTATCCTTTCGTTTTTCCTTCCGAGCCCTCTTCAGCTCACGGAGCTCTCGAGCTCTTACAATGCCCGTGTTTGAGGGGGCATTGTTCTCATCAGCCACGTGTGCAGCGGGGGTTTCTCTCGCGGTCGCTGATAGAGGAGTAGAGCTTTGCCTGGGGTTAGGTCTGGGCGGCGGTACTCGGTTCAAGCCTGAAACACTGGCAGGCCGAGTCTGCTGATCTACTCTGTCCGAAATCGAAATAGGGTTCTCAGGGACGGAAGATGTCGAAACGCGCGGTTCGGTTTTGACAATTGGACACACTGTAACTGGAGGCTCGTCGTCGTCATCTGACGTATCCGGCTCCTCTGGCCTTGACAGGTGCCTAACCCATCTATCACGCCAAGAATGCATAGTGTGATGCGGATACTACCAAGGGTCAAATGGTGATTAGATTGAAGGGGAGGGTAGTCAGACTTACCTGATCTGCGAGCTCCTGGAAGATGATATTTCCATTTGGGCCTATTGGTCTTCCGCTCGCCCCCTTGCCGTTTTCCATTCTCTGGGTAACATAGCGGACGAGGAGTTCGTCGTCTACGTCGTCAAAAAACACCCTAGCTCGTTTAGTACCAGACGATTGGAATCCGGTCTTCGGTTGAGAGACTGCAGTCTCGTTGGTGACTAGCGATGCCCGGCTCTGATGCACAGGGGCTGGACGTGTTACCGAAATTGTAGGTGGCTGGTGTACAGGAGCACGGGTGGCATCAGCGGCTGAAGGATGGCCCGGAGATGGCGAGGCTGGCGGCGGCTTGTTCCAGCCCGGAATTTGATCTTCGGGAAGACCAGAGAATTTCTGGCGGAAACGGTCCTTCCAGGACTGCCATGTGTGGTGCGGATACTGTACATGGAGTTAGAGGGGCGAGACACGGCGTTTTATAGAGGAAGGCTATACCTTTTCTGCAAATTTTTGGTACATGGCGTTGCCGCCAATGCTTTCTCCCTGATCACGACACCGCCGGACCCAGGCACCTAGCAGCTCATCGTCCTCGCGGGTGAAGGGAGTCCGTGTTTGTTTTACAGGTGCAGTTTTAGGCGTAGGCACACTCGCTCTCGCCGGTGCACTCGCTCTCGCACTCGCCAACGCACTCACAGGCGCACTCGGGTTGTCAATGATGTAATCGTTGACATCGCAGAGGTCGCCCTTCTTGACCGACTCCTCGATGAATTTCCAAGACACAAATCCTTGGCCGCTAGGGACATCTTTACGGGCATGGTCGTGAATGCGAATATCGGCTTGCTTGTCCACGAGCACCACCTTGCCGCCGTTGCTCTGCGTCTGTTAGATTTCATACTCGGACTCGGCAGAAGAACAGAACCCGCCTTGATCAAACCGAGAATCCTTTGCCGCGAGGGCACGCGCTGGGCAACCCAGAAAGTTGTCCCCTCAAAGAGCGTTCCCTCGGTGTCGGCGGCGTGTCCATCGTACACGATGTGGGCAGGCATCGTCGCGTTTTGGTTGTCGGGGGGTTGGGCTGCCGTAACCCACTAAAACCCCACCGAACTCTCAAAAGCCCTAACCCGAACCCTACTCCTAACCCTGCAGCGGCAATGGAGTGGAGACGACAAAGAGACACGCGACGGGCGGGCAAAAGAAAAAGTACAGATGATAACATGTACAAAGTATCGAAGCGGGCAAGAGATGGTCGCCGATGGAGGTCGATGGTCGCCGATGGAGGTTGATGCGCTGTTGCTAGGGTTTGTTGGGGTTAGATGGCCAAATTTGGTTGTGGGACGGAACGCAACGCGGCAAGCTTGTAAAAGGAACGTCGAGAACTAAAGAAGAACCCCGAGACAAAACCTTGCGTCCTGCCTATTAGGTGGCGATCGAGGTTTTAAATGCCTGCGTGCCTGCGTGCCTGATTGCCTGCGTGCATGCGTACGTTGCTCAAGCAGGACGACGGGCGAGGTATGTTACCGACTGTTATTGATTGTGCTTTTGGGATTTCGCGGGCGTCGGGTGTGGGCGTGCCAGACAGGCGTGATGGATGTGACTCGCGTGACGTGGGGCGTCTTGGTTCCGCCTGGGTCGCGCGCTCTCACGGGACGGTGCTCCTCCCTCGTAAGCCTCCGGACCCACCAACACCTGCCACTACCCGGGGCGCAGCTGCCCACGCTCTAGGCACCTGGTGTCCCAGCAGCGGTAGACATGCTTGAAAGAAACGGACCACGATGGCAGTTGTTTTGCTGCTTAGTGCCCAGCAGACAGAAGTTTCGTTAGGCTTGTATCACAGGCTTTGCAGCCGTCAGGCCAGTTAGGCTCGGGCTGTGTCGGTGCGGATGAGCAGCGAGCGTGACATTTTCTTGCTTGCTTGCCTGCCCCTGTCAGCCCCAACGGGCTGAAAGTGGGACAAGGCCTGTCGCAGAGTCGAGTCTCGGCCTCGTCGCCTCAACTTGGCCAATCCTTTTCCCACGAGATAGCATTGAGCCATTCTCATTTTCTCTCTATCGATACGGCATAGCTCTCTCTCCAAAGCCTGGCATTTTGCATTCTACTTAAAGCCTACTCTATCCTATTTATATCTCCTGACGGGCTTCATCTAACGGCTTTGTTTGTTGGGGAACTTGAGAGGACAGAACATGCATGCTGTGGGTTTATTAGACCAACAACAACTTCATCTGCATCTACATCTCGCAGCAACACCACCACCATGGGCGCCGTCGCAACCATCGCCCTCGTCGTGCTGGGCATTGCCTTTATGATCTTCGTGGCCTTTTTCGGCCGCCTACCCGCACTCAGGTATGTACATGCATAACCCCTCTCTTTTAATAAAAAAAGAGATGTAAAAAAAGCACGAGTTCTGACTTTCTGTACACACAAAGACGTACCCCCATCGCCTGGCTGCACCGCTTCATATGGGTGCACGTGCCGGCCGGCGTGCTGGCGCTGGACCAGCGCGTCAGCTCGGGGCGCGTGACGTCGTCGTGTGCGCGGTTCGGCACGTACATCATGTACGACAAGCACCCGCTGGTGCTGGTAAGTCCCCCTGTTCGTATCCATCCCTCTCCAGCCCGGCCCACTGACTCGGTACGCACAGATCTTCTACTTCCTGCTCCTCTCCGTCGGCGAGATACTCTACCTACCCACAGCGTGGCCGCAGCTGGGGGCGGTGCACCGCGCCGCCGGCACCGTGGCGATGGCGCTGCCGTACGTGTTCCTGTACCTGGCGGCGTTCAGCGACCCGGGGACGGTAACCTCGGAAAATCACGGCGCCGAGATGTCGCGGTATCCGTACGACTTCGCGCTGTTCCACCCGGGGGCGGTCTGCGCGACGTGCCGCCGCCTCAAGCCCGCGCGCAGCAAGCACTGCAGCGTGTGCCGGCGGTGCGTGGCGCGCGCGGACCACCACTGCATTTTTATTAACAACTGCGTCGGCGCGCGCAACACGCACTGGTTCGTACTGCTGCTGGCCAGCACGGGTGCGCTGACGCTGTACGGCGGCGTGCTGGGCTTGTCGCTGATGGCGGCCAAGACGACGGCGCGGTACCCGGCGTGGCGGCTGGCGCCGTGGCGGTCTGGCGCGGGCATGGACTTTGCCGACTGGCTGGTGTGCTGGGGGTGGGGTCTGCAGGACGGCGTGGCGATGGGCGCGGTGACGCTGCTGGCGCTGCTGACGAGCCCGCTGGTGTGGGGGCTGCTGGGGTACCACGTGTGGCTGGTGTACTGCGGGACGACGACCAACGAGTCGATGAAGTGGAGCGACTGGCAGGCCGAGATGGACGAGGGCTTCGCGTTCAAGCGGGCGATGGCGCCGGCGGGGCAGCGCGCCAAGGACCTGCGCGTCGAGCCGGCGTGGACGCGGTGGCCGGCCGAGGCCGAGCAGATCCTGGTGCGCACCGAGAGCGGGCAGCCGCCGCGTCACCCGGCGGGCGGCCAGGACCCGCTACCGGGTGTCGGCGAGTGGGAGCCCGTGTGGCGACTCAAGGACGTCGAGAACCTGTATGACATTGGCTTCTGGGACAACATGGTCGACGTGTTTTTCCCCAACTTTTCGTTCCGCGACATCCATGAGCCTGTGGCTGAGGACAACGCGCGGAGGAGGGTAAGGAAGAACAAGGGGACAATGGGGGACGAGCCCGAGCCTCTGCGAAACTATTAGACTATCCAACAATGATTCTAGCTGCGGCGTTGAATACCATCTTCAATAATGTCTCAATCACCTCTACCGATGCCCTGTGGGCGGCCACGCAAGTGATCTTTCACGGCAGGGTATCAAGTCTATTTATATTGGTCTTTACAGTATTCCTACAGGATCATCTCGGGGGATACATATAATATACATGTACATGTACAATACACTTACAGTGAGCAACCCCCCTTCGCCTCACTGCATTCTAGAATAACTTCTCGTCTTCCTTAGGAGTCACCTGAGGTGTTGTGGCAGTCTTCCAGGTGATCTGATCAAACGGCACAGTGTCGCCCAGGGCCGGGCTCGTCTCTCCCGGGGCCGTTGCCACTTCCGATTCCGCAGCCGATGCTGCCACCTTCGACGTCCCAATCGGCTTCGGAGCCACCCGCTTGTCCTCCACCAGGCCGGCCAGCCTGCAAATTGCCAGACGAGTAGCGGCCACGCCGAAGCCGCCGCTCTTGGGGTCGCCGGCGCCCGTGACCCAGATCTCGCTCTCCCAGCCGTTCTCCGCGCCCTCGACCCAGCTGAGGCTCTCCTTCTCGATGGCCCGCAGCTCGTCCCACACGGCCATGCACATGGCGTCGATGGCCTTTTGGCGGTCCTCAATGGCGGGCGCGAGCTTGTCGGCCTTCGTGAGCACAACGGTGGTGCGCACGCCGGCGTCGCGCAGCAGGCTCAGCGCCTGGCGGTCGCCGTCCTTGATGCCCGTCAGCGCGTCGATCAGCACCACGGCCCCGCGCAGCATGGCGCGCCGCGACAGGTACTTTGCGATCTGCACGCCCCACTCGGCCTCCGAGTTGAGCCCGTAACCCGGCATGTCGAGCAGCACCAGGCTGTGGCCCGGCGGCTTCTCGGTCTGCTTGGCCGCTTCTCGCCGCTGGGACCGCGATATGCCGAACTTGCTCTTCTTGCCCGCCTTGGCGCCGCCGTCGGGCTGCGGCGCGACGCGCACCGGCGGGCCGAAGCCGAAGCCGTTCATGGTCTTGGTGCTGCCGGCGCGGGAGCTCGTGATGGCGAGGCCTGCGCGGCGCGCGGCGAGCCCGTGGCTGCGGCCGGCGATGGCGCCCTCGGCGCCGGCCAGCCCGTTGAGCAGTGTCGACTTGCCGACGTTGGACCGGCCCAGCAGGCACACTTCGGGCACGTACGTGTTCATGGGGATGTTGAGGAATCTGGGCGCGGCAAAGAGGAAGCGCGAGGGCTGGCCGGTGAAGACGGCTGTCGCGGCGTTGATGGAGGCGGGAGACGGGGGTAGGGCTTGTATGGTGTGCTGGTTGGGGTCGTTGGACGGGCACGGGAGGTAGGATAGGGCGGGTTCGGGGCGCTGGAAGGACTCAATGGGCTGGCGAGTTGTGGGTTTCGGCTCTGTCCCCGTCCGAGTCTTCGCGGCTGGTTTCTGGGCCGTCTGGGCCGTCTTCAACGCCGGCCTCGTCTCTGTTCTTTTTTCTATTTTCGTTGGGGGTGGCTTGGTTTCCGCTCTCTTCAACGCAAGCCTCGGTTCTGTTCTCTTCTCTACTCTCTTTTGGGGATTCTTCGTTTCCGGTCTCTTGGACGCGGGCCTAGTGTCTGTTCTTTTTGACCTAGCCTTGGAGTCTGGTCTCTTTGGCGCCGGCTTCTGTGGTGTTGGCTTGGCCCATGTCTTCGCTCCCCCCGACTTTGGCCCTGCGGCGTTTGCCTTCTTTGTGGCCGCGCCCGACGGTGCCCTCGTCTTTGGCCGTGCAGGCTTCGTTGCAGGCCGAGCGGGTTTGGCGTCGCCCGTGGGCAGGTTCCAGCGAGGGAAGGAGCAGGCGGCCGACGTCGACAGAAGCCGATGGCTGCAGAGGGCCCGCGCCCATGGCTGCGCCGACTGTCTGAGCACCAGACACCTCAGCGTCGGCAGCATGTTCAGGAAACTCGCCAGCATCTTTGTCGCTGCCATTGGAGGCGTTGTGTTGACGTTCCGGTCTCGATGCCGTCTTCTCCCCTGGCCAACTTTTTTTTTGGAGACTGCCGTTCGGCCAGCCAATCAAGGCTCGTCTCAACTCCACACCAAAACAAAACACATCCACTCGAAAAGGACAATATAAAAGATCATTAAAAACCTAATAAAAAAGGTGAAAAAAATATACAACACTAGGGATTTGCTGGCCACCACCGACCTAACTACTGATCTGGTCCTCATTGGATTGTCTATGCGAGAGCGGACAGGATCCCGAATTTTCCTATGAGTCCTGGTCGTAGGTGTAAAGTATGCCGAATTTGGAAGCCTTGATGAGTTCCGGAAAATGGGATAATCTCGTAGGTCACTCGTATATGGAGGCGGTACCAAGAACCCAGGATCCGCGGATCTAAGTATATCGAGGTCTATTAGTTCTACAAGCTCTATCTTTGCCACCTGTCCCAAAATAGAATCCTACTCTGGGATATAATCGCTGTCCTGGTCGCTAAGTTACATCTTGACTCTTTTCTCGGCTGCCTTAAACCGCTCCTCGTCTGATTCTGTGAGTTGCTGCGGTGGTGACCGAACCCTTGGCCGCTTCAGATGATTCTCATGCTGCATCTTCCTGCGCTCACGATCCCAGCGCTCCGCTCCAGCCTCAGCCTCCTGCACTATTTCGTAAAGTTGAGAAAACGAAATAGCAATTTCCCCGGGGATGTCATCGATTCTGAGGCAATCGGGCCAGTACCCAAAATCTTTGAGCCCGATGCGAAGGATCCGTTCCCCATCGACCAAACTACCATCCACTGCCCGACAGATACCTGTTTCCGTCTCAGCTGCTTCAAGTACGGCTTCCCCATCTTCCTCAATATATCTTGGTCGCCACACAGTGACCCTAGCTTCTTTTCCCTTCTCCTCCCAGTATTCAAGGTCAACCCCAATAACGACTTGGTGGGTCCGCCTATTTGAACCTAGGATGTAATCATCTGTAAGGAATGGCAAATCCTGTCGTTGTTGTGAATGGGAGACCTCCAAGATAACACATGCTGCCCCCGCATCTTTGTGCGTAAACGACCCGTCTGGGCAATGGGAACCACCATCACTCTCAATCTTGGGACTTCCTCTTGCGCGGGTGCCCCGAGCGAAATCGGCAGCGACTGGGTCGTTACCTCGCTGTATATCGATCAATTGCTCTATGACTAGGCTTCCGAATGCTCCGATAACGGCTTCGTGGATAGTACCCGACATTCGTAAGACGAACTTGGCGAGCTGAGGGAAGTAGTCGTACTTAATCAAACGTTAGCTAATGCGGTACCGGATAAATAGGCTAGCTAATTTGGCCAGCGGTAATCCCCTTCGGCTTCAAAGCGCGCCTCAAAAGCCTTGAACTCGTCGCGGCTGAGGCTGATGCACCACCACTTCTCTTCGACCTCGACTCGGCCACAGGTGCGATTGCGAATTTCGGCGATAATCTTATCGACGCCCGAGACCGGCAAGCCCACAGACGGTGTAGGGGAGTCGGGAGATGCTGTCTCTGGAGGTGTTGCCGGGTAGAGAGTCAGCTGATCGAGCTGGGTGATTGTTCGCTTTTCGGCCATGTGGGTGGATAGGTTCGATGATGATAATGATGATGATAGAATGTGTGTGCACCCAGGGCGATTGCAAAGGAGTAAGGCTCGCTTTGCTTGTTGGCGATGGAAGGAACAGGTGTATTGCAGGGCGATTGCAAGGAGTAAGGCTCGCTTTGCTCGTTGATGACGGAAGGAACAGGTGTTGCGGGGCGATTGGGAGGAAGGATTGGGGGGTTGATTGCTTGTGGCATGTGAAAGTGAAATAGAAGGGTTAGGGTTAAAGTTGCCGCCAACCCACCCCGAACCTCAAACTTTCAACAAGCTCCAGCCGTTTCCTTCGATAAGACAAGCTCAGCACCTTCAAGCTCCGAACCTCGCACCTACGCCCCGCCCCGCCTCACAAATCACCCCCTCACAACAAGAGAAAGAAAACACAGCAAACAAACTACAAAACATGGCGTCAACAGCCCCGCAGCCCGCGAAACTGCGCGCACTCTACAGGTCCCTATTCCGCGAGCTGCCACCACGACCCATCCTCTCCTCGCCGCCATCACCCCTCCACCAGCGGCTGCGCGACTCGTTCCGCGCACCCCCCTCACCTTCCAACAGCACGCCCACAAAACCCTCTACTGTCACAACAACATGGCCCAGCGCAGTCGCCGCCGCTGTGGCGCACGCGGAGCAGTATCTGGCCTACCTACGCGCGCAGCGCACGTACGCGGCGCTGCTGGAGCGGTACAACCCCGGCATGGGCATGGACGAGGAGGAGCGCGTACGGCTATCGGCGCGGCGGGTGGGGATTGATCTGCCGACGCCGTATGATGCTGATGCTGATGGTGCAGAGGGAAGTGGTGGGGGGGATAAGGAGGGTGGGCGGAAGAAGTGAATGATATCCATCCATCGTCGGTCTGTCCGTCTGTTCGTACGTCCGGTGTCTATGGGGGACAGACGTTTCCGCCCTGGCAGCCGGCTGTTTCTTTCCCGCTGCTGCCTCATTCATTATTGTTTTGCAACAATGACGTTTGGGGCTTCATTCATAAGGTCCAGCATTGAGTGGGCCTTGTGCCCGTGTTTTGCTTTTGGCGAGAGATATTCAGGCATGAGTCAACCAGGACAGAGACGGGCAGACATCCCGGGAGAGCGGCTTTGTCTTCTCTCGGCTTTGTTTGTCCAGTTTTTACATGGGACGAACTTCCGGAATCACTGGCTGCCGACGGGACAGTTTTCCGATATGGCCCTTTAAGGTTGGCTGTCAAGTCATCCGGGGCAACCTTGCCTGCCTGTAGAGGTATTCCTCTTGCAAGCTACGACATGGTTTAGCAGGCCCTGATATCCCACGCCTGTGTCTATATTTGTATATTTGCATATAACACCAGTGTACATATATTCTACTTATATTTATCCGCGCACTAATAAAAGACCCCTAAAAGACCGCAACGGCCTTCCGGGCGCAGCTTTCCTGTCTCGATCCCACGAGTCTCACTAGTAATCTGCTATTAACCACAATACTTCAAGACGGTGTATAGAAACCCGAACCCAGACGTTCTTTCATCCCATCCAATGTATATTCATCCGAATGTCACATTTCATCCCCGGTTCTGGAGGCAAGGTATGGAGAAGAAAAAATGTATATATCATGTAAATATATGGGGGGTATCAACAAGCAGCAACAACCGTGCACCAGCACCGCCATCAAACCGGCAAGGCCCGGCGATGATCAACAACAACAACAACTCCCGCAAACGCAACGCGGCTACGCTGTGCTTTATAGGCCTGCGCCTTGGACACGGCACTTGCGCCTGTGTCGGAATGTTTAGTAGGTAGGTAGGTAGCCAGAGAGAAGATAAAGGGGAAAACAAAGATGGGGAAAAAAAACTCCGGCCATGTGATGTGGTATGTGATGGATCCCGCTCAAAAAGACAAAACGAAATTCTACCCAGTCTGAGACATGGATGATATACCTGGGCTTCTCTTTCCGCCGCGGTTGGGTGGTGGATCTCGGACACAAGATTCTACACCCCCCCGACGCCGCCCTCCTCAAAGCTCTCGTCCCAGCCACCCGTCTCGAGCAGCCACCCACCAACGCGCTCCTTGGCGCCGCCGACCGTCTCGCCCAAGGCGCTGATCCACTGGTCCTGCACCACGCGCACCTTCTCCTTGAGGTCGTCGGTCAGGCGGCTGGCCTCCTCGGCCTTCATCTCACTCACACGCGCGCCGTCGCGGCCGTCGAGCTCCATGGCCTTGGTCTTGGCCGACACGCAGGCCTCCTTGACCTCGTGCAGCAGGCACAGCAGGTTGGTCTGCGACTCGATGAACTGGTACGTGCTCTTCTCGGCGTGCAGCAGCAGGCTGTACAGGTACTGCAGCGGGTGGTCGACGTAGCTGGGGTTCTCCTGGTACTCGGCCGACGGGATCTGGATGCGGAAGCCCTCCATGTCGGCCGGGATCTTGTCGAGCACGCGCTTCAGGGGCGGCGCAATGTCCCAGAAGGCGTTGAGCTGCACCTCGACGCCGCGCACCACCGTCTCCTCGACCACGTCGCGGAACTCCTGCGTGCGGTACAGCACCTCCTCGGCGTACGTCAGCGCCCGCTTGGCCGCGTCCTCGGTGAAGAAGGCCCGCGCCGACGCCACCTTGTCTTCCTGGTTGGCCAGCCGGTACGGCACGAGCACCACGTCGCGGTACCGGTCGTTCCTATCCGACAGCATGTCGTAGAGCGCCCGGTGCAGCGTCTCGCGCGCCTCGAAGATCCACTTGAGCAACGTCAGCTTCTCGAGGAGCTCGGGCTGCTCGTCGCCCTCCTCCTGCGGCAGGTTGGGGTTCGACTCGTGCGTCTCGTCAAACAGCCGGCTGCGCAGCTCGTCGAAGAGCTCCGTGGCCTTTGTAATGCGGGCCTGCAGGATCTCGTTGACGGGCATCACGACGACGGTCTGGAAGTCGTCAAAGACCTTCTTCTCCAGGTCCCGCATCTTGTTGTTTTCCTCGTCCTTCGCGTCGGCGTCAATGGCCGCAGCCTCCGAGTACCCGATCCTTCCAGTTTCGATTTCCTGCTGCAGGTTCTGGCGCAGTGCCTGGCGCCGCTGTTTCGACGCCTCGGCGGCCTCGGACCGCACCTTGACACTGCCCTGCTTGAACTGCTCCTGGATCTCCTCCACCTCGGTCATGTCGCTGATCACGCGGACCGAGTTGCGAGTCTGTGTTAGTTCCGGGTGGTTGTTGTTCACGGCAGGGTGGTGGCGCGGGTATGGCGGCGGCAGCGTCACCAACCGCGAGACGTCCAGGTGGGCCGGGTTCGGCGTGTTAGGGGCCGATGCCACGGAATGGAGCGAACTGCGCGAATGGGCCTGTGATGAGCTGGCTTGGTCCGAGTGCTCGTGCCACCCCGTCTTCTCGGGCGGGTAGTCGGACGACATGTCTTGCTTGCTAGAGCCAGCCACAGGTGACGTCTGGGGCTGAAACTCGTCGATCCACTGCAGGGCCTCCCGGGCTTCCTTAGGAACGCCCATGTACTTGGATTCCCGCTTTGACCTCTCCATCTTGGAAGATCCGCCGCCGTCGTTGGAGTCGGCCTCCCACCACCGGCTCGCCGGCCGTCCTCGAGAATCCTGCTCGTCCAGCGCGTCGCTAACACTCATGCTGAGGATGGGTGACAGCGAAGGCATGTAGTTCGACGACTGCCAGTTCGAGTTGCTCGGCCCGGCGGCAGGAGAGGGCGAGTTGGATGACGACTGGCCGTGGCTATTTCCGGCACCACCGAAAGCAGAGCCAGCCGAGCCCCGGTGAGACCTGGGCTCAGACGACTGGGGTGTCAGCTCTGCCGTTCCGCTAGTGGCCGAGTTTACCGACTCGCGCCTGACAGCAGGCATAGGCCGGAACACATCGCGCGTCAGGTCGAGCACCTCGGACCCCATGGCCCCGATGGCCACCCCATACCGCTCCCTCCGTATCCTAGACTCGCTGACGAACAACTCGGCAAACAGCCGGACTCGCTCTGCGTCGTCGGCGGCAGCAGACTCTCGCTGGGCAAAGAGGGTGAAGCGGTCGATGGTGCCGCGCGCGAACTGGTCAGTGGTCTGGCTGATGACTGCCTGCTTCGTCGGGTGTGGCGCCGGGGTGATCGGCGTAGGAAGGGCGATCTCCTGGGATGATCCTCTCTGGGAGCCCGATGACGACCGGCTTCCGGTCGGGGGCGTGGGAAGCGCCTTTGGCGCGAGAGCGTGCTGCAGCTCTGGAAACTTGTGCGTCCGCGGCGAATGTCCCGTCGGCGTCTCGTGGCCAGCGTGGGCCTTTCCATTCCCCCCAGCCCGCGGGGTCGAGCCCCTGGACTCGAGGCTCTCGAAGGATTCGGCAGTCCGGGGTGTCTCGCCGGTCCTGGCTCCTCCCGTCCGCGGTGTGCCTCTGTTGATAGTCAACCGCCGCGTGAGCCCTGCGGGATTTGGTGGGATCACGATCTCAGTAAGAGGCTGCGTCTGGGATGAGGGCGTGGCCGCAACTATAGATGAGTCAATAGAGTCGTGGACGCCCACTCTTGTTCGACTCTCGCTCCGCCGCTCCCGCAGAGTTTTCTCCATTCTCTGTGCAGGGCTCCTAGCCAGCGAGCCAGCCGAGCTCGCAGACGACACTGCCGAGTCGGGGTGCGCACTCGAGCTCCCTACACTCGACGTCTCGGTGCCTTGCGAGGCCGGGTTATTAGGCGACTCGGGCTGGGGTTGTGGATTTGGGAACTGCTGCAGGTTTGGCATGTTGTCGCTTTCATGCCAGTTTGCGGGAGTCAGCGGGACAGGCCCCAGGGCGGCGATACCGCTCGGGGGAGGCCTGCGTGTCGGCGGCGACATAATCGGTTCGCTCCCTCCCGTCATGCGCTGCACACTCTGAGAGCGGTTCGAGGCCGGCGGGGGCCCAGGCGGAGGGGGCGGGACCGGCACCATAGGGTCCCACCTAATCTGGGACGAGGACCGTGACCTTGCCGAGGTTGGCGTGGCTATCGCGGGCGTCGAAGCCGCCCGTCTCGCTCCTGGAGCCATGTTCTGGGGCGAGTCCGCGTCCATCCGCGGCTGTATTTGGTGGGGTATCTGGAGTGTTAGAGGTGCGGGTGCGGCGTGATGGCCCGTCATGACGCGAGACATCATGGCGAGTGGGCGAGACTGCTGGTGTGGGTGAGCCTCAGCAGAAGGGCTTTGTTGTTCTACTTCTCGCCGTCTTCCCAGGGCTCCGAAGCCAAACCGCCTCTCCCGGGAGGCGCCCCTTCCGCCCGGAGGAGGCGGGAAAGACGTAGTTGCAGATTGTGGCTCAGGCACTGGCCTTTGCATTTGCATTTGCACCTGCTGGGGCGGAGGATGTGGACTGCCACCGGCCATACTTGGCGATGGCGCCTGGTCATACACCATGCTCATGGGCCGTCCATTGTGGGGCGGAGAGTATGGCGGCGGAGGTGGAGGTGATGCTTGGAAAGGGGTCAACTTCTCGCACCAGCATTATATCATCATGTGCCAGGTTCGGCAGCTACTCTGGAGCAACAAGTTGACTTACCTTGGGGTTCTGCGTACGACTGGGCTTGCTGGAGATACATGACCCGTTCGGTGGGCGCAGCCGTGTTCGGCGAGGCAATCCATTGTTGCGGGTTGTAGGGATGGAGCGCGCTCACGGGGGTCTGGCTAGGCGGCATCCCCGACGAAAGACCCGACGAGAGCCCAGACGAGAGCCCAGACGAGAGCCCAGACGAAAGTCCCGACGAGTGGGCGCCGTGCGAGCTCACCGACATGGCCGAGAGCGGGGTGCTCGAGTTTGTCGAGTTCGCATGGCCATGGTAAACCCCTAGCGACGCCGTCAAGAGGGGGTTCAATCCGGCGCGGAGTCGCGCAGTTGGGTCTCGCGACGAACTCATCATGAATGGCGGCATGTAGAAGCCCGGGGTGCCGTCGTCCGTCCCAAGACGCTCCCTCAGAGCAGAGAAGCCTCGCGGCGGCGGGGCGCGCGACCGGCTCTCTCTCTCTGTTCCTTTCCCTTTCCCTTTCCCTTTCTCTTTCTCTTTCTCTTTCTCTCTGTCAAGCGTGTCACTATCTCCCCGGACTGCCTCGAGCCGGCACCAGAGACAGACCTCGCTGGCCTCGTCACCACGCCATCCACAGCCAGGCCAGCCAGGGGGGGTCGTCTCGAGTTGCGGGGTTGGTTGGCGTCGTTCACGTCTGGTCCATCACCGGAACCAAGCCGACCAGAGCGCCGAAGAGTATCGTTTCGATGCTTTGCCTACAGTATCTCCAAGGCAGGTCAAGTAGGTTAGAGGTCCAAGGTGGGCGGGGTGGGCGAGGTGAGGTGAGGTCGACGGTCTGAAGCTCACTCAACGTTGTGTTGTCAAGCTGCCGGTCGAAGGCGCGGCTCAGCAGTGAAATCTCGTGCGGCGTGCGTGGTGTGAACAAAGTCGGTCGGCCGGGAGTGCGGTGCGTGGTGTGCTGTGCTGCCAAAGATAAAAAGAGGGATAGATTGGATTGCCCCAGGCCCGGAAGGGCATGGCAGGGGAGCGAGAACAGGCTATGGTGCAACCAAACACACCCCGGTCATGTACATTGCATTGTATGGGGGGTGGTGTATACCACCATGTACTGCTTTAGTATGTAGACGACACGGCCAAGATGAGCGAGGTTGTGTATGTAATGTATCGCTGGTACGGATATTAACTGGTCTAACCCCCATGCAAAATGCGGGAGCCGGCCTCCCGCGTTAAACTTGGCCAAGCGAACGACCTGGGGACGGGACCCCCTGGTGTATGCAGTACAGTACCGTACAGTACTCGTGTTTCATACACGACCAGCAGTGGACTGCTCAGTAGAGCCTCGAAGGGCCTTCTATCTTTCGAGCCTCGATTTACTTGGTCGGCTGTCCTGTCCTGCAGCAACACACGCAGCAAATTGTAAACATGCAGCAATGGCAGACGAGACGGGCATGGCACACGCTCCCTGCAACTGTTGATCGAGGGTGCTTACATACCGGGAATGTGTGTATACGATACAATACAATCGTATGCACAATACAGATTTAGGTGCCTCGGGTCTGTGTGTCTGGTTCAGTGGACGAGTCACTCGTGGGCCGAATCCGATGCGGCAGCATGAACGAGAACGTACCTTCTCCGTCCGGCTCTCGCACCTTGCTCCTCGCCCCAGCACGCACGCACCACAAGCAGCGCGCGCAGCGTGGGTACTCTAGGTGGCTAGCTAGTCAAAGTCGTCCTTCCGCCGCGATAAACTCGGCGAACCACAACTCGAACAATGCGGCCTCGGCCTCGCCCCTGCCAATCGTGCGAGACCCCTCCACCTCCACTGAGTGATCAGGCAAGGGACGCACTCGCAGTGACTGCACCATGCAGCGCCGAAGAAGCTAACCCCGGTGCAGAGCTTGCTCGTGCTGCAAGACAGAGACCTGCAGGCGTAGGCTCGACCACGCTCCAGGATCCTCACCTGTGGGCTAGCTGTTGGTGACAGGCTCCTGGGCACGGTGGCACCAACAAATGCAATGTGAGGGGCATAACTGGAACCAGACATTCAATATATTCATCAACTTTCTTCTTTTCGGCCTCCGTCCAGTAAGCCCTTCGGCGTCGGGCTGAGGACCCATGCAGGGAAAATCGATATGGGGTCCATTCACGGCGGTCACGGCCCGTTAGCATTGACAAACCCACTGAAAGGGAAAGGAGAGAGACCGCGGGCGGCGTCTATAGCTGTTGAGCCCCTTGGCCTGACCTGACCTCGAGCCCGCCCGCAATCCGCATCCAGAAGGGGCAATCGAAGCCAAGGAGGAGAGAGGGGGGCCAGGTGCAAGTGCACACACCCAGGCCAGGCCAAAGGGGGTTGAAGGGGCCGGACAAGCCATGATTGGTCCGAACCGAACGGTGTGCCGACAATCTATTCTTGGTTGCGGGCAAAAAGTGCATTCCCGCTCCTGATTCGTCGAGCCCCATGCCATACCTGTGATGTGGCTGCCGGCGCTTAGCCCCTGGCTGTTGCCGACGTTGTGATTCGACTGCTTCTCTTGGTCCTGTGTGCTGCATTAGCGGGGAGGCCCCACCAAGACTCTTTGCGGCCCCCCCCTCGTCCATGTCACCCCTCCACTCCTGTCACCCACCTTCCAAAGTCCAGTGCCTGGGCAGCAACAGGCAGCCCGCCGCCCATGGGAAAAAAGGCTTTTTTTTCTCGACAGGAGATCTGCTAGACCCATTCCGGTCCTTGGTATCCGTCACTCTCTCTTGCCGTTCGATGCCGCTCTCGCCTTCATGCAAACACTGTCGGCCCTACAAAATAATGGCCACCAGGGACCTAGACGCTCGCCTAATCGCGGGTTCAGCGCATCGGTGCGTCGAGTTTTCTGGGGCGCCTTGGCACCAAGACAACATCAGCCGATTCTTTGAGGACACAGCAATAATTTAGAGGCATCTCCAGACTCCAACCCCCCAATGCGACCGCTCGGCCGGCCGACCCCGGGCGACCTAGCCCGCATTGGCCCAACCTCTGGCCTTCTTGAGCGCGGAACGACTGGCAGTTTTACACTTCCTCCGGGGTAATACATGTTAGCGTGGGAAGGTGGCAAAGTTAGTGATTAGCGATATTTCCCTGGAAGATACTAATAGGAGGCAACGTCCCAAGCTAACATGCATTTCCCCGTTAGAGGTGTACTCTGTATGGAGTTGTCCTACCCACTTCGTAGTGGCCTCTGCCTCTTTTGCGAACAGCACCGGCGACTTTCAACAGCTCAAGAGTGCGACAGAGGGTGAAGAAGGCGACCAGTATTCTGTAAGAACACCTGAAGCGATCCCCTTTGCCCCTTTTCTCCTTTGAACATGCCGCCCATATCGTCCCGCCGCTGTGCTCTCTCTGTTATTATTAGCACCGTTGGTACGGATACATACCAATGGATACATACAAGATAGACCCCGCCGTGGTGCGCGTCGTGGGTTCGTCTTTATGAGGAGCCCCGCACAGTTGAGTGTTCACTTTTGAGCGAATGAAGAGATTCACGTGTCGAGCTGTGCAAGGGCCAATAAGACGCGAGATCACGCGTTGCCCTTTCCTTGCGCACACTTTAAGCTCTTTACAACTGCGGAGCCCCTCCCCACATTTTCTCCCGATCGTGGGAGGTCGTCGATGTGATGAGATATTTATAGAGTCCTCCACCCCTCGTCAGTCAGCTTTGTTTCTACCCTGGCTGATTGGCGGTCAAATATCCTTTCCCTTCTCTGGTGAGGTAATCAGATCCGATGCCCGTTGGCTACCTTACGGTTTGCTGATTCGCTTGCTTGCTTGCTGCCCAGCAGACCTCACCTGCCTCGAAATACCCATATCACACACATTTTACACCCCATGTGTTGTTAGATTGCATCCCCGAATCTAGGTAATATCCGTGGCGTTTTTGCCTCGTTTGCTGGCTCAAAATAGTTTCATGGCGACGGGCGTGTTTCTTTGGCTCTCGGCCCCAGTGATGAGTGATCCCGAGTTGCGCTCGCCCCGTCCGTGATCCCAAGCGCGCTAAACGCTTGACCGACACCTTGTTCAGTGTCCGCCGACGGATATTGTGCATTTGACGCGCCGGGAGAGGAGCGCTCCGGGCTGCCTTATTGAAAGGCTGCTGTTTTTGGCATCGCGCTTATTTGTTGACACGGGCAAAAATAACCTGTCACCAAACCCGCTGTCGAAAACAGTGCAACGGTACGGAATACAGGTATCGGTAACACAGTCACGAATCCTAAAGGTTCTTGGAATTCCACCCAATTCCGCCCAGTGGTAGCCGCGGCACGCCCTGGAGTCATCAAAACCAGGAATCTTGGCAGCCGTTTTGGTATGTACGTCGAGCCCCAGGCGAGTGGCGCTCCCGACAACCGACTCGCCCCTGGCCGTTTCTTTCTCTAGCGGAAGCCGTCCGCACCCCGCGCCCCCCCGCGCGTGCCATCCTGGAAGACCAGTAAATATCCAGGGTTTGAGTGAGCGAGCGGGAAAGGGTGCCGGCCGTGTCCCACCAGCAGTCACCGCCAGTGGTGGGTGGCGGCAGCATTAGTAACCGCCAGGCCGAATGCATGTATGTCCTCGCACACATCCAATGCTCCGGCTCGATACGCCGCAGTGGACAATGCGCGGAGTTGCGAGATAGGCGACCATAGGCTGTGGCGGACACCCCAATGGTGGAGATTTCAAGATGTATTAGCTCACTTGTGACAGTTTTGGTTATTTGTGGTTTCCTCGTCTTAGAGCTGATGCAAGTTGTGACAAGCAAAATCTGTGCCGATAAGCAGCAGGAAGACTATTTCCTATGGAACTGTCCCAGCGTCATTATGATGGGCTGTCCTTGAGTCAGCAGGCATTTGGGATTGGCAATCGTTTGGTCATATTAAACCTGTCGCCATGCACCTTGACATACGTTAACTTGCTTGGCGTCGAGTCGGGGAGGCAAAAAGGGGCCATCCCAAGCGAGAACCTCACTGTGTCAAGACCAAGTTCAGCACAGATAGAAACCGTGCTTGTTCCAACAATTGAAGACTTCTATGGCAATGGCAAAAGCGTAGAAAATATGGACAAAATTAGCCATTATAAAAGGTAGCTTGGCTATTAGAAACTCCGACGTGGTTTAATCACGGTATATGAAGGCATAGTATACTTGTTGTTCTGGAAAGAAAATCTCAGCATTGGTCAGGGTGGGCTCTTGAGTCTCGGCAACAATGGCTTTAGCAAACTCGCGGTCTGGAGGGTCTACTACGGTATTGTCTACGATGGCCTTCTAACACCGCGCAGTGAATGTTAGTAACAGATACCTATCTCTTTACCTAGGATTCAAGGAGGTGAATAACAATTATCCGGAATAGCGAAGAGGTCTTAGACTGCTCTGAGATGGCACAGGAAGCTGCAAATCAACGGCGAAGACAAACCTTGTTGGAGACAGCTTGAAGACTCAAGGCCGCCCCGCTTTGATTGCCCCGCTCGGACCGCGGCCGGGTGGGCGGTGGGAGGGGGGACTGAAGGCGGTCAGCCTTGTGCGGAATACTGCCCAAAACGGAGCCTGGCTCGGCTTCTAGAGCTTTCCAAAGCTCTGCTCCTCTTCTCGACTTTTCTTCCTACATCTCTGCGACTCTTCACATTCTTCTTCCTCTTTTAATTTTCCCAACAACGTCAACTCTTCAATTCCCAAAAGGTAAATTCCCAATCTCCTCCACCACCGTTTGCACACCCCCAATCTGCTCCCTGATGATTGTTCAGCTGGCACCAGTCATAGGCCGACTTGTACTCCCTCCTTTGATGACTACGCTGCGGTCCACGAGACCATCTCTGATCGCGCTTCTTTCACACTCTTGCACGTCGCATTCAAGCTTTTGCAGACCAATTCGCTGACAAAGAGTGCAGTCCGTATTTTCCATAGTATCTTGCGCTTCTGCATCCGTCAGGCCGGACCGCGTCACAATGGTGTTGCACAACCCGAACAACTGGCATTGGGTCAACAAGGACGCCTCGGAATGGGCAAAGCAATGGCTCAGTGATAACCTGACGATCATTGAGGCCAAGGATGGAGATGTGACTGCCAAGATTTCCAAGGTCATCAGCATGGACGGGGATGTCGACGTGGCGCAGAGGAAGGGCAAGGTCATTACGATTTTTGATGTCAAATTAACTCTGGAGTACACAGGTACGTATTTCCGTAGAATAGAAGCTGCCTTGTCCCTCGTCTTCCCTGCGCACCGCGAGATCCCAGATTTTCCGTTCCATGTAAACCAAGCTCGAGGCTAAAACTCTGCTCGCATGGTCTGTAGGTTCCACTGCCGACGAGTCCGAAGTATCGGGAACCATCACCGTGCCCGAGCTCTCGCACGAGCTGAGCGAGGATGAGTTTGTGGTAAGGTTCCAGCATGTACAGTGTTGATATTCTACCGTGAATCGTCAAGCTAAGAGGCATTGCCCGCTCCAGTTCGAGATCGACATCTACTCGGATGCCAAGGAGAAACAGCCTGTCAAGGACCTAGTCCGCTCCAAGATTGTCCCGCAGCTCCGGAGCCAGTTCCTTAAGCTCATGCCAGCCCTCGTCGCCGAGCACGGCAAGGACATTCAGCACGCGCCGGGGTCCAACCCATCGAGCGGCTTCTCGACTCCCAAACTCCACGTCCCGACGTCGTCGGCGAAGGCGCCGACGCCCGCCACGCAAACCAACAGCGGCAGCATTGTCAACACCACGACGGTGACAGACAATGAGGAGTTCCGCACGACGGCAGCCGAGCTGTACCAGACATTTACGGACCCGCAGCGCATTGCAGCCTTCACCCGCGCGCCGCCAAAGGTGTTTGAGGGGGCAAAGCAGGGCGGCAAGTTCGAGCTGTTTGGGGGCAACGTCTCGGGAGAATACCTGGAGCTGGGGGAGCCGACCAAGATTGTGCAGAGTTGGCGCCTAAACCAGTGGCCGCAGGGCCACTACTCGAAGCTGAAGATCGAGTTTGACCAGAACGACGTGGACAGCGTCACCATCATGCGCGTCGAGTGGACCGGCGTTCCCGTAGGCCAAGAGGACGTCACCAAGAGGAACTGGCTGGAGTACTATGTCCGGAGCATCAAGCAGACATTCGGGTGAGTGCTGTCTGTCTCTGTTACACAAATGGTCCTTCGCCGGACATTGCTAACCCTTGCCGTCAGCTTCGGATCTATTCTTTAGAGATTCGAGAACGAGACAAATGGGATGAGAGCGCGGCGTTTTGCTGGGAATTGGCTAGTAGGTTAGTTGTAAGCGAGCATGAACGAGAGACACTAGATGCGAATAGATGGTTCTACCTTCTGAGCAACACGGGATGTAGTAGGAAAATCCGCGTTGCAGTGCCCGACACGAGGTCACGAAATAACAGCATGTATTACACAATACAATGGATAACGGAGCGTTGCTGCGGCTCCCCAAATGCAAAAAGCCTTGTTTTGGCTATTCTGCCTCGCCAATACCCCCCTTGTCCGATCTTAATTCCGTCCACCAACGCCGTGAGACAAGACACCGCCGCCGCCGCTTCCTTTGCGGCCCACTCTGTTGGCGGGGTTGGTCACTTACTGAGAAAGAGCTCCAACAGCCAGCCTCGTCAGACATCGTCGCCCTTCCTGCTTCAAGACTCATAAACACAGCCGTCTCGCATCCAACTTCTAGAGCTGCGTTCTGGGCCTCTCTTTTTGTCTTTGTCTCACCGAACAGAACGGTGTTTGTGCAATACATCATGGCTCCAAAATACAAGATCGCTCTCATACAGCTCCAGCCAAAGGTTAGTAATGATGTCATTGGCACCACCACCCGAGACAGGTCATGATCATGGCGCTGTTGTTTTGCCCGTCCACCTCGAGCGCAGCCCGTATAATGCTTGCTATCCCACCTGCGGTCATATTCCCACCCCCCCCCCCCCCCCCTCTTCCCCTAGTTTAGGCCTGAAGCTAACATCCCCAACCGACATCAGGATATCGACGTCAAAGGCAACTTTATCAAGGCCGAGTCGTACATCCGCAAGGCAGCCGCGCAGGGTGCCGACCTCGCGCTGCTGCCGGAATACCACCTGACGTCGTGGTGCCCCGAGCACCCAGACTTTGTCTCGGCGTCGGCCGAGTCGGCTGCCTATCTCGCGCGGTACCAGGCGCTGGCCACAGAGCTCAACATCAACATCGTGCCCGGCACCATCTGCATGCCGAACCCGCCCAGAGGAGACGGCTCGGCCGCCGGCGAGGAGGGCCGGGGCGGCGGCGGCGGCGGCGGCGGCAGCAGCGTCGTCGTCAAGCTGCCCGACGGCACGCCCACCGAGCTGTGGAACATGGCGTACTGGATCAGCGCGGGCACGGGCGCCATCGCCGGGTCCTACCAGAAGAAGAACCTGTGGCACGCCGAGCGCCCGCACCTGACGGCCGGCTACGCCGCGCCGCACCGCGCCTTCGACACGCCGCTGCGCCGCGCCGACGGCACTTCTGTGCGGGCCGGCCTGCTCGTGTGCTGGGACCTGAGCTTCCCCGAGGCGTTCCGCGCGCTCGTGGCCGACGGCGCCGACTTGGTGGTCGTCGTCTCGTGGTGGACCATGGACGAAACCAGCGGCCCCATGCTCGCGCTCAACCCAGCCAGCGAGCGCGTCTTCCTCGAGGCCGCCGTCGTCGCCCGCGCGTGTGAGAACACGTGCGCCGTGGCGTTTTGTAATTCGGGCGGACTGAGCCAAGTCGCTATGCCTATTGTGGGACCCGGGGGCGGTGCGGTGGCCGGGGTTGATACGGAGGAGATGCGTGTTGTGGAGGTCGACTTGGATGTTCTTCGTGTCGCAGAGGACTGGTATAAGATCCGGAGTGACCTGCACAGCCCCGGCTGGCACTACGGGTATACCCTGTACAAGGACAAGGATGGGGTAGAGGGGGATGGGAAGGGTGATGCTGTGGCGTGAGTGGGCAAGTCTGCTGTCGCCAGGAGAGGACTTGGAAGGAAGGAAGGAAATGCGGTGCATGAGGGAGGGGTGGGGCCTGTTTGCCTCTGGTCGGGGAGTCCGTGTCGGCGGGCTGTGTGGGCAGGTAGTTGCTTGCTGGCGGTGAAGATGATGTTGCTAGATGTTAGAGGTTGTCCTTCTCCTGTCCAATTGGTATCTCTTCCGGTATATTCGAGTCTGGATCGTATAGTGCTACTTGTCACTTCCTCGGCGGTTTCTATCGATGAAAACAGTGAGCTGAAAAATAAGTAGTTATAAATTTCCAGGTATATTTTTAAGGGTTTGGGTCGGTATCTTGTTTCAGGGGCGAGATCTTGTGGACAAAGGACGGCAGGTGTGAAAGTCATAGGACTGGTTTCTGTGATAGGTAGATAGTTAGGGATGTAGCGTGAGGGTAGCCCCGTGAGTGGGCAAAGCTTACTTGCTGTCACTAGGAGAGCAATTGCCAGGAAATGAAGTGTATATTCGTAGTGTTGGTATACTGTGCTAGGGTAGCCTATAGCCCACAGCCTATACAAGTAATACTGATGCCCAGACCTCCAGGCAATAGGCGTCTGTTTTGTCTATTGGTGCAGCGGCAGCTTACGATAGTATTGATATACTCCCTGCAGCCCCTGGCGCCGTCGAGTGAGTGACTATTCTTAGCCCTATTCCGTGCCCGGCCACGTACTTGCCATAAAAGTCGCGGTGCAAGTCCGTCAACGCAAGACCCCATCAAACGCCCACTATATTCCCGTCTTAGACCAAGCCCGGTATCCCGCTAATGCCGTTGCTCGTCGCTCCTTCTCGATATCTCCGTTGATATTTGTGGCTTATTCTTCGTCAGCTTGTAACATATCCGCAACTCGACTCTTCTCAACGCGTAGATAGGTAAAGCACCTAGGGAGGTAGGGTGGTGCTTACATGTCGCCCCTAGGGGCACCAACACAAGCTAGACGATCCCGCCCCAGGCCGGCGACCCAGCTACTTCGGTTTAAACTAGACCTCGCGCGCACGCGAAGGTGGTAGGGGCTGCAACCTGCTGTCGTATTTCGGCATGTTGTAAGGGGCGTTAGCGTTGCGGTCTTTTGCCTCGTTTTCCTTCTTTTCCGCTTCCTTTTTCTTTCGGCTTTCGGCGCGGCGTGCGGTTGTGCGCTTGCCTCCAAACCAACCGGTCAAAGGCATAATAGTGACTATGAGAAAGTGTGTAAATATGCTGAAGAAAGAAATGCCAAAGATAGTAGAGGGGGCAAGCTCTATTGCATCTCTTTTTCTTTTCTCTTGGCCGGGGAGTTCGTGTCGGCGGGCTGCGTGGGCAGGGAGGTAGTGCTGACCTTTGGCTTGTTTGCTGGCGGTGGGATGGTAGTGCGGGATGTTGGAGGTTGTCGTTTCCGTTGGATATGTCTCTTTCGGTATAGCCGAGTCTGGGTTGGATAGTCCTGCTATTCGCTTCCTCGGCGATTTCTATCGATGAAGGAAGTAAGTTAGAAAGAGGTGCTTGCAGATTTCCAAGCCCATTTAAAGGGATTGGGCCGGTGTCTTGTTTCAGGGGGAGGTCTTGTAGACGAAGGACGGCAGGCGTGGAAGCCAGGGGACTGGTTTCTGTGACAGAGAGTTAGGCATGTGTCGGAGAGGCCATGTTCTTCTGGCACAAGATCCGTCGCGGCCTGCACGTAGCCCCTTGAGTAGACAAAGCCTACCTGCTGTCACCAGGAGAGCAATTTTCAGGAAATGCAGTGCATATACGTGGTGCGGTGGAATACTGCGCAGGGATAGTCTAAAGCCTACAGCTTATGCAAGCAGGTACTGTTGCCCAGACCTCTAATTAGGCAACAAGCGTCTGTTTTGTCTGCCGGTGTGGCGGTAGCTCAGTGCGATAGTATTGATATACCACCTTTCCTGTGGCTCCTGGCGCCGTCGGGTGCCTGTGTTGTATATCCTATCCCGGTGCCCGGCCAGTGCCACGCCCTTGCCATACAAGTCGCCGTGCAAGTCCGTCAACGGCAACGTAAGACCCCATCAAACGCCCACTACTTACCCATCCCAAACTACGCCCAGTGTCCCGTCAATGCCATTGCTCGTCTCTTCTTCTCGATATGTCCGTTGATGTGTGTGGCTTTTCCCTCGTTAGTTTATATACATACCTCGGGTTTTCTCAATACGTGTGTAGGGAGGTAGGCACCTGAGGTAGGTAGGCACCTGAGGTAAGTAGGTACCTCACATGTCGCCCCCCGGAGGCACGGCATCAACAATAGCTATTCATCCCTGGAAAATCCCGCCCTGGCAGCTCAGTGCAGCTGGTGCCAATAATTCCGGTCATAGTCCATCTGCGCAGGCTGTGAGGCCTACGGGAACTAGGAGTTGCCGTAATATTGAGGAAGGCCCGAAGAGGCGTTGGCGCCCGGTTCGTTATTATGTGCCTCATTTTTTCGCGCGGCGTGCGGCTCCGCGCTTGCCGGTGCAACACATTATGAGTTTTATACTGCCTGCGACAACGAATACAGCTAGGGCGACTATGATGACGAATACGGGATTGTCGGTGGGAATCCCCATTTTGTTTCTTTTTCTCTTGGGAGGGAGGGGGGTTTTTGTTTGCTGTTGGTTGGGGAGTCCGTCGGCGGGCTGTGTGGGCAGGTAGTTAGTTAGTTCCAAGTGTTGGCGTGCTTGCTGGCAGTGAAATGATATTGCTGGAGTTGGATGTTGGATGTTGGATGTTGGATGTTGGATGTTGGATGTTGGATGTTGGGTGTTGGGTGTTGGGTGTTGGATGTTGGATATTGGATATTGCCGTCTTCGCTATAGCGGATAGTGCTGCTATTTACTCCCTTGGCGACTGCTGCCGATGAAGACAGAAATCCAGAAATGAATGCCCGCAGAGATTTGGAGTCTCTTTTCTAAGGATTTGAGCGCGGTATCTTGTTTCAGGGGGGAGGCCTTGAGAACGAAGACGGACGGCAAACATGGAAGCCTGTTGCCGTGGAACTGGTCTCTGTTACAGGAAAATAGTCAGGGATTTGTCGGAGAGGTCATGCTGTTCTAGAGATGGCCTGATGCCGGTGTCTGGATGATCTTGGCCTAATGTGGCCTGTGCCATGTGGTCAACAAGGTGAAACAATCGTCTGTTGTAGCAGTATAATCTTGAAGCAAGCATGTTTTGACTTTAGAGCTGTATTGAAACTCTGCACGTTGGATAGGCAATCTTCGGTCGAACATAATCTAGCAGGTGTTGGTTACATACTGGAGAGGTAAAGTGGTTATATGGGGTAGAGTGCAATGCATGTACTCAGATTAAACAGGATGCACGAATCATTCATAATCGAGCACAGACTTAAAAGAAGGATATTTACGATGAGGTCACAGCAACAAACAGATTTAGGGCGGTTCAATTATGCGGACTTTAGTTTTCAAAAACAATTTTTTCATCTCACCTTCCACTCTTCTTTTTTTGTTCTTCTCCCCTTTTACTCCCTTTTTGGTCTTTTCTCTCCACGTTAAATGCTAGTCATATATTGTGAGCCTAGAGCTTGTGGTACTCAGTCTCCAAATGAACAATGGGATGACCGTTGTTGCTGGACTGGCCCTGTGAGTTTTGAGGCGGAGCATAGGCAACATCAACGTGATCAGTTTGAGCGGCCTCTCCGTCCTTCTTCAGAGCAGAAGGGGGAGGAGCACTAACAGCCACGAACGGGGTGTTGAGGGGAGCCGCATTGCCGGATGGTGGAGGGATATGTCCCAGCTCCATATCACGGTTCTTGAGAGCCACAATTGAGTACTTTTTCTCCAGTCTCCTGTATATAAACCAAGAGTAAGTAATAGACAGAAGGAGCGCAACTCCGAGCACTACCAGCCATAAAATGCCATTCAGAGCTGGCCAGTTGTGCCAGTTGTAATCAGGGCACTGGGGTGCACCCGGAATATCACGGACCATCTGTGTGTGAGCCATGTTGTGAAAGTTCGGTTTGGTGACCAAAGTCTGGAGTGGAAAACGTTTTGAGGGCTGAAGGGAGAAGGGCGTGAAGATGTTTGGAAGATGATGGAGAAAATAAAAGGTCCAGAAGGCAGACTGGAGCGTGATTTATATAGAATTCGGTTGAAGATGGCTTCCTATTCTCAACTAATATCGGAAAGCGCGCTGTTACGGAACTGCTCCATTGTCTACCGTGGCTCCTGCAGGTCAGTACTTACAGCTTTGCTTCGTCATCTGGCAACCTAGCATCATATTCTTCTGTGGTTGGCCACATGGATGGAGGGTTATACAGGGTCAGCAGGCGATAGTGAAAGATTAAGGGAAGCTGGTGTTGGAATTCACTCAGCCTAAAAGAAGACGAGTTGGAATTCACTCAGCCTAAAAGAAGACGAGTTGGAAATAATCTCAGCAATTGAAAGAAACTCGGAGTAATCCGGGAGAACAGGAGGAGATATCGTAGAGCCGTTTGACAAACAAAGAGTTGTCCTAATGGTGACTGCCGCATTCTAGTTCTTTGACAACCTGGCCATTCATGCGGGCAGTCGACTCTGGAGTTAGTGGCCTAGGGTCTAGCGTTTCATGTGAGTCCCCACAAAGAAGCGTACTGCAAAACAGGTACGGCACCTCGGGTCGGGAGTTAGACTGAAGTTATCGTCGAGGTGCGGGGGCCGGGGGAGGAGCGTAACATTGCGGTAGCATCTGCATGAAATTCCCACTTGGGCCAATAGACTAGTCCGCTTCTTCAAATTTCAACTGCAAGAGAGCAAGACCAGCTAACGATGGCTTCTCAGTCAGGAACCAGCGAGGCCTCGACAGCCACAACCAATGCATCAATTAGCCATACTATGTGCCTGCTCTGAATAAATCATTAGATATTAACACTTCAACTCGGACATGGCTGCCCTAGAAGATCAGACGCCCTTCCTCTTCCGAGACTCGACCGACAAGGCAACCTTTGACGACGCCGTGTGGGGCCGTGTGTTCAACCACCAGCGCGACAGGTCGCGGGAGCCGCTGGCCGTGTGCCGGGCACGCACCGTGGCCGACGTGGTCGCGGCGGTCGAGCTCGGCCGCGAGCGCAACTGCCGCGTGTCGGTGCGCAGCGGCGGCCATGCCTGGGCCGCGTGGAGCGTGCGGCACGGCGCCGTGCTCGTCGACCTGGCCAACCTCGTCGACGCCGACGGCAGCCGGGTTAGTTATGACGAGGACACGCAGGTCGTGTCGTGCTCGCCGAGCACCACGGGCGAGACGCTCAACACGTTTCTGAGCGCTGTTGATGGCGGCAAGGGCCGCATGTTTGCCGGCGGTCACTGTCCCGAAGTCGGTCTCGGTGGCTTCCTGCTGCAGGGCGGCATGGGATGGAACTGCAAGGTGTGTGTGTATGTGTGTGTCATGGAAAGGAACAAAGAGGAATTATGCTAACATACCATGTCTCTTGTCAGAATTGGTCTGTTCTCCCTTCTCCCACACTCAAACCAGTTCACACTCGGACTACAACAAACAAAGCCCCAAGCAGCCCCGTAAACAAACAACACCTTTGTCCCCCCCCCCCTTTTCTCTTCTGCATGCAAACACACAACTAGCTCAAACTTACCAATGAAACCAACTCAGGGGCTGGGCATGCGAGTCCATCCTCGCCGTCGACGTAGTCACGGCCGACGCGCGCCCGCTGCGGTGCAGCACGGCCGAGCACGCGGACCTGTTCTGGGCGGCGCGCGGCGCGGGGCCCGGGTTCCCGGCCATCGTCACGCGCTTCCACCTCGCGACGCGGCCGGCGACGCAGCTGTACCAGAGCCTGTACATGTTCCCCATCGCCGAATTTAAATCCGCGCTGCAGTGGGTCGTGGACGTATGTTAATCTCTCCTTCATTCCTTTCAGTGTGTTGTTGTTCAAGTGTTTCAAACCTCACCCCCTTATCATCCATCACAACTCACACCCTCCCCCTCCCCCCAAGCTCTCCCCCACGGCCGACGCCGACACCGAGATCGTCGTCGTAACGAGCTACCTGTCTCCGTCCGACGAAACACCAACCGTCCTCGCCAACCTAACAACCTTCAAGCCGTCGCTCGCCGCCGCGCAAGCAGCCCTACAGCCCATCCACGACTCCCTACCCAGCAGCCTCTCTCCCTCTGCAACCGTCTTTTGCCAGCACACAACCCTCGCGGCCGAGTACGGCAAGCAGCGCGCAGCCAACCCGGAAGGCCACCACTACATCTCGGACAACGCGTACGTGGCGGCCGACGGCACGGCTAACATTGACATTGCAGAGCTGCTGGCGGGCCCGTTCACCGCGCTACCGACGCGCAAGGCGTGCGCGCTGTGGTTCAGCATGGCGCCCACAGCGCAGCGCGCACTGCCCGACATGGCGCTGTCGCTGCACAGCGAGCACTACGTGGCGCTGTACGCGGTGTGGGAAGGGGGTGCAGACCTAGCCGCCGGGTCTGGTCCCAGCGCTGATAAAGATGAAGACGGCGAGAGGTGCGCGGCATGGGTAGCAAACGCCATGGCGGGGATCGAGCGGCACAGCGTCGGGTCGTATCTCGGGGACGCGGACTTCCAGGTACGGCGGACGAGGTTCTGGAGCGAGGGCGCGGGACAAAGGGTGCGTGCCGTGCGGCGGGCGTGGGATCCCGCGGGGCGCATCTGTGGATTTCTTGATGTGGGCGACGCGAGCGGCGTGGACGGGTTAAGGAATGAGTTTGAGTGGCTTTGAGATGGACGGCACGGGGATTGTCATCTGTCTGTCTGTCTGTTTGTTGACAGGTGGATAGAAACGAGACTTGATTAGTTTGGTTTAGCAAGTCGACACAGACATGGCTCAACAAGGATAAAACAAGGGACTTCATAAAACAAGGGACTTACACTCCGAGTAAGTAAAAAGTAACGATGCCAGATCCCCGAGCGAACGCGGGTATAACCCGGACCAAAGCGGAACATAACGCGCCCTATTTTAGAGATGAAAACTCTTTTGATTTATAAGTTAACTCGGAGTTAACTAGAACCAAACTACAGCCAAACCTGGACGTTACCCGGGATATACATAAGTAGATAAAACACATCACCTTTCCCTTCAACACCCCCGAGGACAGCAAATTAAAGTGAAAGCTATCAAGTTCACATACAGGTGGCAACACAAGCCCTAAAACAACACAGGCTACACAGCATGATATTGTATAAACGTAAATGCATTGCCTAAAAAATACAAACGCTCGAATAAGTACAGCAGCTACCATACCTACACTCACCGCCCAAGCCGTGTTTCGTCTCTTATTTCAGTTTATTTAGTCCCTCACCTACCTAGGTATCTACCTAGGTTCTCAATAATCTCACGCCGCGACATGTGCTGCGGCGGCGCTGACGCCCTCGTCGGGCATGACAATGTTGCGGAGCTTGAACCGCGTGGTGAAGTTGCTCTGCTTAACGAACCAGGCGTTGACAATCTCCCATTCCTGGGACGGGTCGTCGAACTCGATCTATATCCGGATTCATTATCAGTAAAAATGCTGTCTCAACAGCGCAGTGCACTTCGCCTTTTCCCCTGTTCGTGTAACCGTACGAAAAACAAGAACAGTGGAGCACAAACCTCAAACCTCCGCAGCATGCTCGGCACCAGCTTGTAAATCTCCAGCAGACTAATGTTCTTGCCGATGCACGTGCGGCTGCCCATGCCGAACTGGAGCATGGTGCCGTTCATGACCTTGACGCGCTGCTCGTCGTCGACGAGCCAGCGCTCGGGTTGGAACGCCTCAACGTCGGTACCAAACACGTCCTTGTTGCGGTGGATGACCCAGGCCGAGCAGCCGACGATGGTGCCGCCCCTGACGCGGTGGCCGGCGATCTCGAGGCCGCCCTCGGGCACGATGCGCTCCATGGGCAGGCCGGGCGCCGGATGCAGCCGGAAGGCCTCCTTGACGCACGCGTCGAGGTACGGCAGCGTCTGGCTCTCGTGCCACGTGACGAGGCCGCTCTCGTAGTCGCTGAAGCGGCCCTGGCGCGCGGCGCCGTCGATCTCGGCGAGCAGGCTGGCGAGGGCCGGCGGGTTCTTGAGCAGGAAATAAAAGACGGCCGACAGCGAGATGGCCGTGGTTTCGGAGCCGGCAAACGCCATCGACACGGCCATGGTCTGCACTAGATTGTCCGTCATGAAGTCGGGGCGCGCCTCGCGCGCGGCGAGGAACTTGGACAGGAGGTCGGGCGACTTGACGAGCGGCGTCTTTTCCGACGTCGGCAGCAGAGACGGCTTGCCGCTCTCGAGCTCGGGGAGGCGCTCGGCCATGCGCGCCCGCGCGAATCGGGCTACGGGCATTGTCGAGTCGACGAGCCCCCACTGCGACAGCTTCAGGTAGATGGGGTTTTTGAGCAAGAGGCGGTCGAGGAGGGGGATCTGGCCGATCTGCACCAGAAAGGGAAATGTAAGCAAAGCAATGAAACACTGGCGCGCAGATAATCCAGCAGCCCGGCTTCAGGTAGAGCGGCGCGAGCGAGCCGGCGAGGGACACGACCACGAGAGAGAACAAACATACCGGCGCCACATAGAGAAACAGCTTTGTCAGGTACGCCACAATGCCGTCAATATCCTCGTTCTTCTCGATGAAGCCGTGCCGCTTGCTGTACGTGATCTCGCCAATCACGTCAAAGGCATAGAACTGCAGCCAGCGGGTGAAGTCGCAAGGCTCGGGCTTGTCGATGTAGAGGCGCTCCGTCTGCTTCAGGAACAGCTTGGTGGTGTTGTCCACAAACGGCTCGTACTGGACCAGCGCCGACATGGCAAACGCCGAGTTCACGCAGCGGCGGAACTGCATGTGGAAGTCGTTGTCGACAGTGCTGAACAGCGACTGCAGGCTGTGGCCCTTGACCACCGACTGCTGGACCACGTAGAACTCCGACTATTTGTGATGCGAGTCAGTCTGCGCCCTCCATCTTTCCTTCCCCTTCCCCACGGAGTGTCTGTCCTCCTCCTCCTGCTGCTTCTGCTTCTGCTGCTGCTGCTGCTGCTGCTGCTGCCGCCGCTGCTGCTACGACCAACATACCTTCACGAAGCCCTTGTTGAGGCCATAAATGGTCTTGAGGGCGTCAGGGTCCGAAAATGACAAAACATTGGGCCCTAGACGGACCACGCTGCCGTGCTTCTTGTGCAGGGCGATATGTGTCCGGTCTGGCCGCCGCTTATAGACGTCGACGAACCTCCACCAGTCCGTCAGGGACGCCAGGAACGGTCCGGGATACTTGTTCAGGCCATTGTGGTATCTGTTCTTGGCCAGAAACGCCAACACGATGGCGAAGACGGCCGGGAGCCAGTTCTCGGCCAGGAGTTGTATTATACGGTCTGTGATCATATTGACGACGACAGCAACCAGCTTCGCTCCGGACTCTGTGTTCCCAGCACGCCTTTTCCTCTTTGAGAAGGCCGGCGGCTGCGCTTCTAGGCCCGAGATTTCGAATACAAGTAAGAAGGGGGAGCGATGTGGCGTTTCCACAGGGCGGAAAACGCCAGGGAGCGAGGGTATATAGGTGATATAGCTAACGATATCACTCGAGAGGGAGCGTAATGCCCAGCAATGTGCACTTGCACACCGCATGCCGTCAATGCCGAGATGGGTAGGCGTATGGAGCAACGAGATGGGGGTAAAGGGCGCGGGTAACCAGCCGGCCAAGATGCAGCAACTCGCTGGGGGTTCAATCTACTTCGGTTCTACAGCCTCTGTCTCCATTCTCCAACGGCCAGCGCGAGGGCGACCAAGTCCCTGGCTAGCGGTCCTGCATCAAGCGGTGCCGGGGGCTTTCCGCACGCCGCGGGAAGATATTGCATCGAGCAGCTAGCGCAACCCGGGCAGCGAGCCACTAAGCTGGGCTGACCTTTTTCGTTCCCGGGATCGCGACATAGAGGGGAGGGTGAGGGGCAGATGCGGTATTGCGAGGAAGACGTATCCCGAGATGCTGTATCCAGACTCTTGTGCGGATGGAGGCAGGATGTGATCCTTGCTAGGCTGTGGACAAGTAGACGGCCCCATCTCCGATTTCCCTTGTACATACGTACCGTAGGTATGTACATAGTTTGGTACATGCATACAATGCCTTGTGCCCAGTACAACGGCGTGCCGTGAAAAGAAAAATACCTCCCGCTTTGTCCAGGCTTGCCACACGGCAGCGATCGACACACATGGGCAGGGCCACGTGTAGATAGGCGCACCAGGTAGTTCTAATGACAAGTGCCGCCCTCCCCGCTGCGACATGGCAAATGTAGCCAGGCAGGCAGGCAGGCAGGCAGGCAGGCAGGTAGGCAGGCAGGCAGATAGGGCGGCGGTGGCCGCAAGGTGAAGCGCGCTGGAGGCGCCGAGTGTTCCCAGAAGTCGAGAATGGCCCCACGTCATCCGCGGCGGAAAGCAGACGGCAGAGCCGAGGGGTCGGCCAACGTGCGTGCGTTGGAGTCGGATCCTTTATTCTTAGTGTCGACGAACAGTATTGCCGTGGCCCACGGGGGTGGGGCGGACGAGACAGGCATGCCCAAGGGAGGGGGAGGGGGGCCACAATATCCGTCGGCAGATGTCAGGTCCAATCGACGACGCCAATTGACCTGACCCCCAGATGGCGGACGGCCGACATGTGTCTTTCTCGCTTGGCCTCGACTCGACTCCTACCGTCAACGGGCTGTAGGGTTGTCGGCTTGGAAGCAAGTGCTATACTTTGCCCAGCTCGGCCGGCCCAGGACCTGGGCCCATGTCAGCAGATCATTCGAGAGTTCCGGAACAGCTGCAATAAAATCTTGGATATGGCCTGCCGTCAGTCACCCCTCCTCCGTGAACGGTATTCCGAGAGGCTGACGAGCGAGGGAGGGCGCTGCGACTGACTGCAGAGCCATGCCATGCAAGGCAGGACAAAAGCGACGACAGTCAGCTTCTCGGGACGTGTGCTATTCGCCGGTCTGACCTGGCAGATTGCTGTCTGCCCGCCATTGCCTCGTGCAGTGCCAACCCAGCAGCGCAGCAAGCAGCCAGCAGAAGCGGCAGACATTCCGCTTCCGGGGCAAAAAAAACAACATACTATACGAATGGCCAAGAGCGCAATAATACCGTAAGCAACAGTAGGTCGTATGTCCTGTTTCTGGGCGATATTCCCGAGTGCCATGGCTGGTAGGTAATAGTGGAGGTAGGTTTCGAGTCCGCTCCGGCCGGCCGGCCAGTCAGTATTGGGGAATCCCTTGGGCGTTTGCGATCGACCACCGCTTTAGCACCTACCTCACCTAAGGTCGGCTCGCCTATAACACCCTGCCGCTAAACGTGGGCCATCTTAGCCATCTTAGGCATATACACCTCTTTACGGCTCATTCAGCCCAGAGCCAGGACCACACACCTACCTACCACCTACTCGAGTAAGCCGAGCAGCTTAGGTAGAGGCAGGCAGGCAGGTAGGTAGGTAGGTAGGTAGGTAGGTAGGTAGGTAGGTAGGTAGGTAGGTAGGTAGGTAGGTAGGTAGGAGGTATTGACGCTGTGCTGTCATCCCATCCAACGCGCCGCCACAGCCCCGGCAGTGCTGCATGCAAGATGGGAGAAGATCAAGGGAAAACACACAGACGTAGGCAGGTAGGGAGTAACCACGGGCCTGCTGGCGAACTTTCTGGAAAAAAGCCCAAGAATCTGACCTGCCATCTGAACCTCTGAAGCTGAACCTTGGGAGGGTCGAGTCTGGTGCAGCGCGCTGGTTGCCGACATCATGTGCCGAAATCGTGCCCCGACGAGACGAGACGAGACGACAAATCGACAGGCAGGCTACGCTACCTTAGGTAGGTACATACGCTGCCGAGCAATCGCGCACTGATGGCAGGGCGGCATGGCATGGCAGTGGGCACAGGGCATGGCTGAGTGACAATTGGCTACTTGGGCACTGCCGCGGTGGTCAAGTCGCGTCCATTTTCCTCAGCGTTTCGGCAGATGGGTTTTGCATCCTCACAGTGCTGGAGTAAACTTGGATTGTAAATTTAGCGTCGGGGAAGGCCTGCACCGCGGAGAGCTTATGTAACATCTCCCTGCTTCTAGTAACCTTTACAGTATCGGAATACGGAATAGCATTCTGCAAAGCATAGGTGAGAAAGTACATAGCAACCTTTCACCTGAAAGATACATCATAGACTTACTTGTATAGAAAGAATTATCTGAAATAGTCTAAACAACTTTTGAAGAAATTCGTCAGCCAGATTCCACCAAGCTGCCCCCGGCGGTGTGGTGTACATTTCGCAGTTACCGTACTGATTACACGTAATTACAACGACGCAAAGAAATAAACACTATTGTGTAACGGAAGATCGACAGTCCCTTTCCGAACATAGCACTGGGCTCGTTCGTCGTCGTGTACGGAGTACCATGCGTCAATCCCAATACTCTGCCAACCACATGTATTCAATGCAGGAGCTATTTTCGCCCTCCCACACCCAGGTGGCTGCTTGATCTTGATTGCGGATCTTCCCGTCTGCGCGCATTACAACTCTCCGAGCGTCATTTTCCCGCATTGTGTTTTATGGGGCGCATGGACCTCCTTATCCGCAGACCAATGCGGTCTCTAATATTCGTCCTCCGAGTCTGAATCGCCGTCTGGCAGAAGCGCCCTGTAGCGGCGACTGGCTAGGTCCTCCTCAAGGCCGCCGTCGCTTTCCGGGTCGACATAGCCCTCGCCGCCAAGTAGCGAGAGAGCCACCGGCAAGAAGATAAGCGCGTGGGTCGCGGCAAACGTGACGAGCGCCAGCCACACGCGGAAGTAGTAGATCTCGAAGATCTTGCTCTTGGTAAAGGCTAGAACCGTGACACCCAGAATCTTGGTCACGGTGATGCCCGAAAAGACGCTGCCGCCGACATTGGCGAGTGCTGTCCACGCACGCGCGTCGCGGCCACGGAACCGGTTCTTGGCTCGCTCCATAAAGGTCCGCGACGGGAACATGAAGGCCCGCGCAATGTGGGCGCAGAACTCGACCGCAATACCGACGCAGATGATCAGGTTGACCAGTGAGACGGCGTTCAGAGAAACACCCATAACTGCCATGGCACCAATGATGTCGACAATGGCCATGAAAACGGTCAGCGTCACTACCGCCGCCGTAAGCACAGAGCCGAGCAAAAGTGCCGACACGATGAGGATGATTCCGATGGCCGATCCCAGAAGAGTAGCGGTGAGAGAAACAATGGTCGAATACTGGTCGAAAAAGATGTAAAAAATGCTGTATGGGAACACGTCCAATCCCGTCTGCGCGCTAACATCGTTGGCGATGCGGCGAGCAGAGGCGTAGGCTTTAATGAAGTCGTCCTGGCTGCGGAGAGGCCGGTGACTGGTTCGGAAGTGACTGGCTGGGATTGTGTCCCTTTCGGCATCGACAACGACGGCAGTCCCGTACGAGGCTTGTCCTCCCAGTGGGCAGTCCTCATCAGTCGGAGACTTGAGGAACTTGTTCAGATACTCGACAAATTCGGTCCCCTCGGGCATGCCAGACATGGTAATGTTCCAAGCCGGATCTCGTTTGGCAAAGCAGGGCTTCCGGTTCACCACGCAGCAGGCCTCGTTGTCCGGGTTAAGCCACTGGAAAAAGTCGTCAATCCAGCTGGCCGTTGTCGATGAAATATACGATACATCGGGCCGTTTCCTCTCTTGTTCGAGGATATTGGTGAGAGACATTTGTTGACATGTTGTGTAGCGCGCACAAATCTTCTGCTGGTCTTCCCTCCGAGTCCCGTTAAATTCCTGGGTAACAAAGTAAACAGGCGGACCGGCCTCGAAGTAGTCGTACAGATCGTTGAAGTACGGAATCAGATACGAGTCATCGGGAATGGCCACGCGCTGGTCCAGGCCAAGCTCGACTTCGGGGAGGAGTGCGGCAGCGGCTGCAAATATCCCTAGGAAGATGATAATCACAGCAGCCTTGACCTTCTTGCCCAAAAGTCTAGGAGCATAGCTCTTGCGGATGAACTGCTGTAAAAGGCTTTCCTCTGGCGCCTCGTAGTATCGGGCTCCCTGATTACCGTTGCTGCCACTGAGATGAATCCGAGCCGACTTGACTTGAACACACGGGAAGCAGTCGGCTCTGGAATCCTCAACTCTGATCTGGTTCAGCGTCAAGACCGAGATGAACATGGTCACCTGGAGGATTGCGTTGATGAATACTGCTCCCGCGGCGTAGACTGCGAAGTTCCTGACAGCGGGCATTCCCACGAATGCGCCCAGCGCAAAGGATATTGTCTCGGTCACGGCCGAGAAGAGAATCGAGGGCCCCATACGTCCAAGCGCTCTGGAGATGCGAACCTCGACCACCTCATCCGGGTGGCTGATGTTCACGCGCTCAAATTCGTGAACGATCAAGAAGATGTTGTCGACACCAACGGCAAGGACAATGAATGGTATGACGTCGATAATAATGAGCGTGGCCTTGAGACCAAACCAGGAAAAGAGGCCGATGGATGCGGTGATGGACATCAACACGATCAGGATGCCCACCACGCCCAGAGTAAACTTGGACTCTACCAGGGATATGGCCGGGTTTCGGATGAAATCTTTGAAAGACAGCGTAGTAGAGCCGAGGGCAAGCGACGCATAGAGGAACATAATGATGTAGCTGATGACAATGATCTTGGCGTCCGTGTTCGTCGACTTGTTGAGTTCCTGTTCAAGGCTGATCTCAGTAGAGAATGACAGTCTGAGGTTTCGATCCTTCGCTTGCTCCTGGACAGTCTCCAGGAGGTAATTCTTGAGCACTTGTTCCCAATCCATGGCGCGTTTAACTTCATCAGAGCCTTCCTTGTTGTTGTTCAAGACCCAAGTGACGGTCATGGCAGCTGCTTCGGTAGGGTCGCTGCTCCCTTCGGGGAAACCCCCAAGAATCATGTTAGGCTGGAGTGGTTGTCCGTATTCGGGACGGCATTCTACTGGAGACGCGGCACATTCCCGTAGCGTCTGCTCCCAGCCGTCCGGGTCGACAGCTTCTGGGTCATCCTGGAAATATGCAGCAACGGACTGGACGACACAAGCGCTGCCGGTAGGTTTCAGGCAGAGATCGTCGAAAGAGCTGTTGGTCTTTGGACCCCTGAGATCCCGGACGGCCTCTTCAACTCCCATCCACCAGATAAGCGTGTCATAACTCAAGACAGGTGCCGGTCCTGATAGGTTAAGGTCGTTCACGAGGAAGATTTTCTCTGCCCGGTAAAAAGGCCCAAATTTGTCGTCAAAGAAGGCCTTCTCCTCCGCCGCTGCCGACGTCGGGCTCACCCACAAGCGTGCGGGATCTTGTTCAATCTCAAAGTGGTACCAGCCCACGCTCAGCAGAAGCACGGAGAGAAGGCAGCTGACAATGGTGACGGCTGGAAATCTTGCGGCGACATGCCCCAGTCGGCTGAAAGCAGCATCGCACCACGTGTTGATCACGTATGTCTTTTGTGGACGGTCGAACATGGCTCCGTTTTGTGTAAGATCCCCTTCGTCCTCGTCGTCGCTAGGGGTAGCGTCTGTAAGCAGCCGAAGTCTCTCGCTCCTGCGCTTAGCATGCCTCCGCCACGCAACATGACCACCCACGGCAACCAAAAAAGAGAACAGCAGCACGCTGTAGGTGAAAATGGATGCAAACGACAGGCATGGCAAGACACCGACATGGCAAGACCCTGCTTGCACAACATCAGGGAGTTCGGGGCATACGGAGGGGCAGTCGATGCAGGCACAACGGAAGTTCGGGTCCTCGTCGTTGCACTTCTTGGGCACCATGGGCCGCGGCTCCATCTTCGGTTCTGCGTAATCGACGGGGAAGTTGATCTGGAAAGGCGAGCCGCCAAAGCGCTCCGTGCCCAAGAATTTCAACAAGTCCGTGTAGTTTTTCGCGCCTCCTCCAATCAAATCCATCGCCTTCGAGTTTGTCGGGCCAAACTTCACATCCTTGCAGCTGTCGTAGAAGCCAGTTCCATACTCTTTAGATACCAGCTGGTCCAATTCGGTCGTCAGATTCTTACCGTTCTTCTCCACCATCTGGGTCACGTTGATGAATAGCGACTGGTCGGGGGAGCAGGTAAAGGTGCAGAAAAGATTGTAGAAGTTGTCTTTGCAGGCCGGGCAGGACGATATGATCTGGTTCGCCGTGGATAGCGACGACTTGAGCGACTCGACCTGCTTGGTCTGGCAGCATACCGGGCCCGAGCTCCATTTCGGGCCACAGAGATCAACGAGCTGCTGGCGCAGCTTGTCGTCGGGTTCCTCGGCAAGGCCATTATCGACGCAGGGCAGCTGGCTGCCAAACAAGCTCTTGGACCCGCAATGGCCTCGAATTGCGCAGCGGCCAGCTTCGTGTAACGGTGTGTACAGGTCGTTGGCGACAGCGCTTCCCAGCCCGAGAAGGATGAGTCCGCTGCTTGCGACGAGCTGCGACAGCTTCAGCATGGCGGACAACACGCCGCGCGGCGGCACGGCGGCCAAAGCAAGGGCAAACTTAGTCTAGAGAACGTGCAGAGCGCCCCTGTATTTTTGGTTGATATTAATAGCAAAGGAGAGGTCGCGATGGAAGTTGTGATGGTTGCGCAGTTGGAGCGTTGGGGGGGTTGAATGGGATGGGGAATATCGAGCCCAGGCGGGCAGGCAGTCAGGCGTTGAGGCGAGCGGCTGACTTGGCAAAGCGGTCCAGTGTTGCGGCGTCTCTGCGTTGTCATCATGCGTCATCTGGCTAACCTCTCTCCGCTACAAACTGAGGCGAGGGGCCGCTTGATTGGCCAAAGTGTCTGGGGAGTTTCGCAGGGTAACGATGGTGCCTGGCGGAAAGTGCTGCGCCCCCTGCTAAGCTCCCCTCGGCAGCTGCACACAGTTTAAGTTCCCCGGAGTTCGGAACACGGTTTGGAGGCAACAGGCAAAGCCGCATGGAATAGGAAGAATTTAATCACAAAACAAAACTCAAAAGGTTCTACTAGGCAAAAACCACAACGGAAAGCCCCGCTTCTCAAACCAAGTTTCACAAACTGGCGTCTTTCTTTTCGAACGCCTAGGAAGCTCTCGCAGCCCGTTTGATGCATCCAAACTCAAAGACGTCTACTCGTAGGCATCGTCTGCACTTCAGAATAGAGCAGTCTTGAAAACAAATCGGCGATTTACCTCATTAAGTATTTATACAGAAGCCCTCGAAGGTCCTCTAATTAGGTACCTACGTAAGCCCGGTGCTATCTACACACCAGGTATCATCATATCTGTGGCCGTAAATCTAACACTATTTCCAACTGCCGAGACACGGCAGTGGAACTTGCGCCGTAACAACCCAAACCCGTCCGTCGTCACATCATTACACCTTCCTTATACACGTGTACCACAATATTCTCAGCTCAAAGAGGCAACCCCAGTGGTCCAGACCCCACAACTCTGATGCGAGAGAGGATCCGAAGATCTGGGGCTCTGGAGGAATGCCGCCAGGCTCGCTTCCGTGCATAATAGGGAGAAGCGGCGCGTCAGCTCCTACCGACGATGTGGAACTCGCCCATCCCAACATGCACCTTCCATCCGTCATTCTTTAGAGCAGCCCCGACGGCCTGGCGCAGACGCGAAACGCCATTGGCGCTGTGGTGGCCGACGCCCGTCACGACGGTAAAGCCGTATTTGGCCTTGGCCTCGCGGTTCTCCCCAAGCAGCTCCCACCACCGCCAGACACGGTGCTTCGCGATCCTCACGCCGTCGAGCACAGTGACGCCGTGCAAGTCTATTTTGTCGGCCGTACTCTGCCCATCGACATGGCGCTCGGCCATGGCCGAAACAGATCCCATTGACAGGCGCGTCTCGTCTCTGGCTCGCTCGAGATACACGCTGGCAGCTTGCCTTGCCAAGGGACCCTTTCGACTGAGCTCAGCAGCGGCGCGTAGGTGTGAGCTCCGAGCTCCCACGACCGGCGATGCAGCGGCTGATCTTGCCGATATTGGAGAAGGAGATGCCCGGATTGGCGATGGTTTCTTGGATACCACTTGCCAGCCCGAATCATTGTTGACATAAGACGAAGTTGCTGGGGGGATGGCCAATCTTGATGGGCCGAGTTTACGCGACGAAGGCAACTGAACGGGGCCCTTGGCACCCTCGAGTTCCTCGTCGTTGCTGGCCGGCGAAACCACAGTATAGTCCAGAGCCACTTTCTTCTTCCCGCCGCTCGACTTGGCACGACTTGGGTGTCCTTCGCCCTTCTTGGGCCTTTGATCGTCATCAGAGTTGTAAAAGATATTCACGCCCTTTGGGAGATCATTGTTCTCTTCCAGAAACTGGCGATCGAGAAGCTGGTCAAATGCGAGCTCCAGATCACCTTTGGTTTGTTTGAGGATGAATCTGATGGTATGGTCTGCAAAGTCTGGAAAGATCAATCGGAGGCTCTCGATCTTGTCCGACTCGCCCAAGTTTGTCTGGCTGGTAAAGGCTAGGACCTCTAACGACTCTAAGGGATCCGAGACCGTGGTGGCATTCTCGGTTATCTTCAGAGACTCGACGCCCGACATGCCATTGCCGCTGTTTGTGATGTCGTCAGATGCGAGACCCTCGAGCTCAGCGAAGCAGCCCAAGCCCAACGGTTCAAAGCCCGTTGCTGCCTCTGACCGTGCACTGCCGGCCAGCGACGACAGGATTTCTCTTATCTCATCAAAGTCGTTCTCGAGGTCGCGCTCACCCGCTATCGCGAGAATGAGCGATTCCTCTAGATCCGCTGTGAACTCCTCCTGGATGAAGCGTTAGAAATGTTGCCCATGACTCGTGCTGCTGTAGGGGAAACAGGGATTGAGGAAGGCTGTCCGTGATATCGAGTTGGAAGCACGGCCTTTTTCGGCATGTAAACACGCCATTCCCGTGTGACTTTTCTGTGAAGGGGGGGACTTGTGGCGAGTGAGGGGATACAGGGGCGACGTCGACGTACCACCAGCTTCCTGCTAAGATTTTGCTCGGGCGACGGGGTTGTGTTCCCCATCCCAAGCCGTGGTTATGCTTTAACGATTTTAATAAATGGGCCGCATGACATGGCGTAGTGGTGGAATGCAGTAAATATGTATGTGAATGGAGATTGCGGGCTTCTTCATATTCTCGTCTCTTGATGAGGCCGCTGCTGTTGAGATGAGTTGGGTACGGATGAGGTATTAATTCTAGACACAAGACTGCAGACTTGACTCGGAACGCACGAGTCACAAGCAAACGGTGCTTGACTCACGGCTTGATGCGTGCTCGGTGTGGATGTTCTAGCAAATGAAAAAAAAAAGGTATAGGTAGGTAGCCTTCCTCGCAGTGGATCATGCCCGTGTCTTTGGACATGTCAGGCCGGGTCGCGGGGTTTATAGAGCAGGAAGTTGTCAAGTTTTACAATGTTTGTGCATTCTACATCTCGGGCGGGTATTAAAGTATCCTAGCGCAACATACCCGTAATACACTAGAATATAGCGGATGGTGTTATCCAGTCTTGCCAAGATAAGAAATCCTACCAAGATTCGTACCGATACACAGAAGCGCCTAGAGCTGTCTAAAAGAGAGCTTTGCCTTCAAATGAAAGAGATATTCACTATATTATACGGACATAGAGTTATGGAGCCTCGACTATCAACTTCCGGCGTCGCCGCAATTCAACCTCTAGAAGCATCCGCAGAAGGCATAGGGCGCGCAACAACCCATGGTAGGTTCTTAGTCATCAGCGACACGAGAATAGCGTCAAGTCCACATCCATCCCTGCCCACTGAAGTCGCGCGCCAATCGAATGCATTCTCGGCCTCCGCGGGAAGCCGATTCGTCTAATGCCCGAGTGGTGAGAATGGGAAAACTGGAAATGAAATGGACTTGGATACGCACCATCGGGGCTAGATTATTCTAGGCAGGCCGCAATGGGACACCCCAGATCTGGACAATGCGGTTCGCAGGGAAGCTTTTTACAGGTATTCGTAGCAGCAGCACCACGTGCCGTTCAGGCTTGTTCCTTGCATGACAAGGAACCCGCCAATAACACGCGACAGGCACAAACGGGCGATGGCGCCTCGGCACTAACGATGGGTCAGCAAGCCGCGAGCCACGCCTTCCTCAGTTCCCTGCCCATTCTCCGTATTTAGAGTCCCGTAAGAATCGCGTCGGCTCCTCGACCTTTGTGTTTCCTTTGTCTAGTCCAGCATCATCTATGTAACCCAAGTATCTCCAATCACGGACAAGGTACATGTGTGGTTAAATCCCACGCCAGTGACGAAAATGAGCTCGGAACTCCGGTCTCGCAAGTTCCTGAATTATCCAGAGCCACTGAAAGGGTGAGTACCTCGGGCAATCGGAGCAGGAACCCGACAGGGTCGTCGGAGCGCCGCCTCCAGAAGAAAGCCATTTCAATGTCTACCTGACCGTTTGACTAATGTTGTTGCGTTTAGTCCTGATGTGCCCTATCGAAATGAGAGGAAGCCCGTCCCCGGGGTCAGGGGCATCGTCCTCGTGGCGGCTGCGTTTCTGTAAGTCTCCGTGCAATATGGCCGCCATTTGTTTGCTTGCCGTTTATGCATTAGCACTGCAGGCTCTAACAGCCCGTGTCATTCCATAGCATGGAATGGCTCAGCTTCTTGAGGGAGGCGGTATGGCGCAACGCTGGATTCGGCTCTCTGCGCAAGATTATTGAGCACATTGAAGACTATGAACCGTGGTTTGAGCCTCAAGTCGTTCGCCTGCCAGAGGCAACTGGCGATGAGGACAAAGCAGCGGATGAGTCTTCACAACCGCACCCTGTGGAGGAACTAAAGCCAAGTCCGCATGGCATCTTTCCCCAGGCGAAATACTACTCGGTGGCAGAGTACCACAAGCTATATCTCTCAGGGGCTTTGACTCCGCTTGAGGTCGTAGAAGCCTTGCTGCCCTTGATTAGGCGCGATTTGCCCCAGCCAAACGAGCACTCCAAGGCCTGGTTTGAGACCAATATCGGCAGGGTCCTGAGAGCAGCCAGTGAATCAACTCAGCGATACAAGGAAAACCGCTCCCTCGGCCCGCTCGATGGTGTCCCTACGGGTGTCAAGGACGAATATGACATGGAAGGCTACCGCACTTGCCTCGGATCCAAAAACACGTACACTTCCCCCGACGAGGGAGCCGGTACAACCTGGTGTGTGCGGAAGCTCGAGGCCGCTGGCGCCATTATACTTGGCAAGCTCTCAATGCACGAGTTCGGGCTCGACACGACGGGCAACAACCCCATCTATGGCACCCCGCTAAACCCGTACAATCCGAACTACTACACGGGCGGCAGCTCGTCGGGCACGGGCTACGCAGTTAGCGCCGGCCTCATTCCTGTAGGCCTTGGCAGCGACGGCGGCGGGAGCATCCGCATCCCATCAAGCTTGTGCGGCGTTTTCGGCCTCAAGCCTACACACGGTCGGCTCTCGTTCAAGCCCGGCCAGAACCATTGCCTGACATGCGCTTGCCTCGGTCCCATCGCTGCCGATGTCGCATCGCTCGCAGCCATGTTCCAAGTCGTCGCGGAACCGCACCCAACCTCTCCATTCCCTGATCTCGGACGGCTACGGCTGACGGCCCCCTCGACGGGTGAGCCAAAGATCCTCGGCATTCCCACGGACTGGATCTCGCAGGCGACGCCCACGATTCAGACGCTCTGCTATGGCATGGTGCGGCAGCTGGTACAGGACCACGGCTACATCACGGTCAAGATCGACATTCCGCTCCTGCCCGAAGGCCAGACGGCGCACGCCCTGACGGTGCTGAACGACGCGGCAACGCTGCTGCCGGACACGCGGGGACTGACGGCGGCCAACCGGATCCTGCTGGCGCTCGGCCGGGTCACGCCCGCGACGGACTATATGTTGGCGCAGAAGCTGCGGCGCGTCTTGATGCAGCACCTGGCCTGGCTGTGGGAACAGCACCCGGGGATGCTGATCGTCACGCCCACGACGGCGTGCGAGGGCTGGCCGATCCGCGGCGGCAGCGCAGAGCTCAAGCACGGCGTCAACGACGGCCACCGCACGATGCAGAGCATGGAGTACGTGTGGCTTGCAAACTTTTGCGGCCTGCCGAGCATCTCGGTGCCCGCAGGCTTCGTCCCGGCCGAGCTCGGGGGCGCGCCCATCCCCATCGGCCTCATGGCCACGGGCGAGTGGTGTGCCGAGGAGCAGCTGCTACGTTTCGGCCTGCTCGCGGAACAGCTCGGTGCTGAGCACAGGCGCCGTCCGCCGAACTGGGTTGATGTTGTGCAGCTCGCGAGGGGGGCGCGCCGTGCCTGATTGATTCGACCGTTTTGTTTTATCTGTACAAAATACAGGATAGACCTGTTTGTATGTTATGGGTAGCTCGAGAGCGTTTTTTTTGTAAAACCTGCCGTGGCATAGATACCCCCTAAAATGATTTCGCACGGCGAAATTGTATTGGGAACGGCCCCCCTTTTTAGCGAACAAAGCTGCGAGTTGCCATTTATTTCTAATGGATTAATAAGTGCAAGTGTCATAGCGGTCTTGCAGTTGGGTTGGTTTTAGATGAGTTGTCTTTACCTCTGGCAAAGTCCATCCCATTCAAATTAGAAATTGGGACAAGAAACTGACAAGAAATACACTAGGTAACTTCCAATTCTTGTCCTGTTAGGTGCTACATAGGAAGCAAGAAGATAACGGATCCTTTACAGTGCCGAGTGACGAGGCTAAACACAATGCCCACTTATCGCTTTAGGATGAGCCAAAAGGAGAGGGGGTATTTTCCAAAGTTGAGATACTAACATGAACTGCGGCTCGGCCAGTAGTTGGCACCAAGAGGTGAGTTACAGTTGTAGAACTAGGAGGAATCAACCTTAAAGTTGAAGGCTGCCTGTGGGTTTGAGGCACACAATACTGGGCGGCTGCTAGCTGCAGGATAAGGGGACAGGAGGTGATAAGGCGGCTGCTGGTTGGCCAGCCAGATTTCGCTATCCCCACACAAAGGCCTTCGAGTGGCGCCTCAAAGCGTGACAGAGCCTTTTTTTTGGAGGTTGCAACAGCCGCTGCCAAAAATTTAAAATGAGATTGCTTGCCTCATGCAATGGGGTCCCGTCCCGCTTGCTTTCTGGATTCTCGGCTTCGGCGGCTTGCTGGCTCTTACCAACGGTCCGTAACCTCCGATAGGTCCGTTGTCCTATGTATGTCGTTTCTGCCTCCTTGTCTCCGAGTCTGTTGGGCAAAGTGAACATTTCCTAGCTTTCCGGGCCAGATGGACGGGGGTGAGGCATTATTGAAGAGGACTTGCTGAACGTTGGACCGTGAGCCGGGTTTGCGCGAGTGGATGAATAAGAGCTTGCGCGCATCAGTGTGAATCAAGATAATCCCGAAAGGAACACAGCCCGCTGCCCGGGTTAAGTAAGAAGGCATAAGAAACATGCGCGGGGGCCCAGGAACTTCTATTAGGAAACAGACGATGACATCGTCGACACCGAACTACCAGGGTGTTTCCGAAGACTTATTACCGGTATTAATACAAATTCTTCGCTCAGCATTACCAATTGACGGCACAACAACTCTCTCAATATCATCTGTTTCCATAATACAGTGTTCTTAGTCTTGAAACTGAGGAAGTCAGTGAACAAAATAGACACTTCCTAAAATGATTTAGAAAATTCCCAGCAAGAAGTGTAAACAGCCCGGGAGGATAGAAACCACCCCTAAGTTCTGCCCCTGACATGTCCATGACGTCTATCCTGGAAGGATTTGGAAGGTGTGTTCACCAAATTTTCTATTCGCGACTTTCCGCAGGCGCTCAAGGTAAGGCACCCTACCCCCAGCCTTCGGGTTAGAAGCACTTGCAGAATACACACAATGGCCTAAGCAAGCTGGTAGACCTGAGATCTACAGATGCCGCACTATTAGAAGCAACTGAAACATTCATGAACTCCGGGACGGCAACAGAGAAAAGGTCGGAGATAATTAGTGCAACCGGAAGTAGCATTTCCCTGCTCGTCGCTTCCTTTCCGAACTGGGAGAATGAGAGGATCCCAGGGTACGGATAGCCTAAGGCAGGAAGCCTAGGCGAGCAGTGCTTAGCCGCCTAATTGTCGACACCCCAGGGGGCAAGGGCACTGGAAGCGGCCCCAGCATCCCAATTCAGCGCATTTCCACGTGACAAGGACAGTCGCTGTGGTTTGATGCGCTAATGCAACAAGACCGGGCGGGCAGGCAACCTAGCCCATGCGCCTGATCTGGGCTCCTCGACCGTCCGACCCCCGACCGGTTGGCCCCCCCTAAAAGCAGCGCTCAAATTTACCGTTGGATTTGCATTCAACAGGGCCTAGAGAAGGAGACACCATCCTGGCTTCCTGTGCCTCGCTACGCCATCCAACTCCCGACGCCTCTCCCAACTTTAGCACGATCGCGCCGCTACGCCATCGATCGACATTGCTCGACGCAGCCAAACACGAAAAGGCTACCACGCTCACTTATCCGCCTTCGCTGCTGTCCAGACGCTCTTGTCCATGGCGAGTTGACCCGAGTCGCGTCCAGTACAGCACAGAACAGAGTACCTTGGCACCACGTTCCCCGCCGACGCACGTTGCCGCCCACCTCAGGTCTCCGGGTTTCCCGCCCCTGAGTCTCGATAGACACTTCTCCCAGAAGGCCCGCGAGCGGATTCTCGAAGCGCATCCCCGCACGACGTTGCACATAGAAATCACCGCCTCGAGCCCTTCTCGGACCCCTCCTTGGGCGTCTCTTCTTCCGCTCATGAGAGACAAGCGACACGCGACTGTCCGCTTTCGGTCGGCCAACCAAGCAAATAACCAAGGGGAGGAGGCTTGGACTCTGGCCTCCCGCGAGGCTCTCTCCCAGTCCCGATGATGGTGCGTAAATACTCCCCTCTCCATGTTCTCCGTGATCCCCGCGCTCGGTGTTCGGCAGCACCTGCGCGTCAAGCAGGTTACAAAATACGGGGTCTCATCGCGCACTACATGGAAATAAAGAAGAAAAATATGGGCCACCCCCCCTTGTGGGCCAGGGATCGCCTCATCGGCTAACTTTCTTGCCTTTTCTGTACAGACATCATCCCGGCCCCGTGGCAATGTTGGCGGCAGCTTTGCAAACCGACGCGGCCACGCCAACCAGCTGTCCATTTCCGACCCTAGCCACCACGTCACCGAGGCCATAGGGACCATGTATGGTGATGAAGACGATTCCGGCGCCGAGGACAACCGGCCTATGAGCTTTGTCACGCCCAAGTATGGGAGCGAGCAGTTGGCCAAATCCCAGGCACCCGCCGAGCCATCGGGAGACCGGCTGCGGCTGGTGCGCACAATCTCGGACCAAAGCTCTTCGGCGCAGGCGGGCCCGCCTAACGGCACTGGCATCAAGAAGACACATACATTTCCTGCGCGAATCAGCAGCCAACGGAGCAGCTCCTTCGAAGGACCAAATTCTCCCCTCCAGCCACTTTCGCCAACCCCGTCGTTGCGAGAAAGCTCGCAATTCCCCATGACCAATATTGATAATGCGAACGACATTGCCCAGGAGCTCAGTAACCTGCAAGCGCTGCGGCGCATGTCGATGGACGTGATAAACCACGACCCTGATCTAGTGCCTTTCTCGGGCATGTCGTTGGTAGCGATTCCCGCAATCGCGCCGTCGGGAGACGATGACGAGGCAGACCCCTCCCGCCTGTTATGGGTACCGGCCAGAGTGCACCCAGAACTGGAGCCAACGGCATTCAAGGACTTTCTCGAGAACCGAGTACAGACGATGAAGCGGCGGTCTGGAGATTCGTTGCTCTCCGCCTCTGGGTCTCAACGGGGTGGTGACGCGGGCGGTCTGAGGAGGAAGAAGTCTATGCTCTCTCGACAAATTAACACCCACAGCGGTGGGGACGGGTATGTGGACGGAGCTGAAAGGCTGGAACGGAATTACCCTCTTAACGAGTACGCCACACCAGAACTCAGCCTCAACGATCTTGTCAACGACCCGAAGAAAGCCGTCCAAAAGTTGGCAGATGATGTCCGGGCGGAGGGTGGCGAGGGAGACTTGCCCATCCTACCGGTCGCTCCCGGCATGGGCCTGCAGCGCTCAAGGAGAACAACGTATAGGAAAGGTGGCAGCATACGTGGAGAACGGGTGCCGTTTTCTAAAAGGGCAACCGGAAGGCAAACAGACAACAAGGACACAGAAGATGCCCCACCGCTTCCACCTATCGACCCCGCGTACGGAAGTTCGCTAGCCAAAGTACAGTCTGAGCCGGTGGCCGAGAACTATTCTCGGCCCACACGCTCGGTTCGGAGGCAGCAGAATTTCTCTAGAGAGACTCCTGCTATTTCTCCTACCGGTGCCGAAGCAGCCCTACTAGACGGACAAGCACAGGACGACATCGAGAGCCCAGTAACGCCCTCATCTCCCCCATCATTACCTGTGTTACCTGTCAGAACCTCCTCGGCCGCTGCACGTAACATTCCTGTCCCCCCTGTCCCCTCCATCCCCTTGATAGTCGAAACACCACCTGTCCCGGACACAACCTCGCAGCCTCCAGTCACTTTCCCCGAAAGATCTTCGTCCCAGAAGTCATCACAGTCCTTGTATGATGAACAACCACAGCCGCCCATTGACGGGCCTCCAGCTCGCTCAAGCAAGCGTCCCTCTCCCGGAAAGCCTATCCCGTCTCCGACTTCTCCAACACAGGCCAGCTTCGGAGAGCAGCCCAGCTTTAGAGAACAGCCCGTTAAGGAGAAGCCTGTTTCTAATGATAATTCCAACATCGGTGATATGGCCAGCCACCCAACCTTACTCCCAGGTAGCGGCGGGACGACCACTGCCAACCTGACGTTCATACCAACCCTTAATACGGCTGAGGAGAGGAGGTCTTCTGAAAGGAAGCCCAAAGACAAGGACGATACGGAGAGTATCATGTCCAGCAAGTCATCCTCTGGATGGAAGTGGTTCAAGAGTGATGATAAAGAGAGAAAGAAGCGGGAGAAGGAAGAACAAGCCAGAAAGGCCAAGGGAAAGACTGGGGATAAGAGCCACGATAATGCGCGCCTTGATGTTCTTCAGAGCTCGATTGATAACGTTGTCGCCAAGGGTCGCGAGAGTCTGCTGATTGACCGCGACAGCATCGACAACAAACTCTATGAAGAGCGGAAGAAGGAGAGCAATCGCAAAGTAAGCGAAAGCAAAAAGGAGAAAGATGGCTTCTTTGGTGGCCTCTTTGGGGGATCCAAAAAGAAGGGCGACAAGGAGCCTGGCCACAAAAAGAAGGAGCATCGGCCCCTTACCCCAGATCCTCCACCGCGGCAGCTTCGCGCAGACGTGGACTACCCTTGGACCCGATTTCCCATTATCGAGGAGCGTGCCATCTACCGCATGGCCCATATCAAGCTCGCCAATCCCCGCCGGCCACTGCAAAGTCAGGTGCTTCTCAGCAACTTCATGTATTCATACCTCGCCAAAGTTCAAGCGATGCATCCACAACTCCAAGTCCCCATTTCGCCCCAGCAAAAGCGACAGGAGGAGGAACGCAAGCGGCGAGAGGCCGAGCAAGCACAGCTAGAACAGCAACAGCAACAGCAGAGAGAACAACAGATGGCTCAGCAACAGGGTGGGCAGGATGGGAAATTCGATTTTGACTACCATCGCGTGAGTGACTAGCGCTTGTTTTATGCGTTGTCGATATATGGTAGTCTTTCGCTAACACTTCCTTAGTCCGGGGGCCAGCAATATGGGGACACCGGAAACCAGCATGATGGGAGCGTCCAATATGTGGACGATGCTCAAATCTACGAATACGAGCATGGTGTTGATCAGCGCCAGAACGATTATGGATCTGCTACTCAGCAGAATGGCAATCATCGAGGCCACGATGGCTACGGTGGCCCGGGACAACAGGGAGGAGGGCATGGCCAGCAACACGGTAACGGCGCAGGGCAGAACTACTACTACGGTCGCGACAACCATTACGACGACGACGACGACGACGAGAACAACGACATGTGGTAGGCCCACCAAGAGCCCATTGTCCGGCAACTTCTTCTCCGTTTGCCTCGGGTTGTCTAAATCTTGCCAATCCTCTGTTCTTGTGAAAGTAGTACACACCGCCAGGTGGTGAGAGTTTCTGAGGGGCTGAAAGTTGGCTGGGTGATTGCATGGCGGCCGGGGACAGCGCAAGCCGGAGACGGAAAGTGTCAGGCAAGAGTCCTTCCCATGCGCATAATACGGCGTTCCAGGCACACACGCATACACATGCACACACAACATTTTCACACACATTGAGGAAACCAAACGGGAAGGGCGGTTCGAAAGGGAGTCTGGCTCATCATTGTTTTGGTGGCGCGTCGTCTGAGCCCCCCTTTCCCTTAGCAGATTAGTTATAACTATTTTTTATCGCTTGACGCACATCATTGCTATAGCATTACACGCACCAATATTCTTCCACCCACTTGCGTGGCTCGCCTTCAGCAGCGGACTTTGATGTTACCTTACTCTTTCCTTTCCGCGAATTCGGGATTCTGGGAGTCTAATGATTGCGCCCTTGCCAGTCATCTTGTGCATGCCTTTACCAACGTCCGCGCGGCGCTTCATATCTAACGGGAGAAGGCATATATAGGCACAAAGATCAGATATTCATTTTTGCATGAGCCTGGGGGGAAGATCAAGGCAGGTGGTAGTGGGTGGCGTGGGATACCATGAGATCGGTTCCGAGACTGTTCAGAAGAATGACGAGAAATCCAACACTCGGAATGTCCGTCCGCTCCGTCTGCCGTGACCATAGCTGCAACGTGTGTCGTTTATAAGGAAATGACTCCAAGGCATGACGGGGCTTCCATCCGTTTGTCCGCCACCTGCGTGAGTTCCCTTTGTCTGCCCGGAACCTGCGGTATTCTTGTCGAAATCAGGTGCAGTCTGGGAAATACTTGCAGGTATCGGGAACATGCATGGCATGAGCTCGGCCCAGACAATGGAAGGTCATCGAGGCGTTATTGGCTTCTAGCTTGGATCTGTTTAACTATGGATTATTACAAGCAGTGGTACACCATATGGGGGACGCTTTCTAAGCCGGTGAAGGAAGGGCGAGTCGGACGAAAATTAAGGCGATAGTATTGATAGCGGTCAGGAGTCGGGTCTTATACCAGACCCGCACCTTCCCTCGATAAATAAAAAGGTGCTCTTTCCTCCGCCAGCAGGTACAAAATAGCTAAGGTGGCTTTCTTTAACTACTTCCTGTGACTCGAGGATGCCGAAACAGACATCTTGACGTCGGGTCTCCTTTGTAGCACTTCGAGAGCAGACTCAAACCAGCCACCTCACTTACTTCCCCAACGAGATAAACAACACCTACCTTACCTGCTTGCCACAAGAAAGCCCCCAGTCACCCCCCGCCCTTTTACGCAGACACCTTCCTAGTCGCTACAGCAAAGATTCTACCTAGGTAGGTAATTTCTTCACCCCAATCGAGTAGCATTTCGGCGCCGTAGCTAACTTAGGCATATTTAGAAACCTTCCGAATAAGAAGAAGACCTCTCGGCACGCATCATTGACATGCGTTCCGCAAACTACCAACCCCATCGACCTCAGCACTGGGTGATGGTGAATCCAGGAGGTGTAAGTGATTTTTGAAGATACGATGCCCCCAGCTCCAAAATTCCCTAAACGGTGCCTCATTGGTGCGCCCTGTCCAGTGCGCAAAGGGCGCTAAGCCTAAAACGCCAAAGAGTGGATGGGGCACTTGAGCATGCTGTTTCACACACTCGCGCTTCCATTCACGTCCCTCCGCAAAGTGAGCCTGGCGAACTTTTGAAAACTTCATCCCCGACAAGAAGGTCACTACGCACATCCCTCCCGTGGCCTACTGCCCTCTCCCATCTTTGTAATAGTTACCTTCACCTCACCCATCACTTTTAGTTTTTGATACCCCACCCTCGGTCACGCCCTCTTTGTTTGACTTTGGAGAACGCTCGTCGCGCATTGGATTTTTCCTTCCTCTTCAGCCTTTCTGCCGCTGAACCAGAAGCCACTATCGCCCTCCTCCTCTCACCCGTCTTCCTTCTGACCTGAGGTTCCTTCCCGGGATGGCATCTGTGAGCTTCCCTCTACAGATTTCATATCTCTCCCTAGCCGGCCCCCTTCTATCCCCCGCAGCAACCCCCAGATTCCACCTCCGTATCCCTTCTTCTCCCTTGAAATCAACAGTATTACTTCTCGATTACGCTGAAGTATCGCCATGTCTCGCGCGCCTCACGGCTCGGGCCGCCCCCGCAAAGGTGCCCACAGCACGCAACTAAAATCGATACTAACCAGAAAACCTGACCAGCAACCGCGCAATCTATACAACAACCAAGGCTACCTGCCCAATGGCGCCGCAACTCACCCGGGTCCGCTCCCAGGGGCCACGCCTCTGCTGCCGAACCAGGGTCGCATCATCCAGACCGGGCCCATTAGAGTTCTGTGCATCGCGGACGTCCGAGGTAGGCATTCCTAGATTAGGTTGCTATCTGCGCGTAACATGTTTCTAATGGTGGCCGCGCTACAGGAAACCTCAGGTCTTTGAACGACCTGGCCAAGTCGGCCCACGCCGATTACATTATTCACACAGGTGACTTCGGTTTCTACGATGAGTCGTCGCTGGAGCGAATTGCCGAGAAGTAAGAATCCTGTTCTTTTTGCATCTCCGTCGACTTGCTAAAACTAGATTCCATCTAGGACCCTCAAACACGTCGCCCAGTACTCGCCCCTCATCTCCGAGCCTACCAAGAAAGCCATTGCTCAAGGCGGTGCTGGTCCGGTGAAGGCGCGTTTCCAGCCTAGCGAACTGCCGCTTTCCGAACTGCCCCTTCTGATCACCGGCGAATTGAAGCTCGAAATCCCCGTCTACACTGTGTGGGGCGCTTGCGAAGATGTGCGGGTGCTCGAGAAGTTCCGGTCTAAGGAGTATAAGGTGCCGAACCTCTTCATTATCGACGAGGCCCAGTCCATGCTTCTCGAGATTGCCGGGGTCAAGCTTCGTCTTCTCGGATTGGGTGGTGCCGTGGTAATGCACAAGCTTTTCGATAACGGCGAGGGACGGACGACGATTGCTGGTGGACAGGGGACCATGTGGACGACACTCCTGCAGATGGGCGAGCTTGTCGATACCGCAAACCGCGTCTACGACCCCACTGAGACCCGGATTTTCATTACGCATGCTTCTCCGGCGCGTGAGGGCATCCTGAACCAGCTCTCGGTCACGCTCAAGGCGGATTTCTCCATCTCTGCCGGCCTTCATTTCCGATATGGGAGCTCTTACAACGAATTCAGCGTAAACCCCACCTTGGATCATTATCGCGGCAAGCTGGCAGCGTCGAAGGCCTCATTCAATGATGTTTGGGAGACCGTCAAGGGGGAGGTCGAGCCTGCTATCCAGCAGAACGAAGCCCAACAGAACCTTCTTAAGAACGCACTCGGTATCGTTGAGAAGATGCCTACCACTGCTGCTGGTGGTAATCCGTTTGGCGGCGCGGTTGCTGGCCAGTCAGCCCAGGCACTCGGCCAAGTGGACGAAAGTGCGTTCAAAAACATGTGGAACTTCAATCTCGCGGATGCGGCGTTTGGTTGGCTTGTCTTGGAGGTCCAAGACGGCCGGATCGGTACAGAAATGAAGGCTCAGGGATTCAACTTTTCTCACCGTGGAACTAAGCAACAGGCGGGAACTACCCAGTCTGCCGCAGTCCAATCTACCTCTTCCGGAGCAAGCCCCCTACCCCCGTCTGCTCCTCCTAACACGCAGACTGCACCTGCGCCGGCAATTGCGCAGCGCCAGGGCCCCCAGGTTACAAAGCCGATCGTATCAGCTCCCAGCCCCTCGATCCCTGCTGCGCCAGAGACGTCCCAGCCTGCTTTACCCTCGCCAAAGGAAGCCGATAAGCAAGCCGCGGCTGCTGCTAATGGAAGTGTTATCGCCCCCGAGTCCGCGCCATCTCCTGTCTTGAAGACTGCGGCAGACAACATTATCGGCCTGTTCGTTATGAACGCGCAAACTGATGAGCAAGTTCGGGACCTTTTCCAAGACGAGGACAAAGAAAACATCATCAAAATTGACAAGTGGGGCGCAAACAACAAGGTCGCACTGTTCAAGACGGAGAGGGAGCGGGATGCCGCCATGGAGCGACTTCCTGATGATGTGAAGAGCCGCGCCCCTGGCCAAGAGGATCGCTCCAAGCCCCTGGTCAAAATCTTCTTGCCTCCGCCGCCCCGCCAGTTTAGTTCACGTGGCGGTGCGGGCAACTGGGGAAGTAGCCGGGGCGGCGCCAGAGACAGCGCAAACCCACCGAGCGGTTATCGCAGTGCCGGCGGCGGAACTGCCAGTGACAGTGAGGGTGCTGGACGACGGGCTACTCGTGGGGGCCCCCGGGGCGGTCGGGGTGGTGAACGTGGACGAGGTCCTAGAGGACCCCGAGGTGGAATCAAGGGCGAGGGAGGCAGCGGGAGCCCTGCACCATCAGCAGCTGCGCCGGTCGATTCTTGAGAAAGTAAATGAGGAAGGGGGTCCCAAAAGAGAGACGACACCGATACCCTCTCGGTGCCGCCAGTACCACTATGCTAACATGCTGTATAAATGGGCTCCTTACTTGAATTAGCGGGAGCTCATCAGCGGAAACCCATGGCCCGACAACTCAAGACCTTTTCTCGTGGGAAGCGGGCACTCTCGTCTTACCTTCGCCTGTTAACATATTTGATTTGTGGCTTGTTCTTGCTCTTTTCCTTTGCGGTTTTTCTACGGTGGACGGAAACCCGGCTTCGGCTTGACTTCTTCTTTTGCTTTTTAGGTAATCATACGGCTGTCGGTAAAAGAAGAAGCGGGCATCTTGAGAAAGACAGCTCGTTGAAGGTGGGGGATGGGAGTTTCAGAGATCGCTTCTGTCTTCGTTTACTACTTCTTTAACTACACTAGCTTGTCACTTTTCAGTGTCAAATGTCATATTATTGTCTCCCTCCAGTGTAGCTTGTATTCCGAGGTTGAAACTTTATCAATCTCTCTGCCATATCTCGGGGGTGGTCGATGGAAGCTTTGTGCGATAATGACAGATTATATAACCCAATTCATTATTCAGCACTCCTACGTGCTGTACTGTACTATACCGAAAAGGAAATCGACTTGCTCTTTGGAAAGTAAAGTGTGATGGCTGGCATGCGAGGGATCATATTCGTGGAGCAGGGCGAGTGTGGACTTTGTGTTTTTTGTGATCTATTTGAGATAAGGAGGTGGCTTGGCTGACCAGGTAACTATCCGTATGCATATCTTTTATCGAAAATCGAAAACATCGGACGAAACTGGCTAAAAATGGATAGGCCTAGCAAGGCCCAACAGGAGATAGACATATCGCGGGTTGTTTCAGAGCTCAAGAGGCCACCAGGAGGACCTTAGGTTGGGGCTCATTTGCTTAATTATCGTTGGTAACTCGGACAGGTTTCTCCTATTTTGGGGGTCTTATTCTCGACTTTCGTGAGAATACACAGTTTCAGAGGCGCCCACCAGGAAAATACGGATCCCAAAGTCCAGCCAGTCATTGACCTGGATACCTCGTGGGATATAACGTTATATAGCACCTTCCCATTTCCTTCGAGTAAGGAAGGCAGAGGGTGGTTTCATACATGCTCTGGACCGGGACGTGGGTTAGAGCATGCTCTCTTTGCGTTTCTAACAAATGAAATGGAATACAGCAGGCCCGCGTGGGTTTGTGCGTGTCTGGGTAGGTATCTATTTTACATGAATGTAGCTATACACATTACAAGGCCCGCTCTACCTGGGGGGAATTTCCTCCCCCCCCCTGAAAGGGTCGGAAAGACATGGTTCTGTCTGTCTGTCTGTCTACTCTCTAAAAGCTTACACATCAGAGAATCAATGAAGTGTTCCTCTCAAGCATCTCTCGGCTTCATGCCCTTGTGGATGGCCGCCACGCCGCCGGTCAGATCTTCGTAGCCGCCGTTGGCACCACTAACAACAAAGCCGGCGTCGGCAATCATGTCGCGGAACTCCTCCTGGCTCGGGAACCGCTCGATGCTCTCGACTAGGTACTGGTAGCTGTCGCGGTCGCCGGCGACGAGCTGGCCGATGAGGGGGATGGCGCGGAATGACCACTCCTTGTAGAGGGCGTTCAAGATGGGGTACTTGTCCGCCTTGCTGAACTCGAGGCAGGCAAAGACGCCGCCGGGCTTGAGCACGCGGTACGCCTCGCGCAGCGCCGCGGGTATGTTGCTGAAGTTGCGGATGCCAAAAGCGACTGTGTACAGGTCGATGCTGTTGTCTGGGATGCTGGACGTGGCCGTGGTCGAGTTGTTGACCGGGGGTGATGTGGGTGTGGTGGGAGAGAGGGACATGCCCAGCGGCTTGGTCTTGGTCAGGTCCTCGGCGTTGGCCTCGACAAAGCTCAGCGCCGCCTGCTGGCTCGCGGGCAGCGTCCGCGACCGCTGCTTGCCCACGGAGAGCATAGCCGGGTTGATGTCGCTGATAGTGACGCGCACGTCGGGGTTGCCGTTGACGGCGTGCGCCGTGTGCAGCATCCGGAAGGCGATGTCGCCGGTGCCGCCAGCAATGTCGAGGATGTGCTGCGGCACGCGAGGGTCCGGCCCGCTGGTCAGGGGGCTGAAGCCCGGGTTCAGTGAAGAGACGAAATAGTCCCTGCATGGCGTCGTTAGAACCTTTCCCTCGGGAAGCTGGTTGTTCGCTCGATATTGGCAAGAAAAACTGGCTTACTTCCACACCCGATGCCACCCAAACGACATCATATCGTTCATGCGGTCGTACGACTCGGCGACATTGGTGAAGACGCCGGCAACGCGCTCTCTCTTCTCGGCCTCAGTCACCGTCTCAAAGCCAAAGTGCGTCGGCCTTGAGGGGTTGGGGATCGCATAGTCGGGATTTGTTGCAGAGGCGCGCTGGGACTGGGACTGGGCCTGGTGAGCCGCTGAGAAAGATCGTGATAATTGGACGTGTTCTGGGCAAGCGGCAGCGACGCCTCTCTTTAGCGCTGCTGCTCTTCGGAGGAGAACCGCGGGTCGGGCGGCAGCGGTCGCCATTGTGAGGACGGGTGGTGATGGCCGGCAAACGGGTGTCGGACGCGCGCGTGACTGCTCCGGCTTGGTCTGGTGGAGAATCAGTTCATGCTCGTTGTGCCGATGCCAACACCTGAATGGACGGGTTGGGAAGGCTGAGAAAATCTAGACTTGGGCCCAAGCTTCCGTGCCAGTGGCTGCATAGCCCAAGATTGATTGGAGGCAGCGCTCAGGTATGGCTCAGCCTTGTCCTTGAGTGGGGGAAACGCTATCCGTGGGGTGGAAGCGGATAAGAAACGGAACCTGGCAGCACCCTAGGTTTATGACGGTGGGCCATGCTCCGTTTTGTGCGTGTCGCATCCGCAAACCACACTGTGTGTTGCGGCCCTGGAGAGCGTTGGTAGCATCCCAGACCCTTGCTTGGCCTCACCTGCCATTGCCAAAAACAGACAGCTCGTAGCCGCAGCCGCAATCCATGCCGCAAGCTAGCATCTCGGGCATTGGGAACTCGGTATTCCGAAACTGAAACTGACCTGTCTGACGGTTAGGCTGGCGAGGGCGCATTCTCTCCCGAATGCCATTCGAACAGGTTGATGAGGTGCTTGTACGCCAAAACATAAATCCCGGCCGCAATGCCCAGAACGCAGAAGATGACGATGGCGAATGCAGCGGCAGCCCCCATATTATTGATTGCGTGAAGTTTGTGGCAGGTTGTCTCGTTTTGCTCTGGGTGTTTCTGTTTGCTGACGGTGAGTGGTGTTGTGGTATTGTTTTGGTTTGGGAATGTGTCACAAATTAGAAAGTAGGGCGCGCAGCATGTGGTGAAAATCATTGGTGGTACTTTGTACTCTAGAGTACCTAGGTCGTTGTGAACCTAAATATTTGAAGACTAGACGAGACCTTGGTGCTGGCATTCAGCGCCTGGAATTTTTTTTTTTTTTTTTTTTTTTTGGTTACCTGGAATTCCTCCAAGTGCACAGTGGGAAAGTAGATACTGCACCTTGGCTTGCCCAGCTCGCAACATATTATCATTTCCAAGCCAAAAGGGGAAAAAAACACAAAGAGATTAATGGTATCCAAAGTAAACATACACGTTCCTGCCCAGGTAGGTACCTAGCCATAGTAGCCAAGTTATCTATCCAAACTGTCCTTCCCGCTCTCAAACTCCCCAACATCGTATTCGTCTGGGTATCTCTCGATATAGCTCTTAAGCTCATACATCTGCTGCCTGAGCTCGGGCGTTAACTCCTCGTACACGTCCTCGAACATAGCCCGAATTGGGGGCTTTTTCTCCCGCTCGGCATCGGCAAACGCCTTCAGCACGTCCCGTCTGATGCTGTCGCGAGCGTCCTTCTCTTTGTTCTCGTCCCAGAAGCCCTTGGTCTCCATCCACTTGCGTAGCCTCGCAATCGGGTTGTCTCTTCTCTTCCAGTCTTCCACCTCCACTCTTGCTCTGTATGCGAATGAGTCATCGGATGTGCTGTGGTGGCTCACGCGATACGTCATAGCCTCAATCAGCACCGGCTTGCCGCCGTCCTCTAACGCCAGCTCACGTGCTTTCTTGGTGGCCTCTCTAACCGCCCAGAAGTCGTTGCCGTCGACGCGAATGGTGTCAATTCCGTAGCCTATGCCCCGGCTCGCGATGCCGTCGCCGCGGTATTGTTCCAGTGTCGGTGTTGAAATGGCATAACCATTGTTGCGGCAAATGAACACAACCGGACAAGACCTAGTTGCTGATATGTTGAGAGCTGCGTGGAAGTCACCTTCACTCGCCGCTCCCTCTCCAAAGTAAGCTGCGACTACTCGTGGAGGATTTGTCGGATCTTGCATTCTCTGGATCTTGAGTGCATACGCAGCTCCCGCAGCTTGGGGGAGTTGCGTCGCAAGAGGAGAGGATATGCTGTGCTGCAGACAATGTCAGCAAATATTTTGTGGTGTCTGTCTTTTTGACGGAAGCTATACAATATTTAGCTCCTTGCTGCCGTAGTGCACTGGCATGTTTCTCCCCTTGCCCGGGTCCTTTTGGTTTGCAAATAGCTGGTTCATGAAATCGGCCAGCGTAAACCCGCGCTGCTTGAACACGCCCTGCTCGCGATATTGACAGAATACCACGTCCTCTTTTTCCAAAGCCGAGGCGGTTGCTACCGATACCGCTTCTTCGCCCGCCGACACTATATAAAAGCTGAGACGGCCCTGGCGCTGGGCGTCAAACATAACCAGGTCCATTATTGACACGGCGAGCATGTCGCGATACAGTTTGACAACAGCATCGTTGTCGAGATCTGGCACAAAGGACGGGTCGACGACCTCTCCGTGCTGGTCCACGACGCGATATGTTGATAACGCCGGGTACGTCGACGGCTGCTCGAAGCCCATGGTGTTGCTGAAGGCCGACTTGACGGCCCCTGGGAACGAAACATGCTTGGCATCTGGGCGCTGCGATATCGAGCCTGCACATCGCCTGCGGAGGTGGAGGTTCGTCTGTGACCATACGATTGCAAGCGCTGCCGTTCTTTCGGAGAGCAAAGGGAGCGCGGCGCGGCGCGAGGCCAAGAGCTGTTGGCCTCCACTCGGTCGAACCCACTTCATGATGACCACGGCAAGACGGCTCAGCAAATAATTGAAAAGATTTGGGGGCGGCAGGTTAGGAACATATATCAATCGAAATCAAGTGGGAAAAGCACCGAAGCCGTTGGCATCGCCAGGGCGAGGAGGTAGGTAGGGCAACGAGTTCGAGACGAGCCGCGGGGATGCCATTGGGATTGGGATGACGTTCAACTGTGCCGACGGAAAGCGGTTACTCCAGGGTGTTTGGATCGGCACTGGTCCCAGGGTCTTGGCGGCCCACAATAACTTCCAGGTTGTACGTATCTGGAGGCACGGAGTATGTAGGACTCCATAAAACTCCAGCTAACCCCAGGTTTGCATGGAGCAAAGGCAAACTACACACACCTTGGGGATCTCAGGTGTCACTTCGCTCACCGGCCAATCTTTTGATCCGCGGAAACAAACAGTGACACCAAACAGCCGTCCGTACCTTGTCTATCACGTTCCATTGCACGGATATTGGCCATAGACAGCGTATTGGAGGTCTCTGTTATTTTCTCTGCACAGCACCGTAACTTCGGGTTTGCTCCCCAAAGATGTCGAGATTGGGATACGGGAACATTGATAATATGAGTTCTTGTCTCTCACGTAGTGCACTACTTGGTTAATTTAGATGCAACCTAGTCACAAGACAATCGAGCTGGATTGCTCCTGTATAACTCTTCGGCCTGAATTAAGTATCGTGTTTATCGTTGTTTCCTAAACCGTGCGTGGGAAACGCGGACTCATCGTCCGTGCCTCTTTATTAGGTCTGAATTCCCGGTTGAAACAACTCCACACGGCGGGCCAACAAAGTGGTTGCAGTTATGATGAGAAAGAGGGCCTGCCTTGGTATTCAGTCTCGATTACGTTACATTCCGAGGTGGATTTCATTTTTTAGCTCACAAATGGAACGAACCGCAAGCTTCTATCTTACCTAACTCAACTACCCATTTAGGTTAATATTTTTCCCGAGGTAATCAATTTGTGTCGAAAACAATCCGACAAAGTCGATAACACTCTCGAACTAAAAACGCAATGCAGTGCGAAACTGTGACGCATGTATTGTGGTTGTTGCTTTGTAGCCGCCTCGTGCTGCGAAACCTTGTCCGTCAGGGTGCCATCATAGACGGAAACGGGGCTGTATAAATTAGCTGGAACGCTCGGGACGTCGCCATATCGGGCCACCGTATTGCTGCGTTGTCTCCAATGACGGACCTGTGGGCTCTCCGTGCGCCGCGGCCAGGCTCCGCTAGGCCACGGATTCCTTGGCCTCAGTTGCGGCAGGGATCTTAATGGGCTAGAGAGCCGCCAGGGGCCCACTGACATCAAACTATGGGGTCCAGCACACAATCGCCCGCAACGCCGTGCAGCATCTCCGCTGGCCACATATCTACCTTAACTCGCCCGTAATCGATCTTCCATCTCCTTGTCAAGCCGCCGCCGACCCATCGCCGTGCAGCCCGCATCGGATTCATGAGTGACGCTCCCTTCCATCCCCGACGCATTTCATTCGAACCGCCCCCGGCCTGCCTCATGGCGTAATCCATGGCAGAACGAAGCTCCGTAAACCAGCGCTCCAGATCGGCTCTCGATAACGATCACCCAGTGCGCCTGCCCTCGGCCTCGTCGCCAACCTCCAGCTCAACAACTGTACCGTCCACCCCTTCTTCCGCCTCTAGGTCCGTTGCGCCTGTGTCTTTGCACGCGTCTCCCTCTGCTAGGTACTTACCCCTCCTCCTGCCTTCCATTTGACTTCGTTTTTATTTTCCTCCTTCTCGTTGCGCATTTGCCCCGTTGTCAAAGTTGAGCTCTGGCCGCCTGCCTACCCGCCGCTTGTCCCCGTCTCCGATTCAGGAACAATAGTCCCGCCGCTGCACCACTGCGACCACGCAACAAGGAAAGAAGAAAGGATAAAAAAGAATATGCTGCACCCCGCAACAACCTGAAAAGTGCCATAATTTGCACCTGGGTACAAAATTATTTGACACGGACGCTACTGTCGAGCTCTTTACGGTCGGCTGATAGGATTACCTGGACGCCGTCATTCGAGTCAACCTACCTACTGCTTTTGCCCCACGGCACGGCCCCTCCTCTGTCAAACTTCCCTTGGTGCTCCAGCACCAAAACGTTATACTCTTCCTTCCAGCAACAACCCGAACTCAACGCAGCTGGGCCAGCCTGCAGCGCGCCCTCCTCCCATTCCTGCCTCTTGTTTATTACTACCCACTGTCATTTCCTTTAAACTTCATGACTCACCTCAGTCACGTATTTACTCATGTCGCCTAGAGTTACCCGCTCGTCCGCCCGTCAAGCAGCGAGCCAAGCAGCCGCCTCCGCAAGCTCGGCCGCCGCCACTGCTGCTGCCGGTGCCGGTGCCGTCGTTTCTCCCGCTGCTAGCGCTACACCTTCCCGACGACCACCCCCTCCACCTGCCGTCCAGACACCAGCCCCTGCGCCGAGCAACAGGAAACGCAAGAACGCCTCCGACACCAGTCCTGCCGCGGGTGTGACGGACTCGGGAAACCTAAGCCGTCGGTCCAAGAGACAACGGGTGGTACAAGCACCACCGCAGCCACCGCCAGCTCCTGCTCCTCCCCCAGTCGCCTCGACAGCATCACGCCGCAGGAAGGGCAAGGCTCCAGCGACTATGTCAAGCTCTGAGTGCGTTTGGTATCTAGTGTCATATGCATCTTCCTGGGACGCCTGTTAACCTTTTGTGTTTATCTACATAGGACACCAGCTGGTCCAGCCAATCCTCCCGAGAATCCGCTCTCGGCATCCCCGAGCCGGCGGTCCAGTCGTAACAAGAAGGCTTCTCCGGATGGTCAAGGTTTGTCCCAACTCCTGCAGTCATCCTCCCCTCCTGCTCCGAATCTCACTCTATCCCCTAAACAAGACTCGACGACACCTTCCTCAAACCGGCGATCAAAGCGACTCTCCACCGATGCACAAGACCAGGACGTGGTAATGAGTGGTACTGAAGAACATGAGAAAGAGTCCACAGCGCCCGCGCCACCCCCCCCACCACCGCCTCCCGAAGACAACCACCAAGAAGATAGCGACGACAATGACGAAGAGGATCATCACCGGTATGATGGCGAGGACGATGACGATCCATTTGGCGGGTTTGGTGGCCCTGGAGGTGCCGTGCACGGTCTTTCTAACACGCTCCGGGCTTTGACTGGCATGGTCTCGGGCCTTTCTTCTCGATTACGCGAAGTTCTGAACAACATCCGGCAAAAAGAGGACCTCACCATACAGTTGATTGCGTTGCAAGAGCTCTCGGAGATTCTTCTGGTTTCCAACGAGGACAACCTGTCGGGTCATTTCTCGCCTGATGCATTTGTGAAAGAGCTGGTGGCTTTGATGCAACCTAATGAGATCACGGGAGAGGAAAACCCAGAGGTTATGCTGTTGGCTTGCCGGTGTTTGGCCAACTTGATGGAGGCTCTGCCGGCCAGCACGGCCAACGTTGTCTACGGCGGAGCAGTTCCCCTCCTTTGCCAGAAGCTGCTCGAAATCTCCTTCATTGACCTTGCCGAGCAAGCCCTCAGCACGCTGGAGAAGATTTCGATTGAGTACCCTTCTGCCATTGTTCGGGAAGGAGGGCTGACTGCATGCCTATCGTACCTGGAGTTCTTCGCCACCAGCACCCAGCGAGTCGCAGTCACCACGGCTGCCAACTGTTGTCGTAATATCCCTGAGGAGTCTTTCCCTGTCATACGCGACGTCATGCCCACGCTTCTGAATGTTCTAGGGAGCAATGATCAGCGGGTCGTCGAGCAGGCCTCAATATGCGTATCACGCATTGTCGAGAGCTTCAAGTATCACTCGTCTAAGTTGGAGGAGCTTGTGAGCGTTGACTTACTTCGGGCAATTCTTCGCCTGCTGCTTCCAGGAACTACCAACCTTATTGGGCCCAATATTCACACACAGTTCCTTCGCGTTCTCGCCTTTACCGCCCGTGCAAGCCCACGTCTCTCGGCCGATCTTTTCAAGTTGAATGTGGTTGAGACCCTTTACCAGATTCTCACTGGCGTCTCCCCTCCTAGCGGCACCGACGATGTTGCCTCCAAGCTTGACAGTGTGCTCATTATGCAGGCTTTGATTCATCGCCCACGAGAGCAAATCATTGAGACGCTCAACGTTATTTGCGAGCTCTTGCCAAACTTGCCCAAGTCTGTAGACCCTACAGCAGGCGACCTCATCGACATTGGCTCGCCGGCGGAACCCATTACACCGTCCTCTGTCGGACCTCGTAAGAAGACTTCAAACGAGAAACGGGTCGAGCTCCTCGACGGCTGCAAAGATGAAGTTCGGCGGTTTACCCTCATTCTCTTTCCGACCCTCACCGATGCTTTTTCAAGTACAGTTAACCTCACCGTCCGACAGAAGGTTCTCACTGCCCAACTAAAGATGCTTTCCAATCTGGATGAGAAGATTCTAGTGGAGGCTCTCAAGCCTGTGCCTTATGCATCTTTCCTAGCTTCCATTTTGTCTCAGCAAGATCATCCTTCGTTGGTCATGCTTGCGCTGCAAGCCACCGAGCTGTTGATGACCCGTCTGGATTCTGTGTACCGTTATCAACTTCACCGCGAGGGCGTAATATCGGAAATCACCAAGCTTGCAACAGAAGAGCCCGAGCCCGAGACAAAATCTATTGCAGCCAATGACTCTGCTGAGACTCCGGAGCCCTCACATGAATCGGAGGTTGCAATTGAGCCAGAGGCTGAAAGCCGTTCCTCTGCAGAGCCTGCTGATGTGCCTTCCGAGCACGCCGACTCTGAGGCCGAAGATGACGACGGGGATGATGATGAGGCCGAGGAAGAGCCTTCGCATCACTCGTCTGACGATGACGACGAAGACGATGAACAGGAAAACGAAAACGATCATGAGCGTCACCGAGATGATATGTCAGGCTCACCAGTGAGCTCGGAAGGCTCCACCATGTCGATTGATGGGCCTCCGCGACATATTGTATCGGATATCCAGTCCACAAAATCAAGAATTGCGGAAGTTGCGAGGAAATTTCTCGAAACGCACGAAACGGAGAAGCAGGGTAAGAGCATGAAGAAGAAGGCTGCTAAAATTCTAGCAAGCCTCTCAGCCTTGGCTGTCGATATTGAGGCTTTCTACCTACACCGTACCTCAGGGAACCTCCCTATTGGCAGCGGCACTGAGCTCTTCAAGAAGCTGGCATCTTATTTTGACTCTGACGTGCTGGAGAGCGTTACAAGTGCGGAACTGCTCGCATCTGGAGTTGTCCGCGTTCTGGAACTGGTTTTCAGCAACCCGGATGAGCAGCTTGCCGTCGCCGCCCAGTCCGCATTTCTCCAGGTTTTTATGGGATACACCGTCAAGTCGAAACCAAAGACTGCCACTGCAGATTCCCCCGCGACCCCTCTGAGCGTCATGATCCACAAGCTTCAGGACTTATTGAGCAGGTCGGAACATTTTGAGGTTCTCACAGTCCACAACAACTCATTTGAGGGAAATCGGAGCAGCGCAGCATCAATGCTTGCCAAGCAAATCCGTCTCAAACTGGTAGCAGATGATGAATCGAACGTTCCTGTTCCTTATCGGAACATTATGGTTTCGATCCACGCCATTACAACTTTCAAATCCTTGGATGACTATCTGCGGCCTAGAATCAGCGTTGACCGATCTCGCACCGGGGCGCGGAGGGATGCAGTGTCAAGAGCCTTGGCTGCCATGGCCGGCTCTAGTCATCCCTTGAGCGCGGCAGCTGCCCGACTAGTAGAACGTGCCATGCCACCTCCCGGCCAGTTGACGCCAGGACCACCTCTTCCGACAGCGCCTTCCCAACAGCCAAGCTCGCGATCGTCGCGAAAGTCAAAGTCGAAATCCACGCCCGGCCCCGAGCCACCTTCGACGCCGGATCCTCCTGCTTCTAGAGAGAAGGCTGTCTTGCGCAGGTCCTCGCGTCGACAGACGGCGTCAGAAGCTGCGCCTCCACGTCCTCCTCCGGATGACGGCGACGACCTCCAGAATGCACTAGAGTGCGCTGATGAAAAGCAGCTATCGGATGATGAGGACATGGGCGAGGGAAGCGCCCTTAGCGTGGTTCGTGACCTTGACGAAGGAATGGAGGATGCCCCAACGCCTGATGATCCATCGGCTGTCTCCTTGGAAGTGGCAGCTGGTGGTAAGATCACTGCCCGGAAGGAAGACGGAACTCGAGTCCCCACGCCGTCTCAGACGCGGTCTGCAACATCGTTGCCAAGTCGAGCGAGTGCCTGGACCGCCGCGTTGCAAAGCACCCCCACGCCTTCTGCATCTTCACGACCAATGTCGTACGCCGCCGCGATCCAGGCCGTGCCCCAAGACTGGCATATTGAGTTCAGTCTGGACGGAAAGGTTATTCCGAATGAGACGACTATCTACCGCGCAGTCCACGGCTCTGCTTCGTTATCCGATGATCATCTGAGCCGAAATGTGTGGTCGGCTGTACATCCAATCAAGTTCAAGCGAGTGCGTGGTCCTCCTCCTGCCGAGTCCATCCCATTTTCGTCATCTTTCGACGCAGGATTGGAAACAGAAGATGGTGGCACACCGGGATCTCTTGCAAAGTACCCAACCACGGCATCCATTCTTCGGTTGTTGAAGAAGCTGCACGATCTGAATGCCAATATCGACGACGTGCTCGTCGAGAACAAGGAGACGCTAAAGGTTAACGTCGAGCCACTGTCCCAGTTTGTCAATACAAAGCTCACGGCCAAGCTGAACCGCCAATTAGAGGAGCCCCTGATCGTGGCGAGCAACTGTCTTCCAAGTTGGAGTGAGGATCTGGCGAGACTCTATCCATTCTTATTCCCATTTGAAACACGTCACCTTTTCCTGCAGTCTACTTCTTTTGGCTATGCCAGATCTATGAGTCGCTGGCAGAATGCTCAGTCTCAGGAAGAAACTCGGAGGGACCGTCGGGACGAGCGGCCATTCCTTGGACGCCTGCAACGCCAGAAGGTTCGGATCTCTCGGTCTAAGATTCTTGAATCGGCTGTCAAGGTCATGGAATTGTACGGCGCCTCCCAAAGCATCCTCGAGGTCGAGTATTTCGAGGAAGTCGGTACGGGTCTTGGCCCTACACTTGAGTTCTACTCCACGGTCTCGAAGGAGTTCTCAAAGAAGAAGTTGAAGCTTTGGCGCGACAATGACCCCAATAGAGATGATGAATTTGTCTCTGGACAGAACGGATTGTTTCCCCGGCCAGTTAGTGACGAATTCGTGACCACAGAAGAAGGCGAGAAGATCCTGCAGCTCTTCAAAGTCCTGGGCAAATTTGTCGCGCGCTCCATGATTGACTCTCGCATCATCGACATCAACTTGAACCCGATTTTCTTCCGAATCGACAACGAGTCCAACGCTGTGCGCCCGTCCCTGGGAGCGATTAGGTCTGTTGATCCAGTCATCGCAAGGTCTTTGATGACAATCAAGAAGTTTGCCCTAGCTAAGAGGGAAATCGACGAGGATCCAACTCGCACGGCGGCCCAGAAAGTAGCAGATGTGGAGAGTATCGTGGTTGATAAGATTAAGCTTGACGACTTGTATATCGATTTTACCCTCCCAGGGTACCCGGATATCGAGCTGATCCCCAATGGATCTCAGACCAGACTAACGATGGAGAATGTGGACCTGTTCCTTGAGAAGGTCATTGACATGACGCTCGGAAGTGGTGTTCGCCGCCAGGTTGAGGCGTTTCGGGCAGGATTTTCTCAAGTCTTCCCATATTCGGCCCTCAGTGCCTTCACTCCTGATGAGTTGTGCAATCTCTTCGGCCGCGTGGATGAAGACTGGTCTCTCGAAAGTGAGTCTCGAGCCAAGAATTCTACTTCAATCATTTTGCTAACAGTTTGATTCAGCACTTATGGACTCAATCAAGGCAGACCACGGGTTCAACATGGACAGCAAGAGCGTCAAAAACCTACTGCAGACGATGAGCGAGCTTACTCCGGTACAGCGTCGCGACTTTTTACAATTTACCACAGGAAGCCCAAAGCTTCCCATTGGCGGTATGCATCTCCAACAGTGGATAGACCTACCTCAAGCTTTAGCTGACAGAAATGTATATAGGCTTCAGGAGCTTGACGCCAATGTTTACAGTGGTATGCAAGCCGAGCGAAGCGCCATATGCTTCGGACGACTATCTCCCGAGCGTCATGACGTGTGTCAATTACCTCAAATTGCCCGACTACTCAAACATCGACGTGTTGCGTAAGCAGCTCTTTACCGCCATCAAGGAAGGTCAAGGAGCTTTCCACTTGTCGTAAAGCAAGCGACAACAAGATAATGGAACTAGGACCGGTTTACGGGCCTAACAATGCGGTCTTGACGGGAAACGTTTATTTGCTCGGTCTCTGCACGACTCCACCACTCCCACTCGTGCTACATTACAGTAGTAACAGCATAGACGGTACGGAAGCATTCGGGGAATGGATTTCATACGGAAAATTGGGGGAGCATCCGCATTATTTTTATTCAGGCTTAATTGACGTTCATGGGAAGGTGGATGGCGATGGACGGCATAGGTCCATTTGTGTTTTGGTAATTTTGTTTTCTTTTACTGTTTCATCATGCCACCCTCACGATTGCCGTGGGATGACTACAGAGTACTAGACTGGCAATTATTTTCAGCGAGGGAGAGGTAGGGCTTCACGAGGGAGAGCAGGCAGTGGCAGAGCCAAAGCCACCGTCAATAGCGTTTCGAGTGTAGTCTTAGGTAGAGCTACTCTGATGATTGCGGACAAGACAAGTGGCGAACAAATGCGGCCGTTAGGTCCAGTGTCTACGAAGCACCCCTACGGATAACCTTGGTCGTGAAAGGGTGAAGGTTTGTGGTGTAAGGTAGAGTGGGAACTTGGTTCGACTTCCTTACATAGTAGGCGGTAGGGTTAACACGCTAAGAGCAAGTTGCCCCACTCAATTTAGCTTTCAGGTCAATCTCAGGCGCGTCGACGCGTCCCCCGCGTCCACGCATTCCGACCCATCACTGACTGCAACATAGTGATAGCACCGAGGCTGCTTCCACTCGGGAATAGCATCATAAAAGCTCCCAGATGGCGTCAAACACGAGATCACGGATCCAGGCTCCGGCTGGGCGAATATACGGCTCATCGCCAGCTCCACAGCAAGCACAGTTTCCCGCCCGACGCCGCGTAGTCAAGACGTACGGCCGCAAAAGCAAAACATCCTCGGCCCGCGCACTGCGACAGCAGACCTTGACCCAAATCGACTATGTGAGGCCGCCCGGGTCAGGAGACGACGCCGATGCCTTGCTTGTCGACAAAAAACGTTCCCAGAAGCGCAGAAAGACGATGGGCGACACGCCCAACTCGTCATTTCACACCCAGACTCTTACACAGTTTCTCTCCGGGGGAGGCGCCGGCGCTAGGGACGATGACGACATGTTGCTGATTAAGGACTCGGAAGACGAAGAAGACGAATCCGCAGGCGGGGGTGACGATGGCGGCAGCGATGGTGAGGCCGAGGGCGGTCTACTAACATTTTCGTCTGGCGCTACCTTGGGCAAGCGGAACGCAGGAGAGGAACCACGCGCTGGACGGCCCTCGTCGGCGCCACAGACACCGTCTCACAAGAGGATCAAAGTCAACCTGGATGAGATTCCCTCCTCTCAGCCAACCCCTTTTACCCCAATGTTGGACAGATACAGTCCAATGCCAGGCAGGTCGCCCCTTGAAGAGAAATCGACCAACATCAATGCTCCGTCGCCCATACTGGAGTCCATGTCCAAGAGACCCCGGAACTCGGTGATTCAAGACTCATATAGTCCCGGTAGCCGTCTCTCGTCATCTCTACCCGCATCATCGCCAGTTAAGGAGACCCCCTCCAGGAGACCGTATCGCCAGCCACTTGCAGAAATTCCAATGCCAAGTTTTGATCTCGGCGACAATTCTGTCTTGCCCAGAGCAAATACATTCACAAGACCTCACACAGGGGATATGGAGGCTGTCTTTGGGGAAATACCCGATTCAGACGATGAACTCGACGCTTTCAGTCCCTCACCACTTAAAGCCAGTTCCGTCCATCAAACATCTCAGCTACCTCTAAACGCAACCCAGAATTCCCGCCATGTGTCAGCCCTCAGCCGAATTCTAACCGCCGGCGAGTCCATAGATACGTCTACAAGCAACGTCGGTGCCCCTACCACACTGACCCCGGCCCCGCGAGTTCAGATGCAACCCGTATCTTCCAGTGCCAGGGAGGCCGGCGGCGAACCTGCTTCACCAACCACAGCCATTCGGCGAGTCCAACTGCAGCTGCCATCTTCAAGTTCCAGAGTTGTTGCGGGTCCTAGTACGCCGACTCTGCCCCCTCGCCGAGTGCAGATAGAACTGCGTCAATCGACTCCCGGCGAGGTGTTTGAAGAGACGCCACGGCCGCTCCGGAAAATGGCGTCCCCATCTCTTCCGCGGCACACCCAAGGCAAGCTTCAAGGCAAATCTCAGAGCAGGTCTCAGGCACGATCTCAGTTCTACAGCCAAGGCTTGGAGAGCCAAAGAGTTCCTCTAGAGGTCATTCGCTCCTTGGGCCCGCAGACGGACCGCTCGGATATTCTCATCTCAATTCACCCAGAACCCGCGGATGCGATTGTCGAGGGCACGAAAGACCACGAGTTCCGTAACTACAAGTTCCCGTTGCAGGTTTGCCGCTGCTGGATTTATGTTACACGCCCAGTGGCCGAAGTCAGGTATATGGCCGTTCTAGGGCCCGCAGAAGAACCGGGACAGATCGACAGTGAAAGTGGTATCGGCAACGCAGAGTTCAACGAGGGCACATTAGGCTTCAACTTCGCGCACAAGTTGGTGCAGGTGTACGAGCTCAACAACCCGGTTCCCCTGGCATCTATGAAGGACAATGGGCTCGGAGATAACCCGCCCCAGAAATACAGATACGTACCGCCGGCCATTGTGGGTCAACTTCTGGCGAACCTGCGTTGTGCTCTCTTCGCCGGTGGGGACGAAGACGACGAGGCAGGTCTAGAAGAATGGGACGAAGACGGACTGGGCGGTGTGAGCATCTCACAGGAACTCGAAGAACAGATTCGCAGCGATATAATTCAATCGACACAGATGGTGCCGTCATCCTCGCAAACGGGCCTGGGGCGCGAGCATGTGATCCCAGCAAGCCAAGAACCGATTCAGACGGTGGCCAAAAAGTTTCCATCGGCAATAGTTACTACTGCTGTTAATGCGGCGACTGCGACACCTGGAGGAGTTTTCGCACGACCAGCGTTACTAACTGCTAGGACAAGATCAAGCAGCCGTATCCGGAGCCAGGAGCAGCACCAACAGCAGAGGACAACGCCATCTCGCAAGGCGGCCGTGATTTCTCCTTTCCGGCCGTCTCAGGCAACGACCGCAAGCGGACCGTCAAGCCCTAGCCCTGCAGTCTCCGAGACGGGAGGGGAGGAGGAAGGCAGGGAAGATACATTGTCTGCCCCGACAAGGCCGATGCCCGGTTCAAGTGGATCATCTCTACTTCTGATCAACAATGAGGCAGACGAGGACGGCGGAAGTTTAGTCAGACTCCCTTCCGGAGCCAGGGGCATCAACCTGTCGTCGCAAGTAATAATGCCAGACAGTTTATTGGTAGACGACGTCAGGCAACCGCCGGTCATTTGGGGCTCGGAAGAAGACATAGACGACGATGAGATTGAGTGGTGAAAAGTAATGCGATGATGATTTGGCTGAGGTTCCGGGGCCGATATGGGCCGCGCTATCCCTGGCTTCTTACTATATGGGGGTGGCGCCCAGAACCCGGGATCCACGGATCTAAATATTCTACAGGCTCTATCTTTGCCACCTGCCCCAAGATATAATCCTACTCTAGGGTATAATCTCCGTCCTAGTCGCTAAGCTGCTTCTCAACTTCTTCCTCAGTTGCCTTGAATCGTCCCTCGTCCGAGGATGGGAGTTTCTCTGGCGACGGGCGGACCATCTTCTGCTTGACCATGTTCTGCCTGCTTCTACCTTCGGGAACCTCATCCGACCCCCGCCTCCGCTTCAGTGTCTGATCAAAAGCCTCACTCTTCTGTACCAACTCATATAACTGAGTAAGGGAGATGGTAATTACCCCTTTGGCCTTTCATATCGATCAACTGCTCTATGACTAGGCCTTCGAATCTGCCGATAACGGCTTCGTGGACAGTGCTCGCCATACGTAGGACGAACTTAGCGAGCTGAGGGAAGTAGTCGTACCTAATTAGAGGCTAGCCACTGCAACGCTGAACAAGGGACAACTGGGTAAAAGGGACAGAGGGACAGGCTGACTACTTTGGCCAGCGGTAATCCCCTTCAGCTTCCAAACGCGCCTCGAAAGCCTTGAACTCGTCACGTCTGAGACTGATGCACCACCACTCCTCTTCGACCTCGACTCGGCCACAGATGCGATTGCGAATTTCGGCGATAATCTTATTGACGCCCGAGACCGGCAAGCCCACAGACGGTGCAGCAGAGGCGAGAGATTCTGTCTCTGGGGGCGTTGCCGGGTAGAGAGATAGCCGATCGAGCTCGGCGATTGTTCTCTTGTCAGCCATGTGGGCGGATGGCTTTGATGATGATGAAGATAGAATGTGCGTGTATCTAGGGCGACTGCAAGGAGTAGGGCTCGCTTGCTTGTTGACGACGGAAGGAATAAGTGTTGTAGGGTGATTGCGACAAGTAGTTCGCTTACTTGTTAACGAAGGAAGGAACAGGTGTTGTAAGGCGATTGCTTATTGACGACGGACCCCGCCAAAAATGTAGTGTTTCGGGGTGCTGAGATTAGCGGGCCCAAGCTGCCAAGAACGGCACCCCAAACACAGCAGCAGCAGGGGTACGAAAGCGCAAGCCTCACGCACTCCACATTTGTTAGCATCACCTCCCTTGCTAGCCAGACCAGACCAGACCCCAGCTCGCTCCGCTTGACAAGCAGTGATTTTGGACAGGCGAACCATCGCTTGCGCTGGCGTCCCACGACGAACACACGCCGCATTCGAATTCATACGCAATCATCACTTGCAAGAACACGACACACGACCATAACCGATTCAACCAACGACGACTACACCAATTCGTAGGACCGTAGCGTAGCATCATCGTTAGATGGGCGTCCTGCCGAAAGATGCGCCCTCGCTATCGCTAGCCTCAGCAGTCGTCACAGTCCCCGCCGACGCACCCGTCTACCTACCGCTCATGAACCGCGCATCACCAAGGGCCTCGGGTTGACGGGAGAGCGACATCCCGGCCGCTACCATGGCCACGACCAACGGTCGCGAGCTGAGCAGGGCCGACATATTCGAGGATGAGAAGAAGAGGATCATCGACAGCTGCTTCGAGAGAAGGGATGACGATGGTTCCAGTAAGGCACCCTGCCGACACAATAATATCCATCTATCCCCTGAATGGCGCCTTGCCAGCGCTCTTTTATCCTGCTGACAACTTTTCTCTCCTCTCGCTGCAGTGCTCGAGACATATATCACCCACCTGCGCATCACAGAGTACTCGTCGTCGCCCACAGCTCCGCCACCGCCCCAGGCAAGGACATCCCAGTCCGAAAAGGACCGCGTCATAATCGTCGCTGTGCGCAAGTCTGGCCGAGTGCGGCTGCACAAGTCCAAGGAGAATCCCAACGGCACATTCTCCATTGGCAAGACATGGTTCCTCGACGATCTTTCGGCCATCGAGTCCTTCACGAGCCCCACAGCCAACCCGACCTTCCAAGACTCGGCTCGCGATGTTGGATTTGTGGTTACCCTCGGAAAGCCATACTACTGGCAGGCGCAGACTGACAAGGAGAAGAAGTTCTTCATTGCCAGCATAATCAAGATCTACGCCAAATACACGGGCGGCCGCATGCCCAACCTAGCTGGCTTCGATCAGCGCGAGCTTGAGCAGGTCTTGGGCGGCGCCCAAGCCCCGAGGAGACAGGACCGCCCCCCGCCTCCACGGCCCGCCCCTCTCGAGACGGCCCCTAGCAGCGGAAATGGCTCGGCCTCGTCAGGCTACAACGGCGCGGGGACCCTGAGCGCTCAACTTAACGCGCCCCCTGCCTTTTCCGAGAGAATACCCTCTCGCAGCCCACTGCCGCCCAATGGACCCAATGGAAGATCTTCTCCTGCCCAAAGTGTGGAGTCGGGACGGAAATCCTTGGAGCAGCCATCCCTGCGGCGGCTGGCATCAAATAACCAGAGCCAGGACTCCGTGACCACGTCTCTTGCCGCAAGAAGTGAGGATACGAGCAGCATCCGCCCGAGGTCGAGGAACGGGAACGGGAACGGGGTCAACGGGGCCGGCTCAAACTATCTTACTCCCAGTCCAGAGCCTCAACCTCCTCAACTCCAGGTATCGGAGGAAAAGCCGCCCGCGCGAAAACGGCCTCCTATGGATCCCCTGCGCCCGCAACAAGCTGATAGAGACCTGGTTCCGGCGCCTCTGATGAGTCCCGGAATACGTCGAGATCCACTAGCGGTCCCTCCCCGCAGCGTGGAGAGGGTGTCACCCCGTCAGAACTCGACAAGCAGACGCAATCAGCCACAGCCATCAGATAGCCAGAGCTTGGCTGTTAACGGTGCTGACACCGCAAGGGAGGCCCAGGGGACTCTTCCCATACCCTCCGAAACGACGGCGCCTTCCATCAAAGCCTCTGTTTCGCCGCTTCCTCTCCCCGTCCCTTCACCAACGACCACGGACGAGGTATCAGATGATAGCAGGCCCGGCCTTGGGCCAATGATCAAATCTAAAAAGTCCAAGGGAGAAATTGCAGGAGCATTTTGGAAGGCGGCGACGGCAGTGTCGGCTTTCAAGCCGAGGCCAGGGGGTGCAGCAGATCGCATTCGGCAGAACCAGAACAAGAGCACCGATGGCCCCGACGGTATCACGGCTGTAGTGCCTCCTCCACCCCCAGCTCCGAAGCCGGCCCCTTCTCAAAGAGCACCAGAGCCCGCTCCTACCCCAGAACCACCACCAAAGGCTGCTGATAGAGTCTCGGCCGCATCGGGTATACCCGAGGTGAAGGTCACGTCGAGCTCTAACAGTAGGCCGGCTAGTCTTCAATCCTCACTTAAGGAGAAGAAGATAGAAGAGACATCGGCGCTGGAGGACTCCCGCAAGTCCATCATCAGCGGAAACGACGTCAAGTACCTAGCCACTCTCGGCATAGATCCTGCTATCCTAGACAGCCAGACTGCCGAGTTTACTAAGTGGCTGGACTATTTCGGCTGGGTTCCGGGCGAGCAAATGCGGGCTCGTAACTTTGACGAAATGCGAGCTGACATCGATCGAGAACTCAATAAATCCCAGGCTGGGGGCTGGCTCGCCCGTTTTCAGGAGGAAGACGAGAGGGTCGATGGCATCAAAAGGGGGATTGATCTTGCAATTAACGAATGCGACGAGCTTGACAACCTACTCACGCTATATAGCGTCGAGCTATCCGTAAGTCAATTCCTTATCTCTGACGTTGTAGAAGCTGCCGTCTGACCACTAGCAGACTCTCTCCGATGACATAGCCTACATCGAGGCGCAAGGCCAGGGCCTCCAAGTCCAGGCTGCCAACCAGAAGCTCTTAATGAAGGAGCTAGAGTCGTTGCTAGAAACCTGCGCCATCAGCGAGTCCGACCTTGAGGCTCTCAAAGTGGCACCTCTAGACAGCTCTGGCGGCATCGAGGAGATCGAGTCCGCCCTTGTCACGCTGTACAAGGCCATGACGAAGATTGATCCGGCCATAGGCAACAATGACTCGCGTAAGAGCGAGGATGAAAGTGGAGACCAGTCGCTCGGGCTCAACACTGACTATGGCAATATGCGTATTGTTCAGGAGAAGAAGGAGATGTACACAGCTGAGAGCTCTCTCTTCATGCGGCGGCTGGTGGAGTTCATGGCAAGGCAGTTTGACGACTCCTTCCGCGCGACCAGATCTGCGCTAGACGGTGCCCTATCCAAGAAAGTCGACCCTCGTAACCACGAAACCGGGAGGGAAATGCTCTGGATATATAGCCCCTTGGTTCTCTACGCCCGGGATGTTGACCTAGACAACTGGAACCGCATCGTCCAGATATACCAGGACAGATGCCACCCCATATACAAGGCCGAGTTCAGGGAAGCCATGGACGCCTGGAAGAAGAACGCGAGGAAAATGACGGGCGAAGAGAGCGAGCTGTTGTTCACGTCGCAGCAGGAGAAGAAGGAGGAGGGCCTAGCGACAACGGCCAGGAAGCTCACGGTGAAGCGAAGCCAAACGCTGGCCAGAAGTCTCCGGTCGCCACTCGGCGACGGGAGCAGCAGGACGAATCTAGACAAGACACCAGACGGCAGAGCTATTCCGTACGAGGTGTTTGCTGGCGTCCTGGACGATCTACTGCCTTTGGTGGAAATGGAACAAAATTTCATCGTCGACTTCTTCCATGCCACGACGCTGGAGCAGGCAGACTTCCCGGATCTTGTGGCGACATCGAGGCCCCGCGACCGCCGAGGTGGCGACCTAAAGCGGCACCGGCTAATGGAGCCGGACCGTGAGCTTGCCCGCAGGGTGACACGCGCCATGGAGGCGGTTTTCCTGTTCTTGGAGCCGAACTTGCAGCAGCTCATGGACTGGGTGTTGAACATGGATCCACTGTAAGTTGAGGTGCTCGCTGTGTCGGCGGTCTATCCTTTGGTCTATCCTTTCGGTTGGTTCTTGTTTTGCTAACTTTATCTCAGACAAGGGGTTGGCATTCTTGGGACGCTAGAGCGCAAGATGGCCGACATGGGGCAGTCCAACCAGGACTTCCTCAACAGCATGCTGCAGAAGCTTCACGGCAACCTCGAAGCTAAGTTCAGGAAGTTTGTCGACGACCAAATCCGGGCCATCGAGGAGACGAAGGTCAAGATCAAGAAGCGTAAAGGTGTCATCCATTTCGTGCGCATCTTCCCACAATTCTCAACCGCGGTGGAGAACATGCTCTCGGGTGTGGACTCGAGTCTGAGCGTCCGCCGCATGGTGGACCGCGAGTACGACCGAATCCTCAAGTCCATGTTCGACTCGCTGAAGGTGATTGCGCGCGAGAACCCAGCTGTGGGTGCAGCCGGCGCCGCTGGTGTCAACTCGGCCGACCCCGAAGACAAGGAGACGCTCAACTTCCACATTCTGCTCATTGAAAACATGAACCACTACCTCGAGGAGGTGGACAACCCGCGTGGGCTCGAGGTGCTCGATGACTGGAAGGAGGCGGCCCAGCAGGAGCTTGCCGAGCACATGGGCCTCTACCTCAACGCCGTCATGCGGAGACCTCTCGGCAAGTTGCTCGAGTACCTCGAGAATATCGAGGCCCAGCTCGCCAGCGGTGCCAAGTCGCCCGCCGCCGTTGCCGCTCAGCCCAGCAACTCTAAGGCAACGTTCAACAAGATCCTCGGCGGCTACGACGCGCGCGAAGTACGCAAGGGCATCGAGACGCTCCGCAAGCGTGTTGAAAAGCACTTTGGCGACGCCGACGACTCGTCACTGCCTGGCGGTGGGGTGGGGACCCTGAGCAGCAGTTCAAAGAACCTCGTCAACCGCGTGCTCCGCGAATGCGAGCGCTTCTACTCGGACGTGGAGCTGCGCATCGGCGCCATCACGACGAACGTGTATGGCGGCGATGTGCTCTTTGAATGGCCCCGCACAGAGGTCAAAAGTGCATTCTCGGTTTCTGGGAGGTGAGCACTGAGATATCCGGTCCATCCAGTTTTGGTTTAAGGAGAGGGAGAAAGTAGAAGGAGCGGGACGTAAGCTGTGGCCCGACCGACCGAGCGCGTGTGTATAAAAAACAACAACAATGAAAAGCTGGAACGGACTTGGTAGAGACGGCAAAACGTGGTCCATACTGGCTTGATGCGGTGCGATGTGGCGATCCCGGCTTCTGAGGATGAAGGGGGAAACGTGGGGGCAGAGGGCGAGTCAGTGGGTGTAGGGGTTTTCTTTATCTTCATTTCTATTTCATGTGTCCTTTTTTTTATCTGCTACTACTACGACGAGAACAATCTAATTTGCATTATATATCAACCTTTTTTCACACTTTGGGACTTTTGGTGTTGAAACATGGTAGAGAATTCAATGTGGTTCACGGTGGATAAACTATGCGATATATAGATTAAAGTTGGTCACGAAAAGGAAGCCAATACCCGGCGGAAGCACGAAGCACAAGTCCAACACGAAAGGCTCTCGAATCCGGCTAACTACAATTGGCGCATCACATGCCGGCCGCTTCGCTCCACACACACCCAGACTTTGAACGGCCCGAAGCCGTCAAGGTTCGGCACAACCATGGATTTGCCGATGATACGTACACCGAGAAGACTCACGCCGTGCCGTAGTGTCAAACTCAATCGGCCGGCACGAGTACAAACAGAACAAAAATTCTACAATTGACGAAAGGGCTTCCTTGCACACACCTTCCAGTCCTCACCCAAATCTACCAGATTAACCAAATCCATCTAATCAACCACAACCATGTACTTAACGCGGCCCAACTAGTACAATCAGTACGTTCCAATCCATTGCACGCCAGCAGTTCATATCATGTTATGGCCTTTCCGTCCTAGCGGAGCAAGAGCGCTCGCAATAATCAACGCAAAAACAACACAGCATAGAGCTCACTTTCTCCTTTTCTACTAGGTGTTAAATACCCAACTCCACTGGATCTCGCAATGGGCATCCACAGCGCAGTACAGGTGGGGGCACTGGACCCAGGCGCCGCTGCCGTTGGCCTGGTGCTGCCCGCGGCACCGCGTAGTCGACACGTTGTCGTTGACGTCCTACACAATGGTGTTAGACATCCTACAGGCGCCGCAGAGCCAGTGCATCGCTTCGGGCTGGCCGCTCGACTTGGACGAGGCGTCGCTGCTAGAGCTCGAGCTTTTGAGCATGGCGATGGTTGTGCGGTTTTGGGGGGTGGGAGGGGGTTGTGGGAACTTATAAGGAAGAGTGGTTGGTTGGTACTTGATGTTGTGAGTGTGAGTGTGTCGGGTGCTGGATGATTCGTTGTTGCCCTTCGTGGTGGTGTGGTGATGGCTTTATATGGCTGGCTCCCCGTCAACACGACAGCCACTCGCTTCACCAACTGGCCTTTTTCTTTTGACCCTATTTTTGGTACCTATACTTTACCTTGGTTGCCTGGTTTTCTGTGAGAGAGGCCCAGCACTCATGTTTGATGTGTGTTCTGTGCCGAATAGTGGCTGTCCGCGGCCACAGCAAGACAGACAAAGATGCCGACGGTAATTAAGTCTAGTATCTAGGTTGGGCTCCATGGCTTAGACAAGACGGCCCACTCAGCTGGACCTACTCTTCATCATGACCAAACAGGCGAAACTCGCTACACTGCAGACACGCGAGACTGCACCATATACTGGTTTCAGGGTGTCTGGCACCAATGTTTTAGGGCTAGCTATTGTAGTTAGCTTGGACTGAGTTGGCCTTGTTTTGGAACCACGGTCCAGCACGATACCTGGCCAAGTCGCGACTGAGCATCGCCAACTGTGTGGTCACGTCCTGAACACCGATGCGGTGCTTTGGATTGATCGAATGCCCTTAGCGAGCTATGGAAGTAATCACAGCTACCCAGTGACTATCTTAGGTCGTCACACCGTCACCGGACATTGACACACCGGTATTCAGTCTTGTAATAAAAGGCGCCTTTCAGACTCAAGACCAACTCGGCCTAGTGTCTGGCACTTACTTATCATGTCACAGAGAAACGCGGGCGTAGTGGTTAATGGCAAGAAGCAAAGAATTCTCTCTTAGATTTCTATTCTAGGCCACCTAATTCCACATTCCGTCACCCTCAACCTAGCGACACCTTAAGCGCAATAGCCAGCATGTCCAGCAAGCTTACACCACACCCCTTACAAAAAGAAAACCAGCACGGCCGGCGCGCATCCACCCGCAGCCCTCTAGGCCTACTCCTGCTTTCCTTCACTAGCCAGCGGCTAGAGCCAATTATTTCTGGAATGCAGGCTCGGCAGCAGCAACCTCGAATGCGGCGATTCTCTTGACGAGTTTGCGGGACTTTTTCAACGACTCCTGTGTGACAGCGTTCGAAGTCGAAGCGGCACCCACGGCCTTGGCGTGAGCCGGTTGCGCGTGGAGCTCTTGGATTGTCTCTGTCGAGGTTGTTAACGGCATGGTTGGCGGACTGGAGGACAAAGGGGAACCTAACTGAGATGGGTTGTGTGTTGGGGTTGCGAAGAAAGTGAGGTAGGCACACTCAAAAGTTACTTACTTTCTCTTCAAGTTGCCCTGTGTCGGCTGGTGGCTCGGCACGCACCAGAAACAGAAACTAACAAGCCGGGACCCTTTGTCGGTTTGGTGCCGAAATTGCTGTTCGGGAAGGAATACTACTAACTCTCGCACGTTCTAACAGGCGGCAGGCAATACACTGCCACATACATCACCATGTCAACAAATAAACAGACCAACAAATCAACGGGCTGCGTAGATAAAGAACCTTAGGTAACCAACTGGGGCGCTGGCCATGTGTGAGGCCGGGCCGTGGACTGTCATGCCGAGCAAGGCCAAGCAAGGGCTCCTTGTTATTGCTATCTTCAGAAAAAACGCAAAATCCTTCCGGTGATACCCTTGACCCAACAGACAGTGCACGTAATGGATCAAAAAGGCTAGGTAATTAGCATGGCCACAATGCTTGTTTTGATTTGTCAACCCTTCGCCGAATAATACTAACGTATACAACGAACTAATGCATTGGCAGGACGACTACTACATAACCACCCGCCCCCCTTCTCTCCCCCCACAAAAGACCACCTCAGACTCAGAGCCAGAACCAGCACGCCCAGCATGCTTCCCCCCCCTTTCGCCCAACACAACGAACAAGATCAGCATAGCAGCATACATCAACAATAAAAAACCAAAACCAACCGTTTCTAACGGTGAGTGGTAGTGGTCGTGCCAGTAGCCGTTCCAGTGGCAGCGCCGGTGGCGGCGCCGGCGGGGTTACCGGCGGTGGCGGCGGGGTTACCGGCGGTGCCGGCCGAGCTCGCGTCCGATTTCAGGGCCCACGTAAGCTCTTCCAGCGGTGCCCACTCCTTAAATAGGGCAGCCTTCTCCTTGTTCGTCTTAGTGGCATTGCCTTTAGCGGCAATGTAGGCCTGCTTTGCCCTGACTTCTACAAGGGTCAACACCATTGTGTGCGTTTTTGGAGATAGGTGTGGTGGTGGACGAGTTCTGTTGTTGTTTTGGTTGGTTAAAGAGGATAAAAGTGAAAGTGAGCGAGATATTGGGCGGAGAAAGAGAGATTCGGAACAGGGACGGAGGCGTTGATGTGAAGTCGAGGTTTAAAAGGGAAGCAGGAAAAACACGGTAAGTAAAGCAAGCAAAGCCACGGCGAGACAGCGCGGGGTTTTTGCAGTTTTCCACATACAAGGCAAGTGAGTTGTTGCCGTGGTTAATTTTATACCGACTCACCGGATTGATATCTAACCCTAGGTACCTACCTACCTAGGTAACTAGTGCAATCCCAGAGATGAGATAGATGGGGATAAATTCATACCGGGGTGGTACCTAGGTACCTAGGCACCTACTTAACCTCATCGCCTCATCGTCTCATGGTCCTACGGCGCGGCCATTTAGCTTGGGTCGTGAACAACGCAACGGCTCAGCCCTACGGGGTCCCGCGCCGCGCCGATCCTGTGCCAAGATTCGAGAAAGAAAAGTTCAGCCAACACTAGCTGCTGCTGCTGCTCACCAGCGGCGCGGCGCAGGGCAGCCCCGGGCACTCGCAGTTGGTAGCCAATCGCGTCGGGGGCCCGAGTAATTAAGCATTGGCATTGCATGTGTCTCGGCCAGCCGAGAGCAGAAACAAAATCTCAAATCAGACTGGTGTTTTTTTCTTTGCCCGTTAGGAGCTCAACATGAATAGGTAGTAAGCTAGGCGGCGGCTCCTCCACGGCTTGCGGACTGTTATCCCTCTTTTTATTTCTCCCGCGGTTGATGCGATTGCCATCTCCTCAACATTTTGTGGCTTTTTCCACCATAACAACTATACCCAAGGGGCATACAAATTTGCTCGGCGGTGATATACTTTGGCAGATCGTACAGTGCCTTACTACTTACCTATACGTTACTGCTCCTCGTCCTCTTTTCTTTCGTCGTCTCTGTTTCTATCACGTTTGGTGGCGTCCCTGCCCGAGGTTGATTTTCATCGCCAGGTGGCATGGCACAATAGCTACTATCATTTTTTGTTTTTTTTGTTTGGGTCAACGGTTAATTCATGTCAATCAATCACGAGGCACAGGATTTTGACTCTACTGTTTGTAATCCCCCTCTTCACATTGATCGGGGATTCATGGGTTCAGGGGCTCGGGTCAACAAAGGGGGCTATTTACCCCCTGACATAATGTAACATGGCGCGAATTTTATTTTCATTGGCGATCCCATTTTGTGTAAGGGCCTACCCATCTCCAGCATCGCTCTTTTCCTAACCAAGCCTTCCTCTTTCCCATACATCCCTCTGCGCAAGACGTCAGCCGGATACGTGGTCCAGTGGCACTGGCTCAACCGAAGCGTCTTGCTGCCGCTTCTGTATATCGCTCCAGGCCAAGACACCCGGGTGAGCCTCCTTCACGCCAGGGAGACGGACGGGAGCTGGGGAGACAGCTCACCGAATCTTGCTCATATCTTGTCCCTATTAATTTTTGTTGCTCCTCATGGCAATTCTCCTCATTATGTTTGTTAGACGTATTTGTGACCCCCGCCATCGATAATCAACCTCGGGAAGTGACACGTTAGAATAGTTCGATTCATTTTTCCAAACCGCCCTCCCTTTCAGAAACATAACATAGAGACGAAAGGAGAGAAAGCAGGGAGACAAGGCTGAAAGCCGGCGGCCGAATGAATCTAGATTCCCGACCGACATGAGGGATTGTGATTATTATCTCAGATGAGGAAATGATTTTGAATGGTACGAATATGCCGGATTATGTCGTCGAAGTTCAATGCCAAAATCGAAAGAATTTTGAAGCAAAATAGGTCTGTCAATCGAGGAAAATACAAGAAGCCAGACAGTCCAGTCCAGCTAGAAGTCAAGAATGGACCTCGCCGTAATTAGTGGATACGCTCAGCTAAACCACCTTCGCTTGGATTTCAACAAAGGAATAAGGGCTGAAGCTATCATACATAGATATACCTCTATAACTAAAGACATAACACGCTGTACCGGCCGGTTTGGAACGAGGCATTGGCCGCGGGCGAGCTGTCATCATCGTCGCCGTCGTCATCGTAGCCTGTTTTCTCCTCATCATCCTCTCCAATATCAAGCCCCATGTCAAACCCACCACGAGGTAGCGAGGCTGCGCCACGGCCGGCAACTTCCCCCACTCCATCGCCCTCCGAGCCGCTCTCGGGGCCCTCGTCGCCATCTTCCCCCTCTCTCTCGCCGTGCCGATCCTCGTAATTGTCTCCGACTCGACAGTCATAGTCGTCCCAGTCGCTGTAGTCGTCGTCGTTGTCGTCAGATGGAATGTCGAACTAGGCCCTGAGCTGCGAGAGCTCGGCCGCGGTCAGGGTTTGTCGTGCGCCTCCTCCTCCTGCGATGATTGGGTTGGCCGTCTCCTGAACTGCGTATTCGTCATCGTCGTCGTCGTCCTCATTGTCGTCCTCGTAGTCGTCGTCGTAAACAGACGGCCTGAAATCAAAGAGGCTGTCGAGCTCGGCGGTAAAGGGGAGCGCGTTGGCCGCGAGGTTGTAGACGGCTGCCCAGCCATCGCCATCATTCTCATCCTCGTCATCCTCATAATCGTCATCGTCATCATCGTCATCATCATCATCCTCGTCGTTGTCGTCATCCTCATCATCAGAAACAGCCGACGCCGACGAAGGCGGCGTAACCGTACGAGCAATAGCAACGTCGACGCCAAAGAGGTCGCTCCATGTGACATGCACCGAGACATTGCTGCCGGCATCGCTGGCAACGTCGTCATCGAAACCGCCACCGCCACAGCCGCCTTCATCGCCGTCGCCACAGGCGCTATCATCCTCTAAAGGGGCCGGAGTAAACACGGCAGAAAGCGAGCTATTGGAAGCACTTGCTGGAGTAAAAGCAGACGCAGAAGTAGACGCAGACATAGGAAAAAAAGAAGCAGACAGCGACTGGACAGCGAATCTACCGCCAGCAGGAGTAGCTGGAGTGTAGACGCCGGCAAAAGCATCATCGGCAGGATCTCCAAGCGCGAGAGGCAGACCGGCAGTAATAGAACTGTCGAGGTCGATGATACTCAAGTTGCGCATGTCCAGCTGCTCTCCGAATTCGGCGGCGGCGGCCGTATTGAAATCAGGGGGCGTGATAAATTGAGGATCGTGGACGGCGGGATAAGAGGGGAGCTGATAGAATTTGTCCTGATCGAGCAACTGACCCAAGAGGCTGCTGTCCGAATAGGGTGCCATGTTTGTCTTGTCGGTAAGTCGTAGTAACGGTAAGCAAAGGATGAAGCAAAACGAGTGCAAGTGAAAATGACAAAGCAGAGAGGGCAAGTAAAGCCAAAGAACCGAAGAGCTGCAAGAAAAGTTGTGAAGGGGAAGGAAAGAAGATCCGGCCAGCGCTAGAGCAGCACTTACCTCTCTCTCTCAAGGAAAGAAAAAATGAATGGAGAACCTGCCAAGATCAGGCCAACGGCCAAGAACTTGCCAACAATAGGGGCGTGTTTTCTACATTGATAGCTTGAAACATTAGGGGGTGTGGCGTGCTATCATCGCTATCCATGACAATAGGTGCTACTTCTTTTGATTGTCCGCCAGAAGAGATGTCACCTGGTGACGGCCATTTCGTCTCATGACCACGCATCCCACAATACTACAGCGTTCACGCAGCCACTAATTTCTCTGCAGTCTGCACAAAGGTCGACAGGGTAATGGGCAATCCCACGCCGCCTGATATTTTCAACTAGGCCGCATTGCCTGGCATCTCAACAACAACCTACACAATGCGCCACAATCCGCCACCCTTAGTACTCCATCGAGTCCTCAAACAGCTTCCGGAGCTGGTCTCTTTCCTGTTCGAGCTCCTTGGCCAGGCCGGGCGCTAGCATCAATACCCTGGCCTGGGGAATCGTTCCTTCGACCAGCTCCTCAATATGCTGACTCCCGAACCCGAGCGCCTTCAGACCTGCCGGCTGATCGCCGAGATCGGAGAGGAACCTTTCGAGGGCCTCAGCAAGAACCTCACCGGCGCTCTCTCTCTTCACGTTTGAAATGTCAACCCCGAACGCCTCAGCAGCCGCGAGGTGGCGCTCTGGGTTCGACGGCCCCGTAAAACGAAACACAGCAGGCGCAGTCACCGCCACCGAGACTCCGTGCGGGATGATGGGCGACGATACCTCGTACCCGACATGCTTATATCCCGGATTCTGACCCGATATAGGATACGACATACCTGTAAGGTCACCAGCGAGTCAGTCCATTGCCCCGGAGGTATCTAGACACGTATAAGACCCAAATGTGGGGGAATAACAACGCACCGTGGCAGAGATGGACACCGGCATTGCCGAAACCCACCCCGGCGAGGGTCGCCGCGAGCAGCATCTCGCTCTGCGCCTCCATGTCGTCCGGGTCCCTAACAGAGCGCGGGAGATACTTGACGGTAGCCCGCAGGGCGCTGAGGGAGAATATGTCGCTGATGGGGTTGGCACCCTGGTACGCTGGACGCAGGAGCGGGTTCGCGGGCCGCGGTACACGCTCGTTGAAGGGGATGGCTGTCCACGACTCGAGCGAGTGGCACAGGACATCCAAGCCCGAGCTCGCCTTGACGGCCGACGGCATAGTGCGCGTGTTGAGCGGGTCGCAGATTCCCAGCGTGGGCTTGAGGTTGCGGTGGGCGATGCCCGTCTTGGTCCGCCTCGACGCGAGGTCGAATATGGCCGTGCCCGTCGTCTCGCTGCCCGTGCCTGCCGTAGTCGGGATGGCGATCAAGGGCCGCATCTTGCGGTCAATAGGCAGACCCTTGCCCAGGGGCGCATTGACAAAGTCCATGAAGTCTGCCTCGGGGTAGCATGTATACAGGTTCATGAGCTTTGCCGTGTCAATGACGGACCCGCCGCCCACGGCGAGAAAAACGTCTGGGTCGTAAGGCTTGGCCCACGCGATGGCCTCCTTGATGCTGTCGCCGCAATGGCTATCAGCAAAAACGTCCGTCCGCCTGCCTAGAGCCTGATCTGGCAGCGCGAACGGCTCGGTCGGCATGGGGCAACACTAACGAGTAGTCCTTGGGCTCGACCTTGGTCTTGTTGAAGACCCTGAAGTCGAGGCCTTCGCGGATGAGGGCGTCGCGCACCTGAGCCATGGCGTCCAGCTTGTCGACCGTCTCGTCCGTGACGACGCAGACACGCTTGGCACGCATGTTGGTCAGGTCCATTCCCACCTCCTGGGTGGCCCCGGGACCGAAGCGGACCGACGAGGCGGCCATCTCAAAGGCATATTCTTTGAGCTGGGCCGGGTCTTGCTGGGGCGTCGCGTAGCTGCGCCGCGACATGGTGCGGTCGGCGAACCTGGAAACGGCCGGCGCCGCCGACGTCCTACCATGGTTGTGGTGATGTCCCGGGTTCGCGTGGCACGGGCATGATGGCGGGTGTGTGTACTGCACCGTCCGCAGCAGATTGACCGCCCGCACGGCTTTCTTCACGTTATTGGAACCTGTTCTGGTCTGGCTGGCTTCTGACCAAGAGCGGGACGGGACGTTGGGGTGTGGCCTGACTTACACTGGGCACAACTCGGATCACTCCTCCCATTTTGAGTTCAAAGTTCAAGTTGTTTATATTAAGCCCTGTGGTCTTTCCTTGGAAGCTACGAGCTCTACCCCTGGGTGAATGCCTCGCGGAAGGAACGGCCGTCCACTTGACCAACTTCAAGTTGCATTTGACCTCGTACCTTGCCTTACAAAAGGACGGGAATGCGGAGCTACATGCTTTCTCCAACTCAACCCCTCATAAACTGCCGGCTGGAAATACCCGGGCGGGTTGAGAATACGCTGGTGCGCATGACCTCTCCTCCTCAACTTGGGGACCTCCTCAACTTGGGGAAGGCCGCTCCGTCAAACAAGCAGTCATGAGCAAACAAAGGTTGGTTGCTGTGGGGCCCCGCCGTAGATCTACATCCGCCCCCGCACTTCTCCTCCACAAAGGGTAGGGGTAATAAGTGGACGAGCAACGATCTTGCTCAATTATTTTCTCATTAAAGGCAATCTTGTAACTGAAGCGCTGTTGCAAAGCTTGATATGACGAAAAGGGGCTGTTATTTAGGGGGATGATCTAATACACCTCGAGGACATATCTCCCGTCCTCCTTGAGCCGCTCAATCTCCTTGCTGGGATCAACCTTGCGGCTGCTGAGCTTGGCCTCGGCCGCAATGGCTTCCTCCAGCACCGCCGTGACATCGGGTACTGGCCACGTAGGTCCACACAGGTAGAAAGAGCCCTCGTCCTGGATGTACGCCTTCACCACGTCCTGGATTGTCTGGCGCATGCGGTCCTGGATGTAAATCTTCTGCGGCTGGTCGCGCGAGAAGGCGGCCCCCAAGAGCGTAATGACTCCCGCATCCACGTATGCTTCCCACTCTTCACCGTACAGGTACTCCTCACGCTTGTGACGACTGCCCATGTACAGTAGGATGGACCCAATCTCCTTGCCCTGTGCCTTCTGCATGGCTCTGTACTGTACAAAGGCGCGGAAGGGGGCGAGACCAGTTCCGAGACCTGCCATGATCAGCGGCGCCGTGTCCTTGGTCGGGAGCTTCATGACCGAAGGCTTGACCGAAGCTGTCACCGTCGTGCCTGGAGCAATCCCCGAGAGGTAGCGAGTTGCCTGGCCGTAGCGGGTGCGGCCCTTGGTGTCGACCCAGTTGACAACAACAATCATGAGTGCAACCGACGTCGGAGTCACTGCCTGCGCTGAGGCAATGCTGTACTCGCGACGCTTCAGCGGAGACACGATCCGAGCAAGGTCGTGGAAATCGGGACGAGCCGACTGGAACAGCTCAAGCACATCCACATATGTGATGGTTTCGACCTCCGACAGACGCTTGAATTCTTCAGCCCCGTCCTTGCCTCCCAAGAACTCCAGCTTAGCCTTCTCCTTCTCATCCGTAGCAAACTCGGCGAGGGACTCGAAGAAGCGCTTGGGCGGCTTGCCGAGGATGTCAATGTTTTGGATCAATGACTGATAGACAGTCCTAGTCTCCAACACGGCGGGATCTTCGCGCGAAGGCACCTGCACGAGATCGTCGGCATTGAGGCCGTACAACTGGATGAACTCCAGCACCTGCTTCGGATCATTGTCGGCGTGAATTCCAAGCGCTTCACCAATGTTGTACGTCAGGCCTGAATCCCCAAGATCGAATTCGATGTGGAAAATGTTGCGGTCGTACGCGTCGGGGGTCAGTCTGCGGTTCTCCTTGACGCGAATGGTGAACGTCTTGACGGTGAGGTCGGGCCGGAGGTCGTCCTGAGTGCCATAAGCCTCCTTGAAAACGAGGCCCTTGGCAGCCGATTGCCAGTCATTGAGCTTCAAAACCTGTTCCGGCTCTTCCTTTTGGAACGGAACAAAGCTGTTGCATACGGCTCCCTGAACAGCAGCGGTCGCGGTATCGTCGGCGGAAACATCGGCCCACGCTGCAGGCGCCTCAACGCTGCGGAACGACTGCGCAAGCGCATCAGCGCACTCGACGAGCGTCACCTGATCCCGCGAGACCCAAGGCAGCTTGGCTAGCTGATCCACGGTGATCTCCGGGGCTGCGACTTGAAGGAACGCAAGCTCGACGAGAAGCTGAGCCTCCTTCTCCACAGCAGGGGAATAAGCCGAATCCAGCACAAAGAGGCGCAATCCCTTCTCGAGCATCTCTTTTCTCGCTGCGGCGGGGATCCGCTTTTCCAGGTCCTCCTCCTTGAAGTTTGGCAGGTTAAGTACGAGCTTACCCCCTGGCTTGGCCCCCTTGACGATGGCAATCTCCTTGAGCAGCCTCTCTTCTCCGATGAAGACTACATCCGCGTCTTCAACGGCAAAAGGAGCCTGAATCGGCTTCTTCGAACTCCTGATATCAGTGCGAACGATACCCCCCTGGAGGAGATTGTCGTAGACCTTGTGCACGTAGACATTGTTCGTAGACACGTGACCGAGGAGTTTTCCAAGAATCGAAGGAGACTCAACTGCGGTGGAGTTGTCCACGTCCCAGAAGCTGTATTGCTGCACTTGATCCAGCGAATTCAAGCCAAAGGAAACCTCGTTCTGGACATGCTTAGCACCGAGCCCGTGAAGGATCGAGGCAATGGAGCTGGGGGTGTGAAGGGCTGAGGCCGGGTATTTAACGTCGACAACCACTGGCTCCTGCGACCATCTGTCGGAGAAAGAGACGGCCGCGAGGACGTCCGAATACAGAGCAGACTGAACAGAGGCATCGCCGACGGAAACAGCGTCGCGGACCTGACCCAGAACCGCAATCTGCTGGACCGACTCAGGCAGGGCCTCGAGGAAGGCCTCCTCAATGAATGGTCGGTAGACCCGGACGTTGAGCGAGCCAGCCTTCTTGCCCTCAGCCGCAAGCGTGTCCACAACCTGCTTTGCAAGCTGTGACTCGGCGCTGCCAAACACCACGACCACCGTATCTGGCGCCTCGTGGCCAGAATACTCAAAAGGAGCATATTGAGTGCCTAGCTCGTCGTTGAAAGCGCGCAGAAGCTCAACAACCTTCCCAGCGGTATCCAATCTCTTGTTCAGCAACCCAGCCACTTTGGCAATCTTCTCGTATAGGCCAGCAATAGACTCCTCGCCGAGCGCGTCCACCACTCTCAACGTCTCCCTTGCAGTTCGGAGACCGTCATAGATGTGGATCGTAGGCAGCAGTGTGGCCAGTAGGGTCGCGAAGATGGACATGTGCTGAATTTCGTAGGCAGACGAGCTGGAAACCAGACCAAGCCCGAGGTCCTCGGCAATCTGAAGCGCGCTCTCGTAGTCCGTGACCAGGCCATCGTTGGCAGAGTAGTCGGCAGCAGCGATGTGAGCAACAAAGGGGCTGGCCACTCCGTAGAGAAGAGAAAGCTGGTCAAGGGAGGAGCGCAAATGCCGCAGGCTCAACGACGGGGCCAGAAGAGACTGGGGGATATGCCGCTTGCTAAGGTCAAAATCCTTGGAGAAGATGTAGCCCAGGGCAAAGGCGCCGGCGCCGGCCCTCGTCTGGAGCGATACAACAGCTGTGGCTTCGCCGTGGATGTTCTTCTCTCCAGTGAGGGACCAGTCTTTGACAGCCAGGTCCAAGTCAAAAGTCTCGGGGGAGAGGGAGAATATCTTGTCGGAGAGCTTGTAGGCAGTCTGTTGGACGAGCAGCTGGCTGTTGACGTAGCTAAGTCCAGAGATGGAACCAAGAGAGACGGGCTGTTCCTTGGGCAGGCTCGCCGAGGACTTGACGTAGTCGGCGGGGGATACTTTGGGCGCGGCGGGCGTGGCGACGCCGCCTGTCCCGTCTTGATGTTTAAGTTGCATGATGGCGACACTTGCCGGGCTGCGCGACTTGTCGCAGTCTTCCTCAATGGCAAGAAACGAGGTTGTCTCGGGCACTTCTGCAAGAGCCAAAGGGGATTGCCTCGTGGGTTGGCGAGGCACTGGCAAGAAGCGAAAGAGCGGCCCAGAGACTTTCTCGAATCGCTCTGAGACCGACAAGACAGAGAGGAGAGATCGCGCCAGCGGAAAGAGCTGGGGAGCAAGACGACGACAAGAAAAGTAGAGTCTGAGGAGGAGAGGTTAGACCTACAGTTTTTTTTTTTTAGTTTTTTTTTTCCCTACCCCCCCCCCCCCCCTCCTGCCACGGAGAAGCTTGTCCCCAAACGTAGAATTGCCGCAGCTTTCTGCCAGAACTTACTCGGGGCGTTGGACCCTTGCTGCCAATTCGAAGTCGAGTTGATGGTTGTCGATGGCGTGATCTACGCTAGCCCGATCCATCTACAAATGTGGGGGAACTTTGAAGATCCAGAACCCCCAACCGTGGCATCACGGGCAGAACTACGGGGGAGGCGACAATAGCGTGAAAAGTCTTCAGTTTCTTTTTGTTACTGCTACGTTAGCTTCCTCGGGAAATCGGCTTGAACAGCCCCTTCCGCCGGCTCCACCATTGCACCTCGGAGATGACCCGGGCTTGGGACTGTCTTTGTTCACATTTGGTAAGCAAGCTCCCAGCTGAATGGGAATGGACAACCGCCAGTGTGACAAAGCGCGACACGACATCAATTGGGATTCGGATAAGGTAAGACAGAGCCTATTACTACGAAGCATGGACACCGTACCTTGCCCAAGCAGCAGACAAGTCAGGTACAATAGCGAATGAGATACTCCTTACAGAGCACCGAGTACGCCGTGTCACTCATAAAGTCTTGCTCTAAAGCGTTCTCCGCCTCTGTCTCTCCGTGCAAGATATCGCCGATAGATTTGATGTGCGCACCCCCGCGGTGACAGTCTGGGCAATGGATGAAGGTAGGGCAATTGAAAGATGTTAGTCACGACTTCCTGGTGCGTGGCTCGCTTGGTGGCTACGGTTCTCGGCAATGCGATCCTTGGCAGGTCCCCCAGACCGGGGGAGGGGCGGAACCAAAGCGGAAGGGGGGCAAGGTAATTTTAGGGGTGGCTGGCTGTTTAAAACGGAAGAACGCCTTGTCCGGAGGCGCAATTGTCTCAACACACAACCAAACGTCTCCATACGCTGCGCAAAGGAGGCATGATGCGAGGCGGTGTTATCTGCCTGGGCTTGATTGACTAGGTAGATACCTGATGGGTCAAGCGTGTGTGTTATATTGTTACTCTTATTTTTCTACAACTGTTCCACGACCTTCTCGGGACATGGACCCGACGGCATTCCCCATACCTCGCAACCCTCCAATTCATTTGAACCTCCTTTGCCTCGCCGTTAGGTAGCAGAACTCACCTAGCAATGGAAATAAGGCGGCTGTAGATTTTTACTCTCGACGCCCCCTCTCACTGACGAGAGGGACATCAAGGCCCTTGATCTATCTGAGAAGGAGCGGTAAACAGATAATTATACTCTTGGGAGCCACTACACGATGCTCAATAGGCACTTGACGTCTACGCCGCCGTTCATGACCTCTATTGACCGCTCGTACTAGACCCCGATATCGCCAGCCGCTGGTTGGTAGCGCATGCATTATTTAGCCCGTTGAAAGTTTACGTGATGCTGCAGGTCTGCGGCGTCCCTAGAACCCCTGCTCCCGCTATAGACGTCATCAGGCGACAACGGTCTTGGCAAATTTCAGAACCCCAAGAATCGAGATTCTCTGCAGCTCAGGCTTTGGCAACCTCGCTGCAGGAAAGTATTACAAGTTTGGCGAAGGGATATGGCTCTGGTATGTGTCCCGAGTCTTGATTCCCGGTGCAAGGAATGCATACAAAGTAGATTTTGGTCCCTCGCGGTTCCTCCTTGGCTCGAGCGTCGGCTTCGGCAGGCAGGCCACGCATCACCAGCTACAGTCCGTCTTTTATTAGTGTATCCTACGAGTGCGAACATCGGCAAGCGCTCGAGCTGGGCATGACTACCTACCTACCCACTCATAGGAAAGCGGTAATGGGTGGTCTACCTTATGCCCTGCGCAGGCGGGCTGCAGGCGGGCAAGAGCAGGGCGAGCAGGGCTTTGTCCGGGCCTTGTGACTAAATGGAAGGGCCCTGCGCGGTGAGTGAATTGTGCGTGAATCAGAGCCAGATGATTAATCGAGAACAGAACAAGTTGAATTCTTCCATGGTTGACGTCGAGGCTGTTCTTCTTCCGACCAACTCTTACATGACAAACAATCTCCCATTTCCTTTTCTTCAACTCTGCAACTGCCTATTAACTGTTCCCCGTTCATGTTCATTCACGACGGTTTAGTCGATGCCTTCAATCCCAAATACGCACCTACAAACAGACCGACTAGTTTCGAGACGCGGAACGGCTAGACTAGGAAAAACATCTTGTTTGGGCCTCTCTACACACAGCCACGCCACTCACTGTTTTGTCTTGTCTCCGTGTCCGCGATACCGGGATTCAGCCTATATCAACATCGCTTTCGCTTCGCTTCCCCGCCCCGCAGCTCGCACTTCCCTCTACCGGCTGCTGTTTAATATAGCAAATCAAGCAGTGTGTTAGCGGTGGTCGTGTCGTGTCTTCGCCGAATCAAGTCGGCTGGCTGGCTGGCTGCGAGCAGCCGTTGGTCGAGCTCGGAATCACGAAAACTGCGTTGAGCACACAGCAGCGTCTCTGCACGCCGTCCTAACCGGGGCTGGAAAGGGGGCTTGCCTGCTTGCCTGCTTGCCAGGACAGGACGGGAGCGCAATCTATGCTACACACCATGGCGCCCTCCAGCGCCCTTCCGCCGTCTTCTGCACCGCCCGAGACGGCCACTACCTCGTTCCTCCTTGCCAATTTGCATTGTCCCACCTGCGTTTCTACTATAAAGGAGGCCCTGCACTCGTCATGTCGAGGCCATATCAGATGGGTTTCGCCAAACGTTGTCACTTCCGTGGTGACTGTAGAACACGACCCCGCCGCCTCGCTCAAGGAGATGCACAAGGCCCTAGAAGAAAGCGGGTTTGAAGTATGTGGTGTGACTACGACATCCGCCGCCGACATGTCAGGTCTTGAGCTCGAGGACGCCGATATACCTGCGAGCCAGAGCCCCGCCGAGGGCAGCGGCAGCGGCAGCGGTACCGGCCATACTGCCGGTCGCTCGCCGTCGGCTTTCGCAAGGTGGATGGCGTCTCCGAAACGGGGTCCCAAGTCCCAGCCCTCAAAGTCCCAGAAAGCTCAGCTTCATCTCCTAAACTGCCAGCAGTGTCGCAGCAGCACACGTGGCCCCGAGCTGGACGAGAAGCAGCTCCACGAAATCACGTCACACTTATCTGGTCTAACGTTGGACAAGTCCACCAAGTCGGAGCCGCCGACCACATTGTCATCCAAGTCCTTCGTCATCATCGGGAATGATGAGCCGAGCCTCTCGGAACAGCAACCTCTATGGAGGGCCACGCTAGCCATCGGAGGGATGACGTGTGCCGCGTGTGTGAACATCATCACCAGCGAACTCAGCAAACGCGACTTCATCTCCAACGTCGTCGTCAACCTAGTCAACAACAGCGCGGCCGTCAACTTGACGAACAAGCAAAAGGCCGACGACCTGGTCGAGGCGATCGAAAATCTCGGGTATGAGGCGACCCTCGACACCGTGGTCGACCTCAACCAGCGCAAACCCAAACCGCAAGAAAACTCCGACACGTGGCGAGCGACATTGGCCATTGGGGGTATGACGTGTGCAGCCTGCGCAAACAACATCACCAAGGAGATGAAGAAGAGGGACTGGGTCAGAGACATCACGGTCAACCTCCTCTCCAACAGTGCCACAATAGAGTTTCAGGGCGAGACTAACGCGGAAAAGCTGGTCGAGGCCATTGAGGACTTGGGGTATGACGGGGCGATCGACACCGTCGTCAGCATCACCCAGGAGGCGCAGGAGGCGCAGGAGGTGCATGAGCGGACGGTGGAGATCAGGGTGGACGGGCTCTACTGCGAGCACTGCCCGTCACGCGTAGCAAACAGCCTCGCCGGGTTCCGGCAGCAGCTGGCCGTCATCACGGAGCCCACTCGTCAGCGTCCTATTGTCAAGGTCTCGTACGTACCAGAGGCTCCCGCTTTCACCATCCGCCAGATACTGGCCGCCATCGAGGCGAGCGACCCGGAGTTCAAGGCGTCCATATTCTACCCGCCAACGCTCGAGCAGCGGTCCAAGCTCATCCAGCGCAAGCATCAGAAGCAGGTCCTCTGGCGCACCGTCTTCACCGGGCTCGTCTGCATCCCGAGCTTTGTCATTGGGATTCTGTTCATGAGCCTGCTCCCCGACAGCGAATCCAAGATGTACATGATGATGCCGTGGACGTCGGGCATCAGCCGGGCGCAGATGGCACTGTTCATCATGGCCACGCCCGTCTACTTCTTCGCCGCCGACCTCTTCCACGTGCGCGCGTTCAAGGAGATCAGGACCCTGTGGAGGCGCGGCAGTAGGGTACCGTTCTTCCAGCGGTTCTACCGCTTCGGCAGCATGAACACGCTCATGTCGCTCGGCACCACTGTTGCCTACATCTCGTCGGTGAGCCAGCTGATCGCAGCGGCGGTGGAGCAGCCCTCGACGATCAGCGACACGAACTTCTACTTCGACTCTGTCGTGTTTTTGACCTTCTTCCTGCTGCTAGGAAGGTTGATTGAGAGCTACAGCAAGTCGAGGACCGGCGACGCCGTAGAGATGCTCGGCAAACTCCGCCCCACTACGGCGATTCTCGTAGACGGGTACGGGTCCGGGAAGGAGGAGGACGTCGTAGTCCAGGCCGACTTGCTCGATTTCGGCGACGTCGTGCGCGTCCAGCATGGCGCCTCGCCGCCGTCAGATGGCACGGTCGTCCAGGGCGAGAGTAACTTTGACGAATCCAGCCTGACGGGCGAGTCTCGCCTGGTGAAGAAGGCGCCTGGCGACGAGGTGTTCTCGGGAACGGTCAACAAGGACGCCTCTCTCTTGGTGCGCATCACCGGCACGGCTGGCCAGTCGCTGCTGGACAAAATCGTGAGCGTCGTCCGCGAGGGCCAGACCAAGCGAGCGCCCATGGAGCACGTTGCTGACCTCTTGACAACGTATTTTGTTCCCGTCGTTACGCTCATCGCGATTTTAACATGGATCATCTGGCTATCCATGGGCTTGAGCGGGCGGATCCCAGGCCATTTCCTGTTCACTACCTCTGGCGGCTGGGTAGCCTTTTCCCTGCAGTTTGCGATTGCCGTCTTCGTCGTGGCGTGTCCTTGTGGCCTTGCTCTCGCGGCACCCACGGCCATCTTCGTGGGTGGCGGAATTGCAGCGAAACATGGCATTCTAGCCAAGGGCGGAGGCGAGGCCTTCGAAAAGGCGAGCCGGATCGACTGCGTTGTCTTCGACAAGACCGGGACGCTGACAGTGGGAGGGGAGCCCAGCATCACAAATTCGGAGACGTACCGAAGCGACGACGGCCAAGAGAAAGATGCTGGGACAGTGTGGGAAACCGTCCTAGCGGTGCTCAGGGCAGTAGAGGAAAACAGCAGCCACCCAGTTGCCAAGGCGATCGTGGCATTTTGCACAAGGGAAATGTCTTCAAGAGTTCAGATCGAGAACGTACAGGAAATCCCAGGCAAAGGGCTCAAAGGGACCTACAAAGGAGCCACTCCAGAGGAATCTTTTGAGCTCGCCGTCGGCAATGAAGCGTTTATGGACGACGTCTCGGCCGCTATTCCGCCACAGTCAAGCATCGGAACGTGGAAGCACGAGGCAAAGTCTGTGGCACTCGTGGCGACTCGGCCTGTTCACGGCCCTCGCTCCGCTGACTGGGGAGTTGTTGCTGCACTCGCGATCTCCGACCCCATCAGGCCAGAGGCGCCGCCGATCATCCAAGCGCTCCAGGCCAGAGGCACCCGGGTGTGGATGCTTTCGGGCGACAACCCCGTCACGGCGGCCGCCGTAGCAAAGCAGCTCGGCATCTCGTCGGACCAAGTCATCGCCGGCGTGTTGCCGACGGAGAAGGCGGCCAAGATCAAGTACCTGCAGTCGACGCTCAAGGCGCGCACCGGCGCCAAGACCGAGTCGAGCACGCGCCGCGCCTTCGTGGCCATGGTCGGCGACGGCATCAACGACAGCCCGGCGCTAGCGACGGCCGACGTAGGCGTGGCGATCGGCTCCGGCTCCGACGTGGCCATCAGCAGCGCCGATTTTGTTCTTGTCAAGAGCGACCTACGCGCCGTGGTCACGCTGCTCGACCTCTCTGCCACCGTGTTCCGCCGCATCAAGTTCAACTTTGGCTGGGCGCTCGTCTACAACTGCCTCGCCGTCCCCGTGGCCGCCGGTGCGTTCTATCCCATCACCAGCAACGGCAACCACGTGCGGCTCGACCCCGTGTGGGCCAGTCTCGCCATGGCCCTCAGCAGCATCAGCGTCGTGCTGAGCTCGCTAGCGCTGCGGACCCGTCTGCTGGGGTTCCGGGAGAGGCGCATCGCGGTTCCCGGCAGCAATGTGTCGGGACCCGTAGCGACAGCCGAGACGGTTGTTGTCAAATCTTAGGCTAACTGAGCGAGAATGGACTGAGATGTTGTGGAGGCTCACAGACTATTCTTTGCAGGAAATTTTGGAGTCTATAATGGTTGCTGTCGTTTCGTGTAGATACCCCTATTCTATAATCTCGGGCTCTTTCGTTTTAGCTGTCAGGTAGCAATCAAATTAACTAGGTCTAGAAATCTGTAGCTAGTCACACATTTGAAGTTAGATAGGTACCTACTACCTCGAGTGATCAAAATGACCAGTATCCTGACCCAAGTGAGAGGGAGATTTGTTAAGCCACTGCTGTCAAGTGTTCAATCACACCATTATTTCTTAACAGTGAAACGGCGGGTGTAAGCCGTGGAGAAAAGAAATGAGCATCAGGTTACTTCCTTTACCCCCCAACATGGCATAAAATCCAGGGTTCTTGCCCCGAGATTGTCCCCGGGGTTTTGTTGTCATTTGTTTCTCGTCCGATTTTATTTGAAGCCATCGCCATCTCTTGATGGGATTTGAGTAGGGCATTCTTTCTCTGTTGGCACATCAGTTGGCGCCGATCAGACCCCACATTTCCCGCTAGGCTAAGTCCAATACAGCTAGTAGCTGCATCCCTGCCTGGGAGAGAGCTCCAGCGTCTGTTCACTGCTGCAGGAACGAGAACCTTCAGAAGTCTCCAGAGCGGTCTTAAGTTCCAGGCTAGCATTAAAATTAGCGAATACATGCAATACAAAACACCTGCGGCCACAGAATACATGCCGATCCTCGGGAACGCGTTTGTCGCCTCGACAATCCCTTAGACAAAGAGACGATTAACAGCTCGGAACCAGGCAGGCGACTGGGGTGGTGGGTTTCATGGTTGTCGGGCGCGACGCGGCACCCACACTGTCTGTAATTTGCTAAAGTGCAGCTGCGGCACCTGGGAAAAGAAGGCGCCTACCCACACCCATCTCGAGCCGCAATAATGAATGCCACAGTCAAGCGCAAGTTCAATGCCCTGCTTCAAGGGATCGGCAACCGGCCACCCTCCTCGTCGTCCAACACCGCAGCGCTAGACACCACTGCATCTGCGACGCCCGTAGATGGCATGCTAGAATCGTCTCTCGCCTCGTCCTCCACGTCGCCTTCGAGAATGGCCAGCCACGACGCCCTCGAGTTTCTCTCCAAGAAACGCCGCATCGGCGCCGGGCCCGGCTCGACATCGCCTTTTGCGAAATACGACGGGCAAGCAGCAGGAGCAAGTATAGGAGCAATCACAGGAGCAGGGCTGCCCGGTCGGGGCGCCACCACCACCATCTCGAACATCACCCTGAGGAAATGGATGCCGGCGTCGGCCGGGAGCGGCAGCAGCCCTGTGTCTGCAGGAGCAGCAGCAAGCCCGGGGGGAAAAGATAAGGCGGCGCCACTAAAATACTGCCCTGGCGACCGTGAGCAGCTCTTGCGCCGGCTGGCAACCTTCCAAGAGCTGACCGACTGGACGCCCAAGCCCGACCGAGTCAATGAGGTCGAGTGGGCCAAGCGCGGCTGGGCCTGCCAAGGCAAGGAGCGCGTCCAGTGCACGCTCTGCAGCCGGGACCTCGTCGTTAAGCTGAACCGCAAGGAGGTAGACGGCAAGCAAATACCGGTGCTGATCGCCTCCGAGATCGCCGAGTCGGTTGTCGACAAGTACGCCGAGCTCATTGTCGAGGCCCACGAGGAGGACTGCCTGTGGCGTAGGAAGGGATGCGACGGTAAGCTTGTTTCTTTGCTCGCCGGCCTTTTTGTAGCATGGTGGCTAACATAATACTCGCAGACTCTCTTCTCCGGATCCCTTTGCCAAACGCAAAGGTGGCCCTCAAAGACCTGCGCCTGCGGTACGACGAGCTCTGCGCGCGCAAGGCCTTCCTCCCCTATGAATTCAACCTCCGGTTGCCAAAGGACCTCGACGTCGACACCATCCTCTCGTACCTCCCGCCTCACTTCTTCACCGAACCACCGCCGCCGGACGGCAACACGCCGTTAGACTCGCCTCCAACAGCAGCGGATAGCAACAGCAGCCCAACGACACCGACGCTGACGCTACCGCGGGCGCCTATCAACCGCGCGGCGGTGGCGCTCGCCGTCTTAGGATGGCAGGGGCTCTCGAACCCGCGCATCGGGCCGGTCCCGAACAGCGCGTCATGCCACACGTGCCTCCGACGGCTAGGGATGTGGATGTTCAAGAGCAAGGAGGTGGAGCCGGAGACGCAGCAGATCCTGGTGCCGGCGCCGATGGACCACCTGGACCCGCTGCGGGAGCATCGCTTCTTCTGCCCGTGGAAGACGGGCGGAGCGCAGCGCAACCCGGGCGCCAAGCCGCTGGGCCCCGGCGAGGAGGACAAGGCGGCCTGGGAGGTGCTGGTGCAGATGCTGCGCAACGAGGCGTTTATCCGCCAGCGCACGAGCGTGGCCCACAGCAGGAGCAAGAGCTCGGTGCCCCCGCAGACCACGCCCATCATCCCCCGGAGCACGGCGTCGGCGATTGCCGCGGCCATGAAGACGCCCGAGCGGCGGCCCACCACGGCGGATGGCCGTCGCCGTCCCGGCCAGACTATCCACACTCCGCAGGGTGCGGCGGCTACTCCCGGAGCGGAGCTGCATGAGGACGACGAGGACGGCGAGGACGATGATGACGAGGAATCTCGCAAGAAGAAGGACCAAGCCATGATGTCGCGCCTGCGCCGCGTCAAGAGCCTCTTTAATACCAAGGCCGGCAAGCTGAAGCGCTTGGGTGGCGGTAGCAGCCGGCCGGGCACGTCACATTCGACAGTGGGTGGCGGAGGGTAGGTAGGGAGATGTCTTCTGCTCCCTTGGAAACGGCGGGAAGAGTATGGAAACAATTAGATCAACATTGCATACGAGTTATGTCGGCTTGGTCCGAGAAAACCGGAGTAGCGCTGCTTTGGCTTGATTCATATATAGGACTGTAGCGTTTGGGCCATGTGGTTTTTTTCTTCTCTTTTGCTTATTTTGTCCGCCTTATCTTGTTCGCTGTATGTGTAGCCGTACTCTGTTTGGTTGACAGATTTGCAATTGGCTGCTGGTCTGAAACTAGGAATCTTATCGGGCATTTATTTCACCGAAACATCAACAACAAAAGATAACAAAAAGCAAGCAAAGAGCAAAAAGAATGACGATGGGGGCTGTCCGGGGATTGAACCCGGGACCTCTCGCATGAGTGTTTATGTTTGTGTGTCTAAAACATGATAACACACGCTCAGAAACAGAAACCCAAAGCGAGAATCATACCGCTAGACTAACAGCATTTACACTTGTCCTCTGAATTTATCCTGGGAAAGGATATTCTTCAGCTTGGTGGATGTTGAGTGTGCAAGGTAAGCATGTCTATTAAGTAACTTCACTCGGCGGGTGTGGAATACAGTAGGCGTGTTCAAGGTTGTGCCAAGAAAGAGAAGCCCCTTTGGGGGGCCTCCATGCTGTGGTGGATTTCGGTGTGGATGTGGTGTGGCCAGTCCACCGCTTGTTACTTTACTTTACTTGATCGCTCTGCCCCTGAGCTGGCTGGATTTCCATCTCCAGTTATCTTCTCTTTGTTCACGGCTTCAGAATTCAGTAAGGGTAAGAAGTCAGACGGACGACATCCTCTGTTGTTTTACCAAGGCCTTACTTGATACCCTGCACATTCCTAGGACCCTCCAGTTTCTATCTGTCTTCTCGTGTTACCCTTTGAGTTTACCTCGTACGCCTTTCGCCTCCCTACCGCCTCGCGGCGAGACCCTCAATGGATATTTTAGGACTCGCCCCTGACGAGCCATGGCTGCTGGGCTCTCCGACTGTAAATCACGATTCACCCTCCTATAGTTGGCTATTGATAAGACCATGTCATTGCCATTTACACTTTAATGCATATATAGAATAGCGGTCAGGCGGATTTTGCTATGACTGCGTGTTTCCAGCAATTGACCTGTCTTAAAATAAACAAATGCGATACCTTGAGACGCGAGATCCATCGTGACATCTTCCCGCTGCGGTTTAACGAAGGAGAAATATATGGCCCAGTACTGAGAGGTTCAGAGATGGGCTATTAGTAATGGAAAGATACATCTTGTTACGCCACAGACTCTGACAAACGTTGTGGCCGACGTCTTCCAGGCTCAGGGGGAATAGTCGCAAAGCATGCGCTTGCACCTCTCGGGTGAAATGTCTAGTATCTTCTGTTCACGACTGATGACGATGGTTATCGTTATATAAAACAAAAATAACTTGAGCTTTAAAGATGAATTCCATATTAGATTCAAGTAGCTGATGTTACAATGTTAAACAGGGTACCTAGGCAGTTACCTCACTCATCACCAACCGGCTCAACCGAGCCCTCACATATCCGAACTCCTCAGCAATCATGTAACGACGTCAACCATACCGGGGCCGCAATGGATCTCGAATCGTCAGCCGACCTTGCGATAGTCAAATACACAGACGCTTACGGCCTTACCTTACCGTCCCTCGCCAAGTAGATAGGTAAAGTCTCAGGAACACCTTCAAACCAGCAGACCCCATCCCATGGAAGAAAGTAACCTCTCCTCGCACCACACCCTCCATCCAGGGGATCAAACCACCACCCTCACAGCGCTCCTCAGCTCATCATCCCTCAGCCCGCCGACCATGGCCGCGTTAACCAGCAGAGTCGTTGCCTCGCGCGCTTGCCTCCGTCCAAAACCAAAACCGCAAAACACCCACCACGCGGCAACAGCCGCAACAACAGTACACACAAGATTCCCAACCCCGCCACGCGCGAGCACAGTACGCTCGTAAGCAGCCTGCAGCGCATCAAAGCACAGCGCCTCCGTGCCGGCGCCGGCATGGACGTGGCCGAAGACGTGCAGGCGCGACCGCACGCGCCAGAGCAGGGCCAGCAGGTGCGCGCAGCCGAGGTGCACGAGGTCGAGGTGTGCGCGCGGCGGGGCGTGCGTTACGAGAATGTCGATGTCAGTATCAGTATCGATGCCCGTCCACACTTCTTCGCCGTCGGTGCGCGCGTGCTGGAACGCCCAGCTATCGCCATTACGCGGCGAGCCCGGGCTGCCGTGGACGCGCAGGCGGCGGCCGTTGCGGGCGCACACGACGGTAGCGGCGGCGTCCTAGAGGTAGACGATGTCGGCCCAGTCGAGGGCGCGGCGCTGGCGGGCTGCTTCTGCCTTATCGGCGTGGCGGCGGTAGGTGTCGTCGAGGAGGACGTCGTGGTTGCCTCCGACGACGATCTTGACGGGGTGCGGCTGGGCGGCGAGCCAGCGCAGCGCAGCCTGCAGCTCGGCGAACGAGCCCGACTGCGTGAGGTCGCCGGCGTGCACGAGGATGTCACCGGCGGGCAGCGCGGGCTGCGTGTTGTGCGTGTCCGAGATGCAGACCACCGACACGGGGTCGGCCGGCGGCGGCGGCGGGCCGGAAATCAGTGTTGTCTTCTGCCACGTGTACAGCTTGCGCGCGAGGAACACGCACGGCTCCAGGACGAACTGCTCCCAGGCGCCGGGCGGCCGCCGGTGGGGGAGCGCGTCCAGGGCTCCTCCCCGTCCTCGGGCCATGACGGCGCCTCCTGCGATGGGGATGTACCTAGCAGCTGCCGCGTTTACACGACTCTACTTGTAGACAATCATCAGGTGTAGGTTTGTGGTATAGCCATCGGATTTCAAGACCTCAAAGTTAATAAACGGGCGTTGTTAAGTACGAAATCAGAGCCTAGAGGGTTGGGCTAGGCAAAAACGAAGCCAGCTGGATCTGGCTACCACAGCCCATCTGACTCTTCACCGCCGCACCCGCTTGATCCTCTCCGCGTATGGTGCCTACGGCAGTTGTTGGTAATCATGAAAAGGGCAATTGTGCGTTTTGAGATGCGTTATATCCCTCGTTAAGGGGAGATACGGCTATCAACAGCGTACAATGAGCAAAACCATCCCAGCCAAATTTCCTTCATGTTTCCTTTTCCCTCCATGTCCATCAAGGAAAACAAGGTCAAATCAAGGGGGAAAAAAGCGAAGACAGTCGGCCGCCCTCGGGGACATGTTGCACCACTTGACCGCAGAAAGGGAAAGAGAAAAGGCAAAATAGTCTCAACAAAAGAAAAAGAACGAAAAATGTGTCCTGTTTGCTTTTGGCGTCACGGCGCTTGGCCTGCCGAGGTCAGTTCCTCAAAGCCCACGTACACACACTGCCTGCCTATGGGTGTGCTTTCAGATGTGTTCGCCCCATAACTACCTTTGTCTGCTTGGCAGCCAGCCAAAACGACGACGCGCAAATTACTTATACACCAGTGTAATGCCATGCCATGCACACGCGCCTGATCTAAACCGATAGAAAAACAAAAGAGAAAAAAACTACCGTCCCAGAAGTAGAAACATGACAAGAAACAAGCCACCTTAACAAGCTACCTTGCCCGCTTTGCATGCCCTTTGTTTCTCATGCAGCATTGCTTGGTCCTCTCGTTAACCTTTGCCACCTCACTTCACCCCGACTGGAACCAATGCCGCCTCAAGCTCCAAAAAGCTCCGAAGCCCCTGGAAAAAGCTCCGTAGACGGTTCAAAAATCCCCCGAGTCCTAGCCAGCGCCCGCCGATTCAAAGCAGAAAACCCTGAGAGGCGGTTCTCGGCACCAGGCGGCGCAGCCTTGTTGGCTTCGGTTGTCAGCCTGTCGATTTCAGAGGCCACCGTCTTCTCGGCACAGTCGCGCGTGCTTCGGTACCAGTTCTCGAGCTGTGACTTTTCTAAGAAGCTGCCTAGTCTGCTGTCTTCCCACTTCATCGACTCGAGCAGCTTGTTGCGGAAGCTTTCGTCCATCTTCTTGAAGCGGCCGTCGAGCGACTCGGTAAACACGCCGAGCGCCTCCGACGGCTTGACGTACGGGTCGAAAGTCACATCCGAATGCACTGCCCGACACAAAAGAAATTAGCATGCTTCTCAAAGTCGCGACTCATATTCTCAGAACAAGACTTACTCTCTTCCTCAACCTTGAACATTGTGTGATATGCAGCCGTCTCGCCAACAATCTTAAGCTGCATGTGGTCGCCCTTCTGGTTGGTCTCGTTGACTTGCTTCCAGTCATCACGGAGGTAACATCTCCGCCAAATCAGGCGCTCCGCGTTGCTGCGGTCCTTGCCCTTCAGCCCGTGCTGGGCAACCTTCAGAGCCAGGAAAAACTGGTCGCCAATAAGTTTCCAGTGGTCGGGATGCAAGTACGCCAAGGTGAGCAGGTCAATCAGAGTAGGCGGCTGTAGCGCCTCATGCTTAAGGAGCCGCGACATGCCGTCTTCAAAGATTTGAAGGAGCGCCTTCTGCTTCTTAGGGATTAGACCGGCGTGTTCTTTCATGGCTAGCTCTAGCTCGGCCGACTCGTCAACGGCCTCTTCGATTGATGGCAGTATCTGGCTGTAAAGGGCGTCTTGGATCTTGATGAGGTCCAATTCTTTGTCGATTTTCGACAGGCTGGCGCTAGTCTTGGCTTCGTTGTCCGAACTGCCGCTTCTATTCGCAGACTGCTCCCCCTCTTCGGCTAGTAGTGCAAGCTTCCCGAGGCTCAGCTCGATCTTCTTGCTCCAAACTTGTTGCTCGCGGGAGAGCCCGAGCTCAAGCAAGGTCGACGCGGCGTGATCAATGTCATTTTCCCTCTGAACGTCATTGATCCAAGAGATCTTGGCCAGCTCCGGTTTGGTTCGGAGGAACTTCGTAGCGTAGCCGTTGTGGTCGTAAGGGAAGTCCAACACAGCCTGGATGCCGCTGTGTTCGAGCAAAACTGTGTAGGCACGGAAAGCGAACTTCTCCTGATACTTGTCAAAGAGTTCGCCCATCCGCTTCTTCTTCCTCTCTAAAAGCGCAACCAGAGCATCCTTGTCCTTGCTAACTGCTATTTCGACAGCCAAGACGTCCTGCTCAAGCGACAAGATTTGCTGCACTACAACTTCTGCCAATGAGTCGAATGCCGTATACTCAATGGCGAGCTGGATTGCTTCCTCCCATAGGCCATAATCCTTGAGCCTCAATATCTTGTCGTAAACGTCGGTCACATAATTTTGCTCGTACGTCTTGGCCAGCTCCTGGGCCTGCGGGTCGTCACTCTTGGAAGCCCAGGAAGAGAACTCTATCAGCGCCGTGAAATATTGGCTCGTAAGGGAGGGTAGCGTCTGCTGAATGTTATCCAGGAGACCCTGGTCCACAACGGGCTGGTCAGGATTTTGGGCCGAGTATGTGTCGAGCCACTGGTAGCAGAATTCCACAAGACGCTTGAGGTTGTTAGTTATAAAGTGGGTTGCTGTCCAGGGTTCTGGGATGGCGTTGCCTCCCGCGGCCTCCTTGGCATTGACGCCGTAGAGCGGCCCGTTTCGGGTGCGGTATTGATGTGCCTCTAGGAGACCGCCGTTGTTTACCGTGACAGCCTCCCACAGTAGCCGGTTGATGCCCGCTTCGTCTGCGAGACGCTCCGTCCAAGCGTACTTGATAATCTGATATCCCCAGGCAACAAAAATGTCGAGCCTCCACACGTCGTTGATAAACCAGTGCCTAACAGCGTCCACCTCGCCAATGGCCGGGTTAGGCTCCGTTTTTTGGTGTTCGTTGATGTAGACGGCCGTCTCCGAGATTAGATTTTTCTTGTCTCCCTTTGCCCGCTCCGCAAGGAATTGCTCGTGTTTCTGCCAGATCCAGGTGCCCACGGCCATCTTTTCCGCATTGTAAAGAAGCAACCACCTCGTACGCGTGTCCAAATCGACCTTGGACATGTTGAGGTACGTTATCAGAGCATCGAGATAGGCGCTCCTCGTCTTCATGTTGATCTCGAGAGAAGCTGGCAGGTTTGCAATGAGAGACGTCTTGGAGCTCACAATTTCGTGGCTCAACTCAATCGCTGCATTTCCAATCTCCTGGCTTGAGAAAGCCAGTTCCCTCTTGCCCTGGAAAACCAACGGGTTATCCTCTTTGATCCCAAAGAAGACGGCTTGCTCTAGTTTGCTCTTCGCAGTGACTTGTGGGGGCAAGTCGCTAGCAAACCGATCAATGTCCGCGACCGCAACCCGGAGAGTGCCAATGCCTTGCAACAAGAGGACAGCGGCTGGGTTCTTCGTCTTGAACCGTTGTACTCGTAGCTCGTCGTGCGCTTGGCCGTTACCAATAGGCTCCTCGGTACCAGACCCGACAATTTGTAGCGTGTCGTCGTCGCGGAAATCGACCACATCCTCATATGTTGCAGGTATTATGTGGCTGTCTTCCTGCAGTTGCGAGTCGGGAGAGTCCGGTGGTGAGGCCATGGAGGCAACAACCACAGCTCGATCGAATACGACAAAAGCAACAAGTGCCGGCCGCGGGAGGTATATGCGAGGTTTTGCTGGGGCTAATGATCTCAAGGGACTTGTGTATGACGTGAATGGCCTCACCATCCCGATCCTGATACCCTCAGGGGATATAACAACCTCAACCAGCGAGTATCTAGACTTGCGCTTGCCCGGAAACGAGACGAGAAGTAGCAGGTGTTGCAAGGAATCCTCATCATTTGATAGGGCCTCGCTGAGACGGCTTATTTGCACGTACTTCTTTTCCAAGCCACGGGGCACGAATGTGAAGTCAACCACCTCTAAGGAGTCCTCAAGCAAGTCGGCAGTTGCAGGGTCTGCTTCCTGGACTGCCTCAACCAGTTGATCCCGAATGTCGATATCGATCAGGGGTTCGTGGTGGCCTCCGCGGTGAATTTTCCAAGAGTGTAATTTTCCCTTGACTGTAGCTGCAACTATGACCCGCTCGCCGATAGTTTTGCCGTAGCTTGCTCGAACGGCGGCGATTTCTCCTCGAATGGCAGAAGAGCTCAGGGCGTGGCGGATGCTGCCGAAGAACCCTCCGCCACCGCTACTCAGGCCGTTGCGCAGGAACTGAACCGATATTCCAGGCCTTCCGTGGCTATCTCTAACATTCATGTACGCTAACCGTCCACTGCTGAAGACGAGAATGAATCCTGCCGATTCGGCATTGACGATCTGAGTGACGTGCTCTCCAGAGAACATGCCCGATATCGAGTCCTCGACTCCGGTCCGTTGTTGGCGGATAAAGTCTAGAGTGGCGGCACTAGATATGGATTCCCAGTACGCGATCTTGCCGCTGACAGGCATTATGACAACGAGGCCTGGTTCTTCTGAAGAAGCCGAGGGCGCAACAAGCGATGCAAGGGGAAGTGGATCGGAGGCATATTTTGAAGGGTACGGTAGGGTGAATGTGAAAGTTTCGGGCGAAGGAGCTATCGAGGTATATGGCCAAACGAAGGCGTGGGTGTGGGTAAGACTCAAGGCATAGCCACTCGACGAATAGACAGTGCCGTGTTGTCGATCTGTACAGGCGTTAGCAACCATGATCTCGGGGATAGTTTAGTCGAGAGCCACCAGGGACCAGACTTACTTTGCGCGTCTGCACGGAGCCTATCAGGCAGCGCTGGCAGTTTGCTCACGGTGAAAGCATTATTCGTCGTCTGCGATGCACGGTTAGCGATGGAATTGTCTCTCGTCATTGGGGTGGATGGCGGAACAGGGACAAACTAACCAGCACAACGCTTCCGTCTCCCTTGCTAGTTCTCTCGCTGGGCTTCGGCTTTTTCGACCGAACGCTGAGCTCCTTGCGCGGGACAATGGCGGCCACGTTTTCGATTCCATCGCGCTTTATCCCAAGGACGTCTATCTTGTCGGATTTAACCTCGAACATTTCGGGCGGCGCATCAGGGTTGACAAAGGTTGTCTCGCTTAGAGGGACTCGCTGGCGCTTGGCCTTGGGTTGCTGGACAGAAGCATCGGAACTGAGAGGGCGTTGTCGTCGGCGATTGCTCCTTGTGCCCTTGGCAGGGCCGCCTTCCTGAAGCGCGGGCGAGAACATTTTTCTGCGTTGTTAATTGCGGCCTCTGCTGCTCTAGCAGGCGATGCGAGGCAGGAACGTCTCGCCGGTCGGGTTTGAGAGCGCGATGACGAGCGACGATGCGGTGATCGAGTCTCAAATCATCGCACGATCGAAATCGATGAAATGGTGGTCGAAAGGGGGTTCGGTCGAGATGCGAGGGCGGCGTCGAATTGAGCGCGGCGGGTCTGCTCAACAGGCCTTCTCAAAGTGGGCGGAAGCAGAGCGACGAAGCATTCAACGATTGGTCTTGTTGACTTTTGGGCAAAAAGTCTAAGGGCGCTACTGGCCAGTGCCCGCAGCTTTGCTACGATGACCGGGACCACGCATTCAATTTGTCTCCACGCTAGCTCCCGACTGGGTAGCCCCGCACGGCCACGAGGCAGGGCCAAGACAACACTGCTGAACGCTAAATACTAACACCTCAATTCTGACGCTCAAAGCGACCCCAAAAGCAGATAGAAAGCCGCCTATGGAAGTTGCATTGAAGCTCAACGTTCAATAAAAGGCGCTTTGGAGGTGCATTCTGGACCGAATGTATTAGGGGGTGTTTCTATTAATTGCCTCTTCCTTGAATACTGATACTGGGAGTGATAATCCGGGCCTCGCATTGAACAAACAATGCCTAATAGGGTTTAGACACGATGCCTTTTCGCCGCCTCTCAGGTGAACCCTGAGCTTTCACCGCAGCTTGTTTTCCGCACCGTGGTGCCACCCTGCGCCCTGGAAATCATTGGGCACTCACCGCCCAACCTACCGCAATTCGTTGTAAGTAAGCCAATCCGAGCGTCCAAAGCAACCTGTCTGTCAGTTCCATGCCTCAGAAGGAAGAGCCTAGCCAGCAGGTAAATAAATGCTCTCTAAATTTATCACAAGACGCGAGTGTTCTCTTGAACGCGACTAAGCTATTTGCCACCTCCATAAGGTCCGCCCGGAGATCGGTAGGCTCGAGACCTTTCTGCTCACCTTGGTTCTCACCTAAGTGCCTTACCTACCCGGTATGGGGCACGGGCAGCCACAACGCTTGGCCAGCCAGAATGGCGGGCAGTGGTGACATCAGCGCGGCCCCTGGAGCCGCCCATACACACGCACTTGTGAGCCTGGAAAAAGACGAATATATCCGTAAAACTTCCATCAACCTGAGCGATCCCATTTCAAGGTTTTCGGTTTAGGTTTGGATAGGCGTTCTCAGTCAATTTTGGTTCGCTATTCAGATCTGTTGGTTAAAATCCCACATAAACCTGTTTTCGACACTGGAGAGGCCAGAGTCACAGCATGTTTTGAGCTTGGGGGCGGGCCCTCATACTTTCCTCTCATCTTTCTGCACAACAGGGGGCGCGACAGCTCAGTATATGCTTATTTCCGTATTTCGAGCTCTTTCTCGCGGCACAGGGAGGCGCAAGTCGCCGTCAGGTAAATTGAGGCTGCGAGCGCGCGAGCGGCGTGCGTGGTCATGCGGCGCCATGTCGTGCCCTCGGTCACCTCGGTCACCATCACCGACCCCCTGGTCAAGTATAACGCGCTCATCGCGACGGGCGTGTGTAGCCCGGACACGTCCCAATACCGCCTGGCACACCACCTGCAGAAGCTCTATCTACGCCTGAAGGACTACATTCCGGCCCAGGAGCACCGAGCACGGCTTCAGCAGATTGCCCGCGCCGTCGACGCTGCAGATGATGGTGGCGGTAGCGGTGGCGGTGGTCGGGATGAGCTTGCCACGAAGAAGCACCCCATCCGGCGAAACCCTCTCTTCGCGCGCTTCTTTGAGAAGGCCGGGTCTGAAGCGAGCGACAGCCTCGCGCTGACGAGGATCTTGACGAGCCAGCAGGCCGCTCTGCACATTGACAGCCCCAAGGGGCTTTTCCTCTCCGGGGAGGTTGGGACGGGGAAGTCGATGCTCTTAGACCTCCTCGCCGAGGGACTGCCTACGCGCCGCAAGAAGAGATGGCATTTCAATACGTTTATGCTCCACGCCTTCTCCCGGCTGGAGCAGTTCAGAAAGTCCCGTCCCCAGCTCGCCCCGGGCGACCAGCAGTACTCGATACTGTGGATGGCGAAAGAGATGGTCGAGCAGTCTCCCATACTCTTTCTCGACGAGTTTCAACTCCCTGACCGAGCTGCGAGCAAGATCATGAGCAATCTGTTCATTACATTCTTCCAGCTTGGCGGCGTTCTCATTGTGTCGTCCAACAGGATGCCCGAAGAGCTCGAAAAGGCAACTGGCTCCTCTTACTCTCCACCCGCTACGGGGGGGTTGGTCGAGAAGGTCCTAGGCCTTGGAAAGCGCCGGTTTGGCGGTGAATTATTTGGCCAGTCGAGCGACTTTGCCGCCTTCTTGGATGTCCTGAAAGCCCGGTGTGATTTCTGGCACATCGAGGGCACGAAAGACTGGAGACGGAGGGAGGTGTCGGATAGCCAGCTGCGCGGGTCAGGAGACTTGGGAATTCCAATGGATAGCGGCTTGATGGATTCAGAGACCTTCTCTCAACCGACCTACGGGCAATTGTCACAAGGAATGGTAGGTCCTGGAGTGACACCAGAGTGCCGTGACGAGCCAGGCCACACACAGGCCACCAGTCACCGAACGCCAGCCATGTTTTTCGTCCCATCCGAGGGCGACGAGCGGTGGACGTCAGCCTTACGATACGGAGATGAATCCCTGAATCCTTTATCTGCCGTCTGGGAGCCGTCTAACCTGGTCGTTTATGGCCGCCAGGTTATTGTCCCGCGACAGCACGACGGCTTCGCATATTGGAATTTCACGGAACTCGTGAGCTCCTTCGGGCCAGCTGACTACATCACGCTAGCTTCGAACTACCATACGTTTATTATTGACCAGGTTCCGATCCTGACTCTGTCCATGAAGAACGAAGCGCGGAGATTCATCACCCTGCTGGACGCTCTCTACGAGTCGCGATGCAAACTGGTCATTAGGGCGGGCGCGGGCCCTGACGATCTATTCTTTCCAGAAATGAGAAAGAAGCCTCTGTCGTCCAGCGGGAGCCAGACGGCAGCCGCGCGAGGGGACGATGGCGGTGACGCGATGTATGCGGAAACAATCGCCGAGGTCTTTCAGGACCAGGTTTCACCTTTCCGCCCCAACATATCCACGTATGCCGACTCTTCCAAGGCCAAGTACGACCCCGACCAGGACTCTGATTTCGGGCTGGAGACGGAGCGGAAGGTCGACTTCGGCCAGACTGGGGCATTCACGGGAGAGGACGAGCGGTTCGCGTATAAACGAGCGACGAGCCGGCTGTGGCAGCTTTGCAGCTGGCAATGGCATTCGAGAGAGGGCGACTGGTGGAAGCCTCTCCCAGGCGATGCTAGGCACTGGGAAGGCTCCGAGGCGTCCAGGCCGGTGTCTCCAAGCCCATCAAGGGCTTCCCAAAGTGAAATCGTTTTGGGGCCGTCGACGGAGCTCACAGAGCCGGCGGGTTTGGAGAGGTTCGGGATTGCTCATTACAAAAAAGGCGAAAAAAAAACTTTCAACTGAGAGATAGATACCCTGAAGAAGATGGCCAAGAAGAGGCTAGGTGAGGGGAGTTGGCTATTAGGCAGGGTTGTGGTGAATGGGACGGTAGCAGGGGAAGGCGTACATACGGAGCAGGCGGGCAGTCGGATCGCTTGTGAGATGTGCCGGGCGATTTACCTACCTACCTACCTACTCATGCCCACCTCATCTAGCAATACAACCTTGGCTACGTACCATGTGCTACCGAGGGAACAGACAACGGATCGCCCTCATTCGTCCCTTTTGTGCCTGCATGAGATCGGAGAAGAGAGGGGGGCCGTTTGGTGGATGTAAGACGATTGGTGGCCTAACTGTGGGGAAGACGGCCCTTGTTCCTCCCCCACAATACAATGGACTGACTCCAAGACGGACGGCCTCTGCATCTCCTCATTTCCCTACTCGTTCACTCCACCACTCGGCTCCGACCAGACGGGCAAGCAACGAGCACAGCGGGCGGGCGCCGCTAGGCAAGACCTGCTGCCGACCGAGAGATTATGGAGGCGACCCAATGCTAGAATCTCAAGATGGAACCAAGCACTTCGAACATAAGGTCCATAGTCGTCGTGCATGACATTTTTGTTCCAAGAGAGCACATAAACGAAATGCAAGACAAGCAGCGGGTTTCATCAGCACCTCGAATCGTCGCTGGCCAGCAGTAGACAGAAGAGATATACAATTGCCGGTTTTGCCGGGATCTCCAAAAGACGTACTCCCTTCCTTTTCTCCCCCGGCCGGCCCCTCTTTTAACCACGTCCTCTCCATGTCCAGTGTACATGCCAGCAAAAAATGGTGCTTCACACGCTTATACTACCTAGAATGTACACACACCTGCCTCCGGAGCCACTCCCGCCGGGAAACTCGACGCAACCTGACAGACCCCTCGCTCACCTTCGCTTACACGCCCTCCCCAAGCAGCCCCAATTGCGCAGTAATATGAGGAAGTGAGGGTATGTCTGGTGGGCAGGTAGGTACTGTACATGCAGATATACTTGGCTCTTTGGCAGGCAAGTGACGCCAGGCTGGGTAAGTAGGCAAGGTATGTAGCATAGGTTTCCATGGCATAGAGACCTTGCCTTCTAGATAGTTGGCCTTTTTACTGTGTACTTGTACATACATACCTACCTACCAACGTACTCATCACCAGTTCTACTCTATCTCGCGGTATCCTACTTTCCATCCTTCTTGACCGCCCAAAGTCGACGTGGATGCACTTGTAAATGCATCCCCGCCCTCCTTCGGGTCTGCCCTGGAAGAAGACGACGACGACGACGACGACGACGACGACGACACCGCCGCCGCCGTCATGGGCGAGAGACGACTTATGCTGAAAGCGCGCCAGCGCCGGCAGATTCGGCAGCTGACGCTCTTGCTCGGATCGTGCCTGGCGCTGTTCTGCCTAGTATTTGTGTGGAGGACGCCGTCGGACGACGACTACGGCGATATCAACAGGCCGCCGTCAATGCGAATCTCGCCCTACGCCCCGAGACCCGCGCTCCCTTCGGAAGCGCTTGAGAACCTGTCGCTAGGCGAGGGGGAATGCGAGGCCACGTTCCCCGGGCTCACCAAGGAGATTGACGATGCCGTTGCCCAGGGCCCGTTCAAAGTGAAGCAGACGGGTGACCTAGGGCCGCTGCAAGGTCGGATAAAAGACGGAAAGGTGTGTCTTTCCGGAAAGCCAACTCCAAGTCCGTACTCGGCCACAGGTCCTGTCGCTTCGTTCATTTCAGTAGCAGCCGCATTTGAAAAAGAAAACACGCTAATAAACGCACGCAATAAACACAGATATATATAATCCACGCACAACGGAAGGCAGATCTCTCCAAGGAGATGGTTAACGTAAGTGCAGCTCCTACCCCTTTTCCACTGCCCTCTCCCGGAGACCAAATATCCCGTCAGATATATTTGCATGCACAAGAAAACAAGACTAGAGCCTCTCTCACACCGCAAATCTAGTCCCGAAGTGCTGCGCTGCACCAACTGCACCGCGCCTTGGTCACGTCGCCGACGCCCCTGCCCGACACCGTCTTCACGCTCAACTTCCAGGACCAACCGTTCGGCACGGCGTGGACGTACAGCCGGCCAGCGTTGTTGCCGCACGCACCAACGGACCCCAACTCGCGGACGTTCCTGATGCCGCACTTTTCGTTTTGGGCGTGGAAGCTGCCGTTTGTCGGGTCCATGGGACGAGGGGCGAAAGCAATCACGGCCCTGGAACGCGAGTACGAAGGGGCCGGGCGGTGGAATCACAAGATCCCCAAGGCCATATGGCGCGGGACGACGTGGTTCAACAGCATACACAGTCCACGGCTGCGGCAACATCTGGTGGCGGCGGCCAAGGGCCAAGCGTGGGCCGACGTGCAGCCTCTCCAGTGGAAAGGGGACAACGCGAGCAACGCGCTGCCCATCGAGGAGTTCTGCAGGTACAAGTACGTCCTGCATACCGAGGGTGTGTCGTACAGCGGGCGATTTCAGTTCGTCCAGATGTGCGCGAGCGTCGTCATCACGCCGCCCATGCATTGGATGCAGCACACGACGCACCTCGTCCGGCCCCTCTTCTCGAGCAGCCTGGACCTTTCCACGAGCGGTAGGTCCAAGAAGGCCAAGGGGAGCGGCCGTTGGGATGCGAGGAAGAGCAAGTCCCATGCCAAGACGGCTCGCGGTGGACCCGCTGCCCCTGCTGCTTCTTCCTGGGAGCCTTCGGAGCGGATCCGTAAGGCCTGGCCCGTGCAATACAGCCCGGAAGAGGCCAACATCGTATTTGTGGCACCGGACTGGTCTGACCTTGGGGACACGATCGCCTGGCTCGAGGCGAACCCCCGCATTGCCGAGGGCATCGGCAGGCGCCAGCGTGATCTTTTCGTCGGCGGAGGCTACTTCAGTCAGGCGGCCGAGGCCTGCTACTGGCGAGCCCTCGTGCGAGGCTGGGCCAAGATGGCCAGAATAGACGGCGAGGGCTGGGAAGACACCGAGGACACGTCGTTCGAGGCGTTCACTCTAACCAACGGGGACTGATGATAGAATGACAGAAAACCCTCCGCATTTAGGGGTTGTTTTGCATGTTTTAATATCCACGACCACATGAAAGAGCCGAGAATATTTCTGTCCGGCTAGAGCAGTATCGGTGTATTCTGGAATGGCCGCGAGGCAGCGAGGCGGGCGCTTTCCGCTGGATTCATACCACAAGCTCTGCCCATGTCCAGTGCGCAATGCGCAATGCGGCACCAGGTTCTAGTTATCCTCTGAGTAAATCTCGAGAAATGGTGTAACTTCAGCTTGAGCCATGTGATGACTAGATTCGGGAAAAGTCCTGATATGTTGGTAGTTGTCCGGTCTGAATGAATGGGTATACTGTTGCCTATTAGAATGCGCTTTTCTTTTCTCTGTTCCCTCCCCACCAAAAAGCTGGGCACGACAGCTTTAACAAGATATTCAAGGCGTTTGCCTCCATGAAAGTCAGAGGTTCGTAACGCCAGGGGTCCAAGTCTCCCCAATTCTCCGCATGTCGTCGGCAAACTTCCTGCTCGTGATCTTCTTCCCGCCGTGGCCGGCCGGCGGTGCGTGCTCGTCCGGGTCGAAGAATGGGTTCTGCAGCAGCTTGACGTAGGCCGTTTGCATAGCCTTGAACACCTGTTACAAAACCAAATACCACATTAGCAAAGGAGAAGAAAATCCCATATGTACAGGCCGTAAAGGCGGCGTTCCATCCCGGCTTCGAGTAGCTGTGACATACTGGCTTCATCTCGCCCTCGCGCAGCCCCACGGCGACAGCGCCGAGCCGCTTCTCCTTAATGTCCACGAGGCCGGCGGCGATGGCACCGTCGATGCGGCGGCCGCGCATATCGACGAGGACGACAAACTTGGTGCCCGTGTTTGTCTCGAAGCCGTAGGCGGCGAGGCGCTCGTCGACGGCGTGGAGGAGGCCAAAGTCGCCACTCAGGCCGACGCCGGTGGCGGCATTGTGCCGGGCGCGCAGCTCAAAGACGTCGAGCGTGCTAGACAGGAGCAGCGAGAACTGCAGCGGCGTGCGCACGGGGGCAAAGTTATTGGTGACGGGATCGTACGAGGGGAAGATGGCGACGTGGAGCGGGTTGTTCTACAGTCTTGGGCGTCAGCACGCACAGCAGCCAATGCACAATACGTATCGCGATACAGGCACAACAAAGCTTGAGAGGAAAAGAGGGAGCAAAAGTACATTTCGGCCAATCACCCCCAGGCAGGCTATCGAGGGAATTGCGGTCGCCATTGGCGACTTGATATCCTGAGAGCCAAAGCGGTTTACGGTGGTGTTGAGCCCTGGAGCTTCAGCCTCTCAACAGCCCTGACGTGTTTGGTGGAGATGTGTGGGTTGAGTGGTGGTGCAGCTGTCAGCACCACCCCGGTAAAGGGACCGTCAGGCTGAAGCCAAGGGGCTGACTTCACTCCGCTTTACACAGATACAACATGGAATTTTCCTACACTTGCTCTACAGTTAGTTACCAGTACAGCAATGGCTTCAAATTATGATGGAATATATGTTTGTAGTTGATTACAAAAACTTGTTAATTAAAAATGTGCATGCTTCCCTCTGCAACTCGCACCACAGCGCCAAGCGCAACACTTCTAGCTATTGTATACTGAAAGCTCCCGACTATGTAAGACATATACAACATAGCTGATAAAGCAACGCTGAACGTCGCTAAGCTCCCTTAAACAGACCCCCTTCGATATCTTTTACTCTTCATCGACCAAAGACTCAGTCTCTTCTAGACCTCTAAGAACCTCCTCGATCTCGCTTGGATCGGTAATTGCCCAGACACCGCCGCCTTTGACCGTGTCCTTGCCTCTCATGCCGACCTCCTTTCCGACTAGGTTGCGGCCCACCTTTCCGGGTCCTATGCCTATCCATCTCCTCACCTTTTCCTCTTGGTCGAGATATTTGATGCTGTCCCACCATTGGACTGTTTCTAGGCAACCCCGAGCCAAAAGATCTTTCAGATCCTCCTTGCTCTCAAATGGTCGCGCGCTGACATTACTGATGCACGGTAGTGTCCCCGGGAAAGTAACAATGTCTTCATCCTCCCTCCCCTTGACGCGGCTCTTCCTTGCGAGTATGTTATGCATCACAGCGACGGCCGGTTTCATTATGGGGCTGTGGAAGGGGCTGTCGCTCTTCAGCCGCACCGCCCGGGGGTCGTGCCCGAGAAACTGTCGCACGTGCTCCACGAGGGTCTTTATCCGCTCAATGTTGCCGCTCAGCACAATTTGATTTTTGCTGTTGATGTTAGCAATGAGCACCTGCTCAATTGGCGAGCGGTCTTCAGCGCTCTCTGACTTGGATCCCGCGCTGCTGTGGCCGACAAAGTCGTGGATGGCGTTGATTAGCGGCTGTAGGTACTCGGGCTCTGTCACAATCGCCACCATGCCGTACTCGCCGCCGTAGTCCTCGGCAGCCCGTCTCGTGGCCGCTGCCATGGACTCGGCCCGCTTCTGCACCATGTACAGGCTGTCCTCGAACTCGATGTAGCCGCCAGCGACCAGGGCCGCAAACTCACCGAGCGAGTGGCCCAGCGTGAAGTCAGCACGGTCCGACGCCCTGAAGCCAAACTCTTTCTCGAGGATCCGAAGGATCATGATAGACGTGGCCATGATGGCGGGCTGGGCGTTGGGCGTCAGGTTGAGCACCTTGCCGGGACCGCCCTGGATAACATCCGAGAGGTTGTGCCCGACAATCTCATCAATTTCCTGGAAGATAGCGGTGGCTGTGGCGGGGAAGGCTTCGAGCCAGGGAGTGAGCATGCCGACTTTCTGCACGCCTTGTCCTGTTGCGAGGGGCCTCGAGATTAGCCAGAAGGTCTCAACCGACAGAGGTATCCGCGGGGGATGGGCTGTCAAGGGACTAGGAATGCGAACCTGGGAAGAAAATGGCTGTTTTTGGTCGCGCATTTCTCGTCGATGCAAGCCGCAGCTGCGGTATCTGCTGCCGTACGTAGTGTGCCACCAGTGAGGGCCGTCCCGACGACGCTCCGGAAACAGCTGCGGCGCTGAAGCGGCTTGTTGCGTGCAAGGCGAGCGCTCGGCAAGATGCGCGTGGCGAAGGCATTTTGAACACGCGTGCTCGCCAGCGGGCAGCCCAGTGTCAAGAGGGCCGCCTCATCAGTTATCTATGCGAGGGTCGTGCGGGCATTGGGACGAGAGGGGACGGAGGGCGAGCGCGAACGACAAATGTGGAATGACGGGATCCCATCGGCAGGGAAGGACAGGTAGGTAAGGTACCTTGGAAAGTCGCTAGGAAGGCGTCGGGTGGACAGCGGCAACCAGGGGGGGAGCAGATCGGTCTGTGGGGAATCGCTAGGGTGCCTGTGGAGCGCAGCACCCCGCCAATTGGATGCCCAATTTCTCCGTCAGACCCCGATTTTGAACCTGAGAAATCGGAAGCCGGGTCTGAAGGTGGAATACCTAGCGCGTCCGTCTCTCAAAGATCCCGATCCCGACCTCCGTACGACCTGGATATCGTGTGTAACTTGGTGAAATCTTCTCGCTCAACAGGTTACCTATATCTCAAGATATTTAGAACTTCTTGATACGCCCACAGCTACAAACTGAATCAGAAGCAGGAAGCCCAAGTTCTGAATTTTCATTTCTCAGTCTCACATTTGTCCGCCTGCGCCAAAGCAGGCTCAAGAATTGAGAGAGAGAAACCAAAAAGGCACACACAAACATGCCCGTCACGATTCTAGCACCTAAAGCGGTGCGGGTCGGGTATGGGGCAAACCCGGATCATTCCGATTCAGAGGACTCCGGTTCCGACCCGGAAGGAGACATATCCATGGGCCTCAAACGGGCGGTGGCGGGGAGGAAAGCGGCTGCGAGCGGCGGCAACAGCAGCAAGTACGAAATCGTCACACCAGGCGAGGTCATAACAGACGACCCGCAGTGGATGCGCGGACACGGCACGTACGTGGCGCCGGCAACGACGTCCATCATCTCGTCGGTGGCCGGCACCGTGACGCGGACCAATAAGCTTCTCTCGGTGCGGCCGCTGCGGGCGCGGTATACGCCCGAGGTCGGCGACCTGGTGGTCGGCCGCATTGTCGAGGTGCAGGCTAAGCGGTGGCGGGTCGACGTGGGGTCGACACAGCTAGCGTCGCTTCCGCTCAGCGCCATCAACCTGCCCGGCGGCATCCTGCGCAAGCGCACCGAGACGGACGAGCTGCAGATCCGTACCTTCTTCGCCGAGGGCGACCTGCTGGTGGCAGAGGTGCAGCAGCTGTTTGCCGACGGCGGCGCCGTGCTGCACACGCGCTCGCTCAAGTACGGCAAGCTGCGCAATGGCGTCTTCGTCGCCGTGTCAGGCATGGGCGGTGGCGGCGGCGTTGTACGCAGTCGGCGCCAGGTCTGGACGCTGGAGTCGGCCAACGGCGGTGGGCCCGTCGACATTGTGCTCGGCGTCAACGGCTACGTGTGGATCAGCAAGCACGTTGAGACGCCCGAGGGCCTTGTCGACAAGACCAGCGGTATCACGAACATCGAGGAGAGTGTCAGCGCCACCATGTACTCGAGCCAGAACGACCGCATCGGCCCTGAGACCATGCGCGAGATTGGGAGGATACGCGGCGTGGTAACGGCACTGGTGGACAACGGGCTCCGCGTCGATGAGGACATGGTCATGAGGGGCTACCATGAGGCTGTAGAGATGGCAATGGCATCGGGCGAGGGGCCGGAAGATATCTACCTAGGCGGAGAGAGGGGCGAGCATCTCGCTGCTGCGCTCACAGCGGTTTAATGTCCATATTCATCAACCAGTTAACATCCTCCCAGTCCACTTCCAATGTCCTCGTCATGTGTTTATGCCTTACCTGGCGAACAAAGTTGTGAATCAAAGACTACGAGTCATTTAGCCCGTTGTCGTATGGGTAACTCTCGAATATGAAATCATCATAGGTCAACTCCGGGCCGTATCCTTATGTCCTTGAATTCGGAGTTTTGTCGAATCGAATCACTCACACTTCCAAAAATCCACGCCCCACACATTTTGTGTCGGAGATCATGTCAGAGTTACATGTTAATAATAACTACCCAAGTACATTTAGAAACGGCAACGGCTCCACGCCAAAGGAGACACCGTAGGAAGCAGAGATCTGACGTGAGCACTGTCTTTGCCAGACCACAAAAGCTAATTCGAACACCCAACCAAGTGTTTGCAAAGTAGCTCGATGATAATCCTCACATTACGATTACTTCACCTCACAGGTCTGATGTCTTCTCGCTTAGAAATCATCAATTAAAAAACAAAATAGACAGCTAAAGATTGACAGCGTCCCTACATCACTTTGTTTGATTTGGTTGCGGAAACGCTCGCTTGGTATCATATTACAGTTCCCTCACACATTGGCGTCATCGTCTATTTGAGAGAAGCATTAGAGATAATGCGGACACAGAATAGACGGGACAAAATGACAGATGGCTCGCAGATAAGAAGATGTGCGCGCAAAGAGGGGCACGGCCAGAAGAAGCAGAAAAAAGGAAGAAGAAAACCCAAGCTTATCTCGCAGCGAGAGAGGCTTTCAACACGTAGTTGACTGCCAGCAAAAGCAGCCACCTGAACAACGCACCTTTGGCGCTGCTGGCACCGAGCCCAAAGATGAGCTTTACCCAGTAGCTGAAGCCGCGGACGATTGAACCGCTGCGGTCAAAGTTGGGCTTGGGGGCCGTCAGGCGGGCAAGAAGACGCATCTTGCTCATGTCGTAGGGCATGTAACGGACGCGGAGGATCTTATCGGCCCACGAGGGCGTCTCGGCAATGGTGCGGAAGTGCGTGAAGCAGTCGAAGCTGGCCTTGCCACGATAAGAGCCCCAGCCGCTGTCGCCAACGCCACCGAATGGCACAGTATTGACGGAGCCGTGAAAGAAGGAGTCGTTGAGCGTGGCGCCGCCCGACGTCATTTCATTAAGGACTGGATGAGACGCAAATATTAGCAGGCAGGCAGACAGGCAGGCAGGCAGAGACCAGAATAACGGTCGGCAGAGATTGAATTAGGGGTTCAATCTTACCTCTCTCATTCTCGGACTTGGACCCAAACGTATACAGCGACAGCGGCGTCCGGTGGACGGAGGCAGCAACATTGAGAGCCTCGTCGAGCGAGTTTACGGGATAGAGGGCGAAGATGGGACCAAACGATTCTTCCTTGATCATAGAATCGTCGGTCGAGTTGACCAGAACAGCAGTAGGCTCGATGTAAAGCTCAGCCTCGTCCACCTCGCCGCCCATAACGATCTTGCCTTTGGTATCGTCGAGCATCTTCTTGATGCGGTGGAAGTGACGGGCGTTGACAATGCGCCCAAGGTCAGGACTCGCCTTTGCGCCGTCTGGGAACATGTCCTTATAGGCGACCTTGAGAAACTTAGTAAATGCCGGAACGACCTGCTTGTCGATCAACACGTAGTTCTGCGACATGCAGACCTGGCCCGAGTTGTGGGTCTTGCCCCATAGCAGCCGCCGGGCGGCCAGCGCCAGGTTGGCGTTTTTGGTGACGAAGGCCGGGTTCTTTCCGCCGAGCTCAAGGCAGACGGGAGTGAGGGTCTCGGCCGCCTTCTTGGCGACAATCTTGCCGACAACATCACTGCCGGTGAAGAAGATCTTGTCCCACTTCTCGGCCAGAAGAGCGTTGGTCTCGGGGATAGCACCGTTGACGACGGCGAAGGCGCTGCGATCCAGGCGAGTCTCAACCATCTCCTTTACAACCATGGCGCAGGCCGTGGTCAGCTCGGAGGGCTTGAGCACGGCGGTACAGCCGGCACCAATGGCCCCGATCAGAGGGGCCAACAGGAGCTGGAGGGGATAGTTGTAAGGCCCGATGATGAGGACGGCGCCTAGCGGCTCCTTGCGGGTGCGGAAGTTCATCATGGAGTAGGTGATGGGGACGGCGGGAGAGCCAAGCTTTTCGTCTTTGGTGAAATCGTTCAGGTGCTTGATCATGAACATGCAGTCCTTGAGGAGCCAGTCGATCTCGGTGAGGACGGCCTCGAATACGGATTTGTGCAGATCATGCATCAGGGCAGCGATAAGCCTAGGCCTGAAATCTTCGATGGCCCAGTAGAGCTTGCGCAGCTGCACGATGCGCCATTGGACCTTCTTGGTCTTGTGCGTGCGGAAGGTACCTCGCGCGGCGCTGGCGACCTTGGGAATGAGGTCCAGGGCCGTGGCCTCGAACTGGGGAAGCGTCGCGTCCTTGGTTGCCATGATGCCTTTTTGGCTGAGCGCGCGTTGTTTGAGCTGTCGAAGCGCTCCTGTTGGTGCGCGATTAAGGTTGAACCAGGAGACTGGAATACTCGACTAAAGACTCTATTTGGCGCAAGTGGGTGATTAGCAATGGCGCAAACATACAACAAAAGTGAAATCTTTAGACGGCTCTCTCAAGTATAAGGAGGTACCCACTTACCCTTGTAAGCTGCTGGCAGGATCAACGTGCAATTCTACGTAAAACTATACCCACGTTCAAGAAAACACAAGCTGAACCGAGGCACGGGTACCACGGGACTAAGGTGTCGATGGCAATGAGGGGAAGGTGGCCAAGAAGAATTGGTGCTGGGTCGTTCTGTAATCCGAGGGGCGCGGTGCGAATGCCTTGTTAGGACTAGGATAACGTTGGACGATTTCCTGCACTGCACTCACTTGCTTATAATTTTTGGCAGGTTTTATCAAGCATCGACTCTTTTGGCAATAGAAGACCCGCAGACAGCTGCACTCTCTTGATTCGAAACACATGTGAACCCACGTACCAGTACCCTTGGTTCGGAATTAAAATAATAAAAAAAGGCTTGGCGCGCAGCCCCGTGTCAGTGCATCTTCTTCCCCACACGACGTAATTAAGAAGCCTGGTAAACTAGTGCCCTTTTTCATCCCTGGGCATTCGGAGCAAACGGCCGATGGAACGGGTTCACTGATGACAAACTCGAGAGTGACATGCAGAGATCGAATTACCAGCAGTACATATCCGTAGGCGGTCGACTTTGAACTACTGTTACACAGGCCAACCGATTAGGTTACAAAAGAAGAAAATACGCCCTTCTTTACCTAGGGTCAGTCTTCGCCTCTATAATACTTTTCTTCCATGTTATCATCCTCATGTGAGGGAGTCACTAGGAGTCTCTATCTTATAGAAAGAAAGACTTCAAATTGCTTTTTTGTTCATGTTCACTGTAACTACTGAGCATCCATCTGAGCCCAACTCGAGATTATTCGGCATTCCCGCTGTTGCCGACTGGGTATGGTGAGGAGTAAAGGGCACAATGGCTTATAGCCCTGATACTTTCGGAAGCTAGTACTTTGTGATTGGACAAGTCAATGTCCTCTAATGGGGATGGAAGATATAACTTCTTCCGATTTTTATACAGATTAATGTGCACTATAGCGTTCAATACAACAGCGAACCTTGCTTTCTGATGACCCCAATAGACATCAGTACTAGATTGGCAAATGTGGAATGCTGCGTGGTCGACCAGGGTTTGGGTCATTGCCAGACATCATGACGATACCCGGACCTTCAGCGGAGGTGTGACTGTCCAGGCCTCATCGCCGCATCTTGCCAGACCGTGGCCCACCCCTCAGCTCCATGACAGGCTCGGGCTCAACAGCCGCCAACAAGTTTTTCTTGATTATAGAGACACCATCAATGAGGCCGCCAGTTGCCCTCCTTTGCTCATCCAACAACAAAGACTGTTTGCGGAGAGCTTCCAATTCCTCTCGCCGCTTCGTATTTATGTACCACTCCTTGGGGTACTTAAGCTTGACCTTGAATGTGTGATGGCGGGTATCGAGGGGAATGTCCTCGAACATATCGGTAGGGTCCTGGTCTGGTTAGCATGGAGGGAAACTGTCAGATCGTAAAGCAGATGTCGGCCCCATACCTTTGCCGTCTCAATCATCTTGGACACTGTGTCTCCCAGGTATCTCTTATTCTGGGCCTGGTGCTCGAACCTCTCGCAGCTCATTTTGACGATGTCCTTCTCCGGGTTGTACCGGGGACCGGCGAGCTTCTTCAGCTTCAGTTGCTGGGCCTCTGATAGACCTGGCACGTCCTTAGGGCAGAACTCGACGACGACCTTTCTGTCGGCAGGGTGAAGCTCTCCCATGTAGGTCGTGTATCTGAAGCGCAGGCAGTCCTCCTTGGCCGGCGGCTGGAACGATTTGGCAAACTCTAGCCGCGTCTGTCAGTTCACAGCGCGTCACCGACAAATTTGGACTGACGAGGGGTTATCTTACGTGAAAGAAGGGGCATCTCCCACACGGTAATGCGCGCGTACTCTCTGGCCTCTCGGTGCTCCTCTAGCTTGCCGTGACTCATACTGAGCATGTCGTCCTCCTCGAAGTCATCCTCGCCAAACTCATCCGTGATCAAGTCGGTGTCTTTCTCGTCACTGTCGTTCCAGAAAGCGTCTCTTTTAGGGTTGATAATCCTTCTGAGGTCTGACATTTCGTTGTTGATGTCTCGCTTGAGCCTTTCGGCGTCACCCTTCTTTTGTTGCGGGAGCAGTTGCCACTCTTCGAGCATCCCAGTAATAGTTGCACGGTCATCCTCGGAAAGCGTCTCGTCTTTCAGCCGATTTCTAAGAGCCTCGCCCGGGTCATTGAATGATGAGTAGTATTTCAGCTCGGGGGGTTCGCTGTCCTCGTCGTCCTTCCCCTTCTCCTTGGCAACCCATCGCGCCTGCGAGGTTGACAGGGCGCGGCGCGCGAGAGGAACCTGCCGCCGCTGGACAGTCCGAAGACGTGATGTTATTTGATTGCTGGTCCGAAGACACAGCCGAAGGGAATTAGCGGCGGAGGTCATCCCGGGCGGTCGAGTCTGTCTAGTTAATGTGACGGCATGAGATTCCCGTCCCCAAAAATTTCGGGCCCTGCGAATTGCGCCAAGCCACAATCCAAGCTTGCCAAAGCCTGGAAGGGCATGCCACTGGGGCAAGCCACACACCAAGCCAATCCTTGCTTCAATTAGCGGCGCCCTGGTGCTTAGTCGCTTCACCGCCTTTCGTTATCGAGCTGTGACAGTTTCTGCCAATTACGATAAGCAGACCTTCCCTTGCAAGGGTTCGAGCTACAGTGTTATTTTATCAAGGTGCTTCGGAGTGACGAGGAAAGAACGGAGCTGCCCCGCCAAATTCAGTTAACTCAACGAATGAGCATGATGGACGACGACGACGATAAACCCCCCAAATCGCGAAAGAATCCTGCTGAAGGCCATGAAGTCGACATCGGCAGCATGAGCAGCATGAGCAGCATGAGTCGACACGAGGGCCGAATGTGCTTGGTGACGGTTGGTGCAACCGCAGGATTTCCCCAGCTGCTCGCCGAAGTCATCAAGCCCGAGTTTCTGCAGTGCCTCGCGAGCTACAGATTCAAAAGACTTGAGGTCCAGTGCGGCCCCGATTACGATTGGTTTGCCGCGCAGGTTGAGGCGTTGTCCGACAACTACGGCATCGACATTCGCTGCTTCACGTATACCAAGAATATGAGCCTCTGCTACGTTCGGTGCCGTGGTGAAGCTGGTGTCCGACTGGCCGGCTGCGTCATTACCCACGCGGGTGAGGAGACTTGAACACAGGACTATCTCACTTTCTGTATTGACGCGAAACTCGGCAGGCTCGGGCACGATTCTCGAGGTCAAACGGACCCAGGCACCGCTCATTGCGGTGCCCAACCCTACTCTCATGGACAACCACCAAGATGAGCTGGCCGATGTGATAGAACCTCAGGGTTGGGGAATCTGGGGAAACCTTGGGTATTTACCCCTCTCCTCTTTAATTTATCACGTTCTTGACGTAGAATGCGATCGGTGCTTGCGAGAAGAGTCTACTCAAGAGCTGATCCCCGCTAATCTAGACCTTACAGACAATTAACCAACGCCCTGGCGCGCTCTCAAGAGCTCGTTGCCCAAGGTCGGCTCAACGACCTACCGCCGTACTCGGCCCGGAGCTTCCTGGTGCCCGAGTCGGAGCGCGTGACCCTATTCGATTGGATGGTGCTAACGTGCTATCCAGAGGTGCTGAGACAGCAGCAACATCTACATGACCTCGATGAGGTCATGACCCATTATGAGCAGAAAAATGAGGGGAGGGGTGAAAATTTGGAGGACCTGACTCGGCTTGCGGTCGACTAGGAGAAGCGCCGACTCAGTGTTCGGAACGAACATAACCACGAGTTTTGTACCAACTATGGCGGCCAAGCGAGTGGCGACGATATTGGAGGCTCGGGTGTTAGTGTCGAGCGCCTATGGGATTCGGAATGGAGCCAGGTCGGCCTTGGACGGCTGTTATTGGACTCCAACAAAGAGCCCAAATAATTAAGGAGGAAACTGGCGGGTCAAGGCGTTAGGACGGGATACCCCTTTATTGCATGGCACGGTAATGGAAAATGGAAAGGCCAGGCTGGTTCAGTACATCCATCTCGGCGTTAAGTCGTTGTCTTGTGTTTGCTAGCCTCTGAACTGAGTATTCAGGAGCTCCCGAGTCTTGATTTACTGCAGACCCTTGAGCGCCCATATCTTGACAGCAGCATCGCCACCGGTGCTCGCGAGCTTCTGATCACCGCCAACCCATCCCACACCATACACGCCATCTTTGTGGGCGTTGACGGCCTTGACCCGGCTGCCGGGTTTCGCCAAGCTCCACACACACACATTCGTATCCAAGCCGCCGCTGGCCGCATGAGTTCCCGCTTGGTTCCAGGCAACGCAAAGCACCTTGGCCGTGTGCGCCGACCATCGATCTGTGGCTACGGCCCAGGAATCTGTCTTATACACGACGATCTTCCCTATTGAATTCGCCGCTGCCAAGTGCTTGCTATCGGGAGAAAACGACAGAGCTGAAACCTGTGCGTTCGAATTCGTCAAGGACTCGGTCGCGGAAAGCACGCCCTTGCTATCGAGTTTGTATATCTGGACGGCGTTTTGATTCGCGCCCACAGCGACAAGCGAGCCAGATCCTGCGATGGCTGATGGCGTGAAGCCCGTGTCCAGCTCGCTGACCTGCTTGTCTCCCGAGTAGACGACGAGCTTGCTGTCAAGCGCAACAATGACATGGCCGCTAGCCGTCGCAACGCCTTTGGGCTGCGCGCTCAGCTTGAGCGACTCGCCCGCAAACGTGTTGGCCGACTCATCGACTATGCGCAGCGTGTCATCCCAGCCCACACTATATGTCCGCCCTGGCGCGGCTGCGAACTGTGTCACCTGGTTGGAATGGGCCTGCCCGTCCACAGCGCGACCGATTCCTGTAGAGAGGTCCCAGCTGCATACCTGGCCGTCAAAACTGCCCGTTATGACGCTATCCGCCTTCCCCTCTGACTCTACACCAAGTGCCGTAATGCTTCCATTGTGCCCCTGTACTACCTTGATGGGAACTGCGCTGTCCTCGGCCAGGTAGTTCAGGTCTCCGTTCAGGCTCAGACTGATAATAAGACCGTCACTCCTGCCATGGGGCCACACCACACCGACTTGCTGGTGCGGGACACTGATGCTCCCTTCCTCGCCAAGACGCCATGTTTGTACACATTCGCCCCCCTCAATGTCCCACACACGCACTGTCTGGTCCGCGCTCGATGTCGCAAAGCGTTTCGAGTCCTTGGCCCAGCTCACGGCGAAGATGCTCCCGGAATGCACGCCCTCGCCAATCTGCTTCGTCGGCTCGCCCGTCTTGCCGTCGTAAAGCTGAATCCTCCTGTCCGCGCCGACAGTCACAAGCGTGCTCCCGTCGGGGCTGAAGGCGGTGCCCATCACAAAGCTCTTGTGCTGGGAGACCTTGGTGGCGAACTTGAAGGGCGCCCCGTGCAGGAAGCACATGCTGGAGTCGTCCGAGACGGTGGCGGCGCGCAGAGGCCGCTGCTGGCGAATCGCCACGGCGTTGACCACCTTGCTGTGGCCGGTGATCTCGCCCACGCTGTTGCCGCTGTCGGCCGTGAAGCAGTGGCCGTAGCGCTCGCGGCCGTCACCCACGGCGATGACGCGCTGGCTGTCGCCGTCCCACGCAATGTCGTTGATGCGCCCCGAGATGATGGCATACTCGCCCTTGGTGTTGACCGCCTCGACCGCGTCCCACACCCTCACCCTCCCCGACACATCGCCCGACGCGATATAGTAGCCCGACGGCGAGAAGCGCGCCACCGACGTCGCGGCCGTATGGCCAGTGTACTGCTTTGACAGCGCAGGGTTGTCGATGTTGCGCACATATATGGATTTTCCCGACTACTCCATTGTCCGAGCGTCAGAGAGGTTTGCATAACAACTTAACTTGATCACTAGTGCATAGAGAGAAAAACGGGCGAAATCTTACTGCGTAGGTGATCCGCTCTCCTTTGGCATCGCAGGAGAGCTGGGTTGGCTGACCCCGCGTTGTGGCGGGCGAAGCAGCCAGGATTTGCTCAATCTCGATCGGCATGGTGAGTTAAATAGCTGTATATATTGGCGAGAGAGCTAAGCAGATATGGGGAGATTTCGTCACGTATGTATTCAATAAAGAAAGAGATCTCAGCTTGCTAGAAGTTGTGTTGTGTTGTCCCTTCAGGCGAGCTTCGAGGGGCCTGGGAATGCCTGCATGGAGAGGTCAGATAGTGGGGAAGCATGCGCGGCGTTGCGGGGCAGCCCCCTAATTCTAGGTACCTAAGCTAACGCCTAAATCGTGGCTGAAACCAACAGCTGAAACTCGGTGTGGCTGAATGCTTCGGGGGGCTTATTGTCACTCGCGGACATTGCCTCACAGGTTAGCACGAAGTTGGTTGGCCTTATTTTAGCAGGCACGGAATGTAGCAGTAATCCTTACTGTTACCCCAGTAACATTGTTTAGTTTGGTAGGCTAAGGTGCCCTGTGTAGAGTATGTATCCAGATTTACACGATATTAGAAAGATTTCCTAGGTCACCGGGTACTATTTACATGTGGGTATCGTCCTGACATGAGCAAGCTATCCCATAACTCCTTCAAGAAACCAATACAGGTACCAGTCTCTTGCCTGTATCGTATACCCGTCTTATACCTCACCATACCCGGAAGTTGTTGCCCACACATATATGTACCCTGGCCAAAGGCTTTACCCCTGGAAACCCGCGAAGATCGGGCATGATCGAAGCTTTATCAACGTCCACGCTGCTCCCACTGCTGTCTCATCGAGACCGCGCTGATCTCGCTGCGTGTTCCCTGCCCACTAACACGTTCTCCATCAAAATCAAGCATGTCGCCATAAAATGCAAGCTGTCCTTGGATTTGACCGTTGCCAAGGAACTTGAGACTACTGCCGTCATTAGTGCCAAAGTGATCACCTCCCTGGCTGTCTTCGCCTCGCCAGTCAAAAGTCAAGCGGTCAAAGGATGATTTCCATGGCCGCTCATCCAAACGTAGGATGCCAAAAACAGGTCCGATCTCGAAGGAGCCCCAGAGAGCGTTCCCGTCAAGCGTCAGGATCAGGCCCGAATTCTCCGACATGTCATCATAAGAAGAGTCTAGGCAGTTGATTGCGTATCGCCCGTTGAGGAGACCCAAAGGGGGGAGTAGATTCGAGTCGTTTACATCGCCGTTGCTATTAGATTTGGGGCTATCGATGCTCATCGGGGATCCTGGATAGGGCGGGAGAGGGTCATCATACGAGTCATTCAGGAAAGGGTATCCATGATCAGACCCTCCGGGCATAGCTTGCACCCCTCCGCGGCCCGAGAAAGGCCGTCCCCGTCGCGCCACATTCGTGCGAGAAAGTGGTGGGGGGGATGCAACTGACTCCTGGCGTGATGATAGAGCCCAGGCACCTCCTCGACGAGCTGTCTGCTTAGTCCGGGGCGCCTTAACAGGCGAGGGTTCTAAGGGTTTCACGGATTTCTTGGCCTTCGTTGATTTTGGTGCAGCTTTAGTTGCGGTTGCAGGCTTCTTGACTGAGGTCTTTGTGCTTAACACGGGAGTTGGTTTCGGCTTGGTCTCCTTTGCCTTTGGCGCTGGCTTCTGCGACTCCTCACCAGGGGCCTTCCTGGTGGGTTTGGCTTTCTTTTGGGGCGGGCCAGCGGCAACAGCTAGACCAATCTGAATATTGCCCTGCTGATCGGTAGAGAAGGACAGGTTCACTCCATTGTTTCCAAGGCTGGTCTGAGTTTCATCGGCTTTCCGCTTCCTAGTAGCCTTTCGCTTGGGAGGAATGACTGCGACGGGTTCTAGGGCCTTCTTGAGAGCCTGTTTTGCCTCTCGCTCGCGCTTCGCCCACTCCTTCTTCAGGTCAGACTCGATCTTCAGAATATGAGGAGGCACAGCGAGATTGCCCTTATTGACGGCTTCGAATAGTCTCATCTTGGCAGTTCCCTTTGTCTTGGACGGCGGCAGTCCATAATGCAGAAGCTGCGCCTCGTACCAATGAGCGGTGCGGTCTTTGGAGGCATCGGAGCCGTCATATATGGCTTTCAATTCTGGAACAGTCGCTCTCCTGTGTCGATTATTCCCACTAGCTTCGACGTGGAAATCGTAGCCACCGCCGTAGGACCAGACGTCCTGTGCAACGGGGGGTACAGCCGCCATGGTTGCGACACGAAAGGTGATCTCAACTTCTCAAGATCCCAAATTTGGCAATCGCTCTGCTGAGGGCCCTGTTCTACTGCTAGACCTCTGAGATTAACAGGGACGGTGGAGACCAGGGTAGGTATTAAACAAACCTAGATCGTACTGAAGTAATTGAAGAGCGGAGCAATATCGATTAAAATGTCCAAGGACGAACCGTGCGGCGATCGTGCTCTGGGAGGCGGGGTTGAAGGGCATTAAGTAGCGCAGAGGGCCCCTGTAGGTGTGCGTGAGCACGTGGGAGAGTCGGCATCTTCTTGGCATCATTCCCCGATCATGGGAACAAGTAGAGTGCCAAGACAGTCAGATTTATCATCAAAGCGAAATAGCTTATACCAACACCATGCACACACTAAAATGAACACAATTTATCATTTGCGAGCATTTGTGGCATTACAGCAAACTGAACGGCACTGACAAAGTCATACTGGCATAATCTTTCTATATATGGACAGGAGTTATTTAAGATGAAATTGCCCAAAACCCACACACTCTTCACGGCCTCTACTTACTCGCGATGTCGCAAGAGTAAATAAGCCATAAGGCTCAACCGTCTGTTTGCAAATCGACAAGGCACGTCAAGTTAGGTCATTTTATCCTGTCAGGAGTACCACTACCCGTCGCAGCAATTCGTGCGGGCTTGGGTATATGATATGAAGCTTTTGTTTTCTAAAACCTAGTTAGTTTGGCAGCGAGAGCGTGGGTGCCAATAGGGGCCTTTCCAGTTAGAACTAACTTTCCAATTAGAACTAATAATTCTCGTTTCTGTCTGGCAGTTGTTGCCTAGATTTTATAATTGTAATCAAGCTATTATATCATCATAGACCTTAAGGTTGATGTGGAAGATATCGACTGTGGCCTTGAGAGAAAGCAGAGCCCAGCTCACTCGGGACGAGTGAGAAGCAAGATTCCCGGGATTTACCCGAATTACTAGACCCACACCCCTGGACGATTTGTCGCCCTCCAGCTCCAAAGGCTACTTTCTTCGCGTCCCGTCGCCAGCCTCATCAGAATATTTATCTAAGGTTCGCAACATCATGGTACGCGCTGCTGCAATTCGGAAAAAGCTTTAGAACGCGGCAAACCCCCAAAAACAAGGTATGACCCATTGTCATCTTTTTCGCTTTGCCTCTCCCCACTTTCCAACCCTCCTTGCTCAGCAACAGGACCCTGCTGCCTGTCCTCGACAGCGCTCCCATCATTCCGCGCCGCGCCACACTAACGTTGCTGTTGGGTTGGGCGCTGCTAACCACGCAATCTTACTATAGAAGCGCGTACTTCCGAACCCATCATCCTCAAAGTTTCCGAGAGCTACAACAGCAACCATGTCTTCGCCGAAGGAAGAGGAAAAGCCGCACGAGGACCTGCGGGACCATGGCGAAGGCGACGACGGGAATGATGAGGTGCGCAAATCCTTACAGCGCCCTGCAGGCTTTGGTCCCGAGAAAGATCGCTAACGGCGACGCAGGAGGAAATCTCAGCCATGAAGCGCCGCGTCGCTGAAATGGAGGCCGAGGCAGCTAAGCTGCGAGAGATGCAGGCTTCGCTAGACCAGGCGCACCAGGATCTCTCCGAGAACAAGGAGGATATCGACAGCCGAAGCATCTTTGTCGGCAACGTCGACTACTCAGCTTCCCCAGAGGAGATTCAAGCACACTTCCAGAGCTGCGGGTCAATCAACCGCGTTACCATCTTGCTCGACAAGTTCACAGGCCAGCCCAAAGGGTATGTTCGATGACAAGTCCCCTGCCCATCGCCCACTCCCTCTACCTCTCAAGCCAAGTCGCTACACTGCTACACATGAATCTCGTCTAACATGTTTGCGCAAAGGTATGCATACGTCGAGTTTACCGAGCCCAGCCTAGTCGCACAGGCACTTGTTCTTAATGAGAGCGTGTTCAAGGGCCGGAATATCAAGGTAGTGCCTAAGCGGACCAATGTTCCCGGCATGTCGCGTGGGCGCGGTCGCGGAGGGTTCCGCGGCGGAGGACGCGGCGGTTTCTTCGGCGGCCGAGGCGGAGGCGGAGGCTTCCCAACAAGAGGCTACCGTGGCGGCTATCGCGGCCGAGGCCGGGGGTTTACGCCGTACTGAGTATAGCTCCGGGGCGAGGAGGTTCCGTGTGGCGCAAGATCTATCAAGCGGATCGCGTCCTGTCGAAGGTGTATAATAAAGAGCCAGGACGGTTTTTAAACAAAGGAGAAGGTTGCTATTTTGCCTCTGCAAGGCGTCAGGGTATGGGAAAAAGACGGATAGGTCAACCATTGTGCATATTTCTTTTTCCTCGGGCCGCTACGGATGTATTATAGTACTCCAAAGAGCTGCCCATGTACGGAATATGTATGACGCTAGCAGACTGTCAAGTTCGGCCGGGTTTTGGCCTGAACAACATCCGGTGTCGCATGGCTTCACACATGCGGAAGCGTTCTTATTAGGCGAGAGGACTAAGGATAGCGAATGTACCTCTCTGTCTCAGCGATAGCTCGGTGCCACACCGCTGTTGTTGGAGATGCCGTGAGATGCCGTGCTTTGCCTCTCAGCTGCGTCTGGCCCCTCCACGCACCTGGCCAACATCTGCAAAAACTGTTCTTGTCCTGCTCCAGCCACCCAGGACGGTAACCGGTAGTGATCCTCTTACCCTGACGATGCTCCATGGCTCCGTTCCTCCATGGGCCCCATATACAATCCAATCCCTGAATGTTTGTTGGCCTGGTACCTGGGAACGAGGAGAAGATTATCGCAAATAAGCCAGCAGAAAAGGCCTTTACAGGTACTTTGGAGAAGATATAGGCCTCTTAAATTCCAGAATAAGGGTTCTAATAGTTATTACCTCCCTCGGCGAAAAACCTATAGGGCGAGCCATAAGGATTAAGGCCTTTTAACATTCAGGGGTTGGATTGTAACATGGAGGTGTTGGCGCTTGAAGAGTGGATTTCCTGCCCGAGCTCAGTGGTATTGACACATGAAGCGCCTGGTGTCAACTTGCCAAGGGGCATTGAAGAATCGATAAACCGGCTGCGCAGCCGGCTTAGTTCTGCGCTTCTGTCTAATTCCACATCCTCAAGGAGGGAATCGGAATTTCTTTAGACGAGCTCAGTCGTCCCCAAACTCGTGGCCAGAATAGGAGTCGCAAGCTGATGTACCTATAGCATAGAGAGCAGCGTCGACGAAGACGATGATTTCCCGTAGGCATAAAAATAATAGATGAGTGCTAGATCTTGTCTCGCTTAGTTTTCATAAGGGGTGTTGACTGGCCGGTTGGGATAATACAATATGACAACACGCGTGGGATGTGAAAGTGAGACCAATGAAAGGGAAATATTCCAACAAAAGTAGAAGCAAGTCGCGCCGTGTAACTAGTCTTATGTGCAGCTTTCAACTTGAAGTCGCCAGCGTACATGTCACAAGGTTAAGACATCCAGTCGAATCGAATGCGTCAGACGCTGTTGAGTGAGTCGGGTCGTTGGCCCCAAAGGCACCTATTTCTGGAAGCGAGGGAACTTGAAATTGCTTGGCATGGGCCTGGGGTGACATTAGCGCCAAGGCATGAAAGCGACAGGGGTCAAGCTCTGCCTGCTTGGAGGCTCAGTGAAACCCGCTTTTCCACCGTGCTCGAATCTGAACCTTATATACTCCTCGCCAGGGCTCAGAAAGTACCAATTATCGTATTCCACAACCTCCTTTACCATTTAGATTGATCCGAGAAAGAACATATTCGATCCCGCAAGATGGCGCGATCTGAACAATGGAACGAGATTACCTAGTCGACTCTTTTAAGCCTCACTCAAATATACCTAGCGCTGTAAACAATAGCACACACATTTTTTTTACCACTAAACATACTTCAAGCGAGCTGAAATTGGATGTGTCTGAGATAGGCGTTGCCCACACCAACAAAGTGTTCGACCCAATACGCCCCCAACCGTGCTCGCTCTAAAGTCTCATCACGGATGAAGTTATTACCCCACCGGCCGAAGAAAGTCAAGATGGCGAATTCGACGGCTTGGGCGAGCCGAGAAGTTTGGCCGATCTCTCTAAGCTGCTACACCTTAGGCCAAATCTCCAAGGCGTCCACTTTCGCTAGCCATATCCCGAGACCAACCTGTCTACTGGAAAGGACGCGCGAGAGCCGGAATATAGTCTACCTTCTTAGCCCATCTAGTATCCCCACCCAATACATCTAGATGCGAGGAGGTCTAATAGACAGCTGGCGGCGACGACCAATGCTTATGTCGGTGTGGCCAAAAGCTCTTATTGGTGTCCACCGAGAATGCGTTCTATTTCTTTGCTTCGAGCCGAGCTTGGGGGCTCCGTTGCATGCAACCCCGTAGTATTTCCTGAGGAGGCTGCGAAGAACATAGATCGTATTACAAAAATTAGATGCTTCCGTGCCGAAAAGCCTTCAAACCTGGCTCGACTACAGTTCAATGTTGTTCGCCAGTGGCTCTTGCTCTTCGAGACCGAACGATACCACTTTGTCACTCAATGCCAGAGCAATACCGTGGATGTCATTTAAAGGGGTTCCGCGGGTAGGTTGTTTATAAGCTGGGAAATAATCGATTCGGGTTCTTGTCTCTCCTTGGTATTAAAGGGGATCGTGTGTACAGTCCAATCCCCGAATGTTTGTTAGGGGGGACTTTCCAAGATTTGAAAGACCTCATTTTTTACGGCTCGCCCTGAAGGTTTTTCGCTGAGGGAGGTAAAAGCTATTGGAATCCCTATTTTGGAATCCTAGAGGCCAATCTCTTCTGTTTGCTAGACTGTAATATTTATTCTGCCCAAGTATTCGTTCCACGCCAACAAACATTCAGGAATTGGAGTGTAGACTGGAGTCTTAGCGGTTTCCTAAATTGGTTAAGAAGAATCTCTATTAATAGGGGCCTAGGAGTGAGGTGGTTTAGCAGACGACGTGATGAGCTTGTGAGACCCACTCGGCAGAAACCGAGTTCCCACTTACAGTGCGGAGGCGTACGTAATCCTACTGTCGGCAGGCTCCACGACCCCTCATCAGCCACCATGTATTCGGCACGGAGTGAACGCCACAATGGTGGGCAAATGTTCTTGAGAGTTCGAGCGGCTCTGCCTCTCTGATTCTGGAAATCGAGAAGATTGGCAATTGAAATGGGATTTGCCGCTACGTATGCGTATTAAATCGTATTGCATGCCTACCTTAGCTACACGTAAGATTGTCTCGGGTACAGGAAAGGAGTAAGGTTGTGTTTGCCTGCTCGTCGGTGGCCCAGTCGCTTGACACTGTTTCGAGGGATTCTTGGACCAACTGATCCAATGCTCGATTGCGGCTTGCACCCCCCGCGCCTTCCACCTTCCATCCCTGGCTTGGTACACCCGGGCATGGAATTTCAGCGCATTTGTACACTGTGCGAAGAAAGTGCCTCGCTCTTACGGTCACTCGCCCCTCTAAAACCTATAGAGAACTCGTGCTAAGTATGGAACACGCCCTGCAAGGCCGGCCCACGGATACCTTACTTTCGACACAATCGCCTCACCGATCCTGCTAATGACTGTTGCCCGCGAAGCGACAACCCGCCGGTATCCCGTTCCCCGTCTCCCGGCTGGTTCCCCGAGGTTTATTAGCACTGCATCCAACAACGAGCTTCGCTCTCAGGACGTTCGCTGTGTCCCCCTGACTTATCGCCACTAGCCGCAGCCGCCGTCATCCAAGACCAGCCATTAACGAGAGTGCAAAGCGGGGAGGGGCCGACCAGCAGCTGCACAGCCTCATCGCCGGGCTCATTCTCGAATCTCGACGGCCTAGCACGTACTGCGTTTCGATCCACCGTGCATCGCGTCCGTTTGTCATCTACACAGTATCTATCTCTGCCTTTTCCCCCCTCGGCCGAGTTCATCGACAGTGAGACAGCCTTGGCCTCGTCAGCTTTCGGCATCGCCATTTCCCTCCGACACCAACTCGCACCAACCGCCGCCGCCGATTTGGTAGGCGAAAGCACATCCCCGCACGTGCGAGGTTCGACCTCCTCCCGCAACAATGAGCAGCAGTCGGATCGATTTGGCGCAGCCTGCGTAAGTACTACCATGCCCAGTCCCCAGGACCTGCCTGAAGCAGCGATCCGCAACACCATCGACTGACAGACCCGTTTAGCTCCCAACAGCCGAACCTTCGGGTGACAAGTAGGCACCTTCACCGTTTCTAGCCTCGACCGCCGACAGTATTGCTAACCTACACATCTAGTCATCGCCGCCGACGGCCTCTACAAGCGAGATGTCTTCAGTACGTTGGAATCTACTCTCCAAATCCCCTTTCTGGTTTCAGCGACCCCTCTAACCACTCGCTGCCTTCCTTGTAGGATTTCCCGACCCTTTCGCTGTAGCGACCATTAACAGCGAGCAGACGAAGACGACCCAGGTTTCGAAGAGAACCCTCAACCCATACTGGAATGAGAGCTTCGATTTGTGCGCAGTGCCCTCTCCCATACCTGACGTGAGACCGATTGCTAATAGCTAGCAGTAAGGCAAACGAGGATAGTATCCTGGCTATCCAGGTGTTTGACCAGAAGAAATTCAAGAAAAAGGACCAGGGCTTCCTCGGAGTCATCAATATCCGAATTGGCGATGTCATTGAGCTGGCTCCTGATGCCGATGGTAGGACATGTCCTATCTTAGATACCATATCTAAACTCTTTCGTCCCGTGCTGACTCTTTACCCCCTCCCCAGACCAGATGCTCACGCGCGATCTCAAGAAGTCGACAGACAATCTTGTAGTGCACGGAAAGCTCATCATCAACCTATCAACCAATTTATCGGCACCACCTCGTGCAGCCCAGCTGATGCAGTCACCTCCGTCCTCGAGCAGACCGTCTCTTCTCAGTCCTCAAGGCTCCACGGTGACAAACGGCGACCGAGTATCTGACAGACCCTCTTCGGCCATGTCGGGACCCAACGGCAGCATCAACGCGGGATCGCAGTTGACTATCCCTCTTCGCCCAGCAAGTTTAACAGCGTCGCCTCCCGCCCCCTCGGCCGGCGCAAATGGTTCGGCACATCGGCAGACCACGAGCAATTTGAGCCCCTTCGAAGACTCGCAAGGCCGTTTGCCAGCCGGCTGGGAGCGTCGCGAGGACAATCTGGGCCGGACCTATTACGTTGATCATAATACCAGAACTACGAGCTGGAACCGACCAACGGGCACTGGGGCTGTCGACACGCGTGTTGCAGAGGCTGCCACACAAGTCGAGCGCCAGAGACATCAGAACAGAACACTCCCCGAGGACCGCACTGGCGCAAACTCGCCGACACTGCAAGCGCAGCAGACGGCCGCGACACAGAATGCGGCTGCTGCCACCATGATGCACACAGGAACCACGAGCCCGGGAACTGGCGAGCTTCCCCCTGGCTGGGAGCAAAGATGGACCCCTGAGGGGAGACCATACTTTGTTGATCACAACACGCGCACCACGACCTGGGTGGACCCACGGCGCCAGCAATACATTAGGATGTACGGGGGCCAGAATAATGCTAACGGCACTATTCAGCAGCAGCCCGTTTCTCAACTTGGCCCGCTGCCCAGTGGCTGGGAGATGAGACTGACAAACACAGCTCGCGTCTACTTCGTCGACCACAACACCAAGACCACCACCTGGGATGATCCGCGGTTGCCGTCGTCGCTAGACCAAAACGTGCCTCAGTACAAGCGAGATTTCAGGAGGAAGCTGATCTATTTCCGGTCGCAGCCTGCTATGCGCATTCTTTCGGGGCAATGCCATATCAAGGTCCGGCGGTCTCATATCTTCGAGGACTCGTTTGCGGAAATTTCGCGGCAATCTGCCACGGATTTAAAGAAGCGGCTCATGATCAAGTTCGACGGCGAAGATGGTTTGGATTATGGCGGTCTTTCCCGAGAGTTCTTCTTCCTTCTGTCCCACGAGATGTTCAACCCCTTTTACTGCTTGTTCGAGTATTCGGCCCACGACAACTATACCCTCCAAATCAACCCGCACTCTGGGATCAACCCCGAGCATCTTAACTACTTCAAGTTTATCGGGCGCGTGGTTGGTCTCGCCATTTTCCACCGACGCTTCTTGGACGCCTTCTTCATCGGAGCTCTGTACAAGATGGTGCTTGGCAAGTCGGTGGTGCTCGCAGACATGGAGGGCGTGGATGCCGACTTCCACCGTTCTCTTCAGTGGATGCTGGACAACGATATTTCGGGCGGTATTTTGGAGCAGACGTTCTCGACTGAAGACGAGAGGTTCGGTGTCATCACTGTCGAAGATCTGATTCCTAACGGCCGGAACGTCGACGTGACCAACGACAACAAGAAGGAGTATGTGGACCTCATGGTCAAGTGGCGAATCGAGAAGCGCATCGCAGAACAGTTCCAGGCGTTCAAGGAGGGCTTCCACGAGCTTATCCCCCACGATTTGATCAACGTGTTCGACGAGCGCGAGTTGGAGTTGCTGATTGGAGGTATCGCAGAGATTGATGTCGACGACTGGAAGAAACACACCGACTACCGTGGCTACACGGAATCGGACGAGGTGATCCAATACTTTTGGCAAACGGTTCGGTCCTGGGATGGCGAGCAGAAGTCGCGGCTGCTTCAGTTCACGACGGGTACTTCTCGTATTCCAGTCAACGGCTTCAAGGACCTGCAGGGAAGCGATGGCCCGCGTCGCTTCACGATTGAGAAGGCTGGGGAGATTGGTAACTTGCCGAAAGCACACACCTGGTAAAAACTGACTACGAAAGCCCCCCGTTTGCCTGCTGGTTACTGACATGCTTTATAGCTTCAACCGCCTGGATCTCCCTCCGTACAAGAACCTGGAGATGCTACAGGGCAAGCTTACTATAGCCGTGGAAGAGACTATGGGTTTCGGACAGGAGTAAGCTGCCGCGGAGGGTGTCCTTGTTGCTTTAGGTTGCGCATCGTGTGTATATATGAGAGACGCGATGAGCAAAAACAAGACGTGGCGGGGGAACTATGTGTCTCCTTCCCATGCAAGTGTCAGTCAGCATGCGCGAGTCTCTTTTTCGGTTGTTTAATTCTCGTTTACTCTTGGGGGAAAGCAGGCCTAGAATGTCTCGGAACCCGAGTAGGTGCCTAGGGACCCGGGCTGGCGGGTTTCTGTGTTTCCCCAGTCGCGGGGCGCGTAGGTAGGTAGTGTGTGAAGGACACTACGATCGGAGCGTGCGGAATTCTCTTTATTCGTTATTGTTTGCGTATTTTGAGAGTCTTGAAATCAAGCATGGCAGCCAAGATATATCCCCCTTTCACCGCCGTCGCAAAACATCCGCTTGGTAGGGTAGGTATTCATCATCGGCCAACCATGGTACTATGAGATAGCCTTCTCAGGTGTGAATCGGTTTAATGCCTGGTTTATTTCCGTCTCGACGATTTATTTATCCCAATTGTTATTTAATTGTGCTAACGACTAGGCACAAACGTCGATTGTTCTTTGTTTTGCTATGCTCTAAATACAAGACAGGATAGGGAGGAAGGGGGAGAGGAGTATTCGTACCGTATCTCCTATGGCGAGGTTGATCGGTCACATGTCTCTCATAATAGACATTCTTGTAGATAAAGATGATTTGCTAAGATAAACATTGGCCTACAACATTGCCGTTGTGCGTTTTGTTGTTCTGGTGCTTGCTTGGCTTTGATCACAACAGAAGGGGTGAGAAAGACATTTATTGTATCATGTGTGAGGGGAGAGGGGAAAACGGGTGATAGAAGGGTGCGGGTTTGCTTCCATGCTACAGGCGTAATTACCTTAGGTTACAGTATCGGCCAATTTCATAAAATATTTTCCTCGCTCCTAAACTGGTAGGTATTTTCGTGCTTTTCAAGAGTGACACGAGTATCAGTCATAAAAGGTTTGCGAGTTGGGTATAAGCCCACCGCTACGTCACCTGTAAGGCATTTGATGCCCACCCGTAGATTAGATATTAGATTAGATAGAGGATAGTGCCTGAGGTTCCATATGTACATACTATACATTACGCTATGGGCTCTCCTTACATTAGTTACAACGCCGTATGCAGGTATACATACGAGGTGAATGAACGTCAACCGTGAAGCTGCGAGGTTGCGTCTTTATTTAGAGAGAGATCTTGTCTTAATAAGGTGCGTCTAGGTTCGGAAGCATTTGTGGAACTGCCAGACGGCACTACCTGCCAGATACCGGGAACTAGGTAGAGTACCAGTCAACAAGCAGTCTGCTGACAGGAGGAAAGTGTCCGACCCCCTGGCCAAGACCAACAAGTAGGTATCAATGGCATCCTCGGCCGTGATTTGGTGGGGCGTGCGCCTCTCGCTGCTGGCCGGCTGCATCGCCGTGGTAGCCCTTCGGCTACAACACGGCCTAGACGGGGCCGGAACCAAAAACGGCGGCAGCAGCAGCAGACAGCGACAGGCGACGTTTTGCTACCAGGGCGTCTTGACAAATGTCGATCCCGGTCCCGGGGACGATGACGGCTCGGCAGCCGTGAACTGCTTCGCCCTGTCGGGCGACGCCAAGTTCGCCCGCGTCTTCTCCGACTCGGACTCGGACTCGGTCTCGGACTCGGTCTCGGACTCGGTCTCGGACTTGGACCCCGGAACCCTCGAGGTCCGCCCCGGCTACGCCCTCCCCGGCCTGTGGGACGGCCACGGTCACCTCCTCCAGTTCGGCGAGTTCCTGCACTCGGCCGACCTATTTGGGTCGGTGTCGTTTGACGACATCCGCTCCAGGCTAAGTCGCTACCTCGATGCTAACCCGGCTGCGGGCTCGGCTGATGAGTGGGCGAGGGGCATCGGATGGGACCAGATGGCTCTGGGCGCTATGCCGACTGCTGCAGGTGACCTTTTTATTTTCTCTTCCTTCTTTTTTTCTTTCGTTTCCTTTTTGGTTGCAAGGCTCCATGTGTGGGTTGGGCGTGCCCGTTTCAAACCCATTTCTGACAGTATGTCTTTCCTAGGCCATGCTGGAAGCCGACGAGCGGCTCAGGGGCCGCTTCTTCATGCTTGACCGCGTCGACGTGCACTGCACGTGGGTGTCGCAGGCGATCCTGGACCTGCTGCCCGCGCACCTGCCCGACGTCCCCGGCGGCGAGATCGTTCGGACCCCCGGCATGGGCGTCTTCTGCGACAACGCCATGGACCTGGTCGTGGCCCTCTGGCCGAAGCCCGGCGTCGCCAGGAAGAAGACGTTTGTCGCCTCGGCCATGAAGGCCCTGCACGCCGTCGGCCTCGTCGGCATGCACGACGCCGGCGTCTTCCCCGACGACATCGCCATGTACGACGCCATGAGCCGCACCGACGACTGGACGCTCAGGGTCTACGCCATGGTCGAGTGCAAGGAGCGCAACACGCTCTGTCCCGACGACGCCGCCAAGGTCTCCCGCGACGACGGCTTTTTGACGGTCCGAAGCGTGAAGTTATTCGCCGGCAAGTGTTTTTGCCCAGCCCATCATCATAGCCCCTTTTCTTTTGTGTACATATGTTGATGGGCATTTCCTGCAGACGGCGCGCTGGGCAGCTGGGGCAGCGCCATGATCGAACCGTACAGCGACCGGCCCGACGTGACGGGGTCTCTGCTGGTCAACGCGTCGACGCTGACGGCGCTGACCAAGGCGTGGTCGGCGGCGGGGTTCCAGGTCAACATCCACGCCATCGGCGACCTAGCGAACCGGTACGCCGTCGACGCCATGGAGGCGGCGCTGGTGGCGCTGTGCGCGCCGGCCGCGGGCGCCGATGTCGACGACCTCGCCGACTGCCAGGCGCACCACCACCGGTTCCGCATCGAGCACGCGCAAATCATCCACCCCGACGACCAGCTGCGCATGCATGCGCTGGGCATCATCCCGTCGGTCCAGCCCACGCACGCCACTTCGGACATGGCGTACGCCGAGCGCCGGCTGGGCGCCGAGCGCACCGCTACCGAGGCCTACCGCATGCGCTCCCTCCTGCCCCTGCATCCCGTGCTCGGCAGCGACTTCCCCGTTGAGCCGCCGAACCCGTTCGAGGGCCTGTATGCCGCCGTGACGCGCAAGAACCCACACACGGGCGTCGGCCCGCCCGGCGCCGAGGACGGGTGGCACCGTGAAGAAGCCCTCAGCGTTGGGCAGGCGCTGGCTGGCTTCACGAAAGGCGCCGCGCGAGGGGCCTTTCTGGAGGGAAAGGCGGGCGTCATACGCGAGGGCGCGTTTGCCGACTGGATCGTGCTGGACGAACCCCTTGAGAGCATGAGCCCCGAGCAGCTGAGGTATGTCAAGGTGAGGGAGACGTGGGTTGCCGGCAAGCTGGTGTACGCGAGGCGCAATGACGACGCCGATCACAACGACTTGTAGTGGGAAGCATCTGGGAGCCTTGCCTTTTGTTCCGCGACATAACGGTGGTATTTCAAGATGGGGCTCGAATAGTGCATGCGTGTATTCGTTCGTCTAGCGAGAATTCTATCGTAGCCAAATGAAGTTCATCATGAGAATTTAAAAATCCGAGCTGGCCCGGGCCAGGTATCTAACCCTCTGCTTCGCCTCCTCCCGAACCTCGTTGACAATGTCGGCTGCTGGCTTCGCATCCTTGACGAGACCAACGCCGGCGCCTCTGCTCAGTATCGTCAGCAAAATTTCAGTGCAATAGACGTGAGGGGAAAAGAAAGGCATGCCAGGCACGAGTGGGGAGTACGCACACCCATGTGATCAGCTGGGACACGTCGCCCGTGTCTCTTGCCTCTAGGAATCGCCTCTGGCTCTCTTCTAGCGGGAGGCCCGCAACGTGGTCCAGATAGGGGTCGCCGATGATGGCTCGGCCGTCGTACAGCTCCCCCCAGACTGTGCTGTTCTGAAACTGGTCGTAGAATGAAGACCTGGATGTAGTACAGCTAAGTTAGCTTGACCGTGCGGCGGTGGGCTATGCAAGGGTTTATTGCGACGTACTTTGCAGTGCTCACGCCGCCGTCTTTGGTCTCGAGTATGAGCTTGCGGCGGGCGTCAGGGGTCCAGGCTTCAGGGGCGACGATGAACTACGGTCACGGAGAGAGTTAGAGACGGCAGCACCTTTCCATGGTGAGCATTGGGGTCATGTCCCAGTGTGGCCTACCTTGGTGCCCATCACCGCGGCTTCGGCACCTGGCCTAGAGTGTCAGCTTGGTTGTGGGTATAATAAGAGGGTATTACAGAACGGTGACACTTACCCAGCGCCAAAGCTGCGGCAACGCTCCTCCCATCGACGATACCCCCGGCCGCCACAAGGACGATCTCGCGGTCCGAAAATTCGTCCTCGAGCATGCTCATCACCTCGGGCACGAGCGTCACGACGCCGGATCCGCGGACAAACTGATGGCCACCGGCATCAATGCCCTGGGCCACAATGACGTCGGCGCCATCGAGGGCCGCCTGGCGCGCAGCCGCGACGTTGCCGACTTGGAAAATGACAACGAAGCCGGACGCGTGCAGGGCAGCGATGATGCCGCGCACAAGCCCGTCCTCAGCATCGGCGGGTGGTGCAAAGAGCCAGACGGCCCGCGGCAAGTGCTCCTTCAATATAGGCAGGGCAGTCTCCTCGAACTGGGTGAGGCTCTCGTGGCACAGGATGAAGCCGACGCCCACGGGAAGGGGCTCCCGCGGCTGGTCTACAAGCCCCAGGATCTCTCTCGCCTTCGTTAGCTCGGCGCCCAGTGCCACCAGCTGGGCGCTACCTGGGTTGAAGTCAAGTCCTCCGGGCACCATTCCTATCGGCGGGCGTGGGGCAAGGGTCAGTAAAGTTTGGGAGTTCCATGGCTGCTCCATTCTTGAAAAGGGGGTTGGCTACACAAGGGGGGTAAACAATGGTAACAGTAGCAACAACGTCTCCCACACTCGAACTCGCATTCGAGGTTACAGCGAGGCAACCGGAAAATAGGTATTCAGCTGACCTATTCCACCGGCCTTGGACACCTCAGCGGCGAGAGAGCCGTTGGCCACGCCCAGCATCGGCGCGCTTATGATGAAAGGACTCTGGGCTTTTGGAAACCATTCTTTCAGCATGTTTTTGACGGGTCCATTCTTGCCTCGAGCTTGTATCTCCTTCGGTTTGCCGACTTGTGCCATCATGCTTTTTCGTATCGGTAGTCCGACACTGCCGTCTTTTTCTGTCTGCTGCGATGCACTGTAAGCTGTCTCGGCCCGGATGGTATAATGTACTTAGTACCGCCAAATACCTATGATCGTTCGTCCTTGGAGTCGCGAAGAAGAGAGTGCGGAGGAGCAGTAAATCTTACATCCCCACCCCCCTCTTCTCCCCCACATCCCACACTACGAATTCGTAGATGCACAAGAACCAAGTGTTCTTTGAGGAGATCCCAGGCCATCTGCTAGCTAAGTAGCAAAGGTTTCGTTACTTGGCTTTCTTAGACATCTCCGAGGAGACGTCGACAATTGAGTACGACTGAAACTAAAACTTCACCCATATTCAGTCGCATGAGGCAGAAACCGAATTCAAGGCTTTTTAAGCTGGGGACCGATTGGGGGGATAAATACCGGAAGTGCCTTCCTTATTTTGTATGAGTATCTATTCACCTTCGGAAGGGACCGTCATCGCTGCCCGCCTGCCAAAACCCAACCAACATCGCATTCCATCGTCACCAAAGGCATCAACACCGACATTGAATAAGAAGATGCTTGGCTAGAAGGCAAATGGTCGTTCATATCCGCTTTATAATAGTGAAGCCATCTAAAAGGGTACTGGAACTTGCTTCCATCCCCGGTTCTGCCCCTCCCGTGCTATTTATCCGCCACTGATGAGGACATGCTGTGCTGCCGTTTATAAAGGTCCCCAATGGCCTCGGGTCGGGTCTGGCACAAGCGGACCCCAGTTACTCTGTGGTTCTCCAGTGCAGCAGACTCCCTGATCCAAAAAAAAATTAAAAAAATGTTGGGGCTTGTTGTCCGGCTCCTGGCCGTGCCTGTGATGATGGGCGCGGGCTTCGTGTTCGCGAAACCCGAGCAGATCCGCTCCGACCAGTCGCCGACCTTTCACTACTACCTGCAGGCCTACCCAAAGAATGGTGTGTCCATCCCCGTGGAAAAAGTATCATAACGTTAGTGTGCTTGCCCAGACACTGACATGCTATGCCCGACGAAAAGCGTCCATCGTGGCCCTCGGCCCTGCCGCCTCGGGTGAGTACTTCAACATTGACGGCACGATCCAATCGACCAACACCAGCCTGTACATCAACATTGGCTCCGAGACCACGTCGTACAAGACGGTGATGTTTTCCAAGACAGCCTCGACAACTGCCTGTTAGTTTTGATGCTTTTAATTGCCTTCCATGATACAACAAGCTCAAGTAATCCTTTAGGGGGGCTGGAGGGCGACACCATCATCACCACCAAGGCCAGCACCTTTGGCAGACGTAAGCCATATCTCTATCCCCCGCCTACACTCCAACGCAATGTAAGGCGGAGCAGCTAACAGGTTTGGCTGCCGTGCTGGGGGATCCCAAAGAGCTCAATTTCGTCGTTTGCAAACTGGATGGTCAGTATTGGCAGGTGTACTTCCAGACAGGGAGCGCAGTCCCCAGCGGCACTTGTAACAACTACCAGAGCCTGCATCTGCCGTGCCTTTGCTGAACGGTCGAGGGAAAAAGTTGAATAAGGAGGGATGGAATCAAGCTACGCAATTGTACGGGCGATTCCACGATCTGGTTTCAAAAGTTTTCAATGGAGATGCCACAAGGCGTGTGAAATGTTATGTGACTGGTATTCTCACTCGGGCTTGTTCAGCGTCGTCGTAGGCTTGCAAGATGAGACCGCACGCTAAGTCCCATCCTGGGCCTTCAAGCCAGAGAGAGAGCGCCAAAACCCTTCCCCATGACTTCACATAGGTATTATGCATAGAACATGTAGCACGGACCTTGAGGTGATGACATCCAGGAGAATAAGCCTTCAACAATAAGCCACAACTGCCCGCACACCCCATTAAAGAGAGTGAGACTGCCTACAAGCGAGAGCAGCTCTCAAAGGCCGACAGGACTTGCTTTTCCAAGGTTGATGTGATTAAGTAGGTATTTTCTGAACCACATATCTTCACCCCCAAAAGGAGGCTATTAGAGAGACGCAAAGACAAATAAAAATACGCCCTCTCAGGGATCCCTCTTCACTTGCCTAGCTATTTTTTACCGACCTAGGCCACCAACGCCGAGGTAGAGAGCACCAAAACCCGAAAAGAAATTAAAGCAAAAAGGCATCATGAACATCTCGTACAGTTGGTGTACAACCGAATAATATTCTTGCTCTGATGCCCCCACCTTTATAAAAGAAAGAGAATACTAAGTCTCATGGCCGTCGTTGCCCGCCAGGTACAAAGGGAAAAAAAAGACAAGAAAAAGGGAATGACTCGTTTAAAGATATCAAAGAAAGCAGGCTCCTTACTGCGCTATCATTATACCCAAAATTGTCCCCCTTGATGGACGAGTCGATCGTACGTCATAAAGGGGCATTGCCTGCCACTAGGACGAGCAACACACCGTTTAGGGCGCAGACGACGGAAAACGTAACCCACACGGCAAGCTTGGCGGGCCACGCCAACCGGTCCTGGCGGGACCACGTCATGCCGAGAGCTGCGGAGGCGGCACCGAGCGATGTGACTATTCCGAGTGTGGCTCCGGCATCGACCTCGAGGCGTAACTTGTGGCGGCCGGCTAGGATGAGGATAGCCGCGATGCCCATGAGCACAAATGAAATGGCGAAGCAGCCCCAGGCGCCCCAGAAGAGCACGCGCTCGCGGTACCGAGCCAAGTTCTGTTCGCTGATGCTTGGCAACGCCGCGTAGTGCGCCATGTACCCGGCTGTTGGGAACTCTTCTGACGACGCATAGCCTTGCGAGCTTCGCCGGTCCCCGAAGAACGTAGTTTGTTCGTTGTCGCCACCGCCCGTAGATGTCGAGTGGGTGCCGACCGGATCGGCACCGCTCCCAGGGGGAAAAGCAAAATAAGTCGCGCGGTCTGTCCCGCCATAAGTACTCGGGAGACTTTCGGCTAGCGGTCCTAGCAGACGGCCTTGTTCGGTGTCTGTTTCTCGCCCATGATGGTCCGGGCGGCCCATCCAAGTGTTCACCTTCTGAATCGGGACTGCGAAAAATGCGGCCAAAGCGGCCACTCCCGGGAATTTCAGGTCGTCGTTGGGGTCTACGTAGATGGCGTAGTTACTGTTGGACCCCTGGTCGGCGTCACCTGCCTCGCTGCCATAGTCGTACTCGTTCCAGTAGCCTTGGACTTGTTGTGGCCCCGAGACCACTATTGTTTCGCTCGGCGAGATGCTGTCGGATGCGGTGGAGTTGAGTGTCTCAGGTTCAGGGGCGGGGGACACGATGCCGCTGAGGTCTGGGGGTGATGCCGTCCGTAGTACCGAGAGTAAGTCGTCGAGTTGGGACTGCAGATCGGAAAAGTTACGCCTTGTAAAGCTCTTGGGGTGCGTGAGAACAGTATCGTTGAATCGAGCTCCAAGAGCTGACGACCCTGTCCACTTTCGGTATTTTTTGAGAATCTTGCGGAACGCGATGGCCTGCGCATCCGCGAAGCGCCGCAATGCCTGAATCTCTTCTCCGCACTGTGAACTGTTTTGCTCGTACTTGGCGAACAAACGCTGCCGCTTCATCGACATGCGCTCCCGGCGAGAAACGGCGCAGCGGACAATAAGGCGATGTATTTGTTCTGAAAGATATACTATGGGCACGGCACGAGTCAATCAGCAGCCCCGGAAAGAGATTCTGGTCTGGTAAGAAAGGTGAGTTTAGGAATAACCTACATAGCCGCCGCGCGATTTCGTCGGCTTTGCTCGTGACGAAAAGGTCAATCCGGTCATGTTGCCGGCAAAGCTCCGTGTAGAGCTCATCCTCGAACCTAGTGAGCTCCGTGTCCTGGCGACCTGGGATTGTGATCGCCGTCGCCTGGTCCTTGGTCGTGTGCACCTTTATGTGGTGTTTTAACGAATTGTAGTCGATATTATCTGGATTGGGGAGCGCATGAAGATCAGCGGGCGGATCGGGGGAGATCTGGTGGCGCACTATCCAGGCGCAGAAACTTACGGAGGCTCCATTGTGGTACAGACTCCTTTTCTAATTTTTCTCCGTATTTCATTACTTTTTAGTTATTTCTTTCTCCTGTCAGCTACACAGGGAGATATAAACCTCGAAACCCCGCCGGTTACGTCGCGTAGTCGAGTTTGTACCTGGCTTTGGTGGGGGCAAATCCGCCGCGATGTCTTTCGGCTTTGGTGGGAGCGGATAGCAACGGGCCGGATGGGCTGGGCTGGCGTCAATGGGCGAGTAGGCGGGCTTTATTCAGGGTTTCGCAAGTTCTAAGAAGTGCGCTTCTTCTGAGAAAGGCTGCAACTCAACTATAGGGCGCATTGAGAGACAGGACGTAAGCAATTGGGTGTTTTCTGAGAACAAAGAGAAAGCTAGTTACCAAGGAACAGAGGCGAACAAAGCCCATGTCATGCAAGTGGAATTATACGTCCCAGACAGAGTGGGGTTCTTGGAAGGTCGGGAAAGTCAGGTCCAGACTAGTCGCCAATTTAGTCCCCACCTACTTACACACAACACCCACCGAGCGGGCCATCGCCCTCAACGCAACCCTGTTCTCAAACCAACCGAGCAGGGCGAAGCCCAAAGACGGGACCCATTCGTCCCCCCACCACTATGGACATGTCCTTACATCCTACCCAACAAGGTAAGGTAGTAGATTGCGTGGGAGGGAGGTTGGCGTGCACATGCAATGCATCTTGGACTCCAAGTCCGAACAGTCTTTTTCCTTCCCCTCTCAACGGCGAACGGCGGGCAAGTCCTCTGGGCCTGGGCCCAGTGTTCCGCTCGGAAAACTTGTCCAGAAGCATCCCATACCGACCTGGTATACTAGGTCGATATGAAACACTAGATTCGACGTGGTCAAGGTGCCTCCTCTAGGTATCAAACCTTGGAACATCACGATATACGAGGCCTATTACCTCGTCGAGATGCCGAACGCCTTATCAAAATCCTGATAAATCCTTGGACCTAGGCAGTTTTTTCATCCTCCCAAGGAAAAAAGGGGCACTGATCTCTTGGAAGCGGCTCCCGTACAGAGAAGCTCTGACGGGGTCTAGCTCGAGACGGCGTTTGTCTATTCCCGTCCCGCTCATCCCACCTCAATAAGTTGGATTGGTGTTGGAAACGGGCCTTGCCGCCAGAAATCTGAACCACCCCTCATGACCATCAGAGCCTGCCAATCCCCTCAGACCTACAACCCCGGGAGAGACAGCCATCATGTTAGTGGTGGGCAGTTATTCCCACATATTACCTGCAGCTCCATCATGCAGTCGACCTGCTTCAATGTTTCGGCGCACCAAGGGAGAGAAAGTAGGAGTGCGGTCCTTGGTGTTGCTTCGTCAAGTTGGCGTGAGATTGCTAGTTGGTGGCGTTGAAACACGGTTTGTGACCTGTGCCCACTCCCAATCGGCGAAACGGCGGCCAGACAGGGGCGGCTTTGAGCGTTGAGATTTTCAGACCCGCCACATACGTACTCCGAACACGCTTGCGCAAGAAGGGTCTAGATACACTGTACCTTATGAATGGGTTCCCTAGTAGATAAGGTAGTACATTTTATGTCTTGGCATGTCGGCAGTACCTAAAGTTCATTGCCGACTGTAGAGTACAGGCCTCGGAGTGTCTAAGGCAAGTTGGTTAGACCAAGACCGCTGTAAGATACTACCTTAGCTTCCACGCTTATAGAAACCTATTCACAATTGAGTTGGGCTTTGATTCGCGCTGGGAGAGTCCCGATCTTTACTTTCATCAGAAAATTGCGGATATTTCGTGCCGTAATCGTAAGACCCTCTGCAGAAGATACGAGCGGGGCACACATTATTGCACAGCATTTCAAACGTGCTTTCAGGCTGCATGCGCGGGCAGCCCACCAACCTTATTAGATGTCGTGCACTGTGACCTCCCCCCTCGAGCCGCTTCTCACGGGGAGCCGGCTCGGTGTCCAAACCCCAGACGGGATCAACTACCTACCTATTCTCAACAGTCGACATTGATATGCCGTAATGGGTGGTACCCTCCTACTCGCGGTGGAAGAACCTAGACCTCGACATGGCGATATCGCCCCACAGACCACTTTGGATCCGTTTTCGGACCTCCAAAGGTGCGGCGAATGCTAGACTGGACTAGCAGCTTGCAAGTTGACGCATAGAGGCGGTTAGTCCGTGTATCCATGGTATGGATACGGGTTTGCATATCGGCTGCAGATCGAGTTGCGCGTATCGCTTCGAGAGCCACCTCGAGCAGTTATGCTATCACGCGACACAATACTATGCTACCGCCTCAAGCACGGGGATATATTTGCTTTCTGCGGTAGGCTTTCTTGGATAACCTCCGGAGATCTTGTACACCCAAGTCGTAGAGTCAGTCTGAGCCCACTATGGAATGATGGGTATGTTTTCCCCCTTGTATAAGTATATGTTGGCCAGTGCAGTCCTTGCTAAGTCCCTGCTAGCGCTGTATTGCGATTGAAAGGGCGCTGTAATTTTCAAATCGTGGCACCGGGGGGGCTTTTCGGTACCCGGAAAATTTTTGCTCGTCACCTAATAAGTCTCTGATAAAGGGAGCGTTGTGAGGGGTTGGGGCGATCATCTTAGGACTGACAATGCCTAGCCGATAACAGACTCTCACGAGCCAGTCCTCAGGTTGAGCCGCTGCAGCCGAGGTCGGTGATGTGCTTCCCGCCCAGCCTCCATACTAAATTGACTGAGAACATAGCGCTGGAGAGCAACTGCAGCACCGATAGCCCGTCGCCGCACTTGCATTGGTATAAATGAAGAGAACGGGAAGGATGGGCATGGCGATTGGCGACCACATGAGGAGTCACACCATTGGCTTGAACCCCTGGACCTGTTAGGTGTGTTAATTAGCAGAAACTGGGGTAGGTAACTTTCGGTTTTTGTTGGTAAGATAAGGTAGCCCAGCCCGTTGAAACCGCCTGAAGACGTTGACCTTGAGTCGTATCGTATAAATAAAGATGCACATGGGCGCAGGCAAAGGATCAATCGGGTTTCTCAAGCTGAGCAGCGAACCTTTTTTTTTTTGCTACCTGCTATCCGTGTTAGGTACCTTACGTACGTATCGCCAGGGCCTCAAAAATGCTTATCTCATTAAAGAGGGCTTTAACACAATAGCTGCAGATAGAGCGCTGCTAGTTGGTTGATACCCGGCTTGGCTCATTGAAGTCTCTGAGACAGTGAGACTATCACAACAGCCTTTATCCGCACCCACGAAAAAGACTGGTTCACTTCTCTTACAATGTAAGGCAAACAAATAAATAACTATTCGACCCTGCGCGAGGAACAAGTATCTTTGCTAGTATGGCCAATATCGCCAAGGTAAGGAAAGGGAACGAGAACTTTGTATTTGTGAATTTGTGCCAGAAGAAAGCGGAAAATTCTAAACGGGTTGGTTGATCGGCCAACACTTCCGTCGTTTGGAGCAAGCGGCTCAAGTGAGTTAGAAGTCTTCCAGGCGTGTTTCTTTTGCCTGTGCTCTCTTCCGAGTCCGTGCCACTACGCTATACTTTGATTTACGGATAAGGGGGCCGAACTTTTACCCCGCCGAAAACTCCACCGCCTTCTGCGCCTCGTGCTGGAGCCGGGGCAGAAGGCTGGCTCGACAACGGATACCCATTGGCCAATCTTGCCCAGGTCTACCAGAGAGCGGGGCATCGCAGCGTCCCCCCAAAAAATTCTGGCCGAACAGCCTCAAAGTGTCTAAGCCTCTTCACACGGCCTAAATTTGCCAGTTAAAAGAGATAGTAAGCGTGTTTTGACTCGCTCCGCGCCAAACATGGCTGGAGCAAGCAGTACAACGTCTTCTCTTACTTCCACATCCCATACACTTACACTGCCTCCAACCATGGCGCCAGCGGCTGCCCCGACAGGAGCTCAAGACGGTTCAGCCATCGCCAGTTTCCTTAACTCCATCGACCCTTCAAACCGCCATTTTTTTCTCCAGCCTTCCCCCTTGATACCGGATGGCTCCCTGCAGTTGGCCAAGGAAACACTTGATGCCCTAGCTGGGTCGATCAGTGATCAGCAACAATCGAGGCTCCGCGAGGCGGGAAAAAAGCGCAAAAGGGAAGCCGGCAAAGACACAGCCGCCGTCCTCAAAATCCGGAAACTTCACATCGACGGCTTTGAAACAGGCCAGGTCTGGCAGCAGGCTAAGAAGATAATCGAAAGTGCTCTGGAAGAATCTAGTCGGGTCCTCGAAGAACTCGAGGAATCCAACGAGGTTAATCAGGACACCGACGAGGGTGGTAAACTCGTCGAGTTTGGGCAAGACGGCTTTGAGGTCGGGTCTGATGAAGATGATTTGGCCAGCGCCTCTTCCCAGTTGGATGACGAGGCGGACAGCGAAGAGTCGGACGATGATGACGCAAGTATCAGTAACGAGGACGACGCGGAAATGCTCAGCGAATATCCCGAGCAAGGAGAAGATGATGGCGCAGACGAAGATGAAGAGGACGTAGAGGAAGGAGGGGGCGAGGGAGAGGACGAGGAAGAAGACGAGGAAGAAAATGGCGAGCTGGGAGGCGATGTCACGAAAGATCCTCACGGTCTCAACGACGAGTTTTTCTCTCTAGCCGACTTCAACAAGCAGACACAATTGTTTGAGGCGCAGGACGCACGTGCAGACCCCAACACAGATAATTTCAGCGACGACGAATCTGTAGACTGGCATGCAGATCCCATGTCAGAATCTACCGGGAAGAAACTGCCACTAGGTCTCGAGGACGAGGAGGATGACGACGACGAGTCCGTCAAAGGCTTTAACGGAGGCAAGATGGATGTCGACGCATTTGGTGATGAAAGCGATGACGCGCTCGACAATGGTGTGGGAGACGGCCTTGACCTTGACCTTGACCTGACCGCAAACGATATCTTCTACAAAGATTTCTTTGCCCCACCTCCGAAGAAGAACAAGCCCGGGAGCAAGAGAAAACGCCCAGAAAGCTCGAAACCCCAGATACTTACCGAGGCCGATATTGAGCGGGCTGAGAATAATGTTCGGCGCGATCTTTTTGAGGATTTCTCAGAGGAATCCGACTCCGAAGATGCCTTGTCAGACGCCTCAGCTGGCAACCCCAAGTCGCGTCGCTCGGCACTTGCGCGGCGGCAAGCGAAGGTAGCCGAGGAAATCCGACGACTCGAATCCGAACTGGTAGCCAAACGTGCCTGGACTCTCGCTGGCGAGGCGGCAGCAGTAGATCGACCAGTTAACTCCCTGCTCGAAGAAGATCTCGACTTTGAGCACGCCGGCAAGCCGGTTCCTATCGTCACCGAGGAGGTGTCCGAGTCCATCGAGGCGCTAATCAAACGCCGTATTCTCGCCAAGGAGTTTGACGAAGTGCTTCGTCGCCGTCCCGACACTCTCGGATCCGGTTCTCGGCGCGGGCTCGTCGAAGTGGAGGATGTCAAGGGAAAGCAAAGTCTGGCCGAGATCTACGAAGAAGAGCACGTGAAGAAGGCAAACCCCGACGCCTATGTTAGCCAGGCGGACGAAAAGCTTAGCCGCGACGAGGACGAGATTAAGCAGATGTGGCGAGACATTAGCGCCAGACTCGACGCCCTGAGCAGTTGGCACTACAAGCCGAAGCCCGTAGCGCCAACTCTCAGTATAGTCGCTGATGTTGCCACTGTTGCCATGGAAGACGCCCAGCCGACTACAGCCCAGGGCGTGGCTGGCGGAGAGAGCATGATTGCGCCACAGGAGGTGTACGCGCCTGGAAAAGACACAGCTGACCGCGGTGAGGTCGTCGCCAAGAGCGGCTTGCCCGTGGCTCGGCAGGAAATGAGCCGCGAGGACAAGTTGCGGAGACGCAGGCGGGAGAAGGAGCGGATCCGCAAGTCTAGAGGGACCGATGCAAGCAACCCGGTCAGCAAGAAGGCCCATGCCCAGCGTGAGGCGATGAGCGACCTCAAGAAGGGCGGTGTCAGGGTCATCAATCGCAAGGGTGAGATCACAGGACTCGATGGAAAGAAGACAGCGGATAAGGTAGTGGCGACCACGAGTGGGAGCTTTAAGTTGTGATTTGGTAGAAAATAGTACCGTGTATCGTTCTACTATTGAGGACGGATATTCCCGGTCATTACGAGGTCGCTGATGAGGTTTACGGGTACAAGATTGTTGTATTTGAAAGAAAGAATTGGGACTTGTTATAACACATCTTAGTCTAATGTGAGCATTCGTCTCTATACCTACCCTAAGGTACTTGCATTATTCATGTTGTAGGTATCGTTCTAGCGCACTGCGCATTACCCGGAATGAAACTATGTGCCCAATCACCATGTTTTGTCTATTTCCAGTACTTTGTTCATCGTGTTAGTCGACCTCTGCGAGTGTATTAGATTTCGAGGCCCATAGAGAGTAAGAGGTAACCCAAGGTAGTCAAGGGGCCCAAAGCTGGCTCAGTCTCAGCTGAGTTGGAATTTAACTAGGATAGTCGCTGTACCAAAAGATAAAATCGGGCTCCGATCGAAATAAGACAAAGGCAGTTTTGCTGGCGGTGGCCAAAGCGAGGATTTGATGTGACGTGCTGGATCTGAGGCGGGTACCGGAGGAAAGCCATGCCAAGGCTGTGGGGACTGGACGCTCCTTGAAGTGGCCAATCACGGGGCTTCCTTTTGCTGCTGAGTGCACTTTCTGGGAGGTGAAAAGCACTCGGATATCAATTGAACGTCAACCATCCTTTCGTGGGGGAGGGCCCTTTTGTTCGCGACCACATTTCTCGCTGTGCCCCGGCCAATTCGGACATCTCCACTCTCTCCTGATCGCCTGCCCTGAATACGATCAGCCATGCTATCATCTGCGAGGACAGGGGTCTCGCTGGCGCTCCGAGGTGAGTGAAGCAGCCGCGGACAATCCCGTCCTCTGGCGTGCCTCCCCCCCATCTCCCTTCCCCCATTGATCGGAGACGCTGACGAGCTCGAACCAATTGAACAGCCAAGCCGACGTCGCATCTCGTAACCTACCGTGCCGTCGCCGCCATATCGTCCTCGTCACGCAATGACGCCTCGAGCGCCGTGCAATCACATGGAGGATACGGCATCGCCAAGCGCGAGCGCAAGGAGGTTCCCCTTCCCAGCCAGGAAGGCACCAAGGGAGTGGTTCAATATGCGCTGTATGTCAGCTACTGCTGCTGCCCCCAAGGACCCGCATGTCTACTATAAGGAGGGCTGTCGCTAACGAAACTTGTTCCGCTGCCAGCACGACCCTGGATCAGATCACCAACTGGGCGCGGCAGTCGTCGCTGTGGCCCATGACGTTCGGGCTGGCGTGCTGCGCCGTCGAGATGATGCACCTGTCGACGCCGCGGTACGATCAAGATCGCCTCGGGATCATCTTCCGCGCGTCGCCGCGCCAGTCGGACGTCATGATTGTGGCGGGTACTCTGACTAACAAGATGGCGCCGGCGCTGCGACAGGTGTACGACCAGATGCCCGAGCCGCGGTGGGTCATCAGCATGGGGTCCTGCGCCAATGGCGGCGGCTACTACCACTACAGCTACAGCGTGGTGCGCGGTTGCGACCGCATCGTGCCCGTCGACGTCTACGTCCCCGGCTGCCCCCCCACCAGCGAGGCCCTCATGTACGGTATCTTCCAGCTGCAGCGCAAGATGCGGAATACAAAGATCACGAGAATGTGGTATCGCAAATGATCGAATTCGAAGAGAATGGGGTGGGATAAACGTGGACCTGAGAGGCGTAAGAGATATGTTTGCATATATCTTGCATCGAGCCGTTACTAGTCCATTCGGTATTGTCTGTGGGCTCTTGCTAGGTGGTGGTGTTAGAGACAGTGAGATGGGGCGTGGATACAGACTGAGATACAACGCTAGCAAAGAAGAAAGGAACCGCTTCGTTGTATTCTGACGACTCATGTACATATTTCCTAGAATACATCTGCGCAGTCGCAGGAATTCAACTAGCGGGTTGTACAGTTTTCTTGGCCTAGTTCTGATGGGCATTCTGGCTCTTTTGCTTGTACGAAAGGTTGCTTATTCAAAGAATATTTGGGAGACTCGGGTATATGTCTAGTTCATTGACTGAATGCAATTTCTTGTGATCTTGAACGTACTTGGTTTATTATCATGATTTAGAGCTATTCATCTTTTGCGCCACGAATGGCAGCATCATAAGACATCAATTTACTGCCGCTGAACTCCCGAGGCCTTAAACTCCATTCCTGGCACTGTTCGTTGCAGGCTCTTGCCCATGCGTGGAATACAGTAGAAAAACAAAATCCACCTAAACCACTGAGCTGAAAGAAAGAAAGCAAAAGAAAAAAAATGCTTAGCTCCCGAACACCGCGGTTTCTACCTGTGCACGCTCCGTTCATTCATCTGTCTCGCCGGTCCGTCTCAGTCGACAACCCCCCTTCTCCTAGATCGGGGTTGAGATAGTCGGGATTCTCAGCAGCCTCGTACTCAGCGATGAGATCTGTAACGACTTCCTTGGCCTCATCAAACTCGCTAAGGTTATCTGCAAATGGGGCTGTTTTCTTGTAGCCCTCCAGGAAGGCGTTTCGTTTCCGCATGCCATCGTACTGCCGGAATATTCTCTTGAAGAGCTGTAGGTGGCAAGATCAGCAACCGTACGTTTCTAGCAAGGTTGAAGAGCAAAAAGGGAACAACAATCTTACAGTGGCAATGCTTGTGTGATTCGCTAGCATCAGTCCGCTCACACGGTGGGCCATTGGGATGTACGGGCTTCTCTTGGTCAAGGCCACCTGAATGCTTGCTGGACCCCAGGGAATAAACGTCGCTAGCCGTCGCTCCCGGATGCGGAGGAGGCTCTTGTGGACATCAGTGGGGTCAACTTCTCCTTGGATCACGTTTAGGATAGAAATGTAGCAGCTTTTCTTTCCCGGAACCGTCGATACCATGCGGTTTTTAGGCTGCAAAAGCCGTCGCATTACGTCTAAAACCGTAGTCTTCCGGACGGTCTTGGCCTGCTCGACCTGGTCACCGGTAAAGGGGGTATAGGACGTCATCAGGAAGTGGCAACGCGGGGTTGGGATCAGTGATGCTAAAATGCTGACAAGATCGTTATGCATATAGCCGGGGTATCTCAAGGTGGTGGTGCTGGCCGACATGACGGTAGACACCAACTGATTTGTTTGTTGGAATGAAGGCTCTTGCAGATGGAGCCTATCGGCGGCGATGTGAGACAGAGCTCCATTGTCAAGAACGACAACCGAGTCCGCATTTTGCGTTAGCCTCTTCATTGCTAACATGCTGTTGTAAGGGTGGACAACGACGTCGCCGGAGTTGGTCGTGTCCGGAAAGACAGAGTATGTCTGGATGATCTTCTTGGGGAAGCGGTCATTTAGTCTTTCGAGGAGAAAAGACCCCAAACCAGACCCTGTGCCGCCGGCGATTGAGTGAAGCATCATGAACCCCTATAACACCAGTCAGCAGTGGTTTGGACAGGGGAGTTGGACTTCTAACCTCCAGTGAATCGCTGCCATCCGCTTCGCGGTCAATCATCTCCATAATCTCTTCGTGTACCAACTCTCCAGTCTGATAACCGTCACCCCAGTTGTTGCCGGCTCCCACGCCATTCTTTCCTATGTAGAAGTTCTCGGGATTATAGATATTTTTGTACGGCCCTGTCTGGATTCCGTTTATGACCTAACCAAAACTTAGCATGCCAGCAACGAAAGGATAAAGGGGGAGAAGAGACGACGCACTCGAGGCTCGAGATCGACAAGAATTGCCCGCGGGATGTAGCGCGTATCGTCGCTCTGGTAGTAAAACACATCCTTGCGGTCACCGCCCTCGGTCGCAAAATCCTCTAGGTTTCCATCTTGGCTGATCCCATGCTCCTGGCAAAGCTGCTGCCAAAATTGGCTGCCAACTTCACAATGAAGTTAGAAATTTTCGTACGTCTTACAGTTAGACTTGCATAGCAGCAAAGAGACGTGAGAGAAGCTTGAATTCATGTGGTAGAGCCCATGTGAAGACACGGATGCGGTATATTCGATGGCGGAGGGGGCTGGACTAACTGCTGTTGCCGCATTGGCCAGCCTGAATTGTGATTATTTCCCTAATAGCGAGTCAGTACACAGTGCACACTGATGCGATAGAATACAAATGTTACGATCCCTACCTGGGCATTGTGGTGATGGTGTCATTTGTGGCGATAACAGAATGGTAGTTAGATGACTGCAGAGAATAAAGTGAACTTTGGAAGCCCGACGCGTCTCCGCGGTTGTTCTTGACGCGAATTTCGGACCCCGCAAAAATGGAGGGGCACTTAATTGACGTCGGTAGGGTAATGTTACGTAAGTTCATGTAAATTACACAGTACTTATAGGAAGGTACGAATAAATTATAATAGAAGGATACTTGAAGCAATCTGCTCAAAGCGCGCCGATTACGGAGAAAGTAATCCGTACTGGTAGTAGGAAAGGTAAGTTGGGTACTAACTATTACACCAACTAACTTCCAAGATTGGCATCTCTTGTCTTGTTGCCGCAAGACATCCAAGAGGGATCTTCCTGAGTAAGGTAACTGAGTCGACGTCTCCACGAACGACAAAGTCCTCGGCCAATGCGCTCGCCACAGAGACAAACTAAATACAATAAAGAATAAAGGGCTCAAGATGCCTTACAGGGTACCTGACCGCGAACAATAGATAACCCTACCCGCAGAGATAAGGAAACCATTAATTTGAAAATAAGTAGGTAGATAATGGGGGTAAAACACGGATACAGTGCTGTTACGGTGTAAGAGTGACCTGCTACGTTGAACCTACTGAAACATTTGGTTAGTTTTTAGCGATACAGAGAGCATGCAACGTCCAACCCCATCCCTACAAGATTTACACAACAGCCGGTAGGCTGGGACCTGCCGGCTGGGGATTTCCACTTACAGCACAGCCCGCTGCAAGTTACATCATGTCACACACTCACTAGCAAAGCTCCCGTCTGTCAGGAACCTTGATTGCGGACCCGCTTCAATTTAATCTGCACTTGGCAACTTGCCCCATATGGTAACGACGACGGCAAACGACCAACAAAACAAAAGTGCCATTGGGGCTTCATCGTCTGTTTCTTCTGTACCACATTGTGGTCCGGCATCTCAGTAGGTATTCGCTGAATTTACTGTCCTCCGGAAATCCTGAGCGGGAGCTTGTTTGTCGTCATCGTGGCCACGTGCTTGCTTTCCAACGTGCCAAGTTCCCAACCAACACCCGCCGCTTGTGCCCGGCGGCATCATCACCTCTGAAACTGCCAACTACGCCTCGGCTGTCAAATAGCGGCTTAGGAGGAGGCATTGCGAAACTTTTTGCCGGATTTTTGCGCCGAACCATCATAGATTTCCAGCTCTGAACAAGTACGGAATGTCTCGTTATCGAGGACCCTAGCACCCACTTCCTTCCACGACGCACTAGCCAACCACCTAGCCGACCACCTAGCCAACCCGCGAACCGCGTCGTCACCGTCGACTTCGGCGTAGTTGTCATAACATGGCTGGGCCGTCCAACACCGACGGTGCCACTGCCGTAGCACCGGATGAAGGCCCGCTGTCTCCGGACCGGCTGTCCGAGCTGCCTACAATTCTCCAAGCACGCGTGTTCGGCGGACCCCTGACAGGTGCCTCGGACGAATTCGACTTCGCGGCGAGGCCCAGCTCGCTGAGGGGTCAAACAGTGCCCGAAAATGAACCCGCCGATTATCTTAACGGGGGGCTTCCTCACGACAGAGTTTCACCTATCCCCCAGGCCAGCCCAAACCCACGCCCAGCAGCATTGAGCGTCGATACGCCCCAGATCACGACGGCATCACCAAGTCCACCCACCCCATTGGCAGACACCCTCGAGATGCCATCACCGATCACTGGAAGGAGGAGTGTGCAGTTCGCTCGGGACGATGTCATCTTTGACCAGCCAGCCGCATCAACACACTTGAGACAAAACTCATGGGATACTAGGGACGCCATGGGAAAGCTTCGAGGGTCGAGTTTTATGGCAAGATTGAAGGAGCTTGCTGGGCCCAGCGTCTCTCAGGGCTTTCGGATGCCAGCTCCAATCACCGATCCCGGCTCGACAGCGAGCTCGCCTACTATGACACGGCAAAGCACGAGGGCTCCCCGGGCGGGGGCCGAAGGGAGCGACGATGACGCAGATGCTGAGGAAACCGCAGATGAGACAAATGTCGCAGGACTTGCTAAGGGCAAGCAGAAGAAAAAAAGGCGGGTACGAAGACCACGAGTGGAGTCGTCGACGCCAAACACTCCGCATCTCCCCTTGACAGGGCCAGAAACCCCTGGCGGCCATGGTCGTCTGGGTTTCTTGCGCCGTGCCACCATGTCGGATACTGCTGATCGTGGTGGCCTCTCAGAGGGAGAAGGCCGTGACCAGCTCGCGAGAGAACGGGGTGTGAAGAGGGGCAACCCTTGGGTTGCTAATCGAGGCGATGACGGGGAGGAAGTCGAAAGTCCTTCGAGCTATCGTGTGGGCCATCATTTCCGGCGCCTGTCTGCACTCGGTGGCGGAGTATCCGACGGTGATGCAATGACTCCCAGGCGGCCCTTTTTTGGCGCCGAGCGGGCATCGACATTTGGTGCGCAAAAGTGGCGTCAGGTCAAGAACACGTTGAAACTGTTAAGACAAAAGAAGGAAGATCAGTTCGACTACTACAAGTCTGCTGAGCTGATGGCCGAGCTTCGCGCTGTTGCCCCTGCCGTTTTGATGCTGGCAAGCATGATTCAGCGCGACGAGCATGGAAACAAACGGATACCCGTTCTTCTCGAGCAGCTGAGGCTTCGGATCCGGGAAAGTGCTCCGGTGCAAGATAAGGACAGCGAAAGACATTGGCAGTTCACCATTGACATGGAATACGGGAGCGGCCCCAGTCAAATGAAATGGACGATCAAGCGGACCATCAGAGACATTCTGAACCTACATTGGAAATACAAGTTGACCTTGCGCAATGAAAAATTTCCAACAACCCGCGATATAGGTGCCAAACCCAAGCAACCGCGGTTTCCGCTATCAGCCTTTCCTTATCTTCGTGGCGTCCGGGGCCTAGATGACAACGACGAAGAGGACCTTCTTGAAGGACGAGCCGGCGAGGAAAATGTAGGCGAAGGTACGGCCGCGGAGGGTACGGCCGGAGAGGGTACGGCAGGAGAGGGTACGGCCGGGGAGGCAACTGTTGCTGAAGGCACTGACGCTGACGAGAGGCCACAAATGAGGAAAAGGAGGTCCCGCATGCCCGTACTTGGCGGCCGTCGAAAAACGTCGGCTTTGGGTTCTCAAGCCGATCTTGCTCAAACCGTGGCCGACGCTGCTGCTGCACGAAGGAGATATGTCGAACGTCAGCAGAGGATGTTGGAGAAGTATCTCCAAGAGATGATTCGCTGGCTCATGTTTCGAGCCGATAGCAATCGGCTTTGCCGCTTCCTCGAGCTATCCGCACTCGGAGTCCGCCTCGCCGCGGAGGGTAGCTACCACGGAAAGGAGTGTTATCTTCACATCCAATCATCAAAGGGTCTTGATTTCCGACGCGTGTTGACGCCGGGGAAGGTGATTGCAAGGCACAGTCGAAAGTGGTTTTTGGTACGCCAGAGCTACATCGTGTGCGTCGAGTCGCCCGAGAACATGAACATCTACGACGTTTACCTTGTCGATTCCAAGTTCAGGATTGTTCCTAAGAAGAATAAGGGCAAACTACTTCTAGAAAAGATGGGCAATGACGACGAAGATATTGAGCATCTCGACTTAACGACCAACATTCAGCCTGAGATGCATCACACTCTCAAAATAGTCACATCCGAAAGGAAGGTGAAACTCTTCTCCCCTAACCAGCATCTCATCCAACAGTTTGAGGAATCAATCATTGAGATGCTGAAGAGCACTCCGTGGCATCTGACGAACCGCTTCGGCAGCTTTGCGCCGGTACGGACTGGAGTATATGCACAGTGGCTTGTCGACGGGCGAGACTACATGTGGAATGTGTCGCGAGCTATCAGCATGGCAAAAGATGTTGTGTACATCCACGATTGGTGGTTGAGCCCAGAGCTATACATGAGACGGCCCGCTTGCATCAGCCAGAAGTGGCGTCTTGATCGCTTGCTCCAGAGGAAAGCGGCTGAAGGCGTGAAGATATTCGTCATAGTCTACCGAAACGTGGAGGCCGCGATTCCGATTGACTCCGAGTACACCAAGTTCTCGCTGTTGAACCTGCACCCTAACATATTTGTCCAACGGTCGCCAAATCAGTTCAAGAAAAACCAGTTCTTCTTCGCTCATCATGAAAAGATTGTCATTGTCGACCATGACATTGCTTTCGTCGGCGGGATCGACCTCTGTTTTGGGCGGTGGGACTGCCCGCAACATCCTGTAGCAGATGACAAGCCCACGGGATTCGAGCCTCAGGATGGCCCCAAGGACGCAGAACATTGCCAGCTTTTCCCAGGCAAGGACTATTCAAACCCGCGGGAACGTGACTTTTTCAGGCTTACCGAGCCGTACGAGGAAATGTACGATAGAGGCAGGATCCCGCGTATGCCTTGGCATGACATCTCAATGCAGGTCGTAGGCCAGCCTGCCAGAGATCTAACGCGCCATTTTGTCCAGAGATGGAACTACGTCCGGCGGGGGCGTAAACCAACCCGACCGACCCCTTTCTTGCTGCCACCCCCCGACTCGAAGAGAGAGGAGCTTGAGGCCATAGGTCTAGATGGCACCTGCGAAGTGCAAATCCTCCGTTCGGCATCAACTTGGTCGCTCGGCGTTGAGGACACAGAGCAAAGTATTCAGTCGGCCTACATCAAGATGATTGAAGACTCCGAGCATTTTGTTTACATCGAGAACCAGTTCTTCATCACCAGCACGGAGTCTTTAAATAACAAGATGATCAACCGCATTGGTGATGCGCTCGTCAGTCGCATCTTGCGAGCCCACGAGAAGGACGAGGACTGGCGTGCCGTCATACTCATCCCGCTAATGCCTGGCTTCCAAAACGAAGTAAACGACCAGGACGGAACCAGCGTTCGTTTGATTCTACAGTGCCAGTACCGCAGCATCTGTCGAGGAGAACACTCAATATTTGGGCGGCTTCGGGCTGCCGGCATCGACCCAGAGGACTATATCCAGTTCTTTAGTCTTCGCCAGTGGGGCAAGCTCGGAAACAACCTGCTCACGACAGAACAGTTGTACATCCATGCCAAGTGCATCATTGTGGACGATCGCGTCGCCTTGATCGGGTCGGCTAACATCAACGAGCGGTCCATGCTTGGCAACCGCGATTCTGAATGCGCTTCCATCGTTCGTGACACAGATATGATATGGTCGACAATGGGCGGCCGTCCCTATCGTGTTGGTCGATTCGCCCATACTCTACGCCTGCGGCTGATGCGCGAGCATCTGGGGCTGGACGTTGACGAGATTTTGGAGGAGGAGCGACAAGCAGATTTGGACCGCGCGGAAGAGTTTAGGGCGGAGATGGATCGTATCTTCTACGACGAGTCTGATATTACACCTGTGGCCGAGAGCTCAAAAAGGCGAATATCTGAGCGTGACCCGCCTAGTACTCCCCCACATCTCCAGAGATCCGCAAGCTTAAGTAATGACGTCGATGATCAAGAGCCTCGTGGTCTTGGTAGCTCATCCTCCAAGGGGAAGTCAGTTGTCTCACAGCAAACAGGCGGGGTTGAGAACGAGAAGCACAAGAAAGAAGCTGAGGGTCCTGGCCCTGACCGTCGGAAAATGGCACAGGAGGAAGGTACTGATACTGGCAGGGATTCCGTCATCCTTAACGGCAGGGAGATCCTCATCCACGGTGCGTCGCCGGAGGGGAGAGGGACCGTTAACAATCCTAAGCATGCACACCAGCGACGCCGTCAATCTGGAGTCCTTGCTCCCGACGGCGGCGTCAACCACGACGTTATTCCGCCCATGCCTGCCTTTGACAGACGAACAACAGAGCAGCTGGGGCTTCCACGAGTGAACCAGCTACCATCACTGCCCCAAGTGGACGATACGGATATTGGGGGGCCACCAGCCCAAGCGGACCAGGCCAACCCTGGTCCTGCGAGCCAAGCCGCCATCGATGTTAAGCTGGCTAGCATTGACAAGGATTGCATGCGCGACCCCCTCAACCCGGCCTTCTACGACGATGTCTGGTGTAGAGCTGCAGAAAACAACACACGAATCTATCGGCGCGTCTTCCGGTGCATGCCTGATTCCCTGGCGACAAACTGGGCCGAGTACAAGGAGTTCCAGGCCTATAATCAACGTTTCAAGGAGAGCATGGACGGGCACAGATCAAGCGAAGACGGCGACAAGGAAGAGGCGGCTATTCCAGCGATGCAGTCCACTGCCGGCGCCGGGATTGGTGCGCCAGGCCCAGCCGCTGTCGCTAAAGGGATGGGTGAGAAGTTGATGAAACCTCACCACAGCGGTCCCCATAAAGCTGCTAGAGCCTCAGGCGAATCACACATGGATGAGAAGAAGGCCCTCGCTGAAGGCGAAATAGGAGATGATTCGATTGTTAATAATCTGCCGGCCGATCTGGAGAAAGTAGCAGAAGCGGACAACCGTTCGTCGCGAAACATAAGCCCAACTGCCTTCCTAACCACAGGAGAGAGCGGAACCGACGGCCGCAAAGAGCGCCGCACTACCTTTTCGACGCAGGAGAAGGCGCCTGACCTGTCCAACGGCAGTTACGGCAACGGAGCCCCTTTAGGCATCAGTAACGAGGCTAACCATGGCAGTAAAGCGTTTGGATCGCAAAAGCGACGCCGACGTGCGCCTACGAGGAGCAGTCGGCGGGGATTCAGTGCCTCTGATGACTTGCTCCCTCGTGCCGAGGCTGAAGAGTTGCTCAATATGACGCAAGGCGCACTCGTCCAGTTTCCTTACGACTGGCTTGCCGTCGAAGAGACGAATGGAAACTGGCTGTTCCAGGTAGACCAAGTTGCGCCGCTGCAAATATAGTAAGTTTGGGGCTGTACATTTCTGTCTGGCACGGTTTATTGGAGACTAACACAGAAGCAGCAACTAGGTTTCTCACTGAAAAGGGATTGCGGTTTCTACTATTAAGCATGTAGGTGGTTAAAAGGAGAAAGATGGCTGGCACGACAGCATTTATCCCAACCGGCCGTTCAAGATATAAAGCAGCGTGCATCATTGCGTCGGTGTTGGCGGGCTGTTGGTTCCGTTGCATAAATGTTCTGGCATACTTATATGGTCTTTGTTTTTCTTTTCTTTACTTGCTCGCGGTTTCCTATTTCCTGTCTTTTCAGCACTGGCATCTTTTACTTCCACGCAATAATCTGCTGTGCATTTCTTGGGGTGTTTTCTTTTTATACAAGCAGGGTTTCTGCTGTTTCCCGGTTACAATCAATTAATTCTAGTCTGTTTTTACAAAAACTATACAGAATATCACCAAATAACAACACGTTACCGGTAACGTCGGCAATAAGATACCCCGACTGATTCATCCGTAGATCCCTAGGCCATGAGGGAAATTTCTATACCCTCTCGCTGACCCATATAGCGCCGCGGCAGCCAGCACGAATGACACCTGTCAAGAGCCAATACGGCTCGGCCTTTTTGGCGTCATGCTCGACGGCATGGTCGAGATGCTCGAGCTCCTCATCTCGTATCCTCCTCAAGGTGACGACAAGGTCCTTGAACTCGCCACCAACGTCGTAACCTTGGGTCTCCCACTCAGTCACCATCTCAAGCAGGCGGCGAATCTGCGCATTGTAATGGTCACCTATCTCGGTCTCGACGGCCTCGGTGCACGCCATAGCCGCCTCTCGCCCCATCACCCCCGTTGTCCACCCTAGCCCCGACGCCAACAGCGACCACACCGGGTACAGCGCCGTGGGCCGCACACGGTGCTTCGCAATCAGCGCGTTGAACGTCGAGAAGTGTGCCGCCTCCTGCTCGTACATGTGCCGCATCAGCGGCCGCAGGTGCGGCTCCCGCGACACGACGGGCGGCGTCTGCGCCGTGTAGATCAGCGTCGCCGCGAGCTCGCCCGCCTGGTTCACGCGCAGCGCCGAAGACAGAAATTCGCGTTGCGCTACCGTCAGCGGTATCCTCTTCTTGCTCTGCGTGCGCCCCTCATTGTAAGTGCTGCTGCCGCTTCCGCTGCCGCTGCCGCTACCGGTCTGGTCACTGGTTTGTCTATTATTGGTGGGAGTTGCTGGTGAGGCGGCGGCGACTGGTGTCGTCGAGAGCGGTCTTCGGGTGTTGGGTGAGCAGCTTGTTCTCGCGGTTCGGGAGCAGGATGTTGACGGTCTTGTTGCAAGCAGCCCACTGCAGAAAACCCCTAGCTGCTGCTGGTGATGTGGAGATGTTGGCATGCATCGTGTCGAGCGCAGAACTACGTGGTGTAAAGCCATTGAGGCGGTGACGGCGTCTAGATGGGAGTGCGTTGAGGCCTTGTTCCGTTTTGACCTTCAAGTCGAACACGGAATGGAAGGCATGCCCATACGACGCTGAAGGGTGACGCTTAAACCTAGTAAGTATACCAGTGGGGTCAATCTCCGTTTGCAAGGGTGGTGGTGCTCTGGTAGGGGATGTGCAGTGCAGCCCGCCCGGATCAATCTAGCGTCCGGGGCCGGTAATTTTGCTCCGTAACAGCCCGTTGATAGTTGATACAGGCCCAATTGCCAAAAAAAAAAGGTACGTACCTGCCTTACCAGCCAGTCTAGCCAATGGTAAACCAATCGCGAGCACGGGCACCTAGCCATTGGCGACGTTAGGCCAACGCCAGTTACTTTGCACAACGACCTCTCGCAAACTGCAGCAAGAATTTCATTGTTGCTTCGAGTCACTTTTGTCTCCTTAATTCTGCGCATCCCTTCACGCATACCCCCTCCAATCACGCACCGAGACAAAGGCGTCTGTCTGTTCATCTACCATTGCTTTTCATTTTCAATTTCCTGCTTAACGCAGCTTGAACCGCATCCTCGCCGTCGGCAGGCAGCCTTGCGTCGCTTCGAAAGTCTGTCGCATCCTATCGCCAACCCCACTTCCCACCACGACTTCCCCGATTCAGGTGTTACTTCCCAAGCTGTAGAAATGTCTGACATCGACGACGAGCTGCTGGCCCTCGCCGGTGGTGATGTGTCTTCGGACGAGGAAGAGGAGCAAATCGATCGCAGCAGGGACGAGTCGCGGTCGCCCTCGCCGCCCTCCCAACCCACCGGGAGAGCAGACACGCCAGCTAGAGGCTCTGCTATTGTAAAGACGCCTGCCAAACAGGCAAAGAAGCGTACGAGGAGCGATGACGAATCAGACGAGGAGGGAGAGGCGTAAGTCTACACCATTTTCACTTTCAACTCACCTTGCAAGATAGATAGATCCCCATGACCTGCCCTCCTGCTCCCCCCCGTCCCCTGTCCTAAGGCCGCTTTTTGAGCGCAGAGGTCGCCGCTCTTGCCCTTCTACCCTCCCCTAAGCTATTCAACTCACGATCGCCCCTCCACCACCTTCCACTTTCCCTTTGCCCTTCCCCTCCTCCCTCCTACCTGCGTCCTCCATACTTCTTAATCGTGCGAGTCTTTGCTCGCGCCTAAGAGAGCCCTATCCCATTCCGAACCCTTCAATTAATCCACATGCGTCACCGCAGATCTTCGGCGCCCGCCTCACCCAGCTCCCAGCAGTCGGCACCAATGGATGAATCCGACTCCGAGTCGGATGCCCCGCAGGCCAAGGGTCGTGGTGGTGATGACGAAACAATCCAGTACCCAGTCGAGGGCATGTTTAAGAACCTCGATGAGAAGGAGCACATCATGGGCATGCGCGAAATTGAGCGAGAGCAGATTCTCGCAGAGCGCAGAGAAGAGAACGAACGGATCCGCCAAAACCGCATGCTTCGCCAGCTCAAGGTCAACCAGGACAATGATAGCAAGAAGCGCAAAGCGAGCGCCGCCGAGCTCGAGGATTCGCAGCGCAAAACCGCTCGGGTCCGAACCAAGGTCGGAGAGACGAGCGAGAAGATGGACACACTCCGCCGTGCGAGAGAAGAACGGAGCAGTCGCAAAGAGCAAAGAGAGCGCGATATCGACCGCCGCAAGCAGCGCTCCCCGTCATACCGACGCAGTGCTGGTCTCGACGACCGGGATAGCGATGTAGAGTGGGCTGGCCCGGCTAGATCTAAACCGAAATCTCGTACACCCGAACACAGGGAGGCGGCCCCAGCAGAACTGAGAGATGTTGAACGCCTTCGGGTTGGCCGGAGCCGGTTTGCCGAGGTCTGCTTTTACCCAGGCCTCGAGGAGACTCTCGCGGGCTGCTTTGTCCGCATCAATATTGGGCCCGATCCTTCTACGCGCCACGATGTCTACCGCATGGCCGTCATTAAGGGTTTGTTTTCTCTACATATGCCAATCTGCGTCCTGAGCTAACGTTGATGCAGGATTTAATCGGAGTCGTCCGTTTGCGCTGATGGACCAGTCGGGTCACCAGATGGTGGCCGATCTGTACGTCTTGGCGGCTCACGGCAAGGCGCAGCGGGAGTGGCCGGCTATCGCCTGCTCGGATTCGAAATTCACAGAGGCATGTGTCCCTACTATGCTTACCTCGTTCGATGCTAGCACACTAACTTTTGTCTATCTAGGCTGAATGGAACCGATACAAGCAGGTTTGCATTTCTGAGGGTCTGCCTATCCCCACTCAGCCTGCCCTGTCCAGCAAGATTGGTGATATCAACAAGCTCGTCCAACGCACTTGGACTGAGAAAGAGCTGTCTGAGAAGCTCCGGCGCCAGAATACCCTCCAAGCAAAGTTCAGCGGCGCCGAACGCGACAGGCTTACCAAGCAGCTCGATCTTGCTTACGCACGAGGCGACGAGAAAGGCGCCAATAAGATTCAGGAAAAGCTTGACAGTCTGGAGGTCCCACGACTGGCCTTCAAGACGTCACTCACTCCACAGAAAAAGAAGGCCGAGAATGCAGGCCCAAACCAGCAAGAGAGGCTCGCAATGCTCAATGCTGAGAATCGCCGCCGCAATGCCGAAAGTGTGCGGAAAGCCCAGCTGAAGGAGCGGGCCCGCGCCCGTGAGTTAGAGAGAGAAGAAGTTGCTGAGGAAGCCCGTGCCAATGGTAAGAAGAATGGGAGCAGCCCAGCAACGCCAGCAGGGGCAAAAACCACATCTGGTGGCAGTGGAGCAACCACCCCAGCGAACGGACAGGGCACTCCGAGTCTTGGTGCGCAGAAATCTGGCCTACCACCGCATATGGCCAAGCTCCAGGAGCTACAGCGTAACCAAACTAAAACCGGTATCCCCACGATCCACAAGCCTTTGATGGACGACGACATTATTGGTGCTCTGGATCTGGATATCGATATCGAAATTGACTAGTGCGATGGCTATAAAAACAGCAGCCAAGCTCCTTTGTTCTCTTCGATGGATTCCATCTACATCACTCTTATTGGGCAAGACCAGCACTCCTGGGCCTCTCCGTACTTCTCAGCATCATGGATACATTAGCCCATTGAAGAGATGCCGGGTCTGCATTGCTTTTCCCAGCTCGGGTTAAACGATGTGTCCGTCTTCTGGATATCCATCGAGATGCTCTCGCGCTATGTCGACCAGTTCTTCCGCCTCATCCAACTCGCATCTGTATTATGTCGACAGAGTGCTGGGCTGGTTTAGAAGTGGGAAGATATCCGTCTCATTTCTTTTAATCGTCACCCCATTCCCCCCACCTCATATATCTCGACCCATTCCCCAGAACTGCGTCTGCGTCTGCGTCTGCGTCTGCGAACATAGAGGCACTAGCTCATACGGATGAAGACACCCATATTCATATTTACCCACCGCCCCTGCCACGGTGCCATCCCCTTGCCATCATAGTGTACATCTCCTCGCAACGAACCGAGGAGGGTATCTAAAACTGGCGGGGAGATGATAGAACTTGCGAGACACCGAGGCAGTGAAAAGAGGCGAGGCGACAGGTTTGTGCACTGCAACAAGCTTAGTACCTGAGGACCTTGGCTCATCGGGGGATCCTTGGCGAGAAAAGTAAATTTTGACGTTGAAATTACTCACGTAGTTAGCAAGCAAGCAAACAAAACCATAGACAGCCCAGCGTGCAAGCATCATCGAATACCTCGAGAAGATATATTTAGTTAAACCAATAAAAATGAATTCTCCAGTGACATTTCTCCATCTCGTTCTCTTGAACCTTCTCTTTTGGGTTCAGTTTCGAGCTCCCACGTCCACGTAAACCTTCGGCTAAGAAAGGGGTTTCCTCATGGTGAAGACAGGTTGCAAATACAGTAAATTAAACATGGAATATAATAACAGTACGCACGACAACCACCGCTTTCATATCATTCATCACGTCTAAGTACAAGCACAGGTTAATGGTATTATGATACAGAGGATATGTTACTTTGAATGACATGGGCAATAAACAGTTTTTGCCCAACCACACTTGCCCACCCCGGCCCTTTTCTTCCATTTGTCGTCGGGACGGAGAGATCTGTTTGCCTCGGAGTAGAAAAAAAACGCAAAGGTTGTCCATTGCCCTATAATGTGTAGGCAACCTCTCCATAGCGCCCAGCTGGACTAGAACAGGCTAGGCAAGAAAAGAATATTTAAGTTGAAAAAGGACATTCGTCTTCAAGACCTTCTGTTGTCGAAGCGAGGTGATAGAATCCAAGAATCTGGAATCCGGATGATCGAAATCACGCGACGCATTAAAATGCAATATTTGTAAATAGGTCGGGATGGATTCCAGTTAAGAGGAACATCCGGGTTGAATACAGCAAAAGATTCCAATTTAGGCTTTCTGCTTTCGCCTGGCCTTGGCATTGCCGTTCGCAATAGGCGCAGCCACGAACGTGACGTGTCTGTTATCGTCCTTTCTGAGCTTGACTTCGGAACTGCTGGGCGGCCGGCAGCGGTGAATGGGCCGCGGTGTGACCTCTCGAGTATCATGATCTTCTTCAATATTTATTTCGGCGACATCCGAAACAGACTCTGTCTCCACATCGTCGCTTGTGTCCGAGGCAGATCCGTCGGAATCATCGTACTCCCCGTCGTCACTAACAAGGGATGGTGCATTGTTGCTAGCTGCAGTGTTGGGACTCAAATCCACATCCATATCGTCATCATACGGTGGAGTCTCTGGCTGTTCGGAGGAAACAGTGTCGGGAAGGTTGGCCAGCCCTAGTTGGGTTGGAACACGGCCTTTGCTGCTTTGAGGCAAAGGAATTGAAGCTGAAGGCGGGGGGGGTACGGCTGAGCGTGCCGGAATCCGCATAACGGCGGGTGTACGTGCAGCAGGCGCTGAAAAGACCTTCGGAATTTCCACGCCATCTAACGGGTTTGTCTGATCTGTGTCATCGGAGTCCTCTCCAGGCGAGAGCAGATCCCAATCCACTTTGATCTTAGCATCGTTCACTTGGTCTTTCAAGTTGCCTCCCAGCTTCTTCTTCTGTATCAGCCGCGATAGATAGGGCGTATCCGAAGAGCCAACAAAACCGGAAGTTTCTGTAGGAGCAAGGGCCCTTGGTATGCACCTCACGTTCGGTAGCTTGCCTGCGTGATAAAGGTCAAGCGAGGCGTTGATGCGAGAGAGAAGAGCCTTGTAGCCCTGTTGGTCGGAAATCGACTCATTGCGGGCAAGAGGGTGGACGACAGTAGAGGTCACAGGAACAGGAGTCTTGCTTTCGTCAAGCGCAACAGAACCGCCATCGTCAAGGTCGATAGGGTGTCCGCAATGAACAGCAGCTTCCTCGTGACTCTTGAAATCTCTCCTGTGCGCAATGCGACAGTGATTGATGAAGCCTTGAGTGCTTGAAAAATCCCACCGGTTGCAGTCGATACAAATGAGCTTGACTGTAACCCCATCCGACCTCTTCAGAACGCAGGGAGCTTGCTTGTCCTTTGGCTGCGGGTATCCACTGGATAGTGCTTGCAGCCTGTGCCCTGTTAGACCGCGGGCAGGTCGCGGCTTGCCAAAGTTTGCGCCCCCGTCAGACATGCTGTTCCGCGTCGTCCTGCCCTCGGCCGTGAGGCTCTTGGTCCTGCCGGCTTCTGCAAAACCTTGAGGCTCCGGTTGAAAGCCATCAAATACGGGGTCGGGGATTAGCCACTTAGCATAATGTCGTGCGTAAGGGCCGTCAACGACACCAAAAGGCGGAGCCCATTTCGGCACGGCATGACCAGGCTTCGACTGCAGAGCAGGACCCTTGCCGGTGTGAATCTCCAGCATCTGACTCGGGGTCGGACACTGCACAGGGTAAGGAATGAGATGGCAGCGGCGGAGCTGCTCGAGAGCAACTTGGCACTTGGCCAATTCCTGGTTTATGAGGCGAAGTTCGTCATGCTTCAAGAGAATCTCAAGACCAAACTGGTACTGGATTACATCTTTGGCACGTTCCAGGTCGGGAGCTATGCTCAACTTGTGTAACATGGCAGACTCGTCGTCGTCGGCCAACGCAGAGGTCGGGGACGGCAGACCACCATTCTGCTCTGTCTTTGCACGCTTGGCCGACAGATAGTCGCCGAGATATGCAGTGGTGTCGACGGAACTCGGCCTCCTCTTCTGGGGAAGAACCGGCGCACGCTGAACGGAATCCGCGCAGTCCGGCGACGGCAGGGGATGGCTTGCGTCTACCGTCTTGTCGCTTCCCCTCGACTCAGAAGCCCAGAAACGAAACATGAGCAACCCTGAGACAAGTTGTGTATGAAGCGCACTCGCAGGGACACAGGCGTCTGGCGAGGGAGTGGCTTGTTCACCCTTATCAGGGGTGGTCGTCGGGGAGCTAGTCGCGGGTAGCAAGGCAGCAATCAAGGACCGGGATTTGGACGAGCTAGCGGAAACGGGAAATGGGGGACGCCCGAGGATTGGCTGCGCGGGCAAGGCTGACGTAACTGGGTGCTTCGGGTGCAAAGTGGGGTGGGTCTCGGTCGGGCTAGCGCGATTGTCGGCTAAGTCGGGTGTGGCCTGGAACTAGACTTGCGAGGCCCGCAGGCTCCTGCGGCCGAGCTGTGCTGATGTGGCCGCCCCAGACCCAAAGAAAACGGGGTCAGACCAGAGGCAAAAGCTGGCGCCACTATTTTTGCGCAACGAAACGCAGCGCAGCGCAAACAGCAGGTCTGTCGCGAATGCGATCCGGGAGGCGCCTGGTGGATATCGGCCTCAAAAGCGCGCGAGAGCTAGCTAAAGCCTCGGCGACGTCAAAAATGTAAGCAGTGCCAAAGGGCAGGGCGAAATGAGCGCGCGAAGAGAAAGGAGAGTGAGCAAAGAACAATCGGTCGCGTTGCGCTTTTGCGTGGTTTTGGTCAGTTCCGCTGGTGTTGGTTGCAAGTTGATTGAAAGTTGGGGGGGATGGCCGCTGTCACGCGGTTGTAAGGGGAGATGCAACAGATGGGCAGACAGGAAATTATTTGGGAAGGCGCCTGGGGGCAAAATGACATGGGAACAGGGGGACGGTGACTAACCCAGCGATGAAGGGAGAGATCGAGGGAGGGGGGTCCCGTACTTGGTCTGGCCCATTGATTGGCCACAAGCGGGGCAAAGGTCGGCGGCTTGTCTTACCCATCAGCATTTAGTGTGCCAGGAAGCAGCCCGAAGGCTCCAGCTCCAATACCAACCTTTTGACTGCACGACGATGGGTGGCTGAAGCGCAAAATCCAACGAAATGAGTAGTATCCGTATTCAGTCGCAAGTCAATACGACCACTGTGAATAGGAAGAAAAAGCACATCACAACGGCGAAATAAGCACCACCCCGAAGCTAATATTTTACCAAAACGACTTTTTATGCCTGGTGCAACTGATGACGAATCTAGGTGAAATAGGGGTATAACAAATCATATATCTATCAGCGAAACAACCACCTACCGAGCAAGCTGGAGAACTTGCGTGGGACTTGACAGTGTGTAGAGGTCAGCGTCACCAGCAGGCTGTGCAGCCATTCATTGTTAGGTGTTGGTGTGCTGGATGCACCCTCGAGGCAGAGCTTCCTTGGTTGGCTGCACACTACTCTCTTTAGATCTCAACCGACCGAGCCAAAAGCGAGGTGTCGACACGATGTAGTACTATGTTTGTGCCCCTCCTGGTCAAAGCGCCTCAGGATGTTCACTAGGAACGACATTCCGTAGTGGTGTGCTCGTTTCAGAGCCCAAGGAATGTTCCATTTTGTTATCGAACCAAGTTTTCCGTATTCGGATGGGCCCACCTCAATCCGGGCCTAATCTTACCAGCGCGATACAGGCCCCTTATACATTTGTCCTAACCTAATTTACGGATTACTGTTATGGTGGCATTTAGAAAACATCGACGAAATGTCGCGGCGACCCAGATATATAACACCCCCCCACAGGTGACCGAGACAAGTTGCTCCAAAGAGCATAGGCAGGGAGAAATAGAGCACAGCGTCCACAACGGCCATATGTTTCGTTCTACCTTTCAGTCTTTACGAAATACCGAACTTATACGTGGTAATACTAAAATAACAGGCATTTGTGGAAACTTGTTCAAGACCTCACAACCATACACTGCTTCTACTTTTATAATTAACGTCCGTCTTGTAGCTAGAATATCGTGGAGTAACTAAAGCTAGATAGCCCGTGTTCCTGTTATTAGAACTAAACTTAGATAAGTCCCCGGGTGTTTCTCATCAAACAAACGAGGGCCGGGCTACTTTTGTGACCTGACATCACTCATGTACTGAGAGTGAGGTGCACCACGAGCTGTAACCTGGAATGAATGTAAGCAATTCGCTTACGAATTACGTAAACTTTCAACTGAAAACACTTGGTCTCGAAATTCTCTTTTCAAAATTTCAATCCTCTAGCATTCCAACATTCGTATCATGCCCCATGTATTTTACGCTGTGCAGCGTATTGGTCTGAAGTTGTCGCTATCATCGGCAGGCTCGAGCTTCCTTTATGATCGCGAATGCCGTCAAAATAATCTTTGAAGTAAGTTCGTATAGCTGGGACGGAATGTATAGTGAACGAGACAAGTACCTCGAGTACAGGTAATCACTAGTACTTTACCTATTACTATATTTTACAAACAGACATTCGAGGTAAAGAAGTTAAAGGTGCCTGGGGCTGTGTTGGTTCATATTGCACGAGGTGGACGACAAGTAGCACGATACTGAAAGTAATACTGAAACCCTAGACGAAAGGTCGCTATTCCAAAAAGTAAAGTAGAGCTAATGAATGTTATAAGACTAGATTCTTCGGTACCAAGTTCTATTCTAAATCTACGAAGTCGTACAGTCTGTTACAAGTTGATTCATGGTGGCCTCCTCCAGAATTGGTCCGACGTTTCCAACTTGCGCCCACCGAAAGCCACCTTGGAGTTTTATCGATAAGCAGTGGCCTGGGTCCCCGACCCCACATTGTTTGACGCGCCAAATTCCCTCTCGCGTCCCTCCAAAGACGCAGCATCGCAATTTGAGCAGAACAGCGGCGCCAGCGCAGAAGCCACCATGCCTACAGCAGAGACTATACGGCCCCAGACACAAATATTGTCCAAACGGAAGTATCTCAGTGACAATAATGATCCGAATCCGAAGAAAGTGCGCGTTGCGGGCGAACTGGCTATAGCACTAGACACGACGGCATCCCCAGCTGCTAGCCCATTCACACAGCTCCACGAATCTCTCGTCTCCATACTACGGCCACGATACGAGGTCAAAACCATGTCAGTCATGTCTTCGACTAGCATCAACAAGCACGTCGACAAAGCCCTCAACCACCTCGGCCGCTTCAGCATGTGGGATCGGTCCGTCCTCCCGGGCGTGGTGCTTTTGTCGGCAAAGGCGAGCGCGTCGAGCAAGCTCATCACCGTTTCAGAGCTGGTTCGGCGGCGCATCGGAGAGAGTGAGCAAAAATGGTATCAGTACAACGTGCTGAATGAATCGCTGTGCGAGCCAACAGCAGCCGAGCAGCCCAGAGAGGTCGTAGAGGACACATTCATGGAGGTTGATCCCGAGCACGAGCCCGGGAATGCGAGCGATTCGGAGGATTACTTCGAAACGACGGTGAACCCCGGCAGCATCCACGAAAGGGCCACCCAGCCTGCCAAAACCAGGCACGTTGCATTCATGAGCATTTTCCTCTCTAGAGTCCCGCTCGGCGAACTCAATTCCCTGCCGAACATCATACTCCAGACAAACGAGAAGCAAATCGAATACGTTAGAAAGAAGAAGGCAGGCCTAGTCGGCTAGCCGCAGGACTGTAGCATTCTACAGTGGCGGTTAGACGAGTTCTAAACTTTGAGGAACGGGTGGTGGAAAACTGCATAAGTAGCAAGGCGTTAAGCACATTATAATACCCCAGGCAGACTGACTGCCCGAATTATTTTCTTTGCATTATCAGCAATGAAAGGCGGGGAGACTTGTATTTCGTGACCGATAAGCGAGATATCTCTAGCGTGGAAGGCGCTATACCACTTGCCAAGGCAATGGTGTTTTGTTTATGGTCCCCATCGGGATCACAGGTATGATGGACGAGCCAAGAACACGGATAGTATTCAATAACCCATTATATTCTGCTCGCGATGTTTTGTGCAGTGGCCATGGTCACTATCCCTGCATTTCTTTCATTATGTATAGTTCTTTTCGCTTTTGGAAATGGGTAACTCCTGACCAGAACTCCAGCACCAATGCTATACCAACTGTCACCGCTGCGAAGCCGCCTTTGTGGCATTTTATCTCCAAATTCATATGCAATACCGTCCCCGTGAATACCTAGGTCTGATCTTCTCGGACTGCAATTAGACCACGTCATGTGTAGATTAATTCCTCCATGCCATCTATATACACCAAGTCCTTGTTAGCACACCCCAAGAACCCTTTACAATTCAACATCCGTTTGCGTCCAGGGGTTTTTAATCTCTGTTGTAGGTAATTCGGAGTACGAAATTGACCACCACTGCGAGGAGCAGGATGATGGCCAGGAACGTGGGGCCGAATCGGTCATCGAAACCCGCCTGCCCGCGCATTCGTATTGACTTGGCCCTCCAGTGATACGTTATTAACGCATACACCATGGCGGCCATCGCGACGCCGGTGAAGAGAAAGGCTGAAATGAAGGCGGGCCGGTCGCCAAAGTTTAGCATTCCGATCGCCAGCGCCCCGAGAATGACAGTGAAGTTGAGCCATGAAAGAAATGTCCGCTCGTTGGCGAAGAAGACTTTGGGCTCGACGCGCGTTGGAAGCGCGATGCGCTTGCCTAGAGTTCGAAAGTTAGGATAAACGACACAACAACGTGTGAGGTGTGTAGAAGGGTTACGAACCTGGCGCGGTCTGGAGAAGCGGCTGGCTCGACATGTCAAGGGGTTCAACGGCCCAATTGCGTTGAGGTCAAGAGCGAAAAGGGGGGTTATGCTGGAGACCGCGGGTGGTCGTTCGTTCGTTCGACGCGTTTTCGGGTGACGATGACGCAAAAGTCGAGTGCTGAGAATCCGGAACGCAAAAATAGTTGCGCAAAGCAGAGGCAATACACAGTTCGTATACAAGATCCCCAGAGAACTTGGCGTGGTCTTTTCAGGTTGTGTCCTTCATCGGCGGCGTGGTTTCAAAAGGTTTAAAACAACTTTGCCATCGAAGCCGCTAGTTGGCCCCATTGAAGCTTTGAGCTCCAATTGAGCAATGAGAAGCTCCAAATCGGCCCCGCTAGCTGGCACGTGGGTCCATTCTCAAGTTTAACTGGACGGACAGTGGGCACGATAAGCTTACACACATCGGATCGATTGTCGGGGGGTACATACATCATCGTTGCCCCGCATCCGTTTTAGCGTCGTAAAGGAACTCTTCACTGGGTCTCTGGTTTCCTGGCGAGCCAGGCTTCAGCATGTGTGGCACCAGCAGCCTCCAAATTATGGCACATTACTTACAGTGGCGTAAGTGTGGCTGAGATTTGCGGATTTCATGTGAGCACATGCTTAAGGTGTAATAGACATCTTCATTCGTCAGCTTTTATCTCCAGGCTGCTGCTTAAATCTCGATTCGGTTGGACGTTGGATCTCGACCGGAGCCACTACGCGTGAAGACTGCTCGCGTTGTGGGAGCCAAGTTCGGGACCTTTTCCTTCACTTGTTATTGTTAGCGGAAGGCAACCTTGGGAACGTGGCGCGCCAAAGTCAACAAGACCGCGCCAAAGCTGCGGCTCTTTCAAAGCCCACTTCTATGCAAACAAACACAACCACAGATCTGGACACACGAGCAGCACAACACGACAACAATCGCAATCAATCACCATGGCTACCCAAACCAATTCGGTGTGCAGCTCTGTTATCACAGACATCAATCGGGGAGTTAGCTGACTTAGTTTCACTAGCCAATTCCTTTGAAGCGTCTCGAGCAGATTGCGACAGATGCAAGTCAACCTTTTGTAATCTTTTGTCCGGGCTCTCGTGGTCCCATCTATAGGCTATCCCCGGATTTGAAATGGCCCCAAAGGTTTATCCATCGAGAATATCGAGAGTTAACGGCAGTCCGTGGTTTAGGCTTGCAACAGCGCTCTGGCCAACGCCGAGTACTACGAACACCCCAAGACGGCAGAATGGAATGAGACCATCATTGTATGCTAGATTCCCTCGGGCCCGTGCCTTTCAGCCCCGACAGGAATGATAGCAGATTTATTAGCTACGGGAAGCTGACATGGCGATGCAGCAAAAAATGCTCAAGGCGGTGTTGTCCGAAGCCACACCACAAGGAGCCTCTGCATCGACCTACAAGTTCGCCATCAACAGCACCATCGTGCAGCATGTGGTCCCAACAGCACAGCTGAACAAGTCTACGGGCACAAGTATGTCGACCGACGACGAGGAAGCGAAGGCTGCGTCGGCAAAGAAGGGCGCGGCGGGCCGGCGCGGTATGCATAGCGCGACGGGCGGATACTGGAACGAGAAGACGGATGGCATGTGGAGCTTCAAGTTTGACGGCGAGGCAAAGGGTCTCGATGTTGTCATAATGCTCATCTGGATCGCCGTCTAGAGAGATGTGATTCTTTCTGGCATTGTTTATTATCTGCGGCAGGGTCTACTGATGGTATTGACAGTGCTGCTTCATACGTATCTAACGCTTTTTACGACCAAGGCCTCCACAAACTTGACACTAGAGCTTAGGTAGGCATTTATTATCTACGTCAGGTACTGTGCGGCTAGGTGGACGGGTAGTAACGACATCATTCTGTGTGGGTAGGACACGGTCCCGGGAACAGCTAGTCGTTTCTCTTCTCCGCAGTCCGAAGAGGAAGTTTGTGCCAGCCTGCACATCTAGCCCAAGTCCAGAAGACCGGGGAAATCTCAAGCTTTTGCCGCCGGTGTTCCGTTACAGCACCGCATTTGCCCGCATATTCAGTGCAGCTTCGGTGGTGAAATGGGGTTATGGAAAAGGGTTCATATTGGCCGACAGCGGGTGGGGCTTAGGTAAGATGAGTTTTTGGGATAAGTGACGCAGGTTCATCAAACAGAAGGTCATACTTGATCATGGCCGACTAAGCCCACAACAAGGTAATTCCATGGTAAACTACATACGTGTTAGGGCTCACGCCGCTGGAAATCATCCCCTCCGTTCGGGTCTTCCTGGATGAGTGGGTGATTGTATTCATGAGCGGAGGGGCCGCGGCGCTGTCGATCGCGGCCAAGGCTTATCGCTCAGCAGCCGAATGCAGCCTGTCGATCCTCCATCGTAGCAAGTTACAATCACTGCATCCTCTTTGCCACCGGTTTGCGTTATTCGTCAAACACAACTTAGAGATTGAGCGACAATTTGTCGATCTTGGGAAGTACACGTGTAGAGCAGGTGACAAACGCACTACCCACCTCCCCACCACTAAGCAAAATCCAACCAAGCCGTCATAGTTGAGCAACTCGTATACGAAGAGATAACCCTTGAGATCGTCGTACCAACTCCTTGGGAACGGGTAAAACAAGACAACTTCGGAAATAAGTGTGGAAGCACGGACGAGAACGCTCTCTTTGCAGCCTTCAAATGCCTCCTGAGTCTTAGATTGGTTGTAAGTGTTGCATCGTATGATGCCCAGTTCAAGGCACTGGCCCGAGCCGTTATGCCTTTCGTTGATTGCGCCATGCCTTCCCGAGGCTGGTCCTCATACAAGAAGCTGGTCGATTATCACCTACCGCCCGGCATGGTTGTTAATTCGGGAGCATCTGTCAAATATTCCAAGAATATTTAGGGGGTAACGATAGATAGCTGCCTTCGTTGCTTCAGTGGAGGGAAGCCACACTGATGTGCAGGAATGACGAGCGCCAGCGCCGTTAGCGGAGGGGTCACTGCGGGGAACGGTGGGGTTGGCGACTGTTGCGACAACCTGCACAGTATTCAACATACAGTGCCTGGCTGACGCAAGTGGCGACTGGAGCCGCGTGATCCCGACATGAATTATACCTCTAATTCGTTCACTAGACTACCAACCTAAGGTAGGTCGGGTATGTAGGAAGGTTTCCCTATGGCACACTGCTGCGGACCGAAGGCCAGACAGACGAGGGTATCATCACTGCTTTTGCTCGTCCGGCCCCTGGCTTCTCACAAAGGGCTCTGTGTTAATATGAGGGGCAGTTTAGAGCGAACAGAGGCAATGGTCGTTTTTTCGGCTGAGCTAGTGGCTAGGGCGCTGACTTGTAGACGGGCTCGCCGTTCCCGCTCAGACATGGCCGCCCCAACTTGATTTCCATTAACACCATCCAGGACACCCACATTCCTCCTGCACGGTAGCCTCCACCAAGCCTAGGCCGGGCTGCAAGACCACGCCGGAATCCCGGCCAGGAAGGACAGCCATAGACGGCTAATCAGACGGCGGCCATCTTTTCCCACCCCTTGCCTACGCTATTTCATACTGTAGAGCCTGGCCTGGAAATTTTCTATCTTGACAGCTCTCGTGCAAGCCCTAGGTCAGGCTGCCTGCCACCCACCCAAGCCCCCAACCTCGTCGCAAACCGTCTTCTCGGCTCAACTGCCGTCTCAACGCTCTGCCTCAGTGCAAGATACCTTAGGTCAAGGCACGCGACCAGCCCATTCAGGGCCTCTTGTTGTCTATCTCTGGCCGGGTCGTCGGCCGTGTATCTCCAGCATATTCTCCGCAAGCCGGTCTTGGCTTTATCCTGAGATGTGAATACCTTATCAGCCCCTCCTGTCCCCTCTTCCAATGAACGTGCTATTGAGGGAGCCCCGCCAACTCTCTCCCGAGACCATTCTTCAGCACCGGTTCCTGAAAAGGCGCGGTACGAGACGGCTCAAGCCGGCCTGACATCTCAACCACTCGCATCTTTTCGTCCGCCTTGTCGTACAAGATCGACACTCGCGCTACGCCCGCGATCGAGGAGACATCATCACCTGCACTCCCACACTTGCCACCTCCCACCACCTCCCAGGACTTTATTAGAGAACGACTATCTTTGCTCTTCCCTGACACTGTCTCCCCCCTCCATTTCATACTTTACACAATTGAATTCCTAACCATGATCGAGGTTTTCTACAGTGGCCCGTCCACGCCCGAGGGCTTGGGCTCTCCATTGAATGGAGAAGAGCACGCAATGAATGAGATGGTCTTTGCGCGCGGGGCCAAGCATGCTCCACGCCGCTCCCGGACTCATTACGACTATCAGCTTCCTCAGCCCCCAGCCGTGACCACCTACGCCGTCTATCGACGGCCACAGACCCCGAGCGTCCAGTCCAAGGGCTTATCAGTCACCGCAGGCGAGCAGGAGGAACAAGAAGGAAATCGGGCCGAGACAGCGAGACGCAGACCCCCGCTCGGCCCCCCTCGCCGGTCATACTCGGTCACAGATCACGAGCCAATTCCCCATCATCACAGGCCATCGGCAAACGTGACACTTCTGCTATTGCCAGCCGAACTGCACTATGCCATCTTTGACTTCCTGGATCCCATAGACAGCACCTGTCTTGGTCTTACGAACAGTCATTTCTACACTATCCACCGCCGGCTACATGGCATAGTGCCGCTTTCTGCTCGCCGTGACGGGCCAAACGAACTTGAGTGGGCGTGGCACCTCGCCGGCAACATCATTCGAACCCCACCCGGAATCGAGCCGACGATTGGAGACAGGGAGATGAACGCCTTGTCGAAACTGCGCGTCCGCGGTCAAGCATACTGCCGGAAATGCGGCGTCACGCGCTGTGAGCTGCACAAGCATATCGAGTCCTGGATGGGCGAGGGTGCTGAGTACTGCTCGATTAAGCAGAAGTTTGGCCAGGCAGCCCCTGAAGGCGCCAAACCCTACTGCTACATGAGCAAGCCAGGAAACAAGAGCCGGTGCGGAAGACATCGAGTGCAAAAGTCAAAGGTTGTACTGCAGTGAAACAAAGGTAATCAGAAGTGGAAGATGACTTGTTGCAATCGGGACCTAGGTATTTCTCCTCTCATACCACAGACCTAGAACTCACATTGTCTATTTCTTTTTCTTGGTTGGGAGGTTTGATGGAGTTGTTGGCCGCGTGTGCTTCTTGGGTGCCCAGGCGGGTTTTGTTATGAGATTGGGTTAAACTGGGTTTTACGACTTGACGATGTTGGAATAAAGCATTGCGATTGCGGCGGTGATAGGACAAGCAAGCGGCCATGAATAAAGGGTATTCACATATATTAGAATATCTCCTCTGTGTTATACCCTTAGATCCGTACCTTGTTCTACACAGTAGATAATGATGAAATGTTCTCAAATCAGACGCCATTACGGTTGGGAAGGCGTTAAACCCGTTTGAGTCTTCAAAAGCCACATACTAAAGAACGGGTCACGGATCATGACCTTGCCAAGCCATATCGCCAAGCCAAGCGATGACGTGACTCTCGTACAAAAACGGTTAGGTCGGATTGCACAGGATGCAAGCCAGCTCTGCCCAGAAAAAAAAGAATGAAACGATGGCATGGCCAAAAAAAAATCGCAAATGATCAGTTCATCTCAATAAGACGCGCCCCCTTTTCTCCAAAGCCCAGCCGTACAGATGCAGGTGCAAGGCAAAAGCTCAATAGCAGCCTAACATATCGAGTAAAATAACTCCCAAATATTGACTGTGGATTGCATCAAATAGTTAACCGTTCTAGGATGCTTTTTACTCGTTTCACCTAAAGTAGACAGCTCCTATCTTCATAGAACCTGCTGTTTGTTTGAAGGTGGCTGCTTTGATGTTTTTTTATGCCAGCCCACGCCCGATCTGACGTCGGTTGTGACTTGTGAGGCTGCCAACCTTCAGAGGAAGGGAAGTAAGGAACCCACCAAAAGCAAGGATTCGGGAAGCCAGAGCTTCCATGCGGGCCTGCCCTCCATCTCGACACCATCCCAACCGCCAGAACCCTTACGTGCAGTAGCAGAAAGTAGCACCCAGTCCAGTAGAAGCGCCTACCGCAAGAGGCCAACAACACTGCGCCAATTGCTGCAGCGCACTCCGTAAATACCAGGTACTTACATTATCATTCCCCAAATGTACGGATACTCGTACCTTTAGCCTTCGACGGTCCAGAACTTGGTCCATAATTCCCTACCTTAGCTGCCCCTTCTCCCACCGGGCGCGGCCTGTCCAGTACGACCTGCACAAGCTCCATTTACTGACGTCTCAGTCCTCCACCATGTCATCGTCGAGATCGTCGTCGCAACCCGCCGGGAAACGCAAGCGCAACTCTGTCGCATCCACCTCAAACACTGGTGTAGCAGCATCGTCAACATCGGCAGCAGCAAACGACCCAATCGACGTCGACGTTGACATGGATCAGGATCAGACCCCACAGGCCGAGTCTCGAGACGCGTCGGCCGAGGAGGGCGACACCACAGCTCCCGAGTCCGTACGTCCCGCCGGCCACAAGAAGTCAGACGCGTCTACGAACGGCCACCCGCCTAGCAAGCGCCAACGCGCCAACTCGAACCAGACGCCCACCTCGACGGCCACCGCGGACCAAACCCAAGCCCTTGATCCTGGCGAGCCTAGCGATACCACCGAAGCTAGCGTCGACATAGCCGAGCGAGTCGGGCGCAAAGGACATCGTAAGGCGGTGGCGGCGAGAGACAGTGGTTCCACGGCTGCCTCGGCGGGCAAGCCCGACTCAATGGCCCCGCCTCCCATCGGAAGGCTCACCCACCCCGTCGGATACCAAACAAACGACCCTCCTGCCGGCCGAGCCGTGAGGGTTTACGCCGATGGCGTGTTCGACTTATTCCACCTTGGGTATGTCTGCTCTGTTGCCAGGACCTCGGTTCTCCCTTGCTAATTCGCGATGCAATAGCCACATGCGCCAGCTCGAGCAAGCCAAGAAGGCATTCCCCGATGTCCATCTCATAGTCGGTGTCACCGGAGACGAGGAGACGCACAAGCGCAAGGGCCTCACCGTCCTCTCGGGCAAGGAGCGGGCCGAGACTGTCCGCCACTGCAAATGGGTTGACGAGGTCATTGAAGACTGCCCCTGGATCGTGACGCCGGAGTTTCTCGAACAGCACCAAATCGATTACGTGGCCCACGATGACATCCCATACGGCGCCGACGAGGGCGACGACATCTACGCCCCGATAAAGGCCGAAGGGAAGTTCCTGGTAACCCAGCGGACAGAAGGCGTAAGCACGACTGGCATCATCACCAAGTAGGTTCCCCCCCCTTCCCCCTTTTCACCTTCAAACGAAAAACGAAAAAGGGAAACAAGTGGCCGGTCGACTGACTCTTAACTGCAGGATCGTGCGAGACTACGAGAAGTACATCGCGCGCCAGTTCAAGCGCGGTACGTCACGGCAGGAGCTCAACGTCAGCTGGCTAAAGAAGAACGAGCTTGACCTGAAGCGACACGTCCAAGACCTCCGTGACAATATCCGGAGCAACTGGACGACGACGGGACAGGAACTCAGCCGCGAGCTGCGCCAGTTTTGGCCTACAAGCCGGCCGCAGAGCCCCGCGCGGTCTGCGTTCCTGTCTCCGAGCGGCGAGTACCCGCCCTCGGGCAGTCCGTTTGGGCCCGCCGGTTCTTCAATCAACAGCGGCGGCAACAACGTGCCAAGGAGTCCGACAACGCAGGCGGAGCGAATCGCCAGCAATGGAAACGATTTCATTACCGGCTATACCTTGGGGCTTATCGGAGGCGTGCGGTCGTGGGTAAGTCAGCCTCTAGTCTCCCCAAAACCCGACCTCGTGTACCGTTATGGATCGCTAACCACGGGTTGCGTCGAATTAGATGACCAAGACCCGCAGAGCAACCCAGGAAGACAGCAGCCGGCCCGTCAGCGACGACGACTCGGAAGGCGACGACAAGGCCAGCAGCGAGGAGCCGCGCCGGCGATCCGCCCCTGCTGGGGCCAACCTGTGATTTGCTGTATGGGACTGGGCTTCTCTCGTTGTAGTCTTCGAGCCCTGTTTTCATCTCTTGAGAATGATACTTTTGTTTCCACACGCTCCCTTTCTTCTGGCTCTTTTCACACCATCTTCCGGGACTGTATTAGCTATTCCAATTCACCAACCACAACACTTCTTTTCGTTCGATGCCAAAGGTAGAGTTAACATAGATGTTTTTGTCCGCGTTAAAGCGAGAGCTTTCACTTTGCTTGAAGAATAAAATAATAGGAAAAGGGCACCTCTAATGTTGGCGGAACAGATACTGTATGTAGAAGGCTAGCTGTCTACCTAGCTTAGCCAGCAGTCGTTGAGACACGTGGTTTACCGTACCTACAACTACTTGGGTCATGTCATTGCTACCATTATGTATTCGGTGGTGCAAATCCTTTTTATTTTCCTTGCACGAGTAGTTAACGGCACCTTCAAATTTCAAGGGCCTTGCTAGTTTGAGCTTATAGTCACAGGTTAAACTCATATTCACGTAATAGGAAAACAATATATATCAGAGACGCTCAGCCAACTATATTACAGTAATAACAATAATAATAATAATAATAATAATAATAATAATAATAATAATAATAATAATAATAATAATAATAGTAGTAGTAGTAGAAGTAGTAGTAGTAGTAGTGTCACGAATCCCTGTGGATTCCCTGTGGTTATGCACAAAGGTGGGCATGCACTTTTGGCGCGAGCCAATCAGGAGCGTTCCAGGATTCCGAGCTCTGGAGCTCGGGGGCGCGGGACAGGTCCGGCCGGGCGGTGACCCGGACGCGGGACCGCGGGACAACGGAACCACTGTCATTGGTTACGTAGATAGATATATACGACGATCGTGTCCACGGTCTTAGATAGTTCTTGCTTGATTCTTCAAGCAATACACATTCACTGCACTCATACACTTTGAGTGGCATTCCGATTTGACTGTATTACCCGCGCGATAGGAGCTTGCCCTTTGTTCTATCTTCATAATTACCAACCCCAGCATTCTGTGGAGCCCGTGCTCCCTTACAGAAAGACGACCCTGACAGTCGAGCGGTTTGTAATAAGTAGTAGTAGTAGTAGTAGTAGTAGTGGTAGTAGTAGTAGTAGTAGTAGTAGTAGTAGTAGTACCTAGTTATACATTGTACAGGAAACATCTGGTCTTTGTTCACCATCTTCGTCTCATTGGTCGTTATTACATCCGCCCGGCCTAGCATTATTATAGCCTCCCCCTCTTCTCTGCCCGGGGCCGGCTTCATCCTCGTCCTCACTCTCGTCTCAGATCATTTAGAATACAGTGGTAATTGTAACATGGGTTGTAAAGAAGAAAAAACCAAAATTGTATAAAAAGTACAAGATGGAAGAATAAAAAGTGTTTGCGATACTAAAACAATCGAGGATAGAAAGCGACGAAACAGAATGAAAGAAACAAAAGTAATAACAGCAGTGGCATACCACCTTTTCGCTCAATAAAGGAAAGGCCGTCATATCATATGCCGTGTCGTTTCTTCTTATCTCGTCTGGTTTCGTCTGGTCTCGTCTGGTCTCGTCTTCGTCCTCGTTATGGTTGATGATGATGATGATGATGATGATGATGATGAGAATTAAGATGCTTCGTTCGAATCTTCGCTAGATGGATGCTGCCTCCTCTGAGATGGAAAAGAAAAGAAAAGGACAAGACGGATAGTAAAAAGGAGTGTATATCAATCTGCCCATAACCAATGCTTTGCTTTTTTCTAAAAGAAAATTAATATGATGGATGGTGTTTTTTGGTGTATTATATACCCGCGGGTGGTTGATTTGAATTCGACGTTCTTCTCTTCTTGTGGAAGGTCATGCCTGCATTGATAGACTGAAATGGGCGAGTGATGATAGAGGTTTCTCGAGGTGTTGTTTGTGTTCGCGACGCATGAGTAGTTTGGAGTGTTGTAGTTCCGAGCGTGCAGGTGTATGGGCTGTAAAATAGCAGTAGCCATATTGCGCTTAGAACTAATTCCAGTTGGCTCCCTCTTCCAGCTTCCTCAGCACGACGACGGCGTCTACGTAGAGCCTGCTTCTGCTACCGACGCAGTCGTTCTCAAGCCGGCGACGCACGAGACCCACGACACCAAGGGCCTCGGAGCGCCCGCGCGCCCACACCACGTCCTCAGGGCGCATACCGTCCGCGGCAGCCATTTGCAGCCAGCCCATGGCCTCCTCGTCGGCTGCCGCTGCCGCATTGCCTGAATTGCCCGACGCTCTTGAAGTGGGGCTGCTCCCGCCGCTGCCGCCGCCATTGCTGCCGCGCCGCTGGCGTGCCGGCCGGGGATCGAGAAGAGACGCTGTTGACGTGCCACGCATGCGATGACCAGCAAAGGCCCAGCATATCAGCGCACATACGTACAGGCCCCAGTAGTCGGACAGATCATTGGTCCACGAAAGACCAGTTCCAGGCTGGGCGCGTTGGATGTACCCCACAATGGCGCGCGCGGCATACATTGTCGCTTTGGCAGCACTCAGGCCGGCGACTGCGTCGGCATAGTTGTTGTTGCTGGCCAGGCGTTGGTGCTGCTCGGTCCAGGCCTTGAGACGCTTCTGGTGCACTGCAAACGACGTGGCTGGCAACACCTTCTTGGAAAAGATCCACGAGTCGCCCCCGACGGCCAGAAGGTCTTGCAAGGGAGTGTGGTGGAGAGCAAGATAAACATTGGCAGTAGGGCAGGTCCGGAAAAGGGCGCTGATGCGCTGCTCGGCGTCTATAGAAAGGTCTTGAGGGTCGAGTTGGTGGGCGTGCTGAAAGTGTGGTTGCTGGTCTGGATTGAACTGGCTTCCAACGTGTTGCATGTGGGGATCCGCGTCGGAAATGGGGGAGCTGTGCCCAGACGCGGACGCTGTGGGCGTCATCTGGCGGCTCGGCAACCGCAGGACCTCGATGCTGAGGGCAACCTTGCAGTCGAAATGGTCGAGTCCTAGGACGTATTCAGGGGTAAGCTGGTCGGGCGGAGGGACATAGGTTGGAATCCCAGCTTCAGGGTCAGCTGACAGCAACTCGGCCCACTTGCGCGCAGAGAAAGCTTCCCAGAGCTTGGAGCTACGGCCAAAGAGCGGCATCTGAGGAAGGGGCGCCATGCCGCTAATATCGCACTCATGGGCGCGCCGCTGCTGCTGGAAGATGGCAGCGTGGCCGTCGACAAAGAAGCAAGCCGCTAGGAGTCGGCGGTAGGCATCGGCTTCTACCCAGCGGTGCCAGCGATCTTGGACCGAGTCCGAATCGAGTCCAGCCTCGTCAAACATGGCTGGATGGTACAGAATCTGTGGATTCGAAAGACATTGTGAGTATGCTTGCTCGGCTACCTGAGACTGTGTCTGGATATGAGACTGGGTCTGAGAAGAAAGAGAGGGTCCCGTTGATGGGCTGTAGCGGCTAGGGGCAAAAAGAGAGGACCAAAGCTGCCGCGCCCGCAAACGCCCATCATATGAAAAGGAGATATTGTTTTGGTTCAAAGTAGATAGAAACTCTGCGGTCAAAGATGAAGACGAGGCGGGCGAGAGAGAAGAATTTCCAAAAGGAGAAGACGCCGAAGAGGCATAAGAGGAAGGGAAGCTGCTCCAAGGAGTGCTAGGCATGACGGAGAAGTTTTGCTGAGAAAAAGACATGGCGGTAGTGGTCGGCGTGAGGGAGGAAAAGGAAGAACAATCGGAAGTAGTAGGAGAGGAGTTGGGAGACCAGGCAGTAGCGTCGACAAGCCAACAAGCCTCGTTATCCGAAGGAGGAGACTGCGAAGAACTCACCCTCCAATAGAGACACACGAAGAGTTTCGAGGGTCTCGTGATTGCCTTTCGGCCGCGGAATCGAGAAAAGTACTCGCACAGGAGAATCGCCTGCATGGCTTGGACGTTTGAGCTCCACTGGGGAATCTATATATTTTTGAGGGTTGCAACTGTCAGCATATATTCGCCATCCATCACATCTGCGCTGGGCAAGGTTGGAAGGAAACCAGAGGTTGGCTGAGGGGTGGGGGATGGAAGCTCACCCGCTTAACCTCCTGCACGGCATACTCATGCAGTTGACTCCCCCGAATGCGGTCTTCTTTGCCGGGAAGATATTGAGTTGCCACGGCCGCCATGGCACATCTCAAAAAGTCCTCGGGCACGGCCTCAAACGAGGCGCGGTGCACCAGAGGAAACAAGGGATGAACGCGCGCCCAGTAAGTGTCCAAATAGCCAGGGATAGCGGCGAGCACCTGCCTCGGCAGCAAGCTCGCCATGGACAGCCCGGGCACTACTCCGCACTCTCCTCCCCCTCCACCTACGGGCAGGTTTAGGTCTGTGAGAATGCCCATGCCATGGTGATTACCACCATTCCCGCCACCTGGGCTCGCATCAGCACTGCCGAATCCCACACTATGGCCTGTAAACATACCAATGCCGCCCATGCCTCCCTGTGTGCCCAATACGTCCTGATGTACCTCCGTCAATCCCCCCTTGTGGCGGCCCGGCGCGTCTAGGCGACTCGGAAGAGCAGGGGAAGGTATAACTAGAGTTTCAGAGTGAGAAGACGTGTTCGGAGGCGGGGTCGGACTACGAACAGGAGAAATTGGGTTGCCATGCTGGTGGTGACCAAGAAATAAATGGCTCCCCGAGGAGCCACCGAGCATCGGGTGGTGGTTAGACCCGCCCATGTTCGATATGGCTGTGTCCACCATGGAAAAGCTGGGGTTGAAATGCTGACCAGGCGAGGAAAAGGGGTCGGTAAAGACAGGTCTGGGCGTGATCTCAATGCCAGTGCTGGGACTGGGCAGGTCGGCCTGCGGCCTCGGGTTGGGATACGACGAGAGCAGCTGCGTTGGGGCGCCGCTGGGCCAATACCGCGGATATCTGCTATCTGAGGGTGTCGAGTACGTGCTGTCTGTCGACGAAGCGGCCCACGGCGACTGGTGGTAAAGTTCGGGAGGCTCTGAATTTTGCAACCCCTGCGTCACAACACATATGGATGGCGGCATTGTTCTGGGGGATTGCTGGTACGGCATATTATAGACGGCGGCCGGTAACGATGTCTGTTGGATGGACATTGTGGGGGAAGGAAAGCCCCTGTAATCGTTCGAGGCGTCCCCGGCTTGTGGGTAGGAGCTGGCGCCATGGTGAGAAGGTAGCGGGCTGCTCCCGCGGACGGGGCGCACCGGGAAACCGGACTGGCTCGCCGGCGGGTTGGGTGTTGGCGGGACACTGGGCGCCGCGGTCGAGGACGACTGCGCTCCTGGCCCGGAACTCGGGTCGTTAATTGATAAAGGCGCCGACGAAGCGCGTCTGCTCTCGTTATCGCCTCCACCCCTAGACGAGACCTTGTCGCCTTCCTGCTCACTAGTACTGTTGTCAGCGGACCGGCCACCATGCCATGGCAGAGATAAGTCTGGGGAAAGGCGTGCTCACTGTCTCTGCTGATGCCGCGCGAGGAGGTCGGGCCGGTGGAAGGCTCGTTCGCAGCCAGGGTATGTACACGGGTATCCCGGACGTTGATGGCTAAGTTGGTGGCGCCTGCAGAAGGGAATCAGCACAACGGGGACGGTCAGGACACAGCGCGCGCTACGTCCGGTGGGGTCGGAGAGCTTCCATCCGATCTTGGAGCCCGCGCGGGCGGGGGATCACTTACCGGAGATGTTCGGCCCTTGTGAAGGTCTATAGGCGAGGTTAGCTCACACGGGGTATGGGACGAGAGCGACGACGGGGATTGGGAGCTCGGACGGATGGAAGGGCGCGATCATATCCAGGCGTACCTTGGTTGGCTTGCAGATGTCGCAGATGTGAACGGGGACGCCCTTCTTCGCCCTACTGACTCGACCAGTGATTGGGGTGAGCCTCATGGGGACATCGGAGGACTGGGTGTGAGAAGGCATTGGTCTCATGGAGGTGTTGGATGGATGCATGCCGCCGGCGCCCATGGACGACGACGAGGCGGCAGAGCCGTATCCTGTCGGATCCATCGAGTCGTTGCTGGCCGTGCTCGGGCGGCGGGCAGGAGGTCGGGTACTAGGGGTGGCTGCTGGCAACGACAACGGCAACGACAGGGACGACGACGACGATGGGGAAGCGGTAGCAGCAGAGGAGGCGGCGAGCTTGGGACCTCGGGCGGAGGCACCGCGCCTTTTGTTCTGGGTAGCGGGGGCAGGCTGGTTGATATTCTGTCCGATGGCGAGACCAGAGCTGCTACTAACATGTCTTGGGTGTGGCGGGGGGTGGGGGTGGTTGTTATGGATGCCAGTGCTCTTGGTGTTCTTGTTGGTCGAGGTCGAGGTCGAGGTGCCAGTAGGGGAAGCCTCATAGAGCTGCTGGCCAGTGGTGAGGGCGAGGGAGGTGACCGGCAGGCCAGAGTCCTTATCCTTTTTATTGGGTTGTCGAGCGTCCGTCTGGTGGTCGTCGTTGATATCCATTATGAACTTAAGGCTAGCCATGATAGGCGGCGGCACTCCCTCAAAATAAGTGAGATACCAAGTTAGTATACACAGCCCGGTTGGCCTGCCGCGACAAATAAAGATGTAGCAGTCGATATGGAAACAAACACGCGAGCAGTATGGTCAGGGTAGCGAGGCCGGCCAGGTACGGGAGTACGTACACACGCGCGGCTGCTACTGCACGCGCGCGCAAGGGCACAAGGGTTTGCAAAGACAGAGAGATGTGTGTGTGTACGTGCGTGCGTGCGTGAGAGTGAGGGAGAGGGAGAGAGAGAGAGGCTTCACAAAGGCAAGTACAGTACCGCGCTGTACTGTACTGTCGGTCCACTCGACTCGCCCAATGTAAGGTATGGTATGCCCTAGCTATGGGTATGGGATAGGGTATGGATGGGTGGGTGGATGGATGAGAGAGCAGAACAGACAGAGTGACAGAGTGACAGAGTGACAGACGAGACAACCAAGGCGAGCAAGGAAGCGAGCGAGCCTCAGCCTGGTGAGGTAGGTAAGTGGAGAGAGGGTCACAGCGACTACCGTGGATGCCATGCCCAGACCAGACTAAGAGACCGCGGGTCTCCGAAAAGGTCGACGACCACGGGAGCGGAGACATTCTGGGGTTACGAGACCGCGGCACATCAGCGGCGCTGCTATATTGAGATGACCTTAAGGGCCCGAAATGCTAAGGTAGGTGGGTGCGAGACTGCAAGTATGCTAACTAGCGGGAAAAGATGGGATGGATGGGGGGGAGATCGAGGGAACTGTCTTGGCCTTCCCGCAGAGGCTTGGTGCAGTCTGGGAGGCTGTTGCCTTCCAGGGTCCCGGCCCCTGTCAGCTGGGGACAATGACAAGGGCCAGGGGATGGGCAGGGGTCGGGGCCGGGGAGGGAAAGAGGGGTGGGGACGGAAGAAGAGGGGGGGGCATTGTACTGTACATTCATTCAAACTTAGTTTGTCCAATGCAGAACACTAGACCGGGAGAGGGGAAAAGGCGACGAGCCAAAGTCGAACAGATTGGAAAAATAGACGCAGGGTACTTTCCCACCCCCCCGGAACACTGGAGGTTGTAACCAGGCTACCCTAGGACGTTTCCGGGTTGTTTAGCCCAGGTCTTTGGGCATCGGGCGACGAAGCCAAGTGTTGCGAGAGCGGTAGGCGGGATCTGTCTTTGGTATCCCCGACTGAGGTGATACCGCTCGCTTGGGCTCTCTAGCTCGGTTTTTTTTTGCATTCTCTTTTCTCTCGTTCGTGATTCTTAATTCTTATTTTCCCTTCCCCGTCTTTGCCGCGGTTGTACGAGCGCACATACTGTATAGTACTCTACCAACGGTACGTCCGTGCCTCGCAATCATGCCAACAGATCGTAGTCTTCTCGTATCGTGGTATCCGCCAAACTAGCCTGGTTGATCGATACGGCTGTTGGTCGCAACCCCGACAACCGCGCGACAATGGCGTCTGTCCCTCCTTCCCAGCTGGGCCAAGCTCGCGGAAGATGGGTGAGGTCGTCCCGAAGGGAGTGGCGTCGAATAGGGGCTGTGAAAGTCTGAAAGACTAAAGAAAGACTCTGTTTTGTCCGCGAATGGCTACTGTAAATAAAGGTAATGTATCATTGGGGGGATAAGGTATTTGGGTAGTGGCTGGGTATCACAATACCTGCGGGTAATTTGTAACCCGTTACTCGTCTTAGAACGCAAAGGCCGACATCCGAGGCCGCGTGCCGCCATGGTGCTCGACATGGCCCGTCAGGCCAAACCCGAAGGCCACACCTCCCGTCGCCCACGCGCACACCCTCCCCCGTAGGGCTGTCGTCCCAGTAAAACAGCCGAGCATAGTCGTCTCCTGGAACCTCACTAGACAACCGGCTCTTGCCCCATCTCTCAGCCCCGAAAAAGGGGGAGGGGGCTACAAGAAAAGAGAGAAGAAAACAAATCATTGCCCTAAGTAGGTAGAATTCTCCCCCAAAACACACCGGCCGGGGGCTCACTGCGTAACAATTGTTGAAAGCCATATGGTTTTTGGTCCTTTCCTCTCAAAGTCTTCTGATGGCGTGTGCACTCCGGCCACTAATCTGACAGGCGAGGGGCGCAGGCCATCATTCTGTCACTCCTGCAGCCTATCGCAGCTGCAGCACATAAGCAGCAGGACCCATTTCGTCAACGAAGGAGCGCTTTTTTTCATGCGAGCAGTGTTACACAACGCTCAAGACCTGTCGCTCAACCTCGAAGCTGCATGGCAAGAGGGCCTAATAGGGAATAAATGGTAGAACAATTGCAACCTAACGTCGCCAATCGCTCTTGAGCACTAGAGCCGTCGTCGGGCCACGAGCAAGGAGGCTTCGGATCCAACCTTCTAGAAACCCCGTGGAATACCGATTCTGACGATCAGCGAACCTGACAGGAAAGCCACGCTCTTGGCGGTGAATGGTGGCAGGCAAGTGAGATGACCGTCAAGGACTGGAGGTGTCTCTATCTCTCTTCTTTCTGTGTGTTATGCAGATGCAGTGTAGATGTGTCCCGCATGACGCCTTCGCGGTTTTGGGACGAAGGACGGATTGAAAGCCGTGAACCACGATCCTTTGCCGGGTTTCCGTAATTCTGGACCCAAAGTCTTTTTTCCCCTCCCCGCCACAGCTTCCCCTCAGAGGGGCACTAACAGAAGGAGGGGAGGAGAAGGAGACATGGTGGCCCGAGAGAGAGGAGGAGAGAGGAGAGAGGAGAGAGGACAAGAGAAATACAACTAGCGTCTGTGGCTTGCCGAGCGGCGCTTGTCTCGTCTTCCTTAAGCGCGCCGTTCGATGAAGCACGTAATGCGGCATTCACAAACCAGGGCAGTTTGGTGTGAGGAGGTGAGGTCTAACTGGGTTTGTACATACAGTACAGTGCAGTACATACAGTACCAGGATCCGGTTGCGTGGTCATCCTTGTCGTAGGTTCTTGGGTGTCGAGGCGACTGGGCTAAGACCCGGGCGATCTAGCCTTTCCCGGGACCTCTAGTCCCGTACGTGGCTTGCCCTGTGACTTGGCAGGCGAACATGGAAAGTTTGCCGCGTGAGGTCGGGTGTTGCAAGCCAGCCCAGAGCAGTTGATGGTGCCCGCCAGGTTTGCGCCCAGAAGATGCAGAATTAGGACACACAATCACGCAAACTAGCGGTGCGGGCCCAGGGAGACCTGCGTGCCAACTTGGTTGGCGGGGCCCGGGAGAAACCCACACCCTCATGCGAGCTGTGGCCGCTTGGTGGAGCGGGCGGCTTGAGGTGCAGACAAGGGCTTAGATCTTGGGCGCTCTGATTGGCGGGAAAGTCGACCGCGCCGCCTGCCGGCGACTCGTCCAAAATACCTGGGCTATTTTTGTTTGGTCGTCTCCTTTGCTGGAGCTCGGAAAAGCATAGCGCAAGGGGTTTTCTGATATGCACTGGTGGATGCGTGCTGCATATCTATGGACACACACTTCCATATACCTACACGTGTACCTGACCTACGCTGTAGCCAAGATACCCACATAGGTGAGGCAAGGCGGTAGTGTCGCTAGTGTATCCGTGGTGTGTGTGTGTGTGTTTGTGTGTCCCGGCAGGGGTTGTGAGATTTCTTGCAACGGCCAGCATGGACGGTCCCGAGAGCGCGCGATCTGACCCTCATCAAGGCTACGACCCAAAGCGTGGTGGAGGATGAAGCGACGTGCAGCGCGTGCTCGACGTCCGTCATCGCAAGCAAGCGCCCGATCGCAAACTACCGAGATCTCTCTCCCTCCGCTTCGCCAACACCCGCAGATCTACACCCAGATCGCCACCGACAGCACACACCTTGCAGCCCCGACCTTGGGGGCGGCCAAGGCCAGGCACAATGGCTTTTGACGGCTCGATTTTCTGGGGAGGTGCGAGAGACTGACTGATTAGAGATCGAAACTGTGGCACCCCTTTGAGCCTTCTGGGGAACATGTCCCTCGCAGATAGCCATGGTCAACAGGCTTGCTCAAACTTGCCGGCCCGTTAACGGTTGGCTGTGCGGACGGGAAAATTTTTGCCGTAGTCTGCTTGACTCTGCGCCTCAAATCCGCCAGTCCATCCCGTCTCCGTGCCTTTCCAGTATGCTCAGCTCTGGTTCAGCCTTGCGGGACAGCATGCCAAGGGGCTGTTGGTGCGACCGACTTTGCTTTGTGTTGCTACCAGAAAGTTTACACGTGTAATGTACCTACATACAACGTACATGAACACTGCATGAGCAATACCCTGGATGCTTGGTCTATACGCGTACAGAGACGTCCATCCAGTCTGTTACGCTAAGGTGCCGAGGCCGCGGAAGGGTAGCTGTGAGTCTGTAACAATATATCGGCAGCCCAGCAAGCGCCAAACGACTCAAGCGCACGGTGATCAATAGAGAGCGATTTTGATGATATTGCAAAGTAGAGAGAGCACACACATACAGCGCAGTCAACACCAGAACATGCGCGAGTGCAACCCAGCCATGCCGGATGAAGAAAACGAGGGTAACACCACGCGGTGGTATCGCGGACATTTAGTTAGAAAATGGCGATGCCAAGTTTCTAAACGCCAGCGCGCGTGCGATTGGACCTGATTCAGCTCGATGCGGTTTAGTTCTCAACTGCAACCCGCAGTTGGTTCGCGGGAAGAGCGCTTAATTAGCAGCTGCCGATTCGCGCGATGGCGCCAGCGCCTGCGCCTGTTTCCTACCCACCCACTTGGGACGACCATCCACCCTCCATCACGCAATTCTTAAGCTTTGGGCCTTACGGCCGTGTCACCAACCCCTGCTTGAGCGCGCTTGTCAGACGCCAGTTCCCTGTTGTCTCACCCCGCGGCTCGAAGTGCCGAAGTCCTGTTCCGAGCAGGTACGGTGCGTGGTTACAAGCTGCCCTGAGATGGTGAGATGACCAAGATTGAGATGGCTTGCTTGTTGGGATGGATCAATTAGGGGATGAAATTCGACGAGATGGAGCGACGAAGCCATGTGCCGTCCGATGCAGTGATGCACACCCTTCCAAGTTCCCCCA